ACAGCACAGCACACAGGACAACGCACAGCACAACACATAGTACTACCCATTCAACAACTCATGAGACAACAACTCACAGTACTACGCACTCAACAACACACAGCACCACTCACAGCACAACACATAGTACTACCCATTCAACAACTCACAGTACTACGCACTCGACTACCGCGAAAGTAACGCATCCGTGGACGCCGGCTACCAAGCACTCGACGACGGAGGAAGACTGTGAGGAAACTACTCATGGTGGCAGGAGAACCAGCACGCATAGTTCCACGCACTCAACAACACACAGCACGACGCACAGCACGACACATAGTACTACCCATTCAACGACTCACAGTACTACGCACTCGACAACCGCGAAAGTAACGCATCCGTGGACGCCGGCTACCAAGCGCTCTACGACGGAGGAAGAATGTGAAGAAACGACTTTCGGTGCTAAGAGAAGTATGTCGCATAGCATAGTGCACCCGCCAATGCATAGTGGTTGGCTGCCGGGGATACAGAGTGGAAGTGAAGCGATTTGGTCTGACGCGAAAGTATGGGCTAGTGGTGATTTGGATCTTGATGGAAATGGGCATGCATGGAAGAGTTGGACGTCACAGTCGACGGTGATGAGGGCGCTGATAGGTAGAGGAACAACGGGCGGTGCATTGGTTCATCAGTCTGAACCGGATGGATGGAAGAAGGCGCTGGGTATTTCGGTGCATGGGTCTGGTAAAAGGAAGTAGTTGTGAAAAAAGAATGATTATTTTTTTTTCTGCATTGGTTTTCATTTAATGCTTTTGATATTTTTCAGTTGCTTTTTCTTGTTTTTGCCCAGAAGCCGTTTTTTTGCTAATAAAATAATTATCGCCTATGGAATTTGGATTGTTGATGCGACGCTGTTTTCTGTTAATGGGCCAAAAGTTTGGAATGAGTGGAAGTGATCAGATAGGAAATATGTTCAGGATCGGTGAAAAGTTTATTGTAGGGTTCCGATAGGCTTTGTGTAGTTGATTAAGTAAAAAAAGGTATAGTCGATGCTGTTGGAAACTAGTATTTTTGAGAATTGATATAGATAGAGTGAAATTGTGGTGTAGAAAAGACGGTGCGAAAATAATTGTGGAACAGCGAAAAGTGGATTTGAGATTTCGATCTAATAATATATGGAAGGTGAACTATGGATGAAATATGTAGAAATAGTACTATTCTGGAAAATGAGGAATACTTTCACGTATATAACTGTTCGAATAAGAAGTAGCCGTGCGAAAGTTCCGGTTCAGTTCAAATAGCGGGACTCACGTCACCTATTTCAGATCGCAGGAATTGAAGTGGGTGGTTAGTTGAATAAAGAAGGACTTGTTGAGTCTCGTTTTCACCAGTTTCTTTTTGATGAACTGTCGAATACTGCAGCTGAGGGACCCTGAACTGGTCGTGCGAGTTCGCATGAACCGGTTGTAACCAGTTCTACGGCCCACAACTGTCACACACCCAATAAGAAGCTAGGGTATTACCAAAGGACGCTATCTGGTGTGTACTTTTATGCATAGCGAGCAAGGTTATTTTGAATGATTCGTTGAAAAGATAATTGAAGCTGTTTTAGAATATCATGAAAAAGAAGTTACAATGATTATGAAACGTATTAGAGATCCGTCCGGACGAAGTACTACAAAGATCACACTCCACTCAGATCGTATGGGCGGAGAAAAATTTGAGCTTCATGAAGCAGTTTGCATGACGGTTGGAGCGTACTATAGTTCAGAATCTCTATTTATGCGATTTATTCTTTCGTTGCTTCAAAGGAACCTGTTCAGCTTTTAAGAGTTAGCTGAGAAAGCATAATATGAGCTTTATTTGTTTTAGAAAAAAGATTTCAGACTTATATCAGAAGATTTGCATAAGTTCTAATCGTATATAACCGTATGTATGGTATGATTGTTATTTCTCAAGATTTCAATGGTTGAATTCGATTGATTATGCTCTTTGACAAATGGATAATATTGTTTTCGTTCGGAACACTTAAATATGACGGGATCTTGGTTTTTTTTCACTCTTATGATCATAATCGTGAGTCTTGCATTCGTCGAAGTACTCAGGGCCAAATATTTTGCGCGGATATCTCGCTGCCGGTAACCACAATTCTCCTAATGGTCGCATGGCCAGCGGACAAAAGAAGTTTACATCGAGACCATCATCAGGAGAGCCCATTTTCCATACAAGTGTTTCTTTCTTGAAGAAAACATAAATATCGAGAAATGGAAAATTCCATCCTCTTGACCCAGCGTATGGAGTATTTCGAAAGTAAACTTTGTAATGCTCTTTTGTGTAATATCGACTGCTTCAAATGTAATGCAACACCAATGAATCGTTCAAGTTTTTGAATTCGTCAAGAAAACGATCTTTGCCTTCATCAGCTATCATTAAATCAACGTCAGTATCCCACGGAGTGATGTCATGATGTCTTGCCGCTCCTAACAATGACCCGTCGACTAGCATATATTCGATGCTGTTCTTTCGACATACACGATCGACAATTACCAATAGACGCATGAGAATACTATATTCACATCGATTGATATGACGAGGCATGTGCTATGGTGATTTCCAATGGGCGATTGCTGAAATTGCCGATCAGTATCTAAACGATGTGCCATGTGAAGACATCAGATAGAAAATTCATCCAGTGGTACACTCTTACCTTCTACATTGTTCAATTCTTGATAGATATCGCGAGATGTATACTGAGTGCTGGTTATATGTAATGGCGACAGCTGTGTCCGAACGTTTGGTTGAAGAAACGCGAAAATAGCACCAATGGCCAGCAGACCAAGAATTACTTGGATGCATCGGACGCGACGAGTAAAGATTTGGTCAAAGAGCATGAAATGCCGCTTTCGTCGAGAAATATCTCTTGAATATGATTTATTGAAATCGCTTTAGACATATTATACTGTATTCTTATCAGGAAAGATAATAACAAAATATTTCATACTCCGAAGCTCGAATAGCTAGATACAGATACATGTTTTTGAGATAAAACGGAAAACATCACTTGGACCTGCACTGTATTTCAGCATATTCTGCGTCAAGTTTTTGAATTCTAAACGAATTGCAATCATCAAGAGAGAAATAAAGAATATTTATTCGAAAAAAAATCAATCATATGAAATTGTATGTATGATAGTATTGTTTATTTTTAAGACTTCAGTCGTCGAATTTGATTGATTATTCCGTTCAACAAACGGGTAAAAGTCTTTTAAATCAGCGCATTTCTGCGAATTCACATAATCACCGGTTTCGTTTCTATGATTCCACCAATGCGTCTTGCATTCATCAAACGGATCAAATTCGAATAATTTTTGAGGTTGTCTCGGCGCAGGCAACCATAATTCGCCTAATGGTCGCATCACTATTGGATAGTAATACTTGATATCTTGACCGTATTCTGGATACCCCATTGACCACACATGCGTTTCATTTTTTAGATAAACATAGATATCAATAAACGGAAAATTCCATGAATAACCTCCTGCCGATGGTGTGCTTCGAAAGAAAATTTTATAATATTCTTTCTTGTAATGTCTACTACCTAGAACACGATGAAGAACGATGGTTTCATTCATTTGATTGACTTGGTCGAGAAAACGATCTTTGCCTTCATCGGCTATCATCATGTCAGCATCGGTATCCCATGGAGTTATATCATGGTGTCTTAACGATCCTAATAAGGTACCATCCGATATCATATATTCGATTTTATTCTTCCGGCAGATCCGATCAGCCACCATAAATAAACGCATAAGAATACTATGTTCACATTTCGTTAAACGACGAGATAACAGTGGAGTCGATTTCCAATGTGTATAGTAATAAGGTAAACGCTGGAGTCTGGTTGGATCGACGGACGGTGCGTGAAGAACTGGTGTTCTGTAGAGTTGTCGGTCACTATCGAACCGGTGCGCCATGTGAAGACACCATAACGAGTAAGCATCCAGTGCAACACTCTCGTCTTCCTCATTGATTAACTCGTAGGCAACGTCTGGAGATACAGTTTCGATACTTGCTCTATCACATGACAATTGTTTCGTATAAAAGTTAGTGTTGAGAAATGAAACGATTACAACTGCCCCGATCAGAGCAATGATCGTTTTCAGATGTTTATACCGACGTATATAGTACTGATTCAAGAACATGAAGTGTTCGTTATTCTTCAACTAATACGATGAGATAATCTGTGTTCGAACAGATATTCGACTGTACATAGTTCTCTGTATGATGAAGCATTTTGATTTTCATTCTTCAGACAGCAAAATGGCACATTCTTTTTCATATATGAAAAGAGAATCGTGATCAACAGGACAGAGAAAAGAAACATGGATGAAATGCTTTGCTAATCAGAGTAAACTATTCGCGCGAATGTCACATCTAGTCTATTGTGGACAAACGTTTGGCACAGGTAGTTTAGGCAGCCAAGTAGCATCCAATAATGGTGGTTTATTGGCTTTATAGAAGAGAGGATCAGCACGAGTGAATAATCCAATGTAAAGCGGTGCTGTGAGAAGAAGAAACGTATGTGTCAAGGCTATTCCGAATATTTTCGGAACAGTAAATGGACACTGAGCTACAATGCAACAGGCAATTCCTTGTAAAACGAAGAACGTAAACGCAGGTAATGGAGATGATGCTCCGAATGCTGCTGTTGCCACATGTGCGTGTAGGAAACCACTGACTACAAAACATGCTAAAGCAGCAAACATAGCTGATGACTTGAACAAACGGCGAATCGGATCAAATAGTGATTCTTTGAGTAGTGTACCAACAAGGCGATTGTAACGACGGCCCCAAAACTCACGTAGAGATTTCGATAGAAACGGATAATCATTAAAATCTAATACAGTATATTGATGACGTGTGACTAATCGTACGACAACGGCTTGTAAGTCATAGAAAAAAGTTCCCGAACAGATTGAAATATAGAACATTGCAAGTCTACCATAACTATCGTTTGGTGGACAAACGCGTAGCCATTGAAAAATCCATTGATTAATCAGAAGTTTTATGCTTGCACTGGCGAGATAAAAGCTCAAGGGTGTTTTTGACTGGCAACGTGTGACAGGAAGTAAAAACCAAAGGAATTTACAAATGTATGCTGGAAATGAACATGATTCATTTGGCGACAAGACAATTAAATGAAACAGACGAATTGATATCATCCAGTATAGCGAAACAGTCATCACTGATGACATTTGTACGTGTGGTAGATTTTGACAACCAGCGAATAGTAATATAGAACATGGGATCATTGTGAAGAGAGCTCGATGTGAACCATATCGAAGTGGTCGAATAACATAATAGCACAAAATAAGATGAACAGCCCACCCGAAACGAATTAACATTGGATCCATGCTGTTTTTTAATACTGAATGTATGTACGTTTGCTTTGTTTTTCTGTTATTTGCATTTTTCCTTTGACAGTTCTTCCATAAATAAATCAGGTAAATAGATGACGCCGTATGACATCACATGTAAGTTTTGTATGATGCAACGTTGGTCAACACATATCGTGCTAACAGACAATTTTCATGTATGATCAACAATTACAAGCTTTGTTTATTGCTGATATGAACTTTCTTTGTGTTTTTTTTATCTATTTTTATCTCGTATGATAAAGATATGTTTGCTTGATAATGTGCGTTAACTATATCTTTGGTTGAGTAGAATTGACATACACATCATTTTTTTTTCAAAAAATGATTTCGGTTAAGTGTACACTCATAATTCTAACAATTTACTTTGCGACAGGTGAGCATACAGAGCGTTGGAACCGTTACATGGAGTTGACATTGTATTATATTTGATGATAGGTCATGCTATACCTCGATTCGCTAACTATATTCAAGATCATATGGTATTACAGCGAGCTCCACAACGAGCGGTGATTTGGGGATTTGGAGACGCTAGTAAATTAACAACACTTCGAATGAAGAATCAGATTTATACAACGGTCAGTCGATCGGAATCAGCCAATGACTTGGGGGAATCCATCTGGTCGGTTACATTAGATCCTGTTAGTGATGAAGGTCCTTATGATATTCATGTGTCACAACCGTTAGCAAATGGCACACTTGTTACCATCGTTCTCCACGATGTCTTGTTCGGCGATGTTTGGATATGTTCAGGTCAATCGAATATGCAAATGGCTGTCACCGACATATTTAACGCCACAGAAGAAATCAACACTGCTGGCAATTATCCAAAAATTCGAGTTTTTACTGCAGCTTTGAAACCATCAGACACGCCCATCGAAGAACTACTTGGTATTGTAGAGAACTGGTCCGTCGCATCAGCACAAAGTATTGGTGGACCAAGTTTCACTTACATGTCAGCTGTTTGCTGGCTATATGGTCGTCACATTCATGAAGCATTGGGTGGTCGACCTATTGGTCTTATAGCAACCAGTTGGGGTGGCACAGCCATTGAATTATGGATGCCACCGCAGGCCTTGCAAGAATGCGGTATTTCAGCGTAAATTTCGTTTTTTGCCGCTACTTATAGATCTTCTATAACCATCTCTTGCTTTTTTTACATATAGAAATGAAAAAGTGCCATTGCAACCCGAGGGTAAATCGACAGAAATGATATCCTTAAGTAATTCAAATCTATTCAATGCCATGATCTATCCATTTACACGCATGGTTGTGTACGGTTCGATTTGGTATCAAGGTAAATCTCTACGTGCTTCTATTCCCTTTCGTCGAAACATTCCTCTAGGTGAAGCAAATGCTGGTTATAACACGGATAAATATAATTGTACATTTGCAAAAATGATTGAGTCTTGGAGACAAACATGGAATCAACGCACAAATGGTATTACAGATGTACAGTTTCCATTCGGCTTTGTTCAAGTAAACACCTACTCTCCATGGGGAGCTAAGTTCAAAGTTTCGATTTTATTTGTAGCTATCTACATGGACAAATACAAGCACGACGGTTGGTAACTTTCCAATTATTCGTTGGCATCAAACGTTTGACGTCGGTTATGTACCTAACAAGGTTGTGCCCAAAGTATTCATGGCGGTTGCTTTGGATTTACGTGATGATCCTAATGGGTAAATAATTCATGAGAGAAAACATCAATACGTACTTAAAAATTTGATTTCAGCATCCATCCTCGAACCAAACATGACGTTGGCTACCGTTTATCGCGTGCGGGTTTATCTGTTGCATACAACCAACAAGTTGAATATCAAGGTCCTATTGTATCCAGTGTTGTCTACACGAGTGGTAGCAAAACAGTAAACATCACCTACACCGGTGTACAAAACATCGAACTACGAAATCCAAATGGCTTCGAAGTTTGCTGTCAAGGTAGTAGCTGTGCTCAAGACGGTTGGGAAGCAGCAAGTATAGCGAGCAAAGATGGATTGACAATTGTCGTCACTGTTTCACCGACGTGCGTCGGAAAACAACTTTATGGAATTCGTTATCTCTGGCATGAAACACCGTGTCCATTCAAAGAAGCAGCTCTCTACAGTTACACAGATCCTAATCTACCTTCGCCACCATACATGAAAATGTTCTAATCACTACATGCGATATTTTTCTTCTTTTTCTCTTTAATTTCATTTCTAATTATCTAACTCGTTAACTCTTTCTTGATTGATAGTAATTGAAGAATTAATGACGTCATCATAATCTGAATTCGCATGTATATTCATTTCTTCTGTTCATTCAAAGACAACAGATTGCATAATGATAGTCCATTGATACGCGATCAATATTTTTCACATATCATTCAACATCATCGAATGGTAACAGATTAGATCTAGACATGTTCTTTTTCTTCTTCGAATCAGTCTGCAGCTAATTTTGTAAAATAAATGTTTTCTCCGAGAGACACTAATGAAATTAAGCCGGAAGACTAATCATTGAGCTTTCGGTCTAGCAATAGGAATGACGTCGAACAACGCCCACTGATCATACATGAGAGACGACCATGTGAAAATTTCGTTTCCAACTCTGACAATATCCGAGAAAATGATGAAATGTAGCGGAAAAGATAAATGTCACATAGGATCAAAAAAGAAAAGACAAGCTCAAACGTTTTCATGTGTTCGAATCTGTTGAAAAACCTGCGCTTATGCGAATGTGTTCTTATTGTAATATTCTCATCGATGTTAGATCACGTCGCATTGAATAGGCATCTTCTCCATCGGCATAATATCGAGGATCCCGATCATGAACGCTACAACGAAATTCGGTTTCATGAAACTTTCAATCATCGTCGACGACTTACGCGAAGCCAAGAGCGTTCTGGTAAAGATGTAGAGCTGCGCGATTGCCAACACGTACATGTAGAGAGACGTATTTAGCGTTGAAGTTGTCTACCATTGCTCGACTCGCTTGTTCCATTAGTTTTTGTGCAATACCGAGTCGACGATGTGTTCGACGAACAGCCTTTGAAAACGATTTCACGGTGAATTTAAACGAAAAATGCCTACCAGTGAAGTTATATGACCATGTGGTACACTATTCTCACCTTCGTCTTCCCTTTGATGAAATAGATTAGCGAATGAAAGAAGAGAATCAGAAGATGAAATACTTTACATCTTCGCTAAAACATAACCGACAATCTTGCCGGAATCGTCTTCAGCGACGTAGGACAACTGTGGCCAAGATAATTCATGGTAAAAATAGTATTTAAGTTGATAATTCTCAGGTAAACAGAGTAAATTACAATTCTGCATATTGATTAAATCTTCGGTCTACGAAAAAAAAAGGAAAGGTGAAGCCTTCTTTTTGATAATCAAACACATCAAATTCAACTCACAGTTGCGTTACGGATAATCATTGTTTACTGTGAAATCAGTTCAAAAGATCTTCTGTTTTGAATTTTTCATAAAATTATAACTGGCGACATCTGTAAACAACAATCAATTTTCGTTCTTTTATCGTCTGATTTTAAATTTTAAATTTCTAAAAAAGCTTTTTCATGATTTTTGTCGGCAAATCTGTCATGTTGATCTGGTTGTTTTAATCGAAACTGAGAATCGAGAGTAGCTCGTTGAGTGGAGTTTCTTATTCTCTATGTAATCATGGCCGTTGATGATGTCGGTGCATGTATGAGTTCCGATTGAGAAAAACTCAACATAAACAAACAAACAAACATACCCATATTACGACGAAACATAAAAAAGCATGATTCCTCAATTCTTTCAAATCTCAACATTTAATCACTGTCCAGTCTCTTTCAACTCGCCCGTGCGTCGAAGACGCCGTCTATTTTGATGGCCGGTACTGGCCAAAATCAACAAAAACAACAAACACACCAAGATCAACCGAAAAACGTTAAATATCTCTATTTTCATTGCAATAATCACATTACGAATCACACTCAGAATTCCACTGTTCAAACCACCAAGATTTTTATATCACCACCTGTATGCACGTCGACAAGTCATCTAAAACCGATGATGACTTCGCCGATATCTCCTTGGCAGCATACATCAACTATAGCCGGTGATAATGATGATTCCTTAACTTGTGATGAAGCCAATCTAACCAGCATGACGCAGCAATTACCCTCACTTTCAATAAATAACGATTCTACAACTCTAGCTCAACAACCATATGAAAACAACGGACATTTCTTTGTTAAGAAAACTTTTCATAAGCCTACCTACTGCCATCACTGCGTCGAAATGTTATGGGGGCTGATCGGACAAGGATACTATTGCGAAGGTAATCTTACGAAGATAATCTAGCACTGACTGATTCATCGTTTTAGTATGCAATTTCATTTGTCATGATCGCTGCCGAAAACATGTCATTTCACCATGCTCAAGTATTGCACCTATACTCATTAAAGTAAGTTCAATAGAAAGCGAGCTTTGCTATTGCATACGACCTTTTAGAATCCCGTGTGTCACATATGGTCGGATGTATCCCGGTTCAAGCGTAAATTTTGCAATATATGTCGAAAACGGCTTGAAGATATCTCAGCTGTCCGCTGCGAAGGTACGTTGTTCTTCATCGCTATGTAGTATATGTATTGTAATCTGTATTGTGTTCAGAAAGAAAAAAAAGACGTTTGATCAGGTAATAGCTGCCATCTAAAACTAGTTCTCACTAATTGTTTTACTAACAATGTTCAATTTGAAATAACGAAATCTTTGCAAATGAAACGACACTAATCGTTTTTTCTTCTTACTTTACTTTAGTTTGCGAATATTATGCACATGATGATTGTAAAGATTTTGCTGTTAATGACTGTCGTGAAACAGCCACCTATGTGCCGTCAAGAGATAATGTAAGTCGAACGATATGGATATCGATGAAAGTCATATCTATGTAAATGTTATTGATATGTTATAGTCCACGATAACAGTACGACATCATCATCATTGGCGTGAGGGAAACTTACCATCCAATTCCAAATGTGCAATCTGTAGAAAGACTTGTTGGTCGAGCGAATGTCTCGCCGGGATGAGATGTGAATGGTGTGGAATAACCGTACGTACTTTTTGATAAAAGCACTATTTAGCAAACAAGAAAACCGTCATCTGTTATTCTAGACACATAGCACATGTCGTTCACGTGTACCCGAAGAGTGCGGATTCGGTACTTTGAAAGATATCATAATTCCACCATATGCAATATCAATTCCACGTATAGCTGATTTAAACAAAGATCTCATATTGGGGATTGGAAATAACAAAGATAAACCAATACAAAACACAAATCCACAGTCAAATAATAGTATAGCAATGGGACAAGAAATGAATATTGTTATCGCACCTGAATCAAAAAGTGCTGTTCATTTCGGTAAGTGACTACATCCGAACTCAGCCATAGGACTCAGCTTCACTCGTCTTTCGATCGCATATCAAACATTTTATGCACAGATTCGGTTCTAATTATGAATATTGTATTGCACAATCGATGTATATTCTTGTAGTATCACAACGTAGTCTTCATGATGTATCAAAAGCAGCGAAAAGAAGTGGCTCCAGTCTTGTTCGACGTATTCAACGGCAATCATCAGTTGTTTTACCAAGAAAAAAGTTTCTCACATCTCAACGACCCATCCAAAGGGGTACATCAGTCGTCTATTCCTACTCGAATATCTAGCACGCTCTACTTATTCATCATCTATTTGCCTGCATGTGCCTAGGATGTCTTGAATTCTATATTCTTTCGTTTGATTGATATATATATATATATATATAGATACATATCCAATAGTATTAGACATTTCGGTTGCAATACATTTGTACTTTCTTTTAGTGAAAAGTTCATCGACCGAACATCTATCAGGTGGAAATGATGATCTTGGTGGAATTGAAAGAGATTACCGAGGTCGAGGAGCAGAAGCTTGTTCAAGTCCAAATGTACACATGGAAACAAGCGGTAGTAAGAAACAACGAGATCTCCGAACAAACCGAGGGCTGCAAGAAGAAGAAGAAGAACGAGGTATGGGTTCAGACAAAGAAAATGCAAACAGTTTCCTAAACGTACGATTTAGAAATCATTCGCGTCTTCGATGGAAATGCCACGTTTCGCAATAGCACTCCACGTTCTATATCCGTACCAAGACAAGCAACATACACCCAGATTCTGGTACCTGATTCCATATAAAAAATTCACCTGATGTTAATTCGAAATGTCTATCTATTTTTTAGGAGGCTGCTCTCCGTACATTCCATATCAATGACGATAGCACCAAATATTGTATAACTGTACCGACAGACGATGGTAAAAGTTCATACTAAATACTACTTCGATTGGAAATTTTCGTTGCTTTTCATAGTCGGTGGTGATCAACCCATTGATGAAGCAATGCCATTCAAATCTCTTAAACAATTAGGCAGTCGTAAACTTAATATTTACATTCGATATAAAGAACGAGCTGATATGGATTTCGATTATATACGTGTTTATCCTGGCATACTTAAGTACGTTTTGAGTTTGACCGATGACTTTTTTCCACATTTGTCATTCTTCTCTAGAACTCATGATGGTTTCAAAGTGATTAAAGTCACATCAACCAGTACAACATCCGAAGTTATTGCTAGAGCATTAGCAGATTTTGGTATATATAATGTAAATGCTGACAAATATTCGCTGGTCGAAGTCTTACTTATCTCCAATGTTAATTATACTGATCGAATCTTAGAACCAAATGAATGTCCTTTACATGTTTTAAGGCAACAGAGAAAAGTAAGCAGAAATTCTGATGAACTGCTCTCGATTATTGATATTTCTTTAGGAATCTGTTCGTAGCCATCGTGTAACACGATTTTATTTACAGCACAAAGATGATCCACACGGGCCGTCAGTCTCTCTGTTTGTTGGCAATCTACCTCCCGGTCCTCGAACGGAAAAACAATACGAGAAAATTCTCTTTCAAGACATTTTTCAAAGCAACAAAGATCTCAAATGGGATAACATGGATGTTATCTACTACGAACATGGAGCAATGGTCTTAGTTTACAATGACGCCGATCGTGCAACCCGTGCATTTACTATTCTACAACAAGCATATCATGATCAGAACAAGTTATTAGTTTTAATGCTGCCAAACATTCAGTCTCAAGTGTTAACATCAAATATAAGTCCATTGCTCGTCTTTGTCAACGTCAAATCAGGTGGACAGCAAGGTGCAGAATTAATAACAAATTTCCGACATTTACTCAATCCGCATCAAGTTTTCGATTTGCAAAATGGCGGACCATTGCCTGGTCTATATGTTTTTCGTAATATTCCACATTATCGTATATTAGCATGTGGAGGAGATGGAACCGTTGGTTGGGTGTTGAGTTGTCTAGATAATGTCGGTCAAGATGCACTGTGTCAGTCACCACCTGTTGGTATTGTGCCACTTGGCACCGGAAATGATCTAGCACGTGTCTTACGATGGGGTTCCGGTTATACAGGCGGTGAAGAACCGTTAGCATTGCTCAGGGATATGGTGGATGCCGAGGAAATTAAATTAGATCGTTGGACAGTTGTTTTTCATCAAGATCAAGATAAACGTGTACCAACAACAATACCTGATGTTAGTAATAGCAAGACGACAACAATGTCCTCGTTGATGACAACAACAACATCAACGACAGTCAGTTCAGCAACAGCCAAAGCTGAAGAGAAAAAACAGAAACTACGAATACTTAATTTACCACCGCCAGCTGCTACATTACCGGTTAGCGATTCATATTCGATTATTATATAAATAAATGATCGGTTTGCTTTTTCAGAATGTTATACAAGTTTCCACAAGTGAAGATAAGACAGAAATGTTTGTCATGAATAATTATTTTGGTTTGGGACTTGACGCTGATATTTGCTTGGATTTTCACATGGCGAGAGAGGAAAATCCGAATAAATTCAATAGCCGGTAAGATTGAAATTCTTTTCCACTAATGCTTTTCAAAGTATATGTCATTTGATTAAAGAATACAAGCAAAAGGTTACTATTTGAAAACTGGCCTAAGAAAGATGATGAAAAAAGGTGGTTTGAAAGATTTCACCCGCGATATTGTTTTGGAAGTCGATGGTAAACGTGTTGATCTACCATCATTAGAAGGCATCGTAATTATGAACATACTAAGGTAAGAATTATCTCGTGAAAAACAATCTCAGTCGAATGATCTTCTCTTGACTATAGTTGGGCAAGTGGTGCCAATCTTTGGGGACACGAAAAAGATGATAAATTCAATCGACCAACGCATTACGATGGGATGCTAGAAGTAGTTGGCGTCACCGGCATTGTACATCTCGGTCAGATTCAATCGGGTATACGTTCAGGTGTTCGTCTTGCTCAAGGTGGACATGTAAGAATCGAAGTACTTTGTTTTGACCTGATTGGACAAAAACACTTTCGTTTTAAGGTTCATATTCGAATGAATAATGATTATCCTGTGCCAGTTCAAGTTGATGGTGAACCGTGGCTTCAACCTCCTTGTGACATAACTATTATACGATCAGCACTCAAGGTAAACTCGAAATGAGTCGATGATTCTTTTGTCTATATGGTTATTTTAGGCAACAATGCTGCGAAAACGTAAATCGAAAATTAAACGTCGTAATACCGAACCGAGTGTTTACTTTCCTGAACCAGATGATGATTCAAAATGTTGAACATTTTTGTTTTCCTCTCTTAGCTGGTCTGAGATTTAAAAAAAACCTCTCTCTCTCTCTCTGACTCACTCTATACATACATATACAAATCTATTTATCTTCTACAAAACAATTCTAGTCAAAACGTTTTACATAGAACAATACATCGGTGACATGCGTGTTTTTTCTTATATTCTATCTTTTATTTCATGTACACATATCAAAAATAAGGATAGAGATTTCTCGACAACATGCATGTACATCCTTTCTCTTTTTGACAGACGTATACAATTCAACCGAACAAACATTCAATCTTATTGAAAAATTCTAGTCGCTGCTGCAGCTGATTGTTTTTTTAGGCAAAATTCTTCTCTCGCAACGTTTCTCTTTGTCTCATTTCTTTTCTCGCGACTGAATAGTGTGTTTGTGTTTTAGTCCTCACTCTTTCTCTCGTATTCTTTTCGTCTATTCTAAATTACACATAACTAACAAACAAACTACTACTAGAACAGTGATTCTCGTTCGTATTTACCTTCTAGATACTTGTGCGGTTTTCTCTTTTCTCTCTCTTTGCCACAAAATGCTATCTATCCTTTATTTGTTTTTTTTTCGTGTACAACCGCAGAAGATTCTTGTCAAGTACTTGTGTGCGTGTGTGTGGATGTCAATTTTTCTGATGGCTGTTCAATACGCGTTCTCTTTTTTCTTCTTTCTCGACAATTCAAATAAACATTATACATTTAAGATATCGATTTCATTCTTTCAACTAAATATTTACAAGAAGAATCTCTTTCTCCATAGATTTACACTGTTTATCATGCCTACGGATGCGTCTGGTGCTACACCATCGAATAACTATGGTGGGTTAGAAGGACCAGAATCCATGTACTTAAAATTGATTTCATCCGATGGACATGAATTTGTCGTACGTCGAGATTTCGCAGTGACTGCATCGCCGACAATAAAAAACATGCTTAGTGGCCCGGGACAATACTCCGAATCGCAACCAAATGAGATTTACTTGAAAGATATACCATCTCATGTACTTATCAATGTCTGTCGTTATTTTGCTTACAAAGCTAAATACACAAAGTAAAAGTGCACCATCATCAAACGTTTTCCTTCTTCATTTCTTGTCTTTCGTTTAGTTCATCGATTGATATTCCTGAATTTCCCATCGACATCCATGTCGTACTTGAATTACTTGTCGCATCCGATTTTCTCGATTGTTAAAGTCATTCTGATAATGAATTTCAATATGTGATTTGAATTCTTTTTCATTTTGTATATCTATTAGGAAAGAAAAACTTCGTTTTTCGTTACATTTCATTCTAACGAAGAAGAGAAGTAATAAAATTTCATCGATCAATTGCTAACGGAATAAAAGGGCATTTGTCGTCAGTCAAGTTCAATCAAACGATAGTTAATTATCGCTATCACTTTTCGATTGCAATCACTTTTTCCAATAGAATGATCATTCTTATGTCAACATGCTTTCTATCAAGTACTCCGTCAATTACATGATTGATTGAACAAGCACATCAAAGTTTCTGCTCGCGTTTCGATATTGTCGAAAACAAAAGTCGACTTCTTGCCCTAGATGGTGATGCAAACATTTCTCCGAATGAAATTATGTTCAAGAGTACTTCCACCAGAAATTTTCTCTTCATGCGTCAGTGCTTTAAATTGGAAAAATATATTCTAACATACTTCAAAGTCCGTATATAATAGATATATGTGTATTTCGAGTAAAAGTCAGTCAGTAACATGAAACAGAGAAGAAGAAGAAGCTTTACCGATTAAGGATACTTTTCTGTTAGGAATTAGTTGCAAAGCAAAAGAAAATTTGTTTGACCTTGGCGCGAAATACTTGCTGAAATTGCGTCGTGAATTTAACATAGATAAAAAAATTCGCCAAGTAAGTCGTTAGCTCGAGCACATTAACGACAAGTGCATAGTATTTATACGATGCTCGACTTGTATCCTTGAAAACGAAATTTGGATATGCGAATAGCATCGGTATCTGTCCGCATAAATAGAGTGTTGACAACCAAACGAGCATGATTGTTAATTGCCGTTCTTGCTGTTGTTTTCTGACGTGCATACGTGTCGATGATGACGAAACGTGTTTCAACGTTTCTTTATGAAGTCCACTCAAAGATATATTCGATCCAGCAGATAATGACGGCGTCGAAAGGAGATTATCGATTTGAGACTGTGAGTCCGATGAGTAGGTTGTAATCGGAATTGTGTCCGAACCATTCGATGCTGGCTGGAGAAAAACTGTGGTTGTCTTTGGCGTGGGTGGTAAATGACTTTTGGGCTGTTTGAACTTTTGATTAGCAGAACGAACAGTTGAAAGCAGAAGACAATTTGAACATATGAGAATACAGATTGGAATAAAGCGTAAAAGAATTTCTTTACACATGCCAAAATATTCATACGCTTTCATTTTCGCGATGGATGTCACAGCCAGATTATTGCAATCGCCGACTTTATAAACAAGAAAATTAACTGAATTAGCAACAATTGGAAAGAGGAAGCAAATCAATAATGTGATGAGAACTCGATTTGGATTAAACAAATGTTGCTTCTTCATCGGCCAACGTACGCTGACAAGTCGTTCAATCGTGACGGTTAGTGTGAGTAAAACATTACAGCCGGCTGTGATGTTCGCCAACGGAAAATAGACATTCACTAAATACCAAATACGAAAATATTTATCACTTAAAGTGTGCGGGCGAGTGTAATTTGTAATACAATAGATGAAAACGAGTATACATGTTATACAATCAACAAATGCAACAAGACGTAAATATTTGAATGTTAAATTTTTAAATGATCGGTCTGAGAAAACAATTAAATTGATCACGTTTAAAACCAAACCGATAAGACACAGTGGAGACATGAAATAGAGATAAATAATGTGTTCGAGGAACTTGTACTGCAATGATATACTACACAGCTTAGTTGAATTTAATGGAATCAATATTGATGTTGCTGTTGTTGTTGTTGTTGTTGCTGAGGTTAGGTTATATTCGATGTAAAACGTATTTGAATTCATTGTTTGTTATTTGATATATAGGGGCGAACTCTTTTCAAGAAATGTGCATATCTAGAACGAAGTTGAGATGCGAAAACTTTCTTCCGATTAATGAAGAAGTGTTCCGCTCATTGAGAGATCGCTCACAGGCAATGAACACAAGAGTGCAGTTCGATTTAATTCTATTGACATAAGATTGGAACTGTAAGAAGTATTTTCTGTCTCTCTCGGACTGAATTCAATCAAGATCTGATCGTCAAAATGTGACTAAGTGTGCAAGAATCTTCAGTATTGATTCAAGTGACACAGACACGAACATCTAAAGAAGATTAATTTAAATACATAGAGCAATCTTTTTTTATCAACCAGACAGCTCGCGAGAACTACTTACATACAGGAACATTTATTATTCTCGTAGCAAGTTTGCCTTCGGAATATCTTCGTGTTTACCTTTACGTAAGTATTGGGTGCTTCGTTGGCAAGACGAGCACGATTCTCCGCTTTCACTCGTTTTGTGTATGCAGAGAAAGAAAACATTTGTCTGATCTTAATGATAATCGATTTAATCTATGGTTCGATTCTTCAAGCAAAAGGAAAACAAACACTTCTATCAATAGACTGCTTGTTCTACTGATCCCGATCAAGTTGTTGTTTTCAAACAAGTGCCCTGTCATCTATGGCACACTTTTCTTCCATTCTCTATTCAAATCTTCTAATCAATTCGGATGTTTTGTCATGTCGATGTTCAACATAACGACTCAACCTGGAAGTTTCATTCAACGTCGACTTCGACTGGAAACAACTCATCTTCCCTTCTGGTTTATTCTTCTGTCGAGTATATCGAAAAAGAAAGAACGGGAACTCACCGGAAATAAAATTATTAGAACCTAGTTTGTCTTATCTAAATGATATGGAAACACATTCCAGTACTAATGTTGCCTTATGGGAAGACGTCCTATGTGCTGGTGAAGATAGGAAGACGTGTCTAGCCGATGGGAGAAACAAGTTGTCTCGCTGTTCGTTACTGCGCTCTAATATGATTAAGAATGCGAAGTATTAATAATATAACTTCTCGATCAAAGGCTAATGTTTTTACGTGAGTGTTTTTTTGTAAAAAGAAAGCTAAACAGAATCGATATTGTTTTCATTGTCATGAATGTGCGAAGAAATACTTGCAGTTACAATTAGGATAGAAAACGTCAATTAGAACGAACCAATGAAACAAACTCAATAAGAAACACCTGTCAATATCTCATCTATTTCCGCTTGCTGAATACTAATCATGTCGGTAAAGTTTCACGAATCTTAGTCGCGTCTGAACAATCATTGTCGAAATAACATTTCCGTTCAATGCGTGTGCGTGCGTTTTCTTCACGGAAAGAGAACGATATATTTCCTCATTTTCAGCTCACTTTAACAAATGCTCATTCTCTTACATGCAGAAATATACGAGAAAATGTTAATGGCATATGATTAATTTTCACAACTGTTCGTTTTCTAGTTATCAGTATCTTGCCGGCACCTTCTAGTTCTGTTTTTCAATCTCATTCAACACATCCTAGATATATGTATATAAACATAGAGATGCGTGTGGGTTACTCGTCTCAAAAGACGCCATCAATCTATCTGTCTGTTTTAATCATCTTCGTTATTATTATTGTTATTAGATGCGTTCTAATCAATCATTCTCTATTTAATACATACGTTTTCTATTGTCTCATTGGATATATTTGCCCATTCAAGCATCTAATCATCGCAATGTTGAATATCACGAACATATGAAATGTTACAACGATTAATATGAACTTGAAACCTTGGGAGAATATCGGTTCGTACGTATATATCGATTAGTTCAGTCGAATCTCCAAGGACAACAAAAAGACACAGAAATGAAAGAAAAGAAGAAACGGACACACGCCGATGTCAAATGTTGGGAATGAATCCCGGTGTTGGTTTCTAGCAGCGAGAAATCTAAGAAAGAAATTCAGTCGAGTATAGAAACAGTTGTTTAATTAACAAGAATCTGCCTAACATAAAGAGAAAATTCGTCTATGCCGAACGAGTACGACTGAATGTAAAGTACTAAAACACTCCTCTGTTATTTTCTAAACAATTTGTGATGTGTAAATGAGTATATAGTTAAAATTCACTGTTTGGTATTCTAATACTGTCATTTACTTTCTTTCTCGTCGTAGTCGTGCGTTTATACTCGATTGGCAGCGAAACTTTCTTTCGCCCTCTTTCCTCATACATCTCGATATGCACTGTTGAAAAGATAACAACAACGGACGAAGCTGTTGCTACCGTTCTGGTTAGTTAAGACGAGTTTAACTGACAGGCGAAGGCGACTTTAATAATAAAAAAAAGAAGAAGAAAAGAAAGTGTACACGAAGGGCAACGCGAGAAGAAAAAATTTTCTCCTGTTTAAAATAAACAACAAATGCATACCATATTCTTCCTCGTATGACATCAATTCGAGTCTGTAATGTTGGTTAATGATGATGACAATCGATTTCTGTTTCCAAAATGACAGTTATATTAACAGAGATATACAGGTCATTGGCTTAGCGCCACGATGCCATTTTCATCGTTCATGGCAAGCGGCAAGATAGAAATAAGAAGTTGGATATTGATATTATGACATTACAATGTGGGAGGAGAAGAAGAAGAAAAAGAGAAACTGCTAGACGACAGTTTCTCAGCTAAACGTTGATGAAACTATCTGGCGTTCCAAACAATTTCTATCGCACTATAACAACAACAATAACAGCAGAAATAGCTCAACGGACCGACAATGATAATGTTATTATCCAAAGTAAAACTATTCGCATTTTCTCTCTCTCTCTGTATTTCTCTATCGATGTCATAATCATCACCAGTACCGAAGTGTTCTCTCTCTCTCGCTTGATTCTATTTGCTTGTGTTACTCTCTCTTATTGTATAAAAGATATAATACTTCAATCCAAATCATAACAAGACGAATGTCAACAATACTGCGAAAGAAGAGAAAAACAACGACTAATTAATTTCTATACGTTTGTCTCCTTTTGTACGGAGTTAGTTCTTCTAATAGATTAACATGTCAGAAGAAACGAACGAACTGAAAAGAGAAGAGTGTAGAAAATCGAATTATGTCGACAGAATTATTCTCATTCAATTAAACGTTAAGAAATTTCTTTGAAAGATATCTGTTTCAACAAACAAATGATTGATCTGAATGTCAAAATACTCGCTTGCATAACAAACAAGGATTCGCGACTGATCAATATTCTCGATTCAATGCACAACTAGTTCGACGTATTTGATGAAATAATATTAAAAAAAAACAAAGTCATTCCTATCAAAATTATCTCATTAATAAACGTTAAATTGATTAGTTCATGTTTATTCAATATCATTTACGGCTCTTCTTCATTCTCTTGGCTATTTTCTATCAATGAATATTCTCGCCAAGAGAGAACAACATTCTATGCATACAAATATCTGTGTACACGTACCGGCATGAAAAACATTTTGACTGTAACCTGAAATCGATCGGAGGAGGGGAGAACGAATTGCGAAGGTAGCGCTTTCAATACCCATGATTCATCAAAAGTTAACCCACGTAGACAATTACGAAAACTATAGATCGATGATGACAGTGCGGAAAAAAACAACAACAAATCGAACTGATCAACTTTCAACTCGGATTTGCTCTCGGTCTCGAACGAACGTACACGGAAGAAGAAAAAAAATCGAGCTCTGCGTTCAATTACGTTGCCTGTCAAACACACGTCTATCAAACTAAACGATCGGTAAAAAGTTGTACCCACCATGCGTAAATTATCGATTAGAATCTTGAGGGAATCGAAGTGTTTTGTAGCTATCCGATATTTCTTTGAAAAGTAGAAGGAAACCCTGATGATCTGTAGCAAACAAATGAAATAGTTTTATTACCTTTTTTTTTTGACAAATGGTCATTAATTACTGACGACAACGATGATATGGCTTTTCCTCTCGTTGAATAAGTAGGAAAACATTTTTGACCTTTTCGTACGAATGGAAAAATATGACAAGGGAGAATGACAGTAAACGAATGATATTGAAGTACAACGAAGAATGAAGTAAAAATAAACTCTATCTGTATTTGATTATGTTGGATAAAGTAGATTACACTATTTTTAATAGTGAAATTGGAGATAATTAACATCCCACGTCATGAAGAACGTTGGGTGCGTCGTGTGTGTGTCTGTAGAACGCTGAAGAAAATATTCAATTAGCAAGAAAAGCAGACATGTTCTTCATCCAACGTCGATTTAAATCACAAAATAAATAGTAAAACCTTAAGTTTCTGCATTGAGCAGAAAAATTAAAGCGGAGCATTTTCAGAACGCGACGTGATTAGATGAGATCGCGTCGAGCTTATCCTGAGAGTATTTTGTCGTGAATTTTCAACGAGTTTCACGCTCTTCCGAGAATTTATTGTAAAACAATTACATCCAAAGTAAAAATCGATTTGTCTGATGGCGAAATTCAGCATCGAACTCGCTATCGGATGACAAACGAGAATGGTCAATAAGCCATTGTCGAGCATTGCTTTTCAGCTCTTCACATGACGATTGTCCTTCGACAACAAGCGAAGTCAATTGACATTGTTCTTTGAATACATTGACAACTGCTAAAACAATTGAATCGATCGATGGACCATTTGTGACATCGATTTGTAGATGACGAAGTTGCTGAAAAATCGCTTTTAATTTCGGAATATGATCTTCAGTTATTGCCGTTGGTGTTGAAGCTACCGGACGCAAGATCAACAAATGAATAATACGTCTGCTCAGAAGATTACAAATCTCCTGATCATCAAATGCGGGCAGGAGATTATCAAATGCAATGAATAATTCAGATAGATTCGGTGCAGCACGAAGAATTGATTTGAACGATTGATGTTCTCGACAGGGATGTAGTAACCAAATACATCTCAAACGAGACAAATTCGGCAATGATACGATTGGTTGTTGAACTACGAAAAGAAAAGAATCGAATGAAGTCTATGAATACTGATCGAGTTAATCATGCCTGCTGGTGTTTGTTCGTTTTTGTCGTATTGAATATCGATCTCCTTTATTTTTCGACAGTTTGAGATAATTAATAAAGATTCTGCTAGAGTCATTCCTTGGTAGTTGGCGAACTTCTCTACGTCAAGATAGTTTTTCCATGTTGAAACTCGTTTTGCCATCGGAAATGAGAGATGTAAGAGTGAGAATCGATATGGTATCGTATGTATAATCGCTTGTTGTAGACTTTCATCGATCAAACAGATCATCGGGAAACGAGCGATGAATAACGCATGACAATCGATTTCTTCGGTCGTGTCATAATAATATCGTAGTGAAAAATGAAATTCTCGCACAGTTTCTGGCAAAGAATCCATTAGTTTTTGTTCTTGATCAACGAAATATGTATCGCTGGATGATAACTGAAGGGAAAGATGTTCGATGTATGGAATCTGTTTCAGCAGAGACTGGATTTCTTCGAATGACCAGTAATGATTGAAATAACGAAGAGAAAACTTTTTCAGATGAACCAGCGGTTGAGCGGCATCGAACGAAACGTGTGCAAGGCTAGTTTCATCGATTGTGATATTCAATTGTTGGATATTTGGAATCATAGCAAACAGTGATAAGACTTTATCGAGTGTTTGTAATGAAATAGTCAGATCGAGAAGATTACTGCAAACTATTGTCGGAGGCGTTATATAGGAGGTTTTGAATTGAATGGAAGTGATGCGATCAGGATTACTATTGATAACATCTTCAAATAATGTTAATTGATCGGTAAGAACGTCGCCGATTTCGACTTGATGCAGACATTCCATGTGGTTTAGAGTTTTGCAAAACTGATGCAATTCATCGGCTGTAAAACAAAGTAGGCGTAGTTTTTGTAGATTACGAAAGACATGTGACATTTGATGGGAGAAATATTGAGAGAATAGTTTGCCTTGCAAAACCGATCGGCAGTTATTTATTGTTAAAGAACGAATTTGCGAACCAATGTGAGGTAAAATGAAACGATAAAGATTAGCCGATTGACCAAATGCTATATTAGTCAACGAGATATGTTGATAATAATCAGATATACTCGCATTTAAACGTTTATTGATGCCGTAAAATGCGTAGAGAACATGGACATTCAAGAGATATTTATAAATTTCTAGGAGAATTTCGTCCGGAAAGTTGAGCAAATGAGATACTGGAGTTGTCATCGACGATAAATCAAAATCGTTCTAAGGAAAACCAGACCGAAGTATGATTTCTCCCTTCTTCTACTACTTCAAATTCCAGTTAACATTGCTTGTAAAAGAAAACCTATCACATTTGAAAGACGGGCAATGATAGATGGCGCAAATGATCAAGACATAAAATTGCATTTGATGTATGATGATTTCCGGCCTGTTAAAAGCAGGTGGTCTTAATAACATTTTCAAATACGTTGTCGCCCTTCAGCTATAACATCACTCTAATATCGCATTACGAATGAAGCAGCACAATATTTCATTCGAAAGCATCGTCTCACATATGGCTGCTATGAATAAACATTCGTGTATTGATCATGATTATCCATCAAATATTCCAAATGAAATTTCTATACGAATTCTAATGATGAGAAAGAGAACATAGCTAAAGTAAACACCGCAATCGAAATTTCGATGTGCTGATTTTCTTAATGAAAACTTTGAATACACTTCTCAATCATCTTATCCCTAATGAATTCTGTGTTCTCCATCTCGGACAAGAATTCTCAGTCTAAACTCATGTAATATTCTAACGAAAATTGGCTAATTCTGACCTTTTTTCTTTCAAACTAACAAGCTTGTCGTCATCACCATTCCGAGACGTATCATGTTCAATATGGTTCACTCATGCAACGGACAAACTTCTCTCTTAATGCGTAACCAGAAAAAAAAACACAAGAAGAGATTGTCCCGAAATGCTGTTCATCAACTCATTTTCAAATCTGAACAGATGGATACGATTAGAACAGAACTCGTATGCATGAATAAACATCAAAGAACATCCAAATGACGTGCATTTGTCGACATGTTCAATTTTCATCATGATGTCATCAGAAGCGTAACTTCTCATTTTTCATTTACCTATTGCAGTTTTATTCGGACTAATACACAGATGAGAGGAAATGATGCAAAACAGAGACAAATGAAAAGAAGAGTAATGTAGATACAAGAGACGCACGGAAGCCTCATTATGGCATGCACAATTTGAATTCACGGCAAGAGAACAAATTCAACTACAAAAACACGAAAATGAAGAGAAAAGAAAAGAAGAGGAAAAAATCGAAATGAGGAAAAGAGAGAAAAACGAACAACTCGACACTAGAATCTTCTATATTATGATGATGGATTAGACATATCTGCGGAACCGTAGATCTGGCAACGAAGTTGAACATTTTCCTGTTTTAAATGTGCATTTTCAAGTCGAAGTTTGAGATTCTCTTGTTCAAGCCAAGCCGCTCTAAACAGACAAACAAGAAATTGATCTAATTTGTTTTCTTTCTTTCTCTCTGTCTCACCGAAGTGCTATTTCATCTTCTTTTGCACGTCGTGCATCTCGACTACGTTTGGCAGCTTCATTATTTTTTCGTCGTCGCTCCCAATAGGCATCATCTTTCGTATCTGTGTCTTGATTCGCTTGTTGAGTAGGATTGGACGTAGAAATCTCTGGTGGTGGAGTATTTGGCCGATAACGTTTCTTCGGCGGTATGGCGTTGGTTGTCGATGATGGACTAGGAAGTTTGTCTGATGGTTGAGTGGAAGCTTTCGTTGGCGAATCTTTCGAGCGATTTAGCAAGCGCTCTTGAGCTTGTTGAATACGTTTACGGAATTGGCTGGAAAAATCATCTGTGGATGATGCTAACACATTCAATAAATTATCTGACGAAGGCACCAATGGTGAATAAAAACCAAGTGGCAATGAGAGAGGATCACGTGGGTAGGCTTTGAATGGACGAGTGGGTTTGCCGTGTTTATTTCGAAGTAATAGCGGTGGTATCATGGAAACTGCTGGTGATGTGGTCAAAGAAGAAGACTGTTTGTCTTGCTATAAGATGAGAGAGAGTTATAAATGATGTTCGAAGAAAGATAATAAAGAAAAGATCTTACCAGATCCATATCTTCTTCTTCACCGCCGTCGTCCTCAGTGTTATGATCATCATCATCATCATCATTCAACGAATCTGTTTTTCTAGTGTTGGAATTTCTGGAAAAATCAATGGGTCCGACTTGTTGTTGCTGCAGTAAATGTTGTTGCTGTTGTTTTTGCAACGATTCAGCTAGATATTTGAATAACAATTGTTGATGATCATCATGAGTGTTTTCTTCATTTGATGATTGGTCATGTTCCTCGTCATGATGAGTGATTTGTTCCATTTGATCAGCTATATCAGCCAAGAAATGAAGTTGTGGAGCGATCTAAAGTTAAGAATATAGTGAATAAATATCAACAAATGGACGAAGAAAGTAAGGAGGGAGAGAGAGAGGAGAAAATGTATGTGTCATCAGAGAACAAACTGATCATTATCCGAGAACGATGTGAGGAATTGACATACGTTAATTGAACACTCAAATGATGACGTCACAGGTAACATCGACTACTAATATGGATTAGGAGAAGTAAAAGTTATCAATATCGAAATGATTTTTCTCGACAGCGAGCGCAACATTTTTCTTTTCTTAGATAACTCACCATCAGCTATTCAACTTGATCATTGATCACTGAATGTATTCGCACATATTTTCTCTCTCTTTCCCTTCGTCTCTTTTTTCTTCGATTTCGCTCTTTCTCTCCATTTTCTATATTTGCTCATATTGTTCGGGAAAAAAAAGCACTTTCATTTTCATTTTTCGCCAATGGCTTCGCCGCTATCAATCTATAATATACTCACCATCACGTCTGATTGCGTTCAATGTTGAATAATCACCTACGGCGGTGGATAAGGAAAAGAATTGAGATATGTGGCCTGTTGTTATTTTTTCGAAAACGAAATATCGATTATGCAAGGTCGTTCTAACGGCTCGCGTTTGTCTGATCGCTAAAGCAAACGATTGCTGACCCTCGTCGATTATGAGGATGAATGGTGAGGTCAGCGAAAGAGAAGAAAAAAAAATTTGACCATCAGTTTGCTCACATACTCAAGGTCATGCGATGTAGCTGAATGAAAAAAGAACGGAAAGAGAGAGAAAGAGAAAATTAAATAACAACGTTGAACATGCTCAAGCGAACGCAGTATGAGCTCTTTGGTGATCGATGTGAATGAAATAAGAGCGAACACACCGCACATAGCAGAAGAGAAGATTGGATCGTCATTGTACACGCATAGGTCACTGGTCATTCAATTTATTCTAATTACACTGCCTATGAGATCAAACTTATTCAAGAGAAACAGAAGAGTTTATATAATTATTCGAAAATCAAATTTTTTCAAGTTCATTAATGTGTGTTATATGATCCTGTGTGATGATGAGTGACCTTGTCACACATTCGTGTGAAGAGAGATATTGAATTACAAATATTCGAGTTGTTTTTTCTTTGTAACCAATCGATTTCGTTCTTCGGTAAATGACAATAACTGTCCAATGAGTCGTTAGTTTATCAAGGGAAAAAGTTTGATCTTGAAAATGACGTCAAACGGATGTTTTCTTTCGATAATTACATGTTGCAATCTGTTTAGGTAATCTTTACATCATTCGAAAACAGATGTCTAACGGAATCGAATGTGAAATAATCAGGCGAAACGCAATGATTAATTGCGAAATGTTCGAATAATCATGATGATGATGATCATGTGAAAAATCATGCGTGATAGAAACAAGCAATTTTTCGAACATATGGTATGAATATCATTGAAATATCCTGTCTTTTTTAATAATCAAATAATGGAATGTGAAACAATAGGTCGTTTGTTTTCCAAGAACAGACATCAAAATTCGAGTATCTCTCTCTCTCTTGACAATATCTTTTGATATCGGCTTCACATGATGTGAGTGAACTATTGAATAAGATCACTTTAGATCTTTCTTTTCTTTTCATTTCGAAAGAGTTCAGAAGGAAATTATTATATAGCTTTATATCACTGATCAAGTATGATAGTGACAGATACTTCGGATAATGTATCGATCTTATCAGAAAATTGCATAGGTTTACACTTCAATTCCTATTCGATAATTGACAAATGCGATTTTTCGTAATAAAATTCAATCGATATCTTTATTTCCAAAAAAAAACCTTGTATGTCATAAATTGACAGAAGAGAGAAGAGAAAAAACAGCCCGCGTTAATACACACACGCACACACATACGCATTCAATGAGATTAGATTTTTCTGTATACAATTGAAAAACAAAAAGACAAAACGAAACATGACACGTGAACAAAGACAAGTACAAGATTAATTCTAATCAAGTCTAAATAAACACACAGTAAAATGAAGAATATGTATATATATGTATATTGCGTAAAAAAACGAAGTAAAGATCGAACTAAAACGCGAATAGTGTCATGAAATGTAATAATCAAGCATCTTATTCGAAAGAGAAGAATGGCCACGTATACACGGCAAAATGAGAAATAAAAGACGAAGTCATTGGTAATGTCAAATACAACGAAGATGACATGAAGCAGTACAATCAAGTACACAAATAAAAGACATCCACCGAGCTCAGCTCTTTGATTCTGTATTCGACGACTGCTTAGCAGAGATAAAGAAAGAGAAACATGAAATCGAACTACTCGATGAATAAGAAATAAATGAATACTTTAGCAAAAACAAATCATCACCGAGTCTGACATCAAAGAGAGCTTGAGAGGGAGATACATACATACACACACGCACATGTTATATGACTACGACGATGTATGAACCATGCATCGTAATTTAGCCGTTTCTTGTTTTAATTGTGATAATTCCAGGCGTAATTTGATATTTTCTTGTTCAAGAATTGCGGCTCTAAACAATCGGTAAAATGTTTTTTTCGGTCATTTTCTCTTTCTCCCTCGCTTTCCTCGTTTCTTACCTTAAGGCAATTTCATCTTCTTTTGCACGTCGTGCATCTCGACTACGTTTGGCTGCTTCATTATTTTTTCGTCTTCGTTCCCAGTAAGCTTCATCTTTGATTGCATGATTGTCATCGTCATGTTCATCCTTAGCTGAAGGTTTTTCCTCATTAAGCATCGAGTTTTCCATGGCTCGATGACGTTTTTTCGGTGGTTGTAAAATTTGAGTTCCGGATGAGGATATAAAATGTGTTGATTGTTGCTGCTGCTGCTGTTGTTGTTGTTGTTGCAAGCGGTGTTTGAGACGTTCCTGTGTTTGCGCAAGTCGCTTTCGATTAAAGGTCGAATAACTACCTGCATCAGTAAGAAGATTAGTTTGTTCCGACGATGGCGTATTAGGACAAAAACCTAGTGGCAACATTAATGGATCTCGCGGGTAAGCTTTGAACGGACGAGTTGGTTTTCCATTCTTGTTTGTTAATAGGAAAGGAAAATTGTTTGTCGTTTGAATGTTTTGCAACATTGTCGAGAGAAGTTGTTGATTAGGTGATAATGATGGCGGCGTTGAATAATCATTGATGTCATCCGTTGAACGACGCGAAGAAAAATCAATTGGACTCTCAGCTGTTGACGATGCCGATGACGTCGAAGGTGGAGATATTGGTTCAAGCTTTTGCTGTTGCTGAGCTTGTAATTGTGCCGCTGCTGCAGCAGCAGCGGCCATGACTGCAGCAACATTCTGTTGGGCAAGCAATTGCATCAGTAATTCCTGTCGTTGTGGTGATGCCGACATAGCAAGAGAATCAGTTGAAGTCTGTTGTTGAAGTTGATTGTGTTTTTTAAGCGCAATAGATGTATTTGGTGGAATAGCCAGTTTCTTTTGTGAACATTCACTTTCCACTTTTTCAATAGCTTGTGCTAATAATTGAAGACGATGATGATGTTGCTGTTGAATATTATCTGTGTTCGGACTCAGAGACAACTCTTCGTTTTTCACCGGACCAACCTAAAATAAAAGACAAACAAATAATCTCGTGCTTATTCATGACACATATTTACAAATGTGACATCATTAGTTTTATCTTTTTTTGAAATATATAATTAGAATTCAACAACAATGCTGATTACTAGCTAGACTTGCTCGTATTTCGTCGACTTACCATTCTATAAATCCTGCTAATATTTTGGAATTCTTCCTTTTTCCTATATTCACCGGGAATATCTGTTTTTGTTGTTCAACAACAACAACACTATCGATCTACCCAAAACGTCCTTCTGAGGATGGAAGCAAGCGAATAGTATGTTTTTAGTCGCGTCCAATGACGGCGAAGGGTGATTGCGTGATTTAATTCTTTTTTTTTCTTCTCTCTTTCTCTCTTCCCTCGTTTCTCTCTTTCCCTTTCTCGTTTCTGTTTTCTTGCGTCGTTTTTTTTACTTATGTATGTGTGATTGCATTAGATTACTATTACTCGGCGTCATAGACGCAGTGACAGCAGTTTCTTGTTTTCTTGTTTTTTTTCTCTCTTGCGTAAGTTAAGAAGGACAGACAGAACACACGTTCTGTCGCTTTTTTTGCTCCTTCTTCTCCTTGCCATCATCGCTGTCAAAGAATAGAATGCGACAAGCGATTCTTTATTATTGCTAGTTCCCCATCGTCTTTCGTATCGTAGTTAGAAAATAGTACTCTGTTGCTGACGATAGACGTATTTTCTCTGACGAATCGAATTATGTAATTTTCCCTTCTCTCCTCTCCTTTCTTGTTCTCTCCTATTTTTCCTTCGTTTTATCTTCCTTCTCTATGCCATTTTTATGTAATATTACGTTATATAGTCCCGTCTATTCCGACTTGTTTTCATGGCCTTGTTCGGCTTTTTTTGCCCGCATCTCACGCAATCACCATAAAAAATATATATAGAAGATCCTTGGCAATAGGAGGAATAACACGCCAACGATGATGACGACAACGGCAGCAAAGCTAGTAGTTGTCAGCAAATAATTCTGTTTTTCCATCTCGCGACTCTTTTTCTCATATTAGAACACAAATATCGATCTTATTTTACAACTTACTTCATCAATAACATTCATCGTGTGAAAAATGAAAAGAAAACGAAAAGAAAGAGAAGCAAATGTCTTCGTTATAAAATCTTGAGGTTGTTTAATCGCATGTGCAAACGCAAATAAGTTTGATGACCTTGAACGCAAGCGGCGACTGACCGATGGTACAATATGAATTTTGTTTGCTATTTTTTACTCGTTTCTTCCCTTTTCTCGATAACCCAAGGTCAACCGGATGCAATGCAATCGCGTGAGCACACAGTAACTCACGCTCTCCTTCGTTTCTTTCTTGCTCGTTCGATAAGTTGATACATAATGTGTGTGTGTGTGTGTTCGCGCGTTTATTCAGTACCGGTCAACATCCATCGGTCACAAGCAAGGTTAAACTTTTGCGTGTATGTGTTTCATAAGGTCGCATAGTGTACAAAACATGTTCTCTTCTTTCATCCGTTCATTATTTGATATGCGTACATTACTCGAAAAAAGGGAAAAAAGTAGCCCCAATGTCTATATGATACAAGATTACCTGAATTTAATGTGCGCAAACATACAGATGTGTATTGATCAAATGAATAAACAGCACTTTTGTTTTCTAACAATGAGATAATGATCGATGAATCAGTATGAAAATAGAAATTTGTCAGATAAATACTTCGAAAGGAATAAATCAATAAAAGAATTCAAAACCTCATTATCATTTCTCCTTCACTCACAGTCTTCGTCGAAGTTATCGTTTAAAGAAAAACATGACTTTCTTTCGAAGAAAATTTCCGTTAGAATTTCCGTTAGACGTTATAATTAGATCTCAATAGTGTTGATGTAGGGTTATTTTAAAACCTTATTTATCATAATAACATGCGGTGCAAAAGTCTTTGTACAAATGTTGAACTCTCGATTAGATCGTATTGCCAACGTCTCAATCAAACAAATTTTGTTTTTGTTAGAAAGAGCAATGTCTGAACTACAAGTTTTGCATCAGATATATTTTTCCAGAACGCATCTCAGAAGGAGGAAAAACCAAAAATGAAATATCTCAAAAAAAAAGTTCTTGCAACTTCACTATCGCACAAGATTATTTTCTTTTATTTTGATACTCTCTTACAGCAGAAGAGAAATGAAGAAGTACGTTTAATGACGATCTTTGTAGCAAAAACTTAGTTTCTATGATCTGATGCATTTCGAATAATTCATGCAGAAGGAATTCAGCTCATGTATGCTTGCCAGAGGTTGCAATTGATCTTCTTTCAAACTGATAGTTCTTGTAAAATGTTCTTTTAAAAAAATTCAAATTTCTGAATTGTTTTGCTTAGATAGTCAAGAATGGACCTAAAAAAGTTTACCAAATCTGATATCAATAGAGCTATTGAGACACTAGAATATGATGTCTTTTTCGTTTGAATTCAGCCTATGTAGCTCAAAACAAAAACGTTTCGGCTTGTAAGAACGTTGCAAGAATTTTCTTAGAGACGCATTCCGGAGAAATATATCTGATACAAAACTTGTAGTTCAAACATTGCTCGTTCCAACAAAAAAACAGTTTGTTTGATTGAGACGTTAGCAATACGGCCGAATAGAGTTCAACATTTGTGCCAGGACTTTTGCACTACATGTTATTTTCTGATTAGAACTTCAGCTCGAACAAAAGTATTTCGTCGGCTTTTGACTAGATAGACTAATTGATTTCGGGATTTCAATTTCGATGAATACGACTGGTCGACTTTTCGAAAAACCTACTTAATATAGAAGTTCTGTTATGAATGAAGTTAAACAATAAGTACATATAATGTGCTTAGAGTTACTTAAAGAAAATAATTTCCCCTATAACATAAGAGTATTCAGCTTACATTAAGAAAGCAGAAGCAAGATGCAATTAAGGCGGCATATGATAACATCATATCTGAAAATAGAGTAGTTTTAAGAACTTTCTCTCGCATCTAATTAAAATCTCTGTCTGTGAGAGTCAAAAGAAGGTATTAGCATGTCTTTTTGACTTTGCCAAGGCAAACACAATATAAAAACAACTCATCACGTTTTCTAGTTGCAGATGAAGAGTCGCTTAGCCGGTCACAATTTCCCAATTTCACCCGAAGTCAGGTTTGCTATTTTCTGGTAACCTCAAAGGAATCAGTCAGCGTAAATAATTTCTTCTGTTTTCATCAGCGGTTCTATTGTATAACATGAATTTTCCACTTTGTTACCAAGTAGTCTACGGTACTCTTGAAGGTCAGAAGAACGAAGCATGACAAAATACAGGAAAAACCTGTAATATGATGTAATGAAGTACAAACCGTGAACGATCAGGTAACAATACTCGTTGAATCTATTCCGAGAGGTAATGGAAAACCTCGCTCTTTTTCATATGGAATATTTGAAGTATCTTTTGTAAAGATAAATTAATCTAACGGAATGTACACTCTCTCGCATCAAGTTTTTGACTTTGTCTTGAATATCTGATTTCACATGTAACATTTACTAAAAGCAATCGAAATACAGGTTTAACAGTATCTAGAGGTTTTGTTCAGCGAGTTTCACCGAGATTCTGCCTTGTTCGTCACAATAGAATATATCACATGTTTTGAAATGAACTATTGCTGGTTGGCCGAAAATGATCTGCCATGTGTATTCCAGTGTTCGACCGGTTAATTGATCTGAATGTTTACTAGCAACGATATAGTCTATGATCTTCGAATAGAATTGCTTCGGATGTTTGAGAATTTCTTCTTTTCGAACGACAAATGTGGCACAGCAATGTCCTTTCGTTCCACTTCTCGGCGGTGAACCGAGTTCTTGCTGTAACACGGCGGTCCACAATTCGAAATTGACAACGGATTGTAAATTTAGGCTATCTTTTTGAAAGTACGCAAATGTTGTTGTACCTGTCAATGGCATATAGCCATATTTGTTCCATCGTAAAGCTCGTAAAGCGACAACGATATCTGATGGATCTGTTTGATGCCATGCTGTTCGATGTGCATGAATAAATGCGATCAACGACGGTAGATTGGAATAATGATCGACAATGTATCGAAGATAAGCAACAGCTTCTCGTCCTTTATTAACTGAAATAGCATGTCTTATTAAACTATCTGTTGAACGTGTGTAAACAATATGTGGGATTATATCACCGATGTATAGATCTAGCCAGTTTAAATCTTCATTGTAATGTGAAATCACAAGTATTTTAGTTAGTTTATCAGACGAATTTCTTGATTGACCAAAGGAGAAGTTGAAACGAGGAGAGGTATGTTGACATTGACGAAATCTATACGAGAGAATCAATAATACTGCCACAACAACAACAGGTATTAAACGACGATAATCAACCGATGACAGATAAGCTAAAAAATGAATAAATTCATGTTCGAAGGGTGTCTGTTCAAAGCAAAAGACTTTACTTTGCACACGAGCCAAATACGCAGAGAGTGTTTTCATCGGTTAACTTTCAATTGTTAAAAGCATAGGTAAAAAACGTGCAAAAAGAAAGACGTGTGACTCGCTAAAGTTTCTTCTTATTTTTCTTCTATTTGACATTAAATATGGACAAATATTTAATAACTTCAATCTATTATCCAGAACAGATGAGACTTGCTAAAACGCACGATACAGAGTACTAGGTCAATAATCCTTCACATGGTGTTATTTATGCAAAATGTTCCTATATTTGATGTTTTTTCCTCTATTCCAATCCTAACAAAGTCGATGGAACGACGAGAAACAACTTCAAGGGTTTTAATAAAACATAAAAGATTATTTTATCAGCTTTTCTGCTTCTCCTGTTTGAGTAGTTCAACCAAATATAATTCCGATGCAAACATCCTCTTCATGAGAAAAATTACCATCTACGCTTACGATGCATTCAGATTCAAAACAACAGGAATCATGTCTACCAGTCTTGCTTTAGAAAAAAAAGCATCTTTCTTGGTGAAACTGTTTACATAAGCACGGCAAAGCAGCAAACATGTTTTTCACTTTCTTTTCGAAATGAAAAAGACAAATAATGTATAGTCGAATTGCATTTTTTACTCTGATGATCAGCCATGTCGAATTCAAGATTTGCCCATAGGAAAGCAGTTCTCGTTCACGTGATCGAGATTTTCTCTTTCTGCTATGTCATTCTGTTTTCATAAAGTTAAGTATACACGATGGAAATACGATTAATATGTTAAGATTATTGCTGGGTAGAGAAGAAAACGACTTGTTATAAATCAATCAATGAATTATATGCATTCATAAAAGATTAAAGGAGCATTAAATGACACACCGGATTGTTGTCGCTAAATCCTGTGATTGAAATAACTCTTGTCTTCAATTAATCTCTTCATAGAAAAAAAAATCGCCACAGACCTGGAGATTTTTAAGAAACGACGGTTTGATTTGATCGATATTCAAGCATGTGCGTGTCTCAGGTTTTGAATGGGTACTCGACAGATAAGATCTTTTGCGTAATCTCCTTTCAAATTGCTCTCGAAAAAAGTATGGAGTCATTTTATTTTTCTGTTTTGTCATTTATTTTCAACCGATCCGCTTATCATCTTTCGGAATACTTTATCAATTTACTTTTCTCTTCAATTGCTGTAAAAGACGACAGCACGTTATAAAAAAAAGACTATATCTTACCATTCTTATCGAATTTTTTAAATAAATATCTATATATGAAACTTGCTGCCGTCGTCATTACCCTTTCTTCTGTACCTGTAACGATATCATCGAAAGAAAATGGCTCTACCTAAATTGGGCGCGGTCGATTATGTTCTTCTCGTTTTACTACTTCTATCATCTGCGGTGATCGGTGCTGTCTTTGGATTTGTTAAATCGAAGAAAAGTTCAGCAAAAGAATTTCTTCTAGGTAAGAACTATATTAGTTTTCATTTCAAGAATATTCATACATGTGTTTTGCTCTTCTAGCCGATGGTGGAATGGGGGTAAGTGCAAACAAACGATGTTGCATGATGTTTCTCAACGAATTTTACTTAGGTCATCCCAACAGCGCTTAGTATAATGGTTTCATTCTTGTCAGCTATTACTCTATTAGGAACGCCCAGCGAAGTATATCTCTTTGGCACGATGTACTGTTATCAAGGTAAGGTCAATTTTGTTAGTGCGACAATCAGATATAAAACAAAAAGTTACTAATCTTACATTGAGTCATGTAACGCGAAATTTGACTGATGTAGGATAATCGAGACTAGTTCATGTTTGAAATGGATACATTCAACTGTTTGTACTACTGAATTTTAGCTATCTCATGGACGATTGCGTCGACGATAACTGCGCTCGTATTTATGCCAAAATTCCGTGAAATGAATTGTACAAGCGCTTATGAAGTATGTTTCTTCTGGCTATTTCTTGAATAGAATACTAGAGAATGTTATTTAGTATCTAGAAAAGCGATTCGATCGAATAGTACGCACGTGTGCATCATTTACCTTTTCATTTTTCATGGTAAAAAAAATTCGTCTTCATTCGATCGTTAATTTTCAACTGATTTTTCATATAGTTAATCTACATGGCGATTGTTCTCTATGCTCCTGCGTTAGCTCTAAGTCAAAGTATGTTCAATTGAAAAAATGAAGATAAAGCCGAAGGTTGAATTTGTATTTAGCAACTGGCTTGAATATTTGGCTATCTGTTGTATCAATCGGAGTCATTTGTACCTTCTATTCATCCGTGGTATGTTAACAATATCGAATTTCAAACGCGTTCATCATCTTTTACTAGGGTGGTATGAAAGCAGTTATTTGGACGGATGTTTTACAAGCACTTGTCATTCTTATCGGTCTTCTTGCCGCGATCATACAAGGTTATAAAGATTTACGGAGAAAAGTCAAATAAAAAGATTAAAATTCATATAGGCTTGATTGTACTCGGAGGGTTTGGACCAACTTTTTCGAAAGCATATGAAGGTAAACGAATTCAATTCGATAGGTAAAGATGACCAACTGAATTTATATTGCTATTTCGAATACTTGTTGCACTTCTAGCATTAGCCCTGATCCTCGAGTCCGTCATACAGTATGGTCATTACTTATCGGCGGTACGATGAATTCATTAGCAACTTATGGATTCAATCAAACTCAGGTCCAACGTTATATGTGTGTTCGTACAACACGTGGTGCTAAACAAGCCTTATTTATCAATGCAGCCGGTGCTGCTCTGATTATTTTGTTGTGCAGCTTGATTGGTGTTATTCTTTACGCATACTACGCCGAATGTGATCCATACAAAGCCGGTTATGTCTCAGATATCGATCAGATCTTTCCATATTTTGTCATGGAAGTTCTTAGTGATAAGCCAGGTTTACCCGGTGTCTTTTTAGCTTGCATCTTTTCCGGTTCTTTGTCCACAATATCCTCCGGTTTGAATAGTCTTGCCGCTGTGGTTATCGAAGATGTATATAAAGGTTTACTGAATAGGAAAATAAGCGATGAACGTCAAGGCTTCGTGTCCAAAATCTTTTCGATTGCGTTAGGAGCTGTGGTGATTTTACTAACCTATGTGGTCAGTTTTCTTGGTTCAATATTGAATGCCGCTTTGTCTTTGTTCGGTGTTCTATCTGGTCCGATCATGGGTGTTTTTTTTCTCGGATTCTTTTTTCCACAGGCAAATCGTCGTGGTGGTTTGATCGGATTTCTTACGAGTATCGTTTTTCAATTTTGGATCTTCTTGGGCGCGCAAATAACTAAGGGTCAAATGAAAAGCGAAGCTTTGTATTTAAACATAAGCGGTTGTATTCCAGCAGTTAACGAAACAATAGTTACATCCACTTCTTTTAAGTAAGTTTTTCTTACTTTCGAATATCCAACATATCGAATATGTCGTTTAGACGAGATCCTTTACTTGACCTGTACTCTGTGAGTTATATGTGGTATACACCCATTGCCGTACTTACTGTTATAATTGTCGGCGTCATTGTCTCTTATTTGACACATCCACTTAAACCGAATGAAATCGATCCGAAGTATCTTATATCGATAGGTGATGTCTGTTGCTGTTGTTTCCCGGAATCTATTCGTCGGTTCTTACGATTTGGTGTCGATTTTGAGAACTACGACAATGTTAATGGTAATGTTAATAATGACGATAAAAACGATATTGAAATGACGGTTAAAACCAGAGAGCCTAGCTTCATCAGGTCAAACGCTGTTTCACCACTTCCAACACTTTCAAAACGTGTCGATGAAGACGATGATCAATCACCACCACATTTTTAGGACAAAGAATCTTTTCATCAGCACAACTCGCAATAGATATTTATATCCTCTCATTAAACAATATATCCATCCATGTGTGTGATTCACTTGTCTTTTGAACACTTTTATACATGCCCATGCGAAAGTTGAAGATAATAAAAATAAAACTCCGTAACAAATTGAACTTTTTCTGCGTCTCGGAAGAAACTCTTTCGGTTAGAGCGCCATCTATACGAATCTTAATCATATAACAGTTGCTCAGCAACTATAAGTATTAGGCATTTGCTCATGTCCACACGCACAACGATAAATTCGTAAAAAGAAAGGAAAACGTCAGTGAAGTTGATTAATCGTTAAAAGTTATCAATGGTTGAAGAAGCACTCTCGAATTTTGGTTTGTTCATCGATAGTGAAAATAAGATCCGTTTGATTGATCCCGAGAAAGTAACGGACTCAGCTGAACTACGTGATGAATGCAAAGATTTTGTAGACAGTATGAAATTCTCAGTATTCTTTTTCTCTAAATTTGCTGTTCAGATGTATTGGAGTTCAAGAAGATTGTCGACACGCTGATCGAAAAAACGGAACAATATTCGAAGCAAGTTGAAAGTGCAAGACTTCGAGTAAGAAGCACCTATATCGAGAAAAGAACTGATTCAATTAGCTGATCTTTTTATCTTAGTCTATTGGCGCAAAGAATATGTTAAAATCAGCTACGAAGTATCGCGAATTCGAAAAACAACAGCTACAATCGTTGATCAAAGAAAAAATGATTGAACTTGATCGGTAGGTAACCATGCGATGTTTGAGAGAAAAATAAATATGATCTTTTCTAGTCTCCGAACAGAATACGAATCTTTACAGAAAACTGAACGAGAACAAAACGAAAAAATGGAACAACTTTCATTAAAATCGTATGTTTTCTACATTCATACTTTTTCTCTTATTGAAATTCTTCTATCTTTTCATTTTAGATCATAAATCTATCTACTTATCTTCCGTTTTAAAGCTTCTTTTTTCTTTCTTCAATCTTTGTCTGCGTGGTTATTGTACTATAAAATTTTAGATGATCTCGCCTCTTCATCTATCCATACTTTTCCTGATAACCATTGCACAAACGCAGAGCAATGCTGAACCATCCTCGAATACTGGAAGGTGTTCATGCGATCTTAACAGAGGTACGTGTGATGTATCTTGCTGTTGCGATACGGACTGTTCCACGAGTGATTTACAAGCTTTGCATTGTTATACACAACAAGATCAAGATGCGCGGTATGTAAAGAGAACACATTCCATTTCTCATTGTTAAATATCATACCTTCTCAAATATAATAATCATTCTGTGTGAAATCGTTTATTTAGATTAGAATCCATTGTTCATACAACTTGTTTCAAGGATCTGCCCTTATACCAATCGAACTCTCCATATGTTATTCGGAAAGAAAATGGTTTTGTTTGTATTGATCAGGAGAAAAGTTTGCTCTTCAATTCTGTTTTGCTTTGGATATCACTGAACAGATTGTCAATCTATGTAGGTATTAATTACACATTCTATCAACAACAACTCAAAGACAAGATGGATGCGAATGGTTTTACACGAGCCATCAGCTTGGATAATAGCGTGTCATTATCACCCAAAATACCAACTAGTCTAACTGGATATCAAGTAAGACTTTTAGCAGAGAAGATCCATGAGAAATTGATTACGAAGGATATATGTAATACGTTGATATATATTGTAGGCAGGTACTTCAGTTTTCAAATACTTTCCAGCAAGCAACGTGTCCAGCACGTTTTCTCTTCCAACCGGAACCTCCACCAATGCACCATGTTCGAGCACTCGCACGATCAGTATGTAGAGCATGTTGAATGAAAAGGACGGTCTTGATCTGTTTTGATTGATTAGCTTATATGAACGATTTTTCATCAACATGCACTCAACAAGTCACTCAGCAGACGTGTACAATTGCACTGAATCCTGCTGTCTATCTAACAAGCTTCTCTCTTGTTACGGTAAAAAAATAAATCTGCAAAGCACTTACATCTTTACATTTCGTTGATGTTCTTGTAGAATCCAACAACTCTCACGGGTAGACCGTCGCTGATATTTTCCTTCCAAATGTAGATTAGTTTTTGTCTTCATTAGACGCCAGTGTTACAACGATAAGTTGTGGTATTTCGCCCGCTGCTTCGCCCGCTGCTTCTACTTGGACGTCGCCGACCTGCACTGGTGCGCTCCAAACTGTAAGTTAAATAACGAAACTGAAAATATATAATTTCTTTGACGTTTTAGTTAAACTTGGTCATCTATTACACTAATCCAACTGGTATACAGAGTTGTAATGGTACCTATACTATGGCTGCTGCAAGTAGTACACTGCAACAAACGTTTACCGTCAAGTTTGTTCGCGTAATAATGACACGAATTGACTAGACTATAGAAAAATTCTTAGGATCTTTTTTTAATCTTAGAGTGGAAACGCATCATCCCCAGTGTCACGAAGTGGAAATCCAGGTTATATACAGAGAGCTGCTGTCCTAGCTGGTACTGCAAATGGCAACACTATTACGTAAGAATTTCTCGAATCTTTTTTCGCACTAAACGAGAGTAGATTGATTTTGTTTATAGAGAATCGGATTTTACTATTCCTCAGTCAAGCGATTCTTGTTCAAGTATAGTGCAACGAACGGTCCGTTTTGGTCAAAATACACAATCTACATGTTCACTTCAGTAAGACGTTCATCAGATGACGAAGCAAGGTTTATCTCCATTCGTTCTCACTAGAATCAATGCTAGTGCAGCAAACTGTCCAAATATCAACGACGTCACAAATGTCCTTATGCCAATCAATGCTACTGCGCTTCGTATAGCTGCTTCTGGCAGTCCCGATTCATCCACTATCTCCTCGCCTTGGCTATCTGTAACCTATTGCGCATCTGAAACTGGATCGACTTCTGGTGCTGTATGCCAACAAAATTCCATTCCCACTTGGACTATTGGTCAATGCTATGATCGAGTGGATATTCAAATCGCATATGCTAATATCGGCTCTGTCAGTAATCCACAACCAATCATTGGTGCGGTTGTCTTTCATTATCAAAGATCTGTGAGGCATTTTCTTTACTTTTCCATTTTCTAACTTGCCGTGTTTAGACGATCACCAATACCACATTACTTTCGAGTTCGTTGCTTTTAACTCGAACTGTTACATTTCAAGATGTATCGAATTGGCCCGTCACACAAGGAGATCATCTGCCTAAACCTAATACACGTTTACCAGGTGATTTCTTCTATGCATTTTTTCGTAATCAGGCAACGATCCTAAATCCCTTATCATTATTTGTACCTCTACTGATCAATATGTTGCTAATGTTTGTTCTCATGTAGTTTCTTCTTTCGAAATAAAAATGTCCACAATGTGTTTTTTTTCTCTACGGATTGATTTATAATCAATTAAATATGCATTTTGAATACTAATAGTGGTTCATGAAAAATGTGCTTTTGCATTTGCTGCTTTTGTACGAAGTTTCTTTAGGTAATCGGCATCCGTTTTGATATAACATTCACTGATCGAATTCGGCTGAAGGATTCCTACATAAAACGAAAAAAAGAAATCATTCCTGAAATCCGCTCATTGAAAAAAATACTGTAAATCGAACTCACGCGGCGTCACCTTTCCTGTCCGATACTGGAATTTACCATCTTTTAACTTTATAATATCTTCACATGTATCCAACGCTTCTTGTGTGACGACCGTCTCCTACAATCGATAATTCCCATCAGTCTTATACTACCAGAACACTCCTACCGAAAAATCCACTTCGCCTAAGATGTTCGATTCGTTTGCTTTCACGCAAAGAAATATTGCTAGTGCTCCGTCACAATTGATTTGATTATTTCCAATCTAGAACGCAAATCATCTATCGTGTTCTGAAGTTTTAGTCATTACTTTCAAAACTCGAAGTGAATCATTGACAAGTATTGCTTGAGCAATCGAAAATGCGTTTTGTGTATTCAGTCGGTTCGAACTGATATTCAATTCTTCTAATGCACCATTTTGATGAATACAATCAGCTAAGATCTTTCCACCATCAGGACCAAAGCCATTCATCTCCAGATTACACCTTTTCAAACGAACATTCTCCTAATAACACAAAATATTGCACAGGAGAACCGAGGAAATTCCTTGTATACTTTAATTCCATTGGCAATGTCGACTGCACTTCGTCCGCGAATATTATTCCAGCTGAGATCGATAATTTCCAATGTTTCATTTCCACCTATACTCAATCAATCATACTCATGAAGATCAGTGGTAAAGAATGAGGGAATTTACTGATAAATGTGCCCCAGGCTTTTCCACACTCTTCACCAAAACAATTGTGACTTAAATTAAGTTCTCGAAGTGTTCTATTATGCTAAAATGAGAGAACATAGACGGAATTCACTTTTCTTGCTTAATCAAGTTGTCACTTACATCAAATGCATCTATTAATAGAGTAGCATCCATGTCGTTGAATCTATTTCCTATTTGAACGTGTAAATAGAAAAATAAATTCGTATGAACGACAATGTTTCCTACCAGATAAATTGATCTTTTTTAAATTTCGATTGATTGTTAGCATCCTACAAATTTCCGCGATACTTTCTCCTCCACCGCCAAGCCGATTATCCGCAAGGGACTATTCGTATACAAATAATGATATTCTCTCGGTTTCAAAAAGAAAACGGCATTTTCTTGACATACCAGTTCAGTAATGAAATCATTGGTTACCATCATATCAGAAATGTATTTCGAAGCTTGTTGCTGCAAATAGTTTCCATCTAGGAACAAGCGCTCAATGCAAATGTTTGACTAGAAAGTCAATAATACGTGTATTTATAAAACTAGCAGAAAGATTTTTACATACACTGAGAGCTTTCGCAATTGCTCGTACATCTTCCGTACTGAATTGATGATAACGTAATATCATCTCTCGATCTTGTATGTGTGCCAGAAAATATGAGCACGGGATGATTTTTGCTTGCAAACATGCATCACGATACTGAGTTCGACCGGTCAGATCACGACTGGATGAAATAACGCTTTCTATTCGAAACAGAGCGAAGGTTTCATCGGAATTCTTTAGGATGATATAACTCACCAGATTCAATGTCAGTATCATAACCATCTTGCGATGGTGAGTGTGGCTTGTCACTGGCCGTCGGTGATGAAACATCATTTGCGAAACTTGGATCATCATCAAAAACTTCGTCGTCATCGATTGTGATCGGTTGCTTTGACGGTGGTTCTTGTTCTGTTAACTTTAGCACTGGTGGGATCTGGACAACGTGTTCGAACGGTAGTTTCTTTTGAATTTCTTTATAGATTGTCTCATAGATTTTATCTTCGCGAATTTCTGTGAGAAACGTTGTTGGTAAGCGTGATATACTCGACAGATTTAGAATATCTTCAATATTCGTTTCTACGTTGCGAAAAAGAAACAAATGGAGTATAAAGATGACAAAGAATACTTCTATTTACCATCGACTTCGGTAATGATCTTCAATGATTGATGAGATTTAAGTTCATTCGAGTCAGTTTCCAGTGTTGATGATGAACAACTATTTGTTCTTGTGTCATACGATTGTATTCCAGTGGTTCGAGCGTCTCGTTTCAAAATCGATGGCGTTGTCTTCGATGTCTCTGCTGTTAAAGTATTTACTCGACCGAGCAATCGAACTTTGTCTGTATGTGCTCGCTAAGCATTACACAGCTAATATTAACACAAAGAGCAAATGAAAAATCCGAGTACCTGTTGACTTCGTGTTGGCATTGACTTCTTCTTCGCTTTTTTTTAATAACTTTACCTGCAAAATGGGTAGTAATGTATACTGTTTACACAACTTTGACGACTACCGTCAATAGGCACGATCGTGTTGTTATGAATGAAATGTATTCACACGCACATACGATTGAAAATTATTGCCATTTTTCTTCTTCTTCTTCTTCTTCTTCTTGGCGACATCTTATTTCTTTCTGTTCCGGATGCATGTTGAAGAATGTAGAGCGATGCGATATAATGTAAATAGCTTCGTTTTATGGAAAGAATCACTTCGGCAAGAACTTTCCACAAATTTAACTATTTACTCGATTGTTTTTCTAAATAGAAGATCTTAGTTACGTCTGTTTTCGAGCAAAGGGTTGTGCTGACTTGTAAACAGTATTTTGATCCTGTTAACTTTTCGTATATCCCAATCAAATGAAAACGTCAATGGTTCTCTTTATTTTTATCTCATACACACATATTGATCTGTATATATATATATATATTCTTGTAAAAGAAATGAGAAATCAAGCTCTATTACATACAAAACAAAACAAAATTCATTTGAGTCCAGCTGTTCTACCTAGAATGAGACTAGCCGATAATGGTGACATTCGTTCTACTACTTGTCGTATGGCACTAACATCTTGATGAAGACGATTGACAGCTAACTGTAGATCAGTGACCCGTTCCCCTAAATCTTGTGGGTATGGCTGAATGTGAGCCTCTGCCTGCTGTGTTGACAAAGTACGAAGACGTGCTTGTTGACGTGGTCCTGCTGTAGTTAGCGAGCGGTGAGTGGTCGTTGCTGCACTGCTTGTTGAACCAGGAATTTGTCGAGGTACAACTGAGGTAGTTCTATCCACTTGTGCTAAAATTGTTTCTTCGATTAATTCTCTTAAACGAGTAATTTCATCCATGACTGAAACTTGATTGATTGTCGTTGCCTGCGTCGTCATCGACGGCGGTTGTTGAGGTACAGCTAACTGCTCGCTTGTGACATGGATCGACGGTCGTCGAGATACAACCGGTGTTGTTGCATGTGAACCTCGTACGACAATATCCGGCTGGCCAATCGCATGCTTAGATGTGGATTGAAATTTATTCAGTGTGGTATCAATATCATTAAGTTTTTGTTGTAATTGTACACGAAATGTGTCGAATTGTACCGTTTGCTTGTCAATTGTTTGTCGAAATGCTACATACGCTTTGGATTGCTGTTCTTCGCGTGATTGTCCGTGAACGTCAAAGTTAATATCTTTCCAATGCAATTGCAATGGCGAACAGTATCGATGGATAACTTCTTGATTTTGCAGTCGTTTACGTTTCGATAAACGCCATTCGTAGTTAAGTATGACTTCCACGCGTTCGAGGAGAAATCGCGCTTCCACAGTTGAGAATGCTTCAGTTTGCAGAGCATTCGATATCAAACCAATGAATATGTTAATTGATAGAATAGCAGTAAACAATAAATACGTTCCGCAAACGAATGAAGCGAAATAACGGTCGATTGCAGTAAACGAGTCAATAGGAACTGAAATAAGCAAATCGATAGATTGGAAGTCTATTTAAATCAAAAGAAATCTTACTATCATCAACTAAGGCTATGCGAAAGATGGAAAATAATAATGAATAGAACGTTTCAAATCCATTTGGTTCGATTAAACGACAAGCCGATGTTGCATTTGAACATTTTTCATCATCATAACCAGCCAATGAACCATTGAACACATACTGACCACGACTTCTATACGAGTCTGGGCTTCCGTCGAAGGGCAACTGCAGTTCATTAACTGAGCAATGTAACAAAGCATGTTCACAGATTTCATGTGACCTTTCATAGTCACTATGAAGAACTTGTTGACCACCAAACACAGCATAGAAAACAAAGGCATATGGTGCGAGTAAAAACAGAAATACCAAAAGAAAACGTATTATATCGTCAAACATCATACGAACCTAATAGTAAACAAACAGAAAGAATTTTTCGTCATTGAATTGATTTTCTTGTTAACTACGTACCATGATTACCAATTCTCCTAATTTAATCTCCACTAATTTCGATTTCAAAGATTTCACGGATATGATTATCGTACGAAAAAAAACCATAAAACGAAACCATAAACATAGAACAGTAATCGATGCGGTATACATATGTACACGGGCACGTAATACTGTATGTCCACTGATGTCAATTCCATGCGTTACTGTCGTTAAAATACAAAGAATGTAAATAATCCAATCGAATAAGTTGTTTAATGAATAGTACATGTAATAGGACTTGATACGCGTACGTGCTCGATCTCGGAAACGTAGAGCGAAACGTGCTAAACGTGATCCACGTCGCGGTGCTGTTGTTGCAAGAAATGGACTATCAGGAGTGGCCCCAGGTACTGTTTTTCTTTTTACGCTAATAGACGGATTGTTCGATGAATCAGTGGTGCTAACAACAACATCAATCGGTGTTTGCTGACTAGGCTGTGGCTCAGTTAGCCGACCTTTGACTGTCGTTGGAATTGTTGTTGGTAACGGATGGTGTTGCGAATGATGAGAACGAACATTGGCCAACGTTGTTGAAGATTCATTGATAACAATATGTTCAACTTCTCCTGTATCATCGTTCAATTTTACTACACTGCCATTTTTCTTCGAGTCTAATTGCGAAGTCTGTCCGCCTGTGTTCGATTTGTATTTATTTTTCGAGATTAGATCTAGACGTGCATTTGTTCGTTCAGACTCCCATATAAGATAATCTTCATAACGTTGTCGCGCATAGGTAATGTCAATCATTTCTTGGATGATTTTCCATATTAAAAATAGAATACAAATCCCCCAAAGTATACAACGCCAGATGTCATGTGGAAACTGATAAACATAACGAACAGGGAACGGTGTGATTAATGATATGCATGTCCATGCTATGAGAAACACCACTTCAAGAGCAAGACCAATATAAAAATGTCGCGCTGCGAAATTATCCCATTTCCACTTGATTAAGCCTTTAATTAATGGATGAGTTATAAGATCGAGACGTTCATGGTAATAGATAGCTTCCAGTGGTGTTATACAACGCATTAATGTACCGTCTGGTCGAAATTTATGCGTGATTGATGGACGCGGCGCATAGGATGTTACAGTTAGTAGCGATGGTCCACTCGGGTTACTCATTTGTGAGACTGTTGTTGGTCGATTTGCTGTTGATGCAGCAGGATTCGATGAGACAAGAGGCGTTGTGACTGACTTATCTCGACTTTGAACTTTAGCTCGATTCTATAGATAGAAAGAAACAAATAATATCCAAATGAAATTCGAATTTGACAGGAAAAGAAGCAGACCTTTCGAAGATCTGAAGCTATAACTAGTTCATCGATAAGATGCGTTGAATCATCCGTATCGATCGTATCGAATTCTTCCCTAAAACGTATCGAGCAAACAAAGTCATTCATTTCTATCTCTCTCCACATTCATCTTACCATGGTTCAATATGATCCAAGTACAAATGAACAGCTTTTTGCACTTCATTAACAACAATCAATGAATCCATTATATCCAGCGCGATCGTGCTCGACTCATCACTGAACAACAGTGCAAGGAACACTTGCATGCTGTTATCCAGTGATTTATACAAGCAGACATTACACTTTTCACATGGTCGTAAGTTTTGTCCAGATGGGGTTTGAATAAAACCTGTTTGCTTACAATTGAAACAATGTCGTTTCGCTTGCGTAACACCTGTTGGCGATACACCGCAATGTCCGTCGCGTAACGAATGTGATAAATGTTCATATGATTCTTTCCATTTGGAGTTGATAATTTTAATAATCGCGTAATGTTTGAAATCATTTGCTAATTCTAATGGTGTTTTGTTGTCATTGTTTTTCGTCAACATCATATTTGCCCAGAACCAAAACTTCACTCGTGAGATATTTAAAAAACATGTCAACGCATTCGGTGTATCTTCCCGAGCTAAAAAATCACAAACGAATGAAATCTTCAGATGTTTTATCTGCAAACTCACCTGCAATATGAAGTAAATTATCTCCATTGGCTAAACTACATTCACATAGATATGCCAATAATTCGTTATCAGATATGAACGAAAGTAAAGTCTCAAGTGAGACTGAATTATTCAAGTTTAATCGCATATATGTATGAATGATCATATCGCCATGTAACGATGATCGAACACGTAAACAATTGCGATCTTTTTCGATTAGTAATCTGATCATTTCATAGTTATTCATTTGCATAGCCATACGCAAGTCCGTCGATTGAATGCGGATTTTGCTTTGATCGAGGAGGAGTTTGCACACATCATCATGATTATACAAAATAGCTAAACTAAGCGGCGATTGTCCATCAGCATTCAATTGATTGATGTCAACATTCGATGATTTGATCAGCGTACGAATCAACTCAATGTTACCTAAAAGACAAAATCCCTCTCAGAAACAAAGTGACAACATTTGTCTAGTGTTGATTTTACCTTTCTCGGCTGTCAAGTGTAGAACAGTGTTTTGTCGGAGATCTTTAGCGTTTTCGTCAGCACCGTGTCGAATTAAATATCTTGCCAGAACACCATTGATATTTTCAGCACATTCGTGTAAAGGTGTACGACCTTGTATATCCAATAAATTTAATTCTTCCGTATCCATTTTATTAATTAACAAAGCCGCAACATTGGCTTTTTCATTGGCACAAGCTAAATGTAACGGAGTTTTACCCATTTTATTCATTAATGTCAAATCTAAATGAGCGTATTTCATTAATAACTTGTACATGCGAATGTTGTCATCTCGTGCGACCAGATGCAGTGGAGTATTTCCATCCTTGTTGGTCAGACTGACATCGCAATTGTGTTGAAGAAGGTATTGGGCAAATGAGTAATTATCACAAAGAATTGCGTCATGTAAGGGTGTTTGTCCGTCACGGTTTTGGGCATTTAATGATGATGGATTCGATGTTAAGACACTGTCGAAGATGAATCTTTCGTCGAGATATTTACAGTAGTGCAATGTCGTGTTCAAGAATGGATCTATCATGTTGATATTTGTCACTTCGATATGTCGAAGGAACACCGCAAGTATTTCGAAATTGTTTTGTTCTAAGGCGTCGAGAAAAGGCGTTCGTCCAAGTTGATTCTGTCGATTGAAATCAGCAGATGTCTCAATCAATTTTTCCACATACTTTTCATAGTCAATTTCTTTCTTATTAACTAAATAGTGTAGAAATGTATTTCCATGTTCATCGCATGCATTTATATCTAATGAATGTTCAACTAACAATTCAATTGCATATATACTTGGAAAATCACATAGCAACGGCGAACGTGGCAATTGGGAAAAGTACCGTTTCCAATTGAAGCTTGTCGTTAACTCGAACAGAGCTTTCAAACATAAATCATATTGGTATTTGACACAAATACACACAGGTGTTTCCAATGGATTCAAGCGAGTACCTTTTTGAAAGTCAGCATCGTTTTCTAATAGAGCCTTCAACGCTTCGATGTTATCATCATAACAGCAAATATGTAAAGGTGTACATCCATCTTCATCGAAGACGTTGACACGTGCTTTGTAGCTTTTAATCAATAAGCGAATACTTAAACTATCATTTTTGTGCGCAGCAACATGAAGAAGATGGGTTTGACTCGGGTAATCTAACACAAAAGCGTACTTGAAAGGAAGAATGTTCATATCGATTTGACTCACCAAAATGTGTTTCAAATGTCGGAGAATTGACATCATCCATAACTTTGATGAGAAACAAAGCTAAATCGGTATTTCGTGTTGCTAATGCATAATGAGCTAAAAAATTGAAAATATTTTCCTCGATGTACTCGTGAAATAATCACAATATACAATCTCGTATGTTTATTATCAAATCAGACGTCAAGGCTATACGAGAGATATTTGGTAACAACATATATCAATATCTTATAATTAAACGACAAAATTGTTTTCCTTTTTGTAACGTATTCTTTCATCTATCACTGACATTTAATCTGCTAAGTAACTCCTCCCTCTAAATATTTTAACAACATTCTTCGACAAACCTGCTGTCCATCCGTAATCATTCTGTTTGTTTGGATCGCATCCGCCTTTTTTTGTCAAATATTCGACTATGTGAATACATTCCGCCGATTGGATTTCAGCGCGTGCTAGTAAATGTAGCACTGTATTTCCCTCGTCGGTGACTGAATTCAGTTGTGCTCCATTACGTTCGTACTCTTGAATGACATCTAATGTTGGTTGCGGCTCGGAGAGTATATAGGCTAACAACGCTTTATTTTGCGTCGCCGATGAAAATGATGGATCGGGAGCATTGGTTCGGCCGAAGAGCGTCTTCTTTGCATCGGTTAGTTTCGCAAATATTGACTGCGAAGGTTTGGGTGTCGTTGGAGCATTCGTTTCATCATTGGCAGTTGATGATTCCATGGATGATGAGAGCGATGACTCGTCAACTGGTTTAGTCGGATCTTGTGATGGGGCTTTATCAATATCGTCGGGTGAATGCCTAGAAAAAGAACGAGAATAGAAAGAAGTTTTGTAATTTGTAATGTGCTATTTTGGCCAGTCTGACTATGAGAAGGTCAAAAACGAAAGAATGTTTCTTCGTTAAAATGAAAGGGTAGCATGCCTCTAATTTTTCTCCGGATCATGCATAAAACACTATTTTCATAGGTGAATTCATGGTTTGATTTTTCGAGAAAAGTACATTATCGTTTGGTTTTTTAATTGACGTATATCAATACTTACATAGTTGTTAGATTTTTCTTTCTATATGTACTCTAGTGTCACTCGATAGAACAAGAAAATGAAGAGGATATCTTCGACTATTCTCTTATTATTCTAATGACCCAAAAGATACAAGATGGGGAATGCCAGAGTGATATTTCCCATTCGTCTATCTCTCTCTTCCTTCTCTGTGTCTCATTCTTCGTTGGTTATCGATCATTAACTAAATAATTGATCTAGTAAACGGAAGGGTCCTTCGGTTGTATGACGTAAATAAATATTTTTTTTCTTCAAATCAAAACTTGATTGACAAATATTCTAACATCTTTGAAAATGTGTTTACTTACGATTGAAATATTTTATCTAAGAAGCAAATATCAACCGAAGGGAAGCCGCGAGAAGGAGAGAGAAGAAAAAAGAAATTAATAATTTCACACTAAATAAATGAGCAGCTCAAATTTTTAACCGTAAAAAATCGCAAATACAAAAGAAAGAAGATTTTTTATCTTGATAATAGGACCTAAGGGCGTAGAACACAATCGATCAAACAAGAACCGATCGATTATGTCCGACAACACAATTGTACATAGTTTCATGTCCATGAGCACTTGAATACGCCCGAAAACAAGCGCATCGAACGACAAGATTCGTTTTCAGGTAGATTTAACTCAAATTTTCCTTCTGATTCTCGTTAATTAAAAGGTAATCAAATGCTTGTCGACAGATATCAGAAAAAACCATCAGCTGCGTTTCAGATGATATCTCCAATCATTATGATGAAAAGTACAAGTACGGGGGGAATAAAAACAGATGTCTAATGAACGTCGAAGATATCTCTTAATAAAATTTGTTTGATTCTCATATATAAAATACGAATAAGCATCAATATATCCAACGTAAATATGTTGAGTTATGGGATAAATCAGCTGCAGAACATGATGAATGAGATTCAATGACAGAAAGAAAATCGTTCCTCGTCACGCAATGATATTAAACAGGGAAGGGAAAGTACGATTGCTGTTTCACCAGTGAAGTTGACATCGTGGTATTCTAAAGGATGCGTAACAACTTTTCTTTCACAGATCGTCGAATGGAAATGTTAATCATTGAAAAAAAAAGCAAAAAAGTCAAAGTATCACGTATCCCGAGATCTAATTAGCATCTCTTCTCAGGAACTAAGTTCCGAAAGTACATCCAAATCTGTTAATAATAAACATCAACTCTACATACACTTAATTTACCTACAACTATCTCATCATTACTTACCAAGGTAAACTAAATGATACTGCAGGTTGTTTGCTTGATTGTGACATGTGAGTACACTCTTCTGATCGATATCTGTTGGTGGAGAATCGAATCTCTTTCTATTCGTACGAGCAATCGATAATAGGAGAGAAACGCTTAATTTGTGTCAATGAACAAGTGTTCGAAGAAATGAAATGAAGACACTTGATCTTGATGATCGATATGATTTCGTGCATATACTTTTATCTTCTCCGCCTATTGTAAAAGCATCAACTAGCCGTTTATTAGGCAAACGATCGTGTAAGAAGGGATTAACATTTATCAAATAGATCTGCTACAGTTTTTCTTCTTCTTCTTCTACATCGACTCTTACTAATTATATACAATGAAATACAATTAGTGCAAGTTGATATCAAATGTCATTGTGAAGAGAAAAACATTCACAAAAGAATACTCACGATGATTTATAATTATACATGCGAACAGGTAGATATTAACATACATTGTGCTTGTCTCGGACACTTTCGTTTTTGATAGACATGGATGAATCTTACACAAGTCGATGATGTAAATATCTGTCTGCAAGTTAATAACGGTTCATGTTATGCATGAGCGTGACAAAATACGTTCGAAAAAAATATTACGAAGATTGACGAAGGAGAAATCTGACAAGATATTACTCGTCGACTAGGAAATGTCTCAGTTATCAGACAAGATATTCACTCATCCGTAATGGATAAATATTTTCAAGATTATACAGCCTTTTGTTCATTAGACGAAAACAAATGTGTTTAACGAGGTGATTTCATTGAACCGAATGTTTTCCCTTCACATCAGACAATCAGATCGATAGTTATTAGAAAAGCTTCTCTCGAGTCTGTGCGCAAAGTTTGAAAACATCAGAATCAATTACGAAAACAAACCGTATATGTTATCATTGCTACTAAATGTTACCACGAGTCTGATAATTATAAACTAAGATGTTATCTGAGATAACACATAAGCTTCAGTTCAAGAAGTGCTCGTCTTGCAGACGTTGAGGAAGATTTGTTAATTGAAAGATTGTTATCTTATACAGAATAAATAGTTCAACGCTGAATAAAGGTTGCTGAAGAGAGGCCGTTAATTATATACAAAGTAATTGCCTTCTCGGTCATTGATTTTCCGGATGAGAATGTTCATCAGCATTCGATGCGACTTTCCTGCAGCGATCGACAATGTCCTGCGAAGATTACACCGTTATTCAGATACAATTGTTTAATTGCTATTAATTGAATTCATGGACTGAAGAATCTATATTATATATGAAACATCAGAATAGATGTCGTTCTTGTACACGCTCGGTTTTTCATAGTCACAATTGGCTTAAATATTTGGTCCAACAATTTGCTTCTTTCTCTTTTTTTCTATTGCAATGTGCAGCGATCTTCAGATTTAGATTTTCTAGTTGATTTTCATTAGATGTAACATGTCTTCTTTGCTGCGTCTTCGTTATCTAATTCTTAGTACAACTGTCGGTGGAAGTTATGCTATAAATCGAGTAAATCTCATTTGATTGCCGCAGAATTCTCTCTATTGCGATATTCGTTTAGAAATATCATGAAATCCAAGAGACATTTCCTGATCTGACATGGATGAAAATTTATAAATCTGAACAAAATAACAAATTTCCCATTCCTGTACGAGAAGTTTCTTCGTATGACGAACATTCCGTTTTATATCTTGTTTATCTAGACTAATTTACGAAATCATCTGAGATATTTACATGAAACATTTACAGCGTATCTATTCACAGCAATCCATCCAAGTAGAATCTTTGTTATCACAGTATCTGGTCATTGATCTTGTACATTCGTAGGATTACTAATCGCTGGCCCATCGTTCTTCGTGGATGATTTTAAGCCGAGATCATCAAGTAGGATCTCTGTTTTCATAGTCTGCGATTCATCTCTTTTCTGCTAGTTGATCTTTTTAATTTGGCTAAAACGTATGAAAACGCTCAAACGACCAATGAAGAACGAGAAAGATCGAATAAAGTCAGATACTTTGTTGAATAGAACGCAAATCATGTTCGTAGTTTAGGCTGCTCATTACCAAAATCACGAACGTCAAGACAAAGTTCAGCAAGAGATGATGACTATTCAAATAAAATATCAACGCGAAATCGATCGATTAGAAAAAGAATTGCAATCGTTAAAAAAACAACTTCTCTTAAAACAAGATCGACATGCAAGTGGTAAAAAACAACGAAAAATTAAGGTTATTCTTCTTCGATTCTCTCGCCTACGGTTATTCATTTCTTTTTCGTCTGCTTTTAGAGATCATTGATTGACATGTACAGCGAAGTATTGGACGAGTTAAACGAATACGATGCGAATTATGACATTCAAGATCAATTACCCAGGGTACATAAAAAAATTTCGCTTGCGAATTCGTAGATCATCGTTATGTATTTTTTCGTGATCTCATAGGTCGTCGTTATTGGAGATCAAAGTTCTGGTAAAACCAGTGTATTAGAAATGATCACTCAAGCCCGCATATTTCCTCGGTTCGTTATGACATATTTTGTTCGTTTGAAGATTTTATTTGGTTGTAGAGGTGCCGGTGAAATGATGACGCGCAGTCCTGTAAAAGTGACATTGAGTGAAGGTCCATATCATGTGGCTATCTTTAAAGATAGTCCGAAAGAATATGATTTAACAAAAGAAACAGATGTATGATATTCGTTCGACTACAAACTTAATAATTAAGCATTTCCATTCTTTAGCTGGCAGCATTACGGAGAGAAATTGAACTTCGCATGCGAGCATCCGTGAAAGAAGGTCAAACAATAAGTAACGAAGTTAGTTCGAAAGAAGATATTTGTTAAATTCCAATACACTTACTTCTGTTACATGCAGGTCATTTCATTGTCAGTTAAAGGTCCCGGTCTCCAACGTATGGTTCTTGTCGATTTGCCTGGAGTCATTAGTGTAAATGCTCGCGGAAATGAATGTTAACTCTCAGATTGTGATTTACATTTAGACAGAAACAATTGGCATGGCATCCGATACGAAGAACTCAATTACTCGCCTAGCGAACAGTTATATGTCCAATCCCAATGCGATTATTCTTTGTATTCAAGGTAAGAATTGTGATATGAAGTGTTGAGAATGTCTTTCTTTTTCCCTAGATGGAAGTGTCGATGCCGAGCGTAGTAATGTAACTGAACTTGTATCAAAAATGGATCCACATGGTAAACGGACGATTTTCGTCCTGACGAAGGTTGATTTAGCGGAAGCAAATCTTCATGATACTGATCGAGTGCGTGATTTCAAGAAGTTCTTATAGCGATTTTTCGTTCTGTTCCATACAGATACAAAAAATTCTGGATGGAAAACTATTTCCAATGAAAGCGTTGGGATACTTTGCTGTAGTTACTGGAAAAGGTTGAATCTGTCTCCATTTCTTTCGTTTGATATGCTATTATTTTTACAGGTAGCGCTGATGATCCTATCGAGTCAATTCAAAAGTATGAAGAAGAATTTTTTCGCAAATCGAAGTTATTTCGGTAGGAATATGTGATGCATTCTTTCGTTAGCATCTTTTGTTCGTTTAGCGATGGTGTGTTCAAAGCAACACAAACCACAACACGCAATCTAAGTTTTGCGGTCAGTGACTGTTTCTGGAAGATGGTCAAAGACAGTGTTGAACAGCAATCTGATACTTTCAAAGCCAAACGATTCAATTTAGAAACCGAATGGAAGAACAGTTTTCCGAAAGTCCGCGAACAAGATCGAGTTGGTTCTTGTACGATTCTATTTGACAAACCATCGTATGCTTCTTTCTCTTCAGGATGAATTATTCGAAAAAGCTCGCGGAGAGATCCTTGATGAAGTCATTAACCTTAGTCAAATACCTAGCCGTCAATGGTATGATCTCGATAATTTGAGTTAATTCGAAAAACTATTTTTCCCTTCTAGGGAAGAAAATTTATCCAAGCACCTCTGGTCAACAATGTCGCAATACATCTTTGACGACGTGTTTTCTTCTGCAGCTCAAACTGGCTCAGTTGGGTAAAGGATTTTGTTTGAAGATTGCATACAGATCATCGGGTTTGTTATTCAGCGCGTTCAAAACCACTGTCGATGTTAAATTGCAACAATGGGCAGCAAAAGAATTACCACGTCAATGTATTCAAATTAGCCATCTCGTTCTACTAGAAGAATTTCAATCATTAATTGAACGCGATCAAAAAAGCCGTTCATACGATCCGATTACCAATGATCTAAAAATGCATGTCGTCCAAGCATGTCGATCCCGACACCAGTGGGACGCGAAAGCACTTGATTCATTGGTGAGTCTAATTTTCATGTTTTCATTGAACGTACCATTCTATTTATCAAAAGAGGGTGATTCAAACTCAAGCATTACAAGATCAAAATGTGCCTGACAAGCAACAATGGGAATCGGCAGTTAAATTCATGGAGAACTGCGTACGAAAAGAATTAGAACGCGAAGAATCGGAGTTAATCGCAACTACGAGTCAACAGAGTTCATGGAAGAAATACGTTGGCTTACAACGATCAACGATCGAAGAAAGAAATCGACAACAGTGTGTTAAGGAATTGGACAGAGTTTTAGTCGGAAGAAAAGAATTAGATCAGTCAACTAAACATAATCAAACAGTAAGGATTCTTTTCTACGAATGAATTACACGACTATTCTTGCAGCTTCGCTCTACTCTCGATCAAGATGAATTAACCACGGTGAAGAAGAATCTTCAAACTCAGAAAATTGATGTGTCGAATGAATTTGTATGTGAATATATGTGATAGGTCCATGTTTTTTTTTGAATAGCTTTGCTGTTTAGATCACTGAAACATGGCAACGCGTGTATAAAATCTATTTTCTCAAACAAAATTTGAACACTTGTGTCGATTGTCGACGATTTTTCTACTACTATCAAAAGGGATTTTCTGATCAAGGCGTATGTAGTTTGTTTTTAACGATGGAAAATAGATTTTGTCCGATTTTAGCTTGATTGTCACGAAGTTGTCTTCTTCTGGCGTTTGAAAAGAATGATTGAGATCACCAGCAATGCGATTCGACAACAAATATCAAATATTGAAAGTTTGTCGTATTCGAGGGCATTGATGATGATACTGATGTCCATTGATTTCTACTTCAGCTCGGCGATTGGAACGAGAAGTAAAGGAAATTCTTGATGATTTCAGTGGCGATGAAGCTTTAAAAGCGAATCTACTCAAAGGAAAACGGGTTGACTTGGCGGAAGAATTGAGTAAGTTTCCGTTGTTGTTCGATATTGTCATCAAATCGGATGGTTTTAGAGCGTGTGCGACAAGTTCAAGAGAAATTAGAAGAATTTATTACAGCATTGAATACAGAAAAATAATGTCTTCATTCGATATTCGAACAATAATTTCTACATCAGCGATTCTTTGTATATTCTTCTAGGAAATCCTGCTTTCAGTATACGTATTCCTTCGATTTTTCTTTAGTTTTCATTTTGTATTCGAAGTTATTTTTATCATAAGAAAAGAATTCTTGATTCACACAAACCATACAGGTCATACCGAAGGAGAGTGTGCATGTAGATGCGGAACAAGTCACAAGATATTGAGATGTCGCTTTCAATAAACAAGAGAAAAACAATTTATTTCTGTCAGTATAAAACAAGGTTAATCGAAAACTAATTTTTTTGATTATCATCGTACTTGAAAAATATGTGATACGATCAAGTGCGTAGTTGCTTACTATGTTTTGAATGAAACAAGATGGTAATGATCCATATCGAGAACGTGTGGATTGATTAGATGATGTTGAACTAACAGACCAACAGTGGTCAATGCAAGTTTCTCTTCCACCGCTGGACCACGATTCTGCCAGTATTCACCGAACACACCATGTGAATCAGCTGGATTCAGCTCACTCACTCGATATCCAGACATCGCGATCCACACTGTCAAACGATGCATGTCTTGATCGGCGACCAGCACTGGAATGCGTCCTTTGTATTGACTTGTATTGAACTCATCAGCAAATGCTTGATAGACATCATCTCGTCGACCGTTTCTCACATCACTTTCGAAGATCGGTAGTGCAAAAACGACAGCACAGATGTGCTGAAAGACAGGTCCATCTTCTTCGAGAACTTGTCGGATAGCTCGGGCAGACAGTGCTCGTACCTTGCCATCGATGCCAATGTGTTTGCCAGCGAACACACCAAGTCCGATGCCGGTTTCGACCACCACCTGAACTTGTTCCTTGTCACATGCATACAGTCGAAGTCTGGCCATTCGCATGAGATCGGCGAGCAGTTGCCGTTCGTGTAGTTGTGCTCGAGGTGCTCTTGCTTTGACACGAAAGTCTCTGCCGTTGTAGACAAAGGGTAGGCTCGTTTTAGGATCGATCTCATAGATATCTGGCCAGTTGGTGACATAGGTAGTGATGTCATTGAGATCATGAACTCGGCCAGCAAAGTCGATGCCAGTGACCGAGACAAGTTTGATGCGTTGAGGCCAATCGTGCTGGAGCTCACGTTGAATGATGCGAGCATCGAATTCCATGAGAATGGGACACTGTGAAATACGAACAACGAACTTCATAGCAAATGCTTCTTCTCCCGATTTAGTCAAGCCTTGAAGTGCTCTACGGATGAAGATTTTGTTTATGCAGCGAGCATCTTCGTCAGCATAGACTCGGTAAGATTGTTGCCAATCCAAAATTTCCTGTGCAGTCATGGCGAATGCTACTCGTCCAGTACCAGGAAAGCGGATTAGTGTATTCGGATCCATGAGAAACGGAGGTCTGCCGAGTCGAAATGATTTGACACCATGAACGATATATTCACCAGGAATATTTCTAAATTGAAATGTTTGAGCAAGGAAAGATTCCATTTGAGTTGTTTCGTAATCACAATCGCCACTCATCGGTCCTATTTTATTCATAGGTGCAAGAGTACCGATGCTTTCAAATAATCTTTGAATATTTTTATCCGTGCCTGAATTCACATTGAAAGAAATACTTGGATAAGGGTCAGAATTAATATTTGAATTCGGTGCAACATCAATCGGTCGTCTTCGTGTTTGAGGTGTTGGGTTATATTGCGGCGGTGGTAGTGTATTATAGTCAGCTCGTTGAGTTGGTCTTTCCGAAAGAAAACCGATCTCTGGTGGCAGAGAATATCGTTCTAGACGTGGGGACAATGCTTGTTGTTCGCGTGTTGGAGCAAATCGTGCATTTCGTATTGTCGGACGGATCGTTTCTTGTGTAGGTGCAAAGTTCTTAGCAATTTTAATTAATTCGGATGGCGAGAAATCCTTTTTGATTACATTGAGTTCATTTTGCTGTTTCATATGCTCACCACAACTCTGCAATAGATTGTTCAAATTCTCGATGTCACGATCGGTATAGTTATTGGCTCTTTTTCTTGAACGAAGTTCAGTAGAAACCTTATTTAGAGAATTGGCTATTTGAGTATTAGAATCTTTAATAAATTGTTGAATTTCAGTTCGAGCCTTTTTCGCTGCTAGTTGAATTTTCCCAATCGATTCTTTCTCCCATTGAGCAACTTGATTTAATAGGTTCTTTTCAGTTTGCGCTTGACTGGCACGTTGCTTCAACTTCTCATGACGTTTTTCGATGTCGTTCATCTGACCAGAGACGTTCGTTCGCGTAGAATCTACAAGGTATGAACACAATCCGTCGTCTCATTTTCGATAAAACGCCGTACTTACCACGATTTGTAGTCATCGTCTCGTATCAGTAGACGAAAAATGAAACCGATTTTTGTATTCGTCGAAACTAATATACTGGAGAAAGAGAAAAAGAAAAAGCATCGACTAATTTTTTATCAGTTCTGATGCACGTGTGTTTTGCTTCTGTTTTGATGTTTTTGATGGAAACTGAGAAATACATCAACACAACAACAGTAGTGAAGCAAACATAAAACAGCATGTTTTGTTAGCAAAAACATTTTATTCTTTTCAAAATCGAGAACACGAGGAACATGCCTAAAAACATCACACCTGACGCAATTAATTGTTCATCAAAATCGACAGAAGAAGGTCCCCTATTACTGAGTTTCAACCAGATCACTGTAAAATAAACGACAAAAACGGCCTTTTCCCAATAAAGAAGAAAAAAGCAAAATATCATTTACACTTATTTGTACGGTTGCGGTTGCATTTGATATATCGTCGTTCACATTGAATTTCTCGTGTCAGATTCAGTGTCAGCTGCTTTGCTTCTCGTCGAAGTCTACCTATTTCACCCTTCTCATCCACACTTCCATTTCCATTCTTCACCAACCAAAGAATCGTCTTCTTATTCTCTACTAGTTTATTCTCCAATGCAACATACTTCTCAGTTCTATCTTCTTCCATCGTTGTGTTGATGTGTGCTAAAACAGAACGTCTCATCTCAATGTTCATTAGATTGAACAAATCACAACTGTGAATACCTTCTGATAACTTGAAAGCGTGATCAGCGAGTCGATGGAGTAGGGAAGATATTTCTTCGGACTGATCGTTGGCTAAGCGAACGAATAAGTGTCGAAGTTGTTGTCTTTCGGTAGGTGTGAACTGATGTTTAACGCGTTCGAACATAGAGAGAAGATGATTGAGATCACTGATGGAGTTCGAATTGATGTTGTTGATTATTCTGTTTTTTAAAGCATGAAACTTGTTGAGAGTATGATTTTTGTCGGCTAGAACGATATTGATAAGACTAAACGAGAAATAGATATAAGAAGATAACGAATTGGAATAAGAACTACTTTACTTTTGTCTCCATTTGATCTGCTGAAGGAAATTTTTCATTGGATGCCAAATATTGTTCGGTCGTTTTTTTATTTGTTCGAAGAAAATTTGTTGTCGGAAAATTATCGTGTTCAATTCCAGCGGTGTGACGATTTTCATTTCTTTATCATGAGCAGCAATCGTGTGAAAAAGAAACTCGAGAAAGGTTAATTCACCTCGCCATCGTGCATATTCATCGACAGCAGACAGCATCCGACGACTGCATCCCACGGCACATACCATTCCACGTACCCACGGAGGAATAAATGTACCTGGTGCTGAGTAATAATGATACCAACTACGAGGATTGCCCTCGTGATGATAAATAAGTTCTTCAGTAATCAAATCATAATATGGTGAGTAAAGTTCATGCAGAGAAAGAAATGCTTGGGTTGTAGGTATGAAGACGTCTTCTTCGACAAACCAAACAAAGGAGTAGTTGGTTGCAATTCGTGTGAAATGGTAGAGAGCTTTATCCCATGCTGAACAAATTTTCTTCGAGCCGAAGATATTCGCCTTTTGGAAGCCTTCTCTGCTGACCAAAGTTTCATTGAGTTGAATGAACCGAAAAGTTGTCGGTGATGATGGTATAGACACATTGTTATGATCAATTAGGATGAAAACATCGACTGATGAAGTAACTGTAGCAAGTTGAGAAGCAAACTCTAAGACATGGAATGCAGCTTGTCGAGTAAGAAAACATACTGCCGATGATGAATTGACGTTATTGACCATGGAAAGTAGTAAAGTAGATATTGAGAAAAATTTGTAGTAAAACGATCTATTCATAGGATGTGATGAATGAATGAAATGGACATATGGGATATTCGAGAGGATATTGTGTATTGCAGCTGGTGCCTATATGTGTGGGATTGATAATGAATATGTTAATTATATCATTGTACTTGTATATATTTTTGGCATGGATGTGTTTAACCATGATAGTTTTTAGTTAAAATGGCGAATGACACCCACATATGACTATTTTCGCTGCAAGAAGAAATTAAGAAGTGCGAATCTTATATTTCGCTTATACTGTATTGTCCAATAATTAACAACGTGTAGGTACATATCTGTATATAACACGTCATTTATTTCTTCTGCGCATTGTATAAGAAAATGAAAGAAGTACGTGATCGAGAGAAATTAGAACACAGGAATCTGCATATCATCTCTTAGCAAATAGTTTCTTTATATCCTATTGCAAGCAATTAAACTAGGCACAATTTACAATAATACGACAGGTATTACAAAATATTCTCATTTCTTCAAGACTGTCCATTTTGAAAATTCCAATTTTAATTAACCAACTGGAACTTGTATTCTGTTTTATATTGTCCAATCCATTAAACGAATATCTATGCGTCCGAAACGGCCAAAGAGACTTGCAAGTTTTTTAAAATCTCTTTTTGAAAGCTAATAGACAACTGGGTTCATAGGTTATAAAACAGATTTTGAGCGACATATACATTCTATCACGAAACTTTGAAAGCCTTGGTTGAATATTTTGAGCAATTCGTGTTCACATGCCCTCCGAGTACAATTTGATTTTTGTGTACTCACACTCTAATTCTCTGAATATAATTCTACTATATACCAACCAATAAGATGATAAATATGTTCTACTGTAATCAACCAGAAACAACACACGTTTAGCAGTCTTCATTTCAAGCGATACACATAATAAAAAACAAACAAAAGTAGAAAAAATACAGGCATGTTACTAAATATCCAAGTATGGCTCGTTTTTGACCATTTACTTACATCGTGTATATCGTCGTTCACATTGAATTTCTCGTGTCAGATTCAGTGTCAGCTGCTTTGCTTCTCGTCGAAGTCTACCTATTTCATTCTTCTCATCCACACTTCCATTTCCATTCTTCACCAACCAAAGAATCGTCTTCTTATTCTCTACTAGTTTATTCTCCAATGCAACATACTTCTCAGTTCTATCTTCTTCCATCGTTGTGTTGATGTGTGCTAAAACAGAACGTCTCATCTCAATGTTCATTAGATTGAACAAATCACAACTGTGAATACCTTCTGATAACTTGAAAGCATGATCAGCGAGTCGATGGAGTAGGGAAGATATTTCTTCGGACTGATCGTTGGCTAAGCGAACGAATAAGTGTCGAAGTTGTTGTCTTTCGGTAGGTGTGAACTGATGTTTGACAAGTTCAAACAGAGAGAGAAGATGATTGAGATCACTAGTTGAGTTGATACCGATATCGTCGATGACTTTATCCTTCAGAATATGAAACTTGCTGAGAGTTTGATTTTTGTCAATTAGTGTAATGTTGATGATGCTAAAAGAAAAATAGGTTTAAGGAGAAATGGAATGGGATTGAACTTACTTTTGTCTCCATTTTTTCTGATTAAAAAAGCTTTTCACTGGATGCCAAAGATTGTTTGGTCTATTTTTCACCTGTTCAAATGCAATTCGTTGTCGATAGGCGATCGTATTCAATTCCAGCGGTGTGACAATTGTCATCTCTTTATGTTGGATACCCATAGTATGAAAAAGAAATTCAACAAATGTCAGTTCGCCTCGCCATCGTGCATACTCATCAACAGCAGAAAGCATCCGACGACTCGAACCTACAATACACACGATTCCATGTGCCCATGGTATTGTAAATGTCCCTGGTGCTAAATACCAATGGTACCAGCTATAAGTGTCACCTTGTATATTATAAGCAAGTTCAGGAGCAACAAAGTCGTTATGTGGTGAGTAAAGTTCATGGAGAGAAAGAAATGCTTGGGTAGTTGGTATGAAGACGTCCTCTTCGGCAAACCAAACAAAAGAATAGTTGGTTGCAATCCGTGTGAAATAATAAAGAGCTTTATCCCATGCTGAACAAATTTTATTCGAGCCGAACATACCAGCTTTTTGAAAGCCTTCTTTAATGAGAAAAGTTTCGTTGAGTTGAATGTATCGAATAGATGATGATGACGACGATGGAAGTGAAACATTGTTGTGATCAACCAGGACATAAACATCGATCGATGGAATCGTGTCAGCAAGTTCAGATGCAGATTGTATGACATGAGTTGTAGGCTGTCGGCTGAGAAAACAAAAAGCTGGCGATGAATCTGCGATATGCGTCACAGCTGACAAAAAAGTACATATTGACCAAAATTGATAGTAAAATAATTTATGCATAGATGGATGAATGAATGGAAAAAAAACACGTGGTCCTACAGAAAATGTTTGCATGCAAAAGCGTCAACGAAAAATCAGTGACTGATAGTTACTTTTGATATAAAAAAGAATGATTGATGCAAACCTTGGTTTGCACGACGTATCAATGCTTGAGAAAAAAACCCAGTGTAATGAAATCAGTCCTCGTAGTTAAAAATCGACTTTTTGAAATCCAAACGGAGCGTTCAGTACTGTGAAAGTGTTGAGAAAAAGAAGAAGTATATCATACGTTGTTTCAAACGCAGTACAACAAGTAGATACGGTAGCTATCAGTTCGATCTTTTATCATTCGTCATTTTGCTGTTCGCTTCATATGCGACATTTTAATTACACGTACATAAATTGCCTTTGCACGATACGTGTGTTTCATGATATATATTAACTAGAATATGTATAATATTTAGTCAGCATACGACTATTTCTCGTTCTGTCAGTTTTCGCTTTCCTGTAGTATGCGTCATTGACGAGATGCAAATGAAAAAAGTGCATTTTGTCATCGATAGCTTTGAAAGTCGATAATATGACTGATATCCGTATCGACGTAAAAACAATCACGCTTAATGTATAACTTTTCAGGCGTTCTCGCGTTAAAGTCGGCATTGACATAATCCACGAACGTAAAATAAGATGACTAGTACGATGTAACAGAAAAGTAATCTTTCATTCACCGCAAAAATCACGCAGATGAGATTTGGAGTCAAGAAGATCAGTTCAATGTCACAAACAATCGTAGTTACCTAGCTATTGAAAACTATTTCCGATCTATCGCTGATTTTGACTGTCTATTATAGTTAGTAGATACACAAATCAATAGTAAAATAAAAGAAAATGATTTTTCTGAATAAGTAGTTATTCTTTCTTCTTCGTTTGTATTCAAAATGATTACTTAATAGCATTCAATAGTTGCTGCTGGTGAACCGATAATTTTAAGTTATGCATAAAATAAATTTTAAAAAGAACTTTTCAGTTTAATTTCGTCATCTAACGCATCTTATTTCCTTCTACACAAAACCTTCAACATTTAAAATAGATAATTAGAGAAAAACAACTTCAATGAAATAGTTTTGTCCCAAAAAGAATCAATAAGTTAACAATCACACGCAGGACTGATCCGTGAATGAAACAAGATGGTAATGATCCATATCGAGAACATGTGGATTGATTAGATGATGTTGAACTAACAGACCAACGGTGGTCAATGCAAGTTTCTCTTCCACTGCTGGACCACGATTCTGCCAATATTCACCGAACACACCATGTGAGTCAGCTGGATTCAGCTCACTCACTTGATATCCAGACATCGCGATCCTCACTGTCAAACGATGCATGTCTTGATCGGCGACTAGCACTGGAATGCGTCCTTTGTATTGACTTGTATTGAACTCATCAGCAAATGCTTGATAGACATCATCTCGTCGACCGTTTCTCACATCACTTTCGAAGATCGGTAGTGCAAACACGACAGCACAGATGTGCTGAAAGACAGGTCCATCTTCTTCGAGAACTTGTCGGATAGCTCGGGCAGATAGTGCTCGCACCTTGCCATCGATGCCAATGTGTTTGCCAGCGAACACGCCAAGTCCGATGCCGGTTTCGACCACCACCTGAACTTGTTCCTTGTCACATGCATACAGTCGAAGTCTGGCCATTCGCATGAGATCGGCGAGCAGTTGCCGTTCGTGTAGTTGTGCTCGAGGTGCTCTTGCTTTGACACGAAAGTCTCTGCCATTGTAGACAAAGGGTAGGCTCGTTTTAGGATCGATCTCATAGATATCTGGCCAGTTGGTGACATAGGTAGTGATGTCATTGAGATCATGAACTCGGCCAGCAAAGTCGATGCCAGTGACCGAGACAAGTTTGATGCGTTGAGGCCAATCGTGCTGGAGTTCACGTTGAATGATGCGAGCATCGAATTCCATGAGAATGGGACACTGTGAAATACGAACAACGAACTTCATAGCAAATGCTTCTTCTCCCGATTTAGTCAAGCCTTGAAGTGCTCTACGGATGAAGATTTTGTTTATGCAGCGAGCATCTTCGTCAGCATAGACTCGGTAGGATCGTTGCCAGGTCAAAATCTCTTGCACTTTCATCGCAAATGAATCTTTTGTTTTCGTTGGAAAATAAATCGTTGAGTCGGGATTCATCTCTTCCGGACGACTTTTTATATGGAATGATTTGACACCTTGAACAATATATTCATCAGGAATATTTCTAAACTGAAATGTTTGAGCTAGGAACGATTCCATCTGGGTGGTTTCGTGATTACAGTTGCCGCTCATCGGCCCATTTTTATCCATTGGGCGTAACTTTCTGAGTTCTTCGAATAGCCCTTCCATTTTGGAAAGTGCGCGCACATCGTCACAGAAAACATTGCTTGGATACTGATATTTATTGAGTAATTCAATTTCGTTTCGTTTGATGGGTGGTATCTGCTCATGCACATCGGAACGAATTTCTTGATGCTTTTGTATCGGATCAATTACAAGTTGAATTGATGACAAATCTACGAATTTGATTTCGATATCAGATACTTGTTTGAGTTCTTTTTCATTTTTATCTATTGAACTTCTCCATCTAACTAAATCGTTCTGTGTATAAGTCTTACTCTTTAATTTAGTATGAACCTCCTTAGTTAAATCGTCGATAGATTGATCGACGGCTTTCTGTGTAGCTGTTATCCGTTGTTCTATTTGAGCTTTGACTGCTTTCGCCTTGGATTTAATCTGCGCTTTAGAATGTTTTTTCCATTGGTGAATAGTAAGTAATAACTTTTCTTTATGGGTTTCGTCCTGTACATCTTTTTTCAAAGTGTTTGCATGTCGTTGTAACTCGAGAATGTCACCTAATAGAGATGATTTTGCTGCACGCTTTTGTTTCTCACCTGCAGGTGATCGAGATATTGCGTTGATAGTAGGTAGCGTCGATCTGGAACTAGAATTGCAGCTCGATGACGTTCTTCGATGATGCGCAGCCATAAGTCGGTAAGGATGTATTCTGAGTTGAAAAACTGAAACAAATGCAACTTATCACCTCTCAAGAATGAAACAGTATACAACAAAGTTAAGTTTGTTTTATTTTTCTACCTGTGACAAACTAAACATTACTTTTGAGAAGCAATTAAAAGATAACAAAATCCATATCACATGTCGCCTCTTATCGACATTATGATGCTTTAGCATGTCTTTCGACGAAAAAAAAAGCCAGAAGACTTCATAAATTTAGTAGTAGATAACAACCAAAAACTAAGCTGAAAAAAATAACGATTCACTTGACCGTTTTCAAGATTCTTCAAAAATAGGTATTCACCGACGCACATCTATTTTATCAGTGTATGTCATTAATATGTAACCATTTGCGTCAAAAGTTGTTTCATGTGGATTACCCATTTATGAGCATCTTAGTCTACATACAGAATCGGTTGAATCTGATTGAAGAATTCGATAATTTTCATTGTCGACAATGAATAGACAATCATTCACACTCGACATAATATCTATTAGGATAATCAGTGCTCCAACATCTACAGCTGTAGAGTAGCTTCGGGATAATTGTGCGCATCGAATACGAATAGGTTCGAATTTTTAGTTTTATCGAAAAAGAAATGATTCAACTACAAAAACCGATCTTGAAGTAGTCTTTTCTGTCACATATATTTCATACGTTATTTAGTTATCAATAAATAACAAGTCTCTAAAGTCACATATTGTGACGATGGTCATAAATTATTCACATCAAGATTGTCATGAAAATAGTATTTAGCTTTTTTTCGCCGATGACAGATGTTATGACAGATACTTCGATCTCAGCTATTGTTAAAGTAATATTCATTAGTCCCTCAATCCATAGCATCATGAAAACTCGTCTGAATCGAGGGAAGTTGGTAAAATTTCACTGGAGAGTTCTCTCTTCGGTAGTTTCTCATATATTTCAGTTTACTTCAGGAGAAAAATGCCATGCCGTTCGAATCGAACGTTTCTAAAAGATTTCTTTCTTTTTTGTTGAAATTGCTTACCGATCAATGTCATATGTTAACTCTTTGAGGAAGGAAGACATTCATATCCGTCCGGTTTCAAATCAACTTCCCAATATTGTAAACAGTATTTCTTTTTTTTTCTATATGTTCATCTTATTCTGATTCGCATTTCATTACTCATATAAAGTATTTGATTGAAACGATTTTCAAGAAAAAAGCATAAACAACGAATTAATTCATATCTAACATCAATCATTTTCTTGCACTTTTCTAAATGTTGTCTTGGTTAAGAAAATCTTCAAATATGCACATAAATTTCCATTCGAACTCAGCAAATCATATATTGTGCAAACACATCGATTGTCTCATTCGTTCTATTTGGCAAATCCAATCAAGTCAATTCATTGACATGGAAGATCTACAGATATTCCTCATAAGGATCATGACGCCAAGAAAGAACGACAACGCACGCACTGAATTAGTTTCACAAACCTAACACGATGTCAAACGGTCATTCTACACCGTTAAATTCACGCACGTTACATCACTAATATCTTCTATCCAAGATAACTCTTTCTTGTCTAAGACTTGCCTTCCTCTAATGTTGTCTCTTTCCGCATACTGATACCGTCGAATACACATTGCGTGACGATGTTCCTGCACATGCAATGTTGCTAGCAGAATTAGAAAAAGAAAGCATTTTTTTTCCGATAGATGACAATTCTGATTGACTTTTTCTCTCGGTATTTTCGAAGAAACATCATTTCTGATTTGATTTTATTACATTGACATTCCTTTACGAGCAAATCTCATACACGAGACGCTCAAATCCAGTATGAGAACATGCAATAGGTGGCTTTTCTCTCAGTCTTTTTTTTTGTTCTTCACATTAAGTAGAAGCGTGTCTACTTTTCCAACTAATTCCTATCATAATAGTTTATATCCTGCTTTATTCTGTCGCCTATTCTACTGAGTAACAACCACAAAAAAAAGAAGAAGGAGAAGAAGAAAGAATGAAGGAAAAAACGCTATATATTATTATATTTAATAAACGACAGATGAAGAGAAGAATTGAGTTCTTTTATCAGTGAATATATGTAAACACATTGTGTGTGTTTTTAATGAGAATAGTATGCTTGATGAACATGGTAAGTATGACATTGAAAAGAGAAAGTATGTATCGATGAAAATTATTATATGGTACTCGATTTTATTTCTACATGAATTGAACATTGTTCAAAAGTTTCACTGCACTTCTTAACTGAAGAACAAACAATTAACGTGTATATTCGTTTGAGTCAACGCTATTGCTTGACGAGACGAGAGTGAGGGATGCATTTCCAAGTAAAGTTCTTGTCAGTCTGATGTTCAGGACATGATCATATCTTGAGATATCTTCTTTTAGATGTTTCTAGAGGATAATTCGCTTAGTAATGACAAGCGAAGTTCGAATCTAACACTATATGACATTGATTATGCCCTCGGGGTTTTCAATATGGCTGTTGTTCTAGATGGAGAGAGAACGAAAGACTGAAGCAGCTTTCCTTTCATATGCTTTCAAACTTCATTTTCCCCGCTTTTTTTCTCTGTTCTCTTTATGTATTTGATGTTATTTTAATTAAAAGTGAACGAGTGAGATTGTCGGTGATTTTTTAACTGGCATATAACATAATACTGTGCCTTGTCAAAATGCCTTTTAAGCCTTCATCATTCTCTTGTAGGAGAATGAATAAGGTGTCGACAATTGCTATTGCATTGACGAACATCGTTAGTTGATTTTCTACTTCATCACCAGACTAGAAAAATTAGATTTTCCCCATATGAAAAATGAGGGAGAGAGAGAGAGAGAGAAAGCGGGAGAGAGAAGTTTTTTCTTGCGCATGCTCGAACATATATATATATATATCTCGAAGGAGAAAAGAAGAAGCAAGTAGAAGAAGATTAATTGAAAAATCTGCACAAAACTCCGGTAAACGTGTTGTAAGAGGCAAATTCCATTCGTTATCTTCTCACCTATATGAAGACAAGTTGTACAAACAAAATCATCAAGAGCACAAATTCATTTGCATATTGTCATTTGCAGATACATCTTCATGATTAATTCATTAACAACAACAATGAGAATATGTTGTTGCGAATATTGAATAAAGGTATTTTATCTTAAACATGTTTATTTACAATGAGCTGCCGCCTGTGGCTGATGCTCATATTGATCATTTTCCAAGACAATCTCCAAGCGATGACATTGAATCATTTGCCAGGTAAACAAAATTTTCTTTCGCTTTCGAACCGTGTCCTTCCCTTTTTTTTCGCCTTGAAGATTGCTTTTATGAAAAACGCGTTAATACTACTCTACAAGGCCACAATGATCTGAACGATCACTGGACATCGGACTTTGATTGTTTTGATCGTTGTCTGCGAATGGATCGACAAAGATGTCGATCATTCGAATACTGGCATCGCGAAGAAGTCGGCCTCTGCGTTCGAACAAATATCTCGCTAGCAGATTATCCAAGTAAAACAGGTCATAGCACATCGGTTGACTATTACGAAATCAATTGTCGACGAGAAATGAAAGGTTGAGTTGAAACGCATTGTAATCATCTATTTCATGATCGATTTATCGTTTAGCTGTGCGACCAAGTACGATTCACTGTCCGAGTGATCAATTGTTTTTAACTGTACGATTAAATGGAGTTCTCGCGGCAAACGTTCAACTGGGTGACGCAAATTGTAAAGCAAGTTGGTCAAATGAAACTCACGTACAATTTACAACCAATATTGATAATTGTTCATTGGTATTGATGAGGAAAACGAAAGCCGAAAGAAGTTCTGCTACAGATTTCAGCGAGATGAATAAAAAGGGTTTAGAATAATCGGATTGCTCATTAATTGAAACGAGGAAGAAGGTTTCTTTTCTTTGCAAAATAATGATTTCAATTCTGCTTAGATCATAACAAATAATTCAATTATTGGCAAACTTCGCTGGACTGCCGGTGTCAAAGATGGAAATTTCTCCAAGCAATATGAACGATTTTTCTCCTGTCCAAGTAAAATTTACCAAATACGAACTATGATATCGACATCCACAGTATCGAATCATAAACACACTCTGTCGGTACTTCCAAATCCTCAACCAACATCTGACGATGACCAGAAATCGACTTCACCTTACAAGTAATTCTTTTTCAAAGCAGAATTTCTTTCGTTTTATTCGGTGTGTATAGAATTAGTTTAAAATGGACTTTGCACAACCACTCCTACGACTGTCCGGAAACATGCTATGTATCGCTTTACTCTTTTCTCAATATAACGCTAGTCGATCTATCGTTGATCACATCCAAGTATACCATTGATTCGTGCGATTTACGCGCCATATCACCATATACACAATATCTGCAACCAAAACGGTTGATTTCTCAAGGGTAAGTCAACAAAAAAGTCAATCTCCCTGTTGTTGATCTCGATTTTGAATTTAGTTGTCCCGTTGATCCAACTGTGATTCATCTACCAATCCATTCGTCTCAGTTATCCGTATTTTATTTCACTTTTTATCTGTATCGCATACTCAAAGAACCAATTCCGTTTCAAATCCAATGTAAAATTCTACATAACGACGAACATCTGCAATCTCCTCCGAACATTGATTGTACATCGTTCGATATGAATCGTTCTCTCATGAATAAGAATGATAAACGAGATTACTTCTATACATTATTTCGTTCAGCATCAGTGTATGTTACACGACAATTACCAACCATTGAATCCGAAAAAGATGCTTTTCATCAGCAAAGTAACTTTTTTTCGTCTAATCTAACTCTAATAAATACCTTTGATTGCTTTTTTCGTTCTAGAGACTAGTATTTCAATTGCTACCGTCCATTATACAGAGTGCTCTGTTTTTGCCTTGTGTATTCTTATACTCTATGCCGTTTAGATGGAAGACATATTTTAGAAATAAAAAATTTATAAGATTTAATTGCTGCAGCTCGACTTCTTTTCCTTTCGTTGATTTGAATCATTTTGTCAAAATTTTACTTTGCGTTTATATACATTAATTATGTGCAGGCTATCGATATTTTCCATTGTTTCAAGGTTAAACAAAAACACCCGACGCGTACTGTTTGTTGTCATCTAGAGTTTATTTAATGGATGCTGTCGTGAAGAATCTTCACACAATGATGAAGAATGAAAACATATAAAGTGACTGTGAGTGTTTACATGATCAATGATACTCCACGAGATGAAATGAAGATCTCGAAATTGTTTTGCGTTTGTTTGAGACGATTCGAAGCTCGCATGATATAGTCGTCACCTTGCCAAAGGCGAATCGATCAGAATGTGATTGTCTTCGAGTACATTTTCCACGGACACATAGGACCTGTTCTGGTAGAAGAGAAGAAAAAACGCTATACCAAAGGGGAAATATTACGTCACGAAATGTTAGTAGAAAAGCAAAATGTATGCTATTAAGTTTATGACTGCACCTTGATTCATCGAGACTAAAACGTCGCTTAACCAAATATTTGATGATTATAGCACTGAAAATTGATGTTTCCTTAGATGAATATCGTATTTTCTTATCATCTAATCTCTTGTATCAACAATGATTGTTCTAGTGTCATGGTATCATTCATCGATTACGATAAAGAATACCAATAATCGTCAATCAAGTGGAGTATAAATACGCCCGTCGGCAACAGGCTTGATCATTAACCTCAACAATGAAATTTTTTCTACTTCTTGTACTTGCACTCATTGTCATGATCAATGGCAATCCATTGAATCGCGAGTAAGTTTCGCTATAACTTTTGTGGAGAAAGCCGTCACTAGCCGAATTGTCTTCCTAGATGCAAATGTAAAGCTGTTTCAAATACAATTAGCTTTCCGTTTCATTCATGGGACATCTCATCGTGTAAACTCTGTTCATGCAAAGACGCAGCCATGGTTAATTGTGAACAAGCATGTAAAAGTATGGTCGAATCGTACGCACGAACTGGTTGTGGCAAAGTCATTAAAGGTAGCAAAGTAAAATATTCTTGGGAAGCAAGTTCATGCTCAAAAGGTGTTAGCAAAGTTGAATACACATGTGCTTGAGATTACTGTCGTTGCTCTTTTGTCGCTTTTTTGAAATATGAATAAATACTGATGTTTGGTTTACTTGAACACAATCGATCTACTGACGCATTTCAATGCATGTACTATATATTTTTTATGATGACGTGATAAATTAGTTGTAAGCGGTGAACCGTGAAAAAACATTATTTCTAAGTCGACACTAGTTCACTGTTGTCTCGTGATGTATTTGTCTAAAAGGTGGAAATACTCTTGAGAGAAAATTCCAAATCAAATGATTCATGTCAATAAGGAGTAAATTCATTTTTTCTCTTCTTGGCTCGATATAATATCATTCTACAAACACGCGTGATTACAATGGTGTTATGAAATCTAGCAGAATTTCAAAGTACGGACGGCGGCTTTCTTGCGTCATGTGGAATGTTACATCTACCCGAAGAAAGTTGAAAGTTGAATGTTTAGAAACTGTGTGAAAGTATCGATGGCAAAAGTAAATAACTAAATTCGCTCGAGAAAGCTATTTTCAAAAGGTTTTTTCTTTTCTCGTCGTCTTTTTTGCTCCTTTTCTTCTTCCAAGGTGTGCTTTTTCTCTTTTTCGTTCTTCTCATTTCTCTCCTAGGAGTTACTCACTAACTTTATTTCAGTTTTCTTTACTCGAACTAACTTATGGCGTCAGCACGAAATCTTTGCCAACATTCCGATCCCGATGGTACACAATGCACATCCCATGATTACACACCCTGTCCGCACTGTCAACTGCAGTTATGCTTGAAGCATTTAAATTCTCATCAAGAACTACTTCGTACGGATTTGCATGATCTGTGCGATAAGATCAACTCAACGCGAATGAATTTCGATGATTTAAGATTCGACTCGACGAATCATCGCGAATTTTTGTTTAAACAGTTGAACGATTGGTATGACGAACAGTTGAGTTTAATTAATAAAACTTACGCGGAGAAAAAGCAGGAAATTCAGATTTTGTGTTTGAAATCTCAGATGGAGTTTGATTTATACAAATTGAAGAAAGAGAAGCAATTGAAGATGAATTTAATGAAACAATTGAAGAAAGTGCTCATGCTCAAACAAGTTCACGTGGATGATTTAAACGAAATGAGAAATAAACTCGAGTATATTCAACGAGGTATTGACGAACTCAAGCAATTAAAAGTTGATATTTATTTTAATTCGACAAATTTCGACATCTCGATAATCAAAAGACGTTATGTCGAGGCGGCAAAGGTAAGTGCTTGTTTTTCTCCTCTTAATCATATCAATTGACTTATTTCAGCCATTGTTTAACGACGATGATGATAATCTATGGAAAACAGATAGCGAAGATGAAGGAGAAACGGACGATTGCCACCAGTGCAATGACTCATGCGATTGTAAACAAAATTTCTCTTCACCTTCGCTTCTTTCAGTATCGCCGGCGATTATTGCGAAGAAACCACCGTTAAAACTTGTTATCAAACGCTTACGACATTCTACAATATCCAATGAAATCAAATATAAATTACACGCAATCAACACGTCATTGCCAATTCGAACTTAAACAGCACGTTCCGAATTCAATGACGGACTTTGGCTAAATCTCTCTGCGTCTTTTTTCATCTGTACATTTTGGAAATAAACAAAAATATAGAGATAAAAGTGAATGTATTTTTCTTTCCTTATCGATGTGCATCACTGTGTGTGTGTGTGTGTGCTAAGACCCCCATGTGGAGTCGAACAAAGTTGAAGAAAAAGAAAGTTAAAGAAAAAATGTATTGAAATACAACCAGGTGTTCTTTTTCTGTTCTGCAACGATTCAAATGACTTGTTATTATCATGTTTTTCGGTGAAACCCACGCAGTCAACGTCGTAAAATACCTTTTTTTCTTAATCAGTGTCTTTTAAAAGCGTCAATGAATTTTCATCAGCTGCTTATTAAATGCGATAATTTCTATACATCATTTGAAAATTGCAATGAAAAAGCTTCTCGGGACCATTGAAATAATCTCACTTGTCATATAAATTGATTAGTTTACTTTTGAAACATCGACTTATTTATTCGATTATTCTCGGATGCAAGTTTTTCTCCTGTTTCTTTACTAAACATTGTTAATTGACAACAAACGCTCTGTGCGTCATGTTTGAAGGTATACGGCTACTCGATTTCAGACATACATACACTCGCTCACGCTTTGAAGTCTTCCAACATCATTTTGTTCTTTGAAACAACTAACGATTACTTTCTCTCTCTTTTCTGTTCGACACATCAAAAGAACTTCGTATCTTTTCTTTTTTTCTTCAGCGACGATTTGTATGCGTGCGTGTGTACATAAGAACAGTTAACGATAAGTAAGAAGAGAGGTGTGGACCATTTAAAAGAAAACGGGAGAAATCATGGCAACGCATAACCTCTTCGAACGGCCAGGATTATTTGACAATCAAACTCGTTTGATTTTATCGGCTGATGCCAAACCTAAACGTTTGACTCGACCAACGAGTGCCCTAGGACGAAGTTATTCTCGCGAACGTTTTGATTCCAATAGTAGCGCCTCAGACATAGAAGAGATCGATGAGGACTTAGAAAATAGACCGTCCGAAGATAATACCGATGAAATTTACACGGAAAGAAAACCGTCCGGTCGACACGAAGAAGTAAATTATGATACAGACATTGAAGCCGATCCTGAACTGCCGCGTGATCATTCGTGTCGTGCTATTTATATCGACCAATGCCGTCGCCATGGTGTTGTGCCATCGACTCATTTCTTACGAAGTATTGAAAATGACAATATGACAATACGTTACTGTGGTTTAAAACCGATTAATATCAAAGTTATGGTCGCACCATTAAAAATCAATTCAACAATTACCAGACTCGATCTACGAGATAATTGTTTGGGCTCGCGAGGTGCAATCTATATAACAAATTTAATTAAAGAAAACGGATATATCGACGAACTGAATCTTGGAAACAATGACATTGGTATTCATGGTAAGTTGAGGAGAAAAAAAGATGCTCTATTTTAGTTCTACCTCCTCGTTTAGGCTGTAAAACACTGTGTAAAATTCTTTGTTCAAATCGTTCGATTCGTATGCTTTATCTCGATGGAAATCGTTTCAATGACGAGTGCGCACCATTCTTCGCGGAAGTTTTCGCTCAAAACGAATGCCTGAATTATTTAAATCTAAATCGAAATGCTTTTGAAAACGAGACCACCGGTCGTCTGTTTGGTCAATCATTGATCGAAAATCAATCGTTGCAAGAGCTCCATCTTGCATGGAATCATTTAAGTTCAAGAGCGTGTGGCCTTCTGCTCAAACAACTTGGAACCAATGCACGTTTAACAACGATTGATCTCTCCTGGAATGCAGCAGCATTGTTCACCGCGAAGGCAATGAATGATTTACTGAAAAAAAATACGATCTTGGAGAAAATCTATATTGAACATAATAAGATCGATACTGAATGTGCGACGTATATTGGGAAAGGTCTAGCAAAGAATGAAACCTTGAAATTCTTATCATTAAATGGAAATCCAATGGAGTCAAGCGGTTGCTATGCAGTGTTAAAGCCACTCTTAAAACATCCGACATGTACACTTCAATCGATATCGTTAATTGGTATTATTGTAAATCAAGATTTTCTTGATTTAGTAACTGAAGTTTCCGGTGTTCTACCGCAATTAGACATTAAAATTGGTAGAGAACAAGAGCAAGAGTTTGAATAGTTTTCAAATAAAGAGAATAAGCAGAAAGAAAAGAATGAACGAACGAACGAGCGAAGAATACTTCGAATCGACGAGAAAGAACAAGAAAGAAATCACAAGCGCCCATGTATAGAGGAATTCTTTTTCTTTCTTTCATTTTTGAAAAAGAAAAGTTTGTAAATGGCATCGACATCTGTCTCACAGCAACTCATAGCTGAACCTGATTCAGAATTCTTACAAACAAACGTTCAGGAAGCGATACCTTTACAAAACTATTTGCGTGAACGTTTATTGGATATCCGTACACGTAACTATTCCAATACAGGTATCGCTGATGCCAAAGCGATTGAAAAGATCTCTTCGGAATTTGAAATTCTGGTCTTTGGACCAGCACGTGTTGGAAAATCAACACTCATACGAGAACTGTCAGGTGACGAACAGATACGTACGAGTGCAGGTTTAAACGCATGCACACAAACAACAACAGCGTATGCAGATCAATTCGGTGTTCGATGGTGGGATACGCGTGGTAATAACTACTTCATTACGACCTCAACGAGGAAATCCTTGAACATCTTTTAGGTATCGAACAATGGACAGAAGCGGAAGCTCGATCTTTCCTAAAAGACAAATTCCTTGATCGTCATATTCTTCCTCGCGCAGCCATATTTTGCCGTACATCGGGCGCTTTAGCAAATACCTCCGTTTTAAAATTTTTATTTCATCAATTCGAATCCAATGGTATTCCATTATACTTCGTTGTTACCCGATGGCTGTTTCTACCACGACGTGAACAAATCTGTATCGTTGACGAAGCCATTGACTTACTGGGTGGTCAAGCGACCGGAATTTATCCATCAAAAGCCAAAGAAACCAATTTAACTTCTCAGCAAGTGGAAATCATCGCACCATCGTCAGGCGTCGGCTGTTTTGGTTCTCGCCGGTCACCACATTCTCTTCTAGCAAATGCATCCGTTCCTATTCCACCACCTGCGCTTCCTCGTTATCGGGCACTCGAATGCAAACCTGACGTTTCCTATATCGTTCCAGTGAATTCATGTCTCGATCAGTTGGGTGATACAGCGACCGGTACATCATTTCCGGTCATGAACCTTGCACTACTTCGGCAATTGATTATAGCGAAAACTTGCCGAGGCGACGATCGAGAGCAGAAACTGGTTGACTTATACAAAAATCAAATGTCTCTTTTATCTACGATTGGCTATCATGCATTCGAAGTCTTAGACGACCTTGGTTACGGCGCATCGTCGTTTGGATTGAATAAAAAAGAAGAAGAAACTTATCGTGCTCTGAAACAAGGTGGAAGAAATCAACACATGGCGACACCAGTCGTTAAAGCAGTGATCGATAAAGTAACAAGTACAATATCACTTCCCATGACTTTAGTTTCGTTAACACGACCTATGATGTTGGCAAACACTCAGCACTGAAAACGGCTGATAACGCTTTCAAGCATTGATATTCAAGCAAAACTCAATCTTTGTTGGGTCTGTGTGATAACCCCGCGTCAAATACTTGAAAAAATAGAATAATTGGACGACGCTACAACTGAATAGGAGTGTGCTCAGCAGATCATATTTTTTTCACTAATAAAGCTTACTATTATTCGCTTTTATCCTCACGCCGAACCCCTTCCTATATGCAATGTGTTACACCTATTTATGGATCGTATGATTAATTCAGATCAAAGAAATTATATTGTGGAAAAAGAAAAGATTCGTGACAGAAAGTCACTCCTCATTTCTATTTCGGAGTCACTTGATTGTTTCTTCTACGTTCTATTCGTCGTTGCAAATGAAGCATTTTCTTCAGTTTGATATAAAGTTCTGGTAATGATAGAAGCGATACGAATGGAAATAAAAGTACGATATAATAACTAGCGTATATCGCCAAAGTTCCAAACGCAGTACCAATGTTTGCTAAGAGGCCACACAAACCTAAGAATATGATGATTGCTAATGGCGCAGTAATGAGAAGATAGAGAGCAGAGATCCACAATAGTTGTACAGTCATTTTGCGATGTTTTCGCCATTGAATCTGTTGGCGTACACGATATCGTTGGCGAAGAACGCGCCAAAGCAGAGCAGCACTCGCGAAAACAATGATCAAACTCGGAATAATATTGTTGAAAAATGTTTCGAATGCACGAAACGGAAAATTATTGAATATGCATGCTGTTATGCAAACCATTGAACCGTTATTCTGAACATTGCGACACGGTGGAAAGAAATAAACAACTGAATAGAAGATAAGCCAGTAGATAAGAATGACAATCACGGGCAGATAATGAACATAGAAACGTTTCCTATCGGTTGACACCCATTTGTCATGGAATATGAGAATATGTCGTTCGATTGAAGCCCAGGCAAAGAGCATCAGCTGTAGAATATAGATTGCCCAGTCAAAAAAGCCCCATATTGAACAGAACACGAACGATCGTTGCCAAACGTTGTTATGGGCATAGTAATAGAGCATCCACGGATAATTTGACACTTCACAAAGCAAGACAGTAAATAATAGAAGAATGATCACGTGATTGTTCAACGATCGACGAAGAGTTCGATCAAATAGAAGATGATACAACACAAATAAGGAACAAAGTATCGATGGAACGAGAAAGATTAGATAGGACCAGAATTTAAAATTTCTTGATATGAAACTTGACGATGCAGTACTTGATAAGTTCACGCTTTCACTCGTGTTTGCGTTCGACATATCTTTAGGTGATATAAACTGAAAAATGGATGAGAGAAACAGGATTCTAATTAATAAAAAGATACATCTTCTCGGTGTTTCTCATACTGAAATGAACGTCTACCAGGAGTGTTTTAAGTATGTCACAATTCTCGTCATCATCGGAACAGGAATAACAAATTTCAATTAAGCAAATCTCAATTCTCTAGAGAGAAAAATAAAACTAAAAAAAAATGCGATTATCACTTAGATCTCCGTTGTGTAAGAGATTGTTAATGAAGTAAATGCGCCATTGACTGCTGCGTCGCGCAACTGCTTATCCTCGTATGAGAACCAAACAGTCCCAGTCTCCGCTGACGCATGAAATCATCTCAATACAACGTCACACTCTTGCATGACTGCGCCATGGCCGGATTTTTCTGGCAGGCATAATTACCACCCGTAATCACCATTTTTTGGACTGAAAACAGACAGCAGCACCTGACCTGGCATTCATTTCCAATTATAAAATGGACTTTTATTGAGATTGTACTTTAAAATAAGAATGACGAATAATAAAATGGTTTTTTCTACAGTTTATTCAGTAGAAACTAATTCACACAGATTTATGAAGTAATTAAGATAAACCTTCGAGCAAACAAAGAGACAAGAAATATGCAAAACCCTATTCGAAACTGTCTTCTTTTGTTCGACGTTTTATTAACGCATTAGTTTTTATTCTTGTCTCTATTCATAAATTACAAGCTCGTAGTGCTAATTTGACTGAGGAATTAAGTGTGTACATCACAGAAGATAATAAGCTCTCGTGGACATATCGTGTACTTCTAACCCGCGAGGTGTGTCTACGAAGAGCACAAGAAAAGTGACACTTGATGAAACCAAAAGCAAAGAAAAACTAGGGTTTTAAATATTTAAACGTGTAGAATAATTACAAAACATGCGAGGCCTTTTTTATTTCGGCCCAGTCGTGCGTTTTCGATTGGAGTTTTGCGATCGTTTGTTGGCTCCAGTCGACGAGAACGTCGTTTGAGAACTCGGAGGTGGTAAAAATATTGAGCGAATACTTGGATCAGTAATACCAATTCGATATGGATTGCGCATCGATTGTGACTGAGAATTGCCACCTGTTATTTGAATTTCTGATGATGTCCACGCGACTTTTTTCGCTGAGTTGGTTGTCCGTGGTGGTGGTGGCGGTGTTTCTTCATCACCACTTAAAGCGATAATCTCATCATCGCTATCATCGATGACTTGACTACTACTATTGTTTTGTGCTTGTGAGGATGTTGGAACAGTCGATGTCTATAAAAGAAATGTAGAAGTTTGAATGGAGTGGATGAATCCTCTCACGCGGTTTCACACGTATACGCGGTCGTTTATCATCATGGATATGTTGCTCGAGCGATGTATATGTTGGCGAACGACGTAGTGCTTCAAGTATCTCGTCTTGAAGATTCTCTTCATCACCATTCGTCGATTGATTACTGATCGTCAATGCATCACAGATGTCATGTATAAGACCAAGTTCACGATCTATTTTGCGTTTGTAATCATCTAGATCATCGTGAATTTGATCGATTGTTTCACGCGTGTTTGGATTGTTGGTTTGTAAAACTTTGCAAGATTGTTTCATGACATTCGTTTTCAGATCACGGCCCCATTTGATCATCAAGTCAAGTTTGGCACGGACAGTTTTTTGTTCACTTGTATAACCACGGAAACAACCAGGACTTCGACCAGATGTGCTCGTACTTGCACTTGCCATAATAAAATTCAGAGTTGATTTTCAAACAAAAAAAAAATTAACTAAAATCAAAGTTCAACAAGCAAACAGAGAGTGATTGAATTAGAATGAACCAGTTGATTGAACGTAGTGAAAGAAAGAACTAAATTGAACAGCCAATCACAAAAAAAGGCAATTCTAATCCGACGGCACATTAATAACTTGAACGAGAAATATCATCGCATTTCTTCTTCGAATCAAAATAACAAAGCTGCCTTGGCTTTAAAAATACCTTTTTTTCTCCTCAATTGCAAACAGATAGCGACATCTATCTGGGAAGCTCCCCTCTCAACTTTTACACTACCGTAACGGTTGAACAGTATTTCGTTGTACTTCGGAAATCAATTGTGGATTTTTTTCAAGTATATTTATGTAAAAAAACGGTTTTTCACGATCTTATGTGTTCAGAGAATGAAATATCATCGCGCGACAAACAAAGAAAGTTCAGATAACAAAAAAACAAACAACACTATGATGAGAAGATCCTGTTATCCTAATATCATTTGCAATGCAAGGCAAGATATTAGCAGACGAATAATAACAGCAAGGAAAAAAGAAAAAACATGACAGATCTTCATCCGAGGACTCATTTTCAGTGTTGATTCCAACTCCGTTTTTTTACATAGAAGAACGAAACGCGAAATACACACACACATATGTTAATAGAGAATAGTTTAGCACCAAGTAGGATTTGTTCTGGTTTCTTTTTCGAAATGTTTTTTGTTTTGATCGGTGAAGAATGGATAAATGCAATATCTCGTACGCATGAATAAATGAGGAGATAATAAGATAGAGAAAGAAAGAAGAAACATTGCACAAGTTGAGCAAGCAGAAAAAAAAAGGAAGAAAGGAGTTTATCAGCATGCATCAAAACAAAATCTTCACTGTGTGCAAAGAGGAAATAGGAAGCACGTTCATATATACATCAGGGTGACAAGCAATGATAGCCTTTATCATAACAGAAGAAAAACATGACACACGATCGATGTATGTAAGTACTAGTACTGTTCGATAAATGAAATTGCTATTGTATCAGTAAGATCAATACGGTGTATAGCGGACATTATTTCGAATACCCTATGAAGAATTCATTGTAGAGATTTTTATGTTAGAAGTGCAACTTACAGTGATAGGACCGATGGTACCCGTCGGTGTCGCTGTGATGTAGGCAGTTTCGGGATAAGCATGTCTATAAAGAAAGAAAATGTATGAGATATTTCATCACATCGGCAAAACAGATAAAAAATTCTCGCTATTTTCCTAAGACTGCGGTTGTCAGAACAATGCATAAAGGAGTAAATTAGTATGAAAATGAAAAATGTCATACCCGAATTGAGCTGTTGGAGATGTCATATTCGTTGTTGATGCTCCATTGATGATATACCCAGCAGTTGTATTAACGCCATTCGTCATTGGTAAAACACTAATGATGACACAAAAAAGATTTATTTCTAAAATTTTTCGTCGTTTTAAAAGCTCTCACCCAATCGTATAGGCTCCAGGTTGTTGACCAGCTGTTGCTAATCCATGTGATGTTGTTGCTGTTATGTAACGAACACCATTCTGTGATTGTGGATTCGTAGTAGTTGTAGCAGCGATTGGGTAAGCTGTTAAACCACCCAATGCAGTTAGCTGATCAGGATAAATACTGGAAAAGAAACACAAAATCAGTAATTCATCTCGAATAGCAACTTGGAAATCATTCTCTATCAATCTAACATATTGGATTATCTTTTAGTGTATAATCTCGCATAGTTGGCTTCAGAACGATGACTCCGCTACAAGAAAGGATGTCAATTGTTATCTCACTTGGTGGTACATTGTTCGATAATCCATTTCCTTCCTGTACTCGCTGCGCAGTGAATTATCTCAAGTACTTAGTCTTGTCTTACAATTCATACTTGACGACCAAGTGAAGTTCTATTATTGTACTGTTCAATCTAACTTACGTATATCCACCGGGTAAAGCTAGACCAGTAGTGAAAGCTGCTGCTGCACGCAGTCCTGCAGCTTGAGCAGTTGGAATCAATGTTGGCCGTTGTCGCGCATTTAACATGACGCCTAAACGAAAGCAGAGAAGTATTTTGATTTCGTAAAACATCTTTGCTGAAATAGACTCTTACCGAATTGGTTGGTTAAGACTGGCTTTGGTTTCGGTTGAGATCGAGCTGTTGCCATATTGACCTAATCAAGTACAATGTTATTAATAATCTTTTCGTATCAATTCGAAATAAGGAGAGAAAAGAGAGAAAAAATAGTTGAGCCAAACATTCCACCGACAAAAAGCAAAGAGATATCAACGAGATCTCTCGCAATCAAAACGTTTCGAGCCATTCAGATGTGTCATATATATATAAATACATATGAAAACGATAGACGGTGTGCATTATCAACTAAAAAAACGTCTTCTTCAAGAGGTTTCGTTTAGAAGATCATAGGTGAAAAGGAACTTTTTTCCTCTTGCGTCTAAGTGCATGACATGCGAATGTTCTTGAGTTATTAATAAATGATCGTTCACTTGGTTTGGATGTGTTTTTTTAGTTTTTAATAACTGAACAACCATGCATCATGCGCTGAGAATATGATATATTAAATCTAATCATCGTTCGAACGTAGGTACGAGGAAAAATCGCGAACAACATTGAGAAAAAGATAAACATACATTGAACTAAGTCTGCTGACTACTGACTAGAATCAATGGTTAAAACTTGCATTGCGATCATGGAATTTTATCATGCTCCCTTGTCTAGATCATTGTTGATTGATAGATTCGTACTAGTTGATGTATTAGAAAGAAAAACAATCGATCAATGTAGAAAAGACGAACAAGCAGCCACAAACAGGCATGCAAACGAAAAAAGTTATTGAAAAGAAGAAAAAAAAATGTATGAGAAAAATAAAATAGTTGGTTGCTTTCATTATCATGTCTACCTCCTATGTCAACAGATCTTGATTCACAAGTAGTAGTAAGAGAACTAGAAGAAGACAGATGAGCTTGAGATTTTTCTGTTTTGCTATGTAGAATTATTTTGTATAAAATGATGAGAATTCTTTGGGGAGTCTGCGTTCAAGTACATACCTCGATTTTGCGCCCTTCAATGATAGCTCCGTGAAATTTTTCACGAGCCGCATCCGCGTCTTCACTGCAAGCAAATGTAACAAAGCCGAAGCCCTAAAAATTCAAGAGAAGGATATTTTTCAACCAGTCGTAATTTATCGTGATCGATTCAGTTAATGATATGAGAGTTCTCCGTTGTTTGACAGTCCTCTCTCAATTGCATGAAAAATTTGTTTATCGATGTATTAAACTGTGAATTTCTAAGTGAATGCTTTTTGTTTAATCAGACTAATTCATTTAAAACGTGTTTGCCAGTCAAACATGCGAAAAAAAAGGAAAATCTAATCAATGCGAGATGTTTCCATTGATAAAGAATGATCTGACAGGATTTTAATCAATAGCTTTTAAAAGCCTAATCACTCGGAAGGAAATTTTCTACTCACTTTAGATCCTCGTTCGTTGAATATGATTTCAGTATCGATAATTTCACCAAATTGCTAGAATTAACAAAAATAGGTTCATTCGCTTAGTTAGTCTATACAAATCATTACTTCAAACATGGCTTTGAGATCATCGTCTCGGAACCGAAATGGAATATTGGATACATGCAGACGTTTTTGGGCGGTATTCGAGCCATTTGTTGATGATGACGTTGATCCGTTTGGTGTTATGGTGCTTGTTGATTGAGGCGAATGGGATGAAGAAGAATTTGATTGTGCCTAAAAATAGTCGATGGAAACGATGTTTGACTTTTCGAGTATTTTCATCAGTGTACTTGATCATTAGGCGATAGAGATTGTATCAGATTATTAGTAGTACTGTTCGTTGTTGTTGATTCACTAATTGACGAGGGGGATGATGGAACACTGGTAATTTGGGGCAGCTGAGATGTGGAATCGACAACTAAATGAGTCATTGGATTCGTTGTTGATAAATTCGTAGATGCATATGACGACGGTTGACTAGAAAATGCAGTAAGCATTCCTGAATCTATTGTCGAATGTGCACTATTCGAGACTGACGCTGTTGGTCCAGTATTATTAACGGTTGATGAATTTGACGAGGATGATGATGATGATGTTGTCGTCGTCGTCGCTAATAACGTTGGCACTAACGACTAAAAAGAAAATGATGTTTTCAGTAGATAGAACCTATTTATTATCGTATTTCGACTTCAGCAATGACTCTATCAATCCAATTTCTATGCATTTCTAATCTTTGATTTAATGTGCTTCCGGAAACTTGATCTTTGTGTCTCAGGATGCATTTGCATGTCGAAGGGATCTGTGAAGCGAAAAGAAATTGTTCTACTCTATCTGTTCCATCCTAACTCAAGATTAAACTCAGTCGACTTTACATTGGCTCTGGCAAAACTTACATTTAACGTTAAATATTTATCCGATGGAAGAAATGAGTATATCATCGTCAATGAATAGCAGCTCCCAGGAAAGACGAAGAACTCGCGAGATCAATAATGAAAGATGAATATTCCTAGATATATATACATCTCATTGCTTGCAAAAGGATATGAAGAAAGAAAGGAGGAAGAAAATAAGAGACAGACGATCTATATTGGGAAAATGGGACGAAAGAGAGAGAGAGAGAAAGATAGTAAATGCATCAATAAAATAGAACACATACATAAACAGAAAGCAAAATTCGGTCACTATCCTCGTTCATTGATTATAAGAGAACGAATACAAACAACTGTTAAAGAAAAAGAAGAAAGAAAAACGAGAATTACTCACATTACTCTTCGGCAATCTAATCTATAGGAAAAAAAAGATGAGCAATGTATAATCAAACATCTATTAGAGTGAAGGCGAGAAATAGATGTCTATGGATGTGTGTATGTAGAAAACTTCGTTGGAGAGCTTTTCTTTTCCTCGGATCTACTCGTAATCGATGAATATTTGATATTATCAGTGTGTTCTTTTTCCCAAACACGGGTATATAGTTGAGGAGTATCCTCGAGTCCGATGGCAATTAACATTGTGAGGTATAAAATGTTTTTTTTCATTAGACGAAAAAATGGTATCTTTTGTTTGACTTGTTTTCTTAATGAGTTGTAGTTTCAACAGAAGACAAGACACAACAGTGTTGCTTGCTAGAAGATCACTTCCGTTCAATCTCAAGGCAAATATAACAGACAGACGGGTAAACTAAGCGAGTGACCGACTAATTGTGACTCTTCTCTATGTAAAACAATGATATATTTGGGCAGATGCTTACTTCGTTTTGTCTCAACTGTTCTATTCAATCAATCAATCGTACACATCGAAATATGTCTATTGTGCGTTGACCGAACTCTTTTTTTTCTCTTCTCGTTCTCGTCTTATCTTTTTCTCTTCTTCATCACCAAAAGTTTTCATCTAATTAGGATATCGAAAGAAACACGAGTGGGTGAATTTGTAAAGAGCAAAGATGATTCAAATCAGCATTTAGATGAACATGTGGCCGGAAGTCGTGTAAATATTCCTACCGAATTCAGTGATGCTGATGACGCATCGAGCTGTTGTTGAAAGTGATGAAATGCGATGAGATCGTTTCTGGTAAGCAGTGCTGTCGTCGGACCTGTTGTATTTGGATTGTTGTTTGTTCGATTGACAATACCGGATGATGAAACCGTTGCTAACATAGTTGGACTCTAAATAATCAAACATATGAATCATAAAAAGAGATGTCCTTAATCGAGTTGTTCATAATTATATATGAATAGATAAATAGAGCAAGATGAGTTAGTTGCCAGCATAAGAATAAGATAAAACAACAACGGAAATGATCTAGCTGAAAAATAGACTTTTTGAGTGTCTCGATTACAAGATGAAAAGTCTTTTTCTCTGTCCCCTTGAGTCTTACAAATGTGCACTTACAATTAACAGCATGTCGGTTGAGTTATGTTGCGTGCTTTTGAGCTAGATGCACACATACACGACGAAAATATGATTATTTTATGATTGTTTCACTGAAGTAGACTACTATTCTTTCTTCTTCTTCTCCTCGTGTTTTTTTCTGCTTGTTCGCGACACGTTGTCGAAGAGTTGTAGTACTTTAGATGAACGTAATCGAGAAAGACGACGAAGAAGAAGAAGAAGATTAGTTGAACGAAAGACAAGTGAAAAGAATCTTCTGTCCTATTGTTGCTTCAATGTGTGCATATGCATATACCTTCTCTAGTCGATTTTCGTCCTCTTCTCTCCTTGTCTTTTTTAAATAATGTATAGGTTTGGTTCGATTGAGTGATCACGCTAGTAGGTCTCTCCTTTTGTTTAGTACTAATAACGTTATATCTTTTTTTTCCCTTCTTCTTCTTCTCTCGTTATTACTCTTTGCTTTGTTACTGGGTTGGATTCATGTGATGAGCGTGTTATGAGAACGGGCGTCGACGACAATAAGAGCAATGATCAACAGAACGAGTGCGACGAAATAATCGAAGATATGAAATATGATTTTCTTTCTCTTCCTACATTTTTTTTTGTTCTCTCTTTCACATTTTCTCTTCGCTTTGTGTCTTTATCTATTGTTTTGACGATTTGTGAGTACAGAGTGAAGAAGCTTCGTCCATTACATCCTGCAATGAGGACTCTCTTTCCCACGTTTTTTTTTGTGTTTCTTGTTAACCAAGCCAGTTTGTATGTGTGTGTGTGTTGGTACGATCGATCGCGAACATCTGTTTTTCACTAGAAATCTAATCATGACATAAACATGGATTACCAATACAAACAGGTCAATCAACACGTTCAGATGAGAATTCCTCAGCGTGATGTGACAATTACCATTCAAACAAGGTTATCAGTTTTCCGCCATTGAAATCAATACGCGTACTCGAAAGTGTTTCGATTTCAACTTTAGTTCGATCGACCGACAGACATTGATTCAAATTACAAAGATAGGTGAATGAATAATACACATGCATATTAGCACTTCTCTCACAGATAAAATTAGAAAGTAACTACATGCGAGACATATCAATGGATGGAAAAGAAAGAGAATCGACATGCTTCGAAACATGCATGAAAAACAATAATAACTAGTTTGATATCGAATTCGGATATGCTGAAATCCATGCGAAATACTGGCGAGAAAAGAACAGAACTACATTGAATTAGTGCGAGACAAGAAGGTCAATACAGAATTGACGTGCAAGACGATAAATACACAACACAACTATCTTACCACTATTATCGGACATTATCTTTTCTGAAAAACAAAGCTTTTCTTAGTTAACATCTTCATACACACGCACACGTATTCACATCGATAAGCAAAGATATGAAGAAGCGACACTAATTTCAAACGTTTTACCTTCGTTGAGAAAAAATCAAATCTCTATCTCCTGGAAGAATCAATGATTGACAAACTAATTGAAAAGCAGACAATTTACTTACAAAGAATTGATCGGTTAATAGTCGATGGTTATTGAATGGTTGAATCCAAGGCGTGGGAAAGTATTGATTGACAACTGGATGAGGATGAGGATAGACACCTGTTGTTGCCGCAGGAGATGATGAGGAGGATGATGATGATGATGACGGAGATTCAGTTGATGAAAGAAACGTAGCTGCTGCAATTGTATTATTATGTAGAAGCATGGTTTCTCTCTCTCTTTCGATTTTTTGTATAAGAAAAATAGATCTAAAGAGAAATCAATATGAATTAGAGAGGCTTCGTCAAATAGATTCGAATAGAAGGTTTCATTTGTATAAATTAAACAAAAAGAAACTGTATGCATCCGTTCGTTTTATGTCGAAGTATGAATGATATGATAATATATTCCTCTGGCCTTTTTTTTCGAAAAGTTAAACAAAGAACGAAAATGATAGGATTATCACTATCACTAACACAGATAGATTTATCGTATTGGTGGATTATTTAAGGCAAATTAAACCAAGTCGGAAATATGACGAAGTTTTTCGAAAATAACCGAATGGTTTCCAACAAATTTCCTCATTATTACTGCGTAGAATCTCAAAGTAACAATTAAACGTTGTAGTTTTGTTCAACGTCGAGCGACATCTAATGAAGTCGTTCGGAAACGACTATATATCCGACTGAATGCAACATAACTACAAGAAACTGCTGAGAATTTATTTGTCGAACGAATGACTTCATATAAATGTTTTCTTTCATCGATTAGCAATTAACAACAAAAAAGACATGATGAGAACATATCATTCATTGTCTCTGTTAACCCATGAATTCTCTTGGATCACCTTTGGTAATTAATCTGGATCGTTTGGCGATGACATCGTATTGGTCATCATCGATCTGGTTCACTTTGTTTTTGAGGAATGCTAATAAACGTTGTTCGGCATTGTAGGATGGGTTGTATTTTTGGTTGACGCGGTACGTTTCGACGTCTTCCCCGCTCTCGTCGTGTTCGCTGTCGACTGGTCGGATACTTTTCGAACTAAATCAACATAATGCGGACTAGGTTCTCTCGACAAACCAAGCTTACCTGACTAGAAAAACTGTCAATGCTAAAAATACAACGATGGAATAGAATTGCATGTTGTCAGGCAGATATAAACGAGAAAATGAATAGTAAAAGCGAGTGTTGCTGGTATCTATATACTCCTGAAGGGTACTGATATCTTAAATGAGAAAAATTATTGGTTTTGTTCCTTTTTATCTTAATATGAAGATGCATCTTGAACGACATTACATGGGCGTAATACATGGGTCGGATGAGATGTCGTTTTATTTCTCTTGGCTAAAAAGAATTTTTTAAGATTTTAATGGATACTAATGTTTTGCTTTTTGCTTTCACTCGAGTGTGTAAATGGATACTTTGAAACTGATACAAAAAAAGATAAATTCATGATATGTTTCTGAGAAGAAGACTTCAAGATCATTTATATTTTCCATTTCATTCCCGGACGGTGTATGGAAGGGTGGATGAAACAGGTTGTTCTTGTAATATTGATCATTGAGACCATATGCAACGGTCACAACACAGTGTCTGGTGCGCTCGTACGACAAAATTTTAGTCGCCACCGGTTTCATTGGCTTTGACAGATCACTTATCGTATTGAAAAGACGTCCTGAACATTTCTAATCTGTGCTAAACACTGTTCACTATCAAGCAATTAGCTTCTATTCTCTGGATGTAAGATGCTTAATTGAACTCGATAGGAAGAAGTTCTCTTGAATCCAAGGATAAAAAAATCGCCAAATCAATCATATGAATTGAAGAGTCTGTCTGATTAAATTATCGAAGTTTTATTTGTATTAAAAAATGAATAAAAAAGAAAAGAAAAGGCAAATGATCATTCTAGAATATGTTCACTGTTCTCCATATTAAACATGATGTGTAAGAATCGGAGGTGAAGATGGTGGAAGGAAAACTTGATAAATATTATGATTATTTTTCTGAGTTGACTTTTGATTCGGTGTAGTTTGGGTTGGAGTGATATATTGTAATGTACTGTAATTCGCAGATTCTAAGTATTCTTTATCGTAAGGAGATTTGTCGATGAAACTATCTCGTTTAGCTGAAACGTGTTCGATAGTTTGACTTGTTCTATGATAACCTGAACGAATGGCCTGACGAAATGAATTGGTGCGATAAATCGGAGAGAAGATTTCATCGTGACTGTTATTAGGTAGTTGGTAGATTTGATTGGATAGAGACGTTCTTCGTTGTTGTTGTTGTTGTTGTTTTTGAAGGGTCGGAGACATGTAAATTGCAGACGATGGAGTGACAGACAATGATGAGAGAGACTTTTCTGCCACAGCACGTCGATGTTTATGCCGTTGACGTACCCAACAGAACGCACCTATCAGAACTAGAATCGAGGTGCCAAGAAGACCAGCGATGATACCAAGCACAATACGAAGAGGTAAATCCGAAGAACTACAAAGAAAATGTTTCTAAGAATTACTCTAGTGAGCATAAGACATTCTAACCTATTTGCATTAGTTGTTTTTGTGGTTGTTATAATAGCATCGTCCGTACATTGATTATTCAAACAACTTTGTCCGAATGGACATCGTCGAATAGTATCAGTATTTGAACAATTGGTTGAATCAACCGGTAGTTCACAAACATATGAATTATTTCGTTGAATTTTTAATGTATCACTTGGGCAAATACATAAATAATTGCTCGTTGAGTTACACCATGTGATACAACGTGTGGGAAATATCGTACAAGCGCTTGTGTTCAATGTATCAGCACAATAGAACGAATTCGAATAGGAAACGAGGGAATTCGCTGAAAGACAAGTACATGTCGATAATGTTGAAGAACAAGTTGTTAACGATGACGAGCCACAAGTATCAGTTAATGGATTACAAAGAGTGCCTATAGAATCAAATAGATTGTTTTCAAGGTTTTTTTCTCAATAGAAAAGAAACTTTTGAAACGGATGTTCGCATCAAAATAAAACACAAAAATTTTTTTGTTCATCTACAACGGTAATGTAGTAGAAAAGATTGATTTCCGAGACTCAATTACTATCATCATCAAGCGAAGATATGAGAAGTTTTTGCTAATCATTGAAACAACTCTGACTGAGTATAAATTTCTTTCAATTTTAAAATATTACAACAAAAGACAAGTCGTTATTTCCGTTCGACGTCAAGGACATGTCCGACAAGTTTTTCTTTTTCATTTATCAATGCCATTATCTGAGTAGACTCTTTTGTTCTATCTGAACTATACTCTATCTGAACGACAAAACAAAATACATTTAATTTCACATCGAAATGCAATGTTTGTTTGCCTATTGAGTTTTTTTATTTGTTCTCTAATCCCATCAAACCATTAACTGTATTTCTGTTTTTGTCAACGTGAACGAAACAAAATGTGCACCAGACAACTCACATCGATGTGTCAATCGCGTCTATATGAAACTTACCAACAGGTTTTTCATAATCAATTTCAATATTGAAGATCGTTTGAGGATCCGTCATGTATTGACCATTATTAATCGAACAATTACTCAATTGATATTGTCCTTGTCGGAGATAAAGGCCCATTTGATTGAGTGATATTGAACTTGATGAATAGTTGAATGGTGTTAGGGGAACAACGATCGGCTCGGAGTAGCGTGAAGTTAGTGTGGAGCCGGCAACAGTTTGTAATTGACAAGAACTGACAATGGATCCACAATCGAGTATTATCGGAAATGGAACAAGATACGTTGATGTGGAAAATGGATAAATAAGACCGACTTCAAATGTTGAGATCGATGCTGTCGACGATAGAAACGAATAACTAGCTATGAGTTTAACAGATGATGAATTGACAAATTGAAATTGATTCGCAACAGCAGCGCTTGCTAAGTACGTTCTATTTACAAATGAACAGCCGTAGAGAAAAGTCGGTGTTGATGTCGTTGTTAATTGAGAATTTATTGTTTGGATGTAAAGGAAAAGAAGAAACACCATAAACATCGCATAGACCATACACCATTGCGGCTTGTCACCAAGTCAGAACGACAAAATCAGATGTCTGAAATGGATGTAGCTCAGTTAAACAAAGAGAGAAAGAGAGGAGAGATGAAGGAAGAAGCATATTTATGTCACTGGGTATGCATCATCGAGAAAGAGAGAAAGAAAGAAAGGAGAAAGAAAAGTGGCACAAATGAGACATCGAGGTTTCGGCACAATCAAATCGATAACGAAATCATTTTCTTCTAATTAAGTAAATGAATATTTATCCCACCTTTCGAACTATCAGCAGCTACATAATACCGATCGAAATGAACCAGGCGAACGGCAAAAAAGCTCATATATATATATATGATTCAAAATGTTCGTCATTGACTATGTTGGATGCTTCGCATGCCAACACTTCGAAATCATATATATTAAAAAAAGCAATCAATTATCAAGTATCTCCTTTCTAGTAACTACATTAAAAAATAACACTCACTCGCGAAACTTTCGACAGCACAAGTTCACTGTATGTACACATAGTTGATCTAATTATATAAGCGATTTTGTTCTGTACGACACTATGTATGAATCGAAACTATGTCTCACATCGATGTGTGAACGGATACTCTCGTTATCGATCTATTCTGTTTTAAGGTAAGACCGATTAGAAGCATTGGGCAACCAAAACACATCACATATGTATGATCTCTTCTCTAATCTTGACAAGATTACGTTAGCTCTTCTCTCATTAGTAAATACTTTTCCTCGTCGATCAATCGTTCGCTTTTTTTTTACATTTCTCTTTGTATACCTGACTGAACTTCGATGGTGATTATACCAATATCGCTTATGAAGGGAGAGAGAGAGAGCCGCCACGAGTGTTAGTGGTGCGATTAATTTCGTATGTCAATATTTGCCGATGAACATTTATATTTCTATATATAAGTGGTTAATTCGAATAACACATGTACACACACATGAACGCTTACAGCTATTTATCAATATTCGACGTTGTCTTAGAAAAAAAAAGGCCGTTGATACTCGTTTTTTCTTCTTCTGTCTTTTCGTTTCCTGCGTAACCGAGCCACATGCTATGATTAATGTGACACATACTTTATAATTATTCCTTAATGGCTTTGAGAATATCTATGTTCACTATTCGCATACGTCTTACCTTGATAACACATGTTTCCACGAGGCGATGTCAAAGAAACGAAGAAATCTATTGTCTGACTATTGATTTAAGGAATATTTAACTCATATAGATTAGACGGGAAAAAAGCGTTCACCCCCCATGTCAATAAAAACCGGCGAGAAAAACTTACCAACAAAGATTCAAGTGTCTCTGACACGTTTTTCTTCATGTCCAATCTGAAGAAGAAAGAATCAAGCGTACACATACGTATATACATTTCTTCGAGACTAGATATGCAATTGTTTATGCTCGAGAGACAAGTTTGAAAGTGTGGTGGAGTATTGTTTGATGTTAAAATATTCACACACATCGAGCAACGAAAGTGGACACTTGTCGTTTGGTTATATATACAAATATGAGTAAAAGAACTAATGAAATCAAAGAACAATATATATATATATATATATATATTTCATATCTGTTTTGCCGAAAGCAAATGTCCACTATGCATATATCTCTGATTGATGTTTCGGTTTGATCTAGAACGAACTGATTTCATTGACACTGTATTAAATGCTAGTAATTGAAGTGAAAAAAATTTTCTTATTCGATCAAATTACTAAGACGTACGTCAATTCATTTCTAACAAAAACAAACTCGTGTTCAATGGAGACATGTTATCTTTGATAGTTATTCTATATAGTAGACTAACAAATAAATGCGAAGAAGAAATTTTAATCATATGCCCGATGAAACCTCATTATAGCTAGTATAATAATCATTGTCATGAGTGTTAGTATCAGATTCCACTCGTGAAAAGAGAAACATAAATATAATCATTCGATTCTAATGCCTATTATTACGCATTTGATTGTTATTTGTCGACAGTTGACTAGGACACTTTCTCTTCTCTCGTCCGTTGTTTTTAAGTATATGTGCCTTAGCGGCATCAACAGTCGTCATAACTTCTATTTGGATTCTGTTACACAGTGAGCGATGACGCGAACCATTGTCTATTTACATTGACATTCAATCTTCTGTTTCTGCTTTCTTTTTCTTTCTCATTATGATGAGAAATGAGATGAACATGTGCACATAACCACGAGCCGCTTTCATCGTCTTCTTTGTGGTTCATCTTACATACGAAAATGAAAGGTAGCCTATAAACTTCCAAGACTTCCAAGGCTGCTATATACACACGTGTATGCATATAAATAGCTTCTCGATAATCGAATCAATCGCCGTCAGGAGTAACAGTAGACAGTATAAATAATCGCTATATACAATATCGATCAAGTTATGCAAGTTGAACATATGCAGTACAGAGAAAGAATAAACACAATGGGATAGAAAGTGAAAATCGAAATGGGAGGATACTTCGAGAGATTCTCTTCTAATGATGAGCAATTAATCTTCTTCGATTCAGTTTTGATTTCTATCAAAACATCAATGTGTTTGTATTCAATCAATAGGATATATCCGGTATCGGTAATTGATGTCCAACAGGAAATCTTGACGTCTATTGGTAAATGCTCATTCATCAATTGGATTTCGGTTCAATCAATCTGATCAACGAAATACGTTGGTTAAAAAGATCCGCACGTTGTATTTGATCCTCTTGTTTCATCGAAATGATATATGAGATGATTCGATTTTGCCCGTCGAACATCGATACTAATTAGGAGTAAATGAAATCTTTTGGTCAAGGAAGAAACTCGATCGTTTTCTCATTAATTTTTGTTTCAACATAGAAATCATTGTCAAACACAAGGGCCTTGATGGAAGTATTTACATGATATTGAGAAAGAAAGTTGTTATTTTGTCTAAACGTGCTGTTTAACCTTGTTAAAAGCGTTTTTCGCGTCAGTTCAATCCTGAGTGATTAATTTTCTTATAGAAAATGTTTAATGAAGAGAAAAGCAGTGTTTTATTTTTATTTGACTTACAGAACAAGTCAATATTTGAGCTGAATGAAATCAAGATGGCTGCTGCATCTTTTTTGAGAACTGTGTTTTTTACTTGTCAAACACAAAAGATGTGTAGGAACTATTTTGAGACGAGCAGCAAACCTGTTATCCTAAAAGTTTGTTTCTGAATGAAATCATGCGTAATTTACGGTGATATTTTCTGATGTAGAAAGAAAAAGTTCATTAATTCCGGATGCTCAAACCAGTAAGAACTTTCTTATCAACTGAATTTGAAAAACACTAACATAAGAAATCACATTTGTTGCCAAAAGTCACCTCCACGAGTGTTTCATGCCACTTGTTATTCTTTTCCTAATGGATGGAACAAATCAAACTGATTATGGTGACTATACAGATTCATTTGACTCAGATATAGCGTTGTCGTATCCAGTTCGATTTTGGTTACTTCTCGTATCAGACATCCCGGCTATTCTGATGGTCCTATTCGTTCTGCATTATCTCCTAAATAATTCATCACAACGGAAATTACTGCACAACCATACATTTATTCTACTTTTGTTTCTAACAATGTTTACATTGTTGACTGACATACCACTTTATCTAAATTATGTACGAATCGGATCTGTTTGGCCAGCAAGTCCTGCAACTTGTTACGTATGGTGGATGTGTAACAATGCCTTTGCTGCTACAACATACCATCTGATGAGTTTAGCATCGATCGAACGACATATTATAATATTTCATAGCCACTGGTTAGCAACAAAGTACAAACGACTATTTCTTCACTATTTACCTCACATAGCTGTGTTAATCTATTGTTTCTGTTTTTATTTTCTGGCGATCTTCTTTCCATCATGTGAGAATCATTTCATTTATACAATCTTGTATTGTGCATATCCATGTTACTATTTTGTTTCGGATTTTCGCAATTTTTGGGATTTAGTCTTTAATGGCGTTACACCACCTTTGATTATTAGTTTATTCAATATTCTCCTTCTTGCCCGCGTTCTCTATCAAAAACATGTCCGTCTTCACCAACCAGTTGTGTGGAGAAAACATCGCCGGCTGACGATTCAGGTTGTCTCCGTTTCGTTGCTATACCTATCGAACATTTTTCCAGCTATGGTAATAGGATTACTTAGAATATGCGGATATTCAACAGAAATCGGTGATAAGATTTTGACGTATACAACTTTCTTTGCGTATTTTACTAGCATTTTGTTGCCATTTGTTTGTTTGGGATCTTTACCGGAATTACGATTGAAACTGAAGCAAATTCTTCAATGCTCATGGCTGTGCACGCGTCAAACTCGTGTAGAACCGTTCCATGATCCCACATTTGCAACGAAAGGCCATCCAGTTGTAGTGAGAACATCGTGATTATAAATAAAATCATTATTCTTTTTTGCTGGGATTTAACATCTTATCCGATCAAAGATGTTCCGATTGTGCGCGTCTTGTCGTCGCATAAGGCTTCTTGTTTCTAAAGAAAGACATATAATAGAATATTTAATCTTATAGGCTGATTTTTTTCTAGGAGAAATATGTCTGATATAAAAAATTCTTTATTCGTGGTAATAGCGGCATCTGCTCGAAGTGACGATATATGTCGGGTTAATCTTTAGAAGTTTGTACTAACTTACGATAATTGATGATTTCGTGAAGGAGACTTCTCGTTTCTGGGAGTAAACATAATAGAGTTTGTAGAGCACTAATCATTGTATCTTTCACACCTATTTCTCCTAAAACTTTTCGAGCGGATCAATAATTAAATATCTGCTACTTATGTAAATGATATGCCGCGAGAAATCTTATCATGAGGATTACATATTAAATGAATATGTGGATATGTTGCGAATGATTATGCACGCTTTCCCTAGATTCATGTTGACAGCATAGGGAAGGAAAAGTACATTTCTAGTTGTCTTTTTTTTTAATCAAAGTATTATTCAGACTCACAATTATGGACACAACTGACAGCGCGAATAACACGACGTTTGGTAACTCGGAAATATCTCTTCCACGTCCCGTTCGTTTTTGGCTTCTTCTCTTTTCGGATGCTCCATCGATTACCTGTTCACTTCTTCTTCTGCATTATCTTATTCATGATCGTACAGCCCGAACAGCATTGAATAATCACGTAATCATTCTTTTACTTAGTCTTGGTTTAACAACGCAATTAATCGAAATACCGTTCTATTTGTCGTTCATTGGTAACAATGGCGTTGTTAAACCATCAGTACCAGCCACATGTTTAACATGGTGGTTCGTAAGTTTTGGAATGTATAACGGAGGAACGATACTAATGGCATGGGCTGCTGTCGAACGACATATTCTCGTATTTAACTATAAACTAATTTCAACATCCCGAGGACGATTTTTTGCACATTATTTACCTATTGGTATACTCTTACTGTACGTACTTGTGTTCTATATTTATGTTTTATTCTTTTTCCCTTGTGAAATGAACTATGAATATAGTGTACCGATATGTGGCGCGTATCCGTGTTATCAACAAGATCCGTTCGTTGGCATGTGGGAGTTCATAGTAAATAATATCGTACCGAGCTTATTAGTGGCGGTTTTTAGTATGGTGTTACTTATTCGTGTTGTTCGACAGAAACGTCGTCTTAATCAACGTGTTCAATGGAGTAAACAACGAAAAATGACGATTCAATTAGTATCATTATCTGCGTTGAATATTGTTTTCAATGTACCCTTAAATCTCATGTCTCTGGCACGTCTCTGTGGTCTACCGGACGATTATGGTGTCGATGTACAACAGTATTTCTATTTTTCGTGTTATTTCTTGATTTTTCTTTTTCCATTTGTTTGCTTGACTTCATATTCTGAATTTTGCATGAAAGTTAAACAAAAAATCTTTTACTGTAAAGTTAAACCCATTTCAGCCTCAGTGCGTAGTGCTTGGGTGACAAATGCGAAAGATCACTAGTCGTGTTCATGTTATGCGTTTCAAATCTTTTGTTTTTCCAAATAAATAATTTTGAAGATGGTGAAGACAACGATGTTCATTATGCGTTCTTTCGAGTATAAACGCAACTGACATGCATGCTTCAGTGAATAATGATGATACAGGCAGTCTCGGATGATACATCATCAATGTCTCGCAATGAGTACAAAAATGAGTAAAGTCTTTCTTCTTTTAGCGAAATATTGCTGTGAGAAGAACAAGGATTTGATGGAACTACAGTCTATGAAAATCAGTATTATCTGCACGCGGACTTGTATACTTTTTGCCATTATTTTGGTTCTTATTTCTCTGGTTTCAGCGATAGTTTATGGGACATTACGGCGACGGGAAAAGAATTTAACATCGACAATATCATCAAATGCTTTTGCAGTTGAAAGAGAAATCATCGGTTTTCATTCCGTTTTATCGAACGATGACCGTTATATTCAATGAAATTTCTCACGAATGAATAATAATGATCATAAAGATGATTTAGTTCATGCTGCACGTATCCGACAATTATTAATGAAAAACAATGCCAATACGTTTAACTTACTTGTTGATGATTTGGTCTCATCATCAGCACTAGCTACAGCATTATAGTTAATAGAACAGCTTTAAATAGAAAGCCTCATCTCACTCTCAAGAAAAACCGAAGATACTGTAAATAATGCCTGTGCATGTTAGTAGCGGACATTGAGAGTGACTCTGACAATTGTAGTTGCTTTAGTTAACGTATTTATTTCCACATGACTCGATAAATACTGACTGATCACATACACCTTCACCCACCCCGCACCCTCAAGTTTAACATCTGCTTGGATTTAAAGCTGATTTTCGTTTGATTGAAGTCTTGTACATATAGTGCGGTATCATTACCTATAACAGAAAAAAATACATTTCATCTATTCTTTTTTTTGTCAATAATTAAGTCAAAATAAAGTATTATTTAATCAAATATATAAACTATGCTTGTGTATGAAAATAAGGGATGGATTCATATTAAAAATTAGTCAACATTTTTCATTCAAAAGATTATTCACTATCCATTCTGCTACGATATATTCAACACTATATGAGACTATGAGCAACCCTCACAGGAAGAAAATATCACATAAAATATGCTTGTTGTGTAGGATCTAAAATAGTTCATCAAACGGATAATATTGTCGAAATAATCCATCGTGAGGACTGAATAAACAGTCTTTACGTTGACTTATGTCATACTTATGCGTATTCTTACTAGCGTGATACCTGAGAAAGGTTTGACAGCAGCGCAGTCGATGTTACCAATTGTTATAGAACGGCTCGGATTAATTTTCACATGTTACCATATGACGACGTGCTTACGTTGATTGAGCAATTAAAATTTGAACAATTTCATTTGGTTTGTAAACATCAATACTAACAATAGGTCGCAAATAGAATCTTTCACATTCCATTGAATAAATGTAGAATGGAAGTTGTCGTTTCAGTAAAAACTTATGAAGAAAAAGTTTGTTTTTACACATCCGAACAAGACAATCGCTAATCGAAATTCTTCCATAATGAGACTAATAGGTACGAATGAGAACCTAAGAGGAATGTTGCACTTTCGACGTTATTCAATAGATTCCCTCGATGAACTTGAACCTTTTTCAGTCAAAGAATAGACAAATAGGTATATGAATGTCGTAGAAAGGATCGTGTGACATCCTTGAAGAAAGTCTTTGCTTCTTATTTCTTTGGCAGGTGAACGAGTAAAGTACTGAAGTATGATATTCGAAAGTACTTGTCATAAACCATTAACTCCATATGAAACCACTTCCAAGCCACTTATAGATGAGCAGTTACTTGCATAACCAAGTAAGCAAGTTATTTTGAATATAACTGAAAGCAGTGATTGGCATAGACGACGATATTCACTTGGAATTATTCATTTGCGTGCTCTTTCGCTTCGTATGTTTTCCTTTCCCGAAAAATCGCTTTACTAGTCATTATTATGCATATTTGCACTTATTCTCAGACTAATTATTTTTGACTGTCTAAGTATTTTCATAAGACAAGTATTTAGTATGGTAATAACCCTAATAGCAAATGCAGCACGATGTTAATTGAGATATAATAAGAAATGTTCAGATTTACTGCGCGATTAATGCAAAAAAGGACATGCCGATTTCATTTTTCTTTTACGGATACATACTTAAAATAGATATGAGCTCATTCGTTTCGTTTAGGATATCAATAAGCAGCTATGTTGAGCTCTGTGAACATTTAGCATGAAGTTCTATGTCTCCTTTTCTTCGATACAAGTACCGGGACATACATGAATTCCTCTATATAGTTTTGAACCAACACAGCCGTCAAGTGAAGTATCACTTCCAAAGATAGACGAAAAATATTTCTGATTAGACCTAGTTAATATCCAAACTAATATTTCTCGCTTTTGTTTTTACTAGTAAGCCTCTGCGAGCGATACAAATAGTCATTGTATGAATTGAAACTGACTATCAACGATCAAACTCACGTAAAAACCGATGTGTATTCAAAAACATAGATATTATAGTTAAAATAGAAGTACAAATATAAATGTTTATAGCATATCGAATCATTTCTCTGTATCAACAGTGAGAATGACATCATTTATATACGACGAACTTTTCATAGGAATATCGCTATACGATACGAATTCAATTATATATGCAATTCAGTTTCTAATTTCCTTGTTTTACTTATTTTTAATAGGTTCCGTGTCAAAGCGAAGTACAATAAATAATTCCTGTGTTTTTCTATGACATACAAAAAGAATACTCTTTCTCTAATCATATGCGCATGATTTATCTATGACTATGAGGTATTATCTAATTCTTTCAAGAAACGTAACGATGTTCCTGACAAACTAACAAATAGATCTGCATATTGTGATTCTTGTCAGAGACGAACGGAAGGAAAGAAAGGCACGAACTTCTTCGTTTTCTGAACTTTTAGTGCTTTCTATCAAGATGGAACAGTCCAATTGTAGAATCTTCTAAGGATGATATCATCAAATCAAGCAAATCCCACAAGAAATCGCAGTCGCATGTTAGAAGGTTGTGGGGAAAACAAAGTTTGTACAAAAGTCTTGAATAAACGTAATATGTTTCGATGCAAGATCTCAGAGGTCACGATTTCAATTTGATCTTTGCAAAATTGCGTAGCACCTGACAACAGATTTTCTAACCTAAGTGAGAAGCAAACCCCTGAGATTGAGATGTTTTTGATAACTTCAAAGAATCGAACAGGTGATAGATCTCTGGAAAATCTCATTGCAAGTCAGATGATTAGTTGTAACAATTCCGAATACTTTTCACATCGAAAAGTCTACGAGTTTCCCTTCCCTCCGATTGTGAACGTACCGAGATTGTCCTAGAAATGAAGACAAAGCACTCCAGGACTCTTCCGAAACTAGCAGATAGGTGTAATTTTCTCTCAGACTATTTCTTCTCTCTTTTCCTCGCTCTTCTAATTATTCAAAAGCATGGCATCCTGATGGTCACGAGTGCTCTTTTTTTCTCTTCGAGCGGCGAACAGCACGTTTGTCTTCGTGACAAGAATTTCTAACTGAAGAACTTGACTGGATTTCGGTTTCGCGAATACATTTGTTTTCATCTTATTTTCAGATAGCATGATGAATAACCGAACCTTAAATGATAACGATGACGTTGAACGAATGAGTTCTCTGATGCACTATCTGAATATCCATGTAAACCTATTTTATTTAATCTTCGGAAACATTGGCAATCTATTAAAAATCGCTTTTTTCCTTCAAAAACCCTTGCGTTCTCTTCCATGTACGGTTTATATACTCTCCGCAACATTTAGTGACTTCATAACTCTAAATAACCTGCCCGTACTTCAATTACTCAGTCATTTATACCCGAATAAATATTGGATTAAAGTGACTGTGGATTGGTCAAGTCACCGAAATGATTCGACGTTTGATTCATATTCGATTACCAGATATGATATACTAATGTGTAAGATTCGTAGTTATTTACACATGTTAAGTACTGATCTATCCTCCCAAATGCTTGTTTTCGCTTCGGTAAATCGTTTCTTCTTTAGCTACTTACGAAAGAAACGTCAACTCAAGAACCGTTTGTCTATCAATCGAATATTTTCTCATTTTCCCTATGTTCACAAACTATGTTTCGTCTCGGTAATCATTTGTGCTTTGTTATCCACTCATCATTTTCTTAACTTTACCGTTCTTTCAACACACGATGGTTGTTCTCCGCGTTATAAAACCGTTTGGATCACTTGGATCCTCTCGATTCACTGTTTTCTCCTACCATTATCCATGATCATTTTCGGTTTGTTAACGCTAAGCAATCTCCGTCATATATCGCTGTTCTGTCACTGTCTCAGTCGGTATCGTATACGCTTAAAACGTGCTCATTTCATTCAAATGTGCACTTATTGTCGTCGATGTCGGAATACTCTGCAGTATAAAATCGATAAACAACTGACAGGAATGATCATTAGTGAAATTATTGTTTCGGTCTTTACGGCTGTACCTTACGCGACTTATACATTATATTACTTTGTGAATGAAAATGAAGTGAAAAGCAAGAATGATATTAATCGAATGGAATGGGTTTCGTTATTAATTCGAATGAGTATGTACTTTGAAGCAACGTGTGGATTTTACATTTATCTGATTACATTAACGACACTGAGAAAGCGTTTCCAGCGAGCTTTGATCAAGAAATTTTCGATTATACTCTCTTGTTTCTTATGTAAATAAAACCATCGGATGTATTAGCACAATCAGTCAGATACGAGTTTTTCGAGGCTCCGAACACCGTCGATAAGATTAACTGATCGATCTGTGTTGGCCTCTAGTATTAAATTTGCATATATTCAAGATTAAATGATAATAGCAAAAGCACAGTGAAAATGAATGTCCAATACGTCGTTAGCTAAACAAGTACGATGATGTTTATTTGCCGCCAGCTGCTTGTTTGCGTAGTAATTGAAAGATTTCCTGTTTGATCCATTCTTTGTTATGTGGTTTGTATTCGCCTGTCGGTTTCTGAAAGACTAAACAGCTTAAATCTGATATTTGATCAATGAATTCGTATAATTCAGAGATATCATAGGTAATCGATGGCGATGTTGGATTACGTTTCTTCAAATGTTCTTCAAACACTTTGCAAACGCCTAGATCAAATCAAATATATAACTTAACTTTCGAAATGCATTCATATTTACTCTCGAGACATTCATCGACGGATTCGTAATCTGAATAAGTTCGAGAATCCAGTTTATTCGTCGATTGAAGAAGAAGAATTGTGTGTGACATATCTGAAAAATAGAGAACAGAACATATTGTACTGATTTCAAGCTGTGAATTTTAAACATCGTGTGTCTTTATGAATATCAAGACATTTTAATGAACAATAAAGACTTCCACATATTTGACACGTGTATTGAGATGTTAATCCACATACAGCACAGAGTTTCAATGGTGGATATTTCGATGGTTTAGCAACAATAGTGAAATAGTTTTTTGCTTCAGACGATTTTTCACCGTTTGGACCCAGTTCTTCGTCTAATATTGTTTGTAGATTTTTGCGAAAACGTGTTTTGAAAACATCGTATTTGAACTGAACTTTACGACGTTTGTTCGATGAGTTGGGTGTCTGTGTTGGTTCATCCGATTCAAGTATCAAGCCTTTTGATTGACGACTGTACCCAAACGCTGATGTATTCTGAAGAGTTTTCGCCAACTGTTCTTGAGTCAACGTGGAATCGAACGAGGACGATGGGTCACTGGGATCTTCATGAAAGTTATCTTGTTCGAGTGATTCGAGGAACTTTTGTGTGCGTCGTGCACGTGTTGAAGCATCGAGAACACGAGATGAAGAAGTCGACGTCGAAAGGTTCTCTTTTGCTTGACGTGTTAAACGTTGTTGAGGTTGTTCCATAATTGACTGTAATAAACAACAAAACACCTGTCTGTCTGACTGTCTTTCACTTCATTTCACTTTTCTTCCTTCTTTTTGTTCACAATAATCGTAACGAACCAATAACTAGTCAAGGTTTGTTATAGAGGGCGGGCGGTATTTAGAGAAGGAATCGCACACTGTTTCGTCCAGATAAACTTGCAAACGAACAATTCCTACTAGAATTCTATATTACCGATGGAAAAATATCGTCAACTACTCTCGGACAATCATTATGTCTTAAATAACCTTCATTTACTTCGCTTTCTTATCCTTGATAAGAATTGACGTAGAACTTGTTCCTTTTTTGTTGTCAATACAGCTCACAAGTCATCAGGGTAGTAAACGAACATCAAGTTCTGATTTAATCTGACATTCTACGAGAGTGAAAGCATTAGATAGGAAGAAACCCAATCGAACGCAATCTTGGTGTAATCTTACTGGAGGACAATCTTATCCAATCATGGTAGATGCAATTATTTGTCAAAAATCAATCAATTAAGCGGAAAAGAACGAAATCCGATTAGTCCGTCCAAAGCCAACGGTGACGAACAAATTACAAATCTTGTTTTTCATTCTGTTTGCCATCTATTCAATTCGCCGCAATTAATTATCGTCTGTTTTTTAGATTCTAATCATGTGACATATTCTCATTGTCAATTATTATTGTCAATTAATATGAATCCGAATAGCAACTGATATATGGGTTTATTCTTATGAAATAATCAAGCTAAAAAGACGCTCGAAGCCTCCAAAGTGCGTATGGGAATACTCGTGAGATAAGTTAAATTAGTTAGCAATAAATATAAATATTTTCCTTGGCAGGAAGTCGAACTGATAAGAGTGTGACTGTCAACAATAGAATCATATGGATAATGACGCAAGTTTTCTATTGGAGAAAGGAAAAACAAGATTGTTCTGCATAGTTAATTAAAATAAAGAGTGGGAGACCAGTTTTAGTTTGAGTGCCTTCCAGATGGAAAGTTACAGACAAAAAGATCGGCAACCCAAAGAGATTTTTTTCCCAGGAAATTACTCTAATTGATATTTTTTTTTCCTAATGAGAGCTTTTAGTTTACATGATGAGATACACGAGCTTTTGAAAAAGATTGAAGAAGGTTAAGACGAATAAATCTGCTTGTCCGTACGAGTATCTCCATGACATCATATAAAATCTATTGCAGAAAGCTGCTTACAACGGGTTTTGTTCGTCTTATTCCGATTCGTTAATTCCCTCGTATTGACTAAAGATCAAAACAGCGTTTCGTTGAAGTTTTTCTCGATTAAATTCTTTTAACTTGGAGATTCGAACAATAGGGCATACATTACTTTCTTGCTCGTTGACTTCTTCTCGAGTTTATTGAAGTACTACGTTCATCTAAACGCGAGTGTTTCTTTTTCTTGAATATCGACGCTTTTGCAGAGTGTTCTTGCTTTGATCTATAAATATAGTCGTGATCAGAGAATGTCTTTTTCTGTCATTTCCATCCCTCAGTTCTTCTTCTTTTTCTATTGACTGTCAACAGACGCATCTAAATACAACATATTTTTTCCTTTCCTCTATCTTCTTAGTTGCCTACATTGCTGAAGAGAAGAAAAAGAAAAGAATTGTCTTCAATCCGATCTTCATTGATTTGTTTCTTCTTCTTCTATAGTTCGCAATCGTTTGACATTGAAAGACAATGACATCGGTCAAAGTCGCTGTTCGTGTCCGACCCTTCAATACCCGAGAAAGAAATCGCCAATCCAAATGTATCATTCGAATGGATCCCAACGAACAAACGACCTTCATACGAAATCCTCTCGACGACACGATCAAACATTATAAGTACGATTACTCATATTGGTCATGTGATGAAAATCTGACAAATGTAAATTTTGTTACGCAAGAACAAGTTTATCAGGATCTCGGCATTGAAATGTTAGAGCATTCGTTTGAAGGATATAATGTGTGTATATTTGCATATGGACAAACAGGTGCTGGAAAATCTTATACTATGATGGGAAGAAATGAACCAGGCGAACAAGGCATCATTCCACGACTTTGTGGCGAATTGTTTCAACGGATCGTTTCATCCACGCCCGTGTCTTCTTCATCTCGTATTCAACCACAGTATACTGTCGAAGTTTCATATATGGAAATTTACTGTGAACGCGTTCGTGATCTATTGTCACCGAAAAAATCACAAACGATAAGTGTGGGAGGTGCACATAATTTACGCGTACGTGAGCATCCAATCATGGGCCCCTATGTCGAAGATCTATCACGTCTACTTGTGACATCCTATGATGACATATCACGATTAATCGACGAAGGAAATAAAGCTCGAACGGTAGCAGCGACAAATATGAACGAAACCTCGAGTAGATCACATGCTGTCTTTACGATTCTATTTTCTCAATCGACATACGATCCAGTGACGGATTTAACCGCAGAGAAGCAGTCAAAAATCTCTCTCGTCGATTTAGCTGGAAGCGAACGAGCCGATTCGACTGGTGCCACAGGGGATCGATTGAAAGAAGGTGCCAATATCAATAAATCGTTAACAACATTGGGAAAAGTGATTGCAGCATTGGCAGAAATGGTTCGTTAAAGTCAAACGAAGGAAAACAGTTGATAGAAATATTCATTCGTTTTTACTTTTTATTTAGAGCTCGAAGACTCGAAAGATTCGTTCTGACAAGAAAGCTGAATTTATACCATATCGAGATTCTGTATTAACATGGCTGCTCAAAGAAAATCTCGGTACGAACTTCCTCTATCATATGGAGTGATGTGAACTTTTTTCTTTAGGTGGAAATTCGAAAACAGCTATGATCGCTGCCATATCCCCTGCTGACATTAACTATGACGAAACTCTGTCCACACTTCGTTATGCTGATCGTGCAAAAGCGATTGTTTGCAAAGCAGTTATCAATGAAGATGCTAATGCACGTTTAATCCGTGATTTGAAAGAAGAAATTATGAAACTACGAGAACTATTGAAACACGAAGGTGGAATAAATATATCGACTGATGGCGCTATTACATCACCTACACATACATCAAAGCATGCACGATTGAAATCAACTCCGTCACAGAGTAGTGAAGACGCATTGGAACGTTTAAAAGAGAACCAGAAATTAATGGATTCGTTGTGTATGTCCTATGAAGAGAAATTACAGAAGACAGAGAAAATCATGGCAGAGCGGTAAGATAAATAACGTCGGATTTGTTTTGTCCGGATAAACACAGTTAACTTGGTTTTTAGAGAAGCTGCTTTTCATGAACTTGGCGTTTATTCCAAGACAGATGGCAACGCAGTCGGCATATTCTCTCCAAAAAATGTGAGTAGACAAACAAGGGATACAATCTGAAGAGCTCATTGAGAGTCTTGTCTATTCTAGTCTCCACATCTTGTAAATCTTAACGAAGATCCATTAATGTCAGAATGTTTGATGTATTTTATTAAAGATGGAACTACTCGGTAAGAGGAATCTACTTTCTCAGCAAGCTTCTTTGTTATTAAATTATTAATCGATTTTGAAGCGTTGGCCGTCCAGATGCACCTATTCATCAAGATATTGTTTTGTCTGGTTCCCATATTGAACCGGAACATTGTATTATTAGCAATTCACAGCATATTGTTCATCTAAAGCCATGTAGCGCAACAGCAATGTGCTATGTCAATGGTAAACAAGTCGACGCGAATACAACGGTGGAACTAACATCGAGCTCACGTGTTATCTTCGGTAAATCTCATGTCTTTCGTTTTCTCAATCCAGAACAAGCACGACGAAAGAACGCGAAAAATGAAACAACAGGCGGTATGTTTTCTTATAATATAAAACAGTAAAATAACGATTTTCACGGTTTCGTTTTTTTTCCAAATTTTAGAACCGACTGATTGGAATAGTGCGATTCAAGAATTACTCGAAAAGCAAGGCGTAGATATAAAACATGAAATGGAGAAGAAGTGAGACGCGATGGAAATGAAATCGAAAAAAGAAACACAGTTTTGTTTGTAGACTTGTAACAATGGAAGAAGCATTTCGACGCGAAAAAGAAGAGTCCGATCGTCTTCTACGTAAACAAAAACTCGAATATGAATCAAAAATTGTCGAATTACAAAAACAAGTGATGGAAACGTCGATGAGTCAGTCGATGTTATCATCAATTCTATCATCATCTGGTCTAGTTGAATCGACCTTATTTCACCAGCAAACGCTGCACGAAGATTTGATAGAAACCGAGAATGATACACTCAGCTGTCAGTTCGATTTCTTATCGCATTAAGATGAAGATCATCTGTTTCCTTTTTACAGATTGCTCATGGACTGAACAAGAATATCAATTAGCTTGGTGGGCTTGGAAAAAATGGCGATTTCATCGCATGACATCACTTCGAGTATGTTTTCAAATGATTGACATTCCTTCGTTTGCTAGTTCGAATGTATCGCTCTTCGGCCAAAACATAAAACACAACAATAGTTTTCGCTCATTCCCCTTGAATAGGATTATTCCAATCGTATTCAGCCTATTGGATTGATCAAGGTATCATTATTGCCTGTTTGTTCATGTTTTGTTACAGTCGGTTTTTTTTCTCTGTATGTTGTTTTTGTTACCTAGACCGGTCTATAGAAGAAATTCAATCGTTGTCTTTTGCTTTAGTTTCGTTTGTCGTCGATAGTTAAACATTTGCATGAAAAGTGACTTATTCTCTTCCTGAAATTCTTTAGCCACGGTCATTCTCACAGCGTTCATGTCAATATAAGTATATTTTCATCTGTTTCGATCCTGGAGCAAAGTTGACTGAGGCATCTGACAGATTTTTCTTGATGATTTGTTAACATATGCTATCAAGATTGCAATTATCGATGTAAGTTAAATGAGACTTTAACCATTTCCGTCAGAAAATAGCATACAGAACGAAGAAACATGACATGCATAGAAAATCCAAACCTATGAAAGTAAATTCGTAACTTAGAATCTGAATAGTTCCAGATAAGATCTCATTACGATCCCGTATTTTGATATTCAGTATTCTGAAACAAATTATTGTCTATTTATAGGATATCTTATGGGGTAATAGTGTATATCTCAAGGAAGCAAATGCTATCAGTGTTGAATTACGCAAACGTGTTCAATTTCAATTTATTCTCTTAACTGATACCGCCTATTCACCTTTACCAACTGATATCTGTCCATCATCCACGTTATCAGAAAATACCATTGTTGCTATCGAAGTACAAGACCTGAAGAATGGTGCTATACATTATTGGTCCCTGGACAAATTTCGGTAAGTCTCTTTTTCTGACGTCGACAGAGTTAGATATGCGAACTTGTAAGCTAAAGACTTGTTCACCAATAAATTCATCCCCCCAACATATAGATCTCGTCTGGAAATAATGCGACATATTTACAATTGCGAGCAAATTTCAATCCCACGTGCAGTTAGTTATAATAATGTGAGCGATTCACCTTCGCAACATATTGTATTAACGAGTGATTCTCAACAGTCAAGTTTCGATGATACGATTCCAAGTCCAACAGTGAAGGGAAAATTTGACTTTTCGACTAAAGCCAGGTTTGTGCATGTCGTACTTCACATCGTTGTTGTCGTTTACCCTTATATCCCGTGATTCATCTTTCTCGGAAACATTCTTTCTTGACGAAATACTTTGTTATAGACAACGGTTGGAATTAATGCGTGAAATGTATTCCAACGCAGCAGATATTTCGCCAACTTCACCTGAACGAAGTATGGAATCTTCGGTTATTGACGATAATTCATCACCAAGCATTCACGCTGATCCATTCTACGATCGATTTCCTTGGTTTCGGTCCATTGGACGGTAAACCATCTATTGCAGATTTGCTCGACGATGAAAACGTCTTCTCCTTTCAGAACCTTCGTTTATCTGACAAATTTGCTACACGGTTTAACTTTGGTGCAAAATGTCGCCGTTGTTTCTGAACATGGCGACATTAAAGGCTATCTAAAAATCTCTGTTGAACAACTGCAAACCTCATCATCGCAAGATGCAGCGCATGAACAGATTAAATTAATGAAAACCTATCGCAATGCGAATGGATTGACGAAAGTGGCTTTCGACGATAAAACATACTTTCGGGTTTGACGTCGATCTGAGTCAAACGAAAATGAAACACATTGGTTTTGTTTTCTTCTAGGATATGATAAGTCCATCATCCGTTGATTTGATCAGATCTTGTGATTCATTAGATCCTAATCTTCGCTATGTCGAAGGTCAATCTCAATGTGGTGCTAATGATCAAGTTCAACAGAAATCTCCCATTGATTCCTTATCGCCGCCAAATCGTCGTAGTAAGTAGGAATGGTACTTTGAAAACTAAACCATGAACTTCGTTTAGAAGAAACCATGACTACAAGCGATCTACCATCGAATGAATCCTTACAGCATCTTGGCGACGAATATCAGTTTCGCGTGACTATCTTAGAAGCTTCACAGATCCCAGCGGAATACGAAGATATTTTTTGTCAATTTAATTTTCTTCATCAACACCATGAAGCTTATTCAACTGAACCGATTAAAAATCAAGGCAAATTAGGATCACCGCTCGGCTTCTATCACATACAAAATGTATGAAAAAGACTATCGAATGGAACAGTTTGGAGTCTTCTATGACCGATTTCCTTTTTCAGTTTAGCGTAATTGTCACTCAGTCGTTCATTGATTATCTTCGTTCGAAACCTATTGTCTTCGAAGTCATGGGTCATTACCAACAACGCCAAAATTCTGCACTCTATCCGTAAAATTCATTCTTTTAGCTCTGTTCTCTTTTTTTCATACAATCTCGCATTCCTCAGGACTATACAAACTACTTCGCCAACACGTCATACTACAAGAATGCCATTTTCGAAACCCATTCCAGTCCAAGGATTAGATCCATTAATACCTGCAAGGTTAGTTTGTATTCAGAATAGCAAAAACACGTTCTGGCCGATTTTACGTTTAGTTCAACCAATCAAATCTACGGTAGTTACGATCTTCTTGTCTGGTATGAAATTTTTGAACTATCACCAAGTGGAGAGTAAGTTTTGTGTAGCACTATTTTCATTAAAGTGCTCTTTCGCTGTAGATATGTGGCTGTCACAGTTGATCACTCCGACGACACGCCTTGTTCTGGACGATTCATTCTCCATCAAGGCATTCAACGTCGTATTGGAATAACGCTTTGCCATGAGCCAACTTCTGATGTGAACTGGAAAAGCATTAACGAAGTGATCGTCGGTAAGTAGTCAGCTTCCCCCATGCCACAACTTGCCCATCAAATTTTTTTTGGAAATATTCATCAGGACAAATTCGTAGTCAGTCTGATTACACTCATGATGAAATTGATGGTGAAGTACTTTCTTTAAACATCGTATCGAGTCAATATATTCAAAGGCAACATGACAAGCGTACATTTTATCATTTCGAAGTTGCTTGGGATTCCTCGTTGCACAATTCTCTGCTACTCAATCGATGTACATCAGGTGGAAATTCTGTTTATCTAACGATTTCGTCATCGATCGAACTCGAACACTGTTGTCAACCGCTGATTATCACCAAAGATCTCTGCCTTGTTCTTTATCCACGCAGCGGAGACTCAGCATCCCGTTTACGTTCGTCAATCAAAAATTTTTTCCTTTCAACCAATTCGTTGACACGACAAGCCACGCATGTGGAACATCCGAATAGCATTTCAGCTGTGTACGAGTTGAAACTTAAACATACGTCAATGCTAAGCCCGATAGCGCAAGACCTATCGAGCGAAAGTCCAGGTGTACAACGGCGCTGTCGAAAGATTATTGACACATCAAAGCTTTACGTACGTGGAGAAGAAATGCTGCATGGTTGGCGACCAAGAAGTGATTCCTTGATCATCGAGCATCAAGAGAACTTGGAAAAGTTGTATAAGATCGAATGTGTAAGTGTACAAATGGAAAAGTAACTAATCAATCGGCATCTTGATTCGTATAGGTTGAATATACCAAACATATACTCCAAGTTCAAAATCAGTTAAAGAAACCATCTGAGAAAGTGCCAACGGATGTTTCCAATGCTTCATTGGAAGCTCGCCAAGAAAAACTACTTCGTCGTTGTCTGTCAATGATGAAGTCTCCACGGCAACCTGAAGTGAGAAACAACATTTTGAACTCAAAACTTTTTCAAAGTGACTTATTCGTTCGATAGGAAATCTCTATAAATAATCATCGGTCTCCAAACAGTTTACATTCGAATACTTCATCAACGAAATCTACAGCTGATGGTGTTACACGAACACCAAACATGACCAATTCACATCACCAATCATCTCCGAATAGTTCAGATCTCATCAAGTGAGTCGACGAATTGAAAACAAATTCTAAATTCTCTTGTTTTCTTTTGTAGATCGTTTCGTTCGGATCCGTCTTCTTCTATATCGTCAGGATCGCGTCCAGCTGATAATAAGAATCTCAATCTTTCAAAATCTCGATCCATCGAAAGTCTCACCGATACTTCAATGCAATTTCGACCATTGATCGAAGAAGTTCACATATCGCCGATCGTATCACGTCGTGGCTATTTGAACTTCATTGATGACAACGAAACGAATTGGTTAAAACGATTTGTGGTATGTCGACGAAATCTTTGCTGGCTATTTCAATTTGTCTTCTTCGTTCAGATCATTCGACGTCCATTTGTTTTCATCTATAATCACGAAAAAGATTCTGTCGAACGTGCGTTGATTAATCTAACTACCGCACGCATTGAATTAAACGACGAAGATGTCAACAAAGTAATCCATTGTCGATATTTCTGGTTGTCTAAATTGATATTTTTCGTATTCTATTAGAACATTCGTCACACCATATCCGTTGTTTCAAAATACCGCATTTTTCTCATAAAACCGTTATTAGAGAAAGATCTTCATGATTGGCTGTACGCTCTCAATCCGTTACTTGCTGGTCAAATCAAGTAACGCTAATTTCGATTCCTTCTGTTCGATTTTCCATTCTTCTCACTCTAGATCGCGTTCATGCAATCGATCGAAAGAGGCACCTGGCAGTTAATTTCGAAAGAAATCCCTTCGTCAGATCGATTCATACAAAGTGGTGTTTTTCTCATCTACAACAGTGTGAAAGGAAAGGACCCATGAGAATCTAGTCGTTGTTTCCTCATGTCTTTCAACAAATACTTATTATCTGTAATTTCATTTCTATTTATATGTTTATCTATCTACTGATCTAGCGATATAGTTATGTTTGAGAAACAGTAATGAATTAGTGTGTTATTGAATTTGAACAGAAGTTTAGGTAAATAAACTCGTCTGCATAATTGAGAATTGAAACATTTATTGAAAGAACGTCTATGTTACAAAAGATTAAAATTCATTCCGAATCGTCATCGATGGCGTATTCTTCGCGAAACCAATTCCAAGTTTTCTCTAGACCCTCCCGGACAGTTGTCTTCGGAGTGAAACCAAGTAATTCACGTGCTTTGGAATTATCACAATAAGTTATCGATGGTTCCGTTTTATGTGATTCCATGGCTCGTTTCGATATACGTTTACCTGATAGATGTTCGATGTACTCGATGAATGTCGACAGTTTCAATGGATTTCCGCATCCGATATTGATTATTTCATAACCAAGTGGTATCTTTAGTGCATTTACAAACCCATCGACAACGTCGTCGATGTACGTCCAATCACGTTTGATCTCTCCGTCATCGAAAACATCAACTATACATGAAGAATCGATTGCGGCACGCATCAGTTTAAATGGCATCATATCAGGTCGTCCACGTGGTCCATATACATTGAATAAACGTAGAATAGTTACATTTAATCCATGAATATTGTTGTAAACGTGTGCTAATATCTCTGCGGCGCGTTTTGTTGCAGCGTAAGGTGACAGGGGTTGTGCACAGGAGTCACTTTCCACGAATGGAAGGTTATCCGTTTGACCGTAAACACTTGACGTTGAAGCAAAGACGAATTGAGTAATTTTATGTGCCACAGCAAGATCAAGGAGATTCTGTGTACCAGCGTAATTGATTTCCATATATTTACCCGTCTGAGTAGTCGAGGAACGAACACCAGCAAGTGCCTGGAAATCATCACTCGTAGATCTACTTAGTTTAATTAATTTCAGACTTACAGCGAGATGAGCAATGTGAGTAATTTGATATTTATTGAAAATCATTTGTAGAAGTTCAACATCATTGATACTACCACGAATAACGATCAAACTTCGATCGAGTACATGTGAAGGGAAACGAGTTTGAATCAATTCAACATTCCGTTGTTTAATCAATGGAGAATAATAGTCATTGAAATTATCCAATAGGATAACTTGTCCGAGATTAAGTTCGAGTAAACGCTGAACTAGATGGCTGCCGACAAATCCCGCACCTACAAACGCCATTCTCATGTTCTGATTTTCCATTCATTTCCAAAACAATTCTTACCTCCAGTTACTAAGTATACGTTCGATGTCACCATGTTAACTTGTCTTTCTTTTTCAAAAGAGAAGTATCAATATATATATATATAGGCAGAGAGAGAGAGAGAGAGAGAGAGAAAGGGAGAAAGAGTTTTCTAACGCATTATTTTACAGGTGAAAATATCATTTAACCACGCATTCTCTGTATGATTTGATATAGATAATAAACGCACCAGCAATGACGAAGCAAATGAAACGATGAATAATATACGTACATTTATACGATCCTCTCTTGTTCTCTCTTGACGAATATATATGTGCGAAAAAGAAAGAAAGAAAGAATCTTCCAGTGTACTTTGCAGTGTAATGGTTGTTTTCAGGTTATATAATGTTCTTCAGAGTACATAACTGACGTCATATCAATGTAACAAGTGTTATCGTTTCCAGTAGAACGATATACTGTCATCGGTAAATATTCATGACGTGCTCTTTTGCTCTCCAAGGTCATAAATGAAATAAAAGCGCAAAAGTTTCTTTATTTCGTTTGAAATGATATCTTTGCAAACATACCAACTTCGTTTGAAAGCATTTTTTGAGAAAAAATCGAAGTCGGAGTCGAATAACTTAAAAATTTATTTCAAAGGCGAACATGGCTTTACTCAACCCATAAATATACCTTTGAATCGATTGATTGATGATATCTACAAATGTGATATCGAGTCAATCGATGTCGGGAATGTAACTTTCATGTAGATACTTATAAATAATTGTTTTCTGCGTGTAACTAGTTGTCATATGTCCATATAAAACTCGATGGAACGGATGTTCGTTTGAAATTGAACTATGTGGAAGTCGAATGCGACGAAAACAAAATCTTTCAGTAATTGACTTGCAGAGTTCACTAAATCGATCGATTTGTTTATATTTTCAGTTTTCCGATCGATCGTTGGCTTCATTCGGATGGACCGGCTCAACTCGATGTTTTGGTCAACCAAGGCCCCATTGAACTGGGTAATTTCGCATTGAAGTCAAACGTTTTCTATGTAATCTGTTCACTTAAGATCCAATCTATACAGTTATCGTACATACGGGTAGTATAAGCAGCTCTACCAAAGCATCTATTCGTTTTGCACTAATTGGCACCACGTCATCAAGTCTTCCGTTCGTTTTGAACACAACCACAGCTTCAAGTCAACCTACTTCATCAAAAACCAACTTCTTTCAACCAGGTTCCAAAGATACGTTCTTCATCTCGCCGATGAAGTCAATAGATATCGGACAAGTATAATCGTCCTACATTTCTGTCAAAAATCTTATTTTTAGCTGTGTGATGTACAATTCTGGTGTGATACTATGGATCAATTGCCATACTACTGTGAAAGCGTGGAAGTTACCAATAATTTCACTAATGATAAATATTTGTACTGAAAAATACAACCAAGTACTACAGATGATTGATGAGTTTTTCTATTAGTTTTCTCATCAATCAATGGTTTGGGCCGGATTTAGAACAGCAAGTATGTGTGCCGGTTACTAATCGCAGTCAAGGTACAATTGGATACGTCAGACAGGAATGATTTCAACTAATCGTTCCTCTCTCTCTCTCTGTAGAATCAAAAGTGTTTACAATTTCAGTAAAAACAACGAATATATCAGATACAAATGGGGAGAATATTTTGTTGATTCAAGTAAATAGGAAACTGCTTGTCGTATGCGAAAGAGCACGTCTTATTTATAGATGAGATTTGCTAATGATAAAATCTACGAAGAGACCTTGAACTCATCAGAAACCTATCAGATTCCATTCCAAGCCAATCATATAGACTTTTTTGTCGTAAGTCTTAATGACGTTGGCAACAGTCAAGTAAGTATTCAAACAATTGATCTTTCGTAAATACTCTATCCTAGATTGTCGATGCTAAGATTTATATGATAAACAAATTAAAAGAGGTACAATGGACTTGCTCTCAGATCGAAATTCGCGATGTTTTCTATCAACGAACTTACTAGTAATTGACGTTTTCTTAGTCAAAACAACTTTTGTGACTTTCTACGTAGTTATAAACCTCGGAAAACACTGAAAAGCCACTCGCATAAAAATTCATCGGACTATGTGCCATTAGAGAAAATCACGAGTTTATCGTAACAGTACTTCATACAAATTTCATTAAACACGATTCGAAATATTTCGATTTTTGGCTGCGACAAATCTTTAGAAAATTAATTTAGTAAAATATTACTATTTGAGCTTTGCTCGGTGTTCCCGAGTACATTGAATACGAGCAAGGTTGCTTCAACGCTAAGTAGTCCTGACTTTCACAACTGCTGTCTTCGCTGTCAAATGTAGCTTCATAATAAACTCTAAAAAAGGAGATTCCTATCTTCGTTTCAATGGAAAGTCGTGTTTAAAATGACAAGAGAATCCTCGATAATTTGCTAGAGAAATTTTTTGATGAAGAAAACGAGAAAAAATAATTAACTCGTGTGTTTTAATATCTCGCGGACTAAAATGATATATTTAGAGTAAGTTAAAAATGTAAGTTTGATGAAATATGAAAAGAATGTCATTTAATTGTCATGTAAGCCAGGAAACATTTGGGAGAATGTTCGATGACAGTAGGCATTTATCAAAAGTACTCTTAAGATATTTGAGAAATTTTAGAATTTAATTAGATAGTAAGTATGTTTTTTATGGAAGACTATTGAGAAGTTTGATTTAGAAATACTCCATTCATGCTCATTTTGCTTTTTATCTGATTAAGTTATTATGTTCTTTTTCTTCTCGTATAACTACGGAGAAAAACAAGTCGTCCGTTAATCTTTCCGGGAAAAAATCGCTATGTTGTCTAATTACACAAAACAGACAACGTCAACTATGCGTAAAACAAAAAAAAGCATCGATAGATTCAGACGACTGGCGTGATGGCCCTATCTCATAATTATTCTGCAAAAAGTTCTGTACTTTATTAGGTCTAATTTCAATGAGTCTATTTCTGCATTGCCTGACGCTGACAAACTGAAGCAGCACTTACTGTTTTTTCTTCTAACTTCTCTTCTGTCAAGAACAACTTTTACAATGCTGCGCGTCAGTCGTTCTATTATAAGATCAGTCTTTGTTTATTCTGCTTAAGTGCATCATTGTATCAACTTTTTTTTTCCTAGAAATTATATTCTCGTGCGTCTTTTCTATGGGTTGTTCAACATCTCACAGTACTATGTGCACTGTATCGTCGAAACACGTTTCGCTACATGGAATACCATCAACACCGACTAAGACTGGTACTCGCGAAGTGACACGTTGTTTAGAGAATCGAATCGTCGTCTGGTTACGTGAGCCGCTATCGGATATGTTTGAGAATAAAATTGAATCTTTGCGTAAGCGTGTCTATGGATTACAAGTTTATACCAATGTTCAGACTTGTTTAACTTTTCTCGAGAAGATCGATGAGGAAAAAATCTTTCTTATTATATCCAATCGAAGTCAATCGCTTGAAGACTTCCATCGTTTCTCTCAAATTGAGAAGATTTATTTAGTAAACTCGTCTACGAATATATTGAATGACAAGAAGTACCTAATGGCAAAATACGTGCTGATTAAGAATGTCGATACTCTTTACAAAGAACTTCAAGACGATATTGATCTCTGTGAAATGGATTTGCTTCGTATAACAGTGTCGTTTCCATCACCATCGCAAGAAACCGTGTTGGCGGTGAATTTAACTAAATACGAAGCGTCGTTTTTATTCGAGCAGATGGTCAAAGAGATTATCTACCGTCTCAAATTCGAAAGTGGCTCGAAGGATGTTTTCATCGATTTCTGTAAAACACATTATAAAAATGCTGATAATGAATTACTTGTCATCGAAGATTTTGCGCAAAATTACCGTCCAAATCAAGCTCTTCGATGGTTGACCAATTCCTGTTTCATTTCGAAGATTATTAATCGAGTTCTTCGTACATTTGAAATCGACGTGGTTTATAAACTTGGATTTTTCATCAAACAAATATTCATTCAATTGACTCGCTTGCACGAAGAGAATATTTCAGCTATGAAACAAATCGCTGTTGTTTATCGCGGAAAAACCATGCCGAACGATGAATTCGACATTCTCATACGGAAGAATTTGAACGGTTTCCTTGCGTTCACAAGTTTTCTCATCGCGTCAGCGGATAAGAATACGTCGATTGATTTCGTCAATCGTCGTCTCGAATTGCATCGCGATTTAACCGGTGTTATCTTTCAAATTGACATCAACGATGCTATATTCGATGCGAAAACGCCATTTTCATTACTCAAAGATGCAGACATGAACAAAAATGAAGTTTGTTTTCATCTTGGGACGGTTTTTCGCATTGAATCAGTCGAGCCAATGGCGCCACCGAATCTATCAGGAGTATGGCTAGTGAACCTGGAACTAGTCCACGATGATAATCAACAATTAGCTCCGATTCTAGCAACAGCTTGTAGCGATGAAGTACATGCAAACCCACTGTCGTTTCTGGGTAAATTACTGATCGATATGGGTGAACATCACCGAGCTGAACAAGGTTTATGTGAAATTCTACAAGATGCTTCCGTGCGTAGCCAACCGCGCCGACTTACACGAACGCATATGGGTCTCGGCGATTTGTATACGTTTACAAAAGACTATGTAAAAGCCTTGAATCATTACGAACAAGCGCTTCAAACGAGTTTAATTTATTTCCCATTGGATCATCCGGATGTTGCAGTTTTCTACAAAAGTATAGCTGATAACTATGTCTATCAGAAGAACTATAACCGTGCGATAGAAAACTACGAAAAAATAATCGAATTACTAAGAAATGACACACAGAAGAATCACTCTGAGTACGTGAGCGATATCTACAATCGCATTAATGAAGTGAAACAAGCCATTGTAGACGAAAAATGAGTGTTTATTTTGCTATATACTTTTTGAAATAAAACATTTGTGTAAAGATTTAATCGAGTGAATGGAAAATATTAACATTTGAACATCAACAAAAAAACCAACTGATAGTTATTCTCTGTCTTTGTTTTAAAAAAATAGATACACTCAAAGATAGCTTATCATCATTTACATGTGCCTTAGAAATGACAAGTACAGGTAAATCATCAAGTCGAACTGTAGATGGTTTTGTTTCCCATGTCAATGGAGTGTTTGAACACGGATTATTAACCACTTTTGTTCGAAAGAACGAAATATATGTTGAGGACAGAGAGTACGATATTATTATTGTTGGTGCTGGATTCGCTGGTCTAATCGCTGCGCGTGAACTTAGTCGCCGTGGCCGAAGTATTTTAATGGTTGAAGCAAGAGATCGTATAGGTGGTCGTACTTTTACCGCACAAGTTGATAACGAACGATATGAAATTGGTGGTACATGGATACATTGGAGTCAGCCGCATGTTTGGAGCGAGATGACACGCTATGGATTTTCGTTGAGTGAATCTGAAGGTGCGACAACCAATCAGATTAGTCTTTTATTCGATAATGGAACAAGATTGAAAACTGTGTCAACGGCAGACTTCTATCCTCAGCTATTCGATCTTTTGAATAAATTTAGTAATATCGATGGTCAAAACGGACGAACAGTACTCCCTCAACCACATGCACCGTTGGCTGATCTTGGTGCCATTCGAGCATACGATCATTTATCAATGCAAGATCGTTTAAATCAACTATCAGATCTAGTGGAGATCGATAGTGAGATGTACGAAGTTCTCGATGCCTACCTTTCAATGAATACACAAGGTGATTTGGCAAAGAGTGGATTTCTCGATCATCTAACATTTTGGAGTCTGGGAGATTATGACACAAATCGTACATGGGATAAAACAAGTCGATATAAGATGCGTGAAGGAACAAGTGCATTAGCTCAAGCTATGCTAGATGATTGTGATCAAGTCAGTTTATTATTATCAACGCCTATTGTATCCATTCACCGGACAAATGAAAATAAAGTTCGAATCAAAACTGCAAACGGCAAGATTTTCACTAGTCGTACTGCGATTGTTACCGTTCCTCTAAACGTTCTGCACACTATTGACTTTCAACCTGTTTTAACAGAAGAAAAACAACGTGCGATAGCAGAAAAGCAATGCAGTGGAGGCACAAAATTCTGGGCTAAATTGATGAATCCTATCGGTAATTGGTGTGGTTTTGCTCCTTATCCTAACCCGATAACCGTTGCTTATACAGACGATCCTGAAGGTTATATTGTTGTCGGTTTTGGTCCTGATGATGCGTTGGACATACGAGATATCCAAAAAGTTGAACATGAATTGCAAAAGTTCATCGATGGTTGTAAAGTTCAATCTGTTTTTGGTCATGATTGGCGTCACGATCCATTCATTCAAAGCACATGGTCATGGTACAAGCCAGGCCAAATATCTGCTAACCTTCAAGTACTTCAGAGTCCTGAACCACCTTTATTTTTTGCTAGTGGTGATATATCGAATAGCTGGCGAGGGTGTATTGATGGTGCTCTGCAAAGTGGTCTAACTTGCGTTCGACAAGTTCAAGAATATCTGAATAATCGATAGTTGGCCATAAAGATATAAAAAAACGTTTAAATCCCTTTTACTGTACGCTTTATGCAAGAGAGAATTATTCGAGTGTCGTAAATAAGGGAATAGTTTTATCGGCGTCTTGTTAATCTTTATTGGCGATCGCGTCAAAAAACATGTTATATGATCAGAATTGTAAGCAAAGTTTTCATACAACGTTTTTCCATCAAAATTTCAACGATAAGAAAAGGTTGAGATAGTTATAACAAAGGCAACATAAAAGCGTAAAGACATGTTTCTTATTTTCAAGGAGAAAGTAAAAATATTCATATCAAAGAGCGAATCATGTGCCAACGATATCGTTAATTACTTTAATATATAAGACAAGCCATACAATGAAACCAATCCAAGCGAGAACTCCTCCGATGGTAATCAGAATATTGAATACCAATGCTAGTTTACTCATTGTTTGTGCTGAATGAAAATCATTGGATCGTTTGTGGCTTCGACAGAGAATCGAAAATACCAACGGTAAAACCCCAGCTAAACCCCATCCGATGAAAATATTGATAATCGACCACGGTAACCAATCACGAATATTTTGTGTTGCAGCTGGTGAAACATATTGAACTTGGGGTGGATAATACAATGGTGGTTGTGATGATGATGGTGGTGGTGGTGGTTGCATTGTAGCATTTGCAGGATACGGAGCTGAATAATTCATTTCTTTCATCTATTTATCGAATAGAGAAATTTTTTATACTATGTATGCCTTCATAATCTTCATATACACGCTTATATATATATATATAGTTTATCTCAACACTGATTCATTTTTATCGACGTCAATCAATATTTGCTTGAAAGTTATATATTCACTGGAAGGGGATGCAGATTGGTGCCCTCCCACATATTTTTGTTTTGTTCTGTTTCTAGCAACCATGAGACAATATCGACTTATACTGTGATATTCACGTCGTTGATCTCCGTCGCTGCTAAAGCAACAGAATGAGTCAAAACAGGATTATATAGCAAAATACCTGTGTGAACAAATACTTAAATTTCAAGCGCCGTGTTGTTTTGGCGCGATGATCGTTTCTAATCTTCAGTTACTTAGCTCTTGCGAAGCGTGATCCATTGTTTTCGTTAATATGAAAGAGATTAGCGGAAATAACTCAAAAAGCGTCCTTTTTTATTTATTCTGAAATACATCTTGATATAAAGATTAAGATTGCGTCTATCGATAAATATTACTAGAGTCGTTTGATCTATTTGCAAAATTCTGAAAAGAAAAAAACCATCTGCCCAAATGCACTTTTGCAGTATCATAAAAATAAAAAACAACTATTGCACAAAATTGTTGATACTAAAACTAAAAATAAACGATAAATAAATTGTAAAGAAAAGTAAAAAAAAATTCTTTTCATTTCTTTTTTATTGGTAAATTCTTGTTTTTTGTCATACATGGTTAGGAGTGCTTACAGATCGTCATCATCATCATCAGGTAAAGCAAATAACTCCGAATCCTCGGGCATTTGTAGAGGCATGACAACATCAGGTGGCTAAAAGGAGGAAAATCTAATATTGAAAAATCAACATTTGCCAAGAACAAGCAAGACCTACCTCGACTGCTGGAGCGCAAACAAATTGCAGATTGTCATCGCCTGCCAGTTTTCTTGCCAACCAAAGAAATGGCTTTTCAAAATTGTAGTTCGATCGTGCACTGATATCATAATACTGCATGTTAGTCTTGCGATGGAATGTAATTGATCTTGCTTTTAATTTTCGATCTTTGAGATCGGCCTTGTTTCCACATAGAACCATTGGAATGTGTTCGCAAACACGAATTAAGTCGCGATGCCAGTTCGGAACGTTTCGATAGGTTATACGCGAGGTGAGGTCGAACATAATGATCGCACATTGACCGTTGATGTAATATCCATCACGTAATCCTATTGGATAACAATAAAGAAGAAGTTAAATGGAAAAATTTAGGTTCGATAAAGAGATTTACCACCGAATTTTTCTTGACCTGCTGTATCCCATACGTTGAAAACGATTCGACCTAAATTTGTTGAAAAATCGAGAGGATGAACCGTAGCGCCAATCGTTGCTTCATATCGTTTTTCGAATTCACCGGTTAAATGTCGCTTAACGAATGTTGTTTTGCCTAGAGATAATTAGATTTCAACAAATATCAATGCATTTCATATTGAACATACCAACACCACCATCACCAACTAGAATCAGTTTGAATTCAGCAGCATTTTGTTGTTGATTAGTTGCCATTGTTGCGCTTTGGAGTGAGAATAACTGTGAAAATGTCCAATTTCAATCTCTGTACAAAAATATATATTTCGAAATTACACAATGTTGCCTTATCGTGACTATTTCGTAGGTATTTCACGAAATTACGCAATTTTCATAGTGACATCTGCAGAAAGGTAAGAAAACAGGATCACTCATATGGATAGTTGTTCTTAAAAATTTAATTTGCTCAGCTCTTATCGACTGAATAATTCATTGTAGTCGTCGAGTAAAATCTCACTTTAATACATAATTTTCTTGATAATTACCGATTTGAAAATGTCAGGCTCTATAATTGAAAGAAGAATAACTAATGTCTCGCTCAAAAAGAAGAAATGCTCTACAATTATCAAACCTTCTATTCATTCCATATTATTATATCTTGTCTCGTGGAAACCATCGGCATTGAGTTTTTTTAACGATTATCACTTGTTATTTTTCTTACTTCCTACAAACTAATTAACGTTTCGTTGAACAAATGGTATAGAATTTTGGTTTTGTCAGCAATTCTCTTTTATAAATATAAGTTTTAAGTTTCTGATTTTGACAGTACTTTGCGTGTGGTCATGTTAGTCTTTTGCTGTCATATTAGGCTTACAGAAATGTCACTGCTGAATCTTGACAAAAGACAGGTGTATACATCTCGAACAATCTGACAGTTCACACAGCCATGCACTCCATTTTCTATAGTGCTCATGAGAGCAAGTAAGATATTGACATGTCTCAAACAGTCTTCTACGTAGCTTTGAAAAATACACTCTTGAGGGTGGTTGAAATGCTTTAAAAAAATATTTTTTCCACAATAGTGGTGAGCAAAACTTAGTTAATCATCTTATCATCAGAAAAATGTGCTGGAAGTGGTGCCTCATTTACTCTTAGTTTCATTTATTTCAGAGTCAAATGTCTGTTTCAACACCCTTACCCTTTACCGTTGTATATTCTAACATCCAACAGCAATTGATTCTATACGTTTATCCAATATGGTTAATCTTTGGCATTGGTGGTGGAATTCTCAATCTAATCGTCTTCTCTCGACCGAAATTACGTGGATCATCCTGTTGTATCTGTTCGTATTTCGTTTTCATGAATCTAAAGTGACTCTTCTTATGTGTTTTTTTTCTTCTTCCAGACTTTTTTGCTGCTTCTACAGATCATATATTAACATTGATTATCGGCATTGGACCCACTATTTACGCTCTTAATCATTCCGATCCGCAGATTGATTCGATTGTATTCTGCAAAATACGAGGTTACCTGTTTCAAATCACATTAATGCTTTCACGTTGGTTTGTAGCGTTTGCTTGCATCGATCGTTACGCATTATCTTCCGATAGTGTTAACCTACGACATTTTGCAAGTAAACGAATTGCGTATCGATGTGTCATTGCCATTCTTCTTGTGTGGTCAATCGTGTGTAGTCATAGATTAATATTTTACGAGATTCAAGGCCATCTATGTGGTATTATAACAAATTCCGGTGCAGCTATTTATCATACTTTATATGTTATTATCGGAGGTGGAATACTTCCAGCTATAATTATGATCATATGTGCTTTTCTTATTCGACGAAATCTAGATCGTAAACATAAGAAACGTTTGCAGATCTCAGCGGTTGAACATCAGCAAAATTCACTTGACCATCAAGTGCTAATCTTATTATCGATACAGATCATTTGCTATATTATTTTTACAACACCGCAAATGTGTAACTTAATTTACAATGCTATTTTGAATACAATACCAAATCTGTCTAGGGAAACATTAGCTTTGCAGAGATTTCTTAGTTTCATGGCTGAATTGATGTTATACATGTTTCCTGTGACGTCATTCTATTTGTACACTCTGACATCACGAACATTTCGGAATGAACTATTTACTTCCTTTCGCCTACTTCCGATATTCCGTTCGATCTGCACAAAGATTCGCATCGCACCGTCAGCATCGAACGCTATCAATGGACATGACATTCCACAACCTCTCCCAACACTGGTGGTTAACCAATAAGGCATCGTGCAGGAATTTTCAAGAATGATGAGTCATACATGTCGCATTTATGGTTGGAAATATATATATATACCTGTTCTTGCGAAAGTTTTTCATTTGTTTCGATAATCAATGTAAATAGTCTATTGGTCTTGCGTAAGTTCTCATCTATATAAACTCGTATAGCTTCACAGTAAAATTAGTTAATTGTCTAACTCAAGCAACCAACCATGCGCTACGCTGCTGCTTATCTACTTGCAGTTCTTGGTGGCAACGCATCACCTCAGCTGGAAGACATAAGGAAAATTTTGGACAGTGTCGGAATTCTGTGCAATGAAGATACTGCTAAATTAGTTATTGGTGCATGTGAAGGAAAAGATACTGATAAGATTATTGAAAATACTATGAAAGAATACGGTATGACATCAGGTCAATCAACAGGATCAGAACGAATTGAAGAACCGGCAAGTGCTTCGGTTGTTCTAATGACTCAATTTTCAACTGGAAACGAGTCGGATGAAACTGATGATGATGATCCAAATGGCGACTCTGACTTCGTAAGTTTCTTCTCTATTTTCTAATCTATTTGCATTTGTATGTATATATTTCTCGTAGATGAACCTGTTTGGTGATTAAAACAGTACCAACTAGTGTGTGATGTTTTTCTTCTTTTTGTAAAACAATAAAACATATCAGCAGGTTTCAACAAGAAAAAGAAACTCCCTAAGCACGCCGTCATCATACCAACACCTGTGTTGAGTGCACCCATTGTTTTTACTTCACTTGACTATTTATCAGCTCTGTCTTTGCACTTTTCATCACAGCAATACACGTTATACACATATATACAAAATGAACTAGTCCGTAGATGAATATCGTATATATTTTCTTAGTAGATTCAGAAAAAATGAAACGAATGAAGTGTAATACAGTGGATAGATAGTCTATCCGGAGAAAAGAAAAATGGCTGTTTCTCTTATATAACTAGTGTCGTTTTGTAAACACAGGATACATAAAATGACGATTACAATATCATCGAGAAAGTCAAGTTCAAATAAGAAAATCAATCGAAATACTCATGGATTACGTGTTATCGGTGCTGGTCTACCACGTACAGGAACGACGTCATTGAAAGCTGCATTGGAAATTCTTGGATTTGGTCCATGTCATCACATGGTCGAATTAATAGACAAACCTGATCGAAGTTTGCAATTTATTCGAGCATATCAAGGTGAACATGTCGATTTTTATGAATTAATGGAAGGTTATGGTTCAACAGTCGATACACCAACAACTGATTTTTATAAAGAACTACATCGCGCATATCCTCAAGCAAAAATTATCCTTACAGTACGGGATAGTAATGAAAAATGGTTCGAAAGTTTTCAAAATACAATCGGTTCACTAATGTCGAATCGATTTCATGTTTTCTTAACGTATCCTCTACGAAGTTTACGATTACTCATGAAAATTGGCGACGAAATAGGAAAGAAATGGAGACGAGATTATGGTTGCATTAGTCCGTCGCTTCACGAACAACACAATCGACGTGTAATAGATGAAAATTCACCAGATGAAATTCTAGTCTACAATGTTAAAGACGGCTGGGAACCATTGTGTAAATTTCTACAAGTGAACATTCCTGAAAACGTTCCTTTCCCAAATATTAATGACACAAAGCAGTTCAAGCGTAAAGTGAATTCTGGACGACTTGTGGGACTTTGTTGTTGGCTCGCTTTAGGTGCAATAGTATGTTCTGTACCATATTTTATTCTAAAGAAAATGTTCAGGAAATAATCGATAGTTATTTTTTTGTTAAATGCGAACTAATGTAATATTTGCTCAGTGAAAATATATGAAAAACAGTTCTAAAATTGTACACTTCCTCGATTTAGACCACTATGTCAGTATGAATTCTACCATTTAAGTGCTGTACCATCATGACAAACTGCAATAGAATTTTATTACTCAAATTTTTGAGTATAAATCGACGAATTAGGCTGGTTAAACGCATATGTAATGCAATCATCGTCCTAAGCCTGCTTGTCTAGATTGAACCGAAATTTGCGACGGAACAGTGAACTGACCCGACGATCGATTGGACGAAAAATATTGCTCGAAAGTGGAACTTGATTATCTACAGCAACTTAGAACTATGGGCCATCTACAAACATTTTCCTAATGTCTTTCACTTCAACCTTCCTCTAGCTACGAATAAGTTATATGCGACACGGCAACTCCAACAAGTTCTTGCTGGCCACCTCAGGTGGAAAACTGTTCGAAGCACTGTTTTCTAGCAAATATCAAGATTTATCATATGACTGTTGCCTCGCATATAAATGTGTTATTCATCCATGGATGAAATGGAATTCCAAATGTAACGCATTTTGTATATATGATCAATGTCTTGAAATTGTCGAGCAGATGTGTGCACGTCTAGTCCTCACATCTAACATTCCATGCTTATTCAACGAGACATATGTAGCCTATGAGAAAAATGATTCCAAAATTTTCAGAAGTGACGAATTTCAAAAAGCCATATATATGCTACAATGGTTCTCGTTTCGATGAGTATTTCCAAAGAGGAGTCAAAATCTTTTTTTGGAATGTAACACGCATTCGTAGTCGCATCGAATAATGTAATTAATACAAGAAGCCGTGTCCGTTGTCAAACAACGGAAATTCAACTGATATTATTCAACGTATCGTACGAATAATCCTTGGTAAAGATTCGTTTCTCGATTGAGCTCTTTCTGCCACGGATACTGAACATCGATGGACGAAAAGGAACCGATGAGACAGAATGTGAGCAGATTTTATTATATTTAGCAAATATTTGGATTATGTCTGTCTCCTGAAGCTTTATGTGACGGTACTATCGACTGCGATGATGAGCGAGTATGTACAGTAGCAAATCAGTATAGAATTAATGATTGTCTAAAAGTGTCGTTATTCTGGAAAGTATCACAAACTCAAAAAGTTTTATACAAAAGTGTACAAAAAAAGCAATTATCATATCCTATACATTTTAGTCTTTGGGAAACTGAACCATCATACAAAATTATTTTTAATGAATCTGACCGCATTGGTGATATTCTTCCACATGTTCCATTAAATAATCCAGACAACCAGTTGGCCACTGCATACGTCTGTTCTCTCCTCGTTACTACAGCGATCTACGTTAATATCAAAATTAACGCATTAATCTCACCTTTCAATTTCGATCATTATCAGATTCAATACAAACATCTTTCGTCACATTTATTCTATTTCTTGATGACAGCCATCAGCGAAGAAGTCATTCCTAAGAACAATGTTACTTATTTATACATAAGAGATTGTGAAATGCACTTTAACAATTACTTAACATATTCTATTCGATCGAGAAACATCGCAGGAAATTACGTGTCAATATTTATGAAAGACTCTCATTTCGTTATCGCGGCAGTTTTCCATTTCCAATTGTTTCTCGAATATTACCGATTCATCTTCGATCATTTACTAGCGATATTCCACGGAATAATTGGATCAATGAACCTTGCAACAGCCATCGGTGCATTCACAGAAAATGTGTAAAATACATCAACAATCGAAATCATCCTGGCTTTTGTCAATGTTATTCCAGATGGTCCGGACTCGAATGTAGTATCCTTTTCAATTGCTGTTGTTCACCCGACTCATTGCGCATTGGTATAGCTGCGAATCGTTAGTCGGTGTGCATTTGTCCAACAAACAGATCTGACCCTCGGTGTTACCTTCGCGACACAGTTTGTCAAACAAATGATTCTTCGATCTGTGAGAATGGCGGTCTTTGCACTCATACAGATGAATTCTAAACTACCAGATGCCAGAATTATCCTCTCAGCAGAAAAAAATGTTTTACTACAACCAATACTATTCCGCCATCACTTACTGGCCAAAATCATTCAATCTGATCTTCGTCAAATTAAGTGTTATCACACGCCTTGTACAAATTCTCATTGGAATCTAACGTGTTTTTACGATGATGTTCATCTTTGTTTCTGTCATTTACATCAAATTAAACGATTATCAAATTGTTTTAAATACAGTCACAACATGGCATTTGATTGTTCGGGTCCGAACGAATGCGAGAACGATGGTCAATGTTTTCAAAACTCACTATCTTGTCGACGAGAATGTTACTATGGATTTGCTACCAATGCCTTCGCTTTGTCACTCGACCATATTTTAAATTATCAACTACGTCCATGTGTTCGTTTCATTCACCAAACAACTATTGTTAAAATAAGGGGAATGTTATATCTTAGTATCATAATAATCGGCATGACCAATTGTGCTTTAGTCATTGATTATATTTAAAACTGGAATTGTTCTTGGACTCGGCTGTGGTTGTTATTTCTTTGGATCATTAATAATTGCGCTACTTATTGCACTCGTATTCAGAATGAAATTTGGATACTTATTTTGACTCAGATGTCAATTATACTGAATGGAACATTTCTCAAACTTCAATGTACTCCACTTGAGTTTCCTCTACGACTTTGTATAAATATGGATCAATTGTTAAACGCGTGTCTAGCTTGTGCGCGGGTGGTTACTGTGATCAAAGGTGCGAGTTTTAACAAAAATAAAAGCCAACAAACGACCAAACGAGGTATTGTTATTTTGATGATATTCAACATCCTAACAACGATTTATGATACGATTTACCGAGATTTAAGCAATGAAGAACAAGAGAGTAATGATCAAACTGATTATGAGATAAGAATCTAGGATGTTGTTACTTATTCACTCGTTGTTGAATTATACAATTCTGTTGTTTATATGTTTCATTTTCTTGCTCCGTTTATTCTCAATTTTGTTTCAGCTCTTATTCTAATGTTGAAGAAGACAGACCTACAAGCACATGTATCAACTCACGGATCTCGAAGAGAACTTTTTCATGGAAATTACCGATAACATCATCATTTATTTACCGCCTCCATTATTCTAGTTATTTTTGCTATACTACGTTCAATCTTCGCATTGGTACCAAAATATATGCAGTCAACAAACGGCGCACGACTATTTCTTATCGGTTATTTTGTCTCAATTATCCCACCGATGCTTACATTCGTTATTTTTATCCTATCATCGAAGTTCTACAGAAAAAAACAATTTTACAGATCGATTTCACAATGTCGAACAATGCTGTATAGACATTTTCGGCATGTATCATAGTTATTTGCTTTTAACAATACATTGGAAGGATCTTTGATAGAGTATCAATGTATAAAGTACCATTTCCTAATGAAGGAACAAGCGAACCACTGGTTTCACTGCATTCATTCCATGCATAGATGATCATTGTTTGTGCTTCAGCTGTTTGATTGTAGGTACATGTAAAATTGATTCCACTTCGGATCAATTGTTGTAGTTCTTCAACTGACGGTTGTAGATAATGTTCGGGTCCTTCGTCAGTCCACGGTACAGGGTTTTCAGCACGTGGACGTGGATCCCAACCAGTAGGTGCTAAAGGTACCATCTTTGCTCCCACTTGACGAGCTGATTCCCACCATCTAGACAGAAAGAACTTTCTATGTTGCTGTGAAATCACTTTTATTTACGTTTGAGCTGAATGAAGTAACTCAACATACGGAGTACCCTAAAAAATCACTCGTAATAAGAAAACATAGAAGTTTTACTTGAAAGAAACTTGATTTACTTGCTGAGTTCCACCTGGTAGTGCATATGTGGAAATAGCATCGAATCCTAACATTGTTGCATGTGATTGAACTGTTTGAACGTTGAAATCCATTAAAACCATGTATGGATTCTGTATTCCTATTAAATAAACACGAAAATAGGATTCTAGCCAGATAAAAGATACTGACCTCGGCTGATAGCCATTTGTCTGAATCGTTGAAAAACTTGTTTGCTTCCAGTCCATCCACCTCCGCAACTATTCGCTTCCGCATCATCGAATTGAAATAAATACAAAAGTGGACGGCCGTCTAGCACAGTTTGAAAGTGTGGATGTTTCATATGTTCCAAATAGTTTTCTTGAAAAGCGATATCACATGGAGAAGATCCTAACAACACTAATGTAAAATTGATTAACGATTGATATGTACTAGAAAGATATAAATTCAATCCATAGGCCGGATTTCTCGGACAATATTGATTTGATGTTTGTTTATAATATTGTGAACAATACGTATTGTTCGTTGTACAATTTGGTCCAAATGTGCAATAAGTATCAAATGCCCAATAATCGAGTCCAGCATGTTTAGCGTAGAGGATTTCATTGTCCATCACAGTTTGCATATCACCATTGAAGGAAATGTTGGTAGGAGAAAGAACAGATGCATAGAAAGGTATACGATAGTGAAACTTCTCGGGACTTAAAGCACGGTGTAAATAGTATGATATCGCATCGTATTGCCCATTGAATAGATTCCACGCATCCCAACGAATGACTCCAACTGTTGGCCGAAGTCTTTCACTGGCCACAGCAGATATCGTTGAAGATAAGTACAAAGTTGCACAGAAGTAGACACCGAATGATAACATTAGTTTTTAATATTTCGTTTTAATTTCGGATAAACACACACACACACCTATATTTATCATCCTCATTCTCACCAGGTGACAATCTGATAACAAACCGATATCTCTTCTTTGCACTCTATGAGATACCACGAAGTGAATTCGTCTAGATCAATTAAACCAATGAAATACTTTGACGAAGGTTTATATAAATCGCTATTATTGTATCTAGTCCACATTCAACAAGAGCCATTACAATCCATACTTTCGATTGCGATCCGTAACTATTGAAATTGTCAACTTTATGCTTGTACCATTACTCCTCCACGAGGTACATTTCAATCAGCTATAATTCACGTGCATTCGTATTACACAGAAAGAATCTGATGAAAATTTCGACTTCGTCAGGTAATATATATATATAAGGCCAATCGAATTTAGATCTTTTACTTTTTGTGAAATTCTTAAAAAGAATTTAATTAGTTCATCGACCAACTAAAAACTATGTAAAAACTGAAATAATCAAACAGGTAAAAACAATTCAATTTCTTACTCGATGAAAGAAAAAAAAAGAAATCAGAAAAGTGATTTTATACATCAGATTAAAAACTAATCTCAAAATCGTGAGACTTATATAATAGAAAAATATTCCAAACGATCGTATCAAATTATTTCATCTGATACACCATCAACTTTACGACACTAAATATGAATATTATCCTACTGATATTCACTACGTCTATCCTCGTTTCTGCTCAAAATAACACTATTGAACGAACAGAAACAGTCGATACTCTGGACATCGCTCGAGTATGGGCAGGACATCCCGTTGGCTTCAGTTTACTAACCCATCCACCCTATCAATTCGTGGCCTATTATGATGACAAACGGCAATTAACTGTTGCGCAACGTTTATTAACTGTTCGAACATGGACACATCATATTTTGCCAGTGGTTACCGGTTGGGATAGTCATAATTATATCGCATTAGCTATTGATGACGATGGATATTTACATCTGAGTGGAGATATGCATGTAACACCATTGAAATATTATCGAACAATACAGCCATTCAATGTAGCAACATTTCATCGATTCGATCGAATGACTGGCACAAACGAAAGTCGTGCAACGTATCCAAGATTTTTACGTGGAGCACAAAATCAACTGATTTTTACCTATCGTGATGGTAGCAGTGGAGCTGGAAATGAAATTTATAATATTTATGATTTAAAAATGAAATTGTGGAAACGTTTACTCGATCAACCGTTAACTGATGGTGAAGGACAACGTAACGCCTATTTTGATGGTCCTGTTGAAGGGCCTGATGGATATTTTCATCTCGCATGGGTGTGGCGTGAAACGCCCGATGCAGCAACAAATCACGACTTAAGCTATGCACGTAGCAAAGATTTGATCAATTGGAGCACCGGTGCTGCCAATAAATCCCTCAAATTACCAATTAAATTAAAAGATTGTGATATTGTTGATCCCGTGCCTGAGAAAGGCGGTATCATCAATGGAAATGTGAAACTTGGTTTTGATACACAAGGACGAGTATTAATTAGTTATCATAAGCACAGCGCACAAAACTATACTCAACCATGGACAGCACGTTTAGAAAATGGTCAATGGAAAAAATATCAAATCACGGATTGGCCATGGCATTGGAATTTCGGTGGTTATGGTACACTTCAATTTAGTATTCATCTCGGTGGAGTAACAAAGCAAACTGATGCACGTTTAATTCAAGGTTATAGTCACGCAAAATTTGGTTCAGGTACGTGGTTAATCGATCCACAAAGTCTGCAAGCTATTGGTAAAGTTCAACGGCAAACTTTATCACCTGAAATGAGTCGAATCGAAGGTACATTTCCTGGATTGGGAGTAAAAACAAGTGCAGATCTGGGTACAAGTGATAAAACTGATATTCGTTATGTAATACGTTGGGAAACGTTGGCAAGTAATTTCGACAAACCTCGACCTGAACCATTGCCATTACCCTCAACTTTACGTTTATATGCATTGAAAACGATCATTGAAAATGCACCGAGTGGTCGTTAGTCATGCGATATGATTATATTCAAATCTAACTATTATTCTCTCTCAATTCATGAATAATACGAAAAATCTTTGAAAATAAACCTCATGAAAATCTTTATCTCTCACGACTGATTCATTCTCTTTCGAGAACACTTTCACAGGAATGACGCAAGTACGTCGCTTACGTACTTTAATTTACATTCTGTCTCATATTTCAAATGATGAAGGCCTGCATTATCGATGTCAGATCGAATCCATATGTACCTAAAACTATCATTTCAACCAGCGAAAACATCGAAACTGAGTATTATTCGTATGATCACTTGACCAACTTACTCGACTGTAAACTGTTAACGATCAATCCTTATCGTTCATATTTTCAACAAGTCTATTCAACAACTATCAACGAGCATGAGTTAACCGATGATATGTTAGATGTTATCAAGTCTTACACGAACAGTCGATCAAATGAGTGTTATATAAAAACAAATATTAGATTACTCAGTGCAAATTATGATGATATCGATTGGATATATGTAAACAAACTTCGCTCATTAATTCGAGGTTTAAATCAATCGAATTTTAAGTGCGTCTATTATCGTGGTTTAACTTTGAGTGATCGAGAAATTCAATATTATTTGGATAAACGGAACGAACACTACTATACGAACTCGTTTTTATCATTTACAATTGATCGATTGTTGGTATACACAGGTAATGCGATTATTTTATTGAAAACTGACAATGCAAGTGAAAAAGCGAAGAAAAATCTGGCAAATATATGGAAATGGAGTGCGATAACTGAAGAAAAAGAAGCTCTATTAGCGGTTGGAACGAAACTGAAGATCTTAGATGTACACTATTTTGGTTACAAATGGCAAATCGAAGTTGAATTACTTGAAGATGATTAAGGTGAAAGATATTCAAATATCTTTCATTGGAACAGATTTTTCTTCTGAAATATTATCGTTTGAGATATTCTCGTTCTTTGCTTCATCGATATTTCGTTTTTCCGGTCCGAATAAAATGATAATAAATAAATAAATGTACACAGCTGATAAGAAGATTGCCATCACTTTCGCGTAGTCATATTGCTCGTGATTTGTCGAATGACCAGATAATGATTTCTTTGGAAATGATTGGCCAGCTTTTGCTTCGATTGTTGATGATGCCGAAGATATTAAATTGCCCAATTGATATGCCGTACCAACTACAAATGAACGGAAATTGACTGGCGAAAGTTCCATTAAATGTATCGGGACAACACCCCAAACACCTTGTACACACATTTGTTGAAAAAATGCGCCAGCCATTATGTTCCGATCATTTGGAAGGACATACGCTGGTATTAGTAAAGCTCCGATGAAAAGTACGACAAGTATTGATAAACGTCGACCGAAAAAACTGGAAAAATAACCAACAGTCATTCCGCCGAGTAGAGCACCACAGTTAGCAACAATGGTTGTAATCGTAACGAGAGTGTGCGAAAAATCGAGGGTCGACGCTAGAAACGTCGGATAAAGATCTTGACTTCCATGCGATAAAAAATTAAATCCTGTCATCATGAGAACCATATAAATCAACATTGGCCAGTGCTGTACGAGAGTCAAACGGATAGTTTGTAAGAACGCTTGTATCGATGAACACATCGTCTTTGTTTCATCTGAAATATTGCTCTGATCGATGTGGCAGTGATTAGAAAATAGTTGTTTACCTGTACTAGTGTTCATTTCTCTTGTTCGTTTAACGTTTAAAAATGCTTCCGTTTCTGGTAAAAAGACACGCCAAAGTGCGATGAGCAATGGTGGACAACCACCGAACCAAAAAAGTGCGCGCCATCCATATCGTTGATGATTAGTAATCGCTAGATTAAAAGCTGCTGCCAGAAGAAACCCACATGCATATCCTTGTTGTAATAATCCTGATAGAAGACCACGAGCAGCAATAGGTGCATCTTCGAGTGCAGTTGCTGCACAATTACCATAAATTCCGCCCATAGCAATACCGAAAACTGCACGAAGGCCGATGAATTGCTCATAAGTGGCGCAAAAACCTGTACCGATTTCAACGAGAGCATACAGCACTATGTTAACGATGAATGGCCATTTTCGACCGAATCGATCGCCGGCTATGCCAAAGATAACTGCTCCAATGGAACGAAGCATCAATGTTATGGTAATTCCCCAAGTGATATCTGATGTTGACTTGTGATAAGTTGCACCGATATCAATCACATTGAGTGTAACAGAAAAGAAGTCAAATGCATCAAACGTCCAAGCGAGAAATCCAACAAAAAACAACGCTACTTGTCGACGATTGAGCATACGTAACAATACAATTGGATTCTCCGGCACGATCAAAGGTGGTTTCAACGTGGTAAAACGAGTTTTTAAATACTGTAGGATTTGCATTGTTATCATCTTGAACACGTCAATGCACACGCTCGATATAAAATAATGTATTCAACGTACACTCCACGATCTACTACATAGTAATTTTCAATTCAGAGTAAAAAGAAATAGAATATAGACGAATCACTTCATGCGTGTTACTGTTGTCATGATGAATCACCCCCGAGGATATATCATTATCATCATCATCATCATTCTTCTTCTTCTTAATGTCTTTTTTCATACGTCAGTTCAGACTAAACAACAGCAATTTCATATGTGAGTATCTTCCGAATGCGTATACCTTGAAAAGTACGATTTTGTGCTTTCTGTGGTAGCACTTCGACTTTATTGAGGATCATTTTGTTTTTGTTTGAATAAAATTCAACACTATCGATGTCGATAGTTATACGAAGTCAGTCCAAATTCGAATATATCTATATAGTTCATAGGTCATCTGATATATGATAGAGAACGTATATCCCGCTAGATGTCACATCTTTAGAGACGACAATCTCAGGATCACGTTAATCTGCTATATCATAGAATTCTGAGAAAACTGAACTAATTTTCACTCTCTTAATCAAACTATGTCAAGGCATGTGTTGTCAAAATTCCAAATAGAATACAGATTTCTTCAGTGTTCGTTCATTGATAAAGAAAAAATACATTCGCTTTTACAAGATCTTTAAAATTGCCATATGCAACATGACAGAAGCATTTAAGAAGCAAATCAATGATCTTAGACTAGTGCATTTGGTTCATTGATAACAACTGTTGGCATCAACGATAGAGCAGTCGACAAAGAAATGCCATTTCTTTTCGAAATCTTGTTGAAATCATCGTATATCAGAAAAATGTAATCTAAAAATAACAAAAGTGTCCTTCAACTTGCATGTCTCTGTTTATATCTATTTATCGTCATGTATCAATAACCAATGACGGAAATGAATGCACAAACAATTATTCGTTCACGGATTTTAACTGTCGTCTGAGTAAAATATGCATATGTTCCATTACATGCCTATAGTATCATGAACAGAATGTACACAATATTTTGTATGAGAGATTATTTAATTGATGGAATATCTTTGCGATGAAACGGTGCAACTTTCACTGTACTTCTATTTATTTCCGCAACATCCATATCTGTGATGCGCCGATGATGTATTTGTTGAATATTAGGTAAAACGAGTAAACTGAATAGGACCGTAATTAGCAACAGACCGAGAATAGTGACTAAAGTGTATGCGGCGTAGAATACTGTCAATGCTGTATCACTTTCTCCTACATATCTCCGAGAACCCTCAATTCGATACCAAACAAGCATAAAAATGCTGCAACTCGATCAAAGACCTACACCGTCGATAATCATCCCTTGAGCAGTTTTTGGCGAACTTTGCCGACAAATTCATACATAAGTGGATGTGACCATCTATCGATCAATGCAAATCATGCAGAGAAAATGTCGAGATATCAGTAGACCACTCGCTAAGAAATAAGATCGAATCTTTCATAAAACAATCGATAATCGTGTTAGATCATGTCAACCTCATGAAGTTACGACTCTTATTAAACAATCAAAATAGAGAGAGAGATTAGATGACCAACAGAAGAAGCCGCTATGAAATACCATGAACATGCTTTGGGCCGTAGATTCTTTTGAATTGAGACTAGAATATCAGCGGTGTTGTCGAAACAGTTGTACTGATAATTGAACTCATCGTACACAATTCAAAAGTTGGTGAAGGCAACTAAAACGAACGTAGGCTATTATATTTTCGTATGAGGGTGCGAGAACATTGATCTCATCTGAAAAATTTCTATTAGTCCCTTCAGGTATCGCTAACTTTGTTAACTACACTCGTAACTCAATGATTATGAGGATTTATCTCTAAGGTCGTTTTCGATAAGAAAACGAACAATAGGAAAGTTTATATATGTATTTATTCGAATGACGAATTATTCTGACAAATAGTGATATTTCGTGGCCTATTTTAGTCTAACTCAGTATAATATTTTTCATTTTTAGTACATTATTTTCGAGAACTTTAAGTGATCATTGTAGATTTCGATTCTCGCGAAGTTAGAAGCTCAGCTTTGCGCGACATTTCATAATTTCATTTTTATAGACGTACCTAAAAATGTGCGATTGTGTTCCATAACTCAGAAGATTAAAGATCTGCGACAGGACTTCCGATGTGCGAGAACAGACTTTTTCTAAGGATCTCCTTTTGTCATTTGAAAAATAGGTTGGAGTCTAATGAGATTTGTCTAATCATTCAGCCTTCATTTTCTCATATATAATTAAAATATATTTCCATAGATGTTTTATCGTGAACTTACTCAGCGAAAATGTACGAAGAACAACGCGAATTTATCAACTATTATTAGAAAACACACGTGTCAGATGAATGCGTATTTTATATTTTGAACGTGTTATGAAATTTCAAACAAAATATGTTTCATTCATCGATTCTTCATGTTCGTACAACATCGATTGTAACATTGGGTGTCAATGGAGTGCGCGTATCATTGATATACAACAACTGTCCATTTCGTCTAGTAATTCGCGCTTGCATCGAGAGACCACCAGGACCGAGTCCTGCACGTGATTTATCATAATAGAACTGGAATGGAATAGGAAATTGCTGACGAGGCTGCAATGGAATTTGTTGGCGTCCTAATGTAATACTTGGCGCGTCCATTCGAGAAGCATCCACGACTGAAACTTCTAATACTTCATCACCATGGAACACGTCCGAGGCGTTTTTAAATGACATGACATTACCAGTGATGACATCCCATTGAGAGTGATGAGCAGAATTCCTATGATACCCATAGCCCATATTTTGGCCATATGTACTGTATTGTGGATATCCGTAATAACCTTGAAACATCCTGATGCAATTTCAAGTCAATAATGAAGACAACAACATTTTATGTTGTGTCAAAATGCGGAGAGAAAAATAAACTCAATCAACTGTAACGAATGAAGTGTAAACATTACTATTCAATATACCAAATCGTCTCTTTCCGATTCCTTGTTATAGACAAGATACTGTTTTAAATGAATAAAGTTTATTTCTGATATATTGGATTAACAACAAAAAATAACAAGTCTTCTTTACACAAAACTATCTACATCATGACTTTTTCAACGTTTGGTTCCCATGTGTTTCGGTATTGGGTAATAAATGCAATAGCCGAGTGAGTACCTAACATAACAATAAACAGGATTCCAACAAAAAATCCAAATGCACCAGCGCCGTTCAATGGTTGTTTTAAACGATGTTGCAACGAGTAAAATCCAACAATTAGAATGATCAAACTAATTGTCAAGAAGATAACATTGACCAAATGTAACCAAACACGATATCGATTGAAAATAGTTTTGTTTGAGCAGAATTCCACAAATGATAAAGTAATAGCCGAAACAATAATCACCACAATACCAGCAATGAGTAAAGATGTTTCAAATCGTGTATGTTCCGATGTAAAATGCTCTGGAGTGCCGTCCATTTTGCTGATACGCGATGCAAAAATTGGGCCTACATTCAATGCTTGATGTTCCACTGGCGATGTATTGAATCTTGTGAAAATATTCTTGAAACATATTTCCGAATCCGTCACATCAACCGTGCGCCAACGTGATGAAACCAGACAAAGTGTAAGCTCGAGAGCGACCAATATGAGAGATGCGATTGTACCCTTCATTGCGATGAGAATGAAATGAATGAATGATATTTCTTTCCACCGTCAATGTCAATAGGTCATCCGTAGAACAAACAATGACCGTCCGTGTGATAAAAAAGACGTCGATTCTTTTTTCATGCAATCAAGTTTATCTGTCTAATCTTTCGCGTCGGACGTGATAATATTGATTTTTCTCGACTAATGTTTCTTTATTGAAATATCTAGACAATAATGCACTACAAAACAGATCGAAAGAAGAAGAAGAGAGAGAGAGAAAGGGAAAATTCACTGTCACACACACGCGCACGTAGAAAAGACAAGACAATTCATTGTACAAGATTGCTTATACAAAAAAGAAATGTTCTATATAGGAAACAACATTCGCACTTGTCTAATCTAATGACAAAATGAGATACAACAGACAAGAGATAAATATTCGTCGTAGACTTATTTAGATATACTAGACGAAAACTATTTTGATGTTCATTACACATGAGAAAAGAATTTTTTGTTCGTTCTGCTAATTATTTTGCATTTAGTAACCTTGATAGAGTATGACGGCGAGAATGAGAAGAATAACTACAACTAATGTAATGAAAAGATAAATGCTTAAAAGGGCTGGTTTCCATGATTCTCCCTGAAAAAACGAAAACAAAATAATAATTAGATGCAAAAGAACAGAAATCATCCTACCGGTACAGTTTCTCGACGTGCGCGTTGATCGGGATGCTTTTCCGGATAGTAATCTGCGTCTTCGAAACCTGGAAAAACATTCTCCTAGATTAATCGTGTTACTAACTATTGCGAACTTACGTTCATAATCTTGTCGGGCACAGCAGCAGGCATGAATTTCAAAAATAAGTTGAACAATAAAATGAAATATACACCATCCGAACAGAAGCCACGAGCACCATGTCCATAAGTCTAAACGACGATTATCCATACCCAAAAAGATAACGGGAACGGCAAGACAATGTGCTAATGAGACAATCAACCAATGAATCCAATACCAAAAACAATATCGTCGTGTTCTTGGCTTCGGTCGTAGAATACCAACAAGTGGCTAAAGAAGGTAGATGCACAATTATGTACCAGTCATTTCAGTCTACATACGGCAAGAAAAGAGCAAACAAGAACGATAACACCAAGAACGGAATGCCACATATGATGTGTTCCATATGTCCATTTCCAATTGAGTTCAAGGAGAATGGCCAAAAATGCCAACCATGTAAGAATGGCTACTGTTATCATAATTGGTTGAAATACCTAGAAGTTATTGTCTGAATTTAGTGTTTGTAAATATCGTAATGATAAATTACATTAAAGAATGAGAATCGATTGCGTCGTTGTAGTTTTTCACCTGTCACAACACCGTTAGCATCGACGACTACACGACGTTCATATTCTGGCCAGATTAAGTCAAAATATCGGGCAACCATAACACCAGCTGAGGCAAGAAGAATCCAGGCGATGATATTTAGGATTGCTGGAAGAGAAATTTTACAATTCAAGATTTCAAAATAAAAACAATAATGACTTTACCATGAATTTTGGCAAGAAAAGCTCCATCACGTGGATGAGATTTGGGCCAAATTCCACGCTCGAAATTAATTGGATGATTGTTGACGATTTGAATGTCTTGCGAAGGAATACGCATACCTACGACAGAGACAACGAATATCATTTCGATGACAAGTCTTTCATCTATAAACTCACCTTGTGGTGTCATTAAATCATGATTTGTATATATTGGATACATATAGTGTGGTTCTTTCAAGTTAATGAATTTATCTCTATCGACACCATCAGGAGCTTTGCCGGCATTTTCTACTGACGCATCTGCATACGGAGATAGTTTTCTTGTGAATTTACAGCTGATATGTGTGCCGTTGGAATAACCATCCGTATCTCGTAAACCATAGGCTGGTCTTTCACGTTGAATGTACTGTGGCGTTTGTACACCGACGAACATATTTCGAACATAAACATGATTTTGAGCATCTTTTGAACAAAGAATAACTTGATCGTCACCCTGCAATCAAGGAGAAGACCATGTTTATTTAGGATAAGCTATCCTTCAGTGATACCGACTCGTTTATCATCGATAGAAAATCCAACACCAACGAAACCATGTGCACGAGCGACGATATGAAATCGTGCCGTGTTATTATCAATAACTTGCCATGAAAGTGCATATTCGCATTTAGGATTGTTACAATTTTGTGGAACGATCAAACAACCTTGTGATTCGCCACAATAATCGATATTCACTGCTTCGTTATCTGAAGGAATGATTCCTGGTGCAATGCGCTAATAGAAAAACGAGATAGATACGAATCGCATTGAAATTTCTACTTACTGCTTTTAATGGTGCCGATTTAACTCGATATATTTGCTTATTCGAAACAATATCCGCTCTGAAAGAAAACGAGATTAGATTATATTTGAAAGACAAGAAAACATACCGAAATACGACTTCATCGAGATTTGCTGGAAGACCGGTAGCTCGCCATGCAAGTGGGATTTCTCGGTAACTATCGCCTTCAACTCGATCAACATACACTGCCTAGAAAAGAAATTCTCAGACGATTAATCCCAACAAGTGTTCTTCAATACGTACAGCAGCTTCATTTGAACACTGATGATGTCGTAATGCTAATCTTTCTGTTTGTCCGTCATCAAATCGTCCAACGACGTTGTTATCAGCATCGAATCCACGTAAGACAAATTCTCTAATACCATCATTAGGATGTTTTTGTTTGATTGCCACTGAAAATGAAAACCAATATACAAAATTCTTGATCTACCTTTCATTTTTGTTTCTTACAATAAATTGTATTATCTGGTAAAAATTTCGTTTCATACAGATCAATTTCGAATTCATCATTGCCATCGACGGTCGGCAAACCATTGACTTTCACATCCGTTGTACATACGCCTTCAAATGCAATTTGACTGTAAATAAGATTAAACGAGTAAAATATCAAGCCAAGAGATAATAGAGAAGAATACATGGTTACTATCTAGAAAACAGAAATACAGACGGTAAATGGCAGAAATTTCTGTCTGAAGCGGGAAAGAAAAGATGAGAGAAAATGGCGTCACTATTACTAACAACCTATCAATACGCTTAGAAAGAATCGTTTGTCGTGTCTTTCAGGGTCTTTTTTTTCTGCCGCTTCTTCTTGCGTTGCTCGATGCACGCACAAAATTCTCACTATAACCATCGAGTTTAGTGCGTGTGCCGATGTTATACATAGGCGTCGAGTCTTTTTCCTCCTTCTTCTTTTTTTGGACACTACTGCCTTCTGCTAGTGTGCATGTAGTGAAGAAAGGAAAAAGGAAGAAAAAAAGCAAGAGAACAGTCAAGCACCAACTCGTCGGAATAAGAATCATACGTTTCTTTCTTCTTGCGGTCTGTCTCTTCTTGCTCAAAAAGTTTGCATAGTATGAGTAAGCCATTATTATTATTGTTGTTCTTGGTGCTTCTATACGGTGATTTATCGATGTGGAGAGAGAGAGAGGGAGAGAACGACTGCTCAATCTAAATATACGTATGCTTGTCTACTGGTCGATGTGGGTATGTCTAAGAATACCAGCAAGAAGAGAAGAGTAGTATTTGTTTATTAAGCAGAATATACAATCAATGATTCTGAAGAAAAAAAAAGAAAGAAATCAGATATCTCAGTATGACATCAAAGGTGACAAGTGTCAATTACATGTGAAGTAATGATATGTATACATACATATAAAGAACAGGTCTTTAGCGAGAAGTTTTTGTTCGTATTGACGAAAATCTGTATATGAGACGATTATTCTGTGAAATATAGTGTGATTTAACATTCATTTCTTTCCAGTTGTCCTTAAAATAAATCCAAATCGAAGGTTAGGACCGATGATGCAAAAATAATTATCGAAATATGACATCTTATTGGCGAAATCGAGCGAATGAACAAAACTTCCTCGTTAAAATAAAACCAACAAAAAAGAAGAAGGGAGAAATCGACTACTCACTGATAAAACGCGATCAAAACTTTCGTATTCTAATGAAGAAAAAAAACACAGTATTGAACTCGAACTAATCGTCTTGCGAGGTGAGAACAAATGTTGTCATTCGAACAATTACATCTCCACATCACAAGTTCAGATGAAATTGTAACATCTGTTATTAAGTAATCATATACATCTCAGTTCAATACATACGATACAATAGAAATGAAAAACTTCTCTGAAAGATCTTCAACCACTTTCGCATTGTTCATCATAGAGGTTCTTCTGAACGCATTTCATTGGTAACTCGACGCTCATACTCTTTTTTCCTTCCTTCTCCTACTTACTCATCTTCTTCGCAAAGTTCCGGAGATGAACTTGTCTCGAATCAAACTACTGCAACCTATCGCAAACATTGCGACAATCATTACCCGTACTCCGACAATATCAATATGAAGACACGTAATATATCAAAAAGAAAATTTTTCGAATAGATATATAATAGAGCATGGAAATTATTTTGATAATGATCTATAATGATATTCAATTATTGTAAATGGTTATATCACTTTTACAAAAGATATTTGCGATGGTATACAAACGTTGAACGTCAAGTTTTCAACAAAAGAAATTAACAAGTTTAGTTTCATGTCATTTGATAGGATTACAAATAAAGAATATAACGTGATTGAATGAATATCATGAGTAGTCAAAAGAACGTTTGAAGGTGAATTTTAATTTTGTATGGCAAAGAAAATTATTTGTTTTATTATTCATCATCGTTTATTATTTTTCATTAACATATGACAAAAAAAAACTCTTTTTTTTTCTATTATATTGTCTCATCGATGTTGTTTATTCTTTTCCATATACAAGGCATTGTACACAAAAATAAGAAGTGAGACAGAACGAGAAAGAAGAAGAAGAAAACTAGAATTGAGAGATTCGAATGATGGTAGAATAGAATAATAATAAAAAAACGTTTCATAGTCGATGATGATTGTAAAAACTTGGGTCTTTGTTTGAAGCGTTGATTTAGGCACCTTCTTGTTCGCCTTCTTCTTCACCACCTTCGCCTTCTTCTGCAAAAAACAAAGATTATTGAGAAATTTCTGCGAGAATTTTCTCTTTCAAATTTACCTTCAGCTGTAGCATCTTGGTATTGTTGATATTCACTGACCAGATCGTTCATGTTAGATTCAGCTTCAGTAAATTCCTATAAGACAAGACGAATAGACATTTCAGTTCGATAATCAAAGTAAAAGTACGAACCATTTCGTCCATGCCTTCACCAGTATACCAGTGAAGAAAGGCCTTTCGTCGGAACATAGCTGTGAATTGTTCCGAAACACGTTTGAAGAGTTCTTGAATAGCTGTGCTGTTACCTAAAGAATAAAAATGAATGATTCATTTCGAATGCTGATATGCGCTGTCAAGTCTTACCAATGAAGGTAGCTGACATCTTAAGACCACGTGGTGGAATATCGCAGACAGCTGNTACCAGCAGCTTCATTGTAATAAACATTAATACGTTCGAGTTGGAGATCAGAATCACCATGGTATGTACCAGTTGGATCAATACCGTGTTCATCTGAGATGACTTCCCAAAACTAGATTAACGAAAGAGTTGTCTTAGTAACGCAAACGAGACATTTATTTTCAATCATACTTTGGCACCAATTTGGTTACCACATTGACCAGCTTGCACTAGAATTCGTTGTATCGATATTAGTATGGAAACGATCCTCTTTTTTTTTCAGTACGACTTACTATGTACGATTTCACGCATTTTTGTTAGTTGATGTTGCTTCGACGACGAGTAAAAGTGATGTTGAAAAAACCGTTAGAGAAAGGCGAACGACTGCCGACATTTGCATACACAGCTTTATATAGGGGGGACATGAATTCTCTCATTTTCTCTCTCTCTCGATTTTACATACACACACACATTCACTCTCAGTGTTTCTGACAACCATCGCAAAGAAGAGTTACTAGGGTAACTCCTTTTCTCCAATAATTCTTTTTTATGTCTCGCTGTTGAGAAAATGAACGACAAATGCATCCATATCATTTGTTTGTTTCGTTGCTACGTACCGGTCTAGAAGAGAGAGAGAGAGGGAGAAAGAAAAGATGAAGGAATCACACGAAATGTAACGATTGCATTTCGAAGTAAAATGATCTTCATGACAACGTCTACAGAAGAATAGTTTTCTCTCTTTCCCTCTCACTGTGTTTATTCTTGCTTTTTTAACTAACCAGAAGAATTCTTTGTGCACAGTAACAAACATAAAAAAAAAAGATTGTTGATAAGGTGTCTACACTTACAGCGTAGTTACTGATGAGAAGAAACAATAGTTTTGTGTATGAAGACTTTTAATATTCGAGAATGTAACGATAAAAAACATTCAATCGAGAAAGCGGTTGATATACAAGATAGAAATACAAATAAAGAGAGAAATAGTTGAAGAAAAAAATTTCTTAATTGTGATTTGTTTTATTCGCATTTGTATGTTTTCGAGAGAAATAATTGTCAAGGCCAAAAATTCAAGCAAGACCAAAACGTTTGGCAGAGAGTACGGATGAGTTCGATCTGCTGTTCGAAAGAGTCTTTCTCTATTACTTGGCCTTTACCGATCTGCTAGAGGAAATGATTGAAAAAATACGACGATATTTTCTTATTTTTTCAGACATCCGACTTGATCGATGAAGTGAAATCAATCGAACTAATAGCTAAAAAGAGAGACAGAAAGATCGCAACCATTGATAGCCTATGACATATACCATCCATCGACAAGCTCAAACTCAATAGTTATCAATCACTCAAAACGACACTTAAGGAATAAATATTACCCAAATGTACATCATCGATCTGAAAAACTAGGCGCCAAGAAATGAATGAAGGATAACTGCCATAGGCTGTATCAATTAAGAAATATGTGATACACATATATGTATGAGATAACAAGTCATCTTGAATAGTTAACATAATTATACTGATGCTGTAGGATCAACATTTCTTTTCGAATTTGATTGTTTCATATTTTGTTTTTCTTGAGAGAAATTCTATCTGTGTCGAATGAATACGACTTCGAAGGGAATGTTTATGGTATTGATGAATAATGGCAACTTTGGAGATAATATGAAAGAAACAGCGGCGACGACGAAGAAAGTGTGTCTATGTATTTAGCAAATGTAGGAGAAAAAAAGAAGTAAACATAAAGCAATAGCAATAGCTGAATATAAACGACGTGTAAGGAACATCGCTTGCAGAAGATGGAGAGTATTCAGACATTGTCGATCATATCTCGAAGTACTAGTGATGGTCATCAAACGGTCGATGATGAACAACCGAACGATTTGAAAATCGAACATTTACAACGGCGACGATCGAGTCGAGTATGGCTTTTCGATCAGTGTTGAATAAAAAACGGAAGAGAAACATGTTCTTTTTCGTTCTTCCTTTTCAGTTTACCTCGCTTCGATTTCTGCCCGATTCGATTTTATTGGCAGTTTTTTCTTATTTAACACCGCTTGACCTTATCCGATGTACTCGAGTATGTCATCGATGGTATCTTCTTGTCTCACGTCATCAGCAACTTTGGCGACGTCTTTTTCTTCGTCCGGAGAGCACTTGTGGTTATATCGGTGCAATTCATGTCCGACATGTGGAGCCATTCATTTCAGTACTCGGCACACGTTGTGGTTCGGCTTTGCTTTACATTGATCTGCCTGTCGAATTGATAACAGTTGATGTTCTACGTGAACTAGCTATACGTTGTCCAAATCTACAATATTTAACATTAGATTTTTCCTCGGCTATGCAATTACATGATTTCAATGATTTATATGAGTTTCCGTGCAATCTCAAACGTTTATGCATCTGTTTGTCCGAAGTGATCTTTCTTGAGGCGTTTATGCGTCGAATCTACGGGTATTTGTCCTCATTACAAACATTACATATTATTGGGACCATGGAGAAGCCGACGATCTCATCTCAGGATGATGTGAGCAATTACGAAACGATCAATTTAGGTAAAATCAAAGCAAGTGCACCAAATCTGCGTGTCATCAATCTTTACGGCATCGGTTTTATCGACGATAGTCATGTCGAAGCCATTGCATCAGGCTGCATTCATCTTCAATGTTTGGCGTTGAATTATTGCATTCGAGTATGTGGAACTAGTTTCAAAGCACTCATGGCTCGGTGTAAGAAGATTCAGTGCTTGTTATTACAAAATACCGGTAAGAGAGAAAATGAAATCTGACTCGTGTAGTACTGGAACAGACGTTCTTTGGTCGATTCGATCGATCGATTAATTATCAACAAATGATATTTACAGGAGAAAATGTCTTACATTGATTGTTGTCCTATCGAGATAGTCCTTGAATAGGAAACAAAAATATCCAAGTTGATTTGCTGTTTTCATGTTATTCTTTGCCATGCTGAGAGATACTTTCATGATAAGAAGAAACATGAATAATTTGATTTCAGGTATTCAAGATGCAGGAATGCTTGCTGTTAATTGGTCATCAACTCAACTTAAAGAATTGGATCTTGCCTCGACCGAATTGAGTGAAAAAGCTCTTTTAACGTTGTTTGCTGCCATGCCTAAATTTATGTACCTAGCCGTTCCGTTCTGTGATGGTTTTACAGATAAAGTAGTGTCTTTCTATGAGCTCGTTCGAAGTTAACGTTGTGTAAACTTAGGTTTTGAAAGTTCTTGTCGATCATGGGAAACTCAATGGCTGCCGTGCGCTGGATTTTAGTAATACAGTTAATTTGAGCGCTGAAGCAATGCATCGACTATTGACAACATTGCCAAATATCACTCAACATCTTGAAGCATTGAGTTACACAGGCAATGGCGCGATTACTGAACAGTTCTGGATTGATACAATTCGATTTATTCATAAGCTTAAGTATGAAAATGAAAATTTTGATTGAAGAACTTCTACTGAATGCTCATTGCATCATAGGATACTGATTGTCGGTACACCCTATAGCTGGTTTAGAGAAATGGCTCGTCGAATACATGTAGATCAAATATTAGATTCATGTGCCATGCATTGTCCAGATTTGCAGCGCTTGGAAATTCAATGGGATTCCGAAACGGTTCGATATAGTGAGAATTCATCGAAATTTATCGATCACCTTCGGTATGTGAATTCTTTTCTCTTGATCTGTGTCGAAATATAGGGAACAAACCCTGTTCTCTAGGATAAAATGTCCAAAGCTACTGTCGTTTGTTCTTCCGGATGGTCCTTATTATGAAGGAACCAAGTCGAACTTTGAACGGGCTGAACGATCTACCGTCGTGCGAACAACCAATATGTATAAAACAAGTATTATCAGTGCATTGCATTTTTACAATGAGTTGAGATTTAATTGAAGGCAAGGGCAAAAATATTTTTTTTTATATAAATAATAATTGATGATAAAATAAATACGTATTTGGATTCAAACAAGACTGAGTACTCGCGAATAAGTATGCTAGATAACTGTATGGATCTGAAATCAAAAACAGCTTACATTGTTTACGGCTTCGAACCAGCTTTTAGGAGGATTCGGCGTTCGATTCGTCCGTTCTTTGTCGTATAGTCATGCATACTATACTATGCTTGAAAATATCATATGCAGCGACGTTGTACTCGTCTAATTTAAAACGAGAAGCTAAAAATGTGTTCAGAAGAGTCGATTTACCGTTCAAAAATTTGCCCCTGCAAGTAAGATTCTGACTGTCTACTGGAACACCAGTCTTATCTTGAATTTTGCGTTTCAAATCTGCAATTGTAGTCGATGGTTTCACCTATTCAAATATGCGATGAACCAATTGAAATATTTACGTAGAAGATACTCTACCGCCATAAGAATCTGTCGCCCAGTAATTATCTATGGGCAAAAACGAATATGATATATACAGTTGGCAATATCATAGAATTGAGTAGTTACTTGAACAAAAATTTGAAAAGCATTCCCATTGTGAAGTGTGACAAGATCATCTTGCTCATTCTGATTGTCCCGTTGAATTCTTGAAAAATAAATTATATTTGTATAGAAATTTTCAATGACGAGACACAAAATCTTACCTATGGGCCGAGTTCGACTCCAGAATAGTATTTTTATCAATAACTAGAGATTGTAGATTGATTGAAGTATTTCGAGCACGATTGATTTCCTGTTTGAGCAACTGAATATCTCTGTTCAATGAAGCGATGTTATCTTGTGTAGCACCTTGCTTTTGAATAAGTTGGCCCAATATATCTTGTATTTTACGAAGTTTCTCCAACGGTTTGCTTTTGATTTCTTCACTCAACTGATCATGCATATGCTGATAGAATAGATCGATTGTTTGGTGTGCTGCGATGCGCCATTGATCAAGATGAATAAAAGCAGGAGTCGAGTCAGGTTTGAAATGTTGGAAGTTGTCTGACAATATATTGATTTCATCAGCAAGAGGCAGTAATTTAGCATTTAGTTGATCTTTATGTTGTTTTAAATGATCGAGACATATATCATTTCCACAACAATGACAAGTAGCACAAGACGAACTGTCACATTTTTGGATTGCACACGGTCGAATTGTTAAAGACATAACTACGCTTGCTCACTGGGAAAAAGCAACAAAACAGAGTAACACGAAATAAAGTGCAGTGCTTGTTTTTTAAGCCGTTTTTATCGATCGCGAAAATCGTATGCAATACACACGGAGAAAGAAAAAGAAATACACGCATAAGATATTAGTCATTATTTTGTTACTCTACTCTTGTTCTTCTTGTTACTTGGAAAATTTCATTTACTTATTTTTATAGATGTCTGCAGCTTTCATTTCATATGGAAGCTTGTTACGTTTTCAATTCGACAAAGAATGTCTGTTATTTACTAACATCGTAAAGAAATACCGTTTCGCATAGCTGGTAAAAGCGTAAAGTAAATACAGATTTCTTTCTCTTTGATTATGCATATACCAACGAATGACACGTGGAGATAAAGAAGAGGAAGAAAGTTCGAGGCGTAGCAAAAAATATTATTTTCATTTCAAATGACTTCATCGAAAAGGTCTCCTGAAGTGATTTTCATTGGCATTGCTGGTCCATCAGGTTGTGGAAAAACGACTTATGCTAAACATCTCGTCCACCGTCTTCAATCACCTATTTCTGTTATTGGCTTGGATGATTTCTTCTATTGTACAAAGACTATCGAACATCCTATTCTCGGCCGGATTCGAAGTTTTGAAGAACCCGAAACTCTCCATGTAGAAAGTTTAGTAAACCTTTTGCAATCGCTCAAACAACATCCCGAAGACGTTACACGTTATCGTCGAGGTGATATTTCTCTAACAGACAGCAGATACATTTATGTTGTTGTCGAAGGTTTTCTCCTCTTCGGCCTATCAGACAATTTAACATCTATGTTTGATATTCGAATATTTTTCGATTCAACTATGGCTGAATGTCGTTTGAGACGATTTCGTCGTCGATCGAAAATTGCATCGCAAGTACCTGATGATCAAGTACAAGTAACAACTGATTTCCAGCAATGGTTCGATTATTTAGTCTGGGAGGAATATCTGAAACGACGTGATTTGCAAATGTCGAAAGCGGAGAAGATCTTTCATTCCGATCAGTATAAAAATCGTGATTATACGCAATTGGATGATTATCTGGATGCACGTTTGATAGAAATCATTGAAAAGAAATCATAATCTGCATTTATTTACGACGTTCTTTCATTGGTCATAAAAAGATAAGTTTGAATGATTTTTTTTCGTTTCATAAGCAAATAAATCGACATGTCATCAACTGCTAACTGGAAGACTACGACCGACCACCAAGATACACCGCTGTTGAACTTTCAGGATGTTTTACTATTGCTTGTGTTAATAGTCATTTGTTTACTTGTATTTTTTCTCTTTCTAACGTTTTGTCTCAAACAAAGACATCGAAATCGCATTGGTTTACAGTCATATCCGCCAATACATCAGCAAACAGAGTACACTATTGATTCTTCTGAGCTACCACCACCACCATATAATTGGCATCAACCATCTCCTCCTCCGCCTCCGTACTACACGTCGAAATAAATGACATTTTCAGTTTTCAACAACTCAATAAACATACTTCTGCAATTGTAGTCTGCTTTTGCTTATCAATGACTATGAGCTTTCGAGATGAAGCGTAAATATTTGGATGTTAATAATTACCGAACTATTCACATTTGTCTATAATCATCATTAATAGAAAGCACGCCAGCAGGCATTTATCGAATCGACAGATTCCATCACATATCTAAATAAACATCTCACTAATCCTATTGATGTCAAAACTGACTATCGGCAAAGCTTGATAAATATTGTGCACCGAAAATATCTCCGATCGAGGTTCGAGCGAAGAAGAAAGAATTTCTTCTATTGCGTTTGCCCAGTCGATCAGAAATGCAGATCTTCCAATATTAATACCTTCTACTGTCTACTACTTTGTCAACAGATACTCATTTCAGTTGAATGTTGAAGGCGAACTTTATTTCAATTTATTTTCCTATTCATAATTAATAGGAAATCAAAGGGAATCTTTCGAAGTTTATTAATATAGAGTAGAAATAAGCGAAGTTCTATTGAGAAGAATAGCTGTTTTCTCCTTCTTCTTCTAGTTTTCTCGTGTATTCAATCAATCTTTGTGTCGAGGCCGACTACATTAGTTGAAATAATGTTCTTCCATTCTCTGCTTGTTCTTTCGTAGACTTCTCAGAAGACATCACGTTTTCCATTCGAGCAGACCTATCGTCCTGTTATGAATTCATCCATAACTATTCATCAAATCGAAATGCTCAATAGGTCATCTCTGATTATTCGGTGTTTAAGTATCTATGCTTTAATATTAGTTATTGTCGGTACGTTGGGTAATCTATTAACAATCATCATTCTCTGTCGACGAAATCTTCGCCGCTATGTGACGATGCGGTATTTAGTAGTAGTTAGTGTATGTGATATCATTTCGTTATATGGATGGAATCTGAACAATTTCTATAAGTTTACCGTAAGTCAAAATCGAGACAATCTCGAAGAATTATCGTTGATTCATTGCCGAGTGATGTCGTATTTAACATTCGTTGGTTTACAATTATCGAGTTGGTGTTTAGCAGCTGTTAGTCTCGGTAAGTGAAATGACATTGGAGAAGAAATTAATCATTACAGCTGACAGTCAGAATGAGAATAGATGGAAGCAAAGATCGATAGAATTCATAGCATTTTTAATCCTTTATTAGATCGATGTTTAAGTTTGTATTTTCTCACTTGGAAACAAAATTACGGGCGATTAAGTCGAGCGAAATATCACATCGCATTTCTCGCATGCACCTGTCTACTTCTCAATTCGCACATACTTTTTCTCAACGGATATCGAATTCATTCGAACAATGGAACAACAACGAAATGCTACGCGACACGAACAAATCCGAACTACATTTATCCGCAATGGGAACGAATTCATCTTGTTGTTTACAACTTATGTCCATTTTCTATCATGTGTTTATGCAATGCCTATACTATTTATGCAACGATTCGTTCAGCTCGTATTCGCATGCCTACGACAGAACAATTGTCTCGTCATCGACAATTGTCAGTGATGTTAATGATAGTCACATTTGTTTTTGTTCTTCTGACCTTACCGTCGTGTATTTATTACGTGTTTTTTCGCCATCGTATGTTGACAAAGCGTCACTCGCGTCTCTATCGACATATGGTACAGATTTCGTTGGGCAGTGTGCAGTTTACAGCACATGCAATCAATTTCTTTCTTTACTGCTTTTCGACGCGGAATTTTCGTAATGAATTACGTGATTTTCTCCGTGAAATCTGTTTCTATATCATAAAATCGAAACGAACAACAACAGCAACAACAAAGGATTTATCGACAACAGAATTGAAAAAACAGTACCTGATGAAAAGTCGTCACAACAATCAAGAATCAACATTAGAAGATCAACAGACCGGACAACAATATGCATTGAAAGATATGCAGACAGTACTAATCAATGAGCAGTAGCTCGAGAGTTCTAATTGACTCTTTCATAGTAAAAATGCATTGTAGAAAATTTCACTTGCAGTTCTGTTGTGGACGAACGTAGTTTTTTAATTTAGAGAGCACGCCTACGTCTGAGCTCAATAATAAATACAACAAAACGCAAAACACAAAAGTAAAAAAAGAATGGTTTGTCGAGTGTAGCAGAATGTTTTCAGAAGATATTCATAGGAACGAGTGGGATAGATTTTATGCATATAGAATGTAAAGCAAAAATCATCGTTACACTCTTTTATGAATAGAAGTCATGTATATAATTGGTTTCAAATGTTGTCACACCTTTAAATAGTGACATATTTTTATCAATTGTCTCGAATTTATTATCGAGATGAAATATTTTCTTATAAATTCTATCATCCTTTATTTTTACTTAACCCTTTAATGAAGAATAATGTTTCAAAACTATGTGAACTCAGGAAAACCTCATTGACGTTTTGAAACATCACTGGTTCTGGGAAGGTTAAGCCTTACAAGTGGTAATACCCAGTATGTAAGGTTTATTATGTAGTTCTTCAAAGAAGTGACACTTCGAATTATTGAACTTTCTCAGTTTTTTAACTGTTCCTTATTTTTCTTTCATTACAGAGCTTCAAAATCATTTGATTTCAATCTTTAGAAATTAAATGCTTAGGAATTTCTTTAAAAAAATTTTACGGTGACCGAAACCAGACTAAAACGTTTGTAAATTTTTCAAGCTACTGCTTTTTCTCCCTCTTTCAAGCTTTGGTTCCAACGTTCGAAGTGTGTGAATATATTCACGGACATAGGTCCGGTGTCCTTAATTATCAAAACCAATGGTTTTGAAAGTTTTTCAATACCATGGTTCAAGTGTCTCAATCTAGATATTCATGTTTCGATTTTATAAGAAGCAATTCTTCGTCTTACGACGATAGCTTCATTCTTTTCACTCGACTCGTTCCCCCTCGTAATAACTCTGAATTAGCTGCTACAATTGACAAATCATTCAGCGAAACTGGAAACAAAATGATAAAACCTTCTCCTGAACTGTTCTTGATTAAATAATAGAAAAATATTACTTCTCTTTTCTTGATTGTGGTTTTGAACTTAGTGCAGGATGGATTACTGCTCTCTAATACACTCCTCGATATCTTCGAGGATAGTATCAACGTGGTTATCATCATTAGGGGTGTCTCCAATGTTGTTTTCAGGTACCATTTCTAGGAAAATGAAAACAATGTTTACGTCAGCGTTCAACTGATAGAAATACTCTTACCTGGACGAGTACTTGATGAATCGACGATCACTTGTATATATATGGTATCATCTTTTATATACAAGTTTTTGTGCTGATGGATGACTTCTAAATCGACGAATTTTTTTATACCATAACCTTGGTTCATCATGGTATCTGGTCGCTCAAAACACTTGGAGTGAAAATCAGACCATATCTCTTCAGAAAGATGTTGTTCAATGCCATTAATTCTAGTTTGATCTACTAGTACGAATTGTAGTCTACATGACAATGGCCATATTAAACGATCATCGTGATCACCGCGTAGTAAAACAGCATATATGGACATGTGCGTTCCTCTGACATCGGCATCTCCATGTGGATATAATCTCACGCACATATTGTAACCTGACGGTGTGATGAAAGTTGGAGAGTACATGGACTGTTGTCTCTGCGTTTGCGCATCGTCTAGTAATAAAGAGAGCATCATTAGTGATTGGTTCAGAAAAGGGAGAGTATTAATGTGAAGTTTGTCAAGAGCAGTCAGTTGACTATTAATAACTACTAACTGATTACAGTCCATGTATTCATAGATTACCCGGTGAATAATGTCCTTTTTATAATGACTTAAAATGTCCGAAGATTAGCTTCTAAAGAGATCAGTAAGAAAAAAAAACCGGTGAAACATCGAGAATAGATTCCATCTAACACGTAAAAAAGATCCGGTCTGTATTTCGAAAAAACTGGTAGATCTTTCAAAAGGGTCTTCTTGTATTGCTAAATAAGGTCAAATTTGAGGGTGTGACGTACGAAATTTGTCTTCAAGACCAGAAATCTGCCATGTAATCATTCCATCAGAGTTGACAAAGAGGCCATTTTGTTCTTCTAAGGACAAATAGTGGTTTTGTTGTAGTTGAGATTCAGCCCCATTATATAGCACTGGTCTATAATCGCTAATTGCGATATTATTTATATTAATATGTGAATGTGTCGATAAACCGCGCGATTGTAAACGACTTTCTTCAGTACCACAAGTAGCCTAAAAACGACAAGTGCTTCATCTATGTTTTATATCACATATTATCATACCGATCCACTTCGAACGCTTCCATGATGATATTCATCGATATGCCGCTGGAAAAAAAGTAAGAAAAATGATTATTTCAGTGAAAATATGTTTCATATATGCATATACCTGATAGAGTTGAAGCCTGTTGGTCCATTGGCACAAGAAACACTTGACCAAGGATTCGTTCAAATAATTGAAAGCACCTCGATCAAACCACGCCTAGAAGATTGAAGAAAAATATGAAGAGTAACTTTTCATGTTTTCTATTGTACCTCGCTTTTCGAAGTCACTTCGCCACAATTGTTACATTGTATTTCACTAAAAATATACAGGAAAGTTGATAAATAACAGGATATTAGAACAACTTACTGTGGCTTCATTTTTATACAATTCGCGCACACTCGATCACCACAAGCTAACTGATACGGTTGGCGCAAAAGGAGTGTGCAGATCCCACAAGTATAATGTTTTCCGAAATCTCCTATATTTCCGACGTTATAACCAGAACTCGAGTCAGTAGCGTTCCGCTTCGGTGCCGGCAGATCATCGGCATACCCATAGTGCCGTTTAATATTTATTCGTTCTGCGTCCATCGATGATGCTTGATGCTGTGAATCTTTTTCAGCACCAGCCGCATTTCTTATGTGCGCACTTAAAGAGCGTTCATCGATAGATCGAAATTTCCCCTCAACCTTTGGAGTTTGTTTCACAGGGTCCTTTACATCTTCGCGATTCTTGCAGTAAACATAAATCACTCGGACTTGTGAAAACTGGTATATTGGATCTTTGATCAGCGTTGATTTAACGTCTAACGGAACGAACAATTTGAACTCATCCACAGTTGTATTACGCTGTGTTATGTGCGCAATCAGAGCATTCAGATCCTTAACAATTGTTATTTGAGGAATGTTGGTAAGTTTTGCTGATGTCTGCGACACCAGCAGAACCGTTTCAACAGCCATAATTAACTTGTGATGCTTAAAAATCGAAATTATTATTAATCGATAAACTCAAAAGGAAAGTCACTTACCTCAGAACTATAATGAAGTTGTTACTAATGAAGTTTAAATAATCTAGAAAAGAAATCGTTCTGATTAGTTCATCAGTATATTATAGTCTAAAACATAATGGTTGAGTAAGATGTTAATACGTATAGAAAAAGAATAAGCACAATGACTAAAACATTGACAAAAAATATACATATCAACACTACTCAGATACTATTCAATATCAAAGACAAAAAACTGATGTTAAAACATTTGAACAACCACTTGCGTTACATAAAATTAAATCGATTCCATATTAATTGATTTCACCATCAAGTATTTCTCATTTCAAGTTCTGCTGATAGGAAAAAAGTTAGCATCCTGTTTGCACCTGCAGGTATATGATCTGCGCAAACCAGTCATGCTTATATGTACCCATGGAAGGGATGACGAAGATATAATTTAATCTTCATTCTATAAAACATGAAAACTTTCATTTTCTCTTACGTAATCGTATGAAAAGGTATCATTAGTAAGTACATGGAAAACGATTGTTGATCGAAATTCTGTACACAAAACAACGATCTTGTTAATATCAAATGCTCATGATGAGAAAAATTAACAACTACATCAAGAGCGTGAGAGCTCACAGGAAAGCTGACTTGATGGGCTCTGCCTTTTGGCGTTCAAAGTGTATAAGTGGCACCAGCTCCCGTGGGATATAGAAAACTTCAAAAGAATTCGTTTTTATCGAACTTTTTCTCGCAATAAGATGTGCGCAGCCTGAAAAAGCCAGTTCAATAAGCACGAGTACTTTTGAGATTGTTCACACCCAACTAGCAACTGTACATACAATCCAAGGGGGGGGGGGGTAGGCGAAAAGTCGATACTCCAGTATACTCTGCGTACTCCCTTGATGAATTGTAAGTATCCTTGAGGTTTTTCTCAGTGTTTTCAACTCCACCAATGACCAGTATTACAATACACCAGTTGGAGTACAATGCAACTGGTGTATTGTAATACTGGTCATTGGTGGAGTTGAAAACACTGAGAAAAACCTCAAGGATACTTACAATTCATCAAGGGAGTACGCAGAGTATACTGGAGTATCGACTTTTCGCCTTTTCCCCCTTGATACAATCTGAATTCATCGATGTGACGCTAGCATCATAGAGCTAGCACTACATCGATTCTAAACTCAAAGACAAGTAAGCAGTTACATTGATTGTCTCGTCAATAGACTGTCGTCCATGCCGTACTTGGGACGACATCTCACATTCACAAACTCGAACTGCTTTGCGAGCTCGTGTTGATAGTTCAGGATAGTACTACATCTAACATTCCTGATTAAATACTCAACTATGCGTTCACTAAGAAAAAACGATTAAAAATAAACAATAACGAAAATTATATATACTCCTTAATGAGGAAAACCTTACGGGATGTGATCAGACTAAGCGAGGAAAACACCAGAAATTTATACTTTGAAGATAGCCTCTGATAGACATCTTCACGGCGCACTGGCTATGTTTAGTGCGGGAGAAATATTTAAAAAAGAGAAAATAACCTTGAATACGGCCAGACGCATCGGAAAAGATAAGTCGACTGCTACAAAAATTACATTTTTTTCACCAAAGCGCAGAATTTAAGAGCCCGGTCATAATGCTTTTGAGCTGCAAATTCATTCTTCGCGTCTTCCCTTTGTTCATCGCCTAGTTCTTCCGAAATGAGTGTTAAATCAATAAATAGCTTTACCAGAAGACGCTGGTCACTATCGAATATACCATCGACTCTTGCATACGACCTCACAAATCGCTGTAAAGTCAATATCTGATCTTGTGTACATCGAACCAGTACTGAGTAAACGTTATTGTATTTATGACTACAGTCAATAATGTTCCTGAAATCGGAGCCAGGTTGTACTACAAGAGATGCGACCGTTTTTGTGGAATGAGATTCTAGCCATTGCCACATGTAAGTATCAATTGAGAAACAAATCAATGTGATATCAACGTTCTTGACGTATTCCATTAATGCCGTTCGTAGTGTCGATTTACCCTGACCATAAAATATGATGATTGGCGCAGTTGAAGAAACTCGAAAAACATTCATAGGTTTTTTTGCCAGAAAATTTGTTTCTTACCATCGCCAGTAATGACTTCGAATGGCTCATGCTGTTCGACAGCTTGGTAAATAAACGCTTCGTCATGATTCTCATTTGTTGGGACCCTTCTGTTAAAATCCAAGAAGATTTCTGACGAAATTTGTGATGCATATTCGGCAACACAAAATCTATCCACCAAAACGGACATGATGACAGCAACAGGTTTCTCTCACCGAATTCTTCTATAAAATGAATATATAAAACAAAGTATTTATTCTCTCTCAGAAATTTAGGTGATAAGCATGAGTTTGTTGTAATACTGACTCATAAGAAGTATCAGTCATGATACACTGTAGCTTCGACAACCTGAGAAGCAAGTTGGAAATTTCCAACTTGCTTCTTTCGAGCAAAAGATGGAAAGTACTCAAACACAATGACCCCAGCATATTCATGAGGAAAAAAAAGAAAAATGCATTAGAAACCGTCGCAGAAAAGCGCACTGAGCAAAAATACCCTGTATTTTCTCCCAGTGACGTCATTTATGTAGCCAATAAAAAAAAAGTTATTCTTTGTTAAAATCTATGCAAAAAACAAATCGTGAAAAATTTCACTTTGTTTCTTACGTATCACTTAACATCTGAATGCAATACGTCACTAAACATCACATATGTGCAACAATTGTGAATAGAGAAAAGTTGAAATTGATGAGTTACAATACGTTCTTGAATGCAACTGCTTTTTATTATATGAATTGATGTCCTTCTACATTGAATGCCGCTGTCAAGAGCGGAAAAAAACAATAATAATCACAACAAACGAATATCTCTTCATCATTATGCTTTAATTCCTTATCTCGGATCGAATCTTGTTGTATGACGTGGTGATGCAATATCACTATGCGACTGTATAGGGTACAGGAACTTTTCCTTGCGTATCAAAATTGATGGTAACACCGAGAAACATCGTATCATCACGAATATAGCTGCTGTTTGATCCTTCAAGAATTCCTAATGGACAGTATTTTGGTACTGCATAGCCAATATTTATGCGTGAACCTGGTTGTACTACATCAAAAGATCTTGTGCCAGGATAGTACGTATCGATGACGTGTCTTCCTGCACCAGTTTGATCATAAAGGCAAAATGTCACTGAGAGAGTAAACGGCCACGTCAATTCAGCGTCATAATCACCTTTCAGCAGAATAAGAAATACTGACATATGAGTAGCACGTGCACTATCAAAGCCGTTCATATCAAGTCGTGCTCTCATCTTGTAGCCAGTTGTTGATGTATAGAATATTGGAGAATAGATTGATGCGTGTCGTTCTGATCGTGCATCAGCTAAATTGTGAAAATAGAAGAGATAGTTTTCCAAAGAGATCTATAAATACCAATTTTTTCAGCAACATTTGTGATGCTCCATAAGAGCGTACCATTCGTCGAGCTGCAGAAAATATCTTCTAGTTGCGCTTGAGTTGTCAACAATTTTTCTTGAAATTTATCCTGTTTTCGTATGATACCGCGGTTCTCTTCTGTAGAAACTACTTGTATGCCATTCTCACCGTTGATCTGTTTGTCGCCGGAGTGTCGAAATGAAAGATACAACGTTAGATGTGCTGCACCTGAACTTCCTTCATCCGGCTACAATCGAAATTATCCGTATATGTTCTTTGTAATAGAATTATACATACTGATCTTTCGTAATCATCCCATTCGACACTGTAATCATCTTCGGAATCATATTCATAATCCTGCAAAAGAAAACCATAAACAAATTGCTCATTAGGGAAAAATTACCGAATCCATCGACGGTACTAGATCACATTTGGCACTTTTACAAGTATGCATATCAAAATAGATCATACGCATGATTGACTATAACTAGCGAAGAGCCAGCTTACACCCCAAAGGAATCTAATTAATTACAAATAGAACTGAAAGATTATTCACACATACTCATCTCTGAATTTCTTACAAAACATTCTAGACATTCTCTATAATATAACATACTCCAAGACTAGCAAATATCCTAGCAACATAGTTTTACATATGCACCCTTCCTGTTTGATAACCATTAAAGCGTCACTAACGCAAGGGAGAAACGACGGTGCTCCAATACTCCAAAAAGAATTTATAGTATCGTGCAGTATGGCTGTTTACCCCTTGCACCAACTTCACCAGTTTACTTATCACACTTACTCATAATGTTCGTCAACGCATGCCCGAGAACATGAGTCATCGAAAAGAACATTCCGTTTTCTAAACAAGCACTTTTTGCTTCTAGAAACTTCCATAACCTATGAAGGTGACATTCGAGATCGACTATAATAAACGGTACGGTCACTGGAAATTACACAGATGTTCTCATACAGTAAACTGTATTTTGTTTACAAAGGATATTTTCCGTAGTTTATCCACATACATTTATTCGTATAAAAAAATATCCTTTACAATCAATGATTACAATTTTGTCCATGAACTTGTTGTGTACCATTCTCCACTGTGAAAATTCTTCTTGATCCAACGTATAGTATGCGTTTGTTGATCATCATTGTTGATTTCTAACAAGCCACGATACTGATATGACGAACAACCATCAGGTAAAATTAAACTTAAATCTACAATTGCACCGGTTAGACGAACTTGAGCGTAGGCGCCTGTTGACGATGTACCGATCAGGTAACTTGATTTTCCATGAAAAACATAATCGAAATGCATGCATGAACCATACTTCGTATCACGCCAAGTGCCCACAAGCGAACGTGAATCGCATAACTATAAAAGACATATTGTATTTTATTCAATAGACGAAATCAAAGTGAACTTACATCTGATGGATGAGGTTCAGCAATGTAAATATCATTTGTATGCACGTTACCCATTGTGAATAGATCTATGATTCATTCCTGTTGTTGATCTGTATTTATAGCGACGATGAAGTCGATGATCGAACAGTCGATGATGACAATCGACGGGAACGTATCGATGAATGGCATAAGTTCATTCATGATAGACGACCATGTAGAAGAAAAGGATTGATTGTCTATTTCACGGTCACATCAATAATTTCATTGATTTTCTTTTGAAAGAATCTGATTTCTTCACTGCAAACATCTTCTATTTCCTCGAAGATTCTCACAGTGCTGCAGTTATTGTATACCAGAACATTCTCTACTAATGGAAAGTACTAATGCCGAACAGATATTATATTTCGATTGAAGTCTTCCATGTGGCAGAATGTATGCGTAATTATATATCTAGAGAATGCTTCGATAATTCATCCATTTTCCCTCGAATCTATTGCGACAAGCCGACAGTGATGATAAACACCAGATGACGAAAGGAAAATAACTAGTCGACGTAATCAACCGTGAACGAACTTCTCTCGTCGACTCGGACTCGATTTGCAACATCATTTGATTTCTGGTCGACACATTTGTGACATGGCTACATTTCACACGTTTCAACGAATTTTCAATTCATCATTTCAATTCTACGGACTTTCCGATTGGTTATTAGAACTTATGCCGGATAATGTTAATCTTAATCACTCAAACAACAAACAACCATCGAACGGTTGGGTGTTTCGACGACATAATGCTCGTTCGAAATTTACTTGTCCCAATTGTACGGAATTAAATTCTCATTCATCAAGTAAAAGCAGGAAAATTAGTAGCTGGTCATCAGCATTTACAACAATTCTCTTTCGTGCACGATTAGATCAATCTCATAACGGACAACTCATCGGCCGAATTCAAATGAAGATCTTCGAACAGGGTTGTCAAACATGTAACATGTACAGTACCGGCGTTCTCGAAGAAAAAGAGATTAAAAAGACGTTCTATCGTTTGTACCTTTGGATATTAAAAACATTTTACAATGTACGTTTGGTTGATAATGATGATGATCAGGACGAACCTAGACGACAAGAACATATTCAACAAACGAAAATCTCCCATGATTCCAGTCGATGTGACGGTTGTCGATTGGGTTGGTGTAAAGCTCTGTATACGAATCGAAACAAATAAATAAATCAGCGCTTCTTTTATTTTTCTATGATATTCACTCTTCTTTTGTTTTTTCACACTTCGTTTTTACAAGATGTACATGGAGCCTGTCTGACATTCAAACGAAATACATGCAAATTAACGTTCGCAAATTCAACAGGTTACAAGAAATGTTTCATTTGTTCCATAGTCGAAGACGTTACTTCGACTGAGAATGAAACAACAGAATATCAGTGTTCGAAAGTAGAGGATCTTCACTGTATAATGATAAACTTTACCAGTATTGAAATATATCAACAGTTTACTTCGCGATACATCGGTGTTATAAACACATTGTTCGATGAACGAAATATGGCCAGCCCATTGACGCAAAATGATCTCATCATTCAGATTTCAGATTCGAATTTATATGAATTTCGTTTTGAAACATTTCGAATGTTGAACGACCTTCCAAATCGAATGTTTTGTTGCGTCAGATTTTTCATCTACTATAAACATGATCATGTCACACTCAATCTCAAGGACGACATACGAAACATCACATTCTCGTCTTTACAAATCCTCATCCACTGTCATCAGTACGCCTTCGCAGAGTACACCTATATGCCCACTAATGACAAAGAAAACTTCATCGATAAAATGATCTGTAAAGCTCCGGAGAACGTCATAGCAACAACCGAGCTGTCGACAACGACAATTGAGCTGTCCACAACGACAAGAAAATCTTCGAAAAAGCTTATAATTTTAGTTGGGATAGTTGGTGGCGGTAGTTTATTTCCGTGCTTGCTACTCGCTTGTTGTTTGTATGTTTTATGCCAACAAAACAACGAGCAGGATGACAGTGATGGTATGACAATGAAGAGTATCTCGTCAGATGAAATCGCTTCCATGGAAAGTGGACAGAGTGTATTGTGATGAAAGTTTTGAGAAATAAAAATTTGTAAGAAATCAAAACAGCGCAAAATGACTTGATGTTTCTTGAAATGATTTTTTTTCTTCTTTTGTGTCAATTGTTTTCTTCTGTTTACGGTGATTGTCTCGAGTTTCCGAACAACTCAGTCCAGAACGAGTGTCGCTTGACCGAAAGTGCCAATTATAGCACCAGCCTCGGCGATTTTTATCCTCAGTGTTTACAATGTCGAATTCAAACATTAGTCAAATCAGATGACATTCAACTCGAAACTGACAGTTTATGTTCAACGGTCGAACTCCAATGTGTACAATTGATATTCGACGATCAAGACTTATTCGATGATTTCTTCAACCTTCATCAAGAGTACATCTATGACTTATTTAGCAAAACGAATGGTGATTTTAATCAGAATACTCTTCATGTTACATTGAAAAAGCATCAGTTTGAAGAGGTTAACCGACAATTTGTCGAGCGACACTTTCAAAGTAAATATCAAGCATATCGTGTTCTATTCTTGGAAATATATTTACAAGATTCGGTGATGAAAATACACGAAGATTTGATTGGTTTAACTCGCTTATCGATGAAAATTATTCTAAATTGTCGAGTCAAAAACGAACCTTTACAAACAATTTATACTATTCATAACCAAAAGATTAGTTTAGAAAGTCAAAAAGATCATTGTTCACCCATGTCGCCAACTACTAACATCCTGACGAGTCCAACTTCATCACCGCAATTCCTCTTAATTTCCGAAGAGAAACCCGGAGCTTCGCATTTATTTCCCATCTTATTCACATGTATGCTAATCAGTTTACTTGTACTTTCCCTATTCTATTATTACAAATGTTATGACAAGAAATCTTCGAAGGCATCGAACAGTGGAAGTGCATCAACGATCAGTTTAGAAACCCCAATGTCGATTGAAGAGAAAGCGAGATTAAGCTTGAAACCTAAACGGACGAAAGTTGGAATGCGCGTAGTACAGTTATTCAATGAGGAGATTTGATAATTGGATTCGTTCGGATGTATTATTCAAGAGTTTAATGAAGAAGCAAAAGAAAAAGAAAATCGTGTTTACATGTACATATATGAATTTATAATAATGTTGATGAAAGCTTAAATTAAAATGTCGAAAGAACGAGAGTAAATCCGAAAAAGCATGGTTTTCAGTTTATATACATTGAAGTGAAAGAAGGTTGTGTTGATAATCAATGTTCATCTATGAAAAATGTTTTTCAATATGATCTTTTTTGTTTTCGATGGTTAACTTCTGTGGAAATTCCCAGTAACACATCGGACATTCGCGAATTTCGTCGTTGGTTGTTTCTGTCGTCGTCGCTGTTGTAACAGATTGTGATTCTCCTTCGTGATCGTCGTCTTGTTCTTCATCATCGACTTCTTCGCTTTCATCTTGAGTTTGTTGTTGTTGAAGTTCATAGGAATTACGAAGAAGGGTGACTAACGCTTCTTCATTAAGGCCAGTTTCGTTTGACAACGTGGTCGGATTCGATTTTGGTACAATCGATGAATGACTATTGACTTTTGTCACCATACGTTCAAGGGCTGCGTATTTACGATAGAGAGTTTTATATTCGTCAGCACCGGTTAATAATCGTTCAGTTAATTCTTGGTTTTTGTCTTGTAATTCAACCTGAAAGAAAGTTTTTTGTTTTCCCAGTGCTTGATGAGCCGCAAACACTTACGATTTGCTCTTTGTAAACAGTTAGTTGCTTTTTCACTTCGATTTCACTCTTTTGATGTTTGACACAACGTTTTTCGATTTCACTGAAGGAGTTTTTCAAAAGAGCGAAATCATTGGAGTCGCCACGCGAGTTTTCCAATTCTTTTCGAAGTGCTTCCAAGTCAGTCTGTTTCTAAATCGGACAAAAAATTGGATTCCTTCAAGGCCAAACCATCGATTCTTACTTGTTTGAGTACTCCTCGGTTTTCTTGGTTGATAAGATCAATTTGTTCTTGTAACTCTTTGATTAATTGCTTATCTTCTTTTGCCATAGCCAACAAGAATGTATTATCAGCTTTAACCGATTGCAGTTCGTCCTTTAATAGACTGTTGGCGGATTCTAAAGCATGAATTTGATTTTCTTGTTGGGCGGATTGTTTATTATAAGCTTCGATTTGTCCTTGGATGGATTTCTGGTATTTTTCGCTGGTTAAATGTAAATCACGCAATTGCTGTTCTAATTGTAATTGATATTGATTCGCTGTTTTCACCAAATCAGTTGATTTGGCCAAACGCTTTTCTAAATCATTGATTTTCGCCAATTGCTCATTCTTTACTTGAACGGTTGCTAATGCTTGCGATTGCAATCGAGCAATATCCTTTGCCAATTCATCATTAGCTTCTTCAAGTGTACGGCAACGTTCAGCGAATTGTATTGATTCATCTTTGTATTGATTACAGAGAACGAGACAAGTATCGTGTTCAGTGCGTAGCTTCTCTTCAAGTTGTTTACGAGCTGCTAATTCATTGATAGTTGCTTTATGAGTCGAAGCCAGAGTCTGAAAGTATATTCTTGAAGTTATGGATTTGCGGTTAGATGAACATCACTTACTTGCATATCACCGTTAACTTTAGTCATATATTCATTGGTTTTGAATGTTAAAGCTTCAACCTTCGCTTTCCATTCATCTTTTTGCTGTTCTAAACGGCGGTTTGTGTCTAATAGATATCGATTTTCTTGACGTAATTTTTCTTCCACCAGCATACTCTTCGTATGAATAACAACTAAATCATCGTTATCGTGATCAGCTAAAGCAATTAAACTGTCGTTGGTCGATTTCATTGATGTTTTTTCAAGTAATGTACTGCATAAGATATCCACATCATCAATGGAGCAATTCAATTGAAATGGAACTGATGAGCCAAAATATTTTCGCTTGTTTCGAAGATAGCAAAATTGATAGAATTCATCATCGGTTGCTGGTAATGATGAGGAAGCAAATACTGCTGTGCCTTGACAGGTCGATTCCGATGAAGTTGTTAGCTGGATCGGCGCATAGGCCAAGCAATCTTGAATGTTCGTGCAACCAACCTAAGATACGATTCGAGAGAATAGATTCGAAAGCAGGAAAAGCATTGAAGAGACATACGCGTAAGAGACCGATAAAATCATCAGTTGCATTGATTTTCGCAGTATTTAAAATAGTAAAGTGAACGGTCACATCTTCACCTTTAACATATTGGTCAGCGATATTTTCGAAGACAACTTGATCTTGTCGTTCATCCGACATGCTTATATTCAGTTACTGTGAAATAACAATAATAATCTGAAAAAAAGCGAAGGTATTGTAAACTATGAACACAACACCGACGGATGATCATTTTCGTATAGAGAATCAATGAAATAATCGGCTGACTGACGTTAATACAAGTGCGCATATAGGGTCGAACTTCTACCTCGCACATGCAATTGTGTCTGTGGCATGATATGAATAGTCCAAAGTCAAAGTTTCCTTTCATCACACACGCAATCAGTTTTTTTCCAATAAAAAAAAAACATCTGACTTTTTCAAAACTTAATCACGAAAGAATTTTCGCGTATTTTCCTTTTCAGTGACATCTATTGATTAGTACATCTCATAATCGCGGAGGCTCGAGACATAATAATAGAAAATGGCCAAAAATAATCGACTCAAAATATCATCGAGCACATACACACGATAATAATACATATTTGTAGATTATTTGTTTATTATACAAGTTGATTCGTTGTTTTTCTACTGATATAAAACATACGATAAACGGCAATCATGGTAAGATATGAAGACGAATTAATCAGGAATTTATTGCTTATGTCTAGGGAAACATGACATCAATTCCCGTTGAGCTTTGTGCTACATGTAAGTTAACTTGGATTTTCTGATTGATGATCATGTGTTTTTTTCTTTAGTCGATGCGGATGAAATACGTCGGTTAGGTAAACGTTTCAAGAAATTAGACATCGATGGAAGTGGCTCGTTGAGTGTGCAAGAATTCATGTCCATACCTGAATTACAACAGAACCCACTTGTTCAACGTGTTATCGACATCTTTGACACGGATGGGAATGGTGAAATTGACTTTAAGGGTATGTGTTTATCGATTGTTCAAGGTCATATAACCAATTTTTCGTTTGAATTAGAATTCATCGGTGGAATATCACAGTTCAGTGTCAAAGGAGATAAAGAATCCAAATTGAGATGTAAAATTGTGGGCTTTACTCAGCAAGATTTCATTATTTGTGTTTTAGTTGCTTTCAAAATTTATGATATGGACAAAGACGGATATATTTCAAATGGTAAGTATCGTCGAAAAGAAAAGGAGAATTTTTAGTTGAATGGAAAGAAGAGTCTCTTGATGGGGTCAGTCGTTCGAGTCTAACTGAGCTCGTAATTCGAACTAGTCTGATATTTCATGCAGACTCGTTTTGCAATGTGAGCCGAAAGCAAATCTGTGTTTCTATCAAACAGATAAATATCCTTGTTAGCTTATCTGAAGTTGAACACGAACATTCTCGTTGTTTGTTTATTTTTTTCTAGGAGAGTTATTTCAAGTGTTGAAAATGATGGTCGGCTCGAATTTGAAAGATTCTCAATTACAACAAATTGTTGATAAAGTAAACACCTAGAAGAAGAAAAAAAGAAAGAAGTTATTGGCTGCTTTTAGACAATTATCAATGCAGACAAAGATGGCGACGGAAAAATCAGTTTTGACGAGTTTTGTGCCGTAAGTATCAATGAGTTTTTTCTTCGAAACCTTAACTTTCTTTTCGAACTTTACATCATTCACCTAATCCTTCTAGTTCATTCCTACATATGAGCTCAATATAAGTCTGCCGAGTAACATCAAAATCTAGACAAAAAAAGAAAGAATCGAACTTTTTCTTCGATGAATGGTAAATTTTGTCTCTGTGTTGTTTGTAGTCGTCGTAGAAAGCTTTCTGAAAACGATTTTCTTCCAGAAGATACATCACTATTGTCTTCTCGTCTGTTTTTAGTGCGTTGGTGATTCATTAATCGATGATATTCAAAAGAAAATGACAGTCACTGTGTAAAATCATGTGAAAAATCAAATCAAATTATTTATTTATACACGCAACTAAACAAACTCTCTTGCTCAGTGTACGCTCATTTCTAATTCTTTTGAATTCCTTCTATGTACACGTATATACTTTGTACTGATATTCTTCAATTTCGATGTTTTCTTCTTCTGCTATCTCTTCTCACACCAGTGTGTTTTATTGAATCTCGTAATGTTCTCTTTTTTGTATGCATACAAGTTCAGGACAACCAAACAGTGAGATTTATTCGTATACATATTCTATTATTCTCTTTGTGTATTGTGATGTGATTTAGTTTATAGTATTGTCAAATTTTTCTTTTCGATCTACGTATTATTCTATCATTGAATCGACTGACAGCAAAAAAGAACAACTAAGAACAGAAAAAAACCTATTTTCTTTTTTTTGCTCATTCTAATAAAACAAAATTCGCAATAAAAATAACGGATCCTACAAAACATTTTCGTCTCACTTTGTTATCAACTTCGTATCATAAGAAGATAAGAATATTTTAGTTAACGAAAGTTAATGTTTAACTTATATCATATGATGAAAATTCATTGTAACCTTTCACTTTGAAAATATTGATTAACATGTCGAACACTGGCCTTTCGATTGCATGCATATTGCTAATAGGAATCATAGGAACAGAATCATTGGCAATAAAAGATCCAATTCCGTTTGGAAATCAACGCTTAGATGATTTTTTCTTTGTGAAAAACGGAACTGTTTTTCATCAATTTGTACGTACTCCTATTTTCTCGCTAATTCGAAGCGTTCACTTCTGGATATCAAATTTAGAATCACGGAGCTTATGGTGGTACTGCGAAAGTCGTCGTACAATCTCAATATCAATACGTGGAACAAATGGAATCATCGATTGTAAGTAATCTTGCCAAGAAAAAAAAATGCAATTCGATTATGTTTGCTGAAATATTTAGCGTGAATGGATGAATGGTGCAACTGGCTATCGACAATGTATAAAAGCAGCGAAACAGCGGCTAGCAGCAATGATGCACATTAAGAATACATCGGATACAGTCTTGGTTGATAATGCAAGCGAAGGAATAAACGTTATTCTTAGAAATTTAGACCCACCGCTGGGATCATCGGATTACATTCTTGATCTTTCGATTGCCTATGGGCCATTCAAAGGTCTCTATCAATGGTTAGGTTCACGTTATGGTGTGAAAACTTTAGAAATACCTATCCAATGGCCACTAACAGGTCCGGAATCCTTTATCCAACCGATTACAGCGGCATTGAAAGCGAATGCATCGTCTCTAAATATTCGAATAGCAATATTTAGTCATATATCTGCCTATCCGGCAGTTATCTTACCTATCAAAGAACTAGTCGAGTTGTTTCATCAGTACAACATTCCTGTGATTATCGATGGTGCTCACGCACTCGGAAATATCGAAATAAACATCGAAGACATGTCTAATGTTGACTACTATTTTACCAATACACATAAATGGTTATATTCAAGTAAAAGTAGTGCAATACTCTATGTTCGACATGATCATCAACATTTGTACGTTCCAGCCCCAGCTATTGTTGATTCGACAATGACAGATGATTTCGAATCGAGATTTATATGGACAGGCACACGTGATCGAACATCTTACTGTGCGATCTTATCTGCATTAGACTATCGGCAAACATTAGGTGGTGAGGAAAGAATTATGACTTACAATCAAGAACTAGCACAATACGGCGGACGCTATTTGTCGCGACTATGGGGTACTAGAATTCTATCACCGGAAAGCATGCAAAGTGGAATGACCAATGTACAAGTTCCAACGAAGAACTTTACCGTATGCCAAATTGTTGTTAATGAACTATATAGTTCTTATAATACAATGGTTAGTGGAGCGAGTAACATCGCTCCGGATTTGGGCGACATTCCATGCTATTTACGTTTATCAGCGCAGATTTATCAAGAAAAACAAGATTGGCATGTATTGGGTGAATTGGTTGTTAAATTATTGAAACAATGGAATGCTTACTCACCAGGACTGAAACTTTTTTGAAAATTTTTTATGGAAAGCTCACTGAGTTCTAGAAAATGAACCTAAGGTGCACGCACTCGCATCCTTTTGTTTTATCGAGAAAGCGAACATTCGATTCAACCACATCTACGCCAATAGAGATGAATCATCATTTCGTTTTCCGTTCTTTTTTTTTTATTCAGGTAAGCAATGAAAATAAAAGTGAATAATTCTGACTCATATGATTCTTCCCTGTAAATTGGCATATACCAAATATCATGAGTAATATGAAAAAACCAATCCTTAATATATATAAAGATGACTTCAATACAACACCACATTATTGTGCAAAACTTCATTATATTTCTTTATCATGATGAGACATACAATCGTTTGGGTTGATGCAAATTCGTCAGATCCCACTAACAGCTTTCGTATGAAACTTGGTGATGCCCAATTATTCTCCAGTAGTGATGATGGTTGTGAAGCCTTCATTACATCTCATACAGATACTTCAATTTACCTCATTGTATCCGGTTCTATTGCGCAGACATTGGTACCTAAAGTTTATGATTGTGAAAACCTCGTAAAAGTCTTTGTGTTCTGTGGTTCAGTGATAAATTACGTCGAATGGGCCTTAGATTACTGTGACAAAATGATGATATTCGATCATGGCGACGATCTATTAGAAAGACTATGGAATGATCTAGAAAGTCAGTTTCGGCAGCAAGCAAAACAATGTTTGAAATGTGCAGATGACTATAAACAACGAGCTCTACAGTATAAACAACCATCCTGCGGTTAATTACATGACTTTGTATTAGATATGAATATAGGATTTTTCTGTATTTTAAACTGATGAATTTGAGAGCCTGTATGACTATTTTTCTACAAATTTCTTCGAACTTTATAAAAGTCGAAATAAAACATTTCCCAAAGTATTTTCTCGATCTTATTAGCTACTTACACAAACATTTTCATGAATAATCTCGAAAATGACTCCAATGTTCGCACAGAGGAACGAGCGAAAATTTACGACTGAGAAAAATTTTCTGTTCTTATCTATACCAAATTAGAACTACCAACGATGCATATTTCATCTGCTTGTGCAATAACAAAAAAATGTATAAAATTATTTCTCTTACACGATTTCTTATTTGTTTAGTTCGGGAAGCACACATTTTACGGCGTGAAATGTTTTTTTACACGTGACTTTCACGTCGTATTTTTGTTCTTATTTACATTTTGTAATTCAGAGAAAATAATAACAATGACAGATAATATACATTCGCTGATAGTACTTTTACCTAAGCACATGGTTTATTTTAGATGAATGTCAAGCGAAGATTGGAAGAACTGCCGAACGAAATCTTTCACGACTTATTCGAATATTTCGATATATATGAACTGTATAAAATATTTTCCAAGCTAAATTCTCGTTTCGATGGATTACTAAAAAACTTTCCACATCTCCAACTAATTCTCCATTCATCTGATGATTTCGATCATCCTGTTCATCGATATTTACTGTTGTCAGTCAAAACCCTAGTGATTAATCATTCGAAAGATTTCTGCAATTCATCTGTCCTTCAATCCTTGTCACATGTTCGCTGCTTGATACTTTGCCAACCAACGCGTCAACAATGGAATGCCATTATTCCCGAAGATTTTCCACACCTCGAACGCTTATACCTAATCAACTCAAGGTTTGCTTATCGAACGGAACAACTCTGTCAATTGATTTTTTCCAATTCATTTCCTTCGCTACATTCATGTTCATTACCTCATATTTCATATGAATCAAGGAATCTATGGACTGGATCGAACCGTTTGCGTTCACTTCAAGTCAGTATTTGGGATATTCGAGTGTACATACAAATTCTTTGTACATGTCCGAACTTATCTCATTTGAAAATTTCACTTGGTGGAGCTGCACAAACTGATGATTTTCTCTTCGATTCAAACGCACTTTCACATTCAGCTCTTCAAAATTTAGTATTCTGTCATTCAAAACCAATCACATGTCAATTTATGGATTCTCTACTGTCATGTACACCCAATCTCGAACATTTTTCATTTCGAGTAGATCACCGTCGTCCAAGTCATGTATCAGTGAACGACTTAGCCCGTATTCTTCAATGTCGAATACCAAAATTAAGATCGATTCGTCTCGATATGGCTATACCTCATCATCTTGCATATACCGATGAGATGCAAACAAAGCATCAGTTATTCAGATCGTTGAAAGTACAAATGGAAGTCGATCAACCGATAAGATCACGCTTACTCATTCGTGAGTCGAAGTAAAAGATGATTTCTGTTGAAAAAGAAGTACGTGTTCGACATATTGGCTGTTCGTCCCTCGATTTTTCAACTGATCATTTACTTTTGTTTATCTATTCCTTGAGGAATATCTTGATAATGAGTTTTTCTTGAATACAAAACAAAACAGCAGAGGAAGAAATTAGATTGGTCATGTCAATCGAAATGACGAATATATTGATTTCGACTCTCGAGAATTCTTTCAGTTGATTTCCTTTGATTTCTATGACAGACAGACTGAAAACGAGACAATATCATGAAAATCTCATCTGACTAGCGATTGATTGTTCTGTTCTCTCCGACGATCGAATTTTATATGTGTAAGTAACAAACGATGACTCCTATGATGTAAGCTATCGGAACGACTAAGAGAATCGATGTCGTTTGTCTTAATTACTCTTCTTTACTCCCGATCGTGCAATATTTACCTATCTTTCTTTCTTTTTTTCGTTACTTCACGAACCGGACAGTCTATTCTTGTCTAACAAACGACATGAATATTGCTCACTGACTTTCTCACAAAGAATGTGCGAATTAACACATGATCTTCTTTCGAGGTTACGACGTTGATTTTCAATCTTAGGTAGAACAGAAGTTTTTCTCCGAACAGTAAACCATGTTTTGAATACTCTTGTAGCGAAATGATGAACGTTCGAATGAGTCTATGGCAGTGCTGGTTGTATTCGTTCTTTCTGACTGGTCTTTTTACTCAAGCACAAAATCCATTCAATTCCGGCGGAAGCAGTGGTTTCTTAGTGGATCCTTTTCTCGAACTTACAGGAGCAATCACAACTCCTGTCATTCCAAAATCGGCACAGGCAGATCTATCATGTGTATCTCAGGGTGCTTTAGCTGGAGCGATTATTGGAACGATGTTGTTATCAGCTTTTATCGCATTTTTAACTTGGATGATCTATCTACGACAGAAGTTACAAGGTACGATCGATTTTCAATTTGATCTGTAATGATTTTCTGCTTTCAGAACTTCAATCATATGAAAATCAAGAGAGAAAACAAATGGGAATCTCATCGAAGCCACAGTCATCTGCGTCTGTATATTCAAATTACAAAAAACAACATCTAAGTAATGATTTATTTGAGATCGAATCTCCTTATCTGTGGATTCTATTGCAATTCTAGATGACATCGTTAATAAAGACAATCAATTACCACTGGATGTTACTGATTGTAAAGTATGTTTTGTCTCGGATTGAGATACGAGCCTAATTTGAGTTCTATTTCAATTAGTTTGGCACATTTCCATTTCGTCAATCTCAAAGCTCAAGTATCAATGATCAGTATAACAGTCTTGATTGGTTAACTCGTGTTCCTGCGTCGTTTCGATCTGCGACCATCGATAAAGTAAATATTATTTTCCGAGTTTCAGTTTGGTTTGTGAAGGAAAACAACTTAGGATGCACAAATGATCGATGTTGAATTATTGAATCCCACATTTTGTGGTCTCAACTTTAGCATCACGGGAAATATGCGCGCAGGAATCTTTATCAAGGATATTCTCGACAAAGAAATAGGCAAAGGCAAAATCAAGTTAAATTCGTCGGATCAATTGAAAGCTGGTGATCGAATTATCGCTCTAACCGTTTGTTTCGATTCGATTGTATACGAAGATGCATTGACCATACTTAGTTATGCATCCCCTTATCCAGTAAGACTGTTCATTGAGAGATTGGCACATGAAATGAATGATTTGACTAGGTTATTCTTCGTGTACAAAGATCAACACGGCCGACAAAAGTCAAAGTAATCAAAGAGAAACGTGCAATTCAGGGTACAACGACAAGCAAAGTGAAATGGCGTGATGACTTTGAACATTATGATAACGATAGTAAACTTTGAAGAATGACTTAGTTGCATTTGACAAATTTCTCTTCTATTTATAGCATCACAAAATCATTCGTCCAATCCGTTGAATCCAACGCTAACGACAGATACAAAAACAACTTCAGCAAATACTCAACATCGTTCTTCGTCGAAGAAAACGCGTTTGAACAGATCACCATCGGCAACAAAAGGTAATCGAGCCAAAACATCAGCAAATATGACAGCAGTCAGCGAGAAACATTCGAGTGTGGATACTAAAAAACATCGAATTAAAGTATCAAATGCCGCGATATCATCGTCCGCAGGTATATCCGGAAAATCAATTGAAAAACTAGCCGCAACATCTATGCCAACGAATAAGACTACTGTCAAATCGGTGACAAATGCCGTCATCTCTTATCTTCAATATCGAGGAGCGAATGGAGGTCATGGAACAGGTAGAGGAATCTCCAGGGTACAAACTAACGCATGTCAATGCATGACTAGACTTTCTCGATAAAAGTTTTCTTTATAATTACCAGTACACTTGTACTCTTTCTTCTGCATCCTTTTAGATGTTACAAATAACTCGGAAGCAACATTAATGGTACGTAGAAAATTAGGTTGGCTGGTCGAACAAGTAGAGAATTTCTCTTTTATTGTAGCCCTATTATGATTCTCCATATGATTACTATGCTGCTAATGCATCGTGCCGCGGAAATCTGAACCGAAATAATAATAACTCCTTGTCGACAGAGTCGCTGACTGCTGTGACGTCGTTATGTACAAATGAGTTTTCTCCAAGAAATATTCGATTTTTACGTCGATATGAACGGCGGTTATCTTCGCCAGCCCAAATATTGCCGATAACGATTCAGACAGTTGACGATACGGAAAAGTCAGCGAAGAATGTCGACACATTCGTGTAAATGTTACTTTTCTTGTTACAAGTTTTCTTTTCTTCTGTATTTCCATACGAAAACAATCGATAAGATTCTATTCGAATAAATTTCATTCGTATGAAATTCAATATTGCCGAACAATTCTATTTCAGGTTTTACTTCGAAGAAGCATGATTCATATAATCAATAGAGAAAATGTGCTTAGTTCTCGTTTGAGAAAACGGGAAGAGATTAGAAAAGTAATCGTTCTATTCACGAGACGATCAATTTGACTACTTCTATCAGTGGCATACAGAGTTAGGTGAGGATAAAGTTTTGTATTTGCTGAATGAAACCAGTGGTGTTTGTAGACGGCAGAGAAGCATTTGTGATCATATTTAATTGTTTCGGTCGAAAATGATTCACGGAAGTAAAAAGTGAAGATTTGTGTTTCTTGCTAAATACGATGGACTACCAACCGACTTTTCCTACAAGAAATAGCACGTATCCAGCGATAAAATGTAATAGTAATAGCTAAACAAGATGGATAGAAGTATTCTTACAATTTCGTCATTATTTGCACGAATTGACCGGTTATTATATCCCTTGATGGTCATCATTCAGATATGGCGACTTCTTGGAAGTTTTAGACGATCGATAGAATTCGATGAATTTCTGCTTAGAATTTTCTATCACGGTGAAGTGACTGCTCGCTGGAGCAATGGTTCACAATGAAAATTCATCTCATAGTATACTATTTAGCTATTCAACCATATCGGTCACATGTATTCTTTCGTTTTGTTCTGCACAACAACTCGAAAGATGATCAAATCGTGAAATCTTTTCTTTCATTATTTATTTATTACATTTATCATCATGAATATTTGATCCATATGTTCCAATAGAAGTCAATTTGTCTTCGTAGTTACTATACATCTGTTAAATTCATGATAAGAATCCATTTACTAGAGATGAAACCTCTATATACAATGTCCTTCAGATGTCACCTTTCGAAAAGAGTCTCTGAATGGTTTCTCTCTTTTAAAACTAAACGACCAATAGCCAAAGGAAACCGTGATATAACTAACTAACTAACTAAACAAAATATTTTTTTGCATTGTGAGATAATGGATTCACGAAAATCATCATCCACGCCAAAACAATCCTCATCACCATCAGGATTAGCAACTACTTATCTACTCATCTATAATGGTGTTCTTACCATTGGGTAAATGAAAAACAATGTGTGCTCTCGATAAGCTCTTGTTTTGTAGATGGGCGTTGATCCTTTTCGAAACATTTAAGCGTGTTCTTTCGTATAAATCCGTTCAAGACTTAGGAGAATGCTATGGTTTATGGAATTCTATTGAAATTCCACTTAAAATCTGTCAGACAGCCGCATTTCTTGAAGTAAGTATTATTCGATTTAACATCATCAGCACTTACAATTGAATTCAAAGGTTTTCCATGCTATGTTTGGCCTTGTTCGTTCAAATCCAATGATCGTTCTTATTCAGATCATTTCACGAGTTTTTCTCGTATGGGGCGTTGCTAATTACATTCCGCATGTAACATCATCAATCTTTTTCTTTCTTACAAAAAAAATCATCCTGGTAACTGTTATTTAGGCGCAGCACACCACAGGAATTTTCTTAGCTGTTACAGCGTGGAGTATAACCGAAATCATCCGTTATGCTTATTATGCTTTGAATTTATTACAAATATCTCCTCAATGGTTGACATGGTGTCGGTGAGTTGAGGACTTCAACAGTTCGAGATCTATTTCTCTGTCTAGATACACATTCTTCATCGTGCTCTATCCAATGGGCGTAACAGTATGTTATTTCTACGTAAATACGATCTCTTACATAGCCTTTTCTAGGGTGAACTTCTTACAATCGTCAAAGCTATGCGAACAATCTATCCGGAATTAGTTCGTAACCGTTATTCAATTTTATTGCCCAATAAAATGAATTTTGGTTTGGATTATTTCTATTTTCTTGTCGTTGTCGTACTTGCCTACTTATGTAAGTTACACAGATGCCATGGCTATGCTTGTTAATCACTATTCTTTCTCTTCAGACTTTCCGACGATGTACAAGCACATGTTCACTCAACGTGCTAAAACTTTGAAATCTTCACCAGCCAAGAAAGTTCAATAGGAAGAGAAGAAAATATGAACACGATTTTTTTTCTGCGTGTTTTGATGTAATCAAACAGACATATTTTAGATTTTCATATCAAATTGTTGCTTTTCCAAACTAAATATAGCTGATTTCCCTTTTAACTGTCGTCGAATATTTTGATCCAAAGTGCCACAACTTGCAAGCAATTCTAGAATAAGTTAGTTATGGGGAATCGATATTTTCTCTGTGTGAATAGTTCACAGAATCATTTCTCTGAAAATTACACACGTTCATGAAAAGATAATTAGCTCTTACATTCCACACGCTATAGACATAAGTTTAGGCTTGAAATCGCTGACTAGGAAAGGATAGTTATAATTTTGGGCTTGAGTTTCCTCTGTTTCTAAGCAGGATGTACGTAACATATCTTTGGTGTCTGTATATCATTAAGTTTGTGATAATGTGCGTTCATTCGTGTTTGATATGTTTGTTACGAAGAAAAGAAGGAACACACTATTGAAGGATTAGTACTTGAAAGCTGAAAACGGGTACATTTGTCGGGATTATCAAGGACTTTCATTTCTTTTGGGTCACGAATGATGAACTCAGACACGATCTGAAACGTGTTCAAAGTCAGGACAGTTACATAAAAATCAGAATTTGCATGTTATAATACAGCAATGGTTTCAAAAGAGAAAGAGGATGACAACGACGATCATGTAGTAGAGAAGTTTACGGAAACGATGTTTCCGACAGTATTCTTTTATCTCAAAGGACAAGCTCCGAAGAAAAACCATTCGATTTTCCCCCCGTTGATGAGTTCAGCAATCCATTCATCTTTCATATAGAAAATGTTGTCTTAAGGTGGGCAGAGTACTAATTAGAAAGCATCTTGATTAGCTTTTGTTAATACCATTCGTAGTTTGTAGTGTAATTATTAGAATTGCTAAAGTGTATTCGAGATTTTCTCCTAATTGACTCATCTGCAGATGTCGTCAACATGGTGTGCAAGAAGAAATTATAACTTATTTCGATCATTACATGTTACAAACCCTTCTAATTCCTGGTAAAGAATTCGTGACTAAATTATACTTTACTTGTTGATGCTCAACTTTCTCTTACAAACAGAAAATATTCACTGAAGAGATGATTTCCGTCAATAGCTTTCAATCGATTTTCACTGCTCCAACAAATGCATCTGTCACTAGCTGACGAAGATTTACTTCTTGGTTCGAATTCGTTTCCTGTAAGTAATCACGTCAAAGAATTACTCAAGGTATGAATTTAAGCGTTCAAAGGAGGAAAAATCACACTCTTCAGCTGGCTGACTCGAGTCTTTTTCCATAAAAATATATATCTTCTTGAAGTCAACATAGTTGGATGACATAATTCAACTCTCAGAAGTATATGGTTAATAATGTTGCTAGAATGAGTTTCCAATCCAGAGAAGATTATGATGACCTTCGACGATAAAAATAATATTCGTACTTTGTTCATTTTTCATAGAAGTAATTATGATGGTACGGTACAGTTCTGAACTGGTCGAAGCACTAACTTCATCGACTATGAAAATTCATCTCCTTCTATCGATTGTTATCTTCATTTTTGGCTTTATCGGCAACGGTCTTAACATACTCATCCTAGCCAAAAGAACACTTCGTTCCATTCCGTGTATATACTTCTTCTTAATGTCATCAATCGCGAATCTAATCTCGATTCTGTTCGGTCTCATACCACGAATTATATCGACATGGCAATTAGATTTTACTGCTACTCACGACATTCCGTGCAAAATACGTGCATTCGTTCTATTCACAACACGAACTGTAGCTTTATGGTTGATCACGTTGGCTACAATTGATCGATGGTTAATCTCCTCTAATCTATCGTTTTGTCGACAATTAAGTACATTAAAACGCGCGCGTATAGGCTCCTTAGTTATTACGATTATTTCTTGTTTAATGTACACACAAATGTTCTTTTGTTACAAAGCGAATCTCACGAATACACCGTTGAAATGTTACGGACGGACACGACTATGTCGCTCATTAACTGATATAACATATGCTGGTTTTACTGTTTTATTACCTTTAACATTAATGATTCTGTTTGGCTTGTTGACAATATCGAATATACGAAAATCACAACATTTTGCCGAATCACATCGAGTTGTATCCGTGCGATATTTGACAAACGAACCAACTCTGCTTTTCAAACAACGAAAACGACGACAGAAAAAACTCGATCGTTATTTGCGGCGAATACTTTTTGTTCAAATTATTTTATTCATCTTCTTAACTCTTCCTCAAACGATACACAAGATTTATTTCACAAGTTCATCATTTCAACACAAATCACCAACTGGATATAAATTCGACGCGTTGTTATACAGATTCGAACTTCTTCTACCATTCATAGAAAGTGCTTTACCATTCTACATCTGCACCTTGACCGGTGGAAGGATATTTCGAAATGCTCTACGAAGATTGTTCACATGTCAGTAGTATCAAGTTTGTCAGTAAACGTTTTAAGACCTTCACCAGTACTTGTAGTGAATTCTTTGACACAATTATGTGCGTTTTGGGGTGAAATCGACGTCCTCCAACGGATGAAAGTGAGAGTCTCGTGGAGAACGCAAGAATCAGCGAGCGTGTAGTTTGAAATTGTCCTGAAGAAATTCATGTCAGACACTTGACGTTTTCGTGTGTCATGAAAAGCATTCGAAGAAAGATTTGTTCTTTCGCAATTTCACTGATAAGCGTAGAGAAATCTTTTTCTCGTCGACAAACGACGATTTCTATGAGTCTTTTTTTTAACACAAAAACGACTTTTTCCAAGTTGATTAACGCATCCAAGCAACAACGAAGTAAACATAAGAATACAAATAGATTGTTGGAATTTTCTTTCTTATAAATTCCACTAAAGAAAAAATAAATCTTTTGTTTCACAACAATTACCGAAGTTTGTCTCGGTTAGCACAGTTCATCTTCGAGATTTATCAATTTTTGAGATTATTTTAGTTCCGGAGAGATCTGTTTTCTCTCGTTTATCGATATCAAGAGGTCGATTTCATTGTTCTAAGTTAAAACAGCATTCTGAATTTATTTTACACACGGAATTAATATCAGAAAACACATATTTTATCACAGTGATACATTTCACAGGTTTTCGATCGTATTTATGAACGAAATGTGTGCTTGAGATTCGTTTAGTTTCAATAGAGAGTTTCATTTACGATTGATTCATACGTGCAATATCATCAGGCTGATCAGCAACTATATCCTGCAATAGCTCTCTCGAAAACTGAAACGTGTACTTTGTGTTTGTTTTCACCATCAAACCTTTTTTGTAGTACCATCTGACGGCACGCGCTAGTTTGTCGTAGGTCATGTCCTGTGTTGCCTGCCTGTTTTTTATCTGTTGCCATAGGTATGCGACTTCTTCAGGCTCGTGAATCTCGAAAACACCTTTAGATAGATCTTTGAACGATATAAAGGATTGATAATCAGGGTTCTTAAGTAGCAGCAAAAGAAATTCGAAAAGACGCGGTGGTCTTCGACGTCCTGTCACTGGATCTGTCACCGTCCATGTTTTCGGATCAACTGGAAGAGCATTTGCTGGAATTCGGGGTGGATTATGCACCATCTCTAATAAAGTTGAAAACTCGATACCTTCCTCAGCTAAGTCTTTTATAAGATCAGGTTCCCACCCTTCCGACCAAAGACAATCGTCTAGAATGTTTAATTCCATTAGGTCATCGTTATTGCTTGCCATAGTGCTAAATGTAAATTGCCTTTCGACTGATTCGATACTTTTGAGTTGAGTGATATGTACTTATCAAACAGAGACAAATAACTTATATATACTTTATTTAGGAAACTTCCATGTTAACAATGATCCAATGAGTCAGATTTTATTATATTTCACTAGAGAGAAAAAAAGGAAACTGCTCGAGTTATTTTCTTTTTCTTTTGTGTATTCAACGTGTGTGGGGTAAAGAATATTGGTTTATTCCAACCTGCTTTACTACACAATGAATATACCAAAATATTATTACTCATTACCATGCTTATTGCGACATTGGTGAGTAGAAAAACATGACTTTATTCGATGGCCTGACGTTTTAACACATCTCGCTAACGCGGGATTCTCATAAATCATTGGGTGACATTTCCCATCGATCCTCTGTCGTTCGTAAAAATAATTCCCATTCAAGGTACACATTGCATTTTCTCCCCAACATAAAACATCGAACATGATCGAATGACGAAACATAATGCAAGACCTTCACATTCAGTCTTACCCCATTACATATTTCGATAATTCACTATGTAATGTTATCCATGGAGTTACTGATACATTTCACAAGACATTCGGGAGAAGAATCATTCGTTTCCCAAAGTACAACTGGTCTGACCCAATATTCGAAAGAAGGATTGATGGTTTAATGAAAGTCATTGTGGTTTGGATGTAACGCAAATTGTTCTAGATAACTGAATGTGGTGTTTTTGAAGATATTTCGGCAAAATCAGCAATTGAATCAAAGATGACACGGTCAAATTTGAAACATGCCATTGGTATTTTCTTTCGTTGAGGATTGTCAAATCTATTTTTCAATTTGTTTGTAAAACTAGAAACTAACAGTTTTAAAGTGGACTAGTAAACAGCGTCACTTCTTCGGTGATGCGTATCGTGGTTAAGTTTGTAAATGAATACTTGTTAAAAATCAGGTGAAAATGAAGCCTGAGTTACGAAAGTGTATGCTCCTTACTTTCTGTAATTACATGTCAACAAATTATACTTTTTCTTACACGTGGCAAATATAACAAAAAGGGAAGTGAAGGAAACCTTCACCAACTTGTCCGACTGTGCGACACGCACATTTACCATATCGCATTTTGTTTGACTCCTCTGACACAAACGTGAAAATGGCTACTGCTTCTATTACACCAATGGGCGATCAACTAAAGAACACAACATTTCGTTTTAATGAAATAGCTAGAGAATCTGGTAAGATGTTACCACCACTCTATGGTTATAACAAACAGCACTTAGTATCGCTCGAGGAAGCGACGGAGTTTCTCCAAGATTCTATTCCAAATCTCATTGGATACATCAATTCAGCTAAAGGTCGAGCGATAGATACTACCTATAACTTATCCTGCGATGAAGCTGCTGCTATTACCTTGTACACAATGGAATGGGAACCATATACCGACGCATTTTATTATGCTCTTAATACAAATTTACGTTTGGAAAATCGAAATGTTATGAAACCGTGGTTTCCATATCTGAAGTTACTATTCACTGCATTAGCTCGTCTTCCAAAACAAGGAGATATTGTTGTTTACCGTGCAATTCGTTATGAACATGAACACCAATACGACCAATATAAGCAAGGAGCTGAATTGCTTTGGTGGGGCTTTTCTTCATGTTCAGCAGAGCGAAGCATCAGCGAACAAGAGCAATTTCTCGGTAGTGATGGTTTTCGAATATTATTCATTATCAACTGTATTGATGGAGTAGATATCAAAGCGTATTCTACCTACCAGACTGAAAACGAGATTTTACTTCTACCAGCAACGAAAGTTCGAGTTCTTCAAGTTGATAATGTTGAAAGAAACTTTCGAATTATTTATCTTCGGCAACTACCCACACCTACGGGTCTTTTAGAATCTGTAACATTAACGGATACATCATCTAAAAGTCGACTTTTGAAAAGAACTTTATCAGTATTTCATCATTCAAAGCAGAGATATAACCCGAAACTGCTCGAAGAAATAGGTCGTTACAGACCAGGCACAGATGTGTGTTTATCCCGTCGATACTATGAGCATGACGAATTCGACACTGTTGTCACCAGCTATATTATCGACAAACGATGTCCAGGAATAGTCTTACGTGAAAGTAAAATAACCGCACAAGATGTACGAATTCTCTCGTCAGTTTTGCTCATTGATGGAGTCGCTTTAGAAAGATTATACTTAACTAACAATCGAATTGGCGATGATGGAGTCGAGCATCTTACCATTGCGCTTTCGCTTAATGGTAATTCTAAACTGGCACATCTTTGCTTAGCATCGAATCGCATCACAGATGTCGGTGCTGTGCACATTGCGAATATGCTTGAGACAAATCGATCGTTGGTGAATTTAATGTTGGGAAGAAATAAAATTCGGGACGATGGCTTACAGAAATTAGTCGAAGTTTTAACCACCAAGAACAGAACATTGAAAGTTCTTTCTATAGAACGGAATGAATTCAAGAACAGTGAACCTATTTTTCAGTTGTTGGAAAAGAATACGTCGATGAATGAAATTAATATAATTGGCTGCAACTTCTCGAGTACAGACATAGCAGAAATACGAAAAGTCGCTGCTAGAGTGAACAAAAAAGTTGTGTACTGTTAAAACATGTATTAAAAGTATTGTATAACAAATCGATGCTGTAAATATTTTTTTTAAAGTTTTCTGTGAAGAAGTAAAATGTGTTCTTTTTTGTTACATGTAGTTTACCGAATACGTGTATATATTAACAGAATGAAAGCATTGTTTTGAAATGGAAAATATATCCAACGAAATTATCATTTTTACCGTTTCTTTTTTCGTTCTTGACTGCGTTCGAAAGTCAACACAAGCCCATGCTCTTTCATTTCATTTCAAAAAGAAGACAACATCTCAATGGCGTCGTCCAAACCACCATGTGCAGCATGTGGCAATAAAGGTGTAGGCATTTTTCGTTGTGAAGGCTGTTTGCAAGTGTTTTGTCGAAAGCATCTCAATGAACATCGAGATGCTCTTAGTCATCAGTTAGACGAAATCGTCCTCGAACACGATACACTACAGCAAACCATTTGTGAAAATACCAAGGCAGCAGAGAAACAACATCCTGTTTTGAAGCAAATTGATCAATGGGAGAAAGAGGCGATACAAAAGATTCAACGAATGGCCGAAGAATTAAAACAACAAGTAAAGGAACTTTATGGTACTCCACGAAGTGAGTAAGAAGAAGTACTGATTACGATGTTAATGTTACATTAAATAATTGATTAGTATCGAAACAATTACGTGAACTTGCAGAACAATTGCAAAAGGCTCGAATCGATGACGACTACGTTGAAAGTGATTTCGATAAATGGAAAGCAACATTACAAAAACTACAAGATGATCTCAAAGATCTCTTTCCAATGATGTATGTTTCTGAAAATTCGTCGCAAGCACTTGTTACCGCTGTATGTCTTTCGCCATGGCCGATGGAAATAAATACAATCGAGAGATTTGGTGAAACGGTGGGTTCTGTTAGTATTGATGAAAGGCATCTTGTTGCCACACATTGCGGTCCAAATAATGGTCCAGCTTTAGTTCGTGGCATTGGTGAATATACGAACGGTGTACATACCATTCGGTTTCTATTTGAAAAACGGTCGTTGACTTTTATAACTTCTTTCGAAATCAGTCCCAAATTAATGCCACTTGCGACTTCATCTAGTGTCGGTCAATATTATTGTTATGGGTGGTTCAGTAATGATGATATTATTGCTCCAGATGCCGATCAACGACGCTACAGAAAGCTCCGAGATATGAACGGCGAAACATCGTTCGAAATAGAACTTCAGCTCGATTGTGACAATCGAAAGGTCAGCTGTACTAATTTGCGCACGAAAAATCGAGCTCAATTGAAAGTTGACATAACAAAATGTCCATTTCCATGGCAAATACGTTTCTATATGTACGCAGTCGGAGACTGCGTTCGTCTCCTGCCGTAATGTCAAACTTAGGATGATTGTAATTTACATTCTACAAATAAAATCAAAATGTTGAATAGATCATTTGTTTTATTTGTATCTCATAAGTGGAAGTAATTCATTTAATCAATATAGATTACTAATCAGTAACACAAGTATTGCTCATACGTCACTGTGTAGGTAAGACATATGAGTAAATCATTGAAATGTGTATATGATTTCTTTCATAAGGTAAGCAAATACAATGCATAAGACACATCAATCAATTGAAATGATTCATTTTTTCGTGTATTCATTCTTCCTGTTCTCTCAACGTGCGTCATCGATGGGTTACCTTTTATTTAACGCCGATCGTGCACAATTGCTGTCATTTATGCTAATGTCATCAAGGAGTTTTTGTATGTCGTGCGAAAACAAAGAAATGAATGGAATATTCAAATGTGAAGGATGTTGTCAAACCTTCTGCTACAAACATACGACGGAACATCGATTTCTTCTCAACTGTCAATTGGAAGACATCATTCACGAGCATGAAAATGTCTATCATCTCTTTTACGAAACGAAACAACAGTCGCCGTTGCTACATGAACACGTCAATCGATGGGAAAAAGAGTCAGTGACCAAAATCAAACAACTAGCGCAGGAGACGCGAGAACAGATTAACCAATGGTCTCAATTACAAAGACGTAAGATCATTGTCCGTCAAAGTAAAAAAGACTTCTTTCTGTGATTTAGAAAATACCAAAGAGAAGTTTAATAAGATCAGTAAAGAATTGGAAAAGGCTCGCGGAGCCTATGAATACCTCGAAAAAGATCTCAATCGATGGAGAATTCAATTAGAACAATTACAATACGATATAGTTAGTCTTCCACCAACGATTGTCATTCACGAAGAACAAAACTCTTCGTTAATCAATACGATTTCTCTTTCAAAAATCGATCAACAACTCGCTCTAAATGATTCCCTGACATCAAATTCAGAACATATCGAATTCGACGATAATCATCACATTGCCATGCACTGCGGTCCATACCGAACCCCGTCTTATGTCACCGGCACTCAAGAATATCTATCCGGGAAACATCTGATAAGATTATTTATCAGTAAAAAGACGAGTGACTTTATTCTTTCATTTAACGTCATGCCGAAATTAATGGACACACCATATCATTCTTCAGAATGGTCAACCTACGGTTGGCAGAGCGATGACTGCGTCAATCCACCTCGTTCCAAATCTACGACTGAAAAATATTTACCTGATCTCAAAAATCAAACTAAATTTCACATCGAGTTGCTCCTCGACTGTGACAAACATCAATTGAGTTACTTCAATGAGATAACCAAACGAAGACGGGAGATCGAAATTGATGTCGCAAAGTGTCCTTTACCATGGAAACTTCATTTTTACCTATACGATATAGGTGATTCCGTTCGACTTCTCTCTTCTAGGCAATTATGTTGAAATGTAATTGTATTACAACTAGTTTTCGATCCAATAAATTTCATTTCATCGAATAGATACTCTCCTTTTTTTTCTCGTTCTACGTTTTCATTTAACGAGGGAAAGAAAGTTACGCTCTTATGTTTCTCATTTATACTCGCAAACACGACGCCACTTTGATGATGTCGTGCAAGACACCTTGCGTCACCTGTGGCAATAAAGGTGTAGGCATTTTTCGTTGTGAAGGCTGTTTGCAAGTGTTTTGTCGAAAGCATCTCAATGAACATCGAGATGCTCTTAGTCATCAGTTAGACGAAATCGTCCTCGAACACGATACACTACAGCAAACCATTTGTGAAAATACCAAGGCAGCAGAGAAACAACATCCTGTTTTGAAGCAAATTGATCAATGGGAGAAAGAGGCGATACAAAAGATTCAACTACTGACCGAGGAGCTAAGGCGACAAGTTAAACAATTGACTGATACGCAAAGAGGTAAGAAGAGTGATACGATCGATTGGTTTTTATCGTTTTGAATTGATTAGTATCGAAAAAATTACATGAATTGGCCGAACGGTTGCAGATAGCTCGAATCGATGATGATTACGTAGAAACTGATCTGAATACATGGAAAACAACGTTACAAGAATTACAAAACGATATGACTGCGTTTACACCTTTACTTTCCATTCACGAACATCCATCTCAAATCCTTGTTTCGAAAGTAGTCCTTTCCGTACCGAAAGATCGTGTCAAACAAGAAAAATTCGGTAAACCATACGGCAGTGTTCGAATTGAAGGCAATAATCTGATCGCCGCCCATTGTGGCACGAAAAATGGGACAGCTTTAGTTCGCGGTGTCGGTGAATACTCTTCAGGTATACATAAAATTCGATTCTTATTCAAAAAAAGTGACATCGATTACATAACTTCGTTCGGCATCGTTTCCAAACTGATGTCATTAGATTTGAAAACGTCGGATTCCTCTTACAAATGTTATGGATGGAACAGCAACGATTCCACGTGTGCTCCTGGTGCTGATCAGTTGCAATGCAAAAATTTACAAGATATGATCGGTCAAGCCGTGTTTGAAATTGAACTCACACTTGATTGTGACAATCGAAGGATTAGTTATATCAATCAGAGAACTCAGAATCGAAGAGAATTGAATATTGATATAACAAAATGTCCCTTTCCTTGGCAAGTGCATTTCTATCTGTATGAAATAGGTGATTGTGTTCGTTTGTTGCCCGTCATGTGAACAAGTTTTAGTCGAATAAAAAGTAGCGCATGTGTTCAACTGCTTTTTCGAGAGAGATATGTCAGCAGCGTGGCGCAGTGGAAGCGTGCTGGGCTCATAACTCAGAGGTCGGTAGATCGAAACTACTCGCTGCTACTATTCTTTTTTCATCTTTTTTTTCTTCTTCTTACGAAATTCATTGACATAATCATCATGATCAAGGTTAATCACCTGTTGATAGTCATCTCTTTTACGTAGCATTTCTGTCGAAAAATACAAACATCCTTGATATATTTTTCATAATAGACCTTCTGATTCGAATGACGATACTAGACTTTTTCGACGATGGTAACTAAAAAGAAAAAAACGCGAGCTAATATTTTCTATTGATGTCGTTAATCGAGCACAGGTAAATAGAATGATGTCGAATGAACAACTACAAGCAATTTGTTTTTCGAAGGTCTGAAACAAGAAAATCTTTCGATTTCTTATACCTATGAAAGCCAATTTAGCACCAAGACGAGTTCAAACTGTTGCTTATCGACATCGTTCGGCTAATCCGAAGGATGAACATTTCGTTTCGAAAGTTTACTATAACTCTAGACTCGAAGAAGCAATCGCCACATTGGAACTGAAATCGCGCGCAGACTTTTCCTATTGGAATTTAGTTGACGATGACATGTCCACCATCGTCACACGTGTTGTTAACGGTAAGCAATGTACAGAACTCGATTTCTGTGGAAACAAATTTACGTGCAAGGGGATATCAATCTTAGCTTATCGGCTGCCGAACAATTCCACATTGAAAAGTCTCGACTTATCGTATAACTTTCTCCGAGATTCGGGTATTTATTTATTAAGCGAAGTTCTTCTACCAGAACATTGTGTATATCTGAAAAAGCTTGTTCTGAACAAAAATGGGATTACGAATGATGGAGTGAAGTATATTACTAATATGCTGAAAAGCAATCATATGTTAACAGAATTGTGGTTATCGAACAATGAAATTGGCAATGATGGTATAAAACAATTAGCAAGTGTTCTAATCAAATATAATCGAACGTTGAAATTATTAGTATTGTCGTTTAATGTTTTTATTACAGACGAAAGCGCTGATTATCTCGTTGAAGTACTAGAACGTAATCAAACGTTGGCCAAACTTGGAATTAACAATTGTAATCTATCTGAAATAGGCAAAGCTAAACTTCGACAGATTGTTAATACCAAAACGAAATTTAAGATGAAAATTTAGTTGAATAAAACTTCAGTGTATATTTCTTTGCGTTTCAAAAACTATGGAGATGGAGATATCTCTGATAAAAACATCCATGGTGTATTCAAAAGAACAAATCACATGTAAAAGAAATGAAGCAGAACGAATATGCGCTGACAGAGTTAATAGTTATACTCATGTCTGCCTATTGAATAGAAGGACAAATCGAATGTTACACTAGAAAAACTTATTAACTAAGTCGAAGTGAAATGCTTATCCAAATATTGTTGAATTTCACGTGCACTCTTCAGTCCACTTTCCAGAGCTCCATCGATAAATCCTCGCCAACCGCTGGCGATATCACCACTAGCGAAGAATACCGGTGGTTCGCATGTTTGAAGTGCTTGTAAATTTGAGGACATTTGACCAGGTTTGTACCAAGACCAAGTGCTCATGATGTTCGGATCGGTTCGCCAGTCGTGACCAAGAACGTACTGGACTTTGACGGTCGGAAGAAATTTATTCAATTCTTTTTCGACAGTTTTAATATTTTTCATATCGAGAAGCCCTTCGGGTCCAAAACCAACAACAACTGACCCATCTTGGTCGTCCGTATAGGCCATTGTTATTGGATTAGGATAAGGTGCCATAGCGAACCAATGACCAATTGGTTTATCCAATTTAGCCCAAAATTTAGTTCCACCTTGACATTGACCTTTTGCTGCTATGTCTTGTTTTTTAATGTTAAGAGCAGGTAAAAATTCAATGTTTTTCAAGACGTTTAATGGAACAGTGACAAGAACTGTTCGTCCGAGAATTAAATCGCCTGATTGCAATCGAACTATAACTGAATCTTGTTTTGTACGATCGACTGAAGCAACGGACGTTGATAACAATAACTTGACGTTTTGACAATCGTTCAGAATTGCTTGAGCTAATGTACTTGTTCCTTCTTTGATTTTATATCGACCTAATTTATCGAACATTCGGATCATATCATAATCTCCAAGTGCCCACCAACGAAGATGATCTACGAATCCACCTTCGGCTATGTTGCCTTGCATATTCATGGAAAGCAATGCTAATAGCATTGCTTGAATCTCATCAGTCATATTCAAAGCATTTCGAACTTGATCGAATCGATCTTGCATTGATAATCGATCATATTTCTCTACGTTTTCTCTTGCAGTAAATGGTGCATGTGGTAATGGCATCACCGTTCGTGCTTGAACGTTATCGACATCACTATATTTTTCCATAGCCTTACCCAAAGTAACCCAATTGTCAGCTAAGGTTATTTGCTTTAACTTCGTTCCGTTATCAAGTAGTACACTCATGTGTTCAGCTGCTACGCCTTTCGATTCAATTATCGAAAGGCCATATCGTGTGATTTCCGTCCAAACATGCGGTTGACTCCAGTGAATCCATGTACCACCGATTTCGAACTTGCCACCGTCATATTCTGCTGTAAATGTCCGACCACCAATTCGATCCTTTGCTTCAATTAGTAACACTTTTCGTTGACGTAAACTGAGTTCACGTGCTGCAATAAGACCAGAAAAGCCAGCACCGACGATAATTACATCGTATTGTTCAGTATTCACTAGTTTTTGCGGTTGAACATATGTTAATGTTGGTAAACCATCTGTTGCTAATTCATTCAAATGGCACAGAAAACCATCAGTCGTTCTTTTTGATAGACTCTCTCCTTTACCTGCCATTTCAATCTCACAAATAATTCACCTCTCCGCTATTTACCAATATCACTTTTGGTGTTCGCCGGTATGTATTTATTTGCTAAGAAAACGCGCCATTCGCGAATCTGTTTCGACATACCCTCCATCTATATCAATGTTCGCAAAAGACTATAATCTGATTCATATTTGTTCAGCTTTGAAAAAAAATCATGACTGAATCCTAACAGATTCATAATTACTATAAATTTCTTTCGCTTCTCTAACGTCAACGAAAAATGAAATGTAAACGTTCATTTCTCTCTCTTTCATTTCAATCTCGTAAAGATGGCCTCACTCATTACGCCTTGTACGATTTGTACTCATAAAACTATCGGGATATTCAGATGTGAAGGTTGTTCGAAAGTTTTCTGTCGAAAGCATGTCGATGATCATCGAAATGATCTCCGTCAACAACTTGATGAAATCATTCATGAGCACAATCAACTCAATCAATTGCTAACTCAAACAGAGAATGAACATCAAGTATTATTCGACGAAGTTGATCACTGGCAAGCTACCGCGATCGAGAGAATTCAACAAGTTGCCGAGAAGATTCGCGCAGACATTCTCGAACAAATTCATTCGCAAAGAGGTACATGTGCACAGTCATTAGAACATCTTTCTCAACAGATTCGCAAAGCCTCTCAAGATGATGATTACATCGAAAATGATCTCCATTCGTGGACAACTAAATTACGCGATTTAAAAGCAAATCTAACCACCGTTAGTTCATTGTTGATGTTACACGAAGAATCCAATGTGCCTTTGATTTCCAATGTAAAACTCTCATCAGCTGAACATCTCACATCTTCAAACGAATGTTTTATACGTTCAGTAGGTGACGTTGACATTGAAGATAATGGTCTTGTCGCGATTCATGGTAGTCGAAAGAGCACCGATGCATTCGTTTACGGCAAACAAGAATATCGTCATGGAAGACATACGATTCGCTTTCTAATCAACAAAACTAATCCGAATTATGTAACAACGTTTGGTATTACATCAATGCAATCTCAACTATCCGTCTATGGTTGGAATAGCGATGATCAGGCAGTCGGATGTCGTCATTCTCAGCCGGAATATTTACATAATCAATATGATATGAAAGGAGAAACAACTCTCGAAATTGAACTGAACATCGACTGCGAGCAGAGGATGATTTCGTATGTAAATCAACGAACAACTTGTGCGAAAGAGATGAACGTTGATCTCGATCTATGTCCATTTCCTTGGCAACTTTATTTTTATTTATACAACATCGGCGATCGTGTGCGTCTGCTCAATCCTATTCGACATTAGTTCTCCGAGTAAAAATAAATGCATACCTTTGTTTCTAGAACATTTACAGTACTACTAACACCATAGTTGAAATATGCTGAATCGACATCGTGTCAATATGGTATTGAATAGACAATTAGAGTCGGATTGGTTCCTTTTTCTTTCAGATAATTATCATACAGATCACGTGCCTGTAATTATGTGGAAGAATATAGTGCATAGTGTAATTGATACGATGTATTAGCTTTTAATAAAAGAGGAAAAGTGTACTTTGATTTATGAAATATTAAAGTACTTGTCAGATACCTAGGCCATTAATTCTTACGCAGAAATTGGCGAAGCAAACGAGACTTTCTTTCGTTTTCTTGTTGACTATATCCTATTAATTGTGATTAAAATAACTTGCAATTATGTCTCTTCCATGCCATCTTATGCATGTCGAAAGCAATTAATAAACCTATGTGTTTCAATTAATATAACTAATATATTCTTGTCTATTCCGACATCACGTAGTTCTTGTCATGACTGTACTAGTATAGTTCACATGAAGAGAACTTTGTGTCGCGGACAAAAGTTTTCAGTTTATTCTATCTTGGTTAAACAGTCGCTGGTTCATATCAATTGTCATTAGGGTAAGTGTAGTGTCTCTAAAAGCTTCTTTTGCGAATAAGAGAGATAGATGAAGTAATCAGAGTCCAGTATGAGATCAAATCAGCGTCTGTTTTTCTTTCCACCCTTTTTAATAGAAAAATAGAATCAAGATCAAAGTCGAGTTCCTTCAGAAAATCATTCCATTACTCATCAGTTTTGGTATAAGTGTTTATTTCCTCCCTTTCTCTGTGTATTTACATAAATCGACAACACATTCGTCGTTTATATTTACTCCTGATGATAGAGAAAACTTCATTGCCATTTTCTTTCAGAAAATCATATACATGTTTAATGTCACTTCAATGCCTTTTACATTAACCAACGTAGCAACGACAATCAACTGTTATTTTTCGATATTTTTACTCATTTTTGGTGTCGTAGGTAATCTTTTGAATCTCCTCGTTTTATCCCAACGATCGTTACGTTCGAACGCATGTGCGTGGTTATTTCTAATCTCATCAGTTTTCAATCTCATTTCACTCTTAGCTGGTCTCCCAACACGTGTTCTATCGAGTTGGACAATTGTTGTCACCGATGAAGTAGAATGGTTATGTCGATTGCGAGTCTTTCTTGTCCTAGCCTCGCGAACAGCCGCTGCTTGGTTAATCATGTTCGCCACGTTCGACCGATGGTTATTATCCTGTCGACATATACATTATCGACGTTTGAGTAAATTAAAAAATGCCCAACGTGCAATGATATGCATTTTATTCTTGTCGTGTTTTATTTATTCCTCAATATTTTATTGTTATCAAGCTAATCTTCGTAATACACCGTTGAAGTGTTATAGTCAAACAACGATGTGTCGGATTATATCAGATCAAATCTATCTGTGTTTCACAGTGTTGATTCCAACGATTCTTATGATCTGCTTTAGTTTATTAACATTATCAAACGTTCGTCGAATGCACCACCGACTTCAAATGTCATTGTTGACAGAATTATCTCAAACAATGATTCGAAAGCGAAGACGATTTCGATTACTCGATCGTCATCTACTCGTCATGCTTCTCGTCCAAATCGGCTTCTTCATTCTATTTACTTTTCCGCAAGGAATTGAAATGATCTATTTAACGGTAACTAGAAATGATTTCAAATCAACTTCCCAACTTACGATCGAAAATGCCATTTTTACCTTTACTCTGTCGTTAACATATCTCGCTAGCGGAATGCCATTTTATGTTTATACAATAAGCGGCGGACGGGCTTTTCAACAAGCATTTTTCAGGTTTATTGCTCGTCTAATTGTCAATTAAGTTAGGAAATCTTTTTTTGTCTAATCAAAAATAAAAGTTCGTTTTTAGGAAAGATAGATTTAGAAGCTGTAATCGATGCGATTCTTGCCATGTTACGAAATTGAAACATCTTGGACTAAAGATGTACAAATTTGCGCTTGATACATTTTGTCAAACGTCTAGAAAAGTTATACAGCCATCAAAGCTTCGACTTCAAAGGTTGAAGGTTTAATTTATAATTATCTGCGAAGATCTGTACATCAGGTGAAAATTTCGGCGACTGAATCGACCCGCGTTGGAGATCGTCGACCAACATTTGTGGCGTAAGGTCACGCGGTGTGAGTGCCGTGCGAACTAATACGGAAAAAGCGGTCTGCTTGTTCTTTTCGAGAATTATGAGTTGCTCAAAATAGAACGCACGATCATCCCAGCCATGAAGACGCGTTACTATTTGAAATTTATCACCCAGTTCAATACTTTGACGATATTGCACTTGAAGCGCGCTGACAAGCAGACCGGCATCTTTCATATTTGTATTTCGTCGTTCGACCACTGCTCGCCATAGACCGGTTTCGATTAACAACGATGTACGACCAAAATCACATTCACGTAAATATCGGGAATTGTTCATATGCCAATACAAATCAAGATCATTTAACCAGCATTGGCCGTTAATAATATAATCACCAAACAAATCTCCATCTTTTTTCTTCCCTTTGGATTGATTCGCCAGGAAGTACATACGAAGGAAATACCCAAAGTCTAACATGTTAACTTCGTTAGAAAAAAGTTGAATAGTTGCTTATCAGACAAACTGACTGACTGGCATACACAGTTATCTATTGACTAAATTATGCTACCAATGAATGATATGAGGTCGCACTTGGACGAAGAGAAGTCATTTTTCGAATATTTCAAAGTGTAGAAAAATGGCGCATCCTTACTTGTTGACGAAATTTATGTTCATTCTTTCGCGGATTTTCTTCTTTTTACTGATAATCGATGGTACGATTGAAAATAACATTCATTCAAGAATCAAACGACAGGATAGAAGGAAATCTCCGAGACCTGGTGAAACACCAAAACAAGGTGATCGCCTGCAAGTCGTCGATAGATTAGCACAACCTACACAAAACTCCGATGTAATAAAACGTATTCTTTCGAGAAATCCCAACGATTATTACGGAATTTTGGGTCTCGACAAACGCGCAACATGGTCGGATGTTCACAAAGCTTATAGTAAATTGAATTTACTCGTACATCCCGACAAAAACAAATCACCGGATGCAACAAAAGCGACGCAAATGCTCAATAAAGCTCGTGATGAATTGCGTAAAATTTTGCTGGATCAAAGTAACGTCGATTTTCGAACCAGACCATCGATAGCTTATTGTTTCGTTGCGTAGATGGTCGTCCGCGCACAGTTAAGACAGAAATTAGCGTCACAGTAAAAATGAATTACAATAGAAATCAAGACGTGGTACCTGAAACAGAGATGACAACGACAGAACCGTAGGTAGAGCATAACGACTCAGTCTAGATTTCCCGGTCAATGTGTCTTTCTTTTTATCATTAGTAGAGCAACTGTGAAGAAAAAGGACACTTTGTCCTCGAGCAATCTGATGTATCTTGTCAGTGGATTTGCTATATTTATCGTTGGAATTGTTTTTCTTGCGAAACATTTTAAACAGTCACAACAGCCTATGAAGATAGTGACTAGTGAAGTCATTTTCATACCAGAACGTAATAGTGATGCTTCTGAAACCAATGATGATGGTGATCCGACGAATAATCGAAATCATGACCTATGAAATACGTGAGATCAATGAAGTTACAGGCTTGTGTGATGGTCTATATATTGATTTTCGAACTTGATGAAAAGTACGACAAAAAAGTACATTCTTTTTGGCGATCAGTTGACATTCTATAATGATAAATGGGCTTGTGTTTGAAACATAACTGAAGATTTAGAGAGAACGGTCATCGATCAACAGACCGAATTGTTATTTGGTGACGTTTTCTTCGTTTATCTTTCTCGCTATAACATGAATCAATAATAAGAGAGGAAATTATTTATTTTGTACTCATCAGATACACGGCGTACTTTCTACCTAGCATACTATCAAACTTTTTCGTCTTCACGCTTGACTATAAAGCGTATCACATGTTTTTCTTTACCTCATCATTTATTCACAAATTTTGATACTTGGTGGCCTTCTGTACCCGCTCGTTATGTTTAGTCCCCTTTACTTTTCTATTGCTGAAATTGTTCTCTTATTAATTACAACAGTGCCATTCATTGACGTAGACCTATCACCATTATCACGGTCAGCACGTCTGACTATTGTTCATCGAATGACTGTATGGAGAAATCTATTAGCCCCATTTGTAAACCCTCGAGTAGAAGGAATGGATCCTGACTCGAAAGCTTTAGAAGAAATGATGATGCTATTTTATCCGCAGCTAGCTCTAAGTCATAACATAACTGCCGATGAAGTCAAAGTATTTCGTAAACAAGCGAAACACATGTTTACAAACTTATATCCAAGTCGACCATCTACGTGCGTGGTACAAGGTCACGTATTTCAACATAATGGCAATTCGGTTAAGATCTATTTTATTCAGCATAATAAGCTGGACGATTGGGAAGATGTGGATACACCATTGATTTTATATCTGCATGGAGGAGGCTTTGTGTTTGGTGATATCGATCTGTATGATGGTGTAGAATGTGATCTATCGAAAAGAATGAATATGCTTGTAATTCATGTTGCATTCGATCTCGCACCGGAGCATACTGTCGACAAAATTCTGGTCGATATCACCGACGTGTATCAAACTTTACTGTACATTGATCCAAATATTCATCAACGATTGATCGGTATGGGCGATTCGTCCGGCGGTATGCTTTGGATTTATCTTTTACAATGGATGATATCAAATAATATCTCAGTTCCCCAAGGCATTGTATTGCATTCGCCATGGCCAAATTTAAATTTCGATTATATCGATTATTCGACGAGGCCTATGATTTACTTAACTATTGACATGATGTTCAAATTTCGACAGCTAGCTATTGGCGAAGGGAAGATTTGGAGTAACTTGTCTCATGAAGAAAAGCAAAAATACAGTCCAATCGATGGGTTATATCAAGGGTTTCCTCCGCTTTATATAACAGCTGGAACAAGAGATATTTGTATCAATGAAGTTTATCACATGACAGATCTCGCAGTGAATCAAGGTGTGCAAATAACTCTGAGAGTACTTGAAGGAATGATGCACGCCTATCCACTATTTCATCTATGGTCAGCTAAAGCTCAATGTGTTCAGGAGGATATACATCGATGGATTAAAGAAAAATTGCACAAGTTTCCTCTCGATACACAAAGCAACTTATATAAATTTTGTTAACGAATTATTCGTTTGTGAAAGTTTAAAAATAATTTCGTTTATATTTCATTCGATTCTGTTCATTGTTTGCATAAAAAACGGAAGAAAAAGAAATGTCTATTTATCAGTTTTAGCATTTGACAACCAAGGATGGCTCATTAACTAATGTTCGACCTTGAATAACGGCTTGCGCTGATAAGTTGTTATGTAATGATGTGTGCCGCGTTGGATTTTGTCCGACATGCTCTTTAGCACGTTCCAAACTAGAACAGAAATTCAATTCGATGTTCAGTAGGTCGTTCCACTTTTCGGCTTTTCTAAAGATCTACGTCTGAGTTTCTTAGTAGAAATAGGATACAGATCGCTCTACCTCTCAGTATGAGAAAAAACAAAATCGAGGAGAAAATCTATTTTCGTTAGGGAAGGGAAAGGTCCTCGAAGGTTGACAACGGTCGCATGGCCCAATGGTTAAGGCACCCGCCTACGGAGCGGGGGATTCCAGGTTCGAATCCTGGTGTGATCGAATATATCTTTTTGACGATATATCTAGTTAAGGAAAACTTGCACAGAAATTTTTGAATGTAGTTAAACAGTTAGCTAGGGTATTGGAATAACCGTATACAGTCTGTTTTAAAAAGTGAGAAGAAGTAGTTCTAAGTATATGAACAAGATAGAGTTTTCCTTAACTATATATACATATCTTAAAAAAGATATACTCGATCACACCAGGATTCGAACCTGGAATCCCCCGCTCCGTAGGCGGGTGCCTTGACCATTGGGCCATGCGACCGTTGTTGCAGAACGAAAAGAATTCTCACATCTATCAGTCTACCAAAGTAAACAATACATGTACATCAGTTGATAGCAATGGCATTGAAAAGCAGCGAATCGAGTAGATGTCGTAGTGAAGAGAACATTTGTGTTACAAGAAAGAGATATGTTGCACAATGTTACGAACCAGAACTATGCTTAGTCTTGTGAAAATGTCAAAGATTTTGTTTTCAAGCGATCGTTCGAGAGGAATTATTCTCATGAAATCCAAGATAGAATCAAGACTAGTTTTTCAATTAAAAAAAATTTTGAACTATCTTTTTGAACTCGAAGAGACGCATGTTTGTTTTATCGCAGTACGGACATCAGCATGCTCTTTTCATAGAGCCAAAGATATTCGGCTTAAAAGACGGTTTTCCTAAGTCTATTCTCAACAAGAAAAGTCTTATTCAGTCAAGAGTGAAATGTAGAATAATAATCGAAATGCATTACGCTAATAAAGTATGATTAACATGGACTTGTGCGGAATGCAGTATCTTCTTTCTGTGATACGAATGTTTACTCTACTACACTTGTCCGGTCCACTGCTTCTTGATACTATTGACATCTGCTGACATTTATGTGTTATTCTATTCGATGGACTGATAGATGTGAGAATTCTTTTCATTCGATACCAACGGTCGCATGGCCCAATGGTTAAGGCACCCGCCTACGGAGCGGGGGATTCCAGGTTCGAATCCTGGTGTGATCGAGTATATCTTTTACTTTTTTTTTCTATTTATTACTTACTCTGTCTTTTTGCTTCGCTCAACTGCTGTTCGAAGTACAAATTGATCACCATATTCAGATATATGTGGCCATTTTCCTTGTGCTTTTCGATATTGGTCTTGTTGTTGAGCATGTTGTTGTTCGTATTCAGCAGTTGTTTTCGATTGTATAGAATCGAGAATATGGCGACGATTTAACGGCATTTCCGAGCCAAACCATGTTGTATCATCTGTATTAAATAACAAAATGAGAATAAGGAAAATCTTTATCAGTGCGACTTACATCCATTTCGTTGTAAATAGTATCCATCGTTAGGTCGTCCATGGTCAAAAATGATTTGACCTGCACGTGCTGTTGGTGCTCGTCGATACATATCAATGGAAACATACCGTTCTACTGGCACAGTATCTCGCATTTGTTTCTCAGTTCGATCGCCAGCTTTGTTCGGATACCATTTGGGAAAAGCATCTGCTGTGCAACCACTGTATGTTTCAGGTAATTTCCAAGTATATGCTTGTGGAGTGACAAATGTATATTCTGTTCCAGCACCAACAGTACCGCCTGTACGAAGGTGACTCATGGGTACTGAATCTGTCTGACGTTGACGATAACAACGAAATGCTCCATTGGCTGTTGAGTTACGAGCTTTGCTGAAAAACAATGGACTAGCAGTACTTTCAATGCTTGATTCTTGTTCCTTTGATAAGAATGTGTAAGGATCATTGGGTGTTCGTGGACGAAGACCTTCTTGAGTGTACTATTCAAAGAAAGAAATCAAATAAAACAATTTGTTTATAATGTCAGTGTCATGTATATTCACTTTTGAATATGGTTTGATTAATGTTGTTTTAGCTCGTAATATAGCTTGACCCCATTGATTAGTCTCACTCTGATTAGGGATACTTTGTGAATCATTTGAAGACAGATTCGCCATCGGTGTTATTGAATTTGAATGACACACCAATGATTTCTTTTATCTTATGAAAAAAGAAAACGATCTGTAGAAACCATTTGCAATTTCATTCCTTGGTGATATCCTTTAGTTAGTGAGTTATATCCAATTTGTCTGGAGAAAGCCACTTTTAATCAACATATGCTAGGATATTACTTGTGAGAGTTACAAATTTTCTCGAACTAATTCACGTTTCAAACAATATTACAATAGATGGCACTAGTTGTTACGAAGAATTTTTCAGGAGAAAGAAAATACAACTCTCGACCAGCACTCTTGCAGTAAAATGCCAGCTTTGTAATCACCACAATTTTCCCGTATATCAATCTTCCTTTTTTTTTAAGATGAGTAAAATCGATTATTCATGCAGCGACCTTCTGTTTACTCTATCGAGAAAAAAAAACAACCTACTCGTTTAGGTAATATCACGATATTATTCATTTCTTTTCTCAATATGACATTCGGTGGTCTACTGATCAATCGTCGAACTCGACGAGAATATCGTCTCGATGGATGCCGTCGATCGCGTACCAAACCTGTTCTACTAAATCTTGCTCGACCATTTCTATCACTCATCACTCGTCAACAATTGCCGAACGTCGTCGATTTGCGTCCTTATCTAAGTCCGATCGAAGAGCAATCGGTCCTCGGGTCGTGCGTAGGAAATGCTGTAGCATCGATCTTAGAATACTTTCATTTGTACACAACTGGTCAGGTGAAAATCTTTAGCCGATTGTTTATTTACTACAACGCTCGAATGATGGATGATGAAATAAATAAACGACATGCGACTGATAGTGATTCCGGAGCGGATTTACAATACGCTCTTGTCAGTTTAATTACTTATGGATGTTGCGAAGAGCAGTTCTGGCCATTTTATGAACATTTGATTAATATACAGCCAACAGATCAAGCGTATGCAAACGGTCAACTGTATCGTTTAAAAGAATTCAGTCGTCTTTCGAATAACGTCGATCAACTGCGACAATGTCTGGCTCAAGGTTATCCATTTCTCATGGCGATAAAAATCTTTCCTTCATTTGCTTCGGATCATTATGGACACATTCCAATGCCTAAACGTTATGAAAAACCATCTCAATATCGACATGCTGTCGTGTGTGTTGGTTATATTCATTCGGAAAGAGTTTTTATTATACGCAATTCACATGGACTCAGTTGGGGTGATCAGGGATATGGTTATTTGCCTTATGATTACGTTACAGACAAAGTCTTAACTCAAGACCTTTGGGCAATAAAATCAATTCAAAATATGATGGAAATACCTGCTGAACAGCACATCGCATGGAATAATTCACTAACATTAGCGAAATCAGCCAATCCAAAGGCTCTAGCTCATGATGAATCCGATTGTGATATTGTGTACGCCGATGGAGATCATAATAATACTGACGAACAGGAATCAGAAGAAACGGACTCGCGTACGCATCATCATCATGCACATGCACAAGAAAGTTTAGATGAACTTCCACTCTCATCCTCTCAACAGCATTTGACTCCACAACAATTTGTCCCGTATATGCCTGTGTTTCAAATTCCTCAACCAACACTCTACACACCTATACCAAACATGGGATCATACGGTTATTATCCAACAATATATCCCTCTGTACCTCACTTTCCGCCATACTGAATAAAACGACTTCAAACGAGATCTCTGTTCGATGATCTATAGACTAAAGTCTATCATGAGTTCATTGTTTTTTTCTTGTTCTTCTCTTCTAAGTACAAACTTCATAAAAAAAGGCAAGCAGGGAGAATAAATCGACTCATTCTTCATTCTCTTTCGTTAACGAAACAATACCACATACTTTGCATTGCACGTAAAAGAGGCAACATGTGGTTGTTCGTACTTTTGTTATCAATTTCATTCCCTGTTAAATGCCAAACATTGAAGAATGATACTCTTGGTATTTCCTTAGCAATTACTAATGCTCAAACCGTGATTCCGTGCGGATTATCCGTAGATGTCTATCCAGCATTCGATCGAGAGCAAATCATCACCTGTCCGTCGGTTACCGTTGATGATTCATTGACATTCGTAAACATAAGTAAGTACTTCGAGATTGAAAAAAGTGAACTTTGCGATAAGGTAGTAAACAAAACTGAGTTCGAAAAAGTGCATTCCAATGGTTATGGTAGTCATCTTTGTCTTTTTTCTTTGATATTTAGCAATTCAAAATAAAGAAGATCCCCACATTCGATTATCTGATCAATTAATTTCACCACCGAAACTTTTCGCTAAACTCGAAAACAATTCCTTTGTTTACGTATCAAATACGACTGCAACTGATGTTTATTATCTGATTTTTTCATCCGAACTTCTCTGTCGATACTCATCATCAAATGATATGGTCACTTGTTTTTACCATCCCAAAACAGTAGATTTCGTTCAACTAGAACAACAATTCGATACCTCGACAAACATCAGCTTCATCTCAACTAACCACAAACGTCGCGATTTCACCATTACTTTTGTAATCATCGGTATTCTTATTCTACTTCTATGCATTTGTGTTATGTATATTTTGTGTAAAAATCCGTTTCCTCTTGATCATATGATTCAATTAGATTATATCATCGATCCGCAATTAGCCCGACAAGCGGCACTGAAACTATCGCCGGAACCTGTCTAAGATCATGAGAGTACACGTATTTTTTTTAAATCTCAGCATCTGCGTTGTTGTTTTGTGAAATAAATAGACAATTGAAACTTGGTAAATGGCGCCACTACATTCATTCATCTCTTTTCTCTATCTCAAATTCTATTCAAATTCATGTTCTTGGTTATATTAATTTTCTTTTCACAGTATTTCCCGTTGCATTCATTGCAATGCTTGACAAGTTCAGATACTCTTCTTACCGTGAATCAATGTAAATTCAAGTTACACACTACCGATTCTTTTCCCAATGATCAAACATTAAGTGGATCCGGGACCAATTGCAAAATAAAAGAAGCTAGTACACAGGTGCTTATTGTGTCTATTCCGGGAACATGTTATGCTGAACTCACGATTAATTATGCAAAAAAGAAAGTGAAACTTGTAGCAAATATAGCTTCCGCCGGTGTATCAGGCTTTATCGATCCTTACGATGATATGTTTGGCTTTGCAACAGGAATAGAACGTGTCATTCAATACAAAGTCAATGCCAATACAGAAGCCAAGCGATCTGTTCTCATTACGCGTGTTCAATGCACAACATCGGATAATTGTGCGATACGAAAACTCCGCGACCTTTTTCCAAAACTGATGGACGATCAAAGACGATTGAAAATATTGGAAGAAGTAGATAATTTACTTAATAAATCGCCACCTCCAAATGGAACAGATTTAAAGTATGATGATTGTATTTGGTTTCTGGATGAGAGAATTGTTGTTATATTTTCGTAGATGCCTATCGGACAATGAAACTGTCGCTGAGTGTACTACTGGGGAAGATCGGTGTTTTTTTGTCCGTGACAAATTAGGTGAAACACAACGAGGATGTACGACATACGATTCTAATGAAGCCAATCTGGAAGTTCGATTTAATATCATCGAAAAAATGTCAGCTGGTGGAGTAGACACCAGTCCTAAAGCTTTAAAAAGCAACTTTCTTTGTGCAGATCCAATGTGTAACAATGACGGAAATTTTCAATCTGTAAGTTTGCTGGTTCAAAAAAACTAATCGAACCATTGTTCACAAATGACCATTTCAACAGGTAACTAATCTCCTTGCTGTGTTTGCTACTGACGGCGCATCATCGAAACTCAGCAACGTTAAAAATATAAGTACTATACAAGTCCAATCACAAACGGCACTTAAACACCATGAAAAGCCTAACAAAGGACTAAAGGGAAACGATGCATCGTGTATGACATCAATGATATATCAACCGATGATACTGATTTTATGTATCATTTTTAATCAATTATTTGGATTTCATTTTCTATGCGAAAAGTGACTTTTTCCACGAAAACGAAATGTCTTTTGTAAATATGATATCATCTCTTTATTGTTTCTATTTAAATGACAATTAAATCACTAAGTTGACGAAAACGAAGTCAAAGATGTCTTGAGTTCTTAAATAAATAAAGAAAAATGGACCGGTTGAGTAGATTCTAGACGTTTTCAGTCGTTAGATTGAGTTGATCATCATTGTCTTCCTGAGTACATGAATGTTCATCGTCGACTTTAATCATACAATCAGAAACACTGCTTTGCCCATCTTCATTCAGTGAACGTTTATGTTTCGTTCGACGATTTTGATACCAAACTTTAACCTAAACGACAGCTCAATATTATCTCTCTGTTTTTCCTTCCGAATGGTTGACTTACTCGAGCTTCAGGTAAATTCAAATGTTTTGCTAAATCCTTTCGTTCTTGTCCGACAATATAATGATTTTTTTCAAAAGCATCCTCTAGCTTTAGCAATTGAGATGGCGTGAAAGCAGTACGATTACGTTTTGGTTTGCGATATGAATTCAAAAGAAATGCTGTTGCCATTCCCGCATCTAACAAACGGACATCGTTGTTGTTGTTTTTTCTTCTCATTTGATTATCGAAATGTAACTCACTAGTCAATTGATTCATATGTCGAAGGTATTGCAGCATATATTCTCGTTGATATTGATAATTCGCTGTCACAGCAGGTAGCCATGATGTCGATGGAAGAGATATTTGCTCGTCAGCTTTGATAATATCATCAATCGAGAAGCTGTGAGTTTTACGGTTTGATGGCTGGTAATAAACAGGCATAATGAAGGAAGATTTAGTAAGAGTGTCGTCGCTTGAAGACAATGATCAAGTGAATTAATCTCGAATGATTTTCACCTATTCTTTTCTCTCTCTCTCTTTTGCTTTCGATTTCTCTCAACGATTGGCTGAAAAAGCAAGAGAAAAGAACTCAATCATCAATTGGATACTCAGCTTATCATAAGAACCAATCAATGAGATAAGAGAACGAAATCACTTTTTTGTTTTGATCATTACTGTACAAATAACGATGCGCTATTTGATTTGTCCAACATCGTCATTCTGTTCATTGAGGATACATTCGTGCAAGATCGAATTGAGTTGTGGTTCATTGCGAATATTTTTCAATCAATGGAAGGATTATTTCTTATTTCTTTCTTTTCTAAATATCAATTTATTTCTCGAAAGTGTCATCTGTGTGAAAAAGATATTTGTACATGATTGACTGTGTATATATTTGTTTAAAGCTTCTGTATTGTGTCACTCGCACTTCATCAACACTCATCCGTTTGTCCAGACATTGAAGATATTCATTCAATCAATTGCTTTGCCTGCTTTGCTCGAGGGTTAATTCCAATTAAAATAAGAAAAAGGGAAATTATACATCGCATTCGATCGATCGATTGATTGATGCGACGGAGAAAAAAAATGGCAACATGTGCTTAACATGATTAGCTTTGAATCATAAAGCTTCTGTTTGTTCTGAAGTATTATCGAGAGCTATACCTTGATCTTTTGACGATAAGTTACGTTTGTGTATAATAAAATTTCATTTGAAAGACTTGTTAATCTAAATGATGAAACGTGACTTTCTAATCGCGAACACGAAAGAGATAATATAGCTTTGATCGGCCGATATACGCATGTCTTGTTTAAAGAAAGATCATTGACTATTTGTCTCTGATCGAATCGAACTCAGAGAAAATCAACATTTATTTCGTTTTCTTCTTTTTTTTCAAATGCTTTTTCACACCAAAACCATTCTCCGAATCGTGTGATTCGTGTTTTCGCTTTTTGTTTGGTGCTCTGGGTTCTTCGGAATCGTCGTTTCGTTTCTCACCCTTGTTTCGTTTCTTCCGATGATCTTTCCTCTCATCTTCGATTTCCTTGATTTGAATTCGAGCTTGTCGATCAGCTTCGTTGACACGTTCCAGCAAAAGCATCACTTCGTCTTCCTGTGTCGCATATTGCGGCAGTTGTTTACCAATCAGAAATTCAATACGTTGATACAATTCAATGTCGTATTGAGTTACAAATGTTATTGATTTGCCACTACGACCAGCACGCGCAGTTCGTCCAACACGATGAATGTAGTCTTTTGAATGTGCTGGAATATCGTAGTTGATCACAATATCGACATGGGGAATGTCGAGACCTCTAGATGAATGGAAACATAGGGAATAAGTTTTTAGTAGGTGGAAGAGGTAGATGAGTGTTTACCGGCTAGCAACATCAGTAGCGATGAGGATCGATCGTGCTTTGCCTTTGAATTTATTCAATGCGCCGAGACGTTTCGTCTGAAGAAGAAAAATATCGAAATGTTCGATTAGAAGTTATTAGCTTTTACCTGACTCATCTGTCCGTGCAGTGGAACAGTTGTGAAACCTAGATTTCTGGTTAACAAGGCTAATCTCAATGTTGTTGTACAAGTGGAAGCAAAAACAATGATCGATTTTCCACTCATATCATTCAAAATTGATACTAAATAAACATCTTTGTATTTCGCAGGGATGAAGAGATAACTCTGCTGTAATTTCTCGACAGTCGAATACTTTTCCGACACTTCAACTTTCACAGGATCACGAAGAGATGCGCGTTGTAGTTTCGCAACTTTCTTCGTCATTGTTGCCGAATACAGATAGGTCGACCGGGTGGACGACGGCGGAAGAATCTTGAGAATTTTATCCAGATCGACTTCGAAATCCATGTTCAATATTCGATCAGCTTCGTCCATGACTAGATAACGTATCGAACGAAGTGAAAAGCCTTTCGTATTTTCCAAATGATCAACAAGACGACCCGGTGTTGCAATGACAATATGTGGCTTTTTCGCCAGGGCAATCGATTGCGACATCATATCCATGCCACCAACAATAACCGCTAGATGAAAGAGGAACACGAAATATCGTACAGAGAATCAAGTTCGACGTACCACATTTAACACCGATGCTCGAACCTAGTGCTTCGAATTGTTCGCTTATCTGATATGCTAATTCACGTGTTGGTGTTAGAACAAGAGCGAATAAACGTTGTGGTGATGCTAGTAGGGCTTGAAGGATGGGCAAACCGAATGCACCGGTTTTGCCTGAACCAGTTTCAGCAAGACCAATGATATCTTTATCTAGGATGAAATGAAACTAGATAGATGATGGAAGATTAGATCTGAGATTATACTTTGAAATGCAACTGGTAGTGCTTCGGCTTGAATCTTTGTTGGCGCTTTCCATCCGAGTTTCTCACAAGCTTCACAAAGAACATCGTTCAAACCCTAAATTTGCATTGAAATAATCATCATGTAGAGAAACTCGAATGACCTACCAATGATTTAAAAGTCACTGGTTCTTTGAGTTCATTATTCTCTTCATTGTCTTTTTCTTCCATTAAATGATGTTCATCGTCCATGTCTCCTCAAGTTTTCTCTTATCTAAAAACAAACAATTATTCAATTTTGAAATTCGCTATTATTGTTTTAGTTTCTGCTCGATGTCCGAACAGATTTGATCGAGTTTATTTGTTGAAACGAATAAAATTCGACGTTTTTCTATCCAATCATTTGCATTCGACTGAATCGGCTGATAATCAATGGAGGCACTTGCGTGTTGTTCGAAAACTTCTTCCTCGCCGTTCATGTAATGAATCGCATTCAAATCCTTTTTGTTTGCACGTAATTTCACGTGAACTATCCAATAATCCAGTTGTTCAGTAATTTCCTCGCGAAGCGTTCGAATGGCCGGTACACTGATTTCTGCTGGAATATTCATGTAACGTTCGTTGATGAATAATCCACAAGTCGACGCTAAAAACAAACAAACAAACGAAAACGAATTTATCAGTTAGTGATACTCAAGGGCGTGTAACTCAGTTGGTAGAGTGTTCGCTTTGCATGCGAAAAGTCTTGGGTTCGAATCCCAACTCGTCCAAATAAGTTTTTTGTCGAAATTTTCGACTTACTCTGAAGAATTGTTTTTGCTTGAGAATTCTCCGAACATTTGTCCATCAGCCACGTGTACAATTGTTGATTTTGTTGTTTATTAAAGTGTAGAAATGAACAGATACCTAAGACCGGACTTTCATCGTCATCATCATCATCATCCTCTTCTTCGATTTCGTCTAATGGTTGATAAAAAACACTGCCGCATGATTGTTGACTAACAAGTCGATTAGCGAGTAGACTTAAATCGAGTACAGATTTTTTCATTGAATTTCCGAACGATTGTTCGAGAAAATGAAGGATGATCGAACGGTCAGAGTCAGTGGGTGAACGAGCTTCTAAATCTATTTGAATATTTTCTAATTGATTGGTTTCATCTTCGGAATTATCATCATTATCGGACGATGACGACGAACTCGATGGTTCAGGTTCAGGATTAGGCTTCCGCTTTTTCGATCGAGGAGGCATGTGAACAATCTACTCGTTCGACGATTGCTAAATGAATGGAATGAAATGAACGATACGATATTTCGAAAATTCTATGAATCACTCCGATATTTTCATAGGTTGACCTGTCGATTTGTATTTTATCAAAAGAAAAAGATTGCTTCTATAGATGTCGCTAGCTATGGAGAAGCCGTACATCATTTCTTATGTACACGTTTGAATCCGATGAAAAAACGCGATATCTGATTCATTAAAAACATATTTATTGAAAGAGACATGACAAACATGTTACGCATCAAGACTATGTGTAACAGAATTCAAATTTCGTTCAATAATAACAGCGAACGAATTATTATCCACACCAGTCCTTCGCAGCTGTCGACAATCATTCCATCGTTCAATAAACAATAGTGTATGCTTACGTTCTATAGTGATACAAATAACTGATAAGATAATACATAAAACTGTAATTGAACTAAGTATAATATGTGCATAAATGAAGATCATGTTAACAGGTAAATGGAGAAGAATAAGTGTTAATCTCGCGATGAATTCAAAGAAGAATCCAATCGCCCAGATACTTGTCAATGTATGACAAGCTAAACGAAATGATGGACAATTTTTGTAGATCCATTCGTAGACTTTTGTCACCTCTTCCTTTTCGGATAGTTTCGACACAGAATTTTCTTCTTTCAAGTGCTCGTATTGATCACTATTCTGATCTAAATCACCATTAAAAACATCCTGAGGTAGACCGACTTCTGCTCGAGTCGTTGGAACCAAATCTTGATAAAAATAGTAACCAATTGGCCGCAAACGACACCGATGATGGCAACAGTTCAATGGAACTAACGTTACAGCGAAAATGATCGATAAAATACCGGTGACCAGCGATTTTTCTAATAACAATATAATCGGATTACGTGTAATAACAGCTACTACAGCTGACAATGCGAATGACAGGAAGACAAGAAAACCAAGCGCGTCAAATGTCCAAAACCACAAAGCTTTGAAGATCACCATGAATAATGGTGGACTACTTGCAGCTAGGAGCGCATAGACAGGCTTGATTTGCTTCTGAAGAGCGAAGTAGATCAATAGAGGAAGAACAATATCGATAAGTACAGTGAAGATGAAACGTGGAACATGTTGTTTAAATGTTTGCCAAATGGAAAACTGAGTTTTTGGCGACGATTGGATTTGCTGTTCGGTGATCGTAGAATGATTTTCCGCAGTCAACATGATGCAGTTGTCATCAATAAAATCCGTGTATGTGTAATCATCTATTTAATAATTTTCTTGACACACAGGTTATTCATAGCAATTACCTAAAGAAAGACGATCTACAATTTCTTCGATATAATATTAAGAAAAAAAAGGTATTCACTCGCTCAACAACCGTGACGATCAAATGATAGACGGGTGAGGAAAGAAAAAGCCGGAGGCGTTAGCGTCAGTTGTTTTTCTCTGTTTTGCGTGTACATTTGACGAAATCATAAATAAAAATTATCATGCTTAACTGCAAAGAATATCAGCGGGTTGCATTAGTTTTTTCGCTCAATAAATCAGTATATCTCAAAATGAATGATTACTCCTAAAGGTCTCGTCATTTGTCACAATGAAGGTTATCGAATGACGGATTGTTTTATTACAAAAAAAAACACATCGTGTACTCCCTTCTACTCGTTCGATCGTACAAGCTGTGCACATGAGTTCGGCAGCACCGAATGACAATGTCGATGTTAGTAACGATGAAATTCATATTAGAAATGGTCGATTAGTTTGATTTTTTTTCTCCTTCTCTTCGAATGTTCTTTCAGAGATTTTTCGATTCGATTTCTCTCTTTTTTCCTTCGCACAACAATATTGAATTTAGTTCTCTCCTTCGAAAATCAAATGTCATACTGATCGAAAAATGCGCACTTACGATCTACTCGACAATTTCTATTGCTTCGTACATGAACTCAGGTGAATGTCGCCAACAATACATCGGGGTCAAAGTTGACCTATGATCACAAAAAAAAAACGTCTACAATGCTTCTATTCTTTTTCTTCATTGCAAGAAGAAACGCAGTCTGACACCACTTAGACCGATATTGTTTCAAAGATTATTTTTTAAACTTCATCATCCGATTATCGAGGTACACGATGAAAACGAAAGAAAAACTTACCTTTACACTGTTTATTCCAAACATCAAAATTCAATTGAGTCGAGTACGTTATGATGCACGATCAAACAGTCGCTCGATCATGTACAGTACGTCATTTTGCAACGAGACTATGCATACATTACATGTATTACATCAAGCAGAAGTGGGACTTTTTCATCGACTCAACTCGACATTGAATATGAGTCATGCGTCTGCTTTGGTGAACATATTGACCAATTGCATACACTTTGCTCATTTTCTTTCCTTCGGTGACATATAGGAGAGGAGGATAGGGAGGGAGAGAGAGAGCAAAGTACAGAAACAATTCGATTGTATATTTACAAATCATTACATGATGAATTTGCATAGATGTACTACTTCTACACAAGTAATTTGTCGATAGTTTTTATTTTATGTGCAAGACAAAGCAAATTCTAATCTATTTGTTGACTTAAATGCGTATTTTTCCATTGTTCGACTAAGATCAACGTTTGTTTCCTTTCTTTTGTTATACAAGTAATGGTAATCGCTGTACATATCACAGTGATTATGGTTAATATTAAATTGCCATAGAGAACGATCTTATTCACTGATAAATGAATGAGAATCAGTGTAAGACGCGTCAAAAATTCGCCGAGAAAGCCAATTGACCACACGCTTGTTATCACATAACACGAAATGCGAAATGATGAGCAATTCTCATAAAGCCATTCATAAACTTTCGCTATTTCTTCTCGATCGGACATTTTAGGAATGAGAACATCGTGTTCGGAATATTCACCAGAATCGAATATGTTTGCTGGTAGACCGATTTGTACTCGATTAGTGGGAACTAAATCTTGATAAAAATAGTAACCCAACGGACGTAAACGACACCGATGATGACAGCAGGTCAACGGAATCAACGTTAAAGCAAATATGATCGATAGAATACCAGTGATCAGAGATTTTTCTAGTAGTATTATAACGGGATTTCGTGTTATAATTGCAACGACACCGGATATGATAAAGCCAAGTGCAATGAGAAATCCGAGTGCATCGAATGTACGTGACAGGGTGGCTTTAGAAATGACCATCAGAAGTGGTGGTGTACCGGCGATGACAAGTGCATAGACGGGTTTGATATGTTTCTGAAGAAGAAAATAGATCAATAATGGAAGAACAACATCCACGAATGCCGTGAGAATAAAACGTGGAAAATGAGGTTTAAATATTTGCCAAAACGAGAATTGAATATTGATAAGAATTTCAGGTTCGGATAAAGCTGAAGGCCGATGAGAAGACATACGACAGTCTAGAATAAATATATTTTAGTTGTTGTTTTTATATATATCCTTGTTAAAGGAGAGAATGAATTGTATCTACCAATCTAAGTATACTACTATTTTGCTTTTCTGTGCGCTAGATTCGCTCGTTTTTGATCGACTGACATTGCATTGTATGAGTCATACGGCTGAGTTTCTTCTTTACTGATCAAATCTTATCTTAGAGTAACTATTCTTTCAATGTCATTGTTTGATATAGTGAATCATTTATGAGCAGATATGAAGTGTTTGCACTAATTGCAAGTGTATCTTGTAGATATAGTAAAATCGTGTTTGTTATGCAGTCAGATCTGTGTGTTTGAATGTGAGTTCTTTCACAATTTAAAAGTATTGTGTGGCGATGAAAAGATAACTCAGTATTGACCTTGCTTTGTCGGGATGATACGATAGACTGGCTGATACACTTCTATTGACACTATTACAATTGTTGAAGTGACGTCACAAATCGATGATAAATGACGAAATTCTAGAGCTACTTATATCAGTTCATCGTCTGAACACTCTTAAGTAGATGGTTCGTTGTTTGTTTTCTTTTTACATTTGCTTCAATATGAAACGAACTGAGCAAGGCATCGCGACAATATTTCATCTTGAAGGTAGAATTAAAATCTTCGGCGACGAATTGTATAGATGACGTTTAGAAAGTTTTGTATTCAATGATACATTCATACAAGTGATGACAATGTATATTATTATCTGTCCAGTTTTCTTGAAGAATTAGTTCGATGAAAGGCATTGCATTAACCAGCGATTCCACTTCTTTAGATAATACAAATTTTGCACGTGCTGTCTTTTTATCTACGATTAACATATACTACCTAACTTTGATCATATTCACTGTTGATTCGCAAATCTCAGATACAACTGTATGTGAAACTATACATGAAAATTTCCTGTCATGTTATTCGATATAGATACCTGATAGCACAATCATCTCTATGAACCAAATATTTTAGTATGATTATTTTACTCATATGTGCGTTCAGAACACGGATATCGTTGTCACCAATGTAGCTGAAACGCTTCTCTCCGATGTCATCTCTCACCCTTACCGTCGTTCTATACATCTTCACATGATGTGGATAACAAAAAAGATTCAATCATGTTTCTGAGCCTTTGGATTGGTTTTAGTGCTGCAATTTTGCTGATAATATCTATAGTACTTTTATTTTGTACGAGAATAATCAAATGTTGATGCATTGCATAGTATGAACATATTTTGATTGAAGTCGAACTTTTACGATATAGCAAATATACTCTGAGAAAACTGTTATTTTTCTTTCATAGTCAACAATAATATACACTTATCAAAACTAAAGCTAAAGTTTAATAATAAACTTGACTTTTTCTACGGTGTTTACTTATTTTTTTCGAGAAAATATTTGTTGCGTCTGTTTGACGTTCGACAAACTCTTCTGGTAGATAACGTCTATTGCAAAACTATTGCACAGGGTTGTTCTCAACAATGAAACAAAGTATAAGTCTATACGTTCACCGAATGATAATCAATGTGGAATTGTCTTCTTTGCACATTTTCAAGAATTAGCACTAAATTCCAATACGTGACAATGTTCCTAATTTTTATCTCTATGGCCAATATTACTTCAGAAGGCGTAAAAATCGATGTGCTATATCACCAGACAAGTTATTCAATATTATGTGTTTATTAAATAAATATGACAAAGTAGGAATGTACTATATTTACTATCTTATCCAATATTTCATCATCCCCTGTCATTCTTATTTGTCTTTTACAGATTCTACTTCACAAATTCTTTATTTTAGAAAAAATAGTATATTACCCGATATGAGCCGACTTTTCCACATTTTCACAGGTCAGTTCAATCACTTGAATATTCACGCATACGTTCAGTTGTCTCTTTTAGTTCTACTCTCTTTGTGCATCCTTTGCCGATCCCAAATACTTAACTTTCATTGTGACTTTGACACCAAGTTAGACGGCGACTGTCTATTCACCGCCACGAATGGTGGCAATAAAATGACTCTAGATCAAGGTCCCAACCCAGCTGGAAAGCCAAAACAGCCCCTGTCAGACGCTAAAGCAGTTAGTGAGTATTCTTACAGTTCAATAACACATGATATCACCACTTCTGACCAAATCTCCTCTAGTATCACTCACTGATCCTGATAATCAGCCATGCAACTTTCCATACAAATACGGTGGTGCAGATATATACTTCTGTCGTCGCTCTTCCAATGGCACATACAGTTGTCCAACTGATGCTGATGTTGGACGATGTAAAGCAGGTCAGTCATCCTCGTTCCTTACTTTCTCTGATCATCATCTTCACTCCTTTTTATCTACGACCGACAGGAAAACTAGGACTAATAAAGCCTCCAACTTCTGGTAAAATAGATCACTCCTATATAGCAAAGGTCACAAAAAGCACAAGCACAACACAGTGCTTTGACTTCTACTACTATATCACTGAAGCAACAGGCAATGCTAAGATCGAAGTATCGTGGGAAGGAAACGGAGACTTGGATGAAATTGTGATAGTGGAAGCAGATCCAGCCGAGAACAAGTGGCAGCACAGTCGAATGACTTTCACAGTTCCACCATCCACTTCTACATATGATGTGAGACACTTAACACACTCCTTTTTACTACTTGTGACTATGACTTTGTGTCTCCACTCTGATTTTAGATCTCTTTGAGAATAATGCGTGACAGCGGAGTGTTTGGTTTTGCTTTTGCATTTGATGAAATCAAGATCTATGATGCATCTTGTGGTAATATTGAGAACTGTTTGGAGTAGAATCTTTTGATTGATTTGTTTATGTGTTAAAATAGATACTATTGTGGAACCCACGACAAGCGTACCAATTGTTGTACGTATCCGATTGGATTAAGCGATTGCTGTTTTCTTCACTAAATATTGCTTTCGCCTTATTTCAGAAACCTAACATCACAAGCTCTGTTCTATCTCGTACAAGTACTACCATAGTTCCTACGTCTGTTGCTTCTAACAGAAAGATCGTGATTTTTGCAAAATTTTTGGCCACGTTTTCCGACGCTCTTGCTTGTGCATCTCTTTGTGCTTTTTTAAATATAATCATATTTTGCTGAAGAATACTCTTGAGGTTGAGTGAACAGTATCGAACCATTTTATGATGCATCTAAACACTTTAAGGTGTTGCCTAATAAAGAGTCACAGATGAGATCTGAACTATGCTATCATTTGTGAATTTTATTTTCCCAAGGCATTTATTGGCTACGGCTGCCAAATTCGTTACTAAATCTGTTTGTCTACAGGCTCCATTAAAGTTTCTCCGGTAGTTTTCGATAGAAAAATATTTCTCGTATCTTCCTTCCTACTTTTCGACGATTAAGACACACCACGACGAGAAGTTTCTGTTACTTCTGTGAAATCAAATATCGCAGTGTCATCTAAACTAAGGATAGCGAATAAATGTTCTACTTGATACAAACACTACACTGAGAACAGCAGAAGTTGTTTGTTGAATGTTTTTACTATGAATTTTCTATTTACATGTGCTCTCACAACACTTTAATATCGTTATCAAGAGTAGAACTGAAACACCCGTCATCGATGGTGACTTTTTCACTAAGTCTACGCCATCCATCGTAATGTTTCATGCACTCCATCTAATGATGTGGTTTTACGGCTAATATAAACCATAACAGTGCCCTATTTGAGAAAAGTTCAGAAGATATGCTTTTAGAAGTCCATGACATAGGGTCATCAGTGATAAAGCTACGGTTTTTAAAAGTTTGTTTCTGTCAGACGACAATGCAGAAAAATTTGACTACATCGGCAACGCGGATAGAACATATTTCCTTCCAACGCTCACCTATGATTTGCAACAAGTTAACTGCTGAGTCAGGTGAAAAATAAAGATTCATCTTTTTGAATTGACGTCAAACAAACTCGTCTTGAAGATAACGTCTATTTCAAGGTATTGCACAACCTTATTTTCTCAATAATAAATTACACTATAGATAATTTCTTAAAAGTTTTACATGCGTATCTGAATGAATCATTTTATCTTCCGGTACTCTGGTTGGTCCTTCTTTTCCACAACAGTAAAAGAGATAAACGCCGATCTGTTATTTCTTCAAACACGCACATAGAAGAAAATGAGATAAATGATCCAACGCCATATCTCTTTATCAAACAGATATGACACGGCTCACGTATATTATATTTTGTCTATTTTCAAACACTTCGTCACCTTATGCTGTTTTTGCTCTCGTTTTCATCAACTATGCCGATGCACTTTCTGTTTTAGAAAACAAAAACAACGTCATCCAGTATGGGTCGACTTTTATACATTTTCACAGGTCAGTTCAATCACTTCAATATTCACGCATACGTTCAGTTGCGTTTCTTTTAGTTCTACTCTCTATATGCATCCTTTGCCGATCCCAAATACTCAACTTTCATTGTGACTTTGACACCAAGTTAGACGGCGATTGTCTATTCACCGCCACGAATGGTGGCAATAAAATTACTCAAGATCAAGGTACCGCCCCAACTGGAAAGGCAAAACAGCCCCTGTCAGACGCTAAAGCAGTTAGTGAGTATTCTCATAGTTCAATAACACATGATATCACCACTTCTGACCATCTCTCCTCTAGTATTACTCACTGATCCTGATAATCAGCCATGCAACTTTCCATACAAATACGCGGGCGCAGATCAATACTTCTGTCGTCGCTCTCTCAATGGCACATTCAGTTGTCCAACTGATGCTGGTGTTGGACGATGTAAAGCAGGTCAGTCATCCTCGTTCCTTACTTTCTCTGATCATCATCTTCACTCCTTTTTATCTACGACCGACAGGAAAACTAGGACTGATAAAGCCTCCAACTTCTGGTAAAATAGATCACTCCTATACAGCAAAGGTCACAAAAAGCACAAGCACAACACAGTGCTTTGACTTCTACTACTATATCACTGAAGCAACAGGCAATGCTAAGATCGAAGTATCATGGGAAGGAACCGGAGACTTGGATGAAATTGTGATAGTGGAAGCAGATCCAGCCGAGAACAAGTGGCAGCACAGTCGAATGACTTTCACAGTTCCACCATCCACTTCTACATATGATGTGAGACACCTCACACACTCCTTTTTACTACTTGTGACTATGGTCTTGTGTCTCTACTCTGATTTCAGATCACTTTGAGAATAATGCGTGACAGCGGAGCGTCTGGTTTTACTTTTGCATTTGATGAAATCAAGATCTATGATGCATCTTGTGGTAATATTGAGAACTGTTTGGAGTAGAATCTTTTGATTGATTTGTTTATGTGCTAAAATAGATAGTATCGTAGAACCTACGACAACGATACCAGGTACGGTATGTATCAAGTTTCATCAATCCTCCGGTCATTTAAGTTATCTACGGATTTTCATATTTGATTTCAGACAACCACCACCACCATTAGTACTACAACATCCGATACAACAACAACGATTACTACTACCCCGGTTACCACCACTCCAGTACCGGATACAACAACAACGACCACAACCCCGGCTACCACCACACCAGTACCAGATACAACAACAACGACCACTACCCCGGCTACCACCACCCCAGTACCTGATACAACAACAACGACCACTACTCCGGCTACCACCACCCCAGTACCGGATACAACAACAACGACCACTACTCCGGCTACCACCACCCCAGTACCGGATACAACAACAACGACCACTACTCCGGCTACCACCACCCCAGCACCGGATACAACAACAACGACCACTACCCCGGCTACCACCACCCCAGTACCGGATACAACAACAACGACCACTACCCCGGCTACCACCACCCCAGTACCGGATACAACAACAACGACCACTACTCCGGCTACCACCACCCCAGTACCGGATACAACAACAACGACCACTACTCCGGCTACCACCACCCCAGTACCGGATACAACAACAACGACCACTACTCCGGCTACCACCACCCCAGTACCGGATACAACAACAACGACCACAACCCCGGCTACCACCACACCAGTACCCGATACAACAACAACGACCACTACCCCGGCTACCACCACCCCAGTACCGGATACAACAACAACGACCACTACTCCGGCTACCACCACCCCAGTACCGGATACAACAACAACGACCACTACTCCGGCTACCACCACCCCAGTACCGGATACAACAACAACGACAACAACCACTACTCCGGCTACCACCACCCCAGTACCGGATACAACAACAACGACAACAACCACTACCCCGGCTACCACCACTCCAGTACCTGTTACAACAACAACGACAACATCCACTACCCCGGCTACCACCACTCCAGTACCGGATACAACAACAACGACAACAACCACTACCCCGGCTACCACCACTCCAGTACCTGATACAACGACGACGACAACGACGACGACGACAACAACAACGACGACAACAACAACAACAACGACGACGACAACCACGACGACGACGACAAAACCAATTCTTCGTCTGCTCGATTGCGATTTTAGTACTGACACCTGCTTTCAGGATACTGACATCACTATCACCAATGGAACCGAAGTTCCTCTCCTCGACCTCTCTCAACCTCCTCGAGCACCTCTCTCAGATGCCACCTCCGTCAGTAAGTCTCCAGCGCCCTTTACTATCATCCTCTCACCCTCACTCTCATCCAGATTCACCAACAACCAATTCATACAAATGCAGTGTACCCTATCAACTATCCGTCGAAAACTCCACCAACACCACTGACTGGAATATGTGGTTCTGCTACAACAATCAATGTCCAACACAAAACGGTGAAACAGCTGACTGTGTATCAGGCAGCTACGGTCTCATGTTTCTGGATCCATCCGACTCGAACAAAAACATCACCACTTCGATCAGTGACGAGTCGCTGATGCGAAGTTCGAGTGGCGATGAGCATTGTCTTCGATATGAATACTTTTTCACAGTGTATGATGATGCCGATTGGGGTCAACAGTTGTCCGTATGGATGAAGTCTGCAAATGGTAGTGATGAACTGATTGACCGAATACGAGTAGATGAGATGCAAGAGAATCGATGGTATGAGCGAAACAAGACGTTTGTTGCACCATCGACGAACTACACGGTAAGATTATTTGTGTTGTTGTGAAAGTGTGAATGTGAATGTCGTTGGTTTAGTTGACATATTCGTTCGAAGTGAGCAATGAGAGTGGTAATCAAGAAGTAGTGGTTAGTCGAACAGTGTATTTTGGATTGGACAATATCGAGTTATACAATCGAAAATGTGATGGTGAGTCGAATGGGAGACAGAGAGATTGTATTTTAAAACTGACTTTAGAAGCACTCGAACCAGTCACAGTGATGACAACTGAACCAGTAACAGGAAACGGCTCAATGACTACGTCAAATGTAGGCAGTACAACAGTTGATGCCACTCATCCCACAAGTAGAGTATCAGATTTTTCTGTTCGTTCTTTGGAATAATTGCTTTGTTTTACGTGTAGCGACGAAGCCTAACAATCTAGGACTTATACTTGGCTTGTCATTGGGGCTTGGTATTCCTGCTTTGTTGGTGCTGGTGGTTGGAGCGTTTTGTTATCTTAAACAAGGCAAACGTAGTAGTCGATATGAAGTGGATGACGAAAAGAAATCTATTCCGTTGAAGATGAGAGGAACAAAAGGTGCTGCCAGCGATAATTTAACGCGATACATCTACTAAATAGTCTTTAATTTGTCACAAACTGGTTGTTTTGTTCGTATATAAATAAAAAATATGTCTTGAGTGCTTAATATGCATACACATGAAAGAAAATATGATAATTTAAAGTCAAATTTCATTGTTACAGCTGTTTCAGAGAAGAGAAAATGGATACTGAATTTAATAACGATAATCTTCATCGAAAGGATAGATATATGAATTGTTCCTGATTGAAGTTGCGTTCTATCGAACTCTCGAATAAGTCAAGCATAATTTTGACTTTCTTGGAACGATTTTCAGAAGAAAATCCATATATATCTATTTTGCAAACTCGACTATCGAGAAGTATTTGCTCTGTCTATTATCACTTCTTCTTGGGAACGACCGATGATCCTCATATACACTGCAGTACGAAATCTTGACCTCAAATGATATCTGACACAGAGAACTTTTCAGTAGTATAACTAAATACCATACGTCTCAACATCAGATCAGCCAGGTTATATTATTTTATTTTCGTTTGAACAAAATGAGTACAACAATTCTCTCTCTCTATTCATGAGTTTGTTGCATTATTTGATGCTGTTTGTGATGCACTTGCGGCTGCAATATCAATAGCGTTCTTCGTTTTTTCTACTAAGTCCTGTTTATCTGCAGCTAAGCGATCTTGTTCATCCGAATTCGCAGTTTTTGATGCTTCCGCACTGCTGTTATTGTTTGTCACTTGTGCTGGAACGCTATCGAAATTAACACGACCTGATGATGGATGTAACATGTGCACTTTGCCCATTTCGTTTGATTGACAACTAACAAACGCTTGAAAAACTGCTGAAATGCACTCAATAAAATCAAATCTTCGATCTTGCGCAATCAGTCGGTAAGAACAATATGAAGTATAATCACATGCATTTTTTGGTGAAAATAGAACGCAAAAGAAAATAATATTTAATAAACGCATGCTTTTGGTAAGAAAAAAAACAAACATATTATTACAAAATCATGCTTAGTCTCGCAAAAAGATGGCCTGTAATTCAAACTTAAGTTTTCTTCGTATCAGCAGAGTCGATGGGAGGTTGAGATTGAACGGCTGAATTTATTGCGTCTTTTGTTTTTGCTTCTACTTCAGTAGCATTTGTCGTGGAAGTTAACTTGTCTTGTTTGTCTTTCGGCGGATCAACAGATACTTTATCGAAGTTTTTGCGTCCCGATGTCGTGTGCAACATTCGCAGCATTATCTCTCGTCTACAAACAGAAACACATGTACAATAGGATTATTGTCAGTGATGTCACTCACAATTTAGACGTTGTTGAATGTGAGAAATGTTTTCTGTTATTTTTCGAATACCCGACATCTATATGCTTATGTTCGATGGTTGTGCAATACCGACCGGATGAATCATAATTCAGAGTCAAGTCGTCTGGAAGAATTGACTGAACATTAAAAAAAAGTCGAGAAATGTATTTGATTGTTAGTTATTAATAAGCATCTGTGATCCAATTCACTTGACATGTGTTCGAAGTTCGACATGTTGCACTTTGATTTCGATTACTATTTCAATCAGACGAAGACAAACATCGAATTGTAAAATAATATCAACTTTCGATGACAGTCAATACTAATCTCAATTGTAAGGAAATATAAAGATCAGAGAAAACTCTTTTGCTAGAAATTTATAACAAATGGAAGCAAGAGCGTCTGTTTGATTCATTTCGAATAAATTTTCTAAACTATTGAAAATCAATATTAGTCTTCTCGTGAATCTGTCACTCGATCGTTTATTTAGTGAAGTTAATACCGAACACATATGTTGATAATAATTGCCCAAAATAAAGAGATAATTCAGTGTCGATATTTTAGTTTCTTCGATATACAAATGAATGGAAACTAAAATGTATTTTGTTATACTCATGCAACTTGTAATAACGGCTCTTTATCAATCTCACATTTCTTCATATCTACACAGGGATTCTGTTATCTAATGTTATCAAAATTATTAGTTGTTTTCTTTTTAACCTTGATGAGTTTTTAAACCGTGTTCTGATGAAATTTACTTTACACCTAATAAGTTTTTCTTTCGATGTTGTAATTCATAAACGACCAGTAGATTTTCTATTTTTGCAAGTTAAATTAGTTACAATTACCAAAAAGATATCGCGTTCGTCACATCAAATTTTTTGTTCTCTACAAAGTTTTTGTCACAATTATGTCAGCTTATCGAATCAACTACATATACAAACACGATATTTCTTTCTTCGAAAATTTCACATGTTCTCTTCCACACTTGAAATACAATTTATGGTTCTTTTTTAAATATTTATTTTGCCCCGTTTACTCTTCTTGATATTTCATTTCAGAAACAGACTAGTGTCCAAATCATGAAACGACTTTTATCTACCATCACAAGTCAGTCCAATAACTTGAATTTTCACGCATACGTTCAGTTGCGTTTCTTTTAGTTCTACTCTCTTTAAGCATCCTTTGCCGATCGCAAGTACTCAACTTTCATTGTAACTTTGACACCAATTTAGACGGTGACTGTCTATTCACGGCCACGAATGGTGGCAATAAAATGACTCAAGACCAAGGTGCCCTCCCAACTGGAAAGGCAAAACAGCCCCTGTCGGACGCTAAAGCAGTTGGTGAGTATTCTCATAGTTCAATAACACATGATATCACCACTTCTGACCATCTCTCGTCTAGTATCACTCACTGATCCTGATAATCAACCATGTAACTTTCCATACAAATACGCGGGCGCAGATCAATACTTCTGTCGTCGCTCTCTCAATCTCACATACAGTTGTCCAACTGATGCTGGTGTTGGACGATGTAAAACAGGTCAGTCATCTTCGTTCCTTACTTTCTCTGATCATCATCTTCACTCCTTTTTATCTACGACCGACAGGAAAACTAGGACTAATAAAGCCTCCAACTTCTGGTAAAATAGATCACTCCTATACAGCAAAGGTCACAAAAAGCACAAGCACAACACAGTGCTTTGACTTCTACTACTATATCACTGATACAACAGCCAACGCTAAGATCGAAGTATCGTGGGAAGGAACCGGAGACTTGGATGTAATTGTGACAGTAGAAGCAGATCCAGCCGAGAACAAGTGGCAGCACAGTCAAACAAATTTCACAGTTCCACCATCCACTTCTACATATGATGTGAGACACTTAACACACTCCTTTTTACTACTTGTGACTATGACTTTGTGTCTCTACTTTAATTTCAGCTCATTTTGAGAATAATGCGTGACAGCGGAGCGTCTGGTTTTACTTTTGCATTTGATGAAATCAAGATCTATGATGCATCTTGTGGTAATATTGAGAACTGTTTGGAGTAGAATCTTTTGACTGATTTGTTTATGTGTTAAAATAGATAGTATCGTAGAACCTACGACAATCATACCAGGTACGGTATGTATCAAGTTTCATTAATCCTCCCGTCATTTTAGTAATCTACGGATTTTCATGTTTGATTTCAGACAACCACCACCACCATTAGTACTATAACATCCGATACAGCAACAACGGCCACTACCCCGGCAACCACCGCTTCAGTACCTGATACAACAGCAACAACGACTCCTACCCCGGCTGCCACCACTCCAGTACCTGATACGACAGCAACAACGACCACTACCCCCGCAACCACCACTTCAGTACCTGTTACAACAGCAACAACGACTACCACTCCGGCTACCACCACTTCAGTACCTGATACTACAACAACAACAGCTACGACGACGACGACCACGACGACAACAACAACCCAATACCTTCGTCGGTTATTTTATTGCGATTTTAGTACTGCCATGTGCTTTCAGGATACCGACATCCTTATCACCAACGGAACCGAAGTTCCTCTCCTCGACCTCTCTCAACCTCCTCGAGCACCTCTCTCAGATGCCACCTCCATCAGTAAGTCTCCAGCATCCTTTACTATCATCCTCTCACCCTCATCTAGGTTCACCAACGACCAATTCATACAAATGCAGTGTACCCTATCAACTATCCGTCGAAAACTCCACCAACACCACTGACTGGAATATGTGGTTCTGCTACAACAATCAATGTCCAACACAAAACGGTGAAACAGCTGACTGTGTATCAGGCAGCTACGGTCTCATGTTTCTCGATCCATCCGACTCGAACAAAAACATCACCGCTTCGATCAGTGACGAGTCGCTGATGCGAAGTTCGAGTGGCGATGAGCATTGTCTTCGATATGAATACTTTTTCACAGTGTATGATTATGCCGACTGGGGTCAACAGTTGTCCGTATGGATGAAGTCAGTAGATGGTGGTGAAGAGCTGATTGACCGAATACGAGTAGATGAGATGCAAGAGAATCGATGGTATGAGCGAAACAAGACGTTTGTTGCACCATCGACGAACTACACAGTAAGATTATTTGTGTTGTTGTGGAAGTGTGAATGTGAATGTCGTTGGTTTAGTTGACATATTCGTTCGAAGTGAGCAATGAGAGTGGTAATCAAGAAGCAGTGGTTAGTCGAACAGTGTATTTTGGATTGGATAATATCGAGTTATACAATCGAAAATGTGATGGTGAGTCGAATGGAAGACAGAGAGATTGTATTTTAAAACTGACTTTAGAAGCACTCGAACCAGTCACAGTGATGACAACTGAACCAGTAACTACTTCGATAAGTATCAAACCTACTTCACTCACATCGACGACGTTGAATGCCAGTACAATTACTACTACTGTTAAACCATGTAAGTTATTTAACGAAATTTCTTAGTATCCTTGATGGTTTTCTCTTACATTTTCAGCCGAACCGAATCTGGCACTGATCCTGCCGCTTGCTATTGGTATTCCAGTGCTAATCGCTGCCATCGCTTTTATTGCATATTACTGCATCAAAGTTAAACCTAAATCAGCAATCTTAGTTGAAGGCAGCACAAAGCCAGCAGATATTCCATTGCAACCAACAACAATGTCTACCAGTGATGATTCAAAACGTTCCCGTCCAGTAGTCTAAACAATCAAGTCCTAGCAACTGTTTTGTTCGTTCATATGACTTCGCTTAAACATTACGAGACGTTCATCAATATTCTCCTATCAGTTTTATAAATAAACCACCAGTCTTTCATTCAACGAGAATATGTGCGATACATCGTTATTTTTAAAAATATATGGGAATTAGATATTCTGAAAATGCTCAGATTTCTGCATGTTTTCTGAAAAGCATCGGCATCAGTGAAAAAAAGCATCTTGTCGAATATGTTAACTGACTTGTATTTTTATTATATAGAATAACATATACAGAAGCAAACATTCAAAAATATACTTATCTAATATTGGTCAGAGTTTGCTGATGTTGGTATCAGTAAATTGAAACGGTTTTCATCAACAGACGGCATACTTGTCGAAGGTTGCATGCACAAAAAAGATTTGGTATCTACATTTGGACTGTTATTCAACGGATAATTAAATGGTGTCATGAATGAATAATGGCCAACGGATGATGATGTTGGTGGTGGCGGTGGTAATGGTGATGATGCTCCGTACGGAAAGTAATACGATGACGATGGTGGATAGTATGAATTCGAATAATAAGGAGTTGTGTCAGATAAAAATGATGTCGTTGATGAGCAAGGTGGATTTGTTGATGGTAGAGGAGCATAGTAGATCGATGCATCGAATGGAGACGTTGACGTAGATGGATATGGTGAAACTGAAAAGTATAGGTCGTAATCAAGTATTTCAAACCAAGATGTTGATCTTACTATTGTTCGGTGATGATTTACGGTGCGATTGTGAGTAACTATAAGGTGATGCTCGATACGATTCAATTTTAAGTCGTTCTGGCCCGCCAGATGATGATGATGCTTGCGAATGGAATGTAACCGCATTGTTTGCTTGTTCATCTGTCGTTTCACTAAATATTCAAAACACGATGAAATCTTGTTCTTTGCGCTTGCTTCTCATCCTATGCTTACCGTTTGATATTTGCTGTTTCCAAGAACGCTTTTGCAAATGGATTGTGTCGGATTTTGAGTGATTTAACCTAATGGAAAGATTTATTACAACATTTTTTGAGAATAGAAGGAACCTACTTCTTCATTCTGATACGCTGTGACGGCGATGAATTCAGTCACGTCAAAGCTTGTTTCATAGATTTTTGATTTTGAAATCACATCAATTATTGAGATTCTGGGTCGATATTTATGAAGAGAATTGAGCAGAACCTAAAGCAATCAGCGTTCATCTTCTTCCATCTCCTCCAAGATCATTTTGTCTTACCTGACTTGCACCTGTGTTTTCAATTTTATTGGTTAACTTCACTTTCGGAAACATTATCGTATCTCTCATCCACGTTCGACCGTAATTTGGTGAATCAGGATGTTGATAAGCCGGACGATCAATAGTTGGCTCAGGTTTCATTCCAGGCTGCCATTGACAACTGACAAATCGCCATCGGTGTGAATCAATTTGATCAAAGGACAATTCTACGGTATACATCTTCTCCGGATCCAAACCACGGATATTTACAGCTATGATTGGAAACATACGACGGCCAGCTTTTGTTACGCTAACAAAACGATAAGTAGCAAATTGATTTACTTGAAAATTCTCCTTACATCATTTCATTTGTTAATCGATGAAATTGTTCCCAAAGATCGCGGTTGTGTAAAGTCACCTGGATGTTTTCTTCAGTGTAACTATGAACTCGTTCTTGTTCGTACTAGAAAACAAAAACATGTGTGAATTTCTTAAACTTGAAAGCCAATATCAACTTACCTGTCCGTAATACTGCATTTCGTTTCTTATCGAGTCACACGAAAGTGAGAGATGAATATTGTTAATTCTGACAATTGTATGCGATATTTATCTCATATTTTCCTTTTCCTCTTGACCAATGAAAATAATTCGTAAGGAGAGAAAGACACAGACAGATAGAGAGAGAGAGAAAGAAACAAACAAGTAATTAATGAGTGTTCTCTTGTACGAAAGGAGAATATAATGACTGATATTGTTTAATACTCAGGTAAGGATAAAAGCTGATAATTTCTCGAAATCTAATGATGGATTCACAACACTTACTAAATTCCCAGAATCCAACTTCGATTTCGAAATTTAACTAATACATTAACACGCGATAACTACATGTACTTAATACATATAACATCCTTATCAATTATCGTTTCTTTCTCTAACACGACCAATTTCGTAAACATACACTGATCAGTATTGTTATCCGTCACACGTATTAATTGGTTTGCTGTTGATTTATGATCTTAATTGGTCGTCGACAAGCAAGCTGAGATTTGTTGCTCTTTCGTAAGTGTATGTCAATTGGTCTACTGTTTCACATCATGAATTCGGTTTCAATAGCGATGGAGAAATTATACTGAGCGAAATTCACATCATGTTCGATGAGAGCGACCGACATATCATAAATATTCAACGCTCAGTTGGAGATATACACGATATCGAACGGAATTGTTCCAGTCTACATTGAACATGAAATCAGTGGAGATTATTTCGGATATTTCATTTGTTTATTTCTTCTTATTTATTCAATTTATTCTTGTTGTTATTCTCCTATATGTTGTAAAAAAGAACAACAAGTGTAGATCTCGAATGTACGTAATCGTGTATGTATGCACGCTCGATGTTCAGTAAAAGAGAAAACAAAACGGAGAAGAAAGTAGATTAATATTCATCGATTGTTTAGGATTTCTTCGATGCGACACTTGTTTTAGTTGTTGTAGTTACTGTTGTTGTTTTAGTTGAACCTGCACTCGTTTGAGTTTTGCTCTTTTTCACCATATTGACACCTGACAAGCGTTTAGCTTTCAATGATGCATGAGTACGTTCTTTGCGAGCAGCAGCCTGAAAACACGAAGAATGGTAATGAGAAGAAAAACGAGCGAAGTCGTACTTTAGATTCGGCTGTTGTACCAGTACGTCGTCCTTTGAGTTGACGTAAGAGTGTTTGACGTTTTTGTACGGCAGCATATGGGTTGAGTCGAGACATTAAACCAATGTTCTTCAATGGATTCTTCTTGACTTTACGACGAGCTTGACGTTTACTAGAATATTCGAACAACAGAGAGATGAAATCAACTGAAGGAAATCAGACATACATTGGTGCACGAAGGACACTTTGGATTTCGAAAGCTTTGAGTAAACGTCCCAAATCACTGTTGGTCATGATTGGTTGTGGAAGACTAGAGAAAAATAAATTGTTCTTCGATGATTCCAACGATTGACTTTGTGAACTTACTTGAAGTCAACCTTTTCTTGAGATTTTTTACTCCATGTACCGTAGAGTGCATCGAGTTTTTTGAAGGCTGATTCAGTCCAGATGACAAATCGACCAACATGACCACCTGGTGCCAAACGAAGTAAATTTAAGCGTTCAACCGACAATAATGAAACACCTAGAAAATATATTCGTCAATTTCTTCAAAGTTCTGTTTTGTGTTTGTTCATCGTACCTGGAATATTGCGAAAAGCTTTCTTTATGCCATTGTCCTTATCGTAGATGACAACTGGACCACGTTTCATAACTGTGCGTCGATTACGCATTTTACCAACACCGGCACGTGTATGTTTTGATGCGTAAACTTTGAGGATATCATTCCATGCACCAACTTTACGTAAAACAGCAACAGCTTCTTTAGTTTTTTTAATATCTTGAACTTTATCCGATAGAACCAATGGAATTTCTGGTACTGTTTCAATACTATGACCTAATTAGACCGAATTTAATTTAAATAATCAATTGCCCAACAATGTTCACACTCACCTCGAGCTAAAACAAGCGATGGTACACCTGATGCTGCAAGAGCACTGACAAGTGCATATCGTCGTTGTTTCAAGTTAATTTTTCTATGCCATTTACGCCAAACTTTCAATGGTGCGTACATTCGTCCACCACGACACATGTTGCCAAAAGCACCTTGACCTGATCGATGTGTACCACCACCGCGTACACGTGGAATACGAGCAACAGCACGACCAGTGCCCCACGATTCTGCTGATGTTTGTTCACCTAATCAAAGAAATGTAAATAACCATGTGAAGTGACCATTGAAGTGTGGATAGGTGAATCGTACCAGCTTTTGTGCTAACAGCATGTGCTTGTCGTTTGTTACGTCTCATTTGATCATGAACAAAGTTGACAATGTCAGTACGAATAGGTGCACGAAAAACAGCTGGTAAAACAACTGATTTTTGTGTTGATTGTCCCTTTTCATCGTACACGCTCACAAGAGGTCGCGAAGCGGCCTAAATAGACATAAGAAGAGTGTTGACACGTTGAGCAATTGATTAGAAAAGTAAATTAGACAAACCATTTCAGCGAGTCTTAGTTGATTTTAAGTTAAATTCAAAAGCAAATGGATATGGACGCTTACTATTGACCCCCACCAAAAACTATGGATTTTTTTGGGTAAACTTTGGATTCAGCGAATATCGATATTTTCACACAATTCTATGTTAGAATTAATCGTCTAATCTTATAATTTATTATTTCATTCGAGTTCATTTAAAGATCACAGAAGTGCATTAATAGGTCAACTAACTCGAAATTATACGCTAACGATGAATCATCGATGTAGCCAATCAGAAACTTGCGTATGCTTGCTATAATATCCGAGTATTCCTATACTATTCAATTATCTATAGAATATTTTCATACTCTATTGGAATGCATCCTGTACGCGGAGTAGTTCAACCGTATGCATGGGGAATGATTGGTGCATCTTCACTAGTCGCTCAACTCGCTTCGAAATTCGCTTCGGTTAATTCGACACAACCGTATGCTGAATACTGGATGGGGACTCATCCGAAAGGCGAATCATATCTGCTCGATGACAACCAGACAAGTGTCAAAGCTTACCTTCAGCGTGATTTACCATTTCTATTCAAAGTTCTGAGTGTCGAAACAGCTCTGAGCATTCAAGCACATCCGAATAAGGAACATGCAAAAATTTTACATAGACAGAACCCGAAAGAATATCCCGATGATAACCATAAACCTGAAATGGCGATCGCCTTGACAAAGTTCGAATGTTTGTGTGCTTTTCGTCCTTACGAAGAGATCAAACAATTCATCGAAAAATATGAACAGTTGCAAATCTTATGTGGCAAAAAGAATTGCGAAGAATTCTCTCAAAGTGTTTCTTCGCAAGCTGAACTTTCAATTCAAGAATCTTTGCTAAAGAAAATTTACGCCAATCTGATGCAATCATCGCCAACAATCATTTCACAGTGTGTCGATGCTCATCTACAAGTCGTTGAATCCGAGACAACGAATGATCTTTCGCGTTTGTTCGCACGTTTAAACAAACAGTATCCCGGTGGTGATGTCGGTCTTTTTTCGATTTACTTTTTCAATTACATTACTTTGAATGCTGGTGAAGCGATTCTTCTCAAAGCAAATATTCCTCATGCTTATTTACATGGACAATGTATTGAATGCATGGCATGTTCGGATAACGTTGTACGCGCTGGTTTAACGCCGAAATTCAAAGATATTCCAACGTTGATTGACATGCTCGACTATCAACCATTAACAATTCAACAGACGAAATTTCCTGGACAGAAAATTTCTGAGAATATTACGGAGTTCGATCCGAGACAGATCTCATCTATCGATGATTTCATCGTTCAAGAAATTCGAGGTAAAACTGGCTGCATCAATGCAATTGATCAACCAAGTTTAATGATCATCGTTCACGGACAAGGAGTGATGAATGATGATAAGGTGCAATTCAACGAAGCCAGCGTTTTTCTCATTGAGAAACAAACCGCTGTTGATTTCAAATCAGACAGTAATATTTTAGCTTATCGTGCTTATTCAGTTTTATAATAAAATTGCAATAGATTTTATCCGCATATGATAGTATAGATATTCGTCATTTTAGATGTCTTTAACATTGTTATTGATCTGTCGACAATCAATACGATTAGGAAACTTTTCGCAACTACGAACTTCATTGGTAACGAACTCAGTTGTGTTTTGGAAGATGTTTTTCGTGATAATCTATTCCTAGAATCTTTCATTTAGCTTCGTCCAGTTTACTCTCCTTCAAATCTATGCGTTGCACAGTTGTCGACATTAAAATCTCGATATGGTTCGATAAATCCTTCTCAAACGCAAAACCCATTTCAAAAACCTTCAGATGAAAGAACTCGCCGGCGTTATTTACAAGAACATATACGTTTCCGTGAACAATTTCAACTAGAAAACGATTATGAATTGATCTTCGCTCTACCTCGGCAGCGAATGTACGGTTTACTACATTTATTATGTACATGCGCAAGCATAAGCATGTTTGTATTTGTTCTCGTACATGTGAATCGTGATCTAATCGACTTGGACGCACCAAACGTGGGAGCTCATGAAAATATCCCACCGATAGTTCTTTATTCAGTGGCAACAATTATCGGCGCATGTTTTGGATTGAGTAAAAACGAATATTTTCCTTTGTTTTCATTGAATTTCTTCTGTTTAGTCTTGGTGCTTATTTCTCGAACACCTACTCGATTGTATTACTCATCTGTTCGCAAATCGTACGCTTTAATCTATTATCCAGTCATTGGTGTATTTCGTCAAAAGAAAATCCTATTCAACATGCAACAATATCAAATAATTCCACAGCAATTGGATAGCATTAATGGACCGCAACGGGCCGCGAAGATTCGCATTCAATTTGGCACAGGTTTATTGAAAACGAGACAACATTTCTATTTCATTGAACATTATTTTCGTTCAAAACGAGATGTGAATCGATTGAGATGCAAAGATATCGAACAAGATTCAACAACGGATGAGAATGATAAATACAAAGACGAAGAAGATAGCCATATTTGGCAAACAGTTGTTGAGAAAAAAGATCAGCCGTATCAAGAACGACCTCGTCAACAAAGAACATGATTTTTATAGCACAAGAAACAACATTCTTGTTTTGTATTTAATAAAATTTAGCTGAATATCTTATCGAAAAGTGATTTTTATTTGGATAAATACAAAATTCAAGTTATAAAAAAAGTGATTTTTCCTTTCGAGATTAGAATTAATTCTGAGGACGATCGGTCATACTAGCTGTGACGACGCTATCCGAAGGCGCAGTTTCATTTTGAGATGATGTCACACCACCAGCTGGGGGTGGTCGGGATGGCGCTTGTTCAATAGCTGCTTCGACCAGTTCACTTGTTTTACTAGGTTGACTGATTTTGTGTTGTTCCATGGCAGATGAAGACATGATTGTTTGCGAGAAAGAAAATAGTGTGTTTGAGTAAAAAAATGAGAATTGTTTGTTCTTTTTATAGTCTGACAAGAAAAGAAAGCAATCGAACTTTCTTTTTCTTTCTTTCTTCTCGATTTTAACGATGAATAACCTTCATTTAGTTTCTTTTTTATCAAGTAAAACATGAATTCCAAATACAATCGTTGATATTTTCTTATTTCCCCAGCTCGACTGTAGTGCATGAAAGAAATAATTGTCCTTCGGGTAGATTTGCAGTCTAATCCATATTCACACTTGTTTTAATTCTTGTCGTACTTATTATGCAACTCAAATATCAGTTGTCTATGAGTGAATTCAAATAGATATTGCATCATTTGCAAAGATCATTTTGATTAGTGAAACGAATGTTTCAGACAACTTTTTCTTTGATTCTTACGTTCTTAGTAATTAGCAATGCGACGATTCACGAGAACGATTCGGTCAATCGCTCGATGACGAATCGTTTAGGGGTGTTTGAACAGTTGACAAACTATACGTTGGGTGTACTCGACGATATATTACCCGGAGGATCATCAGTAAAAGAGAATATCGGCAATGTTGTTTTTAATATCCATCATTTTACTCAATTTGTTTTCGATGGTCATCATATTTATGTGTATAGTCCGAAGAAGAATGAAGAGAATGTTCATGAACCTCGCAAATGGACGTTTTTTTACGTGCCTATTCTACAGCCTGTTCAATCGTCGTTATTGTCACCTTGGGTATCGATTAATAAACTGGAAATACGTATTCGATTAGCTTTGGGCACGTCTCAAGTTCAAGAAGCTGCACGCCAAGCTATAATCAATCAATTTGATGATGAAACTGCAACGAAGTACTCACGATCATGGGTGATCGCTCCATTAATGTTAGATTCACTTTCTGCTTATGTCGTCGCAGCAGGTTCACTACCCGTTCCAGGTGTTGTTCCATTTCGGATCGATAATCCAAATTCCGATATAGTTACATTACGTTTTGTTACTTTGACAAAGGAAGCTGCTCTGTTCGTTGCAGTTGGTCTACTCGTTGGAGATTTGGATATCGAAGTGTCGCTGCACTTTTCCGGCATGCATCGCGTTCGCACAAATATGATGACTATCACTGGTACACAACTTCAGTCTATTTTAAGCAAGACAATCGCTGATGGCGGTGGAACTAATTCGACGTACATCCACCGAGAACAAGCATCGAGTTTTATCGCAAAATATCTGACGAATGTGAAAAAACTGATTTACATCGAAGATTCGAATGCAAATACATCGATTATAACACATGGCCTCCAAGAACAACTCGGAACACTCTTTCAAGAAAGTATGACCAATGCCAAAGAAGTTCACATTAAAGCAAATGCTTTCGGTCAAGTATGGCAAGCGTATGACCTCGATCCCGATCGGATAACCAGGGAAATAGGTCAAATTTTTACGTTTAATAAAAGTGAGACAGAGAAACGAAATAGTAGCGAAAATTATTTCTCCGTCAATCCATTGAGAGATTGTTCTCTACCAGTTCGCACGCCATTATATACACGAATTCGAACGGTATTTATTTCCTGTCCGGACAATTCCAATCAAAATGAGCAGAGCTCGAAAAATAGAGAATACGGAAACACTACTCATGATGTAGTTTCGGCAACGGATATTAAAAATGCAGCTGCACTAGCAGCGATCGATGGTAGTTGGCAAGGTGTGAAATTCATTCCAAAATCGTTTCGCGTCTTCAGATTAATCGACGTCGTCGATCGACTACAAGTTGCCGTCATTGCTAAACAACTTCTAGCTGAAAAAGCCACCGGAGCTGTCATTCGAAGAGTCAGCGCTTCGGCATCATTATCCAATGCACTAAATATCTTTTCCTCATTGAACAATGAAACTCTCTATGCAGCATTGGAAAACATTACGATTCTAGCATCATTGAATTTAACAAGCGATTCATCAGCAACTGAAAGCCAAACTTCAAATACTTCAATACCGAATGAAAACTTCCTCACTGGTGAAATCAAATTGTATGCTGGTTCGTCTCCTCCTTCACCATCGTGGCTTTTATGTAACGGATCAATTGTTTCTCGCAGTGCATATCCTCGATTATTTTCAGTTATCGGAACACGATACGGTCAAGGAACTAATTCGGAAACTTTTCGTTTACCTGATTTACGTGGTCGCGTACCAATCGGTGTCGATCCCGAACAGACTCGTCTCATCAATGCTACAGATCTTGGAAACGAAGGTGGCCGATCTAGTCATACATTAACTATAGATCAATTACCAACACATCAGCATAATTCTGGCTCATTCGAAACATCATCGGCCGGATATCATAATCATCATGTTCACGATCCTGGTCACAATCATGGTGGTTTTACGAGCACATATGCTGTTTCATCGTCGTCAAGGACAAATTACGGCGAACATTATTATCAAACGAATGGTTATCGACAATGGCAATCATTCACTATTCCATCGGCAGTTACACAAATATCCTTAAAGTCGAGTGGTAACCATACACATGAAATAACAGGTCAAACAGGCTCAATCGGACAAAACCAATCATTTTCAATTCTGCCTCCATTTCAAATATTCAATTATATTATCTACTCAGACTGATTTTCGCTTTATTTATCACTAATATAATATTTGTTTTTAATTATTAAAACCCCAGAAAGCACTTGGGAGATTCTGTACATCTCGCGCTCGTTTAACAATCGATGTAAACGACGAAACACAATTTCCAATAAAATAATTAGCATGGGCTAACATAGCTACATCAATAATAGGCAAATGTGGATCTAAATGCTTGACATGAACACGTTGTGCGGAAAGATGCTCTTCGATTTCTCTGATCATCGGTCGTCGGTCCGTAGCGACATAGATATGATGAATTCGTGTGCGAAGAATGACATTCTTTAGAAGACGAAGAATTTCGCCATCGGATGGATAGCATAGTTTTTTTGTTACGTAATCAGTTGGCGAAGGAGACAGATCTAAACATTGCGGTGCAGCCATATACGAACGAGACCGATAAGATTCGACATTGTCACAGGCTTTTTGCCAGTCAAGGTCATTTCGAAGATGAATTCCTACGGTAGTAGCAATATTTGACAAGAATCTCGACTTTTCTTCTCATTCTCACCTATATAAGATTGATTGTTGAATAGAACTCCTTGATGGCGTCGAACTTCGTCGATAATCACGTCTGACCAATTCATGTATTTCTGTAAATAACGATGTTTAGCATCCATAGGAAAGGACGCTGGTGCTCCTTTTAATGCTATAACAGGATATCGATCTGGTGGAAATGTTTGTTTCCATTGATCTATGGAATATTCATCATAATTGAGCTGATATCCAACAGTATCAGCAAAGTCAACATTTAGTTCGTTCCAAAATGGTCCAAATGGATTGCCTTCTTTCATTTTACAATCTGATTTGGGTTGTTCCGGACGTAGCCAACAAAATCCAACGCGTAATTCAGGTGGCCACACTGTTGGGGCGAGTTCTCGCATGAAATCTTGACCATCGATCACACGATGATATGAACGAAGAGTGTCAATTTGAAACCATTCCGAATACGGAATGTTCTTATAAGTTCGCCACTAGCAAATCGAGAAAAATATTAGATTTAGTCCAAAAATTGATCATCTTTCACTTACAGGTGGAACGATCAATGTTCGATTGATTAGTTTAGCAAATGCCAATCCTCCGAGAAAATGTTCGACTTGATTGCCCAATCGACCCATGCATAAACAAAAGATAATATAGCCGTTCGGATCGATCTCATAGTTCAGCTTTTCTGCTTGTATTCTCACAAAAAATACGCAAAATAGACTTGAAACATACACAAAGATCTTCATTTGAGAATAAAAGGATCGCGTGAGTGCGTTTATATTCGAGACAAATCGAGGGGAAAATATGAAGGAAAGAAAGAAAATGGAAAAGTTCACTTCACCAACGCTTTTTTTGTCAAAACACACCTACGAGTTCAGCTTCTGTGAAGTGCAACAGGATGAAACGATTTGATAATTTATGACCTTTATTTGATAGTAAACCAGTCAATTCTTTCCCGACACGTTGAACAACATTGCCGATGGTGTTAGAATAAAACATGACGTTGTATTTAGTGACATCTTTAGTAAATGGAAATGAACTTCAAAAGGAATTCACATCCTGATCAATTCAAGGAAGCACTACAAGTGACGACAGAATGACTTTTGTCGCGAAATTCCGTTAGCCTATGTACGAATTGCGATGGAGATTGTTGTTAGTTACTAACACGAAAATTATGTGTAGATGGTGACAAAGAAAATATTTGCAAAATAGTGAAATCAGATCAATTTGTACAATCGTTTGAAGAATCGAGTTTTTGTTTCAGACGAACGATGTCTGACGGACATCGAACACCCGATTTAACTGGCGCACCGGGCTCGGCAATGCCATTGTCCGATGTGGAGCCGTCGAAAAAGCCATCGTCCATTCTACGAACAGCTTTCGACGATGCGGCTCTCCAATCGATGGAAGAAGAGTTTCAAGTAAAGGATCCTTCGTATTTTCCCAAGTAAACATGACAAAACTTGCTTTTCTAGGGCATTCTCAATGAGCTAGTTGGTGGAGATCGAAGTTTAGAGAAGCTTCGTACCGAATACGAAAAACTTCATAAAGCTTTACTGAAATCACACGATAGTGAAAAGCGTTTGATGCAGAAATGTCGTGAATTGAACTCAGAACTGATGACCAATTCTGCTAAAGTACAAGCAGCCATGAAACTGAGCGAAGAAGATAAGAATACAATCAGTTCGCTCCAGAAGGAAATCGACAAGGCTTGGAAAATGGTCGATGCTGCTCATGAAAAAGAACAACGTGCCAAAGAAACAATTCAAAGTTTAAGAATTGAAATAAATAACTTGAGTAACTTAGTGGAACAAGGTGCAGGTACGAAAGTAGATCCATTAATCTGAGTGCCAGATTAACTTGTACATTGTATAAACAATAATACAGTTTGCGTTTGAATATTTCATTTGTTCACCAAAATCGTAATCGATTAATCCTAACGCTTATCCATATGAAAGGAAAAAGTAAACAAACTTTCAAGGACATTGATCACTAACAGCTATAATTGAAAGCGGTAGTTGTGTTTATCAATCAATTGATAATTCTTTGTGTAGGAATGAGTGTTGGTCAAGAACAAGATGTGAACGATTTGATGAATGCTCGTACCGAACTCACGCAAGAACGAGATAAACTGTTGAATGACCTCACGGAGATCCGTCGCGAATTTGATATAAGCCTGATTAAACAGGGCGATTTAAAGAAAGAAATCCAGGTCTCCAATGATCAAATACTTGATCTGCAAGAGAAAATCAATCAATTAAAGAATGAAAATGCCAAAGAAGCAAAGAAACGAGTGCGATTATTTGTTGTTCGTTTTGGTTTTCATTGCTGATCTTTCTCTTTTCAAAATAGGAACAAACTGAATTGGAATTGAAAGCGAGTAAACAGAATTTAGATGTGAAGAATGCCGAAGCCAAATCCCAGTCGACCTTATTCGAAGCTCAACAGCAGGAACTGAAAAGAACTCAGCAACATCTTCGACAGTTCAAAGACGACAACGTTCGTCTAACGAAAGAAAATCNGAAAAGAACTCAGCAACATCTTCGACAGTTCAAAGACGAACACGTTCGTCTAACAAAAGAAAATCAAATCATTCAAGTTCATTTGGATAATCTCCGTATCCAATTCAACGAACTGATGTCAAAAAATGACAAGTTATCGTCTGACTTCGCTCGTCGGGCGCTTGACTTGAAGGAGAAAGACGACGAAATAAACTATCTTCGAAAAGACCGCGATAATGAACAGAAGAAGAAGGACTATGCCGAGAAACGTTTACGATTAGTCGAAGATCAATTAGCTGATTCGGAACAAAAACGCGAAACTCTTCGTGCGAATGTTTCGAATTTACAACAAGAAATTGATCGGTTCCAGAAGCACTGCGACGATTTGAAGGCTCAAGCCGATGGGTTAACACGTGAACGTGAGCAACTGAATAAAACATGTCAGAAGTTAATTGGCGACAATCAGAAACAATCAGATCAAATGCGAAGTGTCGATCAAAGCAAACGAACTCTAGAACAAGATATTTCCAATTACAAAGACGAAGCAGCCAAACGACGAAAGATCCTTGTACAATTGGAAAAAGAACGAGATCGGTAAGTAGTACAGATGTTATCTCATGCATGCGAATTGTCATTTGTTCGCTAAATTAGTTATATCAAAGAGGGAGGTGACTTAATGAAACAAGTGCTCGGTTTCATGGAAGAAGTGAAGAAGAAAGAACTGGATTTATTCGATCACAAAAAGAAAATTGCCGAGTTAGAAACACGATTAAAACAACAACAGGGTTTGTACAAAGCTGTTCAATTGGATCGAGCTGTGTATTCAAAGAATCTCATCGACTCTAAAGACGAAATCGGCGAGATGAAGCGAAAATTGAAAATTATGACTCACCAAATCGATCAATTGAAAGAAGAAATTCAAGGCAAAGAACAAGATCTAGTACGGGGACAAGTAGAGCATGATAAAGTGAAAAAGGAAAAAGACCAATTGGTAGCCAATGTTGAACAAATGAAGAAAGATGCTACGAAAAAGGAGGAGGACTACTCCAATCAACAAGCTGAATTCGAACGATTGAACAAACAATTATCTGAAGCAAATGATGAACGAAAAAAACAAATGAAACAGTTACAGCAGGTACGCGCATTTGCAAAGGATGATGAAAGTTTTGGAACATTTTCTCATATTTTAGGTTATTGCCGAACGCGATGTTCTCGGTACTCAACTTGTTCGACGAAATGACGAACTGGCACTTCTGTACGAGAAAATGAAAATTCAGCAGTCGACATTGAACAAAGGCGAACTTCAATACAAAGGTCGTTTGGAGGACATCCGTATATTGAAATTGGAATTGAAGAAACTCCGACATGAGAAAGGGTCGTTGCAAGATAAAGTTTTCAATACGAATGATCTCAAACGTGAACTCTTCCATATTCAACGGGAATTAATTCGCGAACGTACGCGTTGCCGAGCAATGGAAGAAGAAATGGAGAATCCAATGAATGTTCATCGATGGAGAAAACTTGAAGCCAGTGACCCATCGGCGTTTGAATTAATACAAAAAATCCAACTACTTCAAAAACGACTAATACAAAAAACCGAAGAAGTCGTTCAGAAAGAACTGCTAATCCAAGAAAAAGAGAAACTATATGCTGAACTTAAACGAATCTTAGGTATGTACAGCAGTGTGCAGATTTCCAAAAAAAGAAATTTCCGAAAATTCTATATCGTATAATCCATTATGAACGATAGATATGAGAGAAAGGTAGGGTCGAGAAGAGAAAGTAAATCAAGAAATTTCGAGGTAATTTCAGTAATTTGAGGGGTGAGGGTGAGGGTGAGAGTGGGGGCGAAGGTGAGTGACAAGCCCCTCAATCCAGACTCTGACCCTCATCTCTCAAGTTATCGAAATTACCGAAAATATATCGAAATTTCTTGATTTTCCCTCGTCTCATCACCCTACGCTGCGCTCTTGTCTTTTATCCATGATGAATTATATGTTATGGAATTTTCGGAAATTTCTTTTTTTGGAAATCTGAACATACCTCGGTATGTATGATTGCTTTGCTATCTAATGTGTAGAAATCGATGATTTCAGCTCGTCAGCCCGGTCCTGAATGTGCCGAACAATTGTCTATCTATCAGGAAACGTTAAAAGCTAAAACAAAACAATTAAAATCACTGGCAGGCGAAGTCAATATGTATGAAAGTCAAATCGACGGTTATAAATATGAAATTGATAAACTCAGTCGGCAGTTGACCGAAGTGCGACAGAAATATTTTCTTCTCAAGAAAAAACAAACCATGATCAAAGAGAAAGAACGTTTATCGGAAATGCAACAAATAACAACAACGATCAATGGCATTACACTACAACAACCACCTCCGGATCTCATTCAACCGCATCGATCAAAGTAAATTCACTTTTGTGTTCGAGAAGCGTTGAACGACATATCCAAATGTTTTATTTTCAGTGAACAACCACGATTTACTGGTGGTGGATTCAATTTGAAATCGATTCCAAAGCCTCCGAGCGATAATGCTTAGATTTTTTTGTATGTTTTATGACAAAAAACTGAATAGACAAAGTATTTTCAATATTTATACATATAAATACACTGTGTGAAAACGTCATTTCTAGTTATGTTCATATGTTGATGTCACACATGACCGACTTTATTGAATATCAATTGTGTTCATCAAATATGAAAGAAAAACCGGTTTGTTCTATGTACAGATATGTAAAAAATGAAGTATTTCGAGTTTATCCGTTTGAAGGGTAGATAACCTTTTCATAAATAGTACTAAAAGATGTGGTACTTCCGCGTCTATGTCTATATCTATTACTATTCGATCTATGCCAGCACATACGATAGGTAGCATATTGTATCGTAATTATTACGAGTTACATTGTCAGAACCCTGAACGAAACTCCATGAATAGTTATTTGAGTAGTACCAATAAACTCCATTCACGATATTTCAACAGTTAGTAATAGCAGAATAGTTGTACAGTACATCTGCGCGATTACCAACTGCCGCTACGTCAAGGATTGCATTTCCAGATTGTCGACACGCGATTAATAGCATATTCTTGCTCCAATTGGGAAACAGTATTGTAGCAAGATTCGATGAGCGCAGGCTTGCTTGGTATGTTGCTATATAGCACCGAGATCAGCTACTCGATAATGACGAAAGATTAAAATTGTATTGCACGCCGTAGAATGGGAGTGAAGTATTGGTACCTGAGCCTCCTACAAACGACGTTTAGTAAGATCTCTCGAATTCCACATCTACCTTGTGTGTTTACCAGTGTTCAGATTTAGTGTAACTGCAACGGCTACCACGAATGTAGCGATTATCAGGCAGACCTTTCGTCACTCACTCCACGATAAACGAAAGGTTGATTTAGAACACGACCAATGATTTGAGCGTTTTTTCCATTTGTTTTGAAAATAGTAGCACCTAGATTTCAAAATGAATTCGTGAATGTGCTCACTAGGCTGCTATTTATATACTGGTAGAAGAGACATAAGAAGTGATGAGACAAAAAACAAATCTTCAGATTGCTACTTAGTGTGATGTAATATGGGATTATCCACACACACACATGACGTCATTGGGTATTTTCCTTGCGCGGTGTTGGACTTTTTCTTTACACACGTATATATACATATATCTATTCATGTTTTCTATATATGTGTGTCAGATAGTTCTCTTTTCTAATTATATATTCTGAATATATAATTCCTTGACCTTCGCACAGCAAGACGTGACACTTAGCCCCGAAGATAGAGTGCCTGTAGTTTATTTTTGCTACTTCCCGAACATGGAATTTTAATTCATATGTTCGTCCATGTATCATCAATACATTCCAAAGGAATGTTGGATTTGTATGCAAAGTTTGCCGTTTTCGATTATGAATCCCTCTTTTACACTTCAGAGTTTTGTCGAGAACGAAAAGACTGCCTTAACTCTTCCATGGAGATACAAAATTAAACCAGTTCAATGCAGATTGAACCATCAAAATATTCTGACGATGAGCATCGAATAATCCCATTTGTACTAATGTGTGACTATTCTTCTACTCGAGCCTGATTGCTACGAAAATGCAGAGGAAGACAATGCCAGTGAAACTATTGTGTTAGAGTAAAAATGTCATGCATAAAACTAGAATATTTGTGGAGGACAAGACTTCGCGCGATTTTTTACTAGTTTTCGATTTACTCGTTTATGATCCAATACGAGTAATACAACAATGTATTGCATTCATTTATTCATTCATTTTGCCGCGGTAGAAGAAAGAAAGAAAGAACAGAACAGAACAAATTCGATGACTCTTCGTCGATGGAGGAAAATCGAGCCAGAGGACGCACTTTGCTTGTGATTGGTTAGATTCTCACGATGAATCAAAAGTTGAATTTAAATGGTTTTTTCCAACATAATGTCATAGATTGCTCATGGTTATCATGGGGAAGTTATTGAGTAAGCATTGTATTACTAAACAGTTTAATGGAAGTAAACCATGACTAGTTATTATCGCATTCATTTTCTTAGTCATCTGTATTTTATTTTTCAACATAGAAGAATATATAGTTGATAGAACTCACACTTTATTCTCCATTTGAAATAGCGAGTTTTTTGAGGAAGTTAAAATCAGTTCGATACAATCAAAACGCATTCTAATTTTTGTTTTAGATATTTAAACACGTGCTCTAAGTAAGAGAATGGAGGCGTCAACCTGCAAAAACAGCTTATTTCACGTGTCAAACAAATCACGTAGCGCACAAAGAAAGAGTGTTATGGATAGGATACAAATAATATACAAGAAAGTACAAAGACCGGGTGTATATCCATCTCAAACGATGGAGCGGGCTGGATTCAAATATAAAGGTGAAAATGGCGCAGTGGTATGTGATGATTGTCAGTTAGAAATATCTGGATGGACAGAAGAAATGAAACCGTTTGAAACTCATGCTGCGCGTAGTCCTGAGTGTCCATTCGTCCTTTCCCAGTTGAACAAATGTTCTTTGCAGTCAACCAATGAGGAAAATGCACGAAAGCGTCAGAAAACGGAATCGAATAGTGAACAGTGCGAGCAACGTTACAGACTACAAGAAGTTGACAAATTGCGAGAGGCACGCCGGGAGACATTCTCTCATTGGCCGAATCACTCGAAACTATTTGTTGAAAGATTGATTGCCGCGGGGTTTTTCGGATGCAACGTTGGTGATCGCGTCATGTGTTTATATTGTTTACTAATTTGTCATCAATGGAAGGAAGATGAGGACAGTCCTGAAGAAGTACATAAAATCATATCTCCTGAATGTCCTTATGTGATATCGATGCTAATACATCCACAGCCACTGTTGAACATAAGACCATTGAGTAACACTTTGACGACAATTCAGACTCGATTCGATCCAACCGTACATATATCTCCATGTCACCTATCGTATGGTGATCTTGAAAAACGTGTCGAATCATTCCATAGATGCTCGCACGAGATATCATCACATGCTGAAGCACTAGCGCAAGCTGGATTTTTTTATTCAGATTCGAACAACATCGTAGTATGTTTTAATTGCAACGGATCGTTAATTAACTTTAATGAGAAAGACGATCCACTTTCTGAACATGCGAGACGCTATCCGTTATGCAGCTATGCGCGAATCGCCTGCGGGGAAGATCGTTATCGCGAAATTCAACAGGAAAATGGGATGAATAATAGTGAGTAATCGGCGTGCTGTTGTTCTGATTTTCATTTTCATTTTTCGTAACTTAGCACGTAATGAAGCACAGCCACCTCTTGATGCTAGTCGTATATCACGTCTAGTTGCCGCACGGTTGGATTTACCATGGTCGCAATATTTACTCGATCAGAATTTTAAGTTATCCATCATACGACGATGCTGGGAGGATCAATTACAATTGAAACGTAAGGAAATTGTTTGTTTTTTCATGTAACTACCGTATGTCTAATATCAACATTATTTAGAAGATGATTTTCATGGGAACGTCAATTTATTTATTGCATGCACGATTCTTTTGAAACAAATTGATCGCATTCAAGGGAATAGAGACAATATTATCACTCCTACTGACCGATTACAATTAATTCGTGAGGGAAAACAACCACCACGATCATCCACATCGAATATTGTTCCTCCTAAAACTAACGAAACAACACCTGTAAAGTCTGAAAAAGCTCCAACAACGACATCGATTGAGCCAACAGTTGTTAAACCTGTAGTAGATAAATTGGAAAAACGATCTCCGGTAAAAAAATCCTTAGTAAACCCTTGTCTAATGTGCCATCAAGAAGAAAAACAACTCGCTTGTATTCCTTGTGGTCATCTGGTGACGTGCGTGGACTGCAGTCAAACTATTCGAACCTGTCCAACATGCCAGAAAGAGATTACCGCATATGTACGAATTTATATATAAATCTTACTTAGTAAAATTTTTTTATGATAATTTTGCAAAGCCAATGAATAAATCATCATCGTTTCGGCAGCTTGTTCCATAAATGCTAATTAGTCAAGAACTTGATTCAATAGTTTTCTGGGCAATGTCCAACGAAATGTACTACGCACTCCGCAGAATATATTCTCTCCATCTCCAAGAAACAACTCGTATTTTCCCCATTCCGAATCTTTACATCAAGCCTATACACGTGTTTTATACGAAGATACCAACGTTCTAAAACATGGATCTCTATGGCACCCAAGACTTCTCAAGAATGCACTTGAAATGATGTACCTTTTTAAAGTTTTCTTTGCATTGGAATGTCAATCGAATCTTTGCGTACATTTTAATAAACAGATCTCGATGCGATTTCTTGTTTTTTTTCCAATCACTCTATTCAGTTATTTACATAATGAAAAATACGAAGAAGCCGTTCAGAAAAGTAATATACAAAACTGCATTTCAAAGAAATCGTCATCATCATTTTCCTCCAAATTCATTTCAATCATGACAAAAGATACAACTTATCACGCAAGAAGCAAGCAACGACATCATCGTTCTCATTCTCGATCGAACCGACGTGGAGTAAGACCTTCTAATGAAGGAGACGAATTCTATGTTCAACGTAACTCGATGTAGGAACAAACACCGAGAATTATTCATGTGTCCATACGATCAGGGGCCAAGAAATCTTTCATCGATAAGAATACACGCGTGCTTCACAAAGATATGCAATCGACGGCAACTCATACAGAAAATCTGTCTAAAATAATCAATGACACTGAACTATCGAACAAATCGGCATATTCTACCAAATCATTCGGTCTTCACGCATGTCAACCGTCGACTTTTTTAAACGTAAATCCGTTTTAAATGAAAACATAACGACATACTTTCCTTAATACATTTCCATTGCAGTTAAATCAGTACAGTTCGAATAGAATATCACCCGAGATCGATGATCACTCGATGATACCAGAACAGAGTTCAAACCCGGTAAAATCGAAAGTAAGCTCTGTTACGAGGCATGTATTTTACACAGCAACCTAAAATATTGATCTGTTTATGAATCATTCCATAAAGAAAACATTGCTAGAATACGGAATAGATATTTACACGCTGATAATTTAGATATTTCATTTGAACTCAAGTCGTATTGGTACTACGAAAGATTATCATTGCAATATGACGCAAAAGAAAAAAACGAAGTACTACACACATTTCCGCGGAAATTACCATCGTTTTCATACAAATACAAATGTTTCAGATACAAGAATCTTCGCATAGGTCTCCTGATACTGCTTGGTTTAATTCTGTTGTTGTCACTGATAATCATTCCCTCAGTTCTTCTCACACGAACAAAACCAAAGACAACGTTTAAGGGTGAAATATGCACACATCTTTCTTAGCTTGTCCTATAATGAACGTTTTCAGAGGCGGTGTTGCGTTGGAATCCCAGTGGTACAACTGTTGCAGGAATAACAGGTACAACAGGTATAACCAATAGAACTTTAAACATGCCATATGCGCTGGCAATTGATTATCTTAATACCTTGTATATTACTGAGTATGTCTGCCACCGAGTTCAACGTTGGTTTCGTGATGCATCTTCAGGAACTACTGTCGCTGGAAACGCGAATTGTATTGCAGGATCGAATCTGATCGAGTTACGCAATCCTGCCACCATTCTTCTAGATTCTGATAATAATATGTACATAGCTGACTCCGGTAATGCCCGAGTGTTGTTTTGGCCAAACGGTTCTTCGTCAGGAATTGTAATTGCTGGCACTGGTAATACTGATAAATGACTTTTCTTCCAACCCTAAAGTTGTAATTGATAGGATTTTTGAGTAATGGAAGTAATCAACCATGTACAGCATTCGGTATTTCACGAGATACCGAATCCGACACATTATATGTAGCAGATTACGGTAACAGTTGTATCATGCGTTACCTGGCGAATGCTACTTCAGCAACCGTCGTTGCTGGTGGAAATGGCGCTGGATTGGGCTCTTCGCAATTATATACTCCTACGAGTGTTAATTTCGAAGCGTCATCGAACAGTCTTGTAATTACTAATTATCCCGCTAATAATATTGTGCGATGGAAGATTGGTGACAACGGTTGGACGTTGATTGCTGGTAGTACAAGTGGCCTATATGGTTCCACATCATCACTACTCTACTCTCCTTTGAGCACGGCAATAGATCCTATGGGAAATGTCTATGTTGCTGATACACTAAATCATCGCATTCAGTTCTTCTTGTTGAATGAAACTAGTGGTACAACAATCGCCGGTGTTGCTACCATACCGGGTGTCGACGCTACGCATCTAAGCAGTCCATATGGTTTAGCGTTGGATAATCAACTTAATTTATACGTAACCGACACCTTAAACCATCGGGTTCAAAAATTTCTTCGATATTGAGACCAATTCTATATCAATCGTTGTTTTTCTTCACAAGTGACTAAAGCAAAAAGCGTTTTCTTGATTAGCTAGCTATCTGATTTTGTTATCTAAATAAAATATACGTAGCCGAACACTTTTTCTTTTATCAGCGAAGACTTTGTCATTCTCTTCAACATTATCTTTTCTTTCTCATTTCACATTTTCATCAATATACATTCGTCGTTTGAGGTCAATTTCTCAAGTCATTGTCATGGATGATACCGATTTGGGTGAAACAACGCTATTGATATCGAGCATAGGACTGTCTCCACCCGTCCAGGATAATCGTTCACGTCGTCAAAGACAGTTAGCCATTTATCTCATCTTAGCGAGCACTTTGTTCGAACGTTTAGCATTTTACTCATTAGCACTCAATCTTGTAGTAACACTGAAATCAGCTGAATCCAACTGGGATCCTGAGAACAGTACTACTGCTTCATTTATATTTTTTGGTAAATGCTCGTCTCATTCGTATAACAGGCATCTCCGATTCTTCGTTTAGGTGTGAGTTATCTATCAACGCTGATTTTCGCTGCCGTGAGTGATGCGAGATTAGGCAGAGAAAGAACAATTGTTGTTGGTAAACAAGAATCGAAACTAAAATTGAGTTCGTCGAGAACGTTTGATCGTTTTAGGTTTTATTCTTTATATAATTGGTTATATTTTTATCAATTTAATTGCAAATGTCAATACACACGATTCGATATGTAAAGGTCCATCTCCCACGCATGTTGGCATATTCACTGAACACTGTGGACCTCAAATCGTTGGTACACTTATTTTTATGTTAGTTTCTATTTGAAATATCATCAAATAGTGTAAGTGTATTTTCTTTGTGATTGAAGGGCAATTGGTGTAGGTGCTGTGCAAGCTAATATGGCTGTATTCGGAGCGGAACAAACGCAAGAATCGAAAATCACATCGCGATATTTCGATAAATATTACATCGCTGTTAACATCGGTGCAATTGCTGCGACATTGTCAGTTCCTTTAGTCCAGACAGATACTGAAAATATGACAGCGTCGAATAGTTATTTTTTTGGGTACCTCATTGCTATGTTTATGCTTTTAATATCAGCTGGACTGTTTATTTTCGGTCGTCGATATTATCTTCATGTGCCTCCTTATGATTCAGTGATTATGAAATGTATTCCGGTAGTTCTAAATGCTTTTCAAAACTGGCTGAAACATGAAAATGCTCGCGAGAGAAGTGCAAGTAGTTCTCGCCGAAGAGATTCTGGACAAGGACGGAATTCGATCAGTGAAGATGAAACATTGGCGGCGAATAGTCAGTCGCTGTCATTTCTTGACTATGCCAAAGCTGCTAATCGTGGTAAATTTACTGATCGGATTGTCAATGATGTTAAGTCACTTCGACGAGCTTTTATTGTTTTTATTCTTCTCATTCCGTACTGGATTATTTATTACCAAGTAGAATTGAGTTCTTTCATGTTTCATTGTTCATCGAGTTTCTTTCTTTAGATTCAAATTACTTTTCCTTTACAAGGTCAGCACATGTCTATTCCAATCTTACGTCAGACAGATCCTATGCCAATCAGTTGGATGTCACTTGGCGACTCGGTCGCAATTATCGGTAAATAAACTAGATTAACTTTCGAGTTTTTTTCTTGCATAGATCAGTTGTTTCTAGTTGGCCTGATGATTTTCAATCTGTTCGTTTACAAACGTTTGAGTAATCCATCTCGGACATTGTCCATCCGACGAAAGCTTGTTATCGGTATGATCTTAGCTTCACTGAGTATGTGCATCGCTGGTATTGTTGAGATTTTTCGACAAAATCAATGTATATCAGGTAATACATTTTCATTTCGATGTCAAAATTCTTCAGCGTTTCTTCTCTGAAGACAAAGATGATTCGAGTTTAAGTATTTTTGCTCAATTACCTCAGAATATCTGCATGGGTCTTGCTGAAATATTCGCAACAGTTGCAAGTCTCGAATATGCCTATTTAGCTGCTCCGCGTTCAGCTCAAGCACTTCTCATGAGTTTACAGTTTTGTTCGTTGGGCATCTCATCGGTTATTGGTAAAGCCTATCTTTCACTGTATTCAACAACAACCGGTATCTTTGACTTCAGTGTAAGTGAAACGAACTGAACAAGTCAATGTGACTGATCTATTCGATTTTTAGTGTCAACATCTGAATCAATGGACATTTACATTATATTTTTTCGTGTTAGCTGCACTGCAAATACCTCTTCTGATAATAATTGTTATCTGTGATAGAAAATTTCAAATCTTGAAACTAAATCCTCAACAGATTGACAACGAGCAATTTCAGAGCCGTTAATATTTACTTTGTGCTCGAAAATAATAAAACATCGTATCATTGACTTCACTACTCTAACTAAACTCAAACTATGACTTCATTCATATTCGTTTTGATTTCAACCAATCTTATTCGTTTCTTCAGTTAATAGAGGATTGTACTATACACACATTTTCTTTTCCATGGATGAGTTAATACGATTGATAATGAGTATTCTTTTTCGCGAATGGCGAAGAAATATGCGTCGTCATCCTCCGACGAAGATTCTTCCATACGCGAACAAACCGTAAGCGCATAAGAATTCAGCATACGATGACATCTCGATCTTTCTTTCTAGTTGAAAATATGTCCGTTGTATAACCAGAATCCTGCATCATGTCAGTCATCATTGTGCGAATGCTTTCACTTGTGCGGCAAGTATATCCTCGAGAATAAGTGTTCACAATTCGAAATCAACGGCAAATGTTCGCATTCGCATTCATTTTTTACTCTTCACAATGCGAAAATTCTCAAACGACAGTACAACTTATCGTTGAATGATGAAAATATCGGCAAGAAACTTTCAAATTTGATTGAATATTCTTCAAGGTTAATGCGCAAACCTTCACCACCTGTCAATGCATATAACCTAATCGATTTGACACCCGAGCAGGTATCATCGTGCCTCTTTTTCGCTCGAAATGATCGTTGATATTTCTTCGAATTAGACAAAAACTTCGCCGCTCAATACAATACACTCGCGGTATCCAACACGCACTTCACATGAGAGTGATTCTTCCAGCTCAGCACGCAGCAGCAAAGAAAAGCCAACAGATATTCCAGCGCAAGACAAGTGTAAGATGCCCACGCAAAGTATCACTTTTGATACGGAAGACGATGAACTGTCGATATCATCTTCACATAAACGTATACAATCGAAAAAATCGAGTTCGACCAAAATGAAAAATACTGATTCGTCATCATCGGAGACATGTACGTATCAATAGAAAATATTCAAGTATACATTTTCGGTCATTCAGCCCATGGAAAAGACGCAACCACAGTAACAACAGATTCTTCAAAGACAAATCATTCCGCACAGTCTGTGCTCAATGCTGTACCTCGATTGAGAGACGAACATAGTTCGTCACCAGACTCCGACGGTTCTTCGATGAGCTCAACAAATATGAAGTACATCTTTGATGCATATACGAACGATATTATAGTGAGGAGTCTTATTTCGATAATAAGAGCATGGAACCATCAGAGTGCACATATTCTAGCTATTATTTCTTCATGGTCCTGTAAGACAACGTTTGATAAAAGAGAAACATTATCCTATTTCACCGTCTGGCTATTGTCAAGCATTAACCGAGAGTGAAGGAAGGGTGCTGAAGAAACTGATTCATGATTTTTTACCATACCGTGTGAAAAGTGATCCAGTTCGGTTTGATAACAAGATTCTCTCGTTGGTTAGTTCGACCTGCACTGCGGAGAAAGTTTTCGAAGATAGTAATTATCACGAAATTTTCATCAGATAGAGAGAGAGCAAAACAAGCGTTTATTATAGATTCGAATCAAACCGATTATGCCATTACAACTGATCCATGTACAGTTACTTGTAAGTCAATGCAAAAACGTGTTTCATGATATATTCTTCGATTGTAGTTGACGTGGAAGTTATATATCCGCCGAGAAGCGATAGCGAACGTTCAGAATCGGTTTGTATCGATATATTAGAGTTGTCATTGAGCTGCTCTATGATCTTTTGCATTCTTAGACATCACCAACCGATCTGACAAGTGTATCCGACAAATCACAATCAGTATGTTTCGTTTTCCTAATTTCGAACTTCTTCAAGCTCATATATATAGTCCTTATCCGATGCTCAATGTCATATATCCTCTACAAATTCGTCGATTGATCTTGTCTATGGAGATATCTCTCAGATTGAAGTAAGATTCGTTTCGATAAGATCTCGTCCGTAAATTCATGATTAAGGTTGATGTGATGATATGTGTAATGACGTCTATCACCTTACTAAAAAGTGTACTCATGAGAGCTGGCCCAACAGTTAGAGCAGAATATGAAAAGCGATACCGAACGGAGTCGTTTTTCTTTCTCGATGGTGGATCTACTCTAGCAAAGAAGATTTTGTTTGTTCCGTGGAAATCAGATGTTCAACTTTCAGATATTAGTCAAATTCAACAAGTAAATTATGCGAATTTTCTATTACACATACAGTTCATCTTTTGACTTTCTCAGTCTCTAGCTGAATTAGTGCAAAAGTGTATCAGAACGGCACATCAGCAGCAAGCAAAGTCAATAGCCTTTCCATCGGTGTGTATCTTTGTTTGAAAAACCATGTTTTCCGAACGATCTCTTCTGTTCAAAAGATTGGAACTGGACTCCTTGGCGTGAATATTCAATATGTCTGCGAAGCAATGATCGATTCAGCCAATGAAACTTTACAACATCTAACAATGAATGTCCTATTTGTAATCTATCCATCAAAAGTCGATAAAAAATCCGATTCAGCATATCAAGTAACTAGAATTGTCCTCACCATTTCAATCGAACAGGAAACATATTCCTTTCACAGTCATTCCAAACATATTTGAATGCTCTAACTCAACAAAATGAAACGCAAGCAACTTATACGGCATGTCAAAATCCCACTTCTCCAGCCAAGCCAATTCCGATCGATCGACATCAATATATTTGTCACACTTGGACATGTAAGTTCAACTCTCTATCCGCATCGATAATATCCAACATATCTCTAGGTACGAATTTAGTAATCATATCGAATATGGATGATGTACATACATACGACGAACATCTGCTAAGGTCTTTGGAAAAATTGATAGTCACAAAGGAATATGACTTCTCTTTAATTCATAAACCTTTTCTGAAGTCAGACATTTTGATTGATACATGTTTCGATCATAACGTACTACCGACCATTGACTATTCGAAAGGAAAACTAATCCTTCAGGGGGATAGTGAATCGTGCTCGCAATGTTTCAGTAATCTTCGTGGACAACAACCTGTTTATAAGTACTATCTCCTATCGAAGAACAAATCGAAAAACGAAGAGATCCCATTGAATACTTACGTCACATTGAAGATTGATGAAGCCAAGGGTAATGGTGAATCGATGATTTCGATTCGAGACGATTTGCATACGATTTATGAAATTGACCTCGATAATTTGCAAGTTCTAATCAATCGAAGTAGTCAAACGCAAAGCCTCATACGAAAACAAATCGATGGTAAGTTGAGTTATGCAGATAACTTGGCTAAACAATCATCGAGCTTTAGACAATCATAAAATTCTTCCTCCAAGTATATGGCCTTCGCTGAATTTAATGATCCAAACAGTTAACTTATCCCCGGAATCGTTTCCCTCGTTGCCATGCGTTCGTACGTTTGAGTACACAATGGCTCAATCTAAATTATCTATCGAACGAGTAAACTCGTTGATTTTCGTGAATACTTTCCTCCAAAATTTTCTTTTCACAGATCGAAGCGATTCAAAATTGGCCATTGTACGTTCATTTCGTTCGAAAGAAGAGTAAGACAGATACGACCGTGTTCCACGCCTGTCCACTATCATCCGTCACATCAATCATTCACTATGGTTTTCATTCGGAATCAGGTTTTGTCAATCTTATTCTTCTCATTGACCAACTTCAATTTCTTCTCTTTAGGATCAATTGAATTTGCTCGGCAAGCGTTGAAAACTCATATACATAATGCATATCGCTCAACTAATGGACGATACTATATGTTCGTCGTGATCCTTTCGAAGAATGTCCGCGAGAAAGATTTGATCAGTTTATCAAACGATGATGCTCATTTAGCCTTACCAACACATCTGATCACTTATAAACAATAGACGAGGCGTGTATTTTTATTGTTAACTTTTATACAAATTTGTTTTTATACTACACAACAACTTTCGATGACGATGCAGATCTAAATCTAAACTTCTAAATCAAAATCTCTCTTGAATCTCGTCAGTCGGTGAAGCGTTTGTTTGACAGCATCCGAGAGATTACAATCGTATAAATAGATGGTTTTTAAACTCAAGTTATACTTGAATAATAATGCAAATGTATCTAAACTACCATCATCGATTCCTTTATTTGAATTGAGAAATAGCCATTGAAGAGTAAAGTTATCGTTGATAAGCACACTCGATAGTATTTGAAGACCTGAATTCGTTATTTGATTATTCGACAACCATAACCAGGTTAGAGTTCGATTTGATTTTAGCATATTTGCTAAGTAACCAATGCCGATGTCAGTGATGCCATTGTCGCCAAGATACAGATGTTGAAGAGTCGATGGTTTCGAAAGAACTTCTTTATTGTCGTGATCGGCATACGCACGTTTGTCTTCATTCAAAGCATTTGTTAATAATTCCACACCGACATCGCCGAGGTAATTTTGCGATAGATATAATTCAGTTAACGTTCGATTGCACCGTACTAGCTCGGCTAAATATTGCGCACCTTCAGAAGTTATTCCATTGGATTCTAATTTCAAGATTTTTAAATTCGAGCGTATAATTTGTGGAAGTAAAATCTGCATGCCTAGATCTCCTATTGAATTGTTTCGAAGATCCAGGAATTGTAAGATGTTATTGTTATGTAAACTTTTGCCTAGAGCCAATGCCCCTTGAGCAGTAATATGATTATTTGCTAAGCGAACACGTCTGTAACGCCTGTTCGCAATGGTTTTTTGAACGACAAATTTCATGTCGCGATCGTTGATGTTCTGTTCGCTTAAATTGATCCAATCATCATCGAATGCGTTGATTAATTCTCTCAGTGTAACTTGTCGAAAGGTAACACTCGCAGATGAAGGCTTTCGCATTGAGAATAATCGATTGGAACGGGATTTAGGTACACAATATCTAGAGAAAGAACTGTTATATAGGAATCATCAGGTTGGGGAAACTACTTTTGAAAAAGTGTTTGAGACTTCTTGTGGAATGTTTGCTAAAAGAATTAAATGAATATTCAAGTAGACAAATAGTTGGTGTCTTACAGTTTTAAGTAAAAATGATGATTGGATTTCTTGGACAGTAATCAGATTGATATCGTCTGCCTGCTGTATTCGCTCGACGACTTCAAATTTTGCTCCGGGTAGGATCAAAACCGATGAATCCGACGGAAAATACGTATGTTTGTGAATATTTTTAATCGATCGACAATTGACTGAGAATCTCGTTTTCGCTTCGGTCAAACTCATTTGTTCACTCGACACTGAACACAACGCAAAATCCCACCAAACGAATTTCTCGTTCAGTTCGTATTGTTGACCCAGATCGAAATTATTCTCACGGTAGACTGTCATTTGGCTGGACGGAAGTCGTGTCAGAGCTGTGAGAAATAGTTTTAAATATAACAACCACGGTTGCAGTTTCGCACAATTCTTCGAGCGTATTGTTCGATTTAAAACCATGTAAAGACATTGATCGTACGGTTGCCATCCCATTGTATACAGCATAATCGATGCTGATTCATTAGGAGTTAGACCATCCGATGGATTATCGCATTTAACCTTCGCTAAACGAACGTATGTTCGAATATTTGGTAAGAGTGGAATTAATGGTGTTACAGCTTGTTCGAGTGTAACGATTGGTATTTCGACAATGCCGCTGGGTGAGAGAAGATAATCAAAAAAGGTCTGATACGTTTGTGGTTTCGGTTTTCTATTAGATCCACCCATATTCAAGCTGATCCTAAGAAAAAAGAGTTAATTATAGAACGGAGGGAGGTCAATAATGACTTTGATTAGACACAATTGAGATAAATGAAATCTATCTGCGACTATATTTTCTCATCTAATTTTCCTCAAAATCGTTAATAAAATATGACAGCAATTCAGATACTATCTTTACATGAAAGAGTATGAAAAATATCGAAAAATCGTCTCTTTAATCTTCGGAGAGAAGGAAAACCCTCTAGCAGAAGTCTACAAACTCTATCTGCATGAATCAAACCCTGTGTTACAACACACACTCTCGCCGTAGTTTACTAAGTTCATGTGTGAAAAACAACAGCGCAGATCGAAATACAAAGGTATTCTGTTACCTATAGACATTCGTTTTTCTTTCTTTTAAACGTGTATATTCTCTCCGAAATCCTTTTTGCACATACATGTGAGCATTAGTATCGATTGTAGCCGAGCGAAAAATGGTAATCATTCACTTACGGAGAACACGTGTGTAATTGTATATCAGGGAAAGTTTTGAAACGCAAAATCAAACGATAATTACGACGTCGAATGTGTTTCTTTCTCTTCAATGAATGTCCATTCGAAAAACAACCTGTCTAGGTGTGAGTGTATCGACGAAAGGTAATTAGCAGGAGAGAAATCGTCGGGTGCAATTCAAAAATCAGTTTTTGTCAAACAATTCAATTAAAATTTGTATAATTGAATCGACAAAATCTATAACACGTGAATGAGAGAGAAAAAAAACAGCAAAGAACTACTCCATACCTGTCTTGCTTATTTGAATATGTGATTTATGTTAATGTCAATGTTGAATATTTGAGTACTAAGAGAAGGGAAAAGTCTAATCTTTTCCGTAGAACTCTTCTTCTACTTTGATGACGATCGTGAATAATATTTAGTTCAGACAAAATCTCAGACAGATGCGTTTTCACTTAATAAACACGCTTAGCTATATTCATTCGCCATTATTGCTGTTATGACCTTCTCAAAGCAAACAAATATACCGAGATTAGATAGAGTTCGGGGGTGCCTGTATCGTTGAAGACTTGTTTCGTTTCCGCAAAAAATACTTTATTTAAGACTAAAAATAAAACAATTGATGTGAACGTAGCTGTTGAGAAAGGAAAAATAATACATTGATAGTAAGACACAAAACAGACAGTAAAAGGTTCCAGATTAGGTAAAATGAGCTAGTGAGAAAAGTATGTCTTACGTATAAAGTAGAAGGTAGTGGCTGTTTAAATATACTGAAAGAAAATTTTGACTGATCTAATACTAAAAAGTCGAAATTGTTTGACGGATGAAGCTTATTTGGCGGTAAAATCCAGAACAACTCGACCACTGATTCGATAATGGAGCATATCCTCAAAGATTTCGTTGATATCTTCTATTTTGCGTTTTTGAACTTTACATTCAATATTGTGATGTTTGGCGATTTCAAGACACTCTTGCAAATCTTTTCGTGTACCAACAATTGATCCGACTAATTCAATTCCACCTAAAACACAGTCAACAATTGGTACAGCCATTTTACCATTTGGTAAGGCAACAGCGACAACTCGACCACCACGTCGAACGGATTGAAATGCTTGTTCAAAAGCAGCAACAATGGGCACAGTGATGACAGCTGCGTGTACACCGCCGATTTTTTCTTGCATCCATTTGCCATGTTGGTCAGGTGGGCCATCGAAAACTTCTTCGGCTCCCATTTCTTTCGATAATGATACGGCAGTCTAAATCAAAAAGAAACAATGAGTGTTCGTATTCAAAGTAACTAGATCGTTTACCTTATCATTAGGAGCAACTACAGTAGCGACACGCATGCCCATAGCGACAGCGTATTTAACAGCGACTGATCCTACGAGATAGAAAACAAATAGAATAAAACAGAAGCAAAATCATGAACTTATTTACCAAGACCGCCAACACCGACGATCGACACCCATTCTCCAGGTCGAACTTGAGAAACTTTCAAAGCTTTATATACAGTAACACCGGCACAGTAGAGAGGCGCGGACTTGTACGGATCCATTCCTTCAGGTAATTTCACGGCAAAATTAGCATCCATAAGTGCGTATTCAGCAAAACATCCATCAACTGAATATCCCGAGTTCGTTTGTTGTTTACAAAGTGTTTCGCGGCCGGTCAAACAGTATTCACAGTGAAGACAAGTTGCATGTAACCATGGTACACCGATAATATCACCTTTCTTTAAATGATTGCCGACCATTGAGCCTAATTCAACAATTTCACCGATACCTTCGTGGCCGGGTATACGTGGTAGTTCGGGTTTAACATCCCAATCTAAATACCGAAGGACAATGGGAAATAAATACAGAAGAGAAATATCTGTTTTACCTCCATGAGCAGCATGTAGATCTGTGTGACAAACACCACAAGCGATGTTTTTGATTACTACATCATTGGGACCTGGTTTTGGAATTTCCACCTGTTTAATTTCTAGTGGTTTCTTGAATGCGGTAACAACAGCAGCTTTCATGTTGATCTGAAATACGTCAAAACAGCGTTTTTTTTTCTTCGTGTACGAATGCAAATGATTTATCTCGATCGCTAACACTCAATAAGAACCATAACCGATGTGTGTAGACCTCCAACAAGGGCAGCGATTATCAAGAAAGAAAAAAGAACTTTAAGGACAATTTGGAAAAAGAGAGGAAAAGAAATGTATGAACAAAGAGTTTCGCATCTGAAATAGTTTTTATCACAACTGAAGTCTAGTCTCAAAGACTGTGTAGTATAAAATACTGAAGTTCTCTTCGATAAAGTTGTTGTTTGTATATGGCCACACCTATCGGACACACAATATGAAATGAAAATGCAGTACAGTGTAGCGAGCGAGTCGTATATAAAGAGAACAGAACTAACAGGGCAACTACAAGGGGAATAGAGAAAAAGAAGCACGCGTCGACTTTAGACAAGAGAAACGCAAAAACTACGAATGAGTACATCGACCTCCAAATGAATGAATTCATGGAAAAAATAGTTGGACTTTCTGAAGAGAACGACAAGAGTATGAAGGAAAAACAGAACAGAATATAATCATCAAAACAAACCTCTTCGTTTATAAAGAAAAGCAAAACAGGCACCCCCGTAAAAAATTCAGAACGCAACGGGTTTCAATTGTGTATCTATCCATCTCCCCCTGAATAGTGTCTAATTATTCGAAAACAAACAGGCAACTACATCAGTCTTATCATTCAATTGCGAATGTTACAAGAAATGTACTTTTTAAAGGCCTGTCGCACCAGGCAAGGTTGAGTGTACTAATATCCAAATGTAGAAACAAATAGATGAAGTCGATAGAGGTCACATATAGTGACTTGATTGCCAAGACACACATTCTTTGTAATCTATGTGGCAGTTATTTTTAGCTGGAAGAGAAGAGCGATGTTTGCTCTATGTTAAAAAGAATTAGTAACAACGCCATAGCCAAAATTCGTTAAGGGGCACAAACAAGCACTTTCAACACTGACGTTCTCTATTTCAACCCCATTTTATTATTTCGAGTAATAGTATTCGTGCGCACTAAGAGAGCACACCGAGTCGTGAAAAGTAAAAAGTACACTGAATCGATCTAACGTACATGATTGCAAAATAAATAATAGTATAATAATACTTGATTTATTAGTACAAGGACAACATACATCGATTCACATTATGAACAAAACAGAAAGAAAAAGATTTCTTTCGTCATATGCTACAATCTTTCGATTATTACTGGAGGCAAAGCCAATTCGTCGATGGTTGTCGAACTATCTTTATAATTCTCGATTGCCGCTTTTAACTGTTCTTCACTTTCTTTCAGTTTCGGATCTTTGAAATCACATGTGACAATATTCAAGCCAGGAAAATTGAATAAGAATAATTCTTTGAGATTCTTCAACAAATCACTGCTTGGCGTATACGTTCCCGACCCATTATCCATGACGATCTCCCAGCTATCATTACTCGTATCATAAGCATTCCAATGATCCCAACCTTTCTTCGGTCGTACATGAAATTCACCTGCATACCGAACATACTCACTACCATTTGCTAGCAACGCGTGTTTACTTGCAAAATCAGCGAAGAATTGACGACCGGTTTCACTGAATCTCCACGTATAGTTGTCGATGATATAGGTGTAAATGCATGGTTTGATTTGTTTCGTTGTTTTGTGCGCGAAGACGTACTTCCAGAGATCATCAGCACTGTTCAACCTACCATTTTCGCTGTGTTTGACCGTTCGAGCGTACAGTGCTTTGTGTGTGATTTTGAGGGTAGTCTTAGAGACAAGCGAAGCTGGACATTTGCCAAAGATGAGCTGAGCTGCTTTGTAGTGCTTGTTCCAATGTTGCTTTTGATAAGGTGGAAAGAAAACGGAGATGCGTCGTATGGGTATCTTCCATGTTGAATAAACACAGTCTGCGTCGAGCATTGTAAGTCGTCCGACGACGAAGGAATCGTGACGAAAATATCGGCAAGGCCCGTCGAAAGTGTAGCGAGGAAGATGTTTTGTTTCGTCTGACGACTGGATCGATTGAATGGATAAATGGAATTGGCCGTGTTTATTTCCTGTTAAACTCAAAATATCATGACCAGACGGTGGAGGATGATAATTCGTTATGTTGAGTATTTCAAATTGACCGATATAGTCGTCGATTGGTTCGTCATCATCTTTATCGAATAGGGTAACAGAAAGTCTGGCAGTTGCTGGAACATTTCGAACAATCCATTCTTCGTTTTCCCACTTCGGTGATGACGTATTAGGTAAAATCGATGATCTAGAATAATCCCATAAAGACAATAGGCATGAATTGTACATAACCTCTGTTTGGTGACGAGAGGAAAGGAATACTTACGTATAAGTTATGTGATCATCGATTTTTGCAATAAAATATGGATCACCACGCCCGATGGGATCCATTTTAGGTAGATTCTGCAAAGAAAACTCAGAATATTTTCTATGAGTGAACTTAAAAATCCGAATCAAACCTCTGCTGATAAAAATTGGATGACAACATCAAATGCATCAGGTGGTGCAGTATTGACCAGTAACGTTATTTCCGGAACAACACTTTTCAAACCATCAGCCAATGAATGTGACGACATGATTGTTTCAACTGGTTTGTCTTTGTGACGTTATTGACGTTTTTGTTCTTTGTATGTGTGTCGGGTAATATACGACAATACCGTAATCACAATGGCGTGATGGATTATATAGTATTTCTTTTCGTTCTGTTGACTTTATTCGTCCGTCCACTGAAATAATCGTTTAGTAGTGTGCATACAATCAACGAATAAGAACGAATGAGAGAGATTTGCGTCATGCATCATGACTGTTATTATTTGAATATGAATCGAAAATAATCTGAGTCATCTTCATTGTAAGAAGTTGGGCGTATCTCAGTGTAAATAAATTTAGAAATATATTCATTGTGACAAATCAGATATGAATTTACTTTCGAATACTCGTTTAACCATAAAAATTTCTCTCACTACGTTCTATAAATAAGCCTTACTATTAATAATGCGATTTGTTTCGCTTTATTTCTACTGATATTTAAGGATTCTAATTGAGCAAAAGATTGACGAAATGAATCGACATATCTCTAATGCGAACTACTCACTAATTAATTTATTGACACTACTTTCGATAAAATGCTAGTTACAAATGAAAGTGAAAGACACAAAAAAATCTTCAGATTGTTTTATTTAAATTCTTATTACGTTGATTATCGGCAACAGTAGGTCGAAATTGATTGACAAGTTGACCAATGTTCTTGGTGATTAATTTATATTTTTCCATTTCTAACTTCAACTGCTCAATGCTTTCTTTTAGTCTAGGATCTTTGAAGTCATATGTGGCTACATGCAAGCCAGGAAAATTGAATAAGAATAATTCTTTGAGATTCTTCAACAAATCACTGCTTGGCGCATATGTTCCCGATCCGTTATCAAACACAATCTCCCAGTTCTCGTTAGTCGCATCAGAGGGATCCCAATTTTTCCAACCTTTCCTTGGCCGTACATGAAATTCACCTGCATACCGAACATACTCACTACCATTTGCTAGCAACGCGTGTTTACTTGCAAAATCAGCGAAGAATTGACGACCGGTTTCACTGAATCTCCACGTATAGTTGTCGATGATATAGGTGTAAATGCATGGTTTGATTTGTTTCGTTGTTTTGTGCGCGAAGACGTGCTTCCAGAGATCATCAGCACTATTCAACCTACCGTTTTCACTGTGTTCGACAGTTCGCGTATAGAGTGCTTTGTGTGTGAATTTGATGCTGCTTTTGGAGAGAACAGACGAAGGAGATCTATTGAAGATAAACTGAGCTGCTTTGTATTGCGTATTCCAATGTTGTCGTTGATAGGGTGGAAAGAAAACGGAAATGCGCCCCAAAGGTATTTTCCACGTTGAATAAACACAGTCTGCGTCGAGCATTGTAAGTCGCCCGACAGCAAATGAATCGTGACGGAAGTAGCGGCAGGGCCCGTCGAAAGTGTAACGAGGCAGGCGTTTTGTTTCATCTGAGGACGCCATCGATTGAATAGATAGAAAGAAACGCCCACTGGGCTGTCCGAGAGCACCTAGAATTTGGTGACCGTTTTGAGGAGGTTGGTACTGAACAATATCGGGGATAACAAATCGGCCGATGTAACCGTCAACAAGTTTCTTCTCATCTTTATTGTAGAGTTTAATTGTCAAGCTCGAGTTCCGAGGGATATTCCGAATAATCCATTCTTCATTTTCCCATATGGGTTCAGAAGTGTTTGGTGAAATTGCTGATCTGAAAATCATTTTCATATCTTTCTAAGTTCAAGTTAGTGTGAAGAAACTCACGTATATGACATACGGTGATTAAGTTTGGCGACAAAATATGGATCATCATAGCCAATCATATCCATTTTCGGCAACTTCTAAAAGTCAATTCAACATTCCTATATTACAATTGTCCGTAGTACTAAAACTCTTACCTTTGCCGAGCGAAATTTGATGATCACATCATAACTATCAGCGAAGTCTTCATCATAATGCATAAAATGTTCCGGAAGTGTTCGCATGAGGCCAGCTGCCAATGAGTACGCAGACATTATCAATTTTCTACTCCGAATATTCTTCAACGAATACTTTTATTTTGACTGAATCACTTAACTATATTTATATGCGAATGTTTTCTTCTGGAGCGTAATCTTAGTCATATATGTAAATATTATAGGCCATATATATGCTGACGAATACACTTCCTTTAAACAAATATATGACGTATTTAAAGTCATTACTTTATGTGTTTTTATCTGATTAATTTCTCTTTCTGTGCTAAAGAATGACTCATATCCGATATATGTAACTAGTTTTCATCATGCATTTACATTATGTAGAATGAAAAGAAGATGCGGGGCGTTTGATTACTTTCGCATAACCACCAGACTACACTGTTTTTTTCTCCTTATCATATTCAAACATCAATACTACGTAATAAAACAGAGCAATCAAGTTAATAGACATTGTTGACCAAGTAAAACACTTGATGCTACGGATGAAGAACATTTCAGCGAAGGCGCTCAGAGTGACACAGAGACGTTTTACGAGCAAGATGCAGATGATTATCTCCTCAAGATAAATGTTAAGAAAGTGAAATTTTACACAGATATTCTACAGAAAATTACTTTAGAATATTTCAACTTTCGATGGTTTTCTGACGTCATTTTCATGCGTCTTCGCAGCAAAACTTGAATTGACACTTGTCGATGCACGTGAAGATGAAATTGCCCAGAGTTCTTTACTATCATTATCGACTAGTTTCAAATCCACATCGATATCAGTACTGGAGATTGCTTCAGTTAACTTTTTCTTCATCGCTGTTATCATTCGATCAGTGGAATCGTTATCTTTCTCGACCTTCTTCTTGTCAAACGAAAGAACGAATTGAAATTTATAGGACTGATATTGATCGGGTTTCACTTTACTATGAAATGTGGAAAATTGTTGCGAAATAGTTCGCGATAGTTCTGCTCGTCGACCGGCACGTCTTGAAGATGCAACTGATTTCGTGTCTTCATCACCATTTGCCATCTTATCGAGTTCCATAGACGAAATTTCTGGCTCGACAATGTACATTTTGCGATTGTACACACGCTGATAACGATCAACAAATACGGAAATAAGCATACCCATCGTCGCAGGACCACATAGAGCACATAGACAAGCGATAATACGACCGGCAGCGGTTATTGGACACATATCACCATATCTAGTGGAAGCAAAAAATGAAAAATACATTCATTTCAGACGAAAGTGGTGATGATTTACCCGACTCCTGTCATTGTAATTATTCCCCAATAGGTGGCACTAGGTATTGAATCGAATACGCTACTATTTTCATTTTGTTCAACGAAATAAGCTGCTGCACCGAATAAAAACGCAACCAAAGCTAAAATTATAACCATAACGATGAAATCAACAACCGATTCTTTTACTGTTGCACTCAACACGCGTAATGACTTTAACTGTTTGAATACTAAGTAGATTTTAAAGATCTTCGAAAAACGTAGTATGCGCAGGAGACGTATAGAGAGTATTGCGTTCGTGTCTAAGCCAATATCTTCATCAGCTAGCTGAATAGCCAAGAAAACGTAATAAGGTACGATGGCACTGAGATCGACCCAATTAAAGAATGATAATATGAAACGAAGATATGATGGCGTGCTGATGAATCGAAGAACAAATTCAATAGTAAAGTATGCCACACATATCGTTTGAATAATGAAGAAAGGCGAGGTGAATAGAGCTGAACAACGTGGTACGTAGGTTGCATTTAAGGAAATGTTTGCTTCTAGTTTACATATATTGTCCCAATGATCGGTGTAAGCAGGTAGAGATTCGACGGCTAATGAAATACATGAAAGAAGTGTGAACAGTGTCGAAATTAAATTGATTGCGCGTGCAATATGCGAATGTTGAGGAAATTCCAGATAGAACCAAATGTATCGACGCCAAAGCATCTTTGGCATCTTTACATGTACAACATCTTTAATATTTTCGACTCGACGCACTTGTGCCGATGCTTCTGGACCGAGTTCGAAGAACGCGATTTCTTCGAGAAATGTATCGATAGGAACGAATTCGGGCCGACGGAGACGACCATTTGATTGATAGTAATAAAGAATAGCTTGGAAACACGCACGATGCCGATCGAAGAAATATTCTCTAGTTTCGGAATTCCAAAAATATTTACGCTTCTTCGCATTTCCCAATAACGTATTTGGATACGCTTCCAATGTTGACAGATATGTTTGAAAGCGATTGCCGCTAACATTAATAGTTACAATCGGTGGAGAATCTTTTTCATCGATGACTTGTCGAATTGATTTTTTAGTTGAACGTATTTTAAGTAATTCATCATCTGTACTCAATGGAATCGCGCTAGAATGAGTACAAATGCTTCGACTTCAAACAAGTCAGAATAGAATTCTTCTTCAAAATTACCTTACAGCATCACAACGTTTGATTTCGGGAAATACCGATGAACGACTGGCACTCTTTGTACGCCAAATTCTGAAATAGACAATCAATTCGACTGTTTGATTTGGTAATCATATAACGCACATACGGAGTCACCTTTGGTGCTGTACTATCATAGTTAAGGGTTATCGCAGGAATGTTTAAGTTATTCTTGTTTGAATTTTCATCAGAATCACGTTGTTTTTGATTGTTTGTTAACTCGTGTCGCATCCTCGTTTCAATAAATGTCGAAACGATTTGTGAGTGTACAGGTGATGTTTATTATGAAAAGAGAGAGAGAGAGGAACAGAGAAAGGGAAAAATACGTTGCAAAGCAAATCAGTTTCAAATAACATGCGGGTAATCTTCCTTTATGAAGAAGAACTATCAAAATTATACGAATTGCATTCATCTTGATCAAGGTTCGAGTACAACGTTGTCTTTGTATGGATGAATGTGACGTCAAGCCGGCCGAGAATGAGAAAAACGACCCCGCGCACAAGTACTTGTGGCCGAAAGGAGTATCAACTGGTATTCGATGCATAGTTAGTGATTGTACTAACGTGAGCGCACGTTATGATGTGACGACAACGAGTAAGCGATCAATATATTTATTGATTAATATAGACAAGTATTTATTTCATCTGACATGTCATAAAATACGATCAGCAAAATAAGAAATCATTTTTTTAAATGACATTCATATCAATAAATAACATGGTACACTTCAAATACCGAGCAGGGTAGGAAATGATTCGATTTACTTCCTTTTCAAGACAAGTTCACCGTCTGACGGTTCAAATTTAAGCATTTGTTTGAGTTTTCATCTTACATTAGCGTCTACGCAGTGATTGTAATCGATTCAGACATGTCCGCCGAAAGATATCCCCACCGCTCAATGTGTAGATATAGAAAGGCATTCCGCTTGCTGAATAACTAAGAAGTGATATAAAACTGTAGAGAAGATTGTCAGTCGCTGTTTGCAATAGCGTTTTCCTTCGATTCATAGTTAAGGTTGTATACAACTTTTCGACGATTTGAGGAAAAGTTAATAATATTAGAAGAATAACTTGTCGAAAGAGCACATGACGTAAATACCGATCGAGTCTTCTCCGACGTTGACGCTGAGCAGATGTGCCCCGTAGTGTTTCTCGACATGGCTGACACGTTCTCAATCTAATTACCGCAGTCGAGCGCGTTCGACGAACATTTGAAATCGTCAATAAGCCAAACAGCGACATGACCAATATCGGACAGAAGATCGTTACTAACGCATATATGAGATCAGTTATTAGACGGCATGGGACATTTTTTCCAAAACATTGAAGCGGCGCATCGACGAGATTGGCATCATAACAATAAACGACTTCACAGTAGCTAAGACAGCAAACACAACTGATGAAAACAACACCTCGCCGAGCATTTCGTAATGAACTCAGCTGCCGACGATGAAATTGAATGCATGATGAGCACCATCGGTCAATCGTTGCCAAGGCAATTAACCAAAATGCGACAGTTCGAGAAACGAACATAATATAAACACGGGCTTTACAAAAATAGCTATTCGTACTAGTCAAATCCAAGTGCCATCCTGATAAGATCCGCGTGGATAAGCCGATGGAAATGGAAACGAGATTCGCAATTGAGGACATACGAAACAAATATGCGCAGGGGTTCGATCGAAGTGGTGGTTGAGATAAAATGAAACAATTCAAAACATTTCCAATCGTTCCAAACAGGAGAAGAATAATAGAAAAATAACGATTAATTTGCATCGAAATGTCATTGAATAAAACACGCACTTCGACTTCAGAGAACATCTTTCCGTTATACGAGTAGCAAAGTAAAGTATTTCAACATCAGAATAATCTTTTCTTTCATCTGATATATCTTATTTAAAAGAATATGATGATATTCAACGCCAGCTAGCATCAGTAATAAGAAACAGAAAGAATCGGCGGGATGATTAGGATTTTACAGAATGTGGAGAAAAAGAAGTTTCTAATGTGTCCGACAATCTAGGTTAGTCAAAGATTGAATATTCTTTTGTTGAAGAAATGCTTCCTAACAAGTACATTGACATGTGTTTTCTGAATGTTTGTCTTGGATGTGAGCGTTTGCTTTTTGTCAGAAATTCTATGACAGAATTAGAAAATCTCTCGTTCTTGGTATTTGCTCGTTATGATCATTTCTACAAACGCAGATCGTTTATTAAGTACACCTCGCGAATTTCGAATTAAATCACCATGATGACTAATGCATTCTATGAAGATGGTAAGACGCCTACGCATGGCAATTCGCAATGTTAAAAGCTAAGCAACGCGTTCTTTTTTCGCAGGGAAAAAAACTCTTTCGCGATGATTATCATCAGATATGATTTAATATTGCTTTACAAAAAAAAGTGCGAAATTATCACGGAGAAACAGGAGATATATACTTCAAACTCAAAGAAATTGTTGATTAGTCATTCGCCGAGCATTGCTAGTTAATGATCCTGCTGTTGAAAGAATATTTATAACACACTCGTGCTTATCTATCTTTAAAGCTTATGTAAGAGTTTAATGAAGGTAATGAATTTTATGATTCTCTATCGCATTCATTGATGTAGTCGGACGCGCTGGCTCTTCCTTTCATAGCACATTAATGACACGCATGTAAGTTTAATGCATGTTTTTTTGATATCTGAGAAGAACTTTTCTGCTATTTTTCGGCGTACAGAAATATACATCTTCTGGTGGTATTATTCTGTCTGATGAACGTAACATTATCAATGATAATTGAAGAAGAACAATGTTCATGTTCATGTTGTCTTGGATTGGGATGTCTACCTGAAGAGAAACCTGATTTTTCGGTACCGATGTGTACTGATGATGATAGTACATGTGTAAGGTTTTGTAGAATGTTATTTCCAGTTGATTGTAATCATATTGATTCACAAGTATTTGCTGCTTGTCTTTCGCTTGCATCGATTGAATTCAATCAACAATGCATCATAGTCATTCTTCTTGATCTTGTTTTTATTGTGTTCATACACATGTTTTATAGGGAAAAATACCATTAAAAGTATCATTATTATATTTAGTTGTTTTTAAACTTGATCGAAAGGGAATTTATGACAGTTTGTATGGAAATGAGTTCTGTACCAAAGCGAATCAACGAATGAGATTTCAGTAAAACTTCAGCAGGACGGTAAGCGAACCGAAAATAAGTAATGTCGAAACTTGATAGTTCGCATTTACGTCATTGCATAGATCGGCTTGACAGCAAGCTACCATAACACCGGATGCAAGAGGAGTAGCTGAACAACTTGATGAGCCATAATAAGATACGAGTAAACTGGTCACATGTACTTTCTAGAATGTAGTCCAAATCAATTAGAAGTGTTTTCGTGTGCATCTCAACAGATACTTACAGCACAATATACATTCGCCACTGAGCTAAACGTTTCAGCATTGTAAGTGGTTGAATTGAAGGGATTATTGCAACTTGTTAAATCTGATGAATGGATATAACAACTGAGACCAGTGTAAACTGGGAAGAAAACTACGGAAGAGAATGATATTCGAGTAGATGATAATTAAATTTCACGGTTCACGTACCGAAAAGAAGTACAGCGATGAGCTTCTGTATTATCCAATATTAGGAATGAAGATTTTCCGTGTCAGAAATAATACGAGATTAGATTTTACGTCTCCTTTTGTGCAAGATCTAGCTAGGAGAAAAGAAAACTAACTAGCAATATCAGCTTCGCATATAATTATTCTGTGTATGAATGTCAGTGTGAGCTTTTCCTACATTCTCCTTTATCCTATATGCAATCTCGTTAATAATTACACTTGTATTTACTTGGGCAAAGTATTGCTATATCTGTTCGCTTTCTTTTTTTTTCTTACACAAATAATCGAAGTACACACATAAATCAGGTTCTTTGTGTATAGATAAATCTTCTTTTGATGCTTTTTTTGTTATAATTAAAACAGAAAAGTTCTTTTGCACTGATCATCCATAAGAATTTTCGCTTTTATGTCGTCACCGTGTTCCTACACAGATAATCAATTTTATGTATTCATGTCGGCTCTTTCTTTGTATTTTGTACATGTGCTGATCTATCCGACACCTTCGATGATAACAGATAAGAAGAAAACTGAGGAGTATTTGTGAAGATGATACACTTAGGAATGTTTAGTTATGAAACGATCATCTTTTTATTACAAGATTGTAGAAAATCGAATGTTTGCAATCAAGTGAATAACAAAAACGCGAAACAAACTCTTCATTATCTATGGTATTTGCTTGTGTTTTCTCACTAATTTATAAAACGAATTGATCACTCTTAACATAATTAATCTCAATAAACTAGTAAACAAAGATTGCCCAATAATTTCCCTGATTGTAGTAACTGGTTGAGCACCACATGTTAAACAAGTGAGTAGAGCACCGTTTAAACCGTAGGAACATGTGAACGAGCCTTGTCTTGTGGCACGAATGATCTTCTTAGCAACAACATCAGCTGTTAGAACACCTGATGTTTCATTGATCATTTGTGTTTCTCTCGGTTTGCTTTTATTTTCTTCTTTGAAACCTGGTGTATCCGTATCCGGCGGGTAAACCATCGTTATATAGATATTTTCTCGTGCTAATTCCATTTGAAGTGACTCCGCTAAACCTCTCAGAGCAAATTTCGTCGAACAATAAGATGTATAACCAAATACACCAAGTTGACCAGCTTGTGAGGATAGTAAAACGATTCGACCCGAACCGCGACGTCGCATCGATGGGAGACACGCTTGTGTACAATAAATGCTACCTAGATAATTGATTCTCACTAGAGAATAAAGCGGATTCAGCGTCAAATCGACGGAACAACTTAAAACAAGCTTACTCATTTCTTCGAATTCTTCTGGTTTTGTTTGATGAAATGGTCGTGCAAAAAATATCGCCGCATTGTTAATGAGAATGTCCACGGATTTATCGAGATGATGACGAATCGATTGTTGTACAGCTTGTTCAACTTGCTCATACGATTGTGAAATGTCCACAGACAAACAGAGAAGACGATCACTTGAATTCGGTGTCAAATCTCGTCGACATTCTTCTAAACGTTCACGATTCCGTGCTAAGATAGTCACGCGTGCTCCATGTTCGTGAAGTAACTGTCTAGCTAGTTCTTTTCCAATGCCACTCGATCCGCCCGTAATAATTACATGGCAATCGTATAAATCGTCCAGATATTTCGGGCGATAGATCGGCCGATAGAGATAAATCAAAATAGTTAACACGGCAAGTGCGCCGATGCAGCTAAGAATAATAGTCAACAGCATTTATCTTTTCCTCTTATCAAATGAAAGAAAAGGTAAAGTATGTGGAGTTGAGAAAAAAAGAAAGTTTTATCAGGTGAGAATGCCAAATGTCATCGAAACGAAAACTAGCAAATAAATTCGAGTCTTTCTTGTCATACTATGAAAGTGAATTCTTCGTCTGTTGATAACTGATCATTTTCATAAAAGAAAAGCCTATTGAGCTTCTTTTCAAATCATCGTGCAGATTAGACGACCATATAGGTCAATGTCAAAGGCAAAGTTCAGTTTGTCATCATATATTTGATATACATACGAAGGTCTTTTTCTTTTCTTCGCAAGCCTTCAATTTAAAAATGTAATGCACTTTTTCAAGATTTTATGTATTAGATCGATTCTCGTCCATTGCTGTCAAGTTAAACACAGCATTGAATATCTTTTGGACCAGCGCAAAAGCCAGCAACTGATCGACCTTTACATGCGGACGTTGATATGCAAACACCTGTGGCACCATTGGCTGTACATTTTGGTGCGGTGGCAATAGCTGGACCGCAACCCAAGACGCCCTTTGCTTTTCCCCAATATTCTTCTCGATCAGCTTGTCCATTGGTTCCACCGTTGATTTTCTTTGTAATCATACGGAACGATTCCAATGTACCTTGATCAGCGAGAGCATTGAGTTTCTTTGTTGTCCAAAACCACACACTTGTACGGAAACCGACTGTAGGGGTTTTGACCAAGTCAGGATTGCCAACAAGATCAAGACCTAAAGCTTTACCAGCGGCTGCATAGTTGGCTCGACCAGTAAGTTGAATGGGACCACGACCTTTGAATCGTTTTCCGTCACCAGGCTGTGTATTGCCTAAATCTTGACGCCCTTCATATGCTGCACCTGATGCGATCTCTTCCATGTAGACTAATTGGCCGGATTCGTGTGCTAATTGAGCTAAAAAGGCAGCTTGACGGTGACAAGTATTGATTGCACCTTCAACAAGAGCATCGTTGATATTCTTCAAATATTCGGGATGCTTGCAACGAGGCATAATCGCTTTCAATTGATCAGCAGTGATTGCTTTAAATAGAAATTCAAGAACATGAGATTTTTATTCTCATCAAACACCTATTCGAATATTACCTGCATTGGATTGTTGAGTCCAGATAGTGGCAATAGTGAAAATTAACAATGGTATCATCCCTTCTGTACGGTAAGGCAGTAGAATATGAAAAGCGAATGGCAACTACAGTTGTTTATATACGTTGTGCAATGAATACCTTTATTTTCCCCTATGGATTTGCCAGTGATCCATCGGATACCTAATATCTTGAGACTCAATTCAGTTTCGAAGAAATAAATCTTAATGTCAACAGCAAAATGTAGGTGACAGAGGAAATATTCATTTCGGCAAGTTCTATTTATAGGATGAGCTGAAAGTTTTTATGCGTGGTAATCATATGACTTACATTATTTTGTGCCCTTAGAGTCTCAAACAAAATCAATCACAAGAAAGTGGTTCGATCTACCGCGTATCAGTTCGTGTAACTTGAGTCGCCGAAATCGAAAATTAGCTGGATGAGTGTCTAGTTTCCATCGACAGGTTTTAACCATCCATGATATCGAACGATTAAGCCAGTGAATTTATGTTTAATTTCTACATGAAAATAAAATTGACCGTTATCGTCGTATTCGTACGAATCACCGTTCGGTGCTAAAATGGAAGGCAATGGAATACCGAGAAAGCTCCAATTTCGAACAACTAGATGTAATTGCTTTGGTTGAATGACTAGTGCTAAACCAAATGTAAACGGGCCGAATCGTTCATCTAGTAATTTGTCGGACCGACTATGACCTACTGCTTGCCAACTCGAGAAAGACTTTCCAGCAAACGTTCGTGTCCATAACTCTCCAGAGGAGTCAGGCCGAAATACAACTTCAACTGGTATGTCCTGCCCGGCGTCAGGAAATCCGACTATCATGGCGATCAGTCTCGACATCATACTAGTACCACGATCTACTTTTGCTATTCCCGCGACTTTAGTAGTAGATTTGAAGGAATGCATTTTTCGTATCGATTCAGGTAATTCGTACCATGCTTGATCAAGGAGTTTTTGATATAATGTCATAGATACGCTATCGAAATTTGTTGATGTACGTTGTCCGGTGATAATGTGATAGTGTCGAAATAAATTTTCGTAATCTTCCAGATCGAGATCTGGAACAGCGGCTCGCGCACCACTTTTCAGTTTTCGTCCATCTAGCGTTTGACTGATCAGAACACCAATGCCCATGACAGGAATAAAAGGGCCTCTGTCATCGTCGGCAATCAAATGCCAAGATCGTTCATGTTTTTGACCTTGTCGATCAACACCTTCAATAGATACAAACATACCACCACGATGTTCGCCCCAACGAACGATTTGTATTGCACGATGGAAAGCCGGTGCTAGTGGTTGTAAACTAGAAATTAATCGCCATCGTACCAACCAAGCTAGACTAGTTAATAGTCGATGTAAGATTTCTGGTTCAGTACTTGCACCAATCCATATTGAATCAATGTCTGGCCATACATCTCGTAAAATATAATAGTCAGGTACGTCAACCAAAGCAAAACGACGATTACGAATAGGTAAATAACCTGGCGGACTTATTGTGTAGTGCATTGTTTCTGTTAGTCCATAACTTGATGTTAATTGTCCCTGACGTACTACAGGTATTCTCTGACCTGCATAACCTGTTATTGCCTGTATCACATTCAAACCAATATTAATATGTGGTGATGGTGCGATTCCGCCTTTGATAGAGTGTACTTTGAATAGTCCTTTGGCTAAATGTCGAGCAACTACAGCTGTTAAGAGTGGCACAGTGCTAACGCCAGATAGTACATAGATGTTTTTCGATTTTGCTTGTTCGTCGAATTGTTTAATATCTCGAACGAACTGTGAACTATCTGCAAGGTCGAGATAATTGGTCGACGTTGCCAAACATGCTTTAACAATTCGATATGGATCATTGCCGTAGGATTGAAACGGACCGGCTGTATCGATGACTAAATTGGGTTGAATTGATCGTAAACGAGTTTCGACATCCAACTGATTTCGATCGAAGTAGAACGGAATTAGTTTTGCTAAGCTATTAGTTTGATCTCGACAAAATTTTTCCGCATTTTTCAATGATCGACCTGCGATTAATAATGTCAATTGAGATTTATTGGACAATAACTGACACAACCGACTACCAAATGTCCCATAACCACCAATCAATAAAATTTTCATCTAGAAAGTAAGTTTCCTTTCACCTTGTAAACGCATTCGCCCTTGCAGAAAAATTGTTCTTTTCTCCTCTCCCACGTGACTGCAAACACTATTTGCCCATCAACGGGAAAAACAAAACAACAACTGAATAGTTGAATCAGTCAAAAACGATGACATGTGACCTCGAAAGATAAGTTTAGATTATTTATTTCACTTTATTCCCGAATACAATAACTACGAGGAGAACTAAAATGCAAGCATTGAAAGTTTCTGTATGAAACAAGTGATTAATTTGATGAAACACATAACACAATGATTAGTAAAAGACTGACAACGATTGTCGATGCACCGAATCGGATTATTCCATTGCAATAGTCTTGATCCGAACAGCAATATCGTGTGCTACCGCCCGGACCACCTCCGGGTGTGCAAGTTCGACCGCCAGCCATACGTTCAACGTAACTTGGATACACAACTTTCTGAAGAGAAATAATCAACGATACAAATCGACTGGAAGCTCGTTACTCACTAAACAATATGTGTTACCAGGGACTGGAAGATCGCCTGATGTTGCTTCATCGAATGGATCGTTACATCCTGAATTGCTCCATCCAACGCATGATACACAATTGATTCCATCAGTAGTTGAGAAGAAAGCTAAAACGCTAATTCAGATCTTTATACAACGTAAAGGAACCTTACTGAACAGACATAGTGAAACAAAAATGTAACAGATCATGTTATATTATTCTGTTATTGATTAGTGTTTGAATAGGTCGAGAAATGAAACAAATGAATATGCGCAAAGAAGAACATATGACCTTGAAGAGATGAAATTCAATGTTTATTTATTTTCGATTTGCATGTAAATTATCCGGATCTGTTTGTTCTTATTTTCTCAACAGTGAATAAAAAGAAATGATTTGTTGATCCTTATCAAACTAACATAAGTGCGATATGTAAGAAAATTTCGATATAAATCTGTTCTAAATTGCAAGACAGACAATTGTGTATAAGTTTATTGAATAATCCAAAGAGAGACAGAGAGAAAGATAGAGTGAAAACGATATTTCCATTCATCGTACTGAAAGGAAAAGAGACAATCTGTGTAAGTAAATGAGTACATATGTATATATTTAAACGAGAATGGTCTATGTCTTTTGACAATGATGAAACCAATGAAAAAGAAAACTGCGAGTAAGAAATTGACACGAAAACAAGAAGAAATTGTTGCTAACTTTTATGAATATGAAAAAGCAGACGCAAAGAAGACAAACAATTATTTTCTTTTTCTATACAAGACGTGTTGTTGTTCACTGTGTGATGAGACGAATACATAAATTAGAGAGAGAGAGAAAGAGAAAAAAGAATCCAGACAAGATCAATGCCAAAACCATTTGAAGATCATTGCTTGGCTTCGTCAACAACATTCGATGTAATTAATGACGCAGATTTGTCTTCTTGAGCAATAGGAGGAGCGGGAGGAGCATTTGGTGAGCTTCGACACGGTTCGAATGGAATACTTTCGTTTTCATGATTAGGACTACTTGTCATTTGTTGCACATCCATTGATGATGGTTCATTGATGGAAGATGTCGACGGTTGAGTAGGTGTAAGGAACGAAGTTGAAGAAGATGATGAACTGGGAATGGACGACAACGTCACGTCTAAACAGAAGGAGTTCTCTTTCGATTCTGTAGGACATGAGAGATCAACGACTTACTCATTGAAGGATTTTCTTGTAATTGGAACGTTGATGGCTTGGGTTGTAAATTAGTTGAAGCTGAGGGGGACAATGACGTTTGATCATCGTTCGCGAAATCGTCTTGCTCATCCTGCAAAAAAGAAAATCGAATTCTATTAATCGAAAATTTTCACATTTTCAGAATACGTACATTTATTGCTGCTGAAGTAAATGTCATTACTGTTGATGGTTGTTCCGAGAGAAATCGTTGAGGTTGTTGAATAGCAGATGTTTGAGAAACATTATTCATAGACATCATACTAAACAAAAGTACTATCATAGATTTAATCAAACAAGCGACGAGTTTGTTTACCGAACAATGGTGTCTGGCTGTTGATCAGTTGGCGCAGGTGATGATTTCGGAGCGAATAATGTATTCAATCGACTTTGTTTATAAACAAGAAAAGCTTGTTCTAATTCATCGAACTGCTTGCGTTCCTTGCGCATTGCTGTCAGTGTTCGCGAATATTCCGTTTGCTGCTGAGATAAACGTGGCATTTCTTGTTCTTCTTCAGGTGTGCATAATGACTAGGAAAATACAAGAAAAAAGATAAATATGATAATGCGTGAATGCATGAAATTACTTGTTTCTGTTTCTTGAGAAGAATATTTCGTTTTTTCTTGATATCTGCTAGATTTGTTTCATCTGCTTTGATTCTTAAACTGTTGATTTCTCGTCGTTGTTTCAACCATCGTGCGTAACGATCGAATTGTTCTTCATTGATGCCAGCATTATTATTCGTCAGATCATTGTCACGTCCAACACTGATTAATCCGCTTAATTCTGGTGGCGGTGATTGCTGATACAATGGATGAGTAATTGCTTGTTGAAGGAGATGAACGGCATGGGCGAGACTTAATGGAGTTTGCTGGGCTACTGCCGTATTTGATGTTTTGCCGGTTCGTTCTACGGGCGTCCATTCCGTCAGCGGAGCCGATTGTTGTTGTTGTTGTTGCTGTTGTTGTTGTTTGTCTTTGAAATCTCTTTCGAGTAAATCTTCAAGTGAAATCGATGGATCAGCAGTAGTAGCTGCTATAAAATAACGGAAAAAATTATAAAAATGAACAAAGTAAACGTTTCGAAAACATTTGTTCTTCGATGCGTTTATAGTTTAGATGAAATTGTCATGCTGAAGCGAAAATGACAACGAAAAAGAGTAGTTAGATTTGGTCCTTTGACGTAGCAATACGAGCAAATAGCTGTCTAAGTCGTTGGTCAATTTATGTTTTTATTACTTTCAACTCACCATCGCCATTAACGGCGATTGTCAAGATTGTCGAGTGTGAAAGTAAATCTGTGTGGTTTCTGCTTGATTTTAATACAGAATGAAAGAAATTTGACATACCCAGAAAGTGACTATCAGTTTGAGGATGTTGATTCATCGGCCATGCACATTTGATTTGAATGGGCGCTTGAGTTAAATTGGTTTGTTGTTGTTCATGGGGTGACGATGCTAGGATCGATGAAATACGTTCAGCAACGATTTGCTGTTGTTCATGTTGAGGAACACCAGCAGTGTTGATGACGTTCGTTGTCGCCGGCAAGAGATCATGATGATGCTGTTGTTGTGATGGATGATAGTGAGTGTATGAGGGTGGACCACGTACGGCAGCAATGTTTAAGGTAGGTTGTTGTTGGTAATTCGACCATTCGTGTGATTGCTGTTGAACGTACGGATGATGAGTGGTAATCATGTGTTGAGCTTGAATTTTTGGTTGAGGCAAAGGTACAATTTGAACAGGTATCGAAGGTGGATGAGGCGTTGTAGGAAGGTCTTGAGGAATAACACCAGCACCGGAAACAACATCATTGATTACTTCATCGATTTGCTCGAGAACATGCGGTGGAACAGCTAAAAGTTTAAGGGAAAATGTGAATGAGGATTGAAATTGAGTTTCTACATACATTGTAATGGATCAGCTCTTCCTTTAGTTATATTGATTGATTCATTCAACGAATCATCGTGTACTTCCGACTTGATTTGTTGCTCATCGAACGATATTGAATCATGCTTCACCAGCAATTGTTGAGGTGGTTTTTGCATCGATATCAGCCGTTTGTTTGGATCAGTAGGTGGTGATTGATGTCCACTTGTTGACAGTGTCAATTGATGATGATGAACTGATGAAGGAGAAAATTGTGGAGACGGTTGAACAACAATCGTCGGCGAATGCTGTGGATGCGGATGATGCATCGATTGTGGCGGTTGCTGTTGTTGTTGCTGCTGCTGTTGTTGTTGTTGGGATGGGTAGGGTGACATATGTGGGTGTGGCGGCTGCTGTTGTTGCTGCTGCTGGATTACCATGGGATGTTGTTGTTGCTGTTGTGAATTAGGTGTCATTGGGCGATGATGTGGACTGAATTGTGGTGACACTTGATGATGTTGCTGCTGCATATGCTGATGTACCGGGCTTTCTGGCTAAAAAGTCATGAGAGAAAGAGAAAATGAATAATTTCAAATGTGTTTTTGTCATACCATTCGTTGAAATACTTCCGTTGTACCTTGTTGTACAACAACCGTATGTTGTCCTTGTCCTTGTTGAGTATATTGCACGTAATGTGTTGGTTGTTGTTGTTGTTGTTGATTGGGTGGTGATGCAAAAATAAATCGTGTCGGTGGACCAGGTGCACCAGCTGAAGAAGGTGTTCGAACGAAATTGGATGCATCCTGTTGCGGAAATCGCGGCATGATCTGTTGTGGTCTTGGTGTCATTCCACGCGGTAATAATTGTGGTTGCTGCTGAGGCTGAGGTTTCATTTGATTTTGATTTGCATATGGCGATTGTTGCTGGTGATATGGAGATGTGTCATCCATAGGCGAAACATGATGGTAAGGTGTATTCGCGTCTGACGATGACGTCGATTTTCGAATAGGATTGTTACCTGGATTCGTAGTCGAATGAAGAATAGGTGTTGATTCTGCTGATGATGTTTGATGAAGTACAGGCCGAGGTGTCGATGGTGCATACTCAAAATATGGTGAACTTTGAGATTGTTGTTGTGAAGGTGGGCCTTGCTGCTGCGGTGGAAAATTGAATCGTTGCGATGGAGGATATCCAACCGATGCAGATACAACAGTACCATATCTATCAAAAAGAGAATCGTCAGTGAATTACAGTGGATATCCATGGCTATATCTAGAGAACAATAGTTTACCCAGGCTGTTGTTGTTGTTGTTGTTGTTGCATCGGTGGTCTTTGTAGTTGTTGCTGTTGTGGTGGTTGTGTGGCATACGATTGAAGATGAAAAGGTGAAGCAGTGTTCGGTGTATTGGCCATCAAATTTCCACTACCAGGCGAATACATTTGTCTTGCTTGCTGATACATATGTGGTGCCGAATGATCTTGAAGTTCAGTTGGATGAAGAACAATAGTAGTGGCTTCGTTCGTAGTCGAGGACGAAGGCGTTGATGAACGACTTTCACTACCAGCTCTACCATCATTGTTATTGTCCTCAGGTTCACTTGATTGTTGCTTCGAAGAATTTTTTCGTTTAGTACCTTTGGATGTTACAGATGATTGACTGCTGGTACTTTTCAATACACGTCGTTTCGTACGATTCAAACGTGCTTGTTGTGTATAGTTTTGTTTGGCGTCGGCAGGAACTTTTCGCCAGATCTTTTTCATCTGTTTGAACCGTTCGTTGAAATCTTAAGGGAGAAAATTTTCATTTTATTGAAAGTGAAAACAAAATACAGATAGGAAAATCATAAATAATGAAATAATAAATATCCGTTTTCCCTAGATTTTACTCACACATAGATGTATAATGAAAGACTGGAAATGAATCAATATTGAAAAGGCAAGGTCACTGATAGATCAGTTATACTTACCAGGAAACTGTTGTTTCAAATCAGGATGATTAACATTGCAATAGAGCACGTTAGACATCGTTGCATTCGTACCCAATAATTCATCTTCGCGTGTTCGCTCCATCAAATTACTATGTTCGGCAGTAGATGAGCCAGATCGATCTTGTGTTGGCGTTGTACTCGCTGGTGTAGGTGGCGTAGCCGATGACATCAATGGCATACGTATCATGGTTTGTTGCTGAGGCCAGCTTTGTTGTTGTTGTTGTTGCTGCTGCTGCTGCTGCTGCTGCTGGGGTAGTGGTGGCGGTGGTTGTTGTTGTTGCGACAGCATCATTTGATTTGCCTGTAGTGAGTGGTCATGAAATCTACGACAAGAGCACAAATGCAATTAATTAGATTTTTCAATGGTAGTTTTCTATGCGGTGTACATACTCTTGCTTTACAAGAAGTGTAGTATTGGTAATATTCGTTTGTGGTAAGATCGATGCTGTATTTGTTGTATGTAAACCTGTCGATTCCATCATTTCCCTGGCTAAATTGTTTATAATCTGTTTAGAATTGTCATTCACATTCGTTGCCATAACAACAAGATTTGATGTCGGAGTAGCTAGCGGTACTTGAGAATTTCCTGCGTGATGAGACACTGAAGTAGACGTGATCATCGTCGTTTGATGAGATTGTATGACTTGAACAGAATTATTTGAGTTCGATACCGAAGGATTTGGATTCGTCGGATTAGCATTATTGAGAAGATCGACAGCTACAGTAGAGATATCGTTTTGGCTCTAATTCATCAGCTAGAAAAATTCGTATTACCTTGTAATTCATTATGTGTTTCGGGATGTTCAATGAATTCGAGAAAATCTTCGATATCCGTAGGACCACCTGTAGAGATCGTGAGTAAGTAATTTTTCAAAATGCAAATTCGATTATTGACTTACAAAGTGGTAACATGGGATCTTGTGTTGTCTTCGATGTATTCATCATATATTCGACAAAATTACAAAATTCTTCATTGTCAAGAATAGCTTCTATCAAAAATGAAAAGAAAAGGAATGATTTTTCGAACACAATATCCTGTACATCACTTACGCATATCATTTTCATCATCAGCAGCTACTGGAATCGGCGGTGGTTGAATTGAGCTAGACGGTGCTGTCACAGGGGCTGCAGGTGGCTGGCGTGGCTCTTCTTTTGCACCTAACGCTAATTTGGTTGCTCGTTTGATTACAAAACGATTGATTGTATCATGATCCAATTTGATCGTATATTCATTATTATTTGACGTATTCATAACTGTTGTTTGATCATTTAATTGTAAAGGTGCGATAGGCATATTGTGCTGAGCCATGAGACGGCTCTTCTCGGCAAGGCCGCATCCGAAGAAAGCTTCTTGCATTTCTGGTGGCATGTGCTCTTCGAGAACGCTTTTCTTTTTCAATGGTCGACGATCACGTTTACGTTTGATTGTAGAAGACTCATCGTGAGCGTTATCATCTTGACCAAGATCCGTTGCTGGTACATCTTGTCGACGACGTTGACCACGAATTTTCACATGAAAGCCACCAATACCTATTCAATAGATTCGCATGAAATTCTCGACCTCCGTAATTACTATTCTTTTTCTTACCAGTGTAACCTTTCGCAGCTTTGGCCGTAGGTACTGTTGCTGTTGCTTTTTTCGTTCCTTCATCATCACTCGTTCCACTGCCGCCACCAGTGACGCTATTTCCTAGCATCTCATCATCTTGAATTGAACTCGAATTATTTCTCTTTACTCCGCCCACAATGTAATTTGCTTGGCCACCACGTTTCAATTTCGAATTGCCGGTCACAGCGATAGCAGCTGCCGCTTTTTTCGGCAATGGCTTTACACGAATGGACTTCAACTGTGATAATCCAGTATCAGTGAGATATACACCTTCGTCTAGTTTAGTTGCCTTTGGTGTCGGTAGTTGTGGCTGAGATCCAATGGATTGATTCAATGCTGACAAGTTTGTTGCAACGACTAATAATGGTGCTTGATCTGATGGTGAAGAGGACTTTGGTGACGACAATGATGGCAGTGTTTCATTTGTAGATGTTAGCAGTGAATTTGGTCGACATAATGAGCAAACGAAATCCCCCGTCGTTGATAAAGTTGAATCTTCTGATAAAATATGTTCACATGAACCATGTAACCACCGATCGCATACAGTACATTGAACAATAAGGTCATCTGTACGATATGATTTTGAACAAAGTGGACAAATGACAAGTGAATGACAGGGCGCACATTCAGTATAATTATTTTCCCATAAACAACATGAACCTGACGGACCTGGATTCGTTGAGCCACATTTCTGACAGCGAACACACCTAGAAGAAGAAAGAAAAAGAATATATACAGATGTTTGTTTCTACACTTGAGGAAGAGTATAACCTTCCTAATGAACTGAAGGCCTCCGAAGAATGCAGAATGTGCGTCTACTATTCCTCACTAAAGGTAGAGAGCCATCTATAGTTTAAGATTGTGCCCTCCATAGGATATGAGGTTATGGGTCAGATTCGAACGTTGAGCCTTCGTTTTTCAACGTTCTTAACGAATTCGATCAGATTTTTTAGTCATCTTACCATTGACATTTCCAATTGCCTTTTGGAACTTGATCAAGTGGTGGTTGCAAACAATACGTATGATAAGATATATCGCAATCATCGCATAGCAACAGACGAGACTCATCCGTCGGTTTTCCACAACCTTCACATACAGTACAATCTAAGCATCGCCAGCCTTGTTTCAGAATGACTTTTGATAGCTGAAAACCAGAGAAGTGTAGTTAGATAGTATCATTCATCAAAAATCTATCGAATTACTTTAATTGATCCGGCGCAATATGAATGGTAAGATTGACCACATTGTGTACATGAAATAAGACGTCCTTCTTCGTCTAACCCAAAACTACCACAACTGACACACATATCTTGTCCCAGAGTATACAATTCATCTGATGCGCACAACACCGTGACAGCATGATGTTCATCGTCATCACGTTTCACAGCTCCAACTGTATATGTGCTGCCTGTGCTTCCACCGCTCGTATTCAATAGATTCATTTGTATTGTTGCTGTTTCATCGACACTCTAATTTCATTGGAAAAACAAGAGGATATATGAGATTTTCATGAACAAAACAGATCTCACCGATGATTGTGTAGGAAGATCTTTTCGAATCTTTGGTGGTCGACCACGGCAACCAGTTCCAGTTGCTGTGCCAGTACGTGACTGATTACTAGTTGTTGGCTGAGTCGTTGCTGCCAACGAAGATTGAGGCGAAGATGCACGACGATGACCGTTATTCAATGCCTTGTAAGAAAACAATTCGCGTATGAAAGAGAACAGAGACTGATTGATGCTCATACTCGTCTTGCACGTTTTTTACTAATTTCTCCACCGTAAGTACGATTTTCGAAAACCGGCTTTCCTTTACCAGATTTCTGACTTGTTTGCGTGCGCAAAGACTTCATTGGCTGCTGGAATACTGGTTGATCATCATCTTCTTGTTTAATAGGCAAACTCATGGTCGTTGCCATAGGTAAATCCATTGAGTGTTCTGACGACTCATCTTTAATACTAGACAAAGATTCGAAAATCAGTGGAGCTTCTTGTTGTTGGCTGTTGGCTGTCGTCGGTGTGGTCATTTCGCTGCTATCACCACCACCTGGCGTATATTCAAGTGAAGATTGTTGACTATAATCAATACTGCGACGTTTACGCGTCGATATACCACTTGCCGGCGAAGTTCCCGGTGAATTCTGTACATTAAAAAAAAAACAACCGAATTGCACATAAATTTCCTGACGATGAAAACTTACACTTGATTTTTGTGATTTGCTAATAAATCTATTGATTTTCGACACTGATGTCGATCGATAAATTTCCTTTTGATCATCGTCATCATCGCCTTCATCCATAGGTAAACTTGTGACTGACGATATTGAACATGTTCGACATATGTAAGCAGTATCATCATCGTAGTAGTCATCGTTGATTGAATGACATGATGAATGTATTCGTGTTTGACATGAATGGCATTGTCTGGTACTATGTTTCGAGAAAATCTCATTTTGGCACAAAGAGCAAATTGTTTTCGTCGTCGGCGTCTTGTTTGTTAACGACAAACAACTTGAACAACTCCATCCGTCCTTCGGTATCGATTGGTTTCGTAAACAAAATGTATGATAACCTTTATCACAAACATTACACATAATCATTTCAGCGTCGTCGCCTGACTGTCGACACGTTTGACAAATTTTGCAGTCAGGACAACGCCAACCTGTTCGAACGACACGATTGGCTTCAAGCATCAGACATTCAGCATGATAATGTTTATCACAATTTGTACAAAATAGTTGTCCACGAACGTCGCCTGGTTCTGAACATGCTTCACATGACGATGATTCCACACCGACTAGAAGATTTCGAAAATAATCTCCGAGAAGTGATTTCATGAATGACTTACACATGGATACAACGGAATCTAGATGTTCCGGACAGAGAAATGCCGATTGAGAATGAGAGAAGAAAGAACCAGATGACTGAGCACATGGTAAATGATATTTCAATGAACAGGCTTCATTCCGACACGAAAGAGATGCGCCATAACGATCGCATATTGTACATTTCTACAGATCAGACAAAAGAAAATGTCAACACTCGTATAACAACGAATCCTCATTTGTCATATGATAATGACATTGATTTCTACCTGATTAGTAGCATTGATAACAGTCGTACGAATATGATTCTGATCGTTGATTTTATCACCGTCTATTAATGACCATTTTAAACATCGCTCATGTACCCAAAAGTTCCCATTGGTTTGAACATCTGCTGGCGATCGAAAGCCAACGCTGAATAATTCTGAATCAACTGGAACAATGATTTTTCCAGTTTCCAATATAAAATTATTTCGCTTATCGATAGGAATATCTCTGAATGAAGAAAAGCAAAGAAAGAAGTAGAGCGAATGTCGATCGAATTGAATTACTCTAGATTTCGAGATGTTGAAGTAATGATTGGCTGGGATTGTTCTGGAGGGGACTGGATTAAAATCAAATCACCTTGCCCAAGACTACATTGTGACGGACAATTACAAAATAAACAGATTGGCATATGATTCGACGAAGAAGTCATTGGATAATCGAAGAGAGAAAAAATAATAGACTGAATTATATTGAATGACAATTACATATAATAGTGGTGGAAATTGAAATCATTCGAAATAACCACCCTAGAGCGAGAAAGAGAGAGAGAGAACCATCAGAGGAGAGATCAATGTACCAAAGACACTTACACTGCTCATATGAGCCTCATCTATTTTTCATTTGCAGCAAAACAAAAAAAAACTGCTTTTAAAAGAAAATTAATAATAGAACAAGAGACAAGATCTAGAAGAAGAACAGAAAAATCATCCAAGCATACGATTAGTCGCATGTCGACAGAGAGATTCACCTAAGAAAACAAAGAAGAACGGCGGCCATTTTCCGACGTTTCTCCTTTGCTCCTGAACGAGGCGGAGGAGAGAAAGAACAACGACCAATGGTCAATAAACTTCCACCAATGCACAGTCGATCAGCAACAGATGGCGCCAGTCGACAACCAATTCTCAGATTTTTCTGTAGATTCATTTATTGAAGTATACCAACAGGGAAAAAACACAGTTAGGTATATGAAAAGAAAAGTCTATCGATTGAACAGTATTAACAGCCAGATGGTGCACATGAGTTTTTACAGCGTGGATTGCTAACTACAGCATTTAATGTTATTGTACAATCATTTTTGGTACCTTGTGTACATGCACGATCACCTTGACAAGCTCGCCAAGCTGTCCAAACGCAACAGTTACATGCGCGACAATTAGAATTGTTTTGACACCCTCGAATTCGATTGATATATCCAAGACGATTACAATCTGCCAGTACAGAATGAATGACAAGCAATGCCACGAAACCAACGAGAATCAGAGATCGCATATTGAAATTGCGAGTAGCTATATTAAATGTAGTTGAAAAAAGTTAACCAAGTGCAGAAATCCGTCGGTTTATATAGTTTCGGTATTACTGAGTGGGCGTGTCAACTTTCAGTATAGTTAACTATGGCGCAATAGAAATAAATAGATCGATATTCACATACGCAAATAGTACTTGAAAAAGAAGAATGCTATTAAGATTAATAAATATACGACAGAAATAGTTCCATCATAAAATTGCACTCAACAATTTCGTCGATATCGATAGTGATTCATAAAGAGTGAACTCGGAGTACTCTATCACTTAGAGACTATCCTTTTATTATACGATACTTTGAAACTTGATGACATCGATGAATCATTATTCCTTTTTAAAGTCGTAAATTCAAGGTAGCTACACGTTTATTTATTGATATTATTATTATACATGATTAAATACAGCTTAAATGAGTATATCGAAGACAAATATGAATGTCTAAGTGAGATTTGGATTAGTACAAAAGAGAGAATGCTATGGACCATGGAAGAATTGAATCTGTATGAAATAGTGTTTGTTGGTTTGCGTCATTGAACAAAGCGCACGTCTTTTTATTCAACTGGACAGAAGAGCATGGTGACTTTGGGAACAAGTTTGTTCTTGACGTTTGTTTGTGAAATACTTTCTTTGGTGAAAACGTCGCGATAACATTCGATCTTTCAAGCCGCGAACAGATAAACTTTCATATCCGAGCGATTCATCATATCGTCGTATATAGTTTCCCATACAATAATTTGCTGCAATGCTCAGGAAAAGTAGTGCATAGATAAGATTACGTGCGGTCATGTTTCTTAAAGAAATAGAGTACGAAACTATGGATAATGTATGCCGAGAATGTATTTTATTTGAGTAAAACTCACAGAATTTATACTGCAAGAAGCAGCTATCCACCTCATGTTCGGTAAAGCGATCAAAATTACCTAAATGAATTCAGTTATTGACAGTAGTCACGACAATCAATATATTTCATGCTGTCTATCAGGTTAAAGAAAGTAAATACAAGTCTGTGCTTCATATCTGATCTCACCTACATGTATTGAAAGTGTTCAAAATGATTACTATCGGCTGGTGAGTGATGAGTATAGGAATATTCAGATTCAAAAAAAGCAGATATGAGAATATGCTGATGTTGTCACTTCTGAACATTCGCTCGTACTCAGACTTTCGAATGCTCAACTATTTCTACACTCATTTGGATATCTCATCCGTATTTACGTATAGTTCTTTCGTAATTGGTAAAACATTGATTTCAATATTTCCCAACACAAAGATAATTTTTCCATTATTATTGAAAAGTTTTCTAAAATGGTCATTGGTAGTAGACGTCGTTTATATCCTAGAAAAGCAATTGTCATCTTTTACTCAACTCGACAAAAGATCGCGACGCCGTCAAGAGTAATGTCACGATTACGAGAACCATCAAAAAACATCTTTTATCTTCTGCGTCTGGACGATTGCATTGACCTAAGATTAACTTTCATGTGCGATAAACACTATTGGCTAGACTTTTGGAAATATAGAAGCAATTTTTTTGGTTTTGCTCAGGGTCAGAAGCATGAAACGGGGAAAGTTTGGATAGGAACGATTTGAATACTGCCGTTTGTTCATTGGGCATTTGAACAGAGAAAGATTTCTTGCCGATGTCTGGTCCAATGTTTCCTTCTCATAAAAAAAAGTTGTCATAATGTCTGATATGCCTGCTCAAATAATAACTCATTGTGATGATCAAGAAAAAAGAAGGAAATCTGCCCGAGGACATGACGTGCAATTTCGTTTATCTAAACTTCAATGTATTTTTAATCAGGAAATTTATTCTTCGTTATAACTTCGCGAACCTAATGGTGGAAAGAACGAAGCAAAATGCATTCCCAGTTAATTACATTTCATATGAATGCAGCTTGACATCAAACACCTTGATTAGAAATATCGACGTTCGGAGATGTTCAAAGTTAGAAATATTCAACAGACTTGAATGGACATATGGTACACTGCTTCACCTTGAGTTCATCAGTGTGTTTATCAATCCGATAAGATCTGCATTGTATTCATCTTCGACAGGCATATATCATTGATACCTATCTACATTTAAGTAAAAATGCATTAGTATTGTCATGCGTATATATACATGACAAATCTTTGAATAGAAGTCATTAGTTCAAATAGTTGAACACAAGCAATACACTGACCAAAAGATATTCAAGCGTCTTTAACGAGGAACAACATGCATCTTTCCGCAAGTTGTTTGATTGGAATACTATCTAGTAAGAAGTTCTTTATGAAAATAGCAACATTCCTGAATTTGTTCTATTTCTGCAGCTGTACTGGCTATTCCGACAATTCGTTCATCGTCCAAATGTTCAGTACAACCTTGCGTGAATTCATCGCTGACGAATTGTTTTGCAAATGAAGCCGTTTGTTATGATTATCAAACCAATGATGGCAATCGATATTGTGCTCCAGCAAGTTCTTGTGAATTATTCGAGACATGCAGTGAAAATTATCATTGTAAATCGAATACATCAGTATGTATTGTGAATTCTTGTTGTGCTCAACCGATATGTCTACCATTGGTCTTGGTCGAACTATGTTCTTCTGACAAACAGTATAGACCAAGAAGTATGCGGGATTAGCTATTTAAAATCTCATCGTATACTTGGATTTTTAGATAATGGTATCCATGCTACTACGGCGGTATCAAGTACAACACAACAAATTGTACCAACTGGTATGTTACACTTTCTAATCGATCGAGAAGTTTATATTTCAATCAATTTGTATAGGATATGTTGAGACATCAACGGAATCTATCAGCATAGCGCAAACTAGCACTTCGGATTATTTTACTGTACCATCCATAAGTATGTTTTATGATCTCTACATTTTCTAGGAATCTATGAAAATATCGCTTTTTAAGCTCCAGAGATTTTCTCCTCTTCAGTCTTCCGCCCGAAAATCTGTTCCACAGCATCGTGGAATCCTATCGGAATAACGGTTGCATCATTTCCCAATCTTCTTGTAAATGACTTCTTCGTAAATCAACACGATGAACTCTATGTTCCAGACAATCAAAACCACCTCATTAGAAAATATTCTCCACATAGTAACAATCAATGGACTGCTGCAACTGCCTCCAATTTTCTCGATGATCCCAGTGAAATCTTTGTTGATCTCGATGGGAATATCTACATTTGGGATCGAAAACATTTTCGTGTCTACCTTTGGTCATCCGCAACGAATACTACTAAAACACTTCTCTCTTTCGATAACTGTCGAAAAGCTGTGGAGTTCAATCAGATCTGCTTCGGAACATCAATATTCGTTGACAGTAATCACTCCATTTATCTATCCGAAAGTTCAACAAAGTATCATCATGCAAACCGCGTAATGAAATTTGAAGCGAACAGCACTGTTGGACAGGTTATCGCTGGAACATATACAACAGGATCGAATAGGAAGGAATTAAATCTCCCTCGCACTGTCTTCACTGACTCCGAAGGCGTATTATATGTTGCTGATACGGCAAACTCCCGTATTCAACAATTCGTCCCGAATGATCGAAATGGTACAACAGTCGTGACTGCTGATGGTCTTACAGATTTTTTGACTGACCAAGATGAAAACTATTTCCTCTTGATTCAATCGAAGAATCTTCTCCAAATAATGAATGTTAAATCTGGACAAGCATCTACAACAAACGTGATTACCAATTTGAATCAACCAACACGAATTCGTTTTGGGAAAGACGGATCCATTTACGTATTGAACGAAGGTGATCACATAATACAAAAATTTGAAATTCGAAACAATAATTGTTAGCCGAAACAAACAATCTGTCCTTTATCCTGTTGAACTCATTCAGAACTTTCGACAGTGTTCTTTTATTCTGACCTGTTTTTCAAATTTTCTCCAATAGAAGTTAATAATAATCAAGCGGAAGTTCATTGCTATTTTTATTCTATTCTATATATATACATATACTACATAGATAATGATATAGTTAATTAGGATCTTCATATTCCATGTTTGAATGAGACGCTAATTGATTCTCTTGAAAGTTAAGAGGACATCTTGAACAACATACACACTTCCATCGTTTCCAGCACTTTTTCACGAAAACAGACTTCACCTGTCGACGAAAACGAGATGAACAAATCGCGAAAATGTAAAAGCTAATCTACAAAGTACCAAGCGTATAACTTGAAACGAAAAAGACAGGACCTTACCGAAGAATTCAAAGCGATTAAAAACGTAAATATGCATTGTAATAATTGCTCAATCGCAAATATCATTGGTTTATTTCGAGGAACCGAGGAATTTAAAGAATATATTCGAAAACTAGTATAAGGTGTTCCCAGACAAACAAAAATAATCACACGTGTAAGCACAAGTGTAGTCATTTGTCGATCTAGCCGACGACGGTTAATAGAACTTTGCCGTCGAATGATATGACGTACGTTACGAAAAGCTAATAAACTAAACACTGATGCCGTGAAGATCGGCAACAGACCAATGAAGACTGGATAGACAAAATATGTTACATACTGTCGATAAATACGACTTGAGAGTACACACCCATATCCAGGTTGGATATCCGAAAAACATCCGAATAGAATACTATGGGCAATCCAAATACACATGAGTGTGGAAGCCACATATCGAGTCAGTTTCAATGTACACACTTGTCGGAAATGTAAACGACAGTTCGTTGAAAAATATTGATCGATTGCTGCGCAACAGATCATTGAATAAGAGATTAATATCAGTGCTTGGAGTAAAACATATCGAAGTTTACACCAAATTGGATAATATTCTGTCGCATCGATCGAGTAAATCCAGATAAGAATATTCAAACTGATGATATATAAGAGAAATAAAAGATTCGAGATTGATTCAATGGTTAAGTAGAATGCAGATCGATTACTTCGGAAGATTTTCAGTTTCGTGAAAACCAGAATATTCAATAAATTACCAAATATGCCTAACGTGAGTATGAGACAACTGCTATAAAGTGAATATTTAGTTATAAAATCAAAGACGCTGTCAGACGCAGTTGTATTCATGCTCGGTTCGATATTCGAGAAAGTCTACTAGAAAGAGAAAGACGCCTTCTCTTAAAGAAAGTTTATTATCATCTATTCAAGCCTTCTTTCTATATTGACGGTTGACTGTCATGTAGTATGTTTCCTCTCTATCAATCCGCCTATCAAATTAACAAAATTGTTTAAAAATAGTAATACAAAGTACAGATTCGACAAAATTAGAAACTCTCCTACTCCCTACAGTTTCAAAAGATATCGTAGATCGATCTATTTGCATTTGAAATGATTGCATCTTCATTACTCGACGCTGGTGCAAAACGTTAGCGTCATTCTTAACAACCACTTTACTGCATAAAAAGGTCACAGCCATCAAAAGTACGAATTCGTAACACTTTATTTATTTGTTTGTCTGATGTTTTCCGTCCAATATTAAGTATATCAATCAGATAAGCAATAATCAAGAACAGATTGTATATCACGAATACAAGTTATACTCAGTAACATATTCATTCGATAGAATCATATTCATTGCACGTGAAGTTATGACAAGTTGTGTCTTGTTCTAAAAGAAGTTCTTCAATAAATATAGGGTCCTCTGAAAATCACTGAAGTTGGCGAAAAATTTGAATGTTATCATGACTCTTCGCTTCAAAGAATTGAATTTTTTTCTCAACGCAGAAGATAGGTAGTAGACTTTATTCATGACGGAAAAGATCATTTGTAGGAAGAAGCTCGGCACACTTTTTCTCAATACCAGACCAGGCGGTTGCGATGAGAACCTGCTTATCATTCTAAGTAGCTTTATATATAGGGAAGAAAAGTGTGCTGAGCTCACCTCCTCAAATGACCTTGTTCGTCATGAATAACACCTGCTACCTGTCTTCTACATTCCGAAAAAAATTCAATTCATTTGATTGACGACGCGTCATGAAGATGTTCAGACTTTTCGCCCACTCTAGTGACTTTCTAGATACCCTATATATCATTTCATGTTGTATTACACGATTCATGCATGCGTTCTATCAATTCAGAAAAAATCGATAACGATACATTTTTCATCGTTCTGTCCTACGTCTACCGTTTGCATGAAATGTGTGTTTAATCAGGCGAATCCTACTCATATCTATGTTACATTCATTTACATACATTTTCATAAGCGTACATTTATATCATGCTCAACCAAATATCACCGAAAGGGCCTGATCCAGTAACGTACTCATGGTTTCTCTGTGGTTCTCCATGGCCAGTCATTGCAATCACCCTCGGCTATGTCATCTCTGTCCCATTAGGGAAAAAATGGATGGCCAATCGTGCGGTGCCATTCAATATGCGATCAATTATTGTCCTATATAATTTAATCGCCGTTATTGTTAATGCTTACGTCGTAGTATTAGCAGTCGAAACGTTAACTTTGAAACCGTATCGCATCTATTGCCAACGTGTCATGCACAACAAAGAAGATCTTCCGTTATCCAAGGCAGTTTGGTGGTATTATATCTCGAAAGCATTTGAATTTTGGGATACATGGTTCTTTATTTTGAATAAGAAATTCTCTCATATTAGTGTCCTGCATGTTTATCATCATGCGACAATGTTTCCCATTTGGTATCTGGCAACGTTAGTATTAATTTTGTTGATCAAAAATGATTCATCTCTTCTTCTCTTTGTAGACGTTATACACCTGGCGGTGAAGTGGCATTACCCGTAATTGTTAATGCTTGTGTGCATGTTGTTATGTATTCTTATTATGGCTTAGCTGCTATGGGTATTCAACGTAACCAATTAGCTCGAGTTAAACTTTTCGTAACAGTTATTCAGGTAAGATTCGCTTTGGTTTTTTCGTTCAAGGTTCTATTTTTTTCTTTCTTCCTCTATAGATAAGTCAATTTGTTGCTGCTGCGATTGGATGTATGTTTCGTTTTCATACGATGTTCTTTAAAAAGGATAAAGCATGCTATGAATTTCCTGTTCTATTTGTTTTAATATTTCTTGCGCATTCGACCTCGTTGCTGTTTCTGTTTCTCAACTATTTCTTTCAGGAGTATGTTTGGAAACGCAATTCGAAACATCGTGAATCAAGTTCGAAGAAGAAAAATGGGTACATTACAACTGACAAGCGTGACTAGACGATTCGTGACAGATCTTTCGTTTCTCAGAATTGTTTTGCTCTTTTCCATCGCTTTTCTATCTCAATAAAAGAATTTGTAGTGAAGACTTCTTATCATTTTGTCTTTTTTCGTGTGATGAAAAAAGACGAAAGAATACTGTGCTTCAATTAGCTGTCTGATAAGTTGTCATATCAAATTTGGTTATTCGGAAGATAAGAATGAAGAGTTTTGATCTTACTTTTCTTAAAAGAACAAGAAGAAAACGAATCTTTTAGTAGAATGACTACAGTCAATGTAAACGATGTTGAATTAAAGAGTATTATATGTTACTCCGATCTTACCGAAGAACCATTGGCTTCATTTTCACCCGTTCAAGGCTATGAACATATGCCCTTAGTAACGCTTGAAGAAGCAGTTCAGCCATTACTCTCTATTGTTCCCGATATCGAACAAATGCTTGGCACAGTCCATGAAACGTCTCGGGATACGCAGGATGGATTGACACGCAATGAATCAGCGTCGATCATATTGTATTCAATCAATTGGCAACCGAAAGAACATTCATTCAATCTCCTTCTCAATCGAACTTTACGCGACCAGAACCGCGAAAAGTTAAAACCGTGGCTTCTATATTTGAAATTGTTTATGACTTCACTATCGAAGCTTCCATCTTTACATTGTTATGCATATCGCGGTGTACAAACGGATTTAAGCGATGTATATTCTCAAGGTAAAATCTTCACATGGTGGGGATTTTCCTTATGTAGTCAATCCATTGAAGTCTTTGACTCTGAACAAGAGAATGAAACGCGGACGCGATTTAAAGTCGAATGCAAATCGGCGAAAGACATTCGCCATCATGTATTCCATCAAACAAAAGACACAATTCTTTTACTATCATCACAGAATTACAAAGTCTTATCGAATCTTGATACTGGAAACGGTCTACACACGATTCATGTCAAAGAAGTCGACTCATCAGCAAGTAACGATCATCGAGCATCGATGAGTTTATCATTTAGTCAAAGAATACCGTCTCTAAGCATCTCAATTCGTGACACTTCATTCTGTTCAGTAGTACTAAAGCTAACGGTAAGTATATTTTGAAGGTTCAAACTTATTTGCTTCTTTTCTTCGTTAGGGATCATCGAAAACCTACCAAAACCCACATTTACAAGATCTATTAACTCTCTGCAAACCGAATTGCATCATTGACTTATCTGTACATGAATTGATCGATCAAGACATGTCAATCATCGTTCAACGAGCTATTTTAGATAAAAAATGTACCGGTCTTTACTTAACTGGAAACAAACTAACAAATCACGGTGTTTCTTTTCTTTCCGATGCTTTGTATCACAACTTCATCCTCACTGAATTGGATCTCTCCGATAACTACATATCCGACGATGGTGTAAAGAGTCTGATGAACGTCCTGCTGACCAATAAAAGTAAACTCGAAAAACTCCATTTTGGCTCCAACCAAATCACCGATCAAGGCCTACAATATCTATCTGATATGTTGAAAACGAATCGCTCGTTAACACATCTAATGTTAAATCGTAATCAAATTACGAATCACGGTGTACATATCCTATCAAATGTTCTAGCACTGCAAAATATCTCATTGGAAGTTCTATCACTAGCATCAAATTCGTTGATTACAGATCAATGCGTCGATTCGCTGATTTTCATGCTTAAACATAACGAAACATTGAAAGCATTGGATATGAAACACTGCTCGATATCCGAACAGCATAGCCAACGGCTACAGCAAGCTGCGAATACGAAGAATAGTTTTAAATTTTTTTCAAGTCGACAAGAAAGTGCATGTATCATATCATAGGGTTGTCTTTTTTTTCGGTCTTTAGTGAAGGAAAAAGAAAAGAATGGGTGTAACTTTATCGCTGCCTGTCTACGTGATGAATAGAAATAAAACAATGAATCATTCATGTTCTATTCTTTTTCTTTCGTTCGTCATTGCGATATGTCCGCAACGAACAACAGTCGATCTGACGAGCACTCGATTGCTGTTTATCTTGACGATGATTTTGACCCAAGAAACGAAATTATCGTAGGTGAAAATGATTACACCTAAATTTCTCTCACATGTCTGTCAATTTCGATTTTTAGGAATCAGGACCTTCTCCGCACACTAAACATGAGATACAAGAACTAATCGAAACATGTTATTCAACCAGTATCAGTTTACTGCACGAACAGCTGACTGATTCTGATATGCCAATTATTGTCGATTCAGCAATTATTCGGAAGAAATGTACTGAACTCAAATTAGGATACAATCAGATAACGTCCGAAGGGGTGAAGACTTTAGCTGATGCTCTAAAGAAGAATTCAACATTAGAACACCTGAATCTTTTTCATAATAACATAGCCGATCAAGGTGTATATTATCTTACTCAAGCACTTTTATCGAATGAAAAATCGAAAGTTAAAATGCTTTTCATTGGTTATAATCAAATTACAGATAAAAGCATTGAATATTTATGTAATTTATTGAAAAGCAATAGAAATATTGTCCATTTAGGGCTATCAAATAATGAAATCAGTGATCGCGGGATTATAGTATTGGCAAATGTGCTGACTAATGACAATATTACTCTAAAAGAATTATATTTATGGGGAAATAAATCGATTGGTGATATGTGTGTCGATGCATTAGCGGATATGTTGGTTTATAATCGATCATTGATGAAACTTGTTCTGTTTGATTGTAATCTATCTGATCTGAGTAAAGAAAGATTAAGAGAAGTTGTACAATCAAGGAAAGATTTTGGATTGTTCTTATAAAGAAAAATATTTAGACACTTTATGCAAATATTAAGTTAAAATTTATAGAAATAAATTTTCCACTAATCGTATCTTCTTTATCAACTTGCTTGTCGCAAAAAAACCGTCTTTTATAGATCAGCTCTAATTTACATGATGAAAATAGAACTTTCTTTCGGTATTATATTTTGATTGATTGATTTTGTTTTCTGAAGAACTATCTGGGTTCATTAGGCTTCCGATGGAAATTCATCTGAACATAACCGTACGATGTCATTACTTAGCCTAACGACTCCTGTGCCTTTGGAACACATCAGAAAAATAATGTGACGTAACTCGCGGGCTATTCTCGTATCGATGTGAACTGAAAGGTTTTCATCGTATTCTATCATTCTTAACATGATTACGATAACGAATCATCCTACGTTCGCCGCACTTTTATGCACATAATTAATTAGTCTTTGATTGTTTTCATCATTCAACATAGTTAGATATTTATCTCTGATAATTTTAGTCTTATAATGAACGATCATATAATTTTTGTTTTGATTAAACCGTTATTAATGTTTACAATAGCGGAATGGTGTAATGAGTATTGTAGATTCTAATTGCCTTTCAAAAGTCGTCCTTTTGCTTTCCGATGAGACGAATTAAACTTTAGAAAAAGAGAATTCAGTTAAAAGTTCTCCTTATTTTCACCTGACAGAACCGCGTAAAGTAGTTAGAATGACATGCGCTGTATGAAAAGATCGTATGTAATTCTAGTTCTTCTATTTATGAGGTTTCTGTCGAATTAGACCAGGCAATTCAGAAAGAATAAAAGAAAACTTTTCGTGACCCTATTTTTATATCATGTAAGAAAATCACAGATAGAAGGATAAAGAATGTACTTGTCTAATTCGACCTGCTTCTTTTGTCTGCCGAAGGAAATAATAATAAATTCACATAGATTATTGTCCATCGGGTCGTTTATTTAACAAATCTATGCAAGTGAATATGTCGTTTTGACTGATAGTTCGATTTTATCGTATTGAACTTGTAATCTCGGCGAAAAATAATCGGTTCGTCGATGGATTGAACAATTCATCGAGTTGATTATTCTCATAAACTCTTGTCGATATATGTTTGCTGAGAGAATGTAGAGAAAAAATGAGATAAAGTAGTCACCTTGTTGCCAGGTCACACATATTAAACGAATGGCAATGATTTTCGGTATTTCTGTTGATGGGACAAATGAATTTAAACTGTACAAAATTCCAAACGGAAGGATAAATATAAAATGGACGAGAACTTGTAAGAATAACATACGAGCTAGCTGAGTTTCGGTGCGACGATGGGCGGCAGTGGAAATCAACGGTTTGATGCGAGTGGAGCGTTCGTGAATGTTATAAATAGTCAAAATACCAAAAATAACTAACAAAACTGGCGAAACAACATAATAAACCAGCACTTGACTGGATATGTAGATCTTAATAATCAAATTGTTCTGTAAAAAGCACTTTTTCGAAGAATCATTCCAATGATAGATAAACAGCATCGGTAGCATGTAGCACAATGAAAATAGGATCGATAGAACGATATTTCGTCTTGCTATTAATATTGTATTCAACGATTGCAAGCGATTTAGTTGTATGCTTGCACAAAAACGATCGAACGATGCTAATATAATCATCAAATTCGCTTGTAATGGTATAGCAAACAGAAAATACGCATGCAGTTTACAAGAAATCATGTCATGGATTAAGTTGACCGAGAAACTTCGAGCGAATTGGATCGGGCACAGTAAACACGCATAGATTATACTTAATATCGCATAAGTGAGGAAATAATGTGTACATGGTGATGCTCGTAGTGCAGAAGAAGACAGAATGCGGATGTTTAATGCATTTGCTAGTACTGCAAGGACGAAATGTATCGGTTGAATGTAAATGTTTGTTTGCAGAACACGATCCACAATATTACTGCTCCCATTCATTTAGGTAGAATATATTTCTCTAACGTTTGGAGTAAACCACCATGACTATTGAATGTTCATAAATCTACAATTACTTAAGTAGGGAACTCGGCACACATCTGCTGACACGACACTGGTAGTCATCTGCGCAAGAGGAGAAAAACACATTTTTTTTGCACAGAAAGCTCAGAACGATGGTTAGGAAAAATGCAATGATTCTGGAAGTACGTATAGGAAGAAAATTTTCTTTGCTAGACTATCGTTCTGTTTCATCTCTCATTTATAATATTCTCGAGAGAAATTATTTCGTTGTGCCCTTTTTTCAACTAATAAATCAATCATACGACGTCATTTCATTCTTATAGCTTAATAAGTAAAGTTTGACGAGAGAAGAAAACGTTTCAAATACAATTTTACTCTGTCCTCATCAATGTCATACTTAGACAAATCGTCTTACGCAGAACGAAAATGCAAAAAACGTACCACGTGACTACTAATTTGTATATATATATATGTGTGTATATACTTTCTTTTCTTACTTTAACGTTTTACCAGAGAATATTATGAGCGAAGGTGCAACGATAAGTATTCTTGTTTTCGGTATTGACAGCGCTGTGACGGATAAGGTTAGTGCTCGCCTTCAGAGTCAAGGTGTTGATGCGCGATCGCTGGCAATTTCGAATACTCCGGAGAGCGATGCTGAAATACAACGTGTTGCTGGGGAGAAGAATTGGAGCGGTTTGATTGTCGGTCATGGAGTACGGCAGGATCAAGAATGGTTCGAACGAGTTATGAAAATTGTGAATGAAGTCAGTCCAAATATATCCACGGTGAACACGAAGGGTCCGGATGACGTAGAAAATGCAATCGAACGTCATTTTAATGTTAAATTACCGTTGACAAGGGCTTAGTTTGGCAAAGATTAACGACTTACTAACATCTTATTTTACATTTTACAAATTAATAAATCCTTTTGAAAAATAAGAAGCCTCGTTGAGTTTTTATCTTTGTTAATCCATTGTTATTTCACCGTTCGATCATTTCATGTGTCGTACGAAATTTATCGTACGTTGAGCATTTCGATTTCAAGGACTTTCTCAATGCTTTTTCACTAGTATTGATTGAGCTAAGATCAAATCTGTTTATATCAACATATGTTACATTTTCCGTTCAAATACTTACAGCTTACTGTAAATATTATTATAGAGAAAAGAAAGTACCTATGACTCATTCACAACGAACATACGCATTTTGTCTTTTTTTCTATGTTGATTGGCCGGACATTTCATTTTCTGTTTACATACCAATGAGTGACTCTACACAAGGTCGTCCACCCTATCCACCTTTTACACGAGAATCTGCGATTCAAAAGGTTCGTGCTGCTGAAGATGCTTGGAACAGCCGAGATCCTCAACGCGTTTCATTGGCTTATAGTGAAGACAGTCAATGGCGAAATCGTGCTGAATTTGTCAATGGCCGTGGCGAAATCGTTGAATTTCTGCAACGAAAATGGCGAAAAGAGCTTGATTATCGATTGATCAAAGAGCTTTGGTCGTACGATGGCAATCGAATTGCCGTACGTTTCGCCTACGAATGGCACGACGACTCTGAAAATTGGTTTCGATCCTATGGTAATGAAAACTGGGAGTTTAATGAACGTGGATTGATGGTTCGGCGTTATGCTTGTATTAATGATCTACCAATCAAAGAAGAAGAACGAAAGTATCGCTGGCCACTTGGACGACGACCTGATGATCATCCCGGGCTAACCGACTTGAATCTATAAACTGTACGAAGAAATATAAGAATAAAAAGATCTTTAACGTTTTTACAATTATTTTCGTTGATTATTCACTGAGTTATTCATAGTCTCTTGAGGTTCAGTCGGAATACATTTCGTTTCCTTTATTCAATTGAATGAATGGAAAAACAATGTTGTCTAGTCTATGAGGAGTGAAAACAAAGCAATTACTATTTACACTAAAGTTCGTTCTGTGGCATTGCCGAATTAGAGTTTTTACTCATTCGCGGTACTTTTACGGGTCACTGATCACATTTTCGTCGATTTGCATTGTTAATTGCAAATATTTTCGATATGATTTGCTTTCTAACTCACATACTATTCAGTTGATTATCGGCATGTCTATTGTAACGCGCGAACAGATTGAAAATACACGTAGGTGGGTAGACGCATTCTTCAAAGCATGTGATTCATTTGATGTCAACGATTGGATTACTGACTTTTTCCAACCGGATGCAACTATTCATCTCGGCAATCATCCGGTCATGCAAGGACACGAGCAAATTATTAAGCAATATGAAGGCTACTATTCGTTTTTATCATTTGTTGAACATACAGTTCAAAGTGTGGATATTTCAGCGGAACGGTGCTATGTTCGTGTTCGAGTAGCATCAATTTTAAAAAACGATCCGGAACAACTGCCGATCGTTCTGGAAGGATTGATGATTATTGGAAAGAAATCCGACGACGAAAAATTGGATTACTTCAATGTTTATATTGATTCGATTCCTCTTTTGAGAAGATTTCAGATGTGCATGTAGCCTGACGATAGCCTGTCAAGCAAATTAACGGATATTTCAGTTGTAATAAAAAAAAATGGGTATCTTTTGTGCGACAAATTCTTTCAATGAATAGATATTCACTGAATCCATATTCGAATGTCAGTAACAATGTTTGTACTTCGACTAATTTGGCATGTTGATGATAAATTCTCTTTTAGCCATTCGATTAAAATATCTTGTTGCGATCCACTGGCGAATTCGTCTTCTTCCAAAGGATCGTTTGCTACTCGAACGATTAACGTACATAGATTAGGCAAATTGTCCACCAAATCAAGTACATTTTCTTGATTTTCTACTTTTATCAATAGAGTTTTACATTGCATAGCCAATGATGATTGGGTAAGCTGCAGACATTGATCATGATCATAACAACGCCAGTCACCATTGATAGTAAATCCTTGTACATCCAGTTCTTCAACTGAACTACAAACTAACTCTTTTGATGGTGTTTCACAATTATCATTTAACCATATTCCAAAGAGTAATTTATTGAGACTAGTTGTTCGCTCAAGTAAGATTTGTAGTTGTGATTGGATTGTGTCACGATCTGTATCTGCTTTCGTGCTAATATACAGAGTCTTCAGTCGATCGAGTCTCGGAATGATGTCGAAGATTTGTTCATCATATGGAAACATTAGCGAAATATAGGTAATATTCGGAAAACGAAAGTGCGAAAGAAAAGAATCGATAAAAGACGTCGAATTGTAACGAATATGTCGAACGGTATTCACTGTTGAATATTCAGTATCATTTGGATCGGTCGATTTTGCTAGAATACATTTGCCATCAGTATTGAAGTTGTTGAAAAGGTACGGTAAAGTAAAAATCTGAATATTATTCGCTTGTAGTTCTTCATCTGACGCGTACCAGTGATATTGAACAAACCAGCGACGTTCTTCGATCCAAAATTTTGTTCGAAATGTATCTAGCATCTCGTTCATCTGAGCTTCTTTGTCTACACAGTTCGGTGGTGGGACTTTCATAATAAAAGCGAACGTTTTCAGATCAGGTAAATATTTTCGAAATATTTCTTCCCATTCATTTCCATCAACAAAACAGCGATATAATGATATAGTCAGATGTTGTAAACGAGGTAGGTTTTGTAAAAGAGTTTGCAAAATCGTTTTCTCACAATGAAATTCGAGTTTCAATCGCGTAATCGACAAAACTGGCGATGAAAATGTATATTCATCCAAACTTGCCTCTGCGAAAACTATCGAAAGTTGTTGGAGATTCGGTGTATGTTGACATAAACGACCCAGTAACACAAATGAACATCTAGTATCTCTAATAGCTAAATATTGAAGTGATGTTGACACTACAGTTGGATTGGGAAAGAAGTTTTCGAAGGCAAAGCAGATGCCGAAGTAGCAATAGGTCAGCTTTGGTAAACTCCATATTTTATCGAAGAAGTCTGTACTTTCTTCCTCTGATAGTGCTATGTAGCATTCATAAAATTTTAAACGACAAAGGCAGGGAAGTGATGAGCATTGCGTCATGAGCTGCTGAAGTGTTTGTTTCAAATGAATGTGTGTGAGAGTAATGGATTGAAGATGTGTTAATTGATGAATTTGAATCGGTAGAGAAAAGAAAAGGCGAGTCTGATCTGGTGTGCCATCGTCATCGGAGAGGCGGAGAGAAATGGTTTGATTTTGAATTAACGGAAGATAATTTTGACAAATCTGATGGAATTCAGCTTTGGGCATCGATTGAAAGTTCAAATGAAATTTTCGAAATTGAACATGAAGTAATTGATCGAACCGGGTGTTTAATCGTTGAAATGCACGAAAAAGATCGGAAATTGATAGGTACTCGAATAAATGAAGCAAAAGTTCGGTAGGCAATAATTCCAAGAGCATCGTTAGCGAACTTTTCGATTTCAAGCAAACGTGAATGTGTTATCGTGCAATTCTTTTTTTTTCTACAAAAGATAAGAACATCAAGATCGCTTTTTTCATTCGTGCCAAATCTAACAAATGACATCGCACTCCAGTGTCGTATGTGATGTGTCAATATTTTCTCTTTCCTTCACTTCATATCGAATGATAAATCTTCTCAACTGAAGCAAATATTAGAAAATTTATTTATCGAATCCATAATCGAATATCACCGATTCGATACGTATCTCTCGTAATCACACATGATCTAGGCACGCACTCTTTCAACCATTCGATCAAGTCATCGCGAGCCGATGATGATAAACTATTCTCCTGTGTCCATCGATCATTTTCACATCGAACGTTTAACGCTTGAAGACGTTGCATTTCTTTGACCAGATTATATATGCATATACGGTTTTTGACTTTGATCAATAAAGTTTCACATTGAACTCCTAATGGTGAATGAATCAATTCAAGGCATTGCTTCTCGTCGAAACAACGCCAGTTTTTACCGCAAATATATCCTTGAAAATTCAGTTTCCGTATTGTTTTATTCACAATATTCGTAAATAGCATTTCTAAACTCGTCGAACCCCATGATCCAAAGCTTAATGTTGTCAAGTATTTTGCTCGATCTAATAATAATTGCAATTGCGATGGAATGCTACTCGTATCTTTATGCTTATTAATCGAGACAAATAATGAAACCAATCGATCGAGTTTCGGAATAACTAATAAGAATTGTTCGTTATAAGGTAATGATAATGACAGATGTTCGATATTCGAAAAGCGTATGCGAGACATGATGGAACTGGTGAAATGCGATGAGCCATAGCATAATTGATTCACTTGATCATAAGACCAGAAGCAATCATCCGATGCACATGTTGATTTCGCTAAGATACATCCTGTGTAGCTAAGAAACTCTTTGAACATATAAGGTAAAGTGAATAGATCAATGAAATCTAAACGATACTGTTCGTTGGATGCATACCAATGGCATCGAACGAACCATCGATGTTCTTCGATCCAGAACTTTGTTCGGAACGAATCGAGTATCTCATTCATTTGCACTTCTCTCTCAGTATCCAATGTCGGTGAAAATCTCATTTTAAAACGAAATCTTTTCAAGTTAGGAAGGTAACTCGTGATCAATTCTTCCCATTGATATCCATTCATGTAAAGATTACATGTGTCTAAAGTTAAATGACATAGATTAGGAAGGTTTTGTAAAAGATATTTGAGAATATTCAATGAACAATCGAATGACAGTTTTAATCGTGTGATTGAAAGCATGGGTAATGGCATATTGTATTGATCAATGTAATCGATATAAGTAATGGATAGATATTCCAGGTTTGGTGTGGACTGAAGCAGAAGTATCAATGGATTTAAATAGCAGGATATGTTCGGAATTGATAGAGATTTCATCGATTGGGAAACGATTGTTGGCGTTGGAAAATGGTTTCGGTTAGGAGAATGAATATCGAAGTAACATTGAGTTAAGTTCGGTAAACTCCAAATTTGATTGTGCAAATGCTCAGCTGTTGAGTGATTGATTGATACTTGACAATTGATGATGGATAGGCTGGTGAGAAAGGATAGATGAGAACATTCGGTAAGAAGTTTATCTAGTAGATATGACGAATGAATATGCGATAAGGAAAGTGTTTGCAAAAAAGTGAAGTTTTGTAGATGAAAACCATAGGAAATGAAGAGAGGAATTTGTTGAGGAGTATCATCATCGTTTGCGAGTTGAAGTGAACGAATTTGCTTGGCGAATAAAGGCAGATATTTGCGGCAAATGATATCGAAGTTTGTTTTGGATATTCCCTGAAAATTCAAGCGAATATCACGACAATAAATCAGAATGAGACTTTGAAAACGAAAGTTAAGATTCTCAAATGCTTGAAATACATCCAGAATAGTCAAATAATCGAATAATTTCAAGAATAATTCATTGGGTAAGATTTCTAAGTTCATGGTATCCTGATCAACGACGATTTGCGAAAATAGAGATAATCGTGCATAACCAAAGAGAATATGAATGCAGATATTGTTATCATTGTTGCCTCTTGTTGATGTGTTTTTTTTCTTTTCTTTTTATTCTCAGGATGAAAAGAACGAAAATTTTCATTGTCTGACCTTTGCATATGGAGATAGTTGAGAAAAATAACCTTTTCGAAAAACCTTAGATGTTCTCACTCAAGACCTTTTGTTTCTTTCTCGATCAATTTTCATTGACATTAAATGAGATAATTCTTTTTTGTAGATTTGACTTCGTACACAAAGAAAATGCATGATGTCTTGTTTTTAGTCATGTTTCGCTCGGTATACATTCTTACGATGGTTCCTCGACATGACGTCGTCGAAAGTAAAATACCTCTATTCTGATCACATGATATTTAGTACGTGAGATTGCATATGGGATTCTGATTTACAAAGCAATAGAATGCAAATAACAACGTTGTTTATCTCGAGTGAAACCTGTAAAATTTAATAGTAGTCCCAGAAAAGCTATACGATCGGTAACGGCGTATAAAGTAATTATTAACACGTGGTATGAGTCATTGACCAACAGTTTATTTTTTTATCTTGCCTTTCTGTCGGAGGGAAAAACAAAGTTATTTTGTGCAAAAAAAACAATCCGATGCAATGGAGAATTTGTGGAAACGTGTCGCTGAACTATTACAAAATAAACATTTTGCTAAATATGCCGTAGATTACGATCGTCGGCCGTTGATTAAACTTACTAATGATCTGAATGGTCCACGGATGCGATTGATACATTGGTCGACGCTTGCAGCAGTCCAGAGAATTCCTCACAGTGATGAAAACTTAGCTGTCGATGCTCTAGAAAGTATCGACGCTTATGGTGTACATACGTGCGAAATCTTCATGGTTAGTCATCGATGGTTACGACCACGTCTTGACTCATCTCAATCCCATCCGGATTCATCGGACAACGTCAAAGCTCATGCGATCAATGAATTTACGAAATGGCGACAAGAATGGATAAAAAGCCAATACGGTTTTAGTCCTGAAATTTTCTATTGGATTGATTTTTGCTGTATCGATCAGCATGATCTAACAACAGCTATTCCGCTACTACCGTTGTGGGTGGCATGCTGTGAACGATTCTTACGTATCGAAACTCCTGATTATTTCGAACGAGCTTGGTGTCGATTAGAACCGTTACTATCTTATGTATTTCAATTTGCTGATCACCATACGATTATTCATCTAGATTTTAAGTATTCGGAGGACGAATTCGATTCTGGTAAGAAGGTCGAACCGTTAATTCTTGATCCGTTGGAAGGGCTCACTACAGATGAAGCAGATTTACTACTCATCAAGCCAATCGTCGATTTAACAAAAGAAATTCAGATTGAACAATGTCGAAGGAAAGTTGATTTCGGCAAAACAACAATCAAATGTTTTCAATTGTAATCGAAGATGAGTTTTGAGTTTATTTTGTAGAAAAATCATTTATGACATTCTTCTGCTTTGAAATCTTCGTACGTTGGTAAAGTCGACAGCATCTGATCTTGAAAATATCCGGATTTGCCATAGATAACAAGTCGAGGTGCTCTTTCGTAAAAGTTCTGCCACTGTTTCGTTGACTCAGAAGTCCAATTTTTAGTTAATAACCAGTCCTTCACCTGCTTATAATCGATTGGTCTATAAACAGTTATTTTGTCAATTATTTTTACAAAATAAACAATACGAACGATGATGTATTCATAACATCTTGCCAAGCTGAATCATGATTGAGCGTCACACATGCGTATAAGTCATTCATACGAGGGTAGTATGTAAACATGTTAACACACATTTCATCTTTGGTACGCTCACCACCCTTGACAATAAAAACAAGTCCAGAAACAAAAGTTTCCAATTCAACTTACTAATGTAACATCGTCTTTATTCATTGTATTATAGATACATCGAGTAGCAAACGAATCACCCTAAATAAGGATAAACGCATGATTGAGTTTTAACAGATTGGATAGGTTTTTCGTTTTACTGGATAAAGCTTGATGGGTTTTGGTAAACGATTTTGAAACTGATAGTTGAAATCATACGATTCAGCGTTGAAAAGATATTGTACAGCTGTATTGTTTCGAATTATTTTCGTCCAAGTACTTGATCCTAATGATAAATGACGCAATTGATGAAAATATTTTCTCCTTTCATATTTACCTTGTAAATGAGTATGTGGCAAAGCAAAAATGACATTGATACCCGATTTCGGAAAATTCTACTCAACAAATTTCACTTGAATCAAAAGAAAATCTATAGATACTCACACGAGTTGCTTCCGGTGGACAGAACGAATCGGTAATAAATCGCTCAACCTTTGGTGGGATTGCAAGACCGGATGGTGTTGAACCTATTCCAAATGTTAAAAAGCCGAGATCGTATTGACGAAGTTCATTGCCAAGATAAAATCGTATTCCTGAACTATCACGGCGATCTTGAGAGACGGAAAGATATAAGTTAACGATTTAATATTTGATATTGTGATCTAACTTGATGATAGCCGAGGATTATCGTAATGCATTTGGATCATATAGTATTTCGTTTCAGAATTTCCTCCAACAGCATAGCCAGCTTCTTCGGGAAATTCTCTCATCTGAGTGAAACGATCAAAGGAGAAGCATACGTCGATATTCAACTTACGACATCACCACCAACAGCCCACACAGTAGCAAAATTCGACGAACACAATCGAATCTCGTCCGGTATACTGTCACAAAGATCATCAGGTAGGTTATTGTCATCGAATGTCGCTGTTGGGTCACATTCATACAAGTCCAAATGATGAACAAGATCAATATTGTCTGGATCGATTAATATCTTATGCTACAAACATCGAATGCACGACTGCTAAACATTTACATTCAAAGATACAACATACAGCAATGGCATGGCGTTTGTGAGGATACTGACTTGGTGCTTTGTAGATTTTACAATGATAAGTCGTGTCATTCGATGGTACGATGTACTAAATATGAAATATAGTATTAATAGGAAAAGATTAAGAAAAACAGACGTTATCTGAGCGAAATTCGAATGTATCCAGACCAAGAAATTTTTCATCAGCAGGTGGATCAGCGTAAGAACGAAGTGGTAACATTCGACTATTTCGTCGGGTACCATGATACATGATATCTACTTCTGGCCGATTGGAATCGAGATCAACAAGACCATAAGCAAATATCAGAATATTAGTTCCAGACTTCAGCAAAAGAAAACTGTCAAAATACAGAATGCACGAATTTCTTCTCACTTTTATTGGTACATCCATCGAATCACAGGTATGAAGTAAACGTTTGAAACGAATCGCTGTCCAGCCATCTTTCTCTTGTCCTTGTAAGACAAACCAGTCTTGAGTTGTGTTATCTCGCATTGGTCTTGAATTTGCTGTTGAATACCGATCCTATGGAAATCAATTTAAATAAGACAGATAACGTTTTTCTGACCAGCTTACTTGAAGAAAAACTTTACCGGATGATTCTACCCATCCAATAGCAATATCAGCACCTTTCATACCACCAGCTAAAACCAACGCAATGAGAAAATCTCATATGAAAACGTTCTTACCTGGACTGATGCCTAGTGCAATCCAACCTGTACTTTTCATATGTAATTCAAAAGTAATTTCTCGTTCCGCATCATCAACTGTCCACCAAAGATCAGCAATATCTTTTTGCAATTCAGCAGAATGTTTATACGTAACAAATGGTGCGATAGGGCTGGATAATCCTGTACATTCTTCGAGAATAACCCAGCAAGCACACAACACTATGATCAAGTTTCCTGACATGATTGTTTTCTCGTAGATAAATAATCGTTCAACTAAACCATCGATTTTATTTTTTATTATTGCTTTTTATCCAAATGTTAATACTTCTTGCTTATATTTACGTAAGAATCATAGATGTCTTAGTGATATTTACGATGTAAATTGGCAACATAGAAAGTCGTTAGTGACTAGTCAAACTATTTGTTCAGGATTAATCACATGACTCAGCTGAATATCAAGTCCTTTTCCCATAATACTTTCTCTACCTCAACGTATGGTTTATACTTTAATGGCACGAAAATTGAGTTTTCTTTTTTGAATAAACTTTGCTGCTAATGTTTTTTCGATGTGCTATTCGAACGAGTTTTCGTCAAGCACAACAATTTACATTTAACGTGGGGGTTAATCGATCCTGTGATGCATTGACTTTCATCTTCGCACACACCTAATTAGACCCACTACGTATTTAACCGAGAAACGCTGTACGGATAATACTTTCTGACTTTGAATCAAGATTAACTGTCTCGAAATAGAACTAGTTTGCGTAAAAGTCATGGTTGCATGTGATAAGATTATACTGATATAAATATCAATGTTTCAAAACAGAAATTTTTCTCATTCTTTGAACATTGATTGTTCGCTATTGAAACCATTCGCATTGCAATGTCTACGGTAGAATATTTGAATTTCATCTCGCAACAAGTTCACATTTATTTTGGTCTAACCATCTTGATCTTAGGAGTGATCGGAAATATCCTCAATGTCGTTATCTTTACAACATTGAAAACATTTCGCGAAACAGCCTGTGCACTCTATTTAACAATTGTTTCACTTGTTAATATTTGTCAATTGTTAATTGCATTGCTTATTCGAATACTTAGTGATGGATTCAATATGGATATACGAAAACGATCGTCAGTGTGTAAAATTTATATCTTTGTGATTGTTTGGTGTTTACTAACATCAATTAGTGGATTGTGCTTAGCGACCATTGATCAATGTATATCAATGACGAGATATCGTCGGCTTAGTAACTTACCCGCCGCACGACGGAATGTTCTGATCATTTGCACTGCATGGAGTCTTTATAGTATATGGTTTAATCGTTATTGGGATGTTTCTTCCGGGGATTGTACAATTATCAATCCAAAAATCGTCATATATGCCACGCGATTTCATTTTCCGATACTTATAGGTTGTTTACCGATAAGTATAATGGTGACATTTTCGTTATTAGCATATTATCACGCTCGATCTTATATCCGGCAACCGATTAATATTATTTACTTGAGCCGTGATCGACAATTAACCGCAATGACATTGATTCATGTATTGCTTTTCATAATCACAACGTTACCGTACGTTATTTTTTATATTTATTCATGGTATCGAACGGGCCAAGATCCGACGCAAATTGCTCTACATAATCTTCTTTACGCAATTATAATTCTAATCGACTTTGTTGTTTATGGTGTAAGTATCCATTTCGTTTTATTTTGGATCAAATTTGTCTATTGAATGTTAGGGTTCATTTTACTTGTACTGTTGTGTTTCGGAACGGTTTCGAAAACAATTTATTTATGTATTAGCTAAGCTCTGTATCAATCCATGCCAACAATGGACTCATACACAAGTAGTACCAAGAATGGAAGTGCTTCTTGACGGACATCATGCACGGACGAGAACAATTCATGAAGCTATTTCGATGCCGTGTAGAACAGTGTAATAATCAAAATTCAGTGTCGTGCGTAATCGTCGATGTATTCGGAATTGTTTTGTATTTGTATGGAATTGGTGTTATTGTGCTAAACTTTTTGTATCACAATTGTTCGTATGTAAACTCAATCAAGCTTTTCTTTTCTTTTTTTATTAAAGTACACCTGGTTCATTTATGATTTTTCTCTCTGTTGAGATTCAATGTTTCTGAGCTTTGCGTGTTAATAAATCTTATCGTTGAATAGTGAGTCAATATCGAGGAATTTTCACACGCAATGATTCTCTTCGCATAGTACTGCATACTGTAAAATATACGAACATGTCATGTCTTAATGAATGATGCTCGACGTAGAGAATCAGAAGTAGAGTAGTAGGAGTGTTGTGCAAGAAAAAGTAATGCAAAAAGCACATAGAATAGATAAGCAGTGCATATATTTGCCATGTGACCAAAGAACAAATGACGTCTGAATGAGTTGAAAAGGAGACAAGATCAACGTAATTATCGAGGATTAATTGAAGTTTTAGTTACAAATACTCAGCAATACGATGACATATGATTCCACTTCATTGACATATTGAAAGTCTATCGAGATGTTTTCGTCACATTCATTTTCATTTTAAATTCAACGATGTACAAAAATGAATCTATATCGAATCTATCCACTTCTAGGGTATAGAGAATACAGGCAGCGTGGCCGAGCGGTCTAAGGCGCCGGTTTAAGGCACCGGTCCGAAAGGGCGTGAGTTCGAATCTCACCGCTGTCACTACTTTTTAAAATTAATCAGCCGTATGGATAATTCGGATTCTTACGAACTTCATCTATGGAATGTGATCAGGCAGCGTGGCCGAGCGGTCTAAGGCGCCGGTTTAAGGCACCGGTCCGAAAGGGCGTGAGTTCGAATCTCACCGCTGTCACTACTTTTTTACTGCTGTAGATTATTTGTAACCCTATTGTATTCGATGGATAAACCATTTCGAATCTGTTTCAAAGACTGGATTAAGAACAGGCAGCGTGGCCGAGCGGTCTAAGGCGCCGGTTTAAGGCACCGGTCCGAAAGGGCGTGAGTTCGAATCTCACCGCTGTCACTACTTTTTTATGAATATTATAAAAATACACATGATCATCGGTATCTGACATAATTTTGTGTCTAAAGAATAAGTCATAGTACAAAACGTAATGATCAAGTCAAAATTATTCTTCATTATTCATTTTTGTTGCTCTTCGCTTATTTTATTACACATTCTTTCCGAAATGAATCATCCGACTGAAAAAGAAAAATAGTAATAACAACGTGTCAAAGGATAAGCAAAGTAAGACACAACACAACCAAACATGAGTGATTCTGCATGTTTCGAATCTTGTCCGAATGAAATTTTTCATGAAATCTTCGATTATTTTTCACTCCATGGCCTCTACTATTCTTTTCACGGACTCAACCAACGTATAAACCATTCACTACAATCAATCAATCGTCGTGAACTTCGATTACGATCAACTGATGACGAACCAGAACTACGGCTGGCTCGCTTCTTTTCACCAACCATCAATGTCCTAACCATTTATGACGATTTCGCTATAAATTTAAACCAACACCCAAAATTAGATTCGCTAACATATGCCTATGCAACTACCGAACAAATTGAACATTTCATTCGGATGAAGTCTCTACACCAACGTTTAAAATACTTGAATATCACATCTGACGAGTTAACTTTATTCATGAAATATCTTTTTTCCAATAAATTCTTATCGCTTCGATCGTGTACCATACGCAATATCGATTCAATGACGAAATCTCCATGGCGGATATCACCGTCTTTATCTTCAATAATTACATGTGATCAGAAGAATCTCCTGCCATGCATACTTCAATCTTGTCCAAAACTAGAACGTCTTTCAATAGCTATTCATCGCTATTCGACGACTGATTCAACCTTATTCGTTTCCAGTCAATGTCTGACTCATCTTTCTATTGAAATTATTCAACCAGCATGGACAACCATAGCCATCAAACGCCTATGTTCATCCATTCACTTACCAAATCTGACTTTCTTCCGTATTTGTTCTCACGAGTCATCTGCCAATCACTTCGATTTCGCTCAATTGATTCCAGTTTTTCAAAATAAATTGCCTCGATTGCAACAGTTTCAATGCGATATTCTTTTCGCGAAAGAGGCCCAAATAGCGGACATAAAATCCATACGAAATCTACATCCGTCGTTATTTAAACTTCTCGAACTCGATTGTCAAATCGATGGTGTTCGAAGGATCTATACGAATTGTGAAAGTGAGTCATTAATCGAATAAAACCATCTTGTCATGCAAGAAATTAGTCGTTTCTTTCTCTATGAATAAAGTGATAAGAAAGTAAAGATATGACGACTTTCCGTGCATTTGCTGATGCTTGTTTTTTCTGTCGCAAAAGAATGATAAAACAAAAAGGGCGAACACTCTGTTGTTACATCAAAGACATAGTTTGTCAGAGTTATGTCTGCCGAAGAGGATGTTGTAAGTAACAGTGTCACGATTCATAAGCATTTGCAACGATTGAAAACTGAAGTGAAAGAATTGTTTACTTTACGTCCCAAAGAATGGCTTAGTGCATTTCGTCCTAATCCACAATATCCACTATTCGTTCGTGGTGATATTGATGGTTTCGTAGCATTCTTCATCAATAGTTTATCTACATTGCTAGCTGTTATATTGAGTCTCCAACCGATTCTCGGCAATGATATTGTCTATGGAAAAATTGTACCTGGGTAAGTAGGTAATTATGTGTGTAGATCAAATTCAGATGGCTATCAATTGTTTAGAACCGCTGTAGCTATGTTATGGGGTAATTTTTACTATGTCTACATGGCTCGAAAACTTGCCTATAAGGAAAAGCGCGGAGATGTCTGTGCAATGCCATATGGTGTATGTACACCAGGTGCATTTGCTTTTATTTACGTCATTATTGCGCCGACCTACTACGGATGCATAGGTACACATGAAAAACGTTATTGTCAAGAATTAGCTTGGTACGTGGCGCTAGCCAGTAATTTCATTACTGGTGTAGTTCTTATTCTACTTTGTATCTTTGGAGAATTTATTCGAAGAAACACGCCTAGTGTAGCTTTGTTATCATCGATATCCGGTCTTGGATTTGTTATATTGGCTCTGAATGAATACTTACCTATTACAGAAACGCCGATCGTTGCCTTTCTACCGTTTTTTATTGTTATGCTAGGGTATTTCGGTGGAGGTAAATGCAATTGTTTTTGCGTAGAAAATTTCATCCGAATCTCTTTTCTAGCTGGTTATGGCCCAGTTCCAATTACGTTGGTTGCTTTATTAACAGGTACCGCACTTGGCTGGATAACTTCTGTTAACAAAGGATCCAATGTACGTGATGCAGTTGATCTTGTCAAAGCTTACGCACCAGTTTTTCCTATTAAAGAAATGTTTGAACAGATCGATACGATTGGTTTGTATCTCTCAACGACGATTCCAACAGCTATTGCTATCGCTATTGGAACAATTCAATGTGTGGAAACAGCAAAACGAGCTGGAGATTTCTATCCTACACGTGAAGCAATGTTCGTGGATGGAATTGGAACATTGATAGCAACATTTTTTGGATCGATTCTTACTATGACAGGTCAGTAGAATTGACCAATCTCACAAGCATATGTACTGATTAGATTTTGATCCATTATAGCCTATATTGGTCAACCAGCCATGAAAAAAATGGGTGCTAGACAAGCGTATTCGATCGTTCATGGCCTTGTCTATATGCCTCTATGCTTCTTCGGTTTCAGCGGCATGCTAATGTCTATTATTGCTGTGGCAGCAATCAATCCTATGGTGGTAAGTTTTGACACAGTGAACTTGAACACCAATGATCTCTTTTGTAGATTTTTATAGGTTTAATTATCTGTGCTGATACACTAGCGATTACTCCTCAACGTCATTATCCTGCTTTTCTACTTGGTACAATGTCAGTTGTTGCCGATTGGGCACAGGGAACAATTGCTAATGGTGTCTCGAATGCGTACGCCAACTTCACTCTTCCAAATGTTCAATTCTCACCGAATGTTACTTCCGCTATAACCGGTTTTTCTTACCGTGGCCTGGTGAATTTCGCTGGTGGATCGTTATTGCAAAGCGTTTTTCTTACTGCTATTTTGATGTATATAATCGACAGAAAATTTCTTCGAGCTGCGGTTTGGTCATCAATGGCAGCTTTCTTTTCTTTATTTGGTTTAATTAATGCAAAGAATGTTGGATTATTGGTAAACAAAGCCGATGACGGGTGGAAATTTACAGTTGCATATTCCATGCTAGTCGTTTTCTTTCTTTTATTGGAAATTCTTCAGAGACGACGTTGGATCAAACAACAAGAAACAGAACCGGATGATCTGTCAACCATCGAATGGGCAGAATGGAAAAGGCAACAAGCATTAGAAGGATTGAATGGGGAGGAAATACTAAACTCCGCTGCTTAGTTCAAAATTTCATTGTTTGTTTTCTATGCTACATCAATTGCAATAAACAGCTAAACTTGTCCTGTTGCAAGAAAGTGTTTACAGACAAATATCGATGATAGTAGAAAGAAAGAAAGAAAAAACACGAGCAGCGGCACAATGTATGTCACAGACATATTTTTCTCGTTCTGCAATATGAGAAGAAAAAAGTAGTGACAGCGGTGAGATTCGAACTCACGCCCTTTCGGACCGGTGCCTTAAACCGGCGCCTTAGACCGCTCGGCCACGCTGCCTGTTTTCATTACACTACCAAATGTGTTTTTGACATTCCTATTACTACACAAATAGTATTCAGATAAAATACTTCCACCGAGTATTATTTGTATCATTTCGATCTTTTACAAGAGAAAAAATCAAACTACGCACAAGTATGAACAACATCAGTTTTACTGATCAATCGATACATTTTTGGATCAACCAACGGTAAACTAAGAGCCAAAATAACTGCATTTATACTTGACGAAAGCCAACCGATCGAATTCATATTTGGATCTGTATAACCTTTAGGTAAGAAAACGAATAGATCGATGAACAACGGCAAGGACACCAGACTTAAAATGGTAATAATCATTATAATACGACGAATGACAACAAAATCCCGACGGTTTCTCGACTGATTAACGCTTGAAACTGCAGCTGTACGACGTATTTGAACAACGATACATATATAACAAATTGAGATAATGGACAACGGCAAAATAAAGGCAACGATTGGCATGTAAATCAATGAAGCAAGTTCATTATACGACGCTGTACAATATGGCTCATTAGGAAGTAGATAAACAGCTTTAAAGCCAATCCAAATTGGTAATGTAGTAAGAAACCCTATCAGGTAGTGAATTGGAATGAATATATAAACATATGTTGTAACTTGATGCAATCGAACGTAAGTTGGATAAATAACTCGTGTAAATCGAAAAGTGGATTTTAGAACATAACTCCAGTAGAGTGTACTGTGAATGGATAGAAGTATATACGCACGAAATCGGCAAGAAAATGAATCATGAAATTCTTGTGGTGGAAAATAATTCTGTTTGATTGTATTTAAATCAACTTCGAAAAATTGTAGTATGCTGCGTGTAATCAGAAGAATTAACGTGTTAATTGCAAGGAAGATGCTTGTTTCCGATGAGAACTTCTTCCGCTGGAAAGTATTGAATCGAAAGAATTTATAAATGAACAGACAGAGCAAGACCAAAGAGAGAACAAGAGCTAAAAGATTGGCTATTGTCGAAGTGAGCTGGCGAATTTGTCCGATTACTGATGAAGGTGAAAGAACGGTCATGACGTGGGTTTGTAAGAAGTGTTCTTTTGTAGAATAAAATATATTTTTTGAAAATTATGATTGAAATTTACAATTAGTGTCGAAAAATTTTCAAGAGACCTACAGCTTCATCATGAAGTGTAGATGCGGATGGCAAAGAGATGCACAGCACTTGAAATGGCATGTCACTAGAAGTGCAAAATAACAGGGCTGATTCATTTACGATAATGGTTCTTATTATCACCTTTGCGAACACAACATAGGTACACGAGACACAAAAAAATAAATACATCTAAAACTTGTGTGTTTTCCTGATCAATCCATAGAGTCAGCTTCAAGTGTTAAAGTAGTTTCAGTTTGTCTAACAAGCGATTGCATTAATTCCTTGTGTTCTTGAACTTCTCCCGATCGTGAAATACACATCGATTGATCGAGAAAGTTTTTAAGTAAAGTTGCAAATCGTAACGAAGCCGTCTCGTAACCAAATCGATAGATCAGATATTTAAACAAGATTTCGACATACATATTTTGAATGCAAAATAAATGGATGCTGTTGAAAAATACTGAATTGTGATCTCCTATCGAAGACGAATCTAAATATCGACAAAAAGTCAACTCCGTTGCAAATATCAATGAAAGACTGATGTAAACTTACCCGTTTTCGATATACTCTTCGAATAATTCACATGATGTGTAGTAGAGAATAACAAAACGGGCATGAACAGTTTGATAATTGTCATGTCATGTTCAAGGCGTTGAGCGATCCGAATCGAGTCTTCGGCTAACGACGATCCATAGACTGATGGAAAGCCACACGTAAAAGCTGAGCTCAATGTCACGCCCGCATTTCGAAAAATTGGAATGCCATTATAAGCACCAACACAAGACAGATTGCGATCGATCAGTTCGCATCGATCGTTCACAGACAGATCTTGATATTCAGGTAAACTTTCAATAAATGGTAACATCGATCGATAGAGAGATACTAAAATATCAATGAAAATACTTTTATCCTTTTTCAAACGTATTTTTGCTGGTTGCTGCAATTGTGTTGATAGCAAATGCCGAATGTTTTCAACAGGAGATTTCGTATCGTAAGCATTGATCACATTTGATATACGAGTCCACTGATCATCAGTTAACAGAGATCGATTATTCGCGCCAGACTCGATTGGTTTGACCAGAAGACATTTATTTTGACTCTGATGTCGACGACAATGCGGAGCACGTATTAATTCTCTTTGCATATTCACAGCTATGCATTTCTGCAGCCGACAGTAACGGCAAGCACGCCGACTATTGATGTTTATATCACATTTTTCATTGAATGAACATCGATGAGCATTCTAAGAATGGAATTTTAAACAACGGCCTAGGGGACAACGATGATATGAACCTACTAAATCATATTGAACATTTCGACGAAAGAACATTTTACATGAAACACAGCAAACAGCTCCGTAATGAACTAGTGCCCCATCAGATCCACAGACTTGACAAATCGAAGTTAATCTTGATTCTTCTTTGTCTACGGGGCTATCCATCCTGAATGTTGTTGGTTTGCTCTAATCTAAAACAGATACACGAACGGGAGTCGAACTCTGGTATTGACACAAAACATCCGATTTGACTGAGCGTCTCACATACCCAACTGTATAGTTTTAGCAGAAGCTAATTTTCATCTTATGAGATGTTTGTTTTTTTCTTTCAATTACTTTCTTAGTCAATTTCCTCATTTTTTGACAAAAAACAACAGATGAAGTCTTATATAATATAATATAATGTTTTGGTGTGGAATTTTTTCCGTCCAATTATTCCGTTTCTCCGAGACAACCTATCCATTTTCACAAAAACATCCGATCAGATGGCGCTCGTTATTGATAAACATACACTAATGAGAAAGTGCTGCAGGGCTAAGTTTCTCTCTATTGAAATTGCTCGTTGAGTCGGTATCGGTTTTATTGATATGGTTCTATCACACGCACCCGATCGTCTGGATACTGTTAAATGAACATGAATTTTTGATGAACTGATTATCTATTCCAGCTTTGTTTCTCATGAAACTACACTCGTGTTAATGAAGACAGTGTGTTGCTTTTACGCTCTTTACATCGGTTGGCTTTTTGAAATAGGATCTTTGGTCGGCGATTATAATCTCGACGTACGATGGTGGTTGTTTTCAATGAAACTCGCTTCGATGTCATGGAAGAGATCATGGACAAATTGAATCTGTATCTTTCGTTGGTCGTTCTCTTTTTTGGAACAATAGGGAATATTTTGAATTGTTTAGTTTTATCGCGACCGTCACTTCGTATCAATCCCTGTGCACAATATTTCTTAAGTTCGTCAGTCGTCAATATGATTTCGCTTATTTTTGGTTTAAGCACACGTTTATTGTCCAGCTGGCATGTCGATCCAACAGATACGAACGATTATCTGTGTAAATGTCGAGCTTTCATCGTCTTTACATTTCGCACAATTGGAATTTGGTTAATCATGTTCGCAACCATCGATCGATGGTTTTTATCATCCCGAAAACATTATCTGCGCAGTTTAAGTAATCTGAAGACTGTTCATCTCGGAATCGTTCTTTGTTGCTGCATAGCAATCATTTCGTACATTCATATGTTCTTCTGTTACCAAGCAAATCTCGTACATACGCCATTGAAGTGTTACGGGAAGACGATCTCCTGTCGTTTTACAACCGATTTAGTTTATGCATTGATAACAATACTTATTCCGTCGATATTGATGATTAGTTTCAGTTTATTGATTATCAAAAACATTCACCATCTGCGTACACGCAAGCAACATCTAGCAGCAGTCTCAGTGGAGAGATTATCTCGACCGCGCGAGACGAAAATTCAACGAGTTGACCATAATTTACTTCGAATGTTACTGATTCAAGTGTTTCTTCTTGTCAGCTTTTGTTTGCCACAAGCGATACAAAAATTCTATATTACCTTCAACGCAACATATGCACTTCATGACTGGAAAGATAATGTCAGCCGTTTTCTGTATAATGTCGATGTTTTACTGGCTTTTGTTGCTAGTGGAATGCCGTTTTATTTGTATACATTCACTGGTCGAACTGTTGTCCGTCGAGAGTTTTTCGCTCTAGTAGGAATTTTAATCCGCAGATTTGGCGGTGAATCGATTAGATCGTTATCTTGAATAAGAACTTATTCTTTGTAATAAAAACGATAGAATAGATCGAAGTCGAGGATGTCTGATCATACAGAATAATTTATTATTTTAATAAATAAAAAGAAAAGAGATCATCGATTGAATGCAAATGTCAGGGTTACAGTTCACTGCCGATTGCTCAATGCACTACTTTGTATAGAATGCAGAACTATCTAAGCAGGTATTTGCTCAGAAGATATTCTTTATTAGATTATTCACTTATGAAATACAGAAAAAGAAGAGTTAATATTTCATTCGATTCACCATAGGCTGGAAGATTACTCCGCTAAACAAATAAAATAAAACAAACAATTTGTGAGGCTATCTACCAAAGTTTAATTTGAGTATACATACCATTGTCGTCATCGTCGTCTAAAATATCAAAACGAGATCGTGGTTTTGTTTTCGAACTCGAATTGGGTTGCTGTGTTGTTGTAGATCGTTGAGTATCACCGAATAGTTCCTCGAATAGTCTACTAGTTGTTGTATTCGGAGGGCTCGATTCTCTATCGCGATGAACTGCACTTGACAATGGTCTTCGATGTGATGGTTCATCATCGCGTGTTGCGGATGAAAAGAATTGATCGATAGTTTCGTCTTCGGTTGTTTGAGTTTTAAGTGGACGTCCGGATGACTGAGAAGGTTTTGTTGGAGTGTCAAAAAGATTGTTTCGCTCAGTTGACATTCGTGGCGTATACTCATCGTCGAAAATATTAGATTTTGCCTTCGTTGGCGATGTAGGATTGACGTTTTCGTCTTCGGAAGATCCGAATCTTTTCAGTGGCTTTACCGGTGGTTTTCGACCAGAATCAGTTGAATTCTTTTTGCTTTTTGATTGATCCGATGAACGATTTTCATCGCTATATTCATCTTCTTCTTCGTCGTCGTCGCTATAATCGTTGTTTTCTGAACCAAACGATGAATATTTGGCATCGTCGGACACGTTGTTGGCTTTCCTGCTCTCTTGATTACCTTCAGGTGAATCATATTGAGTGTGAGTTATTGGCGGTGATTTTCTCGTATCATCATCTGATGATTGGGATCTTCTCACGTGGCTGGGAGTATCTGTCTCTTTAGGGGTAGACTTTGGCGATCGAGTACTGTCATTCTCTTCCGAGTCATCCAAGTGTTTTTGAAGCATTGGTATAGATTTCATTAGTGAATCGATTTTTGTATTTCGTTGAGGAGTTTCTGGAGAAGAATCTCTTGCATGATTTTGAGTGCTTGCCTTTTTAGGCACGATTTTAGCCGATGGAGTTTTTTGATCGTCTTCCGACGATTCTGATCGTCGCATTGGTTTTGATGGTGATATTCGCCCATAAGTAAGATTATTACTTTTTTTCGCTGTTGTCTCCGATGATTGATCGCTGCCTTCACTACCAAAATGTTTCTTCGACGCTGGTTTCGATGATTTTTTCGTATAAGTCTGAGTATCGGAGTTACCATTCGCTTTAACAGGACTGGCTGGCTTGTTTTTCGATGTTGCTGATGGTAACGAACTCTAAGATTTGGTAAATATCGTGACAGGATAAGTCAGCTAAAAATGGAAACAAAAGCTATTCTTACGTGTTTAGAATTCGCTGTTGGATGGTCGTCGTTCTGAGAACCATCAGAGTTTGATCGATAGGTATCTTCGTGAACGCCTGTTTTTTGTTTACTTGCGTTTTTCTTCGTAGACGATGGTTTACCTTTTGCACTTGCGTGTTGGTTCGACTGAGGTGCTGTCACTGGCCTTGTCGGTTTTTCTACAATATACAGTCGATTTGATTTTGGTTAGTTTTAATCGCTTTTATTAAATTACCATCAGTGTCTGACGACGACGTACGTGATACTCTTGGAGATTGCAGTCGCAGTGTTGTTGAATCACTTGACGAACTGCGTAAGCTATCCTTTCTTCGAGGTTTACGTGTTTCCGGCTGAGGATGGCGCACGGTTGATTTCTGATAACGACTCTGATCTGATGTCGAGGCGAGTTTGTCCTTTCGTGTTTTCTTCTTCTCTCGTTCATATCGGCAACTGTAAAGACATAATATTTCTATAAATTAGAACGAGAAGAGAACGAAAGTAACCTGAGACAAGGCGTCACTTTTTGTACGTCATGAATACCAAATAGGCCATGCTTTCCATCTAATGGGACGTTACGTTTATGTTTATATTCACAGCAAACGGATATTCGACTTTTTACAAGACCATTGACATATAAAGACAATGCGAATGGATAACCTCGATGACGACGAGAAAGGAATTTGAAAGTCCCTAAATCGATTTCAACCCTTATACAAGATAGAGGTAGAAAAATCTTTGCATTACCACCCGGTTTAACATGACCTCTGTACACAGTAAGGTTTTCACCACCACAATGTTGCTGCGAAACCATTATTTCGTCGCCATCAGGTTTAAACCAACAATTGTCATAATCGTACGGACTCTTTGGCCCATAATAGATCATCGACACTTCACACAGCGGCTGAGTTGGTGACTTACATAAAAATTTAGGTTGAAAATATTGATCAAATTGAATTTAGTCACTTCATTTTACCTTCGATCTCGTCGAATTAAAACTTGTTGACTGAACTGAATCTTGTGATCTTTGGTAAGCAGATTGAGCACGTTTCTTCTTGCTCTAAACAAGTGATTATTTTTAAATTGATAGATTTATGATGTGACTAACTGGTGATGGCGAATGATGACTATTCGATGCATCCTTTCGCGACTGTTTTGAGCTCTATTAAAGAATTTCATTGACTTGGATGAAACCGTAGGAATACTACTGAACAAACTTTATTCTTTTCAGCTCGCGATCGTTTCGGAGAGAAGCTAACGCCAGAACGATTCTTTCCTTCGTCTTCTTTTTCGTTATAGCTAAATCAGAAATCACTCCGATTTTATCGATATTCCGACAAAAATTTCAATTTACTAGTTATCTTCAATTTGTTGTTGCGTTACACGTCGTGCACGTGCAACTTGTTCGGGTGTCGGCGGTAAAATATCACCATGACGATTAATCTAAATAAACTCATTCGATTTAATAACTCATTTCGAACAATTCATACCAGTCCGGCGCTGATTAGATACCGACGAATACGTCGATCTTGGAAATATTTGTTGAACATCGCACTTGTTTGACTAGATTTCGAATCGGTAATCTTCTTCGAGGTGAATCAAAGAAACTTACCGTAAGTCGGACATTGTTTCGTGCGTATTAGCCGTAGAATAATGAAAAGAAACACACACTCACGGTTTCTTTTCTGTTTCTAATAAGAAAAAAAAGGAACAAATATCCTTCTGTCGTTCTTTTTCTTCCTATCAACTTGTGCATTGTCAATAGAAAAAAAACTGCGAGAATTTTCTTGATTTGTCGGCACAACAGTCGATCAGCAACAAGCTGAATTTCTTCAGCTTAAAGAAATTTATTTTCTGTTTGCAGAAGAGTATTTCATCAGGCAGTTTCTGTCAGCATAAATAGAATGATTTATTTTGTATTCGAAAACTATTGCGTTGAGTGTTTATTTATTTAGTTGGAAATCAAAATACAAAATCAAATCGATTTCCTTTTGAAACACGGCGGTGGAGGTTGAGTATTTCCTTCTGCTATGCCTTCCACACCTTCACATGCATAATACTTCGTGCCCCATGGAAGCAAGCCAGGTTTATTAACGTAAACATTATCAAACAGGATGTTTAACATCGGATTTGACGAATTACCAAGAATAACACCCGGACTTAATTGAGGACCATTGAGAGTAATATTCCGCAAGACGATGGTGTTCCAAGTGATGCCAATCGGCACTGGACATGGTGTTTTGGGTACGAAAGGCCATAGGAGTGAGCAAGCTTCTTTATAACCAGCTTGCTGAGGTCCGATCCATATCGACCATTGCGAAGCATTGTTGATTAATATATTTTCATACGTTACATTGGTGATTTCACCTGTATGTCCAGGTAGTCCCGGTCGAGATTTTAAGTAGATGCCTTTGAAAGTATTATACATCGTACAATCACGGAATGTGATATTTCGTACACATGTATGTGATGCTGATGGTCCGATGGAACCGATCGTCAATCCAACACCAGATGCATTGATACGTTCGAAAAGCATGTTTTCACTACAAGACGATTGAAAACTACTTGAACTTTGTTCTTTGACCGCAATACAATCATCATCATTCCAAATGTTGCAATCATGTATCCAAACATTCTTTCCTGCGACATCGAAACCATCCGTATTGAACGCTTGTAATTCGTTATGATCGTGATATTGAACATCAGGACGAACGCGTGCATCCACGTCCATATATCGTATTTCTAAATTAGCGATATCATTGGCGAGAAATGTCCAGTATGGCGAGTTTTTCAATAGAATATTTTCAACCAAAAGATTTGTTGAATTGTAAATCGATATTAGTCGCGGTCGATTTTCACCAATCAATAGATATTCTACTAAACCCCACCATTTTGCACCAGATCCATCAATAATACCTTTCTTTCCTCCGGGTAATGAACTTGTGAACTTGACATAGTTTATTTGTTCGAAAAAGAAACATTCATGAACTTGTTGAGTTTGAGGGTCGCGTGGCCAGACAGTCTGATTATCTGAAAACTTCAGAATACCATCGATTTGTATCGTCACGTTGACTAAACCGCGTGCATAGATACCACCCATCAGCCAAAACGTTCTATCTGGTGGTATTAACAAAGTATCACCACTTTGTAATGAGGCAAATGTTTGGTTGAGAAGATGTGCATTGGCCCAACAAGCATCTAGAGAACTGTTGTCAGCAATCCCACCGACCGTTTCAAAATTAATTATTCTATTATTGTGTATGAAGTGAGCATGATTGACGACGAAGGAAGACAAGCATCCAAATGAGCAGAAAATTAGAGCAAGAGTAAGAACGAACATCATTGATTTGCTTGTTTTATTTCTGTGCTAACTAACACTTAACAAAAATTGAAATACACAACACTTTAGAATATTCAACAACTGATAACTCTTATCTTTTCTTTTGCACGGCAAAGAATTTTCTCTTTGTACTTTGTGAAAAGCAAAAAAACAGATTGGTTTATATTGACTCACACACACACACACACACACACAAGTGTTATCTCAGTAAACAACTGCGCACAATCACACCATTGCACGCGTTTCGGTGTTGTCTTGCTGTTTTTGTTCTTCCTCTTGTAACGCTTTGGGTCCATCTTTCTCTTCATTGAACCGATATATTGGAAAGTCCAGGAACACCCAGCGTAACACCTCAGGAAACTTTCGATAGATAAAATTTGGAAATGGAATCAGAACAGATGTTTGTTCAACATAACTTTTGTATCTCGACCAAGCCGTTTTACAGTCCGGATCCTCGTTATCTTGCGAACGGTTCGACATTAGGAAAAATTTCCTTCCTGTTGGCTTCTGTGTCAATGGTAATCCACTAAGTCCAAGGAGAAGAAACATTGTGAACAGTGGACTTAAAATACTGAACCAGAGAGCTATTCGAATCTGATCGTTATTGAGTACGTCGGAGACGGTAACACTATTAACGATAACAAATATTCCCCACCAGAGTAATATTTCTCCGAAATAATTTGGCGCGCGACTAAATTTCCAAAGGCCGGAGCGAATGAATTGTGACTTAGGTGGTTTCGAAAATCGCCAAGCAAATTTATGAAAATCAGCTATAGTCTCACAAAGAAATCCAATTGACCACATGATGATACCGATAATATCACGAGTTCCTAATGGTGGATTTCCGCCACCTTGCTCAGGAACAGATGCTGCCGGTGAATTTAATAGTGTCACAGGAAGAGAAACAGCCCAGACCCAAAGAATTTGAAAAATAAAAAAGCCAGCCATTTTGATCGGTTGTTTTCGTTTATCATCGAAACGCGTATCCTTTCCACTTGATTTAATGACACGAATAAGAAGAAATAGAGCCAGTCGCGTCGCCCATACCTAAAACAATTACACAACATTTTTATACGATACTTTGTGAGATGATCTTTCTACCATAACTAATACAGACGCGATGATATTACGAGTATAATACGTTCCACCTAAGTTCAATGTAACAAGAGCTAAGATTAAGAAATTGGAACCACCAGCAAAATCATTGACTGTTTCGTCACCAAATAGTAACATTATAAGAAATGCCAAAAGTTCTAATCACAACAAAAACGATCAGGAATACGTAGAAATTGTGTTTATTTCAATCTGACTTACGGTAACCGACAGTTATGACTGCAGTAATTCCGAGATAATATTGGTCGAAGATGTAGACTGCCATTTGAAAGAAACTATCAAAACTGAAGTAGTTACATAAGTTTAAATACACTGTATCGACATGGTTATGTAACACCGAACGTGCGCATGCTTGTTTTTTTGTTCGTTCTATTTTTACTCTTATTTGTCGTTCTCTTTCTTATTTTCAAAGGAAAGGATGTTTTCTTCCGTAACGATGGAGATCGTAATATAGAGATATAGACTGCAATCATCTGTGAATGATTTGTACTACGCATGGATTCGTGATATTAGAATTCAGTGGACGTGATTTGACGAAAGATATGAAAATACTTTCCACTTTCAGTATACAAATTTGTAATGTTTCTGTCAATGTTTTCCTGAAGATATCAAAACCATCGTTAATCAAGTTCCAAAGGCGTAAGCTGCGCAAAGCTGCGTGTCATCATGTTCACCGAACGCATTTGGATGTGAATCTAGGGATGTATATCCATTTGTTGAAGCGCTAATCCTCATGTGTTCAAGTAAGCACTTTTGAGGATAAAAGATATGACTCTCTAAGCAAAAATGTCAAGTTCTCGTTAACACTTTTGAAACAACTATGGTGTATGCATGTAGGTAGAAAAGATATAAAGAAATTGTCCACAGCTTCATTGAATGAGTGCAATTGGAGTAATTATTTTGAAGTGTTTTCACCAGAATTGATGTAAAGATTATGTTCAGTGTGATGTAGTACTGTTATAATAAGTGACCTACTCTCTTCCGAAGCCACGATATTTATATAAAAGGCTTTACATTCGAAGGTTTCTTCAAAATGGAGTTGAATATTCATTTTTCTGTAGTCTCATTTCTATGAGATGATTTAATGGTGTTTTTTTTAGTTATGTGGGTAAAGTCATCAGTATGTTTGAGAAAGAAAAGAAAATCCTTTGAATTAACTAAATACTTTCGCGAGAAACGTGCTTATTTTATTCCAGTAAAGCTTTATAGGTCCTGCTCATGTCTCTTTCATACTTAATAATGCGATAGTCGTTTCGAATCTGTCAGTCGGCACTTTATTTTCTTGAGAAAAATGAAAGTCTTCACAAACAAAATCAGGCGAACAGCATAGTCTATCGCCTCCTTCAGATGACTTCAGTCGATTTACAGTTAGGGGGAGCATGGTATGGACTACGAGGGAATGCGTTAATATCTGTTTGAAATACTAGAAGAGTTTTGACCAAGTTTGAACATGTTTTCGTTGCCCATTTGTTATTAATGTGAATATGAAATAGGACGAGATGGATGTTCAGTAAAGCTCGTAAGATGAGAAAACTCGTTATCAAATACCATGATATATTTAATTATGTTAGACACACTCTGAATAGATACTATGTTAACATAGACCAGCTGACCCGGATTATGAAACATGATTTCCGTGTTGAACGAAAAGATTATCCTAGAGAGAGACGACACTCAGTTTTTCTCCTTGCAGAAAACATTTAATTCATTAGTATAGTGATGGCTTCAAATACCGATGTCGTGAATTCCTGGAATGCTGCCACAACTCTACTGAATCGGTATTTCTCAATATCTATCTTCTTCTTCGGCATTGTGGGTAACATCCTGAATATTCTTGTCCTTTTTCAACATAATCTTCGTTCAAATTCCTGTGCATTTCTTTTTCTCATGTCATCGGTGGCAAATCTCGTAGCGATTTTCTCCGGCCTTTTTACTCGTACAACATCCGGCTGGGCAGTTGACTTAACAAACACAGTTACATGGCTTTGTCAAATCCGTACCTTTGTCGTATTTGCTTCGCGAACGGTCGCTTATTGTCTAGTTGCTCTAGCAACAGTGGATCGATATTTATCATCATGTGCCAATGTTCGTCGACGGCAAATGAGTTCTCTGAAAAACGCCCGACAAGGGACCATTCTTATCCTTATTTTTTCATGTCTACTCTACGTTCAAATGTTCTATTGCTACGAAGCCAATCTTCTCGATGCACCACTTCGATGCTACGGCAAAACAATTGCATGTCGTCTAATAACGGATCTGACTTATGCATTCTTCGCGAATATAATTCCGTTGATAGTCATGCTTTGCTTTGGATTATTAACAATACTTAACATCACTCGAACGAAACACCGCGTGAATCACATCGATTTGAGCCATTCGTCGGATGTTATACGACATAGTCAACGACACTCGAAGAAAATAGATCATTACCTTCTGATCATGTTATCTGTACAAGTGGTTCTCTTTGCTTTATTTACTCTACCACAGAATATTCAAAAATTTATTGCCTTAGCTGAAACAAATCAAACGAAATCAAAATTAGACACTGCGATTGAGAATTTTATTTTCAATTTCTTTCTACTGTTCGCTTATCTGGCCAATGGAATGACATTTTACATCAATACTCTGTTCGGCGGCAGTGTTTTTCGAAATGAATTAATGAAATTAGTGCGTGGAAAATGCCGATAGATTCACAAGACAAATAATCGTTCAGACCGGTTTCATTTTGATCTTTTTTTTGTAAATATCATAGCGATTGTAAACATTCACGAATAGATTTCAATTCGGCACGAACATCTGTGCAAGTGTTCGTATTGATTTATGTAATAAATCGGCAAATGTTCTCCGAAATACACTCCCACTTGACAATGTATAAATGTAAAACGGCATACCGCTGGTGACAAACGCGAGTAACACTTCGATGTTGTACAGGAATTGAGCGCTAGTGATTTCGATGTTATTGTCATCGGAGACCAAATGAAATGTCAAGTAAAATTTGTGTACCGCCTGTGGAATACAAAAGATTGTTAGGAGAAGAATTTGTACAAACAACATTCGTAATAAATGTAAATCCGTCTTTTTTCTTGTACATTTTCGACGTTTTACGTTGGTCCTTGGTCGGGTTATAGTCATCATCACAGTGGCATTCTTTTCGATTCGTTTTCGAATTTGGTGCACATTTGATATTGTCAATAAACCGAATAGTATCATGAAAAACAATGGAGTTAGGATCGTCATCAGTGCGTATGTTAAATCAGTTATAAAACAACAAATCTTATCTTTTCCGTAACACGCCAATGGCCCATTGACAATATTTGCTTGATAACAATAGAACATATGAATATAAAACAGTATAGATACAATGAAACTGATAACAATGCCTTTCTGCGCATTTTTAATTGAACTCAACTGTCGATAGCGGAAATTTCGCGACGATAATAACCATCGATCCAGTGTTGCCAACATAATCAACCAAATTGCTCCAGTTCTCGAACTAAATACAATAAAAGCTCGTAGTTTACAAATCCAATCATGAGTACGCGTGGGATCGATATTCCAACCAGATAAAATACGTGTTGTCACACCGAATACTAACGAAATGAAATCAATAATTGATGAAATAAGAAAAAGATATGCACATGGATTTCGTCGAAAGATGCGTTGAGATAATACGATCGAATTGAATATATTTCCAATAACACCAAAAGTCAGAATAATAATCGATAAATAACGATTTAATTGTTGTGAGATATCAACATAAAATTCAATTAAGTCTTCATTTGAAGGCAACGTTTGATTAACAGTCATACTTTTGAGTGTACGAATGACTTAAAGAATAGAAGCTATCGTCTAGATTTACCAGTCATATGTCATTAGTACAAGTTATGAGGAATAATTATAAAAAATATTAGTGAAAACATGTCATTAGTTTTGTTCTCAAACGCCCAGAAAGGTGTTCATTGTTTTTTTTATATGCCAATCAAGATAAACGTGCTTGTCCGTGCTAAGCTTAGAATAGAAACTGACTTAAATTTGAATACTTTCAATCAGAGATAGATCATGACATTCCTTTTCCTGCTCATTTGCACTAGTTTATACTTCATTGCTATCAAAAACAAAGCAGAAGAACATGTTTCCCACTGAACTCGATGACATGACGAAGACGACTTGTTTTTTTAATGAAATTTATATATATATATACAAAAAAATTGAGGAAATTGGTTCAATAAACCTGTGATCATTTCGACTCGATAGCCTAATAGTATTGAGCGACTGTAAAACTAAAGGCAACGCCAGTTCGCATGTCCGCTTTTAGCTCGAGGTTGGTCGCATGTTGTGTGATATTTTTTGAGAATAACGTTCCCAATGTATTAATTACATAGAGTTTATTCCTATCACTAGGATTTTGCATGCCAATACCCAAACATGTATTAGTACGTATCTGAAGCGCATATAAAGGAATCTGAATAGTTTGCCAGTCTGTTGTATTTCGCTGGGGTTCGACTGGATAACGTTGTACGATGCTTTTAATGTCCATTTTGTTTATCAATATCGCAAATATATAGAGCGGCGCTTTGCCTTGCCACGGAGTAAAAAGACGAAGATTCAAGTAAACAACAGATCCATTAGCGCCGTTAAAATGACCAAGATTTACGTAGACAGCATTGCCGAGTGGATAGCCGTATGTTGATTCATACACGACGCTATCCGGGAGACTAAAATTAATATCTTAAAGAGAAATAAACCGAAAAAGTATGTAGATAAGAAAGGAAATTGATAGTTTACATTCTTTTATTTGATAATTCGGGCTTGCTGGCAACACCACTGGCGCGGAACTTATATTAACTGAAAAGAATTTATCTATGAGATTAAGCAAAACTTCATCATCTTTGAACTGACGCTACTTCTTACTCGTTGTGCCATTTTCCACCTGTGTTTGATTTAGTGTCGACGCTCAAAAAGACTCAATATATTCACACAACAAGCGAAAGTCATCTACTTACAATTTTTAGATAACATTATAGCTAAATTAGCGTACAGTGCGATACATATTATGGATATAATTGCTCCTGAAATAACCAATTGTCGATCGCGATCCCTCCTGTTGAATGGCAAAAAATTACATTCAGTTTTACATTAACTCTCCATACTGAACCTACACAGTACGAACTAAATAAGGCAACCGACGGAACATATGATATCATCAAATAGATCTACAACGATAAATGCATTTACAAAGTATTATCGACCTGGCAGTCCATCGTCTGTGCCAGGCAGAGAACGTCGAAAGAGAGTAGTCTTGTTCATTCTCAGAGATTCTTCAAAATACGTAGGCAAGATGCAGTAGATGAGATTGTCAATAAACGAGCAGATTGTTCAGAATCAATAAACTTTCCGCGGAAATCAACTAATTGCTTTCCCATCTCTCCACGCACGTGCTTTCATTCCCTTTCGTCAGCACACCTAGTCTTTATCGACAAAATTATGATTTTATTTAACTCTGACAAAAAAAGATATTGCTTTCCGATTGAAAATCATGTTTTGCAACTAACTAACAAAACGAAAATTAATTACTACTATTGAATGAATCAATGGAATTCCGAACTCCTTGTTTGATTAAACTTTCACGATATTTTTTCAAAATCTCAAATTGACATCGAATAATAACATAAATAGTTCAATCACAAGGGACTCGTATCAAAAGATTTACATGTACCATTTCTAGCGACAGTAAAACCAATTGCAACACTTGTGGTATACTCAGGCATCAAAAATATTTCAGTGATATTTTTCACTCCTTTTCTCGTGCCAAAACCGTATGTCTTATTCAAACCATAAATTTGATTTGTATCACTGCTATCTTCCATACCAACACCTACTGATTCATAACAATTGATAGGTATCATATTGGCAGAAATGTCGATGAGCTGCCATTCAGTAGTACCTCGTTGTGGTTCTACAGGATAACGGTATTTAATAGTCGAAGGAAAAGTGATCTGGATGATATATATATATAATGGTGCATGACCTTGCCAAGGAGTAAATAAACGTACATATACATAACGAACATAACCATAGATCTTAATCAATAGATTTTGATTGCTGTAGAAAGCATTGCCTAATGGTCGACCAATTGATTGATCGAGCTGTATGCTGTTAGATAATGTGTAATTGACATCTGTAAATTTAGTCATGTATATCAACGAGATTTCTAAGATGAAAAGTAATGAACTTACATTCGATTGCGTATGTTGCGTTTTCGGATTGATCGAGCTGTGTTCTGTTAGATAATGTGTAATTGACATCTGTAAATTTAGTCATGTATATCAACGAGATTTCTAAGATGAAAAGTAATAAACTTACATTCGGTTGTGTATGTTGCGTTTTCGGATTGATCGAGCTGTGTTCTGTTAGATAATGTGTAATTGACATCTGTAAATTTAGTCATGTATATCAACGAGATTTCTAAGATGAAAAGTAATAAACTTACATTCGGTTGCGTATGTTGCGTTTTTGGTTTGATCTAAATTATTAAATCTTGTTTTAAATATTTATTCTGTCTGTCTCTTACTCATCGTATCGTTGCTGATGGGTTCCATATCGGTACGAATTCCTGAAGGCAAATGTGATGTTTATAATCAATATAATATTGAAAACTGCCCTTACGTCGAATATGTTTGATTATCAATACTGCTAATACAGCAAATCCCACAATACAAATAATCGCCAGGAGCAGTTCTAGGAGTATCCATTTTCGTCTTCCGGGGGCTCTGCGAATCATAAAACCGGTCAGTTGAGAACGAAAATAACTTCATACTCATTTACCTGATTCGAACAGGTCTTGCTCGTAGATTTTCCATGATTGAAAGCAATAGAACTGTTGTTAGGCGGAAAACGTTTAATACTTCGTATTTGTGTCATTTTAGTTCTTGCGACATATTGAAATGGATAAATATTTAAGAGAAAACAAACTATCCAACGCACTTTAGACAGGCTTTCAGAGAGAACTTCTCGTCAGATGTTCAACATTGATATGTGCTTAATTGAATATCAGAGCATAATGACGTATCATTCTTCCTCCTAAGTTAAATATATGTCACTGAAGAACAAAAGCCGCTTTGTTATCAAATGTACTTGTATTCTTATAAAAATTGATGTCCACTTCTAGAAACAACTGTGATTAGCAGAGGAATTCGTGTATTTTGTTCTCGTTTCAATCAAGTAATCAGAGCTCACTCAATGTAATGCAGATGGTACATGCTCCAATACAAAACATCATAAATTTCTCTAGACGAGCTTTACTTGTTATGAAAAATCACGTTCATAAATATGAGAATATCATGAAATACTGTCAATCGTGTTATAAACCATCTGTAAATATAGAATAAATTGTCATAAAAATATCACATTTCAATTTAGTTTTGTTATTTTGCAGGAGAAGATGAGAAGAGAGATATTTGAATACTTTCCATACATACACTAGTCACAGTTTTTTATGTTTCATTGATGCGATTGTTTTTCAATGCATTGAGATGTTTTAACATCATTTGGCTTCTCAACAATATCAATGGTAATCTTTGCAATGAAGATCCTATCGAATGTTAGATATATTTTATTAAATACTTGAGTTGTTCTATTTAGGACAAACAACATCAATACTTAATCCGATCGATAGTTCATCTGGCACATCAATGTCTAAAAATGTTTCATTTGTAAAACCTGAAGTAAAACAAAGTAATACTTTGATATTGGACTATGTCATATCTTTTTATGTATCGATCGGATATTTAAAGGTTCATCGGTTCATAAACCGATTATTAGTTCCTGTGAAAGTTGGAATACAAGTGGAATTATCATCGCAAATAGCAGTACAAACAATAGTACAAGTCCATTTAGTGCATTCGTTGATATGAACAATACACTTTACGTTATTGACAAAATAAGTAATACCATGCGAGCGTGGTTGAAAACGGGTAATGAATTGAAATTAACATTAAAGAATAATGATACATTGTCAACTGCATTCTTCGTTACAAATCACGGCAACATCTTCATTAACAATGATAATCATAGTCACGTCAAAAGATGGACTTCGGCGTCAAACTATCCGATGATCATCATGTATATCAACAGAGGATGCAATAGTCTTTTCGTTGATGTTGGAAATAGTCTTTATTGCTCTATTAATGACGGCCATCTAGTCGTTAGAATGCACCTAGACGGAAACTACAGTCAAATACTGCCGGCTGCTGGTACCGGTTGCATTGGTTTGACGGCGATGATGTTAAATCACCAAAGTGGGATATATGTCAACACTAACTTTGATTTGTATGTTGCAGATACGAGAAATGATCGAATCCAACGATTTGGGTATGGTGATTTATCAGGAACTACAGTCGCAGGAAAGTCATCAGCGAGCAGCGTAGCTCTCAATAATCCTACAAGTGTTATGCTGGACGCCGATGATCGTTTGTATATTGTTGACCACGGTAATCAACGTATTATCCGAATAGGACATGATGGGATCCGATGTCTGATTGGCTGTTCGACGAAACAATGTGCATCGTCTGATCAATTATGCCATCCATTGACTGCTATGTTCGATGCTCACGGAAATATTTTTGTTATTAATCAACAACAGAATGGGATACAAAAGTATTCGTTGCTAATTAATTCATGTGGTAAGACTAGTTGGATGAAACCAAATCATTACAAAATATTTCGTTCTAGAAGAAACAACTGTCGACCTTAAAGGTATTGCTAGTTCGAAAAATAAGTTCGAGGTTTTTTTCCTAAAAGCCATAATAAACAATTCTTTCATTTAGCCGAGCCTCCGACTACAACGACAAAACCATTTAGCACACACAGTTGTGCTCAACCCAATGTCGTACTTTTCCCTGGTCAATCATCGTACAATAGTCCTTTGCAATTTCGACGAAGTCAAGATTTCTATGTCGGTGCTAGTTTCAAAGTAAAATGCGACACACTTTTCACAATCCAAATAAAGTGGAATATCTTCAACTGCACGATGAATTGTTCAGTTCCTGCCAATATCGATCCATCGATAGATAAGACAACAAGTGAACTAATGATTCCTGCAAGAACTCTAACTTATGGACTCTATGAACTAATATTAACTGTAACGATGACCGGAAAACATTACTCAGTGACAAAACAATCGGTTTTCGTGAAAATCAATCCAACAGGTACTACAGCAAATCTCGTTCCATACGGAACATCAGTAATAACAAGTGGTGAAGAACGCAATCTTGTACTTGATCCAGGTACTCATTCAATCGATCTTGATGAAAACTCATTCAATGCTAGTGTACGTATTTAAAGCTTTCATACGCTTTCTCTTTTGAATCTTGTAATACATCAGGATTGGACATACAGTTACCAATGTCGAGTATATGATACAAAGAATCTCAAGCCATTAACTACTATCGATAACAGTATTGGTCATCCATGCTTTTTTAATCGGAAAGGTCTGTATTGTTGTATCTAATCTGTTCCATGATAAGTTTTTCGTTTTCGTATAGATAAACACCCTGGATGGCAGGATAGCTCGACAGATGGTTCTCTCTCATCGATAACGATTCTTAGTGGATCATTAAAAGCAGATCATACATTTCAATTTGTGGTTTATATAACAAATCTTCGGAATGCTACATTAAGAGCACTTGGTTATCTGCTGGTCAAAGTTGAAATAACCCGTCCTTCAATGATCGCTGTTGCGTAAGTATAGATTTATTTCAATCACAAATCAAATTCTCTTAAGCGTAAAAAACTCGCTAGTTGTGTTATTTCGTCGATGTGTTCGCCAAATCAAGAATATCAATATATCAACCCAAGTACTCAAGTCGCACTATTCTCAGAATATGTTGGTCAATCTCATACTCTTTCAAGTATTTCTTGGACCATCCATCAAGGTCAGAATGATTCATCAACAAATATTGTTCGATGGAGCCGATTTAACCATCTCAGTTCATCTCAAAAGCTTTTTTATGGTAAACAAAGAAAATAAAACATACCGTCAGTATAGACTTTTTCAGGAATGAACACCAGCAACTTTACTGCCATAAATACTCTATTCTTACAAAATCCAGAGATCATCTACTGGCGGTTCGAAGTTACCTATACTTTTTCTAATGAAGCAAGTATGAGTGCACTGAATTTTATCATTAACCAACCGCCACAAAATGGATCTTGCTCGATTACTCCTCCGAATGGTACAATTACTACTGTATTTACGGTTAACTGTTCTGATTGGCATGACGATGATGAAATTAAAGATTATTCGGTCTACGGTAAGACTACGACCTCTCTATACAATATAATGAAACGATTAAAATTTTGCTTATTCTAGTCAAAAGCTTAACAGGCAATTCGTCAGAACAAATCATGCTTGCTTTCAAACCAGCGTCTCATATAGAACTTCAACTACCAGTGGGCACTGGTCCTCACTCGTTCCTTAATCTAACAGTTCAAATTCGAGATCGACTGAATTGTGCTCGAGAAGTGCAACTGAAACCTGTCGCTGTTACTGCAGATTCAGCGGCTATCGATACATTCATGAACATAGTTCAAAATCTAGATAATATCAATACAAGTAGTCCTATTATCGAAGCACTTACCAGTGGTGATCAGAGCCTGGTTGGATCAGTCGTTACTTCTCTCGCACAAGAATTTAATAAGAAATCTAAACAAGACTTAGAAAATGCGATTGCAGGTAGACTTCAATCTTTTCCTCCTCTGTCATCTTACATATCGATTTCCTAGATGGTACTGATGCTACTAGTATCTCCATATCACCGTTAGGTAGTCAACGATCATCTAACGTATGTTATTCGCTTCTTTTTTATTCTCCTAACTATCTTCGTCTGTTAATAGTCATCATCGGTCACCAAAAATAATACTACAGTCATCGATTATGCTGAAAGATTAAACACATTAGCAGGTGTTCGAGATTATCTGATGAAATGTACAGCTAGTCTTGCAATTCTTAACGTTAATAGTGTTAAATTACTGGCCGCTAGTCTGGCTCAAGTAACACAAACAACAAATGAATTGACTCGAACAAGCTCTGTGAGTAGAAAGAACGCTATTATAAGATTTTGTCTTTCTTCTAATGTTGTAGCTGTTAGGTGCACAAAAATGTCATCAGCTTGCTGTCGAATTGCATAAAAGAGCGAGAACGACACCGTACGAAGATGCACGATCAGCTGTAGTTCAGATTTCTCACTGTATCAATAACATCGTCACGGTAACGCTTTCATTCTTTGAGTGAAAATCTCAAATGCTTGTTTAGGCAGTCAATGCACCATTACAACAACGAGGTGTTTTCCTTAATGATAGTTCTACTCATGAGAATATAGGTTCAGATGAATATGAAGATGATCTCGAACTGAATGATCTTATTTTAAGTAAGTTTTCTGAGGAGAATCCATCGACAGAATTGGATTGTGTATGGTTTAGATTCGATCAAAGATGGAGACGAAGAATCGGTGAAGACAAGTATTCGAACACTTTACTATCAAAGGAAAACAGTATGATTTTCTATCAACGAATAATGATCTATCTTACCGTCAAATAGGCGAATCAAGTTGCTGAATTAGCAAGAACGACTCTTTCACTGCTTACTTCAAGCTTGAAGATTCACGTCAATGTTGAACAACAACTACAAGTCAATTCACCCTCATTACTCATGTCCTTGGAAACAATCACTGTTGATTCGCTTGCTGGTAAACTCATCCAACTGACAGACAATGCACCTATTTATATGCCAAAAAACATACAAATCAACCTCCCAAAAGATACATCCGTATCTCTTCGAGTATGAACCTATTTCATATTTCTAGCTAACGTACATTTTGAATTTAATAGGCAACAATACAACCATTAGCTCCGATTGGTACTTCAACATCACACGCGAATTCCAATATGTCAACAGCAATGTCATTAACATTATTCCAATCCAATAATGTAGAAGTTCCATTTACGACTAGTTCGGATCAACCTATTGAATTTTTTATTCCACGAGATCAGAATTTATTGATTCCACCATTGATCGCACAGAATATAACATCCAATTTCACATTTCATTACATTGACTTGAATAAATACGTAACGAACAGTAATCTAACAGTGTCCTTACATTTTGAGGTACAACCAATGGACCTAAATCTGAGTTATTTGTTTATCTATCGATTTGAGCAATCATATCCAACAAGTGTAAATCGACGTTGGTCTACGCTTTGTCCATTAAGTACGTATAACACAACGAAAGATCGACTCCTCCACAAAATTCATGTTTTATGTTTTGTAGATGTGACAAATGAAAATATTCATACCTATTTTCTGGATAATCGACAAACAGCTGGTCAACAGTCGCTAATTTTTCGTTTTGAAGAATTGAATCGAACAGACTTTCAACAATGTGAGCAGTACAGAACAAAGCAGAACACATTCACATCAAATGCATTGAAGAACCTTACATCAGACTATAAACTTCGAATATACTCATCGGGTTGCTATTATTTAGATAAACACAATAATTGGCAATCGGATGGTCTTTGGGTAAAGATCTACATTTAAAAGTCATTTTCTATTTGAATTTCATTGTAGGTTGGACCATTAACAGATCACTATCGAACTCAATGTTATAGCACACATTTAACAACATTTACCAGTCATTTTCGAATGCTATCATTTGGAAATTATTGGAAGGAGGGTGCGTTCTACAATCGAAGAAATCTTACGCTATTCAATGAAACAAAAACGACTCTTGATCAAACATGGGCGAACTGTTCTTCATGACATTTGAAAATCTTATTACAATCGCCACGCTTTTCTTCTTCTTCTTCTTCATTTATCTATGATTTTAATTTATTTCTGTTCATTTATTAAATCGAGCGCATTCAATCAAAACATTAAAAGATCATCGAAATCCTTGTAAATGGCTATCATTTACTAAAGTATATATACATTAAGATTTGCCATTGTAAAAGTCAGAATACTATTCTTATCAACTTGAAGAGCATTCCATATAGTCTCCTTAGGTGTTGGTTTCACTTGATGTTCTTGCAAAATTTTCCCATCAGAGGACACATGCAACAGTCGTGGATTTAATAATTCCATAACCATCCATTGATTCTCGAAAATTGAACAGCAGCGAGCAACAGCATTCAACCGAATCGACCAGAGACGTTCGTATGTTGCTAATGAATGCACTTCGAGACATCTTTATAACATATGAGTATTCGAAATAATCATAGCGAATTAATCATTTGCACAAATGTAATTTAGAATGCTTTTCGTATTGCGGATGTAAACCGTCTATTTTCCATTCTTTGACAAATTTAATCGAAGGTTGAAGAGCGTATTCATATACACATGTGAACATATATCCAGTTGATAAATATAAGTGAGTTGTCGAACATGTTCCATACGTCCATTCGGTGTTACTATCATAAGAAATTTGATGTTGATCAAGTCGAAGGTCGAAGTCATTCAGAGTGAATATAATCTTTTCAGTTATGAGAAAGAATTTTCTAAGCGTCAATGACCAACACATCTCCACGAATTCGTGTGTCTAAGGAATTTCTTTAACGATGGATAATTGCCTGTTGAACAGAGATAAATACGATGTCTGCTTAACTAAAATGTATTGATTATTACAAGCAAGTTCAACCGAGCTTTTATCAAGCATTCTAGCTCTCTTATATAGATGTTTAAGTGGAAAGAGTTTTGATGGTGGCTCCTCTGAATGAATCGTTTGCATGAATGTGTTTAAATTGATATCCTTTTGTTAATTCTGTTCGTCATCGTCCGAACTATCTTGTTGACAAAGATTTGTACACCATCGACTTACTCTTGCTAGATGAGATTGTTGTTTTTCAGTTTCGTTTTCATGTCCACCGGAAGCTTGCTTCATTTTTCTGTTCAATGCTTTATAACAACAATTCTTACCGAGTATATCTTGTATTCACTGATATGAAGTGGCTTTTCTCCAAGACTAAATGCTCGACAGTTGTCAGAAATTCAAATTTAATAAAGAAAAACAATCGACTTCTACATGATATATTAGTACAACAGAAAGAAAATCAAAAACATAGATATCACACCGTGAATTCTCTTTCTTCACTTTACATTTCTTAAGATATCCAATCTAGTTACACTTAAAGAGAAAGTTTATGTAAATGAAGAGTATTTAGAGAAACAGTGACAAGCGTTTGTTTATCCCATTGAACCGCATTTATAATTGGATTCATCGATGATGATCTATGGATATAATTCTGTAAGATTGTTCCATCGGACGATATATGTAGAATTTGTGAATCGAGAGAATTGATGATCAACCATTGATCAACTCTGATCGGACAGCATCGTGCGAGAACATTTAGCGGTAGAATCCAGAGTACATCGAATGTTACTGATGAATGCAGTTCTAAGCGATTTTGAAAAGTTTGAGCATTACAAATAATGAACGCTAATCGTTCGTTCGCGTAACTAAACGTTAAAATGGATTCGTACAGGAGACACATAACACCTAATTGTTGTTCTTTGATGAATTCGATCGATGGAAGAAGAGAATATTGATATAAACATGGAGACATGTCCATAGTCGATAAGTATAAAACCGTTTCGGAGCATGCAGCGCCTGACCAATCTTTTTTATTATGATGAACGATCGGCTGTTCCTCGAGTTCCATGGTGTTTTCATCGAGAGTGAAAATATCTTTATGAGTGACGAGAATAAAGCGTTCAAGCGCAGATGCCCAATATATGTTAACATGCATGTATGACCATGGGATCTGTTTGATAAGGTTCAATTTTCGATCGAATAGGGAAAGATTCGGTTTTTGTTCGATTAAGAGATGTTTTTTGCTGCAAGCCATCGCGACAGAATTCTTTTCTCTTGTTTGAACAGTTTGGTCCGGTTCTTTCAACGGAAATAGATTTCCCCGGTGTGATTTAGTGCGAACTTTTCTCTCAGATCTTGCTTTCGTAACACTTGCTTTAGTTATCGTCGTGACATCTTCAGTCTGCTGCAGTTCAACTTCTTGTTTGTTTCTCTCCGACGAAGAACATGTCATTCTTCCGTAAAAATATCGCCACCAGCCATTGAACACGCTAAAACAAGGTCGTCGCGTATACGTCGTATCCTTGGGCTGTTTTGTACCAGTACTTGTCGCCTCAGGTTTGTTGATATGTTCGATAAAATGATCATTACAAAAGCGCTTATTATGACATTCACATATGATGAGCACCGACAGTTCACATAGTTCTATCGAGCATGATTGTAATGATAAAGACTGCTCCATCGGAACGAACGGTGATTTAATACGAACAGACTCTTGTTGAGCCGGTGTACTGAACTTTTGTCAATAATTTGTTAGTTCTTGACTAACTCAGTAATCATCAGGTTGGTCTTTTTCTTTCTGCTTTAGTTTTATATTTGCACAAGAGGCAACGAGACATGCTTTACCTGAAAAATCATGTACACTAGTCATTCAAACAGGTCGATTCATATCTCATTGTTTTAATATATGAGAATATTTAGAAAAAAAGCTAATACAACGCGTTATGTAAAGCAAATAGAAATGGCGTGTTTTCTTGTATGAGATTTTAGTTAATAAAATATTTATTTTACTACATTCAATAAACTTGATTTGTCGTTGGTAGGAAATACTTCGCCAAAATGGCGATGCAAACTATCACTGACTTTGCCACGGCTCGATAAAAATTCAAAGACTACTCTAATAACAAGTGGACAAACTCCCGACTAGCGAAACCAATTTACCTTCGAAATGTTATCGAGAAGATTTATAATTGTCAATTATCAGTTTTAGTAAATGTACACCTCACATAGAATTGCACTTTGTTTTCTCATTCTAATCCAACGTTAGAAATGTATTTATTTTCTTCAAGAAGAAGAAGATAACAATTTTTCAACAAGGATTTTCGCACCAGTAAATGTCTGCCGTTTGAGTGTCTCCACAGCAGATGGTACGAGGAGTGATCGAATTTGTTTGCATTCATCAGGTTGACCGTGTTCGAGCATCCTAAACATCAAATTCTTCATCTGTGCACAACGCAGAACACTGACAATACTTACATGACGAAAATAAAACAACCACGATTACATAATATCCATGTGCGTAATGTATCTGGTGAGATTGACGATAATAATGTCGATACCAGAGCTAAATGAAAAAGAGGAAATGGTTGACAGTGGTTTTGAAGATGATTTACTTGTCTTTTGTTTGTGCTTCTTTTGTCTTTTACCATCGGCGATGATTAAATGTCGTAAGACATTGTGAGCAATTTGATTTTCAATCAGATTGGTCTCGGCTTGAGGTTCTACGGATGACGTGCTCAGTACTGAACTTAATGATGTATAAAATGAAGTTAATTTATCATCAGCTATAATAAAACACGCTTAAATACTGATAAATATGACAGAAAAATTCTTACGAGAAAGTCGTTCAATCATTTCAGTCATCATAAACCCTTTGAAACCATCTTTTAGTGTTGATAGGATGTTTTCTGTGAAATATTCTAGGAAATACGATTTGCAAAACTCGAATAATTCATGTTGACGAATATCAGCATCTTTTTTGCTATAAAATCAAAGAAATGCAAAACTATTAGAATAATTGTTTTGTTTAATACCTTGTGGCCAATGTGTCGCTCGTTTTCATCAATTGAACAAGATCATATTGTAAATGTTTCGTATTCCGTGGTGCAATCAAATACATCAGAACTTTTTTACCATGAGGATCGTTGATGACTTCATCGAAACTTGACATTAGTTCTTGTAAAACCACTTTTGATACCAGTTTCGTATCATCAACAACATCAAATATTGTCCAAAGGAGAGGATAACCTTGCTCTTCTTTTGCAATTTTTATTATAAACGATTTCAAACTTTTTATTAATAATTTTCGATCCTAAAAGTGAACACGAAACCTTTTTCGAGAGTCTTCGGGGAGCATAATGACATACTTTGTTTGTTCCATACCAGAGGCAGTGGATCGCAACGCGAGCACCATCACGACTATGAATCATTTTAATTAATTTCTCTTTGACGGCATCGATTATTTCCTATTCGATCATTTCGTCATAAATTCGCTACTTTGAATAACTTCTTCTTACCTCACGGCCTTTTTCATTGGCATTTCGTATGTATTCATGCATAACTCGATGCACTATCGATGTACTCAATAGATCTCTAAAAAAAGCACCCGTCGGACATGAAAAACTGGTACTTCGAAAGGCTTGTTCTCTACTTTTCAATGCAAGGCATGAGATTTTCTTGCATATTTTCCAAAACATTTGCTCGTTGACCAGTTGCTGTTTTACTCGCAAGTAACTCTTCGATATTTTTCACATCCGTCGTCTAATTCAATTCACTGATTCAAATGCATACTAACCACGAAGTCTTACTTTTAGAATTGCATATTCCCGACCGTAAAATTCTTGAACCAATTGGAAACGTTCAGCAGAATTACAAATATCATTGTAACAATACTCTAATACACGACAACCGATCTATGAAATCGAAAAGATTATACATAAACGTAAGAGATGACGGATTTATTCACTGAATGCCGTGCAAGCTTGCATACATGACCATGAAGACTTTTCTTGATCGTGTCTTTTTGTGCATCCGTTCTAAATGAATGTAATTATTTCATTGGAAGTACTTTGGCGTCGGCGTACGATCGTGATCCTTACCCGTATGTTAGAAATTTGATGATAACGTGATGAGCATAGAGAGATTTGGACATTGTTGGTATTTCCTCTATTTGAAAGTCAGGTGACGTTTGAAAAGAAACCCAAAATGAGTCGATTTTTTACTTTGAATTTGTTCGAAGATATATTGTTTTTGTTGTTCATTACCAAATTGAACGAGACATTCGAGTACACGTGTTGTATCATGTGCCATGGATAGAAATTTCACATTTCCTTCGATTAATTTCATCAATTCGCCGCATAGTTTCACTCGCACTTCACTGGTCGTTTCATCTCGGCGTAAAACTTCCCAGATTTTCTTCGATTTATCGGCCATATCGTAGAGAACACCACGTCGTAGCTTTTGCCGTTCTTTCAATCGCTGGCGAAATGTTGTATTTTCTTTATCTTGAACGATGTTGATGTGTTTCTTCTTTTTCTTGCTTTCCATTTGCTTTTGTTTGCTTTTCAGTTGTTTTTTGATGAGCTTAACATTGGATAGCATGGTCGGATCGGGTTTTACTCGTGCTTGGCGTTTAGCAGCAGCTACCTGTGCTAATTTTTCGCTCGCACGAGATTTCAGAGATGAGGAAAGCGAGTCGAAATCCAACTGAAATCAATCGAAGGCAAACACAAGATAATTCATGATGTTACTTTTAGAGAAAATTTGTTTTACCTTCTTTGGCTTTTCATTTTCATCATTTTTCAACGAAAATTGTACTTTCTTCTTCTTTTGAGCCGAATCATCAGCTTTTTTCGACAGTTTACGCTTCTTAATTTCTACGGAAGTACTCATCTAAAGCAAAGACATAAGCTTGAACTTAGAGGAAAACGAACTTCGAACGTAAATGAATCTATATGAGTATAGAGTATTGTAATAGTGAAACAGAATGATAATATGGATCGGACTTCACCTCCGTTAACGAGCAATCAAATAGAGTTGACGATAGATGGAGCTACACAATGACTAGGCATTAGTATTCTCGACAATCAGTTGCACATCATTTGCTGATGTGATAATAGAAGCGAGGAGTGTGAGAACAGAAAACAGTTGTTGAACATGAATTCAATCGATCTAGTACGATAAGAACAAATATCATCTTTCAATTCGAAATATGCTTTATTTCATTCAATTTAAAAAACAAAGAAAGTGTTAAATGGTATTCTGTGCACAATATACAGGACATTTTCTAGACCTCTTTCGCATCGCCTGGACGTGCGACTTGACTTGGCTCTTCCATATGTTCCGGTTGTTCTTGCTGGTCCTGAAGTCCATAGGACGGTCCAGTAAGTAGACTAACGGGTGCATCTGCCGGCGGATGACCATAACCTTCGAACCACAAGAAAAAGCGTGTAATGACAATACTTCGACGTTCCGCCAGGGTTTTGATATAGTAATGGTATGTGTCCCAGGTTAATTTCGAAAGGAGAAAACCAAGGAAAACGTCCACTGTGTAATGGAATCGAGTAGCAATAATGAATAAATACCCAAGGATTGTAAACATCCATACCAATAATGATGTGATGTAGAATGATAAAGGATCACCAGTGGAATCTAGTTTTGGAAAAAGCCAACCTGGTCTCCCAAGAGTTATTTCTCGATTGATGCCTTTATATTTATTCCATAGCCAACGTATTGGATAATGCTCTTCACCTTTAGAATAAGTCGTCCAAGCCAGTGCACACAGTGTCACTGTAATACATCAAATTAATTTTCAGAAAATTAAATTTGATTTACTTACATGTAACTGTATGCCCAGAGAAAAGAACGTCACCACATGTTGCATGAATCAAAGACATAATATAAAATGCTTCAATCGGTGGTGAACCGACTGCTGTCGTGTTACAGCCAGGTAGTGGAACACTCAGTGAAGTAACGTAAATCGATATGCTTCGCATAATAAACATCACTGCTTGAACAAAAAGCCATCGGCGAAATACGATTAAACGAATATCGCGTTGAAATATGTAACGAATAATAACTAAAAGGAACGACGCTAAAAGAAAATAATTGTTGATGGCATAGAATGAGAAGTAGGGTAATAATTTGTGGCCAATGTCCGGTAAGGCTGGTAACCAGTATGGAGAATTCCGATCAGCCCATACTTGAACGAGCGAGTTAATATAGAGAGTTATGAGAAAGAAGATAACTGAGAAACATAAAGGTAAAGGTAGCCATGTTAATCGTGCCATGGTTTTATTTCATTCCAACTGTGGTCGATGAACTATCTTTTATTGGAAAGAAAACAAGAAGAATAAGAAAGAACGATGCTTAAATAGAATTGTGCATGCTGACCGAATAGAACGCAAAGAAAAAAAAAAGACGAGAAAGAGAAAGAGACAATAGCCTATATATGTAAACGAAGAGGGATGAAGGAGAAAGAAGACGTTGCCTGTCTGGTCAATAGCAACTTATAATTGCAGTAACAACTGGAATTGGACACTTGGAAAGATTGATTTCTATACAGTGAGTGTACACCTGCGGCTCCGTTCGAAGTACAAGCTAAATGTGATATGTTGATGACTTATCCCTATCGTAAATCAAAAGACGACGTGTACTTTTTAATAAAGTGAATTGTGTTACGTTCTGTAATAAGAAGATGTCATTGGTGACTTCATAAATACAACCAAACAACACATTTTCTCGTGGGAGATTCTCTTTCATATGTGCTGACCGGAATAAATGTACTATTATTACTGACGTAATTGAATGGATATATGGAATCTCGAGAGAACATGTTTATTGTTCGTTAAATCTTAAAAATGGCTTTTATTCTCGTTAGAAACTATAACAAATGAATATCCATGGATGAAAACGAGCGAAAATGCGTGACACGTTTATTTTTGTTGTTGTTGCTGCTGTTGTTGAAGATGCATTTGGATGATGCCAGTAATCTGTTGTCTTGTTAATAATTTATCGTATAGAACTTTCTGTAATTTATCGATTTCAACTTGAAGATAATCGTGTTTACGTTTGAAATAATCCTGTGCCTTTTTTGGTCGCATTTGCACAAAGAATCCTGTGCCGATGTCAACCAAAACGTGATCCGGATCAGATAATCGACCAGGAACATACATCGACGACGATAGTGGCACAAGTAACGAATTATCTTGATTATTTGTCGGTAAACGTGATACAGCTAACATCGATTCGCCGAAACCTTCTTGTGCATATTGGAGACGTTGAATAGACGATTGTAACATTTCAATATCCGATTGTAATTGAGTGCGAACTTGTTCGACTTGAGCCATACTTAAACCAGCAGGTTGTTGTTCGCTTGAAGCAGATGCTGTTGCAGCAGACATGGTGAGATCTAGAAAAAAAAGTAAACGTTGATGTGCGTGTCGTCAAGACAAGACAGACATGTCTTCGTTTTCGGCTGTTTTTTTTAACATTGAGAGGACGAGCGAGGCAACCAATTCGATGTTACCATGCGAAGTAGAAGAGGCATATATTGTACAACAGTGACCTCTGGATGAACTTTGTATAAAATTAGTAAAAAAAAAACAGACTGACGGCAATTCTTTCACAATTGATCGATAGATGATAGTATCAGTTCAAAATACAGGTTAAAATCTAATAAAAAGTGAATGCAATGTGACGCAGATAAAGAATGTGAAAAGTACTTGATGATAAGTGATAGATGTAATGCGAAAGAATTGAGTTTATTCAAAAAAAGATTACTCCGCGGCGGGGAATCGAACCCCGGTTTCCCGCGTGACAGGCGGGGATACTAACCACTATACTACCGCGGACGGTACTGTTAAGCCTTATACGTCATTACATGAAAATCCAACTCTCGAATCATTCTCGGAGCTTAAAACAACTATCCCATTGTGTCAATATTTGACATGTACGCGTTCATAATAATATTGCCAGTTGAGTTGATTTTCCAACTAGGTACCATTTTGTTTCCACTTTCAAAATCAATATGTTTTCTTTCATCACGATCTATTTGTCAAGCATGTCTGCTATCGTCTGATTGCTGAATACCTGTGGGCTCACAGAAAATATTGTCTTTTTACAATTGAGTATCAATAAATCTAACAACTGAACGTGTTTATCCAGCCGAATACTTCTTTTCACGGACGTAAACGACGGCAGAATGTGATCATACGGGGGAAAAAAAATCTTGCTTCATTCCTTTTTTATAGAATCTATTGAGTAGGTTAACGTTAAATCACGAACTCCAAGATATGGTCAAAGATCGACTTGAAGAGCTTAAGAACAGAGTGAGATGATTTGTTAGTGTTGATGAAGAAGAAATCAATGTTTGATTTAAGGTGCGAAGATCTGATGAAGGTCAAAGTGTTAGTTTGATGCATTATTATTCTATTATCAATGCGGCTGAACCATTCATGGACGATTTTTTCATTAGTGTAAGTAAAGCTCTTCAATAACAAATTGTCTGTCAAACAATGGTATTTTCAATTAGTTAAATGCGACTCGAAGTCACATCCAACAAATCTCCGAACTTGTTGAACAAGTTGGCCAGCTACAAAACATCCTGCTGACCTCAGATGTTACTCCAGGTATGTGCCATGGATGACTTCATAACTACAAAAACGACAGTGTGATTAATAGGAATAAAACAAGAACTTGAAAAAACCATGACAGAAATCAAACAATCTGGCAATGACATTCGAATGAAGTTAAAACGTAAGAAGAAACTTTTGATCATCTCCATATGTTACTTTCTTTTTTTCGTGCAGACATGAAAGAAGTACAAGAAATGGATTCTACTTGTAAACGAAGAAACGTTCGTCAGCGCATCATGGATGGACAGATTGACGCGTGTATAAAATATTTTTGTGCAATAATGGGTCGTTACTACGAATTAGTTGTTACTTATCGCAAGCAATGCAAAACACGACTTGTTCGTCAATTAGAAATCGGTTTGTTCAGATAGTCGCTCGTACGGAATAAAAAGAAAACTAAATATTTTTTCAGCAAATATCAGCAGAACGGACGAGGAAGTAGAAGAAATCCTGGCAAAAGGTCATGCAACTCTATTTCCTGAAGTGAGAAGTCAAAACCAAAGAGAAATTCTTTAACGATGATTTATTTTAGGTTATTATTGAATTGCAAGATGCCCGACAAAATCTGGTTGATATGAAAGCCCGTCATGAGAATCTCAACACGCTTGAGAACGATATTGAACAATTGCGTGACATGTTTTTGGACTTAACTTACTTAATTTATTTTCAAACTGAACAAGTTCATTCCATTGAAGAGGCAGTTCTCAATGCGGAATTGGATATCGAACCGTTCAGCCGATCACTATATCCAAAACAAAAAACCGATGTGTCGTCGTTAAAGTTTTCTCGAAAGAAATATCTTTCATCAATAGTGAAAGTCTTTTCAAAGCTATTCGCGACATGTCTATGCTCAAGCAGATTAGCTTGTTCTTAACACAGACTAGATGTCATAGCGTTTTTTAACAACTGTTTACAGTTTTATTCAACGTTCGAATAAAAATTCATAGTCAAGATCAAAATCTTCGTTCGTGCCAGCGATTTTCATATTCCTTTGCTGAATTCACATCTGTCGGTTGACATATAGCAGGCAATGGTTCATCGGACAGTTTCTTCATATTTCTTCTTCCAATTAACATGATTTTCGTATCATGGTCATGTAGATTTCGCAGAAAGTCTTTTCGTTGGTATATCAACGTTGGATTATTCAAAAGAAAAATAGCCAAGTACCAATTATGCCTTGCCTTTGAGAGTCGTTTAGTCGGATAAAGATGATCGCGAAGGAGATGACTGACAAAAAACAGTAAGACTGGATGACGGTGAGCGGTTTCCATATAAATTAATCCGCAGTATGCGTTGAAACCCGCATCCATTGTTTCTAATTTTCGACCTAACGGTGAATAATCTAATCGACACATGTAAAACATTCCACCGATAATACTTTTCAATATACGAAAGAAAGCGGCAAAGAAACCGAGAAATGTATCCAAGAAGAAGTTAAAATAAAGAAACACCATTAATGCACGACGATTATTAATCGACAAAACTTCTCCACTATGCTGGAGAAAAACATATTGACTTAAAAACTTGTTGATATAAAGTTTAAAAGTCGTGAAGAGTATAGGCGGAATGACCAAAGTTAAAAATCTCTCAAGCGAAGGAACACTTGCATAGATGATCAATGCAGCGATTGACATGGTTAACATGATGGAAACGAACAGGATCAAAGCATAACCGATAATAACATAACCGATCAAATATCCAGCGAAATGAAAACTTCCAGTGCAATAGCTAACATTCGATGTTGAGACACGAGGTGGTATTTCACGATGATCACCGCGATAGGATTGAAGAAGATTTCGTCGGATGCTTGCTAACATAAACAACAATTGAATGATAATGACCAGTAAGGCAACGTAGATACTGATGAGCAAAGGTACAGTAAGATCGGGAACAGGGAAATCTGGTGGTGCACCTTTTGCATCAGCTTGGACAGGATCTCTGAAAGTTATAAATATAGCAAATAGATCAGCAAATGCTTGGATATACGGATGAATTTTGTCCAGTATCGGTAGCGTACGAATAGAAATCTATAAAAAATATGGTAAAGATTCAAAAGACAAGATGGAGCAAACTTACGCTAACGGTAAGAAAGAAAAGTAAAAGAAATATCGATGCATAGACGCATATGACACGAGATGAGAAGCGAAAATCATCTCTCCATGCATAAATACGTCGTAGAATTTGAGACAATCGATTCTTGGGCGGTTCAGTAGGTGCATATCCAAATAACTTTTTCACATAACGTGCTTCAGCTGAATGAGGTAACGAAGAATATAAAAGATCTTTTTGTTCGCGCCTCATTTGCTTATCAGGAATATTTCGATGTCGTATTCGTTTGATCAATACCATCGGTAGTTTGACACATAGGTAACTCAGACAGAAATATCGAGGAACGTCGAGGAACAGTTGAAGAAACAGCAATTTCGGTCCTGTACCATAATAAGCTATCATTTCAGCTGTACGATTACTTCCCGTTTTGTTAAATTGCTCTTTTGTTTGATAGAAATTATTCGTGCATAAGCCAGCAGACATGATTGCAACAGTGAAATCTAACCAGGCATAGAGAGTACCGCAAATTAAAGTAAAATAATTATCCATATACACAGCAGCTAAGATTGGATAACGTCGAAATCCAATCACGAAGACACGAAAGATTTGAGTAAGGTAAGTTATGATGACTCCTATAAGGCTCAACGAATGTAATTTATACAAATATTTAGAAGAAAAAAAACAAACAAACCTTGATTTGAAGATTTTCTACCTCCCGCCAACAGTTCATTGGCGATGTCCAATAATTCATCGGCAAACACGGCGAATATCACAGCAGCTAACGTTCGTTTTACATGTCCAAAAAAGTCCAATGGAATTACTATACCAAAATAACCTTTACAATACCGATTGTGTCGCGATGAAACTCGTTTGGTGATGATCACGAACAACAGAATTAACAAACAAGCAATAGGAAATGTGAAGATATTGAAATCTGCTCGAAAATTAATGATTGGACAAACAGAATGTGTATTGAAATACACCGATTGATTGTTTTCATACTTATATACAACTTCATCGTGAATAGGTTTTAGAATAGACCATTTTACAACGAGAGTGCCCATGGCAAATATGAATGTAAGAATGCCCGTAGTCCACGCATATTTTCGGCGAGATGGATCGAAAACTTCAACAGGTACTGTAGGAAACTTCAATCGGACAATCGGAATACTTGGTCTAAACATCAAATTCAAACAGAGATGATGACATATTGACCAACTAGATGTTACTCCTGCTTTTGTTTTGGTTGATTACGTTTCTTTCTGATGCGACGAAATAATCCTAGTCCATAAAACGCTGCTAATAGAACAGCTAGTATAATACCTAGGGTAATGACTTGTTTTCCACCATTCGACACTGCAAAGTCAAGATCAACAACTATCGAAAACGTTATTCTTCAAAATTTCAACTCACTTTCGTTACACGTCGCTCCATTCCACCAAAACTTGCACGAACATATCTGTTCGTCCTCATCTGTGTTTAAACAATAACCATTGCGTCCACATGGATTATACACTGAACAATCTGCGAACAATTATCATACTATTCGTTATATTTTTCTAATTCTCCACTTTACTTATTGATTCGGATATTGTCGAAGTCATAATAACATTTTCGTCTGACGACAAATCCTCGGGCATAATGAGTGATATTGTTGAATACTTTTTACTTTTTTCATTGCTTTAAATACGAGAAGAATCTATATGTATATACGGTAATCTAATCCTCAAATTTTTCCTTTTTGCCTGATATTTGATACCGGTTGTTTTAGCTTAGTTTAAAGCACATCTCAGCTGTTGTTTTTCTTTCTTATGCACACACATATTCACATAACGGCAAGCGAAGCAATACTGTTCGATAGTTTTTATGAAAAAAAAATCCAAAATAAATAGATTTCTTCTCGATACGATTCTTCGCAGCATTTTTCATAATGAATCGTATATCAAAACTAGATGTATGTTGTATTCGATGAATAACAACAACAATGACAGAGCACGAGTTTTTTTTTCTCACTATCTCTCAAGAGACCACAACGAATATCACTACTTTATTCTCTTCTCCTCTCAAGATAAGATAAGCCAAAAGTAACCGACCAACGCGTCGCGCAATAAATTTCGTCAAACATTTCAAACATACCATAAAAAATCTTTTCACCGGTGACAATGGATCCCGATCGACGATGTCAATCAGATATGACTGTGTATGAATTTTTACCAACACGTACGAACATGTTAGGTATGTTGATCATTTCGTCTTTTGAATCTATGCGGAGAGAAAATGAATGAATTGTTTGCAGAGCACTACTGTGTGGCGTTCGAACGAGATTTAGAAGATCTAATTGCCGGTCAAGATCCGTATTCAATCATCGATCTATCATATCAGAATTTAACTGATGCATCAATGCCGTGTATCATCAAAAATGCTATTTATCGGAAAGAATGTAAAATTCTTAATTTATGGGGAAATCGTTTTACATCGAAAAGTCTGTTCGTTCTTATCAAAGCTTTAGAAGGCAATCAAACATTACACGAGCTGGATCTTTCGCATAATAGTCTCGGTGATGATGGTATTCAAATTCTTTCGCAATTTTTCTCTTTGAACAACTGTGAAATCAAACATCTTGATCTTTCTTCGAATAATGTGACCGAAGTCGGTGCTCATTCTATTGCTGACATGTTAAGAAGAAACCGAACGATCAAACGATTATCATTGAATAAAAATGACATCACTGATATCGGTTTGGTTCGTATAGCCGAAGAAATTCAGAATGGAAATGAAAGAATTGTCGAGTTGAAGTTCGACGATAATCCAAATATTACACGAGAGGGAATCGAAGCTGTTCTTGGCATTTTAAGAAACCATCGATCATTGGAAGGCATTTATGTTCAGAACTGTGGAGTTTTTAGTCAGCGTATAAAGGAAGATTTGGAAGAAAATGCGTTTCGAACAGGATTTGATGTTTTCGTTTGAAGAACAAATTCTTTCTTTTTTTGTCCGTTTTCCATTTTCATGTTTGCTTTCTTTTGTCTAATTGGAGAGAACGAAAAAGAAGATTGTTTCTCTTCATTTCTAGAAGTAAAAGCTTTCAAATTGTCAATCAATTGTAAAAACATGAACTAATCGACGTTAGTATCACTTGTGTACAGCCTTTCATCGTTAAAAAGAATACTCACATTCACCAAACAGAAGAATAATAAAAACGAATCCATGTGTAATTTGTTGGCAACAATCAAACGATGACTGCCAAATTCCGTGCACCTGAATTTATTCTACTAAGTATCTCGGTAATTTCTGCAGGCATCGCTGTTACATTAGCAAGTGTAGGTGTAGGTTCAGCTAATTGGCAAACAACAACGACGACGGATGTCAACGGACGAATCTATACAAGTAATATCGCAAATTTCTTTTATGCTTGTCGTTTGGATCAAGCAGGTAACACTCAATGTGGACAGCGAAGTAGCGATGATAATAATATACAATATTATACGATTAATGCAACAGGAAACACGGATACATGGAATTTCCATTTGAATTTTGCTTCTGCTTTGACTATTATTGGTATCGTATTTATTTTTATTGGAGGTGTTGCCAGTTTGTTAATGATCTTGGGTGATCGCATGCCGTGGATGTTTTTCGTCGCACCGATGTTTCTTTTTCTCGCTTGTCTTTTCATGCTTGCAGGTCTGGCTGAAGGTTCACGTGTGTTGAAGTTTAACGATTATGCAGCGTATTTATATGAAACAGGACATGTGATAACGATATTTAGTTGTATGACAAGTGCTTTGTTAGGTGGTCGTCTGTTTGATCCGCCTGTGGAGAGTAAAAGCTCGAAGAAATTAAAAAGAGCGAAAGCATCGTATTGATGATCGATTGAAACAGAAAACATTGATTTAGATTCTGTACAGATGACTTTTTTCGATTTGATATTCTAATAAATGAAACTCTGTCGTACATTGAATTACATTAGCAGCAAAATCAGTTATCATTGGATGACAAAGGCAAATTGTTACTATCCGAATGGAACGATTGATCATAATTACATAAAATATCTCTGATAGTGCGTTTGATACTCTAGACGAGTGTGTATCTATTTTTCGTGTAATTTGTCATTACTAATTTGGTCGACGCTTCTCGCACCATCGTATAGAAGTAAATAGTTTTTGTCATTATTTTTTCTTCTTTCGTTCTTTTGCTATTCTTGCTGTATGTGTTTAACCTGACGCGGAAACATGTACATTAATTTATAATGAATTGAATATATGGGAAAAAGATGCCCTTCTGCGATCTGTGCGTATGTAAAGGAACACAAATAAAAACAAGTAAATAACGATACATTCATCATGATGAATTCTTCATCTTTGGAAGGCGAAAAACGAATATTTCGACGTTTGATACGTATTTCTCGCGATCGTGATTATCCATTAAATCATTTAGAAACTGTTCTTTTACCATTATTTCAAAAGGACTATACAGAAGATAGTTTACGTGTGACTATTGAAAGTGCCAATCATATCTGGTGTGCATACGAAAATGGTCAATGTCTCGGCTGCGTATTGGCTACTGATATTGGCTCACATGGTGGAGTGTATGTGATTTTATTCGGAGTTTGTGAATCCGTACAAGGTCTGGGAATTGGAACACGTATGTTGAAGAAAATGATCAAATGGTGTCGAAAGCGTCGACGATCATTTATTTTTCTCCTGACAGAAGATTATAATGAACGTGCTATTCGATTATATGAAAAAGCTGGTTTCGAAAAACATTTCCACTCAACTATGTATGATGAACCTCTACCGGAGCATGGACAGGGTGTTCTTCCATTGATGCTTTTGCTATGAATTAATTAATAGAACAATGCAATTCTACTTTAGTTTTATTTTTGGTAGATCTTGACTGAAGATACAAGTATGAACTGCTTTTCAGCGAAATTACTTGTTTGCTCGTGTTCGATCGTTCTTGGGTTTTTTTTTCTGTTATTCTTAACTTTCTTTCTGTTTGAATAAAGAAATCTTGAAGGGACTCTTTTCGTCTGCGTCGACATGTATGTGAAAAAACATCGCTCACTCATGAATGTTTGTTTTGTGTGATGAAATGCGTGCTCTCTTCTTCCGAGCTGTTGTTGCGATAGAAGCAGCACAAATATAAGAACGAAGAAAATTTTGTATTAACATTACATTTTCATTCCAACAGACGACAATGGCAAGCGCTACAGGTCACAATACCAATCTTCGCTTTCTTGATGTTGGCGAAGAGCCTAATCAAGTCCTATTGCCTATCAGAGGCTACGCCAAGGAACCATTATTGCCATTAGAGGAGGCTGTTCAACCAATAAGTGAATTATTAGACGATCTGGAAATAATGGTACATACAGCGAAATCGAATTCGAAAAAGCCAGCAGATGGTCTCACTGTCGATGAATCGGCTGCCATTCACCTGTACACAATGCAGTGGGAAGAGCCGAATGTAAGTCTTTTTACTAAACTTAACACCACATTACGTTCAAAGCGACGCGAACCATTGAAACCATGGTTTCGCTATCTTAAACTCGCCTTGACGGCATTATTCAAGTTGCCGTCAGTAAAAGCCACCGTATGGCGTGGTGTTCGCGGTAATTTAAGCGACCAATACGACGAAGAACACATTTGGTGGGGGTTCAGTTCATGCACTGAAAGCATGAAAGTCATGGAACAATTTGTTGGCACAACTGGTGTGCGAACATTGTTCAATATAGAGTGCATCAATGGCAAGGCAATTCAAAAGCATTCGTTTTACAAGGACGAAAGTGAAGTTCTTCTCTTGCCCGGTACTTATTTTCGCGTGGTGGGGAAATGGAGCCCTGCAAAAGACTTATACATGATACAATTACGAGAAACACCCGCACCGCACGTGTATTTGGAACCTCCATTTGGATCAGCGCCAGCACCAGCACCAAGTAAGCCGGTCGTTCCACCTCAAGCGCCAGCCAAGGAAGAAAAAAGTTCATTGCATGCATCAGCTGCGCCTGCAAAAACAAAATGTAAGTGCCTTGGGTGTGGGTGATGTTGCGCGTATAAATCTCGATTTTTTACTCTAGCGATTAAATATACGAGGATAATAGTCGTTCTAGTAGGAAAAAATGGTCAGGTTTAAGTACTTTGTTATGAGGCATACAGTACTTCGTATTAGTCAAACGGAAGCATGAAAATTTTCTTTTCCATTTAGATAAGCAAGAATTTGCTGTGCCTAGTACTGACAAGCAGCTTGATCAAGTTCAGTCGTTTTTCTCATTAGCGATCGGTGGTTACATGCCGTGGTGCATTCAGCCTCCGCAAAAGAAGGTAAATGAATACAATTGTTGTTATGCGTATTCTGTTATTTCATAAGTTTGCAACAATCCGTTCGAACGCGACTAACATACGAGGTGAAAGCCGGTATGAGAACAAGACATTTATGGTCGTTTAAATCATTCATTTTCTCCATGAAAGAATGGTGAGTTTGGCAATATTCCGCGTGCTATTTCAACAGTGCAATATTGCGATGTGATCGTCCTCACAAATATTCCATATTTAAAAGCACCTACGTGAAGATTGAGCTTGCGATATTTTTCATTGTGGAAGTATCATCTGTGAACCGATTATTTGTGCCGAATGTGGTAAATGTCGTTATCATTGTTCAATGTTGATGTTGTCGGAGATTTCTCGAGAGTGTTTGGAACGAATCTTGGGACAAAGCAATTAGTGAACAAACTGCTGACTGGTAAATATTTGTCCGCATATCAGCTAAGATCTGGTGAATGCATCTTTGCAAAACCATTTATTTCGATATCTACATGGAATGGAAATAGAGTCGCTTTCTAAGTCAACCATTTATCATGTGAATGTGAAAAAACTGTAAGATCAAGAGCATTGTTATGCTCATGGACGAAATAAATAAACAGAGACTTACTGGTAATGATAAACATTCATAAAACTTGCGACTTCCATCAAGTGTTCATCCAACGAATATCTATTATTTTTGGCTTAATTTGATGAGCAGAAGCTTAAGTCAACCTGGAACTGGATCTAACCTATACAATTTCTATGTGACTATTGCACGCTTTTGTTGTTCTAAACGTGTGAATTCAAGTAAATGAAGTAGACCAAATATATGTCCGTGATAATTGTCATTCTCGTCTTCTGTGATCAACACTATCCTCATAGTTCTATGACTCGTCGAAGAGGAATGTGGAAGACGAATATCCGTGTTATCGAAATTCTTTTTCTTCAAGTATGGCGTTCTTTTTTCGTATTGGCGCATCCTTACCTTCTACTGACATGAACGCAAGATTCTTACATCAACGGATTGGAAAGATAAAGATCGGAAGCGTTGAGCCATTTCAAAAACCTTCTTATCATACAACAACTGAATGATGTCGTAACAGACTGACGCATAAACGATCATTTCAGAACGCAGAAATTACAAAACAGATGTTCATAACACGTGACATCTTTATAATACATTTCTAATGTAATATCTATCCAACGAAATCGTCAGAATAAATAAACCATATCTCGATTTAATTTGTCCACAAACCGTACACTCATGCATACAAATAAATTTCACACCAATCTTCCTACTGCACACCCGCGAAAAAGAATGCAAAAGTGATACCGTCTGTGCGTCTATTATATCATTTCCCACCACACTCAGATTTTATTCTTTCACTTGCTATAGCAAGAAACATATGAATCCACCCTTCGCATTTACTCGCCATCTTTTATCACGCACATCCCACATTATTCTCCAAGACTCTCACTCACCTTCATATTCCATGACGCCTGAACCACAACGTTACAACAACTTTAAGCGCCAAACCAATCAACACATGTGCAATATAATTCTACAGTATTCATCGATATCCTCCACTTTTCACCACAATCAAATATGCGAACCGCACTTTCGTACCAATCATTCCCTCTCTACGTGTTCTATTTCAATCTACATCGTTCACATTTCCTTCCAACCAAAACCTAATATGTCAACACTGTCATGAAAATGCAACTTGTACTCTCTATTCTCATGTTCCGTAGAATTCAGTGCCATCGGAGAAGATGGAGAGTTGTTTCGAAGTGAAGACAACAGATGAACAGAATGATGTTGAGTATTGTTGATTAGTGATGTGATACTGAATGAGATGGAAGAAGATGGAGAGTTGTTTCGAAGTGAAGACAACAGATGAACAGAATGATGATGAGTATTGTTGATTAGTGATGTGATACTGAATGAGATGGAAGAAGATGGAGAGTTGTTTCGAAGTGAAGACAACAGATGNGCGAGAACATCTAACGGTAGAGTCCAGAGAACATCGAATGTCACTGATGAATGCAGTTCTAAACGATTTTGAAATGTTTGAGCATTACAAATAATGAACGCTAATCGTTCATTCGCGTAACTAAACGTTAAAATGGATTCGTACAGGAGACACATAACACCTAATTGTTGTTCTTTGATGAATTCGATCGATGGAAGAAGAGAATATTGATATAAACAAGGAGACATGTCCATAGTTGATAAGTATAAAATCGTTTCGGAGCATGCGGCGCATGACCAATCCTTTTTATTATGATGAGCGATCGACTGTTCTTCGAGTTCCATGGTGTTTTCATCGAGAGTGAAAATATCTTTATGAGTGACGAGGATAAAACGTTCAAGTGCAGATGCCCAATATATGTTAACATGCGTGTATGACCACGGGATCTGTTTGATAAGATTCAATTTTCGATCGAATAGGGAAAGATTCGGTTTTTGTTCGATTAAGAGATGTTTCTTGCTGCAAGCCATCGCGATAGAATTCTTTTCTCTTGTTTGAATAATTTGGTATGGTTCTTTCAACGGAAGTAGATTTTCTCGGTGTGATTTAGTGCGAGTTTTTCTCTCAGATCTCGCTTTCGTAATACTTGCTTTAGTTATTTTTGTGACATCTTCAATGTGTTGCAGTTCAACTTCTTGTTTGTTTTTCTCCGACGAAGAACATGTCATTCTTCCGTAAAAATATCGCCACCAGCCATTCAACATGTTAAAACAAGATCGTCGCGTATACGTCGCATCCTTGGGCTGCTTTGTACCATCACTTGTCGCTTCAGGTTTGTTGATATGTTCGATAAAATGATCATTACAAAAGTGCTTATTATGGCATTCACATATGATGAGCACCGACAGTTCACATAGTTCTCTCGAACATGATTGTGATGATGAAAGCTGCTCCATCGAAACGAGCGGTGATTTTATACGAACAGACTCTTGTTGGACCGATGTATTGAACTTTTGTTAATAATTTGTTGGTTCTTGACTAACTCAGTAATCATGAGGTTGATCTTTTTCTTTCCGCTTTAGTTTTATATTTGCATAAGAGGCAACGAGACATACTTTACCTGAAAAATCATGTATACTAGTCATTCAAACAGGTCGATTCATATCTCATTGTTTTAATATAGGAGAATATTTAAAAAAAAACAGCTAATACAACGCGTTATGTAAAGCAAATAGATAGGGCGTGTTTTCCCGCATGAGATTTTAGTTAATAAAATATTTATTTTACGACATTTAATAAACTTGATTTGTCGTTGGTAGGAAATACTTCGCCAAAATGGTGACGCAAACTATCACTGACTTTGTCGCGGCTTCGAGCAAGCGGCTCGATAAACACTCAAAGACTGTTCTAATAATAAGTGGATAAACTCTCGACTAGAGAAACCAATTCACCTTCGAAATATTACCGAGAAGATTTATAATTGTCATTTATCGGTAGAAGTAAATGTACATCTCACATAGAATTGCACTTTTTTTTCTCATTCTAATCCAACGTTAGAAATGTATTTATTTTCTTCAAGAAGAAGAAGATAACAATTTTTCAACAAGGATTTTCGCACCAGTAAATGTTTGCCGTTTGAGTGTTTCCACAGCAGATGGTACGAGGAGTGATCGAATTTGTTTGCATTCATCAGGTTGACCGTGTTCGAGCATCCTAAACATCAAATTCTTCATCTATACACAACGCAGAACACTGACAATACTTACATGACGAAAATAAAACAACCACGATTACATAATATCCATGTGCGTAATGTATCTGGTGAGATTGACGATAATAATGTCGATACCAGAGCTAAATGAAAAGGAGGACATGGTTGACGGTGGTATCGAAGATGATTTACTTGTCTTTTGTTTGTGCTTCTTTTGTCGTTTACCATCGGCGATGATTAAATGTCGTAAGACATTGTGAGCAATTTGATTTTCAATCAGATTGGTCTCGGCTTGAGGTTCTACAGATGACGTGCTCAGTACTGAACTTAATGATGTATAAAATGAAGTTAATTTATCATCAGCTACAATAAAACACACTTGAATATTGATAAATATGAAACAAAAATTCTTACGAGAAAGTCGTTCGATCATTTCAGTCATCATAAAACCTTTGAAACCATCTTTTAGTGTTGATAGGATATTGTCTGTGAAATATTCTAGGAAATACGATTTGCAAAACTCGAATAATTCATGTTGACGAATATCAGCATCTTTTTTGCTATAAAAATAAAGAAATGTAAAACAATTAGAACAATTTTCTTGTCAAATACCTTGTGGCCAATGTGTCACTCGTTTTCATTAATTGAACAAGATCATATTGTAAATGTTTGGTATTTCGTGGTGCAATCAAATACATCAGAACTTTTTTACCATGAGCATCGTTGATGACTTCGTCGAAACTTGACATTAGTTCTTGTAAAACCACTTTTGATACCAGTTTTGTATCATCAACAACATCAAATATTGTCCAAAGGACAGGATAACCTTGCTCTTCTTTTGCAATTTTTATTACAAATGATTTCAAACTTTTTATTAATAATTTTCGATCCTAAAAGTGAACACGAAACCTTTTTTCGAGAATCTTTGAGAAGCACAATGACATACTTTGTTTGTTCCATACCAAAGACAGTGGATCGCAACGCGAGCACCATCACGACTATGAATCATTTTAATTAATTTCTCTTTGACAGCATCGATCATTTCCTATTCGATCATTTCGTCATAAAATCATTACTTTGAATAACTTCATCTTACCTCACGACCTTTTTCATTGGCATTTCGTATGTATTCATGCATAACTCGATGCACTATCGATGTACTCAATAGATCTCTAAAAAAACACCCGTCGGATGTGAAAACTGGTACTTCGAAAGGCTTGTTCTCTACTTTTGAATGCAAGGCATGATGTTTTCTTGCATATTTTCCAAAACATTTGCTCGTTGACCAGTCGCTGTTTTACTCGCAAGTAACTCTTCGATATTTTTCACATCCGTCGTCTAATTCAATTCAATGATTCAAATATATATTAATCACGATGTCTTACTTTCAGAATTGCATATTCCCGACCGTAAAATTCTTGAACCAATTGAAAACGTTCGGCAGAATTGCAAACATCATTGTAACAATACTCCAATACACGACAACCGATCTATGAAATCGAAACGATTATGCATAAACATACGAGATAACGAATTTACTCACTGAATGCCGTGCTAGCTTGCATACATGACCGTGAAGACTTTTCTTGATCGTGTCTTTTTGTGCATCCGTTCTAAAGGAATGTAATTATTTCATTGGAAGTACTTTGGCGTCGGCGTACGATCGTGATCCTTACCCATAGGTTAGAAATTTGATGATAACGTGATGAGCATAGAGAGATTTGGACATTGTTGGTATTTCCTCTATTGAAAGTGAAATGACGTTTGAAAAGAAACTCAAAATGAGTAGATTTACTTTGAATTTGTTCGAAGATATATTGTTTTTGTTGTTCATTACCAAATTGAACGAGACATTCGAGTACACGTGTTGTATCATGTGCCATGGATAGAAATTTCACATTTCCTTCGATTAATTTCATCAATTCACCACATAGTTTCACTCGCACTTCGTTGGTCGTTTCGTCTCGGCGTAGAACTTCCCAAATTTTCTTCGATTTATCGGCCATATCGTNGAGTACACGTGTTGTATCATGTGCCATGGATAGAAATTTCACATTTCCTTCGATTAATTTCATCAATTCACCACATAGTTTCACTCGCACTTCGTTGGTCGTTTCGTCTCGGCGTAGAACTTCCCAAATTTTCTTCGATTTATCGGCCATATCGTAGAGAACACCACGTCGTAGCTTTTGTCGTTCTTTCAATCGCTGGCGAAATGTTGTATTTTCTTTATCTTGAACGATGTTGATGTGTTTCTTCTTTTTCTTGCTTTCCATTTGCTTTTGTTTGCTTTTCAATTGTTTTTTGATAAGCTTAACATTGGATAGCATGCTCGGATCGGGTTTTACTCGTGCTTGACGTTTAGCAGCAGCTACCTGTGCTAATTTTTCGCTTGCACGAGATTTCAGAGATGAGGAAAGCGAGTCGAAATCCAACTGAAACCAATTGAAGGCAAAAAACAAGATAATTCATGATGTTACTTTTAGAGAAAATTCGTTTTACCTTCTTTGGCTTTTCATTTTCGTCATTTTTCAACGAAAATTGTACTTTCTTCTTCTTTTGAGCCGAATCATCAGCTTTTTTCGACAGTTTACGTTTCTTAATTTCTACGGAAGTACTCATCTAAAGCAAAGACATTAGCTTGAACTTAGAGGAAAACGAACTTCGAACGTAAATGAATCTATATGAGTATAGAGTATTGTAATAGTGAAACAGAATGATAATATGGATCGGACTTCACCTCCGTTAACGAGCAATCAAACGGAGTTGACGATAGATGGAGCTACATGATGATTTTTCGAATACATCGTTCATCTTTCTATACAAGTATAGCTTTATGCATACGATTTCCTTCCGTTTATGGTACGAATATGCATTAGTATTCTCGACAATCAGTTGCACATCATTTGCTGATGATAATACAAGCGATGAGTGTGAGAACAGAAAACAGTTGTTGAACATGAATTCAATGGTCTAGTACGATAAGAACAGATATCATCTTTCAATTCGAAATATGCTTTATTTCATCCAATTTGAAAAACAAAGAAAGTGTTAAATGGTATTCTGTACAGAATATACAGGACATTGTCTAGACCTCTTTCGCATCGCCTGGACGTGCGACTTGACCTGGCTCTTCCATATGTTCCGGTTGTTCTTGCTGGTTCTGAAGTCCATAGGACGGTCCAGTAAGTAGACTAACGGGTGCATCCGCTGGCGGATGACCATAACCTTCGAACCACAAGAAAAATCGTGTAATGACAATACTTCGACGTTCCGCCAGGGTTTTGATATAATAATGGTATGTGTCCCAGGTTAATTTCGAAAGAAGAAAACCAAGGAAAACATCCACTGTGTAATGGAATCGAGTAGCAATGATGAATAAATACCCAAGGATTGTAAACATCCATACCAATAATGATGTTATGTAAAACGATAGAGGATCACCAGTGGAATCTAGTTTTGGAAAAAGCCAACCTGGCCTTCCAAGAGTTATTTCTCGATTGTTGCCTTTGTATTTATTCCATAGCCAACGTATTGGATAGTGCTCTTCACCTTTAGAATAAGTCGTCCAAGCCAGTGCACACAGTGTCACTGTAATACATTAAATTAATTTTCAGGAAATTAAATTTGATTTACTTACATGTAACTGTATGCCCAGAGAAAAGAACGTCACCACATGTTGCATGAATCAAAGACATGATATAAAATGCTTCAATCGGTGGTGAACCAACTGCTGTCGTGTTACAACCAGGTAATGGAACACTCAGTGAAGTAACGTAAATCGATATACTTCGCATAATAAACATCACTGCTTGAACAAAAAGCCATCGACGAAAAACAATTAAACGAATATCGCGTTGAAATATGTAACGAATAATAACTAAAAGGAACGACGCTAAAAGAAAATAATTGTTAATGGCATAGAATGAGAAGTAGGGTAATAATTTGTGGCCAATGTCCGGTAAGGCTGGTAACCAGTATGGAGAATTCCGATCAGCCCATACTTGAACGAGCGAGTTAACATAGAGAGTTATGAGAAAGAAGATAATTGAGAAACATAAAGGTAACCATGTTAATCGTGCCATTATTTTATTTTATTCCAACTGCGGTCGATGAGCTATCTTTTATTGGAAAGAAAACAAGAAGAATAAGAAACGACGATGTTGGAATAGAATTGTGCATGCTGACCGAATAGAACGCAAAGAAAAAAAAAGACGAGAAAGAGAGAAAGACTAACATATATATGTAAACGAAGAGAGATGAAGGAGAAAGAAGATGATGCCTGTCTGGTCAATAGCAACTTATAATTGCAGTAACAACTGGAATTGGACACTTGGAAAGATTGATTTCTATCCAGTGAGTGTACACCTGCGGCTTCATTCAAAGTACAAGCTAAATGTGATATGTTGATGACTTATCCCTATCGTAAATCGAAAGCTGACGTGTACTTTTTAATAAAGTGAATTGTGTTACGTTTTGTAATAAGAAGATGTCATTGATGACTTCATAAATACAACGAAACAACACATTTTCTCGTGGGAGATTCTCTTTCATATGTGTTGACCGGAATAAATGTACTATTATTACTGACGTAATTGGATGGATACATGGAATCTCGAGAGAACATGTTTATTGTTCGTTAAATCTTAAAAATGGCTTTTATTCTCGTTAGAAACTGTAACAAATGAATATCCATGGATGAAAACAAGCGAAAATGTGTGACACATTTATTTTTGTTGTTGTTGTTGCTGTTGTTGAAGATGCATTTGGATAATGCCAGTAATTTGTTGTCTTGTTAATAATTTATCATATAAAACTTTTTGTAATTTATCGATTTCAACTTGAAGATAGTCGTGTTTACGTTTGAAATAATCCTGTGCCTTTTTTGGCCGCATTTCCACAAAGAATCCTGTGCCAATGTCAACCAAAACATGATCTGGATCAGATAATCGACCAGGAACATACATCGACGACGATAATGGCACAAGTAACGAATTATCTTGATTATTTGTCGGTAAACGTGATACAGCTAACATCGATTCACCGAAACCTTCTTGTGCATATTGGAGACGTTGAATGGACGATTGTAACATTTCAATATCCGATTGTAATTGAGTGCGAACTTGTTCGACTTGGGCCATACTTAAGCCAGCAGGTTGTTGTTCGCTTGAAGCAGATGCTGTTGCAGCAGACATGGTGAGATCTAGAAAAAAAAGTAAACGTTAATGTGCGTGTCGTCAAGACAAGACAGACATGTCTTCGTTTTTGGCTGTTTTTTTTTAACATTGAGAGGACGAGCGAGATAACCAATTCGATGTTACCATGCGAAGTAGAAGGCACACATATTGTACAACAGTGACCTCTGGATGAACTTTATATAAAATTAGTAAAAACAGACTGACGGCAAATCTTTCACAATTGATCGAAATAATGAGTAAGGTCTGTTAGATCGATAGATGATGGTAGCAGTTCAAAATACAAGTCAGCATCTAATAAAAAAGTGAAAGCAATTTGACGTAGATAAAAGAATGTGAAAAAGTATTTGATAATAAGTGATAGATGTAATCGAAAGAATTGAGTTTATTCAAAAAAAGATTACTCCGCGGCGGGGAATCGAACCCCGGTTTCCCGCGTGACAGGCGGGGATACTAACCACTATACTACCGCGGACGGTACTGTTAATCCTTATACGTCATTGCATGAAAATCCAACTCGAATCATTCTCGGAGCTTAAAACAACCCTCCCATTGTGTCAATATTTGACATGTACGCGTTCATAATAATATTGTCAATTGAGTCGGTTTTCCAACTAGGTATCATTTTGTTTCCACTTTCATCACGATCTATTTATCAAGCATGTCTTCTATCGTCTGATTGCTAGATATCTGTGGGCTCACAGAAAATAGTATCTTTTTACAATTGAGTATCGACAAACCTAATAAATGAACGTGATTATCTAACCGAATACTTCTTTTCACTGACGTAAACGTTGGCAGAATATGATCATATGGAGGGAAAAAAAATCTTGCTTCATTCCTTTTTTATTGAATCTATTGAGTAGGTTAACGTTAAATCACGAACTCCAAGATATGGTCAAAGATCGACTTCAAGAGCTAAAGAGCAAAGTGAGATGATTTGTTAGTGTTAATCGAAAAGAACTCAGTGTTTGGTTTCAGATGCGAAGATCTGATGAAGGTCAAAGTATTAGTTTGATGCATTATTATTCTATTATCAATGCGGCTGAACCATTCATGGACGATTTTTTCAATGATGTAAGTACAGCTCTTCAATAACAAACTGTCTGTCAAACAATGGTACTTTCAATTAGTTAAATGCGACTCGAAGTCACATCCAACAAATTTCCGAACTTGTTGAACAAGTCGGCCAGCTACAAAACATACTGCTGACATCAGATGTTACTCCAGGTATGTGCCATAGATGATTTCATAACTATAAACACGGCAAAGTCGTTAATAGGAATAAAACAAGAACTTGAAAAAACCATGAAAGAAATCAAACAATCTGGCAATGACATTCGAATGAAGTTAAAACGTAAGAAGAAACTTTTGTTCTTCTCCATATGTTACTTTCTTTTTTCGTGCAGACATGAAAGAAGTACAAGAAATGGATTCTACTTGTAACCGAGGAAACGTTCGTCAGCGCATCATGGATGGGCAGATTGACGCGTGTATAAAATATTTTTGTGCAATAATGAATCGTTACTACGAATTAGTCGTCACTTATCGCGAACAATGCAAAACACGACTTGTTCGCCAATTAGAAATCGGTTTGTTCAGATAGTCGCTCATACGGAATAAAAAGGAAAGTGAATATTTTTTCAGCAAATATCAGCAGAACGGACGAGGAAGTGGAAGAAATCCTGGCAAAAGGTCATGCAACTCTATTCCCTGAAGTGAGAAGTCAAAACCAAAAAGAAATTCTTTAACGATAATTCATTTTAGGTTATCATTGAATTGCAAGATGCCCGACAAAATCTGGCTGATATGAAATCTCGTCAAGAGAATCTCAACACGCTTGAGAACGATATTGAACAATTGCGTGATATATTTTTGGACTTAACCTACTTAATTTATTCTCAAAATGAACAAGTTCATTCCATTGAAGAAGCAGTTCTCAATGCGAAATTGGGTATCAAACCGTTCAGGCGATTACCACATCCAAAACAAAAATCCGATTTGTCGTCGTTAAAGTTTTCTCGAAAGAAATATCTTTCATCAGTAGTGAAAGTCTTTTCAAAGCTATTCGCGACATGTCTATGCTCAAGTAGATTGACTTGTTCGTAATACAGACTAGATGTCATAGCGTTTTTTGACAACTGTTTACAGTTTTATTCAACGTTTCAAATAAAAATTTATAGTTAAGATCAAAATCTTTGTTCGCGCCATAGACTTTCATATTCTTTTGCTGAATTCACATCTTTTGGTTGAGATATAGTAGGCAATGGTTCACTGGATAGTTTCTTCATATTTCTTCTTCCAATTAACATCATTTTCGTATCATGGTCATGAAGATTTCGCAGGAAGTCTTTTCGTTGGTATATCAACGTTGGATTATTCAAAAGAAAAATAGCCAAGTGCCAATTATGCTTTGCCTTTGAGAGTCGTTTAGTCGGATAAAGATGATCGCGAAGGAGATGACTGACAAAAAACAGTAAGACTGGATGACGGTGAGCGGTTTCCATATAAATTAATCCGCAATATGCGTTGAAACCTGCATCCATTGTTTCTAATTTTCGGCCTAACGGTGAGTAATCTAATCGACACATGTAAAACATTCCACCGATAATACTTTTCAATATACGAAAGAAAGCGGCAAAGAAACCGAGAAATGTATCCAAGAAGAAGTTAAAATAAAGAAACACCATTAATGCACGGCGATTATTAATCGACAAAACTTCTCCACTATGCTGCAGAAAAACGTATTGACTCAAAAGCTTGTTGATATAAAGTTTAAAAGTCGTGAAGAGTATAGGCGGAATGATCAAAGTTAAAAATCTCTCCAGCGAAGGAACACTTGTAAAGATAATCAATGCAGCGATTGACATAGTTAACATGGTAGAAACGAATAGGATCAAAGCATAACCGATAATAACATAACCGATCAAATATCCAGCGAAATGAAAACTTCCAGTGGAATAGCTAACATTCGATGTTGAGACACGAGGTGGTATTTCACGATGATCACCGCGATAGGATTGAAGAAGATTTCGTCGGATACTTGCTAACATAAACAACAATTGAATGATAATGACCAGTAAGGCAACGTAGATACTGATGAGAAAAGGTACAGCAAGGTCGGGAACAGGGAAATCTGGTGGTGCACCTTTTGCGTCAGCTTCGACAGGATCTCTGGAAATTATAAATATAGCAAATAGATCAGCAAAAGCTTGGATATACGGATGAATTTTGTTCAGTATCGGTAGCGTACGAATAGAAATCTATAAAAAATATGGCAAAGATTCAAAAGACAAGATGGAGCAAACTTACGCTAACGGTAAGGAAGAAAAGTAAAAGAAATATCGATGCATAGACGCATATGACACGAGATGAGAAGCGAAAATCATCTCTCCATGCATAAATACGTCGTAAAATTTGAGACAATCGATTCTTAGCCGGTTCGGTAGATGCATATCCAAATAACTTCTTCACATAACGTGCTTCAGCTGAATGAGGTAACGAAGAATACAAAAGATCCTTTTGTTCACGCCTCATTTGCTTATCAGGAATATTTCGATGTCGTATTCGTTTGATCAATACCATCGGTAGTTTGACACATATGTAACTCAAACAGAAATATCGAGGAATGTCGAGGAACAGTTGAAGAAACAGCAATTTCGATCCTGTACCATAATAAGCGATCATTTCTGCTGTACGATTACTTCCCGTTTTGTTAAATTGTTCTTTTGTTTGATAGAAATTATTCGTACATAAACCAGCAGACATGATTGCAACAGTGAAATCTAACCAGGCATAGAGAGTACCACAAATTAAAGTAAAATAATTATCCATATACACAGCAGCTAAGATTGGATAACGTCGAAATCCAATCACGAAGACACGAAAGATTTGAGTAAGGTAAGTTATGATGACTCCTATAAGACTCAACGAATGTAATTTATACGAATATTTAGAAAAAAAAACAAACAAACCTTGATTTGAAGATTCTCTACCTCCAGTCAACAGTTCATTGGCGATGTCCAATAATTCATCGGCAAACACGGCAAATATCACAGCAGCTAACGTTCGTTTTACATGTCCAAAAAAGTCCAATGGAATTACTACACCAAGATAACCCTTACAATACCGATTGTGCCGCGATGAAGCTCGTTTGGTGATGATCATGAACAAAAGAATTAACAAACAAGCAATAGGGAATGTAAAGATATTGAAATCTGCTCGAAAATTGATGATTCGACAAACAGAATGTGTATTAAAATACACCGATTGATTGTTTTCATACTTATATACAACTTCATCGTGAATAGGTTTTAGAATAGACCATTTTACAACGAGAGTACTCATGGCAAATATGAATGTAAGAATACCCGTAATCCACGCATATTTTCGGCGAGATGGATCAAAAACTTCAACAGATACTGTAGGAAACTTTAATCGGACAATCGGAATACTTGGTCTAAACATAAAATTCAAATAGATGATGACATATTGACCAACTAGATTTTACTCCTGCTTTTGTTTTGGTTGATTACGTTTCTTTCTGATGCGACGAAATAATCCTAGTCCGTAAAACGCTGCTAATAGAACAGCTAGCAAAATACCTAAGGTAATGACTTGTTTTCCACCATTCGACACTGCAAAGTCAAGATCAACAAATATTGAAAACGTTATTCTTCAAAATTTCAACTCACTTTCATTACACGTCGCTCCATTCCACCAAAACTTGCACGAACATATCTGTTCATCCTCCTGTGTGTTTAAACAATAACCATTGCGTCCACATGGATTATACACCGAACAATCTGTGAACAATTATCATACTATTCGTTACATTTTTCTAATCCTACACTTTACTTATTGATACGGGTACTGTCGAGGTTATAGTAACATTTTCGTCTGACGATAAATCCTCGGACATAATGAGTGATATTGTTGAATACCTTTTACTTTTTTCATTGCTTTAAATACGAGAAGAATCTATATGTATATACAGTAATCTAATCCTCAAATTTTTCCTTTTTGCCTGATATTTGATAGTGGTTGTTTTAGCTTAGTTTAAAGCACATCTCAGCTGTTGTTTTTCTTTCTTATGCACACATATATTCACATAACGGCAAACGAAGCAATATTGTTCGATAGTTTTTATGAAAAAAAACATCCAAAATAAATAGATTTCTTCTCGATACGATTCTTCGAACCATTTTTCATAATGAATCGTATATCAAAACTAGATGTATGTTGTATTCGATGAATAACAACAACAGTGACAGAGCACGAGTTTTTTTTTCATTATCTTTCAAGAGAACACAATGAATATCACTACTTTATTCTCTTCTCCTCTCAAGATAAGATAAGCCAAAAGTAACCGACCAACGCGTCGCGTAATAAATTTCGTCAAGCATTTCAAACATACCATAAAAAATCTTTTCACCGGTGACAATGGATTCCAATCGACGATATCACTCAGATATGGCTGTGTATGAATTTTTACCAACACGTACGAACATGTTAGGTATGTTGATCATTTCGTCTTTTAAATCTATACCGAGAGAAAATGAATGAATTATTTGTAGAGTACTACAGTGTGTCGTCCGAACGAGATTTAGAAGATTTAATTGCTGGTCAAGAACCGTATTCAATCATCGATCTATCATGTCAGAATTTAACTGATGCATCGATGCCGTGTATCATCAAAAATGCGATTTATCAGAAAAAGTGTAAAATTCTTAACTTATGGGGAAATCGTTTTACATCGAAAAGTCTATTCGTTCTGATCAAAGCTTTAGAAGGAAATCAAACATTACAAGAGCTGGATCTTTCGCATAATAGTCTCGGTGATGATGGTATTCAAATTCTTTCGCAATTTTTCTCTTTGAATAACTGTGAAATCAAACATCTTGATCTTTCTTCGAATCATGTGACCGACGTCGGTGCTCAATCTATTGCTGACATGTTAAGAAGAAACCGAACGATCAAACGATTATCATTGAATAAAAATGACATCGAAGATACCGGTTTGGGTGGTATAGCCATAGCAATTCGGAATGGAAATGAAAGAATTGTCGAGTTGAAGTTCGACGATAATCCGCGTATTACACGAGAAGGAATCGAAACTGTTCTTGACATTTTAAGAAACCATCGATCATTGGAAGGCATTTATGTTCAGAATTGCGCAGTTTTTAGTCCGCATATAAAGTATGATTTGGAAGAAAATGCGTTTCGAACAGGATTTGATGTTTTTATTTGAAGAACAAATTCTTTCTTTTTTTGTCCGTTTTCCATTTTCATGTTTGCTTTCTTTTGTCTAATTGGAGAGAACGAAAAAGAAGATTGTTTCTCTTCATATCTAGAAGTAAAAGCTTTCAAATTGTCAATCAATTGTAAAAACATGAACTAACAGACGTTAGTATCCTTATGTACAGCCTTTCATCGTTAAAACAAATACTCACATTCACCAAACAGAAGAATAATAAAAACGAATTCATGTGTAATTTGTTGGCAACAATCAAACGATGACCACCAAATTCCGTGCACCTGAATTTATTCTACTAAGTATCTCGGTAATTTCTGCAGGTATCGCTGTTACATTAGCGAGTGTAGGTGTGGGTTCAGCTAATTGGCAAACAACAACGACGACGGATGTCAACGGACGAATCTATACAAGTAATATCGCAAATTTCTTTTATGCTTGTCGTTTGAATCAAGCAGGTAATACTCAATGCGGACAGCGAAGTAGCGATGATAATAATATACAATATTATACGATTAATGCAACAGGAAACACGGATATATGGAATTTCCATTTGAGTTTTGCTTCTGCTTTGACTATTATTGGTATTGTATTTATTTTTATTGGAGGTGTTGCCAGTTTATTAATGATCTTGGGTGATCGCATGCCGTGGATGTTTTTCGTCGCACCGATGTTTCTTTTTCTCGCTTGTCTTTTCATGCTTGCAGGTCTGGCTGAAGGTTCACGTGTGTTGAAGTTTAACGATTATGCAGCGTATTTATATGAAACAGGACATGTGATAACGATATTTAGTTGTATGACAAGTGCTTTTTTAGGTGGCCGTCTGTTTGATCCGCCTGTGGAAAGTAAAAGCTCGAAGAAATTAAAAAAACCGAAAGCATCGTATCGATAATGGATTGAAACAGAAAAGATTGATTTAGATTCTATACGGATGACTTTTTTCGATTTGATATTCTAATAAATGAAACTCTATCGTACATTGAATTACATTAGTAGCAAAATCAATCATCACTGGATGACAAAGGCAAATTATTACCATTCAAATGCAACGATTGATCATACATAAAATATCTCTGATAGTGCGTTTGACACTCTCTAGACGAGTGTGTATCTATTTTTCGTTTTTTTTTGTGTGATTTGTCATTACTAATTTGGTCGACGCTTCTCGCACCATCGTATAGAAGTAAATAGTTTTTGTCATTATTTTTTCTTCTTTCGTTCTTTTGCTATTCTTGATGTATGTGTTTAACCTGATGCGGAAACATGTACATTAATTTATAATGAATTGAATATATGGAAAAAAGATGCCCTTCTGCGATCTGTGCGTTTGTAAAGGAACACAAATAAAAACAAGTAAATAACGATACATTCATCATGATGAATTCTTCATCTTTGGAAGGCGAAAAACGAACATCTCGACGTTTGATACGTATTTCTCGCGATCGTGATTATCCATTAAAACATTTAGAAACTGTTCTTTTACCATTATTTCAAAAGGATTATACAGAAGATAGTTTACGTGTGACTATTGAAAGTGCCAATCATATCTGGTGTGCATACGAAAATGGTCAATGTCTCGGCTGCGTATTGGCTACTGATATTGGCTCACATGGTGGATTGTATGTGATTTTATTCGGAGTTTGTGAATCTGTACAAGGTCTGGGAATTGGAACACGTATGTTGAAGAAAATGATCAAATGGTGTCGAAAGCGTCGACGATCATTTGTTTTTCTCCTGACAGAACATTATAATGAACGTGCTATTCGATTATATGAAAAAGCTGGCTTTGAAAAACATTTTCATTCAACTATGTATGATGAGCCTCTACCGGAGCATGGACAGGGTGTTCTTCCATTGATGCTTTTGATATGAATTAATTAATAGAACAATGCAATTCTGCTTTAGTTTTATTTTTGGTAGATCTTGACTGAAGATACAAGTATGAATTGCTTTTCAGCGAAATTACTTGTTTGCTCGTGTTCGATCGTTCTTGGGTTTTTTTTTCTGTTATTCTTAACTTTCTTTCTGTTTGAATAAAGAAATCTTGAAGGGACTCTTTTCGTCTGCGCCGACATGTATGTGAAAAAACATCGCTCACTGATGAATGTTTGTCTTGTGTGATGAAATGTGTGCTCTCTTCTTCCGAGCTGTTGTTGCGATAGAAGCAGCACAAAGATAAGAACGAAAGAAATTTTGTATTAACATTACATTTTCATTCCAACATACGACAATGGCAAGCGCTACAGGTCACAATACCAATCTTCGCTTTCTTGACGTTGGCGAAGAGCCTAATCAAGCCCTATTGCCTATTAGAGGCTACGCCAAGGAACCATTATTGCCATTAGAGGAGGCTGCTCAACCAATAAGTGAATTATTAGACGATCTGGAAACAATGGTACATACAGCGAAATGGAATTCGAAAAAGCCAGCAGATGGTCTCACTGTCGATGAATCGGCTGCCATTCACCTGTACACAATGCAGTGGGAAGAGCCGAACGTAAGTCTTTTTACTAAACTTAACACCACATTACGTTCAAAGCGACGCGAACCATTGAAACCATGGTTTCGCTATCTTAAACTCACCTTGACGGCATTATTCAAGTTGCCGTCAGTAAAAGCCACCGTATGGCGTGGTGTTCGCGGTAATTTAAGCGACCAATACGACGAAGAACACATATGGTGGGGGTTCAGTTCATGCACTGAAAGCATGAAAGTCATGGAACAATTTGTTGGCACAACTGGTGTGCGAACATTGTTCAATATAGAGTGCATCAATGGCAAGGCAATTCAAAAGCATTCGTTTTATAAGGACGAAAGTGAAGTTCTTCTCTTACCTGGTACTTACTTTCGTGTAGTGGGCAAATGGAGCCCTGCAAAAGACTTACACATGATACAATTACGAGAAACACCCGCACCGCACGTGTATTTGGAACCTCCATTTGGAACAGCAGCAGCAGCACCACCACCACCAAGTAAGCCGGTCGTTCTACCTCAAGCGCCAGCCAAGGAAGAAAAAAGTTCATCGCATGCATCAGCTGCGCCTGCAAAAACAAAATGTAAGTGCCTTGGGTGTGGGTGAGGGTGTGCTTATAAATCTCGATTTTTTTCGTCTAGCGATTAAATATACGAGGATAATAGTCGTTCTAGTAGGAAAAAATGGTCAGGTTTAAGTACTTTGTTATGAGGCATACAGTACTTCATATCAGTCAAACGGAAGTATGAAAATCTTCTATTCGATTTAGATAAGCAAGAATTCGCTGTGCCTAGTACTGACAAGCAGCTTCGTCAAGTTCAGTCGTTTTTCTCATTAGCGATCGGTGGTTACATGCCGTGGTGCATTCAGCCTCCGCAAAAGAAGGTAAATGAATACAATTGTTGTTATGCGTATTCTGTTATTTGACAAGTTTGCAACAATCCATTCGAACGCGACAAACATCCGAGATGAAAGCCGGTATGAGAACAAGACATTGAAGGTCGTTTAAATCATTCATTTTCTCCGTGAAAGAATGGTGAGTTTGGCAATATTCTGCGTGCTATTTCAACAGTGCAATATTGGAATGTGATCGTCCTCACAAATATTCCATATTGAAAAGCACCTACGTGAAGATTGAGCTTGCGATATTTTTCATTGTGGAGGTATCATCTGTGAACCGATTATTTGTGCCGAATGTGGTAAATGTCGTTATCATTGTTCAATTTTGATGTTATCGGAGATTTGTCGAGAGTGTCTGGAACGAATCTTGAGACAAAACAATAAGTGAATAAGCTGCTGACTGGTAAATATTTGTCCGCATATGAGCTAAGATCTGGTGAATGCATGTTTGCAAAACGATTTATTTCGATATCTGCATGGAATGGAAATAGAGTCGCTTTCTAAGTCAACCATTTATCATGCGAATGTGAAAAAACTGTAAGATCAAGAGCATTGCTATGCTCATGGACGAAATAAATAAACAGAGACTTACTGGTGATGATAAACATTCATAAAGCTTGCGACTTCCATCAAGTGTTCAACCGATGAATATCCATTATTTTTGGCTTAACTTGATGAACAGAAGCTTAGGTCAACCTGGAACTGGATCTTTCCTATACAATTTCTATGTGACTATTGCACGTGTTTGTTGTTCTAAACGTGTGAATTCAAGTGAATCGAGTAGGCCAAATAAATGTCCGTGATAATTGTTATTCTCGTCTTCTGTGATCAACACTATCCTCATAGTTCTATGACTCGTCGAAGAGGAATGTGGAAGATGAATACCCGTGTTATCGAAATTCTTTTTCTTCAAGTATGGTGTTCTTTTTTTTCGTATTGGCGCATCCTTACCTTCTAATGACATGAACGCAACATTCTTGTATCAACGGATTGGAAAGATAAAGATCGGAAGCGTTGAACCATTTCAAAAACCTTCTTAATATCCAACAAGTAAATGATGTCTTAAAAGACAAACGCATAAACCATGATTTCAGAACGCAGAAATTACAGAACAGACATTCATAACATGTGACATCTTTATGATACATTTCTAATGTAATACGTATCCAACGAAATCGTCAAAATAAATAAACCATATCTCGATTTAATTTGTTCACAAACCGTACACACCTACATACAAATAAATTTAACAATACTCTTCCTACTGCACACCCGCGAAAAAGAATGCAAAAGTGATACTGTCTGTGCATCTATTATTTCATTTTCCACCACATTCAGATTTTATTCTTTCACTTCGTATGGCAAGAAATACATGAATCGACGCATCGCATTTACACTCCATCTTTTATCCCGCACAACCAACATCTTTCCCCAAGACTCTAACTCACCTACATGTTACATGACACCTGAACCACATCGTTACGAGCAGTTTCGGCGCCAATCCAATCAACAGACGTGCCATATAATTCCAAAGTATTCATCGACATCCTCCAATTTTCACCTCAACCAAATACGCGAATCCCACTTTCGTACCAATTATTCCCTTTCTACCTGTTCCATCTGAACCTACTCCGTTCACATCTCCTTCCACCCAAAACCTAATATCTGCAAGCTGCCATGAAAACGCAACTTGTACTCTCTATTCTCATCTTTCGTAGCACTCAATGACCTCAAAGAAGATGGAGAGTTGTTTCGAAGTGAACACAACAGATGAACAGAATGATGGTGAGTATTGTTGATTAGTGATGTGATACTGAATGAAATGGAAGAAGATGGAGAGTTGTTTCGAAGTGAAGACAACAGATGAACAGAATGATTATGAGTATTGTTGATTAGTGATGTGATACTGAATGAGATGGAAGAAGATGGAGAGTTGTTTCGAAGTGAAGACAACAGATGAACAGAATGATCTTGAGTATTGTTGATTAGTGATGTGATACTGAATGAGATGGAAGAAGATGGAGAGTTGTTTCGAAGTGAAGACAACAGATGAACAGAATGATCTTGAGTATTGTTGATTAGTGATGTGATACTGAATGAGATGGAAGAAGATGGAGAGTTGTTTCGAAGTGAAGACAACAGACGAACAGAATGATGGTGAGTATTGTTGATTAGTGATGTGATACTGAATGAGATGGAAGAAGATGGAGAGCTGTTTCGAAGTGACGCATTTAGGGAATGAATGTTTTGTTTATGCGAGGATAACATTAAATGTTAAAAAATATATCTGAAATAAATTGGATGAGGAAATGAAGTCTTTCCGGTAACGTGCCAGCATAGAGAAGGGAATAAGAGTTGGAAATACTTGTATGCTTTGGTTTTAAATATTAGAATGGAGTAACATCGTGTGATAGAAGATGGTTTGTCTGGCGAGGTGTTTAGATAAAATGTGATGTTTGTACAAGTCCTGGGGAAATGATAACTCTAGTCTTTGCGTAGCAATAAGAATCTCAGGCTTTCAAAGTTTGTGGGAAGTTTTTTGGGTGTTTAGGCGTTTAATAGTAGTTTTTCGTTTATTGATCGATTTTGCTCAGAATGATAAGATGGTGGCAATGTAATTAGAAGTTATCGGTTAACTAGAAAATAGGGAGAATGATAAGTGAAAGGTAGAGTTTGATGGTTTTTTATAGATTAATCAAGAAAGATTTCCGGTGATCGCTGGGTGGATGAAGCAAGTACAAATTAAAGCTGTGCTTCGAAGGAACGATGTGGAAGGCTTTGTATTGGAACCATATAGGTAGAAACAGTTCAATACCACCACCGCTCGAATACATCATCGGAAGAAATGTGGATACGATTGAAATGTTCTTAGGAAAAATTTCTTGAAAAAGTGTGCAAAGATATTACTGCTTCCGAATCGTACGAAATATTTTCTCCGTATTCGAATAGTTGTTACTTCAACGTGCTCTCGTTTTGTAATTTTCTTTTCCAAGTGGAGAAAAGTATGATTAGCAGTAAGTTTGCTGCTGTTATAAAAAACCGGAATGATTTGTTGGCAAAGGTAAACAATACTTTATAATGGTAGAAAACTCACGTGGCCAAATATTGATTTCTGTAATTGCTGATGCTCTCCAACAATCAAAAACGATATAAATGTACAGTACAAATTCCCGAATGCATAAATTTCGTATATAAAAGTACGAAAGAAAGAAGGCATTAAACCTAACTGTTTATTACATTCAAAAATCTTTACACTAATACAATCCGTGGATATATCATATTTTCGAAAATATTTCGGTCAAATGTTTGTTCAAGTGGTTGCGTCACCTCGCGAACAACATGTGACCATCATGACATCCGACTTATGTATATATGTTTTGTTTCGTTGAAACGTAAAGATTAAAAGAACAACTACTCCACATTGTTGAAGCTAGTATTTGTATACATAAACGAGTTTTTTTTATGAGAGATTGCTAGACATCGGTCGTGAGTCAGAGTGTGACTATAACTAGAATACACATTGAATCGGAGGAAATCGACAGATCACATGACACCGAGAAAATTTCAAATTCCAATAGATGTCTCATATTTTCATAAAATATCATTGATAATATGAATGTTGAACATTTTGAATGGAATCAATCGAAACGATGATTTGTAGTTATCAACCCATGTTAGATGGTAGAAACAATATTCAAAACAACGATCGATGATGATGGCCATTTACTTATTCTAAACGAATATACTGGCAGAACCAGTATCAGCGACACCTTACAAGTCAACTGTATCGTTCAACATTTGTTCTCCGCCCGCTGTTATTCACTTGTAGTTCTACAATGTAATACGCTAGTGGTCATTTGGTTTGTAAAGTCACCGGCTGCAGTCAATACTGTAGCCCGCTCGAGAACAAAATCTATCAGTGTACGGTGAGAGTACCTGATAAAGAACCATTTTACGCTCTTATGGATTTCCGAGATCAGTGCTAGCTATCCAGACACGACAATATTGGTTACAGTGGAAGCATACCTGAAATTGACATTAATCTTTCATTGAATACACATATTGACTTTTATGCATGTTACAGTCGAACAAATGTTCATGCAACTATCGTCGATTATGTTTATTCGAGTGCTAGTGTACCTGTGTTGACAATCAATGGTTCAATTGCTGTTCATGATTATAAACTTCGTTTTTGCAAAGATCTTCGCACGTGTCATGGCTCACTGGAATACGTATTTTACGAAACTGGTTCAGATCCATTTGATTTATCAAATAAACCAAAATAATCAGCAACAGGTGTCAAAGTCAATTGTCAATTACTTAACTATCAAGCTGCTCAACACAAACATTTAAAAGAAACAAAGACTTTCGCATTCATAAAGCTATACATAAATTTTCCAAAAGGGGTCCATACCATGTTAAATCATAAAGCTTTCGCGTTTACACAATCCATTCCATGTTTGTTTTTCTCCAATGAGTTCTACGATATCGATATGTCGGATTTTATTTCAATTGGAAAAAAAGTGAAAAAGAAGTACAATGTTTTTCATAAGTATAATGTATAATAAAAAGCTTTTCAAACTATTGACGAAGAGAGCCTAATTTAACTTGATTCCGTCTCGACATCGAATTTCTGTACTCGATGATTATCACAATCAATTACATAAAGATTACCTTGCCGATCGAATGCTAGACCATGAGGATAAGCAAATTGATTCGGTTGTTTTCCTTCANAATATGATCTAATTGTTTGTTCAATTCTTGTCGATGATCTGTCAAATGATCATAGCAAAACAGTTGCAAACAACCTTCGCATCGAACAGCTCGTTTTTCTTTATCACAGGTTATACAACGACTTTTGATAATCGGTTCTGATCCCAACGAATTCATGGTGATATCTAAAGAACAAGACGAGAACAACCCAAATGGATAGTTAACTTGTGAACATGAAATAACCAGACGAGTCAATGTCAATTAAGACGAAGTATACGGAGTGAAGAACAGTTATGCTTTGATTGACTCAGTCGCGATTTTTGTTCAAGGGTGTTAACCTTGTCAGAGATGATTTATACTCTCTCGAGGCGTTTTATCTCTCTTCTCTTCAATGAACATCAAAATCAATCGTTTCGCACATGGATGACGAGGTACAGAGAGGAAAAGGACGGAAGAGAGAGAGAGAAGAATAGAATGGGAAAGAAATTAGTGTTGCCTGTGATATCTTTTATCAATCAGAAGTATACTAGTATTCAAGGATGTTTTTTTTTTCGTATTTCAAAATGGAACTTTCTTGACATCGTCGTTTTTCTTCTGAAAGATAACACAGATACTAAAGTAGGTAGACTTGATAGAAGTAATGAGGACGTTGGTCATTTTAGTTCAGACATGATCGTAAAATATTTCCTTGACCTTAAATAATACTGTGAATAGAGAAAGCAATGAACTATCATTTCAATTAGATACTAGTCTACCCGACCTTCGTCTTCTATCAGTTATCATTCGATATCGTAATTGTTTCGTCATTTCTAATGATTGTTATCATTCACACAGTCGTTTTTGATAGTCGGATGCAAAATATCGATTTCAAAACATCATTTTTATGAGTGATCATGTTCAAAATGAAAATATGAAGAAATTAATTGAGTCAATCATCATTCATTTTCAATAAAAGTTAATTGTAACTGTTACTTTTCTCTTTATATTATGCAAAATATAACTACTCACACTTGATTAAGAAGTCAACTAGCCATCCATGACAGTCATTGATTAAGTGAGATAATGTGGTAGACAAGAGAATTGGATGTAGTCTACGTGTTAATATCAACAAAAATAAAAAAGAAACATTTCTAGTGAATACCGTCTGGCAGGAATTGTGAAATTTTTATCATATAATGCACGATATTGTTAAGACGAAGTACTCGATAAAGATAGGGGTTTGGAAGTGATAGGTACTGGTAAAAATCGTTTCTTAAAGGGTATGTCAGCGAAGGTAAGTCTTTCTCGTAGTCAAGTTTTCAGTCGTTTTATGTAACGTTGTGGTGCTAAACTGAGAATTGATCGAATATGCAGGAGATTGAACTAGAATCTGTTTATATGCAGATTATTGGTTTGATATTATTCTATACGGATATAAAGCGATCGTTTTCAAATTTAGTGCTATTCAATTGAAGATGTTACGACTGAAGATAATGGCAATACAAACACAATGAACATTGAAGCCGTTAGTACTATTTTCGAAAATTCGTCTATTCACAATCTTCATGTAAGCATTCACATACGTACTTGCAACATAATCGACTTCATTAACCTTAGCAACAGCCAATATACGGTTGAATATTGGCCTTCTACAGTATGTCAATCTCATCAGGACTATTTACTATCTTCTAAATTACATAAATAGACTTGTTGAATTTTTATTCATTTAAAGATAGAAAGAAATCGAAAAGTTTCGACAGAACAGAGAAAAAAAACAGAATTAATCATAAAAAAGTCTCTACATCGAAATGGAAGAAAAAGAAAAGTTTTTTCAATCTTTATCAACATCAAATTTCTGTACTCGATGATTACCCCAATCGACTACATAAAGATTGCCTTCTTTATCGAACGATAAACAAATCGGACAATTGAATTGATTCGGTTGTTTACCTTCACCGTTACCACGAACAACAATCGTTCCCTGCTCGGATTCTTTCGACCAGCGCATAATTCTGTTATTGCCTGAATCGGCCACATAGATATTACCCAAATGATCTACAATGACACCTTCTGGATATGACAGTTGCGTTAAATCACTTCCTTCACCATGTCCACCAGCAACGACAACACCCTCAGTTGCATTCTGTGTCCATTTCATCACACGATCATTACCAGAATCGGAGACGTAAACTGAATATTCTTTATCAACGAAGATATAAGTTGGAAAGTTCAATTGATTTAATAGATCACCTTTACCATTTCCGCCAGCAACAATAGTGCCTTTTTTATCACCTTGTTTCCAACGTCGAACTTCATTCTTTCTCCAATCGGACACGTAAAGATCTCCATTATCATCCATAGTCAATTGCGAACAATCGATCTTCGATATAATCGTTTGACGACTTTTCGGATTCCGACGTGACCAACGAACCACTCGTCGATTTCCCCAATCGCATATAATCAACGAATCATTTTTCACGTCGAGTATAACATCCGTTGGTAAATTCAATTGATCTCTTCGACTACCTTTACCATTTCCACCTGCAACCACTTGTCCATGATTAGTATCATATTTCCACTTAACGATACGATGATTCCACCAATCAGCAATATAAATCGTTTGATCATCGTCAACACAAATACCATACGGCCAGTAGAGTTGGTTCGATTGATCACCTTCGCCATATCCACCAGCGATTGTCGAACCATACTGTTTCCATTTGGTGTTGCTATGGATATTAACCGATGCAATTGCCTTTGCTGAAAGAATCGAAAAAGATCGAATATGTTTTGTTTTGTTGTTCAAATGAAGAAATCGACCTACTAGGTGATGGAAGGAGAACAGAAATCTTATCAATGAATGATGTGTCTTCTCGTTGAATAGAAACCGTGCTGATTTTTTCTAATTCTTGTGCGAGTTGTTTCAATCGATGGTTAAACTGTTCTAAATCGATTTCGTTGAAGTCATTTTCTTGATGAATATCTTTGACTTGCTCAGATAACCTTGACAGACTCATTTCTACACTGCTAAAATGTTCATTTCGATGTTGAAATATGACCTGTCGGCAATCGTTGGCTTTCTTCTGGATAATTTGTATGGAATCTTCTTCCCATTTGTTGATTTCTTTGATTAACGAATGTATGTGTGGATGAGTCGTTTGTTCATTGAGAGTTTGACGAAAAACGGCCAGATTCAACTCGATATGATGCAATTGTTTATTCAATTCTTGTCGATGATCAGTCAAATGATCATAACAAAATAATTGTAAACAACCTTCACAACGAACGGTTCGTTTCTCTTTATCGCATGTTATACAACGACTACGATTGATATCTAATGCCATCAATTGAATACACTGAAAGATAATGTCGGCAAGAAATGACAAGACCTAACGACTTGTAGGTATGAGTGCATACATGAATATCAACTTGAATCAATGTCAATAAACATGAACGAAAGGGTAAAGAGCAGTGACGCAGTTACCTGCTAAGCGAATCTCTTCATATCATCCTTGTAGAAGAGGATTTTTTTTCTCTTCATTGAACGCCTAGATCAATCTTCTATCACATGGGATAATAGTGCGCATATGAGTTGTATTTTTCTTCTTTTGAAATTGCTCGTAGAGAAAGAAACAGAACGGGAGAAGAAAAAGTTTTTTTCGCGTCGTGATATCCTATATCAATCAGGGTGGAGTAGCGAGATGATCAAGGATATCGTTCGATTTTTTTTTACTTCTTTCTTTTGAATCGTTGCGGACACAAGTACTTCGAAAGAAAATGTTCAATTTGGGAGTGATGTCATCGGATCATTTATTTAATCACATTGTCAGAATTTCGTACAAGAAAATGTTATTTCTAAGTGTTGAATTTCTTTCGATTGCAAAATAACATGTTCCATTAAACATAAAGTAATTCAACGAGTATCGATAGAGTGCTTTACACACCAAGGAAAAAATCAGCACTTGTCAAAGATCCACTACCTGGATGCATAGCCCACATATGAACTTGATACTCATGACCAATTATAGTTGGAAATGCTTGCATTATATAATCAGCAGCTACAGTGCTTCCGCCGACATAATAATATGTACCTGACTTTGGAGAATAATTGAAACTGTTGTATGAAAATGTAGATTGGACACCACCGGTAGAATTTGCATTGTTTTGATCGCAATATATCCATGGAGCGAGAGATCCTGTTTCAAAACCTCCATTAACAAGGAGTTCTGTTCCCAGAGCTGCGAAGTCTTGTATGGAAACCTCATCCAGTGCGAAGTACTGCGTTTGTCTTCGGAAGGCAAACGCCATTCGTGTTACATTGGCAATAGCGGTATAGTTATAAGCAAATGGAAGATAACTATTGAAAGTAATACAAGAGGTACAACTTGCCACAATTTCAATGCCAGTTAACATTGATGTACAAATATTAGACGTTATCGCTGAAATGCGTATGACAAAAAGTCTCGTTTTCTTTTTCGTTTTTGTTGTTAAGTTATACTTACTGACAGTAGAAGCTGCACTTGTTGAACTTGCCGCTAAATAAAACAGTATAGAAATAAAACACACTATAGCTACGTCACTCACTCGTACTGGTGCCTGTTACTGTACTTGTCGTAGCTACATCGGAAAAATTTCTTATGTACTTGTACATTTGACAGTTTCATTTACCTGTAGTAGTCACCGATGGTATTGTAGTCGTAGATACTGTAGCAAAAGAGAGATAGAACTATGTTATACGATGTGTACGAAAGTCAAGAGGTCTTTTGACGAATACTGCGGTAGGTGAACTGACCTGTAGTTAATGGACTGGTGGTTGTACTAAAGATAGTTGTCGTTACGCCTAAAGCAAGAAAAATGCTGTATTTCGTGTAATACGTCAATAGACATTTACTTACTGGTTGTAAGAATTGTAGTCGTTGTGATTGTTACTCCCTGTTTCTGTAACATGATTATTGTTGTCGGTATTGTAACAATAGCAGCAACTAGTATAGATATAAGAAGAGCTAAAGTGACGAATACGAGAGCTGAACAAGATGCACAAAGTTTGCAGTAGCGTTTCTTGTTCATGTCCTTCTTTCCGACAGTGTACAAATCTTCTACAGTACCAAGACTTAGTCGAAAGGATTTCGATCGATTCTGTGATTGTTTGATCGATCGAATCGAGTTCATATTTGAACTATTTGATGATGGTAGTCGATGGTAATCATCCACAGATGTAATCTATGAAACGAAATCGATTGTAGTAGATTTTTAAATAACATAATCGATTTACTTTTGATGAAAAATTTGTACATATGTTGGATGTAGCAGGTGCTATGTCCTTCATCGGAAAATGAGTGAAGTGCAAAGAGTTATTAAAGCAAAGATATATTCCGTTTACTTGGATTTTGCATGTAGCCGAAAGTGAATCATCACAGTCTACATTGTGATGGTTTATGTCAGTGCTGTTTTGTTTAGCAGACATTGATAATGGTGAGTTTCTCAGATGTTCGTGCAATTTTGTTGAAACCACGCTCACTTCGTCGTTTGTTGAAGGACTGACACGTTGTGATCGAGATTTGACTCGTGTGACACGAACAATACTCGATGCTGCTCCATTCTATTTCGAAATCATAAAATAACATTGCAAGGAGAAGGATGAAAATATTTCGATACATTTAATTGACGTTGATTGGAATGCGAACGTTGTTTTTTTACACGAATGACGGAAACTGTTGAACGTAGTGTTCTACTCATTTGGAATCGAAATTTGATGTAAAAGACGAGCTGAAGGAATTTAATTTGAAAACTTGATAAAAAATGCCTTGATATAATTGAAAAAGAACTCGAACAAGTCGTTACAAAAATTAAAATATTCTATTGTGTACAGTAGCAGTGTGTATTGTATTTTTTTTTATTAGAAAATTTTTGTTGTAATAGAGATTCCTAGTGAAAGAATATGATGATATATTTCTTACAGGTCATCTCTCAGTAAATCTCATGGAATATAGAATTGAGTGTAATTTTTATCTGAATTAATTTGTTGTTCAAATCTTTACATCTGCGTCATACCTATCGGATGACATTTTTGAATTATTTCATGTATTCTCGCGTTTTTCGGTACTTTTATTTCTTTTCAAAAGTAATAACATTGTCGCATACATTCTCTTGCTATTGGACTTCATGAATGTATCGAACGAAAGAATTGTATGCAGTAGAGTACCTCTTGACACTACGCTCAGAATCATAATAATCTTAAGTATATTGTCTGATTTGTGAAAAACATGCGAAATTATTGCTGAATTTATTTATTTTTATTTGAAAACTTTGAATCAGTATATATGTTGGTTCTATTAGTCTTGACCTTTCATTCTTGCGCGACTGTTGTCTGAAGTGCTGTTTCAGTTGTTGCTTGTGGTTCTACAACTGCCGTCGTTCCAACTGGTACTTCGGTTGTTTGTTGTGGTTCCACCACACCCGTCGTTTCGGTTGGTATCTCAGTTGTTTGTTGTGGTTCTATAACTGCCGTCGTGTCTTGTGGTTCCACTACTGCCGTAGTACCAGATGGTATTTCAGTTGTTCCTTCTGGTTCTACAACTGCCGTCGTTCCAGCTAGTATTTCCGTTGTTTGCTGTGGTTTCACTACTGCCGTAGTACCAGGTGGTATTTCAGTTGTTCCCTCTGGTTTCACAATTGCGGTCGTCGTTGCAATTGGTACGTCGGTAGTAGTCGTCTGTGTTGATGCAAAATTAGTTATAGTCGTTTCTGTCGTTTTTGTAGTTAATGTCATTATTACTGTATGTGCTAAAATGGTAGAACATGAATGATATCCAATTTGAATTATGTTCGTTGTGTCATACCATCTGTAATTTGACTTGTGGATATTGTTGCTGTTGAAGTTTCTGTGATGATTGATGTTGTCGGTGTAGTTTGGGCTACTTCTGTTGAATACGTAGAAAATATTTACATGCTTCCTTCTATGTAAAAGACTAATTCAGTACCTTTCGCTTTTGCCTTTCTCGATAGAACAACACTAACGGGAATAATTGTTACAAGAATAACAATAATAGCGAGAGTAATACCAAGAATCATCCATAGATTCTTTCGTTCAATATACAGAATTCTAGTGAAGAATACATTTATCTGGTTTATCTAATTATGAAATAAGTCGAAAACGTGCATACTTTGTTCTTAGTGATGAGAATGACGCACGATAAATGTTACTTCGCATTGATAAAGAAGATTAGCAGACAATTGAAAGAACTAGTGTGAATATTCGAATTAGCTGTTTGGTAGCATGTGTTTCATCCACACAAGTTTTTTTTTACTTAAAATAATATCATCCTTTTTTTTTCATTTCGCAGTAAAACAAATTTTCGAAAATAGATGTGAGTATTGGTAATCTGGACCATCTGTTATTCCACTGTTTTTTTTCTGAAGACAGAAATACGATAAAAAAATGCTAAATAAAATTGCTTTGCATCTGATTGATGAATCGTATCGAATTAGTTACAGTCGAATGATCGTGACAAACAACGAATGTCGTAGTTGTTCTTAACTAAATGAATTCTTTCCTATCGTATCAAATTTCATGTTAACTATTCATAACGAAAACTGACCTTGGAGACTAAAAATCTTTACGATTACTCATTTTCATATTGATTTTTGTCAACTTCTTGAATTTTTTGTCACCATCTGAGCACCACTTGTTCTCACTTTCAAAATCCTTCAATTCTAATGCAAATACATCTCGATTTTCTCTTATAAATACCTGAGTACTTACAAGAGTTAGAATACAACTTCATTCTACTTATGGCTTATAGAAACGTTGTTCATCCAGCTACTTATGACATAGAATACTACAAACCACCGACTAACCGAGTCATACGAACGGAAACATACGATACTTATCGGTATGTATCATTTGTTCATTATCTATCAAATCCTTTTGCTCATCGTGGTTCGTATATAGACGACGAAGTTCATGGAGTGATATGTGTTTTGGTTGTGGCACTTGGTGTTGTTTACTTGGTCTTCTTGGCTGTTTACTTCTGACAGCTGGATTGATTGTAGCATTGGTTTTCATCATTAGAGCTGCTAATAACGACGAGACAACAACAACAACAACAAACGGTACATCTATACGGAGCCTAATGATATGAGATACTTTTTGAGGAGAAACATTATTTATTTTTAGTAATTACTTTGACAATAACTATACCAACATTGACAACAACTGTTACAACGAGTATATTTTGAAAAGAAATAGAGTTTTATCTGAACTTTTCTCTTGATCATATTTCAGCTACAACATCAACTGTGACTACAAACGAAATAACTGGAAATCCACCTGTAACTGCTGCTACAAGTAATAATCATACTCAACGAACAGTATAAACCTCATTCTTGATAATACAGGTTCATGTTATTATGGCGCAGATATCGTTCGTTTACTCAATGGAAATTACCGACGCATTGATCAATTGAAAGTTGGTGATCGTCTTTGGACGTTAGCAAAAGATGGTAGAACATTAATTGAAGATGAAATGATTCTAATGATGATTGCAGAAGCAAATGCTTCAAGTAAGTCTCTATTATCCAAGGAAATCTATCGACTAATTCTCGATCTTGAGGTCTTTTCTATACATTGACAACCTTTGATGGTTATTCTATTAGTTTAACCGGTCACCATTATATTCCCGTATTAAATATAAGTACAAACAAAATAACTCATCTTCGTGCTTCACAAGTCACACACTCACATCATCTTGTTCTAACCAATCGTACGAGTAAAATTGTTCAGATTACGAAAACTCTTCGTCAAGGTTTTTATTCACCAATAACAATCTCCGGTAGTTTACTTGTAAATAACATCTCAACATCAGTTTACGTTGCACAGTAATGAACAAACATTCGACCAAACGATTTCTTTTTTCTTTTGTATGTCTAGCTATGGATTGTCACCTGAAATATTCCACGAAATCTTCCGACCCGTTCGAGTCTATTATCGTTTAACGTGCTGGCTATTCGGAACGGATTATAATCCATTGACGACGGACATCAAGTACGGTTTACATTCACTGGAAACTTTCCTGAAAATGAATCATACTATCGTTTATCCTGTGACTACAGTTCAAAAAAATATCTTGTGGATAACTCTAACTTTGTTAGTTCTTTACGGACGTCGGAAGTATCTTTATTTGAGAAAAGCATCGTCACTCGTGCTGAAAGAAGCATAACTTGATCATGCAAATGATATACGCTTACCTATTTTTGTAATTGGCATTTTTTCCATACATGAATAATAGAATGACATGCACTGATTCAAACGCATCCAAAGTTCGTTTTTCTTTCATAATAAATTCCGCATGATTGTGACAAAGTGTTAGTTGGCATACTTTCTAGTTCGATAATCTCATTTAGACCTTCTCCGTAGTTCATGTAATGCATTGCAACAGGCAACATGGCAACAATAGAAAACTCTTCTGTATCGTTGGAATCAGTGACGAAAGCGATCTATCGTATTGGTGGTCCGATACTGTTCATCTTTGGTATTATCAATTGTACTATTAATCTAATCGTTTTCCTGAGAAAAGCTCATCGAAAAAATCCATGCTCGATCTATTTAGCAGCAGTGAATCTTATGAATCTTCTATACATATTTTTATCCATGTCGCTGGCATGTATAGCAATCGGTTACGATCTAAATCTGTATAGTCGAAGTCTATTTATATGTCGTTTTGTAAACTATGGTTCGTATCTGTTCGATATTCTAAGTTCAACTTATCTTATTTTGGCTTCAATCGATCGCGTTTTCATCACATCTTCTAACGCTTTAACACGACAGCGAAGTACACGGCGATTAGCTTGTATTTCCATCGCTACTGGAACGATATTTTGGATGATACTTCTTTGTCATATCTTGATTTTCATGGATATTCAAGAAATTAGTCCTGGTTACTCCATTTGTTACTATCGAGCGGGTGTCTATGTGGTTGTGATGAATTATTACACTCTGATTATCAAAATGATTGTTGTGCCTTTGGTATTGATAATTACTGGAATATGGACAACGAGAAACATTCGAGAGGTACGTCATCGAAGAATTCTTCCTGATGGTTCTAGCATGGAAAATCGCGAACAGTTCTTTTACAATCGAAAAGATCGACAGCTCATCACGATCATCATCGCAGATATATGTTTGTATGTGATCTGGAGTGGAATGTTATCAATATCTACTATATACCAACGGATTTCTGAAATAGCAGCTTTCGCACGGACGAATATCTACTGGATATTTTTAGGAGCATTTATTTATAATCTGACATTCTGTACGAATTGTTATGTTTATTTAATTGTGTCGAAGAAATATCGACAAGAAGTTAAGCGTATATTTTTGTGTAAATAAAAACAGTGCTCTTCACTGAGATTTATCTTTGAACTTATTTTTTGATGAATATAAACAAGGACATTCGAGCCGAAACAAAAAGAACTGATTTATTAAAGAGAAACTCGGTGAATGTAGATCGGTCACTCTGGACTCACTTGACCAGGAATCACTTCTAACATCAGTATACAAAGATCAACAATTGACACTGATATTCTGTAATCGAAAGAGAAAATAGGTTCAGCATTCGCCGTTCGAACATAGTGAATAAATGTAATTGTTGTTTGGCATTTCTCTGTCCTGTATTCCAGTCAAAGATGTTTGATTTTTATTTACGAAGAAAGTGAAAATAGTTCTATATAGTTCAGTTATTTATCGATAGATGATCGTCACGTAGAGAAGATCGATGAGAAACATATTGTGACTTTTTAACACGATAGGTGTAACGATGAGAATCACACTCGTCCACTCGAGAAATACCCGGTCGAGCTTTATCGATTGATCGAGAAAAGAAGTTGGTTGGCTTACCGATCCGATTTTCTTGTACTAAACTTTCGTAAATAGATCGAGGACTGCAGATTGTTATCAGAATGAAGATGATCAGAATAATGTTAACTGCCATTTTGTCGTAGACTATCGACGATAGTTTTATAATGATGTTCACTACCCATTGCTTTGATCATTTGACGAAAGGGAAGAACGAAAGAAAATTGATTGATATCTGCATGTGATTTCATTTTTTTTCTCGTATTGAAATGAAGGACTCATGTTGGACATGAGAAGTAACTCATCCATGACCAATTTAGATGAAGAATGTGTAAAAAGAAAGGTGATGTACAAATGAATCTTGAGAAAAAAACCAAACTCTTCTCGTTAGAATAAACCTAGAATAATTTGTCTTGTTTTAGACGTAAAAACCTATGAAATGAAATGATTTTTTCCCCTATTCGTATGTGTAATAGATCGTTGGAATGTTCTCGAACTACACTGCATACACTTGTTTTCTAATTAGACTGAATCTGAAAGATAAAAATGAAACCATAAAACTTTCCTCAAAGAAGTCTCTCAATCAACTTTCACAGTTGCATTATCTTGGCAATGAACGTCTTATTATTTCCAAAGTTGTTTAATGAAGGCAAATCGAAAGAAGTGAAAAGAAATATTTATCCTTTACATGTTTACTCGGTGTGATTTTATTTTACCTTCTCTCAAAATGTAAAATTGATCAGCCGGGCATCACTGAAGAATCTTTTTCGGTTAAAATAGAAAAACAAACTGTTCTACTCTTGATCTTTCGATCGCGAATATTCTCATTCATTTCCTTCGAACAACACATCAAACCCGAACCATTCGTTGGTGTGATTTTAGTGATATCTTAAATTGGTCAATGCCATTTTTTAAGTACAATTATTCATCCTGGATTGCTAACAAATTGTCTTTGGATATTTTGAAATATATATAGATGATTATGTACGGTATTCGTGATCATTCACGAGTTTCTGCGTTGATATTTCAAGTTCATTTCAATGTATTGTGTTCAATTGGTTTCTTAACAATGTTCAAATGACCGATTATTATTTTCATATCGGTGATTTATTTCGGCTGACGTTTGAATTTCCTGATTATCAATTTCGAGCAGTCCATAGACTAGCATTACGTGTAGTGTCAACAGTACTGTTTTATTTGAAACACTATGAAAAACAAAACGAATCTACAGGCAGGTGATACTCGAACAAGAACGAAAAAAGTGCGTTTTTTTTTCATTCCTTTAGTAAACAGGACGTCTCTCAGACCATGTGCGATGTTGAGAATAGTAATTCAACTGCAGATTGTTAGTTTTGTTTTGCTTTAAAATGCTTTATGCATTTGTGTTTATTAGTATACTTTGTTAACAAAATCGATTTAATCGCAAATGAAAAAACCAACTGATTTACTTTCGTTCTATTTAAAAAAAATGAGCTGGACTAAAAATTTGTCTCTAGAAGATCATATTGATTGTTGTTGATACATTTACTGAAATCGTTCTTCACAAACCTAAAGTGCTGTAATATAAAATCGTACCTAGTTCTATTCTTTTCTTCGCATCCAATACTCACCGAACTGTAGTGTATTTCTACCTTTTCGAGTCCACGTAGATAATTGTAACAGATTGAAGTTGCTCTTCAAAAAATAATATTACAATTTCAATGTTCCTATTTTAGCACATATCCTTAGATGAGTGTTATCATAAGATATCTACGAGACAAGAATAAAGTCCATATTCTCACAAGCCACCCATACAACAACCTCATTAATTAACATTGCTTCTCACAATGACTTATTCTACACTCAGCGTAAATTTACTCAAGCTACAAACCTAAATTTACCTTTTTTTTCTCAAACATTTTTCGTGAGCCTCGTAACACTTTACAATCACTGCACTGTGGCCGATTCAACGCTCTGTTCACGTACTATATGAATAATATCCATTCTCTAACTATTCATCAACCTCGTTAACTCCAAACACTCCGAACAGCTCTACTTCTTTTTTTACTACACCCTTCTTCTGACATAGATTTCTTTTCGAACATACATCTTCCACGTCCACCAATGCCGAGAATCTTCCTCATGTCTTATCATCCGTCTTCAATCGTTTTTGAATACAACGTTTCAATATTCTTCTATTCCGCTCACCTAATTTCATAGGTTACTATCCGCACCCCGACCGGTAGTCGCGAGCCAAGCTGACCTATCCTTTCAAACACCTTTTCAACTATTATGCGATCAACCTCGACGAGCTACATCACCTTACTGAACATCGGAACGCCACATGTGAACAATTAGTGCAACTCATTCAAAAATGGATCACATTTATTAACCGCACATGTGACTAATCCACCAGTTACGGCCACAAGTCATCCGGCTAGCTCATCAGAAACACATCCGAATATCAACTGAATACCCTACTCAGAAACTCATTCTCAGTTCTCCCTATAACCAGAGAACCATTGAATGAACTCTTAACGCTGCATCTCATATATTACACCATCGCCAACACAATGCACACTTCCCTCATTGATCACACACGATTCTTGAATTTGAATAAAGTCTCAAACGCGAAGCAATTCAAAAAATATGCAGTCACGTTCAATAACACTACCACACTTATCACTTGAATCATCAATGATGATTACGATAACCTCGTGTGACAAAAGAAAACTTCATATATCATAGAGCCACCTAACACAACACAACAGCAACTTACCACCACCTCCACCTGCACGAACGCGAATACTCCCATTAAACTGGTACAAATACTATGCAGTCACCTTAACAATCAGTACAATAACATCATTCTCTTGTTGGCTACACGGGGTGAATAGACACGATCGGACTCGTTCCAATTTTATCCAGTGGTTCCGACCAACAACACCGAAACTATGAGCTGTTGTAGACGGGTGAATCTGAATACACCACGGGAGACAGTTGCGATTTCTATGCAGTCACTTCGTGGAACAACAGGAACACTATGAGCTGCTGTAGAATGATGAATGCGAATACATCACGTGCGACCGTTTCAAATTCTATGCAGTCACTTCGAGGAATAACACGTGAACTATGAGCAGTTGTAAAACGATGAATGTGAATACTCTCGAAGAGACAGCTACAGATTCTATGCGGTCGCTCCGGGGAAGAACAGGAACACTATGAGCAGTGGTACAACGATGAATGTGAATATACCCCCCGGGACAGTTTCAACTTCTATGCGGTCGTGCCGATGAACAACACGGAAACTATGAGCAGTTGTAGAACGATGAATGTGAATACGGGCGGTGAGACACCTTCAAATTCTATGCAGTCACTGCGTGGAAGGACAGGAACACTATGAGCAGTTGTAGAACGATGAATGTAAATATATACCACCCGGGCTGTTTCCAGTTCTATGCAGTCACTCCGTGGACTAACACGGAAGCTATGAGCAGTTGTAGAACGATGAATGTGAATACACTACGTGGGACTGTTTCAAATTCTATGCTGCCGCTCCCACGAAGAACACCGAAACTGTGAGTAGTTGTCGAACGATGAATGTGAATGCTCTCGGAGAGATAGATACAGATTCTATGGAGTCACTCCGTGGAAGAACAGGAACACTATGAACTGTTGTAGAACGACGAATGTGAATATACCCCCGGGACTCTTTCAAATTCTATGCAGTCACTGCGGGGAATAACACGTGAACTATGAGAAGTTGTAGAACGATGAATGTGAATACACCCCACGGGACTGTTTCAAATTCTATGCAGTCACTCCGTGGAAGAACACGTCAACTATGAGCAGTGGTAGAATGATGAATTTGAATGAGTTCGCAGAGACAGTTTCAAATTCTATGCGGTCGTGCCGATGAACAACACGGAAACTATGAGCAGTTGTGGAACGATGAGTGTGAATAGACGTCTTCATGCTATTTGCAATACTATGCTGGCGCTCCGACGAAGAACACGGAAACCATGAGAAGTTGTAGAACGATGAATGTGAATACACCCCAGGAGACTGTTTCAAAGTCTATGCTGTTGCTGCGACGAACAACTCGGATAGCATGAACAGCTATAGAGGGGTGAATGTGAATACACCCCGGGAGACTGTTTCAAACTGATGCAGCCACTCCGGCGAAGAACACGGAAACTTTGAGCAGTTGTAGAACGATGAATGTGAATACGCGCGAAGAGACAGCTACAGATTCTATGCGGTCGCTCCGGGGAAGAACAGGAACACTATGAGCAGTTGTAGAACGATGAATGTGAATACACCTCTTCAGGGTATTTCAAATTCTATGCGGCCGCTTCGACGAAGAACGCCAAAACTATAAGCAGTTGTAGGACGATGAATGTGAATACACTACACGGGACTCTTTCAAATTCTATGGAGTCACTCCGAGGAATAACACGTGAACTATGAGCAGTTGTAGAACGATGAATGTGAATATACCTCTTGAGGCTATTTCATATTCTATGGAACTAGCGCGACGAAGCACAGGGAAAGGATGAGTAGTTGTGGAAGGATGCTTGTGAATATAGTCGTTCACTGTGGTTCAAAAAGTATGAAGTCCCGCGGGCGTCTGGTACAGGAGGTATGTGTGGTGGCAGCACGCTGGGTGGGAATGAACTCGGTCCTGGATCTGTTTCGGTTTCTGTGAGATGATGTTGTGGTGTAGCTGTGGTGTATGAATGGACGTGGGAAACGTGTAGTGGAATGAAGTATTGCTAGAAGTAATTCAGTTTGGCTGTGCTTACTTGTTTGAATTTCAGACCAAAGAGAGTTTTGGGTAGAGGTGAGATTTGGAATAGAGGCTCTTGAAGCGGATCAAATACTTGGTTTTCTTGGTGTTTTGAAGTATTTTGTTCATATGGATTGACATCAAGGCGATTTTGAATTGGGTGTTGCATTCTTGTGGTTTATATTTCAGAAGGAAAAATGTTGGTTCATGCATGGAACGGATTTGGCAGATGGTGAGGTAAAATCGGAACTGTTTCGATGTTCGTATATAAATAGCGTTTTCTCTTGTTTAGTATGATTATAACGACGGCGCGAACTCTCAAAGGTTCAATCAGGTATGTAGGAAAAATATTTTGTTATATGCGTTGACTATTGTATTGCAGAGGCTCGGTTTGATAATATCGGTATCCGTATTATTCCGGTGGACTTTGGGAGTTGCAGAAAATTGGTATTGAAGTGTGTTTACTCTGGGTGAGAAAGGACGGCGGAGAGCGTATTCTAATTTTGTTAGTATTTGTGTATAATCGAACAGCTGCTATGACTGAGTGGTTACGCTGTTTGACACATGCTTAATAGGTACCGTGTTCAAGCCTCGGTAGTGCCAGTCGTAGGAGAGTCTTAGACAAGGTACCAAAATCTGTTTGTCTCGGATCATCCCTCAATAGCGTGCTTATTATATTGCTGTAGTCAGTGTTAATGGAGATCTTAGTTGCCTGCACCTTCTCCTTCTAACTTCAGTTCTTACTGACGTGAGTTCGGAAATCTTTGGTACAGAAGATTTCCTGGCTTGTATCAAGCTTCTTCTATATACAGGTGACTGTTAGTAAGCACTCCCTGACGTTCGACAGTGTATCGGTTTCACAAAAACGTACCATCAGCATGTTCATGATACGCACTGTGACTCATCTCACCGTGAAATTCATTTTACTACTAGGTCAATTTACACACTGAACGAGATATGGCGACATTAACTTTCGGTATGCCTTTCCACTAAAAAGAATGTCACGCATGCACTTCATATCGTCATCTTTAGGTATAAACACTGTTACTCAGTTGCGGATCGATGACGAAGTGCCCTACATGCATTCAAGTGAAGCGGTCGAAAATTGTCCACCTGATGATAATACAATCGATATTCTAATTTGTACAGGCAGTGGAAGTACTTATCATTCGTTATTACAATCAATGCCCTATTTCTCCAAAATTTACTTGTTTTTAGATCGCGTGTACTTCAGTACGACATGCGTGATAAAGCCCTAAACGATATCAACAGCACATCAAAAATAATTTGACAAGAACACACTGCAATGTTCTCTTTCTAATTCGTTCATTTCACTATGAACAATAAATAAATAAAAGAAACAAAATCCGTTGTAGGTAATATTCACGTGGCTTGCTCGAAAAAACGAAGAAAAACGGTAGAAAGTCGCAGAACGCATAATTTTCTCTCAAAAAAAAACAAAGCGTAAACATGATTGAGGCACATGGCCTTCGAATGGCTTCTCATCTAATATTTTTATTCGAAAGATAAATTTGTCGTAAAATAATACACTATTAATTCTACAAATTTAGTGCATATAGGGTGTATATGAGAAAGAGAGTGCGAGAGATTAATTCATTTGAGATATGCGTTGTTTTTGTTCTTCAATTTGAGTGCGAATGTCTTGAGGTAAATCTTCACCCAATTGTCCATCAAGCCATGAAAATGTTTCGTCAATATCATTTTTCCAATATTCCTTTGGTACACTCATCAGTTTATCCCAATCAACAACGAGACCTTGGAGGTTAATCGAACCTATTTTAGGCAAAAGACCAACAGGAGATGGTTCAGCAATATCTTCGCCGTTAACACGTCGGATAACCCAATCGAGAACTCGAATATTATCGCCTAAAATCGATCAGATTAAACGAAACAGTGATTGTCAAGAGAAAAGTCTTCTCTCATACCAAAACCAGGCCAGAGAAATTTCTTATTTTCATCCAAACGAAACCAATTGACATGAAAGATCTTCGGTAACTAGATAGAAAGTATCTGTATTCGCGTACATCCAAACAAAAAGTAAACTTACTTTATTTTTGGGATCTTTTTCAAAATCTAACCAATGTTGAATATAATGTCCGAAATTGTACCCAACAAACGGTCTAAAATATCGACAATCAATCGTCAGATGGAAAGTTCCTTTCATTCATTAATGATTACTACCGCATAGCAAATGGATCGTGCATAATTTGTTTTCCAGTATGTTCAGCAGCTGCTGTTGTTTCCGATTTCAATTGTGAAGCAAGGAATACTCCATGCTTCCAATTGAGTGATTCGATAACCAATGGTACACCTTCGGGTCGTCGACCACCGAAAATAATTGCCGAGATCGGCACACCATCAGGATGCTCCCATTTGTCATGTATAATAGGACATTGTCGAGCTGGACAGCAGAATCTCGAATTAGGATGGCTGGATTTCTTTGTTTTATCTTCACCGAGTTTATATCGTTCACCGGTCCAGGAAATAATTTCCGTTCCCGCTGGTGTTTCATCTTCGAGACCTTCCCAATAGAATCCACCATCAGCTGTTTCGCCAACGTTTGTAAATATCGAATTTTTCAAACATGTTAAAATTGCATTTGGATTCGTCTTCATGTTCGTACCACTACATAGAACAGAAATAACACGAATAGCCGATGCATACCTTCTATCTCCGATGGAAACTTACGGTGCAACACCGAAAAAGCCGGCTTCAGGATTAATCGCTCGTAGTTCTCCTGTTTGTTTGTCGAATCTCATCCATGCAATGTCATCTCCAACAACACGAACAGTATAACCCGGAATAGATGGTGTCAACATTGCTAAGTTCGTTTTTCCACATGCAGATGGAAATGCAGCAACGATAAATTTTTCTTCGCCTTGGGGATTTGTTACGGACATGATTAACATGTGTTCAGCCAACCCTTTACGAGAAACAAAAGTCTATTTTTCGGAAAAACAAACTGACAACCATGTGGCTTACATCCTTCGTCGTAAGCAATGCGACCGGCAATACGCAATGCAAAACATTTTTTGCCCAGTAAACTGTTTCCACCGTAACCTGATCCGTAACTGATTACCTTACGAATATCAGGGAAATGACAAATCTAAATGAACATATCGGGATAGATGGCGCTAATTGTACTATCATAAAAGAGATTATTTACCAAAAGTTTTTCTGGATTGCAAGGCCAATTATTGATGACTTTTTGAGTATGCGGACGAGGAACACCTGTGCACAAACATAAACATGCCTTTTTTTTCTTCAAAGAAAAACTCAGCAGAATAGATTTACCCATCGAATGAAGACATTTGACAAATTCTTCGCCATGTTGCAGATGTTTCCAAATTAGTGGTGACACACGAGTCATAACTCGCATTGAGAGTAGAACATAATTCGAATCCGTTACTTGCACACCGATTTTACTCAATGGTGAACCAATAGGTCCCATGCTAAATGGAATAACATACATCATACGTCCACTCATGCATCCAGGAAGACGCTCATCCAATTCTTTTTTCATATCATTCGGTGCCATCCATTGACCGAGTACGCATTGCACACCTTCTCGTGAATGTGGTATCGATGCATATTTATCATCGGTAACAATAAATGTTTTCGATTCTACACGAGCAACATCCTTAAAATAAAGAAACGATATAGACTGAGATGTCAATGTGTCAGTTCATTGTTTTACGCGTGGATCCGTTCGGCAAATATAGCAATTTTCATATTTCGTCAATGGTGTCAATGTACCACGTTCAACTAATTTGTGTGTAATTATTTCAGCTTCTTCATCGGATCCATCGCAAATGTACACAGCACGAGGTGTGCACAATTGTATCTAAATAATCGCAAGCAAACATCGTTATCATCTGAGAAAGTAAGTGTAGTATCAGAGCAAACCATTTGGGCAAGCCATGATTGTATTTGCAGAGGAATTGATTGGAAATCACCTTTTGTTACTGGTACATTACCAACCTTTTGAATTGTTACGTAGTGAACTTCAGCAAATGATACATTCACATCATCCATGATTATTTAATCTTTGATGAGAATGCGAAAAGAAATGAACGATAATGAAAAACTGATGGAGAATTCTTGTCCTTATATACTTATTAGAAATCGCGTTGGAAAAAAAGAAGAATCTCGATCGAAAATAGGCGAGAACAGAACAATTTTATCTTCGGTACATTCAGGGTAATGCAAACGTTTTCTCTTTCTCCATGCTGGTTTCCACAAAAACAATTTGATGGCTTCTGAAAGCAGACAGAAAAGAAAAAGAAAAAGAAAAAGAAAAGAATTTATTGGATACCCACAGCGATCAAATGTAGACTACGCGCATTGAGAAAGATGACACTGCATTTTTTCCTTGAATCAATGCTGCACACTTATTTATCGATAAATCTATCTATCATGAAACAGATGAACTTTTTTAATGAAAGTCAAGTAATATCAAATAAACAGTTCAATCTTTCAATTCAGTCCATTTTTCCTCGTTGTTTTTACTGTTTGCTACACATGTTTCAATGAAGGCCATACCACGCACACCTTCTCTGACACCAGGAAAGTCTTCCAATTGTTCCGATAAGTTCTCTTCGCCGTTCATTTTACTACGAACTGTTCGAGCAAAATTACGATAAATATTTGCAAATGCTTCAATGTATCCTTCCGGATGTCCGGCTGGTACACGTGTATTATGTATAGCACTTTGCGAAAGATATGGTGTTCCAGTACGATAAATTTCCGTTGGACTATCAAACCATCGCACTGCTAATGTGTTGCAATCAGCATGTTGCCATTCGATGGAACCTTTATCGCCATAGACACGAATTTTCAAATTGTTTTCTTCACCTGTACAAATCTTTGAAAGAAAATCTGTTAGACGAAAGAAATTTTGTATATAGAATTCACCTGTGAAGCCATTAACACACCAGTCGCTCCATTATTAAAACGTAGCAGGACACTCGCATCATCATCGAGTTGACGACCAGCAATGACGATCTGTAGATCAGCACAAACATGAGTGACTTGAAGTCCAGTTATATATTCAGCTAGATTGAATGCATGCACACCGATATCTCCGAGACATCCGGCAGGTCCACTACGTTTCGGGTCGAGTCGCCATTGAGCCTGTTTAGAATTCACCTCGGCATGACTTAACCAACCTTGCGGATATTCAACATAGACTTTTCGAATTGAGCCTAGATCGTTCCGCGCAATCATTTGACGAGCTTGTTTCACCATTGGATAACCTGTATACGTATGTGTAAGACAAAGAGTGCGGCCAGTGTCATGAACGATTTGAGAAAGTTCACGGGCTTCTTGAAGAGATAAACACATTGGTTTATCGAGAACAACATCAAAACCAGCACGGAGAGCCAAAACGGCAGGTTCATAATGAACATGGTTAGGTGTAACGATGGCAACAAAATCCATTCCTGAAAACCATAGAACATCGTGCAGAACTAGCTTCATTATTCATGATGAACTACCTTTCGTCTTTTGCTCACATTCAATCATCTCTTTATACGTGGCATAAACACGATCTGATGCAAGTCCAAGTTGTTTTCCCATTTCATAGGACTTCTCGGGATCGGAACTAAAAACACCACACACGAGTTCGATCTCCTCATCCAAACAAGCGGCTGTACGATGAACTGCACCTATGAAAGCTCCTGGACCACCACCGATCATACCCATGCGTAACTTTTTCGTAGATGCCATTTAAAATATTTTTTTATACTTTTTACTCTAAAAGACACAACATGTGCATACTGTAATATTTACGTGTGTCTATGTATGTGTGTGTGTGTGTGTGTATTTGTTGATAAGGATCACAAGAAAGGCAAGAAGAAGACTCGTACAGAACGACAAAGCGAAAAAATAAAGAATGGACAGAGTCACGTTGTGTATTGTTATCAAAATATCATGTCTAAAAATTCACTGTGTTTATTTTCAAGTTTACTTTCAAAGTTCTAGCTAACAGCTGATCGTCATTTTATATTGGAGCTCGAATCAGACAACTTACGGAGTCACATCGTTCTACACATATAGATAAAAAATAAGCAATAGACGAAAAAACCAAATGATAAGAAAGCATGCAAGTATTTCAAGTTTCCTCTCTTATCAACATAAGCCAAGTAGTTTTCTATTCTCAAATTCTCTATGACAAATCATTTAAATCGCACACATGATGGCTTTATTCAATATTCGAATGATATTCACGAATCTGGCGTGATGACACCGGCAGCTGTTGTTTCGACAACAGCATTGAGTAGTACACATTTTGATGTGATATTTATCGGAGCTGGTTTTAGTGGTTTGATTGCTGCGCGTGAACTTAGTCTTCGACATCGAACCGTGCTGTTAATCGAAGCACGAGATCGTATCGGTGGTCGAACATTTACAACAAAACTCGGCGATCAACAATATGAAATGGGCGGTGGTTGGATACATTGGAGTCAGCCTCACGTATGGTCAGAAATCACACGATATGGCCTTTCAATTTGTGAAACCAACGGTGCGACAGCTGATCGAATTAGTTTATTATTAGAGAATGGCTCACGATTGAAAGTTCTATCGATGACCAACCTATTTCCAGAAATATGTCGAGCAATGGATGATTACAGTAACGTCGATGGTGTTCAAGGACGAACTGTTTTGCCAATACCCCATAATCCTTTTGCAGCTAGAGAAGTTGTTGAACTGTACGATAAGCTGTCTATGCAAGATCGATTAGATCACATATCAGCGTCGTTCAACAATAATCAAGATTTGTACGATGTTATGGATGCCTATCTATCGATGAATTCTCAGGGGAAACTATCTGAAGGCGGATTTCTTGATCATTTACGATGGTGGGCATTAGGAGACTTTGATACTGCTCGATTATTTGATAAAACGAGTCGCTATAAAATTCTCGAAGGAACAAGTGCATTAGCACGAGCCATACTCAATGATTGCCACGATATCAAATTATTACTTTCCACTCCCGTTCGATCTATTCAACGAACAGATGATAATCAGGTGACGATTTTTACTGACAATGGGCAATCGTTCACGGCTCGTTCAGCTCTCATAACTGTTCCTTTGAATGCTTTGTATAAAATGAACTTTTCTCCGCCGCTGAAACTTGGAAAACAACGTGCTATCAACGAACGGCAATGTCGTGGTGGTACGAAATTTGCCATTAAACTGGAAAAACCAATTGGAAATTGGTGCGGTTTTGCACCCTATCCAAATCCAATAACACAAGCATTTACAGATGACGAAGAGGGTACAATCATTATCGCATTTGGTGTCGATGATTTATTGAACATCCGAGATTTCAATGCTGTCCAATACGAACTGAGAAAATGGTTACCAGACATTCAAATCAAATACATTATTGGCCACGATTGGCGTAAAGACTCATTTGCTGAAGGTACATGGGGTTGGTTTCGTCCAGGTCAGATAACGTCAAATTTATCCATCTTGCAAGAATATGAGCCACCATTATTTTTTGCAAGTAGTGATACTGCAAACGGCTGGCGATCGTTTATGGATGGAGCTCTAGAAAGTGGTCTCTCAGTTGTTCAACATATTGAGCGATATCTCAAAAATGATTAGAAAAAGAACGAGTCATCTTGCGTCTACTTCGATATTTTAAAAAACAGATTCTTGCGAGAACACACCTTAAATGTTTTTTTCATCAGTATATATATATCACAAGATTTATTATTTATAAAAGAATTTTTCGGTAGACGAATGTCATGTCATATTGTAAGCTTTTGCAGCTTTAATTTGGTGGTGGTCTATGATGTTCACCACCTTGATGCTGACCGCCATGGTGTGGTCCACCGTGTTCCCCATGAGGTGGATGTCCACCGTGTTCTCCATGTGGGGAGCGTCTACCATGTTCTCCATGAGGAGGATGTCCACCTTCATGATCTCGCGGTCCGCCATGTTGTTCGTGGCCTTCGCCTCTGCCATGGTGTTCACCGTGTTGTGGAGGTCCTGGATGGTCCATTTGATGATGTGTTGAGAATACCGTACGAGTGATTCTTCTAGTTTAATTCTCTGTGTAAAATCAACGTCTTTATATACATGTTGTAAAGTACGTTGAATTAATCATCGCAGAAACATGTACTTTTTTACGATTCTATTTTGAATATGTATTTTTAGTGTGAATACTTCGACTTGAGTAGGTGTGTCGTTGACAGGTGTCTGAAGGCTTTTTTTCCATAAATTATTTTTGTATAATACATAAAATAGTACAGGTTTTTTTTCGTACAAAATGCACCTGTAGTTCGTTTTTTTCTTTAGTGGAAATTCATTGGTAAGCATGAAAGAACTCAACGACGAAATGCTTTTTCTTACATATTCGACGCTTTTTAACGATAAACCAGTTGACACTTGTACTTAACTTATTCCTCTATTCATGTTGTTCTTTCTATCTGCCACGATTTATTAAAATAACTGTATGTAGTGTACATCGACAAATCGATCATCGGTTGTCTTTCTAAGCGAATCACGAATGAATGCCAATGCACGATTTATATATTTTGATGTTTTAGCCAAATAGAAATCGATTATTCAATTCTCCGACACTCGTGGTCGAGTACTGAATCGAAACATCATTTGTAATTGACTGATTTGACCATATGTTAATCAACATAAAAGCGAACACAATTTACAAAGGTCGTTTGTTTTTATTTATCGTTTCCATCACTATTTTCGTACGATTCTAATCAATAAACAATAGTTTCATCAATGACTGTTGTTTACAATTCTCATTACGTCGACGTATTCGCTGATAATGATGTATTAGACGATGTTTAAATTCATATATTTCATTATTACTTCAAAATATCCCTACTATCTCCCGATTGACAATTACCTAGATGAAATCAATCGTTAGCATTACATCACTCCAGCTTGACTCATTCTATTGATACGAACACAATCATATTGTGTACAGCAAATGCTAAAATAGTTTTATGACACAATAAAGGTTATTTATCGTCACAATCATACATAAATACGACTACAACGTTTTGGATGAGACGTTTCGTAGACATGTGTGCACTAATTTAGTATATTTGCACTGTTGAACAGTTATTATCACAAAATCAACGTGAAAAAGAAACGAAATCATGCCCAGATACATAATATGATGTAAATAACAGTTCATTTATGTGCAATTGAATCGTAACCCACTATTGAACAGAATATTCATATCTTGTATTACTTTCAAAATCAATCTCATCCACTTTTTCACCTACGCTGTGCTGAATGGTATATACTTCCGTTCGATTGATACAACTCTCAATCGTCTTTTGCTTTATTTACTTTGTCGCCTGAATTTCACCAATCGATTGAAATAGTTTCTGTTGTGCTCGACAGTAACGTAGAGAATGCGATCCTTCTTTACGTCGCTTTTTTGTCTTTTGTTAATTCGTTGGTGATAATAAAGCCGAGAATGTATTTTTCTGCTCGATCCAGTGTTAGTTTTTGTGACAGAACAGTGATTAGAAGTGCATTCGTAAACAGACCAACCAACGCTACTAACACAGCCACAGCTAAACGTTAAACATGCAATTTTATTTCCTATACGATCTCTTAGTATCATTGAACGCTTACTTCTACCACAGTCAGTTGATGGATACAAATCTCCATATGCAACAGTAGTGAATCTTACTTAGAACAGCCATAGAGCATTCTGTGTCGACATATGTTGATTATCTGAACGGTAACTACAGGCTCGTAGACTCCAGCTTTCGACGAGAAATGTCAAAAGGATAACAAACACCGTACTGGCCGAAGATCGATACACGCGCGCATAAAAAAAAGAAACGTTCATTGAAATTTGACTGAGATATCCAAATGGTTGAGCTGCTGAGCTTTGAATCAAACACGAGTGATACATGAGACAGCAATATGATAGATACAATCTCAAAAACACCAATCCAGCAAAAGAAAGTGTTCGTTTAAGCTACTGAAACAATCCGACTTACTTGGTAAGCCAAGCACAATATCAGTTGACACATGTGCATAATTGTGTGGAGTTGTCTTCGTGGCATTGGATGAACTGCACAAATGATCAGTTTAAGCGCAATTACGAACAATCGAGTATATGTTAATCGAATTACTGATGGAATAAAGAACGAGAATGATGTCAGTTAGAATGCTTATGGTAAGTTTGATAAATCAGCTGGCTGCGGTATTAAATTCTTTCCGACAGATATCTTTTTTATACTATAATGAAAATGAACTTGAAGGTGTAGCTGGTTCATGTGATCGGTCAGATCTGTATTCCGAGATTTACGAGTTTCCTTTCTCTATGTTTGTGACATCATGCAATATTGAACACAAGTGTCAACATAGAATTTCTGAAGTTTTTATTACGGGATAAATATATATCAAAGCACAATTAAAAAACGTATAGAGAAAATGAGGATCATTCGCTTCGTTGTTGTTGAGATCGAACCTCACCCAGCCAAATATGTAGATCCATATGTTGATCGAGTTCATACGAATAACGACGATGTTCACCATAATAAGATGATAGCCACTTAATAGTCTTCTCCTGTAGATCTACATCCATATGTCGAAAGGTGATAGTTCTTAGTCTTCGACCAAGGTGTTCAAAGACTTTTTGTATTTGTTCGAATACCGTCAGTCGTACGCAGAGATATTGAAGCTGAGGAAATAGTAGAGAGATTCTTTCGATATCGGTGAGTGAATCACAAATAGTCAATGAACAGATACTTTGAAAGCGAAGATCTTCCAGATTGGACAGTAGACTATGCGTTATTCGAAGGTAGTTTAAATTCGGCATTCGATGATAGAGAGTGTGTATCAATTGTGGATGATGAAATAATCCTAGTTTCAGATCGGTGACACACGTAAAATCAAGAATTGATTCAAGAAATTTAATCAACAAGTTCATGGATAAATGACATTCATGATCAGTTAAAATTAATGTTGAAACTTTAGCAAAATAATGATATGAATTATCTATCGAATAATCACAAGTCAGATTCTTCGTTTCAGCGAGTAATGTTGATAAATCAATGGTTAAGTTCTCAACATTGCTCATATATGCTCGATCTGTTGGTATCGAAGAGCGAAATTGTCGATTGGAATCTATGGATGGCCGATAATAAAACTGCGTGTCGCAAAAAGGTAAAGAATAGAGATGTAACATAGTTGGATTCATTTGATAATCTAAAATAACAGGCCAATGCTTGACATCTACCCAAAATGATGTTTGGAATGTGTCGAGAATCCTTTCTTCGTTGAGATTATTCATCTGTGTGCAAAAATTAAATTGGAATGTTTTCAATGTTGCAGGTAGACATTGTTCCCAGAATTGACCGTTGAACCATTGTTTGCCATTGGCGATCAGTTTCAAAAAGACTAGTCTCGGTGTGTGTTTCAATAGATTCTCCATATCGAATTTCGGCATGTCGATGAATATAGTTAAAGTTAAGTGCGTGAAGTAATCAAGGAACGGCAGAGGATGAGATTGGAGTTTGTGAGTGATGGCGGTATCGAGTGAGTTTAAATGCGGTGTTCGAGAGGTAATTGTTGACAATGAAATTGTGTTGAATATGTTATCATTGAAATAGAGATGATTGATCGATGAAGTGAATTCATGTTCGAAGAGCGAGTTCAATGTACCCGATAGGTACAGCCGTTGAAGCGTTTGGGAATTGTTGATGAACGACGAGAGAAGTTGAAATGTTTGAGGATTCACAGCAGATGATGGACAGTGAAGAATAGAAAGACTTTTTAATGTTTGATTTGCTTGTAATTGAAGTAAAATCTGATTGAAATCGATCGGATTCGATGGTTGAAGTAATTGCAGTGATTCTATATGATGAAATTGCTTAAGAGAATGTGATTTCAGAAATAAACGAAATTGGCCAGGTGTATCATCCATATTGGATAATGTTAACGAGATGACTTTTTCAGGATTGATGCGTTCGAGTATAAAATCAAACTTTGACATCGAAATCGACTGAAAATCCAATCGATGTTGGCTGTAACTATTTACTATTTCATCCAGACGAGTATTTAAATGATACAACGAATAAAATATATCATAACTATCGAGATAATTCAACACTCGATGAAGTATTACAATAGGTAATTTAGTAAAACACAACATTCTTCTCAAGTGAAGAATCTTTCCCTTTATTCGTCTATATATATATACATATTTCGTGATACGATGTAATAAAAGCTGGTGCCAATGGAAAGTTTGAATATTTTGTATGTGCATACATCAGCTGGACGAGTGATAGAGCACGCTGTGATACAGCAGAGACAATCGATAATGAATCATTTCAAGTCCGAGGTCATGTTTGTCTTGATAGATAAGAAACTGCTCTTTCAGCTTTGATATTCACTTGAAAAACAAAGTATGGATAGACGGATGAGTGACTATTATGACTATATCGATGAGAATTCGATTGATCATCGTTTGATTTGTCATGCATGTTTGAAACCATTAATTCAGCCGGTCATAACTCCATGTAAGAATCAATTCTGTCGATGTTGTATTGAAGAAACACTTGACGAACATTATTTACAATGTGACGAATGTGAAAAATTACATTTAACCAATCAGTTGCGATCGTTAGAGAATTCATTTACCTTGATGGCGCTTGATCAACTGAAAATCAAATGTAAACTATGTGGTAAAGGTAATCTTCAACGTGCGAAGTTCTCTGAACATATCTATGAACACTGTCCAAGGGCGATTGTTATGTGTTCGACAGATATGAACAACTGTCCTTGGATTGGTCTACGTGAAGATCTTCAAACTCATTTAATCTCGTGTGAATATCGTACATCTGTTTCACAAAGTAATCTATACACAGATCAGCTTGAACCTGAACTTCACAGACGTGTTTTATTTAGATTCATTCGACGACAAATACGGCGAGTTTTTACCATTTTCGAACGTTGATTTACAACAACGACAAATATATAATCACGATATCGCAATAGCAGTCAAAGCGTTGCTAGTCAATCAACGGTGTACATGTTTAGATTTGTTCAACAAGGGAATATCCTCGGACGAAATGTTTGTCATAGCGTCGGTTTTGTCAAATGATCGATTGTTGACTACACTAAGCCTTCGAAATAATCGCTTATGCGATTCCGGTGTACAATTCATCTCTCATGCGCTGTTGACAAATTCGTGTTTGAAACGCTTGGATCTCAATGAGAATTCAATAACAGATACTGGTGTTCGATTAATAGCTGAAATGTTGAAAACCAACCAAAGTTTAACGAAATTGACATTATCATTTAATCGCATCACTAACGAAGGACTAAATATGTTGATCGAAGTGTTAATTGATAACAATACAACGTTGCAACATCTATGTTTAGCAGGAAATCAAGCGATTGATCACACGTCGACTAATTCGATCATGAATTTGATTCGATGCAATCAATCGTTATTAATACTCAATTTAGAAGATTGTCATCTGTCTTGGTGGAGCAAGAAGAAAATAACTTTGTATAAAACAGTACATTTTCGCGCGGTTTTGGAGATTTTATTCTAATAGTTTGAATCTATGCACGACTGTTTTTCTTCTCGTTTTATCTATTTGTTTTGAAATGAAGAGAATGTGAGTCGATAGGGACAGGTTATCATTTGCTGTAAATGTTTTACCTTTGAAGATAATAATGACAGAAGTACGAACAAACGAAAGTCGTTCTTCGTACTTATGTTCGTCATGAATCTTAGAACAGAATACAAGTCGGAAAGGTGTCATTGATTTGATTACAACACAGCAGTAGTATGGAAGACAGGTGAGCGAAACAATACACTCAAGGTTACGTGTATATTACCATCTGTAACGTTTATCTATCATGTTAACCTTATACAAACTAGGTATACAAAATTCATTCAATATTTAAATATAAACATAGGTATATGAACAACACCGTATATCTACAACGAAGAAAAAAGGCTATTTTTGCCGATCAAAGATTTTGACAATTGATCGATAGATGTTCTTACCGTGAGATGCTTTTGAGCAAGATATTCAATTCAATACTGATTGCATCGACTTTCCCGTTTTCACTACGCTATATAGTGAATATTTCGATTTGATTGACCAAACTGGCAGTTACTCGTTTTTCGTTCTTGCTTAATCTCATTGCTGATATTGATTCAGCGAAAGAATTTTTGTTCGATGAAAAGATATCGGAAAGAATCGCAATCTTCCTTTACGTCTCAACACTCACAGTTTCAAAGCAAACTTGATAGTGTTCGATGTTTGTGCTTCATATTTCGTTGATAGTTGACTACCAATAACGAAACCATGAACGTACTTTTTTTGACAGAACAGTTATTAGAAGTGCACTCGCAAACAGACCAATCAATGATATAATCACAGCTACACCTAAAAAGCACACTTATAGTTTGATTTCCTAGCAGATGTCTTCTTATAATTTAACGCTTACTTCTACCACAATAAGCTGAAAGATACAAATCTCTATATCCAACAGTAATGAATATCGCCGAAAACAATCACATCGCATCACTCATCGATAGATATTCATCATTTGAACGGTAGCTACAGGCTCGTAGACTCCAGCTTCCAACGAGAAATGTCAAAACGCAAAAGGATGACAAACACCGTGTTGGCCATCGATCAGCATAAGCACAAAAAAAGAATAAAAAGTTCATGGAAACTTAATTGAGATAGCCAAGTGATTGCGTTGCACAATTGCGAATTAAATGGAATAATACATCAGACCTTGGCACAGGAAGTACAAACGAATGAACAGTAATTTAGCAAACAAGTATGCTAGTACATCAGCTAGTCCACTGTCCGTTGAATACAATCGTGGCATTGGATGAACTGCACAGATGGTCAGCTCAAGTGTAATTATGAACGCTCGACTATGTGTTAGTCTAACACGCCAGTCTTCAATCGAATTGTTGATGAAATAAAGAACAAGAATGAGAACGATGCCAGTTAAAATGCTTATAACAAGTTTGATAACCCGGCTTGCAGTGGTATTCAATTCTTCGGATTGACTAAAAGTGAGCTCATCTACAGCTATCATCAGAAGGATGCTGGTAACGCTCATAACACACATGATATAAGCTATGACTGACCTTGAACGAAGTAGAAAATAATTGTAGTGAACAGAAAAAGTGAGAGCTTCGTTGGCTTACAGACGACTATGCAATAGCTTTCACGTAGTTAATCGTCAACTAAGATTGACCATAAAGAGATCGCTGTCAGCTCCTGACGATTTCTTCGATGGTGAGTTGTCTGGTGATGAGAGTTTGCGAGATTGTAAACTAGGACTTTGACTTGTTATCGTAGAATATGCCCAGATTGTATGAGGTAAAGAAGAGTTGAACAAGACGTGTGAAACTATTTCGCAATCAGTAGAGATTGAAAGCGTAATGGAATCGTATTTTCGTGATACCGAAGAAGAATACTGATAATAAAAGTATCGAGGATTAAGGTAGTGTCACCTTGATTGTATTATCCTAATGTGTAGATATGTGTATTTGTGATAATAATAGGTGACAGATTTTTCTATAAGATAAATTCTATTCACATAAAACACGCCTTTGCAAGCCAATAATTGAAGGAAAGGAATATTTTTTGTTTATCAAGTATATACACGTAGATAAGTACAAAAAGAAAGGTGCCTATTACGTTTATGTCGATGACGTTCACATCATCATATCAATAATATAATATACTATAAATTCATATAAATACAAACAATACAGATATCAACTCGTATTCGATATCTGTTGTACAGAAGTCATTAGGAGAAAACCTTTGAAACGTTTTCCGATAACAGCATGAGAATACCCAATACTCTCAGCATACTTTGTACAAGTTGTATCATTTACCGATGATATTCATCTGTTGAAGCATGTTCTTTTTGTTTTGTTGATTCAATACTGTTTGGTAATTCTCGTTCAAATGTCTGTGTTATTCGTTAAAATCGACAACTATAAGACGAATCACCATGATCGAACGAACTTCTATCAAAGCACATGTGAAACTGTTCGATAGTACCACTAATTGAAGTGTAAGATCTGGAATTCTTTGAATTCATTGTATTTTAATTAACTATATATTCAGCAGTATAGTAATTATTTTCGCGTTCCTAGTGAACAAACTCGTCTATTATGATTCTATGTGTTGTACTAATGTCTTATTTCTCGTACTTTAACACACTGCAAGAATACGTGGGTGTGTCGAGAAGAAAAGTTTCGTTGTTGGTTCTATCAGCGAAAAGTAAATTATGTGTCTCGTTTGTTTGTTGCCTTAGGTAAATTTGAAAAAGAAAAACGATCGAATAGTCTTTAATTACTGAATATAATATCATCAATCACACATCTTTGCATCTTTTTTTGTTGACAGTTGAAATATAGATCTTCTTTACTCTCATAAAAAATCAACAACAACATGGGTATACATAACAGTAAAACTGAAACCAGTGATGAAAATCTACACAACGACTGTTGCAACCAACATCTTCCAATCGGAGGATATGAAAAACTGCCGCTTGTTTCCCTTGAAGCAGCTGTTGAACCGTTGGTCTCTCTTCTACCATCCGTGCAAACTTACGTTCAATTAGTGAAACGAAAATGTGAAAATCCATCCGACGGCTTAACAACAGATCAATCTGCATCCATCATGCTTTGCACAGTTCGATGGCAACCGTTTGATCAATGTCTATCTGTTGTTCTAAATAGCATCTTACGTTCCGGTGATCGCGAGAAATTAAAGCCCTGGTTTCTTTATCTAAAACTTCTCTTGACTGCACTTTCTCGTTTACCAGCGAGCCATCAAACTGTTTATCGAGGAATAAAGTGTGATGTTAGTCGATTTTATCCGAAAGGCAAAACCATTACCTGGTGGGATTTGGTGCTGTGTATGAAATCTCTCGATCTGTTGCAATCAGAAAGTTACCTTGGTCGCAAAGCTGGGCAAACGATATTAACCATTGAATCGAGATCATGTCGAGATATCAGTAAACATTCGTTTTACTCAACCACAGATATGATTCTTCTCCTACCTGCAACACAATTTCAAGTTATGCATTGTTTGAAACAAAAAGGCAAATTTTTCTGGATTCAACTGAAAGAAATTCAATCTCCATTTGTTCTCCTACAATCCGTATCCGTTGTTTCTCAACTGTCTCAGGTAAGTATCTTGTTTGCTTGAAGAATTTACTCTTCTCTAGATATTTTGATTAGGATTCTGTCCATGTCGATGCATCATCCTTGCGCACAAAATCTCCACCGACTGATACGTATCATCACAATCAAAAATTAGAACAATTGATTGCTCAACATCCAAGAAATTCACCAATCTATCTTAAACTTGAACAAGTGACAAATAATGATGTGAAGATGATTGTTGAACAAGCAGTTTTCGGGAAAAAATGTACTGAACTTTGGCTATGCAATGCACAGTTAACATCGCAAAATGCATTGTTCCTTTCCAATAGTCTATATAACAATCCAACATTGACAAAACTAAATCTGAATGATAATTTCATCCGTGATCGTGGTGTTCATGCACTGGCACGCATTCTTTCGTTAAACAATACCAAATTGAGAGAACTCTTTCTTGCACGGAATAGTATCACAAGTGAAGGTGCGCAATACTTAGCTGAAATGTTATATACTAACATAACATTGACAAATCTTAGTTTACTCGGCAATCGAATCGACGATAATGGAATCAAAAGTATTAGTCATGTTTTGAGTTATTATAATTCCACGTTAGAATGTTTATATCTGTCGGGAAATGATCTGATGACTGATAGGAGCATCGATTATCTTATTGATATGCTTAAGTACAATCAAACATTGAAAAAACTTTATTTGTTCAATTGCAACTTGTCCGAATCGGCAAAGAGACGGTTATTGGATGAAGCTCAACAAAAGAAACATTTGACTATATATGTATAAAGAAGACTACCGTAATAAGAAAGGAATCATTTGACAGTTTGATTAATATTACGTATAACAAAATGTGTCTATGATTTAATTCAAATAAATATAAGTGAATCCGTAACGCTGTTTCTAGTTTTCATCTATTCAGTAACATATTTCACACTCATTGTGCGCGCTTCTGTAACCGACCAATGGTATTGTTTAATAGAGGAAACAAAAATGACTCATTCTCCGTCTTCTGCAGTCATTAAGCTAACAAATAGATGTCCAGCTCGGGAACACTCGCTGATGAGAAACAACTGGGTTTTTGTGAGTTGGGTAAAAACCCAATGACTTGGGTATATAAATACGACGGTCATATGTTGTTATTTCGCATCACAAAAGAATTCATTATTATATTGAAGTAAGTACGGCAACGTTATTTGTCTTCTCTTATCATAACAAAACCGTTCTTACGAAATTTTCATTCAATTTTAGTCTACTATTAAATCAAAATTATGATCTCCAAATATTTTCACGAACGAATTCCAGTTTCATCTGTAATTCCTTCTATCGAGCTTAAACTATCTTCACTACCACGTCGACCAACTCCGACGGGTTCAGCTGGTCGATCAGAAACTCTCTACACAAACCATTTCACGTGTCAAGTGGCTCAAAATCTGCCTCTGTATCAATATGATGTCTCTATTGAAGCACTAGGCACGCTCTCCAATGAATGGTATGAAGTTAAAGGTCGATCCCGATGTGCTTTGATCATGCAAGCATTAATTTCGTCGGGCACTTTTGGTCCCGACACAGTCGTATGGTATGACGAACAAAAATGCTTATACAGTACATCAATACTTCCGACTCCAAGATTAATCATGAACGGCAGTGGTCAGGAACGATTGAATATCAAATCCTTAGCTAATCAATGGTCAACAAATGATATTCATAATTACATAAACGGTCAAGGAAATGAATATCCATACGATGCTGTTCGAATTCTTGAAACGCTTCTAAAGAAATCTCTTCAAGATCGGATTAAAGTCGTTAGTAACACATGCTATTTCACTGATGAACCACCACGACAACTGCCTGGTGGTTTCGAAGAACGATCTGGTTTTATACAAGCACTCAATCTTGCCTCTGGTCGTTTAACATTAAATATTCAAACGAAATTAACACCATTCTATCCAGACATGCCCCTACTTGATTTTATTCATTTACAAATTGGTGGTAAACGCATACCTAACGAACAGGAATGTAAAAAATTAAGTCGCGTACTGAAAGATTGCCTTATTGTGACCAGACAATCAAATTGGAAGCAAGCTTATGAGTTCGATCGCTTCGTTGGCCAACGTCCATGTGACATCAAAATCGAGTCTGGTGAATCGCTGGTTGAATACTATAAAAATGCGAAAAATATCACCTTGACAGAAACAAACTACCCATGTATAGAAGTCTACGTGCCAAACGAATACAAGAAACCATGTCACTTACCATTAGAAGTGTGTCGTATCAAATCCTGGCAAATTTACGATAAAATGGTACGAAACTTAATTTTTCCTCCACAGCCACTTTCGACTGTATTGTTTATTTCAGATATCCAAAATGCAGGAAGCTCAACAACCGCGTAAATATATCCCCAAACCTAATGAACGCTACGTCAACATCATGGACACAGTTCGTAAATGCAATTTCAACTCTGCTTCGAATGTTCTCTGTCGGGAAGTCGGTTTCCGAATCGAAGATAATGAAATGTTGAAGTTAAACGGACGAGTATTAACTCAACCGCAGATTTTCACTGGTCAAAATAGCACTGCTAATGTTCGAATTGGTCGCATACCTCTCGATGGACATTTATTTACGCCCAAACCTCTTTCAGCATTGGCTATTGCTTATTTCGGTTCCAATTCCCAGCGAGATTCACAGGCAATGAATGAATTTGTTCGAGTTTTGCTGGATGTAAGTTTGTTTTCTCGCCTATTTGAGTCAGATGCACGGCTTTCGTTATCTTCTTAGGGACTAAAAACGTATCACGTGGATGTCAAGCACGAAAAACACGTTGTTCAACCTGCAAACGATGAGATCACTCGATACTTCCAAACTATGAGCAGTCGGAATTGTCAATTTGTCGTTTGTGTGATGAGTGCAAAAACTGAGGATGAACTCAAACAATTACAAGCGGATATCAAGGATTGCGGGACACTTCGGTTTGGTAAGTACTATGTCGTTATGATGAAAAGAATTTCCAAAGCTAGTAATGATCTTACAGGTATTATGACACAATGTGCAGTAATGTCAAAAATCGATGGCAATCGTTCATTGTCGAGTTATTGTGAAAATCTAATACGAAAGATAAATTTCAAAAATTCGGGCATTAATACAAAAGTTAATCTAAACGAAACATTGAAAAACAAGAAATCAAGAACTGATTCATACATGTTCTTTGGTGGTGATGTTATACATCCAACAAATGTCACTCGACAACATCCATCGATCGCAGGTGAGTTTCTCTTGGTCGTAGATCAAATTTCTGATAAACTTTATCTCTGATGAATAGCGGTTGTCGGCTCCAGAGATTCATTGTGTTCCACAACAGCTGTCCGCGTTTGTAAACAATACCCTAAAGAAGGCAAATGTTCAATTGAAACCATTCTTGGCTTAACAGAAATGGTTGAACAATTGTTAAGTTATAATCAACAAGCAAACAAAGTCCTACCAAATAAAATCGTTTTTTATCGTGATGGTAAGTTTGTCTGAAAATTTCCTCAGTTGTATTGAATGTATTTACACAGGAGTTGATGATGGTCAGTTCGGAAAAGTTCTTGGCTATGAAATCCCAGCTATTCGTAAAGCGTTCGATGGTAAGTCATAGACAATTCAGTAACATAAAATTTTCATATTTTATTTCAGCTGTTTATGGTGAAAAATCTAAACATCCGCAGTTAACTTTTCTTGTTGTTAAAAAACGTCATAATACTCGCTTTTTCGCATATAATCAATCGAGTGATGAAACAAAGAATATGCCAATCGGTACTGTGATCGACACAACAATTGTTCACCCGTATCAAAACAATTTTTATCTCAATTCGCATAATGCTTTTCAAGGTGTCAACCATCCATCACTCTATCACGTTCTGCTCGACGAAATTGGTTTTACTGCCGATGAATTACAACTGTTAACATATCACTTATGTTTTACGGATCCACGATCATCAGCTTCAGAAGCTATTCCATCAGTTGTACATCAAGCAGATATAGCTGCTCTGAAAGCGCGAGATTTGTTCTATGATGACGAACGGTAGGAGTCGCCACGAATGATAACAGAGTTTTATTGATATCATTTTAGTTCGTCAGGAACAAGTGACGGTGGACGAAGTCAACCATTAAGAAATCCTACATTGAACGATGTTGACTACGAGATTCTTGGTGTACATGAAAAGCTCAAAGACCGACCCATATTCGGTTAATTAAAATCGTCTTCACTCAGCTTACGATTTTAAATTGCTGAAGGCTCATCCACAACTACTTTATGTTTTTAATCTTGATTCTTTTTTCAATTTTTTTTCATAATTTTTCAAATAAAAATCTATAATATAATTTTTTTTTGCTCTCCTTTATTCTACAGCTACACGTTTAAACACAAATTGAAACTCTTCTGGTGTATCAAACGCACCGGTAACCAGAAAAGAGATATTTGACAAGCAGTGAACAGGTGTATAGATTTCGTAAGTTTGCGTTTCTGTATCACATCGTTCAATCCAACCTTACAAAGAAGAGGATTTCATTAATAGTTCACAACTTCAAGTTTTTCATCTTACCGAAACCAAAACATTCAATGATAAGGTCTTGCGGGTTTAATATGTATTGTTTACCACCAACAGAAACAACAGTATCTTGAGACTAGAGTGCAATTCAAAAAAGATTTCATTCAAGAAGACTACAACGATAAAATCTCTCTTACCTGTAATTTCATGTTCTCATCGAAACAGAATCCGACGATAGTTTTCTCTAACTTAGCAGGTAATGCGTTCGGATTGGTATTCTCAAGTAAAGATACGTGAATGACTTCTGACCACGGAAGATGTATTCGATGTAATTTTGATGAAAAAAAATAGGACCAAGTTGCCAAAAGACGATGGTCACGCGGACGTGGCTTTTGTGTGTTACTAGACGATGGTCTTGCTTGATTATTCGGACACGCACCGGACTGTAATTTGATGTATTCATAATTCAATTTTCCATCGTAATCTTCTTGTCGACTGGTACTCATTTGAATTTGACGCTATAATTTATGAAAACGAGTTTTAGTGCATCATCGATGTTAACTGTAAGCTTACGCGATATGGTGCAAAAACGGGCTGTTTTAATAGCCATTCCAGTGTCACATCAGGCATTTGTTCTCGAGGTTGAGATGCACTCCAAGCGTCTGTTAGTTGGATAACGACATGCGGATTACACATACATAGTGTTTCTTTCAATATTTCAAGACCAAGACCTTGAAAAGAAAATAGGAAAAGCATTTCAAGTCCGATGACTCTCATAGTCGTGTTTACCGGTTCCCCAGCCCATCGTGTTGACGACAATCATCGATCGATTTGGTTGTCGACTACCATAATCAACGTTCCACACTTGTCTCAGTTTACTAACATATTCCAAATACCGCACAGGCGATGATTGAGGTGAAACCTGACCGTAGTAAAGAACTCGGTCTGGTTTTGGACTAGTTTGAACATGCGAACAAGGCGGGCCGAGTAAGGGTGAAGTAACAGTTTGGTACGATAAACATCCTCCCATGGTGAATTCACACTGTCCGATATCACAATCGAAATAGATTAAATTGTACACTGAATTAATATGATTGAGTGCACGGTTGACGAGAAGACGGGTGAATGTGGATTTACCCACGTCTTTTTCACCGCAGATTATCACGACAAAAGCAAACTCTAAATTTATTGAAATGTAAAAATTCCGGTCTGAAGGAACTGAATTTTTGCGATACGGTACCTTCGGTCGCACCCAATAACCATCGACTGATTATGCGATCGATAGTTGAGACGAAATCTTCACGAGGAATAACTGCACTGGAGCTTGTTGTTTCAATTAAACGGACTTGTAAACTTAGTTCCATTTGTCTCCACTGATCCTGAGGATAAATTTGATAATTTTCCATAAACCATTTGCTGTAAAACCGATGTTCTCGCATAGTTTTAAGAAATAATGACTGCTCGCTCAATTCTTTTCGAATTAACAGTACATCACCGCCACTCTGTTGAACACGAGCAACAACATCTTCAGCTAATTGTTCATCTGGTATCACTGTTTTCACATCGACTAGCATAGTCGTTGTCTGTGGACAAAATTCGATCGGAAGTGCCGTGTTTGTTCGATAGTTGTATACAGAATAGTAGTTCAATGGATTTAGATTACACCCATGAATACGAACACGGCCAAATAAGGAACAAATTTGATAATTTTGTAGGAGTGTCAAATGAGTATCAAGGAAATGTATCACATAAGTCGGTGGATCCGAAAAGGAACCGAGAATCACTGAACGTTGAGGTGACCATGCTGCAGGCTTGTTTCTCTAAAAGAAAAATCGTATATTTCAGTAGATGCTCTTCGTATGGAGTGAAAACATTAAGCAGAAGCGATGTTTGGTATGGTGAAAGGAAGAATCGGTTTAGAATTCTCGAAAGACAAATACCAGGCAAAATGCAGAGCAAATCTTGCCGTACAGCTTGCGAATCCATGAATGACGCTTGCTGTTGTCGATCATATTTCGGTCGAGGCGATGAATACTGAGACACCCTGGTAATCGGAACTTCAACTGTCTGATTTTGATCATGCTCATTGTCGTGTCGGGATGTTTGATCTAAAGATGAAGATGGACGAGTGGTGGATGAATATTTACTCATCTGAAAATGAAATTAAAAATAAGTACAAGCCGATTAAATGAGGTCTGCTTCGATATATGAGAAAAGTAAAATAGTGTCATAAATTAAAAATTTCGACTCGCTTCGGTTCGTTGCTGTAACTCACAACAATTTTCTGTTGTGTTCTATTGCTTATTAAACAACACACACTGTGCACATCTTTATCGATTTGCTTCATGTTGGTGCTACCCACTAACCATAACGAACGGGTGGTGCGTTCGCTTACTAACCATGTTTGATCATTCTCATTGGAAAGAAGTAGAATGCGACAACCAAAACTAGGCTTCTCAATTTCATTAGAAATCATCAGCGTTCGACCGTGATGTATCAAATGTAACTGAAAATCAAATATGTCAATACGCCAATGTCGATCTTGTTGAAGAATAAGACCAGCTAACTGATTACTCGTATCACATATTCGTATCATGCGAATGCCTGAATCTGTCGGTTGAACAACATCTTTTGCATTCCATCGTTTGATCAATTTCCAATCTGGATGACTTTCTGTTGACCACCGTTCGATAAAACCATTGCTATCGACACTAAGAAAAGCATCATTTGTATTCGATGCCACTGTTATTGACCATAACGGATGTTCATCAATTGGTTGAACTTCATTCAACGGTGTCACAGTCATCTGTTCTGGATCGTAGACAAGAACTGCTTGTCGACAAACAACAAGAAAACATCGCTGGAGGGCATGAGCGTAGATCATATCACATACATTACCAAGTCGAACGTCAAGCTCTGTAGAACGAAGTTCCTGTCCAGTAGAAATATTGTAGAGAACAAGTCGGTTTTCATTACGATTGATACTTAATATATACGCAAGTATATGTACGTCGGATGCTGCAAGAAAAAAACAATTTCGATCGTGTAATGAAATAACTTGACGTTCACATAGTAATTGCGAACTAGTTAGATAAGAAACTGTGTTTTTTTTCTTTTGGGTAATTTCAACATCGTGTGGTAATAGATTAAATTCAAGGTTGACATGAAATTGACGGACTTCTTGTTTGAAATAGTCTAATTTCGTGGACAATTGCACGATATCGTCTTCGAAGAAGTCATCATTTTCGCGTTTTTCGGTCAATTCTTTCGTGAATTGGTCGTATTGATCTTTGATTTCATTGAAGCGCGTCAAATATTCTACACGAAGGTTCTCACGTGTTTTCTCTGCAGTTTGATGTCTATCAAAGCGATGAAAATATATAAATTTCTTCTCCTACGAAGAAAATACTTACACAACATCATGCATCTTTTCCTCCCATTCACTGATTTCGTTTAGGGATTTTCCCATGTTGTCATTAGTCATGCTTGATCTATTGAAGATCGTTTCGAATATTTCATCGCGTTGCATGATGACTGCATCCAGTTTTTGTACCAAATCCTGTCGATGTTTCATCAAATGTGGAAGACAAAATGCTGATTGACACCCATGACATGGATGAATACCTAGTTTGGGCTTGATCTGATTTTCTTCGATGCACAAAACGCATGATTTAAACGATATACTTGACATTTTGTCTTCCCTTTTCAGATATGTAGTTATATTGGTTTTCATTGAATATACGGATTGGTAGAAATATCGAGTGAATTTGTTCTATTCCCATACAGATGTCACTCGAGATTAGGTTTTCCTTCATTCTTTATTTCACGTGAAAAAAGAAATACGTTTACAGAAGATAAAAGAAATAAACATAGTCGTCAATTATTTGTTGCATTGGACACATGCACTCATGGTGCTATTTGTTTCACGAGAATATCCACTTTTGCAGACACATCCCGCAACGCACTTGGTATTCTCACAAGGTTCTTGTTCGTTACTTTCACATGAGGCTTGACATTGTGGAGCACATTTGGAATATTCTTCGTTTTCACCACATTGAGCATTTACTGCTGGTAGAAAAAAAATCAGTTAGACAGGCAAAATCGAATCATCAGCATAAATTTACTTTGTGCGCATTCGGTTTGTTCTATACATGTTCGGTTAGTACGCGATACGCGAATATAACCAAGCTTACAAACACATCGATTTAGTGCACACATTCGTGGACAAGCGCCTCCTTTTGGTCGATCACATGATCGTTGACACTGTACAAGTGGTGCACAGTCTATTTCGATTTCATTCGTACCACAAGCTGGTTGATCTCGTACTATTCCTATAATGAAGATGTCGTTCAATAGATTTACTCTCAATCAGAATGGTAATACGCACGTGCATGGCATTCTCCTTTTGGAACACAATTTAAATTATCATCACGTAAATAACCATCCTTACATTCACATGAACTCAAACTGCACATACGTGGACATAATTTACCATTTGGCTCTTTACAAGTCGCTTGACAAGTTATGTCACGAGCACAGTCGACTCGTTTTTCATTAGCACCACACTCTGCTGCGATGATAACTGCAATAAAGGAATGAAGCTATTTCATCTCTCACGAATTTCTTCTCTTACTTTGAACATAACCGAAAGCCAATGCTATAGTCAATAGAACCATCGAAGGAGTCATCATTCTCTGCTAGCCTTTTGTGTATGTATATTTGTAAAGAAATTGGAATATCTGAATTCAACTGAGCGGTGGCATTCGTTTATATACACACTATCGATGAATAGAGTGCACTCTTGTATTCTCTGCACAAAGAACTATTCAATGAGGATAAATAAAGCTTCAGTCAAGTAAAACATTCAAGAAAAAACAATAAACAGAATAACACTTATCGATACTAAAAAAACGACATTCGAGAGAAGTATATTAAAGATCAAATCGAGTGTGAAAGGCTATTATTGAGTCAAATAGATTAAAATTATCTTTGCGTCAAGGCCTGTTTTTATACACTTTTTGAGTACTGTTTACTATTACAATCAACAGCGATGAAGAAAACTTAGTGTATACGATTATCACATTTATATGCTAAACGATTCAATTAACAAAACGGAGACAGCGTTTTTCTTCTTAGAGATTCTATATTCTGGTACAAAGCAAACACAAAAAATGTCGAAAAATTAAGTTACGTCTAATTATTTTTCGATCGAAATCGTACAAGTAGACCGTAGGCAATCAATGACGATCTTCTTTCAGTAAAATACTCAATTTCAGAATTGGGAATATGCGGGCAGATTTGTACTTTGCCAGCTCCAATTGTTTCTGGACCAATCTTAAAAGTATCAGGTTTCTGTCGACATTGGAGAACAAACTGTGCTTCATATTTAGCGTCATTCTCTGCAGAATGAAATTCATAAAGTGGACTATACGCTGGACCGCTCGAATACGCAATTGTTGGTGATGTATAGATATAGACTTGACCAGGAATATGTCCCGGACGAATAGCTAATTTAGTACCATCGACTAACACATCACCTGGCATACAAAATTGGCGACTTGCAACGATCGACTGTGCGGCAACTTTTGTAGTACCATGAAAAGTTACAATCCATTGATTCCAAATATCCTGAGCTTGCATCATTGCTTGATCAACATGTAAACCTAATCGTACCCAGCCACGAGGAATGACGTATTTGCTATTACCAGCATCGAGAACATTCTCCCATGAATCTTCATAGCATCGACTACAGTAACAACGATCGTTTTGACTATCGAAGAATGCTTGATGCCAGTTTAATGTGCCGACATATTCGCGAGCAAGTTCATGATAGGGACATCCGGTTGTACGCGGCATCAATAGAACAGTAAATGGTTGACCATTTGTCCACATAGCTTTGAACTGTAAAGCATTTTTTGCATCGAATTTTTTAGCAACCTTCTTTGATTCTCCGGATGATGATTTATCGAAATTGTTGTCCGCCCAATTGCCAACAAGTTTCGTACCGTTGGCAAGATACAACGTTCCTTGACCATGTTTCATATTGTTACGCCAATAGCCTTCATATCGATCTCCAGTTGGCCAAGTATTAACTCCATATCCATGCCTCATATCATTGGACCAGTCACCAACGTATTTGCATTCTTCGTTATTGTAAACATAAATCCCATGACCCTCTCGTTTGTTCTCATCCCAGGCGCCATCATAGTATTCTCCATTAGCCCATGTATTGACACCTTGACCACATCGCACGTTATTCTCCCATTCACCTTTATATTGTCCTCCATCAGGGTAAGTATACTTTCCATCACCATGCATTTTATTATCTTCCCATTGACCAGCATAACGACAACCATTAGCCCATTTATTTACACCATAACCACACCTCATGTCCTCTGACCATTGACCTTCGTAGTATCCTCCATCCGGGTAACTTAAAGTTCCTTCTCCATCTTTCATCCCATCCTCGACATCACCTTCGTATTTGCTACCATCAGGGTATTCTATTACGACCATTATGTTGATTTTAATCAGTCAAAAGATGATGAAGACTGTGGACGAAGTTACAACTGCAATCTAAAAAATGGAATTCAGTCATACAAGTGTTTACTTCCTTTTTGATCAGATGCAATGAATTTGACAGCTTATTCGAAATACGTCTAGTACAGAGTAGATTTGATTTCAGACGAATAGTCGACTTAACATATATTCATCGCTGAATAAATTGAAATCCTACAACTACCAGCCAGTTAAACGTACCTGTGTCGTATTTATCAATCTTTGTCCTCTTTCTTCCTTTCTTTTACTTGCAGAGTTCTGAGTATTCTTTTATTTGTTTTTTCTTCAAAACATCTCTCTCTCTCCCTCTCTCAATGTGAAAGAAATCAAATTTTGAAAGAAAGGTAGTCAAAAAGGAGAACTATTAATTTTTATCATTCAGTTGTAAATATCCAACAGTATGAGATGTTCCATTCATAGCGAAAATGTGTTTTTTGTAATACATGTGGACGAGCATAGTGCGCATTCTAGAAGTCACATAATGAAACAAAATCGTCAAGTATGTGAAGGCTCTCTTAACTTCAGATAGTTATATTAGTTATTTAAAAAAAACAATGAAAATGTCCTTAAATATCCAAAAATCTTCAGTTTAATAAAGATGTTATCGTCACTCATGAAAAGACTCATTCATTAACGCACATCTGTCGGTGACATCTATTGAGATGCAGTGTGTGGTCAGTGAGACATGTCCAATAAATGATCTCGAATGATCGGTCTTGTCTTCGACTGATTTTCTTGTCGGAAGATTACTTAATTTCGTTGAAAATGAGTAATACACCTTCGACATCGTCAGGCATCAAGCAATTCTTAACCGAAGATCAGATTGAAATCGAACGACAACGTCGACAAGCTGATTGGGAACGTGTACGTTCGGCTACTGATCCAGTTGGTAACTTGTTCGAAGAAATCTTGCGGATATTTTCATTGCTTTCTACTCTGTCTATGATTATGTAGAAGCACCAGCTGCGGTTTTCGATTCACGATCTTTGTATGACAAACTCAAAGAGCAACATGATGCAAAAAAGAAGGAATTCTTAGATATGTGGGCAGCAAGTAAAATGTTAACAAATTAAACTTCTCTTTCTATGTGTCTTGCTGCCGTTCTTAGAAAACTCTATTCGTGGCCTTGATGAAGATGAAACGAGTTTTTTAGCACGAATTGACAAGGCGAAGATAGAGAAACAACGTCAACTAAAACAAATGGAACAGGAAGAAATCGAAGAATTGAAAATATCCTTTTTTACATTGTTGATTTTTATGAAAATTTCCCTTTAGAATACATTTTTTCCTTGACTCCATAATGCACAGAGCTCAAAAAGAAATGGAAGAAGCTGCGTTAAATAATCGACCAACGACAGCAACAACAACGACGTCGTCGAAACCACACGTGACACAACCGGTTGTTAATAAACAAAAACAATTGCTCAGCGGAATCGTCAAACGAAAAACGAATGAAACGTTGAAACGTCCGTTAGAGGAAGCAACTGAAGAGGATACGTCGGCGCCACCAGCTCGACTACCACGTCTACTCGTTCCTGGCGGTCGTCTACCTGGTATAGGTCCAGCTGAAGGTTTCTCCGATTCATCTGATTCCAATGAGAGTAGTGATGACGATGGTCTTTCTCGCCATTCCAATAGTATCGGTCTTCAGACTTCAATAGCCCAACGCAAAAAACTAGCTAAACAACTGCAAGATCTCGCTGCAGCATCAGCTGGTAACGGTGATTAATAGGCCAATGTGAAACTACACATGTTTATTTGTTCTTCTATGTAAAAAAATAAAATCACGTATTCACACGTTGTACACGATTCTCTCTCGTAGAACATTTCCGTATGACATCAATCAAACAATTTCGTACATCATCGGTGGTAATTAAATTAATCAACATACTGGCACTCTGACCAAATGTAATGAATAGATAACTGACACGTGCCATATATGCCCATGGAGAGATAATATGAAGATGAATTAAGAGATAGAATAGAGAATAAGGAAAGCCAAGGAGAAATAGAATAATCACAAGAGTTAATATACGACGAATGAGACGAAGTTCAGACTGACGGCGGATATCATTTACCGAAGTGTTTAAGCGATTGCCTGTTGAGAATGGCGTTCGTTTCATATATTGAACAATTTGAAAATAGATAATAATAATAATAATCAATGGAAGGAAGAATATAACAAGTGAAAAGTAGACAAAGCTAACATCTTCTAATGAAACCTACAGAAAAAAAACAACGATATTTCCATTAGTATCAATCTCTACACACACCTGACATATTCGACTTCCTGCTTGATATGTAATACGACCAGTAAAAAGAATTGGAAGTCCGAAAGTTGCTGAAAAGATCCATTGTATTAAAACGATCAATCCGATAAATTGTTTAGTTTGTAAATATCTTCGCGTTGAATACACAGTTACAAATAAACGATAGAATGCTTGTACACACAGAGTATGATATAAAACACCTGTTCCTGCTTGTAACAAGAGACCACGAACGGCACATAGTCGATCATTACCCACACCTAACAACTGATAAATTGCTTGGCTAATACACGCCACATTCGCGAGAAGACCAGCTAACGTTGAATTTAGTACGAGAAAGATGGTTAATGTTTGACATTGACGATGTATCAAAACGATAAGAATGAATATAAACGCAAATAGTATTCCAAAAATACTACAGATGATCATTAGCATGGAAGAAATTGTCTCGAAGTCATACATTTCTATCGAGTTCGACGAACGTGACTTGTTGACTATAGATGAGCTATGAATAGAGGAGAAGACTCTTAAAAAAAAATGACGATGCTTTGTACGACCATCGTTTATTACCACTTGAGATAATCTAAAGAATTCTTATACTTTTTGTCGGAAGGGAAAATAACGTGCTGAAATATCTCCTTTCCATAGTCGCATGTTGCATAAATCTCCATTTTGTTATTCTTTTCTAACTGTCAAAATAGAGCAAACGACTATGCTATTTAATGATGAATAGTTCGTCCGAAGAGAAGCGACGTTCTATTGTCTGCGTTGGAAACTTATATCTCAAACATTGTTACGAGCATTCGTAGAATTGATTCGTCAATGAAGGAAGGAAGAGAGAAGGGAAGGCAGCTAGTATGGAATCAAAGAACATGAAGCGTTTATCAAAGACATCAGTTGGATTTGAGAATATCTAGATCAAAAATATTGGATTTTCGTCTTTTACGAGATCAGCAAATATTCATCTACATGAAACTTTATGAAATAACAAATAACAGTTGTTTTGTATAGAATTTAAATAAGAAACATCGTGTAGGTATCTTATTTCAATAAAATAATTAAATCTGAAAGATCTTAATGAAGTAAAAATACACCGAAAGTTTCTTTCAGTCATTTGTATTGATGCTAAGAAATAAATAAAACGTAGCAACAAGACGTAGAGAGTTTGTATAAATGCGAATGAATTTTTTTAAAGGTTTAGCATAAATCTTCAAAAGAAGTAATTCTCAGTAGAATGAAAGACATTCGGATCCATCGAATCTATCCCGAATCTGAACGTCGTAAACATGTTAGTATTGTATCTTCTCCGACCTAGATTATACTCTTTTGCGTGCTTTAGAACATCATTCAAGATTCTGTACGAGAATCAGTTGATTATATTGAAGAATATACCTCTGAATCCGTTTCATCGGCTAGCAGACAATCAGTATTATCTGACGATGTGAGTGTTCGATCAGAATCTCCGCCCATAAAAATCATTAAAACATCACATTCTTTTAATCATCCATTGAATGCGCCTTCGTCTCTCCATACGATCAGAACTATTTCAAAACCAACGCCGTCATTTCGATCCTATATTGTTTCGCCAATTTCTCCTTTATACAAAACAGTATCATGGATACCAATGAAAACACGTCTATCAAATGATGTACCATCGCTAAGATCGTCCTCGAAAACAAATAAACATATTGGGAGGTGTGTTTTTTTTAAATTTTATTATAGTAGAATATAATCAATGTTTTCGTATGCAGTTGCCAGACAATTCCATCGAATATTTCATTAGCTGTGATAACTTTTGGTTTAGGAATAGCTGCATGTATAATTGTCATTTTGGCCGTACTCTTAGCTCTGAAAAACGACAGCTCAACAACTGTTTCAAGTGAATAAGACCATACTGGAAACAATTCTATCGACTGTTTTTAGGTAGTTACACATCGTCGTCATGTGCGGATAATTGTATGATGTCGATAACACCATTCCGTGATTCAACAATTGCCTCATGGCCGTTTGACAGCAGTCTTTCGGACGAGAACAATATCTATTCTGCATTGTATTCAAATCCACCGAATGTCCCCTACGACACTGGTAATGTCGGAAATGCAGTAGTACTATCTTCATCACAATATCTCTATGCAAGTACACATTTTATGAATCTCAGTTACCGTAGTTGGACTATAGAAGGGTAATTTTGTTAAACGATAAAGTCACACACGAAATTATCTGTCTTTTTTTCGAATAATAGGTGGTTATTATTGAGTAGTGTTAGTGGTACTCGTGGAATATTTAGTCAATGTCAATCGGCATCAACTACCGATCAATGTTTAACACTCAGTATAAAAAATCAACGATTACATTTAGGTTTTACGAATGACGATCTCGATGGAAGCACTATTTTAACAACATCATCAGTATTGTGGCGTCACGTTGCTTTTGTGTATGATTACACTAAGATGCGTCAATCAATTTATCTCGATGGTGTTCTTGAAGCAACCACAAGTGCATCTGGTCTTCTTGTAGGTCCATACAAAGGACAATCGGGCAACATTTTCATCGGTCGAACAGATTCTGGTGATTATTTCGAGGGTAGGATTGATCAACTACAAGTATCCGAAAGAGCGAAATCCGCTTGTGAAATTTTAAATGATGCAACACTGACAGCCTACTATGCTTTCGATATTGGCGCATCGTATCTCGATTCAAGTATGAATTATTTCCATGGTATATCCAACTTATTAATCACATTGCCTGGTCGTGTGAATTATGCTTATTCATTTCAATATGAATATTCCTATTTTCAATCACAAGGATTCACCGCATATCAAACCGACGAACCATTCAGCGTGTCTTTATGGGTCAATCCATTCGTCGTTACTGGCGGAACTTTAATTCATTTATCAACGAATATCGATGGTAGTAGTGACGCTTGTTTCGACTTGCTTGCTCTTAGCTCTTCTGGTCAATTGATAGGACAATTGTATGAAAGTTACGATTGCTGTGTTTGTTGTGTTGTTAATCCATTGATTAGTTGTCCTTGTCGAGGCTTGAGAAACGTAGCAGGTCCAACGATGATCGTAAATACATGGACACACATTGTTCTCACTTATAGTAGAAGCAATGGTTTAGCATTGTATACCAACGGTACGCTACGTGGTGTAACTGATGCATTTTCATCGTTTCCTGAACCGGCGCCGGATTATGATGTTCGACCATACATGATTGTAGGAAATCAGAGAATAGGTGGCGGCTTGCACGGTTGCTTAAGTAGTTCACCGTTGGTTTCTTCCGGTTCCTATCGTGGCTTGATCGATGAGTTACGAATTTACAGTCGAGAATTGACAAAAACTGAAATTTGTTCTTTATTTCATGTTTAACATATTATCAAAGACAAATTCATTATTAACATTTGATCTTCACAATTTGTCCTCATATGTACAAATTATATTTAAAAAAGACAATGAACATTGAACTCATTATTTCATTTTCAAAATCAGAATTTGAATAAAAGAAATACTGGTTAAGAGAACGTACGGAAAATGATTGGTAGGATTATTGTTGAAAATGGAATCAAAGACAATGTTAGTAGAACACGCCGAGATATTCTATATCAAATAAGCAAATAAATCAGTATTTCATCGAAGAAAAAACAAGTTTTTTTCTGATAGAAAATATCGTTTTCTCTGCCTGGCGATATGTTTATCATAGGAAAAACAATATTTCATTCTAGACAAACTACTGAACTTGACATACATCGTGCATATTCTACATGACAGACATTAGTAAATAGGGTGATGACGTCTATATATCTGATTATTTAACGTTCTTTTGTTTTTATTGCGAGAATTGTCATAAACTATTTGCAAAATTATTTAACAATAAAAGTATTTTGATAGAACAATATCATTTCCTAGATGTTCACTTCACGGAGTACTGCTGTCCATCCGCAAAATACCCTCTCCGACTATTCTCCACCACATATTGATGGTCCACAGTATCATTCGTAAGTATCTTGTAGAAAGGTTTCAAGTGTATTACTTTCATTATTTGAATTTTATAGTGGTCGATTGAACAGATTAGATGCGAAAACACGACGTCGTCGTATTATTGGTTTTGTTGCGGTCCTATTTGTTATAGTTATTGGCCTGGTCATTGGGGTCAAGTTTGGTATAAATAAATCGAATCTCACACGTGAAACTGAGCTTGTTTCACATTTCACAAGTACTCAAAGTAATTTAATTTCTATTGACAAACGAAAGGATTATTGATTAAGTTTATCATTTAATTGCATATTTATTTATATAGCTTCGACCTTGACAACACCGTCAGCTATCACAGAAACCGTTCAATTCACGACAATCAGTTCAATTGCGAATATCAGTGTACCAACGAAAACACCTGCTATTGATAGTGTTACCGATACAAATGGCAATTCTTCTGAAACGAATGTTACACCACTCGATAATCAATCATCAACGGCAGTTAACAGTGAAACAATGACAACAGCAAGGAGCAGTATGTATAATAATATGGAAATATCGGCAACTGTCAACATCACAAATGAAGATTTGGTTTCGAACAACGCCATTATTGAATCTGCGACGAATGCAGAGACTATTATTCACTCAACAGCAGTGTCATTATTGAACACTACGATTCAGACGGATAATTCGTCCAGCAATGCAACACCTAGTAGAAATTCATCTGAATAGGATACACAAAATATTTATAGATAACAGTCCGACTTCTTTTGATCATTCGTTTCACTCTCATTTATGTTTTTTCGCTGTTGCATGCTACTCATCTGTTCATTTTCAGAATGTCCTTCGATGAAACTCGCTATCATCTATCATAATAAAAAATAAATACGCCCTATATTGTTAAATAATTCAACGTGTCGTTACTAGAATCGTGAGTTAATGTTAATTGGAACTTTTTGTCGTGTTATAGCTAAGCAGCTTTATTTTCATTGGAGATTTCATCATGTACCACAGGATTTATGCTTTGAGTTTACGCAATACAACTAAGGATATATCCGTATTCTCACTTTGCAATTAAACTTCCAGTACAATTTGTCGGAATTATGTCATTATGCTCTTAGTTTATCATATAAATTATTGTGCAATGACACTAACACAACATTTAACGCGTGATCATCGTTACCGTTGTGTCTGTCTTCTACTTCATCTTGGTTTTGAACGAATATCAGACATTTGCCAATCATTACACGCAATAATTATTTAACTTCTGAATGAAAAGCTTTCGAAGCTTTGATAAAAAATGACAAAGAAACGCATACAATACGTTATATGATGACTAATAATTGTGTACTCATTAAGAACCTCATCAATTGCTTCATGCAATGCTGATCGTATTTCCTATTTTGTTGCTGCTTTGTATGTGTAATAAATGGCGACGAACATACTGAGAACCATATGGGTAACGTCGTGTAGATCAGACTTTGGACGTTAGCACTTCCAAGTACTTTATTATTTTAGTTTTATTAGTTTTTCATGGTATGATTGATATATATCCAAAAGGCTCATTTTGATCACTTTCCCAAGGGTTACAAAACGGTACTCTTCATTTTTTGGATCCGAATAATTGTTCATTGGAAAACCTAAAGTATTTAAAATTATTATCATCATTTTTAAAAGTGGCAAAATTGCCTGAGTGTTTTGGGTTTTCCAATGAGCAATTATTCGGATCCAAAAAAAGAAGAGTACCGTTTTGTAACCCTTCGGAAGATGATCAAAATGAGCCCTTTGGATATATATCAATCATGCCATGAAAAACTGTACTTAGAAGTACTTACATCCAATGTTTGGTGTAGATAAAGACACCGAAACAGTTGAAAGTTTTTTTTTCGCATTGTACGCAAATCATTCCATTGTCGATTGGAAAGGGATCTAAGTCGTTGAAGATTTTGATATAACAAAATAGATAAGACCACGAATGTACCACCCATCGCAACACTGACGAATAAAGTTGAACACGAAACAAACTCGAAATAAAATTCCAATGCGTCATAATAAGAAGAATCCATTCTGGAAATATGGATTTTAATCAATAAATGACCACAGAATATCATACAGAAAAGTATAGTGACACTGAAAGTAAAACAGATCAGCCGTCTCGAGCTGTACAGTCGTATGAAAACGTTTCCCGATGATATTAACAAACGGTCAACTAATGCATAAATGAAAACATTTGGTGAGAATGCAGCAAAGAGATAAGCCATATAATAGAAGATTTTTTGCAAATCATCACATTCGATCAGTGTTAATCATGGCATTATTGAGTTCATATAGAGTAAATTAAAAACAAGAGAGCAGAGAAAATAGAGCACAGTGCTAATAGTTCTGGTGATATAGGAATGTAAAGACGATGAGAATGTCGATCCATTTCTACTTTGTCGATGAATTCATTCAATCATTCATCAGTATTCTCGATGAATAAATGCAGAAGAACTTTCTTATATTCAGCCTTTTACGCAGCTCGCAGTTGGAATTGAAGTTTTCAAAATCTTTTACTCGTCTTTTTCAATGAACATGACCAAGTTAGAAACACATTTTCTAGAAAATATTAATCCGTTTTTAATCCATATGTGCGCTCTAGTCACGATTTTTATTTTATTTTAAGTTAATATGATTAGTCAAAATTACAGACTCGTTTGTAGCATATCCTTGTCAATATTCATTCTTCCGTTTTCATGCGTACGTGTTAACACAAGATCTTGACCGAATACTTTGTAAACTAAACGTTTCATTTCGAGTCGAAATGATTTCGATACGCAGACAAATATGAAAAAACTTGCGCAATAAGGTAGATGATGTATGAAAGTACCAGAATTTGTGATAAAGCGTTCTATTGCTTGATCCATTGGTGACTCGATATTGTTTTTTGAAACAGCTTGATAAATCCCATAAATCGACGGGAAAGCCACCAAGATAATGTAGACAAGATCGTAAACGTAGAGGCAATGAAGCAATTGAAAGTCTTTTTTACTCATCGTACGAAATCGATTTCGTTGTTGGCGCGGAGTATCGCGGATTTGTTGAACGTTTTTGAATGTTATTATTGAAACAATGATGATGCCAATAGAAAATATGGAATTGATGAGTAAATTCGAATAGAAATTGAATTCGTAATACAAACTAGTGATTTCGTAGTAGCAGATAGTAACTGACGCATAGATTTCTCGGACAGTGACTTTCACCAAAACATGAATGTAGAAAACTATCCAGAAAAGTGCACTAACGCTGACAGAGAAGTAAGCTAACCGTTTGGAACTATACAGACGAAGATCAACACTTCTCGAGGAGATGAATAGACGATCGATGGACGCAAAAATCAGAATCGTCGGTAAAAATGCGGAGAAGACATAAGCAGAATAGTACAACAATTTACATAAAACTTTACTGGAATTTTGAACTTGGATACCCCATCCCATGGTGAATACGGAACTCAACATACCCGAACTGATGTAACATGTATTAGAAAGGAGACAAAAGAGGAAATAGAAGACGCAGACGTTCTTGCGCCAGGATTTTTTTAGAAAAACAATCGAGCTGAGGACATTTCCAGATAAACTGGCCGCAAAAATAATCGGAACCACATATCGATAGAGATAAATGAAGATATTTTGAAAAATGTTGATATAGTATTTGTCCGAGGAATTCATTGAAATGAGTAAACAAGTTTCTTCACTACCAATCGACGCAAAGAAAGATAAAGGTATGAATTAGAAAATGAGCATCTGCATTAATTCTATCTCTTTGATGTTATCTCATAAATTAATTAGAAGTTCCAAATTAGGAAAGATTAATTAACAACGGACTTTCGTAATTGCTTCTAGTTGAATCTCGAGGCAGACAAACTTTGATCTTCTCCTCATCCAGTGCTTCATCATTTAATTTTTGTATTGAATAAATGTTTGCCGAAATTATATTGAATCGGTAATGCGATGCTGTTGACAATCACGCCTGATCCATCGCGATCTCTATCACTACGCACTTAATTGACGTGTCTATTCAATAACATCCGTTTGATTTCCTACCGAAACACTTTCGAGACACAGACGAAGATGAAAAAGCTCGATTTGTGTAAAATATGATTGAGAAATACATCAACACCGGAAAGAAATGTATCGATTGCTTGATGATATTCACTACGAGTGTATTTTTCTGTTACTGCTGAGAACAGATTATATATCAATGAAAAAATGTGAAATACTATGTTATATTACACCATGGACACAGAAGCAACGAAGTCGTTGAAAATATTTTCTATTCATCTATCGAAGCTGACATTAATGTGCGATGGAATTCGATTGGTTATGACGAATATTTTTGAATGTCGAAATGGAGAGAGTAATAACGAGAATCGAAAAAACTAAGGCAATGATAAACGAAGAATACAACACGAACTGAAAATAAGACCGTAGAATATGATCCATAAGTTTGTACTCGTACTAATCGAAAAACATACTAAACGCTTCGAGCTGTACAATCGTATATTCGCATTTCGAGACGACATTAGTAACCGATCTATTGAGGCGAGAATAATATTACTTGAAAATAAAGTTGCAGAAAGATACGATCTGTAATAAAGTAATCGACATGAAATTAGGTTCGAATTTTGCAGATTTATATTAAAACCATATGTAAATATTGATCCAAGTAGTGCGCAATTCGTGTAGACGGCACTGAAAATCGAAAAGCTGACTTAATAAAATATACAAACGATTTTACACTAGGATTTTTTCACGAATACAATTACAGTTAAGATATTACCAATCGTTCCGGAAATGTAAAAAAAAGAACCGGGCCGACGCATTGGTAGAGATTTATATGAATCCTATTGAGAAGTTCGATACTTGAAGAAGAAACTTTTCTTATGTTTTATTTTCTATGAAATGAATGATCGAACTGCCATGTATTCTGAGATTCTAAAAATAAAACTCATGTTCGCCATAATAGACCTTGAGAGTTCATTGTTGGACTCCCATTGTCAAATACAAAACACCCGAATAAATTCTGTGAAGAGCTCTTCATCCCAGTTACTTCAAAATCTCTTTTTTTCGTAAAAAATTCAGGAGAATGAATAGCAAGGTATTTATTGATTATTATTAAGAGAAAATACAGAAAAAAAACTAGTAATTATCAAAAAAAAGAATCTTTAAATAGAAACTGTTTCTCTCCACCTTCAAATGAGAGAGACGATCTATTTGCCTTGTTTGATTTCCATACATTCATCTGGACGAAATCGTTTTTTGATGCAGATGTTTGGTGCGCAGCAAGGATTGATTCCGAATTTGCAAGGTACACAATTTTTACCGATTTCACGCGTATCGAGCGAGCCAGCATCATCATCATCACTTTCACCTGTCATAGCACGAAGAAACATTCGTGCTTTCTTGTCGGTCAGTTCCATATCATTGTCGTTGTCCACAAAGAGACGTTTGGCGTTTGATGTTGAAATTGTGCAGATGAGGAGAACTGCAGCGAGGAGAATCAATGTTTTCATGTTGATTTAAAAAGAATCAAATATAACCCTGGTTGATATATGTATTATAACTGAGGTCTGAGAATAATTCTGCCGCTTTATATACTGCCGTCTCTTGTTCTTTCGAAGCAATTATCAAATATTTAACCTATTCATCCGAAAGAAAGAATTGCTCTCTATATTTACTGTTGATATTATTCACGATTAGCTGATAAACATGAGAACATTTTTATCGATATAAAAACGACATTCTATGATGAATAAGAGTGTACAAATTATAGATCAAGGCTCGAATTTCCTTCTTTAACCATCGATGTCTTATGTCATATTTAGTATGAATCCGTTTTGTACTCATTACACTTTTGAATTACAAAGAATTTTATCAAAGAGATTCGTTTTATCAGCGTGTATGATGATACAGTATTTGCGAATGCTTCGAGAAGGAAAAGATTTTTACAACGTTGTCGGCCGATTCTGAATTACCTATTTCTATTGGTGAATGAATGTAATTATTTATGAAATATTTACGATAATAGTCTATTGATAGTCTCTAGGAGAGCTGCCGAGAAATTGTATTCCCTATGAAGTTTTTCGAGACTACGTAGTGTTCGTTTGCAAATTTACATAGAGTTGAATTTTGTGACAAATAGAATTGCAGATGGAACACTGTATATCGATACCATTTCCGTCTAGTGACTTTTTTTTAGAAGTACGAGAACAAGTGGATGCTGAACGCAGCGATGAGAGTGTAAACGAGATATAATATTATGTTCTTGTTCGTACATTAACACAAAATCGATTGTTGATTTGTTCGAAAATATCATTCGCCATATCTTAACTGTCTATGAAATTATCTAACACGATGGAAATATTATACAGATTGCCTAGATTGATTATGACTAATCTATGAAAAAGCTTTGCAAATGTGTTGTCTTTGATCTTGGATTTTTAATAATGTCAATTCAGTTAACTATGGTTTTTTCCAACTTGCTTTATTCGGTGTGGAAAATGTTGAAACCATACTACAACGTGTTTTTCTTTTATTCTTCATGCAATGACACGTTAAAAGGAAGAAAGCTTCTCCGTTCTGTGTTAACTATCAACAAAAGATGAATCATCACTGTGATGTTTCTGACGTTGGAAAAGGTAAAAACCACGTTGTGATTCGATAACGTGATCGCTTGTAGCACATTCTGACTTGTATTATTCATTTATACATTCTCTGGTGAGTCGACAACGAAATGATTATAAGACGTAGTTGTGTTTCTTTGTACAGTTGAAATTTGAAATGAATGTGCTTAAACGTTCGTTCGACTTTCATCAACCGAATAGTGCTGAAACAAAAAAGTTGCGAAGTAAGTCACATGATACAAACAAGATTTCCATATTTTCAATTCTGCTTATTATTTCAGTCGAACCTGTAGCCGATACGCGACAGTGAGTGAACAGAAATGTATGTCACAAAGTTTAATTGTTTGTACTTGTTGTATTTCATAGTAATTCAGTTGCTCTTCGGTTTGAACAGTTGCCCAATGAACTTCTAATGGAGATCTTTGAGTATCTCGATGCCTATGACATCCATTGTGGATTTGCCAATTTAAATCTTCGCTTTCAAAATCTTCTGGTTAACTCGTCGTTGCTATTAAAAACCGTTTTCGCAGAGAAATCTTTGTCAACTATTGAATATCGTTGTCGACATGTCATTCTCCCAAATACACCTCGTCTTCTTTCTCTTCATCTTTATGGTGAACAGATAATTTGTAGATTTCTTGATCAATACAATTTCGATTCATCACTTACACGGTTAGAATCCGTTCTTCTTAACGACGTGAGTAGCCATAAGCTTGTAATGATTTTATCATACATGCACTCATTACCTCGACTTCTCTCATTGACAATTCAATTGAACCATGAGTATGATGATCCTGTGAGTGATATATTTCGATTAGTGTTTCGATTGCCGGTATTAAAACATTTTAAAATATCAATATCTTATGACGAAGAGGATGACAGGATTAATATTGTAATGCCTATGTTAATTAATGAAAAATTCAGCACGATCGAACGTTTAAATCTTGACTTGAGTCTTAATGCTAATGAACTTGCATCGATTCTTCAACGTACACCTCAGCTTCGATATCTAAAATGCGAAACTTTGGTTGAATCGGAAGTAGCAGGTACAAGTCCAATATTAAATTTACCGAATCTAATTCATGTCTCCTTGTCAATCAAACATGTATCGTTTGATGTATTCGAGAAATTTTTTATACCAGTCTGTCGCCCGTTACAATATTTGGCACTTACAATATCCGATTATGATGTTAATTATCGTAATGGAAATCGATGGCAAAGATTTATTGAGAAGCATATACCTCATTTACGTACATTTCATTTAAAATACAGCGAGTATCAAATGGAAGACATTCTCTCCGACCAAGAAGTGATACACCAATTTACCTCCACATTTTGGAGGGAGCGACAATGGTTTTTTTCATTTGAAGAAGAAGACGATCCATATGACAATGGACAGTATGTTTTTTCAGTACATCCATTCCGGTACATAATTACAATAAATATGCAATAATTCTAGTGATTTTCTTTCGTTTTTAGAAAAACTTGGTACAATTCCTCAAAATCTGAATTAATTGATAATCAAACTCATCCGATTTCGTTGACTGTTACCGAAAATGCATTGTACACTTTTGGTACATCATATGTAGAATGTATGGAAACGTGTTTTCGAACGGTGTTATTTACGCATTTAAATATCAAATGTGACAAAATTCCATATGGTTTATTTATTGAATTAATACATTCATTACCTAATCTAACTTCATTAGAAGTAGCGGCCGTACCAAAGGTTGAATCAAACTCTCTCTCGTTTGAAGAAAGTGAAACAGCACTATTAATATCAATTAAGAATAAAATTATGAAAATAAAAATCGGTCAAATCCGTTGTATGGAAGATATTAACTTTCTAATCAATCTTTGTCCTCGTGTCAAATATCTCGAAGTACAATATACAACTGACGAAAATTTGGAACATCTTCTTGGTTTCATCTCGGTGAATATCCGAACATGTACAGTGTATTTAGACTGTTTAGCAGTGTGTACGAGTGCAGCGAAGGAAAAGATCATCAACAAGATTCATGGAATCATCGAATTTGAGAGACTTTTCAACACTGAAGGTGCCTTTCGTGATTATGTAATTCAATCCACAGATGAAAGGATTTTATTGAAATGGAATCTTTGAAAAAGACTGGATTTATTCACTTCCGTGGTTAAAAACTGCTATTGAATCTTTTAGATGTCATGTGGAAAATTTCCAACAATGAGTCATTTTTTTGACATGATGAATAATAGCGAGGAAAAAAACCCATTGATGCTTCTGTGGAAATGAAATGAATTATTGTCATCATGCTAATAAACAAGATCAATTGACTCGGTTTCTTCTTGAAATTTGCCTCTTTCTGTTATTTTAGTACTTTCTATGGTATTTCCTATGATTGTTCGAAGCTGAGTAATGTTTATTAAGATATTCTTTGCTAATTTATTAGATCTGTTTATTGATAATTGTCATTTCAGTGAGAATATTGCACATCTTCATTGATTGTGTTGCTCTCTTCATTCATTTTCATATTGTCATTCTTTCCGAATGTTGGTATCAAAGTGTAAGATTTGAGGTGTACTTGTTAAACAAAAGGACAAATAACAGATATATATATATCTATCTTTAAAAAGACATTTATTTGTCACGAGTACGCATTATTATGAAAGATACCAATGAATCATATATTTTCGTAGGAAGTCTAGTTTTGCAGAAAAATTTCTTTACCTCTATTAATGTCCGATACTATCTTCTTCCCTATGAAGTCATTAATCAAAATTCATTGATATTTATCTCGTTATTCTTTCGATGCGAGAATATTCTCGATGAAAATGAGTAATAGGGAGAGAAAATCAGCTTCGTCCGTATCGATATTTCAAAATACGATTTATAATTGACGTTTGTCGTTGTATTGTCTTATCGAATAGAACAAAAAATCATATGATCAATCGTTGTGTCAATAGATCAAAACATATGATTCGTCTCATTAATCTTTTATTACAAGCTTTCTGTTCTCGTTCTATACAACGTAATTATCTATTCGTTTCACTCAACACTATCTATCAATGCATCATCACACATATGCGTTTTGTCTGAGCTAATCAAATCAGCAGTCGACTATTGTGAATTGATGTGCGGTTGTAATAATGGTAACCAGTGTGGTTACATAACAAAGAAAAAAAAATTTGAAATGTAGCGTGGTGTGGTAGAAGGTGCGGCAAGAAATTAAAATTTGATTTCTCTTTACAAAATGTACTGATAAGATCAAGAATGTTTTCTTTCGTATCATACGATGGTTGATCTTTCGATGACTCATTTCATAGTGTATTCGTCTTTCGTAGGATTTGAAGTTCATGATGGCGAGTAAATGAAAGATGATCGTTATGGTTGGTTTTTGATTATTTATTAGGAAAATAAGTTGGAGAGAAGGACCAGGAAACAAGAGAGGTTTTAGTCACGTTTGTGAGGGAGAAATACACTCAGATTCCCGTAAGTTTCCCGTGGAGGAAACATACAGAACACACTAATGTCTATCATTTTTAAAAGTAGCCTGGGTAGTAGACCGATGGTGGATAGGATCCTGGTCGCGATACCATTGACGCTTGAGCATATGGGCAGCTTGCGCAGTTAGATGTCGAAGCAGCCAACGATGAGTAGTAGTTTAATTGGTAAACCTAAAATCGAGTGAGTTTAAAATAGTCGTTCATCGATGCAATCATAAAATTTACCATGATGATAGGAGAAGCTGGAGTAAGGTAGTCGGAGAGAGACGGAGCTTTGAAATCAAAAGGCAATATAGATAGAGCGAAGAAGAAACGTTTCACTTACTTCGGTTTGGATTGATGGGAAGATGAGTGTAATTTTACCGCAGAAATCCATCGCTTTATATACAGTGAGCTTAGGTAGGAGTAAACAAATTCAAGGTGCATAATTGACAATGAATAATTGCTCTCGAAAAGTCAGAGATATAAAAGAGCACGCGTGCAAGGGATGTTTATTATGTATGGAAGACAATGACTACCCCTCGAATGTTTGAAAAAATAGAAGAATAAAAAAATACGTGTCAGGGCTTCAACGATAATACTTGATATCTAAGGACAAAATATATTATTTATCTCTTCATCGATCTTGAACTTTTCTAACGATGTTTCCCTTTTTTTCTTTAGAGTGCAAGTTCTGCTTGCAATGATCACTCATCAATCTCATTACTCATGTAGTGATTTGCATCAGACACATTATGACATCCTGACATGATAATAGTCCCCTCCCCTCAGTGATTAAAAACTCGTTGTTTTTATGTGATTTCGATAGTGGATGCCTTGCGTTAATGAACAAATGCTTCAACACGTGTGATAGGATTCTCTTTTTCGTAGTTTATTTTCAATAAAGAACAATCTTTTTGCAAAACAAAAGTTCATTTCGTTTTTGGAATTAAACATTAAATAATATTTAATAAGTGAGGTAAAGCTATTATTATTGATCATAAATACGCGTGTTTTGAAAGAATACAATACAAGAAAAGGATTAGTATGGTTTTATTGTTTGTTTCGAAAGTGCATATTAGATGCGGCTTTTTCTTCGTAAACAAATTTAGCTCATTTTTTTTTGAATAATATTTCTCGGAAATCTTATATGGCTGTTGCTGATGGTGGATTGACATAAACAAAACGCTGAATGACCGGTTGACGTTTTCTCGCTCGTTTTTCTCGTCGATAACGTATTAGTTCTTCTCGTGTTGGATCAATTCCAAAACAATATTTCAATACATCCATGATGACCACGAAGAGAACTACACTTACGATAGCAATAATACCGACATAACCAAAAGATTTTGAAACTATTTTATAAACTTTCACTTTTGTAGATGGGAACTCGCAATGAGTACCCGAATAATAATTTCCAACACATTCACATTTATAACCGTTAAGTAATGGTCGGCAGATACCATTGTTCTGACATTTTTCACAATGGTTTATCTTGATTTCGCAGTGATCCCCTTGCCATCCTCTTTGACACGTACAACGAAATGTTTGATTCGAACTTATCGAACATGAACCTAAAGAATAAAGAGTGAAGCTTGCCCTGATGTTTGAAATCTTGTACAGTACCGTGATTTAGACAAGTATTTGTCTTGCACGGTTGATGATCATTTTCACATTGAGAACCGTTGAAATAAATTGGGCATGTACAAGTATATCCCAGTACACTGCTGCTATTATCAGTACAGTTACCCTTGTTTCGACAAGGTTCTTTCATATGACATGGAGACTTGAGTTTATTACAGGAAAAGTTGTTCGATGTTGTATTAACACACGCTGATGGGACGAACGGAGGTGGAAATGTAGTGACTTGAAATAAAATGAGTATTGATGAACTATCATCAAACAATGTTCTGAAAGGTTAACTTACGAGCGGTGATAGATGTTCTTGATACAGTGCTTGTAGTATTGGTCGTCGACGCAGTTTTTTCGGTTCTTGAATTTGTCGTTGTAGTCAAGGCATCATTTTGATCTAATCATACGAAGTTATGAGAATCTTATATTAGTTTGCAGATGGAAATCGTAGTTACCAGTAGAAAAGCGACCTGAATAGTCTCGGACAGCTGTTGCTGTAATATATGGTCCTATAAATATTAACTGAAGTAATTACAAGATTAAAATAGGTTACTTTGTTTATTGATGGTGGTTGTAGAATGATGTAATGATTTGTTGCTGGTTTGAGTTACATGAATTGTCTCACCTACACGAAAGTACGATATGGTCGTACATAATCTAATGTTCAGCAAGGTACAATACCGATTTGACTCGTCATTGTAGGCGTGGTCATTGCTGTTTTTGTGTCTAAAATCAATATATATTTCGATTTCATTATCCACGAATTCTGAGTACAGAATACATTCATAGATTCATATCTTAATGTAAAACTGGGCAAAGAAAGTATAACCAAACAGCTAACGATATTGGTTTGCTAATTATTTTTGAATTTCAAGCTTACACTTACCACAAGAATTTGTTGTTAAGTGAAATTTTTCAATTCGAGAATTTCCCATGTCGACAACAAACATGTTACCATAACTGTCAAAACTCATTGAAATTGGATGAGCTAGTTGATCTAGTTGCGAACCACTTCTGTTGCCACATCCAACTAAGCATTGAAAACTGTTCGAACTTTTTCGTATAATTCTGTGGTTGCCACTATCAACAATGTATAAATTTTCATCAGCATCAAGCGTAACTCCAGTAGGCGCGGACAGTAATATAGTTCCTAATGCGCTACTTCCTACCACTGTTTCTCCATTGTTGTTGCCTAATGTAAATCGTTGAATCCTATCATTGCCGGAATCAGCTATATACAGATGGCTGTTATTATGAATGAAAATACCCCAAGGAAAATTAAGCATATTGGCTGCCGATCCATTCTGACCGTTACCTGCGACCACTCCCGATTGCTCACTGCGCGCACATAACGATATATTCACTACCTTGTGCTCAGTCCACGCCGAACAATATACGATTGTATCTGAAATGACGAAGAGTGAAACACACGTTTCGTTGACCTTTCTAACAGATTTGCTGATGTTTCTTTTTAAGGACCAGTTATACAGCATTCCGAAGTTACGTTGTTGATTGAAAGCTAAATTAGTACCATTATCATTACCATTATTCCCTGAATTGTGGGATGATGGACACAAAAGCCAGAAACATGTTACATGATTGATCGTATCTATGAAAAAGTTTACTAGAAAACGTTTCTGCCGAAGACTGCGTTTATATTTTTTAGTGTCGGTCTGCTGAGCAACGCCATTGTCATAATTTTGCGCGATATATTGCTAGTAAATATAGATATGATCGTCATTTATGGCAAAGACACTCACAGGATATAATGAGTGGTTAGTCGTAATGTTGATCTGTGTAAAATTTCCGTTTATCCATCGATGAAGTATTGATTGTGATAAAGATGGTATATAAATAGTGTTCTTGGTGTTAATGAAAATACTATATCCAACCTCGATATCTGTACTGTTGTCCACAAATACGGTTGCATTAGAATTCCATGACACCGTCGGACAAAATTTTGGCAAATTATACGACACACTTAGGTGATAGTTGAACTTATCAATAAACAACGGACAAACGTCCAAGAGCAATGTCGAGAGCAGATTATGAAACTGTACTGTCTTGAGAATAGAGATGTTGAGCGATCAAATTGTTTATTATCTGTTGCAAGTCAGAAAGTGTGGGGATGCAATTTTGATCCTGTCAATCGTCTACGCAAACACTACTCATCTGAATTATATCAACTTAATGAAGTGAATATAAAACAACTCTGACTAATTTCAGACTAAATCTGTTACGAATACTTACTTAAACCTTGTCCAATGATTAGCAGAAGAGTATACAGCACACTACTGGTGTACATTGATAATATCTCCATTGAAAAATATGTTTTGACTTCTGTATTCAGATAAAAAGTAAAATAATTCAAGAGTGATAGTTTTCTATATAAGATTCCTCACTTTATATTTGTTCAATGGTACAAAAAATAATATAGTGCATCAACCAGACAAAATTTTATTATTTATTAAAAGTGATCAGAACAAATCAACGTGTTATTTCTTTGGGCGACATCACGTAATAGTAATAAGAAAATAAATCCTCCGATATCAATGTTAATTGACTAGACGAACACGGTCGAAAATCACGTATCCAACTCAATATATCAGTATATTATTTTACCTGATTTCAGCATCTGCATCGTATATCTAAACATATATTTATCTAAGTTATATGTTATTCAATATAACTCGAAAAAGTCATGATTCAGTCTATAGAAAGATAAGAGTTGTCGGAACATTATCCAATCTTTATAATCACAGTAAATGATAAACATCAAGATGATCGTATAGATATGATAACTGAATATCCGTAAATTCCTAGTACAGTCAAGCGTCTCATTGCTTAAAAACAATTAAATCGTTCGATGCATATTGATTATTCGTTGACAATTGTACTTGAAATTTGTCACCTACGCCGTCTGTTGTTTACTTCCTTCGTACATCCAGTTAGTCACAAAAAAAAGGAAATGAACTTGGAAATACGGCAGATCAGATGCGTATTTTCGTAGGTCGGAAGTAATAATTTCATGAATACTATGTTAGCAGAACACAGTTTCGTTTAACGTAAATTTCCAACAATGTTGCATACAGAGTACATGATGATTCATCATTTGTATAGTAGGAAGAATCCAAGTCAAGCAAGCTTTTTTTCCTTTTCTGCATATGACGTTACAAAGAAAACAAATAATATTTGTTCTCTGGGAAGGTTTTTTCGATTCGAAATTAACTGCTGAAACCAAAAATTTCCATTTAACAGTCATCACGTCTATTATACATATATATATATATACAATATATCAATGTGTAAACGTTATTATTACCAAAACAGCTTCTACATTTCATAATTATGACAAATTCGATATCATCCAGTGAATTCGTCGAATCTTTCTCTTCATCTGCAGATCCCATAGAATCAACCGTAAGACCAAATCAAGCTGTAAGAAAGCGTGAGTATTCTTTACTCGAAGCAGACTCTCTTCGTGAAGTCCGTACTCGGACTTTGTCTCACTGGCCACATGTCATACCGTGTGCTGAATCTATGGCAAATGCGGGATGGTTTTCTTGTAATATATCTGATCGAGTAATATGCATTTATTGCAATACAATTTGTCATCAATGGACGCAAGCTGACGATCCAATCAAAGTTCATACTGAATTCGCTCCTCAGTGTCCATTCGTACTTTCTCTGCGCGACATAAAATCACCACTAAAGATTGTCAATACTTCATTAAACCAACTATTTGAACCTCTGCATCCAAATATGGCGAATATTATTCGTCGTCAAGAAACATTCGTTAATCCTATGTGGACAAGTACATCACCGAGTATTGACGATTTCGTCCGCGCAGGGTTCTTTTTCGCTGGTGTATCGAATACAGTAACATGTTTTTATTGCAACGGTTCATTGCACAAATGGGGAACAGATGATAATCCCTTGGTTGAACACGCACGATGGTTTCCAACTTGTATCTATGCTCGACACGCTTGTGGGGAACAGTTATACCAGAGAATTTCAATGGCTAAAAAGCGACTATTGACAGAAAATAAACTAACCCAGGATGAGTTGAATCGGCTAGTCGCAGCAAGAATGGATTTACCTATTGTTCAATGTCTTCGTTCTCAATATAAACTGGGAATTATCAAACGTTGTTTCGAAGAACAATTGAGAATGAAAAATGACGATTTCGCGTCCGATTTAGATTTAGTCATGGCTTGTTATATTGTTCAAGCACAAATTGATAATATCCAAGGTTTCAAAGACAGAATTATTGTTCCATCGAAATATCGACAATCAGAAAACTCGATACAGGAATCGAATGAGTTACGAGGTGAATGTTTGGTGTGTCTGACTGAAGAAAAACAAGTAGCTTGTATTCCCTGTGGACATATTTGTGCTTGTGTTCCTTGTGGATATGCCCTGAAATCTTGCCCTGTGTGTCGAGAGAAAATCCAATGCTTTTTGAGAATCAATACATAGATTTTCGTATTTATTGAGATAAACATGTTGTTTGCTCAGTTTTCAGAGTAAACTCAAAATTGTTACTGATAATTGTTTGTTTTATAATATCAAGATTATATATAAAATATAAAAAAAACTAACTACAGTCAAATTATCGTTTATCTTCTGGTCAAAAATTCGCATTAGTGTCTTCTGATCGTTTTGGAATAATATTCAATTTTCTTGGCGCATCAATAATAGGCTTTCTTGTCGGGTCAACAATACATTTTGATATTTCTGCTGACATTTCAGCTGTTTTGCGTTTCAACTCTTCTAGATCCTTGATGTTTCTCACTTTCTTAAGATATTCTTGAATGATGTAAATTTCAGCCCGACAGTCATAACAATGATCCAATCCTTCATTAGGTACGCTGTCCATATCGTGTTTATAATACGCTACTCGCATTACGTTCTGGAAATAGTATTGTGCACTTTCGAATTCTTGATGATCATAATGAATTTTTTTAGCATCTTTCTTCACCAGTAATCGACATTCCATAGCTTTTCTTGATGCCCATGGTTCGATGATTGGACAGCCATCGAGATATTCAGTCGATCCAGACTCACGTGGAAGTCGGAAATTCAATAAGGCTGCAAACGGCTTCATTATAGTATACCATTGCAGCTGATCAGACATATCACTGTTAGGCGCCGCGTTGTTTCCATATAATGCCGGAGTGTAGGTACGAACATTACAAATAAATAACAATTTTTTTCTCAATTTGTTAACACTTCCCGCAATCTCATTGGTAAATTTCTCTTTGTGAACTTTCATATTCCCACGCGAATATATTGCGAAGTCTTTATCATCGAATAGTAGAAACTCCATTCTTGAAAAAAGCGAAGCTAAATAGACTATATGAATACCAGGAGCAGCTCCAGCGTAGATAACCACATAGTCGGGATCATTGCCATATTTGGTAAGAAACTCAATCTCCGGTAAGAGCAGTTTTCTTTGTCCCCAATGTTCAGTAGTGGTGATCTTATTTGAATTATTCACACTGATTTTCACGAATGGAGGTAGTTTTGCCAATAATCGACGATCAGCTTTATTAAACTCTTCCTCATTGTGTTGCAATAGATCATTGTTTATAAAAAGTTCACGCAAATGTGGATTCTCATCGTATGTTTCTTGAAATTTTGTATCAAGTTTTAGACGTCTCACGTCATAGTTTTTCTCATGGTTCAGACGCTCCACAAGTCGCCTTTCGTCTGCATACAATTCCGAGTTACCCATTACACTTTGATTGATTTGTGGCAGTTTCATAGTGTTTGTACTATATAGTTCAGAACCACCATGTTGAAAAGCTGGTCGATGATTGTTGTGGTGTGAGCCTTGGTGTTTATTTTTTCCATTCCTAAACAAACGTATGAATACAATCTTTTCTGTTACAAAATGTAAACAATGCAATAAATTTTGTTCGATAGAACTCCATGTAGTATTCAAGTCGAGTTTTCGCTCTGATTGTGGAATGGCTCTATTCGTATTTCAGACAGTATCTTACCGTAACGGCTGTTGATCAAAGACTGTACGTAATTCTCTCATAAACGAGATTGACCATTCAATGTCATCCATAGCTCGATGATGAACATTCACTGGTCCTTTACGAGCTAACCGTGCTTTGATTTTCTTTTCCATCCAAGGTGTCCATCTTCTCATAATCGCTTGAAATGAGCTCACGTCGATGATGCGATAATGTATGTAGCTGTGCACTTTTGGCATTTCTTGTTCTAGTACACGTTTGTCAATGTGAATCGAACTTCCAGCCAACGAACACATTTTCTCCGGACAGTGACGTTTTATTACAGTCAGTAACTCTTCTTCTACTTGTTCTCTAGTCAGCTTAGATTTGAGACAATCAGCGAACAAATCATTGCCGCCATCCTTTACATCTTTAAATGTGTCTTGATGCCATTGACCGAGCCCACTCAAGACTGATTGGTCGAAATGAATAACCCAGTTCCCTTCATATGTCAAAATCGATTATTTCGTTCGTGAAAATCTGCAAAAGGAGAAGTATACAATACCTGTTTCTAACGGGTTCAAATTAGGGTCAGTGATGATAACAGCACATTCCATAATTTCCGGAGCTTCGAGAGATGTCATTTCAAGGTCAAGCCATATGATATTCATTGAATTTAACTTTTCATCATCTGATCGCCATGTGGATGATCCTTCTGCTCGAGCAACCGTTGCTCCTAATTCGACCAGCAAATCGCATATTTCTCCTTTCTCACTTTTGGCCGCGAGCTCGCACGGTGTCAACCAATCTGACACGCGCTTAATGTTAATATTAAATTTATAATCTGTGACTACCAAACGGATAGCATCTGTCATTTCGTATTCAACAAGCTCATGAAGCAATGAATTTTTCTTTGGCGTCTTGTTATCATACCATTTTTCAAGAGTGGCTCTACCAAATTCGCGGAGAATTTCAGTGAGCATTCTGACGAATTTATCTTGATCACGATGGTTGGCAGCCAGAAAAAGTCTTCCAAGTGCTACATTAACGTCATGCATCGACATGTTGCTGTTACTATTCAAAACTGTTGGACGAATTCTGACAAATACTGCAAGTATGAAAGTTTTCTTACCTTAGTGTAATGAAGAAATGAAAATGGTGTGCAGAATAAAACTCACCTTGCAACGTCTATCTCGTTGTAATCGAGTAGGAAGAAGAAGAAGAAGAAAAAGAAGAAAAGAAAAAGAAAAGCTTTAAGCACGCGACATTTATTATATTCCCACTGCCGTAAAAAAACAACGTTCGTCGAAAAGCAGAAAACAACCATATGTTGCACACACTATCCTTAAAAAGATTCTATTGTGATTATAACCCAAAAAAAAGTGTTGAGCTGACGCGTGCGCGCCGTGTCGTTTTTTTCTAAAGCGTCAGTATGATGTTTTTGTCAATAAAAAGTAACATCGACATTGAGATAATGATTGATAACTAAACATTTAAATCGTACTGTCATACTATCCCATTGAAAATGAAATTTATGTAATCAGTCAGTATACAATACTCAATAAGTGTCAGATTGAATGTTATATGATTGACAAATGTAATCTCGGGGAAAAATCGTTGTGAAACAAATGAATTATATCATCCTGATAACATTTTGTAAGACAATTAAATCTGATAAGCGTCGTCATACGCATTTCATTATACAATGTATGACATTCATTATTCTTAAGGTAAAGACGACAATTCTCCTAACGATGTTAATCTCATTTGCCGAAGAATTATAAGTGTGCAGTTTATCGTGCGAATTCGCCTGTCGTAAATCATTAGCATACCTTGATGAATTTATTTCTTGAAATAACTTTACATTTATATCATTAAACCATTCATGCGCATTCTATTTTATATCTTTTCTCCTACTCACACTTTTCCACTTCTTTTTTTCTGATGAGTTCATCCCACTGCAAATCTATTCTCGTTCATACACTATTATGTCATCTTCGACGGTGCCCAATCTTGTATTACAAGCTAATAACCTAAATTACGCTGCCATGATGTTTATTCGATGTTACTGTTATATCGTCATACCAACGGGAACCATCGGTCATCTATTGAGTGTTTATGTGTTCACACGACCATCACTATGTTCAAATTCTTGCAGTCGATATTTTCTAGCAGCAAGTATCGTCGGATTAGCTCATACTGTATATGTTCTACCCATGAGAATGATACAATCAGCTTTTGTCGACACAGATCCAGGTGCATATTCGGTCATTTTCTGCAAAATAACATGGTTATGCTTGAATTCGTTGAGGTATGTAAATTGTCTTAGGTTGAAACCTATGTTCTATCGTATACTTTCTCATCTAGAGGTTCAGGATTCTGGTTGATTGTGGTAACTTCAATCGATCGATACTTATGTAGTTCCTCTTCAACAAATACAAGAGCATGGAGTAATATACGTGTAGCTAATCGTGTCATTCCTTTAATTATCATCGTTCTCTTCACTGCATATGTTCATGTTCCTGTCTTCTTCAGAATTGATATTATACCAGCTACACAAAAGCCAATATGTTATCCACCTGGTCCTCCGGGAACTTATCGCATCATTTTATCATATTTTAACCTTGTTGTTCTTGGTCTGTCACCTTCATTATTAATGTTAATATTTGGTCTTCTGACACTACGCAATGTTGAACGATCAAAACAGCTCATAGTTGCGCCTACAACAAATGCGCCGAATGCCATTCATCGAAAGACCAATACTCATATGATTCGAATGTTAATCGTTCAAGTATTTGTGTATTGTATAACAGGATTAACCTTTTCTGTTGCATTGATTTATACAGCTATCAACGCTAGTAGACCGAAAACGATCTTCGAAGTAGCTCAAGAAAATATGATCAATGCAACAGTTGGCATGATGTCTACTGTTGGTCCATGCTTGAGCTTTTATTTATTCACCCTTTCAAGTGGCTTATTTCGAAAAGAATTGAAAAATCTCTTTTCTGGCATTCACAACTTTGTTGATCATTCTTCAGCTGTCGCAAACACAACAAATACCAATCGATGAAAAAGCGAATATTGAGTGTAATGAATAAATATCCATTTTCTATTTAACTTCTTTCCTTTTTTATCTTGTATTCATTGCGCATAAAAGTTTTTTGTATGAAAGCTATCGAGGTCAAGTGCAAGATGCATTTTCTAATTATCCTCAGTGGGGCATGACATAATTCATTATAAATTTGTTTCACTGTTTAAAAAGATCCTAAATGACAGAAATACCTAAGTGGTTCTTTCAGAGAGTGTTTATTTGTTTCCAAGCAAAGTTTGTATTGACATACAGTCTCTCGTAAACGAGAGTCACTATACATTCTTCTGACTAGTTATACAAAAAAAAAATTCGTCCGTTCTGCACCGAAATAGAGATAAACATAAAGCCATGTGTCTTCAACAGAAGATAAGAAATAAGCATCGTTACACCTTTTGTTCGCGTTTTACTTTCTATTTTGACGACATGGCTTTGTTAATTCTTTTTGCACTGACTCTCGATTTAATCTATCGAGCATATCGGTATTTCTTTCCACATCCAGACATAGATCCTAAAGGAAAATATGTTTTAATATCTGGCTGTGATACGGGTTTCGGTCGTCAATTAGCTCTCGAACTTGATAAACAAGGTTTTCATGTTTTTGCTGGTGTGTTGAATTCAAATAGCGAAACATCATTTCGTGAAATACTTTCCCAACGTGCAACAGTCTTTCATTTGGATGTTACTAAACAAGAAGATATCGATGCAGCATTCGCATTAGTGGAAAAGGAAACGAATACACTTCATGCACTTGTCAATAACGCTGGTATCAGTACAAGTGGTTACATCGATTGGATGACAATGGAATCGATGCGGCGAATAATGGAGGTGAATTATTTTGGGCATGTGAACATGACAAAAACGTTTTTACCACTACTCATCTCGCGGCGTTATTCACGTGTTATTAACATTTGCTCTGTAGCTGGAATTGTTTCAGCACCGATGAAATCAGCTTATTCAGCATCGAAATATGCGTTAGAAGCGTTTTCCGATTGTCTCCGACGAGAAATGGCGTCATGGAATTTATATGTGAGTATTATTGAACCGGGTCCAATGCGAACGCCGATTATTGAAGGGCATGATGAATATATGACTAAATTTTGGAGTCAACTGCCGAATAACGTTCAACAACGGTGGGGCGAAGATTTTCTGAAGGTTCAAATGAAAAAAATATCAGACAACTTTCTCTATCGTCATGCCGAAGATCCAGCTAAAGTTGTTCGAGAGCTCCAACATGCTATTATTAACTCAAAGCCTGATACTCGCTATAGACCGGGTTGGCAAGCAAAATTCTTCTTCTTTCCACTATCAATGGCTCCTACTTGGCTCTCAGACTGGATTTTGGTACGCGCAGTGAATTCGGACACAGTTCCTGCTGATGTACGCAAACAGCACACAGAATAAAATTCTTTTTTTTTTGTGTAAGGAAATAAGATGATTAAGTCGTAAACGTTTATTGAATAGAATAAAAAAAGATATAGGGATTGTTCATACATTTTTATAAATCGAATTTAATCTCGAATTTGACTTTGAACACTTGCCGGAATAATATCACTTGAACGCATATTGCCTAAAAGATAATCGACGAATGCAGCAGGCAACATTGATAAAGGAAAGAAGATTAGACTGGACTGAATTCCCGGTCGATAACGAATTTCAGGAGCAGTATTCATCACTGCATGTTGAAGTGCTTGGACGACTTTGATTGGATCTTCAGCTCTTTTCGTTAGTTCTTTATTATCTAATTTCGTATGATATGATTTTATATATGGTTCTCCCCATCGTTGTTGAGCATCATTTGAAAGCGCGCCTAAAAATTCGGGAAATGGTTTGACCAGATTTTCAATGATAGGTGTTCGCATAAATCCAGGCTCGATGATGCTAACACGTAGATTCCATGGTATCATCTCTCGACGAAGACAATCCGAAAATGCTTCGAATGCATATTTTGATGCACAGTATGATGCCATTCCGGGTCCAGCTAGGTAACCAGCTACCGAACAGATATTCACAACACGTGAATCACGTTTCGCAATCAATAAGGGTAAGAACGCTTTCGTCATGGCCACGTGTCCGAAAAAGTTCACATCCATCACTCGACGCATAGTTTCCACAGTTGTCCAATCGATAAGATAACCACTACTGATACCTGCATTATTGACCAATGCGTGTAAAACTTTTGTTTTACTTTGCACCAATTCTAGTGCTGCATCGATATCCTCTTGTTTAGTAATATCAAGACGAAATACAGTTGCTCTGGATGAGAGTTTATCTTTGAGTGAGGTGACATTGTCTGTAGAATAAACACCAGCAAGCACGTTGAAACCGTGTTTATCAAGTTCAAGAGCTAATCGATTACCGAAGCCAGTATCACATCCAGAGATGAGAACATATTTGCCTTTTGGATCGATGTTGGGTGTTGGAACAAAGTGTCGATACAATCGATATCCCACATAAAGTATGATCGCAGTAGAAAGTAAAAAACACGCTACCATATTGACTTCGCAAATCTAGAATGAAGTTTATGTTATTTTTTGAATCGCGAGAAAGAAATGTGACTCGAGAAGAAGAATATTTGCGAACGGTGGCCAACCTTTATATAGAGTATCGACATTGCATTTTTCTTTCTTTTCTTTATCTTTTCATTAGTTCTGCTGTGTACGCATGAATCATTAGTATAACAAATTCTGTCCTCTTTTCATTCTATTTTTACGAATCTATATGTGCTCTGCAGGAATGGACAAAATACTGGAAGTACGTATACGCAGAAAAGGTTCGTCCGAAGCATACGTGTCAAAAGTAGTGAATATATTTTCTTGTCACGCAATTATACTTACGATTTACCTAAAATCTTTTTATCAATTCAATCAAAAGAAATTACATAAATGGTATATTATCTAGTTCGACTGTTGCTTTCGTAGTTCAGCTGGAATGAAATGTAATACTTTCGCTAAGAGTTTGTCAATTAACCAAACTGGAGGAAGATAGAATACAACAAAAATCATTTTCGCTTGCCATCCCGGTCGATAACGAATACACGGTTTTGTGCTCATCACCGCATGTTGAATGGCTTTGACAACAGTTAATGGACTATCTGCATATTTAATAAACGGACTGCTTAACGATTGTTGAATGATATTATTCAAAAATTCGATGCCCCATCGTTGTTGAGTGTCAGCGGAAAGTCCATTCCAAAGAGCGCGTAAATTTTTTTCATAATTTTCAGTCATCAGTGTTCGTAAGGTACCAGGTTCGATGATACTCACATGCAGACCCCACGGTCTCATTTCTCTTCGGAGACAATCTGAAAATGCTTCCAGTGCAGATTTTGATGAAGAGTAGGCACACGTATTTGGAAAGGCGAAGAAACCGGTTGCTGAACACATATTCACCACACGCGAATAAGGTTTCGTTAAAAGCAGAGGTAAAAACGTTTTCGTCATAGCAACGTGTCCAAAATAGTTCACATCCATAATTTGACGCATTAGATTCATGGATGTCCAATCAATGCATCCGTGTGTAATGATCCCGGCATTGTTGATGAGTGCATAGAGAGTGTTCGTTTTCTTTTGTACTAACTGTAGTGCAGCATCGATGTCATCTTGTTTGGTAATATCCAAATGAAAGACAGTGGCTCTGGATGAAAGTTGATTTGTTAATGATGTAATATTCTCGTGAAGATATACTCCAGCAAGTATATTAAAACCTTGCTGATCAAGTTGCAGAGCTAGGGAATAGCCTACACCAGTGTCACATCCTGATATCAGTACATATTTGTCATTTGAGTTGACATTCAACGTTGGATAGAAATGATTGTAAAGACGATAGATGCTATAAATTATGATGATGACTAGAGCAATACTAAAGAATAACATGGTATGCTATACAACAAGAGTTGAAGAAAAAAAACAACGCGGTTATTCTTATATGATGGTTAACAAATATTTCTCTTTGCACGTGGTCGGTGATGTTAGAAGTGCAGGAAAGAAAAAAAAAACAACGAGACATGAAGAAAAAGTATTTGCGCTATTCTATTTGATTTGTACTCTTACAGCATTCAAGAAGTTCTATTCGGAGAGTTGATGCTGAACACCAGCAGGAATTGATGTTTCTCCCAGATTTAAAAGAAAATCCATTATTTGAGTCGGACAAATGCATGAAAGCAGAAAGAACGAATTTGATTGCCATCCTGGACGGTATCGAATTGCAGGACTGCTGTTCGATATTGCGTGTTGTATTGCTAGTACTACTTTATTTGGATTCTCAGCACCGACTATAACCGAACTATTCTTCACTTGTAATACTGTATTATGGAAGAAAATATCTCCATAACGATCTTGAACAATTTTAGTGAGTTGTCTCCACAAATTTTCGATACGATAGTCTAAATTCTCGATAAAAGCTGTTCGCATCGCTCCAGGTTCAATGATACTAACATGAAGATCCCACTGTGTCATCTCGCGACGAAGACAGTCAGAAAACGCTTCGAGAGCATGATTTGAAGCTGATAACGCAGAAGTTCCAGCAAAAGATACATAACCAGATATTGAGGAGACATTCACAACTCGAGAAGAACGTTTAGCAATCAATAATGGTAAACACGTCTTCGTCATGGCGACGGCTCCAAAGTAATTCACATCCATTACTCGACGTATAGTTTCAACAGATGTCCAATCGATTAAGTAACCATCAGCTATGCCTGCATTATTGACAAGTGCGTGTAGAGCATTTGTCTTACTCCGTATAATTTGAAAAACTGCATCAATTTCATCTTGTTTTGTGACATCCAGACGAAACACTGTTGCTCGTGATGAGAGTTTGTCGCTTAGCGCACTGAAGTTATCGAGATTGTGTATACCAGCTAAAACATGAAAACCTTGTTTATCGAGCTCGATGGCTAGTAGATGGCCAACGCCGGTATCACATCCGGATATTAAAACATATTTTCCAGTTGGATCGATGTTTGGAGATGGAAGAAAATACCGATGATATATTCGGTAACTACAATAATATATTACTCCGAGAATGATAAGTAGAAACATACTAACAATTATTTATATATCTATACCGCGCAGGAATATGACTGTGTAAAGGTAACTATCATCGAACAACGTTGTTTGATTTTTGTTCTTTCGAATCACGTGTACGTGTATTGCGTCTATATATGCAATCACCCTTGACTAGATTTTTCTCCATTATTTCAGTGAAAGGACAATGTATTAATTTATTATTGTCTCTGAAGATATTGTAGACTTAGAAAATATCGACAATAAACTCAACGTTTTAGCCTTTCAATTGATTATGAACACCAGCCGGTTGAATGGGTGTAGAAAGCATCTTTATCATTAGGAAATCCACTAACCAACTTGGAAACATTGATAAGGGTTGAAACAAAAATTTGCCCTGCAAGTCCGGTCGATATCGAATGTACGGTTTACTATTCATAACCGCATGTTCAAGTGCACGTACTACTTTCATTGGATCTTCAGCATTCTTTATACATAAATTCTGTCGCACTGATTTATCAACTAAATCATTGAAAAACTCTTCTCCCCAATTTTCACGTTTCTTCGGTTCTAATTTATTCCATAAATCTTGTAGTAAACGATCATGTCCTTCGATAATCGGTGTTCTCAGCCAACCAGGTTCAATAATACTAACACGTAGATTCCATGGTATCATCTCTCGACGAAGACAATCCGAAAATGCTTCGAATGCATGTTTCGATGCACAGTATGCTGCCATGCCTGGCGGACTAGTAAAACCCATTACTGAACAGATATTCATAACACGTGAATCACGTTTGACAATCAATAAGGGTAAGAACGCTTTCGTCATGGCCACGTGTCCAAAATGGTTTACATCCATTATTCGACGCACAGTCTCCATTGAAATCCAGTCGATGTATCCACCACTACCGATACCTGCATTATTGACCAATGCGTGTAAAACTTTTGTTTTACTTTGCACCAATTCTAGTGCTGCATCGATATCCTCTTGTTTAGTAATATCAAGACGAAATACAGTTGCTCTGGATGAGAGTTTATCCTTGAGTGAAGTGACACTGTCTGGAGAATAAACACCAGCAAGCACGTTGAAACCGTGTTTATCAAGTTCAATAGCTAATCGATTACCGAAACCAGTATCACATCCAGAGATGAGAACATATTTGCCTTTTGGATCGATGTTGGGTGTTGGATAAAAGTATTGGTATAATAAATATATTACATAGAGAATGATCAAGCATCCTATAACTAAGCATATCATTTTCCGAAGGTATCTACAAAAATTTAATAGAAATAGTTCATTATGTTTTGGAAAGAAAAACGCATGGCATGGCACTTAAATTCGAACAAGAAAGAGTATATACTTCGACTCAATCGCTTTGATGTATTATTCCCGCAGGACGACCACGGAATCCCAGGGCTATTAGTTTATCGAGAAGAAAAGTTGGTAAGAGCGATAATGGGAAAAAGACAAGATTTGACTGCCATCCTGGTCGATAACGAATTCGAGGTTTACTACTAACTATACCATGATTGATTACTCGAACTACTTTGTTTGCAGATTCGGCATATTTAATGAACGGGCTGTTGATGACCATTTTGAGCGTACGATCGAAATATTCTTTACCCCATCGTTGCTGAACGTCGCTAGGTAATCGAAGCCAAACATTTCTTAAATTATCTTCCAATCCTTCCATGATTGTCGTTCTCATCGTACCTGGCTCGACGATGCTAACATGTAAATTCCATGGAATCATCTCACGACGAAGACAATCTGAGAATGCTTCCAATGCATATTTTGATGAACAATATCCCGAAGAACCTGGAAGAGCGATATAACCGCACATAGAAGATATGTTGATTACGCGTGAGTTACGTTTTGCAATCAGTAATGGTAAAAACGTTTTGGTCATAGTCACATGCCCAAAATAATTCACATCCATTACTCGACGCATAGTTTCCACAGTTGTCCAATCCACATGGCCGGCTATTGCAATACCAGCATTATTAACTAATGCATGTAAAACTTTCGTCTTATTTTGCACCAGTTCAAAAGCGGCATTTATATCGTCCTGCTTGGTAATGTCAAGAGGAAATACAGTTGCTTGGGATGAGAGTTTATTCTTTAATGAATTCACACTATCTGGAAGGTAGACACCAGCGAGAACGTTGAAGCCTTGTTTATCAAGTTCAAGAGCTACCTGATGGCCAAAGCCAGTGTCACATCCAGATATGAGAACATATTTGCCTTTAGGATTGATATTAGGTGATGGAAGGAAATGTTGGTATAATCGATAAATCAAATATGAGAATATTAAGAAGCCGAAAAATGAAATCATCGCGTTGCGTTTTTGGACACGCGCAAAAGTGAAACACCACCGATATTTTTCTTCGTTGTTTTATTGAAGCGAGGCTTCAAACACGTGCGTAAGCGAAGTACCTGAGAGAATAATATTTATCTTTCGTTTGGTTTCTCGAGTAATTCAATGTGTTGAGGTATTTTCAAGAGTAGAAAAGATAATTGCAACTATGATACAATTTCGAATGAACGATGACGAATATTCTATTACAACAATCAACTGTTGAATTCTTAATCACATATAGGAGTATTTTTATGTTGAGTTTACGATATACCTGAATGGTTAGTAATTGTAGTATTTCGATTAACTCAAGTGGTGACTGGGTGCTTGGTATACCTCAGAGAACTTCGACAGATATCAGCTGATAATTAGAAATTTTTATATAGATCTATACAGAATGCAATACCACCGATCGGTGATTCAATTTTTGTTACTCCGACGATGTGTCAGTAGCGATATGTGGTCTTTGTATTTTACACAGTTGAAGTACTGTTTAATCATGAAAACAAGTTTTTATAAATTACTTTTTCTGCGTTCTGAATAGGTTGTTTTTAAGACGTACAGAATATGACATAATGTGCTCTTGAGGAGAAAATGACTCGCTTTCTGTTAGATGATGAAATAATCATTCTTTTGTCATGTTCTGTTTTGAAGAAAAAAAGCAATTGTTCTGTCAGTATATCGTGAATAAAATTTGGAAAAAACCAACAGTTGCTTATACAGTATATAGTCGATACGCATTGCTTCGTAAAACAGATGTTCATATTTAGAGTAACAACGTTTATCAAAAACATCGCAAATGTCGAAAATCTGCTTCTCGTGCTCGATCAGTCTTATCGGAAGTAAATATTACACGAAGAACGATCATCCTTACTGTATCAGTTGCTATGAGGAACAGTTTAGTAAGACATGTGCAAAATGTAATCAAAAGATTCGCATTGGACAACAGGTCAACATTACATTTCAAGTGATTCTATATTAGACCTTGCCTAATTTTAGAGTTCCACATGGGCTAATAAGTCTTGGCATAACAGTTGCTTCAGTTGCACTGATTGTGACGTCTCATTAATGGGATTCTCATCAATACTAAACAGGAACAAGCAACCGTATTGTGCAAATTGTTATAATCTTAGATTTTCACCCAGGTGTGAGAAATGTGGTAGAATTATTGAATCAGGTACAATCTAACAAATCGAATTGAATCGACTGATAATTTTCAACTGTAGGAACATCTTGGATAGATGTCAAAGGAAACAAACTCCATCCCCATTGTTTCACTTGTACTCAATGTCGTGTGTCTCTGAATAATCAATTGTATTACGAACACAATCAAAGTCCTTATTGTGCTACTTGTGATGCTGAATATTTTTGTCACAAATGCGCCAAATGTGGACAAACCATTAGCCGAGGTATGAAAGTTTGTTTTTGTATTTCTATGGATTTTTCAACTATAATCACATATCCCAATGCAGTACATCTACGCTAAAATTTTCGTTTTGAGTACAAAAATTTATGAACTAAAAAGTTTTTGTCTTGATTTTGAAGGTTCGATCTATTCGAAACACAATGGTCTCACGATTCATAATACTTGCTTCACTTGCCATCACTGTGGACAAATGATAAAAGGATCATACAGGGAAAGAAACAGCCAGTACTATCATCCGAGTTGTCTTGATGGCGTTCCTCTACTCGAAAGACGACGTTCATTCGTTGTAAGTCTGGGATTTATATGAGATCTTCTGAATTTCTTCGGTATATTGAAGGAATCCAATTACAACGACCCAACCGAGCAGGATCAAACAAAGTATATTAATCTATTGATAATGAATCACGATATTTACAAATACATTTTAATGACTTGATAGGTACGGTTCCTTTGCAACTAAAAGTACTCAACGGAGAACCTTTCAAGAATTCAGCACCATCACTGCGCTCAATTTGACAGCTCCGCGAGCAAAAACGAGTCGTACGCGTCGTTCATTCAATGATACACCCAATACACCCCGTGAGATAAATCAAAAAACCAGTGAAAGCTTATCTCAACTTAATCGAATACTGTCATCCTTCCCAAGAAATCAAAATGCACCGAATGCCACGACACAGCATCACCTCACGGGTGTGTATAAACTTTTGTTCGATCGCTTGATTTGGACTAAAAATATTTTTTATGTCATCCCATACTATCTTCATAAGCTTACTACTGTCAATAGATGAACTATATTCAATATTTTTTATCTGTTGTAGTTAAATCAACACAAACTGATCTCACACACTCGATTAGACCAGAAAAACAAATTCAAAGCCAACAGCTATCTCTCCCAGCTGCATTTCCTTTACGTAGGTGATAATTGTTGTATATCTGCTCTAAATTATTATGTATATTATACTTTAGCTGTGAGACAAGACATATCCTTGAATCCAACGAACCATTCTGATATGTAAGTAACTTATACGAACATCTGATTATCATTTTGGCCCTTTCTGTGTTCCACTGTAATACTTCTTGTAGAATACCACCGAGAATAGCTGTGCGTAAAACGAAAACATGCCAAGTGTGCTCTGAAACTAAGCCGATATCATCGTACAGCAATCGAATCAGTAGACAATGTAAACATTCTGAATGTAAAATCTGTAACGAATGTATCTACCAACACGTTGCCCATGCATCTCAGACAATGTGTAGAGCTGATGTGCGCTGTCCTGAACTGGATTGTCCGATTATTTTAGATTATGAAGCGCTCAAAAAGATACTACAGCGCGCGCAAGATTTCATCCTCCTAGAGCGGTATGATCGGTTCTATGTAGAACATCAATTAGAGAAGAATCCTGAGTTCATTTGGTGTACACATGGATGTGGCTCGGGTCAACTTGCTGAAAATGGCGACCAGAATAACATCATTACGTGTATCAAATGTGGGAAGAAATCCTGTTTTATTCACCGAGTTAAGTGGCATGAAGGTGTCACGTGTGCGGATTATGATAGACAGATCGATGGCAATAGACAAGCTACTCATCGATGGCTGTCACTGAATACCAAGCAATGTCCTAGCTGTCAATCGGCAATCGAAAAAAGATCTGGCTGTGATCATATGACATGTGCGCGATGTCATTTTGAATTTTGTTGGGGATGTCTAGCCAACTATGCCAATATCCGAAATGACGGCAATCATCGACATCATCCACACTGCAGGCACTATCGTGCATTACCCAATAATCAGAATTAAGGGTACAAAGTAGTCATCGGGAATAAACCTTTGTCTAAAACATGACTCAAGAATTGGTTTTTATTAAATGAGTAACTAAATATACTAAACACTCAATTGAGACAAGTAAATCTACTAATGTCAACAGAACTAATACTTACTACACGTCACTCAATAAACTTGTATTTGTTTTTTTCCAATGCGCAGAACAATTGATAATTTTCGCAATTTCTTTTACTGCTCGAAGTCAACATGAGATTACTTATCAATCGATGATGTGACATTCTTGTAGAGTAGATAAGATGAAACGTCAACTGTGAGCGACATCCTATATCATTTCTCTGTGACTGGTTCGTTAGCAGAACGAGTCATTCAAACGGAGTAAGTTAATCATATGGCATGGCACATCTACTCTACTATTTGACATCCGATAAGGATTTCGAGGCATAGTAAATACGCATGAGACAGTTAACATATTCACATTAATAAAAACATTCTTTTCAAACCAATCGAAATATTGAGTAGTTTTCGCGGAATCCATTTTATAACGTGCATTTAATTTATTCTTTTATGTATTCTCCACACCTGTATGCATCAAGATATAATTGACATTTACTGCCGCATCGAAAACAATACTTCTCTTTTTTTAGTATTCTTCATACATAGATAAAAATTCGATGCAGAACAGCACCCATTACATCAGTCAGTCGTCAGTCATTTAATATGTATGTAAATTAACTTCCAAATTTTTCTTTCCTTTTACTCTCGCCGTCTATACTTGTCAGTATGCAAGAACGTGCATTTGTATGGAGATTTACCGATCGGTAGTCAATTGCCGATCTCTCTCGTGTTTTTTTTTCTCTTTTCATTTCTTTTTCTCTCTATTCACAAGTAAGCTAAAATAACTAAAACGCCTGGGTCAAATGTCTTACAATCGATCTTCGTTCGATTTCGTCAATAATTCAAGGTCAATATTTGGACAAGAAACGATGACGCCATCATTCATTCAGCTTCTCCACTAGAGAAGAGCGAGCTCATAGTTTTTTTCCTTCCTTGCTTCTATCGGAGGGTCTATTAGTACTACGACAAAGAATTGCCCACACAGCCATTAAGAATTCTCTCCAACCAGAATGATAGAGAATATGAGTCATATATAGAAGTATTGTAGTAACATGAATAACGATGTTATTGAAGCAAGTATAAGTATATATATATGTATAGCTGCATATATTTTGTTTTTCAGAGTATTCAATGAGTGACAAATTCCGCGACAATTTCGTAGTAAGTGAATTAGAAAAAAATATTGTAAAGAACTCTATGTCGTATATTTGAGGGTGAAAAAGGTTATGAAGCCCTGAAGACATTGATGAGAGGTGGCAATGAATTGAGCAAAGATATTGCAAAATGTTTACAAGAAAGGTAACAAAGCACTTGACATCTAACAGGAAAACATGGCTTATTTTTGTTTAGAAACGAAGCGGAAATTGCCTACGTCAGAGCGCTTCGGAAAAACAGCGACTTATTACAAAAACTGGCAGGTCGAGCTAAAGGGTAAAACATGAAAATCTTTCACATCGGTCAATATTTCTTCATGTTTTTAAGGTCAATTTCGTTGGCATTGAGAACACTTTCTAGTCAAACGAGTAAACAAAGTGATGCACACAGTATGATTGCCGATGTGTTATTACAAGATATTTCTATGCCTATAAGGAATTTTGCTGAGGCACAATCAAAAGAAATCAAATCGGTATAAATGCATAAAGAAAAGGAATTCAATTCTATTGTTTTCATTTAGATTGAGGAAACACTCAATTCAAAATTCAAAGAATTGAATGCTCAAAAAGATAATGATAATAAAGTATGCGAAGAAAATATTTCTTCTCGATTTTTCATTTGATTTCATTTTTAGTACCGTTCACGTCAATTTGACAAATCGAAAGAAATTGAAGCACTCAATAATAAAATCAGCGAAATATCAAAACAAGGCAGAGTATCATCGAAAGACACTTCAAAGGTGAGAGACATCTGATATTTCTTCAAAGAAACATTTTCATCCATAGCAGAGTAATTTGTCTACAACATTGGTCACAGGTTGTGTGAGACCTACTGGACGTCACGCGGAAAAGGTGTGAGAATAAAAACCAACGAAGCTCTCCCTCTGCTTTGTTTAAAAATCTTGCTTTATCTAACTATCAAGTAGTTTATTTGGCTCGTATGATTAATTTTAGTCAACTGATATCTTTTTCTTTCTCTGTTTTTCCTTTTCGGACATGGGATTTCTTTCTTTATTTACTGGGGAAGATACTTATCTTCACGAAGTCGTTTTAAACTTAACTTTTTCATATTAGGCAAATACAACCTCCGACATCAAACAGCAGGCATATGTAAGAACTATCTAGTCTATCCACATGATTATTACCACTAACTGCTTAGTTCTAACTGATTAGCCATCGAATATCTTTCTATGCAATGCTCAATATTGTTTGTTTTGTTTTCTTAGTTGGATTCATCTGTTCGAAAAGCAGAAGAAGATTTGAAATCGATCGAAAAGAAATATCATATTTCAACGCGAGATGTCGAAATTGCACGGCAAGCATGCGATGCTGAGATGTGTCGAGTAAATACTTCAATTAATCTTCTCGTTAAACGAAAATAAACAAGTTTATTCTAGAGCTGCGATCAATTCGAAAAAATAGAATTGAATCGAATCGGTGAAATGGGAAATTTCATTGGTAAATTTGCCGACACGATGAAAGTTGTCAGTGAAACGATGCAACAAGTTCGTTAATCGACTTTTATCGTATGATTCATTTCATGTATATTTGACTTTTTATCAGGTTTCACAAGATTTACGAGCCATTCATATCGAACCCGAAAATGATATTGTCACAGAAGGTCGAGCAAATGATCAACAACCAGAAACTGAAATCTTGTTGTATGATGTTTATGTAAGTTGAAAAGCTTCGCATTTTCATTTCGAATTCCTTGAATCTAGGCGGAAAATATGGATAATACGATGAGCGAACAACGTCGAAAGTTAAGTCTGTTGAATTGGATAGAAATCTTAAAGCGCGACATCGATATTCAAAAACAAACAAGTGCTCGTAAGTTTGTAGGGAATAAGAAGTAAAAGAGTGCTTTTTCTTTCTATTCTAGCAAGTTTTTCATCGTTGGCATCTGCACCGGCAAGTCGAGCGCTGAAAGTTGAATCACCAGATGATGACCTAGGCATGACTGGTGACGGGGCGATGTGTTCTATGCGTTCGAAGAAGAGTATGATGATTTGTTTTCAATTCGTTTCAGTTAAGAATTCTTTTGTTTTTCAGGTGCTCCTGAAGATGCAAAAAACGACTCCTCATCTTCGAATGACGATGATGGGGGCATGGGTCATCGAAAATGCAAGAAACAAGAGAAAAATGGTACGGAAGGTAAATGAGTTTGTCTAAACAGCGTTTGATTTATCTATCGGAACCGTATAGTTACGCAAAAATTCTCCAGTGAAAAGTTTATTGATCGACGAAGTGTAAGAGCAAATCGCAGTTTATATCGGCATCATTCAATTTCTATGTAATTTGCCATTTAGGTTGAACTATTATTATGCCTTTACGAAGCCAGTTTGTATAAAATCGAATGTGTTTATAATCGACTGATGAAATTACCTGAGCCACCGCGGTATGAGTACTCATCTCGGATTACTAGAACGTTTAATGAGAAAGTTTGTTATAGCTGAGTAGTTTTTCTTTTTCTAATCTCGATCTTCGAACACTTTCAGGGAACTCCAACGACATTAATTCGTATTCCATTTCAACCAACTGCGCATACACCTCCGTCGGCTCCAACTGCAATGTTATATTTCGCTCGGGCCATGCCCATGCAACCTGAATCGATGGTACAGTCAGCATCACATCCAATGACTCGTTCTGTACAAGGACAATCGTCAAATTTTGGTTGGGCATTACCTTCTCCTGCTCAAGCTGAACAGGCAGTACCAGGTAAATAACGAAGAAATTCCGACAAAACAAACACTTGATGTTACTCGACTGTTCACTGTTTCGTTCGTTGTTCTTATCAAAGTATTCATTATAGCGACAGATCATGTTCGTCGAAATAGACCTCCTCGAGAAAGACCCATTGTGTGTAAGTCTCTATCAGGATATGGGAGAGTGACTTCACTAATGCAAAGACTTCGCTTTCAAGAATATATGTTAACCTTCTTCTTCTTCTTTTATACATGATCAGAATATGTGCAAACGAGGTAGATCAATTTGCTCTGCAAAGAAAAAGAAAAAATTCTACACACATACACTGATAATCGATTTCATTGATAACTATTCTAACACACGCTTGCTTTTTTTTCTCTAATTGGCACCATCAGGTTCTTATTCAATATGTAAGTCCGATTGAAAGATCAATCTGATGTGGTTTTATATATTTCTGCATGTTCAAGGCTTTTGAAAAGAAACCAAAAACCTACATAATTCAATGCATGAACTAGTGGAAGTGTCAAACACAATGTTTAGCTCTTCTTTTATGCTTTTATAGATACGCAATTGCTGACATCTCAACCACCTTATTCAGTCTCTACTGCCCCCACAGCACCAGTAATGCCTCGATCAAATCCAGTTGCACATGTGCGAGCGTTATATTCATACAAAGCCAAACGTAAAGATGAATTGGATCTTAAGAAAGGTATGGCAAACTTCACGAAAAAAAAACAGAATATTCTACTCTTTTCTCTAGGTGATGTTATTTTGTTGCTCGAAACACGAAACGATGGTTGGTGTAAAGGAAATCTACATAATGCCGTTGGTTTATTTCCTGGCAATTATGTGGAACATATATCATGATCAGTATCTTCGATCCGTGTGATCTCACATTTCATTTCTCTTTCGAGACACAGTATAGTGCTGTGACATCGAAAATTTTCTGTATAGAATAGTGTGCTTACATGTTGATGGTGTGAATAAGAATCAAATGAACAGTTACTCTTTTCTATATTTATGTATGTATTTATTCATTTATGTTTACATGTTTTCCTCATATTTTTTTTGTTGTACTTGACCGATTTTACTGTACTGGCGCATAATATTTGTTTTTGAAAAATAAACTTCGGGAGAAGAAATAATCTATCATTTATATATATCTGCAATTTAGACAACTGTTTGGTTCTTTTGCATATGATCAATCAAGTTCTTCTCAGTTATAACTGAAAATACCTTCTGAGCTTTCTTTAGAGATGATTATGATCAATTTCAAGAGCATCCTTATTCATTTGTTTATTTGTGCTCGACGCAAATTCATCGATGAATCCACTTGCGAGGTTTCTCTTTACTAGTTTGATAAAAACAAGAAGATAAATGTTCACATGAAATTACAATTGACACAGTTATTAAAAACTCGTTTGTGTTAAATTATAAAATTATATTGGAGTAGTTGGTGTTGAAGCTAAGTGGTCAATGCTACTTTTGTCATTCACCGGAAATAATGATCTTTTTGACGGATTTTTTGAGAAATCAATCGAACCATTTGCACCTTTATACATGTCACCTTTTTTGGGTCAATCATTCATGCTGAAGGCACGAGTGATGTGAGGAGTAGTGCACATGTGATCTTCTACTGTTATTGGCTTCAAACTTCTTGGAGTGCGAAGTCGACATTTTGTTTGATGACCTGATAATATCTTTAGAATAGATTAATAGCTATTCCCAGAAAATCGGGTGCTGTGACAATCCGCCATCTACTTTTTTAAAAACATTTTTACATAACGCATTCTAAGATCCTTATCTTTTTAAAAACTTTTTTGATGTATTAATCTAAAAGTTTATCGAATTATTTTTAATTTAGAGCTTGTTTTTCAAAAATATAAATCAGATGTTTTTTTAAGTCTCTTACACTTGTACTAACGGCACCTTTCTGCAAACTCATTTATATTCTTCTTCACTCGATCACTGTATTTCAAATTTTCACAAACAATCAAACAGACAATTACACGGCACTGTTGTCTACACGATCAGTTACCCAAGTACTCACTGTTATTCAGCAGAAGTACATCGTTCAACTGCCACTCATCTTCATTATTCTTGGTCTCATTAGATACATTAGTACGGTATCCTCTTCACTTTTATTCAGTCAACTCTGCGCAAGAATTCATTCTGCATATATACACTGCCATCTTCATACATTGATATCATCACTCTCTTCCCAATATATCTATTGAATACACTCATAACCGACAGTTTAACAAGTAAAATCGAAATAATGGCAACCATAGCTTTGCTTCACCTATCATTGAATCGAATAATGATGTCTCCGTATGATCCACTTCAACAAATGCAACGTTGAACGCGAATCTTTATATCGGACTTCATGGGCTATTGACACCATGTGTGATGCTCACCTATCGCAACGTTTCCAACAGTTGTAAACGAGTGGTGTGCACTGATGCGGATCTGATAGCTTTCGAACTACAGCTGAAACTGCGCATATCTCTTAATTGTAGGATGTTACAATGGACAGTCATGTACTGAAACTTTTCGGTCACATTGTATGACAACGGAACTGCTGAACAATGGTCAACGGTATATTTTTTACTATGTGGTGCGTGTGAAGTCATTTTATTTGTCAACGTTGACATCTCGATCGTTTCGAGAAACGCTGATTGGAGGTGTTGTCAAGTTGTTGCCTGGACATGTGTATCGACAAGAAAACAAAAACAATCTAACTGTCATCAACACGGTGGTTCGTAATACAAAATAGACAGAGAGTGTCGTAAGTAAGATTGCCGAACGAATATGATGTTGTTATTGTTTTGTAAAACTGTTGTGGCACGTTATTTGTACTATGGTGAGCACTACATAAACATTAGTAGGTCTTGTGGAATTGAATGGTTTGAACTGTTTCAAACCACTGATGTACAATTAATTGAATCAAGCATAGAACGGATTCCAAAGGTATTTGTTTATTTCAGTTGAAAGAAAAAAAACTACCACCAGAGAAAAAAATCATTTTCAATAGTTTTTATTGCAAAATTGTCAAGCAGTTGTTCGAGTTCTATGATCGCTTTTAGTTTGTCGCTAACTACTGCATTGACATCAGAAACTCTTATTGCTGATAGGCAACAAGTCGGTTTCTTCGTTTGTCCTAATAAAAATCGAATTATTTGCTCCAAAGGCGTTTCCGTTGTGCCCATAGAAATGTACTGTAGTCTTGGACAAAGATTAACGAAGAGTTGAATAGTCCTGAATGAATAAATAAACGAAACAGTCAACGCTTTAATCTTGTTTTGACTGGTCACTAATTGAAACTGCTTGGTTTGTTGTAAATCAGAATAATCTGTTGCAACGATCGTGATAGATTTGAAGACTAATGTATGCACGTTGGGTGTGGACGACAAGAGCTCAATTACTTTACTAAACGGTCGATGAGAATAAGCAATCGTTAATTTAGTGAGTTGATCCAATGGAACGATATCAGCGATGCTGATTATAGCAGATCGCCGCGAACGGTCGATTCGTTGGTCAGAAATGGTCAACTCAGTAGCATTTGGAAAATATTTCGAGCAATACTCAATCTGTTTCTCATCATAAACCATTACACGTTCGACAGTGGGAAATAGAGTTTTCTCATTTTGGATGTTCTCGGTTGAATCTGACTCATCAGCTATTGTGAAACTCTTCCGTCTAAAAATATATAAATGACTGGTAGCCTATGTTAAGAAAACCACATTTCCACATACGTGTAAGGTTTGGTTGAATAGACGATTCCATGTGATGAACCTTCGTAGTTGATTTCATATGTGAAAAACCATTTTCGTTCAAACCAAAACTGTGATTCGAAACTGTTCAACAAGTGTTGTTTCAAACATGCACGTTTCCGTATAGTATAAGCTGCATACTTATATTGAATATCGAAAATTTGCAAAGAAGACATGTGATTTTCGATTAGTTTTTGCCATCTGTCAGCGTCCAAATAAGTCGTGTCATCGTTTGATGTGAGACGCAAAACTTTGACTAGACCGAGACATGCTTTGGCAAAACTTTCGAATTGATCAAATGTTACTCCAGTTAGATGAAGAGAAACATGAGTTAGACCACTTAATATCGACGTAAAAGGATATGTCAGAAATCTGCAGCGAGTAGACACATGATTAATTGCCAAGCGACGAAGGCGAGGAAGGCACGATAAAACAGAATCGACATCAGAACAATCGATTTCACCATTGATGATCAGATGTTCGATAGAGCTTGTGATCGTTGCTGTCTTGAATGGTAAATAAAAATGAAATTTACCTTTAAAAGTCACCCTCAAATGTTTTAGAGCTGGTAATTTCATGACCGACATCCATACTGTATCTATATTAGTACTTCGCTGAATAGGAATAGCTAAAGATGAAAGGCAACATAGCGAAGCTGCTTGAATTAGANTTGGATGCACTTCAACTAATGCAACATTGAATGCGATCGTTTACATCGGACTTCATGGAATATTGACACCCTGTGTGATGCTGATCTTGACACTGCTCACCTATCGCAACGTTTCCAAGAGTCGCGAACGAGTGGTGAGTACTGATACTGCTTTCATAGTTCCCGAAATACAGTTGAAACTGCGCACATCTCTTTGTAGGGTGTCATAACAACAAAAGTGACAGTAAGAAATGGAAACCGTTTTCGAAATCAGTTCATTGCAACAGTGTTTGTTCAAGTATTTGTGAGCAGCTTCTTTGTGTTGCAATGGATAGTCATGTACTGGTACTTTTCGGTCACATTGTATGACAACAGAACTGCTGAACAATGGTCAACGGTATATTTTTTACTGAGTTTAACAAATAGTTTGTACTATGTGGTGAATGTGAAGTCGTTTTATTTGTCAACGTTGACATCTCGATTGTTTCGAGAAACGCTAATTGGAGGTGTTGTCAAGTTGTTGCCTGGACATGTGTATCGACGTTGGAACAGAAATAATCTGACTGTCACCAATACAGTGGTTCGTTTCACAAAATAAATAGAAAAACTTTAGCAGAGGACATTTGAATATGGTGCCAATTGTCATTGCATAATTGTTGTTTGTTTCTTTTATCGCATGTTCTGCTGTGAAGCCAAGTTTCTGAAACGATCAGGAATGTATAAATATTGGCGGAGTTTTATGCGTAGAAAAAAGAACATATATTCCTCTAAGAGTGTGTAAAATTCTTGGTTTAGAAGAAGGAGAAACTTAAATAAATATCGTGTGGTCTTGTGGATGTTGGAGTTTAGTACATGTATCGGTGTTAGAAATTATGCAGCAACTCAATAAATACATCGTCTTCAATTCGGAAATTCTGAAAAACCTCTGCACGAACACTGAGACAATTTGCTGCAGTTGGAGTATAGCTACTACTCAGATCGATCAATCCGACACTCGGATTCGATGAAATCCTGGTGACGGAATCGCATTGGATTCCGATGACCTTGGATCTCATGTCGGATCCGAAACATGAATTTTCTTAGGGTCATCACAGAATATAGCTAAAAAGATCGCTCATAAAATTTGCAATAACCGACTGAATTTTCCAGTCAGATTCCAATGCAATTCCGTTTCCAGAAACCCGATCGGACCCAGCCTCAGATTTGTTGACCTGGGTATCGACCAAGACAAGAATTCAATTCATCATGATTAAAATCAAATTCACTCACAAAAGACAAGGCTGGATCGAAGTCGATTACACAAATCAGATAAAATACGATTTTCAAGTTCATATATTTGATCAGTGAATAATGAAACCAACTAACGTTATGCATACAATCGACATCAACTTTCAAAAACTCGACAATAATCATCCATACTGACGATCGTTCTAGATGAGCATAATGTCAAATTTTGATAAGCAATGAATAAACTAACATCCTTCATTTTTCTTCTCTTCCACTTGTTGCATGATTTCTAGAAGAAGTCTGCTTACATCATAATTATATAACATATGGATTGTTTAGGAAGTAATTGATTTTACTTAACAGTTTGTTGAAATAACACAATACTATCATCTTCAGCACTACAAGGTGTATCGTGAATATCATGAATTTCAACTAATCATCTTGTAACTAAAAATACAGGACCACCGCATGCTACTCGATATACTTGAATTGATCGTTCATTGACAGAGAATATACATAGTGTCACACCTTACGCGTCAACTGATGCGGTTGTGTCTCTGTTCGTGTCCCAGTTCATCCAACATTTCTATGTTCTCGCTTTGGACAGTGATGAGATTTGTGATGTTCTCTCTTCGATGAAAATAATTCAAGAACAAGAGAATACTTTGTTTTACCTCATTTGAAATCGATTGTTTGATTCAATACGTCATTGATTTTATGCAGAATCGTCAACAATTTTCGGTGGAAATATCATTAAGAGAAAACGCAACAATTCAATTTTACTTTTGACGAAATCAATGTTCTTTTTAATTATTTCTAAATAAAATGCTTAAGTGAAAACGACAACTTTGAGATACAAAAATGGTTTTATTCTTCATAAGTTTCAAATTTACAAAGTGCCTTTTTCTACGACTGTCTAGTAATAGAACATCCTTCATACGAATCGCAGGCTGCAACGATACATTAGTGTTTACCATCGCCAATGGCATTCTTAATTCTTTTCACCGGCTTACGTCGATTTTGATTCAATCTATTAGAAAACATACAGATATATTCGTTTTTTTTCTTTTGACTCACTTCTTTGTTATGGCAAAACGTTTATGTTCGTTCAAGAGAAAAACAAACTCATTTTGTTTATTTTCTTTTTCGATTACCAATTGTTTCAAATCATAATTCATTTGCTTCAACTGCACGATGGTTTTCTTAATTTTTGTTTGAAATTGATCTATTCTGTCATCGAACTGTTTCATTAATAAATCATTTTCTTTTCGTAATTTGGTTAAATAATGATCTGTGGGATCATCGTAATTCAAACCATCCATCGATGTATTATTCGTTATTAAGTTATCTAATGGTGCAAGAACATTTGTCATAGTAAAATCATTCTTCAGCGGAGATTTATGATGAGCCATGGATTGATTTGCTTCCAATGCTGGTGAGTTATTCTTCGATGGAGATTTATCATCACCTATTGATCGATTTACTGTCAATGGCGGTGAATCATTCGTAAGTATCATTCTAAAAGTGAATCAATGTGTGAAGTTTTCGATATTTTATTAATATCAAAAATTACGTTTTTATTCCTTCATTTAATTCTTCACAAACGAATTCTTGATCATTTAACTTTTGATCATTTAATAACTGATTATTTAATATTTCATCACTTGATTTTTGGTCGTAAAACTCGTCCAGATTGAATGACTTATTTTCACTTGCTTTTCGACGACGACTGCGTGAATTTTTTTGAATTGGAATATCTAAACGTAATAATAAATTATCTTGTGCAGAAAAAAGAATTCGATGTTCTTTCATTGCTACCTCCTTCCTCGAAAAAGAAAACAATGAGGAGTGGTTTGTTCGAATTTGTCGTAGTAGTTGTAGTGTTTGTGGTGGCATGTGTTGGTTCGTTCTCCACTAAATGATGCAATTGTTTACGTAAACATGACTTCACTGGTGGCTTAGTACCATCCAACACAAGTTTACTCCATCGTTTATCTAATTTTTTGGAAATAGTCTCTTTCATGTTGAAAAAATCACACAACGAATATTTAAGATTTAATCAATTTATAATGAAAAATTGAGACACGCTTTTATATATGTTCTTGACCTGAATGTTCTTCACTGATGGACGATTCTTCTCTCTTTCTTTGTTTCTCTCATTGATCACTCAGCCAATAGATGTACGAAGTGAAAAGAGAATAACTATGAAAGATGTCATAAGATGGATAATCAGTGTGAACAATCAGATCCTCTCTGTTTGTCTTATCTTATAATGTCAGATAATATTGATAGACGTCGCTTTAAACAAATGCAACTAATCGATATGAAACCTTTGATTGATTTTGGAATATCATTTGAAAAAGAATTATCATTAGGAAAAATCTTTTTGCTCCTACCAATTCATAATCTTTTTATGAATAAAAGAAAGACGAATCTGAACTAAATCGATTGACATTCATCACTTCTACAATTATATGGACTATTTGGAAGACAACGAGGACGATGATTAACACAACATATTCTTTAAAAGCTCATTCATTTGATTCATGAAGGAAAGATTTGATGAGGAATATTTGAGAGGACTCAACAGAGAAATAATCGATTATTGGATTGATAAAATGTTTCAACGATCGAGTAACTGAACTCATTGATTAAAGACAATTTTAAACGATGAATATTTTCATCTCGTGTTTGTTGATTTAGTTGACAAGTTATTTCTTTTCCATTGCAACGATATTTCATGGAACGAGAAAAGTGATCCTTTTGATTCAGAACAGATTTTCTGAAGCAACAAAAAATACATATGCTTCTTTCCACAGTTGAAATCGAGAGAGACATTTCAATATGAACAACAAGTCGAGCTTAATAAACATTTCTGTTTTATTAGAACAAAATTGATCTCTTATCTCATAGCATTCAATATGCAGGTGACAAATATATCTTGGATTAGTGGGATGATTATATACTCTTGACACAGTACCAAATGTGAAATCAAACTTAAGAAAGAAAAAGCGAAAGCAGAAACTTAAACTAAATAATAAGACGTTTGAAGATATTCACATATCAGTACAAAGAATTTATAATGTTGTGCTGTTGACGAAACGATTAGCTTCCTTTTGTCTTATTATGAGCATATTTCTGATTAGATGGATGGACTTTTATTGTTTCTGGACAGTTATAACATTAATAGTGAGCTTCTATTCTGGACCGAGGTTTACACAGTAAAAAGAATTGTCATAAATATGACAGAATGTTGTTGATGTTGAACACAGATGTCTCTTTTAGGTAGAGTCATTCAACTCAGAAATTCTGAAAAACCAATGCAAGAAGGGTAATTATATTCAATCTTCCACCCTCAGGAAGATCTATCTATAATTCAGTTTGGTGTCCAATGTATTATCAACGCTGGCCCTTTCGTTTGGAAACTACTGTATTTGAACTTATCGTTCTATTTTAACACTCATTGATGATAATTAATATCTCCACCCACACTGTTAAGGAATATCAATTATGTGACACTAATGTTAATCTAACGAAAATCTCTACTTCGCATATTCACTTAAAAGTTTTACAACAAAAGATTTCGAAGTTACATGAGTACGTACAATCTCACTGCTTCCATAGATTATACAATATTCCTAAAATATCCCCCACACGCGTTTTCCTCATATTAAACTTTGTAGCATTTCTTCGTCTGTGTTTTAATTGCTTACAATATTTTGTATTTACTTCAGGATTTTTCCAACAAATTAAATATACATTCTGCTATATTACTTTTATGACCTGATAATCCACTTACAAAGCTGTGCCAACGTTTCCGCCCACCGTGTTCCTACCAACAGTACGCCTCAACTAACTACCCTGTACTATCTTCTGCCACTGAGTATATCACAACTGCTTGTCGATAACCAATCATCTAATTACAGTTCAACATTGTCTTTACGATCAGTTACCGAAGTACCTACCGTTATTCAACAGAAGTACATCGTTCAACTGCCACTCATCTTCATTATTCTCGGGCTCATTAGATTCATCAGTACGGTATCCTCTTCACTTTTATTCAGTCAACTCTGCGCAAGAATTCATTCTGCATATATACACTGCTATCTTCATACATTGATATCATCACTCTCGCCGCTAATCTCTTCCCAATATATCTATTGAATACACTCATAATCGACAGTTTAACAAGTAAAATCGAAATAATGGCAGCAGCAGCTTTGCTTCACCTATCATTGAATCGAATAATGATGTCTCCGTATGATCCATTTCAACAAATGCAACGTTGAACGCGAATATTTATATCGGACTTCATGGGATATTGACACCATGTGTGATGCTCACCTATCGCAACGTTTCCAAGAGTCGTAAACGAGTGGTGTGCACTGATGCGGATTTGATAGCTTTCGAACTACAGCTGAAACTGCGCATATCTCTTAATTGTAGGATGTTACAATGGACAGTCATGTACTGAAACTTTTCGGTCACATTGTATGACAAGAGAACTGCTGAATAATGGTCAACGGTATATTTTTTACTATGTGGTGAATGTGAAGTCATTTTATTTGTCAACGTTGACATCTCGATCGTTTCGAGAAACGCTGAGTGGAGGTGTTGTCAAGTTGTTGCGTGGACGTGTGCATCGACAAGGGAACAAAAATAATCTGACTGACATCAACACGGTGGTTCGTAATACAGAATCGACATCATAACAATCGATTTCACCATTGATGATCAGATGTTCGATAGAGCTTGTGATCGTTGCTGTCTTGAATGGTAAATAAAAATGAAATTTACCTTTAAAAGTCACCCTCAAATGTTTTAGAGCTGGTAATTTCATGACCGACATCCATACTGTATCTATATTAGTACTTCGCTGAATAGGAATAGCTAAAGATGAAAGGCAACATAGCGAAGCTGCTTGAATTAGANAACAATCGATTTCACCATTGATGATCAGATGTTCGATAGAGCTTGTGATCGTTGCTGTCTTGAATGGTAAATAAAAATGAAATTTACCTTTAAAAGTCACCCTCAAATGTTTTAGAGCTGGTAATTTCATGACCGACATCCATACTGTATCTATATTAGTACTTCGCTGAATAGGAATAGCTAAAGATGAAAGGCAACATAGCGAAGCTGCTTGAATTAGAAGATTGTCTAAATGAGATGGATCGATTTGATTTACAACGATCGTTTGTAATTGCGTGTAAGCAGCAAAGCCTTGTGTTGACGAACAAAAGTAGTCAATGATGAATGCATCGCATAGATGCAGAGATTGAATTCGATGTTTTTTGTGCATAATTAAATGCGTGTAACAAAGATCGAATCGTGTTTTGGATAAAAATGAACTATTGATTTTAATCGAAAGATTTGATTGAAGACAAAGATCGTGGAAGCGTAGATTAAGATCGAAGAAACATTCAAAAATGTCATTTATGCTTAGATGTTCAAAGATTTCATAGATAAGTTCATTTGAAAGATTTTCCAAGCAAGTCGTCGAACTATTTCAACGAATAATCATCTATTATTTCATACAATATCAAGCGTTATGTAGACTGACCTGAGTATGACTGATTTTGTTATTGTATCGAGAGAACTACATTCTAACTTTTTCTTTTTCGAAAGATCACGCTTCTCTTTCGACGCAACTCGTTGTCTTTTGTTTTGATTCATAACTTCGATTGCCAAGAAGAGAACAACAGTATCACTCACAAGATTTTAACTCGGTTTAATAGGATGATTTCATATGGTTGTGAAATGACATGTTATTCATTTTTATCGGCCGATTAGAACACAACAGATAAAGAGAAAATATGTTACATCTGACTGACAAAAATACAAGTCAAGTATAATCGTTGGGATTGATAAGGCACTTCATTTCTACTTGAACGATGAAGTTTGCAAAGGTACTTTGTGAAAGATATGTGCGCTCTGCTTACCTATCATGGGCACAGGTGCTATTCTTAAGCTACATTATTGACTATTTCGAAGAGGACGAACTTTTGCTGAAAAGCAGTTTATATTTAAGTTAGTCTGTGATGAAAATTTTATGTATAATAACATAATTCAGAACTCATTCAACTTTATGTCATTTTTTTAGCTCGATTCATTCTAATAATGATGTTCATATCTACTAATACTTGAATAATGTTCTCAATGATAAGACTAGTTGAGCTAATGGTTAGATTTTTGTAGTCAACAACAGTAGTTTTGGAAAACGAAATTCAAAATTGATATCATGATCATCTACTGCTTTGAATAGTCGTATCGAATATTATGCTCTTCACTNTTGGATGCACTTCAACTAATGCAACATTGAATGCGATCGTTTACATCGGACTTCATGGAATATTGACACCCTGTGTGATGCTGATCTTGACACTGCTCACCTATCGCAACGTTTCCAAGAGCCGCAAACGAGTGGTGAGTACTGATACTGCTTTCATAGTTCCCGAAATACAGTTGAAACTGCGCATATCTCTTTGTAGGGTGTCATAACAATGGTGACAACAGAAAGTGGAAACCGTTTTCGAAATCAGTTCATTGCAACAGTGTTTGTTCAAGTATTTGTGAGCAGCTTCTTTGTGTTGCAATGGATAGTCATGTACTGGTACTTTTCGGTCACACTGTATGACAACAGAACTGCTGAACAATGGTCAACGGTATATTTTTTACTGAGTTTAACAAATAGTTTGTACTATGTAGTGAATGTGAAGTCGTTTTATTTGTCAACGTTGACATCTCGATTGTTTCGAGAAACGCTGATTGGAGGTGTTATCAAGTTGTTGCCTGGACGTGTGCATCGACAAGGGAACAAAAACAATCTCACTGTTATGAAAACGCTAGTTCGTTTTACAAAATAAGTAGAGAGATTTTGCGACGGGGCCTTTAAATGAACATTGTGTCGTTTTTGTTGTATGATTATTGTTTATTTCTTTTATGATTTACTGTGCAATACGACTATTGTGTCTTTTGTGTTTTGATGGATTTTATAAAATAAAGTTTCTGTCGTGAAACAATTAGAAACGAATAATTACACGGATATTCTTATATACAGAACAATGAATTGCCACTTTATAAGTCATAAGCGGCCGACAACTTATTAATTTCTGATTACTGCAGATCGGATAGTTGATGGCGTTTACGGTATGTTGTATGCACACTACGGATTTGAGACCACTCGATTCTTACATTGTCGCCTTTGCCATTGTGTATCAGCATAATTTTAGAGAAGCTTTTTATGCAAATAGTTATTTTCTAACCGTGACTCGTGGTAACTGATTCTAAATCATTTGTTATGAATTATGGAAATTGCAGTAAACGAGGATAATTTACAAGTGATACTGTTTTGAAAGTTTAAAATCTCTCACATTTTTGCTGCTGGTCTAGATGAACCGGAAGTTTTCATGTCAAGCACGACAACCTTCATACCACCCGTCGCGCGATGAATTTCTATATATGAATGAATACAATGGTAGTAAACACACTCATATTAATATCGGTATTGATAAACGCGTTCTATTTATCTTCATAAGCTGATTCTCATATGGACCACTAAGAGTACAAATATATGTTTCGTTCAGCATTGTTGCATTTACATTTAATATAGACAGTTTGATAAAAGGTCATTGGTTTTTCGATGTCTTGAACAGTTTTATCTTGAATTTAAACTCATTACTTCTGCCTGATAATGGGTTGTAAATTTATTAAACTTATCAAAGAACATCGAGGTTTTACAATGTCTGGAAACGTGGCGTATAACATATTATATCATATAGATAATTATTTCAAAGTATGATCGATATTCAAGAAAACGGGACCGAGTGACACGTAAAAAAAGTACTTTAAAATAAATATATTCTTATTGAAGAATTCATCGTCCAATTGAAATGCTATTTTTTTGTTCTTTTTTTACGACAAACATGTGTATATTTACCAAAGGACAAAATCTGTTTCAAAGATGCTGACTTGTCTAGAACATTTTCCAAATGAATTGTTATTTCACGTTTTTCGATATACTGATACTCGTGATCTATTTCATGGATTCTATGGGTTAAATCAACGGTTCATTTCTCTTCTCAAATCGCTACAAAATCGATCGCTGATCATTGAAAAAAATGAATCAAAACTCATTTGTGTTTTTCACTGCCAAATACACAAATTAGTCGTTGATACTTGTCTTAATATTGATTTCACGAAATTTCCGCATTTGAAATCATTAATCCTATACGATTTAACTGAAAATCATCTATCTCAGATTCGAAGCAAACTCATGCCTAATCTTACTTATCTTTCGGTTGCATCAACAAATACATCATGGTATCTGACAGACTTGCTTTCATGCATCTTTTCGGACGAATTACCATCATTAACTACTGTTCAACTGCAAAATCCCATTCCAGCATATTCGAATATTTCCTTCAATATATCACTTTCACTTCGATCCATAGCTGTGTGTTGTCGGTCATCATATATAATCGTCAATATTCTTTCATGTTGCCCCAATCTTCGTAAACTTCAAATGATCGTCAATGAAAACCAACTCGTTCTATTTTATAATACAACAATCGTTTCCAACTATTCCGTAAAAACGTTTATTCTCTCGGATGTTTACAGTATGATCGATTCGAATGATATTATCAAACTTCTCGAATATATGCCGAATATCGAACGGTTCCGGTTGAGTTTCACGTGTAGTGTTCCATTTATTGATTTTGCTCGAATAGTCGTTGATCGATCACCGCATCTAGATGAATTCGATTGTCATATTGAGATGTCAACGGATGATGACATGACCTGTATTGAATCTCTACATCAATTGCATCCTGCTTTGAAACGTATTACATTTACATCCGATGAAATTGGATATCGAACATATTCAACAGATTAACTTTGAAAACTTTGAGATTTCCTATATATTTTTTCGATATGTTCAATACTGATTGTTTTTCGTATTTTTCAGAGAGAGTAATGACTTCGGCAGCACCAAAAGCGCCATGTGTAACATGCGGAAGAAGTGCCGGTCTGTTCAATTGTCAAGGATGTGGACAAACATTTTGTATGAAACATGTGATAGAACATCGGCAAACATTAAGTCATCAATTGGAAGAGATTGTGATCGAACACGATACTCTCCAAGAGATACTTCTTAATGATAGAGATCAAGAACATTCACTATTCAAACATATCGATGAATGGGAACGAAAATCTACTGAAAAGATCAAGCGTATCGCTCAAGATACTCGTCAGGAGCTGTTAGAATTTACAAATATGTGTAAAAGTCGGTTAACACTTCAAATTCTTTCTTATATGATTAGTTAATTTTCTCGCCGTATAGAGACCATAGCACAAGAATTGAATAGTCTAGCTGAACGAATAAAATCTGCACGTAAAGAAGAGGATTATTTCGAAACTGATCTTAGGCAGTGGATTTTAACATTAGATCGCTTGAAAAATCAACTACTAAATACTTCTTCGCAAAGTGATATAGAAGAAGATACGTCTAAGCCAATAGTTTATCAAATAAAACGTTTGAACGTCGTCAATAGTCAAAACACATTACACAAGAAACATCCTTCACCAAGTATGATGATATGTCGAGATAGTTTCGATTGGTGTCTTGATGGTGCTGAAATAGAAGATCACGGACGAGTAGTTACGCACAATAAAACGAATACCTCGGTTGCAATTCGTGGCAAAGGCACGTATTCAGCTGGAATACACCAATTTGATTTTCAAATCGAAAAAAATCCTTTGAATACATGGATTTTCTTTGGTATCATTTCCAAATCAGATTTACTGACGAAGAACTCGTATGAATCTTCTTCTGCGTATGGATGGGCTGATTTCGATGATTTTTTTCTCGCTGGCGACCGTCAAAACGAGAAAACGACTGGTCAGTTTACACACACACATGAAAATGATGTTATTCTACTGATACTCGACTGTACCAATCGAAAAATTACTTATACAAATGAACGAAATTTAAATCATCAGGAACTATATGTCGATCTACATCATTGCCCATTCCCTTGGCAATTACATGTGAATTTTTTCGGAGAATGTGACCGAGTGCGGTTATTGAGTACAAAGAGTTTGTCTGGAGGGCGCGCCCCCCGCCCCCCGCAATCCGCAAAAGCATTACTGGATGCAGGCGCCGTAACAGACGGCATTCCTTTCCCAACGGGTTACGACGCCATCGATGCGTTGCTTGCACCGCATTGCGGGCGGTAGCTTATCTTTTACCGAAAAACTTTTGATCCAGGGAAAACTTGCCGGGGCCGGCAAAGAGCAGCAATAGTGCGATGCCGAAAAATACGAGCGGCAATTCGAATGAACCGCCCTGGCCTGTCATGTTCACAAACGGATCTTTGAACAATACGCTGTGGAAATATACGGCAACCGACATGGTGATGCCGATGGCCAACGCCGCCAGCGGCGTGAACAAGCCCAGTACAAACAGGATGCCACCGCCGAATTCAGACAGCGCGGCCATCACCTGTAAAAAGGGCGATAAGGCAACAGGGCCGCCGGGCGGCATCCAGTTTGCAGGTGCCTGTATCTTGCCCCAGCCGTGCAGGATGAAAGCGATTCCGACGATCAGGCGCAGCACAAGCAGCGCAGTGGCAGTAGCGGTGGATTGAGCAGGTACTTTGAACATGGTGCATCGGGTTTTAAAGGTCTTTTAAATTACGCTTTTTCCACCACTTTTATTGCAACGACAAAATATACCGCGCTATCTTCTTCGTGTCCGTTAACGGGATATTGGCATGCGGGGCCATCGGTATCTGCCCCCAAACGCCGCTGCCGCCTTTAATGATCTTTTGGGCAATCAGGTTGACGTTTACCTCGGTGGGTCTGTATTTCCGGGCAATATCGAGGTACGACGGGCCGATGAGTTTTTCCGCTGGTTTGTGACACGTTTTACAATCGGATTTTGTGATCAGCAACCGTCCTTCTTCGATATCTTTTTTAGCGAACACCGCGGGTTTCAGCACCGGCGCATTGTCTGTAAGCAGGCGGTTAGCCGTGTAGCAGATGAGTTTGTTCTGCAACGCAACGCCGGTGGCAGTACGGATGTTTTCCAGTTTCAGCTCATATACATACCCGGCTTTTAGTTCATTGAGCACTAGCGAAACCCGCTTACGGTCCGGCGAAAGCAGCACCTGCTTAATGGCTACGCTGTCCAGGTTCATTTGATGCGAGCCGTATTTTTTGTGGTAGTTGTAATTGTAATGCCGCATGGAATAATTGCGCACGTTGCGGGCCGCGGCCGCGTCTACGGGTTGTGTGAACACCAGGTCGAAACCCTGTTTTGTCAGCTGCATTTTATAAATATCCAGCGGCGCCCTGCCGGTGTATATGATGCGTTGAATACCTTCGTCGCCCAGCCAGCCGTGGGCGTTTTGCCCTACGTACAAACTACCGTCGGGAGCAAAGGCCAGCCGGTTATTACCTTTGCGCAGGCCCTGCCCGTCGAGGAACGGCACGCACGCGCCCTGCAGTTCGCCGCCCACTTTCTCGAGCATAACCCGTACAATGCGCCCCTGGTTCATTTCGCCGATCAGCAATTGCCCTGCAAAGGGGCCGAATTTGCCGCGCGTGTTATCGCACAGGGGCTGCGTGGGCGAGTTGGCCATGATGCCGTGCGGAAATATCACGGCCGGTTTGGTGCGCATGCTGTCGAGCGTTGCCGCCGGCAACGAAAAAGGGTTGCCTTTGTTCCATCCCTTTTTCCAGACAAGGCTGGCGGGGTGCCCGTAGAACCGGCCTTCCTGCACATGCAGCAGCGGGCTGGTGCCGATCCAGTCGCCCTGGTTATCGGTGGCAAACAGGTTGCCGGCAAGGTCGAAACCGATCCCGTTCGGTGAGCGGAAACCCATCGCGTAGGGCAACAATTTACCGGCGGGTGTCAGTTTCATGATCCAGCCGCGATACGGTACTGCGGAGAACATTTGTTTCTGCCCGTCTGCACCGTCCCTTCCTTCCGGCTTAATGATACCCCGTACTTCCGGCCGCATGGAGCCGCCGGGAGAAGAAGCGTTGAGTGCGATGAACAGATTCCCGTATTTATCTTTCACAGGGCCGTAGTTGAACTCGTGGTAGTTGCCGGAGAGGCCGAAGGCATCCGTCACTTTTTCGTACACGTCCGCCACCCCGTCGCCGTCCGTATCTTTCAGGCGCGTAAGCTCGGGGCGGTGCATCACCAGCACTTCCGAATTACTGATAACCAGCATGCCCAGCGGATCGTGAAAACCTTCCGCAAATAATTTCCATTCGCGGGTACGGGGGCTCCACGTCATGATCTCTCCTCTCGTAAAACCCGCTATCAGCCTGCCGTCCGGCAGAAATTCGATGGCGCCCACTTCAGCGGTGAGGCCTTCCGGCATAGGAATGGTTTCCACTTTCCACGATTGTGCGGAAGCCGCCTGCGTTATCAGCAGCCATCCCATCAACATCAAACANATACATAAATGATGGCTCTAGTCGATCTAGTCGTTTGCCAGATTGTACAAAACTCATAGGAATAGCATTGAGTTCATATCGACGAATGAGTTTCTTTAATTGTTCACAAATATGTATAATATCAATGGAAACACTCTTCACTTTGCACCAGTGTTTGGCCCATTGTTCGTGTCGATTTTGGTCATCACAGAAAATGAAGATCGAATCGATGTTTGAAATATCATGTACACAAGGTACAAGACGTTGTCCAACTGATCCTGAGGTGATCAAACAAACATCGGTGTCGGTGAGAGTGAGAATAAAATCGATACATTCATCATTATCAGTGAATGTATAAATATCATTGACAATGTATTGAAGATGTGTGATGGCATTCTGATAATCTGGATTACTGCTGTGAATGTGGGTGTCCAGCCAAATGACAGAAATATCTTGCGTCTCTTTGGTTTTTATACGATTCAATTCATTTGCTTGTTGAAAGGTGGCTGGTGTCTGTTCGAACATATCCAAACTGCCTTGTTTCTGATTTGCCATTGTTGTGGGTTTGAATTATTTATAAGGTAGTTGTTGTAAGATGTGAGAAATGGTTGTTTGGTAGAGAACGATAAAAGTAATGTGCTCCTTCACGTTTTATGAAACTTGGAAAAAACATTCCTTCTTCTTCCTAGACAAACATTATTACTCTCAAAACGAATCTCTGACGACAGCATACGACGAAAAAGAAAGATAACGACATTTTGATTCTCAAAAAATCGTGAATAGAGCGCAAAGCCGCCAAAACACTCTGGTTTCTTTATACAGCTTCATGGGTAAAGTCAAACAAAAATCGAACATCGTACAAAATCGTTGATTTACTCATTAAATAACTTTTCAATTTCACATCGAACAGAGAAGTTCTTAGCTGGATCAGCAGCTTCTCCAGTTTCAGTCAAAAATATAAATGCAGATTTCAAACGCAAATCGAAGTATAAAATTATTTCTCGTGGAAAACATAATTCTATACATGTAATACATTTTCAAAGTACAATTCTCATCTTTCTAACTTATTTCTGAAGTTAACAAAAACAGCCGAGCATTCATTTATATTCGAAGTTACATTGGGCAGGTCATGCTCTGATCACGAATTACTCGCACCAAGCTTCTGAAACTTCTGAAATTCAATAGCAAACAACACGTAAACACAGTACTAATTATATATGAGGATGATGAAATTGAAAATGCCGTCAAAAACAATCATAATTTCAAGTTTGATAATCTAAATGTCTCGTTGTCATAATTGACTCATCACTCTAAATACGATTGTTGAGTTACGAAAAAGCATTGAAATACAATGTATTCTCAAACCGTGCTGTGATATTTTTGTCACGCAAATTGCTTTGCATTTCTTTTTCTAACAATACACGAAGCATAGTTGAATCCAACCGGTTCGAACTCCGGATAACACGTCACTTTGTAATAATGAAAGAGTCTTGTAGTATTATCATGTCTTTATTGAAACATCGTATTGACGTCCATAGATTACGTTCGAATAGATGCTTATCGTCTTCATCCATTTTTACCTCGACTAACCACAGCGAGTGCAAATAAATAGATCGATCCGAAAATAAGTCTAATTGATACTTGTATTTCCACGAAAACCATCGCCGTTGAGATTGAGCTAACAATTCGCTCTTCGATGAATCGACAATATCTACTATCCACGGTGTTATAAGATAACTAATTATCGACAGATGACTGCCGTTCCATTCGATTGTATAGATAGTATGGAGCCATTGTGAATTTTCGATAATCTTTCCTTCGGCCCATTGATTCGACGTTGTATTATGAATAGAAAACGTCGCTTGATATAATTTCTTCTTGGTTTTACCTCGAATTTTCGCTATGACTTTTTTCGATGGATAAACGACGAGTTTTAGTTTATCATATAGACCATAACTGGATTCGATTCGATAATGAAGAGTCTTCTCTGATTCATCATATATTCAATACTCGGGTGCTTTGAATCCACTGAAATAATCTCGAACTAACACATAGGTCGCATAGCTCTCATGCTTTATTTCAATCGATAAGATCAAAGCTGTTCAAACGAGAAGAATTGAACAAAGAAATCGAAACATGATGACTTATGCGATGTGAAAAAATGAATGATACTATCATTCAAACTTCTTTTCGCTGTTCTTATCGAATCTACGCATTCTTTGTTTTATACATCACGTATCATATTTCACTTTTTCATCTCTTTGTCGATCATCACCTTCATCCTCAAGATTACCATTTCCATCACGCATATGTACACAACGAGTTTTGTGTGAAGACATTCTCTGACATTTTCGTGAGCGTTACGATGCTGGAGCCTCTAAAAGAAATGTCGACCATTTTGTAATCGGCGCCACTAACAATGTAAATGGAGAAAGCAGCCTAAATCTGGCCTAGATCTCCTCTAAATCGTAAAAACCCTACACAGCTTAATAGAGATTTTCACGCTCTTTCTAATGATGTATCTTGTTCATTTTTTCATTGGGACCATCATAAGTTATCACAACTCGCAACATTGTTTTGCGATTTTCTCGCCTTTCGTTTTATTGAAAAAAAATGAATAATAAAAATGGATCTCCTCCCACAATTTTTAACATGTCAAGCTCTGGATGGTCTCAAACGATAGAGAAATGTTTGTTCTACATTTTGATCTAGGCGATTTTTGAATTTCAATTCCGTTATTTAGATATTGAATTTTTAAGTACCTCGGGTAAGGTCAGGAAAAAAATTCTGAATTGTTTTTCGTATTGTGAGGGTAAGAAACCAAAATTCAAAAATCGCCTACATCAAAATGTAGAGAAAACATTTCTCTATCGTTTGACACTACTCCGAACTCGATACGTCAAAAACTGTGGGAGGAGATCTATTTTTGGTAGCACCTACTTTTTTGCAGTAAAATATTTTTATCTTTTTTTCTGGGAGCTTTGATTGGATGAAACTTTGATAGTTTTCAAGTTAGGCTAGTTGCTATAAACAAAAAAAATTTCAGCTCGATCGGTTCACGGAAAGCCGAGATCGATTTCTGTGTGTGGGGGCCCCCCTTAATTCATTCGAAAATAAAAGAAAAAAAGTGATAATCACGCTTCTCGATTGGTCACGTAGTTTCGATAGTGTTCTAGTGCGCTATCTATGAACTCTCAAATAATCATTCCCTTACACTGATAACTGACTTTATCAGCGCCGTCTCGTACAAAGATTCTCTTGAAAAACTTTAACTTGTGTTCGTCGAGTTCAGCAGCTCTCTCCTTGACGACTTGATCAAATTCGTTTTTATCAACATAACCATCACTACTATTGGCATCTAGATTCGTACATAAACACAACGTATTCAACATTTTTCCTCCTGATCAAATCTTTTGAACAATTCTTTCGCGTCCAGTGGCTCCTATTTACTCATCAGAATTTCAAACTCATCGATTGTAACAGTATCGTCCTCTATAGAAAAAAAATTAAAATACGAGAATCCAGTGAAATTTCACATTTGCTATTGTGGCAATCAGTTGCATTACTTTTGCGATGCTTCACCTCTTTCTTATCTAATTTACCATCAGGGTCGTACACTACCATTGGAAATAACTAGTAATCGATTCGAAAATCTTCACGTGTAAGTACTCCTCTTTATATACACATTCATTTACGGAGAAGCATGAGAAAAAAATACAATTATTTTTCTTGTTATTATAAAGTGAGTTTACCTGCAGAACATTGTTCTCAAATGTATTGATGTTTACAAAACTATTCATTCTCAAATCATATTTTCAATTTACACAGAAGAAAAAAACAACACAAATGATTTGAATTATTATTCGTTCAACATACTTCAAACAAAAACTTTTGCCGAAGATTTACATATAGAAAGTTCAATGATTTTATATCCAACAAACACTTTCTCAGACCATCGAACCTTGACGGATCCGTGATAGTTTTCATTCATAGAAAGGAGAATCGCCTGGAATCGATCAAAGTTCATTTGCATAGCATCATCGATTGTTATTTGAGGTCGATGACAGTTGATGGTGATCTTGCTTTGTGCGATGCGTTCGATAACTGACCACCAATGACAGATGAGATTTTCGAAGAAATCTTCCGCAAGATAATTGTAAGTGATATTGAGTTCAAATCGCTGTAAATTAGGCATAATATGATGTAAACTTTCGAAAAACCTCGGATCGCAATACATCAACGACCAATTGAGTTTAATTACTCGTAAATCCGGAAGCCGAAACAGTGGCATGGTGAAAGGTGATAATCGATTATCGAAATAAACTTCTGGACTATGGATTTCTAATCGTTGTAATTTTGGCATGTGGTTAAGAAATAGATTAATCAAAGAATTATGCTTATCATTCCGAAGTGTAATAGAAAATCGTTCAATATTACTTATTGCTTGAGTTTCTGGATCGAGTTCAGTCAATGCTTGAAGAAAGTCGACATGGCAAACGCGTATGGAAGGAGTGGAGAGAATTGCATTGATTAAGAGTTGATTTGGTACACAATTGATCGCAAGATGTTCGAGTGAAGCTAGATGTTGAAGTACAGAACACATTGCAGATGTTTCTCGACCGCGTAATTTGACTTTTAAAGACGTTAAACGAGTCAGTTTTGTACAATGCCATCGCAGAAATTCTGGTATGTGAGATGTTTTGTGTAGATCAATTGATTGAAGACTAACGATACGATTGAGAACAGAGTCAGGCCAATATAATTGAGTAGAATAATTCAAAGGATTGGAGCTAATTTTACCTAATCGAACGTGAAATAGAATATAATCTGACGAGATAATCTGATCGAAATAATAATTGAGGTTGGAAAATGCTTGAAGAAGGTCATGTGCTTCGAGGTAAGCAAAAATTGATATCCATAATTCCACAGGAAGATCTTCGAGACATGCTACCATCTTAATTTTTATTGTATGCAATTATACTTGATGATTTGCGTAAGTAATATGCATATCCATAATATACCACGATAAGATCAGTTAAGACGAATAAAAATCGATGCAGATGGCGATAGATGACAGTATAGTTTATAATTTTCTAATACATTTGAACAAGAGACGCGATTTCAAAAGGTTGGTTATTTCCAAGGTCAAACATTTATATGTTCTTGATAAAAAGTCCGACAAGAACAAATCCAATTTCTATAGTCGACACACCCACTTACTTTTCTCTTTCGTTTCGCCTATTTTCTTCGCCTGTGAAATCAAATCATACACGATATATACAGTGACTCTATCAGCGCAGAATCGAAGTGACAAAAAACGATCGGCGAAGTAAGTCATGTCTTTGACGCAAATAAACCGCTTGCTTGTACTTAATCGACAAACCTATACTTCAATTCCCAACTCGATTCGAACCTTATCAACAACGAAAGATGGTAATTATCATTTCAGATACGACTTCTAAATCATCATACTTGAATAACTTACATATGTTTCTAGTTCCATCATTCCCTATGCAACGCAAATCTCCTCTTCGTCCTCCGCCGGAATACACTCGTTTACGCAAAGAAGCACCTGTGAGTAAGGCAAAAATCTGGGACGGTAGCTCAGTTTGGCTGGTATCACGGCACAAGGATGTAGTGAAAGTACTTACTGATTCATCATTCAGTAAAGTACGTACACATCCAGGATTTCCCGAAACTGGACCTGGTGGTAAAGCAGCAGCTACTGCAACTAAACCGACTTTTGTCGATATGGATCCACCTGAACATACACAACATCGGTCAATGGTTGAAAACGATTTTTCAGCAAAAAATGTGGAATCCTTACGGCCAAAACTTGAAAAAATTGCGAATGACTTAATTGATGATATGAAAAAGAAAAAACAACCGGTTGATTTACATGTGGCATACTCGCTTCCTGTTCCAACATTAATGATTTATGATATGTTAGGAATTCCTTACGAAGACCATGAATTTCTCGAACGGTGTAATGCGATTCGTACAAATGGAAGCGCTACATCTGCTGAATCATCAGCTGCCAGTCAAGATCTAATGAATTATCTTTCACGTTTAGTAATTATCCAAACATCTATTCTCCTATTCAGGAACTCTATCATACTATATACTTTTTAGGCAGAAAAGAAGAAGATAAAAGGTGGTAATGACATGATCACTCGTCTTTTGAAACAAGTTCATCAAGGAAAATTGACGAATGATGAGCTTGTTGCGATGACGTTTCTTCTTTTGGTAGCTGGAAATGCAACAACAGCAAATATGATCACACTTGGTGTTTTAACACTCGTTCAACATCCAGATCAATTGAACGAACTGAAAAAGAATCCATCATTAATTAAAAGTGCTGTCGAAGAAATCCTTCGTTACTTAACAGGATCACAATTTGCTACGCGACGAGTTGCTGTGAAAAAGGTTAAAATTGGTAATCAAACTATCGAGAAAAATCAAGGCGTTTGGGCGTTGAATGCATCAGCTAATGAAGATGAAGATGTCTTCCCGAATCCAACTACATTTAACATCCATCGTCAACCAAATCCACATATCGCCTTTGGCGAAGGCATTCACAAATGTGTAGCTGAACATTTAGCACGTGCTGAAATCGAAATCGCTATCAATACTCTACTTCAGCGTTTACCCAATCTTCAACTTGCTGTACCATTAGAGAAAATCCAGTACGTTAACGATTCCTCACGAGATTTCGGTGTTGATGCTTTACCCATCAAATGGTAAATGCCAAACCACAAGTGTCGTGCTAACGTTTAATCTTTATATTGACTAAATTCTAAGACTAGATGTTTATTTTCTTAATCAAACTTCACACAAGATTCGACTTTCATTTTCTATTGAAAAACAATAAAAAAAAAAGATCATATATGATCGAATCACCAATCTAAGTTCATATAAAATTCGATTAATTTTGTGGTAAATTAGGTAATGGAGGAAAATTGATTTTATTTCTAAAACACAGAAAACATACACAATTCCTAGCGATCGCCAAAAATAACTTCTCTACATACAACTGAGATTGAGTGTTTCCAAATCGTTCACCACTATCCATGCCTAATGCACCAGCTCCAATTCCAAAACCGACACCGCGAATACCGAATTTTCTTGTGTAACATTGTTTACAAAAGATATCTCCGTCATGTTCAGCAACATTCGTCACTTCTAACATTTTCTTACAAAGTCCTAGAAAATAAAACGAGATTTACGTGTTGATCAGATCAGCAACGAGGATTGTCTCACCACATCGAAAGCAAATTTTGTGCCACATTTTTCCTGCGACTGGAATCGATTCCGCATGGAAAGCTGCATGATCGCAACGAGGACAGTGGGGTGTTTCCACATTTTTGAATGACATCTTCTCGAACAATTATGAATGATAACAAAACTATTGTCAACTAACGGAAACTTTCCAGATATATATACATACGCACGAACGTGTCTAACCGAACAACTGATATTTGCGTCGTTTCTTTTTTCTTGTTAGATAGAAAAGTTAGTTGCGTTGTATCAAATCTGGTGTAACCAACAAAATAGAACACGTACAAAGAAGATAAGAAAAGCGAAATCCATCAACAAATGGCTTATTTATACGCAGCGTAGGTTGTTGTCTACTGGAACACATTCCAACAACGAATGTCAATCATTAATGAGACAAGATTTGATTCCTTCGAAGAAGATAGTTTTATATATAGAAGACGTGGCTACACTCCTAATTTGATAGTGAAGGTTGCCTGATAATACTGTTGATATTTCCCGAATTAGTTTCTCGGATGATTGATAGATAAAAACGCATACATTATCAAATTTCGTTCTTCTTTCGCGAACAAGGTCATCAATTTGAATGAAAACGAAAAACGCCGCTTCTCGTTTTAGAATATTCTGCACTGGTTTAGCGTGAGAGCATGTGATGTTCGTTCTCATGGCATTTCGATAAATTAGCACTACAGCCAAGAAAAATAACACGAAAAAGAATACATTCTTTTCGTATTGACAACTATTTGATATCGTATAAAAGCGAGCAAAGGTTAAATTCTATGAAAAGATCTGTTTGTACTTACAAGTACAGTTTGTTTTTTTCTGTAAATGGCTGCATCGAATCTTGAATCTCTTCGTAAATATACCGTAGATGTCACAACCAATGAAGCGATCGATGAATTAAATAATCAATTGCGTCGATTACTTGATGATACTCACATAAATTTCATTAAAAGAAAGAAAATGCTGTTACAACTGGAACGCAAGCACAATCAACTTCGACGTTTGATTGCAGCAGGTGATTTCGTCAATCAACAACAAGTAACTCACAACACTGATCTTATTCGACGTATCAAAAAGAAAATCATTGCAGACGATCGTCAACAACGACAACGAAGACACGAGGAACAAGAGCAAGCAGCTAATTTGAATTGGTCCGCTGGTTATATGACAATTGTCGTCGGCGGAGCGTTTGCTGGAGTTCTATGCGCCGCAACTTTCATTATTATGATACTATACAATTCAAAAGAGAAATATATTTAATCTTTCATTTATGCCTTCTGTTATATAATTCACTTTGAAATACAATCTACGAAATGTTATGTTTTGCATCTGTTGATTATGCAAGAGAAATTGTACCGTTTTAGGAAAGAACAGCTGTGATGGCCGAGCGGTCTAAGGCGTCTGATTGCTACTCAGATGGGGTTCCCCCGCGTAGGTTCAAATCCTACTCGCAGCGTTACTTTTTTGCTAGAATGTACCATGGAAAAGCGAACAAATTCACTGATGCAAGTGCATCTTCGATTGCGTTTTACATCTGAGTAGTATTGCATCAGCAAACTTTTCTCTGTCCTGTTCTTGCGATAGCGTACACGGCAGAATTGAAAGAGGTGTGGTGTTTTGAATCCATATGAAAACAACACTCAATTCTGATCAGTGACGAAACTTTATTTTTCATCACTTTTATTAGACAGCAATACAGTGATTATGGAAAAAAAAGAAACAGTGAACTTTCAAGTCGAAAATGAGAAAAACAGTTTGTATCGATGTCTGCGAGATTTTTAATAGAACCATTCAGTTTTGGTCCATGAAAAGCAAAAGCCAAACACAATTCCACTTCCAAAAATACATGCGGTTGTTATCAGTGAACCAATAATAAGATGTGTTGTGCCCGATATTCCTTGACCACTCGTGCATCCACCAGCACATCGTGCTCCGACGAATAAAAGAAATCCTCCAAGAATACTAGCAAGAATATTCGTTCCATTCTCTGCTCCTAATGGTATTGTTTCAGAGACGGTTGACGATAAAGCACTTCCAAGAACAGCCGATACACCGAAGAGAAAAGTGACATAATTTTCTAGTCCAAATGTGTAGGAGTTCAATGATGGTATGGCTCGACCGATCGACTTGATTCGACAGATTTGCGCAGCTAATACGGCAAAGGCTGACGATGCTCCCAATGTTCTACTTAAAAGAACGACGAAAAGTAATTGTAGAAGCCCAACACCTGCACCGCATAGAGCTGGTGGCCAAGCGGCCATATGGAAGACCGATGTGAACATATTGCCACGATTCATGTAACTTCGTTCCTGGAAGTAATAGTCGATGTCTGATCGCCAAGGAACAAAGTATTCCAAACCAATAGCACCACCCAGAAAAGCAAGGCCGAAGAGTATATGAAGAACTGCACTTGGTGTGTGTAATATATCGGGGAGTCGACGAAAAACCAATGCATTTGATGGTAATCTTTCTTTTATACTACGATCATGAATTACAATGAAATAGAAATAAGTACCCAAAAGTGCACCTAAACTTGTAAAGAGTGAATTGAAAATACCAGATCCGCTAGAAACAAAAAAGAACAATGAAAAATGAATCCATTCAAAATAATTATAATATTTACACTTGAACGAATATCGTTCCTGGACAACTGCCGCATATAACCATTCCTAAACCGATGAGAGAACCTCCAGCGACGTAGTGAAGAACTAGGAGACAAATCGAATTTAGAAAATCCGAGAGATACAACGATGACCTTCATTTACCTCCGCGACGGCAATTATCTTCAATGTCATCGACGAGAACTTTTGTATAAAGATTCTTACGAACTAATTCCAATACAGCAGCGCTTAACATGGATACACCAACAGCAGCAAGAAACATTTTGAGCATAACAAAACGTTGAAATAACATTTGTTTGCGAATCGTTGGTGTTATAAAAACTGTTGCTTTGTTCATTAAAAATCCGAACAAAAGTCCGAGAATAATCACACTGACAATCGAACGAATGATTAATCCAATTTTTTTATTCTTCGATCGACCTTGAACACTAGCCGAACTCGTCTCTGGTTTTGCCGTGTCCTTTTTCCTACGAATTTCATAAACAATATTAACATTCAAACAAAGCAAACTAGTCTAAAACTTACTCAACACTGGTCTTTCCACCTGATATCATTGCGTCACTTTCCATTTGTAGCACACTTTCAAACACGATGTATCCTGACTGGTTATTTTCAATTTCACGTGTTGCCTACGTTCACGTCCGAAAATCGATAATGATTGAAAGAAAGAGAAAAGCACTCGTTTAAATCTAAAGCGATGTCTATACTTGTACAGGTATGAAGATGAAGGATAAAATAATAACAATAATCATAATAATATCATATTTGAAACTAATGGCTATTAGCCTTACCTGTATAGACAACGTTGACTGCAACCATTATCGTGTAGACTACTCGCATGTTGTCATGCATACAAAAAGAAGAATATGTCGTCTCTCTATGATAAAACTGACTTGATTATTCGACAAGACACCGCGCGTTTCCTGTTGAGGGGAACTACTGAATTCTATGTTCGTGTGCAACATGATGTTATTGCTACACAAGAAAACACTGAAAAAACTATCGATCGTTTCACATGAGTGCAAGGTGAATTTGATAACTTATCTGATGCAATGCTATTCATTGTAAACACATATTAATAGATAGTTATCACACGTAGATATATTCTCTACTGGCAACGAATCAGTGAACTGCGTAGATACACTAATTATATCAATGAATTCTTCGTTTTTAATTGTGCCTCGTGTCATACAAAGACTATTTGTGTTTTACTCTTATGAAAATAAAAATCTGGAATGAGTATTCAATTAGGTAAAAAGTACATCGTAAACATACAGACCACAAAAAAGTGCAAAATATTCATTTCAGTCCTTCGAATTGAATGAAAAGCATGCTTGTGAAATTTTTGACTAGAATAGTATTCAACACTCAAATATCTTTATCAACAACTAATATTGACGACGAAATGTCTATATAATATCAACCTTGATTATTAAGTTTCTCACTAATCGTTCTTATACAAATGAGCTTATTCCGCAGTCAAGCGATATTGGTACCTTCTTTCAATTAAGAATGAAAAACAGCGTTTAATCTTGCGTTCAAGTACGCAGAAACGATAAAAACAACATTCGATAATACTCAATGCCATTCGTATTCGTGTTTCTGCACTACATTTACGTTCTTACTGGTTCGGAAAGAAATCTAATGTCTATTTACTGCTTGTTCATGATAACAAAGGATAAATTTTCTGATTACGTACAAAATCATAGTCATCGTGACTGAGCATTTCTTATAATTCAGCTAATGTGCCGTTATTTACTGTTAACAAAGACAAACGCACACTCAGCGTGTGTTTATGAGCTGAGTACATAACCTTATGACTCGCCGTGATGATGCATTTTTTGCCTGAATGGCAACATGCTTTGCTTCACCAATGAGTACTTCATCCAAAAATGCGTCCTGCACATTTTTCAATACTATTTCACAGCAGATTGTAACCAACGTTCGCATAATCTTCTCGTTATACAACCTGCTGTGTGAAAAAGAAACAGAAATACAATACCAGTCTTTGAGAACAACACGTGCACTTGATATTATCGGTAGAATACAAATCTGACGCATAGTTTTGATAGCTGCATGATATCTGTTGATGAAATAGACGATTCATTTTTAGAGGTGGATGAAAAAGAAAAAGAATTAGTGCTTCACGGAGAACTTCTGATATTTTTATGTAGAATAACAAAAATATCGGTACATTGAGGGTAAAGAATAAAAAAAGCAAACGGAGAGAAGAAAGAAAAAACAAGCGGTGACTCAAAATTTCGAGTTAATGGATTTCTTTTTAAATGTTGCATTATATCGAATCGACGCTGTTATTTATTTTTTCTGAAGAAAATCTTTAATTTCGAGATTAAAATACGCGACAGATGTAGTACAATCATCGGAAAACTTTCGTTCTACTCATACTGAGATCTGTGCGTGTGTAGTGTTTTATTTTGATTGAAAAAACGAGAATGTAGCATTGCCGTTTAAAACAGCGTTGGAAAGTATGATAATGTTCCTTTCTGTACTATGCAAAAGGTACAGGCTACGACATTTGTCTTGAATTTTAGAAGTAATTCCATTCAGTTGAAAGATTTGCAGATCTCGTTCTAAGTGTCGAATAAATAGAAAATATCGGTAGACGAGAATATGACTCAAGTAAACAATGTAGGAGATAATTTGAAAAAAGGGCAAGTGAAGCGTAGCAATGCTCGGCATATAATATTTCGTCATTCGTTTTTTACTAGTTATTATTTATTACCACACCAGAATTTCATTTCAAGATACTAGACTTTCGTCGAAAACAATGGCAAAACATTTATTCAGACAGGTACAGTTCGAAGAAATGATGTATATCTTTATACAAGTTAGATACATTTTTGTACTGCAGTTCTTTGAACACGAATCGTCAACTTATACATACTTATTAGCTGATCTATCAACAAAAGAAGCGTTAATTATTGATCCAGTTATCGATACTGCAGAACGCGATGCAAAAGTCATTCAACAACTTGGCTTAAAATTACGCTATGCAGGTATTGAAGTAATCCAAGGTCTTACGTTAGTTTTCTCCTCAACTTCCATCGTCTCTCTAGTGAATACCCATGTTCATGCTGATCATATAACTGGAAGCGGAAAATTGAAAACTCTACTGCCTGAGTGTAAAAGTGTGATATCCAGTGTGAGTGGAGCAAAGGCAGATATTTATGTTAGAGACGGCGAAGTCATCAAAATTGGCGAATCGGGTAAAACACCAATCAGCATCGAATGTCGTTCAACACCGGGCCATACTAATGGTATGTAAGAATTGAAAACTTACTGAAATAAAAAGACATATTTTTCTCGCACTTAGGTTGCATGACTTTCGTTTGGCATGAAGGGGGTGCAGTGTTCACCGGCGATGCCCTTCTTGTCCGTGGTTGTGGTCGAACAGATTTTCAACAAGGAAGTTCGGATACACTCTACACTTCGATTCAAGAGAAAATCTTTACACTACCGGATCATTACGTTGTCTATCCTGCACACGATTATACAGGTATGTAACAAAATTCCGACGGAAAATTCTCTATGGCATGGATTTAGGACAAACAAGCTCAACTATTCTCGAAGAAAAAACTTTCAATCCACGTCTGACAAAGTCACGAGAAGAATTTATGGATATAATGGCTAATCTTAAACTAAGTTATCCAAAACAGATCGGTAAAAAATACTCATTTGATCTGTTTTTTTTTCATTACTCATTCTACTTCAATATTTAGATAAAGCATTGCCAGCGAATCTAATCTGTGGCTTACAAGGCGATATATGAATATCGGTTTAAAACGAACTATTTATTAACAATATTGTTTATCATCCTTATCTTGTGACACACCTACTGCTATACCCCCTCACTTACCTTTTTTTTCCTCTCGTAAACATGTGACAATCAAATACGATGTATGAAAGAAAAAGAACACAACAGCTAATGCTAAACATGAAAACAAAGCTAAATAAACATTCAATATACGAACACTTTCTCAGCTTTGTTCGTCTGTTGTCACAAAGAGATAATTCCACACGATGTTAAATGCTTGTAGCAATGATTAATGATGCATAGAGAAAAATCATCGATGAAATTGCTCGAAGACATGTGATGTACGACGTGTTGTTCTTTTATCTTAAAAACACAACAGTTACCTCATGTCTTTTGTGTCCGAATAATGTGTGAAGCGTTGAGAAAGTTCAAATTTCAATTGGAAAATTCTCACGTATGAGATACGGATATTGACCCTAACGATTATCTGACGTGCTGCTATCTTTGTTCGTAACAGCAAATGAAATGCTTGATATTCTCTTCTCGAATTCGTTAGTCATTTTCTTGTTTCGTTGGCACGGGCATGTCATCGGCAAATAAAAAGAAATTCACAGTAAGTTCGTTGAGATTTTCGTATTAAGCGCATTTTTATTGACGTCTTTTAGATTTCCGTTGAGGGTAATATAGGTTCTGGGTAAGATTGATAGTTTCCAATGATTGGCATTCATATGTATTGTTTGTATATCTATAGCAAAAGCACTGTTTTGTCACATTTAGCGAAATCATCATTATGCGATGTAAGTTCAATTTTGTTTTTAAGAGCGTCATGCATATTGCTTTCTACCAGATTATTCCAGAGCCTATTGAAAGTTGGACAAATCACAAAGGACATAATGTTTTGGTATGGATAAAGAAAAACGTTTGAGATCGGTCAACTAAATAGATTTATGCTATTAGGCTATGTTTTACGACGATCCTCATCGATGGGCTTTTGTGTTTGAAACGAATGCTTTGATGTCGTTGACTAAATTGCATATGCAAGATGCCAAAGCACCTGTTAAAGTCATGGAACGATCGATTCATAGTGCACGATACTGCTTTATCGAAAATCTTTATCAGAGGTGTTGCAGAGAAGACATTTCTTCTCATCTATCTCTTATCTTTATTTTTGTTTAGTAATGTTCTGAAAGATGTGGAATTTCAAATCTTAGGTGATTATTTTGACATGCTCACTGCTAATGAAACATGCAAATTGGATTTAATCAGTAAGGAAAGGCGTCTCTGTGCTTTCAAGTACGTCAATTTTTCATCTGTTTAGTTTATTTACGAGCAACGCCAAAAACGTGTCTCGAACGTATTCGAGCTCGTAATCGTCCTGAAGAGACAAACATCGATTTGAATTATTTAACAACTCTTCATCGCCGACATGAAGAATGGCTCATTCCACATGCTTATGGTGATACACCATCACCACCCGTACTCATTGTCGATGCAAATCAAAACAAGGAACGTGTTTATACTGACACAAACAACCACGTTATCAATTTAATTTCTTGCTAAAAGAAGACTGAAACGTCGCTTCGTGTAGATAGAATCTGTGTAAATTTCATTGTTTTGTACAGAATAGAAATAAAAGATAGATGCCATTAGTTATTTCACACGATGACTTGATGCAGCTTTGATTGTTAGATTTGGATTTATTTGCGATTAGATAACAAATCTTTCATGTCAAAATGATGTATTATCAATCGATACGTGAGAACATGCGGCGACAGTACGTGTAACTATAGAACCCTAGACAACATTTTCTTTTTCGTTCTTCTCCTTTCTCTCCTCGTATCGAATGTATTGATCATTTGGGATTTTTGCGTTGTCATATAAGGTATGGGTAGTAAAAAAATGTCTTTTTATGATGACAAAAACATCGACCGAGAACGTGTTATAACAAACGACGAAAAATATCTACCTGACGAACTCATTTGTCCAATCTGTTTGTGTCTTTTGTGGAAACCGGAATCATGTGCGAAATGTGAAAATCTTTTTTGCCGGCATTGCATTCAAACGTGGCTGGATGGTAATGCATTAACGTGTCCTTTATGTCGTTCGGAATATAAAACTAAAGTAATATCTGTATGGATTCAATCCTCGCTACTGTCACTCTCAATTTATTGCCGTAATCAATCTTTCGGCTGTAAAAGTATTGCCTCGTACGATAGATTAGAGCAACATGAGCAATTCGACTGTCAATATCGCTCCAAAACGTGTTGTTTATGTGACAAAACTATTCGGATACAAGAAATCGATCAACATACGAATAGTTGCAAATCAGTTGTAACTAAATGTGATTTTTGTGAATGTTTGATTCGAATTGACTCACGTGAATATCATCGAAACGAATGTGTGAGAAATTATCAGTCATCCAACGAATATTCTACGGAACAGTTCGCAAATTTTGCTAATCGAACGATCTTATCATCGACTTCAGAAACGAATTTTCATGGATTAGAGCTATTCAATCAAACTCGTCGAAACAATTATGTGAAACGTCTTCTAGAAATGTTAAAATGGCTTTCAATTAATTTATCAATCATCCACCTTATTCTCTTGAATCTCATCATATGGAGTGCGGGAAGTCTGATGAACACTTTCATTGAAATAGTAATCGACATGCAAACATGGATTCACCGGAGGAAATATCAAGTATCCTTGTTGTTCATTCTGTCAAATATTCTCTTCTTTCAAACTCTGAATTTTCTCATGAAATCCATCGATGATTTGTGTATGATTTGTATTATTCTATTGAGTTTGATTCTTTGGAGTTCAATGGATTCCGAACTGCACGTTGCTCAATTTCAAATGAATCTAAATTTCAAAGAATTTTCTCTAGTATCTATTTTATTAATTTTGGCTTTGAAAATTTCCTTTTCGATCCTCCGACTATATTTTTTCTATGTACCAATTTCTATAGGAGCCCTGTGTTTTTCCTTTCTAATGATTTGTTATCTGATACACTAAATTGCTTTTAAATATAGATATCTCTTCCATCTGCTGCCGACGAACGATATTTCATTGTTAATGCATAACAAGTGTTCGTTTTCTTTTATTAGCAACTTCTTTGTTCACACAAAGAATAACAAAAATTCTTAGACAGCTCCTTTAAACATGTGATATTGTTTAAATTGCTGATGCAATTGTTTGAGTAATTCACGTTCACCAATCGACATCTGACCGCTGTACTGTTCGACACGTTCGCCACTTATGCGAAACAATTCGAAAGCAACGCCATTCAATGTTTTCTAAAACAAAAAAAAAACAAACGAGATATCGTCGAAATACATAGCAATTTTATTTATTTTACTTTTAAACCAGTTGAAATGTAAACACCTTTTGACAAAAGGTGGACGTAATCGATAAGAACATAAACAATCGTTGAACGGAAATCTTCTTTGCATTGTTCGATCAGATGTGCAGACAATCTAAATCGAAAATTCGATGAGAGAGAACATCATATAATCGTTCATACTTGGTCATATCGCGTGCTGCTTCGATTAATTCTTCATTCGTTGCTTGATTTTCTTTCGCTTGCGAGACAATCGACTGAAGAAGTACTAGAAACATTTCATTACAACAGAAATCAACAAGACTGGTGATTTTTCGTACGTTTGAGAATTGTTTCAATAGTTGGAACATGTTTGCACAATGTTACTGTGTGATGTTTGATCAGCAAGGAAACAAGTTTACAGATATTCGAATGATTGACAAAGAAAATGTTGGGTGGTAGATGAAGACAACATTGAAGTAGACTCAAGGCAACTTGTGAACGTAGTTGAGACTAAATGAAAGGAAATTTAGATCGGATGTTGTTGGTTTGATGAGCTCAAACCTTCTTTGCAGCTACAATGTCATTTGAAAATGTCAATACAAAAGAGACAACTTGAGAATAACGAGAGAATTCATGTGGAAGATGTATCAGTAAAGGTCCGCATTGAGTTATAACCTAATAAACGATGAGAAAAACATTCAAAAAATTCCAGCTTTCAAATTTACCGAATCGATGATGGTCATTAAATAAGCATTCAACTCTTTGCTCAACGAACAACGAGCTAATGTCTGTAACAACAGAAGTGCTTGATGACAGTTTTGAATATCATCCTCGTGATCATTTAAGGGAATTTTCTAAATATTCAAATCAGACAATAGTATCTCGTCTATTCAACTTACAATATGTTGAATACTATTTTCAATCCATTGTTGAAATTGTGTTAATTCCATTGATTGAATTACTTTAGAAATCAGTTCATGTCGATCATTCAAGCATTTAACCAAAGCATCGATATCCTCAATTGTCGATTGAGATTTCAAAACATGTTCCCATTGTTTCACATAAGCGATAACCACTTGTTTAAACTGATTGCTTTCGTTCATGTCTCGAATTAATGACTTCCATGTTTGTTGAAGGAATTTCAGATATTTTTCGTAGGATGTCAAACCATTCAGGATAATTATGGCTAGAACGTATCGTGTATCCAATGTTGAATAGGATATGGATGAAGGTGAAGATGAATTTAATAACCGATCGATCACTATACAAAGATCATTCGAAGAAATTAACTTTCGACTATGATGGAACAAGAGAAGATGCTTCTCTAATAAACGAATATTTTGAAAATCTTCTTCGGATTTCATTTTCTCAATGATTGCATTCGCCTTTGTTTTCACGATTGATTGGTACGTTAAATTTGTCGACAAAATTGTTAGAACTCCATCGATCATTTGCTCGTTATTGGTTGTTAAAGTAAAATCAAGTAAATGAGATATGAAAGATATCGGGAGGACTTTTGTCGAGCGAATGATATCAAGAAGAATCTGCATCGATTCTAAGGATGCAGGAGAGGTTTTCAATGCAAGCCAACCGATGGAGATTAATATTGTTGGCGTTTGAATAACATCGAAATTAATCGAGGAGAAGATCTGAAAGAAAATTTAGCGAATATCCGGTTTATTTTTGCATCAACTTACCGAAAGAATTTTCCCGTCGATTGTACAGGATTTCGTTGATAAAAAGTCATAGAACGAGCTAGAATTATATGCACCATCGTATTGAAATAAACCAGTTGGTGTTCTACTTACTCATCATTATGTTCTTCCCAATCGATTTTTCGTCGTTTTCTTGCTTGAGAATCATCACTAAATAGAATCGTGTATGAAATCTGATGTTCAAATCAATCAACATACTGTGCATTTGTTTCAATAACATGTTCGATCATTGCTTGAACAACTAATCGAAGACGACTCTCATCTGTTATAAACCAAGCACGGTTTTGACTAAAATCACCAGAAGACTTCTTTTTTTCGAAACACAATCGAGAACATTTGCACCTACTTCGGATGGTCAATGATCTGTTTGATAAACAATTTGATTAATTTCATTTGTTTACTTTTTGAAAGAAAGTCAAAGAAAGGCTCGAGTTGATCAAACACTGTTGTCGACGAGAATGATGATAAATCAATCAAATTGTCCACTAAGCTTGGATCGATTGTCTTTTCGTCAACAGCCAGCGAACGATATAAACGCTGACAAGCCAATGAAAACTAGAGCATCAGAAACTATTCTAAACATTGTCTAAAAAAAGATTTCAGAATACATACCAAGATCGAGTGAAGATCAGAATCCGTTTGCAATGCTGCCCATTGACTATGCGATAGTAATAAGCCATTGTGATTGAGAATATCATCGACCGGGGGAGTGGTTGATGAAAATGATAGTAGGCATAGAGAAAACCATCCCAATGAAAGATAACATTGAAGCAAACATATGCGATAACTTGGATCCGGTGAAGTTAACTAAATTGAAAGCCAAAGGAATGCCCCTAGTGGGTTTTTCTTAGTCTTACCATATTTTCATTCACTTGTTGTCGTAATTTCTCTAATGTTCGATCATATTTCGATTGAGTTTGTTGTATTAGAGTCGCACGTGGAATATTCAAATCAAATAATCGATATCCGTCGAGTAGAGCACCGATCAGCTGAATAATAATCAAATGCTTTTTACCATTCTCTAATTGATCTAATAGTGATGACCAGATTTCGTCGATTAATGTATGCGTACATTCGGAGATACGTTTTCGATAACTAAAAACAAGATGCATCCGAACACTTGACAAGATAGTAAAGAAGTTCTTATACTGTGTTGTAACATTGCTTGGAAGAAGAACCGATTGATCAAATGCCATGGTCAAACGTTTAGGTAACTTAGCTAATGAACGCATGTGTGCATATAGATCAATGTAACCGTTGAGAAAAACGGTGAGTGACTGCTTCGAATCGAGAAAATCTTTGATTAGTTCAGATAGGTTTGTTTCGATCAATGTCGGATGAAGATGGAGACAAACAATACATAGACGAGCGTAGTTTTCCGATTTGCTTGGGATCTGACGTTTGAAAAGAATATCTTTCATCCAGTTAGTGATCCTTTCGGTAAGTGTATCGTTTAGCAACTGGTCAATGAGATGTTTCTCGTCGAGAATTTCAAGTAATTGACGGATGCCATCAATGTAGAGATTATCATTGGAAATTTGTTCCAGCCAATGATTCATTTGTGATAATAGCTCAAATACCTCCGACGTTTTTTCCCTAGAGAAAGAAGGTACGTCTTAATAATTTTATGAAATAAGTTAACGTACGAATCAATTAGATTAATACAATGACGGAAGACCAACGGGAGAAAATTGATCACATTTGAATTACCCTTGACAAAATAGAATAAAATTTTTTGATAGAAACTGAAAAATACGTGAGCATACTGAAATGACGAGCGACTCAATCGTAGTAAATAAAATCGAAACTGGACAAGATATAGTTTTGTTGGTTGATAATGACTGTATGTAGTCACGATAAGCAGTACTCCACGTTCTGAAAAATTTAAAATTTAAAACCATTCCTAGTAATCATATGCTGTTGTACCTATGAAAGACGATGTATTTGAGAATGTCATCGATCAGAACTGATAGTGATGGATAGATTCTACGAATGTCCAATAAAGGTGCCAGCAATTGTTTGCATAAATCGAGAAATACCTAGAAAAAAAAAGGATTATCAGGTTCTACCCAGATTTGAACTGGGGTCGCTGGATTCAAAGTCCAAAGTGCTGACCGCTACACCATAGAACCACGTATATTTCTCGTGGTTCTTCAATCGTTATTGCTGTACTCCTTATTTCTGTGTCAATCAAAAAAAGGATTATCAGGTTCTACCCAGATTTGAACTGGGGTCGCTGGATTCAAAGTCCAAAGTGCTAACCGCTACACCATAGAACCACACGCATGTGAGTTTCTCTTTTTAGAAAAATATTTCCACGTCTTTAGCTGACTCAGTTAAAAGATATACGTAGTTTCATGCTCTTGTCACCTGTATGGATGGTGTTCGTGACTATGTCTATAATATGATGGTAGAACACAAGATAAAAAAATTACGACTTTACATTGCGCTTAGAAATCAGCTAAAAAGCTATGCGAGTGAGATTTTTCGTGAGAAAAAAAGGAAATCAGGTTCTACCCAGATTTGAACTGGGGTCGCTGGATTCAAAGTCCAAAGTGCTAACCGCTACACCATAGAACCACATGTGTTGTACTAAGGTATTTTAAATTCCATATGAAATTGCTCTTTTCAGAAGCTTGAAGAAGCTTTAAAAAAAAGGATTATCAGGTTCTACCCAGATTTGAACTGGGGTCGCTGGATTCAAAGTCCAAAGTGCTGACCGCTACACCATAGAACCTTGGGAATCAGTATCAGATTTTCTCTCGTGCATTTTACCAGTCGACATGCATCGCGAAGAAAATATCACTGAAAAATCGCCAGAACGAAGAAAAAAAGGAAATCAGGTTCTACCCAGATTTGAACTGGGGTCGCTGGATTCAAAGTCCAAAGTGCTAACCGCTACACCATAGAACCGCTGCTAATCTCACTTCGAAAACCTATCGTCTAGAGAACCGACTCTACCTTGTTTATATTCCCTTGAACACGAACAGTGGTCCAATACTTGTTTAAAATCATTGTCAAAAATTCTTCATGTTCTTTATATTTATTCAGCACAATCCGTAATAATTCAACCTAAAAGTGCACTATGCTATTTTTAGAAGGCGGAGAAAAGCATTTTGACTAACTAATTGTTCATATTTATAATCGAGTTCTTTGCCTTGTTTTCCAATAAGTAAGCAACATTCGACAGCAGAATGATTTGATTCTCCACTTTCATTATCTAGCGTGTCGGTCAAAGCCTATCAAAAATAAGAAGGAGGAAAATCCTATTAAGCAAGAATAATTGACATAAATACAAACTTTGATAAACGAAGATTTGATAGAAATTTGATCCTTGGACAGATTTTGTAAACAAAATACTAATTGTCGCCATACTCGATGAACTAATTCAACAGAATCCAAGCCTGATCTAAATATGAAAAATAGTAAATGTACAAGCTATTTCATCCTTTTAATAAGTCAATTTCAAAAATGACTTTTACCTTGAAGTTCCGCAAGAAAAGTTCTTTCAGGACGGTTTCTCATCAATCTCACTTATAAATACAACTTACTCGTACCGATAATTGTTTATTCTTTTAATTTCTTACGACACAAGGAAATGAAAGGGAAAAACACCTCCTTTCAGCAATTCAACAATATTTTTTCTGATGACATGCAATGCATAAGACGCTTACGAGAAATTTTAGTTATTTTCAGTTTCAATCTTAATTGATTTCATATGCTTTGCTCGGAACATATCTTGAGGGTGTTTTTCTATTGTAGATATGCTGTCAAGTAAGTCAACAGAAAAGTCGATTCGTTCTCAGAGTATTCATGGTACGGTCGAACGTGATTACGATCGAAAAAAGCGACAGCAGATATACGAAATCAAGCATGAGAAAGGTTTTCAAGATCTCGAACGCAGAATGGCATCGACTACAAAACGGCCTCAACGAGCAGAACGAAAAACTCAAAACCAAAATCGTTCTACCATGACGTTGGACGAATATATGCAAATGGAAAGAAACAAGGGAGATCAAATGATCAATGCAAAAAAACTCGCTAATGAAAGAATACGTCGCAACTAAACGAACACTCATTTTTTCCTTCTTCTGCTAAAGAAAACTCTTACTTTTTTCGATTGATAACAAGACCAGATAACCAATCAAATATCATTTGTTTTGAATCGACATGCCAATATTGTTCTGTAAGATCCAGCCGTTTGTCAATGGACATTTGACGATCGGTTAATTGAGTATAGAGCGCTAGAGAATGAAACAGGATAATCATCAGTTAACATTTCAACCAAACGACTTACTTTCACTTAATTTCATTGTTTTGGTAAGTTGGAACAAAGGAAACCTTATTTTTATCTGCAAATAAAAAAAGCAAATTTACAGACAACATTGACATGAGATTCACTGAATCACAAAAGCAATATTTAAAACATGGACGGGATTATTGAATTCATTGTTGAATGTGTTGACTAGTTAATATGAGTGTCTAATCATTTTCATCTTCATCCGGATGATTGTGCGCTAATTGTTGTCGTAATTCTCGAATTTGTTGATTTTTTTGATCGATCATTTTCTTCATATTCAAATATGTATTTGTTTGATTGAACTTTTTATCTAATTCATTTTCAGCTAATGACAATGCGTGTTGAACATCTTGCAAACGTTTTTCGTTACTCTGAATCTGCTGAGTAAACGACGCTTCTTTGTTCAAATGTAATCGTGTATTTTCTTCTAACTGGTGACTCAACAAGTCATCATCTTTTTCATATTGAAGTAAACGAGTCTTCAATTGTTCATTCAGTTGTTGTAATTTTTGGATTTCAGTTTTCAGAAGTATCGTTGATTTCGTATCATTGATCGGATCCATCAGTGCATCTAGAAAATACATAAAACGAAACAATGAGAAAGTACACGATCGATCAGGTGAAGTTACTCATATCCTTATAGCCTTTGGATTTCCTGGTATTTATTTGTTGTTGTTGTTCGTAATCGCGAATCAGATCGATTAAACGACGATTTTCCAATTGATCGAAATTAGGACTTAATTTCAAAAACCACTGTTCAGCTTGTTGAAATAATTGTTTCATAAGGAGAGCATTAACACGATATTGATGTGTTAACTCTTGTTCAAATTCCTTTTCTAGTACATCAATGAATTCTTCCAGGAGATCATTCACTTCATTTACAGTCATCATGGCTTCGTCTGACAAGCGTTGACTTTTGAAATCGTCGGCTGATGAACGAAATGAGCGTAAACCGACAGTTTTCTGCTCGTGAGAAAATCGTACATAATGACGAATTATTTGTTCGTGGTGTTCATTCACGCCAAGATCATTCGACGACGATGATGCCATTGATATTGAATCAATTTTATGTCTAAACTCTTCTTCACTTCACTTCTTTTCTTACTTTTCACATTGGCTACAAAAGAAACCCAATCGAACCGATTGGCATTTGTCTGCAGATGGCGTTGACTTACTTACTAACGAGAAGAAATCGAATCCGAATCATAATATTTATCGTTGTAAACATGCATTAATCAGTATAAAATGACAAAACATTCGTCACTAGACAAATTGATCACTGGCACTATATATTTTCTCATTGCTGAAGACATTCGTGTTCCAAAATATTCCGCCGATGAGTAGTAATAAAATACCTTCTGTTACAAGACATCGCCGATGTCGACTGAAGTTGATCATTCGATTTATTTCTGCAGTACTTATTCCACTACTGCTCGGTGCATTTACCATCGTTCTTGCCATTCAACAAGATTATATTGCGCAAGAAAATCGCAATACTGATTTACGTATTGCGGCGAAAGAACATGAACAAAACTTAAAATTGACTATCGATGAACAGCGAAATCAACAATTGGTGAATTTCATCAATTATATGTCTGAGTTGTTACTCGAGAAAAATTTCTCTCTAAATAAACAAATATTAAAATCAATCATTCGTCCCAAAACATTGGCTACATTACGACAACTCGATGAAACACGAAAAGTTTATCTCTTACGATTTCTTCATGAATCCGAACTTCTCTCGGTCAATAAACCAACTTATCTCAGTCTACATACGGCGAACTTGAGTTATATCTATCTTGGCACACCTGGCATGCATACAGATATGCGCAGTACATTGTTTGCGGGAGCCTATATGTATAAATCTACGATAGCAAGTACATCATTTGACTATTCAGATTTTCGAGAAACGGACTTCACTGGAGCGTCGTTTTTCAGTGTTATCTTTCGCAACGCCAATTTTGATCTTGCTTCATTACAATACAGTTATTTTGATACACTTTCATTAGTCAAAGACGCGGATTTCAGTTCAGCAAACTTGACTGGTGCTAACATCACAGATTATATGGTAATACTCTATCGACTCTATCCGTGAATGTTTTCTTCAGCTTTTCACTATAGATCAGAACTGCAGGCTCAATATCCAGAGCTATTCTTCCTAATGGTACCATAGGTCGAAATGCCAACCTGTTCAAGAATCGAAATTGTGAAAATATACAACCAAACCATAGTATTCAACAGAGTATTCCCATACATCAAAAGCGCTTGTGGTTAAAACAGATAAGATCAATGAGGAAATTACACTATGAACTGACTGGATGGTTTCGTAATGTAGATAAATTGCATATGAATATCACCGAAATCAGTGAAAATGGTTCCATCGTGCATACGTATTGTTACGGAAAAATAGATCCGCAAACTGATCGAAATCATTCGTGTTCAATGTACGACTGGTTGTATCAGAGTGATTTATCGTCAAATAGTACTGATCAATATACTTATGTCAGTCAAGTTTCAATAGGAAGTCACTTAGCATATGAGATTATAATCGATATCGATTTAGGTGAACATGGACACTGTCGAGATGTATATTTTTCTGTTGAAACTAAATAAAGATTTGCGAAACTTCATTTTCTTGAATGAAATATTCCGAATTCGAGATTCACAGTGGCAACATACTTATTAATGCACGTAAATACATTGAATCATTCTCTCAAAATAACCACTTATACTTTACTCAGATATAACTTTCTTCTCTTTGCATAAAGACATGCTAAAAATGAAAATACGCTATTTTGCTCTTTTGATACGATTATAACGTCGTGATCTATTTCTCAATATAAATATACACAAAAGAGTATACGATTAGCATTATATTGAAAATATGGCATACATCAAGTATATTCTCTTTTTCGTCAGTCTCATCAGTTATACAGGTAAAGAGCAAACAATTGATTTGCTTTTGCGAATGTTGAAAGATTTTGTATAGATGGTACTGTTACATGTGGTGCAAATGAATATTTGGTTCGATGCAGTCATCCAATAGTTTGTCAACCGTCGTGTACTGATCCTGATCGAGTTCCATGTCCAACGGTAGCATGTATACGAGGTTGCGAGTGTACTCAAGGATATATACGTAGTACGGACGAAACTGAAGACAATCCATGTATTCCTATAAGTGAATGTCGTAAGTATTTCATTGCGAATAATAGACAAACTATTTGGAAAACTTTCGCTTATAGAAAATCAGAACAAGTCGACTTGTGCAATGAATGAAGTTGAATCGGAGTGTGCGAATCCATGTCAACCATCCTGTGGTGAACTAAAACGAGAACCATGTCCGACATTTACATGTTCAAAAGGATGCATATGTGCGGATGGTTTTGTGAGAACAACAAATGATACGTCGAGTGCTTGTGTTATTAAAGATCAATGTCCACAATTGGAACTAGCAGGACGAGAAGCAAAATAAGATTTTTGCTTGTCGAGTTTAATTTTCGAAAGTTGTCTGAAATAAATAAAGACTTTTCTTTTACAATACTAAGCGAAACGGACGATGTAGAAATGATCTCTGTTTGTGCACTTGTTGAATTCACCGTTTTAGTCATATGTTCAGACTAGTCGAAATGACGTATGTTTCGAAGCACCAATCGAGTGAATATTTCATTCTACTTTTTGTACTTTGTGGACAGACACACACATAGATACTGTCTGACCTGGATGGAGGCCGGCCGACTGTATATATATCGCCGAGGAATTGTATACAGATCACAAGTACACATTTATCTACTAGTTCACAATCATGGTCTCATTCAAACTCGTCGCCTGTATCTTAGCATTTTTATTGGTTGGATCAATTGTTGCCGAAGCCAGACGATCTCGATGTGATAAACATGAACATTTCGACCGATGTGGTAAACCATTATCGTGTCAAAGCTCATGTGAACAAATTCGGGGACGAATGTGCCATGCTGCCTGTGTTCCCACATGTATGTGCAACGGTGATCGAGTTCGTGATCGATTCAATAAATGTGTTCGCCCTCATGAATGCCGACGAGTTCCTCATTTATTTTAAATCAAATCCAATTTTTAATATTTTCTTTCCTTAATAAATTTTCTTTGATTTAATAACTAATTCTAAAATTCATCTACTCCGTTGACAAAACGTGTTCTTTTTTACATATCGAAATGCTTCCTTTAAGCAAAACATGGGATTCTCTGTCAATATTTACAGATAACTAGTTAATAGTAGAAAAACCCTGATGCGAAAGTGAGACAACATTCTGTTAGCGTTCACGTATTGTCATTTTCTTTTTATGTGAAAGAATGTTATCTTTCATAGCATTCTTTCTGTTTCTCGTTCTTTTTTTGTTTTTGTCGTTTTGAAGAGACATTTGATTTTACACATCGAATACAAATATACGTCCTCGTTGATTATTTTTTTCATTGGTGGAGTTCATCGAAAGACCACACATTCTTATCTCTACTTACAATCACTATTCCGATAACGTTCTTTTGTTTATCTCTTGCGACAGTTGCGTTAGACATTAACCAGATTTATACATGGCATCTTCTGCACGCAGAAAAACAAATTGTTCAAAATGTAATAAAGCAGCTGGTATATTTACGTGTCGTGGGTGTGAGAAAGACTTTTGCTATCGTCATGTTGCTGAACATCGACAAGAATTGAATAAACATATGGAAGAGCTGACGAATAATCACGATCTATTCGTACAAACCATTGCCGAGCAAGAAGCCAATCCTAACTGTCATCCTTCAATAGAAAAGATCAATACATGGGAACAGAAATCGATCAAAAAGATACATCAAGCCGCTAAAGATGCACGCGAAGAATTATTAAAGAATTTACGTGGACACAGAACCCAGGTAGCAAACAACTTGCAACAAATTACTGAAGAATTGAACAAAGCACGTAGTGAAGATGATTACGTGGAAACAGATTTGAACGAATGGAAAGAAAAGCTAGAAAAATTGAGGACAGATTTGGCTGCGACTCAAATGCTTGATCTCAGTCAGGATGAAGATGCTCGAACGCTCATTCCAAAAATTTTCGTACACAAAAGTTCGACAGATATTTTCAATCGAACTCTTAATGACATTCAAATACTGGAAGATGGGAACCTTGCTGTGCATGGTCAAACCCAGCAGTATGCCATAGTACGTGGCAAAAATGAGTATTCGTCGGGTCAGCATCGACTTTACTTTCAACTCGAGCGTTATCAGAACATGGGCGGCATCTTTTGCGGTGTTGTCTCGAAAACTATGTCTGTCGAGACATTACAAGATATTCTCAACAAACTCGATTTATACGAGCAAAACTATGGGCGACGCGCATTCCAAAATTTCTATAGCGCCAACTCAACCATTTCCGATCGAATTAAACAAGTCAGTGACCATAACTATAACGACGGTTATTATAATCAAACATCTACCGATAGCAAATTCATTCCTGTATGTTTAACAGCTTCAGTGTTTATGAACAAAAAGAACAACAAAGTCGAACTTCTCATAAATTGTGATGCAAAAACCATATGTCTGACAAACGAGCAAACACAACAAAAACAGAACTGTGCTGTAGAGCTCAACATCTGTCCACTTCCTTGGCAAATTTGTTTCATCGCTTACTCGGCAAATGATCGTATTCGTATTTCCGAACTAAATTCTGTAGACAATGAACAAGCTACTCTCCCGGCTAGACGGCGCGGAATACAACCGAAGAAAGACCGAATCAATCGCGCGGATGAGCTAGAAAATAACTATATGGAATAGTATTTTTTCAAAAAAGCCGAATTTTAAACTATATTTTTCACTTTGTTGCATGTGTGCTTGTTTGCTAAAATTTTCTTTACTATACCATTTAAAATAACTATATATTTCAGATTTCAATTACCGATCTTTTATAACCCGAACAGATAAAGCGAGATTATACTATAAAATCATCAAGCAGTCTTGCACAAGCTTATTTGCCACCACGAATATCAATTACATTAATATCCACTACAGTGTCAACGTCATTTCCTTTCGGCACAGGGATACGATAATCATTGAGATATCGAGCACCAGTCGGACAAGTGACATATGCTGAAACGGCTTGAAAATCGATTGGTACATCAACTGGTGGTGTGTATGTCAAACTGTATGATGTAGGCAATGATGCAACATTTGAATATTGAGTATTTCCTAGAACAGTTGCGGGACCATCAGCCGTAGTTGTGCTGATAACTTGGACAATAAGTTGACAACCAGAAGGTAAACGAGTAGTTGATGATGAACTACCATTCAATAAAACACGTCCAGATATGGTTTCACCAACTAAAAGAAGATTAGGTGTTCAAATTCCTTCGCTATAGCCAAAGAACCTTACTAGTAAAATGTGCCAAGCAAATGAGAAGTAGTGCACGAAACATTCTACGAAAGACAAAGTCGGTTTTCTAATGTTTCACTTTTAATGAAAGTCAATATATGAATCTCAAAAGCGAAATTTAAATAACTAGTGCGTATTTTGCATATACGAATCTTCATCATATATAAATCATTAAATATGCATGCAAATAGAATTGAAAATAAATACACAAATGCATTAATTCATTAGTAATCTTTTATATAAGTTTATAAAAATAGATTCGTAGCTCGACGAGCAATTATTCAGTCCATTGTACTCTTTTACACCCAATTGATACCTTTTCTACTCACAACTGTTTACCGGATTTATTTATTATAGTTACAAGCAAATAGTCAATAGTTGTTTCGGTACACAACGATGAAAGTTAACAACAAGATCCATGCTTATAATATCATCGTTAGTAGAGTGGGAAATAATCGACGAAACGGAGCGTCAGAGTATAAAATGACATTTGACAGAATAAAATTATAAGAAGTTGACTGATAATTCCATTTTTCTTTTGATAGAGACGTGCTGTTGGATCGAACAGAAAATGAAAGAGAATAAATAATGAGAATAGCATTGACGGAATAATAAAAATCCTGTGCAACCAATATTTATCACCATATTAAACCAGGTATCAGTATCAAGTAAGAAGAGTATGGTTAACAGAATTCTTTCCTTTATTGTCGTTTGACTTATGACAAGGAAGTAAAAGATTTCATCTCAGTGTCATGTCTCGTGTGTGTGTGTGTGTTCATTAATAATAACTGCATTGACCTTCGTTGCTTCAAGTGGTGTGCTGCTAATTTTGAGTACTGTAATCGTGTTATAAGAATAGCTATGCAATGATACTGTCCTTGTTCACGGCCGCTGTTATACATAATGTAGTATTAGGATAGACACGTCTTATTAATCTACGAAAAAAGAAGTTCTGCCAACGATTTGTTTGTAGTTCTGGTAATGATAAAATACATACGAAGGGAAAGAGAGGAATCATGAAATAACTGAAATACGTAGCGTAGGGTCCGATATATTTGCCCGTCTCATATGTTGACTCGAATTTAGTGAATGTATATGCAATGGTTGCAGGAACGTAGAAAAGAATGTAAAGAATTGCGATCGATATCAATTGAATAGTCATTTTTCGATGCTTGCGCCATTGAACCCGGTGATGTATTCGATGTTTCCGATAGAGAACACGCAACAAAAGTGCACTACTAGATACAAGAATGATTGATACAGGCAAGGTTTGATGGAGAATCGCTTCCCAAATACCGTAGAATTGAGACCTATTTAAACATGATATAACGCAGAGCATAATATTATTTTGAACGACATTATGGCAAGGCGGGAGAAAAACAATGACGAAGTAGAAAGTTAAACCATAGACGAGAATGATGAGAGGAGGAAGATAGTGAATGAACAACCGATTAAGCCTCGTAAACATCCATTTATCATGAAAGATCAGTATGTGTCGTTCGATAGTTGCCCAGGCGAAAAGCATCGTGTGGACTATGTAAAATCCCCAATCGAAAAAGCTCCAAATTTCACAGAAGCGTAGTGATCGTTTCCATTGACGTTCTTGTTGGTAGTAGCGCAGCATCCACGGATAGTTTGTTATCTCGGAGATAAATCCGAGAAGAAGAATGAGACCAATGACATGATTATGAAGTGCGCGATGAAGATTCGGATCCCGAATAAGATGGAGGAGTACAAACAACGAGCAAGATATGGATAAAATCAAAGCCACTAAATAGGAACTGAAGATTATTTTATTCGGGATTATCATTGTTCATCGTAAACTAGCGACGGATTGTGAACAACACAAATTGATTGCATTCTTATTATGGCAAACAGCAAAATGACGTGACCTATGCGAAAACATGTCTCCCGTCATTGATATTTGAGAATGAAGAAAAAGAAGAGGTTGTTGATATATTCGTTCTGTTGATAAATAACTTCTGCTGTCTGTCGTAGCGTTGGTATGATGGTCTAATTTAATCATATTGGCATTGAAAAAGATAAAGAGTAAGGAAAGATAGCTCAACGAATGTTGTATATTTCTTTGAATCATCTGGGTATGCACATAGAATTGCAGAAATTAAGGACACGCAAGAACGATAGAAACTGGTTCAATTAGATGATTTATTATTGTAACATGTGAACTTTGAGTCGTAGAAGTTTTATTCGTTATTCTTAAAGTTGAAGAGGAAGAAGTATATGAAAGCAATTGAACTGTACTTGATTTTAACTTTTTACAAAGGTATACTTGAACACGCTTATTAACTTTGTCTAACGTATATGCACCCGATTATTTATATTCGTTCGTGCAGCTATTGCTCTAACGAATGCTCGATATGGAGGTAACATATTCTTGACTCTTCGTCGAAGCGTTGGCAAAGATGTGAGAGTCACAAATGGGAAAAGAAGGATATTAAGATAACTGCAGAAATTTGCGTAAGGTAATATAGCTCCATAGACAGAATATGCCCAACCAAGTAAGTATAAGAGAGTAACTAAGGCGAAAGGAAATGAGAATAGGAGGTAAAGGAATGAGATTGATAGAACTTGAATGGCTAATTTGCGATATTTACGCCATCGAATCGGTTGACGCATACGCCACTTGAAGAAGAATGTACGAAGAAGTAGAACAATACTGAATATAACAATAGTAAAAACTGGTATTAGTTGATGGGCAATTGTTTCATACATGTACAAATCATAAACATAAAAGGCACAAACAAATACACAAATCATATCACTATCCAAGTAGAAATTCTCACAAGCTGGAAAGAAATCAAGGATAATATAAAAGAGAAGACAGTAGAGCAATAGTAAAGTTAAAGGTAGGTAATGAATAAGGAACCGATTGAGTTTAGTTGCCATCCATTTATCATGAAAGATGAGAATATGCCTTTCGATAGTCGCCCAAGCGAACAAAACTGTTTGTGTAACATATAAACCCCAATCAAGAAATTGCCAAAGTGTACAGAAGAATAATGATCTCTCCCAAAACTCGTCAAGCCAGTAAAAATGTAACATCCATGGATAAATGGTTATTTGACAGGTAAGACAAATGATCAGGAGAACAATAATCACGTGATTATTGAGTGCGAGACGAAGAGTTCGATCGAATAGAAGATGGTAAAGAACAAATAGTGTACATAGAATTGATGGAATCAGAAGGATAAGGTAAGTCCAAAATCGAATGATGAACGAGACCATGTTTTGTTGGAATGAATAGTGCCTTAACGACTGCAAAACACAAGGATCATACTTCTAGAAGTTTCAAGAATCCGTAGATGAAATTTACATTTCTACGTTGCTTTCAAAACGGAAACGCGATGAAGTATATACTTCAAAAAAACTCAGATCAAGTGGTATTCGTTTAAGCACTGTAATTACTAGAAAAAATATAAACCATGCACAAAACCTAATCTTGGGTCGACCCAGTGCTCGGTTTGATTAAAAATAAGATTTATCCGATCATCTCTATGAACAAGTCCTGTTCAGCTGATGCGTAAAAGGTGAACGAAGTACGACTCATAGATCATAAGGATAGTATAAAATGAATTCACAAACATTTTTCTTTTTTTCTTTCTACGGTTTTCTTAGACTTCTATTTCATATGAGCACATATAAATCCGACAACAGACCCGTTTCGTAAATAGAAAGAGGATTTTACACATCATTCTAATGGTAGCGTAATTGATATTGTAGACAAAGGGGACCGATACGATGTGACAACTTGTCGAGATCAGACAAGATTTTCCTATTTTAAGACGACGCGAGGCAAACAATCGCGGCTCGACTGTTGCTCACTTTTTCAAAAGAACTATGCAGCTCTGACACGAATCACAGTGTTGCAAGTGTTGCAGTACGCACTTCTGTTAGAAAAATCATAATAAATAACAGATAGTACACCTCAATTGTAAATATTTCTTTTCTAGCCGATCTTGCAAATGTATATAGTGCTTCTTTTGATATCGTCATCTGACTATTGTCTTAGTGATGAAGATCTATATCATATGAATAAAATTTTCAATACATGATGTGTCACATTCCAAATACAATCTGGTCGATGAAACCTGCTCATAATTGAAAGGCAAATCCATCTTTATAAGTTTTTAGGCATATACTCGATAACTTCATATAATTCAAACCAGTTTATATGTCGTCAATAATTAAGTCGTTTTCACGCACTGAAGTGATGTCTGAAGAATCGACTTTCTTTCAGCATGATTACATACTGTTTCGTCGGATCCGAACGATCGACTATTTTTTACTATAATATAGAAGAAAAACACCGCATGCGGTATTCATTTTCTTTTGTTTCATAATTTTCAAGTATATCAGAGTTCCTCTTACGAGATGCTAACCATCCGACAGATTGTCCATTGGTACATCATTATTCAAGTGATTAATCAAATAGCCGGTGAATACTCCGCTGAGCCCTTGGTAACAAGTGATAATTTTTCCTTTTAATGGTTAGCGTTAAATCGGCCGAAATTCTGTTCGAACACAACATGGAATCCTAATGCCCTAACAATTGCAAACAGTACAATCGTTGGTGGCTGTTCTAACGTTAATCCTATTAATAAGAGCAGCATGCTTTATATAATATTGCACTGTCTTAATCAAGCTCATATATGGTCGTCAGGAAATTTTCACATATTGGAAACTATTTCTGTTGCATTGAATGGACCACAAGGACTTTTTTGTCACAGACAATGGAAAGGCGTATGGTGGAGTCGAGAAAGAGACAAAATATAGTACCAATGGTCTATCGGTGATGACTGTTAGTGCCTCGTACTATAGTATTTTTATTTATAAAAATGATACTCTCTACCATTCTATTGGTCTTCAACATAAAGTTTTTAAAATAGTACTAAGTAGTAGCACTATTGGACCAACGATCGCTGCCGACGGCAACGGAACTGCTAGATCACAGGCAGATACATTAAACAATCCTCACGGCATATATATTGACGACGATTTTAGTCTGTATGTATCTGACTGTTACAACGAACCAAACACATCGACTGCGCCCGAGTATGGAGCATCTGGTACCACCAATATCAATTACCCGACGAGAGTTCTACTTGATGCCGATGGATATCTTTTTTATTGTAGAATACTTAGGTGGTTGTGTCATTGGATCAGATGCATATGGATTTTGATGCATAGACAGATGTAACTCGCCAGGAAGTTCAGATGCAGAATTGAATTATCCATACGGTTTTAGTTTTGATACAAATGGTGATATTTTTTGTAGCCGATGATGGTAATTCTCGTTTGTAACCATTTCTTATCATCACAAATTCATGTGGTAAAGATCATACACTTCCAAGAAACGGAAATATGATTTTCTCCTTTTGGATACATAACGACCACCGATCAAAATAGTTTGACATCGACAACATCCTATCAGTTCGGTAACTCAAAAATCGAAGAACTCATTTAAATAAATTAAACGACAACCTATACAGATGCTGGTACGGAACAAAGTTCCACACAAGCAGTTGCACTCGCTACTATAAACGATTTAACAACCGTTTTCCACTACAACACACATAGTGATTTCACTATCAGGTACATATACTTGTCCCACATCAGCATTCATTGGTTGTTCTTGTAATATCTCAGGAAATACGTGTGACCCACTTCCGCCGTGTCATAAACAATACTATCGATAAGTACATCTGCTTGTGTCTGCATGAATTCAAAGGTACGCAGTGCCAATTTGACTTACAGCCCTGTCAAACAACCACTTGTTGGAATGATGGTAAAGCAAGTTGTCTCTCATCCTCAAACACATATATATTTGTTATTTTGCAGAAAAATGTAATGAAACATCGAACACACCATTCGTTATCTGTGTCGACCAGGTTTGGCCGACTCTCATTGTGAGACCAAAGTCAATTTCTATGAAAATGTTACATGTTTCAATTGGGGCGTTTGTCAATCGCTTTTACTCAAGTATACATGTCAATGCCTGGTGACAAGTTATTGGGATCGGCATTGTGATTTGAATTCGAAAGAAACGATCGCCCTTCAAATAGTCTCGAAATCATTTGCTTCTGTTGCCATTTTTATTATTATTATTACAGTAATATTTATCTTGATAATGGATATTTTGAAATCCTGTTTTAATATTGATCCAACATCTAAAAAATCTCCGAGAATTAAACGACGAAAACGGGCGACTATTGTGCAATATGTGTATATTCGTTCATCATCAACAGACGGAACAGTTGTATATACATGTATATAAACGAGCTTTCTCCTATTTCCAATAAATCCGAATGTGTGTGCATAGTTTGAATAAAGATCGGTTCTGATCATGATTTGTCTTTAATCTGGAACCAAAATCGTCTACAGTTGTGCTGTTCTTATGTACATCTCGATAACAAAGTCAATATTTTCCTTTCTATCATGATTCTCTGTATATAGCTATCAAACTCTTGTAGTTATCAACATCAATCTTCGTTTTTATTTTCCTGTTTTGAGTCTGTAGAAGGCGCATAATACCTGACTGGAGTGTAAGAATGGTTGTATTTTTTCCTCTTATCGATATTCATATCCATCAGTATTTCATGTCATCACACAAGCTAAAAAGCAATTTATACATATGGTGTTTGATTCAGATTCTCTTTTTAGTAAGACACGATACCTAATATGATGAAATGAACATCGTTTATTTTATATTTTTTCCAGTGTGGTAGTGAGTCAATTGCTATCGAAAGTGAGTATAGAATTTGCTTTGGTGTGTAAAAGCGACATGATCGAAATTTTGAACTAAGTTTTAACCTACTAATAAGCAATTCAACTACTTCTTATCAATTTAGATAAAAACAACTGCTCATTATCAAACAATTCCAGCTTAATCATATCTGATCTGAAAACTCCATTGTATCGTTGTCGAATTCCAGAAGTATTGCCAAACAATGAAATCCATGGTGTCTGTAGACATGCCTGGAATGATACACGTAGAAACTCATTTCACCACGATGGTGTACACATTAATAACATAACTGATGACAGCTTCGTTTTGGAATTGATTGATAGCTCACATGTAGATCCGAGAAATCATGTCCACCAGTGTAATAGATCAAATCTACCAGATGGTTGTATATATACGTGTCTTAATGTCGAATTACATTCAATTTATCAAGTTTCATTGATTACACCTGGTGTTTCACAATTGTACGCAGTGACAAACATGTATTCAAGAGAAAGTCCAATGGACAGGAGAATAGGAAACTTTTCTTTCACACCTCCTTCTAGCAGTTATGATTATATTGATTTACGATGCTCTACAGAAGATGCTTTCTGCTTTGAGCAGCATTGGTTGAGTAACATAACAATCGGTTGTCATCACTGTGACCATATCTCGTTATTTCCTATAACACGAGGTGTAAAGTATAATTGTATCGCCTATACTGTGAAGAACAATATTTTCCTCGCAGCATCCAACGATTTCCCTTTCGAAACTAGTAAAGATTTTTTTTTGATGCATTTCATTTAAACGATATTTTCATGATTTGTTTAGTTCTTGAACCAGTTTTATACAATCTATCAAGTCAAATCAATGCCAGTTCCGTTTATTTGAATTTCATACCACAGAGTGATTTCACCTCCGTAACATTGGTTTGCAGTTCTCATTTGAGCACGCCTGGTAGTTGCCCCTCGATATCGACGACAAGCTACAGCTGTTCTAAAAATTTAATATTTAATGGAACTCTTGGATGTGATTATCAGTGCTATTTCAAAACAGTCAAAAGCTATTATGATGATAGATATTCAAATATGTATATCTTAAGTTTTCGTACGTATGAACATAATCTCGCATCTTCATTTTCAGTAATAATTGATTCGTAGTTCCCCCGAAGCCACGTATTCATACAGACGACAAAAATTCGACATGGATATCAGTTACTTGGTCATTAGATAACAACGTATATGTACACTCATTCGATCTATTCATCAACTCTATCAATTTCCCAAATATAGACCATTCGTATCGTTCCCACTACTTTCCAAATCTTTCACCAAATAAAATGTAAATTAACCTCTTTGTTCGAAATTTGCTTTCTTTCCGAATAATCTCTTCTCATAATCCAGGTATGAGATTTACATACGGTTAAATGCAAATCATCAAGTGGAGTCGGATCGAATCTATGTGAAAACATTAGAAGATGGTAAGTATTTAGAATGAGATTTGAGCCAACCTTGGTTTTCTTTTATCAAGCACCTTTACATCCGAGTTCCACTGACATATTTAACAAAATTGTTCCCTGGTCTCATGGCCCATTGTCTACGACGGAACAGATTGAAATTACTATCGACTTATCACTGTTCTCACATGATTACGGATTTGTTCATCACTATATGATTTATGTACGTCAAGGTAAACTTCTATCTGATATGTTGGACTGAAAGCATGTTTTTCTGTTTATACATATTCTTCTCATAGATCAGTGGCGTTATTCTGCCGTACCCTATATGAATGGTACATACGCTGAGGCATGGAACAATCCTTCTATTGATTATTTAGCTGCTGTTATACCCGTATACTCACAAGATAAGCAATGTAAATCTCGATGAAACTGTAATTTTGTTATTATTTATTTGTCAAATAGCTGAGACACACAAATTAATACTCGGAAGTGAAGTAGGATGTTATTATTCGTCTCCTTGCAATGGCAAACTCAAACAAAACACTGATTATAAGTATGGAATTACATCGTCATAATTTACTATGTTACCTTGTGATTTTTCTTATTAGAATCATCGTTGGTGGTTGCTCAAAAGGCGGTTGTACTTATGTGATATCAAGATCGTTTCGAACATATGGTGAGTTCTATACGATAATATTTCTAAATAATCCTCAATTTTAGTTCCCTATGATGACCCAGAATCTGCAAAATCCATAGCATGGGTTGCCGTCTTTCCAGGTGTAGCAGTGCTCATCGTTATTATAGGTTTATTAATCTGCAAACGCAAAGCTATCAAAAAGTGTTGCTGTCGAAGAACAAATAAGTAAATAAATTCCTTGTCGTACGAAATTATGTGTACAGATAGACTATTTTGCTTGTGTTATAGGAGCGATTCAAATGCAGTAAAGGCAGATTTTCATGAGTATGAGATCAAGTTTGATGTCTATGAGGCAATACTTCAAACAAGTTTTGTTCTAGCATAAAACCAACGGTATCACCAAATGAATATGCTTGTTCAGAAATGCAGTGAGTATAAATGAATCTTTGTTTTGTAGTGATGATCTCTTCTTCTCTCTCATATCTTCAGACCTAAGCTATTAGTCGACTACATAAGTTTAACCGATGAGAATAAACAAAATCTAATAAATCAATTCCAGGTTCGATTACTATAATCTGATTTATTAAAAATAAATGGTTATATTTAGGAATTGCAAAATCTAGAGCCAAAATATGATGCGAGACATCAAAAATGGACTGATGATTTATACGATCGATACAGTGATATACCATCACGTGGTCCTTGTATGTCCTACATATCAATTGACATACACTCTTTCATTCATTTAAAGGGAGCAAAACTGCAGTTCATTTGACTGGTCAACATCGTCAACACGACTACATCAATGCCAACGAAATCCGAGTATACATCACAGAAAATGATAAGAATGAGCATTGCATGGTTTCTTTTCAATGTAGGGTATTCATAGTCCTAAACAATACATCGCTTGTCAAGGTCCACTTGAGAATACATGTGAAGACTTTTGGGATATGGTCATGCAGTATGAAGTAACGAAAATAGTCATGCTGTCCATCTTTGATCAGGTATCAAAGTTTGAGTTTCTAACCTAAAAACCAACTTGTTTATCGTTTTCGAATAGCTGAAATGTTATCCATACATTCCGATGAAGAAAAATCAATCGTTGCATTTTGGTAAGATTAAAATAGAAACGAAAGATATTCAGCATCATTTGAATAATCAATTGGAAACGCGTCAATTACTTGTCAAACGAGTAAAAGAAATATTAAATAAAGACTTACATTTGAAAATTAAGAACAAATATTTTCGTTTTCTAAGGGAAATACTGTGTTGCATGTGATGCATTATTTGTATACAAATTGGTCTGGCTTCGCCGTGATTGACAGCCAATCGGTACTCGATTTAATCGAAATAGTTAATCAAACGACAACTTTTCCGATTGTTGTACATTGCAGGTGAATAATTGCTTTCGATAAGAATATTAGATGATGTCACGGTTGTGGTTTTTCAGTTCGGGCACTGGTCGAACAGGAACGTACATTGCTATTGACATTATCATTCATCTATTAAATCAGTCAAATGTTGACCTCTCGACGATGAAATTAGATGTAATGGGGATCGTCAATCAGTTGAAACATGAAAGAATCCATATGGTACAAACTCCGGTATGGAATTGATTTTGTAAAATACTGTACGATGGAAGAAATGTATTGGCTATTTAGGAACAATATTTGTTGATTCATAGCTGTATTGAAGACTATTTGAAGAAACAAAATCGACTAAGTTTCCGTAAGAGACACTGGCCAGTAGAAAGGTTTGTTGCATTGCTGATTTATTTAGTGGCAAGAGGTTCGCATCTATATGAACGGATCAATGATAATCTTACTGACGCAGCTGATGAACAATGCTTGGATTTAGATCAAGCACAAAATGTTCAGTATGATAACATTACTATAGCTACTAAGAAACTCAGTGGTACTTATTGCATTCCAAATGATGACTCTTATTATACAAAGTCATCTGTAGACAACGATCCGACACAAATAACAATCAAGAATTTTTAAATAAAACTAACAGAAACTTTACGAATGTCTGATTCGTTTCATAAGTTATAAATAAATGGTAATCATAGACACTATATGATCGATATTGCTTGACTGAAGAGAAAAACTGTGAAGGAACTGGCATGTGCGCGTGTGACGCGAGTCAGTGTTATTCATGTAATTACACAACAAACATACAAGAACAAAAATTTTAGTCACATGGGAGGCAGTTTCTTTTTCTATCTCTTTTGTTGTTCGATAGCCGACATTATTCATGACAGATCTCGAGAAGAAAACCGATGAAATCTTTGCATTGCAATCGATATTCGATAAGAATCTTCGACAATTTGATGAGAATCAATACGAGATTCTAATCGATTTTGATTTAGTTACACCATTAACCATCGAATATGAAGATCAAACATCCATTGTGGAATATTTACCACCTTTCAGTCTTCTTGTTCAATATCATGACGAATATCCAAGTCATTTTCCACCAACATTCGTTCTTTCATGTTTTTACTTTTCCAAATCCAATCTACAGAAACTCTGTCAAAAGTTGGATAAGTATCCATTTGTTGAAGGCGAAGTGTGCGTTTACGAATGGATTAATTTAATCAAACTTGAAGTCGATCGGAAACTCATCATGGAAAACAAGGAAGAAGAAGAAGAAGAAGAAGAAGGTGATCCTCGAGCATTAAATGGCTATTCAAGCGAAACAGCGAAGAAAATCTTCCAATATCTAGTTCAATATAACGCCGATCAATTCCATAAACGAATTCAAGTTTGTTCAATATGCGATAACTGCATTCGTGGGATCGATTGTATTCGTCTCCATCGTTGTCAACACTATTACTGTCAATCATGTTTACAAGATTATATTCGAATGACATTGAAAAATGGACAATTCGGTGAACGAATTCATTGTCCGCAGAATCAATGCCATCAAGCATTACTTCCAACAGAAATTCGTCAGATTCTTCGTGACGATCAGCTCTACGAAAGATACGAACGATTAACATTGCAGCAGGGTCTTGAATCGATGGATGATATTGTTTGGTGTCCAAAGTACACACTGTCTCTATTGAATGTTCATGTCTTTTGTTCTTCTCGTTATAATCAGATGTCAAATGGCAGTGCTTGTCGATAATAGTGATGATAATCTAGCCATGTGCGACCAATGTCGTTATATTTTTTGTAAAAAATGTAAAGAACTGTTCCATTCCCAAACCATATGTCCGAAAGATTATATTATCCAACAATTAGAAAAGGTAATAACGCTATTGAACGATACACCATGCTTATTTTACAATTTTACAGGAAAGCTATTCTACGACTGTACCACAAAGTGAATTGTCATTCAGAAGAGAACAAAAAATTCAAGAATACGATCAAAAAGTGCTCGCGACAATTGCTAAAGTCGAACAGAGAAGTCGAACAACAATTGAAGCAAATCTTGCCGAACAGAAATATCGACAACTTGTTATTCCACGATCTGAAGGACAAGCTTTATTAGAAAGCGTATTAAATGCTGAACGAATGGAACTACTGAACACTCAGCCTTGTCCAAAATGTCACGTTCAGATCGAAAAGAACGGTGGGTGCTCGCATATGTATTGTACGCGATGTAATCATAGTTTCCTGTGGGAAAGACAAGACAAACCTGCAACGGTGAAAAATATTTCATTGCTGTTTAAATTCATGAAGAATTCGGAGAAAATGGAACCGTTGCAAGAAGAAGTCAAGCAAGCGACAAAATCAGGTTCGTTTTGAGATATTACAGGAGAAACCACACACATGTCGTTTTATTTAGCAGCCAATTCGAAAATTTCGATTGACAATCGATCTGCAATTGGTTCTGCGATCGTCAGTAGAGTTAAACAATGTCCGAATAAATCATGTAAAAAGTTTATTGTGAAGGTCAATCGAGATAATTGGATCGTCTGCGATGGCTGTCGAAGACAATTTTGTTTCTTATGCGAACAAAAGATCGTCAGTACAGATCACTATGTTAGAAAATGCGAACGTTACACATCTCTTTGAACTCATAGATGTTTTATCTAACTTTTCAAGAATGTAGGCAAGACGTAAATAATTACGTCTTGTCAAAAGAGATCGTTGATCCGAAACGAGAAAACTTGGTGACTTTCGTTACGAGGACTGTAAACGCTTATTATGTGTTTATCGTAGTTCAAGATTGTTGTTTCGATATACGACCAGTTGGTGAGGTGTATTCCATGATAAGAAGTGGCTTTGAAATGTTTTCCGAAGTTCCGCTGAAGACGCGAAACATACAACAAATGAGCATTGAAAAACAATGTACATTCGAAGATATAATCCATAGAATCTGTATATCCTCGCTAGATTAGTCGATAAACCATACTGCGACGTAAGACGAATTGATACCCATGATGTGTTGAGAACTAGTTAAAGAGCTGAGATCAATACTAACTGAATTGTCATCGTGCGATGAGCTCGCCAGGCCATTGGTCGACGTTAGCATTATTTAATGAAATAGAAGTTCGCCTGTCACCAAGATTTTATATTTAATAACACAAGGAGTAATACAACATCCAACTAAGAAAGAATCTTGAGGGTGTTTCGACAAAATGGATCGAAGGTAATAACTGAATAGTAAATCATACAATACACGATAACGACGGTGATCGGTAGGTAATGAAAGAAGAAAAGTTTCACTGTGGTTGAGAACCATTGAATATGAATGATAAATATGTGCCTTTCTATACTCGCCCGAGCAAATAGGGTGACTTGAGTAGTAAAAAGCGTGTAATCAAAGAAAAATGGACATGAATAGAAAGTAGGCGATCTGATTAGCATAATACCAAAGTATTACCGATGGAATATCCGTAAAACACTCGTTAGTTAGCTGACTAAACCAATGACGAGACGAACGATGATCACATGATTTCTCGAAGCTCGATGGAATGTTCGGTGAAAAACCAGATAATAAAGAATGAACAAATGTTTGACAGAACATCGGCTGTAAGATACGTTCAAAATCAAAATTTAACAGGAATACAATTTATAGCTAACGCCTGACTGCTGCTATTCATCGACACGTTAAACGAATGTGACACATTTTTGTGCACTGTTAGTTCATTAAAAGAGAGAACTTAGAGAGCATTAAAGGCACGTCATGGTGTAGCGAGATTCATTCTTTATACAAAAGTAATGCAATAGCGCATCTAAACAGAATTCCTGCAACACCGAGTCAGCCGTCCAAAAGATCTGCGTTTCTTCCTCAAGGTAGTGCCTTTTCTATTCCGGTTGATGTAAATTATCAATGAGATAGAAATACCATGTTATCACAAGAAAAACTTCATTCGGCTCTGCTGAATGGTTGATAAGAAAATGATTCTACTTCGGAAACTTAAGCAGGAAATTATCATCAATAAAAATCTCTTGTTGATTCTATACATACCGATCTAAGATCATCACGGAACTATACGGTTATTCATACATTTAACGTGGTCCCTAGGGTTAAAACGAGATAGTCTTTCTCAAAGCAGCGTTTATCTCGAACCTTATTTCCATGTGGTTGCTTTCATTCACTAAAATTATAAAAAAAGACCTGTGTGATCTTATGTTTGTCCGCAGATGAAATAGAAGTGGAATTATGTGTTAGTGGAATAAATTTATTATATTGCAAAAACAAAATCGGATCAGGATCAGAGGATTGTTCGAACTTGTAATGATGAAAGGATCCCGATTGAATGATCTCTAAGTTGTTCGCACGAACATAAAAATGCTTGAAATGTCCTAGAACACTTAGGAAAATCAGTCGACATTTTCGTCTATCTTCACTGTAGACTACGATGCAAAATGGACGGTTTGCTTTGCAATAATAATGAAGTTTTGAATTATCATTACGAGATACGATGTGAATGTGTGCCGTCACTCTTTCATTTCAAATCGAAGAACGACAAATAGATATTAGCAAAATAACCTCTAAGGAGAATGATTTACGATAATTCCGTTCAGAGTTTTGTTTGACTTGTGCAGTTTACAATTACATTTTGGACGATATTTTCGAATGAATTTTTTAAAAATTCGACGGAATCCATTATTAGTCATCAATGAAACGTAGAAACTCGACGTAAAAAATGAATACGACATCAGGTTCACCGTTTCGGATGTAATATTTTCTACAGCAGTTCGATAAGCCGATTTCACCTGATATCGTGTCAAATTCGAATAGATCAGATAAGTCGCATATGGAATACGTGTTGTCAAAGCAATAATTATTTGCACCAGAAGCATCACTGCTAACTGAGAATCGATCTTTTTTAAAATTGACGGTTGTATAGCCGCCACTGGTCGACTTTCGTTCATCGGAATGATTTTTTTCTTGATTAAACTTCGAACACTACGTAACAAACAAATACCAAGAATAATCATAACTATTGGCGTGCACATTGCTGTTACACATGCTTCGATGTACTCGTCAAAAACAGCATAGACTCCCGGTCGAGGAATACATTGATTATTTGTCGTACTGTATAGAACAAGTCGATGACCAAAAAATAACAACCAAAATAAGACAGTGACCAGCGCCAATCGGTAAGCTAAGTCCGCCCGATTGCTCCATTTACGATATGCTAATCGAAAAGAATCAACATGTAAGAAAACGTTTGTTTTGCATTTTGTTATTGACTTACCATCGGTTTGCTGTAGAGATAGAATTCGGTCCACAAGTGCAAGCGTGAACAGGCTCAACGAAACTACGTGATTCCAAACAGAATCGAATTGCCGGAGTTTACAAAGAGGATCAAAACGTGTTGTAATTGGAATTTGAAAACCACGTTGCAAAATCCGTGTCAGCAACAAAAAATCGAAATAAATCAAACTTGATAAAGCTTCTAATAGTAAATAAATCGAATAGGCACGTTGAAAAAACGTTCGAGATCTGAACACTATTAAATTTCCCAGACAACCGAAATTGCCTGCAATCCATAGAAACGTACCGATATAAACGTTCAATTTGTAAGGTGTAGCTAAGAGTATTTCGCTGACGCTGTTGGATGTTGTGTTCATCGTCGCGTGAAAATGACAGAAAAGATTGTGCTACGCTTTCTTACCCGAGAATTTCTTCATCCTGAGAATAAATTGTTATCTGAAGGAGATAAACTTATTCTTTTTAAATTATACCATTCACTTGTATTTGATGAAGACAAGGAAAATAAATTGAAGGTTACTGACAAATATATCAACGAATAGCATCAGTAATTGTCTTTAGCAGATGCAGTATTAGATTATTAGTCACGCGCGGGATTGAGAACAACTTACAGTATCATACTGAAGATGAAGTAACTAACATGTGTATCATATGCAATGAATTATTCAACAGTAATGATATGTTCCTTCGGATGACGGTAAAATCTGGAGATTACAGCATTTAAAAAAACTATGATTTTTATGCGTTCTCGATGCCATCGTATTCTAATCATCAATTTCATCGATCTATTTCAAACTGTAGGGAAAACATGTGCGCTAGTTGATAATTTATATTCGATTATTCATTTATCTGGATTTGTAAATTTTTGTAGACATAAGAACTAACTTTAATTTTCTCTACTGGAATAGTAAACCAATAGGAAAATTGTTTGGTACATGTATGATGTTGATGAATTCATCCTCGAGCTATACTTAAAGGCAGTTGAGAGTATGCAGTGCGCTTTTTCTTTGCACTCTTCACAAAAGATCGCAATTCTATACCACCAACATTTTTAATCTTTGCAAAGATTATTAATCTGTGTGGTGTAGATAGCTGATGAGTTAGAGATGATAAAGTTGCTATTTTAGTATACTTCATTTTAATGTGTGATTCTTTTGTGTATTTATTTACTGTTTCATTTATAAAGCCTGATTGACGGATACTCGGTGCTGAAACCGTTTGGATGTTGAGATACGATTGAATTGCCACGTTCACATAATATCTGTTGTGTTTAAGTTTCTTATCTCCAAAGTAATAGTCAATTGTGGTCTCCGTATTTTGAAATGTTTGATAGTATTCCAAAACAACCGTTTTCAATTCATCATTGGATGTCCATGTTGTTCTCTAATGGTTGTCAGTTGTAAGAAGATCATCCATTATATCGAGTACCAATGCTTTCGGAATGTTGTATAGATATCCATTCTCACTAAGCACTGGATTATCTGTTCTACCGCTAAACATTGTTTCAGTTTGTGAGCTAGTAGTATGTGTTATAACATTAAAGTTGCCATATATGTTGGGATTCCACTCCTGATCAGGCAAAACTGGAATTTAGCGGTAGGAAGGTAATAAAATCCAAATAATTTACGAAAACGAGTACGATAATAAATCTATCTATTGAAAAATGTCTTCCTTGTATAATGGAAAAAATCAAGACTGAAATTTACGCGTTAATGAATTAATGTCTTTTTCCAATTGTTGATAATAACACAATTTTTTGTCTCATATTTAATCCAAAGAGAATAGTTTTATATTAAATTCAAAAGTTTGCGTCTATATTCATACTAATTAGTTAACCAAGTAGTTTTTTCTACAGTTCTTCACTAAATTCCAATTCTGCTCTCAACATATACATGATGTAACAGATGAATGAAGAATAATTTTATTTCAAGGAAGAACATCATTCCTGAACAATCAGCAAATAGTTTTTTCTTTCTATCAAATTCCATTATATTCTTCAAACATGTGACTCCCTCGTGCTTAGTCATAGATAAAAAAAACTCGGTATTCTAGTGCAGAAAAGATAAAGAACAGAACAAAAACATTCGCACGGGTGCTGAAAGTTTCAAAACATGGAAGAACAGAATGTAATGTCAACTGTTGAAATATTTATTTCCCCAGTAAACCAAGTATCTAAGTAACCAAACTGAAAAAGATGAATCACAGCATGTTATATAAATGATTGCTCCTACCATGAATGCATCCAGACCATAGTTTTCTCTTTCTTTCTTCTAGATTATTAATAACTTCCATGATGATGCAATTCGAAGATATGCCCAATGAATTATGTCTCAAGATCTTTTCCTATTTGAATACTCCTGATCTGTTTCGATCATTTTCGAATTTAAACATTCGTTTCGATGGTCTTCTGTATACTTCTACTGAACAAGTTCAATTACCTGAAAATACACAATTTCCATGGTTAGTACAATTGATACCCCAAATCGAATCGAATATCCAGAAAATTTTTCTCAGTGAAAAATATTTAAGATTTATATTCCAGAAGCAATGGTCTTTTTCTAAACTCCGCTATATTCAAATTCAACGTAAAGAATGGACAATGGGTTTAAAGTTTCTCAATGAACCTTATCTTAATGTCCTGCTTCAATCGTTAAACGTTCTTCGCAGCTCTAACTTGGCTGTAAAAAACTTCATTCCCCATTTGGAAATAAACACCAACGAGGTAAAGTGAAAGAATAATACTAATAAGCATTTTAGATTTCTATTTAGATTTCCGCATATAAGCCATCTTATGTGTTATGTCCATTTATTAAATATTTATCGCTTAATGGATGCACAGAAACAGCTTTACATGGTATTCTACGTTGTACACCAATGTTAACTCGTTTGAAACTATCGTATACAACGTTCGATAATAGCGTTCATTGGAGTGACATAAATCTGACTTTAGTCGACTTAGATATTCGAAGAGTTAATACATGTGATTTAAGATTTGTGTCGCAAATAATTCATGGATGCCAAGCATCACTCAAAAAATGTCGTATTGAAATGTCTAGTTTAGAGAAAATTCATGGAAATTGTATCGATCAAATATTTGGATCATGCACATCATTAAGACAGTTTGAATTCTGCTTCGAATACCATAGTTCGAACGAACTCAAGAAAGCTAATTTCGATACACTCAAAAATGAATGGCGTCTTAATTGGTATCATTTCAATATTTATATTCAATTCAATATTTTGACTTCTAACATAGTAGTCGTTTCAATGCCATGCAGATATCCATTTCAATTTCAAAACAATCTATGCGGTTGGTGTATAGCAAATTCTGATCAACACTCGTCGAGTCTTCGTTTTACTAATACCAATCAAATCCATCTTACAAACACAATGAAGCAACTAATCAGTCTGGAATACTTAATGTCACTCAATGAAATATTTACTTCGCCTAATCAAACATTACAGTTCAATTATTGTGGATTAGACGGGGTAGAGACCTTGTTGTATATGGTGAGGAAATCTCAATGTTTCAACTTTAATCTCTTTCTCCTTTCTGTCTTCTAGTTCATGGAAGATCGATCGATTTCACCAGTTCTACCTCGAGTTCGTGAATTTGTTGTGAGCTCAGGGCAAAATGTCGGGCCGATTGTGTTATGCGTTTGGATTCTTCTTATGCCAAATTTACAAGTATTAAATCTGACGAAATTGAACACCGATACTCAAGCAGGCTTAATTCAAGAATTATTGATTAACATAGATGACAATAAACAACTCAGATCTATATTTGAATCAGTTCCTAAAATGGTTCTTTTGAAAAGGTCTGATGACAAATCTCCGACGCCGATAGGTCTGATAGCACAGTTCAAAAGTGTTTTTGTCCATGCTGATGTTCGATGATGCATAATATGAGTCATGAACATGGAACGCATAATTGCATGTAGTTTTTATTTTTATATTTGTTTGTTCTTGAAGATGTAAACTGGAAATCTTTTTTTCGCATCAGTCTTCATTTTTTACAGAAATAATTCAGATAGAGAAGGAAGCACTAGCTATGTACAGTGAAATAATGTCAAACTAGATCGGACTGTAAGATAATTGAAATGCTCCACTAACTTCGTTATGGACTCAATTCTTTCCACTTAAATCTCAAATTCGAAGTTACACTTTTAATATGATTCAAAAACTGACAGCTAGTTAAAGATCAACTTTATTCAGCGAAATTCATAAACAAAATAGATGGAAATCCAAGAATCTTACTCCATTAGGAAAGTATGACTATCAAAGACTATCACAAGCAGATTATGATATCATAAAGTCGTCAATTTTAGACGAGGATTATGTGACGGTGCTCAGAGAATCAATTTCGAATGTGTTTGATTTTCATCGAACATTCTGATAGAATAGATTCTAAATGACAATACGTTCTATGAGTGGCGGCAATCGCCGCTCGAAAACGAATACCAAAAACTCTGAACTGTTTACACTCGTCTGGTTGCATACACCTGTGCAAGAAAGTCTGAAAACTGAAGACAAAGTACGTTCAATCATAAATGAACTTGAACAGTTTCAAGATGCAACCGAAAATGGTGAACATATCGAACAGAAATCTTCGCAAGATCGTTTATTTGTCATTGTGAGTGATCAACTCGAACGACAGTCAGTTCCATGCATTCGTCATTATCATCAAGTTATTTCAATATATGTATATTGTCTGGATAAAACAATCAATGAAGAATGGATGCATCGATATTGGAAAGTAAACCAAAGGAGAACAGAAGTGTTCTAAGTTTCGGATGTTTTCCAAGTGAAAAACATGGCGACCAATCAGGACGAACTCATCTTTCGAATCAAATTTAATAATAAAACTCAGAAAAAAGCGAACGAATTGTTGCCAGTCAATACACTCTTCTTCAAAGATATTGCAGGGAAAACAACTAGACAGTCAATTAGTCTTCAGTGAGATTCTTCTTGATCGACTAGTACAGATGACAATGAACTCGTCGCTCGTTTAAAAAAGCAGTATAAGGAAAACATGATTGAATTACAGTATCTTGCCGAGTTTGAGAAAGATTATTCACCAGATCGATTTTTGCATTGGTACACAGTAGAAACATTCTTTTATCGTACCTGAAATGCAAACAACCGGTTATAAGGTCGATCGAAGTCAATTGATAACCAATGATGAATTAGAAAATCTTCGAGCATCGATTCGACAATTTATCGAGATAAATTCTTTCTTCTCGACGAGCGTACTGTTTGAGAAAGTGTTGAACTTTCTTCGAGTGTCACTCGATTTCGCAAGATTGATGTTAGTCAACACAGTGTGCACGAAAAATAAGTGGAAGTACTGTTCATGCTTGGTTCTGTGTTTCGTTTGCAAAGTATTGAATGAAATGATGAGTATCGCATTTGGATGATTCGAATGGAGTTATGCGACGAAAAAAGAGTATGATTCTAAGCACGTTCTTCATCGATTGAAAGAACAAAATATCGGAAGAGAAGTCAATCTGCGAACTTTCGGAGAAGTTTTGTGGAAATTGGGAAAATTTGATCTGGCGAAGGAGTATTTCACTCGAGCGATCAAAGAACTTCCGTCAAATGATCCTTTACATGTTTATTTATATAAGAATTTGAGTGAACTCGCTTTGCAGACTGGTGACCACGAAAAACGTATCGAATATTCTCACAAATCCACGAAATGTATAAGAGAAAATGACGTTATGTTTGATTCAAATGTTGGTAAAAGAATGAAATTCGCTAGTAAGCTGCAACAACAGACATAAGCGATTGGATCCATTATCTTATGTAATCAATGTAATTGTCAATGAAGAGAAGGATTTTATATCGGTTTTGATCGAGGGAACAAACGAGCTATGAAATGGGGATGTCAAAGTTAATTAGTCCAACAAATTCTTATCGATGATACAGTTTGTTATGGTATCTGTATGGACAGCAAGGGATTTATCTACGTTTTCGATATAGCAAAACATGGGGCTAAATGATGGAAGGAAGATGAGAACAAGAAAGGAAATGAACTAAATCAATTTTTAACTGTCCGATTTTTGTATTTGTTGATGATGATGGAGGTAATGTGTATGTATCAGATCGCGACAACCATCGCGTAGTTAAATGAGTACAAGATGCGAGCAAAAGCATTGCAGTTGCTCGTAGACATGGTCAACTTGACGATCAGGACCAATTAAACTCTCGAGAAGGAATACTTGTACATCAACTAAGTCGAGTCTATATCTCAGGTAGTGGTAACATCGAATCGTAAGCTAATATAACAATGATGAAGAAGGTTCGTTTATTATTGGTAATAACGGAAGAGGAAAAGATGAGAAACCAGTTAAATCATCCAACTGGTTTGTCATTTGATTCCAAAGGAAATCTCTACGTTGCTGGCCATTATAATAATTGAATGCAAAAGTTTCTAGTGAATACAGAATAGAATTTTCATCAATCGCTCTTTCACATGTCAAGTAGTTGAGAAAATTTTTTGTTCTGTATGTGTGAATATGGTGTTGTGTCTTGATTACTTGAAACACATTCTTCTCTTCTACTTTTCGATTCTGTTTACTGCAATGTAACTATGAGCAAGCAGTCGTGCAGTTGAAATATAAACAGAAAAGCAAAAAACACGACAGTCTGCACCTACTTTGCAAACACCCGGACCATAAACTGTTACATTTATCATGACGACGACTACTGCGTTCTCCAGTAGAAATCTCTCTGCGAAAGCTGATCTGCATAAACAGCTTGAGTCCTATTGTCTTGTTTGGCTTGACGCAAGTGTCCATGAAAACGCCGAAATCGAAGATAAACTGCGTTGTGTGATAGATCAACTTGAAAAATTTGACAACGCTAAAGAATGTCAAGAATACATCGAACAAAGGTCTCGAACTGATCGCATCATACTTATCGTCAGTGGTCAATTCGGCAAACAACTAATCCCGATAATTCACAAACTCCGACAAGTTCTTTCCGTCTATGTCTATTGTATCGACCAAACAAATCACGAGCAATGGGCTAACCAATACTCTAAAGTAAATATTTCGTGCAAAAATACTTGACCATGGATTTTCTTACGTTCTGTAGATCAAAGGTGTTTTCACCAAACTCTGTGATCTGCTTTCACGCATTGCATCGGATCATAATATACAGAAGAAGATCGAAGATCCACTACCGATTTGCATTTTCAATTTCGACACGAATGTTGATCAAAGCATAACCATCGGTAACGATCAATTCGTTTTCATTCAAACATATCTCGATTTATTGCTACGACTAAACTCCAACGAAAATGATCGAATCGAATTAATCAATCGTCTAAGAAAACAATTCAAAGATAATCCAACCGAATTAAATCACATCTTCGAATTCGAACAAAGTTATTCACCCGATCAAGCATTGCAATGGTATACAAAGAAAACATTTTTCTATAAAACTTTGAATGCAGCATTGCGGCACGAGAACCTACATATGATATTTCTATACCGTTCGTATATCTTGGATATCTATCGTCAGTTAGAAGACAATCAAGTCCAACACATTCTCAAAGTTTATCGTGGACAAATGATAACGAAACATGAATTGGAAATTTTACGAAAGTCCATCGATCAGTTTATTTGTGTCAATTCATTTTTTTCAACAAGTCGTTTGTATAACGAAGCATTTGCATTTCTTCGTTCGTCGACTAATCTCGAACGAGTAATGTTCGAGATCGAAGCTGATCCGATGAGAGACGGTATCAAAGTATTCGCTGATATTCGTAAATATAGTGTTTATGCAAAGGAAGCGGAAGTGCTGTTCATGATTGGTTCAGTATTTCGAGTGAAAAGCGTTATTCGTAATCACGAGGATAATAAATGGTTGATTAAATTGAACTTGTCCAATGAAGAAGAATATGATCCGAAGGGCATTTATAAGAAAATGAAACAGAAGAATTCCAAAGGAGAAATCGACCTTCGAACTGTTGCACAATTCTTGTTGAAAAATGGAAAAGTCGATTTAGCAAAGAAGTACTTTATTCGGTCAATCAACGAAGCGTCAATTGATGATCCACAATGCGCCGATTTATATGATGATCTTAGTCGACTTGCATCGAAAGCATGTGACTATGATAAGAGTTTTCAGTATTTACGAAAATCGATTAAATGTAAACAGCAGACGAACGCTTCAACGGCAGGAAAATCACTCAAATCGACGAGTAAATTCATCGATTGATTTTTCGTTAACATATTTTTTCTTCTGTTAGAACAGCTGAAATGGAAACCAAATGGAATCAACATTACTGGTGAGAGTAAAGTTGGAGTTGCACTTTCGCATCCGTTTGGAATTTTCGTCACTAAACTCAAAAGCGTTTATATCGCTGATTGGGGTAATGACCGTATTGTTCGATGGAAATGTGGTTCGACCCTTGGTGAAATCGTCGTCGCCGGAAATGGTTTTGGAAATCGACTCGATCAGTTGTCGAATGTCACAGATTTAGTTGTAGATGAAAAAACTAGTTCGTATATCATTTGTGATCGAGGGAACAAAAGAGTCGTACGATGGTTTGATCGTAGTGAAACAAATCAACAAATTGTTCTTAATAATATTGCTTGCTATGGTATCTGTATGGATAGCAAAGGATTTATCTACGTTTCCGATACAGAAAAACATGAAGTTAAACGATGGAAAGAAGGTGAAAAAGAAGGCATTGTTGTCGCAGGTGGGAACGAGAAAGGCAACGAACTGAAGCAACTTAATTGTCCGACTTTTGTATTTGTTGATGATGATGCCAGTTTGTATATATCAGATCGCGACAATCATCGCGTGGTGAAATGGGTGCAAGATGCGAGCGAAGGCATTGTTGTAGCTGGTGGTAACGATTGTGGAAAAGATTTGAAACAATTATGTTTTCCCGAAGGGATAGTTGTTGATGCATTAGGCCATGTCTATGTCTCAGATTATGGTAATAATCGTGTGGTACGCTGGTGTGAAGGTGATAAGAATGGTTCGATTATTGTTAATGGTACTGGTGTTGAAAGGGACGCAAACCAGTTTTATCATCCGTCTGGTCTATCACTGGACAACGAAAATAATCTGTATGTTGTCGATCAATTTAACAATCGAGTACAAAAATATGAACTTGATCTTGAAGATATTTGTACAACAAATTGACTTCTATTTTTATTTTGATCGATATGTTGTAATCTTTGAGCTTTACAATTCCTTTTTATTATTTCATCTTTTTTCGTCACTCATAATTTTTGAAATAGGAATAGTTGGAGATTGACTTTTTACTTAACATCATCGGAACTTCGAAGAAAACATCTCACTGGTGTCACTTATCACAAAGGTAAAGAGGAAAAGCCAGTACATATGAATTAAAACCGTTGTATGAAAAGAAAAATGAATCTTAATGAAATTTATTTCAGTTCTCGAATAATAAATTCAAAAATTTCATCAAAAAAAATAAATCTCATAGATGATTACAGATGATATCTCGACCAATACCTTTCAAGATCAAGGAACGAAATTCATCATAGGTCAAATTCCCATCTGCATTTATGTCAACTTTTCGAATGTAACTTCTCAATGCATCACTTGTGACATACTGATTGATTGTCGTCAAAAATACACTAAGTTCTTCAATATGAATAAAACCTGATCGATCGCGATCGAGAATATCAAAAGCCTTTTCTAATTCGAATTGATCGTAGTGTCCCATAACAAACGGTCGTAAAACTAAGATAAAATCATCGAACGATAGAGCATCGATTGCACGCGTTATGAGCTGATTGTATTGATCACGTTTTATGTTGGCAGTGTAGGCTCGTATACGTCGCTCTTTTTTACTTGTCACACCAAGAGAAACAGCTTCATTGGTAACTTCTTCAAATTCATAATCTATTTCATTGATTTGACCGAATTGTCGCGTAATCGTTTCAGTAACTGTAAATTCCAAATTCATTTTGAAGGTGTACTACTGGTGATGCAGGTACCTATTCGAGAACAACTAACCGTAAATAGTGGATGAAACATGTCGACGTAGGTTTTGCTTTGGCCATATAGATGTTTCGTTAGATAAGAGCGTTTTCTTATCATTATCTTTGCGACAACGCCGACAAAGGAATTCGACTTTTTTTTTCTTACACATCTACCTGAAAAACAGAGATGTAAACACATGTCTCAGAAAAGATAAATTTATGTCTTAAAACCCCTTGTTTGGTGACACAACAAGATTGGATGTTTAAAATAAGCATTTTACTTGATTAGTTCTTGTTTTTCTCTTCATGGTTATGACATATAAATATGATAGGTATGCTTCACAGCTCATTAGATTGCTGTCAAAAGCAAGAGAAATCCGGATGATCTATCACAATTGACAAGTTTGATATATAAAATGATTGTAAGCAGATTATGTTACCGGATTTTCAAATTCAGTTAGAGCAAAGATATATTCTCAAGATTTTTCACTAATCAACATTCAAACATTAGTGCAATCCAATGTCGCTCACGTTTCTTACCCAGCAGTTTTATATTTACATCGGTTTTTTTCTCATTGTGACCGGAGTCTTTGGCTCACTATTCAATATTACAGTTTTTCTTAGTCTGAAAACATTCCGACAGAACACGTCTGTGTTCTATTTAACAATCATGTCGTTTGTTAATATTGGCCAATTGTTATTCGGTTTATTTTCTCGAGTACTGATCTCTGGATTTGCAATCGACTGGAGTGCTACATCAATTGTTTTCTGTAAACTTCGACTAACTTTACTTAATCTGTGTTCATTAGTTTCCTATACTTGCTTATGTTTGGCTATATTTGACCAATATCTAGCCACATCGACACGTCCACGTTGGCAGCAATGGAGTAGTTTGAAAACAGCTTATCGTTTAACATTGCTATTCACTTTCATTTGGATTCTCCATCTCATTCCGTATCCAATATTCTTACAACATGTTACATCACGTACGACAGGCAAAACGGTGTGCAGTGTCATAAACGATGCTGTGTCCGTGTATCGAAATTACTATGTTACTCTTGTTTTGGTTGGTTATTTGCCGGATATAATCACTGTTGTGTTCGGTGTCTTAGCTTACAACAATATACGACAAATAGCCTATCGCACCTTACCACTGGTTCGTCGAGAGTTAGACAAACAGTTAACGGTGATGGTTTTTGCACAAGTTATTGTCAATTTAGTGACTAATACTCCATGTGTTACGATGATTGCTATTACATACTCAATGGGGACGATTCAAGATTCATCTGTTTTAGAAATTACACAATTTGTGAGCAATGCGACAACCATCATCTTCTATTCGTACTTTTCGGTAAGAATATCGATTTTGCGGCTTGAATCAACTGATTTTTTTCTAGAGTTCATTCTATATTTATATATGTGTATCTGAACGATTCCGTCGGCAATTTATTTATGTTATTTCGCAAATGCATCCATACCGATGGCAACAACAAATAAAGCCAAACAATCAAATTGTTCCAACATAACATAGGGGTACTTTCCGTTACTGAAGAAAAAAGTATTCCGTTTTTCAATGTGCATTAGGTACAGTCAAAGATCGATAGAGTTCGACAAATCGGAATTCTGCATTGTAATTTTTCGATAGTAGAATAAAAACAGAGCAAATCAACATTATTCGGACATATCAAATGAAATGGGTTGAGAGATACAACCATGGTGTACGCACTGGTCGCATACATCCGTAATTGAAAGAGATGATTAAACGAGGAAATGTTAACAACGTGAATATGAACGGTGCTGATCGAATACGTTGATAACGACATAACTGTTTTTTGTAAATGTTCTTGATAAGTCTAATCGGGCCACACAATTATTCGTCGACGAGCTATTTTTCTAATGATACATATGAAAGTGATTAAACTGATCAGAAAGGAAGAATTATACCTTTGAATCGATGAGATGTATTGGACCGGGCACCAACTTCGCTGTTCGTCATCATCAAAGTCATCGATCACTGTGAATCCCATATCTTGTTGCCTGTCGACTCTTCCATCGATTGAGATGCATTGTTTGTTTTATGCTTACTATTCGCTCAATGGCTACACACGTATGCAGCCATTTTGTGAAAGAATCAAATGACAAGATTTCATTATTAATATCAGAATTGTGCACGTTAATCTAATCGATGAAGCGAATAGATATATATATTTACGCCCACTGGTCGAGTTTTCTCTTGATAGAACACCATTGACTAAACCAATGACAAGTAGAATATCATTGATGACAGTACTTATTTGAAGAATCGGAAAGCTATCCATTTCGATGGACAATACTGCATAGTGCTTTACAGTCCTTATTTCTGAATGCCAATCTATTGGAATACAATGCATAGTGAAGCGCTTGTTCACAGTAAATATTATTCAGATGAGGAAATGAAGTCAGCATAATTTCTCATTAATTCTTTATCTCGTTGATTTGAACAAAACTCACGACGAACTGAAACAAATGCATAATTTATTTATTTACTATCCGCACATTGAAAAGTCTTTGGAGAGCACCTAATACATTATTGGCATCGGTATTCACTACGCTCATTACAATACGTAGTTTTGAATTGATCACACTATCGCTCATCTTCTCTATTGATGCAGTTAATGTTCCCATCGCATATTTCACGTCAATCAAGACAAAGAGACCGATTTTGATGACAACATCCATCCTTTCTACTTGATCGATTTGTGCAAACCAACTAAGCAACTATTCGCTAGTAATACCTACTCATCTTAGTGCATCAAAATGCATGGTTTACAGGACGTTCTCCTTGGAAACTGTATGCAAGTCACCGTTGAAGTCAACCCGTTGGCAATAAACTATCAGATGACACTCATGACGACGATGTGATCCACTTTCCTTACTACTATCAATTAAATACATATATAAACAGCATCGTTCGGTTGAAAGTCATTGTCAATTAGTGACATTATTAGAGACGATAAAAGGGTGTCACTTTAGTTTTAATGTTTCATGATAGTTGATAAAAACAAACGCATTTCTTTTTACAAAGTATAGCAAATGTTTCGAGAGGAAAAGCATTGATCATCTCTATTTCGAGTAAACTAGAAACAAATATTTCCTATAAGCATTATTTATTTCTTAATATGAAATAATACACTAATGTCATACGCATTCTCAACTGAGAAAAACATGGTATCTGCATAAAAAATGTCATTTCCCAAGATAGTAAAAGATCTGAAGTATGTTCTTGAACTTTGAAGTAGTCAAATCACGGTAGAAGAAATTTGTACTAGTTAGTTTTTACACAATGAACCATTGCACGATGCGCGGAATAGATGGCAAATATCGGTACTCGTTTTCGCCCGTCTTGGTAACATATTTACTGGATTGAGCCCCAGAATTACATGCCAGAGATGCTCAAAACTTCCACCGAACCATTTCGTACCGCCTTTTCCTGGTTGTTCACGATCGAGTTCTGTCGTACAATATGGCTCTAGACTTGCACGATAGAGTGCTGTCCATTGTTCGTATGTATAATGTTGAATACGTTCTTTTCTTACATAAAACTGTGCACAACATGTAGTTGATATCAGATTATTATCTTTTGGTGTTCTCTTATCGGGATTCAACTGTGCTTCGGCATCAAAACCGAAAAAAGTTAATAAACGTGCTGCACATTTGTACATTAAGCCGATATTATCCTTCGGGTCGCGACTCCATATGGACCACGGTCGATCTTGAATCCAAAAAGTATTGATATTGGCATAATAAACATCATCGCGAACACATTGAGCTGCTTCAATCGGATGTGGCGAGTGTGCATGAGGATTACCATGAAGAAATAACATCTTATCAGGTAAATCATAATAATAATCATAAATAAATTTTAAATAAACACCGGCTTCTTCATGTACATTTTGGCAGTAGGGCCAATCATATGGAACTGTCGAGTTTGGATCAATACGTTGATATAAGTGAATGTCATAGGACCGAGACGGATTCGGATTGAACAAATCGAGACCGTCACGTATCCAAAGTGGCCAACTTGAACGATCCGCCCAATTGATTTCCTTCCATAAAGCTGGAATAACCACCAGTCGATTCTTTTTCCATTTACTACGCATTGTCGATGGTGTAGACAGTGATGAATTCATCATTGAACTTGAAAACGGGCGGAGAAATACAGTTGATAACATGTGTGAAGATTTCAGGTTACTAATAACCAGCCATATGACAACACCAGAAAGCAGACTAAACACGATGATCCAATTTGATTTTCTACATAAATATATGTGTAGACAACAAAAATTCGCTCGAAGAATATGATTTACTTGATGGATGATATCATAGTAATATTAGAGAAAACGCTGTGAAATCTTCCTGCCACAATATACGGAGCAAATGAAAATTTGTATGCGTTGATATACCTTGAAAGAACTATATTAAACCAAGCCTGTAGATTTGAGAGAATGAACGCATCTTCATTCCTATTGACGGAAAGCTAAGCGTATGTCTGAAATTGATGTCGGATCGAACGTTTGGTGATCATATCTATTTTCTTCTCTAATTTAACGCGTTTGAAGCACGATTCAACGATGGAATCAAAAAACGCAACAGTCACTCGCTAACCGCTTTCACGTCTTTTTGCTGTCACAGACGTTACATAGAGATTGTGCTGGGGTACGATTCATACTAAAAACTATTGCTTTTCTCAACATACATAAGTAATCAAAAGTCGTCAACGACAATTGTTAGCTCATAATATAGGGACATCAGCGAAAGAGAACGAAAGAGAGAAGAATCGAGAAAAAGTGACCTTCGTGGGACTCGAACCCACACCTTCTGCTATCCGGGCAGATGTCCTAATCCAGTTAGACTAGAAGGACCATCTTAATCTCTAGTCTAGCGTTGTGTGATTCATCACAAACGCTAACACCTTACCCCTTTGGGGAGGTGCAGGAAAGGAAAACATGCTGATTGCCCAACTTCTCCACCAATTGTTAGCTCATAATATAGGGACATCAGCGAAAGAGAACGAAAGAGAGAAGAATCGAGAAAAAGTGACCTTCGTGGGACTCGAACCCACACCTTCTGCTATCCGGGCAGATGTCCTAATCCAGTTAGACTAGAAGGACCATCTTAATCTCTAGTCTAGCGTTGTGTGATTCATCACAAACGCTAACAACAATTCTTTAATTGATGAACATCACCTATTTCTATCTTTTTTACAGTCGGTACCTATTCGCAGATGACATAATCATCACGGATAGGCATGTCGCTACATTAATATTCTCCGTGCACTTTCCTTATTTCAAGCTTTTAATAAATCAATATATGCTCATATATTATAATTATAAAAGAGAAAAGTTTCAAGTCGTTCAATAAGTTGGTTGGAAAACTTACAAGTGACATTGTCAAGTTACATCAGTGGTTGTTCCATTGTAGAAAAAACAAACACTAAGGAAATCAATGAATAAATTAGTATTTCAGCTACTTGAGAGAAAAAATTAAAGAACAATGATGTTTGTTTAGAGAAAAAACTTTGGGTGTAATTGTTCCTGTTCTCAGTCTGTTATGCTCGCAAATGAAGACATATCCAAGCGCGTCACACGTTGGGAGCGAGGAAAGGCAGTCGCATAGCAACTTTCCTTACTTTTATGCTGGGTTTCATACTACAGACGGTTCTCTGTTGTTTCACAATTATTTCTTTACCGTTTGTATGAATTTGTTTGAGAAAAGGACATCGAAGAAACAACCAGAGACAATATAAACAACAGGAAATGTACACTATGTATTGAGTGATTGAAACATATTTTATATGATATATTTGCTACTACGATCATATTCATATCTGGTGAAGTTTCTTTTATTGGGTATAAATACAATAGCTTTGTGAAGTAATTAACGTAGAAAAGATTTAAGGCACTGAAGAAATCTTTGAGTCTATTATTTGTATCGAATTTGATACTTTCATGAGGATTTTTATCATTCATCAAACAGTTAATGCATATGTATATTATATGCGTAAAGTTCAGTAATGTGAATGTGTTTATTAGTTATTATTGATGTTTTCTTCTCAAAAACACTATCGTAAACGCATCGTTAGTTTGTAATGTTAAAAAAGAAAATAAATGTTACGGTTCACAATCAATATTTATTCTGGTGTATTGATCATAAATTTTTGAACACGTTGGTTGCAAAAATCACTAACGTAAAGATTACCGCGTCGATCAAATGCAATGCCAAATGGACGACTAAGCTGAGTCGAACCATTGCCCATAGTGCCTTCACCAACAATGACGGTGCCTTTGGGCGCACCTGGTTCCCAGCGGACAATTCGATGTTTACCCCAATCGGCAACATAGACATTTCTGTCTTCATCAACGATCAATCCGAAAGGATCGGCTAGCGATTCAGGATCAACGCTGTAATATTTATTTGTACCTGCAACAACTTGACCGACTTTAGCACCTTTTTCCCATTTAACAATACGATGATTGCCCCAATCAGAAACATATACAGATTGTTCTTTATCAACAAAGATACACATCGGATGACTGAGATGCTTCAGCTTAGCACCTTTTCCATGGCCACCGGCAACGACGACTCCCGTTGTTTCTCCAATTTTATAACGTTTTACTTCGTGATTTTCATAATCGCAAACATAAAGATAACCTTCATGGTCCAATGCGATACTCGATGCAAGGATATCGGGTATGATTGTTTTAATACCCGAGTCATTTTTTCTTGACCACTGCGCAATGCGTCGGTTACCTTCGTCAGCAATAATAAAACTATCGGTAGCTTTGTCTAAAATGATATCTTTGGGATTTCGTAAACGATCACTTCGCTCAATTTGTGCACCTTCTCCGATAACCATTTCACCAGTCGTTGCGCCATCTTTCCAAACAACAACTCGATTGTTGGAATAATCAGTAATATACACATTTTCGTCGTCATCTACATACATATACGATGGAAAATTCAAATGAGCTAAACTTGTGCCCCATCGTTTGCTACCAGCAACCGTAATACCTTCCTTCGACCAAGTTGTTCCTTCGTTAAATTTGGGGATACGTGCTGACGCAAGGTTTTCAGTTTCAGTACCACTACCCATCGTTGTGAGAAAGATTGACCGAATCGACTGCTTTTTTTTTACAAAAAACTACCTCGCTTTATATCTTATCGCACTATTTACTGATTCATTCAATTGGATTGATGTGTATTGCTTTTTCTTCACTTTATCGATATGATTGTTATTTGGCCATGTGGGTTGTTACGCTTGGTCGATTCAAATAAAGACATTCTATACTATAGTATTAATGCTATACTTTGTTCGTTTTGTATTTGTTCTCTACGGATGGCTAAATATTCAAATGATAGAATGAGAAACAGGGTAAACCAACCGAAAATAATGTTGTTATTGTGGATGAAAACATCTTCATCTCTTGTTCATATTCTGATAATCCAGTGGTTCGAATAAGAGTGTCTGTTGCAATCGATCAATAGAATCTTTGCGCATGTGACTTTAGGTCTCGGTTAGAACGAGAAATATGTTCTCTTTAATATATTTTATGTCAAACAAGTGCACTAGGAATTCAGTCCTTCTACTAAAAGTACTGATGACTTCTCCCAAAAGCGACATCTTTTTAAATATAATCTATACGTTGAATACTAAACAATAAGGCTTTCTATGACACATTATAATCGACGAAAGACTACTGCTTTAGGTAATCGAATAGAAAATGCAAAGAACATTCCGTTTCTATCGTGTCAACTCCAATATATTATTGCAACGAAATCTTAGTGATAAAACAAAGTCACAAACGAAACAGTCATCAGTAGTCGTTGACGCTTGGGGTCAACACGTCACTCTACGCCATGTTCAAGATCCTATGTTTGATAGTTTACGTCGTTGGACCAAAGCACTCAATTATCACGAAGCACCTAGCGTTCCTTCGACGATTGCAGCACTTGACGAAGCAGGTGTTGATCGTATGTTAATTAGTGCATGGTACGCACCGAATAATATCATGATATCGAACGAAGAAGTTTTCAATTTTGTATCTCAATCCAATGGACGACTCGTTGGCGTTGGTTCAGTCGATATAAGTCGACCGCAGTTAGTTATGCGCGAAATTCGTCGCTGTATTGAAAAATACGGTTTTAAAGCTATTCGTGTTCTTCCGTGGTTGTTTCAAGTACCACCAACTGATCGACGGTTTTATCCGGTGTATACTGCGTGCTGTGAATTGAATGTTCCATTCTGTACACAAATTGGTCATACTGGTCCGTTGATGCCATCGGAGGTTGGTCGTCCTATCTATCTCGATCAAGTGGCACTTGATTTTCCCGATTTAACCATCGTCGGAGGACATATCGGCTATCCGTGGACAGAAGAAGCTATTGCCGTTGCAACGAAACACCCCAACGTGTATATTGATACATCAGCTTATACTATTCGACGTTATCCTCGTGTACTTATTGAGTATATGCGCGATACTGGTCGGAAGAAAGTTCTATTTGGTTCAAACTATCCAATGATCAATCCGGTTAAAGCACTTGAAGATTTAGATACGTTAGGACTGGATGAATCTACGCGTGCTCTCTTCCTTAGTCAAAATGCTGTACGTGTGTTTCGACTTTAGTTTGAAAACCTTGTTTTTATCTATTTTACTTTATTTGAATGTAAGTCCTATATCGAAGAATTGCTTCAAAATTCAAAAGTGACATTCAGACTCTCATCGTAAGATATCTTTTTTGTTTTCTTCTTCCAACATACATGTGTCATGAATGCTTGTAACATCTGATAACTAACGAAAAAGGTTGTTTTGTATTCCTTTTCTTCCTACCAAATATTCGCTATCAAAAAGACATATCTGAATAGAACATGATCAACAAATAGACAGAAGCGTTTCTAGACACATAAAAAAATTAGTGAGGTCTTTCGCGAGGAGCTTGGTATTCTCGAGTTAGAAATTTATTTGATCAAAAGGTATCTTAATACGATATTTATATTGGAAATTAGAATACTAGCTGATTACAATGGGTACCTATTTTTCAAAATTATGCTCGTCTCCGTCAACAGTAGGCACATCAAACGACTCTAGTGACAACCGTTCGACGGCACTGCAAGAACAAGAAATACATCGTTGGGCTTTTGCCACATCTGATACTGTCGTACGACTTTACGACGCAAGAAACGATGCATTTTCGCAGACGTCATCGGACGAAATTTCGTCAGCAGCAGTTACAGTAAAATCCCAGACCACTCCAATCGTATGTGCTGGGAAAGTGAAGGAAGAAAATTTGCGCGAGCTAATGAAGATTGATGCAGATTCATATCTGAACGTATGTTTAAACATAACAAATACACATGGAATCACTTCAATGGTTAAGGAAGTATTCGTAATTGATGAAAATACTCGCTACTTACTGTATTATCAAGAAACACAACAAATGCAGTTCAATGATCAACCGATCGTTGATAAATCAAAAAAACGAGAAAGATATCTTAGGATGAACGACGCCACGCACGTTCTCACTAAGATAAAATGTGGTATTCAAGTTTTAGTTTTATTCCAGGTCGTACCAGGTCAGATAGATGCTTTCGATCAGCTACTTGAAAGAACTCGTAGCAGATTTGCTGCACAGATTTTCGATTTAGAATCACCTGATCAGGATTTATTCGAGAAATCCAGTAAAATTAAGGTGTTCTCTAATGCAGCAGATCCAGCGCAGTTAACAAGCTTACCGGACATATGCAAAACACTAGTGAACTTAAGAGTGGCTACGGCTCAACAATGTCCTATGGAATATATCTTTCGGCCGATCACTTCTCTTTTTCCATGGTACCGTAGTGAAAAAGCAGGATATCATCCGATAGATGAATCAGTTATGAATCAAATAGAAATCCATGTAAATAAGGTGTTGTTGAGCTGGAAGCAGTTTTATGTGCCACTTGATTCTACAATAGAAGAAACGATGCGAAAGCATATTAAAAAGCAACTGGAAGACATTCAGAAACAACAACCAAGCGTAGACAACGCATATTCAGTGAGTATCAATAAACTTCGCCAAATAGTGTTCGATATTCGTCGTGGAAAGATCGATTCCAATGTTTCGCTGGCGGATGTATTTGCTGGTACTGAGGTACTAACGAAAGCGGTTGAACAGCGAAATAAACTGATAGAAAAAGCGAAGTTCATTCAGAGTGTTGAACAGCAAAACATCAAATATTGGAATGTTGCAATGCATATTTCCCAATCCGACGTGGAACTGGTAGTGGTTGAGCAAAAACTGTGTAAAATGACCAACAGAGCGCGTATATTTTGTTTCAACGACAAATTGAAAAAAAAGTTCTTCTCAAAATGGGAAGAGTACCATAAAGAACTTATTGATAGACAGAATGGTGATGACGTAATCTATGCTGATTTCTCCTTTATTTCAATTAAGCTGCCCGAAATGAAAATATTAGATCCAACTGGTATCTGTAAACAAAAAAAGAAAACGTTAGAAGAAGGAGACTCTGGCACTAAGCCGTCATCCAACAAAACAGTAAGTTCAGAACAAAGAAACAATCATCCGACGGAAAAAGTGATTCTGCTTCTTGGAGAATCTGGAAGTGGAAAATCAACTTTCATCAATGCCGTCGTCAATTATTTTCACTTTCATACTCTAGACGAAGCTCTCTCACAGAAACCGATTGCACTTATACCGATCTCATTCATTATTACTGAAGGTGATGATTTCCAAGAACGTCTTCTCACCTTTGGTGAACAAGATCCTAACGAAGATAATCGTCATGCGGGACAATCGGTCACTCAACAATGTCGGTCATATGTTTTCTCCATGGATGAACATACTAAAATCAGACTTATCGACACACCAGGAATGGGTGATACTCGTGGAATCGATCAAGACGATACCAATATGCAACACATTCTATCATTCGTCTCTAATCTTTCACATATCGATGCCATTTGCATTCTTCTCAAACCCGATAAAGCAAGACTCGACGTTGTCTTTCGTTCATATTTTAGTCGTTTGGTGGAATTCTTAGGAGCAAAAGTTCACGATAACATCGTATTTTGTTTCACGCATACACGGTCAACATTTTATGGTCCGGGAAACACAGGATCTTTATTACGCAAGATGTTGCAAACGGAGAAGAGTGAAATTCCGTTTCAGAAAAACAACACATTTTGTTTTGATAGTGAATCATTTCGATATTTGATTGCAAAAACACATGGTATTCACTTTGATAAATTTTTAACAGAGGAGTGCAAGAAAAGCTGGTCAAAATCAGAAGCTGAGTCACATCGTCTGGTCCAATACGTATGCACTACATTGCAACCCTGCTTGAAAGATGACTGGCGATCGGTTGAACATGCTCAATTCGAAATCAAGCGAATAGCTCGTCCAGTGTTGGAAACAATACGAAATACCGCGAGAAATATTCTAATATTACAGAACAATTCCTCGCAATCATTGATTAAAATACACGCACAATCTGTCGTTGGAAATGCGATGATATGCCCAATAAATCACCGCCGAATGAAGAATATCGATGGATTATGGATCCTTGAAACTGAATCCTGTAATTTCTTCGATCAATGCTCCAAATGTTCGTGTACTTATTCTGAACATGCTAAAATTGATTATGAATTGAAATATAAAAAATGGAAGAATGAAAATAACAAACCAACTCTACATGAGCTGGAAGCAACCCGAAATAGACTATGGCAAACGGTCATAGTGTTTGGCAGATTTGTTAAGGACAATGGTTTGCTTTCGAAAAACAACGACGGTCTTTACATCATTTTCAAACAGATGATCGTTGAAGAAGAACATATTTGTTTGCAAGATGAACCACATGAACTCAACGATCGGCTCTGCCAGGAACTAAAAAGGCTGAAAAAAGATTATCGACAACAATGGCAATACTCAACCTCAACGCGAGAAACAACACCTCTATCTACTATATATGATGAAATAAAAATAGCACGAGATAATTCAGATGTTGCTGCTCAACTGGATGCGATTAAGGAAACCAGAGCAATGCAGATGACAGTACAGGAAAAATATGTTTCGATTTTGGAAAATGGTCCATCGTGTTTTTAACCATGAAATGCATTCTTAATATGTGAGTTTTTTCCTTCAATAAATGTTATCAATTTCATTCGCCTATGAAAAATTACAAGTATAGCCTAAGATACTGAATAGGCTGTTTTCCTGGCTTTCGCAGAGTTCAACGGACAGACGCTGAGATTTGTCAGTGACTGACGTGTGTTGCAAAGAAAAAAAGTTATATTTTGTGAATATTATCGTCAAGATCTTGTTTCTAAAGATAGTTACACCCACCAACGAAAAGAAAGAATAACAACAAATTCATATCTATGTAGTCAATCCGTCGAATATAAATAGTTCACATTATTTGTGCCAATGCATCAGGAATGAGTCGCCTGATCGATAACGATCGATCCATCCATCAGCTGACACGTTTTCTATATGTTTCACTAGTATATGTCTACTAATCATTATTCTTGATAAGACATGTTATACAGTTTCGATGTTGTTAGGTTGCCAATGGTTACCTTACCTTTCTTGAATTCAACTATAATATGCTTGGTATCTGCATTTTTGGACTTCAAAATCATCACAGACAACATCATCTACCGGACTCTCCTTATGCACACTTCGAGGTTATCTCGTATCTGCTTCAGCTACTCTAGCACTATATTCATTTGTCTACGAGCAATTTACCGATAAATTTTAGTTGTATATCCAAACCGCTTTCTTTGACGTTCGTACAGATTTCAAAATTTTCTTACTGTCTGCGCATGGATACGCGCTTTGGCAGACCGTCTGATATTTTCGCTGACCAATAAAGTTCTCTACGATCTCGACTATCAAAGATGCCGTTCATCTTTAAATGTGTCGCGCTCTGTCGTATAAGGGTCGATTGTTGGTTTCCCTCTTCCTACGATAGTAAGTAATATCTTCTGCATGAGCCTATGTCGACATGTCAAGTAAATGTTCTGGTTCGTGCTCACTTATGACGATTATTGTATTTTATGCGAAGGAACTACTTCAAAGGGTTCTCATAAAGAGAATCAAACGACATCCGACAAGAATAACTGCAGCAAGGGTGAGTGAAACTAGAGAATCTGAACTGAAGCAAGTTCGACTTGGATTTTATTAAGAGAAAGTCGTGCTTTTTGTTCTTCATTTCTTATTACAAAAATAAATTCGAAATTAAACAGCATGCGTTTGATTACTAATCATCAGTTTAGCAAGTACAGGAAAATGATCCGACGGATAGTTCTGACCATTTGAATCTGTTAGAATTGCATGTTGAATCGTTTTGAAATATTGTGGTGTAACAAAAATGAAATCAATTCGATCGCCTAAGCCTTGACCTACAAAGAAAGTTGACCATGTACTAGTGGGACCATAGTGCGATGCTTCCGTTAAATTCATTGCATCTTGCAGAACAGAACTATTCACAATTACACGATAAGGGTCAGAATCAGGACCGGTATTGAAATCACCAGTGAGGATTACCGGTGCATCAAATTTCGTGATGTTTTCGATACGTGTAAGAATTAGCTCAGCACTTTGTTGACGAGCAGTTTTACCAATATGATCGAAATGTGTGTTAAAATAATAGAAGACTTGATGAGTAAGTCGATCACGAAGTTTCACCCAACTGCAAACACGTGTAACGTCAGCGTCCCATCCTTTGCTACCAGGAACTTCCGGAGTTTCAGATAACCAGAATGTGTTCTGGTCGAGTAGTTCAAAGCGACTAGCTCGATAGAATACAGCAGAGAATTCACCTTTTTCTTTGCCGTCATCGCGTCCAGCACCGTAGCTGTCAAAAGTCGGTAGAGCACTTTTTATATCATTCATTTGATTCGGCAGAGCTTCTTGAACGCCGAAGAGATCCACTGCATGATAACGAATTAAATTTACGACACGATCTTTACGAAAAGACCATCGATTGATTCCATCACTAGCTACATCAAGACGTATATTATACGTCATCACTCGAAATGATGTATCGCGTACCATACCTACAAACATAAGCACAGATAATGGATGAGTTTCATGCTCAAAATGGTTTACCCATTCGTCCGATCGGTTTTGCTAGAGGTATATTCGTTTTTCTTGTCACAAAAAGAGTGGTGGAAATGACAATTGTAGTGATGATACATACAACAGCAACGGCACTGATGATCCAACTTATCGTTTTCATTCTAAATATACACTTCGTCTATCCTTGAACCATTACAACAAATTTTGAAGACGTACTTCATCGGAAATTCGGCCTGATTTTGTTGATCAGTTCCTATACTTTCACCTGATTGCTGTTGGTTCATAGCTTGTCTTTGTTCGATCGTATTGTAAAATACAGTAGCGAATAAATATCATTATCTGTATTTATTAAGCATAGATTAACAAAATACGACTAGCATTACTGTTGATATTTGCTCGACGAAAATAAAGTAAAAGAAAGTGTGTACCATCATAACTTATTTTTCTGTCCTTATCTAATGAAAGACTATCATCACGCAATTACATTTTGTTTTATTTCGAAAAAAATGTCGACACACGATGATGGTCCATCGAAAGCAGCTCCGCAAGTGTCGGATTTGACTATAGAGAATATTACGCAAAATGCCAAGCTCGTTAATAGTGAAACAACGAATGGTCGATTAAAATTTTTAATGGACAAATTAATTGACCACCTTCATGATTATATTCGTGAAACTCGTTTAACGACGGAAGAGTGGACAGAAACAATTCGTTTTCTGACTTCATCCGGACAAATATGTAACGAAGTTCGACAAGAATTCATACTATTAAGTGATATTCTTGGTGCAAGTGTTCTCATCGATGCTTTGAATAATCCCAAACCACCAAATGCAACCGAATCAACTGTTCTAGGGCCATTCTACACAGAAGATGCAGCCGATGTGGCTAATGGTGAAAGTATTGCATCGCCAAATAAAGGTGAAATCTGTCTTGTACTAGCTACAGTTAAGAACACCAAAGGAGAACCAATCGAAGGTACAAGAATAGATGTTTGGGAAACTGATGGCAATGGTCTGTATGATAATCAATATGAACATCGAGAGAAACCCGACATGCGTGGTCGTTTAACCAGTAATAAGCAAGGTGAATTCTATTTCAAATGTGTCAAACCAGTTTCATATGCCGTTCCAACAGATGGTCCTGTTGGAGGTCTTCTAACAGCACTCCATCGGTGTGCTTATCGACCTGCACATATACACTTTCGTCTGTCAGTTCCTAACAGTGACTACGATGACTTAGTTACAGCTTTATATATCAACGGTGATCCATATATAACTTCCGATGCTGTATTTGGTGTTAAAAAGAATCTTATTGTCGATGCAAATAAAGTCAATGATATAACATTAGCAAAGATGTATGAAGTCAACGAACAAGACTGGCTAATACGATACGATTTCGTCATGACCACAAAGAAGGAAACTCAAGAATTGCTTTAAAACTATTTTTATAATTTTAAGTATCGTTGGTCCTATTCGTTGCTTTCTGTGTATCATTCTTTCCTGCACATTTTTTTATTTACTTCTCTGTTCTGTGATATTCATCTTCTTTTTTCCGTCCTTTTCTCTCTATAGCTGTCGTACTTTAGTTACGTATGATCATAGGAGTGCAAAAGAAAAAAAAAAGAACAGAAAAAAGCACTCACCTACAATTCTACGATGTATACAAATGGTACAAAATATATTACCGTAGGCACTTTCAAGCAAAAAATAGACTTGAAGTTGGAGTAGGTTCACATTTTTTCCCGAGAGCCATAATTCCTACTTACAAAACATTCGCTGAATACACATGTTTTATCCTCTACGGACAATCGTACTTAGAGATCATTTACGTTTTAGATATGCTTCGATTGTGCACAACACCGTTCTGGGTGTGTATATAGATATCGTAGTCGTCAGATTTTCTTTTATCCCATATTCTTTAGGAGCATCATGTTCTCAATTCAACGTATCCGTACGTCCCAAAATGCTTCCGTCATACCGTCCTTCAATGGATTCCAATAAGTATTTTCTGGATAGCTGTACCATTATGGTTGTATATGTTACCGAAACGAAAATCTCAACCACGAGCACTGAAAATATCAACTCTATTCATGGTGAAAACAGTATGTCGTGATGAAAATGCATTTGGATTTAACAAAGCAAAAAATGTATTTACCGTTTTTATAGATTCTTACTGGTTTATTTATTCTTATTCAAATTTCTCGTATTAGTTATTCTGCTATTAAATTAAATGAGCCAACATTGTATGCGATCTTACTGGCATCATTTTTCTATCTAATCACATCACTTTTTACTCTATGGACTATGAATTACGATCGATTGAAGGGTATGTTCTCATCGGGATTACTCTGCATCTTTTGGCTATTGGTCACATTAACTAGCCTACCGGATGTTATTGACTATTCTGTTGTATTTTCTCAACAAATCAAGCACTTTCGATATGTGACATTATATATAGAATTAAGTATAATTTTATTCCATTTTTTATTTGCATTGAGTTTATTCATTGCTAATTGTTTCGCGGAAAAGCATTCTTTCGTGAAATCGACAACAGATGAACAAGTAGGATGAGTGATTCTCCTTCCTATTCTAATGACATTTTGGAAATTGTAGCCTGTATTTCTTGAATCTTATGTCAGTCTTCCATCGAAACTGTTTTTTGAATGGGTGACACCTTTGATTCTGCAAGGTTATAGAAAACCATTGACAGAAAAAGATTGTTGGCAACTACCAGCATCCGAACAGACAGTTACTGTTGTTCGACAAGTACAAAAGACTCTAGACAGGTAAAAACACACACTTACAGTACGTTATCTTGTGATTTCTATATATTCGGCAGTCAAATACCACAGATTCCAAAATATACGAATGGCTATTTACAATCGAATGAAATCAAAGACGAGAATGAAAATCTTGTGAGTAATCAACGTCTAGTTTTACATGAATGTCTCATTGAACCGTCTATTGTAGCTGACTGATCAAGTAAGTTTGAATGGAAGTCTGACTTCGCATAAGCTTCAAATGAAAATTTTTATAAAAGCCTGAGGTTCACGTGAAGAAACCATCCTCGAAACATCAAAGACCACTTGTGCTATGGCGTGCACTTTTTCGAACATATCGCCATCGCCTCATCGCAGGTGGACTCTTACGAGTTTTCGAAAACTGTACATTATTCGTTGGTCCTTTCATGTTAAAGTATACATGACAAGGGTTTTTTCGCATTCCAATTGTTGATATTTCATCTAGGCAACTATTGAATTTTTTTGCGGATCCGACAAAACCGAAATGGTTGGGAATTTTCTATGCACTTGTATTGAGTGCGGCTGTGTTTTGTCAGATATTAGTCTTACGAGCTTATTTTCAAAACCAGTTCATTGTTGGACTTCGATTCCGTTCGGCCATAACTGGTCTAGTATACCGCAAAGTTCGTTGCTTGTTTAGCAAACGTGTAATTCAATTATATTAATGGATTGTGCATTCATAGAGTTTAAGATTGTCCAATTCAGCGAAACAACAAACAACAACGGGTGAAATTGTCAACCTGGTTCGTTCGAATATCTTTATTTCCTTTTCGTATCATTCGCATGTTTTGTTTTCTCTTCTCTTCTTTTAGATGGCGATCGACGCTTCGCGATTTGCCGAAGTCACTCATCACATCCATGTTCTATGGTCAGGTAGGTCTTATTTAGGTATCAGATGAACATCTCTGTTTTCTATTGAAAGGTCCATTTCAATTGATTTTTGCGTTTATTTTTCTCTATCGACAAATGCAATGGGCAATCATACCTGGCGTTCTTTTATTGATTATTATGATACCAACGAATTCATACCTACAGAGAATTCAAAAACGGCTAACCGTATGTCGAGAACTATGATAAAACTACTTCTGAAATCGTTTTGTTCTCATTTGTTCAGACGAAGCAGATGCTCGTAAAAGATCAACGTATAAAAACAATGAATGAGATTTTGAACGGTATTCGAGTTCTCAAATTATATGCCTGGGAAGTGGCATTCATGCGTTCAATTCTTCATATCCGCGAAAAAGAATTGAAATACATACGACTAAAAGCGATTAACAGTGCAACGATAAGTATGCTTGCGACATTTACACCAATCTTGGTATAATAATAAAATTTCAATGTATTCGCATACTATTCTACATATGAACCTCTTTAGGTTGGAGTATTGACCTTTGCTACATACGTTCTTTCGTCTGATAAGAACATTCTGACAGCTGATAAGGCATTTGTATCATTAGCACTATTCAATTTACTTCGTGGACCGCTGAATTCTTTTCCAAATGTTATTAGCAGTGTTGTCGAAGTAAGTGAGAATAGGATGTCACTGTAAAAAACTGATGATGACCGTTTGCAACGTAGGCACGAGTGGCAAATGCACGCATTCAAAAGTTTTTGAATCATCAAGAACTCGATGAAGCTGTTGTTGATAAAGTGCCATTAGGATTGGATAAAAATTCAGTGAAAATCGAACGTGGCTCTTTCCGTTGGTCAGATAATGTGGAAGATCCATTGATTTTAAAGGAGTCAGTACCATTTGTTCTTGTTTGAACTAATTTTCATATTGATTCCCCGATAGTATCAACGTTCAGATTCGACAAGGTTCACTTGTCGCGATTGTTGGTAGTGTCGGCGCTGGTAAAAGTAGTCTCTTAGCAGCATTGCTCGGTGAAATGAATAAGGCACGCGGGTATGTCAGTATTTCGGGTCTGATTGCTTATGTTCCGCAAACAGCATGGATCATGAATACAACATTGAAAGATAACATTCTTTTCGGTCGGGATTATGATAAACAATTGTATGATAAAATTATTGAGGCTTGCGCTTTAAAACATGATCTGGGTAAACTAAACACGAATTATAGGCATATTTTTCATCTTTCCTTCCGTGTCTATTTAGATGTACTTCCAGCAGGAGATAGGACAGAAATTGGGGAAAAGGTACCGAATTAGACTTCTATTTTCGTTCGAACGATGCGTACGAATAATCATTTCATGTAGGGTATCAATCTATCCGGTGGTCAACGGCAACGAGTATCATTGGCACGCGCATTGTATAGCAATGCAGATATTTATCTATTGGATGATCCTTTATCTGCTGTTGATGCACATGTCGGTGCTCATATTTTTCGACAAGTCATCGGACGAAAAGGATTGATGCGTGACAAAGTAAAACGAATGTATTTGCCTGATTATAGATGAATTTTCCTTTTGTCTCATCTACATTAGACACGTCTCTTAGTGACACATGGCGTTTCTCATTTGCATAAATGTGATAGTATTATGGTGATAAATGATGGTGAAATAGCTGATCAAGGTTCATACAATGAATTGATTCGAAGAAGCAAAACCTTACGAGATTTCATACACTCGACTGCAATATCTGATTCCGATGAATTTGTGCGTCGTGCTAGTGAGACTGGTATGTTTTGAAATAATCACCACGAAAGAGTGTACATGTATGTGCGATTTCAGAAAGTATTAGAAGTCTGCCGAGTGTCCCACAAGAATTGATTGAGAATCATTCTGGCGAACACGAAGAAGAAGAACAGATAGTCAGTGTTGAAATTCCAGAAGAGGAGACCAAGATCATACAGAAAGAAACTATTCAAACAGGTTCTGTAAGTTCTCTCCTCCGATCATAGTTTCTTCATTGACTACATGATTGATGATGTACTAGGTCAAACTGAATGTTTTTTCTGCCTACATACGTGCAAATCGACTACCGATGGTTGGGTTAATATTAATGCTGTTTTCTATGACCATCTGTGCAGCTTTCAGTGCAAATGTTTGGATGTCTCGATGGACGGACGAAGCAAAATCTCGTAAAGCATCCAATAATCAAATTCGTAACATGGTGATATATTCCATATTAGGTGCTACCCAAGGTAATCAAAGAGAAATGTTCATACGATTTTCACTCGAGGATATTTTCGAAAACTATTTCAGGTATTTTCGCGTTTTCTATGCAGATGATTCAAAAGCTTGCGGCCTTTGCTGCTGGTCGAAGACTTCATTGGATCATTCTTGTTGGAATACTCCGTGCTCCAATGTCTTTCTTCGACACAACACCTCTCGGTCGTATCATCAATCGGTTCGCTAAGGATATTGATGCAGTCGATGGGACCTTACCTTCTTCAATCTCTCAAGTATTGACTACACTTATCACTGTGATTGTTACAATAACTATCCTCATCTATGGTTCTTGGTTCGCAATCATCGAACTGATACCTCTAGCTCTTCTCTTCGCCTTTATTCAAGTAAGATTTTCACGCTATCGACATATATTGATGTTCAGGTGTTTATCTAGCGGGTGTACGTGTCATCTTCACGACAACTTCGCCGTCTCGACTCAGTGACACGTAGTTCGATATTCGCCAACTTTAGTGAAACAATCCAAGGTCTTACTTCAATTCGAGCTTACCATGAACAACAACGTTTTATCGATTTGTCTGATCAATTCACGGATAGGAATAGCTCGTGTCATCTGGCTAGCTCAATATGTAACAGGTCTGACATGTTTTCTTGCTGATATACATCAATTATCTCTAAAAATTATTTCCTCAGATGGTTAGCCGTTCGATTAGAAATGATAGGCAATCTGTTAACATTACTGACAGCTATTACTGCCGTTTTTGTCCGTGATCATTTATCGGCAGGAACTGTAGGACTGATGATAACATATGCGATGCAAATCAACCAGGCACTCAATTTACTAATACGAAATACAAGTGAAATCGAAGCAAATATTGTCAGTGTAGAACGTATTCATGAGTATGCCGAACTGACGCCGGAAGCTCCGTGGGAAATACCAGAAAGAAAACCACCCGTGCATTGGCCTACAAATGGAAATATTCTGTATGTTACGTGAATTTCAAACAGCTTAACGAATATTCATATGCTGTAGAATCTCAGAGTTATCGACGCGATATAGAGAAAATTTACAATTGGTGCTGAAGAATTTGACACTAGACATTCGATCTGGAGAAAAGGTAGAATATGAATGAGTCGAATTATAGAACGAGTTTCGTATTCTCAATTTAGATTGGCATTATCGGTCGAACAGGTAGTGGCAAAAGTAGTTTATGTTTAGCACTCTTTCGCATCATCGAACCGACGAATGGCACGATTATTATTGACGATGTTGATATTCGTTTTATCGGTATACATGATCTCCGATCAAAGATTACCATTATTCCTCAAGTAAATAGTCAACCATTGATTTGCTCAATGCAAAATGTATGTCTGTTAGGATGCAGTGATTTTCGCTGGAACAGTGCGATTCAATGTTGATCCATTTGGTAACTATAGTGACATGGAAATATGGTCTGCACTAGAACTCGTAAACTTGAAAGAACGTATTTGTACAGCAGACAATGGACTGTCCTATTTATTAGCGGAGGGTGGTCAGAATATTAGGTAGATGTGAAGAATATTTGTGTATTTTCTAAATATGTCCTCATTGATACTAGTGCCGGTGAAAAACAACTGCTGTGTTTAGCACGAGCATTGCTACGAAAGAGTAAAATATTCATTCTCGACGAAGCTACTGCTGGTAAGTGAATAACATTTCCATTTGTCTTATTAGTTTCTAAGCTATCATATCGTTTAGCCATCGATATGGAAACTGATCGACTGATACAACTAACTATTCGATCAGTATTCAAAGATGCCACTGTATTAACTATTGCTCATCGATTACATACAATTTTAGATAGCAGCAGGTATATGTTTCTGCGTATCTCTATATTCATATGGTAAATAACGCATATGTTATCTTTCAATAGAATTCTCGTCCTCGCTAATGGTACTATCGAAGAATTTGATGAGCCACACAAATTAGCTGCCGATCCAAATTCGATATTTTCCAAGTTGCTACAAAGTGCAAATATTTCACCGTTGGACATCGGTCCAAAAATAGATAATTAATTTCTTTTTAAACATAGTCGATATTTTCTTTGGATTAGAATTTCTTAAAATAAATCAAATATAACTGATTCCAACAATTAACTCTTCGAATGGCAAAGATCAGCATGTCTTTTTGTAACAAAATGTGACCCTATATTTTCTCTTGCAAATGACTCTCGGATAAAATCTAATGGTTGTCTATACCATTTGATTGGCCATTTGGATTATAGTCATAAAACATCAGTCGTGTAATTGCATCACATGTAATGAGTCATCGTCTGAAATTTCCTTCTTTTTACTTTACCCTTATCTTGCAGGGCTCTGAAAAAATTATATAAAGACGATCAATGTCGACTTTCCCCTAATTGTTATTCATCTTGCATCATTTTGAGTTTTATCCAAACTATAAAATTCTTCATGTCGTCAGTGAATCAGTCTGCAGATCAGTTTCAACCTCCTGTAGTACCGAGAGATGCAGAAGGATATGTTAAAAGTTTCAACTTGTCTGGTTCTGATGGTCCAGAAGTAGCGGCGGAAGCTCGTGCATTCTTCGAAAAGTATGGTTTCGTCGTATTTTCCAATGTATTTACTCCGGAACAATGTGAAACAACCATAGCGGATATTTGGGATGTAATTGAGTCTGCTGTCGGACAACCGATCCGCCATAATGAGAAATTATGGGATCACCCGTAAGAATAGATGAATGCGGTTTGTTCAATGTTAAGACAACTTTTTATTTGTTTTGAAATTTAGGTTATGGTATCGAACAGGTATTACAAACGAGGGTATTATAGGTCATGCTAGTCTGTGGACGCGCCAAATTCTACTCAATCGACAATCTGCAGCGTTGCATGCAGCTTACGCTGCTATTCTTGGAACAGAAGATTTGCTTGTCAATCATGACCGTTACGGAATGTTCCGACCGACGAGAGACTATCCCGAATGCGCAACGACAACCAATCTGCATTTAGATATGAACCCGTGGGCATATATTGAAGGTAAATATGTGACAAAGTTGTTAACGAACAACTGCAAAGCTTATGATAAATATTTACTTAGATCCAGATAATTCTTATCAAATTCAATTTCTCGGTAAAATGCGGTATCGAAATGACGACTGTTGGATTGAGGAAAACAATGAACCAGGTTGTGCAAAAATAGGTGAATTGCATGTTCAAGGTTTGGTGAATCTCGCTGATAACCTAGAAGAAGACGGTGGGTTTTGGCTTGTCCCTGGCTTTCATAGATATATGGCACAATGGGCACAAGAACATCCATCGTTGCGTAAGAAGTTCGGTCGACACTCGCGATTTCTCGTATTCGATAAAGATTATGTTCCGGACATGTACGCTGCTGCTTGCCATGTTTCTACCCGAGCTGGATCAGCTATACTCTGGGATCAACGTACGATGCATGGTTCGCGAGCAAATGATAGTCGACGTCCTCGTTTGGCGCAATTTTTCAAAATGTTTCCACGACAAAATCCTTCTATGACACCGGAACGAGCCGAATATCGTCGGCAAGGAATTCTATCTAAACTTAAAAAAGTGAATCTTGATCCGCAAACAGATCTCACACCATTGGGAAGAAAACTTTTCGGTCTTGACGACTAGTCAGTAAACCGTAGGCAAACAACAAATTTTGCCGGTCATATCAACCCTGTAGTCACGTGTATTTTTTTGCTGATAAGAAAGAAAGAAGGAAAGAGAACGACAAAGAAAAAATAAATATCATCACAGTCACATTATTTCTTCTTATTTTATGTTGTATGTATTTCGTTCTTGTATGTCTATAGAACGAATATAGTATGGAACAAGCGATTTCTAAAACAAATTTTCAATTAGTTCGTTTTCGAGATAATATTGTACAGATTCAAACTGCCGTCATTAACGGCAGTGAATGTTTGTGTTTAGAAGATATTCAACGACGTTTTCCTTCGGTATCAGCATTGGGTATCGACGATATTCAGTTGACTTTTCTACGTGATGAAGGTGGTCACTATCAAGTTCCATTACGTATTCAAGCAATCAAAAATACGGTTGTCGACGCTTTCGAACCAGTCGAAAGACAGACATGTGGCACAGTTCACACTTTATTCGATCACATCGATGCAAAAATACACGAAATGGACAAGAAGACTGATCTTATTCTTGCGAATACACAAGAAACGCTCACTCGAATCAAACATGTCATGACATTAATGTACGAATTACATGAATACACAACTCCTCGATACTTTTTTATCTTACCAGTCAGTCATCGTAAATGGACATCGATTACTGGCGTACAGAATCTATTTCTTCTACACTACAAACTCTTCTTTCTATGCGAATGTTCGAACGATCCCGATCATTTGCACATCGCTCCACATGATGGCTACTCGATCAAAAAGCCGAGTGAATTCATCGCGAATTACGGATCTTATCTTCGAACAACACTACGTATTGCCCGAGGTTTACTTTCAGCCGGTGGTTTCGTTCTTCCTTATTCAGACAACGCATCCCTAATGTTAGCAAACGCCCTTCCACCATTTGTTCAAGAGCCGACGAACTATACTGAAGTAAATAGCAAACTAGATGTCGTCGAAAAGATGCTCAATGAAACGAACAATCAAGTAACACGTGTTGATCCATCGATTGTACGGCAAGCAGTTCTACCGGAAATCCCATTACAAGGTGCACAATTACGAGAACTCGAAGCCTTCCTAGATTTTGTCGATGACAAGCATAGCCTAGGAAATCTTTACCGAACTATCACAGATGACGGTCATGTTCGATGGGTTTGCTTAGAACATTACAATACAACTGGTTTTAACAATAAAATGTTGGATTATATTCGTCAATTGGAATCTATTGGTGGAAAATATGATTCGCAAAGACGAGAAGCTCTTCTCACCGGTGCTTTAACATCGAAAAATGTAATTATGATTTGTAATGCACTGAAAAGTGGTTTTACGATGTTAACTCTGGTACTCGAATGCTGTTCGATTGATATAAAAGATCTCGACAAACTATTCGACGTTATTATCAATCGTTCATCTGTTTACCGATTGATTATTTCTAATCTTGAAGTTCGGCAATGGATGAGCACAACAAAGTTTATATGTAATCATATTATGATCTACTTGAAAAATCAATCGTTGAAAGTGCAGTTTTCTCATAACGATGAGAGTATGAAGATCCTTGTTCGACTGTTCCAACAGAACAAAATCTGTCGGACATTTCATTTTCATGGATACGATTTACCATTCCATGATGAAATATTGTTCAATTTTGTGAAAGTTCATCGAGAATTAACGTCATTAATCATTGATCATTTGTTGAATATCGATTTTCTTAATGCAATTCTGACTTCGAGTGCAAGTCTTCGTCGATTGAAATTAAGTTTTTGGTTCAATTCATCATCGACTCTATTCGGTCTTTGTCAAGCCATTCAACGAAATCAAACGTTGACTGATTTAGATCTCATCGATCACACCTGTGTCGACGATAAATCCGGTACGATTGAACTATTGAAAACATTACAAATTCATCCAACTATCAAACATCTTCGTCTACACATTTTTGATGTACAGTCAGCAAATGAGAATGAACAATGTTTGATCGATTGTCTATTGCATCATAAATTCATTACTCATCTCCGCATATCTCAATCGAATTTTTCTCATGAATTTACTCAAGCACTTATTTATGCGTCAAATGACCTTCATTCGCTGACCTATCTTGACATATACGATAGTCAATTGAAAGAAGATCTCGCTGCTCAGTTGCAGTTATTGTATACAAATGAAAGTTTAGGTCATTTGTTCATCTTGAACCGACCCTATTCATCGATAGTTGTAACTGAACTTCGACAAGAACTCCAGAATGGTAAAAACAAAGCTAACTGAAACTTAACTCGATGATATGTCTTTACTTTTAGAAATTTTGCACTATCGAAACTGTCAACTCGAAGAGAAAATCGCACAAGCATATACCCACTCGTCGGTCTGCTTAGATCAAATGGAATTAACAGATCACGATATGGATATCGTTAGCAAACAAGCAATTGCCCAACAACAGTGTCAATTACTCTCCTTACAGTCGAATAAAATCACGGCTATCGGCTGTTCTATCATTGCCAATGCACTGATTGACAATCACACATTAGAAATGTTGTACCTCAATAATAATTACATATCCGATGATGGTGTAAATACACTTGCACACGTTCTTTCCAATGAAAATCAGTCCGTTAGAACACTCATCCTTCAGAACAATCGAATTACCGATCGAGGTGCACACTCTCTCGCTCAAATGTTGGCTGTCAATCGAACCTTAACTTGGTTGTATCTTGGAGAGAATCAAATCAGTGATGAAGGTATACGAGTCCTAACGGAAGTGCTCAGTAGTCAGAATACAACGCTTGAAATGTTAGTTATCTCGTCGAATAAGTTAATTACAGATACAAGTGTAGATCTACTTTGTTCAATGATCGAACAAAATCAAACGCTAACAAAACTATGGATTGACAATTGTAATCTGTCTGAAACGGGAAAACAAAGATTTCAGGTAACACAACAGTTGAAACAAAACTTTTATATCCGTTTGTAATATTTACTTGCATATAAAAATAACACATAACTTTATATTAAAGTTTACCCGAAAATTACATTTACACAATAAATATGAACTGCCGTTGCGAGTATAGATACGATTAATTTAGATGGATTCGAATAAGAAGTATGAAACGATGATATCACTGAGATTTAAGATGATGGTGCGAACGATTGTTGAAAATTTGACTTTTCATGTTATCGAAATCAGAAATAATTTGCCGACATACATCTGGTGAGAATCCTGTTGCTTTTGATGCGAGTTTAACTGCTTGATTAATATCTTTCGAATGTTGGATTTGTTCGCGCTTATTCGTAGTCGGGGATGATGATTTCAGACCAAGTGTATGCATGGGCAGTGCTTCAAGTCCTTTATCTACTAGAGCGCGATTATTAGCATTTGCATAGATACCTCGACAAAACCATGTTAGTGATGAGAGTGTGCCCGCTACAGGTTTTATGACTACGTTTGCGATGCCTATGAGTGTACCGGCGATACCACCTAACCTTCCGTGACGTTCATAACCAATACGTGGCGTATTTACAATATCGGTGAAACCATTTCTCCAACCGCGGATGAGAGCTAAAATAGCTTCATAGAAACCAGTATCGAAATCGACTACATACGGACGTGATGACGTCGAAGATGGACTACATGATAAGATATCAACTCAAATGCACTGAGAAACACTGGCAAACTTACCTGTACGGATCATAATAGGATGGAGCAACAGTTAATATATCCGTTATTTCTCCATAGAACGAAACACAACCAATGCATACATGACCGACACCCTTGCCAAGACCGAGTAAAAGACCTCCAGTAGCGGTGTAGACCCCTTTTGACCACGTATCTGAATGTACAGCTTGTTTGAAGCCATCGAAAGTATCGGTATATATCTTCACCATGGCCTTTTGCGAATGTTTTAAAATTCCATGAAAAGGTAAGTGAACACGATAATCATACATTGACGTCCAATCATGAGTCGAATAAAGATACAATTGGGATTGATCGATGCGTTCGGAAAGAACTAATACTTGCGCCACACGTCGTGATATTTGTAAATGAGAGTGTTTCAATCCATAGCATGCTGTATAAGTTGATTCGAAATCACTTCGCATGCGTTCCACGGGTAATTGAGCATGAAATGCGCGCACAGCTTCTTCACAACCATTTTCTTTCAAAATGGCGTCGCGTATCTTTTCTGCCGCTGCTTTTGTTTCAGGTTTATGAACAAATTCAAGTGCAGCTACTAAATCATCAGCAGTAATATCTTTTCCAGGTACAGCGTGTGGACCAGCACCCTGCTTTTCAATAACTTTCCCCCAGAAGAACTGATCGCCAAAGAATGGTACGATAATTGTCGGTTTACCGGCTCGAAGACCAGCCGCAGTTGTACCGGCTCCACCGTGATGACAAACTGCAGATACTGAAAAATAAAGATAATATCATCATCAGATCCGTATGCTGCTTATAGTAGTTTTGAACTGACCGTGTGGAAAAAGCCAATCATGAGAAATCTTATCAATTTTGAAGACAGTATCAGGTAGTTTATCGTTGTCTTTAGCCAGACCAGATAATATTGCACGATAACCAGTCTTTTCCAAGGCTTCAAGAACTGCCTGCAAGATACGTTTTGAATCATGTCCGGTAATCGAACCAAAACCAATAAAAATAGGTGGTGATTTCTGCTTTTGTTTATTATCCAAACCCAAAAATTTGATAAGATCATCGGATTGTTTCGTTGCTGCTGTGGCATCCTTCTCCAAGAAGAAGAATCCTGACACATTAATATGTGATGCCCAATCATCAGGCTTCGGAACGAGTGCTGGTGACCAACAATAAGTATAAGGCACTTTTTCTTCAATCATCATATTTGTTGCTTGACGTGTGTGCAAAGATGGTAAACCTAATATATTATTTCGAAACTCATTGATAATATCGCGCATGCCCGACCATGTCTACGAACAACACAAACTTTCTTTTTTTGCTTCTCGATAGTATCGATGATAAACTTACAAACATTTCTATTGCACTATAAGATAACATATTGACTTTTTCAACAGCTCCTCGCGAATAATCAACATTCACAAATGGATGAGGGAAGACGGTCGTTGGCGACCATGGCATGGTAAACATAATATGTATTGGTATGTGCAGTTTATGTGCACAATGTATATGACCGTAGGACGGAGGGTTGGCAATGATTGCTTCAGCAGTAAACGGTTTTCCAGTTTCGTCATCATCAGCGAGGCTTGCTCGCCAAGTCGATTCGAGTATACTAGCAAGAACTTCACGATTTTTCGTCAAATCACCAGCAGCAACGCTGCTGATGGATGGAACGACACCTGAGTTTTTTACCATGAAAGACATTAGAACAGCTGGATCACCAGCTAACGGATAGAATTCCAAGCCATTGCCACGAACAAAATCACGAAATGTTTCATGTGTTGCCAAACGAACACGATGACCGACTTTGAGTAATGCTTGGCCAAGCCTATGCACAATTCAATATACATTTATTTTTCACAAAGTAGAACATCTTACGCGATGAACGGTTGAACATCGCCTCGTGTACCAACGATCAAGATTAATATATCAATATGAGGTATTTTAACACTATCCTCATTTGCCATTACTATCTGTTCTATAAAATCAAATGAAATAAAACAAGCTTACAATGTTTCTATAACCGCGTGGTGTGTTGAAGAACAAAATTTCTTTTTTTCTATTATTCATTTGTCCTTCATTGTTAACATGAACACACATGCAATGCATTCATATAGTACATTAAGAGAGAAAGCAAAAGAACACCAACACGTGTCACGTTTTTCTTCCTTACGTTACCATTTTGTCTTCCTTGGCAAAAAGGCACTCGGTGCATATCGAATGATTGCTACGTTTCAACCGCCTCTAGCTGTAAAATTCTTTCACAAAGATAAAGATATTACTTCGACAAACATTAGTAAGACAGAAAAGAGAGTTTCTCCTATACGTTACAGAACCGACGTATCGAAACATTGGTTGAAGAATGCGAGTGCTTGCTTCTTAGAAACATACTTTGTTAGTGATTTGTGATTAATAATGAAAAGACAAGAATTTATACCTTTGCAAATATTATGATAAGGCATGCACTGTAATAATAACAATTGTTTTTGTTATTTGAATATATATATATGAGTAGAAATGCCCAAACATTCATCTTTTCTGCCTTTCTCTTCCATTCAGATTCGAAATAATACCTAATCGCTATTTAGAAACATGACTATATTACATAAAGATACGAATCAGGACAATTTCCATCATAGCACTTTTGTTGGACGATCGATATTCGAATTCCAGTTAGTTATACTACGAAAACAATTACAAATGTATAAAGAAAATATATCAGTATGAACTTTAGTTCCAATCTTCTTCATCAAAACAGTCAGTTATCATTCTCTAAGCATTAAAACATGCAAATGATGATACTCGCTTTGTGTACACGTGTTAAATGGATACTCTGCATAAAAGATTTGTTCGACTATTTCCTCCGTATAAATTTACTTTATTCAGATACAACTGTTCGAGATAAAAATAGGAGCTAGGCGAATATTATAACCAAGATTTTAATCAAATATTTCGTCATACTATATAAACTTCTCATCAAGAATTTGTAAAACTTCATCTGACGTGGTAATGGCAACACATCGGCATAGTTTTGATCTAATATAATACAAGTCAAAGCACATTTACCACTAGTTTTATGGCTGACAAAGGCGTGTAATAGTAGAAGTATCACACGATGTTCCTTGTCATCTATTACGGCTAACTCGTTTCGTTAGTTTTCATAATAAACCATCGTTAACGATGATGTAGGAGATGATCAAGTTCGATAAAAGATTCTTTCATAGATTTTATTCGCATGAAATAATCATTTCAATACCATAATACTTCGTTATATCACATGAAAAACAGATGATCACAAGTAGGGTACCTTGCGAGTATTTCATGCACGTGAAACGAAGACTCTATAGATGACAACTTGATTGCGGATCGAGTAGTAAAACGAATTACTCTTACCAGATTCCCATTCCTTATCTCGCTAGCATTTCTTCGAAAAGTAAACACATTCTAACGGTGTTAATTATGTCATACACAGCGAACAAATCTCATTACGATTGCCTTCACCTATTCCATGTATAGTTCGTAATAAATTTCCATATGATGATATCAATCGAGATCACGTATATTGTGGATAATATTAACGAATGCTAATTTCGATGACTGCATCGAATCAAATTGAAGTTTCTGAGAGTATATGATTGCTTAATATCAAATAGAAGCTGAATATTCGTAACGAAAGCGTTGTTCACCTATTCTAGTTACACTGAACTGAAAGTTCCACATTGACAATTATAATCAGTATCAAAAGGCAAAATAATCACATCTACCATAGTTTCATTCGATTATTTAGTATTTGATATACAATAGTAATAGATATATAACGATATTGATAAGGATGACAAGGTCAATGGATGCTTAAAAAGAATATGGATTATTTCAACTATTCCAGTTATGGTGTATCATAGTTATATAAATTAGAAGACGTGGATTGACGAAGTGGTAAAAGCTATGTTACACGAAAGAGTCGTTTGACTATTGTGTAGGTAAAACGATTCAACATGGTGTGAACAATTACTAATGAAAATAACGTATGATGAAAACAGTATTAATCATCGTATGAAACGATTATTTTATTTAGAACAAATAAGTAGATGGGTTTATACTTCCCAATCGAAGTTCACATAGAATCTCAACGATGACAAACAAAGTTTTGTTCAATCAACCAAGAAACACGACATTCATATTTTGAGTAGTATTCAGTTCCGACAATTTACATATATAGTAAACGAGTTGCAGTACGATGTTATTCAACTATTCGTCTAGATAAGGTTACGAACGGTGTACACAAGTTAATGATGCTGAACCTAAAGATAAATGGATACTTTAAACGAAGCTAGATTTCAAATATCGGACTGTTAGGTTTCCAATATTTCTATTTCCGATGATATCGTTAGCAACAAGTAGCAAAGGAATGATGGCAACGAAGCTTTTGTTCAATAATATTTCCGGAACTAAATCGAAAGCTTCGTCATTCTCTCCATCTTTTGATACGACATCTGTAAAAGATGAGTACTAAGAAAATTTTCTTCAATAATATCATTTCCGTGAAAGAAATACTAAGCACGTATTGACGGAGCGAAAGATTCTATAGAGAGTAGACAATCGTGAAAAGACCTTCGTTCAATTACCTCTTGCACAGGAAATTAAAGTTCTTCACATGTTTATCTGATCACAGGTGACGTCACAAGCGAATACGTCTAACTATAGCTAACTTTCATTATCTCGCTTCCATTGTTTAAAACATGTTATACTACGTCAACAAAAAACACTTCGTTAAATGTATATAGTTTCAATCAGAATCTCTTTCAAGAATTCTCATCCGACATGAGGCAAAGCACAATGTTTCATAACTGGTAACTTTGATTACGTAGAAAATAAATAGTGTAAACGACTATACTCTTGTTCTGGTATATCGTATATGTGAGCAGAATATCATCCAATGTAAATATTACTATGGATAACACAAATAATATACAATCCAATGATACTATTCTTCATTTATTCCAAACATATGAAAGCAATGCTCCATTGAGACGTTCACATGAAACAGTAACAAGGAAGACACATAAATATGATGAAACTCATCGTCGAATATTTGTTTCGCAGTACACCTAGATTTTCCACAGTTTCCCATAGTTTGAGACGATATAATACCAGAAACACCTCACCAATCAACCATTCACCAATCTCGAAGCAATACACACAGACTTTTCTCTTTGATCATACCGTTACCCATCACATAGTATGCCTAGCGACTTAAACTCGAATGTTTCTTCGATTATTACAATTGTATCTATACTAATCTCCTCGTCTATTCACAGTCACGAGTACTATACGAAAAATACATACTCATGAAGAGAGTTTATATCAGCTATACCCTTTGTATAAAAATGACAATCATCTATATCTTTGCATGGTTGAGCATCACACAGATACTGAACAGATATAAGCGAGAAAATGACGTTCAGATATATGATGGGTACTGATTTGTAACACAGAGGACTTAAAAGTCGAATACTTAACGAGGAGCGAACTGCTCTTATCAAATCCGTCTTCATATATTTAACGGAAACTAAAAGAAGCCATTGTATTTATTTTCATCGTTGTAAGCCGACATGAAATGCGTACATTTGTCTCATCAAACTGCGTGATGACTATCACGTTACCAACAATCAGATCTGCATGTCTTCGTACACAAATGATGATCGCGTAGAAAGTGGTTATCATCAACGAAGACGATGTTCAACGTCATCCCCTGTATCAAACATAAGTTCCTCATTGTACAGCTTTAGTTACGGTCACGAAATACTTAGACAATCCTTAGTAGAATTTAGTTCAAATATTGCTGCTATGTAGTAGAAATATATCCTGTACTAACATAGTAGACGAAGGTAGCATAGAGAGGGTATATCGACAAGTAGGACTACTGTCAAGTACTTCGTTCAAACTAAATATTTTTCGTGATATTGTATTATAGGTGATCACTTACTCCATAAACGAACATTAGTAAGAAGATATGTTGTCAACCACATCGTAGGTATTAAAGATGAACATTGTATGTTATCATACTATTGAATATCACGTAGAAAGCAAACATTCACGGCAAAAATTTGTTCGAATATTTCATCCAATGAATTATATTCATCTATCCTATTCGAGTTTGAGAGATCACATGAAAGACAAATAGATAGTAAAAATATTTTATTCAAAATCATTAGTTCATACTCAAGAAAGATACTCAAATTTTGATATGCACAATTCCCTCGAGGAGCATGAAATATTACAAATCATCTCTTATCTAATATCCTTTTGATGGTAACTGAAAACTTTTGCAGAAGTAACACTTATACAAACCCTGTAGCAGATAAACAGACCCGATCAAAAACCTATTCATCTATTTTGCTTTCATGAGATATGGCCGCTGTATACCCTGTAAAGTGCGAGAAGAAATGTGGCAACTGAATGATAAAGACGAGTATCCTATTTGATTGTTGTACAAATAGTCAATATAAGTTCAAAATGTGATACTATTGTTCAGCATCACATTAGAAGCGATTAGTCTGAGCAGACTTCTATCAGAGTATTGTGCGTAAATATAATGAAAATGTTGATCGCTATCACACTATCGAAGAACATAACGAAATAGATACACCGTCAATAACATTCTGTACGAAGATTTCGTTTACTATAACACCATTGTTCGATAAATGTCAACTCCAGAGAGAATCAAATCATTCCGAATAAGTTTTAGCATCACTAGTTCGTTGATATATTATCGTAATACCACTTTACAATATTTTATAAGTATCTGGTACTGAGGATAACTGAGAATGCAGATGAGACCTATAAGACGATTGTCCAACTATTTAATCGGTGGTGAGAGAAAACCTTTAACCTCATCATTTTAATTAATTTCACGTGTTTACTAAATGAGTTTTAGCTGAATAGTGTCGATTATTATCTTTACGGAAAGTCCAACAGTAGTGTACAATGACAGAGATGATGATCATACAATAAATGGATGCACTTTACGATACATTCCTTCAAATAACTTCATCGCTTCAAGAGAGAAGCTCTACATTTCATTGAAGTGAGGGATATTAATCAGAATATGAATTGGATTTAGTAGATTTTCTTTCAATTATTTCACTCACAGAACCTCTGTATAGATTATAATGGTTTGATCATAAAGAACATGAACTGTAAACGGTTCTCAATAACATTCTCTTCAATTATAACACTTACGTGTAGGTCTAGGGTTACTAAAGATAAAATCTTCCACGTCAATATCGCTAATGAAAAAATCATACCAACTTATAGTTCACAGAACATACGAGATGTTTGTTGTTTGAAGAAATCCCAGAAAAGAATCTGGATGAACATAATAGTAGACCAATATGTATCATGCATCTGAGCATAAGATCCAGTATGATACCGATCAACACTTTGATACTCATCATCTCCTAGAATAGTGAATTGAAATAACTAATCTTCGATGGATTCATGCATTGGCTTACGTCGATGTTGTTGTATTAGATCCAAATAGATAATATATTTGATTTTTCCCGTTCCGGGTGTCATTCGATCAGCAGTAAAACAAACGCCTGGGAACAACAGTTCTTCTTCTTCGTCAGGATATTCCGAGAATGGTTTGAGATCGATGGTAAACGCATGTTTAACGGTCATTATAAACAAAACATTGCCGAATTTTTCTGCTTGCTTACGACTTCGACTGCATGACGTAAATGATTGAAATGAACATACTGTGCGATTCTTTTTGGCACAATCGTTTTTGAAAGCACTAATAATCTCGTCAGTCAAATTAGCGCCTCGATAAAGCACAGTTCCTTTTTCAGTTGAAACGCAACTGTATGGACTGTCCCATAGAAGTAAACAAAACGGTCCCATCGTCCGTACTTTACTTCGCCAGTCATGTTCATGTTCTGGACTTCCTATCAATCTCATGATTTCGTTCAATTTCTTGTATACAAAACTTTCCAATGAATATATATAAGCGCAACACTCCCATACTTGCTCAATTCCTGCATCTTTTACATCTAGTAACATACTTGACAACTCTTCGCCTTGTCGCTGTTTTCTTAACGGTTGACTTTCTTCGTATATTCCATTCGCTGCCTTTTCTACTAATCTAGGAAGAATTTTCTTATTGATCGACGGTAACTGGTTTGGAGTGATTTCTAAGTATCTAACAGTTTGCCGAATGAAGGGCGATATCCATCCGTACAGACCACCAAATGGACGATCTGGACTAATAGGAGTATAAGTAAATCGTTCTTCTCGAGCATGATGATCATCTCTATTACGTTCCATCCTTTTCACTGGACGTTGTCTGGTAGAGTCGGAATTCGATATCTGTAATCGATTATGAAAATCAATGGTAAAATCATCCAATAGTGCTGTCGGTTCACCGTTCATATATGCTTTTTCTATTATTAAGTTCTCTACATCAGCATATGGCGTCCATTCGTCAAGGTCAGATTTAGAAAATGGGTTAGCACTGGATTTCCACAGCCATTGTATTCGAGCTGGACACGCACTGGATGCAAAAGTCATTCCAATGAATTTCCTATTCAATAAACGATCAAAGTACCGTCTATCAAATATACAAACAGAGAAGTACACGCTTAAGGTAGACTTACAACGCAATATACGAGCATACTGAAGTACATCTATACCTATTATAACATTCAACGATGCACTTTCGAATCAGATTACAATCGCACAGTGAGATACAGCGTGTGTGGTTTTTTCTCGTTAAACGAATGACTGATCTGGGTTATGCTTACCAGAGGAAAATAACGGCAAATAGACGAAAATATTATTCTTGAGAGAGATGAGTGCCAGAAGATTCTTCTATGAAAATTAAAATCCAACAAAATCTATTTTTTCCACATTCATTTATTCTGATGAATAGAAAGATATGCAATTATATAAAGGTAGCCGATCACATTATTTTGTCATAAAAATCGGAGGAAGAAATATGATTAAGCTAATGTAAAAAAAGGAAATCATAACCCCAACAAACGCGAGAAAGGTATTATATAAAAAAAAGATTCACGCTGTATTTAAAAAATCACGCGAAACAATATATGATTTTGTTCATGTTTCATAGACCGTGAAATGTGATTACTATACTACACAACTTATTTTTTGGTGAGATCTTCAATTCCGAGGTCAAACGTAATGAACCTTGAGCTTGACTACTTCTCGTCGATTGCATCAACTTTGCAAACACATGTTGGTCCTTTCGCGAATGACTTGTTCGTTATCAAAACGGCGAAAGTCTTTGTGCAAATGGTAATGTTTTGCTTCGAGTAGATCTATTTCCACTTCAACGAGTGTTTTTACCTTCGTTTCAAGGTTTGTTTTAAACAAAGTGATTGTTTTTATTGACATATTTTCAAATTGAATTGTAACTATTAATGTACGTTTTAATTTTAAACAAAACCTTCTACACTTTTTCTTCACTCTTTTATCGCAACGACGCGAGAGAAAGAAAAGCGGCATTAACAACAATAACCGAAACACCTTTTCTTTGCTTCTTTTTTTTTTCTTCTCCGTTTAAGAAGCATTGTGACAACGAAAGAAAAAGAAACGAATCCAGTCATCAAAATAATTACAGAAAGAAAGAGAGAAGAACGCAAAAAATATAAATTGTTATTTTGTTCTTCTCCGTACAAAAACACATGAAAAATAACTGGATTTGCTTTTATGTCATTCTAAAGATAAAATGTATCTTGAGCAATTACCTAATGAACTATTATTCGAGTTATTTGAATATTTTCATCTCGTCGACCTTTTCCGTGCTTTCTATCGACTTAATCTACGCTTCAATAGACTCCTATTCGATTATAATCAACAATATCATTTGGATTTGCGATCAATATCCAAACATGATACCGAAATCGTATGTAAAGATTATCTTCCACTCGTCAATCAACGTATAATCTCCATTCGCCTTTCCGATGACGTTGAAACACCAATTTCATCCGAAATTTTCTTCGCCAGTACTTTCACTTTCGATCAATACGTTCGTTTGCAGTCTCTTTCCTTGTACCATATCTGTTCTCTTTCTCGAACGTATGAAATCCTATCACAATGTCAACACATGTCTCGTCTCCGACATCTCTCTTTCATCAAATGCAATTTTTGGCAAGACGACAAAGATTTTCAATACTTTATTAACACCATCTGGACTCTACCAAAATTGACTCACTGTACGCTCGATTATACGATACCTGGCCATCGATTATTAACACAGATATCTTCTGTATCTCAATCGATTGAATGTATTTCGATGAAAGATATCCATTGTAATTTTCGTGCCTTGTCTCATCTGTTTGAACATACACCGAAACTTCGTCGATTGCAAACAACGATCTTCTGTGGATGTTCAGATGAACAAATCCACACAACGAATCCCTCATCGATTGTCGCATTGAATATCGTGCAAAAAAGTTCGTTGAATTCTATGATTAATCTGTTTCAGAAAATGACGAATCTTCGATATTTAACTCTCGAAACGAATTATATCTATCTAAATGGACTCGAATGGAAAAAAATCCTTACTGAACATCTTCCGACTATCAGAAAGTTCCGTTTAAGAATGTTTTTTGAGTTATCATCGCTGCGTAGTCGAGAAGAGCAAGTTGATATGTTACTCAACTCATTTCGAATACCATTTTGGATTCGGAAATACCAATGCTTTGTACAATGTGATTGGACAATGTCTAAAACACAAAAACATGCGGTGCTCTATACTCTACCCTACTCATTTCAGCATTTTCTCTTCGATAATCTCTGCCAATCAAAATCTACTTGCCCGAATAATCGAATCCATCGATCGTATGATCAAGTCACTCATTCACAATATCTCGAATACGAAAACAGTCTGATTAGTAATGGTTTAAGACCTTGCTCAATTCAATGCACTAATATTCAACGTCTTGAAGTTCGACTTCCATTTAACGATAAAATTTTCTATTCTCTAGTACCGACATTAGCTCAATTAACATCTCTAGATGTTATCCTGAACAATAATTTCGCTTATTATCAATTACAAGCTATACTCGATCGAGCGCCGCGTCTCTATTCATTAACATTTCGATGTTTACAAAATCTCCCTTCGGCACTGTTTCGCTTGACAAGTGCATCGATTCGTCGATTAGATTTTATTACTACATCTACATTACGTTGCGGGCATTTCAAGAAATTCGAATGTGAAGCGTTAGGTGAATGTGTACTTGGCCAAAGTTGTCATGTACTATTGGTTAAAGTACAAAATCGTGCGAATATTCTTCATTTGATTCAAATTATGCCGAATCTTCGATCGATGATCGTTCAATGCGAAGACGAAAATCCACAAACGGATGAATTATTGAAATGGTTACGCGTGAATTTGCCGTCGGCATGTTCGGTAGAAAGAGACCGTGATGATCTTTCAAAAGTTCGTCTTTGGATTCGGTGATGAAATGACGAAGAACTTTTTTGTCTGTCTGTTCGAAAGTGACTAGTTATTTGTCTGAAAAATGATAAAGACAAACGAAAAAAAAAATGAAAGAACGCAGAAATGTTATCAACACGAAAGAAAAAACGAATTATCAGCTTAGATAAGCACAACAAACGATTATTTTTACGAGTCATCACTTCTTGCAGATGGAAACCTTAGCTAATGAATTACTTCTGGATCTATTCGAATATTTCAATGGAATTGATTTGCTTCGTGGATTTCTCGGCTTGAACTCCCGATTCGATTCATTACTTTCCGTTCATTTCTACAAATATCGTTTTGATCTTCGTTCAATATCCAAACATGACTTCGATTTCCTCTGTCACCATTACCTGCCATCGTTAATTCATCGAATAACTTCGCTGAAACTTTCCAACGACGATGAAACACCAAATCTCCCGGATTTCTTTCTTTCCTACGGTTTTACACTGAACAAATTCATTCGGTTACAATCACTTTCATTGTATTCAATTCAATCATTTAATCAACTCAATCAAATTCTATTCCAATGCCATCAACTACCCTACTTAACGCATCTTTATCTAATCGATGGTTACAACGATGACGAGAGAAAGGATATTCCATTTCTATTCAACAACATATGGAATTTATCGAAACTTCAACACCTGTTTATCAATTACAACACATCAGGAAAAACCTGGCTGAAACAAATGACGGGAAAATCGTTATCGATTCGATATTTATCCATGGAAAACATCGCGTGCAGTCTAGAAGATACTACACATCTTGTCCGACAAACACCAAATCTTCAGTATTTAAATGCAACGATTCATGCGAATGATAACGACGAACGGGTATTCGTAATACCATCATCGATCGTATCATTGAAGTTAGCTTTTGAAGGTTCCGTTCAAATTATGTTGAAAGTCTTTCAAATGGTGCCGAATTTACAACGATTGTCACTGAAAACTATGGATATTAATCTGAATGGAAGCAAATGGCGAAAGATTCTGATGAGTTATCTGACTCAATTGAGAATCTTTCAATTGCGAATGTATTTCGAGTTTTCTCAGACTAAAACCGTCGACGAACAGATAAGTAAACTTCGTCACACATTTCGACATCCATTTTGGACTGAGAAACACCGATGGTTTGTTCAATGTGACTGTGTCTCATTCGGAACGTATCATCATGGAATTCTCTATACATTACCTTACGCATTCGATACGTACATTTGTTATGATGTGAAAAGAACGAGTCACACTTGTCGTTCCATGGAAAGTAGCTTCTGGTCGTATGAAAATGTTCGAAATTTGCAATATATGAAATACAAAATGAATCCTATCGATTGTTCATCACATTTACCGATCAAATTCACCAATATTCAACAGTTAAAACTAGGTTTTCCATTCGATGAACATTTTTACTCGTTACTACCTTCGCTGCATCAACTAAGATCTGTCGAAGCTATTCTTGGAGAGAATTACAATACTCAACAGTTACAAACATTGATTAACCTATCGCCTGTTCTTTATTCATTAAGATTTTTCTATTCGATTGATTTGAAAGTCTCCATCGTACAATTGACAAGTCCATCGATCCGTCGACTAAGTTTTATCGCAAAATGTTCGATAACTATCGCATATTTCAACAATGAAGAATGTGCAGCGTTAGCTTACTCGCCACTTGGACAACAATGCGAAGTACTTTCGATTAAAATCGAGAATCGTTCGAATATTCTGGATCTTTTAAAAACAATGACTAGACTTCGATCGTTAGTGGTTCTATGTAAAGACGATACATGGGCAGATAGAGATGCAACTGTAAGCAAAGATGAATTAATCGATTGGCTTCGGAGTAGCTTACCAGTGACTTATTCCGTTAATCGCGATGAAAATGAAACATCATTCATACGAATTTGGGTGGGAGACAGACGAAACAGTGCGATTCTGATCTAAGAAATCGCCCGAAATAAAATTCGAATGTCAACAGCGGCTGTTTTTCTTAAGATTTTCGTGTCATCATTGTTAATCATACTTTCACCTACAGAAGATTTTCTAATGTTTGAGAGCAAGGTCATTTGTTTGTCTTCGAATCATTTCAAATAAATAGTCGGGCAAAGATCAAATTTTGAGTTAGAAGAAATTAGTCATCTAAGTACGTTCTTAACTTGTATTTTTGTATATTCTTTGTGTATATGTAGAGAAGGGAATCCTTACAGGCGAACACTGTTTACTTTCATCGAAATTATATAAACAGAGTGTCACGTTCTGTTACTTCCGATCATATTGAGTTCCTCTTTTTGCCCATAGTCATTATGCTACAATAGAAGGAACAAGATGAGACTGAAACTTGCCGAAATTTTGAATCCAAACAGCCAGCTAGGGCGTATCCTTCCATCCCCAAACCATTCAACTACTACTATGCCAACAGCGGCAGTCGCAACGAATTCGACTAACTCAGTGTGTCTAGACAACAGTGAAGACAATCCTCCGATAGTGCACCGTGCATCTGTAGGAAGTTCGAACCGAAGAAGCACACGTGCGTCCGTCGATCCCTCCTCGAGAGGAGTACTTTCATTTCATAATATCAGTTACAACATCGGTCGAAAAAATACGAAGTGTCATCTGCCTTGCTTGAAAGTAAACTCGGGAAGACAAATCATCGAAAACGTTTCGGGGATTTTTGCACCAGGAATGAACGCGATTATGGGTTAGCTGAAACTCTTTTCAACGATGAATTTCTAAGTTAGCGTTTTCGGAATGATTTCAGGACCGACTGGTTGTGGAAAATCTTCACTTCTTGACATATTAGCTGATCGAAAAGACCCTCGTGGTCTATCTGGTAGCGTCTTGCTTGATGGATGCCCACCGCCTCCATCATTTAAATATATCGTCGGATATGTCGTACAAGATGATATTATTAGTGGAACGTTGACTATTCGAGAGAATCTCATGTTTTCTGCAAATGTTCGTTTGGGTAGCGACATTACAAATGATGAACGACGAGAACGAGTAGCACAGGTTATACACGATCTCGGGCTTGAATCATGTGCGGATACGAGAATCGGTACAGAATTTTTACGCGGTGTATCGGGTGGAGAACGCAAACGAACATGTATAGGAATGGAGTTAGTACTTTCATCAAAAATACTGTTCCTCGACGAACCAACTACAGGTTAGTGTTATTAAAAGATGGGAATATAATCTAATGTGTCGTTATCTCTAGGATTGGATGCATCTACTGCTCGTAATGTGATGGAATGTCTCAAAGAGCTGACGAAAAAGGGTCGTAAGTGTACTTTGTATTTCTTCTATGGTGATGACTTGTTCTTTTTCCGTGAAATACAGATACGATTATTTTTTCAATTCATCAGGCACGATATTCTATCTTTAAATTATTCGATACAATTTTTCTCATGTGTAAAGGCAAAACAGTTTACCATGGCTCAGCATGCGATATGTTACCTTTCTTCAACACACTAAACTACCACTGTGAACAGCATGATAATCCAGCTGATTTCGTGCTCGATGTTCTTATTGATACCAATCGACAATCAACAGATCTGAAGAGATTAACTGAAGCGTACATGCAGTTGGATATATACAAGAAAGTTGACTCTCTTGCTCGACAAGACATTCATGGTGACCGAGAGGAAAGACTTCGTCGAAGAGAAAAAGGAGAAGCTGCCAGACCACTAAGCACTGAAATCTATTACGTTGCGCAACGAACATTGAAGAATGCAATCAGAGATCCGTCGTTATTCTTATCACAAATCGTAGTAGCGATCATTTTAGGACTACTAGTTGGCTTAGTGTTTTATGATATGAAACAAACAATCGATCCCGGAGTGCAAAATCGTTTGGGAGCGATCTTTTTCATTGTAATTAGTCAAGTATTCAGTACAGTAACTGCACTCGAACCTTTGCTAAAAGAACGTGTTCTGTTTATCCATGTGAGTTCATCTTCATTAAGTATTTCTCTCATCGAACCTGATCTACTTAGGAAAACGTCAGTGGTTATTATTGTATAACAACATTTTTTATCTCCAAGCTAATCTGTGATATACTACCCATGCGAATCTTACCATCGATACTGTTTTCGTTGATTGCCTATTTTATGACCGGTTTGCAAAGAACAGCAGATCAATTCTTCATTTTTCTTATTACTATCTTCATGGCTTCGGTCTTTGGATCAGCAACGTGCTTCTGCATCGCGGCAGCAATACCTATTTTCGGTAGGTTTACGCAATCGATCGTTGTAAAAAGAAATTTCAAATCTTCTTTGCCTTCTAGCTGTCGCTCTGATCGTCGTCGAATTAATCTTTGTTGTCATGTTTGTGTTCAGTGGTTTTATCGTTGAGCTAACCAGTGTGTTTCGATGGATATCGTGGATACAATGGATCAGTGCTTTTCGATATGCATCGAATATGTTAACCGTGAATGAATTTCGAAATGCTCGGTTTTGTTTCGCTAATGCAACGAATATTTGTCCGATGAGTGGCACGGACGTACTAATTCGACATGAAATAGATTACGCTTCAGATTGGGATATGTGGAAATATTTTTTTGCCTTATCAATGATGTCGATCGGATTTTTATTTTTAGCTTATATTCAACTTTTTCGAATAAAAAAGACAAAATAAAAATGATTTATGATGACGTCAGGAGGTTGTTGTGCGCGAAGAGGAATGTAGAAAGACCATGTGACTGAATATTTAAAAAAAACAAACGACGAAAGAGAACAACATCAATATATTTTTGCCTCATTTGTTGAGTGGTGTAAAACTATGTCGTTGGAACAGTTAGCAAATGAACTTCTACTCGAAGTATTCGACTATTTGGACTGTTTAACCATTTTTCGTGCGTTTTATGGTCTGAACTATCGATTTAATCAATTGATTATCTTACAAATTCAAAAATTTGATCTTGACTTTCGTCTTGTACCGAAATGTTCCTTTGATCTCTTCTGCCAACAACATCTTCCGTTGCTCAAGACTCGAATCGTTTCGCTTCATCTCTCCAATGAAATCAATATTCCTGAACTACCTGATTCATTTCGTTCATATGGTCATCGTATGAATCAGTTCATCATTTTGAAATTTCTTTCTATCAGCTGTTATTCAATCAATATGCTGCGTCGAATCCTAACTGAATGTCACAATCTTTCATATCTTGCACGTTTGCATATTCATACAACTAATTATGATTCTATGGAAGACCATTATCGTTATTTAATAGAAGCGATTTGGACTTTACCACACTTAACTCATTGTCAAATCGATGTTTTGTATTCTTCATCAGCATGGTTTTCTTCCATGTCAACAGTTTCTACTTCAATTCAAAACTTGAGTACCAGTGGTACATCGTATTCTCTCACTACGTTATGCAATCTATTAGACCATACACCAAATCTCAAGCAATTGGAAGTCGGCCACGTTACCGTAACAGATGATGCGCCGTTAGCAGTTACCTTTCCATCATTGAGATCATTGCGACTGATTTGTGATACTTCCATTCGGTCGATACAGCCGTTCTTTCAAATCATCCCTAATTTATGCGACTTAACTGTTCATGTGAGTAATATCGAGTCTAACGGATCAGTATGGGAACAAATCTTCGTTGATTATCTGAAGAATATCAAAACTTTCCGGTTAGTCATGAACATTCAGTTTGGGTCCTATCATGATGATTTTTATGAAATGAAAGTCGAACAATTATTCAATTCATTTCGAAGTGATTTTTGGCTTAAAAAACGACAATGGTTTATTCGATGTGATACTTATCAAATAAATACGAAAGATATTTGTCTTTTATACACTCTACCCTACCCATTTGAGACGTTCTCTTATATTGGTAATAGTCGATCGAAATCAACCAGTCCACATCCATTCAATCTAACAGACTATTCTCAAGTTCGAACATTAGAACATGTCCGCAATAATCCATGTACAGTTATCAATGGTTTTACCTTCATACCAATCCGATGTGACAATATTCGTCACTTGAAATTAAAATTTCCGATCGATGAGCACTTTGATTCGATTATTTTAACATTAAATTATTTAATTTCACTGGATGTCATATTATATGAGGATGAAGATTATCATCAATTACAACGGTTACTCCAAAGAGCACCGCATCTTCGTCAATTGAAATTTTGCCATCCTGGCAAATTCTCCATGGCATCTTTCAATCTTTTCAGTCCATCGATTCGGCAATTAGATTTCTTTCAAACTTCCGGATTTCGTCTACGTTATTTCAGTAGTACCGAATGTGCATTGTTTGTTGATCTACCACTTGCAGTTCAATGCGAGATTCTAACTATGGATGTTCGAAATCGAACAGATATTGTCAAGCTAATCAATGCAATGCCTAATCTTCAAGCAATGAATGTTCATTGTCAAGATGGGATAACGTGTGCAGATAGAACTATCAAAATACATGATGATTTAATCGAATGGTTACACAAGCATTTATCCAGTGATTGTTCCTACACGATTGTTCGTCAAGGGTATACAAATATACCATTAATTAATATCTCGATTAATAGGCAGAAGTAATTCGAGAGCAAACTTTTATTCGAAATCTTATTTCAGAAGTAAAAAAACAGCGCCATAATTAGCCATTGATTTGCAATTAGTTCATTGCCCTAAACATAATCGTAGCTAATCAATGAAAAAAAGGAGAGAAAGCATACTCTTTTCTTAATTACAAATCCTATTCCCCTGCGGAATATATCCAGGTCGACAAACACATATTTTATTAAGACACATAGAATTGCCGACTAAACCATTACAGTTAGTATCCGAATCACAATAGTAACCAAGTATACTATCGTAGGTGACGGTAGAAGTGGTAGTAGTAATTGGATAAGTAGTTGGGACAGCAACTGCTGATGCGATCAGAAGTAAAACTATAAACCACATTTCACAAAGATTCGTTGTTTATGGATGAATGGAATATCGGTAATAATAGTATTTATATCATTGCATTGATTAGATAACAAATGATGCTATTTTGCTTGAAATTTATTGGAAGATTAGCCTTTCGTTTTAAGAATCTGCAAATAACTAATAACAGAATGATATGTATTTGAATCATAAGGACAAAGATTAAAATGAATGAGTATGACATTTTCTTTTAGATTTCAATTTTATACTTCATGTAGTAAGAGGCAATTGTGATAACGAATGTTTTTGTAGAGCAACTGATTATCGAAAGGATTAGAATGCTCCAGGGACATTTGACGTAGCAACTTCTCAGTTATACAATAAAGCCTAACAGTAACTTGATTCATCGATTGAGTTATACTCTAACTTTTGTGTTTCTTAACACGGTGGATATTTTATTTCCAAATAGTCCAAAAAACTTCTTGTCTGTGTTACATTTGTATCATGCAAAGTAATTACGTTCGTATTATTCAATTGTGTATAATCGCGCAGGTACGACGTTGTAGCTACTCTATAATTCAATCCACTTTTCGATATATCTGTTCCGTTTAACAGCCACGTTTTACCACCATCGTTTGTTTCTACTCGTGTGTAAGCAAGAAACATGCCATTTCCTTTCAATGATATTCCATGGGTCAGTACTTGAGCGAGTAATTGACCGGGAACAGAGAGAGCAACAACAATATTTCCAAAAGGTAATGTACGTAAAACATCATATTGGGAAATCGTTTCACGAAGAATATCATCGATTCGAACGGTTCCACCGTTGATTATACCGATCATTGTGTTATGATCTAACGTTAAGTTTAACATGCTTTCACTGATTAGAGTGGTCAGTAATGTTGTAGAACTTCGTACGGATTCAGATCGTCCGTCTAATTCAATTCCTGTTGGTAAACAGGACACAATGGCTAATGGGTCATAACCTAACGTTTGGAATCCTTTTATACCTAGATTAAACCATTGATTAGCAATTGCAGCTGTTTGTTTCTCCTCTGGGACGTCAGAAGTAATTGGTGCTAAATGACTATAAACACGGAAACGTTTTGTATCTAAATTAAACGCACAACGATGAATATAAACAGTAAATGCATTGGCATCAGCTTTGTAGATCGGTGTATATGTCGTTCCACGTACATAATAATAATTTTCATGTTCATGTCCACCAAGAATCAGATCAATTTGAGGAATTTTCGATGCCAGTTCAGTATCTATTTGTAAATCTAGATGAGTAATTGCTACCAGTACATCGTATGTATTATTCGGAAATGTATTTAAAAATCCTTGGACATGCGGAACCAAAGATGATTGATTAACATATCGAATATATGAACCAGTTCCATCGATAGTTAAACCAATAAAGAGTATTCGAACTGAATCAATAGTGAGAATTTTATGTGGAATACTCGGTCCGAATAGTTCATTTGAATCTTTTCGGAATACATTCGTACTTATCCATGTAAATGTTGATTCATTCATTCGAGCCAGTAAATCTTTTTCTGATAAATCAAATTCATGGTTGCCAAATGTCATCAGATCAAGTCCAAGTGTATTCATCGTTGCAATCATTTGCTTCCCATTCAGGGTTGTTCCATTTACTGTCGATGAACTTAATGCCGACGGAGAGAGAAGATCACCAGCGAGAATTGTATATGTATGAGGATTTTCTTCTTTCAATAACTTTCGAAGATACGCAACGCGTGCTAAACCACCTTTGCGTCCTCGATCGAGTGGTAATAGTTCATAAACATCGTTTAGATGCAAAAATGTCCATTGAACGTATCGGCCGTCTTTAGGCAGCTGAACTGGGTAACTGATAATTCCATTTTCCACGGCATAGACATACGAAGAAGTATTTCCGTTTCGCCATAAACTCGCATAGACAATTGTTAAAGTAGTGAGACATATGATTATTCCGATCAGAATGGTAAATATGAGTCCATATGGAAAAAAAGATTTTTTAAATCGGTCAATAGTAATCGCTGGCATGGGAATACAATTGAAATATAACAAATGCAAATGGGTCAATTTTTATTTTTATTTCGCCGATAAATACTGACTTATACGAGAATTCAAGAGGCTATAATCCGTATGATAAGACAAAGTATGACAAAGAAAGTCTGTTTCTCTCTGTCAGTTATCAATATAATCTTGAAGAATATTGATTACATGTAATAAATAAGACAGATAACATTCCCATAGGATAACTAACTTATTTGTTTTTTCTTTGCAACGCTAATCAACACTTGATAAGTCAGAGCAAGAGAGGAATTATCGGATTTTCTCTCTTGTCTTTCAATTTTCTCCCAAATCTGTGCAAATAATGATAAATCGAAATGAGTTCCGTCGAGATAAAATTATTATTGTTACTACCACTTGCTTACTTATATGTCTGATACGATCGATGGCAAAGAGCATGTAAATATCAAACATAATACTAATAAATAACTCACAGGTACTCGCATTCGTTCGATTTACCTTTTTCACTTTTCTAGCAGAAAATAGTTCTGAAGTATATATTATGACGTCAAAACTTCGTTATTCTCGGCAATAGCTCAATTGAAATAGAATCCGTTACGATATTTCATAGTTAAAATGTAACTTTTCAATGTAGTGTTCTTCTTTCGGATGTTTTTGTTGTCTTAAAGCTCACATTCTGTCCAGAGTAAGTGTTTTAATGAACAGACACTCAACAAGTGAAGCGATGCGTCAAGCAAAAAGCGCTCTCTCCTCGTTTTAACTGAAAATTTTCTTCATTCCTGCTTGCCAAAAAGTAACAAAACAAAGAAAAGCGTTGCACTTCATCTGTACAAAAATTTTAGTGATTTTTCTCTTTCTTTCACTATTTTCATTCTTTTGCGATTCTAAAGTTGGTTGTTATTCGAACATTACCCGTATCGAAACATAAACTTTCGCGATAATGACACAAAACAATCACTTCTCTAGTTTTACCAATACCGCTGAAGAACCAACAAAAGCCTTGACACCAATCAGAGGATATCAGACAAAAAATCTAGTATCACTGGAGGAGGTATTGGATGAAGTGAATCCACCTGTTCTTGACGTAGCTACCATGATATGGCTAGTAAAACAGGATTCGTCTGATCCGCCGAATGTACTAACTACTGATAAATCAGCAGCCACCCGCCTGTATACAAAGGAGTGGTGCGAAGCAAGCCAAAGTGTCTACTCGATATTAAATAAGAAACTCCGTTTGTGGTTCTCGTATCTGAAATGATTACTAACAACACTGTACAAGTTACCCGTCGGTGACAGGACAAGTATATCAAGGAGTTCGTGGTGATATGATTGAAATTTATAAGAAGGATTTTGTTTGATGAGGGTTTTAGTTCGTGTACGGAAAGAGTGGACGTTGGAGAAAAGTTCGTTGGTCGCACTGGAGTACGCACATTATTTATGATTGATTGCCTTAGTGGAAAATGTATTCACAAGTAACGCTCATCATATGGGTTCGCCGACCTTTTTCTGAAAGAACTGTTCTACTACTGAACATATTCAGATACATTGGAAAACAGGTGTAGGACACTGTGATTACTGCTGGCCCTCAGCTCGATCATGGCATTGTGTCCCACACGAGAATTAATACAAGACAAAGATTGTTCAATTGTCATGAACCGAATCGATTACCCACTTGTCAGTGAATAGTTTTCAAGCACTAGCTATGTCTACTCATTCGTAGGCCTCCGTCTGGCCAGTCACTCACAGCTACACATTAATCTTTATACTCCATTTTTCTAATTTCACGTTATACATATGAAAGTTTTTCTCGACACTTTACTAAGTTGCCCACAAAAGAAAGGAAGACGGATCTTAGTGAGTAAGGAAAAACTAACAACGGATTCGAGTTCTCCGATCCCGATTATCCTTCGGTCAACCCTTACTGCATTAAGTAATATCTCATGCCTAGTTAACCAGTAATGAATTCATAGTTAATAATCAGTAAAAACTAGGCTAAAATTCGAGTTCCTCGACTCCGATTACTTTACTAGTACTCAGTCTTTGGTTGCTATCGATAAATTTCAATGATTGAAGAAATGCTGCTTTCTGATTGGATAAGACAGACAGAGAGACAAACTTTAACTTTTCTAAGCTCATGATTTAACCGCTGTATAATCTTTCTTTCAGAAAAGGGAATAGAGATCAGGAAAGGAAAAGAATATTCCAAGATGGAATTTCGTGTCAACTGTATGCATCTACACAAGATCGTTTTATTATTTATGAACAGTGGATTTACAGAAGTTTGTAGAAGGCAAGAGAACTGGAGAACATGACGCATAAAAAGAGCATGATGTAGAAAGAACAACGAATGAGAATGCATATTATACACATACACCATGACGCCATGTAAATGCTACATCTGAGGAAGTGTTAACAACACATAACAAGCAATAATAATTCGATTGAAGGTTTATTTTACGTGTTGTCACCATGGACAAAGATCGTCTTTGAAACAGAGAAAATTCATTGGAAATATTTTTTGGAGGTGCACGGTGCACCTGTCAGTTGGAACTATAACTGATGAAAAAAAGAAAAAAAATAGTATTGTTATTGTGTGAAATCAAATATACACGTGCGTTTATCAGTGGTATATTTCAAGAAGCATATAGAAGTGCTGATTTTAGTCGAATAGGACAGAAAATTTCAGAAACTCATGAAGTTAAATGCATTGAATTCGGCGACAAGAAATTAATCGTTAGAACCTAATAATTATGTACTGTAAGTTAACACTCAAGCAAATCTATGAAACAGTCTACAACTGATAGTAATTTTGTTCATGTGAAAATATCGAAGACGGCTGTGTACACTTCTTGATCATGCACAGTAGTGAACAGAAATTTCAGCATTCAGATAATTCAATCACTGCTTTGAATATTGAGTGTTAACAGTTATCATAGAATAATGTGATGAACTCTTCACTCATTGATATTATAGCTCCATACGATTTAAAAAATGAATTGCAGCATGACATCATATCCAGCAAATATTGTTCGCAAAGGGATATCGCAAAAACTATATCTGTTTAAGGGCACATACTTCAATATAGTCATAAACTCTCTTTTTCTTTCTCTTATCATAAAAATGTTTTCTATCAAAGTTGATTCATGTCTTTTTCTTTTCAAAGTTTGTTCTTTTTCTCAAATAACAACCACAAAGTCAAGGTTGAATTTATTCCACCGCATACTTTTCAGAGGAGAAACTCTCGTGAGTTGTTATGAATGCAACATGATTACTCTCTTTCTTCCGTTCTGTATGAAAGAAAAGGAATAGAATGGTATGTCAAAGCAAAATAATCTGTACACTTGAAGAAAAAAACAAAAGGTAAAAAAGACTCGTCTATGATAGTTAATCTGTAGACAAGATTCTCTATTCCTCGATACTTATCTCGATCATGTCTTCATTTCGACCGTTTCGATGGACCTACCCACAAAAGACTGGCTCTGGATTTACAATTATTCCTAATCGAACTATGATCAACAATGATATTGAACAATATTTTCAACAATTAGCAAGTCGATTGAAAAGCTTTGACATTATTATTAATCATAATTTACCTTTTCTTTTGCATGGACATTCGAAAGAATGGATTCACAAGGTACACAAACTGCAACTTCATGTGATTCATAGATATATCAATAGTATTGAATGGTTTCTAAAGACGATTACTGATAGTTCCAATGGTTCGTTGAATGGAAGGCAAAAACGTGACATTCAACTCGAATTGAATGCGATGATCAATGATTTAACACAAATATTAGAAGTTTTACAGACAAAAGCACGATTTATCAATGATCTAGTTGCACAAAATTTCGGATACTATAATGCAAGTCAATACAATTTTAGTGTAACTGATGATATACAAATCTTGAAACGTATGTTAATAAGAGATCCTAATATCGATCGTATTCTTTGCTCTAATGATCTATTGAACAGCAATAATCCGTCACAATTGAAAATATTGCTTCATGAACTGGTGGAAGAACGCAAGACGAATCCGAATCTACGACTAGTTTATGCTGATTTCTCTACCTCGCCATTCAAATTGCACGATTTTATAGTATTACCATTCGTGCCATCGTCGTCGTCTACTAACGATGATATCATGAATGTTCTTCTTATTGGAGAAAGTGGAGTGGGAAAATCGACATTTATCAATGGCCTTGCGAACTACTTCACATTCGAAACAATTGAACGAGCGCAAGCAAACAAATCAATTGTTCTTATATCAGACGAAGATTCCCCGAATAGTTGTAAATCGTATGTATTCAATTTCGGTGCTCAAGATCGACGAAGGCTACGTATTATTGACACACCAGACTTGGGGAATACTCGCGATATGCAGTATATCTTAGAATACATTTATGATCTAACTCATCTGAATGCTATTTGCGTTCTTCTAAAACCAAACATGACACGAATGACAGATCTTGTTTCCACTTGTCTCAATCAATTTTTCGAACTATTGGGATCGAAGTTCAGTCGGAATGTTATCTTTTGTTTCACCAATGCACGGCCGACTTTGTATACACCTGGAGAATCAGCACCTTTACTAAAAGATATTCCATTCAATAAAGAGAATACGTTTTGTTTTGATAATGAATCATTTCGATACTTAGTTGCTTTACAAAATAAAATTCAGTTTACAGCAGAACAAAAACGTGAATATGAAACTAGTTGGTCGAAATCAGTTCAAGAATCCCAACGATTCCTTACCTATATTCGTACCCAATTATCAAGTTATCCATTGGACGATAATTTACAGTCGATTTCACATGCCAGCATGAAGATCAATCGCATGATTCGTCCAATGTTAGAAGCGATTCGGAATCTTCTTCGAAATCGAATTCTGCTGACTATCGATACTTCCATCAAGTTGATTAAACTATGTCCGCGCGCTATTCAACGGCAGCGAGCTTTTTGTACTTCGTGTGAACGAGACGCTTTTCATCTTGGACATTTCTGGATTCTACCAGACGATGCACATGCATTTCGAAATCAATGTTTGACCTGTTCTTGCACTCCGAATCAACACATCAGCATTGACTATATTCTCGGTTACGATACGATAAGTGCCTCTCCGAACGATCAAATACCGAAGATAGACAACCTTCTTCAAGAGTTATGTTCAATTAGCATTCAATTCGCTGGTTTTCTTAGAAAGCGCACAGACGATCAGTTTCTTCTCGGTTTAAAACAACTCATTGCTGAAGAACAACAGATCTGCTCAGTTCATCACGAATCCAATCACTATAATCTAGAACTTGTTAGAGAATTGCAAATACTTCTGATGTCCTACGACGAGCAAATGACGAAGTTGCAATCAACTGAACAAAATCGAGATTTACAATTTATCTACGACCAAATTCAAACCGTCGAGCAAATTTCAATTATACAAGAACAACTGGCAGTTATTCATCAACATGCGTGTGAGGAATTTGAAATTCAAACAAATTCCATACGTCGCAATGTGTTCTCTTCTTCCGAATTGAAATAGATTTGCGATTATTATTATTAAAATCTTTTTTCAATACTCAATAAAGTAGAAAAACAAACGTTGCTTTGTTCGTTTACACAAAACAAAACGACGAAATTACTTTCGTTAATGCTTCGAATAACAAAACATGTGTCACAATCCCTCGGTAGAAAGAAAATTTTATCGTAAAAACGTTGCTCGTCCAATAGTCGCTTGCAAATTAATCTTTTTTTTGTCTTGCACGTCACGTTTGCCAAACGTCGAAAGGATTCAGCAATGAAATATACAATTACACGCGAATTTTCCTTTACTAATGAAAAATTTCAAGTGATTTGTGATTCCAAATCGATTTGTACTGTCAAAGCAACACCATGCAAAGAATTTCCCGAACAATATAGGTGAGTGCACCATATACGATTGTTATTTACGAAATAACACATTTAATAGTATCAAGCTATTCAATCCGATGCGTAAAGGCGACGAGGAAGATTACTGTCGTGTTGAACCCGATGGTACACGGCCGCACAATTACTTAATCTATTCTACTAATGATGACAAAAACATGAAGACTCTCTTCGGACAGTTGCATTGGGAAACCTGTAGTTACAATAACTATCGCTACACGATAATTATCGGTCAGAAACTGTATCAAGTTCGAAGTTGTGATTTGAAAGATCGTCGCCTAGCAATCGTCGATGCTATTCATAGAAATAAATATTCCACAACTGATTATCCCGAATTGCTATATCAAGTGATCGATTCATTTTCCAAATCAAATAAAAAATATCATGTAAATATCCATGACAAAGAATGGCCTTTGGGTTATTTAGCTATTACAGTTCTACTCGATCTTCATGAATGCAAACGGAGTATTGACTAACGAAAGACGTTGTTTTTATTTGTATAAAATAAATACACATATCTCCAAGATAAAAAGAAGCTCTATCTTATCTTTTGAGCAAACACTAAACTCGACATACGAAGTGTACATACACATTCCGATGATGGGTACCATGGAGTTAGTATGTGGTTGGCTAGTGGTGATACTTCTGTTGATGAAACAATCGTCAATTGAAGGAAAGAAAATCTTTGTTTCCAAGTATGGTGCTCATCCGAACGATGATCTTGATGACACAGCGGCAATTCAATTGGCTATCAATGATGCAATCAAACGTGGTTATACAAGCGAGATTGTTTTCGGATTTGGTATATATGCAATATCATCGACTATTGTCATAGAAAACGCCATTAATTTAACTATAACTGGAGAAGGAATTGATCAAACGTATTTAATTGCTTACAATCAGGTATCGATATTTTTTGCAGAAAACTGTCAAGGATTAAAATTTACTTCGTTTTCTATTGATTACAATCCACTTCCATTTACGGCTGGATATATTGCTAATATTGGTGATACATTTCTAGACGTACGTGTTGTTTCGCCTCATCAAACGGATGTTGATCGACAAGCTCAAGCTATCCTTCGATACGATCCTGATCAGAAAAGACCAGCTTTCGGACAGAATACCTATGAAATGTATCAAACACCTCCGACCGATAGAAATACAACGATTGTCGAGCCAGGAGTTCTACGTGTGCCATTGAGTGTTCAAACACAATTCCGTCGGGGTGATCCAGTTGTCGTTCGTTATGCTTTTCGTGGCCATGCAATATACGGACAAGATTTAACAGATATTTCCGTCCAATCAATTACTATTTACACATCATGGGGAATGGGTTTCGTGACACTTCGCTCAAGACGTTTACGAATAAGTAATTATCATGTTTTACCTCGCGATGGTCGTTGGATGAGTACAATTGTCGATTGCTTGCATTTCCTCGATACGAGAGAATATCTTTCCATTACGGATAGCGAATGCCATGCGATGGGTGACGATGGTTTGAATGTTCACGGCGTATTCTTTCTTGTGACAAATATTATCGATGCAAAAACAATCATTATTCAAACCAAAACGTCAGCTGACCCGTTGAATTTTGCCGTCGGAACGAATTTAGAATTTAGTGCCAATCAACAACCATTTGTCGTGCATGGTAGTGGTCAAGTCGCATCGATTGCACCCACGAATTCCACTGATACAAGAAAAATTACTTTCACCAATCCGGTTAATGTAACCTTGAATGATTGGGTATGCGTTGCTGATACGCCAATGCTGACGATACGAAATTTTACAGTAGCAAACAATCGTGCACGTGGCGTTCTATTAGAAACTCGTAATATTGACATTAGGCAATCATTATTCTATCGTACGAGTGGACCTGCAGTTCTAATTCAACCATCGATGTACTGGCACGAAGGTCCCGAAGCTCAAAATGTGTCATTGGTTGGTAATGTTTATATCGAAAATAATGAAGGTATTGCGCAAGAAAAAGGTGTTATTACGATTTTACCCGATCCAGTTCACCTAGTTCCGGTGATTAATGATATTCGAATCGAATCGTCATCGTTCTACTTAGGGTTATCCAGTCAAGGACTTTTACAGAGTGATAATATGAACAATTTATATCTTACACACAATTATATTGCTACGAATCTGTCCACGCCGATTATAAGTATTTGCAATAGTCGAAACATATCGGCAGCTAATAATTGTGTAGTCAATATGCAAACCAAAATCACCGAATATTATACGTTCGATCAGACCAGTCCTTGTTCGATGAATTTAAGCAGTTTAATTGATTTGCCGCCATCAGCATTCAATGCATCATTTCCACCGCCTGCTATCATAGACAAAAAGTTTTATTCAACATTTTTAACAGAAAAACATAAATAAAAAAGACAGAACAAGCAAAATCCATGCATTCGAAAATAATATTGATCTATTTGCATTGCTTACAGTGGATGTACTAGTAGATTCAGTTGTCACTGTAGTTGTAGTTGTGACTGTCATTGTCGAGGTTGTTGTAGTACTAATCGTGGTAGTGATGGTCACCGAGCTTGTCGTCGACGATGTAGTAGTTGTAGATGATGTCGTTGTTGTTGTTGTTGTTGTTGTGGGATCAAGGATATCACAAGGTCCTACTTCAATGTCATCAAAAGCGACAGAAACAGATACGGTTGCTAGTTGATGAACATAGAAATAGAGACTTCCTTCACAGACAATGTTTGGTATCGCCGTCACAACGGTTTGCCATCCGTGACTGTCATCGAGATATCTGTTCCATAAACTTCGACTATCACATCCACCAGTCCAAATGCTAACAACAGTGCCATTTTGATCGTCGACCGATGATTTGACATAATAAGCATATCGTACGCACATACCGAGATTGAATGAGACTGATTTTGGAGGAGAAACAGCACCAGAATTTCCACGTTGGAAAGGTAAATGTCGGTTCCAATAAATAAAGCCACCAGTAGATGAATTCGTTGTATGATCCCGAAACGGACCTAACGTTCGATCCGGAACATTTTCACCAGTAGTTAGAGAAAAATTGTACGTGGGTAATGTAAATCTATCACCATTTTGCATTCCGCACATCGTTAAATCATCGAAGTTGCAATGAAAAGATAGAAGATTACCGTCGTATGGAAATTTTGTCGGAGGATAAGCACACGATGTCACGCTAAGATCATCTATAGCAAATGAACGTGGATTGTCTTGTAAACTATCGACGCGGAACATCAATGAATAATATCCAACAGGTAGATTTATTACACCCCAAGTCCTAAACAGTCATCGAGAATGATACATGAAGTTCAATGAAGTAGCTCACCATTTTGCATCTGTGTATCTACAAAGCAAGAAGAGAAAAAAAGCAGGCTTATATCTGTGTCTTCCCTTTCTTAAGTAAAACTTACATATACTCGCCAAACGATGGTGGCCATATCTGTTGTACAGTTTCAAACGGATCAAAATATCTTGCGTAAACTTTTAGATAGCTGATATATTGTTGTCCGAAGGCATAGTAGTAAAAATTCAAACAAAACGACTCATTTACAGTGATATTGAATTGCTTGCGTGTTTCCAAATAACCAACTTTCCCTTTCTGAATTATTTTCGAATTTACTACAAATGCATAATGTCCTGACTCATTACCATAGGTAAAGTCAACCGTAGGTGCCAAATTTTCTTCTTTGACAGCATCACTCGCTTTCATGATTGACCATTGATATGGATAATCCGATAGCGAAACAACGTCGTTGACGCAGTTCGATTCAAAATCACATGCAAACAACGTCTTTGGTGGTGCTGGTAACGGTTTATCACAGTAATCGATCGAGAGATCATCAAATGCTAGTGACTTCGTCGAAACGTTCGATCGAATTAGCAATTTGAACTTTTCTGCTGGTAGCGCTAGATTAATCAATGTCCAATCATTTATCGAAGGATCCTTTCCAGGTACTTTTGCTATGATTCGCGTTAGTTGCTCATCATCACCTTGTACCAACTGAATTGAAAATGGAAAGTCAATACGAGGTGTGTAATACCACATTTGAAAACAAACAGCACGGTCTGTTGGTAGTTGAACCCATTGTTTGGTTTTGATTTTGGCATCCACAGGGTAGAATGGTGAGCTTTGTGGCGTGTAAAAAAGATAATGGCCAGCGCTTGTATTGAGCGTGTGATCATGATTGATGGATTGTGGATGGGCACCATCAGTCAAACCCCAGTTTGAATCAATATCAAAGTCAGAACAAGGCGTTTCGAAATCGCATTTGAGAATAGCTGTGTCATTACAGCTAAGCGTAAATACGAGTAGGATGAAAACGAAGAAGAACATGTTGCTTATTCCACTGTTTGTAACTGAGATGTTTTATATGGATCCAAAAGTAAGATAAGATGTTGCATAGTCGTTGTGCAAGAACAATGACTGACTAAAAGATAAAATTGTAAAAGCGCGGGATGTGAGCGTCTACGCAGAAAAAAAGATGCAATTTGAATGATTTCCAAGCGAATTCTCACCTTGAATAGAAATCTATCCAAAATAAATACCCAGTGCTAAGTTTCAGCACAACAGTCACGCGAAATAAGTATAGTTATACGTCATTTTGGAGTTCATCATTATTATTTCCATCATTATCTTCCTAAATGTCGCGCTCTTCGGTGCCCATTTTTGACTCAGACCTGGTTAATAGTACTGATCGTGATGAATAAGTATGAATGAAAGAATCGATTGAAATGTTCTTTCATCACCACATGTCATATTTCGAGAAGGAGAGCAAAAGAAAAATCGGTACATTAATATGACCGTGTTTTTCTTCATTTTTGTTGTTGACGCACAAAAGTATTGATGTTTTTTTCGTCAAGCTGAAACTTTACGTTTAAAACAGAAAAATGGATGAGTATTTCACAAAACTGGTTTCATTGATCAAATTCAGTGATACAATTCCTGGTATTAACACAATTCTGTCCAGTGACGATCAGGAAGATGTCAATTATTTCCTACCACGAGAAAGGCACGTTGACCTACAAATGGTTTCGGAACATCAGTTGATTGCTCGAATTCAACGTTATTTGTTAACTTTGACGAATGCGACCGAAATTCGAACATGGACTGGTGAGATTAATACAATGCTAAAAGAAACGATTCTGCCGCAAATGAGAAACGATTCCATCCTGGTCGAACAAACTATTTATGATGAGCTTACCAAAATCGCACAATTAAAAGTTGGCTTTCGACGAAAATCAGCAAAGGTTAATCAATTGACAGCGCCGCAGAGAGGTGAACCCCCTAAACGTAGAACTTCACCTTTACCAAGTCGACTAGCAGGAGCTGTTCGAGATTCAAACAAAGTGGATATTTCGCAGGCGACGGTCGTTGATATTTTTTCAAGATTTGCCAAACATTCGTTGACCTTAAGAGACATTCTACCCGTTGTGAACCTACTCTTGTTCGATACTCAACATCGCTATGACGTTCAACAATATATCAAAGAACTAAACACTCATCAGGAGAGAACTAAAGAGGAATGGAAAAATCGAAGTCAGCTAGAATGGATTGCTAGTGGCAATAACACAGTGAATGCAGCTTCAGGTTAGACAATTATTCCTTAATCTATTTTGTATAACAGAGAGTTTAAAACTCATTTAGATAAAGTATTTTGGAATCCAATAGCCTATCTATTATCAGTTAGTGCATATCCTAGTAACAAACTGATGATTCTGAATAAAAAAGTATTCACCGGTCAATATGTAGCAGCTGTTATTATGGGTCATATCGATATTTATCATAATTTGCATGCGGACAAACAGTACCAATCGGGTAATCTCAATAGTTCCCTTTTCTTTCATTTTCATCCCGATACATTTCGACAATTATTCCATTTAATCGAACAACTTGTGCACAAGAAAGATACATTTACAAATGCAAATTTAAAATTCATGTTAAATATGTGCTTAAGATTATTTACTATTCATTTGAAGTATTTATCGATATTATCTCGAGACGACGATTGGATTTCGATGACTGACAGTAATGAAAACGATTGGAATGACTATCCTACTGATGAAGTATGGCAAACTTGGTACGATTTATTGTTTTTATTGACAACAAATGAATTTCAAAATACTATCCATGCCCGACAAGCAATGAAAGCAATAGTTTATATTCTTGAAAAAAGAATTCCGCTGTTTTCTGACAGATTATCCTATATGTTTCAGTGCATCGAGGAGAACAAATGTTCCGCTGTTACCGTTGAATTTTCAAGTGCATTGGCACGTGATGCAAATATAATTACTTGGATTGATATTCTATCGAACGAGAGTGTCAAGACAAATCAAGGTTGGTTCATCTTAGAATCATTTATTGTTCATTACCATCAGTCATCAGCGTCGGTACAACGAATTGCAGAACGATTCCAACAGTTACTCTTCGCGCAACTTATGAAAGGGAATGTGTCGATTTTACCTATATTCATTCGGTATATGACACTGATATTCAACCAAGATATAACGAAACAACATCTAATGAAATCTTTTCTCATGGGTTTAAGTTTCCTGACTGTAACTAAAGATCAAAATTGTTCGGTGACATTTTTTATTCATATATTACCGATACTAGTTGATTTTATTCTGATATATAGTACTACAGAAGTAATCGATAATGGTCAATTTTACTACTTAGCTTGGTTGCTAGGACAAATCAGTCATCGACTAATTACAGATCAGCTTATACAGCCACTAGAAATCAAATATGCGGAGATATTAAAACTGCCTCTGTTTTCTTCCGGACGTGAATCTAACACGATGAATGATATGTTGTTTCAATCAAACATGGCTTTCTATAGTCACCTCAAGCCAGTCGATTATATCGAGCAGACTCCGACTGACGATCGAGAATTTCTGCTATCTGTGTACAACAATATCGATCAGGGTGCGCAGTTACTATCGAAAATGCGAGCTTTCAGCAAAAATAAACAACGTCCTGTACAGAAATCTATTGAGCAACAAGTTAATGATGCGTGTGCTCATCTCTTTGCCGTCTATCTCAAACATTATCGTCGAGTTAATCTAGCAAAGGAAGAACTCACTCGTGATAACACCAGCCAACCACACGAAAAACTGCTCTCTTTGTTCGAATATGCCAATCGTATTCAAACGACGTTTGCTACACTGCGTGGTCAAGGTGGTAATTGTCAAGAACTCTATGAACAAATACGAAGAAGGACTCTCTTTCTTGTGTCTTTCGTTAGAGCAAGTCATTGGATTTCCGCTGCTGTCGATTCTATGCCGAAGACGATGGGAGATGTTCGACAACGATCTTCAAGTAATTCTTCTCGATTACTCCGACAGACGTTCAATGCTTGCACACGATTTAAAAAGCTCATCAAAACGAGCAAGAAACGTATTGATCCGATGAGAGATCGGGAAGAAGTTTTGCATCACTCGATCGTCAGCTGTGTCTATGGAGAGCAAAATCAATGGAATTCAGAAGAACTTCTTCAATGTATGTCGTACCAACATGAACGAGCCATGTTTCGATGGGTAACATACCGATTTATTTATGAATTTCTTTCGAAATTTATTAAAATTGAAGAAAAGAATCGAATGATGAGCTTTTTAGCTATCCTTGTACCGCATCTTAGAGGTATGGATAATGAATGGTCTTATCTGGAAAATATTCCATCAGCTAATAGTCGGTGGAAAGAACAGATCGGAAAAGTTTATTACTCTATTGTACAATTGCTCCTGTCGCATTTACCGGAAAGCGATACAAAAACAGCGATTTTGATATTTCATCTGTTGAATTTACCTTATACTACCGATGATATCGGATATTTACACCAGTACGAATTTCCCCAACACTTATTCACATCGTTTGTTACTGCAAACAATCAATCTGTTGCGTTTGAAACTAAATGTCTCGGTTATCAATGGTTTCGTTTGTATGTTTTACAGCTATGGCGACACGTCACCAATAAGGAAAATATGCATGAATTGTCCGAGGAAAAATGGATCTTTGATGAGCTGAAGAATTTATTTATCATCGAACAAAATCTAGTATCCAGCATTTCATTTCGATATGTCGCACTCGGCTCAGTTCAAATCGGTACAGTACAAAATAATGGAATAGTCAAGCACGAAACCAATCAGTACTTAATGTTACTACTGCGATGCGTAACAATGTATGAACATGTTCGGAATCATTGTGCTACGCTCGAATATTTTGAACAGCTATTAAATATGTATCGTAATAGTACAAACCTTATCACAATTCTTTTAGTACTGAAAATTATACGTCAAATTTTGTTCTCGTTATCTGAAGAACAGATCATTACTCCAGTAAAGAACTTCCTCGAAGAGATCTTTTCGACGATTAGTGACAATATTCGATCGAAAGAGAAATCCTTCGAGATCACCACTGAATTGATTTATATCTACCGAATAATCATTTCCACTGCATCCCCATGGCAACAAAATGCTATCGAACAGGTCATTAATGTTATCATTTCGAGTCATAATTCTTTCCATTCCAATGATACGAAGCAACTCAACGATCTACTTGCATGTCTGAGCATTTTAGGCGGATACATCCATTCGTTTGGCATTGGCTCGATCGTTCAGATCTATGTCGGAGATCAATTTGACCAAGAGACTCAATTGGGTGTTGTCTTAGAGATTCACTCGAAGAGTGCTTTACCTTACCTGGTTCAATACTGTCGGACCAATGAAACCATTTGGGTTACAGTTGATCAATTGCGTATTGAGCTCGACGTTCTGCCACCTCATCTACTCGATTTGCCGGTTGATCGTGCAACTATTGGGAAGGTTTTCGACGCTATCATTTACTTTATCGAACTTGATGAATCACTTTTTGATCCTGTTCTTATTTTACTACTCAAACGTCGATCTATCTGTGCTTTATATCGATCGTTGTTGACCAGTAAAAAATTGCTGGAAATCTTCATGGACAAACCGTATGCATCAGTCATTGCCAAACTTTCCATGACAGCGCTGTCAAATATACATCGATTACAACCGACTGATATGCGTCTATTAAACAAACGACATCTGGAACAATACTGTCTCAGTTTGGATCGATGTGAACGTATGCAACAAATCGTCAATGATGCAACACAAGCACGACAAGACGAGCTAGGACTACATGTTTGGCATAGTTCTCCGTTTACGAATAACTTTACAAGGACGAATATTCCTTACAGTGATCTGAATAGCACGCAATGGGCACCGGCAGGATCGAAACAGTATGTCGAAGACTTCACACGTGGTCGAATTGGCAATGAGGAAATTCGTATTGTACCAATGGCATCAGAGATTGCTGGTCAATGGTTCTTAGAAGAATGTGGAATCAAGCATCGATTTCCTGGTCGGACTTATCTAGTTAATGAATATGGCAATAGTGCAATGGCTACTTTTATTGTAGACACCTTACGCTTGAGTCAGGGCAAATGGTATTTCTGTGTACGTCTTCTCGAAAGTCAATTCATACGCATCGGATGGGCAACAGATGGTTTCAATCCTAGTAATACCAATGGAATTGGTCAAGATCGATATTCATGGTCTTTTAATGGATCTCAATCAATGTTATACAATCAAATCGAATCTCCATTCATTACAAATAACATTTCTTGGAATACTCATGATGTTTGCGGGTGTGGAATTGAAATCAATGGCATCAATACACGAATCAATTACTGGTTGAATGGGCACTTTTTAGGGACGGCTTTTGCTCATAATTTTCCCATCGGCCCGACAGATACAATATGCGACATGCTACCTAATACGTCTGAAACGACCTACTACCCAGGTGTTACACTACAAATGAATGATACCACCCTTCTAAGTTCTTGCGAATGGATTTTTAGTCCCGAAGATATGAACGAATGCCCATTGCCGGAGGGCTATAAACCGTTGATAGTACCAACTGTACATACTGTAGTGAGGTATCCCGTCAATGCTTATATACTAAGCATTAATGATCAAGATAATCTTTATCAATCACGTACTACGTCGACGAACATGTTCCTACGTGATTTTGTCAGCGAACGTCACCTACAAATAGAATATCCTATCAAAAGCGGTGGTCTGATATTATCTAAAGAAACTAATGGGCTTCCATTCGAAATTGTTCAATCTGATTCATGGACATTGAGTTTCGATTTTAAACTTTCATCTGATGTTTCTCAAGAACAGATCTGCCTCTTTTCACTTGAACCTGTATTGTCTGTAAAGTTGCCAATCGAAAAGGTTAAGCGGAGCACTCGCATAGCCATTATATTCTCTGCAAAGGACCAATCAGTTACGACGTATATCAATCATGAATGCAAGTCATCGACAGTTTCTATGACTGCTCCATTCACACTTCATATACTGCCGGCAATTGCTGCAACAGTTCAAAATCTTGCCTTCTGGGACGAAGCTCTACTGGAAGAAGATATCCATAATCTCTTCGATTCAGGTTTAGCTCATATCATTGTTGATCATTATCGATTATCGAAATATAAGAAATTAGCAAATACATGGACGTTTAAAGCTAAACAACAAAACTTTTCCGATGGATCACTCGTAGCTTTGCACGAACCATTTACGAATGAAAAGTGGAAGCAGACGAAAGTTGAAGCAGAAAAGGATGAATGGAAATATTTCAAAACGATCGATGGAACTGACTGTTCTATTTTACAGTTGTACGGAAATACAACGTATCTTGTCCTGGATAAATCAGTTCATCCAACGGAAGGATACACGTTAATTGTCGACATTAGAATTAATCACTTACCAGCAGAAAACGAACAGCTGACATTGATTACTTTGAATACATACACAAGCATCTATTTATCACACGAAGGACGACTGTGTGCCACATCAAGTAAGATAGAAAGCCATTCGTCGTTGAAACTAAATCAATACGTACGCCTTATGATAACTGCTGGAAGTTCATCATTGAAATTGTATATTGATGGTGAGCTGTATTTTGACACGAATCTCAGTAAACAAGAACTGACGATCAATGGCGATCATATTGATCTATTTCACGAGCAAGATTTAACTAAGAATACTACACAGGAAGATGTTCTTCGTGTCGAATGTAAGTCGATTACTTATCTAGCAAAATGTCTTTCCAATATACAAGATGATCTTAAATCTCCAAACCATTCATTAGAGTATTTGGTTGCATTGCCTTATTCTGCAATCTCTCCAAGTTTACTGCTCGGTGGATATGAGAAATCATTGATCAAATCCGTACATAAACAGCATCCAACAAAGAATATATACCAGATCGAACAGATTGTTCGTGAACAGCAGAAACTAGCGATGATCGCGACACGGAACGACCAACTTCGACGTCAACACGATCTCCTAGCAAAAGTGAATCCGTCGATTGACACAGCTAAACTCAAAAATCTTCTACCATTCTCGAGCTTTGATACCGATGAAAAGATTATCACGCTAGGTGCCATGTTATTCGATCACTGGAATACTCTGAAACTATCGCGTTCATCATTTTCTTCTGACAAAGACTGGTTTGACCAAACTGTGCATCACTTAGATATAGGCAAGAAATTCAATGAATGGTATTCTGATAAAACTGCATCTATTGTTGAAGAAAGTGATTATATTCATCGATTATTCGATATCAATCGAATTTCATGCGAACCAACGCCCGTTACATTCAGCGACCAATGGAGAAATACTGATTATAGTCATGAAAACATTCCTCGTTCACAATTCATAGCTGCACGTATCGCATGCGAACACGGCTTGATTTCAATGTATGCCCATTACACCATCTTGGCTATGTTAAATGTGTGGTCTACAGGCGGATCAACTTTATTTCCATTGGAGAAATTCGGAGATTTCACATTTCTGTTAACACTATTTCGACTGTTAGATTATCATTATCACAATACTCGATTACATACTGATGAGAGTATTGATCGGATGGCTTTGTTAATCAAAACAGTTCTCAATGGAGAATTCAATGAACTACTTAAACATGAATCGATTTCAGTTGAAGCACTGCTGAACAAAGCTCCATTTCTTTACCAACTACAAAAGAGCATCGTTGTGCAAATGCTTCAATTGATTGCTAACCCATCGCTATTGATTGGCGACACTCAGTCGATGAAGATGATCCAAAAACCTGATATACAATTTATTCTCAAACTATTCACTCTGTTCCTCTCATCGGTCGTCGAGCCAACTACGAGAAAACAGACTGATATTGAGTTTTTACTTCCCCTCGTCTTTCCAGAGATTTGTATCGAACACTTATTCGATTTATTTCTTCTCTGTTCAACACATCGAACAAAAATTGCGATTGTTCGTCTTTTTTCTACGTAAGTAAATTTGTGTTGTAATCAGAGAAGGTTTCATTGTCGATAATTTTGCTAGGTTGATTCATAGAAGTACCAAACTGCACTTTAGCAAACGTATTCGACACTTCTTCTGTCATCTATGTCCTCAATTATTACCTGATTCGACTTCCATAGCAAGTTACTCAATGAAAACATTTCAAACAGCAGCTTTGGATTTCGTTTATCTGTTATACGAAAAATACAAGAAAGAGTCTTTAAATTCAGACTTGTCTCGAGTCTTTCAATCTTTACACGATCTGATCACCTTTGTTAATACCCTTAACGCATTAACTGATCGAACGAAACAGATTTCATTTCCAGAATTGTTCATCCTTCAATCGACAGTTGCTCTTGATGGTAGTATTCAATTCACTCGGGAAGAACTAGAGAAATCTCACCATTATTTTGACACAATAGCCGATCATCAATTAATAGATTTTCTCAATCAGCATCTATTAACAGGTGTATCATTCGCAGCACTCATCGCTGATCTACCATCAGAGAACACATCGAGTGCAAAGCATTATCAAAATTTTCCATCGTTATGGCACATACCGACTCATTGTATTCAAACGCGCGTTAGATTCTTCTGGTTGTTTAACTTATTCGTTGAAAAGCTCGTTTCCATTGTGGACCTGAGTATACCATTCGGACAAAGTTTTCTTACGGACAAAATCCGCTCGTCTCGAGACTATATTCTACACAAGACCAAATCTCAACTATTAGAAACATCTTTAGCTGTCACGGCAGCATCCTCAGATGACAGTATGCCCTCAGTGAATTTCAATACTATCCCAGCAAATGCGGTGACCGCCGCCAAAACGATGTTTCAGCAAGCATATGAGCAACTACATTCGAACGGTCATATTCTTTTTCGACGACCGAATGAACGTCTTTGGCGAGCACAGTATATTGGTATGCATAGTACAGATCAAGGTGGTCCCTATCGAGATTCGATTACATGTATTTGTGCAGACATCTGTAGCAATCGAGTAGCATTATTTATTTTGTGTCCCAATGGACGCATGAACGATGGTTTAAATCGTGACCGTTGGATTCCATACGTTTATCCTCCGAATGAACCGATTCCAAATATAATTAAGAAACAGTATCGATTCGTTGGTCAAATGATGGGCATGGCGATACGAAAACAATTCTATTTGGATTTGAAATTTGCTGGTTTAGTATGGAAACAGTTGGTAAGAGATGAAGTAATCCTGGAAGATATCACGGCAATCGACATACAGAGCTTCACTCTCGTCAATGAAATGGAAAATAATCTTTGCTCGATGGATGAATCTATGAATACGGAATACGATGAGATGTTGACCAGTATTTTGGATGATCTGAAATTCGAAGCGATGAGTGCCGATGGTCAAACATACGAACTAATACCTGGTGGACGTAATATATCAGTTACTGCGGAAAATCTACGAGAATATTGTTCGAACTATCGTCAATATCGTTTGCAAGAATTTTCTCGACAAATCGAATACATTCGACAAGGATTATACAGTGTTGTGCCTGGTTATTACTTGAGTTTATATACTGCTCGTGAATTAGAAGAAGCTGTTTGCGGGAAAGGTGAAATTGACGTCGAATTGTTAAAACGAAACACGAACTACGGCGGTGATTATGAAGAAAATTCGCCGTGCATACAACGCTTTTGGACAGTACTCAAAACGAAATTCACCGAAGAACAAAAGAAGTTATTTTTGAAATTTGTTTGGGGCCGATCTTCATTACCTAATCAAGATAGTGGTTTTACATCAAAGTTTGTCATCGATGTTCTAAGAGTTACTGACGGTTCCGTCAATGGAGCACTTCCAAGTAAGACAAAACTTTGAGGTTTCTATAATCTGACTGGAAATTTTCTTTTAGGAGCACATACATGCAGCTTTACATTGGATCTACCTGAGTATTCGTCGGTAGACGTAATGTATGATCGGTTGAATTATGCTATTACAAACTGTTCCTCTATCGATGGGGATGGGTCCATGAACTAGATATTCGGACAGGTATCTTAAGCATTCAAATAAGAATAAAATTTACTTTATCGTTTAATATCAGTCATCAGTATTAACGAGAGAGAAAAGATCACCGAAAAGTACCTATGATAGGTATTGAACAATATGAAAAAGAAGATAAACCAATATTATCTGTAGTGTGTTTGACGACAGTAATTTTCCAGCCCGGCTTTTCGGGGGTGTGGTTGCTGTTGTGCTGCTAGTGGATGTTGTCGAACTGCTAACAGGAGCTGTTGTTGTTGTTGTTGTACTTTGAGTAGTATGGCTAACAGTCGTCGAAGTTGTAGTAGTAGTAGAGGTCACAGTCGTAGTTGTAGTGGTCGTAGTAGTAGTGGATGTCGTGGTGGTGGTTGTGGTGAACATAGAACATTGATCTATAATAAAATCATCGACGGCAACTGCTACTCTCACTGTTCCTCGTTGGTATACACTGAAATAGTACGATTCCATGCATGCAACATCGGGTGCTGGTATCACGACAACTTGCCAGCCTCGACTATCATCCAATGATGTGCTCCATAACATAGCACCGAGGCATCCGCCTGTTGTTACAGCTAATTGCGTACTATTTTTATTGTCGACTGATGACTTGACGTAATAAGCAAATCGAATACACATTCCGAGATTTGATGCCATTGAATATGCAGGAAATAGGTATCCCATGTCTGATGACGTAAAGGGCAAGCGACGATCCCAATAACTAAAACCTCCAGTTGACGAGTTCGTTGTATGGTCGTAGAATGGTCCCAGACTTCGATCGGGAATAGTTTCGCCCGTCATTGCAGTGAAATTGTAAGTAGATTTCATAAAACGATCTTCACTCAGCATTCCACACATGGTTAGATTATCAAAATCACATGAAAAAGAAAGCAAAGCAGCACCGTCTTCATAAAACGTCGTCGGAGGATAATCGCACGACGTTACAGAGACGTCATCGATTGCATACGAGCTTCGATAATTATCACTACTATCTACACGAAATAATAATGAGTAATCTCCAATCGGCAGTTGTGCAATGCCCCAAGTCCTAAGCACGTACAATGAAAGAATGATACGACTCAAGTCACATATAACTAAAACTTACCGTTGGTCACTTCGATATCTAAAACACAAAAAGATATGAATAGCGTTATGGTTTTTCGTTTCCTGTTAGTTAATACTTACGAATACCGCCTATTTTGTGGTGGCCACACTTGTTGTATAGTTTCGGATGATTCAGAAAATTGTGCGTAAATCAGTAAACTACCTGCGTATGTTCGACCATAACCATAATATTGAAAATTTAAACAGAACGACTCGTTTGCAGTGATATTCATGGATGTTCGAAGAGCAAGATACCCAACATATCCTTTTCTGTATGTTTTAGAAGAAGGAACAAAAGCATAGTGTCCGGATTCGTTACCATAGGTAAAATCAGTCGTAGGTGCCAGGCTATCTACTTTGACAGCATCACTTGCTTTCATTATCGACCACTCATAGGGATAGTTGGGCAATGGCACGAAATCAGTCGTACACGAGGATTCAAAGTTGCACGTATATAATGTTGTCGGAGGAGGTGGTAATGGCTTATCACAATAATCGATCGAGAGATCATCAAATGCTAATGGTGTAGTCGAAATATTCAATTGAATCAATAACTTAAACTTCTCTGCTGGTAATGCTATATTAACCAGTGTCCAATCATTTATCGAAGGAACTTTTCCAGGTATAGTTGCAACGATTCGTGTTAATTGATCATCGTCACCTTGTACCAACTGAATTGAAAACGGAAGATTCGCATGAGGTGTGTAATACCACATTTGAAAACAAACAGCACGGTCAGTTGGTAGTTGAACCCATTGTTTGGTTTTGATTTTGGCATCTACCTGGTGGAATGGTGGTGAGCTTTGTGGCGTGTAAAAAAGATAATGGCCAGCGCTTGTGTTGAGCGTGTGATCATGATTGATGGGTTGTGGATGGGCACCATCAGTCAAACCCCAGTTTGTATCAATATCAAAGTCTGAACAGTCTGTCTCAAAGTCGCATTTTAGAATAGCTGTGTCGATGCTAGTCAGGAGTAGGGTGAATAGAATGAAAACGAAAGGAATCATGTTGATTGAGCGCAAATCTTGTAGCTATAACTTTTTATATAGATTCAAAAGTAAGATAAGATGTTGCATAGTCGTTGTGCAAGAACATCAAACAAAGATAACGAAAGATAATTGTATTACGTACCTATTTTTTGGCACATTCAAACTATATCCAAATGAAAGGAACTCATCTATCTAGACGCTAAAAGTATTTGTCTTTCTTCCATCAATATTTTATTAAAATATTATTAAAAAGTATTACTACATTTGAAGCGACCAAAAAATGCAGATCATCAAGTATAAACTCAATAGGTAAACCTTAACCGCCGTAATAGATTCATATGCTACATCAATCGATTTTATATTTTGTTATTTGTTTGAATTCCGCTATAACAGCATGATGATCAGTGGCTCCATTTGTATCGATAATTGAACATTCAATTAATTTCCAATATTCATTCATACGAGGATGTGTGTATATATAATCGATTCTTGTTCCATACGGACATGTTGCCACCTGTTTATCCTTTAGTGTTGGGTTCAGCTTGCGAAAAGTATCTTGATACTTCCATTGTTTTGTTATTAATTCCGTTAAATCGAAACGTGGCCGTTCCCAGTCGGCTTTTTCGCGTTTACCAAGAACAATATCGCGATAATAACTGTTTGAATAATCTTCTCGTGTTAAAGCATTCAGATCCCCGATGAGTATATCAATATTATCTTCATGTGGCCGAAATTTCTGTATTTGCCTCAATCGATCATCTTCATTTCGATGATCTAAGTGCGTCAGAGCAAATTTCATGTTCTGTATACCTTCTAAACTGAATTGCAACATCGACCGTGTGCCACCTTCACAAAAGAAATCCGTTCTTTGAACCGAATACCAATGTATTGGATATCGAGAGATGATACCGTTACAAAAAGTACGCTTCGGTGGTCCATATACAGAGAAAGGTAGAGACAGACGTTGAGAAAACTCTCTCCACCTTTCGTTCTCTTGCATTTCTTGCACAGCAATCACATCGAGATTCAATGGCGCAAGAATGGCACTCAATTCCGTAACATTACTGGAAATACTACGTGGCTGTCGAAATGAATGTACATTGACCGTTGCTACCCGAAGTGTTGTCATTGTTTATGGAGATGTTTGTTTACGACTCGATTTTTTATTTGCTCTTCGTATAAAATGGCCCTATTCTGTTTTCTCTCAATTTTTTTATCGACGTACGTCAACACCTACGTCATATTATTGTCGACGTGTCATGTCGTAATGTTGAATTCGTTCTACTCCTGTTATAATGGACACATATTAAAACATCAAGAAGAAAACATGTTTACTGGTCGTTTTTTTGTGTTTTTTTTTCTAGACACATTTACTTTGCAACCTTCAATATAGCTTACGGTAACACATACTCGTGAGATTAGGATAAAAATATCTGATTAACAACTGGATGTAATAATCTATCGACTCTTATCAGCGATATAACTGAAATGCGAGATGTGGTGTGGTATACTGCGTGCGAAAGAATGATATTTTATACTATGATATGATGCGTGCGTATTGTCTGACAAAAGTCGAAGTTCAAATGAAAATTTCGACTGCAATTCACTTTTATTTTGACTAAATACGAATCATAAATAGAAAAGTGAATTCGAAGATTCGAATTTAGCGAACCCAAGCTTCTCGTTCTAATCGAGTATGTTCAACTCTCCAACCATGCTGTATTTTGTTTGATAAGTAATGTCTTAAATCATGATTATGTATGAATAAATGTACAACAACACTGAGTAAAGCCGTTTCACACAATAAAACTGAACATGCATAGATAACTGTATGAACATCGACGTATTGATTGATAATTCGAACGAAATAGATTGGACCCCAACCTCCAATAAAAACAGCGAAGACGAAGATCATTTGTTTTAAAAGAGCGACTTCTCGAGAGCTGAATTTCATTTGTTGATTAGCGTTATTATTTGTGAGGGTATCGATAGCTTGCGGTTGAATTCGACGCGATGAAGATCGAATGTGATGGAATATGAAAGCATTCAGAAGAATTGTAACCAATGAAGGTATTAATACCACCAAGATACAAGTATAAATTCGAGATGCAGCTGGATCACTACAAATCTACAAGTAAAATATCTTTAATTAATACTATAATCTTGAAAAATGCCAATGGAATTTCTAAAAGTAGTCTTCTGACCTCAGAGGAAAGCAAGAAAATCTTTTTTTAGATCTATGTACTGTATCCATTTTTCGGTGAATTTCAACGTTTACTTACTGAAACTTTATAGAAAAGGATTGGTAATGAGAGAAGTACGACGCTCGTCCATTGACTTGTAATGCATATGATCACCCACTTCTTGCTTTTGAAAAATGGCTTCGTATTGTAAACAATGAAGAAAAATCGATGTATTGAGAAGGTCATAAATGCAAAAGGTATTGCAAAACTGACGAAATTGTATGAATAAAACAAAATCGAACATGTATTTATGTAATATAATGTTGTCGCATCAACATAATTGAGTGTAAAGTAGGTGACGAAAAAGATGCAAGCGGCAATGACTGCAAAGCATATATTGACAATGAATACGTTGTTTTGGTTACGGAATCGACGAATACTGAGAATTAATATTGAATATATGATTGTCAAGAGGAGTGCTACGGTCAAGATAGCATCCTGAAGAATAGCAAATATGAGTTCCACGTCCACCATATTGATGAAAGAGTATTCTTATCAAATGAATTATTATTTTACAAAAGAGAAAGCTCGTTGAATATTTTTAATCGTATTAATAAGTCCCTTTGGTAGTAGACTCTATATTTTGATGCGAAGAAAGTTCTCGAATGTTACCATGAAAGTTTCAGCAGGAAATCGCCCAATGGTAACACGGTATTATCTAGGATAATTTGCTACAGAAAGCAGACTTTGTACAACAGTAATCAAAACAGCAGATGTGATTATCATTTGTTGTAGCTGAGCAAATGATTTCATGTGAACACAGTAGTGTATTAAAATACCATAAAAAGAACAAAATTACATCTTTGTACGAGTACAAAAGCAAGCTTTGTGAATAAAACATCGACTTTATTATCTATTATGTAAGTAATCTCATTATAATAATTCTGTTAATTTCCAAGAGAATCTTGACAATATCAGCTGAGTTGGATATTTTTACTTTTTCAAAAGTTTACCGAAATACCATCGAATCTGATCATATAACAATCTATTAAAAAAAAAGCTTCGCATATCAAAGACAACCGAAGTATCTTCAGGGTATTGTCACGTTAGAATTCCGTAGACACTTTGACGGGTGATAAACATAACCTACATTCGTCACGATCAACAATAATGAGAAAAGGTTTGCAGAATTCTCATCTTCTAGACTAAAAACAACTCATGTTCGTGGTACTCCAAAGTCTGTGTTGTATATCGGTCATACACGACATAATTGTTTCAGAGTACGTTTTTCCGCAGCATCTGATATGAAGAAGATAATTTCATAATCTTTATTGACAAAAAAAAAAGAAGATTTAAATTACCAATTATATGTTTGCTAATACACTTCTATCTTTGACAACAATTACGTACTCTGTCCGCGAAGTACTTTCTCAACTCACGGTTGTAAACGAATAAACAAATAGCGATTCCCAACACGCATACTTGACTGAAAATCACACATATCTGAACAAATTTAAAATCGATATCCATCGTCGTATTGAGAATATTTATGATAAAAACTGGTGTCCAACCTCCGATAAACATTGAGAACATAAAAATCATGTGTCGCAATAAAGATAAATCTCGATGACTAACGACGACATGTACATTATTCGTATTGCTATTCGTTCTGCTAACCACCTGAACGTGAACACGACGAGTCGAAGAACGAACGTGAAAGAAGATCAAAGTGTTGAGCACAACATTCACAATCGTAGGCAGAATAGCTGCTATTATAAATGTATAAATTGTCAACCAAAACTGATTACCACAATACTTCAAATAAACAGAAGATCGAAATTAAAGTTCAACAACAAAATAATCTCTACTTACTTGTTTCGATCTGAAGAAAAATGGAAGTGAAATAACGAATTGAGTTATCCATTGACAAGCAATGCATGTCGCTGCCCAAAGTTTTCTCTTGACGAAAGCTCTCGTATGATATTTCAATAAACACAAGCGATGAACAGAGAAAGCAATGAATGCAAATGGAACTTCAATACTAGCAAAATTGAATGAGTAGTACAAAAGATTGCATATTTGTCGAGGATATTCGTGATCAGCTATAAGAAAATAGACGATGAAAAATAACCATGTCAAAATTATAGCAATGCACATATTGAGGACAAATATATTGTGTTGATTATGAAAACGACGGATACATATAATGGACAACGCATAGACAGCAGCTACGATCAGATTGATTGCATATAAACATCCTTGTAGAATGCCCAACAGATCATCAATATTCATAGTGAGTTTTTTCCAATAGTAGATTGTCGAGAAACTAAAAGCAAACTGAAGATTGAATATTCATTTTTATATAGTTTCCTAATCCGATTGCTTCTTTTAATCCATGGGATATAATAAGGAGAAGAAGTAATTGTATCCATTTTCTAAAGTATGTCTTTAGTTTGCGAGCAGTGTATCAGCCATAGAACTTGACAGCTTAAATGTTTATGATGTGAGGAAAATATAATTATCTAAGAATAATGTAAGTATAATAATGACGAAGGCGATTCTCACTATGGAAATGCTCGCAAAAGACACAATTTGACTTTCTTGTCTGCAAATGAAGCAAACAGAAGCGTGCGTCAAAATCATCTGTCGTGAGACAAATTTTTTCTTACACAACTGATATTTATAGCTCCCTTTATCATAACTTGTTCTACTAAAAAACCGATCGTATATGTAAATACAAATGGTGTTGAACTACAAACTAGATGAAGTATATAAAAATAAAACAGTACCATGACGTGATGTACACAAGCCTCGTAGAATAGAGTATCTACTGTCAGATAAAAATGTTCTTATTCATGCTGAAAATCCCGTATAGGTAAGATCAGTATTGAATAATATATGGTAAATGTTACGTTGAAATTAATAATCGTAATATCAATTCGAAGATACACAAGTGTGTCATTTAGTTTTCCTTAAAGAAAACCGATTATTTTTATAAGAACATGATAAATAAAATCTGAGCAACTTTTAAAGCATCTTTCTCTAGAAAAATTTCATGTTTCAATCTTTACGTACACACAACACCGGTTTTTTTTCCTTTTGCCAAACCAATCGAATGCAACACTGTTGTTCAACAGAGCGTAGTAATTTTATTAAAATAAATAAATAAATAGATTATATCACAGTTGACAGTCTCATGCAAAAGCATGTCGTTCGTTGATTGAAGAATTTGAATTAGCACGCGTAGTTATTTCATTTTGATTGTGCGAAAGACAATGAGAATTGTTCAGTGAGACAGATGAAAGAAATGAACCAGGCAGATCAGCATCTTGAGTTAACACATTATTCGATAGAGAAAGTGTCAAGGAATTTACATTGACATGTTCTGCAACAGATAATCTTTCTTCGCTGTCCGTTCGTCGATTGATTATGTACAGATATCTAATATTAACAAACAAAGACGATCAGATACATAATTTGCGTGAAAATAAAAACCACTTACATGTTCAGTATGAATGGAACAACGCAAAGTCCACAGCCAACCAGTAGTGTGAAATTTTTTTCATAAGTTACAGTTCGTGCATACAGCCAATTGAAGAATGAACTTCCAAAACAGACGATAATTGTATTGATTTCTGTCAATAGTGTAAAGACATTATGCCGTTCATGTACTTCTAATAATTTCGATAACATTGAGATGGTTAACGAGCTCTGATAGATTGAAAATGGAAGAACTAATAGAGATAAACATAAATGCCAGGTGTTTTTTGACAGAGCAATTATCAATGCATAAACGAAGAAAGAAACATGTCCGAAAGCACATATAAGGGGATCATTAGCACCGAGAACATTTAGGATCTTCATTCCTAGCACACTAAAAACGGCAATAACAATCTGTGAGATAGCTGAAAAGTAGCCAAGATCTTTCGACGTCCAACAGAATGGTGGTCCGAGGAGATACCAAAGCATGGGAGCTAACGATGACGATGCCAATGCATGAAATATATACGAAACAATGATAATCATCAGACTAATCGCCTTTTTTGGTGGATGTCGTCGAAAACTAAATATCATGCACATATCGAAATATTGAGAGCACTTGTTCGGTGAAATTGTCTTTATATTGAAATCGACACTGCTTGAAGTTAGAAGAGATGTCGTTTCATCAACTATCGGTGGTGATGATGTTGAATGAGTAGATTTTGGAAGAAATAAAATGGTAAATATGCAAAGTACTTCAAATCCGATAGCCATCCACAATATGTCAGTGTACCCACGCCATTGAATATAGTAACCAATACCGAATGTCGCAGCAGCGGATATAGCTGTGAAAATAGCACCAATACCAACAAAACGTGATGACCGTTCATTATCTTCTGTAATTTCCGTAATAATTAAATTGAGTATAATGCCTACGCAGAAAATGTATGAAAATAATTATTCAGTTTATGAATTGTAATCGACATACGAACCAACGACATTCGTTCCACCGGCTATACCAACAATAAATGATGATATATACCACCAATATTCTGGTAAATTTCTATAAATAATTGCTTGATAAATAACAACGTGCAATGCACCACCGAATAGTGATAAAAACAAAACTAATCGTCGATTTAATCGTGATGCGTACAGACCGAACAAATACGTGACGATTATCACCGGAAATGCTCTCCATAATGTCGATTGAAATATCAAATCCGCCGAACGCTGTTGTGCCCATACCTCTGCTGCACTAGTCGTATTCTCCGTACTTGTATTTTGCATACATGTTCCTTGATTTGATTCATATATATGACTCTCTAATGAAGTAATATTTATCCAAGCATGTGAATCATCATTTGGATAGTTTGCCAAGAAATATCGATAGATGTATTGTCCAAGAATGGCTAAACAACAACTGTACAGCGTATGGAAAAACATCATCGACATTACAAAGCAAGTATTATTGTCAATCATGATGTTTTTGCTATCTCTCGATGACTGCTATTTGCACACTTCTATATGATTTTGCTTTTTATCAATCATTTATTTGGTGCGTTTTTTTTCTTTTCTGTCGTTGAAAAAGAATGTGCACATAACTTTCTACCGAAACAACACATGAATCTTGAAGTAGAATGCGCATGGGTTGGAGTTGAGGAGAAACTTTGATTTTGTCGCTAACGGTCATTGGCACGCACGTTTAATAGAAAGATGTCGTATTGTAGACAAATGACATCATACAAAGGTAAATTTTCGTTTGGTTGAAACCAGCAGCGAGTATGAAGATAGATAAGGATAAGTTCACTAGACGCACTAGTTTCAGATTGTTTTTTTTTAGGCGCAAGTCATTCAGTTTTATATTGTATCGAATACGGAATAGTAGAACATGGCCGATGCTGATTTACCATTAGGGGAGGTTGTTCCAAATTGGACGGCACGAGCTCATCCACTTGCTGACTCTCAATACCATAAGCTTAAAGGCCAATACTGTCGTCTGGAAGTATTCAATTCCAAAACTGATGAGAAAGTTTTTCAGCAATTGTTCGATGCATTCAAACCAGTCGAAGACCGGCATTTTACATATTTAAAATATGGTCCATTCAAAACAGTTGATGAATTCAAAGAGTTCGTTCACAATAAAGAACAACCGAGTAGCAATACTACTATGTATGCGATCTTCGTGAATGATGTTGCAGTTGGATTTATCACCTATTTGAGAATTGATACAGATCAAGGTACAATCGAAATCGGACATGTTAATTTCGGTCCGCAGTTAGTGAGAACACGAGCAGCAACCGAAGTTGTTTTTCTGCTATTAGAATACGCATTCGATACACTTCGTTATCGACGTGTTGAATGGAAAACCAATGCTTTGAACAGTAAGTCACGACGAGCTGCTAGACGATTCGGTTTTCAATATGAAGGTACGTGGTTGAAAGCAGAAGTTGCTAAAGGTCGATCAAGAGATAATTCCTGGTATAGTATTATTGACGATGAATGGGCACTTGTCAAACAAGAATTTCAACGATGGTTGAAGGCAGATAATTTTGACCAAAATGGTCAACAATTAACGAAGTTAAATGCAAAGCAAGCTAGTCCACGTCAATGTAAGATTACCGATGCTGATCAAGAGAAATATGATTAATTTCGTTTTTACCTTCGATTTGATTGAAAGTTTTATTTTCTAATTTTAACTTAATAAATCAACATAGACGAGTGATTCGTCAATCCATTGAACTCTTTTCATTTGAGAGACTATACTCGAGTGAAAGAATATCTTTCTGCTCAATATAACCAGTCATTAGAACTCTCTTTCCCCTTGAATGCTCACTGACCGGTTGAAATAGGCTGGACTCGTGATTTTTCTTTTTTTCTTTCTGTACTACTGACTGTATCGATGTTGATTTTGCCTTGTATCCTCAATCAAATGAATACAATAATATGGGCGTAGTCGAGTTTTTTTTCTCCAGCGAGAAGACACTCACCATGCAAAAACGACGGCGTTCAGATGTGTACAAAGGAATGACGAAGAAACGCAATGCAATCAATCCATCACTGTGAGTTATTACGAATCGTCAGCACATGCCACGTGAGTATGTGTTCTAAAACTTAACATTGTATTCAACAAAAAACTATTACGACAAATCTAGGCTTTTTCTGTGTATATTTAGGTCCATGTATAGTATTTGAGACGACACAGAAAGTCTTCTTCAAACCGAATTTTTCACTCGATACTTTCAGGAGTCAATAACACATTATTTCTCACTTTGCATCCCACTGTTAATTTTACGAGAAATCTGCACAAACAAGTTATTTCTCGCCAACAACTTTTCACTATGAAAAGATTATCGCTGGGAACCATTTTAGAATTCTTTACACGCATTCTACGACAACAAATTCGCAATCGTTCAGTGGGAAACCATGGCCTGTTAGCTTATTTATAGATATGATCATTTACTCAACCATATCTTAACGTTTGTATGTTCTGAAAGGCAGTAGTATATGTTCAATTTGCTTCTTTGTCCAGCGTCATCTCGTAGTGTACGGTTTCGCGTATGACTAATCATATTCATGTAAAAGAATCATTATTGAAAATAAAAAGAGATTCGCATTTGCGATCTTTATTAAATAGACTTGGAAATTATCATCGATGCAGATGAATAAATGTCAAATGAATTAAACGGAAATATTAAATAGTGTGAATAGATATCCGGTATAAGAGCAATAGTGAAAAGACAAGAATTAAACGCAGAGTCGTCGCATTTTATTCGAAAATTATATGTGTTTGTATGTAAACGATCGAACATACACGTTGTTGATTGTAGTAGCACACTTCTCACGTGTGTGTGTGTGTGTGTATAATATTCATTCACGTATCATGTTCATTACACTTATCGATACTAACCTTAGAAATATGTAAGAAGATCGAATATTATATCAATCGAACCTCATCATTTGAAATCATGCTATCTTGTGACCCCTATACGAATATCCATTTGATTCATTTCGTATCGTCCATTGAGGTCATGACACGTCATCTTTTCAATTCAGTGAAATATACTGTTATCTATACTCACACACAAAACATCCGATTTCGTTTTCATCGATAAAAAAGAAACGTGTATAGATATAGATTACTCATTTACAGGCGATTTTTACTAATACTTTCTTCTCAAGGAATGTTTTCTTTCGGAGAGAAAAAAGTTATCGGCTGATTGCTTTGCGCGTTACTATTGATTCATTGTCAACTATCGTTATTTGCACTACAATCAAGAAAGAGGAAAGTATATAAAGAGTGGATTACAGTCGAAAAAATAACATATTTCTTCCTCCAATAATTATGACAACTGCAAACTCTCGAGTGCGTCTAATCTTCATTCGTCATGGACAATCAGAAGCAAATAAAGTGTTCGAACTTATCTGCGGTCAAAGTATTTCATCTGAATTAAGTTCACTAGGACGTGAACAAGCTATTCTATTAGGCAAACGTTTAAAATATCAAAAGTTGAACTTTGATTACATTCTTTGTTCAACTGCCATGCGTGCAAAACAAACAGCGGAACTTGCTTTGAAGCTAACAGATATGGATCTGTCGAAATTAGTTCTATCGGATGCACTTTTAGAACAATCGCAAGGTGATTGGGAAGGAAAGAATCGATATTTATGTTATTCCGCCGATATTATGACACAAATGAATGATTTACACATTGAATTTACTCCGCCGAATGGCGAATCGATTCGAATGGTTCAGAAACGTGCAGTTAATTTTCTCAAACCATACATTGAGCAAGCCAAGCAACGAAGTATCGAAGAAACAAGAGAAATATCCATTGCGATATTTGGACATGCTAACTGTATACGATCTATTATACAATATTATTTAGAATTAAATCCCAAATATACGTGGCTTATTGGACAACAAAATACAGCCATGTCCGAAATTTTATTTAACGAACATGGAACAGCGTTAGTTAAAGTGAACGATGCTGCTCATTTAACATTTCCTATTCCTGGTTCTTCCGAAGAGAACTGATTTGTTTTAGTTAAGAATACAAATAAAACTCATTTACTTCCGATCCGAGATTTATACATAAATCAGTCTTTCACGCTGCCTGAAACTGTTGCTTGAATATCTACTAACGCCAAGCTAGATGTTGTTTTTCCCTGGCAAGCATAAGTTCGTGCTCTTTTATTTAGTGCTAATTTGTATTGAGTAGTCGATTGAATCGATTGATCGATTGGCATGAAGTCGTAGATCTGTTTCTGCAATCCGTGACGAAGTACAACAGCTTGTATTATGTAGAAGTGAACACAATAAACCAGGATTTTGCTGGAAAGAACAAGAAAAAGAGCAGTTGCTAAGGTTATAGCAATGATTTCACTGATAGTTAAATGTGATGCTGGCTTTTTCACTGCTGGAACTGTACTTTTCGTTGTACTTCCTTCCGTGCCAGTAGTAACAGTCACTGTCGTACGAGTCGTCGTCGTTCGTGAAATGATAGTTCGTTGACTTGGTACCTACAAGTGTAGGTGAATTCTATGTTAATTTCTCCAAATCTAAGAGCAACTTACTGTGCGTGGACGTAAGGTTGATGTACCGGATGTTGTTGATGTGGAAGTTGTCGTAGAACTTGTTGTTTCGTAAGGTATTCTAAACGGCCAAAAGGCCGGATCGATTATTGGCATGGATGCTTTGGTACATGTTGAAGCAAGAGCAAGAATACCACTATCGAAATAAATATAATACTGTTCACCAGGCGTCCATATGATGTTCGATGAGATAACAAGACGATCGTCAAGGTAGAGTACATTACTTGTCTCAGTAACAACGTTGAGACGAAATATATCCGAATTATCAGATAAACGCTTAAACCGAATGTATGACTCGATCGTTGGCCGTGGGTACTGAATCCCGTCCGTCAATATTGTCCATGTAGATGTTACTGAAGTGACTACGCCTATTGGATACCGTGTCACGTTTTGTGTATAGAGAGGATTCATTAATATTGCAGGGGATTCAATTATGAAACGAAGACACGTCGAAGAACCTTGATTGCCAATCGAATCAACACCAGAGAAACAATACAAATTTTGACCGTATTGATCTGGACTGGCAAAATAATAAATGAAATACATGAAGATTGTCACGTCGAAAGGATCAGGAACAAGTGCAGTCTTTGTTAAACCCGTCGGATTTACTGAGATAATACTGTTTACGGTGGCATTAGGACATTGAACTTGCAAACGTATTCGAGCTTTGTACGTAGTGTCTGCTGTCAAATAAATACATTGATCAGACAAAAGATCACCCAAATAAACGGGCCCTGTCCAACATGGATTAGGTGAATCATAAACACGGAAAACAAATTGAATTGGAACTTGAGATAGGTAGGATGATAATGGACTCGTCGGTGTTTCATAATCGACGACTGTTAATGCTACTGCGTAGTATCCAGATATACTAGGAGTAAAAGTAAGATAACAACTAGTTGCATTCAGTGTCGCACCAGGAATATTATCAGTTAAATTTCCACATTGCGTCGTACCATTGGACCAGAGACATTGATATGGATCGAAATCATTGTCTGCAACATTGATTTTGAGTACATACGTTTTCAAACGACGTAATATATAAATGGGTAACATGGTTATAACAGGAGCATTATTATACCGACCGCTTGGTCGTTTGTATGTTTGAATTTGCACAGCAACACTCCAGTCTGCATCGGCACTGTAAACTAATCCAAACCAACCTTTACCGGTAAAACTAGCGACAAAACTGACATTTTTTCGAACATTAAATGTAAAACGACCTTCACCAGCAGCATACTGTTCGCTGATACTATAGCCCGTACATGGAACTTGCACCGAACCGAGAGTTGAAATACCTGCTGGGCATGTACTTACACATTTAATGTTACCAGATCCTAATATTGGTGATTTATTCGGGATAGTTAGGTCAGTGCATAGCGGTGTGAAGGAATTATATCGCCATGCATGTCTCTGTAAAATTTCGACCGTTACATTTGTGGATGAACTTTCGTTCAATACACGCCAAGAAATCATCGAGCCACGGAAATGGGTAGTGCTGACATAGCTCATTTTGAAAATATAAAGAAACATAATTGTTAGCCACATCTTTCTCAAAGTACAACGATAGAACTGCTGGCAGTAGGAAGACATCGTGAGGAGAAATCATGAATGTAAATTAGATTTACGAGGATTCTTACAATCCTCTACATTAATTATTAACGAAATAGAGACATGGCAGATGACATAAAAAGTCCTCCGAAGAAAGCTATTTAAATATATGCTCGTTCTTATGTGGTGCTTGATCCTCTAATTTTGAAAAGAAAAGAAAAACAAATTTATATGTAAATTCGATGCAGAAAGACGAATTTAGCGCAATATCCCGTTTACTGGACTGGACAAGCTATTCGTATTTTATTTTCAGCATCTTTGTCGACTTTGACACCTGGTACATCTTGTGGATTGTCGAGAAATTCTGGTGGGAATCGTTTTTGAATGAACTCGGTTGCTGCTGGATGAAATTTTTCGTAGAATGCAACAAAGATTTTATCTTTACTCTCTGTCGATAATGTCATGTAGCTCGGATGTTTACTGAGAACCATTTCATTGAAGCCGGTGCTGTATAAATCCAGCGTCTTTTCGATTTCTAGGGCTGTTGGGCGTCGTTTCGGATCATCTGCTGTACATCGAGCGATCAAATCAGCAAAGATAGCACTTGGCTCAACAAAGGCAATCCTATTACCGCTCCATGGTTGAAATACATGTCGTTTCGATGTGAAAAGTTCGTTTAGAGTCAATCCGAATGTGAATATATCGAGTTTTTGATCATAACTACCTCGGTAAAACTCCGGTGGCATATATGATTGACATCCAATGATTGTATGTTGATTCATAGGATCGGTGAACCGTGCGATACCCATGTCACCAATCTTGGCAACATAATATTCATTAACAAGAACATTATCCGGTCGAATATCTCGATGAATCATTCGATGTTCATGAATTTTTCTCATTCCACTGGCAATATTTCTTGCCATGTCGAGTCTTCTTCGTAAAGATATCTTATCGCCTCTGTCTTTGATTAAACTAGCCAAACTACCACGAGACATGTATTCCATGATCAGCATATAGATTTTACCTTTCTCATTCTTTGATGTTGAGAAACCGTATGTTTTTAAAATATAAGCACCGGATAGTTCTGTGTAAGCAGCAATTTCTTTTAAGAAACTCTTCTCAAGCGTATTGGCATTCATTGTCGGAGGTACAAAAATGACTTTACACGCTACCGGACGATTTTTCGATAACCATTTAGCTTTGTAGACAGCACCTAATTCGCCAAAATAAAACAAAGATATTACCTTTTTTCACGAATTTAAATTCGACATACCAAATGCACCTTTTCCCAATTGATCACCTAATTCAATGTCATTAACTGGAATTTCACGCACTACTTGAACAGGTACAACAACAAGCGAATGAGTCGATTCGTGTGTTCCACTGGCAGCACCTTGTTCGAAACATAGATAACATAAATCATAATTCGCACATGTATCACATTTAAATCTTAAACCTTTAATTTCCATATCACATCCATCACAAACAATCGAAGCATGTACATCATTTTTATAGAATTCCCTGAGTTTAGTTAGTGTGACATCATCATCAGTAACTTCTCTACCGAAGATTTCACCGGGTATTTTGAAATGAGCAAAGACATGGCCACTTTTATGACGATTTGATTCACGACGACGTTCAAAACATCGCGAACACAGATTGACTCTTTCACAATTTAAACATTTATAACGATCGGTTCGTATAGGAGAAGAACTACACGCAAAGAAACGTACTCTATGAAACTCTCCATTTTCAGCATCTACGGAGTTCTCATGTGCAAGCATTAGTTGTAAAATTTTCATCAATACTGCATTACGAATGGCCTTCTCCTCTTTTTCATTTCCCTTTTTGTCTTCTAAACAAAGTTACATCGTTATTGAATGAACAAACACTAGTTCTGGTAGTGAAAATTTGCTACTATACTTTCTTCGTCTTGTACTTCAGCAAGAATAGTCGATGCTGCTTGTTCAGCACTCTCTGGATGTGGTTGCTTGACTACTGCCGTTTTGTATTCATCATCTAAAGAGAACTAGCGTACTGAATTCTCACAGACAAAAACTTGTATCAAACTGCTATATTCTTTCATTGATTGAGCTTTGCTGCGAGCAGCTGGCTGTCCGAAAGTTACATTCTGCAGAAGTTGTTCACAATCTCGCCGTGTTCCTAAATAAATCGTTCAATTTTTTACTAAAAAAATACAAATGAAATGTACACCTTTTAAAATGACCGTTCCTTTGCGTTGCGCATCGTTGTGTTGTATTGTGTATGTTTCATAGACTTTGATCGATTCTGGAGACGATTTAATTTGATTCATTTGCACAATATCGAAATTTTCTGTGTTCGACCATCGTACTAAGCAAAACTGTTCTTCTGCGTCTTCATTATTGTCTGGTATAGATAATATTTAATTGGTACATATCACTCAATATGTACAAAGGTGCTCACTCGTTTGTTTACTATTCGCTTTAGTCTGACAACGCCGAAACATAATGAACGCTCTACCGAATAACACGAATCTTTATCTACAATATAACGTATGTCACATCCGTCATGCGTATTATGACAATTGCAACATGTCGTGTTGTGTTACTCGTCACTTTACTTTTATCAAAGTGCATCGGATAGTTGGAGAAACAGAAAGTATGACTTCTGTTGACTTTACTTCTTTTCTTTTCAATGTTATCAATACTTTCTTTCGATAAAATTTATCTTCTCGGACGAAGAACTAGACACCTATTTTAGATTACATATGCTAATGAATCATAATGTCCAACGAAAACAATCTATTTATGATTGGATACAAAATACAATACCAGCACATATAAAAATGGGCGTTTCTAGTAAATGAGTCAGTCAATATTCTAATAAAACTCTCTATCTCTATTTCCAGTACACACACGAAAAGCGAGCAATTGTGGTACGATTGCTAGAATCAAATTGAGACCAACAGATGTCCACCAATTGTTTAGTGGAATAGCCGACCACGATGACTCAGGAAATAAAGGTGGATCATGTAATGAAGACAGCAGATATGAAAATTGAGCTTGAGCAGCAGCTCCAGCATGCACCATGGTCCAGTCGGGAAACCAATTGTATTGTGATGGCTGTTGGTCATAGAAGATCAATGCATTGATTGCTAGGTAATAATAGGCTACGAAATAAAATCCATACGTTAAAAGTTGAACTGTAGGAAAACCTGATTTGTTCAGTATGTACGGTTCATAATCATAATAAAAGCTATTCTTGGTTAGCGGTGTTTTCAGTGCATGTAATACACGAAATATAGCAAATAAGATGGCAAATATAAAATACCCAATGAACAAAATATCCAGAGGACGTGCGTTTAACGATTTTCGACTTGGTACTTTTCGATTTTCTTTATTCTGCTGTTGAATAAAAGCCTGTCGTGAGTGACATTGTCGAAGCAGGAAAATCAATGGAAACATCATATAAGGTACGTTCAAAAGACACGATGGTTTAATATGACTACCGAATTGACCCACTGCAGCGCCACCAACCAATACAATCAATGAGTTAATAATCGAGCCACACCAAAACAAAGATAGAAAACGAAAAAATTTCGTTTTCGTTTGCTGTTTTAACATACAATATATCATGATTAAGTACAATAGGAAATGCATTGTTCCATCCCAATAATTGATAAATAAACCATGGCCAGTTTTCAGATAGACTTCGCCTTGTTCCAAATAGAAGAGGAACGCTGATGAATAACCATCAATTGTCAAAGCTAACAGAAGATCAGCAATGGCAGTGAATGAAAAGATTGTAAATACATAGAAATACAATTCTTTTTTAACGTGAAGTAAATGTTTAATTAATAAGAAGTATGTTAATGGTGCGACTGCGATGCATATCACTGCACTGTAAAGGAAAACGTTCAATGAGTCTTTCATTTCTTTCATGTACGATAAAATGTAGCAAATTGGTACGGATAGAAATGAAACACCGATGACACCGCACAGTACACGAGTCGGTGGTGATTCGATGTTCACTGATTTCACCAGTGGTTTGCTTTTTGCACTTGGTTCGTTCGTTGCTAATGCTTTTTCATCAGTGCCGGTCGGCAATTTGGTGTTTTTTCTTCGACTCATTCGTGTGAGTTGACTGTGTTCGATGTCAACGTCTTTATGTTGTGACAAACAGAACAAAATCTACGAGACAACGGTTTGTCTGTTGATTCACCAATCGTATCGAGTAAGGAGAAGTAACGATTAGCGACGCTTTCTGTTGCACAGAGTGAACCTCGATGAACAACTTTATTTTGTACAGGAACATTAAAAACAACACAATCACTCTTACAAAAGACGAAAGTATCATGTTCTACAAGGGATTCTGTATGATAGCTTCATCAAAGCAACTGTCAACGTTTTCCGGAATAGACGCGATGTTAAAGTTGATAAATAAAATGATTTAATATTAATAACGTAATATAAATTATTCGTTAAATTAAATAAAAAATTCCTAACAGTCCAATGTCCGACATTCCTAATGTCATACATAGTAGTTACAAAGTACCAGTACGTAATGATCCATTGTAATATAAAGAAAGTCGTTACAAATACTTGAGCGAACACCATGGTAACAAATTGATTTCGAAAATGTCTTCGTTTGGTTTTGCTGATTTCCATTACGCGTTGGCGACTCTGACTGAATCTTCGATGAGTCAATGATACCAATATTAACATGACTAGGGGTGTCAGAATACCGTGTATACTTATGTACCATGCACTATTCGATAGTGCATTGGTTGTATTACATCCAATTCCAGGTATAATGTCGTTCAAAATCGGAGCATAACTGGACATGATGCTGCTGATAACGATTGTAATACCAATCAACCAAGGAACCATTTTTGATTGAAGAAGGAAACGTACTCGATGGGTTGGGGAATAAGTGCAGACAAGTCGATCGATCAGAGACATGATTAGTAGATTCATCGATAATTGTGGGAGAAAGACTAGTGAAAAAATTTTCATTTTACATCTCAAACGATTGGACTTGCTTGGAGTAAGATCTTCCATTGATAGATTCAGATAGTTTGGAAAGAGATTGACAAAAATATTGATGATATCAACACAGGATCCACATAGAGTGTAAATGCAGAATGAAGTTCTTCGTAGTACAGGTTGAAGAAACGTAAAACAGTTACCGATAAATCCAAGGAGGCCCAAGATAGTAATTACCAACGGAAGTTGATCAACAAAGTAGTGTTGTATAATATTTAGGACTAGGACAGTTTCACTTGGTAAGAGATATGTCTGATTATCGGCGGACATTTTTCAGTGTGATATTGACGTAGGCGCGAGATTTGAAAACATCATTAGACTCATTTGATCGTGAGAATGATTAGAAAGAAAGTGTCAGATACGAGCAGATGTTCCATGAAAACGGGTAAATGTTGTCGAACGGAATGACACAGCAACACATGAATGCATGAGAATGTCAAAATATTATCAATTATGAATATGATATGATTGTTCTAATGATGAGATGCGCTGTTTGTTTTTATTGAAATTGAAAATACTTGAAAGTACTGCGTCATACTTACTAGTAATAAGTTTTGCGTTACAGTAATCGATTCCGTACCAGTTGTATGAATAACTAAAAGTGTACCATAAGGTGCAACGTGAAAAGCTTAATGGAATTATTTTTCAACAAAAAAATTCTATGTAACTAATGTTCTCAGTACCCAAAATTTGCCCCTCAATGCTGTATCGATTTTGAAAACAAAAAGACGCAGTTATAAATTAAGTGGCCTTATGTAAATTGTAGAGCTTTTCACACTGTGTCTTATGGTACATTTTGGTTGTTCATACAATATGTTAAGAGATTGAAAACTAGTCTCTTCTCGTATGATGTATTCTAGTATAACCAACCGAAATATGTTTTATGGATAATTAATATGGTGACATTAGTCGAAACACGATCAAAAGCATAGAGCTTTTCTTCTTTACAACATTATACAGAATGAAAATTCGATGAGATTTATCATAAGGGGTTGAGGTATCGCTCTACGCACTTTTGAGATATCCTAAGTATATTCGATCGGTATTCGTTCTCGGCCATATATCGTAGCCTTTGGTGATTTGAATCTTGACAAAAATTTGGAAATTGTTGTTACCAACTGTGATACGAATAATATATTCCTTGTCTATGGCTGTTCCAACGAAACATTCGGAAATCAAAATTGGTACCCAATGAGATACTAGAGTCTTCATTATTTAATTACTCTAGATGATTTAAATCAATATGAAAACACAGATACGGTTGTAGCGTGTTAGGATATAGACACACTAGTTAAGATGTGCTTGTAAATCATTTTACTTCGTTTCTTGACTCTGTTGAACTACGTATGTAATTACAACATGTGCACAACTGAGTAAGAGTATTAATGGATAGTTTTCTAATTATATCTTTGAAATAGTAATCCGCTTTTGTTTCTCATTTAATTAATACTTCGCGTGTCAGTAGCAACATGCATACGCTTTGCACGCAGAGATAAATACTTTTTCTATTGAAAACACCTATGATTACGACCATATCACATGCTTGAATCTGTCCAGAAATATTTCTGCCAATTCGGTGGATCGATCTTGATATGTATTGGTACAATCAGCTGTTTTGTGAACTTACTTGTCTTTTGTCAAAAGAATCTACGCAAGAATCCATGTTCGATCTATTTGATGGCATATAATTGTTCAAACCTTTTCCAAACCTATCCAATCCTACGCATGATATCATTACTCACTCATGACAACATCATACCTATGTTATATAATGTTGATCTGTGCCGTTTCAGCGTCTATATAAGTCTTCTCGTCGATATTTTAAGTCCGAGTTATTTACTTATGGCTGCTATCGAACGATTATTCATAACATCATTAGATACTCGCTTCCAACGTTTCAGTACACGTCGCTTTACTTGCATGTGTGTCCTTGTAGGAACACTATTTTGGGCGTTATTTCATGGTTTTCTCTTAGACTTGACGAATGTTGCACAACTTACACCAAATTATTTCCTTTGTTACGTTGATTATCGTCCGTATCTAGCATATTATTGTCTTATAATCAAATCAATTTTAACACCAGTACTCATGATAATATTAGCAATGCAAATTCTATACAATATACGGAGGATTCATCTCGTGACATCAGTTCATGCATTTTTAAACAAACGGCTAACTCGAGAAATTGTTCGAGAGAAAATTCATTTCAAAGACCAACAGTTGATTCGTATTCTTCTCACTCAAATTGGTATTTATACGTTATTTAATGTCACAGGATCAATCTATATCATTCATAAACATATCATTCAATATAAAACAAAACCTATTAATCAATTACAGATAGAATTGTTTCTTCAGTATTTAACCACAGTTTACAACTATATTCCATGTTGTATTGGATGTTATTGTAATGCATTGGCATCGCAAATGTTTCGTACTGACACCAAGAAGATCTTGTTTTATTAAAGCTTCTCTCTCGTAACATTGTATTGATAGAGACTGACAAGTTATTGTCTAGGACATCAGTTTTATTTCTCGAAGAAGATAAGAAACTAGTTTTTCAGCATGTGTGTGTGTACTGTTCTGTCAACTGCTATGCATTGATTTGTTCCATTGGAATCATGTGTGCGACTTGTTCCGGAGGATTTTCTTGTCGAAGGCGTAGAAAAGCAAGAAATTCATGTCGAAAAAGTTGACTTGATAATGTGCACAAATAAAAACTTATACACGGGCCAAGAAGGCCAACGAACGAGAGCACATTGCCAATCAGACCTTGTTTTGCTAGGACCAATGCATCTTTTCGTGAATTATCATCCAGTATATTGAATGTTCCACCAATCGATCCAGCAGCCGATGTTGCCATGAACAGAAGAGATTGAATGAGAATAATTTGAATCAGTTGACGATCGATAAATCTAGTTCGCCGATAACGGTTACTATCAGCATGGACATCTGCAACACCTCGTATCGATCGTCGAACGTTGCGGATAGTCAACACGCCAAAGATAAGCATGGCGACAAATGGAATCATACTCCAGATAACTAGGATAAAGAAACCATTGACTTGTTGAAATAGATTGGGTTGACCAAGGCATACGACTGGTTGTGAACTGACTGTGTAGAAGATGAGTAAAGGTACTTGTGTAATGGCAATGAAGATAGTAGTTAATGGAATCAAATGATTAGAAACGCGAATAGAATTCCAACCACGGAATGTAACAGACGATGAAGTACACCAAAATCTAGAACAAAAGAGAACAAAACGGAATGATTTGCTCGGACACCTTCACTTACCGATCAGCTGACGCAAGTGCTATGAACCAACAGGGTAAAATTCTAGATGACAAAATGAGTACGTTAAATCGATAGAAAATTTTAAAAAATACCTTAACCATGAGAACAGAAAGGTTAAGAACTTGCAAAGGAATACCGAAGGTATAAATAAGGATCTACCATAACCAAATTGAAGAACACGTATTGGTAAAACGATAAGGATGACGCCAAAGCCTGCAATAGTCGATGCCATGAAGTATCTTGCACATGGATTTGTCCGAAGAGTCGGACGTGTAAATACGCATAGATTCAATAAATGTCCAATGAAACCTACAATAAACATTGTAATACACCAGTATCGAGTAAACATTACGGATGTCGTAGTGATAGCACTAAGTGCATCTGCATAGCTGTTGGTAACGTTTGATGAAGACATTGCAAGAATGATCTCAAATAGAAAATGTTTCTCTAAAATTGATTATAACAAATCCAAATGATCTCATCACTACCGAACTTTTTTCGATACATCTTCTAATAGTTCATATATTCTAGGTATTTGTGTGTTCATGGACTTCCAAACTTCTTGATCATTGAGATAAAACAAGCCTTTTCACATATTTATACACCTAGCGATATTCCAAATCATCATGACCTAATACGTTTTCGAGAAGAGTTCAAAATGACACTGTCTTTCCTATAAATAAAGCTTTTCGCTATGTCTCTATGCATTAAGTTGATAATATCAGACATATTCGAGCGTAGAAGATATTTTTAATCTGACAGATGTTCTCTTATGGATTCTCATTATGCAGCAGCGTACCACTTTTTACGGACTATCCTTCTCTTTTCAAGTGATTAACTTAGATAAAAAGGATGAAGTACTCGTTGTAGCTTATTTCAACACAACAAAACCAGCCGTCAACTGTTCTTTTCGGTAGAAAGTAAAATTGTCCTGACAGATATCCACTGAGGCAGAATACTCCTAAAAACAAGACAACTTTCGTCCTTTTTTATCAAGTTATACTGACATATGCAATCCTATTAGTCGAGTTATCGAGTACTCCATTGTAAACCTTCGAAACGTATTCATGTACAGAATAAGCTATTGTGTGATATTTATTCTACGTAAATTCATTTTGCTTGTACATAATTGTATGACTGACAAGTCCGTTTCTAAAATAAGTCTTGTTTTTCTGTTTACTGTGTACAACGAATATCCATCGGTACGATATCCTTTTCAAATAATAACTGCACAATTAATCCACTCTTTATATAGAATAAAACAACAATAACAACAAAACATAGTGAATGTGTACGGTAATACTTGATAATGCGATTGCTTTCTTTTCCTTTTTTTTTCTATTCACATAGAAATGTCATGGTTAAATGATTATACGAAACCCAAATGGTAAATAAATCTTCAACGAACAAATCTTTTCGATATTCAAGCTTCCATTTAGGCCACTATGGTGTCGTCTACTTACATTCGGTGGTTTGTTTGTTGTTCTACCTTTGCTTATCATAACTACATCCGTGCTTACTCCCATTCTTCTGACAAAACACCATCGACATCAACATAATCCAGCTATTATCAGTAAGTAAAGATTTCCGACACTGCACTTGCTAAACGTCTTTGGTTTTGTTTTCTGAACAACATTCTTTCAATATAACTTATGTCGTGACGGGTGAGATTGGTTTTTTGTATCCAATCGACAGTGTTGATCCGACTACTTACAATCAAATAGCACACGAAGTAAGTTGATGAGATCTGTTTTAGTTCAACACTCAATCTTGTTCATCAGTTTGAAAATAAACTCAAACTACAAACAGAGGATACTTTACAATTGGAAAAAGTCTATCAAGAATTAGCTCAGCAATCGTAAGTGACCATACCGGAACAATTCTTACTGTGATGTTTGTTGGTTTTTCATTTAGACAATGTAATTATTTTCTTCCAAGTATCGATGATACGCTTTTCGTTTTTCAATTTCATTTACGTCATTCATCATCCGTTTGCAAAAATCAACTTTGTCGGAAAAAGCTGGATGCAAGTGTATACCATCAATTGCATACTATCACTTATTTTCCCATTCAAATCAGTTACAGTACTACATTGGAATTAAATCTCTGCTCGATTGTCGGATTTCCAAATACAGGTAACTATTCCAAATGTTGTTCAAAGAAAAATCAATATAGTTGTCATTTTACTCGAGAAACATCCTCAACCGACTTGTATACAGATCCTATTTCATGGGCACCAGCCGTTCGTATTGTTACCACCTCCGCACCTTCAGCAAGTATCTGTCAATCGAATTCATCTGGTAAATCTATTTCTCTGAACAATTCTGCTTGAATCTGTAATCTAGATCGACGAAACAAATGGATTATCGTCGGAAATATGTCCGAAGCTATCATGGATCATCGAAGTACACTCGTTTTAGAAGAGAATTCCATCCTTATAACTGGCGGTGCAAAAGATCAGCTTTTCTTTTCTGATGCAGTTCAAAACTATCAATTCGCCAATCAATCCTTGTTACTACGCGTCAACAAATCAATGATCGTCAAACGTTTTCTTCACTCAACTGATCGTCTACCATTATCAGGTTTAATTCTTCTTACTGGTACAACGCCAATTTCCACATCCAAAGAACAGACGATTGCTGAACTATTAGATCCGATATCAGGTCAAACAAAGTCCATTGAAATGTTAACTAATCGACGATTCCATACATCTGTCGTTATCCCTACTGACGATAAAGTTGTCCTAATTGGTGGAAACAATTACTCGTCGACAGTTCTGTCAACTGGTGATGTATTCAATGGCACACATTTTATTCCAATCTTGAATACAATGATGGTTCAACGTATCTACCACACAGCTACATACATACCAACGTTGAATAAAGTTCTCATTATCGGTGGAAGGGATGCTGAACATAGTGAACGAAATACATACAATACAATCGAATTCTACGATGTAACTTCGAATATGTTTGAAAGACTACCGAATATTACCATGACGACTGCTCGAGCTCGACATACAGCAACGTATATTCCATCTCCTGTAAACAAACTTTTGATCATTGGTGGGGAAAATAATGAGAGTCATTATTTAGATAGCTGTGAACTATTCGATATTCAAACACTAACATTTACGAAGTATGGAAATATCAATTTTGGACGTTATGATCATCAAGCTATATTATTAAACAACCATAATAATATCTTAATCACAGATGGTATATCGAATAGTATTTCGATTATACAGTCCGAGATTTTCAGTTTGAAGACAATGTCAGCGTGTCAAGCAGGTGAAATGAATACGCTTCGGGAACGATTCACATCGACATTAATACCGTCGACTGGTGAAGTTCTTGTTTGTGGTGGTAGAGACGTATTCTACAGTGCATTGAACAGTTGTGAACTATATGTTCCGTGATAATGTATTTCTAATCTACTTTGTCGTTTACGATAGAAGAAAAAGATAGAGTAAATAGGAAGTTAACGATTAGTACAGATAAGGAAACGTTTTCTTCGTTACCAACGATAAAATTGCTTGATGGGTTCTTGATCGACATCCATATCACAACCAGGAGTCCATTTGGAAAGTTTTGTTAGATTTTTGAAGCCAATCTGTGCTGCTGGACTGTTTAATTGAACAGTAAAAAAGTCACATTGGTTAACATCGCCAGTAAACAATGGATCGGCAATGAGACTGTTGTTTTCTTGCCCGGTTTTTTGCCAATCTGTAAATGATACTTGTTGTTTTCCGAACAGTAATGTTGTATTATATGGATTGTAGTAAAGATTACTATTGAAAAAGGCAATTGCACCTTGGTCAGATTTATAAGCTGAATGATTTCCATTTAGAAATGTATCATAAACGATATTATGTTGAAATGTGAATGATGTATGGTTTTCGGTAAGTCCAATATGAATATCACCATCGGTGCTTGGGTCGCCAGGATGTGGCGGTGGACTGAGTGAAGCACGTGCAAAGACATTGTTGATAATTGTATTATTAGCACCATAATGTTGAAAAAGTGAAGCCCAACCAGTGTTATAGACAACATTGTTCGAAACAACGATGTCAGATGTACCTTCATCCAGATAAATGCCCCACATATACATGGCATAGCTAAACACATTCTTAATTACATTTCCATGAATGATTGTACCGGGTTGAATACCAAGTGTGTAGATACCACCTTGGTCACAAAGAATATGTTGTCCGATGTTATAGATATAATTACCTTGGACTAGAACATTACTGGTATACGATGATGCATAACCCCATTGCCATCCGACTGATATACCGGTGTATCGATGGTGATGAATTAAATTGTCAACAATGGTAACATCGGTTGCTCGATGGCTAATAATTCCTACACCACTGGGGAAAACATTTCCACCGTAACTGACTTCATTCGATAAGATTTGAACAGATGTTGTTGGTGTCGGTACTGGTGCTATCATTTGTCCAATTCGAATACCACCAGCACCAGTATCAGTTACTAACGAATTGAGTAGATTAATATTACTCGTACCTTCTTTAATCCATACTCCATATGAACCCGTATGACTGATTTCTATGTTGGACATGATAATAGATGTTGCATTAGCGATGAACAATGCAGCATAGGTGAGAAAAGAAGCTGCTTGTGCATCAGCTTGCTGTGTACGATCAATATTCCATGCACTATATTGGATAGCAATATTATCGATGATAACATCTTCGATGGAATTGATTGTATCGTCGCCAACAAGAGACATCACAGTTTCATTTATCGGTGCGATAATTTCCGATTGATTTGGATCGTATGAACCGTCTGTGGCCAAATAGACAGTTTTTGTTGCGCTGATAAAACAAAATGTATTTGGAGATGGTGATATACACATATTTTCGACATGAAATCGTCGTTGACCTTGAGCAACCATTGCTCCAATCGGACGGTCGGATGGATTTGTAAAGAGAATCGTTCTATTCGCATCAAGTTTATCAATATAATGATGCGAGGTTGTCCAACTATGATAGACAACAACCATGGCATCCGTCAACGGCCAAGAGGAATTGAATTGTCCGTCAGCATAATGAAAACCAAATCGTGCTTGATTCGGATCAGATAATGGTGCGTCATACTGCAGATACGTTGATGGATCGACAGGAGTACGTGTACGAGGAATACGTTGATTATTAACAAATAACTGATTAATAAACGCCGATGTGGTAACCGTAGCCTGATAGACATTATTACCTATGGACGTCCAACCAGTAACTGGTATTCCACCACTAATACTCGCTTTTGACAATAAACGATGTGGATGATTTGGAGAGAGATATTTTCGGTAATAAACAGTATCTTTAATATTCATTGTTGTTAATCGGGTGTGACTGTGGATTTTTCGGAAATGAACAGGTGCAGCGTGATAATACGTTGGATACAGATAAATCGTTGTCTTTTGTGGTGATGAAGCATCTCTGCAATTATAATCATGTTCAATGTGATCGAGTGCTTGTTGAAGTGTCGCATAAGGTCGTGTAAATGAGCCATCCGCGTCAGAACCGAACAAAGATGGAAATGGAACAACATACAATTCAGTGAAGAAAGTCTTTGTGATGTCCGATGAGCTGCTGTATTCTATATTAATAAATACGATTGCAAAAAGTACCAGTATGTGTTGAAACATGTTGGTTCCCATCGAAGAATATCTCTATCTATTTCTTATGATTTTACACAGATTGATAAACTATTTCAGGATATAAATAGATGTTGAGAAAAAATGTATATCATCCCATCTGGTTACACGCGTTTTATTCACATCACACCCTCGATAACACTACTATTTTTATTCCTATCTATTTATGATTCGATTGCTTTCATATGAGCAAGCAGAAGTTGACATCGAAAAGCTTTGAAATTGTTGAACTATAAATCGATCGTTATCTCACCTTTTATTGGTGTTATTATCTGTCATTGCACATGACAAAAAAATTTACAAGATTACCTTTCAACGTCAAGCAAAAGCGAAAGGATGTCACAATGCTCGGAAGGTTTGTTATTGTTGTTGTTTTTGGTATTCACATTATTTATACATATATCGATACACGTACCTCAACAAACGTTCTCGGACTACTAATATATGCGTGAAATAATCAGTTCAACATTGGAATTGTTTGTTATAAAAAAAATTGTCTTTATTCTAGCAAATGAGTTTGAACAATGTATAAAAAAAACAGATATATAAAAAAAACCTATTGTAATTTATAGAACGCAGGTGTAGATAAAAGAGTCAATGCAGTGAATAATGCCATGGAAATGGTAAATGCGATCAAACATAGACGATCAATGACCATTGCTATGAATCTCCAATCTTGTGACTCGTCATCTAACTTTTCCTCTCGTCGGACATGATGCGTAAGAATGGAGATTTGCGAAAGAATCATTCGCAATTCTGAACGAATCATTTCTGTGTCGAGTGAATTAGTTTCTTTAGTTAGATCTGGATGTCGACGTGAAGGTGATGATTTTGCAATTGGAGACGGTGTGAATTGAATAATAGAGTCTGAACGATGGATATCTCGATCGTCGATGTTAATGACATTATTCGGTAGAGTTTCGAAAGCGTTACTCAATAATGGTGCAGAAGGAGATCTACAATGAGCATTCTCATTTGATCTATCGATAACATTGAGTTGTTTTTCGAATGCAGTCCATCGACAACGGATTCCGTTTAGAGTTAGATCGTATCGAGGGCGTTTCATACGTAGTAACCACGCCAAGTAATCGCCGATGTATTTGCGAACCTGACCGATACAGAATAGATCGAACAAATGAGTCTGAATGTCATACTTACCCATATAGGCATCCGATGATTCTTTGGACTTCGATAGTGCATAGAAATAACAAAGACGGATGCAACAACCGAGACTGTCGACATGACCATAATGCATAGAAAATATTTAGTAATAATTGGCACAGCAGCTGAACTAGGAGGCATAATTTCTGACATGAGTAAACTGAACATGATCACAGACAGGAGAATTGTTATTTCTAAAAGAAAACTCCGGTGTGAGAAAAAGACAATTGTTTACTTGAAAGTCTTACGCAGTGTTAGTTTCTCGCCACTGTCAGGTGCTAAGATAAAACCGAGTATTGTCATGCAACTAATGAGAAAACAGGGTACTAAAAAGAAGCAATCAATAATGCCAGTACAACAAGATCATCTTCATACCAACGATGTTTGTAAAATAATACAACGATCGTCGTCGAATTTGGATGGTATAAAGTACAAACGGGTATAAAGTTGGACAGCAATCATATTTTAAAGCATCATTAACAGCGGTAAAGTCTAAATCATATGGTTCATCAGATGAGAATACAACAGTTAGATGCAATTACTTTCTAAATCCCATTCAGCATTTTTAATATACGCATCCAGTTGACCTTTACTACTTTCAGCGGTTAGATTGATTCCTGAAAAAGATTGATAGTATAATTTCAGTCAAATATAGTTTTCCACGAGTTATTTACCATCACTATCATGCGTCCATGATCCAAATTTCAATGTACAATATTGTGTATCCAATAAAAATAGAAATACAAATGGTAAAAGTTACATAAAATCATAAAATCACTACTTACAAATGGAAATGAAGCAATATTAAACGAACAAATCGATTTGAAGATACCGGGTGGAACATACAACACATCACCACTACTCTGTATAACAGCATTCACTCTCATAGTACTATCAAACTTTTCATCAGCACTAGAAATAAACGCACCGTTTTACTCAATTGTAACTATCGCATCAATAATGATGGTACCTATTGTAGAGAAGAACGTCGGGCGTCCAAATTTGAGCACTCGGTAGTCGAACAGTACTAATACCACCGAACTCTTTCGGATCCCACGCTAAATTATAATCATGCCATGTCTAATAAAACAGATATGAAACGTAAAACGTAATCAGAAAAAAAGTAGTATGCAAAGACATACAAGAACCAACCATCCACTTATGATAATAACTTCATTTTTGCCGTCCTGTCAATATCAGAAGATAAGATTATCTTCAAAGAAAGGTAAATGTAATCTCACTTACAAAACTGAGAATTTGTTGTATTGCAAAATTCATACTAACATGTACTGTTTGCGAATCATTTTCCACAGGTCGTTCGAGTGGATCATATTGCCGATCGTTTAACAAATATTTCGTCAGACGTCGATGATGATTACCTCCAACTAGAGTTCATCGTAATTTCACTACATGAAGAAAAACCTCGTTAACTTACGTATTGGATTGAACAATGAACAAATAATTAGGAAAAAGACAACGAAGATGTGTTGTTGAATCTGTATCATCTGTGACGAAAAACAAAATCCTATTTCTTATCCAGCGGACCAGGAACGATAATCTAAAAAGAAACACTTGTTGGATATACGTGTGAAAAATGAGAAAAAATTGAGGAGATTGTATCGCATTTACATTTGAATAGAATAATAAAGGTAATCTTTTTCTTTCGTATTGAAGTGACAAATGCAAGCGACAACGGATGATAGATTTATTAAATAATAAATTATATGTATTCTTTTGTCATGGTCGATTGACGAATATAATCAATATGATAAACAAAACGGTTGTCTCTATCTGAATGATAATGTTCTTACTGTTGTGAGAGACATCGTGACTGTGACGATTCGGGGATTTTCTTTGTCTTTGAAGTTTAATATTGGCGTGATTTGAAGTTGAAACCATGTTTGTACATTATTGACTAAAAATATATTTTTTCGATTTGAATAGAATTATCATAATTAACATTCATGAGAATATGTTTCTTTCCAGATGGTTTACGATTCTGTACAAACATTTGGTCAATTCCACAGATGCATAAAAATTCGCAAACGTGTTTTACAACAGTTCAATATTAATTCATGATTTGTTCTTTAACCCGCGTCGACAATGAGATGTTCTTTTTTAGAAAGATTACTTCGAACAACTTCCGTGATCAATTCGAAGAGAGAGCGTCTTTCTATTAGACACGTCTGTTCCACTCAATGTACACAGAACGAAAGAAAATCGAACTCAAATACCATTAATTATAGATGATATTATTTGTTTTTGAAGATTTCCTCAATAAAATCAAACACGTCCAGGCGTCAAAGTACACGTTCCGTTCGATGATAAAATTGTGATAAATTGCCCAAAACTTTCCGTATATGTCCCGTATGCGTCATTAACACATTACGATAATAAATGAAGCATGAAACTCGGTTTACCTTCATTTCAATCATATATAAACTACACGACGATAAAAATAATTTACACTTAATCACCATGGGAATAATAATGAAAGATTGGCTTCTTACGCTTTACTATGAGTGAGTAAAATTTGAATACGATATCATTTGTTTTGCTTTCAAACAATCGATTTGTTGAATAGACTTAGTGCTTTCAATGTTGGAGTAGTAAAACGTACATTAGCAATTGATGATGATGGAAAAACGGCGTTTTGTTATTATGAGAAAGGTAAACCTGTTTCGGGACAAGCGAGCATGGTTTTTATCCATGGATTTTCATCGAGTAAAGAAGCATGGCTTCCTGTAATAAAAGTAAGACTAAGATGTGTATAGTTACAATGAAATTTACCGAATATTCTAGTATATTTCTGATGGGTATCATTCGATCTTGATTGATTTACCAAAACATGGCGAAACAGTGGATTCGAAAGACGATCCTCACACGATTGATGACGTTCTTGATAAACTAAAAATGGTAAATATATTCGGCACGTAGCGAATGTTCGTGACAGTTTTTGAGATTGTACAGCGCCATATGAGAATGTAGATATGATGCATGAAGGTTTGTTTCTCAAAAAAAGATCGCTGCTGTACTGTAATTTCTTCGTTCTTTGTATAATATTTGGGAAAATATCGTTACGGATTAATATGAAAGTATCTGAATACAAAAATTACTGTTGATAGTTTAACTGTCACATGGTGACCTGTTAGATTAAGTCGAAAACATCAGAGACGTCGGTAAATAAACGATAGTAGTATCCAAGCATGATAAGAAATATCGAAATACCATATATAATTCGATAATTCTAAGTGCGAGGAGATAATATGACATTTGGATAACAAGTGCACAAAGAAATAATAGAAATTGACATGAAGAAGAGAGAAGTGTTGAAAAAAGGGAGAGAGCAAGGACAAATACTATTGTACATTCTTTTAAATTGTCATCATATTGAATACTTCTACCATAGTTTCTTGATGCAAAAAAATTAGTCAATCCTATCTACTTAATCGGTGCATCGATCGGAGGTACAATCGTTGCTTTATTTACCATCAAATATCCGGAATATATCAGTATGATCTGTTTACTTGCACCACCTCGTATGTAATCCGACGCATGTTCGTACCGTTGATATACTGTTCGTTGTAGCGATGAAACAGTATGAGAGTGAATTAATTCAACAATTACGGGCTGGCATGGATCATATCGTTTTACCTGCGACAGTGGAAGAATTCTATAGTATGGTCGATTTGTTGACAGTGAAGAAGGTTCAGGAACCAAAAGCGTTTGTTGATAAATATTTCAAATCGCGATTACGTGTTTTAGAACAACAGAGAGATAGTGAGTTTCTCAGAATGAAAATTACACTATTTTTCGAGATTGAATTCATTTTAGTATTGAAATCATTTCTCGAATATGAATATCTTCATCTTGAACAATATTATGATCAATTGAAAACAGTTCAATGTCCAGCGTTGATACTCTGGGGTCGTCAAGATCAGGTAAGAAAGTATCTTTCAAAAGACAGTAAGTATTTTCAATCGAGTAAACGTTGTTTAGTTGTGTGTCGTGGAAGCAGCTGGTTATTTCTCCAAGTTAATATCCGATTCTCAAGTCAAAATATTCGATGAATGCGGTCATTTCATACCTTATGAAAAATCAGAAGAAACAGCTAAGAACATCGTCGAATTCTTAGATGTGCATTCTTATGATATCATTGAAGTTTCAACTGCATTTTAAAAGAAAACTATTCTTTTCGATTTCTGTCAATCTATTCAAGCTTTATTTCAAAATTGATTTGCATAAAATGTATATAACCATACGACGAATCATCCTACTATGGATTCACTTTGTCTTTCAACAAAAAAGCATCTTTTCGTTCGAGTAAACAAACCGAGCTTTACGATAAGTTGTTTAATCGAATATGTGGGATCCAAGGAAAGGGACATTTTGCAAGATCAACATTGATTTCATGAGTAATCTTTGTTCGTTCGTTGTACAACTGAATCTTACGTCGATCACAATCAAAAATTAGCTGCATTACATCTCCTTTTTCCATATCATTTCGATAATTCTTGTAGTTTGTATTGACAGTCCCATGAAGATAGACGATGTTGTACTTACCCCAACCATAGAACGTCGGATTTCTATATGGATCAGCATGATTCGTGGCTTTTTTCGATATAATTCCAATAAAAACTCGACTAGTCGGTTGATATTCCTGGAGTATAAACCGAACTTCATGATTGCCCCATGCGTATTCATTATAGATAGTTGCCTGTTCCAATGGTTGATTATTATCTGAAGGCTTTCCGATCAATGCAATTTTCCTTATAAATGATGTTAAAGTCTCAACGTGTTCGATTCGCATGTTCTGTTGTTTGACAAACGATTGTTTCAACTGAGAAAGTCTCTCTGTCCATTCTCGTATATCTTTCTCAAAATAGTTTCCACTATCTCGTGCGTGTTTCAATTTCTTTTTTAGCAGGATTAAATCTTCTCCGATAGTGTGACTATATCCATGAGCATGTTGTACTAATTGATTGCGAATATTGTTTGCTGTTTGATGAATTTTATCAATGGATTGTTGTTCCCATTGATCAACTTGTTCCATCAGACTTCGTTGATGTTGATCAGTGGTGTTTTCTGTGAGGTTCTTCTCTTTAAGAATGATTTCATCGAGTTGTTGTTCAAGAAGGTGTCTATGTTCACTCGTGTGCACTAAACAGAACGTTTCCGAACAGCCGGGACATAGAAATACACCAGCTGTTTTGCCGCATGTAATACAACATTGACTTCGATGTGTCGACATGGAGATTTAATAATTATAAATAACCATTATCATCACCATTGTCATCTTTTGATAACGCTAGTCTGTGTTCATTCGACATTATTATTGGTTAAAGAAGAATAGATAATATTCGAGAAATTCAGTATTTGGTATAATATTTCTACATCGAAGTACGCAGTCTCTTCATTTCATATAGATAAGAATTAGATAACATCAGGTGGAGAGAAACATGACAACATCGAATCAATTTCGAAACGTTTTACTGCATCTATGAGACACTTCAGATGCACGTTGTCTTGAATTCAAATTTAGTGAAGTATAAGAAATACAGGTGTACTTCAAATGAGCTTGTTAACTAATCGTTAATAATTTTACTTCTAAAACAAATCAGATCAACGATCGTTATAGTTCTTTCTCGATCATTTCCATCTTCGATTCATGATAAACTTGTAGTTTCTCTTCTTGTTCTCTTTGTAATTGATGAATTTGTGTTCGAAGTGAATAATGTCATTGATACAGAACCTTTACTTGAAAACACAATGCACATGATGCAATCACAAAATTTACAAATGGTAAATATTTCTGAACATTGTGACTAGGGGTGTCAGCATTCCCCGTTCCCAAGCGTTCCATTCCTGGGAACGGAACGCATTTTAAACTGTATTATATGAGATTTTTTTGAACATAGTTAAGTTGCTGACATACAATTATTTACATATTAAGCGAAATGATTACCCGTTCCCGGAACGGAGAATGGGGAACGTGTGCTGGCGTTCCCATTTCCAGAACGGGGAACGCGATTTGTATTCCCCATTCTTGGAATATGGGAACGCAACAGTGAGACTCCGGAATCTTAAGTATTATCTAATTTTAGATCGATGCTTGCGTTCCCGTTCCTGAACGGGGAACGCCACTGAATCTTTGGCTGTTTTTACAAGTATAAGTCGCATTTCATTCTTCTGGTGGCTAATAAACAACCGGAAGAGGTATATTTTGCAGCGTTCCCCGTTCCTAGAATGGGAACGCAGACTCCGTTCCCGTTCTTTGGAACGGAACGCAAAAGTGACACCCCTAATTGTGACTCATCATTTTCGTCAAATTCTTTCACAACACATGAGCTTATATTATAGCAAAGAGATTGTATGTTTCTTTTTTTCTTTTCAATTATAAATCAAGATTACCTTTGGCATATTTACTCGCATATTCATAAAAATGAATAGAAACACTGGATTGAATGAAATCATGAATAAATCATTCGATATGAAAGATATTTATGTACATCTCATGTTGTGTATGTGTACAACGTCGAGTGTATCGTGTTATTTTCGCAAATAAGTGTTGATAAAAGCGAGTATTTGTCAGCCTGGTATTTTTGAGTATTATCGATAAGAGTGAGAATCATTCAAACCGTTTTCTAATCAGAACAACAAGCGTGAGCAATTGATCGAATGCAAACTTCCAAGGATGCAATCATTTTGATGTTATTCTTTGAGAAAGACTTATCGAAGCGGTTAAGAAAAGTATTGTTAATGTTCTTCACCTGTAGTTTTGACACACTTTCGATTACGGTAGTAATTAAAGTGAAAACAAAGTAAAGTAATGTTGTTTGCCATCTGGAATGAGTAACGATGTGCTGTAAATGTGTTGACTTTGTTTGTGATAGAAAAGCCACGTCGAATTCTCATTGCATCATTCTGTGTTGTCATGAAGTGATTATATAAATAAAGATTTCTTTTATAGAGTTAATCATGTCTACGGGAAAAGATTTTTCTGTGTATAAATGGTATGCTGATTTGATCGACGAACAAACCGATAATGTTACGATTATTTATCTGGGCGAACTGCAATGGAAGTTTGTTAAACTTCGTTTTACTAATATTTTACAATTTCTTCAAAAAGTCACCTTGATATCTCATGCCACATTTTCCAACTATCAGCCACCGATCTTCGACGAAAACTCATTCATTATCAACTCAACAAATCTATCTGGTCGATGGTCAACAACATCTGCATGTATTCGAGAGAAATTGTATGAAAATGCCAACGGATATATTGTTTGGGAATGTCTGATGCCAAGTGCATCTGGAAAGATTGAACTCGACGGTACAACTAATCAAGGTTTAGGTTATGTTGAACGATTAACAACGACTCTGAAACCTTGGCAAATGCCAATCAACATCTTGCGATGGGGACGATTTTTGTCCAACAATCATTCGATTGTCTGGATTCGTTGGGAAGGAGAAGAAGAGAAGTTTCTTATTTTTCACAATGGATTGAAATATGTAGGTGGAATTATCGACGATGATCGGATTGAATTCGGCACATATCGTCTGATGTTAGAAGATAAATTTACTCTACGAAATGGACCATTGGTGAAAACAGTCTTTGATAAATTTAGTACAATTAAACAACTGTTTCCGGCTGGATTTTTGAACATGAAAGAATGTAAATGGCAAACACGAAGTGAGTTATTTGAAAATACTCGTTGTATTAGCAAAGGATGGTCTATTCATGAAAATGTTCAATTTCAACCCAAACTACCAGTGTTAGGAAAGATATTCTATGGTTCATTGTTTACAATAGTCATTCCTCTGTTACTTAGCATTTGGGCAAAACAAACCGAACATTATATTCATTTACCTATTCTAACAAATCCATTTGTTGGAACTACATTTATTTGTCTCGGATTCGTTTTGATGATAACAGCCATGTCAGATTTATGGTTCAAAGGTCATGGATTACCTATGAATGCTTATCCACCACCTAAATTAGTTACCAATGGCGTGTACAAGCTCTTTTCGCACCCGATATATATTGGAAGTTCGTTGACATGTTTTGGCCTGTCGATAACTTGTCAGTCGAAAAGTGGCTTTTGGTTGGTATCACCTATATTGACATTGGCATGGCTTGCATTGGTGCATGGTTATGAAAATGAAGACTTACAAAAACGATTTCCGGATGTGGTATGGAAAAGATTAGTAGATTTACCAGAGAATGTTAACATGAAAAGTCAATTCAATGATATTGTATCAGCCTACTGTTTAGTTCTAATTCCTTGGCTAGTTCTCTATCAACTTGTCATATTTGTTGGTCCTTCGGCTAACTGTATTTCGACCTATCTTCAATTCGAATCGAACATTCCAGTTATTGAATGGACAGAGTTCTTCTATCTTCTCGCATATCCTTTTGTCGCTTTGGTGCCATTGGTTTTGCAAACAAAACAACAAATTCGTTCGTTTATTATTGACGGCTTGTTAAATATCAGTATTGGTATATATTTGCAATTTATTTTACCGTTCGTAGCGGTTCCGAAAGCATTTGTTCCACAAACATTCTTAGGTGAAATTCTATTGCATGAGCGCGATTTAGATGGACCTACTGGTGCCTTTCCATCGTTTCATGTCTCTTGGGCATTTCTCTGTGCTCATCATTACACACGAGCTTTTCCGAAACATCGGTCTGCGTTCTACATTTTATCTGCTCTCATATCAGCAAGTTGTGTGACGACAGGGATGCATAGCATAATAGATGTTATCGCTGGATATCTATTATTCCTGATTTGTATCAAAAGACAACAAATTTGGCAATATCTTCGACGTTATTTTGAAAATCTAGCAAATTCCTGGGCAGCATATCGTATTGGACCACTGCGTATCATTAATAACAGTTTGTATGTGTTCTTAAGTGCAGCATCAGGTGCTTATTTAGTTTGCTCATTACCCGGTAACAATTATGCCATGTTATTCGTTAGTATATCTTCATTATTTGGTGGAGCTGTATGTGGACAATTACTTGAAAGTTCTTCTGGTCTATCTCGGCCATTTGGTTACTTTGGTTTTGTTACTGGTGGTCTAGTTGGATCTATTGCTGCATCATGGTTATTTCACATTCCAATTCTTTCATTTTTATCAGCATCTGCCCTGGCAAATCCCTGGATACAAGCGACTGGTCGCCTACGTTGTGTTGCTCAAGGATGTTGCCATGGTCGTCGAACAAATCCATTTCTTGGAATCTTGGTTACCAATCCTCACTCTCGAGTATGCTCACTATCACAATTGCACAACAAACATATTCATATCACACCTGCTTATTCGATATTAGCAAACGCTCTGATTGGAATGCTTCTGTGGCGACTATGGTATTCAGAAGTTTCTCTATGTTTGATAATTAGTCTTTATTTTATTTTGATTGGATTGAGTCGATTCGTCGAAGAACGCTTTCGAGGTGAAGTTCAAACGATGATTTGTCGTCGATTAAAAATCTATCAATGGGGATCGATCGCATTTGTCTGCATAGGCATCTGTTTCAGTATGCTTCCATTCAATGACAAAGTTTCTTTGCACTTGAATGGAAAGTACGAATATGTAATTCCATCGATAATATTTGGATGTATCACAGCATCTGCAATGGGTGTAGACTTTCCCGAATCTACAAAGAGATTTTCGCGTCTTGCTGATTGATTTTACTGTGCAAGCAATCTTTTTTCTATTTTCACTTTAAGAAATAAACACAGCATATAAGCAAACTCTTTTCTTAGAATAGTTCCACTAACGAGAGTATGTCAACTGATATTGACTAAGACGCACGAAAACAAGGCCAAAACCTTCAAGGCACCCATCATTGCTTTCAAACTATGTACGCGCTGATTTCGAAGAGAATTTCGAAACGTCTTCCCACATCTGTAAAATATTTGCTGTCCGCATTAATCTATACGAATAAGACACTAGCCCCCTCATGCGAGATGTCTATTCCAATTGATTTAAATCTTCAGCCAATACTACTTCACTTGAGAAATTACTCTTCTCTCATTGCGAAAATCTGCATCACCAACAGTTTAATGAAAATGGAACTTCTAGCTAATGAATTATTACTTGATCTATTTGAATATCTCCATCCGCTTGAACTTCTTCATTCATTCTATGGCCTAAACATTCGTCTAAACAACCTTCTTTTTCTGTATCTTCGATCACATTCATTAGATTGTCGATGGATTTCCCAGCGAAGTTTCACTGATCTATGTCAAAATATTCTTCCTTTCATTACCAATCGGCTGTACTCAATTCATCTCTCCAATACTGATGTTATACCCAATCAAATCAATCAATTCTTCTCCTATGGATTCCAGCTTCACAATATCGCATCACTTTCGTTGTCTCACGTTCACTCCACTGAATTACTCACACGAATTCTCCTAGCGTACCCGCAGTTGCGTTCTTTACATCTTCGTAAGTCTTTTTTGGATGATGAAATCGAAAAAACTACACGATGTTTGAATACAATTTGGAGTTTACCAAAATTACAATCATGCTATTTGGATATTGAATCTAAGAATTATTTTGATTCTTCATTACTCATTCAAACCTCCTTAACTCTTCATACGGTGTCCATTGAAAATGATTCCGTCCCTCCAGCTTATTTAATTGCACTATTCAATTGTACACCGAATTTACGATCTCTTTCTATTAATATTCAACCCGCTAAAGATCATGATCAAGATTTTTCGTTTACTATTCCAGCATTAACAACGCTCAAACTCAAACTTCATACTTCCTTTCGTATGTTAAGTTATCTATTAAAAAATCTGTCGCATCTCCGCGAATTATCTATCGAAACTGACATGATTTGGTTCGATGGTTATCAATGGGAAGATGTTCTAACGAATTACTTAAAACAGTTGAAAACTCTGCATCTATTAATGTTTTATAGAATCAGTCAGGAAAAGGACATAGTCGAAGAAATGTTTTATTTAATTGAATCGTATCGAACATCTTTTTCGACGAAAGAACGTCAATGGTTTATTCGATGTGACTACCGTAGAGAAGATGGCACTGTTTATCTTTATACACTTCCGTATGGATTTCCGAAATTCTCTCGACCTTCTTGTGATATGTCGATAACAACATATCCAACTGAAAAGATGTCAAAAGCATTTGCTTCTGTTCGTACTTTATCTCTTGATTATGATTTGCTTTACCTCGCAACGCAAACAGCATTACAATTTGAGAATATTCAATGTCTGGAATTGTTTTACCCATTCGATGACACCTTCTGGTCTGTTATAACAAATTTCCATCGTTTAAAAACAATGGAAATCATTTTAAGTGTCCATTCAGATGAAAATTATCGGCCAATTCATCATGTTCGTTCATTGATCGAACGTTCAACATCTCTCCGTTCATTAACTATCGATTATTTAATCCTATCGGAATTATCTTCAACGCCAATGCAAAACTGTTCTCTTCGCCGATTAGATTTAATGTCACGTGATGGACATTTCTATGGAATAGAATGTATTTCTTTAATACAAGCATTCCTTGGAAATCAATGCGAAATTTTACTTATTAACATTGAAAATCATACGATTATTTTTGATTTACTCGAAAAACTATCAAATCTTCGTGCATTAACATTTCAATGTCAAAGTGATTCATGGGATGATAATAATGAATCCTTGGTGATCGATGATGAACTTCTTCAAGATTTAAAACAACGTCTAGGATCGAAGTATTCGGTCATGCGAGATGAAGACGAATCGTCGATCATTCACGTATGGATTTGTTAACTTATTTTTTTGTTAAGCCATATTCTAACACATTTTGGAAATAAAGCCAATGTTACTTTCTCCAGCTAAAGCTATCATCAGATCTTCCATGCCATCGTTGTTCAAATCTGCATATGCAACTGCATAGGGTAGCGATTGGTATCCAGTTGCAAAACTTCTCACATTTGTGAAGACACCGTTTTGATAATCTTGGAGAAGATAGACCTGATTTCTACCATGATCAGTGATAACGACACTTAATTGATTGTTTTCATTAAGATCAACATGCGTGATCGATGAGGGACGGGAGCCGACGTCGAGATGAAATGTGCTGGGATTAGCGAAAGTTCCATTGTTCTCACCGAGAAAAATGAGAATTGCTTCATTTACATAGTTCGCGACAAGAATATCTAACCAAGAATCGCCGTTGAGATCTATAAGAGCAACTGAAACTGGAGAACTGTTATTTCCAGTTGCGAGTATCATCTGATTCGTAAATAATCCATTACCATAGCCGAAAAAGATGCCGATATTTTCCGCATTTGAATTACCTACAACAAGATCCATTCGATCATCGTGATTCAAATCTCCAACAGCTATCGACTGTGGGACTGATTGATTTCCAGTAGAGACTGTTGTTTGAATTAGAAATGGTTCGCAGCAGTAAGCAAGAAATATTCCAATATTTGAAGTAGCATAATTGGCAACAACGATATCGTTCTCATCGTCACCGTTGAAATCTCCGATCGCTAAGGACAAGGGACTTGATTGTGCTCCTGTTGTGTACATCGTTTGTAGACCAAATGTGCCATCGTTATTTCCGTAATAAATACGTAATGTATCGTCTCCCGATCCGGTTGTTACGATATCTAAGAAGAAATCATTGTTAAAATCGTTCACTGCAATCGACGATGGCTTATCGATTAACTGAATAGAATACTTGATTTGGTTAGCGAATGATCCATTTTGAGTAGCGAGTAAAACTCCAACTTGATTATTCATCAGATTGATAATTAAAATATCGATCCATCGATCGCTATTGAAATCACCCAGTGTGATCAAGCTCGGTGTGGTATTGAATCCAGTAGAATAAATCTTCTGTCGGAGAAAGCTTCCGTTTTGACTCGAGAAAAATATTGTTATACTACTTGCATTATAGTTCGTTACTGCGATATCTAAATAGGTATCGTTATTGAAATCGAATTTAGCCAATGCACTTGGACTGGTCGCAATTCCAGTTGAATAAGTCGTTGCGTTTGTGAACGTACCATTTCCTTTACTAAAATATATATTAATACTATTCGAAGTACTGATTGCCAAGACGATATCTGATAGATTATCGTGATTAAAATCACCGGTGACGATTGCCGACGGATAGGAACTATTACTATTGAAATAGATAGCAGTATTTTCAAAACTTCCGTTGCATGAGCCGAGAAAGATTGAAAACAGGCTTTGATAGATGTTCACGGTGACAAGATCTAAACATTGATCATGATTAAAATACCCGCTCGCAATTAGCTGCGATTCACGAAACGAAATCGTCGAAAAGGTCGACGGTGAAGCGAACGTGCCATTACCATAACCGAGAAAGATACTTCCGGTCGCTTGTCCATCTGTACTACTAACAACATCCAGATGATTGTCATTATTAAAGTCACCGACGATGACATAAATCGGATGAGAACGAAGATCAATGGCATAAGTAACTTGGGCTAACAATGATGTGTACTGATAACCAAGAAAGATACTGATATTATTTGCGCCTGAATTGGATACAACTAAGTCGATCCATTCATCGTTGTTTATATTCGCGGTGACAACTGATATCGGCCGAGAATTCGTTCCCGTTGAATACGTTGCTTTGAGAGTGAAGGTTCCATTTTCAGACCCGTAGAAAATACTGATTGAATTTGCACCGAAATCAGTCGTTACGATGTCTAGATAGCTATCACGATTGAAATCACCTAGAGCAAGGTCAGTTGGCAGAGATCCCGAGCCCGTTGAATAGGTCATTTCAGTCGAAAAACTTCCATTGTCATGTCCAAATCGAATCTCTAGTTCTTCCGTGCCGTAATCCATAATAGCTAAATCATATCGATTATCATGATTGAAGTCGCCAACAGCAAGTGAAAGTGGTTGGGATGCCGAACCGGTCGTATAAACACTCGGATTTTGTAATGCGCCATAGTCGTATCCAAGAAAAATAGCGACGTAGTCACTTAGAGAATAGGTAACCAGAAGATCGAGACGATTATCGCGATTGACATTGCTGATAGTCAATGCCGATGGACCGGAATTATTTCCAGTCGAGTAGTTTATTTGATCATCGAAGGTTCCATTTGGAAATCCGAGAAAAATACCCAGATTATTATTTCGGCCATTTGCAACTACAATATCCACTATATCGTCATTATTCAGATCGCCTATTGACACTGAGTAGGGCGCTGAATACAAATCATTCTGATACATAACTTCACGATCGAAATTCGTACTAAATTTCCCATAAAAAATCACAATATTATTACTTAAGCTATACGCTATGATTAGATCAAGTTGTTGATCACGATCAATGTCAGCGATAGCAATTGATGTTGCACTTAAACCATACTTCGACGTATAAATCGTTCCATTTCGAAATATCCCATTTCCCTCGTTGAAGAATATGCTAAAATTACTGGCGAATGAATCCACCACAACAATATCGACGTATCGATCGTTATTCATGTCAGCAATGCCGATCACATCAGGATTTGTTATGCTTGTGGTTACATATTCAGTTTGATTGCTGAAACTTCCATTGCAGTAGCCGAGAAATACTCCAATATTTTGGAGATTATACTTTCCAACGACGAAATCAATACAACTATCATTATTAAAGTCACCGATATCAACATAGGTTGGTGTAGATCCACTTTCAACAGATATAGTTTGTAACGACGAAAGTTCTCCGCTACCATCTCCAAAGAAAATGCCAATCGTATCGCTTTTCGAGAGAGTAACGATGATATCTAACCGTTGATCATTGTTGAAATCAGTGATTTGCAAACACGAAGGTGTGGAATTTGAACCTGTGGAATAGGTTGTTTGATTCGAGAATGTTCCATTGCCTGAACCGAAGAAAATACCAATATTATCTGCTTGGTTATTTCCAACAATGATATCTGTTTGATTATCATTGTTCAAATCACCGGTAGCAATCGATTTTGGATTTGAAAAATCTCCTGTGAAATAACTATTCGTATTTTTGAAAACGCCCGGATCGTATCCAAGATAGACACCTATACTATTCGTAGCGTAATTCGTTACAAGAATATCTAAGCGATTGTCATTATTGATATCACGAGTAGCAATCGATGAAGGATTTGTTCCAAAGCCATTCCAATAGATTAGACGATTTGTATATGCAAAACTCTGATCTCCAAGTAGGATTATTATTCGACTATTCGAATAATCCGTGATAGCTATGTCTAACTTCGTATCTTTATTGAAATCAGCGACGATTATCTGTGATTGATCGTAAATGTTAGTTGAAACATTCTTTCGATGTTCGAAAGTGCCCTGGCCGTTGCCAAACAACAAGAGAAGATTTCCAGTACCTGAATTTGATACAATAATATCTAATGCATTGTCTCCGTCGAGATCTCCAACAGCGAATGAACAAGGACTCGACTGGAAACCAGTTGAATACATTTTTTGTGCAGTAAACGATTGATTTTGTTGATTGAGGAACACCCCGATGCTGTTTGCTCCATTATTAAGTACAATCATATCCAGATAAGTATCGCGATTGAAATCGACGAGAATGGTTGAGTATGGAATCGAATCATAACCAGTAAAATAGGTTGTCAGAAAAGAAAAGTTTCCATTGCCTTTTCCTAGAAATAGATCAAGACAATTCGTAGCGTGATTGACAACAACTAGATCTAAATTGTTATCGTTATTCAAGTCACCAACGCTGATGGATAATGGTTGCGAGATACCGGTAGACAAGATCGACTCCATATGAAAATTTCCACTACCATCGCCTATGAGAATACCGACTTGATGGGTGCCGAAATTTGCTGCAGCAATATCTAATCGATTGTCGTTATTAAAATCGCCGATGGCAATAGAATATGGTTGAGAATTCGAACCAGTTGAGTAAGTCTTTTGTCTTCGTAAAATTCCAGTACCAGTGCCTAAACTAATGCCGACATTATGTGTATTCGAATTGGCTACAGCAACATCTAAGAATGTGTCGTTATTAAAATCGGCTATCGCAATCGATTGGGGACGAGAATGTTGTTTATCAAAATCTATAGCCATAGATTTAAACTTCAGTGTACATGGCACATCTAAACATATGATTATTCATTCGCACTGGTAACAATTTCTTTACCTTTCTTTCTCGCCGAAACTAAACATATTAGGACGATACTAACGGTACTTGCCATGATTGCAAATAGAATAAACATGAAATATCCAAAGTAAGAAAGTAGTCCTGACTGATGAAATCGTCTCCTAAACATAAACATATCATCAAACTTACAGATCAAATAAAGAACCTTCGGCTAACCGAAGTTTGATTCCGATATGTTTATTTTTGAAATTATGATGCACAACTTCGATCAGTTCATTTTCTGGTAAAGTCAGATTAGGTAATCGCGACATCGTCTTTCGTAAACCCAACGGAGTTCTTTCTAGTCCATGTCGATCTTCGGAATTCGACAGTGTATTCATTTGCATTTCATCTCCAATCACTGCTATATCCTTTTGAACAAACAAGAACAACTCGTTCAAATATTATCATTTATCAACTTACACTTGCCACAGGCATCACTCGTTCTCGATTGATTAAATGATCTTTTCTTCAACTGTAACGATATACCCTTGCTATCTTGTTTTAACTGAATAATCACATATCGCACTCGAAGACGTGTTATTTTTTTTTCCTTTCTTCTTGCGTTATTTTGTATTATTCTCATTTCTTTTTTTGTTTCATTATTGATTAGTTATATATATAAAACAAACAAAAAAATCATATGTCCTTTTCAACGATGAATACAACGATTGACAGTAGAACATATTCGATTGCGCGTGTATCAATGCACTGGCTGGCACATGAGTACGAAGAGAAAGAAAAACATGATTTTCAATTGTAAAACAAGTCATTTATTTATTCTATGGTATCAAAATCATACATAAAAATTGACTAGAAGTGTATCGCAGTGCAGAGATAAAAGAAAAATCGAACACGGAACACTACGAATTAATTCTTACAAAACCTTGAATTGTCTGTCGACACATCGGACATGTGCGAAGAGCATATCCGCATACTACACATGCACACAGGTGTCCACATGGCATACAGGCCAGTTGTTTTTCTTCAGTGAGACATATGAAACATTCTCCCAACGATTGTTTTGATGATTGGGATGAATCTTCTGATTTTGATGCATCGCATGGGGTCAGAATGTTGTCTTTACAGCCTTTGATATGATCAATTTGCTTTTTGAGTATTAAACAAGCCGTCGATAAGTCGATATCTGAAGCAAAATCATCTTGTTTTATTTTGAATTGATCTTCAATACAACGTTTGATGATGTTAATTGTATATTGCGATTGAAGATGTTTGACAATTGGTAAATCAAGTCTAGCTGCGACTAATTGGGCGAGTTCACTGGCACTCAAGATCTGTTCTGTGGATGAGGTTCGTTTTTTTGATTCTTGAATTTGATCGTACAATTTTTCACCGCAGATATGTTTCGCATACGTACATTTGGGAAACCATCGTGCATGCTCAATTATCGGTTTATCGTGTGGTCCCCATTTGTGAAGTGAACCATTGCAATAAAAACAAGTGACAATATTTTCCGTACCGGAATAGAAGAAACCAGCTCGTACTAGTATGTCTACATTAGGTGCATCTTCTGGCCATGCTCTTTTCGAAAATGATTCTTCTCGACGAACAATTCCTGCCATGGTTGGATGATGTGGTTCAAATCTCTCAACGACTGATTCATTGACGATTTTCGGTGATGTTAATAAAGCAGATTGAGAGAGAACAAATGGACATTTTGGTGCTAATCGAGCATGAACTTCCAAAGGGTCGTCGGATGTTCTCCATCCTTGACAAATTGTATTACAATAGATACATATAACACGATCACTAACGTTGCATGAAAACCATCCGGCTGCTGCCATTGCTTTATTACTTGGTTTGAAGTATTTCCAATGTGAGAGGCTACGGAGTCGAGATTGTTTCATTGATTCTGCTTCATTGAAAGTAGGTCTCGTTTTCGGCGTATATTCTTGTTCTTTATTGGATGTCGATTCTAACGATAAAAGTATTGGCTTGTATATAGTGTTTGGACAACCAGATTTACAATTATGTTGTGTGCATGATGTTTTGAAAAGATCGTTTGTTGGCATTAATTCGATAGTTGCCATATTGAGTATGGTACAGAGTCCTATACTATTTAAGTAAATAGTTTCAAATCTACCTGGACGTTTTTGAAGTAATAAGCGAGCATTATTTTACATTTATATACGTACGTACAAGCTAGGAGAAGGGGAAAAAACCAAATCAACATTTTTTCTGCGTCACTGTTTGAAAAAGAAAGGAAAAAAACTATGGTGCTTGGTATATTACAATCGCGCGTTTCGATTATGACACAACAAAGCTCTTTACCGTTCTCAGCTTTCATCGACGGAAAGATTTATTCCCGATGTGTCTGGTCGAACCAAGGAAGAACAGAACAACAATGCACGGACATGCTACTTGTTCTCTATCATTCGCTTATGCAACACGTGTGTATATGTCATTTTGCAAAGAACGCAACTATGATGCTTGTTGATGAAAACAATGACGTCATTTCTACCAAGCTAAAATATACGTTCTTCCTTTGGCGTCGTAAAAATACTTCGAAAATATCATTCGAGAAACTTCCTCAAATACGCTTATTCGAGTACTTTCCAACTAGGACACATTAAAATTAATGTCCGCGTTCGGGTCGCAATTTTACTTGGAAAAAATAATGATGAAAAGGTAATTAACGTCATCATGGCTCATTAAACCATATCCAAAACATCGATAACGAATTTCTTTGTGATGTGAATGCACGAATGTATTCGAGCAGCATTTACTTCAATTCGAATAATTGGTATCCGTGAAGAGAAAAGGATTCTGTTTAGAAATCAAATGTTATTAAAACTGTTTTATTCCTGAAACAAATAAGATCAACGATCGTTATAGTTCTTTTTCGATCATTTCTTGCAGATTCTTTATCATTTCCATCTTCGATTCATGATAAACTTGTAGTTTCTCTTCTTGTTCTCTTTGTAATTGATGAAATTGTGTTCGAAGTGAATAATGCCATGGATATAGAACCTTTACTTGAAAACACAATGCACATGATGCAATCACAAAATTTACAAAAGGTAAATATTTCTGAACATTGTAACTCATCATTCGTCAAATTCGTTCTGATTACATCAAATGGCGGGTTTGATAATTCTTTCATAACACATGCTAGCATATCAGTACAGAGGGATTGTCTATTTCTTTTCTCGTTTCAACTCTAAAACGAGGATGCATCGTGTTATTTGTGTAAATGATTGCAGACAGAAGCAAATATTTGTCAGATTGTCAGTTTTGAGTACCATCTATGAGAGAGAGAGAGAGAGTACCTCAGCAAATGCAAATATTCGAGAACACAATCTTTTTGATGTTATTTTGTGAGAAAGACTTATCGGAGTAGTTGAGAAAACGATTGTTGGCGTTCTTCATCTTAGCTTTCACTGTAATAGTAATTAAACTGAAAACGAAGTTAAGTAATGTTGCTTGGCATATGGAATGAGTAATCGTGTGCTAAATATGTGCCAACTTGTGTTTGATAGAACGTCGCATAGAATTCTCATTGCATTATTTTTGTCGTGGGAGCGATATTTTCTAGTTCCCATTCCTCAAATGTAAACAGAATTTGGGAAATAAGTTGCTCTCCCAATCCATAGGATGTTAATATGTAAGCGTATCTTTCTTTTGCTTCTTTTATGTAAAGTCACTGATGATTACGGCAAGCGATTTTTTGTCAAAAAATGATATGCTGATTTGATCGACGGACAAACAGCTGACGTTACGATTTTCTATGTGAATGAACTTCAATGGAAGTTTGTTACATTTCGTTTCACTAATCTTTAACGAAAAGTCATTCGCCATCAACTCAACCAACATATTCATAGCAAACTGATTAGAATGAGTCGGTTCGTCGAAGAACGCTTTCGGGGTGAAGTTCAAACGATGATTTGTCATCGATTGTGTTTAGTTACATAGGCACTTGTTTCAGTATGCTTCTATTCATTGACAGAGTTCCTTTGAACTTGGATGGAAAGTGTGAATATTTAATTCTATCGGTAACATTTGGAAGATGAAGGTGGAGAGAATCCGTTTTTAGTTCAACTTAAAAAAATCACAACGCCATACAAGCATATCTGATCAATGTCCGTGATCAGACTAATATTCATTAATAGGTACGAAAACAAAGTCAAAATCTTCAAGGTGTTTATCGTTGTTTGAAAAGTACATACGTGTCAGGCTTTATTTGTTCCAATAAACAAAAGAAAAGCATACCCATGCGAACGGATTTCATGTTTTAATTCTTTTCTTTTTTTTTGTTTACTGCGCATGTGATTATTATTGTTGTTTCGGTAACTGAATGTTTTTTTCTTCTTATTTATCGTCAAGAAAGTCTATGCGTCGAAAAAAAATCAAAGAAGGAGAGAAAAAAAACTGAGAATTCCAATTTAGAGGAACATCATCTTTTATTTCTTTTCTCCTTCATTTACTCGACGACTGACGATTACATGCGTGCACATACAAATTCAAAGTATTTATTCATCATAATAAAATTTTTCTTTAACTTACAGTTTAAACTTGAAACCCTATAATTTGGCTATTCGAAACAGTCGACTAAACTAATCATATAATCGATTTCATAGGCTTTTTAGATAATTCAATGTAATTATGTCGAGTAACTCGAATAACGCTCCACGGTTAATTGTAACAAATACTTCTCTCTATCAGCAAGTTTATCCCAATACAACTACTACTGCAACGACACCAGTAGGTCGTTCAACGATAGATGATTTCCGTGAAATTGTACGTGAACAATCATTTATAACTCCAACAAACTCAGATTATAATTCAATCGATGTTCCTGTAAAAAGATATCCTCAATTACCTGACATTAACACCTCGAATATCTTTATTAATGACACAATCTTTCGTACGGAAGCAGTTCTCACCTCGCCAAAACAAACGAATCCGAAGAAGCAAGTTTTCAACCACTTCGCTCCTTCGCAACGAGGTGCATTACCTGCGTTGAATAAATCTCATATATTACCCACAATATCGAACGTTATGGACCTTCACGAAGATCTACCACAATGTGTCACAGATACAAAACATCGTGCTGCAACATATACGTCGCCTGGTGAACGCATAATCTCACCGATCAAACGGCCATCTGCGCCGATCCCACCGACGAGTGCACAGATTAAACGACCTGGTCAAACACCATTTGTCGATGGTGACGAAGAGCAGGATGATGAATATTGTTCAGATTTAGATGACAACGACAGTCAATTATTCGATGAAAACTTTCGTGCCTATCAGCAACCGATTATTATGAGTAATCAACGTATAGATCATTATGATAATAGAAAACGTTCTCTGCAAACGAGAAGCACACATCCAATGATAGTAGTGAATGATGACGACACACATCCAATGGATTCGATCGATTTCGAACCATTTACTTAAGTCTTTTTCTTTTTTTTTGTTAATTATAGTTATAAATAAATGTAGAGAGAGAGATTGAGATAGAAAACAAGTGTAAATCAAATATGACTATGTCGATTTTCATTGTTTATCTATGATTAACAAAGCAACTTGCCTTGTATACTTAAAACTCATCCATGGATTCTTAAGTCAATAAAAAAAATACTCAGTATAATTTTCAATTTCATCTTTATTCAAATCGGCGGAGTTAAGTATCACATGAGGTTTGTCATTCTCTGTCTGCTCGGCATTACACTGAGTATAGTTCTTGTCGGTGGCGCTCCCGCCGTCGATGCTGCGATGAAGCTCTCGGTAATCCGTACAATCGATATCTATCTTTGGGTCACAATGAGATTCTTTACCAGCCTTATCTGACAAATGTTATTACCGATACTCATTTCAATAATCGAGATCGTCTCATAACATCTTTAGCGCGTATCAATCAAGATTATAGAGTGGTTGGTCATAGTATTGGCATTGACGAGTCTACCGCCATGTATTTGGTACAGGTATTGCTTTTTTCTTAAGTCAAAATGGACTTGCCTACAAGCCTGACGTGTGTATGGACGGTACTCATTTCAATTGGTACCGTCATCGGCAAGCGGTGACAGTCTACAAACTCGTCGAAAATAAAGATGGAATCAGTCCACTAGCAATATACATTAATTTTATGATATGAATCGTGGTGTATATGGGTATTTTTTAGTGACGAAATAAAATTTTATTTATTTATTTCTCATGAAGAAAATTCAATGACAATGCTTTCCAAAATTTTCATCGCTATCTAAGTCATTGGGACCCTTGCTACCGGTGACAGTATGCGGAATTTGTTGAAGTCGTTGAGAAATATCTCGAGCAATCTTTTGTCGGTTACATTCAGCTGTTTTGTCTGCTGTCTTGGCTGATTTAACACCACTGACGAAAGCTGTACAGTTGCTGTACAACAATGCTTGATTAGCTGAGTTTCTCACGTATGCAACGAAGTTTGGTGATTGAGTTTGCAAAACTGTGTAGTATGTTGTATTCTGTTGAAAAGTATTGAGAAGATTTAGAGTGCTTGTCAAATACGATGCTTGAGTTGTTGTATTGGCACAAATACTGGTTGGAGTTAAAAACAGTTGAGCGAAAAAATTAAAGATTGAGCCGTGACCTCGTCCATGACCGAATGTGGCACCGATACATAAGCAGAACTATATATTAAAAAAAACTGAAATATTTGATTGTGAACAAAAGGAAATGCACTTACGAATACGAAAGAGAGAAGTTTAGCCATAATTTTGTGTAATAGTCCAATGAATGTATCAAGTTCGAAGCGTCTTATATTTATATCGTTGTTTCAATGTGGTGCACTAAAAGAGCATGTACTTTTTCCTAATGTTATGTAGCACATCTGTTAATAGAATGATTCGAAGATTCTAATGAATACAATCGAGTTCGTAATGGAACAGATGTTCACATTGAATGAATCATATTCGACAAAACACAGCAAAGTAGGCGTGGAAAACACGAAACTAAAGAAGACTTCTTCGTTTCATTTTTGTGCATTTTTCTTTCGCATGAGGCGACATATTTGTTTATGCTATGATTGTATAGTTAATGAAAAGATGTTGGCATTATAATTCAAGAAAAAGAAATGCATACGAATAATTTACATATACTTCAATCAGTTTTGTATCGACGAAGCCTTGTATTTTGATTTGTCAACAGAAGAAAAACTCTAAAAAAGAAAGATGATTGATTTCTTTTTTTCTCCCTCTTTTTACTCCTTCCGTAATAACTCTGACAGACATAGATGACAATCTCAAAAGAATTCTCATCATGTCAGCCTCAATTCTCCCTGCTCACGATGTAAGTTCAACATTCTCAAGTAATATATACAAGGAACGAAGAATAATGTCTATTTTTTAAGAGAAAATCGTACTTGTATCGTCATGCTACTCTCGATTCAATACTTGACGAAGAAGATGAAGGTAATCTAGATGAAACAACGTTGCCTCAAGTCACTTCAACAGCAGATATATCTTCATCGCTTCGACCATGGTCGAATTTACCAATCAATACAATAAAAACTCCACAAAAACGATTTCGATCTCAGATGTACAAATATATTCAACTGGAAGAATCACTTCAATCAGCTAATCTTCTCAACACAAACGAAGAACGTCAACAATTCCAACAAGATTATCAACAATCCATACGAGAACGCAAATTCGATAAATTTTTGCAAACGTACTATCACAAATTGCGCACACATAAACAAACACTCGATCGTGAACGCGCGATGAAAAAATCGCGTACATTTACTTTCGCTAACTTAGACAAGAATTTCATCGCATCGGATCCTACGCGTGACATCAAAATCGTCTTTGTGAACAATCCAAGAACTCTCTTACGAATGGATATGACGTAGGTTCAATGATCTGTTTTGAATTTCACACTTGCATGTATTTTAATCTATTAGGAATGCTCGTTCAACAAACTTCAATCAGCAAAATACCGAAGAAATAGCTGTTGAAACATTTTACGAAAATCTCTCTCGCAGATTTCTAAATAATCCCTCTCGTGCTCGAGATGAAATTACTTTATTCGCTCGTCAAACGAGCGAACGTCTTCACGAAACGATACCTTATCTGTCGCAAGTTCCCTACCGCGTTCGACTTGTTGACGAACGTGATAAAGAACATCCACTGGACGAACGAACCATATTGCAAATGAAACATCAAAGGAATCTGTCTGTCATTGAAAAACGTCGACAGAAAATTATGAAGATGATTACGCAAACAAGGAACCATCAGGTTCGAATGAAACAGATCGATAAACGCACACCTTTATCCATCGATAATTCGATCTATTGTCAAGAACTACTCGAAAGAGTTCAGGAAATCGAACAAAGCATCAAAGAAAAACCTTGTCGAACACAATCAATTGCGAAAAAAACAAATTCGATCTATTCATCGCCTCTGTCGCCAGCTGACACCGAGAGGTCATCATCGTCGTTATTATTCGTACGACGATCACCTCGTTTTCAAGAAAACGCACTTTCAATGTATCATATTGAAAACGCCGATAATATTCGTATCATTGAGTCAACGCGACCGTTGACAACTCCAGGAAAAAAACTACAATGGATGAATTACACTTGAGTTTAATAAAAATCTCATACGTCATTGAAAACTGATGTGATAAGGGCAGAGTCTCTCTTATAAAGTGTATTGCCTTTCGATGTAAATAGTCGCACGTGGGATATAAAGGTTTCGCATTTCGAAAACAAATATTTATATGCGTATTTGCTTTCATTCTTCTCAACAAATCGAAAATGTCTGATGAGGAATATGTATACGAAGTTATTAGCAACGAAAACGATGCATTATTCTGTGCTCGATTGATAGCAGAAGAATTCTGCGCATCTAATCCGATAACCGTGTTCGATGGTGTGAAAACGGACTGTTTTTTCCAAGATGTGTCATGGCTGTTAATGCAAGATATGCTCGAGGAAGGTTTATCATTTCTTGCTCGACATCGTTCTTCCGGTGAAATCGTAGGTGCGGTCGTTGCTGGCGATTTGTATATTCATCATCAAAAATATGCATACGATCCTTCGAGTGCCCCGCAATCCATTCCAGCTAGTGATTTGCTCGATGAAATGGACCATTTGTTTGTTACACGGGACTTTCAACAAGAATTAAAAGCGAATTTAGTTTTACACATCACAGTTGCTGCAGTGCGTCGTCAACATTCAGGCAAAAATGTAGCATATCAAATGAATGTAGCAATGTGTGATTACGCACGAAATCGCCATGGTTTTCAATATGCATTTGTACAAGTAACAAATCCAGCGACAAGACATATTTATGTTGATAAAATGAATGGAATTGAAGTAACCATTGTGGATCCGACGAGTTGGGTATGGAAAAAGAAACATGAGGGATCGTTTTGTCCTTATAAGGATTATCAAGGTGGGTTAATACCAAATATTTTAATTAAATTAAACACAGAAGACAAGAAATAAAACAAGAAAGACAATGCGAGAATATCTTTAATACTGACAAGAACAGAAGTTCGTAATAAACGCATCATTCTCGTTTTCGAAATTGAAGTGATGCTGAGTTAACACAATGTCGTTCTTGTACAACTTTACCATTTCCATCACGTAGTCCTTCTCCTTCGAAAACATGACCTGAAATGTATTCTTAAAGATGCAAAGAGTAGTTCGAATTGTTTTCATCCAGACCTAAATGACCATCGCAATTAGCACATAGAATCTCCGCTCGATATCCATCCGCATCTGTTTGACGACGAACAGATGAACCAATTGATGAACTAAACGCTGGCCAACCACAACGCGAATCAAATTTCGATGATGAACTATAGACAACAAAGACATGAGTTACATCAAATTCAAATAGCTCGCGCTATACTCGTATAATTCCTGTCCACAACCAGCACATTGATAGACTCCTGTTTCGAAATGTTTGTTATATTTTCCTGTACCGGGATACTCTGTATCTTTCAAACGTAGTATACGGTATTGTTCACTTGTTAGGTTCTTTTTCCATTCAGCATCGGATAGAATATGTCGCTGTTTCCCATTACCCGATGATGAAGAGTAATTCACACTAAATATTTCGGAATAACATCAAACAGTGACTGTATCTTTCTACTTTCTACTTATGTTTAGTTAATTGAAAGGATAGACGTTGAGAGAGAATAGTCAAAGAACGTCGTAACATACTGGAGACAATTTCTAAAACCATAGAAAAGTTATTTGGTTTTTTTATTAAAGATCAAACAAGTAAAATAGATATATATATGTAAAAAAAAACAATTATAGACTACAAATCTACCACAATCCTCGTCGCGAATATCCTTTCAGTATTCTCAACGATGGATAGCCGAGAATAAACGTTTGTATCATCCAAAGATACGTCGATTCTTGATCGATATTTAATTGTCGACAAATCTGACGAGCTGCGAATGCTTCATAAATATGCGCAAGAAACACTGACCAAAAGATGAAAAGGAGTATCAGACGATAATTTGATATCAAATGATATAAGAATTGCCCGAGTGCACCCAGTGAATGAAAAGGTATCGCGTATGGCCAATGAACCATAAGAAATAGAAGAATAGCACAAGTAGGAACGACGAGCCACCAGATGAATTTTGGAGATTCGAAATTCTTCTTCATCTGAAAGAGACATAAGTTTCCTTGCCGTTTGTTTTCACTTAGCAAGTTAAGAACTACATGAACAACAATCAATGAATAAATTGCAATGTTTTGTTTAAAAAAAAACAACGAAATAAAAAAATACGACTCAGATGAGAAGAGAAAAAACATAGAGGAATAAATAAGACTATCTGGTTTTGAAGAATTACTTCAACGAACACGATCCGTATTACGATAACTACAATTATCTCGTAAGGAATCATTGTGTGTTTTATATTCAAGAGGACCTAGAACAAGTCAATCGTGTCAATCGGTTATATCCTATTCAAGTTGCTTACACTCTTGTGGTAAACTGAGAACTTTCTTCATTGTTTCTTTGATACGTTGAGTAACAATTTGGTTATTTGCGGTTTTTGTCCATATGCTAATGAGATCTTCTTGAGGACGAATGGAACATACAATTCCACAGATTTCTTTTCCGACGCTGAATTGTTCACCAATAACAGCGAAAACAAGGGATTCCCATAGACGAGTGGATAAACCTTTCTTTAACCGTAAAATCCACTTTCCGCCAAGACGGTTTCCTTCCTCTTCCCACATTGGTTTTAAATTTTCTTTAAATAAATGAATATCACTACAAAGGACAGAATACCCATCGAAGGATAACGTCAGAACGGTTTTGTCTCCATTACCTGTAAAGCGGAAGTTCCGATGGAAATTTCATATGATCATAGTAGCACCAGAATTCTTCTATTGTTCCAAATGTACCTTTTAAAGAAATTGAAGCAGCTGCTTTTGACGACAAGATTCATGCAGAAGAATGCAAACCTAGTTTTTTCAAACAAGAATCGTAATTAACTGAACTATTACGGAAAGTTGTTGGTCGATGAGTATACCAAAATGTCCAACGTCCTTCGAGTAAATGAAATGAACTATCGCTATCGGACATATTGCTTTCATCTTTGGTCGATGAGGAATTGTCAATTTTTTCTTTTTCTGGAGTTTCGGGTGTCGTTATTTCTTCTTCATTTGTTGTCATTGTTGATATCGAGGAAAAATTAATTTATAAGAAAGAAATGACTTCGAATGATACAATATACTTGTAATAGATAGATCACACGGAACGGAAAGTATTTTTAAAAATAGGTAAAAGAAGACACTTCTGATTGGATGAATTATAGATCCGTTCAAAAGAATACGACGTGAGTGATTGTATACAAACGACATCTACGGGAGAACTTCTATATAAAGAATGCGACTGTGAAAAAATCAAGTGCGTATGTATTGATCATGACAAGAGAAAATTAATAGGTGAGAGTTTTACTAAAGTTTCGACAAGCGTATGACAGCTTGTGTTAAATAGTAATCACCATAGGACAAGGAAACATCATAAGGGTTCTTCGGATAAGATCCAATTGTACCATTGACTAATAAAGCAGGTAATTTGTATTGTTTATCACCATAGATCATATATTTTGGACTAGACAGCTGGTCAACAACTCCCTTTGCAGCAGCCAAAAATCGATCTCTGAGATCTGGTGTCACATATCCTGATAATTCGACAAGCGCACTTGCGAAAATCGCTGCTGCTGATGTATCTCTTGGTTGATATGGTAAGGTCGAATTACGAGGAGCATCATAATCCCAATATGGAATTAAATCAGTACTACTGGGAAGGTGTGTCAGAACATAGTTTGCTGCACCAATGGCTTTGTCAAGAAATGGTTGATATTTTGTATAACGATAAGCAATAGTAAAACCGTGAACTGACCAGCTTTGTCCGCGTGCCCATGTTGACCAATCGGCATAACCTACAGAATCAACAGTTGGAAAACTAGCAGATCTAGAAATTGTTCCTACCCTGTGCGGTGTATTTTCGAATAACACTTCCATCTTTTTCATCGTATTCAACCACGTGATATGTGCTATTGTCATCTCGAAAATGTTCATGCATTGTTCGATTAGCATGTTGCCGTGCTATGTTATATAATGTTTGATCTTTCGTCTGATTGCTCGCTTCGAACAATAATTCTAAGTTCATCATGTTATCAATGATAACTAGAAAACCTTGTGCACTGTTCCATGATCGAGTACACCGAACAATTGGCGAATATCGAGTAGCTAACGAATGTGCACCCGTAACAACTACATTCAGATATTCGGGAAGTTTCAATAGTCGATAAGCATTGCCAAAGCCAGACATGATGACAAAACCAACGTCATGCGTACCTGTAACGTTGGCAAAGGGAGCGGTTGGAGTTGTCACGGCAATGGCACGTTTCAGCGATTCTTGTGATGCATTGTATTGTAAAATATTCCAGAAGACTCCTGGAAAAAATCCTGATGTCCATCCACTTGTTGCCGTCGTTGATTTCCAGTCCAATTCTAATGGATTGCCGTACGATGGATAGAATTTGCCTTCTGAGTCAACAAATTCGGAATAGAGTGTAGAGTATTGAACGGATGCATAGCGCATTACATCTATGGCAAGCACATTCGCACATAAGAACAAGAAACTACTGAAAACCAAACGAATAGCCATCGAAATTAAGAAGAAAATGTCATGCAAGATGGGAGATAAACGACTTTTTTGTATATATATAGACATTTTTTGTTAATTTTGTTTGCAAAGATAACACTTGATAACAACTAAGTTACCTATATTTTATCTTCAAAACGCACAAAAGAAAAAGAACCACCGTACTAAGATCTCATGAGTTGTTTCTTAGTTTGGTAATAAAAATGACAAGCAACAAATCCTCAAGTAGTTCGTCTATCATTCGTCATCACTGAGCTTGCTTTTCATCTGTCGCTGTTGAGCCAATGATACTCCTACATCAGAGTTTTCATCCATAACCAATCGAGTATATCTATGATTGAAAGTTTGCTTCAAATTCGACCGATAAACATACACTGCTGTCAACAATAGAATGAAGGCAACAGTAGTTTCACCAGCAATTGTGATGTTGAAAATCAATGAAAAATTCCATGGCGGTTCGTAGGCGTAATGTCCACCGCTGATCATTGATAACAAAGAATACAGTACCGTAAGGAAAAGCATCTGTTGAAGATTTGTTTGTTGTTTTGTACAGCATGATAAAACTTTTCGAGTAACGATGATAAATAAAATCGACAAAGGAAAATTGAATAAAAACGTTTGCTCCATTTCACTGAAAATAAGTTTCTCATAAAGATGTTTCGGTTCAAAATATCCAGCAGGATCATATATATTGTGTGCGTAGTGTGCCACATGGAAGATAATGTTCAATAATAAAATCACCGGTACGATCAATCGATAAAACTGATCTTGTTTGAGTATAGCTCGATTTTTCACATAAACTAATATTAAATTAATCAATGTCACGAGTCCCAGAAGGATACATATGATAACCATAACTATTCGAATCAATGTCACCGATTGACTGGATTCAAATATGAGCACATCTTTGTTTTGAAATGTACCTATTCGAAATAATGAATCCGATGGAAGACTTTCTTTCGAGTAGTTCATATTTCCTTTTGAAAATCAAATATCCAAGAAACGAAAGCTTTCCACAGATTACCTGTCCTCCATGAAGATACTGTTTTCTTGTTGCTACTAGGTGTAATATCGAAATATTGCACCATCTGCGTTAGTATAAAACGTATTAATATGACTAAAACGGCACATGAATAAAGAGTGACATTTTAGTACTAGATTTATCAGCCATTTCTATTGAATTCTTTCTCGTAGTACTTCATTCGTTCGGTATTAACTGAAATAACTAAATTTTATCTGCTCAATAGGAAAAATCATTGTTGTTCAAATGTCTGGAATTGAAAGCTCTGATTTTCTTCGTTGAGTCTGGGAATAGCATAAGTTACACCTACAGGAGACAAAAAAATGTAATTTAATATAAAAAGCAAATAATCATAGTTGGTAAATAATGAAAGGAAATGTGTTGAGTTTCGTAAATATTATTGATCTTATCAAAAAATAGATAAATTCGAAAGATATGATAATAAACATGTCTGCTTTCTTCCTTTTATTATTATACCTGTTCTATAAATTGATAAAACAATTAAATATAACATACATTTTTTTTCCGAATGTTCTAGGGTAAAAATAAAGTTTACTGTTGCTATTTTAGATTGATTTGTGAATGCAATAAGAATGAATATCAAATCGGTTCTATTCTTAACGTCTAGTCTCTTGCAGACTATCGTTTTCGTATGGTCAGATTCATAGAGAATCGAATCAATTAATTAACAGTAATTTTTTCTTTGATAGCATAGGCAATGTACGTACAATACTATTATCAGTCATGCCTGGTCGAATGACCGCTACTGCTCGTCATCTTCTTGATCCAGAGAATAAGGTCTATTTCTATTCCATGGAAGGAGAATTATTCGAAGTGAATGTGCGCACATTGGCAGTTACTAAACTGTTTCATAAGCCTATACCGGGCAGGTACGGCAAAGGTGCTTACAGTTCTCAAAATTTACTTGTCTTGGCCAATAATGGCGAATTCCCTTTTTTTTACAATTAATACTGCCGATCTAAAAGTCGGTAGTCTACCTAAAAAATAGCGAGGAGATGGGCTTCTTAGCTACTTGGGACGGGAAGGAAGAATGGAAACAAATTGAACGCAGACAATTCACAGAAGTATCTGGCCAAGGTGGTATTTACGGTGCTCCAGATAGCGTCACACTACTTTGGACCATCGGATGGGATAGACGTTCTGTTATATTGAAATTACTCGATAATGAAAATTGGTATACTTATCGTTTACCAAAATCTCCCCATACATTTTTTGATCATCGAGGTGGTTGGTACAATGAATGACCACGTATTCGTGACGTTGGCAGAAATCAACCGTTAATGGATATGTACGGTATGTTCTACGATTTTCCAAAAACATTTTTGCTCAGGAATAGTTCGGAACTGAAAGCAATTGGTTCACATTTACGTATAATACTCGATTTTACTTATTGGAATGGAAAATTGGTATTGACAAACGATCAAACGACTCTTCTTCAAAATCCTTATCCCGGACGTTGTTATGCGAACTTTTGGTTCGAACAATTCGAAGACTTGCAGAGTTGGGGTGAACCTTGGACAAATGATTTTATTCAAGCAAATGTTGCTTCAGATCCGTTCTTGATCTATGGTTTTAAAAAGACAGTACTTCATCTAATGCATAATACAACGCGATCAGTCGACTTTACTTTGGAAATAGACAAGACCGGTAATAATCAATAGTCAATCTATACAACCATTACTGTTGGTGAAACTGGATATAATCATATATCATTCTTTCAAGAGATCTTGTTGTTAGCTGGATGAGAGTTAAAGTAGATGCAAGTTGCAGAGCATCCGTATTCTTTCACATGACGGGAGATTACCATTCGATTAACAAAACGCATGATATCGTACGTATCCTGAAACTAAATAAAACTTTTCATATTGACGATGCGTCAGTGATTGTATCGGATTTTAACGGCACTTTTCGTTTACCAAAAGATGATCCAGCATATGATCAACCGTTCAACAGATATTGGCCACGAGATGATCGTGAACTAGAAACAGAACGTTTTATGTTGAATGTTCATGGTACTTTTTACGAAGCAGGTCGCGAAGCTGGATACGTTGGTATAAGACCAATAGCTACTCATAGCAAGAAAATTATGGATTTTGCTTCATGGCGAGGCATAGTTATCCTGACTGGAACGAAACAGAACGCCAGCTTTGATGGACACTACTTTCCGACATCACGAGGTAATGATCAATGGTTTGGAATGATAGAAGATCTATGGAAATTAGGTAAACCACGTGGAGAAGGTGCTCTATGGAAGGAAAATTATGTGAATACAAATGAAATCTCATTAACGTATCTCATGACCGGCTATGATAAGAAAACAGTTAGTATAACTGCAGATACTAACATCAATGTTACTCTACAGGTTAACGTTGAGCTCCATGGATGGCACAACTACAAACCTATGCAAGCAATTGCTGGAAGTACAATACACTATGTTTTCTCGGATGGATACAGTGATCACTGGATTCGAGCAGTTGTTGAAAGAGCTTGTACTATTACAATAAGCTTCAAATACCAATAAATATTTTTGACTTGCGTTTACTAATCATGTGCTGTAAAGATTAATTTTTTTATTTAACAAATGCACATTTGAATTACATTCGAGAAAAAATCATCTCGCTTAATGACAAACGGCGGAGATAACTGCGATCGTAGACTGGACAAAAAGGAATCATCGTTTTCGTCTAGATGCTCCCCATATAGCGATTCTATAGTTAGTAGTCGAAGCTGTTTCATGCTTTCCACTAATTCAAATACGGTAATTCCATTGAATAAATAGATATGAAGTATTTCACATTGACTACCGAGAACCGAACGGCTCAATGAGAGACATTGACGATTATCCAGGTAGAAATCGCTACATCGTAAATCTAATCGACGAATGGACGTGTGAACGAGCTGAAATACATGTTTTATTGCCATAGTTAACGAATAGAGATTAGGTAGATGATCGATCAGATTTTGGATCTGTACTAAAGTTATATTCACATCCTTGTCGTCACCAAATATAGTCAATGATGTTACTTTTTGTGGATTGGGGATCATGGACCAAAACTGATCATGAATAGGAAATTGTATAGAAAGATTCTCGACATTTGGAAAACGAATTTGTGGCGAAAGAAAACGTCTTTTCCCATTACTTTCATATTTTAATTCTGTTACATGGTGATAATCAAGAAAAATAGCATCGTTTGGACACGTAGACTTGTAGACTACGGGGAAATTGAACTGAAACTCAGCGACTTTGTAAGGTAATGTGTAGAGATGAATTGTACTTGATCTCTGCAGTGGATTCCAATGACATCGAACAAACCATTGATGTTCTTCTAACCAAAACGGACAACGAAATGAATCAAGTAAAGAATCAATCTGCTCTTTTCTTCTCTTATCGGTATTATCGAATTTGAATGATACATTTAATTGAAATCGTGTTAGATTCGGCAAATAACGTCGAATAAGATTCTCCCATTGATAACCGTCCAACGGTTGTCGGGATAAACCAACTTCAATAATTAAATGGCAAAGATTCGGCATGTAGCGAAAGAATGGGCTCAATCGATTTTCATCAATTTGAGATGCTTCGAGTCGAAATCTTCTCATTGTTGAGAATGAATGTTCTACGATTGCACGTTGCTCCGATCTCTCACGTAGTAGAACAGAAAAGTGCTGCAGATAAGGTGTTTGTTGGAGTAGAGAGTGTATGTCATTTTCTCCATATTCTCTACCCCAAATGAATAAATATGTTAACGTCGTCGAAATAGCAGTAGGTACAACAGTGTTGTCATGTCCAAGATCAATATTGAGGTAACAATAGACAAGTTTTGGTAAACTCCAAATTGTGTCTATCAAACGTTGACCCGTCATCCTATCAAATTTCAGATAACAACCAGCAAGAGTCAAATGAGTTAAATTGGGAAGATAACTCCATTCTACCATCATTTCTTCCATAGTATCATTTGAACAGACGTCACATAGTGAAAGTCGTTGCAATTGATGAAACTGACGAAGTGTCAGTGCGTTTTCATGAAATAAAGTATAGACTTGGTGAGGTGTATTATCACCATTCGAAAGAGTTAATGATTTCACATACTTGGCCAGGATTGGAAGTGATTTGTGACCAATAAATTTCAAGTCAGACAAAGATGCAGACGAAAAATTAACATTATACGATTGCAGATGATGGATAATCAAATGATGGAAACGAAAATTCATGCAATGGAATCCTCGAAGAAGATCGGTCGATGGTAAATATGCAAAGACTTCGAGTAATAATTCATTGGGAAATGATTCTAATATAATCGATGACTGCATCTTGATTGTACACGTTTGAAAGCTTTTTTCTTTCTTTTCTTTCATATATTTATAGTAGTCACATTGCGAAATAACATGATCATTGTGCAATAACTTTGAAAGAGGATTTTTGCTATGTTTGCAGTTTTTTCTGCGCTAGCACAAGTTTCAACCGAACTACTTGACAATGTTTATCGAGTAAAAACCAAAACCGATATAAACATGTAATGCCAATGATGTTATCGTGGGAAACTATGAGAAGGAAAAAATGTTTACATCAGGTCCCAGAAAAAGTCGGCACGGGAATAGAATCACTAGTTGTGTAACACTAACTGTCGTAACGTATCGGTCTCAAAATGGTCTATATCTGATGACTTTTTTATTCATTTAAAAGAATGTACTAAAACAGGTTCGAATGCATCATACAAAATTTCAGTTGATTGTTCACTGTAACAAAGCTAAAACTCTTCCCCACCATTCGAGAAAGTTCCATCCGTAGGAATCATTTTGACTTTTGCTTTCGCTAGTCTCTTGCTTAATAAAGTCATTACATGGTCGATCCCCATAACAATCATGATCACGATCACATCTTTGCCATTGACCACGCGCACTAGTACTGTCAGTACTTTGAGTATAACACCATGATACACCATCAGTGTTTCGTCTGTCTTTGATGTAAGACCAACAATGATGATTGTAACAACCACAATGACTTCCATTACAGTCACCCGCCATGGTTTGTCTCATTAGCATTAGCAAGACGAATAGGAAAGTAATTGCGAATAGAGAAAAATCGAATCTGAATATCATAGTTGTCTGGAGTTTTTCCGACAGATGATGTTATTGATCTACATAAAGCGTCAATTATTTGTATTAAAATGATTCAATATCTGTTTTTCGAAAAGAGATGTTTTTGTACATACTTGTTCGCTTGTTTGTTCGAGTGGTAATAGTCTATGAGCCAACTACACACATCTATTTCGGCTTTTATATCAAAAATCGTTGATTGATAGTGTTTTCCCGTACTACAAAGATTTTTTACCATGACGACTTATCAGTGTATGGGACTTCCCCATTTCTGACAGTAGACATTGATTGAGAGGAAGAGAATACAGAGTGGGGCTGGGAGAAAAATTGACCTATTTTATCTTGAAAATAAGTTGATATGTACCCGAATACGTGCTTTTCTTTAACTTTTCGAAAATTCGATCCCATATGGAATACTCAGATCTATTTACTAATTGGATTTATATTTCTCGGGAAGATGCGTTTTAGCGTTTAATAAATATTTTATTCTTAATAAAAATTGCCAAATTCATTCCATATGAAGTGCTGAATTACTGGTTATCCACCTTCAAAAGTATCATATAATAAACAGAATACATAATGTGCACTTTAATTTGTAGTCTTATTCAACTATCAAAGTCACTATGATAGAATAATTAATTAACAAACTATTAAAGCTTTGTCAGATTATTCATAGTAGACTTGTTCCACGAGAGTGTTCCTTTCCTTGTCATATGATGTTTACGATAAAGAAACTATCCCATGGGAAACTCTATAATCGACGCACACACGGACAGGGGTACAGAATCTGCCCGTCTGCACCTACGCGCGTGGGGGGAAAATTTTTAAGTTTGGGGAAATTTTTGAAAGATTATTGGCTTGGAAATTTCTTTAATGCAAAATAAAGAACGAAATTTTCTGTTGTAGATATAAAATAATGATTTTTTGAGCAGATTATCTGATTTGTGTACTAACATAGAGTAATATGACTACTTCTTTTATCATTCAGAGTATCCCAGTAACTTCATCTATATGCTCTACATGTCAATTTATTCTACTTTCTCTTGTCCTTTGAATGTAGATACTTGAATATTTCGTGTCTCTTGCGTTGTCGTTGTGCTTAACCTTTGTTTTCTTTCTTTTTTAACTTGTACGAAAACTATCAAAAACACATCCATATAAGCAGAACGAAAGATACATATATGTTGAAGTCCAACGTGAGATTCAGGCCAATCTAAGATCCGCTTAGGCGAAAGTGGAATTCCACATTGGACTAGTCCAAACTCGGATTACTACTATTTTACAATGTAAAACTCAATTTACTTCACCAATTGATATATCCCATAGGTAAGAGCAAGAGGATGAGTGAGACCAAGGTTCTCCTATCTATTGCCGATTTCAAAATGAAAATCTGAATTGTAGAAAAACTTTTGTTTAAATTTTAGTAAAAAACCAGACACTTTTAGTAAAAGTTCCGTAGTAATCAGAAATCAGCTTCAATTTTCATGTTGAAGTCGGCAACGGATAGGAAAACCTTGGTCTCACTCATCCTCTTACTCTTACCTATGGGACATATCAATTTGTGAAGTAAACTGAGTTGTACACTGTAAAATAGTAGTAATTCGAGTTTGGACTAGTCCAATGTGGAATTCCACTTTCGCCTAAGCGGATTTTAAATTGGTCTGAATCTCACGTTGAACTTCAACATATGTATATACTAACAAAGAGGACTTTTACTTCGATAAAGAGGGGAAATTTTTGATCGATTTTATTTTCGTAGGTGGAAATTTTTGATCGATTTTATTTTCGTAGGTGGAAATTTTTTATTTTTACGGCAGATTCTGCACCTGCACACGGAAGTCAAGATCAATATGATGAAAAGAAATTTATAGTCATGGGCTTTTTCGAAGTTGTTCTTTGGAAAGATTACAGTGTTTGCTTGAACACTAATAATCGAATTCTTAGGATATCTACAACTCAGAACGCTCTTTCAACCCGTCGTACTGTAAATCTTAATGGAAACGACTTTGTGCAATATGTAGATTTCTCTGCTACACAAACAAACAAACATTTTAATGTCGTTCAACAAATGTGACAAGTGAATGAGTAAGCACTTCACGGAAAGGAAGATGACATTTTTGAATAAGTCTTGCACATAGACATTTCAATTTTAATTGAGTTTTTACTTGCAGGATCTGCTTGAGACGAACATCCGATATCAAATCAAATGGTGTTGCAGAAAACATATTCCTCCAATCGAGATGGGCATGATTTGCACAAAGTATTTGAAATATTGATTCATCTAACTCATTTGTATTAGAAACAAAAATGTGCAAAGCTGTATTTCGTTTCGTATCAGTTTTATCTATATCAGCACCACATTGTAATAAAGTACGAACTGTTTGGAAACATGGATATCTGAAAATACGACGTTAATCAATAAAAGTCTGAATAGATATTCACACATACTTGCAAATTCGACTGATACTAGTATCTGAAGATGAAGTAAATTCATTGAGAGATAGCTGTAATAATGTAGATCCATCGAGACGTGTCGCATATTGTTTTCGATTGATAGAGTAGATTAATCGATGAAAAACGTCCGACTCATTTGTATTGCTATCCAGTGTTTGCATTGAACATACTTTACAAGTCATTGTAATAAGAAAAAGTAGAGTAAGAAGATCGAAATCGAAATTCTTTGAATTTTGATCTAATTTCTTCGTAGTCACGTGAATTAATTGGCATAAGTCTTCTAGACGAACGGATGATGATTTATATATAATAACTGCGAACGTTTTCACTAAATATCTCAATTGTTTCGAAGAAATCGGTACTGCATGTTGTTCTTGTAACTGCAAAGTATACATCCAAAGTGCGATACCCTGCTGATATTGATTACTATGAACTAGAGTGGTGCCACGTAGTAGAAGTGAATGTCGATATTTGAAATTCTTCGGTCCAAGTATACGTTCGCGTACAAGTAATGCTTCGATATGAAGATTGGCATGATTGGTTTGTATTTCTTGCAATTGTTCACGGGTTTGACATTCTCGTCGATGTTGAAAGACTTCATGAGTTGAACATTGCATGGATTTCGGCAATTGATGAGCTAATCGAAGTTGCAGAGCGTGTAAGAGATGTTGCCATGTTTTCTGAAGATTGCATGCTCCGTATTCTTGACATGCATAAGCACTTCCGAGTAGTTCTTCTGCTTCGATCTGTTCAAATATAGAACAATGAGAGCCAATTAGATTGACAAGGTCCGCACGTCGTTTTTCTGCTGCTAACATCAATGGTGTCGTTCGATCATACTTGATTGGTAAGTTTCGCGCGCCTCGATTGATTAGAAATTCGACTAATTCATACGAGCCGCGTTCCACAGCGAGATAAAGCGATGAACGATGCTCATCATCACATTCATTCACATCACATCCTAGTTCGTCGACAAGGTAATGAACTAGATCAACATGTTCACGGAACACACTCAAGATTAAATTCGTATCATTCCGTTCCTTTTTTATCCGCACCTCAGCACCATTTGCGATTAAATAACGAGCGAGAGGAACACTTCCGTGATAGCAAACACAGCGTAACGGCGTCGAATTCGTTTTAATTCTATGATTTACTTGTGCTCCATGTTCTACGAAAATTTTTATCAAATTAAAATTGTTATACGCAGCTGCTACCCACAACACGGTGGTATTCTCATAAACTTTCAACGTTTGCTGATTAACATTAATTTTCACGATATTCAAAACTTCAAGATCGATTGAAAACGAATCCAGTAACATACACACCAATTCTTCATAGCTATTCAAACAAGCTATCATCAAAAGAGTACATATTTGACTCTCAGATATGTTATACAGGCGATTAAGATATGTCGTAGGATTTGCCGTCGACAGTAGAAGAGCTTTTAGTGAATCAACGTCGTTCGTTTGAGTTGCGTTTAATAACGATGTATCCATATCGTCCATTTTTCTTTTGACACCAAGGAACGAGTGAATTTTTGTCTTCGTCACCAAAGAATGCTTGCATTTATTTGGCGAAGCTGTTTTCTTATTTTTTGTTATTCTTCTCATCACGTGCTTTACCCCATAACACATACGTACACCTGCGAGAAACAGGTAGCATCGAAAGCAAACGCACCAAACAAAGTTATAAAACAAAGGAAAAGATACCTTACGATTTTTCTTCTTTCGATTATTTTGGTATTCAGCAGCCGTAACTATGGTTGCAAATGTACTTTCTGTCTTGAACGACGAGTTTATATGAAAAGTTCAGAGAAAAAGAAATGTTATGGAGACCAATAGTCAAAATTCGTCTTTGATTTCACAAAAAATGATATTGAAAAGAAGCTTTGAGGGAAAGAAATCGATCAATATCCAAACGAAATACACAAGTCATCGAAACCGAATTCAGTTCCACTTCCCGACAAGCCATTCACAGCTGTGCCACCCGATGTCGTAAACACTATTGTGTCTATATTTGTACATCCACCACAACTGATAATTGTAGAATTCACCGTATTTATTAGAAACGGTCCAGATATCTGAAGAACACCTAACCGATACAGATTGATATTCCACTGTAGACCAGATCGATAGGCAGCTGCTATGGTCACTGAGTCAAAAGAGAAACTGGTTCCGTTTGCTGATATTATTTGGACAGCAGCGCCTCCTGGATTGTAAGCCACATAGGATGGAGACTGCATAGCTATGGGGTAACCACTAGAGGGTACTGTTGATGCATTAAGATAATTGGTATTGGTCCAGTTGAGATTTTGGTAACCGTTGGGAACGACACCTGATGTGGATGTCTGACCAGTAATGTTATCGAATGTAACTTTGGTTGTACACCCTAATATAGAAAAACAAGAAGTTCATCGAGGATTGGCAGGTGAGATGCAACTCACAAGGCTTGGTAGTAGTGGTGGAAGTTGTGGTGGTTGTAGTGGCAGACGTGGTTGATTTTGTTGTTACTGTAGTAGCAGTAGTTGCTGTAGTTGTTGTTGCTGAAGTTGATGTGCTGCTGGATGTGGAGGTCGTGGACGAACTGGTGCTTGACGACGATGTGGTGCTGGATGTGGATGTCGAGCTCGTAGAAGAACTAGTTGAGCTGGTGCTAGTGGAAGTTGCTGTTGTTGTGGTTGTTGTTGTGGCACTTGTGGTAGTTGTGGATGTGCCAGTCGTTTGAGTAACAGTACTTGCTGTTTTTCCTAAAATTATATAGGGTAATTCAGATGAAAAGCATTCCGAAGTTGAAAGTGAAAAATATATTTACCAGGTGTAACTATATAAAGTGAAAGTAAAACTGCGAAAACTAAACCCATAGTTAGTGCACCGGCGAGTAAACCAAGCAAAAGTGGCGTTGAACATGGACATGGACAGCAGGGTAAACTGTTTAGATGAAGACATTATGAATGTTTTATGAGAATAGAATATGGAAAACACTACTTGAAATAGCCAGACTTTCGCTGTCTTAGTTCATCATCATCATCATTATCACTGTCGTTGCATTGTTGTTTCCTTGCTTCGCAATCTGGTAGCTGATTCGAGTGTTTGGCACTGAAAGCGTTACTACTGTTTGAATGGATCATGTTCACAAGAATGAATGGCTCCGACAAGAATATGAATGCGATTTTAACTGAATATCTTATTGCCGAGATTGATTGAAACTGAAGCTGAATTTATATCAAGTGCGGGCTTATTTACATTCTAGGTAAGTGTAGAATAGGTTTCATCTCTGTGTATTGCGAAGAAAACACTATATGATTTGTTTCGTTCTTTTGTACGCAGATTACTTAAAAAATTTCATCCATAGAGAATGTTCCTTTGAAGAAAAAAATAGAGATAAAGCGAATTTCAAAAATTTCGCCCTTATAATTTTTGACAGACTTGAAGGATTTTTGAAGAAATCGTTTTATAAATACCAGCGATCAATATATATCCATCGAGACGACTAGACTGAATATTCTTACGAAATGAATTCTTTTTCCGAGGAACTTTTCTCGAAATAGATAAAGGTATATCGGCATGCGAGAGAACGCATTTCTATCAGTCACATGAAATGCACACACAAACACTCGACAGAAGTCAATAAAAAAGATAGTATTGATGAGTATATTTTCACAGCAGTACATGAATTGAACCATTCCTATCGTACGGATCGAGATAAGTACTTAACTATGTTCGTGGAGTTGAATTATTTTGTTTAATAATTTGATTAGAAGAAAACAATGAAAATCAATGTACACACAATGATTTGCTGACGTAGATGGTTACTAATTATGACAAACAAATCAATTCCATTGTTTTTTGTTTGCCTATGCAGATTTACGTACTTTTTTCCTTTGCTTGAATAATTACAATATCTCTGATTAATCAAACATTATTATTTTACTTGTATAATAATAATAACACACGATGTATCACGCGTGAACAACTGTGTTGTAGATGATGTTATTGAACTTCTTCTTACAGTAACGGAGATGATCCTTATCAATAACAAATTATTTAACGCTAAGAATGTTGAAATATCCGATGCACATCTATTGTAAGCGTCTTTTAAGGATATTCCAAAATAGAAATCTCTGATTCTCGTTCTTCATTTGTCATACAGTATATTATATTAATATAGCAGATCGTGTGATGGATGAGAAAATGTATGCAAATGAGATTTGTGCAGTTTTTTTAGTTGTAATCAGAATAATACTATAGGCGTTGCAAGCGAAATTCAATGATTGATGTATTTCTATTGTTTTTTTTATTTATCATCGCACGACTTCATTTTGTATTACTAACTGTAGTAGAAAGGTATCCGTAAACAGAATGAGTCTTTCTATTTTTCCATTCATATCATGAATTTATTGTTAAATAGGATGATTGAGAACAAGTCTTACATGTGCGTACATCTAATTTTATAGGGCAGATGAGAAACCATAATCCATCAACTAAAAGTTCAAGAAACTAAGATGCTCACGCATGCTCTTCGCTATTTTGGTACGGCGTTAGTGTGCAGCAAAAACAAATATCATTCCGATTTCTAGTTATCACATAGTGTTCGCTACAAAACATTAATATCCAAATGAAATACACAAGTCATCGAAACCGAATTCAGTTCCACTTCCCGACAAACCATTCACAGCTGTGCCACCCGATGTCGTAAACACTATTGTGTCTATATTTGTACATACACCACAACTGATAATTGTAGAATTCACCGTGTTTATTAGAAACGGTCCAGATATCTGAAGAACACCTAACCGATACAGATTGATATTCCACTGTAGACCAGATCGATAGGCAGCTGCTATGGTCACTGAGTCAAAAGAGAAACTGGTTCCGTTTGCTGATATTATTTGGACAGCAGCGCCTCCTGGATTGTAAGCCACATAGGATGGAGACTGCATAGCTATGGGGTAACCACTAGAGGGTACTGTTGATGCATTAAGATAATTGGTATTGGTCCAGTTGAGATTTTGGTAACCGTTGGGAACGGCACCTGATGTGGATGTCTGACCAGTAATGTTATCGAATGTGACTTTGGTTGTACACCCTAATATAGAAAGACAAGAAGTTCATCGAGGATTGGCAGGTGAGATGCAACTCACAAGGCTTGGTAGTAGTGGTGGAAGTTGTGGTGGTTGTAGTGGCAGACGTGGTTGATTTTGTTGTTACTGTAGTAGCAGTAGTTGTTGTAGCTGTTGTTGCTGAAGTTGATGTGCTGCTGGATGTGGATGTGGATGTCGAGCTCGTAGAGGAGCTAGTTGAAGTGGTGGTAGTGGAAGTTGTTATTGTTGTGGTTGTTGCAGTGGCATTTGTGATAGTTGTGGATGTGTTAGTCGTTTGAGCAACAGTATTTGCTGCTTTTCCTACAAACCATCATACAGAATTCATGTACTATAGAAACGATTGTGTTTAGAGTCGTATGTGAACGATGTAAATGGTTAGACTTTACTTCCTTTTCTATACGCGGCAAGTATATGTGCGTATTTTACCTGATTGGTTGAGTAGCAGCGTTACAGCTACAGCTACACCTGCAGCACATAACAAAAGACCGATAGTGAGCAGTGCTAGCGCTGCCGAGAGACAATAACAGCATTCTCTATGATGATGCAAATATATAAACAATGTAAAGGTTGACTATGTTGAAATCTAGTACTTGCTCAAACCGGTGCCGGGTCGTTTATAGCGCCGTTGGTTATCATTCTCGTCCTGAGCTTCCCTCCATTGACGAGGCGTTGGTAACGAAGATGCATCCTGATGATATGTCTTCATTAGTGAAAGAATTTAAGTTGTATTGTACTAAAATTCGGAGAATTTATATGGAACAAGGGTGATTACATAGACAGTTATCCGGTTTCTTTTAATAGGCAGTCACAACCTATTTGCTCGTCAATTAGGTAACTAAAAGGACCAAACTGTTTACTATTGCCTTATTAAAAATTGTGTAAAGAAATGTTTTTGTCAGTATAAAATTAAGCTGTTCAGGTAAACATGTTGTTATAAATAATATAATTTAAGAGACAATACAAATGGCACTTGTATGAAATTGTTATTTCTGTCTAGTTCCTAACTCATTACCACCGAAACCAAACATGGAACGTTTATTACGACTTTATCTTTTATGAAGCAACACAGTTTACGTTTACTGAGCAGTATTTTGCTACTACATCGTATTTTCTTGCTTATTTTTGTTTCTAAAATGATATTCGCAACCTTCAACAGATCAGTACGTTATACTCAACATTTTATTTTTAAATTTGGATGTGATTTCTTGAATGGTCGCTGAATTGATTCGACATCTCTTGTCGACAGAGGATTATTTTCGATGTTTAACTCTTATAGTTTACGAAGATTCAGAATATTTGTTGCTAGACGTGACAGTTTGTTGTCAGATAATTGAAGCGTGAATACATTTCTCAGTTTATCGATCGTTACCAGAATTGAGCTGATGCCTGTTCCAGACAAATTAATATATTCCACGTTCTTGTATCACATCATTGCTACAGCACTTAACAATGCATTTCCACTCGTGTCGAGCTTGAATAATTGGTCGGGATGATCCGTAGTCGCAATATGTCTGAGCCGATTTCCTTTAAGAAGCAAGATTTGGATGCCAGGAATGCCAATGATATCGGTCAAGTTATTTTCTGGTATGCGAAGCTCGATCAGCATTTTCCGATTACTCAGATTAGGAATAGATGTCAAAGATCAATTATACAGTGTAATCATTGTTATATCGGGAAATTTTGTTAGTTCTCCAGCCATTCTCACAATCTTCACATCGAATACATACAACCCAAATAGACGCTTCAGCTTTCGCACTGCATCAGAAACAGTATCTATCAATCGATCAAAATCATATTCAATCACACCGCGCGCTTTCATAAGTATCACCTATACGTTACTGTTGGGAAATACGTAGCATATTCTTAGCCATTAACTCTCCCAGGTATGACAAACAGTGCACACTCAAAATTGACTCATTAGATGTCAACACACTGTTCTTTGAATGTGCACGACGCTGTTCGATGAGCTACGCGAAACAAACAATATGAATCAGTATAGCAATCACACTTGACTGGATTATAAGAATCTTCTCGTGACTTCTTATTGGTTGCGTGTGAGCGTCACTTATAAATACTCGTGAAGGCAATCAATTACTGGAGTAAAGATCAAGTTACATTGAAGTCAATTGAGTGTCTGCGAATGTAGGTCTAAGGAATTATGACCAATGTGATATTGATTATATCAATTGTATTGCAGTCTTTGTCGAATAAAAATCTAATAATGGAATTGAATCTTTACTTGTGATGATGTTATCAATGTTGTCTCGAGTTTCATTGAAATGGATAAAAATAGAATACTTTGCAATGGTTATCACGTTTCGTCGACGCCAGTATCGTACATCTTCCAGCTGTTTTGATAAAAAAAAATATTGAAAGACGTAAAAGTAAATTATCATTCTATTTAGAGATAAATTATTCGAATCAACTGAGAGAAAAAGAACAGAACGTCGCATATGTCATAGTATTTTATAGTTTTGTTTACATCCAAAGGTGGATACACGCGGGAGAAGAGACTATGACTCATTGAAAACTTTCTCACATTACGGGGGCACACATTAACGAGTCAAGAGACGTAATAAATATCGAAGTAACGAATACCGATGAATGATTTTGTTGTTTTGTAGTCTAAATTTAACTTCGGATGTGATAATTTATCTACTCATATAAATACCCTTCGAATGAAAAACAATCTACAAATGCTATAATGAATGTCGCAGATCAACCGACGAATGCGATGAAAAACAATCAGATAGATACTGAAATAATTGACCCAACTCCTCAAACCACACGGATAGGATGGTTCTCCCAGATTACTTCAATGTCTCCTGGTTACCTTGCCGGATATGTCATATATTATATCATATTTATTTCACTATCAATTACTCAACTTCTTACCGGTATTCATCATACTGATGATTGTCCAGTCGAACGTTATATTCCGATTTATTTAATCGTCAGTGGTGCAGTTTCCGTTACTATCGCCATTATATCGATTTTCAAGGTAAATTTTCCTTAAAGATCTCGAAACTATTCAAGATTGATTCGATATTTTAGAGTGCTCTACCGGCATCTACACAATTGCAAGAGAAACCAAACTCAATTAATGAAAGATTAACAAGACTCGCTAGTCCAGAAGGATTACTTTCTTGTTTTATTTTTGTTCTTTGGTTATTTGATTTGGCCTGGTTTATTGCCGTAAGTGTCACCGTCTAAGTAGCTCGTTTTAAACTGATCCGACTCGACTTTTCTCATAGGGTAACGTTTGGGTATTTCGAACACAATATTATGTCCAATACGACGATCCGATTGTCAAACGAAGCACTTTTTGTGAACGTTCGCTATTCTCCTATGCTTATTGGACAATAATTATCATTTATATTTGTATAGCTTGTACATGGGGTGTTAAATTCATGATCAGATGTTGTAAATCGAAAAAAGATTCGTCTTAGCAAGATTTTTGTTCTCAATGTAATCGAATATAAAATTGCCGATCATTCACTCTCTTTAATCGATTCGTCAGTGTAAACTCTTTGATAATTGTGAGCTGAGTTGAAATCCTTTCAACTCGATATTTGCACACGCGTTTCTTCATGTCATCAGATATTGCTATATTTACCTTCTTCTTTAAGGGTAAACTCATCGACATCAGTGAATAATTATGGAATAAGATTAATACTGAAACGAGCGACACGTTGTTCGCTCTTATACTTTGCAGCGAAATCAAGTCAAAAGAAATTGCCATCTGCTGCGATCAGTACGCAACGAAATTTCACGAGATTTTCTTTATTAATAATCATTTCACAACTGTTCCTTCGTTCTACACATAAGTTGAACATGTGTCTGTCTTTCATTATGATTTTGTTGTTGATCAGTTCCATAGAAACAGCACCAAGTCTTCCGTAACACTTTTATACACTGATGCCGAAAGATATCCGATGAACAGAGATAGATAAGAAAACTTGTATAATTACTCCAGAAAAGGAGATACGAAAATTGATGAATGAGATTTTCTTTTGCTTGTAGCAATAGCGATTTCGGACTGTGTATGGTGCTTAACCAATAGCAATTGAATATAGAATATGGGATAGATGCAATGGTCGACTTAATTGCTTGAAGAATCAACATTGAGGTCAGCTGTTGATTAATTTGTCGAATACGAATGGATCGACGTTTCAAATGTAAATGACGCTTATGAATATTTCTATGCGTGAGAAAGCCGAATATCATCATGATAAAGGGCGGCAAGAATCCATTTAGAATGCAAACATAGATCAATCGTATCGTATAACATGCGATATGTCGCGCCGGATTCGAACAGATATAACGATTGTTTTGGAATGGGTGATAGAAACGTGTCGAACAAAAAAATACTGGAATGCCGATGATAAACCAAAAAACAGGGATAATCTTTATAAAACGAATACCAATATGACGACGCGCGTAATACCAATGCGAATTGTTCTCCGAACTGAGAAAATATTGCGTTATACTTGCAGATGTTGTCAATGTTCCTGATGTAACTGTGAACACATAAGCAAAGTAACTTTTCGTCTTACAGTAAGTCCACTTATTTATCGTCCAATCATAATGAAAACCGTATTGAAGGATATTTGTTAAAGGATCAAGATTCAAATGGAATAAGTCACATACTGATGCCATAAGAAGGTAGAGCGAACAAGCACGACTATGATAGGTTTGCTGAAGAAATGTTCCGATGTTCATAATTGTACCGAGTAAGCAAATCGCATACAGAAACGTACCGATATATTTAGTTATTTGTTCGGAAAGATAATTGTATCGCTGGAGAAGAAGCATCTCATCAGTATTGTTCATGATTCTAATTGAAAAGAAGACAGAAAAACAAGAGACGGCAATACTGTGCTGTTTTATCTTCTATAGAAAAGCTTAGGTGTAAAAATAAAAGGATGAATGAAACGTGTATTAGTCTTTAATAACATGTTGACACTTTCAAAAAGGAAATATTCTTTGACGCAGTTGAGACTTTCTTTTTTATATCGAACTGTTTCAACCGTAAGAAGCATTTTCATCGATGTTTTAACAAATGTATATAAAACATGCATAACTCTCAAAACGTGATATGCTCGTGAATTCTCATTCAAAGAGTATTGCAACTTATTCGCATCGTATGTAAAATTTTCTTGCTAATTAATAAAAATCTCTATTGAAAAAGAACACATCAAAGCAATGTATGAGACAGCGAATATATGGCTTTTGACACACTTACTGGAATGTTTGTTGTTGATAATTAATTCTGGACAAGACGATTAGTTATCTTCATAGGAAATTCTATTTAGAGGCTTGTACGATGTAAAAACTAACTATCTCTTGATCAAGTTTCAATTCATGTTTCAATGAATATTCTAGTAGGATGTGTTCGTCTTCTTTCAGCTGTCTAAGGCTCAAAAGAACTAACAAAGCAAAGCATGAATAATACCCTAGTTAGCATAGAATTATATCATACATGGTTTTTCTATTGTGAGGGATTGGTGTTCGTCAACGAGCTTCTATGAAGTTGAAAAGCACGTTAATTGCGTGCCATTACCTGTCGGAAGTATTTTCTTATTAACGGTATATTGATAGGAAACCGTTCGTAATAATAATCGTTAAAACATTAAACCGGATCAGCCGTATTTATGAGAGAAAACCTACTGAACCTCGTACGCGGTATTCAATTTCATGACTTACAGAAGATGATATGACTACTAACACAGGTTTACGGTGTCGTATCTATACTAGTTACAAGCATGCGTGATCTATCCTGTTCAATAATCTTCAATTCAAATTTCTAATAGAGTGGATATACGAGCGATGCACTCAATGGTTGCATCGATAGAAGCGTCTAAGATAAAGAGTAGATAAACAGAAGACATGACGTGACGTCGCGTAGCATTCCACATTAGATTTTTTAGAGCTCGAGAGCGCTGATGATTGCTGAAAGGATACGCATGGTAAGTAGTTGACAGATCCCATACACGGAAACATCATTTCTCATCGAAAGAGATCGTAAACAGGCGATCTATCAAAAGGCAACAGATGAAGTGCATGTTCTGGCTTCGTTTGGATGAACAACTGTCAGTTACATTATGTATCAACGAATCGTTTGAGTATCCAGTTATTTATTGATGAAAAACTAAAACAACACTGAAATCATTCATAAAAGTCAAAAATTTGAATTATTGTTAATGAATTGTCCTTTTCGTATGGTGCACATTCACGAAGAAATTCCATTAGATACTTCAAATCGGCGCGGACATAAACAATGGTTTGCGTTTTGTCTGTTGGATTTGCATATTCATAGACAATATCCAGGTTTGATCGTTGTTTTAACCTTAAAAGACGTTCAGCATCATTGTTCTTGATACTTAATTCAATATGTATCGGATCAGTTACATTCGATATGGATAGAAGATTGATTTTAGTATGGAATGCGGCTATTTTTTTCAGTATCGAAGTGAATTTACCATGACGAGGTACTCTTACGGCATAGAGACCATCTAGAGGCAATTTTTGTACATCATCGATGTCTGGATCGACTGCTTGTGTAAAGTCGAAATTGTCGTCGACATTTTCCAGAATTAATTGCTCGTATTCAGGTTTTATTCTCATTCCGCCGATATGTCGAATAAGGAAGGAGAAGAATGCCAGTTGAACAAACGCACCTGATAATAAGACTCCAACTACAGTGTTCATCAGAAATCCTGGAGAAGAAAGAACAGCTCGTTGAAAACCGTATCTGTTAATAGCGAGTTGTGTTTCCGTACGAAACAGTGACCAGTAGATGGACAGAAATTTGAGGAATGGAAAGAAGAAGAAGGGTGTATGGTTCATAAATTGTCCAAATTGTATTGCCATACGAACAACTAACCATTCGCATGATCGATAGTAATTCGATTCTGGTGCAGCTACAATTCGACGATAGTTTCCATTCTGAATTGACTCGTTCGTATTCAAATCTTCTTCTCGATTCGGTTTACGTGCAACAATCATAATATCATCAGTCGGATCGTCTTCTTGTTCATCGTAAATAAATGTGTCCTCGAAACCTGCTTGTCTTAGACATGAACGCCATTGTTCAATTGTACGAAATGCTCGAATTTCATTGATTTCAGATTCGTAATCAACACGGGTAACAGCATTGAAGACCATATGTGCAACATCTAGTAATGGTTTCAGTTCTTCGTAAGCATGATGTTCGCGAAAGAGAAATAAGCCATTCGGACGAAGAATTCGATAAACCATTTGAAGATAGACCTTCAATTGATCTTGTGGTAAATGATGCAAACCCATATAACAAACAACAAGATCAACCGATTCACTTGGGATAGGTACGTCAGTTAAGTTTGAGAAATTATATGGAATGAATGTGCCAACAGGTAAGAGACTATTTCGCTCGATGATATCGGTTAAACGTTCACGTTCATTGATAATGTAGACACGTCCGTCTTTGATTTTTAAGATCTCACGTAATTCGTTGATGCATCGTCCACCATCACCAATACTGACGATATCTTTTATCTAAAATAAACGGTTCGATAATTAAAAAAATCAATAAATTTGCGTACCTTGCCACAACATCCTAAATGTTTGAAAATTGTAATTTGTTGTCGTAGCATATCTTTAATTTGTAACCGAAGTTGTCGAATTTGTTTCAATGTTGCGAATATTTGTCGAAGGAAAGCGAATTGTCTTGTTTTTAAAACATTCTGTAATTCACGGTAGACATCATGATCGTTTTTATTCAATGGATTTCGAACGGCACGATTGACATAATTGAAAACGACGTGAGCAGGTTCAGCATTGAAAACTGTTTGAAGAAACTTACGAAATTTCTCACGCAGAACTTCATCAGTAATAACTTGAGAAAACGAATCGTGTCGGCGCTGTTCAACGATTACGAATTCATCAGTGATCAATTCCACCTGCTTTATATCACTGCTATCGGTAACACGATTTGCTTCCGGTCGAAAATGTTCGTACCAATCATTAGAAAATAGTTCATTCGGATCATAGACTAGTTTCATATTTAAAAATTCTGAAAACATTGGATAAGCATGAAGAATTTGTTCATAGGAATAATGTTGTCGATAGGGAAGATAAAACGTGCCTCCGCATTTAAATGCTAACTGTATTAATTGTTGATGAATACTTCGTACTTCGTCATCACCTAATTCGTTGCGTTTAATTCGATAATAGAATACAAATGCGAAACAATCGTCTTGCTTTGTATATGCTAGAAATGTCACATTGTCCTTTTTAACAAATCGAATCGTTAAATTCAATAGAAATACATGATTGTACTTCTTTTGAAGGATTACTTTTAATGGATCATACCATTGTCGGAAATTTCCTTTAGGAATGAAGTATTCCTGAAGAATAAATGTATCGTCGTAATATGTTAATGGTTGATACAATAGAGCCATTGGTTTAGCGGATTCGTACATGGTGAGATTCCGATCGGTTGAGTAAGTTAAGTCTAATGGTCGAGCGACGGCTTTTTCTAATGCGAAACGGATGCGTCGGAATGGTCGATGTTGAGCAAGATAAGTATAGATCAAATGTTGACGTGGATGCATCACACGTGCTTCATCAGTCAGATCAGCAACGGTACCGAATGTGCCAGATTCTTGACGAAAGACAAACATAAGAATATTATTCGGGCGAACGAGATCGACACGAGCAATTTTGATCTCAATCGTTGGATCATTGAGAAATTCTTCGTAATAAGTTGAGAATTGATCGGACTAAGTCGAAGAGAAAACGAGAAAATCAATACTTTGATAAAATAGATCATGTTTTTACCTCTAATCGTATGTATTCCAATGAAGTTTTCACATTCGCAACCGTTTTCAATCTCAATCGTGTCATAATTCCGAAAAGTCCATAACCACCAATCATCAATGAAAATAATTCCGAATCTTTTTCACGACTACATTCATTTCTCTTTCCATTCATATCAATATATTCAATACTTATTACTGATTCGTACATCGCATGATCAGAAGTAATACCATGAGCGTTTACTGAGATAGTTCCGGCGACACTGAATGTGCAATAGCTTTGCATAATGACAGGCGATCGACCGTAGGCATTTAACTTTTTGATAACATGCGTCCACGTTGCACCAGCTTCCACAAGAGCCTCCTTCGTTGTTTCGTTATATTCGACACGATTTAGATATTTTAGATCACAAACATAATTTCTTGTGTTTCGTTTACGAGATGGTAATGTTTGTCCGCCCATGGTGTGTGCTTGTCCACGAAGTGAGATCGTTCTGCCTTGAGATTTGGCCTTGAAAATTAAATATTCGATATCGTTCAACGTACGAGGATAGAATAGAGAGTAGATTCGCGTTTCGTTCAAACGTGAAACGTCACTGAGCGAAATGTCACCGGTAAAGTCTAAGTCGAACTTGGATTTCGGCCAAAACCACTGATAAAATTGATAGAAACATATGACACTAATTATCAGCCATATACTCGAACGTCGGATAAGTAAATGGCCAATTGCAATGGATACATTTGGAAATATGTGAATGATGGCATTTAAACTGATCAAAATTAATAGAGACAATGGTGTAGGGATTGTAGTCGTGATAAATGTTCGAATCATAGTCAGCTGTTTGGAGAATATTTTGAAAAATCGTTTGGAGATTCGATGTACTAATCGATTAGTAACAACAGTGTAGATTCCAAGTAGAAAGAGCGTAAGAGTTATCAAAGTCGAATAACGATAGAGTGTGAAAGTCTGCCGAAATGTTTGCCAATGGCCACTTGAGTGACAGGATTGTTCAGCATTGTCATTTTCGACCTCGTTGAAGAATTTTGAAATAAAGAGGTAGAGTTTTAATGAAATGACTAATATGTAGACAAAAATTGGCACATCAACGATGACAGGCGTTCGCATGATCGATTTGATCAGTTTTTGAAGAACAGCAGCACCTTTTCGAACGGATACGATGAATTCTGGTATACCAAATGCACAAATTATCAGGATCAATGTTAGAATAAGAGTATTTTGTGTCCATAGTTGAAAAATATGCGAAAGATATTGAAAAAGACTGAGAAAATTCAATTGAAATATTATACGAAACAATTTCAAAAGCCAATCGAACAGACAAATGATGGCCAATTCATAGGCGACATACATTTTCTTCGCATGATTTTCTATTCCAGATCGTATGTTGACCTCCATGTTCTTTGACAATGTTGACGACAAACGATTTTCTTTCTTTTACAAGAACATTTTAATGCTAGTCTTGCACAACCAAGACGACATGCAATGAACTGGAAAGAAAAAAAAACGTGCGTGATTCGAAGGTCGTTTCTTCTCAACAATAATTTGCCTGCTCGAGCACAACCTGAAAGACATTTTTTGTTTTCTTTTGCCCCTTGGTACAGTATAGATGATTCATCTATACGAAGTCTGATACTTGAAAATCGATCGATCGATCACAGGAGCAAAGTACCGAGAAAAAAACAAGCTTATATTTTCTTTTACATTGAAAAACTGATGACTGTGAAGTTTATATTCTAAGCAGAATGATATCAAGGTAAATGAAAGAATATCAACATGTACACTTATTCGCATACGCATACAATTTCTAGAAGCGTATTCTTAACATCGTAAAAAAAAACGCTATGAAGATTGAGAGATGCTTCTTTTGCGTTTGAACGACGCCGAGCAGCATCCAACAGCAAAGGATCGTATACAACTTGGTGTGATGAAACAACGTTCGTTAATTCAACAAACGATATTGTTTCTTATCTTCATGGTATTTTCGACTTTGGTAAAATCGGACAAAATAAAAGATACTAGTCGAATTATTGCTTCATTCAATGCAAACGGCAATATACTATGTCAGACAAGCTGGTTTTGTGGATTGTATACTGCTTGCAGATGTAGCTTCCGAGTTTTAAGTGTATCATCGTCGTAGTTTACTGAAATCTAAACTTCACTGGGAAAAAACCAAGCGAGATCAATTTGCACGGATATTAACAAAAGACGAAAAACAATAATTGGTTTTTATAGCGAAAATAGCTTCTTTTTCGATGAAAGACAACAGTTATTTTAAGCTGTAATGGTTGTGATTTAATTGGGATAAAGTTTCATATAGATCTATATGTTTCACATTTAAATCAGACAATGAATCATATTGGTATTAGGAGAGTAATCCATATATATATATATATATATATATATAACTCCCCCCTTTATTCATTTGTTTCCCCTAAATATTAGTCACATTTAACTTTCTTTATATTAATTTTCGACGAATCTAAGTTTCGAAATACAAAAGTGAGCTTATAAATCTGAAAGAGTAACCCACTCGAATAATTGTTTCATAGTTCGTCGAAGTGAAAAAATATGAAGCTGTTTCAAGGCCGATTCTGAGGACATTTGATTTAACAGAAAGTATTCTTTTGTTGACGTGGATGAAAATTGAGATGATGTACGTTCTGTCATCATAATCAAAGGCTAAACTTCGTTGATAGAGCTTTTCTCTCGACGAAAACTGCAATACAATGAATGTGTTTCAGTGCGTTCCTTACAGTCGATATCACATTCGTGATACCATGACATTGCATTAATAGTCTCAGACATTTAATTGATTTTTGATGTAATTTGATCTTCGTCTCGGTAATTGGTTTTCTTTGTGAGTGCTTATAAGTGGGACACACAAGCAGCAAAAAGTTAGGAGAAAAAGAACATGGTTACAATGCAGTCAAGTATGATTGTTACGTTGGTTGGTATTGTTTGTTGTGCATGGTTCATCGAACGAAGCTATGCATATCCAAGGAACAGTAAGTTGAAATCAAGTGAAATGATTTATATGTAAGTGTGATTGTAGGTGATGAGGTGGATTGCAGCCAATTTACTGATGATAGAGACGTTATTCGTCAATTTCCATTTCCAATCGCCGAATATGAAGGAGAATCATTTTTGGAACATAGTGTAGTATCCATAGACGAAGATACTAATATGGCCAGTTCAATTTTTTTCTACAAAGAAGAAATAGTTCCACCGAGTGTGTACTGTTTATCACAACTGTCAATATTGTCCATCAGCAGAACACCATTTCCGAAGGGTAATGTACAGATGATATTTGTAAAAATGTGCAGTGTGATTGAATGCGGTTTTGCGCCATTAATAGGTATCATTCCTGACACGTTGCTAAAGCTCAAGAATCTGACTTATTTTTCTGTGTCGAGCACGAAAATTGTGAAAGGATTTGAAAAGCTAACAAAACTTCCAAAACTGGAAACGCTTGTGTTGGATAATTGTTCACTGACATCTCTTCCGAATCTGAACAATCTGCCGAACTTAGGTGCACTCCTCGTGGAAAACAATAACTTGACTGACATTTTTGACATTCCTGGCGTTCAATATCTAGACCTTAATGGCAACCAATTGAAAAATATACCGATGACAAGAGATCCCGATCGATTAATCGGACTCGGTATGAGCGGAAATCCTTTGTCAAGTGCTGCAACAATAATGTTGTACAAGAATTTGGAAGATATTAATTTGTCTGGCACGGGAATCTATTCAATTCCAGCGACAATTGATAGACTGAGAAATGTGACCAGACTTGAATTATCTGACAATAATCTGACACATTTGCCAACGAATATTCGTAATCTCCGTCAACTAGAACTGTTGGATATCAAAAATAATCTTCTATCAAAGCGAAATATTGAATCAATTCGGCTATCGTTCGAGAAATCGCATCCGGAGTTGCAAATAAAATATTGACATTGATATTCATTATCTGAATAAAACGACTAACGTCAAGAACACGAGTACTGTTGTGTATATACGTGCAAGACAGATGAAAAATTATCACACATAATTGTTGTCGTAAAAAAGTGAAAACTAGATTTTATTAATACATCAGCAAATAATACACTATCCTGAGAGGTTTATCATTGCAAAACTACAAAGCCAGAAGGTGTGCATCTGTTAATAGAAATACTATGAACCATAAGAGAAAATCAGATTCGAACTTTTTAGAATGTCCTTTGTTTCCTGTATTTTGATTGGTGCACGTACCATTCACTCGACCGTATTCTATTTGAGATGGGCACGACGATGGATAAGTAGTTTTACAAGCTTCTGTACATGCACCTGTCGTACATGGTGATACTGTAGCATCGCCTACGTAAATATTCGGCATACAGCCTGGACCAGATTGACAACATCCACATGAACATCTGTTGCCGACAGACGTCCCAGAAGCTGTAGAGATAGACGTCGTCGATGTAGTTGATGTGGTAGTGGTTATTGGACCAGTGCAAGTGCCAATTGTTTGTCCAGTATGATCACCGGCACATTTAGCTGGATATTGGTCATAGCAAGCAATACTACATGAACTCTCATGGCATTGATAAGCTGTTGCATCACCAACGAGTGTTGGGGTACATGCTAGGGTGCCATCTCTACAGCAGTGGCATGCACAATTGAATAAAGTAGAAACAGACCATGTGCAGAGCGCTATCATCTGACCATATGGATATTCGGCTTGACATTGTGGATGTAACGAACGACAGGACGTCCTGCATGCTTGCGTAGTGCAGAATTGCATCGAAGTATTACTAAGTAAAATAGGTGAACAAGATTGTCCAAGACAACAAGAACATGAACAAGCATTTTGTTGAGCTCGAGCGCATGTCACTGTCAAGGTTATGATCAATAATAAAAACATTCGTTCGAGATTTTCTGTATAAAATAAGTGTATAATATGTATGTGAGGATTGCGATAAACTGAAAGATAAAATTTCTATTTATTTGACTTATGACAAAAGAACGAGCAAAAAAAAGGTTTGGAGTGTTTTTTTGCGACGCTGTATTTGTCTTCCAACATATAAAAATATTGCTTCGTATACGCTTTGAATCATCGATTCTGACAACCATAAATCATCACTGAGAAATAGAAATCTTTCGTATCCATAGAAATCAACAACTCAATTTGACATCCTTAATTGTCGAAGGAATAATTCAGGATGGTAGAGAGCTTTGAAAAGGAGAATGACGTTGCAGAATCATTGAAAAGAATCCATCAGGTGCTTCTTTTTATCTATAACACTTTTCGAGGTGTATAACAGGAAGTTTTCTGTGGCCTTGCTCAATGAAAAGATTTTAGAAGATAATAATGACCGTTAAATTATTTCTTTGATGTCTATTATTCATGTAGTTATGTCGTAGATAATTAGCTTAACAGAGTGACCTATAAAATATTCTACATATAAAAAAATGCGAGGAATTAAATTCCAGACTGTCAATTCTATATTACTAATATTCTCATACGAACAAAATGAGCATCAATGATAAAGCGATCATTGATATATGTACTTTAATATTTTCCTTCATTGGAATTGGAATTTCCGCTTATATTCTATTTCTAATCTTTTCCTATCGACGACAATATCCAATAAATTCTGCCACATTCCTTCTATGCAATACTTACTCCACTATTATCTATACTTGTATGAATTATATCATCATGTACAGCTATATCCTATACGGTGATGTGAATAAAAACATTTCTTTTGATAGCTGGTGGTGCTATGCACATGCTTATCTCATTCTCGTAGGACTTTCTTCAATTTATATATCGTATTTTCTTCAATCATGTTTACGATTCTTTCGAGTGGTTCTACATCAATGGAAACAATTACGAACATTTCAAATGATAGTAAAACTTATCATTGGACAATGGGTAACATCATCTGTTCTTCTTACTTTTACACTAATCTGGCACTACATCGAATATTTACCAGACACTTATCATTGTCAGATTGCACTCAATAATTTCCTAGGGAATTTATTAGCAAGTTTTATCATCGTTTCCATCCCAACTAACGCTTCGGTGTTCATCTATATTTACATTGTCTATTATACAAAACAGCAAACAAACGTCATCACAACACAACAAACTCGTTACAGAGCAATTCAGCGTGACATAGTCGTTCTTCGTCGTGTAATTATTCTAATTACATCGGTGATGATTCTTTCTTTACCAACTCTTATTCTTTGGATCTATTATCTTGTTACAGGTTTTCTCCTTCCATTGAGTTATCACGTTGAATGGTTATTATGCTCGGTATCATTAGTATTTTTATCTGGTACATCGACTTTCATAACACCGCAGGTTCGTCAGCTGATTCATCTCAATTGGAGACCAAATCGACGTGTGCGACCGGCGATAATAAATCGGACGCCTGAGTTAACGTAGCATAAGAAACTTCTTACTGAATAGGAAGTCAGGATGAAAACTCTTGTGTGAGCATGCCTGCTTATTTGCTCCAATGAAAAACGTTGTTCATGAGTCATAAAAGATGTTTTTTCTCCTTTTTTTATACTTTATGAAAGACTATTCTTTGCGTAATTTCATCGCATTGATAGTCATCTATACTTCCAGTCGTCTTATTCACAAAGTATCGACGTTTACGAAAACCTCTCAATCATGTCGTTGGAACAGTTGCCTAATGACGTATTACTCACGGTATTCAACTATATCAATACTGTGGATCTATTTCGTGCATTTCACCATCTCAACGAACGTTTCGACACGCAACTCAGAGTGCATGTTGCTACACATAAAGTTGACTTTCGTTGGATTACCAAACGTGCTTTCGATATCTTCTGTCGTACTTCTCTTGGTTCGATAACCACAAATGTCACGTCACTTTGTCTATCTGATGATGTTGAATTTCCAAATTTATTCCATCATTTCCTTCCAAATCCAGAACAAAATTTTCCTACCGACCCTGCTCGGATTCCAAGAGACTTCGACGGATATGGTCATCAAATACTCCGTTCAGGAATTCGTTTCACAATGCGCCAATTCGCCAATTTGAAATACCTTCATCTCGATGTTATCGATTTCCTTGAACCAGTAGTTCAACTTCTATTTGAATGTCGTTATCTCTCCCGTCTTACTCATTTGAAAATTACACAAAATATGGATTCATATCTCACGCATGCACCTCGTATCGTTAATGCAGTTTGGCAATTACCGAATCTTTCTCATTTTCGTTTTGTGTCAATGAATACTATCAATATTAGTGATGTTACCTTAAGTCGATGCACATCGCGAACAATTTTGTCGTTCTCTCTAGAACGTATTGAGATTTCATGGGTGCAATTCTTCAATTTACTCGAAAATTCCCCGAACATGGCACATGCTCGAGTATCTATTTGCAAGGCAGCAGAAGTTCCAACAATAATGCAGATTATTCCATCTATCACAAAATTAAATTTAACAGTCGAATATGTACCAAATGTATTGGCTCATATTTTTGATTTTATGCCTAATATAGATCATTTAACAATTGAATTTGAAAACAGTTTATCTTTTGAATATGAATCTTTCAACGAACATAAATGGAAGCAGATTGTTCTCAATCACTTACCAAATTTAAAAGTATTTAGCTTCTTTTACGTATTTTTCGCCCCATATGATATCCAAATCGAACAAGTTGTTGATACATTGCTTGATACGTTTCGAACTCCATTCTGGCTTGATGAACGTCAATTGTTTGTACAGTGTGACTGGCTTCCAGAAGATAACGGAAAACCTGTCATCTTGTACACACTGCCGCAGACGTGTGGTTACAGTTATGCTTTACACCCTATGAGAAAATCCCGATCTACACATCCTGCAGTTGATCGTGATAGCATGTTAAGCGATGTGCCTTCTATGAATTTTTCGAAATCAATTGACTACATCAATCGTTATTCCTTACGTTCTGTACAGAACAGACAAAGTGCCGACCTTATGGTTGAACTTCCCGTGCAAGAACACGTTTGGAGATTCATTTCAACTTTTGCTCATTTCACTTCGTTGAGTGTACGTCTAGCGCGTATGAACTATCCGTCTCAATTGCAACAGTTGATCAACCTTTCGGCAAATTGTCATTCGGTAACTCTTGGCAATATATCTCCAGCAAAATTAGTCGAACTAGATATTAATCAAACTTGCTTACGTCGAATTGCACTGACGGAATATACTTTCAATGCAGTAGAATGCTCTGCATTCGCCAATTCGCCACTAGGCAAACAATGCACCATTCTTCGAATCGGGCTTACAGATCGCCGACATGTGCTTGTCCTTCTTGCTGAAATGCCTCAACTTCAACAGTTGACGTGTCAGTGCAGTGATGCTAAATGGGATATTGACGAATCGTTAGCTGATGAGAACCAAGATGAAGTTCAATGGTTGCGAGAACAACTCCCAAAAACATATTCGATTAATTATGTGGAAGATTCTTTTGTTCGAATTTGGATTGTCTAAAGCTCTCAAAACGCTTTAGTATCTTGTTAAAGAATAGATATTCGTTAAAGAAAATTCCATGTCCACAGTTTTCATAGATGATTTCATATATTGATCAATGTTTTGTTTTATTAATTCGTAATAAAAATTATTTAGAATCAAAATATCATTATTTGTTCAATCACATAGCGCTTCAGTTAACAAAATGTAAGCAAAAAAACACACAATAAGTTCGTCAATTGTCAACGTATATTCAATAGGTCGGTTGATTATTTCCATCAACTGGAGTATATCCCGGTACTAATAAATATATCAAACAAAATATACTCGTTTTTCGAAGATCTGAAGATGATTTCCTACCTGATCCAGCGTTTGTACCCCATCCTCCGAACGTTGGTGATGCATTTTCACCTAAACGATCTTGTCTGACTTTATTCAAGAACGCTAACATAATTGGTTTAAGTAACAAGAGAAAAATAGCGAAACTAAGCCATAAAAGAAATAGATCGATACTTTTTGAGAAAGGAAAGTAACTCACAACGCACTAAGTACAAAATAGGAGCTATGATCTATAAGACCGTATGCTACAAGAATGAAAATCAATCGAGATAAGCAATGTGATAATGACGAAGAAATTTACTTGTTTTTCCAATTTGAAAATACATTCCAATCGCAATCGCATCCAGAATAATCGAGAAGGCTTTGATCACCATCAACTATTCACATCAAATGACAAAGATTTCTAAAACATAACTCTTACAATGACTTACTAGCTCTACTTGTATAACACTTTCCTTATGGACTATTGCCCATAAACCTAGGATGAATATGGCCATTTGATTTAAGCTATATGACATGGGTAACCATTCAGCCATTAATACCCTAAAACAAGTTGCAGGATAAAGCCGTTTCTTCTAGAGAGTATCTCACATGCTCGTGTAGAGAAAATGAATCGCAATGATGTACTAGAAGAACGAAAGATGGACACAGGCAATTGTTATTGAGTTTCTTACTCGAAGTATTGCATTTCGATTGAGGACCATATTAAATGTTTATCTTCTATCTGAAAAACATCGAAATAGGTTGATTCCATCACCAAATGTATTTCTTCTGAAATCACGCAAGGCAAGATTACAACATAATAACAAAAACTGTCAAAATGGTAGATCGAAACGCGATTTATTACTGAGGATCAACATCATATGCCAAGATTGGTGATAACCATTTTTCTATTTCTTTCACTGATACTCCTTTTCGATCAGCATAATCACGAACCTAGAAACGAACAATACATGTAATTCCAAGATAGAATTTCCAATTGTGTACTGTTGTTGACTTTTGTGTTACTCATTTTATCTCCGAAACGAAAGGTGTTATTTATCATTTGTTTGTTCGATGACTAATCTCTCGAATGTCTAATGAGTCACGAGAAACTTACTTGATCTTCGTTGATTTTGCCCACGGCGAAGTAATTCGATTCAGGATGAGCCATGTAGAGTCCCGAGACAGCGGATGGTGGCTGCATAGCAAGTGATTCGGTAAGCTCAATACCAACCGCTTCGGCAGCGTTTAGTAATTTCCATATGGTTCTCTTTTCTGTATGGTCTGGCTGTGTGGGATAACCAGCTGCTGGTCGAATACCACGATATTTCACAGAGAGCAGATCTTTAGTCGATAGATTTTCATTTGGCGCATAAGCCCAAAGTTCTCGGCGAACACGTTCATGTAAATATTCAGCACAAGCTTCAGCTAATCGATCGCCCAATAGTTTCAATATAATCGATGAATAATCATCCGATTCCTATATATATAGAAGGAAGTCGTCATTGAATTTCAATTTCTTTGCATTACTTTTTGTGCTAATCGTTGTGCTTCTTGTTCAACATTGAAAACTGCTAATGCGAAAACTCCTATATAATCCATTGTTGTCGATGAGATGAAATCCGATAGACACATGTAAACATTTGAATCACGTTCGGTCTGTTGTCGTAGACCATACAACGTAGAGATTTGTTTTGAAGAATCTTTTGGATCGAATATAAGAATGTCATCACCTGCAGCTTTGCACGGATAGAATCCGACAACTGCGCGAATGGAGAATAACTTTCGTGCAATGATATCCGAGAGAATTTTTTGTGCATCGGCAAAGACAACACGTGCTTGTGCACCGACTTCCTGACAATCGAATAGTTTGGGATACCCACGATTTGGATATTTGCCACGGATCTGCATGGCGTCAAAAAATGGTTTCCAATCGATATAGTCAACTAGTTTCTCGGCATCGATATTATCAAAGATTTCCGTACCGAGAAAGGTTGGCTTGGTTATATCAGCATTTTCTTTCTCACTCATCCATCGTTTCTTTCGCGCATCGTTGATTGATAGGCAACGAATTTGTTTCAGATTGGCGTAATACTCATCGCGAATGTCATTGTAATCTTCGTTGATATCTTCCAAGTAATCTTCACGTTTGTCTTGACCTAAATAGAAAAGAAAGCGATGAGCGGTTAGAGAGAACTTTGTTTAGTTCGCACTGAGAAGATTTCCACAAACGACAACACTTTTCGATGCATCTAAGACATGGATAACTGGAGCATTACGATAACGAGGCGAAATTTTAACTGCAGTATGTTGTCTAAAATGATAAATAGTACTGAAGAATTTTCTCTCGGCCCTTATTGCCTTACTTTGATGTTGTCGCACCACCGATTAACAAGGGAATATTGAAATTTAGTCGCTGCATTTCTTTGGCAACAGCGATCATTTCATCCAACGATGGTGTGATCAAACCGGATAATCCAATAAAATCTGCTTTTTCTTCTTTAGCAACTTTGAGTATTTTATCACATGGTGTCATCACACCTAAATCGATAACTCTGTAATTATTACAGCCAAGCACAACACCAACAATGTTCTTTCCAATATCATGGACATCACCTGAAAAGTAAATATTTTAAAAACGAAAATCTTTCGCAAAGATTCGTGTCATACCTTTAACAGTAGCCATGACAATGGTCGCTTGCGATTCCAATCCAGTTGTTATTGTATTACCTTGTTCTTTTAATGATTGTAAATTTTTCTGCTTTTCTTCTTCCATAAATGGAATGAGATAATTAACAGCTTTTTTCATAACTCGTGCTGATTTAATGACTTGCGGTAAGAACATTTTTCCTGCACCGAACAATTCTCCGACTTCACTCATACCATTCATCAGTGGTCCTTCGATAACATGCAATGGACGTGCATATTTCTGACGTGCTTCTTCCATGTCTTCGATGATATATTTATCAATTCCTTTGACTAAGGAATACTGAAGACGTGCCTCAGCCGTTGTGTTTACTCGCCATGTTTCTTCTTGTTGAGCACCTTTTGTATCACCGTCAACGGCTGACAGTTTCAGTTGTTGAGCATACTCAAGCAACTCTTCCGTTGCCGTCGATCTCGTGTTGAATATACAAGCTTCACAAAGTTCACGAAGACGTGGATCAACATCATTGTAGAGAGGAATTTGACCAGCGTTTACAATACCCATGTCAAGACCGGCTTTGATGGCATGGAATAAAAATACGGAGTGCATCGCCTCACGAATACGGTCTTGACCACGAAATGAAAATGAAATATTCGATATGCCACCTGATGTTTTGCAACCAGGACAAGATGCCTAGAAAGAAATCATCATATCATATCAAATACATTATATATTCGATTACTGTGTTTATCTTTTGCTATTGATAAACTAAAGTAGATTCAACATTTTATCTCTGAAATCGGTAGCGTTTTACGAGAAGATTTTAAGAAGTACACTGAGAATTTCCAACTTCAGTTAAACTTCGATAAACGTCATCATTTCTATTTCCTCATATTGATTTTTTTGTGTACGAATGTTTATGCTCTTGATTTATTTTTCATCCGTTTTGGAGTGCTTCGAGTATATTTTCACTTTACAATGAGTACTAATTTCCCTGAACAACAGAAGAAGCTGGAAAAACAACTAGATTTCCTTTCTTATAAAAGATGCATAGTCTGTCGTACAATATACCATTCTATTGTACTAAACCTCATAGCAGATATAGAAATATCTAATTTTCTTCTAAGAATGGATTTTTGTTTCAGATCTCTGAGCCTCTTTGAAAATTTCAACAGTATAAGTGCATATCCAAGGAATTGTGCGTACATTGCCTTACTAAATTAAGTTCTCCTTACTCTATGCATTCTGCTTTGATACATTTAATATATTTCCTGTTTACTTCATTGCTTCCATCACTAATTAGAATTCAACTGGTAAATACCATCACATGGTATTTCATTCTAATAGATCTTTTACAGGAAATACATGGTCTTCGTTCTTTGTGAATTATCATCCAACACGCACGTTTCTTGATTATAGGCATAGCACATTCGTTCGTCGAGCACTCAATCAACTCTTGCGACAAAACAATACTGCAGCGATATACAAATCTCGATATATAATGATCGATCTCATAATGAGTCTTCGATAAACTCCCCTCATTAACAACAGATGATGTCTTTTTGTATATCTATCGCGGTCAACGAATGACTATATTTGAACTGCAAAAAAATGAAAAATGCTTTTGGATAAACTCAGCTCGTTACCATTTCTTTCGACCACACTGAGCTATCACGTTGCGGAAATCTTTGCTCGTGATGCATCTGACGACGATCCATTTTTGGTATCAGTTATCTTCCAAATTCATCTGAATGCTGGTCAACCAATGTGACTGTATGCTCACATCGCTGATAGTGCAGAAGAAGAAGAAGAAGTGATATTCTCACCAAGCACTAGATTTGTTCTCGAATCCTGTCGTAAACTTCATCAGAATGGTCGCTTTTGGCTTCTAGAAATAACCGCCATCTCGGAACAACAAAAAAGACAGCTCGAATTAATTCACGGAGAAAGTTTTCATTTTTTTAATTTAGAAGATGGACGGATGACATCGATCGTGATCTTTCTTTTGATCACCTGACGAGACCCTTGGGTAAGGTCGAAACGGATGTCGGTCATCTGTAGTGTATTGTACTTACTTTGATTTGTTTGATTGATTCAATGAAATTTTTTGCATAATCATTATGTTCTTCCATTCCTGTAGCGATTGTCAGAATATTCGAATCAAATATAATGTCATTCGGATTGAATTTCACTACATTGACTAATAAATCGTAACTTCGCTTACAAATTGCGCATCGTCGTTCAATATCAGTTGCCTAAAACATGACTCAAGCTTTCCTAATATTACCATGCATTTCCAACAGTTTTACCTGTCCTTCTTCATCGAATGCCATGACCACTACAGCAGCTCCATATTTCTTGCATTTTCTTGCTTTCTCGAGAAAGTCTCGTTCACCTTCTTTCAACGAGATAGAATTCACAATACATTTGCCCTGCGTGCATTTCAAGCCAGCTTCTATTACAGCAAAATTTGATGAATCGATACAAAGTGGCACTCGTGCGATGTCGGGCTCTGATGCTAATAGATTGATAAATTTGCCCATGATCGCTTGCCCATCAATCATTCCTTCGTCCATGTTTAAATCAAGAATCTGGGCACCAGATTCGACCTGAACTTTTGCTACTTGAAGTGCTGTATCGAACTTATTCTCTTTCAACAGACGAAGAAACTGACGACTACCAGCAACATTACATCGTTCGCCAATATTGACGAAATTCGTATAACGAGAGATGACAAATGGTTCAAGACCTTAAATGGATAATTTACCGACGAAATGGTATTGTTTTAAAACATACCTGAAAGAAGCATATCTTCTGCATGAAGATCTTTCGGTGGTACTCGCGGAGGATATCGTTTGACAGTTTCTGCAATGGCCCTAAGTCAAATTCACTAGATTTGCCTTTCTCGAAAACCGTGAACTACTCACTTAATGTGGTCAGGCGTCGAGCCGCAGCAACCACCAACAATATTCAACAATCCATCACGTGCCCACTCACCTATTTGGCTAGCCATAGACTCAGGCGTCTCGTCATATTCACCAAATGTATTGGGTAAACCTAAATAGCAGCACGATCTGTAGACGTAACAAAAAAGGGGACAAATCGTTCTTACCAGCATTCGGATAGCAAAGAGTAAATGCACATGTATTCTTAGAAACTTCCTCTAAAAATCGTCGCATTTCCTTTGCACCTAATGCACAATTCAATCCGAGACTACAATGTAATTAACTTGTAAATGATCGTGGGCAAAAGAATTATATTACCAAACGGGATCTGCATGCGAAACACTAACTACAAAGGCCTCGACAGTTTGACCCGACAATGTTCGACCGCTTAGATCGACAATTGTTCCCGAAATCTAAATCAAAAGAGCGAAATAGTCTCATCCTTCCCATGTTAATGAATGGGTGATTACGAGAATAGGTCTTGTCAATTCGGGATTTTCCTCAAACAGAGTTTTCAGAGCAAAGATAGCCGCTTTGGCATTCGCAGTATCGAAGATTGTTTCAATCAACATGAAATCGACATTACCATCGATTAAACCACGTGCTTGCTCTGTGTAAGCTTCGACAGCCGTATCAAACGCTATTGAGTAAGAAGAAAACATAAGATGATATGAAAATCATAACTAAGAGAAATATACTGAGGTTTCGGTAATCAGGTTTATCAACGGATGGTGATATTGACAGTGTTTTATTCAATGGGCCTATTGCACCTGCAACATATCGTTGTACACCAGTTTTTTTCGTATATTCATCAGCTGCCTGTTTTGCTATCCGTGCTGATCGAACATTTAATTCATACGATAGATGCTCCAATGCATAATCAGCTTGAGATATAAATTGAGCATTGAATGTATTCGTTTCAATAATGTCCGCACCAGCCTCCAGATACTTTTCATGTATTTCTCGGATAACATCAGGACGGGTGATGGATAACAAATCATTATTGCCTTTAAGTAGTGACTTATGCGCAACCAGGTCGTATTCCTTCGAACGAAAATCATCTTCTTCTAATTTATATCGTTGGATCATGGTACCCATCGCTCCATCCATGATGAGAATACGATTCGATAAAGCAGCACGAAAATCATTTTCTATCGGAGGAAAAAAACAATCAAGATCGAATTGAAATGTAAAATAGTAGTTTATCACCTATTTTCGAGCGTTCAACACTTGGTGTCGATGGTGGTGGTGGTGTCATGTTTATCGATCTAGTCGAAAATCGATCTAAATTTCGAAAGCTTAGCAAAAATTGTGTGTGGAATTTGTACTTAAGAGTAACGGAGCGCCAGTGCGAAGGAAATAATTGAATATTTTCATATTTTCTTCAAACACCTGACCTTCTTCACATTTCGTTTTCGAATATTAATGGTTTTAACGAATTAACCAATAAAAAACGAATTGGATGTCGCTATACAATGATTTCGTTTTACGAATTTTATTAGCTTAAGTGAAGAATTGAGAGTATTACTGTGAACATTTTCCTTCGCATGCACATATATAACAAGGTTTCGTGATAAAATGTGACGAAACAAGTTGCGTTCAGGTCATACGGGGGACGAATATGATGTAGCAGGTACTGTAAGATGATGTTTTGTTGGAATACAAAAAGAGTGGTATGTTCATTCCGCCAGGAGACGACTTTGTTCAGTGTATTTGCAAAGAGAGGTGACTGACTATTTCTCTTCCGTGTGCATCAATTTGGACGCGTGCTCATCATCGTCTTATCTCATTGGATTCAAGTTTAGCATCGCTTTGATACAGAGGATGAAAACTTGGATATTGTACTGAGCGTGAATGATACGAAATAGATAAGAAATCTCGAGAGAGTGAATATCTTCGACAGATGTCAGTGTTGGTCTATCCTATTGTAATTGTAGTGGTAGTTGAGATGCGAACGTACATGTTGCTCATTCTCCTTGGCGAATGATTCATCGATATTCAGTTAAATGCTGTCAACACAGTAAGTACAAAATCAAAAAAGAGAAATGATGTAAATTTTCTCTTCGTTCTATCCTTTTTTTCTTCCTTCGATCTCAAAGTTGTCCTGCAGACAAACAACATCCCTTACGGAATGTATTTATGAACAAAAAGCCATCGAAATCAAATAGTACACAACGTGTGACACTAGAACCACAAGCAACAAAAGTGAATGTAAACGAAAAACTACTACCGAGTGATTCAACGATGTCTCCATCTGTACCTCTATCGATAGAAAATAAAAGGTGAGATTTAAAAAAATACATATGATATATATTTCTCATTTGTATGAATCATCAATATTGACTGACATAGGTGTACTTATTTTGTGCATATGTCGTTCTAGTCGAATGTCGTATCAATCGATTCGACTGTGGTTACGTTTATTTATTGTTAATGATCTTACAACAATTCTTATATTATTTATTTGGTTACTGATCAATATTGCTCTGTTTTTGGGACAATTTTTCAATTATCATCAATCCCGTTCGTATTTTTACTTACGTGCATTGATTCACGATGGACTCAGTCTTGCCCGAGCATCGGCGTTATGTTTAAATTTCAATTGTTTTCTCATTCTTCTACCTGTTTGTCGAAATCTGCTTTCACTCATTCGATATGTTCTACCACGGTGTATAACACAATCACGTTTCCGTCGTTTGACGATACGTCTGTTCGATCAGCATATTGGCTTCCATCGTTGTGTTGGCTATGCGATCTGTTTCTGGTCTTTATTACATGTTGGAGCACATATTTACAATTATGAACGTTTGATAGATGTTCACAACGATTATCAGTCTTTGTCCTCCGTTTTGAATTTATTATATTTACAATCGTCCGAATCTCAAGTGAATCCGTTCGATCGAGTTAATCCAAATGGTTTAGGCGTTGGCGCAATGTTAAGTACAACGCCAGGAGTGACGGGAGTCATTCTCTGTGTTTGTTTATTGGTGATATTTAGCTCGTCAACAGCACTTATTCGTCGGTCGTTCTACGAAATCTTCTGGTTTGCTCATCATCTCTTCGTTGTTTTCTTCATTTGTTTAATTCTTCATGGTTTACAAGGTTTGATTCGAGCACAAACGAACGTTGATCAGCATAATCCAAATATATGTGCCTTGCTCTATCGTGAATGGGGCGTTAATCCGCAATGTCTTGTCTATCCAAAATTTACGGGCTCACAAGCGACAAGTTGGATGTGGCTCTGCGCACCTTTGTTTCTCTACGTTATCGAACGTGTTCTTCGATTTGTTCGTAGTTTACAAAATACAGAGATTCTCGATGTTATTCGACATGAATCGAGTGTCATTGAACTACGTTTCCGAAAGAAATTCATGACTAAGCCACAACCCGGTCAATATATCTATTTAAAATGCTTTTCGATTGCTAAATTCGAATGGCATCCATTTACAGTCACTTCGGCACCGGAAGAAGACTTCGTCAGTGTACATATTCGAACAGCTGGTAATTGGACAAAGAGTTTAACGGAAAAATTTCTCATGTACCCACAAGATATTCCAAGATTAGGTATTGATGGTCCATACGGAAGTCCTGCTGATGATGTCTTCAACTACGATGGTGTAGTACTTGTCGGTGCAGGAATTGGAGGTAAAGTTTATGAAAACCATTCTTTCTTAGTATCATACTCTCTATGATTTTAGTTACACCATATGCAGCGATACTGAAACACATTCGTTCAAGTCAATCGAGTCATACTCGTCTTCGTCGTGTTTATTTCTATTGGATATGTAACACAACATCATGTTACGAATGGTTTGCAGAAATGCTTCAACAATTAGAACGTGATCTTCGCGATCGACGAAACTTTCTAACCTACAACATATATCTTACACAATGGTCAATGGGACAAATGCGAGCTGTTATTCAGAATAACAATGATGACAGAGACATTTGGACAGGTTTAGAGAGTAAAACACATTATGGGCGGCCGAATTTTGATGTGGATTTTCAGGCGATGATCAACGAAGATTGGCAAATGAATGGCAAACGTGAAATTGGAGTATTCGTATGTGGACCGAAGCAATTAGTGAAGCAATTGCAACGTTTATGTATCAAAATTAATGATCATCATTCGTCAACAAATCAAGTTCAGTTTTATTTAAATAAAGAAAATTTTTAGAAGTTTTTACTTTTAATAAAAAGACGATTTTTCTCATCGAAATTATATCAAGTTTCATAAATTTCACTTTCTAAAAAACATTTCTCTATTCGCTCTCGGAAACGTCAACTTTCTGCTTTAATTATCCAGGGATTTTGTTTGACAATATGCTGACACCGTCTTGTAAAGTTCTATTTCAATGACTGGAAAACATCAGTCAAAGAACTGCTGAGCGGAACTTAAGCTGCTTATGTACTATGAAATACGCAGTTTCTGCATTTGACTTCAACGGATAATGTTTTACAAAAGAAATATTATATCGGATTATGTTGGTCAACTGTAACTCGACATCCACAGCTACAACTTAGAAAAAAGAACTTGTAGAGAAAATCAGATTTGATGGTAAAAGCACACGCGAAAAATCTTAGTTAACAACTCGAAAGATACTATACATTCTTTCAGATGAATGCTTAGTTAAAACTCTTAAGATAGACGTAAAAATATAACAATTTTCTCAGTCTTTTCACTCGAATGATTTTCTATATATCTAATTTCATCTCTTTCAGAAAAAAAGTCATCAAACCCAGGTACTTCGACAGAGGTTCTTATGAATTACGTTAAATATATATATATATATATATATATATATATATATATATTAATGAGCTTACCTTCTGTGTCTAGCATTTGCCATGAGACGGCTCTGCCAACTATCAGAATATCAAGCAGCACAATCAACCATAGATCGATCGTTCGGATATGATAGTAAAGTGACACACTGTTTTTGAATAACTTTTCCTATTGACCAAGCCTAGCACTGTATAATAGATTCTTCAAGCTGTATTGGATTCTTTTATATTTCAGTCAAACAAAAATTCGTTTGTTTCTTTCAACTATAGAAAGTTGTTTCGGAAATAGTCCTTTCGAGTGTATCTAAAGTGCTGAGTGTTTGCTAAATAAAGAACTTCCTCACACTTCTAACATGATTAAAAATATTCCACACGCTTAGAGCTAGTTCATTAAAAAAGAATCGGTTAAAAGTAACTTACTGACATAATCTGACATTTCTTGTAATTATCAGATAGATTTGCTCACACTCGTGAAATGGATCTTCAAGAAAATATTACATCACCTTCAATCGTACCAAAAGTCGAGCGTTATTTCAAATTTTATTTCTTACTCATCCTACACATACCATCATTAGTCTTTACATTTCTTATGTAAGTCGATGTTTTCTTTGAATCGAAACTAATGTCTTCTTCTAGTTTATTCAATTTCAAATGGAAACGATTAGTTACTCAAATATTCGGTATTCTTCTCATTGTCAATGCATTACTCATTCTTGCTGAATTACCGTTCACTCTACAATTTTTGTACAAAGGTTATCTACTCAATGCTCATTTATGTCCAGTCTGGGTTTTAATCAACTATTCATTGTTCATTTTGAGCATGATTTTAATAACCTGGACTTCAATCGAACGTTATTTGTTTATTTATCATGAGTTATTCATTAAACACCATTCAATTCTTTTCCACTACCTTCCTGTTGTACTTTTCAGTTTGTATACTCCCATATTCTACATTAGTCTAGTCATTTTCTATCCGTGTGAACAAGCATACACGGTTTACAGTTATATTTGCAACGGACCGTGTTATCTTTTCAATAGTGTACCATGTCTCATCGATTGGGGTATTAATGTAGTTCTGGTCTTGGGAATCACTTGCTTTGTTAATATAGTGATCATTATACGAAATATTATTCAACGAGGTCGAATGAAACGATTGATTATTACTGCAGGAAACCGACAGCAATGGGTAAATTCTTTGTACTGATTTGTTTTCTTTTTTAAAACGGATTGTCTACTTTTGTTTAGCATCGAACATTAAGATTGAGTTTTCAATTATTTTCCATTTCATCACTTTGTATCATTGGTTGGATTCCCTATGGAATTGTATCTTCAATGCAAATATTCAATAATACACCCACCTTAGCGTATCTTCTCTCGACATTTTTCATCTATTTTCCTTATATTCAAACGTTACTTTTACCTTATGTATGCATTTTCTTCATGCCCGAAATCAAGCAAAAGCTCGGCCTAAAATGGAAAAATTTATATCTCTTCAAAAAAGTATACCCACACAATCGAGTTCACATCGCTCAAACCGATCAAAACTACACTTTACAAGATCTAACTCATTATTTTTAAACATCACTTATAAATTCATTTTGATATTGTGTAAATGGAATTTGTTGTTGACGACAAAAAAGAGGTATCCGAGTGTTATTTTGCTTCCAAGTTTGTGAAACCGAGATTTCACATCCAAATGCTTCAGGTTCAATTGGTTGAATTTTTGAAATTAGTGCAATCCGAAAGCGCCGCTCGAATGTTTTCCATACCTGTCGATATTGTGAAATTTTGTAGAGCACTTTTCGAACGGTAAATACTCGTTCAAAAGTCAGATTTGTTTTCTTTCTCTCTGACTAATAATATCTTTTGTCAACGTGGAGAGATATATTCCATAATGAATAATTTTTATTCTCATTCACCAGCGATAGTCACATTGGAGTCCGGAAAGGAAAAGTACATGTCTAGTAAAAATCTAAACGACTTGGTACGAAGGCAATCAAGTTAAATTAGCGTTTTCCAATGAATGAATTTACTCTCATTCAGTACTACAAATTGTTGTTGATGATCAGACATAACATATTGATTGTGAGAGGCAAAAGCACTCATTAATCGATGCTAGTAGTGATGAAGTAATGTGTTTCACTTGATGACGTATATTTGATAAGAACATGTTAATTATTTTTTCTATTTCGGAACATTACCTTGTCAATAATTTAAATTCTTCGAAAATTTAATTTCGCCTTTCGTAATAGATCGTCATCATTATTTCAATGTGTCAAACGCGTGTTGTTTATATTGGTTGTTTATAAATTGTACACGGGATGTTTGTTGAATGTATGCAATCGTGTCTAACACTGTGCATTGACGCATGACCGACAGAACATACATAAGTCTATCGAGAAAACATCATCATTCATAGTTGCAAATAGTGTTCGACAAGATGAATTTTTTTCGACAAATGGTTGGAAACAATAATGATTTTCGAATTCCACAAAATGGAAGTCTCTTCGTAGAATTCGTCGACAGCATGGATCAGTGTAAGTCATTGGTCATCTGATCATCATCACGAACATATCCTGATTGTTTTCTTCTTCTTCTTCTTCTTTTAGATAATTATGCCATGGCTAATCCATTACCACAAAATGTCTTGGATCTCAATTACATGAATGTCGCTCCACCAAATCAACTCTACGATAATCAACAAGCTTACGGAGGACAACAAGGTGCATTTGGCCCAATGCGCTTCGGCCCATCATATACGATTATTGGCCCACATCCGCCGGAGATTCCACCTGGTGCCGGCGTTTATGATCCTAACTTAGTTGTTCCTGGCGTACCTGGCTTTGGTATGGGCATGGGGCTTTTCTGAACTAATAACGAAAAACATTGTATTATCTTTTTCTTCCGTGTAGTCGACGAGTTTAGTTTTCTCAATAAATCATCAGATGAAGTTTTTTTTTCGAAAAAAATGGAAGTCATGTGACACGTATGAGATGCGCTATAAAAGTGATGGTGTTCCATTGTTGACAACTCAGCTCTCGAATCGTCTCCCATCTACTCTATATCTTCCACGAGAACTCACACGTTTCGGACCTCCATTAAACTAGTAGATTTCATTATATATTTAAAACGCAAAACAGTTGAAATTGCGCAATAATCAATGACAGCACCGTCTGCCATACTCAGGTATGTATGGGTGCACTTTTTTTACTTCTAACATGTAGAACATGCAGAAATAAGTGAAACGGTTGTTGTCTTGCTACAGTTACGGAAATACGCATAATTATTTCAAAACGCAATTTCTGATGTTATCAGTACGAAAACAAACCGTATCTATGAATTTACTCATATGTTAGATATGACATTTCTTAGAACAAAAACAAGTTCGAATGACTACGATCGTTTATGACCATTCCCACTCGATATAGTTGACTCAATCAACATTATGATCGACATATTCGTTCATCGAAAAGAATTGCATCGGATAAGGATAAAATCTTTTCATTCATCTGTAGATCTCATAAGTTACAATTAGTCAGATTTACGAGAAAAAGTCAACCAGACGAAGATTAGCTCTTAAAAATTTCGCCGATAGAATTAGTGCACCTAAAACCCATCTGCTTGTAACAACATTTGACTTCAATCGTTCTAACTTCGAACAATACATTGAGCATTTGTGTGTAACGAAAATCAGCAAAACGTAGTTCTCGATTTTTAAACGATGCGTTCACCAACGAAGTACCTGACAGTGCTAAATACAATAGAAAGGAGCGAAAATGCCAGTCGTCATTAACGTCTAGATTAATACCATTCAAAATCTCACTGTTCAAACTAATCAGATCGCTTTCACTACTTAATAAACCTGAGTTCTACAGAAACAGAATAACAGTCGTTTTTCTCTTCGCATCCAACTATCGAAGAACAGCTAATGTTCGTGGTCGAACGATATACTCTTAAACTGACGATGTCAACGTAAAATTCGGTGGTAATAACAGATGTAATATTTCACGTATGTAATTATCAGGGAAAGTATCCTGTCGCAATTGATCGGCTAATGTTTATTCCTGTGCACCCTGTGGGTTTGTCATACCTATTGTTGCAATAGCAATCAATGCCATTTGATTCTTTCATAGAATCAGCATATTCAGTTATATACATGTATTATACATCTGTTCTCATGAGTAACGTAATATGATTCATTTACGAAAGTTTGACGTCGGATCATCGTAAATTAGAATGTTACTTTTGTAACGTCAGGCAACAAAGAGTCCTTCTTTTCAAGAACTTTGCACTTGTTTGATTGACTCTGTGATTGTTTATCAATGTTCTTGGCTTTTGCGAAAACGAATGTACGAGACAGTTCGTGTTTAAACTGTGTAACTACTCAAAATAATATGACTTCTTTTGCTGATGTCATTGCGTAGCCTTTCATCATCCAGCCAATGATGAGCTGCGATTGATGAAAATGTATTTTTACATGAAATCTAAATCTATAAAACAACGGGAGACTCTGTCTATCGATATTTTTTGCTAGTGATCATTCAGTGTGCTATATTAAATAGCAAACTAATCAAAGTTCAGATGTAATTACTTTGAACTTTCTCAGGGAAATCTATGCAAAACCATCGAACGTCTCTACGAATGATATTTTTTTCATATTCATCATTGTTTTCGAACGGAACTCCACATTTCTATGGATGTACTTTGTTGACCTAGAGCAAAAACAAAATTCTCAAGTATGTAAACGAAGGAACATTCTCGTCCTGAAAATTTCTCCAATCCAATGAAAATTTTACTTTTATTTTTTTTTTCGTCTCGTCTTCTTAAACAAAAAGAGCACTCATTTACAGTCGTATGCATTGTATATAATTCACCAGTATTGTCATCTGGTTTTCGCAAGCGCGTACAATCTCGCACAGGTGAAAGAGACTCGAATTGCTTTAAACAGTGAATAATTGAATCAATGTTTTCACCGCTGTTACAAAAGTTCCTTCCAGTATTCAATTTTGTCATTGCATCGTCAGCTTTATGCTTCCAGATGGCTGTTCTCTACCCATGGCACAACCAGTTGGATAAAGATTTCAGTGGTTTGCAAAATAATCAAAACACGAAATTACATGAGTATCACGAGCTGAGAATGGAAAACATCAAGAACATCGAACGATATCTCAGCAAATTGAACTTAGATCAATTTGAAAAGGAAGTTGGTACTCAAGCCGCCAAGATGTAATATGGACATTTTCTCATAGATTCGAACATTTTTTTGTATAGAAAAAAAAAGACAACCCCACTCAATGATGTTCAGTTTAAAGAAAAACGAATAAAATTATTTTTGATGAAGTGTACTTCACTCGAAACTATGCCTGTTTCATTTGTAGGTCGAAAATACGTATGAATGGCTTTCTTATCGGGAGAGAATCATGTTTATTCACCTGTTGCTATAAAGCTCTATTAATAGACTACAAGCTAATTGACCTTAATCTTTATTTATTGAGATGAATATCAAAGCGAGAATAAATAGATGTTGTACATATTAGATTCCTTTGTTTTCCTGAATAAATGAAGTTGCTTGGATGACAATGATTATGTTCAAGTAGTAGATCAATATCAATTAGTATCGACATTGGTAACTGGGTGCTTTTGTGACAATACCATTGCCATCTGTTACACATACAACACGGTGCGGATCAAACATTCGATTTTCTATACCATGTGGTGCATTATATGGATTTAAATCTGTATGAAAACAGTCAATATCAGATAACGCTTTGTTTTTTTTCTATTTCGATTAGTCTTACTGTCGTTATATTGGCGAATTACTTTCGATGCTTCGTCGAATGTCTTTCCAACCAATTCAGGCCATTCTTTGTTAGCAGACATCATGTGGTTTTGCACGTTTCAATCAAACTTTCACAATTGAATGTGTACGTGTCCTTGCAATGCGCAATGGTTTTATACCCGCCATTACCGTTTTATATTTTTCTGTTGATTCTACAAAGAACGAACGAGAAAAGAAAGAAAATAAGAACTATATAAGTATATCCTCGTTTGATTTGAGTGGTGGATTACGCAGAGGAAAAAACACGCCAACACAAAGAGAATGTATCTCGTTAAATATTTATTTTCATATGAAATTTATGCCTGTATAAACTTCATCAACATAAGTAGTCGATTTTATTCTTCAATTCAGTGAAAATTAGCATAGAAAAAGAAAAAAAAGCTAAATGTCTATGAGTCCTTGTTTTGAAACGTAGTTGATTTAATTCGATGAGTGAACAAGGTTTAGCGGTATGTATATTGTGGTGGAGTAGTGACAATATCAGCATCATTTGTCACGCATACAACACGGTGCGGGTCAAGCATTCGATTTTCCATGCCATTTCTCGCATTGTATGGATGTAAACCTAGAAAAACGTAACATCTGAGTACAAAATTTAACTACTCTACATCTTATTCTGACGGTTATCAAATGCAAGGATTCTTAGAGATGCTTCTTGAAACGTGCGTCCCACTAGTTCTGGCCATATTTTAGTTCCCGACATTAATGCAAGATAAACGTTGATATACAATATTTGTCGAGTGTGTTTGATGTATAGGTAAATACGTTTGTCTCTTTCGAAAAGTGAGGAAAAAATAAATATTAGCATCATATCGTTTGTCTACCAACACCATGCTTTGAATTGACTTTCTTTTTTTCTCTCTTGCATTTCACAGTAGTGTGCATTTGTATCAAATGTATAGGTAATCAAATATTCGCCTTTCATCCTAGCCCGATATGATAACTACACAAAGAACGCAGAAAATGAAAATATTTATGTGATGTGATCGAATTAGATAATGAATCATACCGATTATCGTTCTCATCGTTAACTGTGAAATCAGCCTTGATCGTAGAGAAATGTTAATAAATATTGTAGTGTGTTCGATGGTTAATAAAATGTACATACATAAGTTATCTGTCAGATGCCTGGCTTCTTTCACAAAGTTCAGAGGCGTTGTACCTCATAAGCAAGGTAAGACAATCGGGAAATCTATTCAGCTGTGCAGTGGTTCCGGTACCAAGTACATTCAGCCCCGCCCTTCCTCCATAGTCACGATTGTCTGTGTGTAGAGAACACATGGTACCACAAGGGAAACATCAAAACAATGCCTGCTACTTTCTTCTTCTTCTTCTTCTATCGTGATTAATGAGACAAGCATGAACCGCACAAGAACAATAGACAACTCTCTACTCAAATCTTGAAAAGGTTCGTTTCCCGTTCGAGTGAACGAACTCGAATATATCTGAGATTGAATTGATGCATTTCTTCACCGAACAACATTCTAGTGACATCAAGTTGTTCTCTCCTGAAAAATCATATTCCTCGATTATAAAACAGACTTGTTAAAATATGTCAACAAAAAGGAATATTCTCGTCTTTTACTCTCTAGCATGCAGTCAGCGAATGCCAGTAACTGCTTCTTGTAATGTACACTAGCAAAGTAATATTTCTTTTCATTACATCACTCACCAGTCATTTTTGTTGTACAAACAATCATTTCTTCTTCCTCACAACAGCCAAGCAGTAACGTTTGTTCTTTTTCAAACAGGTAACCGCATTCGGAAGCACCATAGATTAATTCGTGCACAACTGAATTTCAGTATCTATTTTTCACTATTACAGAGTCCGAGATGGTTCCACCGCTCTTACAGAAGTTCCTCCCGGTGTTCAATTTCGTCATTGCAACAACTGCGTTAGGTTTCCAAGTGACCGTTCTCTACCCATGGCACAACCAGCTGGAAAAAGATTTCAGTGGTTTGCAAAATAATCAAAACACGAAATTACATGAGTATCACGAGCTGAGAATGGAAAACATCAAGAACATCGAACGATATCTCAGCAAATTGAACTTAGATCAACTCGAAGAAGAAGTTGCCAATCAAGAAAAACAAATGTAAATTGGCTGCACAATGACGATGCAAATTTTGAAGGTGATCAACAAATAGACGCATGTTTTTCTTGTGTATATGAGCAATACATTTAATGAAATCTTTCTTTTGAAGAGAATAAAATTGCGTTTTTCGTAAATTGCAACCAAGACTGGGTGTGTCATGTCATTTGAAATGTTTTTCAATCGATTAATTCTACTTACTACTCAGTGTTTTTCATTTCGAGTTGACACATGTTTTAAGTAAATAATAACAACAGAATGAAAAAGAAACAATGACTATGACTACCTCTTTCGTATCTAATCTCGTATTTTTAATGTATAAGTCATTTTCTTTCTCAAATCAAAGGCAAACAATTGATATCCATTAGATCTTTCCACGAAATTCCTATGCGATTTGTTCTCCTAATATTTTTTATTTCCGTCATGTATAGCGAACAATTAGCATCCGAATCTCCACCGTCACTTTCAACATTCGAAGATGCTCTACATGACGCACATATTCCTGGACTTGTTGCAATCGTAGTCGATAAGAATGGTATTCTCTACGATGAAGCGATTGGATACCATTCACCGATAATTTCCAACGAACGTCGAGCAATGGATTCGGAAAAATCTATTTTTGTCTTGGCTTCCATATCGAAAACATTCATCGTCGTAGCTGTTATGCAATTGGTAGAAGAACAACGAGTGAATTTAGATATCGACATAAATACCTACTTGTCACCGGCTATGAAAATCCGTCATCCATTGCATCCGAATGTACCCATCACTCTACGACATTTACTCTCTCATACAGCTGGTATCAAATCGAATTTTGAAGAAGAACTTAGACATTATCAGCCTGATGATGATTTTGTTAAATCAAATCTTTCGGAAACAATTGCAAAATATTTAGATAATAAATCGAATTGGTGGCTACAAGCACCTGGTGAGATTACCGAATACTCAAATATTGGTGTTAGCGTAGCAGCATTAGTCGTGGAGAACGTGACAAATACAAGTTTTGAACAATATGTGCAAGATAGAATTCTTCGCTGCTTAGGTATTAAGGCAGGATATCGAATAAGTGATTTTGCAAATCGAAAACAAAATCTTGTCGAACATTTCATCTACAATGCTTCTTGGTTAGAACAGTTTCACAATCTTGTACCTCAATTAAATATCAGTCGAGTATATTTTTGGTGATGAGTGAATGGAAGATGTCGAAGTTGTGATTATATTTTAGCCTGACAATTCATCTGATTGGCTGAATGTTCCTCAGTTTGGCGCACAGGATTATCCAGCAGGTAGTCTTCGAATGTCAGCTCGGTCACTGACTATTTTTCTTCATTCGTTTCTCAATAATTTTTCATTACTCTTACGGAATACATCTTCTGTCGACGAAATGCTTCGAATTGTTCGACATGAGCAATCCGACGTCGAATACGGTCTCATTTGGAATTGGCGAGTTATTCACGGACGACGTTTAGTCGGACATCGTGGTGCAATACCCGGCGTCACTAATATAATGATGGCAAACGAAGCGCGAACACTCGGTATCATTATTTTGTCGAATGGTGATATATCAAAAAGTGACGATCAATCGAAGAGAGTTTACGAAACAATTATTCATATTATGTCGAAATTGTTTGATTATTTCGAGAAATAAAAGCATGTTCGACTGTCATTACAACGTTTTGCCTCATAAATGTTAATGATATGTAATTCAAACGATGAGATTATCACCACATAAGCGGCATTTGATTATTTAGTTCACCAAAGAGAGTGTAATTAGATATTTGTATAAAAGAAACATACAAACACAGAAGAAGTATCTGATGTTAGTCAATATCCCTTTCAGCTGCTTGAATCATAGACAGTACAAATATCAGCTAACTTATTTTAGTTTGTGATCAGGAAATATTCAACGAAAATCGTTTTTTGAGCGTATAAAAAATCGAATTTACTGCGGTTACAGAGCGTTTAGAACGAAATGGAATACCATCAGTTCGATATGATCGTTGGAGTAATCGTCACTTGTACATATACAATGTACTTGAGTATCCTCTAATGTTTCTACAACGTCTGAAATGAATAACAAACAATAGAGTGATCGAAGAAGGTTTTCCGCGTTTTATTATTTGATTTACGAGAAAATGCTATTGAAAATCTCGCAACCGAGGTTAACGAAACTTGTGCATCAGTACCATTTCGACATCATTTTTAGATTTGACATAGCAATTAGAAATGAAATTTGGTTTACAAATGATCGTGAACTTTAGGAAACGTATGTTTACAAAGGATTGCCAAACAAAAACAGAGAATCTGATACGAAGAAATACAAAGTCGAACGGCAGTTGAATTTTGAACTGTAGTTCTTCTCTCCAGTGACCATCGATTTTCCGCAAATTCACGAGCTAATGCACTAAGCTAGGAATATTATTCAGCAAATGTTTCTTTCTTGGATACAAACATTCTCTCACTTCATCAACTGTTTGATTGTCATTACAACTATCAGAACGACAAGCTAGAGTGTAAAGAACATTTTCGCTTGATAATCGATGAGGATTGTAGACTTGATTGTAGGAATAGATAAATTCATCTGAATAATTTCCAACACATTTCTGCAAGCCATCGGATGACGCCCAACATGTTTTCTGATGTGTTGGACATTCAACGGTTTGATTGAATTCATTGTCAAAACAATTAATACTATTCGATCGAACTGGTTGAAGGAATTCGTATAAAACAGAGAGAGTATTATATCGATCGTCGAATGAAACATATCGACCCCAGAATTTGCGTAGTTCCACTTGAGCGCAATAATCGCGATAACGACACTGAAGCCAAATGTACAACTGCGTTCGATTTTGATCACCAACATGAAATGTCGCTGTATAACGATGGATAATTGATGATTGTGGATTGTCTGCAAGAAGATCATTTGGATATGAATGTGGGGAACTAGTCGTTGGCGATGGGTGTTGAAACGAAAGATAAATTTGTCGTTCATTAAAATCAATTTTCATATACATAGAACATGATAATAAATTAACAACTTTACACGTTTCAAGGAGATCTTTCTGACGAGGTGCTCTCGAATTCGAATTCAGCTTGATTTGACAACTTGAACCACCTATACATTTGAGGAAACAAAAATACGGTGCAAAAAAAGTGAGTATGAGAAAAAAAAGAAAAATCATCTTGAAATAAATTGATTGGAAAAAATGAACAACTTAAGCGCTTATTTTATCATGTAGGTCAATTAAATATCCAAAAGAAACGAAAAGACAAATGTTACAACGACCTATATAGAGGGATTCATGTACTAGCGTAATCAACCTCCAACTAATCTTTCTTTCTGTGTCGCTTTTCTCTGTACATATAACGAATCCAATTGGAAATAGCAACGTATACATCGGATGAATATATGTAACTAGACGTTATTCTTCTCAGAAGAAAATAGAAATAAATCCTCATCGATTGAAGATGCAACGCTCAAATTATAACGGATGGAGATCATTATGTCTACCTCATGTTCTCTTCTACACTTTCGTAATCATAATTATACTATTTCTTTTGATTCTGACTATCACCGTTGCGAAATCGAAATCTTATGTTGCGAGATCGTCTGCTGTTCATGGTGCTTTCAATGATATAATTGGTTTTCCTGCATTACATTCATCAAAGCACGATCCGTATGTTCAATGGACATTTTTACATTTGAATGATGTTTATGAATTACTACCACTCGATCGAGGACGTCGAGGCGGTCTGGCACGCGTTGCATATATTCGCAAGTTATTGAAAGAAGAAAATCCTCATACATATACAATTCTCGCTGGTGATCTTCTCTCTCCATCGGCATTAAGCTCATCGAAAGTAAATGGAACAAATCTAAATGGAAAACAAATGATTGCAACGATGAATACACTTGGACTTGATCTGATGACACTTGGCAATCATGAATTTGATTTATCAGAAAAGGACTTAATCGCTCGAATGAATGAATCAACATTTACATGGATAAGTACGAATGTATTTCAGAAAGATTCAAATGAACTATTCGGACCGAGTATTTCACATAAAATCATCACCATTGAGTCAGTTCGAGTACTGTTCATTGGTTTAACTATTGATAATAATCAACCGTATATTCGTATTATCAATCGAACATCTCTGATTAATTATGTTCAACAATACTTGGACAAATTTCCTAATGGAACATACGATATTCTCGTGGCTATAACTCATTTAAATGTCGAAATGGACATGAAACTCGCTGAACAGATTCCTCGAATCGATCTGATTCTTGGTGGACACGAACACGAAAATCAATATTATATTCGAGGGTATCAACAAACACCGATTTACAAAGCTGATGCCAATGCATTTACAGTTTATATACTTCGTTGTACATACAACATGAGAACGAGACAATTTCATGTTTATCCGACGTTATCTCCGGTGACATCGGCGATACCGGAAGAAGAACAAACTGCACAAGTAGCCAACTACTGGTTTAAACTAGGCGTCGAAGGATATCGTGCGACAGGTTTTGAACTATCTGAAGTTGTCTCTTGTCTCCCTTCCGGGGTGGAGTTGGATGGTCGATCGGAGTCAATTCAAGCCTCTTCCACACTTCTCACTGATTTAATGTGTCAAGCTATGATCAAATCAACTGAATTCACCCAAACTACGATTGGCTTTCTCAAAATCGGTACCATACGCATCGATGATGTTCTCCGTGGCACCATAACCCAATATGACATTCTACGCACGTTACCTTTCACAAATTATGTTCAAAGTATATCGATATCTGGTCAAGTACTCGCACGGATTCTAACAGACAATCTATCAAAGCAAAGAAAAGGTTCGTTACTTGCTTACATTGGAGTCGAAACACTAGATGACGGTCAGACATGGTTAGTCAACGGTACTGATGTCTCGATTAGCAATCAGAACTACCGAATTGCAACAACCGATTATACGCAACAACGACTTGCATTGAACAGCACAGATATGACAATTCTAGCTAAAACGAATTTGCTATTATCGAAAAGTTTTATGGATTTCTTACGAATAAAATATCCTCCTTGTTGATAGGATAGCATCAACTATTGGTTAGATTTCCTCTTTCTGATTCAGCATCGTATGATGAGTCATCCTTTTCATCCATACTAGATACACATTTCTTTTCTAGGCCACCACTAGATCGGTAACTTTTCTCGTTCTGTGACATTCATTTCATCACATGTTGCTATTAAGAATATTTCTTCTCGTCGTATCTTCTGATATTCTTCATGTTATCGCATGGGGATCAATCGGTCATAATCTCGTCGCTCGTCTCGCTCAAAGTCAATTAAATTCAACAACAAACAATTGGATTCAACATTACATTGCGTCCGATCTTCGCGGTGATCTAGGTCGGATAGCATCATGGCCTGATCTAATACTTTATCCTGATACAAATCCATTCGATTATGTTCACTGGCAATGGTCACGGGATTTACACTATATCAATATTCCAGCTTGGAATTGCAGCTATATTCCATCACGTGATTGTGTCAATGATCGATGTATTGAAGGTGCATTGAAAAACTATTCACGACGATTAGTCGATCGCAATAGTGATTATGTGGAACAACAGCAAGCTTTGATATTTCTTGTGCATTTTCTCGGTGATATTCATCAACCATTGCATAGCGGTTTTAAGAACGATCAAGGTGGAAATACTGTCAAAGGTTAAATGCGATTCATCAATCAGATTTTTCTTTTGAAAACTGGCTCTTTCTAGGATTTTTTCTCAATGGTAAAAATCTGACTAATCTACATACGATCTGGGATGTGGAAATCATTGTCAATCGTATTCAACGACATTTTCAATCCGATGTCAATCTTTATTACAATCATCTGTTGACTTTAATGTTAAATCGATCGTCAATGATCAATGAAACATATAATAATTATGAAGAATGGGTGAAAGAAAGTGTAGATTATGTCTGTAAACAAGTTTATCTCAATGACAATGGAACGCGATTGAATGTTTCGCTTAACTTCACATTAGGAGAAGAATATTTCAATCGAAATTGGCCAACTGTTGATCAACGTTTAACACAAGCTGGTTGGAGATTAGCGACGTTATTAAATCATTTAGCTGAGCAACGATCATCAACAAAACTTCCACCTGATATGCAAGCCTTGATTATCATGGCATGTATTGCAATTGGGATCTTTATTCTCGCTACTATCGGATTCTATCAATACAAACCGCCAGAAATTCCTGATAGAAGTCCTTTATTAGCTGAATGAACAATTCTGTAGTATTTTGCCCTTCTTGGTAGATAACGAATAGGATACATACGCAGAGATCTGTATTTTTGTTGTCAGAAATAAATCAAACTTACTTTTGATTACTAATAATTGATTAGTTATGTATAATGAAAATCGGTCATTTGATGTCTGTTAGAAGAATCTGGTGCGAGAAATTACCGACATTTATGTTCGACACTATCTTCAAATATAGTAGTGATGTCAGCAATCGAATCATATGTGAGAACAACATACGTACGATTGTTCTTGAAGAGATTTTTCAATTTGAACCTTATTTATATTTATTTTTCTTTATATTCAGTTAACAAATCTGTTCACTCATGACAATCCACATGTCGCACAATTTTTCAGTACGACAAGAAGTAACTACCAAAATGCAGTCATCTCGTGCACTCAAATTAGTTTATATCAACGAACAATTATTCGAATAGAATAGAACGTTTTTTTTTGTCACCACCATAGGCACATTTTTTGATCCAAATAGTCGATTGAATATGTGTCCAGTAATGCTTCTTCGTCGATCAGTTTTCGAAACTTGACAATCGTTTTGTAGTTAACATTTCGACAGCATAATGATGAAAGATGATGATTGCATGGTAGTGGATAGATCCATGAATTGGAATGTTGTGCCTTTGAACAAGATACACAATCAATGTACTCTTTATTCCAAATGTGAAGATTTTTTATTTGTACGGATGTTGATAAACGATTCTGTCGAATTCGATTCGTCGATTTCCAGAGAAGATAGCATATGATGGAGTGGAGATTATCATGTTCAACTTCAATTTCTAGACTTTGAAGTAATGGGCAAAATCGAAGAAGGATTTGAATATCATCCAGCATACATTGATTGGTAATTGTCACTTTTAGAATTTTGTTTGGCGGAATTGTGAGTTGATTAGTTGAAGATTGTGGTGATGAGAGATAAAGTATATTCTTTGGAATCGTCAATGATTGAAGATTAGGAAAGCAAGTCGACAGTGAGAGCAAATGTTCGAAAAGAAAATTCTCATCGGAAATAATCAGTTCTGTCAGTTTCTCCGAAGGAAATAACCGTGGAAGTCGAATAATCAATGAATGTATTTCATTTTCATCACCTTCACATAAACTTACACGAGTGATCCGAGGAAATTGAATTAGATTTGGGACAATCAGATCGTAGTTATAGAAATTAACTTCCGAAGCGAGATTCAAACCGATTGAATTGTATTGAAATGTATTCAAATAGAGATTGTATTGATGCCATCTATAAACATTACAAGAAAATGTTTTCAAAGTGAGAAATAAATATGGAAATATGTAGATACCTGTAAGGTTGTACTGAATAAAGTCTTATCCACGGATTTTCCTCATCACTTATGCAAATTTCATGTTTAAATACCCATTGCCTGTCGCGCCAAAAGGACGAATCAAATTCATCGACACGCATAGAATATTCGTAGAAATTTTCGTTCATTGTTATTACACATTGGAAATAGAACTTCTGTAGACAAGGCATTTGCGATGAGATCAATTCTTGCCAAGAATATGCATCGAAAAATCCTTGATCGGATTTGACCGAGACAGACAAAACTTCAAGTTGATAACCGAAATGACTTATAAACCATTTAAATTCATCGAAAGAAGCTGTTTCTAACTGAAAATATACATGAGTTAATGTCTCCGGCACGTAGAAGGCTTCTTCGTACAAAATGTTCGATATAGACAGTTTACATGACAGACATCTTAGTTCTGGTGTAAAGCTTAGCAGTTCTAATAATTCGTTTAAGTCACATTCACTTTGGAGAACAAGATACCGAAGTGGACTGATCTGAGTATTGTTTAGCGAGACGTGAGAATATAAAGGCCAAACATCCGCAAGTAATTTGAAGTATTTCAATACTGGTAGAGTGATGATCGATAAGTAAATGAAATATCGAGATTTGATTGCATCAGCCATTGAAAGTGTTAACGAAGATAGACGCGGCAATGAAATGAGACTTCGAAGAACCGTTTGGAGATTATCGGATCGAACGTCGTTTAAAATTAAAGTCTCTAGTCGAAGAAATGTAGAATCCAATGGAACAATAGTAAAGAAATTCTCGATGAGAAGATGATTTTGTAAACGAAGATGAACAAGACGATGTTTATTCGGTCGTACTATATGAGTACATCGATGTTGAAACGTTTTCTTCGATAACAACGAGAAATTGAACGCGATCGGTAAACTTGAACAGTGAATCAGTTGATAAAATCGCTTGTTCAGATAAGCGAATGTTTCATAGACGCAACAAATATCGAAATAATCAAATAATTCGTATAAAAGTTCGTTGGAAAGATCTTCGAGACACGTCTTCATTGATTCAAACTCTCCAAGTATTTTTCTACGCAAAAAAAAAGAAAATCAAATCTCCGCGCTTCTCTCAACATCAAAGAGAACGACCACGTGCACCACGATCGGCAATGTTGTTTTTTCATTTACTACGAAGTTGTCTGCTTGCATTGACACACCGACAACATGTGTTCTCGGATCGAAACGAGCAGACGCGCACTCAACGTTCTTGTCTAAATCGAATCAAACGAATTTTTTCCCTAATGATTATCAGATGAAACATGTCCATTTGGAAAGTCATTTTTAGATAAAAAAACTATTGCTTTTCACAATTCAACATACACGGTTAACAAGAGACAATTTTCTTTTTTCGTTCTTGTGCGTTGAGTAGGCAGTCGATAAGAGCATAATTTGAATATTTTACTATAGAATTTCCAACATCACTTCTCGTTACTTCCGATCTGGTATATACTGTTAAAATTCGAAGTTAAAAATGAGTTCCATAAATAACTTACGAAGAGAATATCGAAATTATATAATACCAAGGGATCAACGATGGCTTGACTTTCAAAAATACGTTGCATATTATGAAAGTACTTATCGTCTTCTGATGTATTTTTCTTTAAATAATCTCTATTTTTTTAAAAGTCAATCAAATGTTTGCACGAAGACTATTCACTGGATTAGATGGATATGAAATTGTTTTCATATGTGACGATTCAGGCTCAATGAGTACACCGTTAGGTTGAAACTCTTCATATCTGTTTTTCAAACAAAAATTCGTATGTAATAATTGTCTTTATAGATGATATTCGAAATACTCAGAGAAGATTCGAAACTCGATGTAAGATAAGCTTCGACTAGACTTGATTTGTATTTGTTTGTTTCCAATAGGGAGTAGATTACAAAAAACAGTGTCTATAGTCGTTGATCTAGCAAGTACATTGGATCCCAATGGTGTTGATGTGTACTTTCTTAATCGGGATCCCGTTTTACACGTTAGAAATTCTAAGGAATTAGCTGCAACGTTTGCAGAGGATCCTTCGGGTACGTTTGATAATCCAGTCATTCGTTTCAACATATGTTTGTATAGGTCCAACTCCAGTGACAAAAATTCTTCGAAAAATTCTGCACATTAAACGCGATGAAATACAACAGCGAAATCTACTCATAGTTTTGGCTACAGATGGTCTACCAACGGATGATGCAGGTCATACAGAACTTGCACCATTTGAACATGTTTTGGAAAAGGAACGAATCCCGATAAACAAAATTCCTATGACAATCATCGCTTGTACAAGTAAAATGCGAGAGGGAAAAAGAAAAATTATTTTCCTTTTTTCTTTGTATACGCTTAGATGATAGGAAAATTATGGATTACCTCAACTTTCTGGATAAGCATGTTCATTATTTGGATGTTGTTGATGATTACAAGAACGAAAGAGAACAAATCTTAAGAATTCAAGGAAGGAATTTCCCATTTACTTTTGGTGATGTACGTTCAATATCGATTGTTTTCGAAAGGCAATTTTGTTTTGTATTTTGTAGTATATTGTCAAGACTCTTATGGGCGGAGTCGATCGATGGTTTGATCTGTTGGATGAAGAAAAAGTTGTCCTAGATGATTCTAGATATTCGAAGCATCGATAATGAATGAGATTGGATTCACACGAAAGTCTAACTCATTACATTCGGTGAAAATATGTGGTAATAGATATGGCTGGCGGATTACTCTATCAGCTCGAAACTTTTTGTTTTCTCATGAAGTAATAGTATAATCTTGATGACTACACAAGTCTTTATTAGAAAAGAAAATCAGAATTGTAATCTGAGCAAATTATTTTGTATAATGTTTATCTTCGATTTGATCGAATGAACCACGGGTTACTGTTTTCGTCGATCGTCGAAAGTATCGGAGCATTGTCAAACGTTTGCTTAGATCCGTTGCATGCCATTCATGCGAATACAACGATGACGGAGATACATAGAGAAAAAAGCTGATTAACTGAGGAATAAATGTTATGAAATAGGATATGGTTATAAGATATCGAATCGAACTTGTTTCAATTGTTTGACAAGCGAGAGTCAGTGAAGCGATAAATAGAGGCAAAGAGAATAATTGAGGAACAAGCGTAACAGCTGGACCAATGACTAGCTCTTTATTTTCATAAAGAACTTCACGAAATAATTCCAGTCGAGTCTGAGACCGATCTTCACCACCACTGACATCTTTCTGTATTACCGATGACATGGTTCTGTTTTCATCTCGAACCGAATCTACAATTACGATACTAATCTATCCAAATCTAATATAAACCTTTCAACTCACAGATGTTTCCTTGACTAACGAGCATTTTCTTTTGAATGACTACATACATAATTGTTATCATAGAACATAAATTGATTACAAATGGCACTAATGCATTGATAATTGTTACTCCTTGATGTATATATAGCCAGCCAGAATCATGGTCCGGAAATGCTAGAATACATATTGAACTTCTAGCATCATTGAAACCAGAGTGCGAAGTGACAAACGGTAATTCATAAGCACTTGTCACCAGTATCCCACTCGTCGTCAGAATAATCAATCGACGAGCGATGTATGGTTTTTTCAACCATTGTTTATTCAGAAACACGGTAGTATACACACGTTCGATCGCGATCAATGCTACTAACCAATATGTAAGTCGACTCGAAGATTTGAGTAAATAATTCAATAAGGAACAACAAACGTTATTGAAAGTCGGATGAAAATGCTGGGCGAGCATATTGATTGTTAAATGAATCAATCGTAATGCTAAAACGCCGAGACTTATTTGATTGATTATACTCATAAACAGAAGATACTGTCCGCTACCGTATCGTCGACATTTCGGTCGACGGAAAGTAGCAAAGGCAAAGATATTGTTGATGAAACCAATGAGGAATATCACCAATGAACCAATAGTTAATAAATAAATCGATGCATAGCGAACGAATCGATTGCGCGACAAGAGATCAGCTGAAAACAATTGATCGAGTGTAAATGAAAATGATTTAGAACTGAATTGACAAGATTTGCCTGAATGGCAAGGCAAACAAATGCAAAGATAGTCATCTGATTTCAAACGATTGCCTTGAATACACTTGCCACCAGAAAGACAATTGAAACATCGATCCAATGAATGATCGTATTCAAAGCACTCGGTATGCGTGTGATTCTCATCGCAAATACATAAGTAGTTCATATCATAGAAACACAATAAATCCGTTCCATTTGTACAAAGAAAATGGTATTTGATAGGGGAGATTTCTGAGAACGAAAAGAGACAAGATGACGATTTGAAACGTTCATGACATAGAGAGTGTTGTCTTACCTTCGTCCGGTGGAAATAGTTTATCCACATGTTGGCATTGATTCATTTCCGTAGCTTCGATTGTCGCATTGAATGATGTAGAATCGATATAAACTGAAATCAAATGCATCGATGCTTGTAACTCTCTGTACAATCTGATTAGAATAATTTCCGAGAGTTTCCTTTTCTGTTCATGTCGATAGAATGTCGATGGTGGAAGTTGCTTGAATAACTGTTGATCATCGAGAACAAATTTCAGATTTGTATAATCAATACTGAAATATTGTATCACAGCAGCTTGGTGCTCAATGCTTTTGTTCACGTACAAACGAACGACATCGCGTTCATTCTCGCAATATGTACCTTGATAATGTTGACCACAAACACAATAATACTGGCCGGGTGTAGCTGCCTGAATACATGTTCCATTATTTCGACAAGGATTCGAGTCGCATTGGTCTTGTTTCAGGGCACAACGAAAACCGTACATACCTTTCGGACATACACAATACGGAAGTTCATTTCGGTTTAATGAACCTCGATAAGCTGGTTTACATAATGCATCTTTCGCGCAATAACCATTCTTGCATGTTTGATCTAAGATTGAACAATTTGATCCGTGGAAATTTTCCGGACAAAGGCAGACATAGTTCGACTTGTCATTCAGAATTTGCTGACATATGCGGTGTTTTCCACACGGACTACTTGAACACGGATTTCCCACTGTTTGAGGTACTGTTAAATGAAGAACTTTTGCAAATCGATACGATGGAAGAAAATCGAAGTAGATTGGATATTGCCACACAGCTATCAGAGATGGCTTTTCATCTGGTTTCACATGAAATACTTCGATTCGGACTGCATATGGGTGTTGAAGAGTTATATTCGAACGATCCAAGTAGCGTGATCGTTTGTATAGCATTGATTGATTGGAATGGGAATAGACAACATGATCGATCTTTTTGTAGTACGTTGTTAATTCCACTGCTGGTCGAGCGTGAAATTCATACGAACTGAGGACTTCATCTTTGAAAATGAATAGAACGAGCATCTTGAGTAGGAGTGATGCATCATTCGATTGGACGTAGATTGACTGAGAAAAATTCATATGTAACATTACTGTTATTCGATCGTTGTGGTACTGACAGCGATCGCCATAATATTGTTGCGGACAAAAACAAACAACGAAACTCTTAAGTGTAAATACACCAACACCTCGATTGCATTGATAGGATACTAATGAAGTTGAGGGATCTTCGAGAATGGTTCTATCTGAGGATTCGATTGTCTTTGTCGATGGCGATTCGATCCTTTTAGTTTTGTTCACATGTGCAGGAATTTGTGGTAGTTGAAAAGGTTCATCTCGATAATCGACAGTGATCTCTTTATTTCGTCGGTGTATAGATTCGCGAGGCGTTTTCGTAAGGATTTTTTCGTGACCACATAAATACTCATCTTCACTATGTGTACAATCTGGTTCCGAGTCGCACCAACCGCCCGTTGCACACTGACCATCAAAGCATGTGAAGTCGATCCGAGGATGTGAACAATTTGGCAAGCGCATTTCACCGTAGCAAACTGTACGATCATCGGATTGATTCGGACAACGTATATCACAAACTGAGGAATAGGATAGGCAGGTATTACTTGACAAACACTTAAAATTCTTGCCAAGCATGGTCGTTCGACGACAGAACTCTTCGGTATTTTGTTCATCTAGTGCACCTAGACAATCGATATGACCATCGCCAACTTTTTCTAGAGGAATGCACGGCCGGTTGGAACCGTTGATATTACCTAATGGATCCGAAGAATTGATTCGAAAGCATGGAAATTCCGTGACATGATCACACAATGACATCAATGGTGCCTTCTCATATTCATGCTTGAATTTCTGAATAATGCTTTCTGCACTGATTAATTGTTCATTTCGAGATGAAAAGGTATTATTCGGGAAAAGAATGCCTTCTTCATCCGATGCATCCGAGCAATCCCATTCGTTATCTAGAACCCATTTTCGATCGATACATTGACCTGTTCGACATTGCCATTGATTTTCTAAACACTTCCACCATGCTCGACATAAGTGCGTATCTTCATCTTTTTTCGAGGAAAAGTCCCAAAAACTATCACAATATGCGCGAAATGGGATCGTTTTTGTTGCATTCATATTCTGAACAGAATCCTTGTCAAAACTCCACGATCGTTCAATATACTGTCGGATGAGTAGACAATCATCTTTTGAATTGCGCTTGCATAATAATTTCGCGAGAGTTATATCTGTGCCGAACCATGATTCGTCAAAGCGATTGTCACAATCGACATCGAGATTGCCCAGACTGATCGGTGAAAGACAAGTTGATTGATTTGCTGAACATTGGAAACGATGATGTTGAAGACTTGAGCATGTATTAAAAGTTCCTTTCGTTTGCTTTTCGTCATTTCCATCCAGGCAATTCGTAAATCCATCTTGTATTCGATACGCCGAAATACATTCTCGTGACTGTTGACAAACATCGATGAAATTGTACGATCGATGGTTGAACGTTTGTGAATTACGGTAACAATTGATATCATAACCGGATTTGGATGAAATAACCAGCTTCTTTCCCTTTTGACATGCCTCGTCTTCAAATTGGCGAAAATTAAAACCGTTCACATATTCTTGAGTGGTTTCATAATGGACCATATATCCTCGGCATTTGATCGTAGCATTAATTTGCATTAAATCTGGCCTAGAGACTGTCCAATCACGTGTCTTTTCATAAATAAATGTTAGAAACGGACCAATGATTGAACCGTTCGGATATCGAATGTGAGCATCTAAGCAAGAATCGTTTGCGGTACTGTAACAGTAGCCATGACCTGATCCACAATGACAATTTGCTAGCGTTCCTGATAAGAATGAACATCGGACAAAATAATCACATTGATCAAGTTTGGGATCTTCGATATAATCTGATCCTCCATAACATTTGCCATTCGGCATGGTCCACATGGACATTTTCGAATGAATTTCACACATGAAATACTGATTACGTCGATTTCGACATGTTGCTGTTATCGTTGATGATTTTTGAAAATTAAATCGATCCGGAATACATTGTCCATCGCCACATGACCAATAATTTGGTAAACACAATCGTTCATCGCATTGTAAACTTATCTGTTGGAATGTACAACTTTGATCATCAAACATTCCTTTTTCATCCGATAAGTCCATACAATCATATTCTCCATCAAGAAAATATTCATTCGGAATGCACATACCATTCATACAACGATATTCATTCGCTTCACACTCATTAAACTCTAATTTATCGCAGTTCTCTTCGTCGTATCCAAACATACATTGCTGAATGCCATCACATATATCACGCCAGTCAAGACATAACAAACCAGAATTGCATTCAATTGTTTTGTAACATATAACATCACTGTATTTCTGAACTTCTTCTTCATTCGCTTCCTTGACTTTCATTTGCTCTCGCACCAATGTCGAAAATGTCGAACCTGTTGGCAGTAAATATTCACAATATTTTCCAAACGATTTTGCGTCGATGTTACATTGACATAAATAATCATCGTTCTTTTGATCAGGCTTTTGAAGGTAGTAGGCATATCGTCCTGCCATTTCCAACGTAGATTTCCATTCGAGCGCTACCGTCGTGATACTGACATTAGTCCTCTGCAAATGGGAAAAAGAGTGTAGAATTCCTCCGTGGTAACATTGTCGGAAGTTATTTTCCCGATGCAAAGCAATCGGCGTTGCAGGTCGACGGCAGTAAACGAAAGTACTGTGAAAAAGACAATCATAAAATTCAACCGATCGGCTATCTTCTGTATAATACAGATGAATATTCGCTTTGACGAGGATTAAAACAACGAATACAAAGATAATTTGTACAACGATCATTATCGTATGGAGTTAGCATTCAAATAATAAATTGATAGCAAAGTGAAAAGAATAGAGATTCTCGGCTTCATTGAACGCGAGTCTCTCACGTATATTTATTCATACAATAGAACGTGCTTGATATTTACTCTACAAAAAAATCGGTATCGGTTTCAAAAAACGTCAATACGTTCGAGATTTATTCATGACGTTCAAATGATATCTTATCGTTATCATTTTGAAAAACATACAAAGTAACAAGATCGTCGAGTCAAAGAATGAGTCTATTGGATAATGCAACGTGAACGGAGTTTATAGCAACCAGATTTTACTGGACCATCGTTCAGATCTTTTGGCATTGAACTCTCATCCATTATCTACAATGAATCTTTTTTTTAGAATACAATTTCAAACAGGATGTTGACTTACTTCCGGTCCACCAATGGATAATATGATACAGGTAGACGTGACTCGATAGGTAAAATGAGCTGTTTCTAATCGTGGAATGTTGTTCTTTAACCAATGAGATTTAATAGTAGTCAAACGATCTAGATAACAGTAAATTTTCACATATTCTAAGTTGATCAGATGGTTCAATAGACGAATCATAATTTCTTTCGATTGCACAGTTATTTCTAAACATTTGATATGTACAAATAAATGGCAAAATCGTTCGATAATATTTGCACTCAAAACGAAGATTTCTCGATCTCTTTGGACGAATATATACGAATCAATATGCTCAGGAGGAATAAACGATGGATCATATTGCATTTTGATACATTTTAAGTTTGTCATAGAATGAATTAACACTTGTAGATCATCGTTAGCAGGATTTTTCAGCAATGAAATATCAAGTTGTCGAACTTGTTGAAGGTTGACGATCGATTGAAGAAGTTCCGTCGATGGCAACATCGGTGTGAATAAAGTCAATGTATAAACATTCTCGAATCGTCGAATTGGTAGCTGAACGGTTTTCACAAAGGTTAAAATCAAGTTTGACATTCGATGAAAACGAAAAACTTCTAAGTTTGGTTTAGAAAGGCAAAGAAAATGATTAGATGGATAGAAAATTAATGACGGTTGGAAATACGGAAGGGAGTAGATGATTGGACGACTCGCTTTTAAATTGCCCTTTTCACATGCTACATACCACTGTTTGTCTTCAAGCCAGAATTTTGAACGGAAGGTTTCTAGCAAGGAATGCTTATCTTCATCACAGGCTAAAAAATTAGCGAGAAGAAACTTGAAATTCAGTTTTTGAAGTCCACTGCGTTTTATATATGACTCCCAGAGAAAGCCATTCATGAGATCTAATGTACCGGTTGCTTCGATAGTGAAATATTTCAGATTGGTTAATTGTTCAATAGATTGAACGACCGATTCGAACGACATGATTATCTCTAAGAGAGAAAAGTCAGTATTCTATGAAATTTTCGATTGCATCATACCTTCCGAGAATGATAAGGCTAAATATCGAAGAGTGTATGCCATCGATTGCAAATTCAAGATCTTTGTGTGATCATTCTTGACAAGATATAGTTTTAAGTAAACCAAGGATGATTGAATTAAATCGATAATCTGATGAAATTCTGTAATACTGCAATAGTCAATGGTCAAATGTGTCAACTTAGGAAATGTTGTTGTTATTGAGCGAAGTGCATATGATCCATCGACATGTAATGAAGTCAGATGTTCGGCTTGTTGATGAAGGACTTGACTGATGAGATGATTGGTATTCGGAGTTTTTAAATATGTCTTGATGGACAAAGACGAAAGATAGATGGGTAAATGAGGTAGAATGGTTGAAGTATTGATATATTGAATTTGTTTTAAAGAAAGAAATTTATGATGCAAATACGGGAACGAGTTTTGAAATAATTCCACCTGATTCGGCATGATTTCTTCAGAAAAACTTATCGAGATAACTTGTGTTGGTTTAAGATATCGGCAAATGAAATCAAATTTCGAACGAGATATTCGTTGAAAATCTAATCTGATCGGGTATAATCGTACGATATGATTAATTCGAGTATTTAGATTTATCCATGAATAGAAGAGATCATATACAGTTAAATAGTCGAAAATTTCAAAGAAAATTTCAGTTGGTAATGTGTCGAAATCGAACATCATCGTGGGCAATATACTCACATGTGAAGACCTTGGTTATGTAAAAGAAAACACGATATGAGAGAAAATACACGAAAAGGTACAGAAAAGAAGAAAAAAAAAGGTACGTATTTGGTTGATTGTCGATATGAATCACGAAGATTAATCTCAGTTGCGTCGATTTTTTACTTGAATTGTCGATCGATACTGATCAGTCGCTTAAATACGATAGGTAATTGAAAGGCAAACGCGAATAATTGGCATTTAACACAAACGTCAAAGAGTAAATGGTGCCGAATCCTTTTTTTTTCAAAGAAATGAGTCGAATTTGAGCTATGTATTATCAAAAATATACCGTTGATTGTTTTTCAATCGAAAACGAGACTTTTTATTACTAAGTCAAACTATAATCTGTTCATTTCACATGTAGTGTACAAGAAAAGCAATGGTTTATTTTTTACGATTTTGCCATTTTTGGAACATACGTGACGATTGTTCTTCATTGACTGCGTCATCCATGAGATCGTAAGTTGCTGCAGCAGCTGGCATTGCACTTGCGGCTGAATAACTTGCAGCGGCCGCTGGTGTAGATGAAAATTTCATTTTCATTTCGCTCATATCAGCACATTTAGAATAGGATTCTTTGGCGACGGTTGACATTGCACCATGTTCGTTTTTCATTTGTTTTGCACGAATATTTTTCGAAGCGAATATGTTATTGATTCGTTTCGCTTTTTCAGTATCATCAACACCTTCCGCTTCGGCTCGTTGCATTTCACGATCGATATCAGCTTGAGCATCTTGCATCAAACGATCAAGTGATATTTCTTCGCGCACACCACCGATGATGACTTTAGCAAGAAGTTTTGCATTCACCATAGGCACATATTGACCACCGGTGATATAAGCTAATGACATGAAAAAGTCGCGGTAGGGAACTACGAATATAATTATGTTAGAATGATTAGAATAGTAATAAGATGAACTTACCAATAGGTGGCTCAACACCGACGACGTAAAGTGTGATGTGTTTTTCAGCCATTTCTCGAACGATTCTCAAAGGATCAAGACCAGCTGGACAACCATTTGGAAAACCATCTCCATTTGTGTCAAGTCCGTGAGGTGGTGCATCAGAAATCAGTACGCAAATTTTTGTAGCGTTTTCACGCCATGATAATTTTAAAGCGTCATGAAGACCATCTGCGACAGCTTCAGGTCCGTCACCACCACCTTGTGCCGAACATTGTTCCAACCAGCCTTTCATTTCATTAACTTTTGCTGTGAAATCATGTGTACGCGTGACAAATGTGTGGTCCTACAAAGATACAAAATTCCACTCTTCACTGAAGTTCTCTCATCCCAAATAAATCATACTTGTGGAGGATGATCACGATATTCGATAAGAGCTAAGTGAATATCACTCTTTTCACTAACAACGATTTCTTCAACAATCGCACGAATACTACTCGTGGCGCTGGCAATATACGATCCCATTGAACCCGTACAATCCATGATAAAAACAAGATCTAAAGACAAACACATCGAATCGAATTAGCCGATTTCATACGAATAGGCGACTACTAATGCTTACCCAAAATCGACGAATCATGTTTAGCTAATTCTGGTCGATCGACTTTGTCAACTTTCAGAGCAGAAGCCATGGTTAATAGTATTGTAAATTTTCTGTTATCAACGTATGCAAAATAAGATGTAGAATAATATTTGATAAGCTTCATCGCCTATTTATACGATTTTTTGTTCTTTCCTACTTTTCAAATGGTTGTGCAACTTATGATTCACAAATGAGTCATAGGCAACATTGACATATCGTGAATCAGGTTTCGCCGATGTGGCAACAACAAAAACAATGTATACCTTGCTGAAAAACACAGTTGTCTATTGTTTTTGACTAACGAACACCTGTGAGAAAAGATCTTTATTTGTAAATATACAGAACAAAAGAATTTCTAGCATGATATAATGAAAAAATCATGTGAAATTGCAAATATTTTACGTTTCTCCAGCAGAAACAATCGATTCTATTTTTTCATGATCACTACCTTCCATACAATGTTGCTGATATTCTTCAGAAGTCTTTTGCTTACGTCGCATTATGTGCCAACGTTCGACCGGTAGCTCTTGCAATCGATACATCAATTTCCATGATGTTCCGAGCCAGAGACAGCCAAGCACAAGACAAATACCAACTTCAATATAATAAGCATGTTTCTTCGGTAACCAGTTAGCTGTGTATAAAACTAAAGTCGTTGAAATAAATACACCGAGATTATTCAATGAGGCAAGTAATGTGTAATACGTTGAGCCAATACGTTTATCGCTTATACATGCGAAGAAAGCACCACGCGCTGAACCTTGAAAATAGATCAGAGCATCGCTCAACGCCAATAGGAAAATGAGAATTACATAGAAAAGAATCGGATAAGAATGTAAATACGAAGCAAAAAAGATGAATACAGCTATACAAAAGGAGAGGACAAGACGAGGCATATGAAAATAACTAAAAACAATCAACGGTCGTTTCGTCTGAGAGACAAGAAGTGGTACAGTAACTTTAACGATTATGAGCGGCATGGTAATTAAACCTAATGTTTCTCGCTTCACCACGTTTTGACTAAAACAAACATGATCAATAAGATTTTTCAGAGAATAGCTCTTACTTAATCAACGTCACATATGTCATAGCAGACATAGCTGCATAGCCAAAATGTGGTCCCATGATTAGATAGAGTAATCGAAGGAAACTTTTCTTTTTGAACAATCGCGCAACATAAATGTATGTCTCCCATAGATTCAGCTTCGAACGATTCTGACACTCATCGGTAATTTCTGCGACTTGATAATGTTTTCGAAACAAGATGGTGACAGATAGTGTCGTGATTAGAAACATCACACCCCAAAATCGTACGAACTGCGATAAAGTAAATAATCCATAAGATTGTATGGCAATACCGAATGGTTCACGAATTAATCTATTTGTCATATTACCGGACTCAAAAGTTAAAAGAACGGACGAACCAAGAAACGCACCAAACGGTTGTCCGATCATTTGTGAAATCGATTGCCAAATAACATCCGATGAACTAAACAAAGTCAATGCCCATCCATCAACACAAATATCCTGTGTGGCAATCAATAGAACAATACAAAAGAAAACAATAGTCAGTGTGACGATACGTAATTGAATCAATAGTCTCTGCAGATGAAAGGAGAGAACAATAAATATGATACCGAGGCAAAGTTGAACAGGTAATAGCCAAGTTCGTCGTCGACCAAGTTGACGAATATAGAGTACATCGATGAGAGGAGCCCAAAGTAATTTAACGGAAAAAGGATACATTGCAATCGATAGAATTCCTTGCTGTTTCCACGTCAAATTGTACGAAACTAAATACAATGGTATAACATCAATTATACCTAAAGTTACACCTTGTAAAATATAAAGCACAATTACAACCAGAACGCATTTCCAAAGCGCAGGTAATGACCGTTTCTACATAACAAATTTTTTGTCAATGAATTCATTCCGATGAGATATCTGACCTGTGTGTCAATAACTAACTCATTCATATTGAAAGATGCGATTATGGAGTTAATACTTGTTTGATTCTCTTTGACTTTTTATGTAGCTCTCTAATGACCTTCATAATCTCTCGTTTCTCTTTTTATTCTGACAAGTATTTCCTTGATAATACAAGTTCGAGACGAAAAACGAATACAGATTAAACAAGTATAAATACCATCGATCACATAGGCAAATGTCTATCTAGACATGATTGAATTACACTTGCTGAAGAATCTACATAATACGGTTGAAAATATTGATTTATCACGTATAATTGAAACCACACGTAAACATTGAATTACTCATTTGTACTTTCTCGTACTTTTGCGAATTTACTTATGTTTTCTCCACGAAACCGAACTTGATACTCGAATAGATTGTTATCGTAGAGATAAATGACGATAGAATCTGCTTTTTAAAGGTTAGAACTCGAATATGACCACTAGCTATTCTAAAGATGGCGCACATGTATTTTCCGTTAGCGTTATTTTTCTCCACGCGGAAGTTCGCTAGAGCTCGCTCTAAAGCAAATGTTCTAGAGAAAAAAAAATATTAGTAGAGGATGAGAGTTTCCCAAGGAATGGTTACTTGAACGCTCGTCACATAATAATAACATTTTTTTTTCTTCTTAGTACGTCAATAATACAAATTTGAGCAGTGATTTATCGAACCCGTCAGAAAAATCGAGTTGCTCTATATTCACTGTTCCTTCTAGATATGGTTAAATATACTTCTAAAGTCAAGAGAACCTTCTTGATTTGGAAAAATGATATTGATGGCCAACAGTACAGACGATATTAGTTTTAATCCGACGACAATCAGTCGGCCGAGTACCAATCCTTTACCTCATCGTGAACTTCTTCTTCCAAAAGTGAGATTGTTCATCGATCAGCAACAAAAAAAACATTGCTTGTTGTTTTTTTTTTCTTTTTAGAAATTAACGACTAAGCTGGGTGGTCCTAAAACAGCGCAAGACAGTAGTCTTTCATCGGATTCGAATAGTATCTATCGGCAAGTACGTATATCCCGTAAATTGATTGATAATTTTCTATGTCTCTGTTGACATTCGATTGAGCACGTTTGTTTCTTTTGGGAACAAGACAAATCATTCCTATGATTATTTCTTTGTTTTTTTCCTTGGTTCGCTATCATTGCCGGATTAAAAGCAATTTTCTTTTGCTTGTGCGATTATCATCTTAGAGAATATTTAAAAAAACGAGAATTTTCAACGCATAGGAAAGAAAACCCGAACAGCTCGATTGTTTGCTTTTATTAGATTGATGAGATGAGTGGAAGTTGATGCGCTAGACATTTCTTGCATGCGATTCGTCGTTCTCTTACATCGATAGATATTTACGAATCGAATCATCATTCGCTGGTGTTTCCAACTGCTTCGTCGTCGATTTCTTTTCATTCTTTGTCTGTTCGATGCGTGTACAGAATTAACAAGCATTCGCATGCATGCGCATTCTCCTCCTTATCGGTCTCAGCGCGCTTCTACAGACACCTATTTGCCATAATCAAGCGCTTGCTAGTTGAGATAGTAGAACGAAGGAAAAAAAATGTCATCGTCTCCGCTCCCTCTCCAAGCTATTGTTAGGCATAGACACTAGAGTAGGTCTCTTTCTGTTTTTCCTCTCCCTCTCTCTCTCTCTCTTGTGTGCTAGTTTTCTTCTTTTCCATAATCAACTAGTATGTATGCAACAGCAGCAGTAGCAGTAGTGCGATAAACAATTTCTCTCCTCTTTTCTGTACACATTAACGATGAGATTCTATTTCTCACATAGTCGGCGAAGAAAATAGATGTTAGCGTTTTGCTGCTCTATTAATTCAAAATTCGTCGTATCGTCTCTAGCTCTCCTCTCGATTGCCTCCCATCCAAGTGAATGAGTGACACAACTTTTTCTTGGAAATAAATGAGAATGAAAACGCATCAAAATGCTGATGTCATCAATTCGAAATATCAAACAATATTCAGCTGATAGTGCTTATTCTACAACAACGGCTGTAAGTTGTCTATTTATCTGTCTGTGTATATTTATCGTCTATCGAATGAAAAGTATATGTCACACTAGTGACTTGATACTTTAGTCGAGTGATTCACATCTCGAAATTGATTTGTTCTTTTCAAATAAAGTCTGCATAGCTCTTGCAATTGATTGATAGTTGAAGAATACAGGAAATCATTCAATATAGTCGAACTTTATATTATTTTCTTTATTCACATCCAGAGACGAGAAGTAATAACAAATGCATCGTGAGTGAAAATAGAATTACTCGAGACGAAATAAATGATCCCGTTTTCTTTCACATATATACACATGAAAACAGTTGGTGCCAACAAGTCTCTTTTCTTCTTCTGTCGTTTAAAAAAAAAACTACACAATTATGTCGTCGATCCGTCATCTTTTTCTTTTCTTATATCGCATCATGATCGATATTGACACCATTACTGGCTTGTTGCTTTTTACCCTCTCGAGAGATTCGTTGTCTAATATAAAAAAAATGCAGTCGCCATCCAATCGAAGATTTCTGTTCTGTTGTACCATCTGTTACCGTAGTTCGAGCAAAAACGAGAGAATGAGAGAAACATTGTTGTTTTGATAAATGTCAGATCGTCATCGTCGTCGTTCTTCTCCTTCACGCTTTCGCTTAGCCCAACATCGATATCTGGATGCCAACAACCGATTTTCCAGTAGTATTAATTCTCTACATCAGCACTCGTTCTCTCAAAAAAACGAGCAAATCGTACGTAGAATTAGAGATACAGAAACATACGAAAAGATAGATTCGAACAGAACAGTAATAGCCCATTAGTAATGGATCAATAATTAAGCACTCAGAACTGATTGGTGACATTCAAAATAAAGATAATTGCAACAAAGGAGACACTGTTGGTTATTATCATTGATTAATGGACAGACGGGAAACGACAGACACAAAAACAAGAGTCATTGACTGATTATTTTCGAAGTTTAGTACTTCAGAACAGATTGACAATGGTTTCCACAGTTGAATGTGTTAATAGAATTGTTTGCAAATCGATTGATTAAATTAATTCTCGGCATTGACCTAAATGTATGAATAGTGTCGAATTCGTTTTTTCCGTTGCTTCTTTTTCATTTTTGTTTCATGTTAAGCCTGGATGGAGAAGTTGTCATGTGTAAAAATATTGATTGAATTTGTTTTCAGGGTTCAGCTGAATCCAATTATAGTCAACAATCATCGGAAAGTTTAGATGGTGATACAGCTGAAAGAGAACGTGAACCGACAACAACTGCTTCTGCAACTGGCCTATCGTCGGCAAAACCTCGTGATCAAACGCGTTCGGCAACAGATGCGCTCGAACGTTGTAAAACCAAACCAGTTGCTTTTGCCGTTCGAACAAATATCGAATATACTCCATCACCTGATGATCTATGTCCGATTGCCAAAGGAGCAATCGCTTTTCCGGCAAAAGAATTTCTCCACATAAAAGATGTATGGATTGATTTTTAAGATCAGATGAGAATTGTCTTTTGATTCGGTTTGATTTAGAAATTCAATAATGATTGGTGGATTGGACGATTAGTAAAAGTTGATGCACCGCTTGGTTTCATACCAAGTCCAGCTAAATTGGAAACTATTCGTATACAGTCGACTCGAAAGAATAAAAACCAACCACAATCATTAGCCAATATGACGTCACGTGTGAAAGCATCGACACAAAGTAGGAGAAATCAATGACTTTCCTCTTCTGAAGTGTCATATTGATATAATTCGATCGATTTAGGTCTCGATATTATTGATCAGAATATTCCAGGGTTTGGTGACGATACACTAGGAAATGAAGGTGATGGTGATAGTCTTGGAAAATCAAAATTGAACCTCAATGTTAATAAAGATAAAAAGAAGCCTTTTTTCAAAAAGGTAAACAATAATCACAACAGTCATTTTATCGGTAGTCATAGAAATAAACAGTTTCTCTGTTTTTCATCCGGTTCATCTTAGTTTACTACAGGAAATAGTATTTAGATTTATGTTGACAACCATTTACTTATTTCCTTATATTTACAGGCTGCAAACATTACCCCGTATGATGTTGTACCTAATATGCGTCCCGTTGTACTTGTTGGTCCGTCTTTAAAAGGCTATGATGTAACTGATATGATGCAAAAAGCTGTGTTTGACTATCTAAAACATCGTTACGAAGGTCGAATTATCATCACGCGTGTGACTGCGGATATTTCGCTTGCCAAACGTGGTCTTCTAAACAATCCATCGAAAATCGCACTGATCGAACGCGGTGCACCATCGGGTACTACTGGCAGCTCGTCGGGAGTCTCTTCTAGTATGTCAAGTCCGATGGGTACTACGAGGTCAACTGGTATTAAAGAAGTTCATGATGAAATCGAACGTATATTTGAACTAGCACGAAGTTTACAACTAGTGGTACTTGATTGTGATACGATTAATCATCCCGCTCAATTACAGAAAACATCGCTTGCACCAATTATAGTCTATTTAAAAGTTTCATCACCGAAAGTCCTACAAAAATTGATTAAATCGCGAGGAAAGAGTCAACATCGAAATCTCAATGTTCAATTAGTTGCCGCAGATAAACTAACGCAATGTTCACCAGTAATGAAAACATCATGTACGGAAGTTTAGACAGGAAGCAAGTTTCGTTTCGTTTTAGGACATGTTTGATTTAGTCTTGGAACAAAACCAATTGGAAGATGCTTGTAATAGCTTGTCGAACTTTTTGGATATCTATTGGAATGCCACGCATCCGAAATTAGATGATAGGAACGATTTCGCCCAGGATACAACACATCTACCCCCACGTCCAGCTGCTAGTTTAGTCGCTCATCTACCACAAATGAATCCGCTCGGTTCACCATCTGTTGTGACAACGACTACAACTAATCGTCTTCTTCCCTCATCACCACTCGTTAATGATATCACACAATCACACTTATTACCTCAACGAACACCATCACAACTATCCGCTAATCGATACGGCGCTGGAGGCATGACTGGTGGTGGACTTTCACAACGTCGACCATCAACTTCAGTAACTCCTGATTACTATCGACAGGCACCGCCACCATTGCCAATGCCACCTGCGCCTGGATACGATGACGAACGGTTTGCCCATTATGAAATGGCCAATTTTCGATAGTCATCTAATCGTTATATTTTCTCCTTTTTGCTCTTGTTTTTATATTTGACAAGTGTTGATCACTTTCATCTGAATGCAAGCTCGTTCATTGACCTTTTTTCTGTTACCCTATTGTTCTAGTCATTGTCGATTTCTCTCTTGTGGTCTCAGTGCCTAAGATCGATTCTTAGCTCTCATCTTTTCTCTTTCTCTCAGTCTTTTTTCACAGTGACCGTCATCATTTTTCTCTTTGTGTTCTCTGTGTGTATTTTTTTTTCTTTTGCAATTTGTACACAAATACATAATTAAGAAATTTTTCTCGAAAACACATTCGCACTTAACATTCACATAGGAGAAAGCGACTCCGAACTTTTCATAATATGTTTCCGCTTAGAGATGTCACAATGTTCTGTAAATCACCAAGAAATCTAAGTCTCGAGTGAAGAAAAGACATTTTCTAGCTTTTTGTTTATATCAAAGATTGATCGACACTTTCATCTATTAAAGAAATGATAATTCATCGAAAAACGAATTCACACTTGACATGATGCTTTTAGACTATTTGATCTAATCATCTAGGGGCAAATGAAGATAACGACTAGATCTCGTTCCTGCTGTTTCTCTGCAATTTGACACATGAAATAAGTCACGGAAAACAAATTCACATTATCTGCTTCGCTACCAGCGAGATACAACAGAATACCAATGATAATAGAACATTGAGAAATATTTATATTTGCTCTATCTTACGTCCCTTGTTTCTTCAAAGCAAAAAATAAAACTTTGTTCTTGACTGTCAATCAGAAAAAAGAACTGAGATTGCCTTCTGACGTATTTATGTTGGAAAAAAAACGCATGCGTTTTGTCAAGTGAAACTTGGTGAGACGGCTTTTCTTCTTATTTAAAAAGAGAAAAAAGAAGTTGTAAAGAATTTCATTTCATTCCTGTTGTTACACTGACGTTCGTCAATTGCAACAGAATGAATTTTTTTTCCTTCTCTCCGTTTTTCTTTTTACGCGACGAAGATCAATCAAATTATGTCAACAAGAAAATCGATTGTTTTCTTTTGTTAAAACAATACGCACTCAAACAAATTTTCTGTTTTCGAAAATAAGCTTAAAGTCATTTCACGAATCGAACGGTACGCGTGTAGTTTTCGGTTGACTTCGCCAAGGAAAAACAAGTTTTTCACTTGCTCACGACGTTTTATAGATTTTTTATTACGTATAAATCATGTCAGGACAACAGCAAACGTCGAATAGGTAATCAACTGTTTTTCTTCCTTTCTTCGTACACAGTATTTGATAATTTGCTTGTGCTCTGATCAATAAAGTTCGTCGAAGTCTGCTCCATCCTCATCAACTGATCGATCAGCACGCGTAAATTTCCTTTAAACAAAAAGAAGACGAAAAACCTTTTTTTTTTGTGTTATTTCTATTAGACAAAGCAATCTCAAACTTCAGCGCGCTCGTCCTCGTCGGCTCAATCCACATGCAAACCGAATGTTTTACTCAATCGAAATGTTAATCCTAAGGTATTTTCACACTTCACTACAAAAGAAAACTCTCGGCTTTCCTGTAGATCTTACCTCCAGGTGAAAGATGTCTTATCACAATGGTGTATATCGGACCCGAGCTAGCTGTTGAATATGATCGTGAATGGTTCGAACCTGACGGTGATGAGATCATTGTCATGCAACAACATTGCGGAGGAGGAAATCTTGTTGCTTTCAAAGGTTTTCTTAACCACAATGGTAATCAAGGAAAACTTTCTTTTGTTGTTAAACGAACAACTTGCTTCTTTCTATACTAGAGACGTTTGAATTCGAATCAGCACGACGTACAGACTATCCATTGGCATTGACATTTTTCATCAATGGAACTGTGTATAATCGCTTGTCAGTTTGTTGTGAATCGAGATGTCACGGTTCGATGCGAATTGGAGGTAAACACGGAATGTTTGGTATTAGTAAAATTGAAAAACAAAAACCATGTCGACGGTATGTAATTCTAAAAAAATCTTATCCTTCATGATATCATTTCAATTCGATATTTTTCAAGATGCCGATATGAGCAACGCATGAAAATGTTATTGGAACAAGAAGAGCGATCGTCGGTATGTTTGAACAATAATCAAATTTTTTCATATACTGTGCTTTGTTTAGAAATCTACGAGAAGATCAGCTCCTCCTACTAGCACAGCAAAACCAAAATCCAATACTGACTCTAAAGCACATAAAAAGTCTCCTGTAACTGCAACAACAGATGGTCATGATTCAGATTCGACTAGTTCAGCAGATAGTACACCGAGAATAGCAAGTCCAAACTCGAAGATTTCTGATAAATCGAAGTCTAAATTCAATGGAACTTCTGCACCTCGTACGGATTCCAACACAACTAAAACTGACACACCAATCACATATCATGACGATTTCGATGCGCCCGTTGAAGACTCGACTGATCCTCGATCAACGATTCATCCAAAAAAAAGTGATATTTCTGGACCAAATTCAGATTCCGATGAATCCAACACATCCAATCGTAGTCCAGTCATCACTCATCAACCTAGAAACTTTAGGGATACAAATCGTACACCAGCACCAGATGATGATGATTCCGATACGACAATTCAAGAGATGAGTCATCTAAGAGTAGAAAACCAAAAACCACAGAATGGAATCTCAACAGATTCCGATGAATTCGATGTATCGAATCACGAGCCATCGCATCATCGAACACCAAGTCCAGAAGTAACAGGTAATCTCTTAGTGTAACATGAGCAGGAATCTATCTTTCTCTATATCTAGGACGTCCGCGATCACGATCACCATCACCACTAAGAGAACCAACGGTAATTTTTAACCTTTTCATTGATCAAAGATCTTTTTGCTTACCGATAACTTTAGTCCAATCATCAATCGAGCAACTCTTATAGCAGTAATATGGAGGAAAAAAAATGATCATTTCCTATCACTTTTCTTTACTCTAGCAATTTCTTCACTCGTTCAAAAACCCAGACGCAGCAACTCGCCAGTGCCCTTATTTTCTGTATGTTATGACGGAACGCATACTTTCGCTTGAAAATCTGTTTTTTTTTCAGCACGACAATTCACATCGCACGACAGTTTCTTCGACCGCAGCAGACATTACTCATCATAAAGGTTTGTCACTGGTCAAGTTCAATTAGTTTAAAGATATTCATTGTAGCTGATGGTCAAACCTCTTCATCAATGAATCGTGTACAACGGCGCAACGATGCCTCCGATGAAGATAACAATGACGATTTCCAGTAGACCTTGATATTGAACATAAATAACACCATATTTTAATCATGAATACAAATAAAAACTGTTTTTCTAATTGAGCATGCGCTTATCATTTATCGCTCTTTGAATATCATGGTAATATAAAAATAATATGTAATACTCAAGCAGTCAGAAACAATGAATATCAATATAAATGAATTTCATTCAACTACTTTCTTTCGATACTTTTCAATGCAGTAACCATGTGTTGTTGTTCGACAGTTTTACCGGCAGAAAGGAGAAGAAGAAAATGAATCAGCATGATGATTCGTTTCGTTTTTTGAAATGTATTCGAATGTTTTCTATTAGTTAAAGATTATACCCCAATCCAGACTTTCATTTAGATATTGAAATGGTCAAAGACATTCTCCGACGAGTATTGATCATCATTAGTATAATTTTGATCTTTACCGGACGCATAGTTTATTATTTTCAGTTTCAAACTATTTCGTATACGATCATATCGATCAGTTCGAGATCATTCATCAATAATCACTACGAAAAATCAAGGATGGATCTCCTCATTGCTCCATACTCACTCGCATTCGTATATTCAGCTATGGCAGAATGAAATTGGCAAAATCGAAAAACGAATTGATGTCCAAAATAACAGTGCAACATCTTTACCGTTAGATTACGATTATATTCAAGATATAAAAGACGATAGGCCATTGTCCTATCCGTGCTCAGGTCGGGAATGTTCGAATACATCGGTGACTGATGCAGAAAGTGCTATGGAATATTGTATTCTAACGAATATCTATTACGATTCGAATCTTGATCACTACTACTTCGATCAAAATCGATCAATCAACTAACGAATTTCGTTCAACACACCTTTTGGTGGAATAAATATATCGATTATCTCTAACGTGACATTCTTACGCACACCAATGACTATAATTATGAAGCGACCGGTTTTAGTTTCGATTCCGTCAGATTTGCACTATATATCTCGATTTCTCGAGACATGTGGACCAAGTTTTGGTCGTTAGCTGAATGTCAGTACCACGCGTCGTATGTAAATCCAAAGACAGTACAACTATACTATACATCAAAAAGATTCGAAGTTCATCTATTCTATTGGAATCACTATCAACAGCAACCGGATGACACTTACCAACCATTAAGATTTGGGAGTGATTGATGAACTCGATGTTTTCTATCTATCCACTCTTAATATACACATCGTTCGGTAATCGAACCGTTATGTTTAAATACATGATTCTTCCTATTCAACAATCACCACGGTCCGCAGTATGGGGACATCATTACTTAGAACGAAAATTTCACTCTTATCCGTTACCAACACTGCACTATCGTCGCGATTATTTAGCATATTCTGAATGGATTTTATATCATTTCAATTTACTATCGAAATTTCAATTAACGCCCTCCCAACAAGAATTACAAAAGAAAAGAGAAATCGAACAGATTCACATGTGTCTCGAGTCATGTTCGAGAAAACGACAAACTGCGCCATCGGACGATTATACCAGTGAATGGATTGTCGAATTAAGTCGTCGAGGTCATAATAATAGTGAAATTTACAATGCGGATGAACTAGTTCAAGCTCTTTTAACTGCACTTCCTGATCATTCGAATTCACAACTACGTGTTTAGCTAGAAGTATTCTATTTCGATGATAATTTTTATCAAACCGTGCGTATGTTTAGATCAATTCGAGTTTTGATTGGCGTTCATGGTGTTGACCTATCAAATAGCATATTCATGAGACCGGGCGCTGTTCTTTTTGAAATCGATCCATACGGTTGTTGTGATTTGTCATTTATATTTCGCCGTTGGGCAGAAGTTTTCAATCTGCAATACGCTCTACGGATTCCGTCGACAGGTAACAACAATAGGCAAGATGAAGTTTGTTTACGTGAATCCCAAATTGAAGTTAATGTCAAAGAGATCATTGATGAACTGAAAAATTCAGTAAGAAATGAAATCGATTATCGAAATGGATATTTCAAACGATCTATCTATCGTAGATCATCTTCCATGAAGCTACGAAGATATTCTATCATGATTTATCATTTCTGTTTCCCAACACAGTGTGATGAAAGACTTTTTTTGTACATCTGCAACGATTCGTGTGCTTTCCAATATCCAGACATTTGTGAATTTAGAAAATCAATAGCCCTAAAGAGGGCTGTTGGGTTTTAGTTAAATCTTGATGTTGTGATTTAAATAAAGTCAAGCATATTTAAGCTTTTTCAGCTGCTTTTCCACTTGATCCAGCTGGTTTGTCACCGGCTGGTTTCTTTTTGCTTGGACCAGCTGATCCTGAAGCTGGAGCAGAGACTGGACCACCTTCAGCTGTCTTCTTTGGTAAAAGAATAGCTTGAATGTTTGGCAAGACACCACCTTGAGCAATTGTTACACCCGATAATAATTTGTTCAATTCTTCATCATTTCTGATGGCTAATTGAAGATGACGCGGAATGATACGTGTCTTCTTGTTATCTCGTGCAGCATTGCCTGCTAATTCAAGAATTTCAGCTGATAAGTATTCGAGGACAGCACCCAAGTAAACTGGAGCACCAGCACCGACACGTTCAGCATAGTTACCACGTCGAAGAAGACGATGAATACGACCAACTGGAAATTGAAGACCTGCTCGTGATGAACGAGTTTTGGCTTTGGCGCGAGCCTTGCCACTTCCTGCAGTTTTACCACGTCCGGACATTGTGTCTTGATTTGTTTTTTACTTGACGAAAATGTAAAGTGAATGAATGATATAGAGAGTGAAGGAACGCATTCACTTCACCTTATATATGTCCATATAATGAACAACTTTTTCGACCAATCGTCGACGAACATTAATGATTGGTCATTCAACGAACAGTGTATCCGACATATAAGAACGCAAAAATATATCTCGTTTTTCTCTCATTCATAAAGAAAAAGCATGCCACCAAAAACTCCATCGAAAGGTTCGAAAAAAGCCGTGACAAAGACAACGAAAGGATCGTCCGGTGCGAAAACCACCGACAAGAAAGCTAAACGTTGACGAAAAGAAACCTACTCGATCTATATTTACAAAGTACTTCTAAACAAGTGCATCCCGATACAGGTATTTCATCGAAAGCAATGTCAATTATGAATTCATTCGTAAATGATATTTTTGAACGTATCGCTGCTGAATCAAGTCGTTTATCTCATTATAATAAACGATCAACCATTAGCAGTCGTGAAATTCAAACTGCTGTTCGCCTTCTACTACCTGGCGAACTTGCTAAACACGCTGTATCGGAAGGTACAAAGGCTGTTACCAAGTACACGAGTGCTAAGTAAAGGAATAACATCTTCTGTTTAGACCACAAATACAGAAACCCAACAGTCCTCTTTAGTGCTAAGATTTTTTTTCTCTCTTCATATATGTTGATATTTGCGTCACATAAACTAAAAAGTTCTTGAAAAATAGTTTTCATTCGTTTATTCTATGAGCACATGAAATGTCTATATCATTCGATCTTGATCGAGACTGAACAGCTGATTTCTGTTCTTCTTCTGCTGGTTGGTCCATTAACAACTTTCCTTAACTGACCAACGGAATGAATGCTTTTGTTGCTTAACAACTACGTAACGAACATGACAGAAAGGAAGAAAAATACAAAAGACATATCAACAAAATAAACATTGGTGTATAGAAATCATGACTGGCACGTCAAAATAAAACTATTGCAAAAATAATATAATTACCTAGAAGAATTTCAACTGCATAATAGAATATCTACTAACTATTTCTTTCTAATTCTATCCGACAGATACACACGGTTAATTGATTAAAAGTTGATTACATTCAAGTAAAGAGTAAAATAGTAAGAGAAACTTCTAGCGATAGCATGTAACCATGTAAATATCAATGTTTTTCTCTGGTAATACTGCCCAAAACACTTGAAAAAGCGGAGGAACAAAAAATATACGTTACACATCAGCCTCCTTAGAAGAGACTTTTGTCCTTCTTACAAAATATTTCAAGTATTTTTCAGCAACGAGCATTGGGCTAAAATAATTTGTATTGAACCCTCCACTGTAATATTCTTTCATTTTGAAAAATAAATATTGATTACTTAGTCTCAAATAGTTTGATTAAAGAAAACTCTTCAGCAGGTTGTTGATTTTAAAAAGCATCTACAGCCATTCTGTCTTATTTAAACTAAAACGCACCTGTCTTTTTTTGCCCGAAAGTTAGGTAAGAAGATGAAAAAATAATCCTACGAAAGTTAAATGAGTTCTGGTCTAGATTGTACTCTTGAAGCTGATAACGAATTGATAAGTGCTTGCGATAAGTTTACATCAAAACATGACATATGACCCAGTATCCACTGTTTATTCTTATCCGTATGAGACTCCGCTACAGCCACCAGCCATTCCTCAACCGTATCCATATCCAACGTCGACAGCGGGACCAGCACAAACTGTTCGTGTGTATCATTATGACGAACCTCCGAAATACTCGTCGACGACTCCTAAGTCTAATTATCAAGTACCTCCACAAACGATTTCTCACACACCGCCTCAATTTTCTTCCAAATCTTCAAAACAACCTCATTTAAAATCGGTTCAACAGAAGCCAGTACAGAGTCCATCTTTTTCGATATATGACAATCATGCTAACAGTGTGGTAAATGACAATTTTGACGAGCTCCCTACACTTCGTACGGCCTCTACACAGACGACAAAGTGAGTCGTTTCTCTAGATTCTTTTCGCTCATTTGACCTGATTCAATTCCAGATGCTATCAATCAAAACTTTTTCGAGTTGCACTGTTACTGACACTACTCGCTCTCATTGTGATAGCTGCGGTCGTACCACTTGTCATCTTAGTAGTTAGTAAGTTGAAACAACAGAATGTTATCGTTTGTTCATTACTACTGAATTTTCTTTTCAGAAGCAAATACATCAACAACAACAGCAGCTCCTGGTAAGTACACTTGCTTTCTTTATTTCAAATCTATTGGTTTCTAAATCACTCGCCACTGTAGCATGCGCACGAACATATTCAGCAACATTTTCAAGTAGCACCAGTAGTACAGCCAGTGATTGTGCCACTTGGCAAGCATTTACGGCTGGCTTAACTTGTTCAAGTTATTCAACAATGCGTATCTACGGTACAAACAATCCTACTGGCATTACTATTACCAGTGCGTCTGTTGTGACTGGTCTTGCGGCTGCTTTACGTGCAAACAGTACTTATACGGGCGTCGCAGGCGGATATACGTGGGCCGTAGGATCTTGTGGAAGTGGCCTGGAAATAACTTCAACAGGATCTGTATGTGGTTGCTCATCAGGTTATACTATAAGAGCATGTATATACAATGCCAACTGGGGTGGAATCAACGGTGCAACTTGTAGTGCAACTGGACAAACTGTATCACTTTATTTTGCATGATGAAGAGAGAAAAGAATTGTTTTTTTTTAATTAAAATTACAAGCTGTATATTTTATTTTAATATGATTGTGATATTCATGAACATCAGGTCAGGCATCTAAATTTATCTCGCTAGTAAGTCTGCTCCTTTCATAAACAATTCACACTGAAATTAAAGAATGAAAGAAGCAGAATATAACATCAATAGAAAGACGAATTCTTGCCTAATAGCTTATACATTCTTCGAAACAATAATATTGACATAGCGATGTTGCATCGGCAGTACTTAAGGCGCACTTTATTATCATTTAATGCATTCAAACATGCAATCACTGCAAAAATAGGGCGTGATCGTTTCACGTTGAGAAATACCTGTCGTTCTTTAATAGAACTCATCATCGATGTTGCCAATCATAGAACAGCGACATCTAACCAAAGAGAACTGTAACACAACCACCAATAATTTTAAAAAGAATATTCCACATAGAATAGAATTGACGTTGACGTTGTAATCTTACTTTACACTTATATTCTTCTACGTATAACATATAGAAAACTGAGTTGTATGAAATCGAAGATATTCGAGATGTTCAGTTAGTCTTTCAATGAATATGTAATACACCCGAATTAGCATTATTCAAACAAGATTATTTTTGTGAAGATTTTAAAATGACCAGTCGAATATTGTATACAATTTGTTTATCATTACTTTCGATGTGTACGGTACATAGTATGACATCGGAAGAGAAGGATCAACTTCGTCTACAAGTGATTGACATGTTCAAACATGGGTATAATTCTTATATGGTAAAACATGACTTCTTTCTTTTTAAAGAACATGTAAGAATTTCTTTTTTAGAAATATGCATTTCCAGCGGATGAGTTGATGCCATTAAGGTAATTAAATGAAACTCTGATTAATAAATGATTGTCTTTGTTTAGTTGTAAGGGGAGATACCGAGGCTCGGAACCATCCCGTGGTGATATCGACGACGCTCTTGGCAAGTAAGTCGATTGACAGACAATTAAAATAACAAATTGACTCATATATCGTGTTCTCTTTTAATCAATAGTTTTTCCTTAACACTAGTTGATAGTTTGGATACTTTAGCGGTAACTAAATGAATAAAAATGTGTTCTTTTGAATTGATAAGATGTGAACATTTTCGTTTAGGTGATGGGAATGTTCGATGAATTTGAACATGCCGTTCGTCAAGTTATCCAATATGTCTCATTTGATCGTGATGTTATTGTTTCGGTTTTTGAAACAAATATTCGAATGATTGGGTAAATTCAAATATATTCCCATCTTAGTTTACCTTCTCCCAATTAAAGATTTATCAATCTGCAGAATCTCATTCATCGTGTAAACTGCTAATTTGGCTCTATCTTTTTGAAACGATATAATATTAAAAAACTCTAATCATCGTTTTGTTTTGTTTTAGTGGTCTTCTCGGTGGTCATATATGTGCGAAATACATACATGCACGTCACCCATCCCATCTATCTTGGTATCGCGATGAACTCTTAGTACTTGCGCATGATTTAGGCATTCGTTTACTACCAGCATTTAATACTACAAGTGGCTTGCCATTACCACGTGTTAATCTTCGTTATGGAATCGATTTAACTTTATCAAAAAGTGATCAGGAACGATTTACATGTACAGCATGTGCTGGTACATTGATTTTGGAATGGGCGACTCTATCACGTTTGACTGGCAATCATCTATTCGAACAATATGCTGATCGGGCCATGTCATATTTATGGGAGCGACGGCATCGACAATCGAATTTAATGGGAACAATTCTCAATGTTCATTCAGGTGATTGGATCGTTCGTGAATCGGGTATTGGTGCCGGTATTGATTCTTATTATGAATATTTGTTCAAAGCTTATGTTCTTCTTGGCGAGAAAAACAATGATTACTTGTCTCGATTTGAGGAACATTATTCATCGATTATGTCTTATGTTCAACGCGGTGTTGCGATGGTTAATGTTCATATGCATCAACCATATCGTTCGACGAAAAATCACATGGATGCTTTATTGGCATTCTGGCCTGGCTTACAAGTCATGGCAGGTGATATAAAATCAGCTATTGAAATGCACGAAATGTTGTATCAAGTCGTGCAAAAACATAAGTTTTTACCGGAAGCATTCACAACCGATTATGGAATACATTGGAAATCGCATCCATTAAGACCGGAATTTGTTGAATCAACATATTTTCTCTATAAAGTAAAATACTATTCATTAAAATTTCAATCTATATTCTATATTCCTAGGCTACGGGCGATCCACATTACCTGGAAGTTGGTCGAACAATTCTGACTAACCTCGAAGAGCATACTCGTGTTCCGTGTGGATATGCTGCTCTCTCAGATGTCTCAACTGTTCAAAAAGAAGATCGAATGGATTCATTCGTCTTAGCCGAAACATTCAAATATCTATATTTGCTGTTCGATTCGATTCCACATCGTTATATCGATATTGATCAATTTCTATTCACAACTGAGGCACATCTTCTTCCACTGAATTTGCTGTTATTTAATATCAATGATACGTTAAAAACGGAGTTTAATCGACTTACATTGAAGTCGATCGAACAATATGAACCAAGAAATGTATCAATGAGTGAACGATTGAACGAACGCAAAGCGAAAAGTTACCAATGTCCGGCGATGGATGATCAATTTCAATCACATCAATACAAAGAGAATCTAAGACAAAATGTGCGCGGCAATCAAGATATGACAGAAGCCATTACCGCAGCATCGAAAAACATGGAAAAACGAAATAATAAGTCAGTTTCGAATGTTTATGACCCACAGATATCGAACAGATACATTGTTTATTTAGCGCTTCTAATCGTCGTTTAACGGCTGCTGAATTCTCACCCGACGATCCTGTTCATATCATTCAACTGAAAGAAATGGGAATCCAACTTCAATCGTTGCCCGATGGCCGTACGTTCTTACATTGTTGATTAATCTCTTTCCATATTTGATCATTTCTAGAAATTCAACTAATACACATAGCATCCACAGCACAATCGCTCAACGACGCAGAAGACGGTCTGCATTTTATGCAAGAGATGATCGACTTCATGAAACATACCAACGCCAATGAAAATTCTCCCTTACATCGTATACCATTAAGTGTCATACCAATATCGATACCATCATCCAAAATAGCATTTGATTTTCCTGTTTCTACTGCACAGTTTGGCAAACAGTTACATGGAACTCAAGGAGTAAGTACATCCTCTTACGAAACTATTTCTTTTTTATCTTCATTTATTCAGATCTTTGCTCAATTGTATGTTGTTCAACCATTTTCTGCCTGTTCACAAATTTTATTCTCTCCACATGTTCATTCTCGTGTTGGGATAATCCGTCGTGGCGATTGCATGTTTATAGATAAAGCTCGTTCTCTCGAACATGCAAATGCTATTGGTGGCATTGTCATCGACCACAATCTTTCACTAGCATCTTCGACTGGTTCGATATTTTCCATGACCGGTGATGGAAATAACAATGTACATATTCCTCTCGTACTCATGTTCAAAGATGAAGCATTTCAACTCTTACATCTCCTCTCGAAACAGCCATACTTGATCATTTATATTGGAGATGGAAATTATCTTGCTGAAAGTTTTTATGCACAGATTGATTACATTGAAAGTTTAGTAGATGCTTCGAAGCGAATAAATCGACGATGGACTTATGGACAACATGAAATGATTGACCAAAAGAAACAATGTTTGGTTATATCAGAAAAGTTGATAAGATTCGAAACAAGGATTAAACAATATGTGACTCGTACAAGTAAGTCTTTGATAAACATTCTAATCGAATGATTTAATGACATAAAGAGATAAGTTCGAATCTATTCAAAGGAAGCAAATGATGTATTTACACTTGAAATTCAACTCTGAAGTTTCTGTTGATAACCAGAGCTTTACTGATGCTTCCCCTTCTCATCTTCTACTTAATTATTCCATAAATCGCCTTTAGATAACAAGTCATTATCAGAAATCTCCTCCAATACTACAATGGATACTTATCGTGCGGCCTTAGATAGATTAATCAAATCAGTAAGCTCGGATGCTGAACAAATACCATCGTCCAATTCAACTCAACAATCACATGATAAGCTGTACGAAACTGTCTCAGATTCTAAGAATGAGCCTTGAAGCACTGTGCAATTCTTCTCTTCAAATCCATTATTGCCGGTGGCAGAATGTTTTATTTTCTAGTCTTATCAAACTGAATGATTTTTATACGATATAGAACACATATATATATAGTTGTATATATTTTCTGTTTTATTCTTCATTATGATCGTTGTTGTTGTTTTTTTGTCGTTGTTATACAAGTATTTAATAAACATATGGGCGAAGTCAACACATACAACAAAGTCTGAAATAAATGAAAATAGAATATATCGTTCGATGGTATAATCATAGAAGTCAAGTATTGAACTAGTTGTTTTTAGTTGATTAATTCTATGTCATTTCTCAGCTTTTTTTTCTCGACAATTAATGTATGTTATTTGTCAATTTGTGACAATAACCACTGCAAAAGCAACGTTCTCGTTTTCTCGAATATAAACAGTACGGGAACTACAAATTCAATACTTTTCATAGTAGAAATGTATTGTATCGAGATATTAGCATCAATACTAATGTTTTTATGTAATCTATTAGGTATAATTTGTTCCTTGATATTTATAAGCATCTTTATCGTCTATCGACAATGTCGAACAATGACCACGGTACTGGTGTTAAATTCAGTTGTCGCTGGTTTCATTATAAATGTCGTGTATGCTTGTGACGCATTGTATCAGATAAATCTGACTCAAGCAGATGCACTGTGCATATTTCGTGGCTTTCTACTGTGCGTAACATTCGCTTTATATTTCCATACGTTTTGTGTTCATGCTTTGTATCGCTGGTTTATGACAATACCTTGTTTTCGAGAATATCTCCGATCAAAATGTATCACTCTATTTGCTATTGCTTGTCAATGGGTCATTTCGATACTGATTATTCTTTTGATTTTTTGGAATAATGGGATTAAATTTCAATCCTATCTTCACACGTGTACCGTGCCGCGAGATGATACAGTCAACTCGATTTATCTTGGACTATCGGTTTATTTCTTTCCACTCCTATTAATTATTGGCATTTACATTCGATTGATCATCTACATTCGAACGAATTCTCAACTAACAGTGAATTCACAAAATCTAGCTGATCAACGACGACGAAAACATGAATTTCGTCTCTATCGTCGTATTATTATGCCCGTTATCGCTCTTTTTATCATGGGTTTTCCTTACACTATTCTCTTCGGAATAAGCCAATTTCTTCATATAAGGACACCCTTGTATATTCAACGACTGTGCTTCGTACTGATTACACTTGGACAAGGTGGTAGTATGTTACTTTGCTTGATCAACACTGAAAATATTCGAAAGTATCTCAATTACAACATGAGGAAGTTAAAACGACGACAACGACGAATACAATGTATCAACGTTGTTCAACTTCCGATTCAGCGTCTTCGTCCAAGATGATGAAACGAAAAATAAACTAATGCTTTTGTAGAGTTTCATTACAAATTTCGTTTCATGCAGGATTAAAATTATACAATACAAAACAAATAAATTCTCCCTAAGATACACATTTGTGCACTGTATTCCAATATCTATTCCACCATAATTACTCGTTCTTCCATAAAATTGTCTTCTGCATTTTCGCCATCATTTAATCTTAGTTCCTGACCAGTCGTTCTTGTCGGTTGGGATTGATGAATAAATTCCGTTAGTGTTCGTTCAGTACATTTAGCAATGAAACGTATAAATGGTCGAACGTCACCGTCATTTGCTTGATTGAGATAAGAATAATAAGTAAAACGTTCAGATTTCTTAATAATTACAGGAGGAAAACCAGATCTCATTAGAATCAAATTCATTAGTAAACGTCCCGTTCGACCATTACCATCAATAAACGGATGAATATAGACAAATTTATAGTGCGCGATTGCCGCTAATTCGATTGCATGTAGGTCTCGTGTGTCTTCCAGTGAATTGAGCCACTTGAGAAAATCATCGAGATAATCCGGTACTTCTGCAGCTGTTGGCGGTACAAATGATCCAACATATACTTGATGCTTACGTAATTGGCCAGCTTGGACAGGATCGACGAAACCCAAGACTCGTCGATGAATTTGAAGTATGTCTTCAAGAGTGATTGAACCTAAACGATTGACTAATGTACAATTCACGTATTGTAAGGCTAAATCAAGGCCGAACACCTCTTGCTGTTCAACAAGAGATTTGCCCGGCACAGCCATTCGTGTTTCGACAATATACCGCGTTTCACGTAGATTTAGTGTATTTCCTTCGATTGCATTGGAATGATAAATATGTAAATAATACGCATCGCGTTTAGCACGCCTTAGATAAGGATTTGTGTCCGGAATTCGATAAAGTTCTTTGAGAAGATTATCGATGAATGTGAATTGTTTTTGATCGATCTCTTGAACTAATGGTAAAGTTCGTTTTTTCAATTCCAATGCACGAAAGTTACTCGGTTGATGAACGAGTGCACGTGTGTAAAATTGTTCTGCCCGAATCAAATCCATTTGATGATATTCAAGAAATTGACCATATTCAACCAGAATATCTGAATTTTGTGGATCGAGAGTTAAAGCGTGCTCAAATATTTTCCGTGCTTTTTCGAATTTATGAACTGCAACTAACTGTAACGCTAAATTAAGTGCACTCTCAGCTTCTTGATGAAGATCTAGAGAAATAAGAGTAAAGCATCGATCTATAATGACAAAATGTGGTTTTACCATTGGAAATATTCTTTTGTTTTGATTGATCTCTCATATAGGTTCGTTGTTTGTTTGCTAATTCTTGTCTTTGATTGTGCATTTGTAATTCATGATGATGAGAAGATTGTAACGAGAGAACATTTGATGGAAAAAATATATGATTCGATGTGAGTAGACTAAGTGATGACGACGACGAAGAAGAAGATGTGAAAATGAAACTTTGTAAGAAAATATTAACTATAATTGTTGTGAAAAACGATAGAAGAAGAAAACAGCACATCGTCATCAGAGACGAACGAAATTCGATTGATGAGCAACGCTCCATAAGTCGATAAAGAATATGTCGTATGATAACAGGGTAGATCATGAATGTGAATGGCAGACCGATTGAATTTATTCATTGTAGGAAAACGTCCAAAAGGCGCGAAAAGATTTTAAGTCATCAATAGGCCCGTTTTGTTTTTATTCAATTGACAATTGTAAGAGTCAATAAAAGAAGGGAGAGAAAACTGTTGACGAGCAAGAAAATGAATGGAACATCACGAGAATCAATGATAAAACAGATTCTATAGAGGGCGCCGCTAGACAACAATAGACTTTGTTTCAGACTCAAATGGAACAGAGAAAGAGAACATAATGAATCTATTTTATTAAAGAGAAATGTTGAAGTCGATTTATTTTTTGTTCAATCGATTGTTAATGAAACATCCATGAACGATATTAAACGCCAGTGTAAAGCGAGAGGAAGTATATGTAAAGTAAAAAGATTGGATAGAGTAGAAGAGTTTTCTTTTGTTGAAGTTCCTCGACGCACAGTAATGTCGCTGCTGAATACGTCGACCATGCCACACCCATGAACTAAAGTTTAGAAGAACAAAAATGAATGAATGTCGAAGACGAACCACGGCAAATTTTCTTTACCTTTAGAAAAACAGCGAAAAAATGTGCTTTTTTAACCGCAGGACTAACAAATGCAACGAGGAGTAGAGGAAGAAGGGAATAACCAATAGTACCAACAATTTGAGAATATGATACCTAGATAGGAGACAAACTAGACTAAAAGTCTATTTTCTCAAAAGAACTAGAATCTACCTCTCCACCAAGTACGCGAGCCAGAATAAAGATTCCAAGAGAGCCGAATATCCAAATAGTAATGATCCATGAGACAACCTTGATAAATTTTATATAAAAAATTGGTAGGAGAGGAAACATCGCTACTTACACGAATTTGACCATAAACTGAGAGTAAAGCAAAACAGAGTACAACAAGTAACTAGAAGATAAACGAAATTGGGGTTTTCTTCGACAATTATCAGTTTGATCTCACTGGTCCCCAAAAGTCTGGATTATCACGTAAGAGTGCAGCACGTTGCAGAGCTCGACTAGGAATTGGTAAAATTACACAGCGTAGTTTTGCGAGAATTTCTCCAATATTAATATCCAGCTCTTCCCTACAATCAAAGTTCTTTGACAAAAATGGTAATTCCGTATGATTCTTACAAGAGTGGTCGATTTTCTTCCGAATTAGGATCATCGTCATCATTCGTCGTGTCCAACAACCATCCATAGCCTTGTTTATCTAAAGTGCCACCAAGCCAACCACGATGACGTATTTGGTTGTCAAAATCACTTTTGCCTAAACGATAGATTTGATTCTCCTATCGGATTCACTTCTATCACTAACCAGCATATCCCTGCGAACTTTGTGTCGGTGAAGATGAACTTGCTTGACCATCTTGTGGTAAAGTAAATGTATCACTCATAAATTGAAAATTATCCGATGTTGACGGAGGTGGTTGTTCCGACGGAATGGAAAGACTCACATGAGATGGTGATTGTTCATTCGTATTCGCCATTAAAAAAAAACTTTTCTGTCAATCAAAAGATCTGAAAAATAAATAATAGATAAATATCTAAACTATGTTTAAGAAAATGCCTGACATATTTTCACAACTGACTAGAAAATATCTATCGGGTAAGGATTATCTAACTAAATGCAGTTCGATTATTTGACAACGAATCGTGATTGGTACCGGTTTTGATGCGCATTAGAGAAACAGTCTTTCAACTGTCGACATGTTTCGGTATTTATCGATTGTGTCGATTCGAAATGATATTCTAAATGTAAACAGAAATTCAACGACTTCAACTGTAGTGATCTTATAGGAAGAATCGAAGCTAGCCAATCGTAATCAGTTATAAGTTCTGGAATTTTCGAAACGGACACAGTTCGATAGATAGTAAGTTGTTCGAGATTTGGTACACAACCGAGAAACATATCGATCAATCGATCATTGTAAAGCCAATCGGTTATTTCGCTATGGATCTCGAGTTTTTTCAAATGCGAATGTTCTTTTACACAGGAAAGTTGCAAATAGGATTGAAACATTTTCAATTGCAGTGAAAATAAATTTGGACATGCAGACAGAAGAGCTTTGTAAACATGAAAATCAATAAAGCCAATTTTTAGTATACGCAGTGACGGTGTTTGTGTCCATGGCAGGATTGTCTCGATGGTTTCAAAGGCGAATAGGTAACACGATTTCAAATTAGGAAATGTATTCGAAAAGATTTTCTGATGAACAGAGGACATACCGAAGAGAACATCAGGAATAGAAAGATACTCTAAATGGGATAAAGTTACAGTATGAAATTGGTTTAATAAGTCATTCGTCGGATAATGTAGAATAAGACGACGAATGTTTCGAAAGCGATGAAGTTTAATGTCAATATTTCCGAGTAGGATTAGAGTATGAATGTAAGGAGAGAGAAGATAAACGTCATTTGATGATTGATTGTTTTCCAAAAGAGTTAGATGAAGGGATTTTAGGGATTGAATCAGTGAATTGAAACGAATGTTAAGATTGTAAAAAGAATGAAAGAGATCAAACGTATTTAGATAATCGAAGATTTTGATCACTAATTCATTCGGTAAAATTTCGAATTTCGATGACGTGTTGGTCATAATCAGGAAAATCTAAAATTAGACAGACAACGATGTTCTTCGATAAATACGAGTAATCAAATGCATATGGACTTATTCTAATAATCTGAATCATATGCGACCTCGGATAATGCATTAGACGAACAGGAACGTCGATAGTTTCTATACTCACTCGCGGTCCTTCGGTGATGTTTGTTCCATGAAAAGATTTTTTTTGATTGACGTACAAGTACACAACTTGCTTATTGCTTATTTTCTGGCTCAATCTTAAAAGTCAATAGGTGGCGCTGGATAGCGGTAAAGCTGTATTTTATTGAGTAATGAATGTGCGAAAATTGAATTCACGGGTTGTACAATGAATTTTATGAAAACAAGGATGAATCTGTCGAATAGTGTCGAGATCTGTCAGTTTATCTGTCGATACGTCGTCAATATTACAATCAAAGTGTTGTAAGTCTCGGAGACGATTTACTAAGCTTCGTAAGAAACGATGAAACGGAATTCTACATAAGAAATTCAAATAAATTTTGCTAACATTTGGAATGAATGAAAGTAGAGTATGAATATGATTGAAAGACAGCTTGTGGTATGGATCTAAGAGCACGAAATGTTTGAGTGAATGATGAATAGCTTCTAGTGAATGGTAAAAGATTGGTATTGTCGAAGAGAGAAAATGAACTTTTAGGTATTGAAGTTTGGGTGTGGCGGTTAGAATAAATGGAACGAGTGTTGGATTATTGGACTGAACAGTGACTGTTCGGAGTGTTAGCGATTGATACCATGTACGTAAGTGCGGAATTTCAACAAGACTAAGGTCAACAGAACGCATGTTTGGAAATTCGTTGGAAAATAAACGTTGAGCTAATTGAGACATAGGAGTAACTTCGACAAGACGCGAGGTTGAAAGATACACAAGCTTTGGGAAAACTTCGGATCGAAGTTGTTGTAGCTGGTCGTATGTCATATGATGTATGATAAGCGATTGTACATTTGGGAATTGCTTGAGATCGACATTTTCCCATGTGTTCAAGATGAGTTGAGTAATTTGGTTTGAAAAAAAGTCTATCGAGTTTTGATCGTTCCTTTCAAGGTTCAATGCCAGCTTATGTGAAGATCGCAGAAGATGATTGAATCGAGTATTCAAATTCCAAAATCCATCGAATAGATCTCGAATGTCGATGTATTCAAAAAGATCCAGTAATAATTCATTAGGGAAATGTTCAATCGTGGTTTTATTCATCTACAAGTACACAGACAAGATTTTATTTCTTTGTCTATTCATGATGAACAACAAAACTTCGAATTTAGTGTTTCTTTACAGCTAAACTATATTCAGAATAAGTCGAGAGAGATAATTATGATTGTGTAAATGTTCAAATTTGACTTTCATCTGATGAATGACATTGTCATCGTAAGTTTTCGTTCGATAAATATATAGATGATATTTCAATCGACGCAAGTGGGATAAATGCTGATGAATCAACGAAGAAAACCAATTGAACGTCAAATATTCTCTAATATTAACATCAAAATTGATTTCATATATACAGAATTGTTCTAAATTTGGTACACAGGATAAGTATTGGTTCATAATCGAGTCAGGCAATGTTTTAACATGGCTCTGGAATTTAATGATCATTCGTTTCAAATTCAAATGTGGTTTTATCGCACAGATTTCTTCGAAATCATCGAGGATATTGAATTGGAAGGTTGATAGATTAGGACACAGAGAAAGAAGAGATTCGTACGTCGATAGATCAATATTATCTATTTTCAGAACGTATATTTGACTAGATGGTGCCATGTGTGGGAGAATTTCTAAAATTCTCGGTTCGAATAATGAGCACGATTTTAAACGTGGAAAACCATTGGAGAAGATCTTCTCGCACAAATCTGGGATATAATCGCAGAAGAGAAAGTGTTCGTATCCAATCGAAAGATGTTCCAAATAAGGTAAATGACTGTGAACAAGTTGTTTCAACTGACTAGATGTTGGCGACAAGAGAATCAACCGGTGAACATTTGCGAAATGATTGAGGTCGATGTTCACAGCATAATCGATAACTAATGTGTAAATATACGAGGTAAAGTCGTAGTAATGGGCAGTTTCATTGGAATTGTATTTGAAAAGAGTTAAAGAGAGATAATGAAGTGATTGGAGAAGAAGATTTAAACGAGAATTGAGATTATAGAATGCTTGAAAGAGATCCCGAGCATCGAAATATTGAAACAGCGAAATGAGAAGTTCATTGGGTAAATATTCAAAACGAGAAGGTACGTTACACATACCTTCAGGATTGATCTAGAAAAAAAAATATATAAACTCTGAAAAATCGTGATTTAGAAAAATATTAAAGCAAAATTCTTAAAATAATTTTGTTTGTATAGCGATAAATCGGGTTCGATATCGATCGTCATGAGCGATATGAAAATTCTCTTCAATTGTATCAAGATTTACTTTAACACTCTGTTCCTTCATGTGTTCAATATCACAAAAATGAAAATAGAAAACAAATTGTTGAAGAAATGCTAAACGACAACGAATTATCGATGCTAGCCAATCACATTTTTGTTTGAGAAACATATCTGTTTGATGGACACTGAAATATTCAAGATTGGGAGCATAGGAAAGACAACAATCGATATCGTTGTCTTTCCATGGTTGAATAAATGGCGTAGAACGAATGATCAGACGTTTAAGTTTTTGATGTGGAATGATTTGAGTAGATGTATTCGCTGACGTTAATGTTGCTAATTGAAGAAAAGATAAATTTGGACACGAAGTTAAGATTGATTTGTAGATGGCGAGATCGATTTTTCCAACTTTAACAGTATGTAATAGTGGGGATAGTGTCCACGTGAAAGTTTTGACGAGTGTTCCCCATTCGAATAGATGACAAGATTGAAGGTTAGGAAATCCGTTAGAAAATGTTTTCTGACAAAGGTTCGGAATGTGATTCAGAACAGAAATATGCATATGATTGATGTAGAGATGCTGTAACTGTGGAAATGTAAGATGATTTAGTTGTGATAAGAGTTTGTCGGTTGGATATCGAAGAATGAGAGAGCGAATGTGAAGAAATTGATTGAAATCGATATTGATTGCTCGATTGATGATCAGAATACGAATGAAAGGAAAACTTTCATCGTTACTGTAAGAATTTGTAGTAAGATTGAGAGTTAACCATGACAGCGATTGTAATAAATAATTAAAACGGCAATTCAAGTTGTAAAACGCTTGAAATAGATGTGATGGATGAAGAAATTGAAATATACCAATGAAGACTTCATTTGGTAAGGATTCTAACGGGAAAATCTTGTCAGTGGCCATTACCGTTCACTCATCTGAAAATAAAAATACATTTTGCATTATTAAAATTTCGAGATTGCTAATTCAAAAAATTAATCAACAATCAATCGTGCTTTGAATAGATTTCGATATACATGATCAAATTGTTGCACAATTTGATTAAAGATATTATTCATGCGTGGTCCTATAACAATATTTGCTTGGCCAACGTGAAAAATATGAAAATAACAGTAGAATCGACGAAGGAACGGAAAGTATAGTGGAATGATCGTCGAAAGCCAATCATAGTTAATGAAATTTCTATTGATTATCGAAATATTATCGCTTCGGTGAAGAGTTAGTTGTTCCAGATTTGGTACACATGAAAATAAATCTTTAAACACCGGAACCTGTCCATTGTTTTTCCAAGTGTTACGATTAGTTTTTAATACTAAGTGTTTTAAATTAGCATGTGGTCGAACTTCTTGTCTTGATGGTTCACTTGGAAGAGTTATACCCGTATGAAGATAATACAAATTCGGACAGATTATTAAAAGTAGCTTGATCGATGAGAGATCAAGATAATGTAGTTTCAAATAGTGTAATGTAATTGTCTGTGTCCATTGATTGATATTTCGTAAAACTGACTCACCGATGTGATGAAATGATGTAAGCTTAGGAAAACCATTGGTAAAAATTTTCTCATGTAGACTTGAAATTGCTTCGGATGATCGTAATACTTCTAATGAGATATGCTTGAGATTATCGAATGGCAATATTTGAACTTGTATGAGAGTTTTGTCTGTTGGATTGTTCAGAATAAGACGAGATAAGTTGTTGAATGACTGAAGTTGAATTGTGGTTCGATCGTTGATAGATAACGAATATAAATGGGGAAATATTATGGACAAATCTTGCAATTGCTTTTGATTGATTTTCGAAATCGATAAAGAGAGGTGAGGAAAGAATTGAACCAACTGGTTGAAACGGTTGTTCAAATTGCCAAATGATCTGACAAGTTCATCAGCATAAAAGTATTTGAATAAATAAAAAAATAATTCATTAGGAAATTGTTCTAATCGGGTCATTTGGAAACAAAAAACAAATCTAGAAAACGTCTTAAACAATTGTAAATTATGTGCAAATTCTCTCCGTAACAAATATTTCAAACATATTCAAAAATTAAATGTGATTCATATCGGTCGTGATGAGCTTTGGTAAAATTTTCTTTGACTTGTTCAAGAAGTTGTTCGGTTTGGAATTTATTCCCAAGTTTAGATGGAAAAGTTCGTAGATGAAAATTGAGTAGACGAAGTTGTTTTAGACGTTTATTGACAACCGTTACTAACCAATCGTAATCATGAAAAGATTCGATGGCTCTTGAAATGTAAAATAAACGATGAATACTTAATCGTTCAAGATGCGGTGTACAAATGAAATATTTGTCAAATATTCGGTCATTCCAAGGCCAAATTACATCTCCAACATTGATGGTTAATCGTCGAAGATTATTATGCGATTCGATGACTAGCGAAGATTCTTCAGAAGTAAACATAGAGAACTGAAACGTACATAAATTAGGACAGGATGATAAGATTGTCTGGTACATCTCTGGATTAATAAATTGAACTTTTACGATTCGAAGTGAAGACAAACATGTAGATCCATCATTAGTTGAAAATGATTCTAAACGCCGAAAATAAGCTGTACATAAGCAATTCTTTTTGATAGAGAAGAACATACCTAAGTGTGTGATAGTGAGCTGCTGGAGATATGGAAGTGCAGTGGCACATAGTTGATGCAGTTCTTCACTCATCGACCAATCTATTTTCAAGCGTCTGACGTTAGGAAATAGACTGAAGTTAACTTCAACAGTGGGGTGAGTTTGCAAAGAATAGACAAATGATAAGAACATGTTAGTATTCACTACTAAATGTTTATTGGTTTTCTTCAAACAAAAGGTAGGTTTTAGCTGTTGAATGATTGCAATAAAATTTGAAAACGATGATTAAGCATATAGAAGATTTGCAAAGTTCTTGAGCATCAAAAGATTGAAAACAATTCATTAGAATTTCATTCGGTAACGATTCCATCTAGAAATAGAAAATTCTCCATTGAATAAATTGATCACTATCGAAAACTGTTAATAGTTCATTCATTCATTCGGTAGCTCTTGCAGTAATCTGAAAGAATTCCGATATATACAAGTTTTTGTTGGATATTTATTATTAAAACAAAATGAACTTCACTCTAATAAAAATAGTCGTGAACCATCATTCTGTTTGATGCATTCTAAATTGTATAAACATTCATTGAGTTGCTGAATAACTTCTACGTTCACCATTTGATCATTTGGTGATTCTAGAATATCACACTCAAATTGTTCTAATTTTTCTAATTTTTGAAAAATGTTTTCCATAAGAGAAATGAACGGCACACGACATCGACATTTTAAAAACAAGTATTTTACATTCGGAATGTATAGTAAGAGAATCTGTATGGTGTCATGCGACAATCGGTGATAAGGATCATCTAGAGTAAATTTTTCTAGTGGATGATCGTAATTTGGTGATGATGGAGGAAGAATGTGATGGTTTTGACCAAAAAAAGTAATATGAAAGCAAGATAAATTTGGACAAGCCGAGAGCAGTTGAATAATGACATTCGGATGTGAACAAGTGACGTGTAATGTATGAAGAGAAAATGACTGAAATTTAGTAGATATCGGAAAAGCATCTAAACGATTCAAGGTAGCTTGGTGAAGATATTGAAAGGCAGATGAAAATATTTCACGTAGAATTTCTGAGGGCAACAAGATATAAAATCGGGTTTGAATAATGAGATTCGTTAAGTTTGGCATATGCTCAGCTCGGATTTGTTCCAGTTGAAAACCGTTTGCTTGACATAATTCCAGTGACCGAAGATTAAACAAGGGCGTGAAATCAATAGATTTCGAAGTATCGATTTTTAAATGAGCGATTTGACGAGAAAATATTTCAATTAAAGATGATTCATCCTTTTCAATAATAAGAGAGAGATTCTTGAGAGTCTGAAGAAGAGTATTAAAGCGTTGGTTCAGTCCCCAAAAACTTTGATGCAAATGTGGAATGTCGAAATAGACAAGTACTTCAAGAATAATTTCATTCGGTAAATCTTCCAAACGAAGGTGCATATCTACAATATAAAAAGACGATAAACTAAAATCCCTTATCCAAAAAGTTGTGCATTTCTACCAAACATACAGATATAAATGTGCTCATCTTACAGAAACCCATCAGGCATATTCTAGTGAATTAACGCTCGTACGTCTTAACGATCTCAGCATTCAATTGGTGAGTCATAGAGCAAAGAAAGTTTGATAAACACAGACTATCGAAAATTAGAGCTATTCGATGTTACTAATAGAAAAGTATTTTTTCATACGATGACGATGGATTATTTTGATTGTTCTTGAGAAGTATTGTAAAGAACAAATAGAGAAACTTCATCTTGAAAAGGGAAGGACGATCAATAGATGTCATCATGTATAGATTCCGATCTGTACAAAATATTTTTCATTTAGCTTTTATGCACTACTTTTTATCGTAAATCACAACTTCAAGTCAAACGATAACATGAACGTAATATCATTCAGTTTGTTTAGAATTTTAAGTCTAATGAAGCGATTTCTACTGGAATATTTCGAACTAAACGATTGACATACATTTATTTCAATTCGGTGGTATAGATTAATATCGATGCTTTCATCAGCTATTGGCAAAATACATATGCCAGAACACTGCATCAATTTGCTTCTTCACTTTCTTCGATACGCTCCCACCATGCCCACGTAAGCAAGCCGGGCTCAGCGCCACGGTATGATCGATGAGGAGCAATGCATCGATATTTCACACCATCATACATCACTTCATCACCTATCTGATAATCAAAGAGGTCGGCTGACCATGTTGTTAAACCAAGTGGTGGACGAGCAGTTGTTGTAGTTGTTGAGAATTTTGACGCAGAATTTGTTGGCGTTGGTGTTGACCACCACGTGGAAGGATTTGTCGGCCACCATGTTGATGGATTCTTAGACGACCATGTAGAGGGATTTGTCGGCCACCATGTTGATGGATTCTTAGACGACCATGTAGAGGGATTTGTCGGCCACCATGTTGATGGATTCTTAGACGACCATGTAGAAGGATTTGTTGGCCACCATGTGGATGGATTCTTAGATGACCATGTAGAGGGATTTGTCGGCCACCATGTTGAAGGATTCGATGATGATGATGAAACGCTTGTAGTAGTAGTCGTACTGATCCTTGTTGGTCTAAAAAAATCGCTGTTGGAAGCTGAAATTAAAGTAAAGTCGATAAACATACGCTGTGGGTATGATAACCATTGGTGGATCTATTGGTGACCCATTTGTTAAAATTGTAATATCAGAGCAGCCCATAAATGTTTCATTTTCTCTTCCGAGACCGGCACCAGACTGACCAGTACTAGGATCTGTACCCCAACTATTACCATCGGTGTGAAGCTAGCACCATCGAGCTAGCACCATCAAACTAAGCATTTTCTGAAAACGAATTCCGGTCGATAAAACCGAGTGTATTCGATGCAGAATTTAATTCTGAGTCCAATGGTGACATTTTTATTCACCGGAAAACGTTCGGAGAAAAATTTTCTTTGATCTTTCTTTATCCATGATACATGTATGTGCATCATTTTCCGACCGTCGGCACGCAATATCTCCGTCCAGAACGAATTCCGGTTCATGGAAAAGAGTCTATTCGACGCAGAATTTGATTCTGCATCGACTGGTGCCACTTTTATTCACCGGAAAACGTTTGGTATGGAGCTTACCTTGATTCTTATTTTTTCGCATATATATATACAAATTTTTTTTTAATTCGAAAAACTTTTTTCCGAACGTTTTCCGGTGAATAAAAGTGGCACCAGTCGATGCAGAATCAAATTCTGCGTCGAATAGACTCTTTTCCATGAACCGGAATTCGTTCTGGACAGAGATATTGCGTGCCGACGGCCGAAAAATGATGCATATACATGTATCGAGGATAAAGAAAGATCAAAGAAAATTTTTCTCCGAACGTTTTCCGGTGAATAAAAATGTCACCATTGGACTCAGAATTAAATTCTGCATCGAATACACTCGGTTTTATCGACCGGAATTCGTTTTCAGAAAATGCTTAGTTTGATGGTGCTAGCTCGATGGTGCTAGCTTCACACCGATACTATTACCAGCTGTGTACTTCCATTGAAAAACACAATGCCGACAAGCAACATGTGGAGGGAGCTGAACGCGAACCGTGATCATTTCCGAACCGTATTTATCAACATCACGAAATCTTGTTGAATCTGTATCTGCAATTTTCAGTAGATGACGATCAAGACATTCTTGAGAGGCATCGGCCGATGGACTAGCGTCCAAGTTACACAAACGAAATTCAAAGTAACCCTTGTGATTTGCTGTTAACTTAAATTCAAAAATTATAACTGATTAGTTTGATTCTGATAGATATTCATCACCACCATAACTTACCACTACTTTTACATCAATCTGTTGACCCTGATTATATGTTTTCACAATTGTACCTTTGTACATAGCTCCACCTTTTTCGAATACTTTAATTGGTTTATCGTAAGCTTCTCCGCATATACTGCACTTTCCATCTAAACAAACATTTCACAATCGATGGCCTTCTTCAGATAAGCATTCAACAAACCATTGACATTCCACTGATGGCCTAAACCTCCACAGAACATTTCCATGTGTTGAGGCCAAGTACAACATTCTCGAAATGAAGAATCAACAAGCCAAGCTGAACTACGAGCAACCGGTTCTAATAAGTATCCGTGTCCGTGAAGCGATACTAAACAGTAGGAGAATAGAATCGTGAGAGCTAACAGCGTGCCCATAGTCTCAGATACCAAAACAGATCTGTCTGTTTATCAAATAGAATTGAAATCCACAATTGATAAAAGTGGAGGAGGACAAAGTAATACACTTGGGGTCGATTTTCAAAACATGATTTTTTATGATTTAAGAGTACAAATATCATAGGACTTAGATTGTAGCTCTATACTAGCAAGTATGAAAAGACGCAAAAATGGTGTCGAATATCGGATTCGTATAATAAGCACAACGTAATTGGTTTTTGTCATATGATTGTGCAAAGACGATTTTTTTTATCTGAGTAAAGTATCATAAAAACATATTCCCAACTAATCATTCTGCCAGTCTTCGGTCAAAGTAATGTTTCAATTATGCCGTACGATTCATCTCGGCTTGTATATGTTGTGGTAAAATGATATTTAATAATCTAAAACGAGCAGCTTTAGCTATTTCATCTGCAGTCTCGTTATTGCTATTGTATAAATAGGATATTATTGAATATGATTACAATTGCCGAAACCTTGTTACAACGTAAAGGACGTATTCTTCTCATTATAAACGACATTATGGTTCTATTTTTTTCTCTATCGAACTGACTCGACGTATCATATTTTTGTTATTGTATACGAAGCAGAACGAGAAATAATGGCCTTTTATTTTATTATAAGAAAGTTACTTTTTATTGTCAAAAGCAACTAGTATTGACAAAAGAACAGATTATAATGATGATATTGATATTGTTTTGTTTTTTGGGTAGGCTGCCTAAGATTTGAATTTCCTACTCTGATAATTTCTATACTAAATAGGACTAATACAATCTATAACATCGATTCAATGTTATACATGCAACCAACCGGGATTTCTCTGTTCAGTACCATTAAATGTTGATGGTGGTGATGATAGTAATGAAAATGATGTCAGCAATCCACATTACGGCTATGGATTTGTTTGTCAAGTAAAGTTATCACGTGTTTTATTTTCCTTGTGAATGAAAACAGAAATTTCGTTCTTTTTTAATTTCTTAGAGTGATCATTATATCGATAATAGAACTGGCGTAGAAAAAATAATCCTACGTGGAATAAAACATTGTGAAGATTTGAATATAGTTAATCATCGCAGATATTGTTGCCATTCAAATAATTGTAATAAATGGTTGCCAAACATGAAAAGACGAGCTTTCATTCCTTCAAATACACAACATAATCGGTCATCAGTGACGCTTATTGTATGCTCCATTGTACTTCTATGCTACTTTTTCTTCTAAAGACTAAATCAAAAACATTTTGTATTTGTCGTTTTTTTGTGTCTAGCAATATATTGATCGGAGCTGTGCTAACTGAACTTTGAATTTGTGAGGATTAGATACGTCAAAGGAAAGATTTTGCTTGTGACATTATCAAGTACATGATTTACAAAATGTAGAACACATAAATCACGGTTTTTAGCTTGGGAATCAGATTCATCTGTTCGGAATGAGGTGATCAGAAGGCAATAAATCATAGCATTCGATATTCATTGGTTCTAGCTGATATTTTCTACTAGTAATACTCGGTAACAAAGAAATGTTCTCATGGATATACTTTGCGCTCAAGTACATTAACAAATGTATTCAATAGAGTATGACTCTGTTTTTTATTTATAGTTGTGCTCTTTTGTTCTTTTCAACAAGAATTCAATCACAACGGGCGTGATCGTATGGCATTAAGTTGGACAATTTCATTCCATGCAGCCTTTAACCGGTTTCGTATCAGGATAAAAAGAAAAGTGGAACATGTAAATCTCGTATTTTACTTTGACCATATTAACATATAGTACGGTCCATTTCTTTCTAAGTATTTGTATAAAAGACTTAAAACGGTGTATTATTGAAACGGCTCACATTATGCGATTAATATGAAAGACACCAGTGAGTCAGAGAAATGAAAATCATGACATAGAAGTGCGCATACCTGTCTATCGTGAGTATCAATCTGATCCTTATCGCAATCAAATAGAAAATAGGTACTTAATCATCGGCCATAACCTTTGACTTTTATTTTTGAATGCGTACGAAAGATGAAAGGACTGCTTTTTATTTGCTTGTTCACATTAGGAAACTACTGATACAATAATCACTGAAGTGTTTTAAATTACAGAAGAAAAGCAATAAAAAAATGGTACGATGCGTTCATTGAGAAAAATCCAACAACATGTAAGATGTTAATGAATCTGAACGCAATTTGTCATACTATTGTCTACATAAACGACTTGTGCGAGGTATGCATCTGAAAACGTGGATTTGCTCAAAGTAATATTGCTCGTCGATACTGTTGTATTAGCATTATTGGATTGAACAACTAACCGAAATGTTAAATCTTGAAACGCATTGCGAACTTCGTCGGATGTATAGTCCAATAAAAAGAAAACAGTACCATTGATAAAGAGAGATGTTGGATGTAGTGAATCACGCTTTCTTCGTCGTCGATTTGATTCTATGCCGTCCCACATGGTTGAAACGACAACATCTATCATCGTATTAGGAAAGAAGTATATCAAATTATAATAAATACTGTCTGCAACAGCTGATTGATTGTAAGATTGTGCTGATATATAATTTTCATCATTTATACTTATCGATAAATGGAAGTCAGATTTAAAAATATTTCGATAGATTGAAGGTTCTTTCGGAAAAGTTGTTAATAAGTCTTGATGTTCTCGCGGCAGTGAATACATTATACTGTTGTAACAACTTATATTAAGACACACAGAGTAACTGTTATTTCCCAACGAGTCATTTGTAGACAAATTATCTTGGAAACTTGAATATTCTTCCATAAAAACGCTAACGTTATAGTTTACTATACCATCGGCGCTTCTCAAAGGTATGTAAGGTGTATAATTTCGAAAAGCGGCTTTAACTTCATTGATTGTAACAGATTGCTTTAGATAGAGTCGACCACTAATTGCGATCACCACCGTTTGCTTTAGTGGAGGGAGTACAGGGGTAGATTCTGTAGTATCCATTCGTTTCTCTTGTGCATTGGAACCATTGAGTATTACAATAGGTTCGTCTGACATATTTGACATCGCAAATGAAAAAAACGTACCCCAGAAGTGATTCTGCATATATCCATACAGATTCCAAAAGAAATACATGCGTTCAGAAAATCGATCATAATATGCTGAAACTTCGTTTTCCGCCATTGGTCGGCCCACTGCTATGGTGATGTTCATTGTAAACAAAGGTGCACATGATGAGTTTCCGTCGCCATTCGATGTAGGCATTGTGGGCGTGTTAGTTCCTGTAGTATTATCCGATACATTAAATGCTATTGTTCTGTTTAGTATGGGATTGGGTGTCACCGTCTGGGTGTTGTTATTGTCCAACGGATAAGGTGTTGCTGTGATATTTGGGATGAGACTGGGTGCCACCGTCTGAGTGTTGTTATTGTCCAACGGATAAGGTGTTGCTGTAATATTTGAGATGGGACTGGGTGTCACCGTCTGGGTGTTGTTATTGTCCAACGGATAAGGTGTTGCTGTGATATTTGGGATGGGACTGGGTGTCGCCGTCTGGGTGTTGTTATTGTCCAACGGATAAGGTAGTATTGTATTGTTACGTATAGGCTTTTCTGGTGCGATATCAGTGCCGTTATCAGATGGCTCTCTTATCTTGTCCGGGAATAACACTGTATCTTTGGGCATCATGGAGTCACTATCAGGATCCACTTCAATTGACGTTAACTTTTTTGCCCTGAACTCTGGTAGTTCATCACCTGTTGTATCCGTGGCAAATGAATACAACCGAGAAAATGTTCCCAGTCTCCTACTAGGTTTGCCATCTCGAGTGATAAGAGTTACATATCGAGAATAATCATCTACTGCTGCTAGGATCTCCACTCCTGTATGATTTTGAGTGAAATAGATGACTCCTTCTACAGCAACAATTGATGGACGATCTTGGATCGTTTCATTCTCGAAAGGGTCAATTAAAAACGGTCGGTGAGTGAACTTCAAAATGATGAAGTTCACGAATGAGGCCGATAAGTTTGACTGACGAAAATGTTCGTTGAGACTCTGGACTAGATCATGTAATGTTGCTTGTTTATCATAAAACCGATCTAATTCATAGTAAAAAATAAGACGATCCAGTGCTACACGAAGTGTTGCTTTGGCGACCTTTTGTGGATCTTCTGCGTTCTTGAGTATAATAGGAATCGCGATGGCTGCTACAGTCACAGAACATATGACTCCAACGACAAGACCTATTGTAGTTATGCGAACGCCTATTAGCGGGTTAAAGGAATCCATAACACGACTGTCTGCTGTGAGTTATGATCGCAAAAGCTTACGCTTACATTTCGTTATATAACCTGAGCAGATACCTGTAAACAAAAATTAATTTCATCTGCTCTGTATTGATGACAGGTGAGTATTTGACAGCCATGATTTTGCATTATACTGATTGGAGAATCATGTTTGCAATTAATATTTTCTATTCGTTTTTCAAAACATCAGAAGCAATGATAAAAATAATTTAAATTAGTTGGAAATATTTTAGTAAACTATGAGTAATTTTTTTAGACTTCTCACCCACGAAGTATATTCGAAAACAGTTATAATTATAAAATATGCAACTCCAGTGCATAATTGGTCGAGCATGAATGCACAAAGTCGGAAGACACTGTCACACATAGGATTGATCTGATCGTTTATTTTTCTTTAATCAAAAAGTAGACAGTGACTCGATTAGACATTATTTTATCAGGTTTTGATCATGCGCCTATATCGAACTAATGCTATACACTTCCTATTCTTTTTCATTGAAATAAAATGTTTATTCCTAGTACATCGAAGACCATACACCCTTCTTAATCTATATACTTCAATGACTCATACCGATGAATCAGCAATTGGAATCAAATATTATCTTTCCGTTATAATATTAGTCATTCATCTCGTGTGACATCTCACCCTGAAATCAACTAGGATGTTTTGATAAAACTCTTCGCATCTAGTCTTACTGCAAACGAGAAAGCATGAGTGACAACAAATCGACTTCTTCTGACTATGAATATGTGAATGAAAATGGAATTGATATTGAACTTAAATGTGCTATCTGTATACAGCCATTTTTATTACCTGTATGTCTTACTATATGTGGTCATACATTTTGCAAACAATGTATTAAGACATGGTTTATTCGAGCCCGTACATGTCCAACCTGTCGACAATATGCAATAAGTTATGTTAAACGAAACAATCGGCTGGTTCAAACATCTCCATACGTTGCAATCAACACTCGAATAGTTACCAATCAATTGGATCATCTCCTGATTCGATGTTTACTCTGTGATGAAACTAATATTCAACGGAGACATTGGCAAATTCATCAGAAACGTTGCGCGAAAAGGACGGTTATATGTCCAGCAGCTGATTTGAAGTGCTCATGGGAAGGCACACGGGAAGCGTTGTTGGCCCATTTAAGTACGTGCACATATTATCAAATGCAACCAGCTATCAATGAACTGAGAAAGGAATTAACAACAGTTCAAGCGGTACAGAACGAATTGAAAACTTCTGTTACTATGTTGGAGAAGAAAATCGAATTTCTTTTGAAATTTATTAATCATGGTCAGATCATGATGACTTCTTGTTCAGAATCAGAAAACGATTGCAAATACAATATTATAAATGATCTCCATCACGTATGGCGATTTCTTTGTAGTATTTGCAATGAATATGTATCACGTGATCAAATTCAGTTACATGCCTGCTCTGGCAATTGCATTTGCCGATCTTGTGTTTATTCTCAGTACTCAAATCACCGTCAAATAAATGAGTTATCAAGTTGAAAATTGAAAAAAATAAGAAACTTCTTGCTATATAGTAACCACGGAGGATGTAATATTTATTCTCTAATAAATAAAATATTAATCCTATGAGATAAGACATGACAAGTCATATAATATGAATGTATAAGGTTTTCATGGGTACTTCCTTCTATATAATTGGGTTCGGATGAGAGATGAGTCATACATTACTCATTGTGATTAGATTATAGATCAGTGTAAATAAATAAAAATTCAAATAGTGCCAGCATTTGTTCAATAGTCTCGCGTAGGAAAGAAGGATACAAATGGTTGATTAAAGCGTTTTCAACAGAAGCGAAAATATAACGAACATGGCATGCCAGTAGGTTCTGTTAATGATCTCCGCCGAGTTATGTGTAATTGTGGTTGTTTGAGTAGTATTAGTAGTAGATCTAGTGCGCGCAGATGAAGCAACACGGACGTCAGTTACATTCATCGATGGTGACAAAGTAGATGATAGAATCTTTCGTGTTACATAGCATTGAGCAATCGATAAGAATATAATCAGTAGATATAGATTGAGTATTGACATCTTCATTGTGAGTTAAGGAATACAAATGAAAAGTAGAGTTTCAATTCAACTTGCTCTTATCAATTATCGAAAGGTTCGCAAGTGAAATACTAAATTCGTAATAGTACGAAAAAGATCATTTTCATTTGTGTCTGAGTCTATTTGATAAGAAAAATACTATTGCGAGAATAAATCAATACGAAAAAATAAGAGTTGTCATTATTCTCGGTATTTACATCAATCTTCTACTGTTTCAAACAAAACTATCACCGAAAATGGGTTCAATTGAATTCTCAAATTGATAATTTTTTTTCATCAATGGACTCGAAATATAATTTCATTGAACGGGAAGAAGGAAAACGACACTTGAAATAGTCGACTTTTCTACTCATCTGATATCATCGTTCGATGAACTGAGAATCCTCAGCTATACCAAAAATTAACGTTAATCGATCATATCAATAACTATTTTACATTTCGGCAGATTTCGCTTTGCATGACTAACGAACGAATCTGTCTGAATACTTCACAAAAACATTTTGAGATAGTAAGAGTTTGATGTGGATAAATATGAGCTACCATATTGATCTCGGTCAGCAACGCACGGTAAGAAAAGAGCATGAAAGGCTACACAAGGAATAGCAGTGAGAAGTAAATATATTAGTAACTGTCACAATGAAATGTTGATGTGAATATTGTACATGTTGAATTTCAGAATCAACTGGATCTTTGCATAATTTTCAATTCATCGTGTGTGTTTGATGCAATGAAAGGGTTAAAGTACAGATAGTCTTCGAAACATTCTCAGGATGCGACAGAAGCTGAGTGTTGAAGTAAAATTCAGTGTCATCGTGAAGTCTTTACAAAGACCATCTATAATTTAACAGCTTCATTAGATCTAATAGGTTAAATCGCTTGAAAATGACATAGAGATTTAATTAGTTTCCGTGTCAGACTTCAACTCTCTTTTAAACAGAGTTGTACGATTCCAAGCATTCTCAGATAATTGTTGTTCGTGACGTACAGACACAACAAGCCTGTGTTTTATTTGTGGTAGTAGTTCAGCCTAATGCATTGGTTACGGTCAACGTAGTAGAACTTGATGTCTGTGTTCCGGTAGTGGTTGTCCCCGATGAGCTAATTGGTCCTATTGTCGTAGTTGCCACAGTGCTAAGTAATGTTACTCCATTTGTACTATCAGATGAGTCTTTGATCGGTGTTAGGAACAAGATTGATTCTTCAGGCACCATGGACTCCTCGTCTGAACTAATGTCAATTGACGTTAACTTTTTTGCCCTGAACTCTGGTAGTTGATCACCTGTTGTATTCGCGGCAAATGAATACAACCGAGAAAATGTTCCCAGTCTGCTACTAGGTTTGCCATCTCGAGTGATAAGAGTTACATATCGAGAATAATCATCTACTGCTGCTAGGATCTCCACTCCTGTATGATTTTGAGTGAAATAGATGACTCCTTCTACAGCAACAATTGATGGACGATCTTGGATCGTTTCATTCTCGAAAGGGTCAATTAAAAACGGTCGGTGAGTGAACTTCAAAATGATAAAGTTCACGAATGAGGCCGATAAGTTTGACTGACGAAAATGTTCGTTGAGACTCTGGACTAGATCACGTAATGTTGCTTGTTTATCATAAAACTGGTCTAATTCATAGTTAACAATAGGACGATCCAGTGCTACACGAAGTGTTGCTTTGGCGACCTTTTGTGGATCTTCTGTGTTCTTGAGTATAATAGGAATCGCGATGGCTGCTACAGTCACAGCACATATGACTCCAACGACAAGACCTATTGTAGCTACGCGAACACCTATTAGCGGGTTAAAGGAAACCATAACACGACTGTCTGCTGTGAGTTATGATCGCAAAAGCTTACGTTTACATTTCGTTATATAACCTGAGTAGATACCTGTAAACAAAAACTAATTTCATCCGTATTTCGTTGATGCAGAGTGAGTATTTGATAACCATGATTTTGTATTGTATTGAATGAGAAATTTTTTTTTCAATTAATATATTCTATTCGTTTTGCAAAACATCAGAAGCAATGATAAAATTAATTAAAATTGGTCGCAAACATTTTGTTACGCTTTCATCGGGTATGCGTATCAAATCAAGACTATACACTTCCTGATCTTTTTCAGTGAGATAAAATAACTATTGACAATCCATTCGACTGTATGCAAAACTACAATCATCTTGCTCTTATCAATCATCCAAATGTTAGCATGGGAGATGCTAAATTCGTAATAATGCGAAAAAGATAATTTTCATTTGTGTCTGAGTTTATTTGATAAGAAAAGTATATACTATTGCGAGAATAAATCAGTACAAAAAAGTAAGAATCGTCACTGTTCTAGAGAGCATCAACAGATGCATTTTGTTCCTTGACTATTTTGACTTGTTCAAATAGCAGATCACGAACTTTGGGTAAGATATCTTGATCCTCGATAGCTGTTTCGTATAATTTGATGAGCACAGCTTCACCTTTGTGTACTTCGGAAACAATTGCTGATTTGTCCCGACCATCAGTAAACCATGCTTTAACATCAATCCATGTTCGATGAGCAGCGGCAAGTGCTGAGCCTGATTTAACACTAAAATATTGCATGACATCACCTTCAATGATATGTAATATTCAACTTACGGTTCAACACCTAGATCGACGCGAATTGAATTAGATAATTGAGAAATGAGATCAGCTCGACTCAATGCAATTTTATCAAAGAGTAATCGCATCGCTGTATCTTTCGTATCGGCAGCACATTGTTTATAACCATCAAACGAATCGTGTAGACCTTCTAAGACGACTTGACATTTTTCTGCGGCTTTGCGACGAAGAGCTGCCGCTTCATCACCAGCAACGTTTGTAGCGAGCGATCCTGTTGCTGTATTTGAGGACATGTCGTTTTTGAAAGGTGAAAGAATACAAATGAATGAATAGATATGAATATGATTTACGAAGTTTGGTAACAACGAATCAATAAATGAGCACGTCTTATGTTTATACAGATGTCGCATGATAATGATATTATTTTCGGATACGTGCGTTATGAAACATCAGCACTATCATTCAAGTATATTTAAAACTGATGAAATCATTGATAATTAGGAAAAAGATTCAATAACAATTAAATACAAAAAAAAAGGATTGCTCATTGATTGATTTCTTTTCTCTTTAGTTAGTTTAAAAAGATAAGAGTCGATTCTATTGGTATCGGTTTCGTTCACTAAAATTGTAATGTCACTGTTCTTGATTCTCGGAAGATTGTCGGAACAAGATCAGCTAACTGCAAGAACGTTTGATGAAGTAAATTCTAAAGAATCAATATTCAAATTAGTTCAAAAGCCAACACACAAAACTTACTTTCGGAACGACCAGTTGAATTGTTGAACATCGATTTGTCCCCCACGTTCCCATCTCCATCATGAAACCTTTCAAGCATTTCAATACCAATTCCGCTCGTTTCAAAACCCACGGTATCGTCATTTCCTATTCATTAAAATACTAATTCGAAATTCATTATCGAACAAGACTTACTTCAGTCATATCGTGTGTTAATAACAAAGGTAATGTTAATGTAGTTATATCATGTTTACAACATTCTTTTAAGATGTTTCGTAGACCGAATATGGCTGCATGTCGTGAAGTAATTTCCGATGATGAGCGTAAAGCACTGTCATTAACTACCAAATGATAGACAACATGAACTTCAGATAGATTTGAATGGCGAGTCATGTAGAAGTCACCGACAGAACACAAATTTTGTTCCTAAATGAAACTGAAATCTCTTCTGTCTAGTTCATCGTCCAGATTTTTTACTTCTAAGGAACCATCGCTTTGTTTACTTGTCATCGAATTGGTATCAAGACTAGCTGAAGCTAACGATCGGGCTTCGTTAGCTTGCTGAAGACATTCTTCAATATTGGATAACTGATGTTCAAAGGATGGAAAATGAAAGTCCGTTGAACGTTCGCATACACTTGCAAATTCTGTAATGGAAAAATAATATATTCTCTCTTGATTATTCAATTTTGCCTACCTTGTTTTACATCTGCAGTCGTCAAACGAATACGTTTGGGAACGAGAAGGACGAGACCGCACAGTACGTTCGAATACAGAGACATCAATGTTTGAAGACGTTGTGGTTCAACTAAAATCTTATTACTATTGAAACCAAACATACGAGTTCAGCATTCTACTACAGTTTGATCATTCTTACTCTTTCTTCGATGTTTTTATACGGCAATAATCAAGCATATCACAGCGGATCAATCGTAAGTTATACATTGATTTCAATTGCGCACCTAAATTCAACAAGTGATCAATTGGAGAAAGAAAACAGAACCTCACAAACCAAGTTGTACAGTGTAACTGGTTTCCAAACGACTTTCATGTGGTGCTAGATCAGACACAGCAATCATCACTGATAGAGGTGATGAAGGAATGCTAGTTTGTCGTGCATTTCTAAATAGAATATACAGATCTCAAAAGTTTTTGAACATTTGTTTTCTACAAACGTTTTCGCATGAGTAGAATGCTGCAAACTATTTGATACTAAACTTTCTTCATATAATTGCATAACACGATCCTTGAATTGTTGTTTCTGATGGTCTTTCGACGCAGTTATACTACTATTCCATCGTCCCTCGACTGACTAGACGAAAAGCTTCGTTTTTCAAGCAAAATACCTCGTTTTTCCTCTACCTGTTTATCTTCCATATGTTTCTGAGCAAGATTTCGAACATAGACATCAGGATATTTATTCGTCGGTTCGTTAATAACTTCTTGCATCTCCCGATGATGTCTAAAACCGAATAGATCAGCGACATAAAAAAAGAAGCGAATTTGTACAAACTTAATATCTAATTCTTGTAATTGTTTATCGCGAAGTTTTAGCATCTCCTCGATTTCGCTTTGATAGATATATTCAAGTTGAAGAAGTATTTCATAATTTGTTCCGGTATGAAGAACGTTCTGAAAGGCGTTGGAAAAGATTTGTTCATCACTCGGGCGTTCCTGATGATGTGTGTAAGCTTTGAATTCCTATTGAAAGAGGAGAAATCGATCCATAGCAAATGAGAACATGAGAAAAATGGTACTTGGACGAGTTTGAACCATTGATCAAGAACAGTTTGAATTTCCAGTTGACCTTTGATTAAAGGTTCAATGGCAAGTTGAGTGATTTCATCTGCAGCTAATTGGATTTGTTCATCGAAAAACAGTCGAAGCGCTTGTTGAAGTTCTGAACAGAACAAAAAGTTCATTTATCAAGAAACTATCTGTGAATGATAACTTACTCGGAAAAACAAAAACTGGTAATTGCCATTGATCTATCAAATGGTATGCATGCTCATCGATACATTTCGTATTAGGAATATTCAGTAAAGTCGTATGATTTGAGTATGTGAATGGAACTTGTTTACCCATTGAATTCAATCTGAAAAAATAGTTCGAAATCTCTCTCTTGACAGACATGTGTGTGTGTGTGTATGATTCATCGATCGAGGTTATTTGTTCGATGTGATTTTTATAATTTTTTCTGCAAAAATTTTTCGTCCACTCGTTGACGAAAAACCACATTTGTTGTTGTAAAATGTTTCATATCCAAAAGCGACATCTACAAAGAGTGTGATTTTTTTTGAACAATGACATTCGATAAATAAAATTGTATTCCAAAGAAAAACTTTCTTCTAATAAAGAATTTCTTAATTTTCTCATTATTTTTTTTCTTTGAAATTTTAATTGAATTGATAACATAAACAAATAAATATTCTCAGACTGTTATTGTTGTTGTTTTTATCGTATACATTGTCATGTTTATTTTTGTCTTTCTTCTATCTCTTCTTAGCGTGTATGATGTATATAGATAAAAACGAATATAAAAGAATCGACCTAAATCGTGGTTAAGCAAAAAACATCCATAGTGATAATATCCATTCTTATTTCTCTCGTCTTTTTTTTTGATATCCGTTGCTTTTCCGCTTGATCGAACAGATTTTTTTCTCGAAGGTACTATACTCTGTGATTGAAAAGGTTATTTCTATATTTTCTTATCAGGAATGAGTTCCTGCAATCAAATGTAAGTATTCACCTTTGAAGTGTTATTTTCCTCGAATAACTAACCGAATTCCATTCGCTTTTGTTTGAAGGTGTGAAAGTTCTTTCTTTTTTTCTTGTTTTCAGACATAATGGGTTGTACAGGTACGAAAGCAAGCAAAGCTGAAGGTGATATCGATCGTTACCATGTGGAAATTCTGAATGCCGCACAAGGAGATGATGTCAGACGTCTTAAAGAAATCTTCGATGAATTGGATAAACGTAAAGCGACAACAACTAAAAAAGAAGTGCTTAATATGGGTACGTATAACAAAAGATCGCCTTTTCTTTGTTTTGTATTCGTTCATAAGTGTTTTCTATGCTATCAAACTCTTCAACTAGGGCGTGATCATTGGACTTTTCTTAGTTATGCTTATTCAATTCAATCTTCCACCTTCAGAAGAGTTTCCTTCCTTTTCTCTTTCTTCTTCTTCATCAACACCGTATCTTTCGCCTAAATCATTCGCGGATATAAGTCCACACGTAGCTACCAACTGGACAGAACAAGTGTTATCACAAGCATTACCGTTGAATGACTATCCACGTCCGCATTTACGACGTCAAACATGGTTAAATCTCAATGGACATTGGTTATTCGCGACAACCGACCTCAATGATACATTTCCAGTCCAATTTGATCGACTGGTTCGCGTTCCTTTCCCTGTTGAATCCTATTTATCAGATCTTGATGAATATGTCGATGAACACATGTTCCTCTGGTATAAACGAATGTTCAACCTACCATTTGCTTCACAATCACGCATTCTTCTACATTTCGATAAAGTCGATTATGAAACCGTTGTTTACATCAACGACAAACTCGTTGGGATCAGACATTGTGGAGGCTATGACCCGTTTTCTTACGATATAACCTCGTACATTCATTACGAAGATTCAAATGAGATCGTCGTGCGTGTTTGGGATCCATCCGATCATTGGCATCAAGCACGAGGAAAGCAAATGTTAGATGTCACAGAACGCAACTCAATCTTCTATACACCTTGCTCAGGTATATGGGGAACTGTATGGTTAGAGCCTGTTCCCGATGTATATATTAATCGTGTACAATTTCAAACAAAAATATCGACGGAAACAGTTCACTTGAACTATCAAGTTGATCTTTTTCTCCCATCGATGCATTCGAAATATGCTTTTATCGAATACGAAGACGATGCACGAGAATTGTTGGATGTTGCCTTTGAAAAACCATCACAAGAATCGATGAATAGTGATTACCAGCTGAAAATCCATATCTTCAAAGCTAATCATGAACATTTCCATACTTTAACCACACGGCAAATCAATCAAAACAATCAGTTCGTTTTCTCTCTATCTGATATCAACCTTTGGTCACCTGAAGATCCCTATCTATACCATATACGTATTGATTTATATCGAAAAACAACATTAATTGATCGAGTCACCAGTTATGTTGCATTTCGGCAGATTTCGCTTTGCATGAAAAGCAAACGAATCTGTCTGAATCACAAACCATATTTCATGTTTGGTGTTCTCGATCAAGGCTACTGGCCAGATGGCTTATATCGTGCGCCAACGGACGAAGCGTATAAATATGATATAGAACAAATGAAAAAGCTGGGTTTTAACACTTTACGAAAGCACATGAAGATTGAAACATCAAGATGGTACTACTGGTGTGATGTACTAGGAATGCTAGTTTGGCAGGATATGCCTGCGGGTGATTCGTATCAAGGTTATGAAATTGAATTTGAGCAAGACAGGCAATTACGTTTACATCGAGATAATCGAACGAATGGTCTGCCAACGAAGTCTTCGATGAATGAAGATACGTCCGCTCGTCGGAAAAAGCCCTTATACCGAGAATACCCATCGAAAATTCGGTTTGAAGAAGAATTACAAACCATGATTGATTTTCTTTCATTCCATCCATCGATTGTCATTTGGGTTCTATTCAACGAAGAGTGGGGCCAATATAACACGGTTCGTCTAGCTAAATGGATCGAATCCTACGATCCAAATCGGCTAGTAAACGCAGCTAGCGGTTGGCAAGATCGTGAAAATGTGGGTCATATGCGAGATATTCACGATTATACTCGTAATATACTCTTACCAACGATTAATGACTCAAACCGAGCATTAGTTCTTGGAGAATGCGGTGGGTTCGGCCTGACCAAATCTGGATGGAGCTACAATCAGTACCCTGATGAATATTTACTAACATACGCATTTGAACAACTCGTTGTTAATCTCTCCGGACGTCTATCGGCAATGATTTATACTCAATTATCCGATGTTGAAAATGAAAAGAATGGAATGCTGACTTACAATCGAAAAAGACTGAAACTCCTTTCCGAGCATGCAAATCGTGTGCTGAAACATGATTTCTCTCGTTTGTATAAACTTGAATACGTATGGAATTTAACCTCCATTCCATTGACTAATTACACTCGACTATCTCTAAAGCCTTCATTTCATTTGATGTTAAACCCGAATAATATTATGTCGTCCATGTTTTACTTCTACACATGTTACTTGTACTCACTTGTAAATATCAACATTAATAATCACTTTCAATTGATTCTTAATCGCACACATGATACTCTCGATTACTATTATATACCTCTACCACTGAATCTCTTTCGTAATAACCGATTTAATCAACAGTACTCTCTTGGTATTGAAGTATCTTATGAGCCTAATACTAATGATAATTCATCATATATCTATTTGAATCGAACATATTTTGATTTACATCTTGTAATGCTTTCCAAATAACCAGTTTTGATCTTTTCTGTGTGTGCGTGTGCGTGTTTTTTCGATTAAAAACAACAGCTGTTGGTATATTGATCAAAACCGACATCCTTTTTGTCTTTTTCTTTCAGGTTATCGAGAAGCAGACGGCTTGACAGCTCTGAGTATAGCAGCTGGAAAAAAGCACAAAACACTAACTGAAATTTTAGCTAGTGAGTACATGCAATACTTTCGAGTTAAAACGAATGCCATGAAATGATTTTGTTTTGTTTTCTTCAATAGCATGTCCCGAAGTCGACGTCAACAAAGCATCATTATCCGGTATTACACCATTATTAATGGTCGCAGAAGTCGGCTGGCCCGATATACTTGATATTCTATTACAACGGGGTGCAGTTGTTGACTCAGCACCATCTGGAAAACGAGCGGAAGATAATAAAATCGCGGGTTCAACACCATTAATTGGTGCAACAAAATACAACCATCCCGAATGTGTTAAACGCCTATTAGCACACCATGCTAATCCAAATCATCAAAATCAATCGGGTATATCGGCATTGATGTTAGCAGCAGAACAAGGTTATTTCGACTGTGTTAAATTACTTGTACAAGCTGGTGCCGATTTGGAATTAGCACCAAGTGGTAAGTTGTCTTTTGTCTTATTTAGCTATTGATAACAATTAGAACTACACTGAGTTGGTGCTTCTCATTAGGAGTTTATTCGATAATCAGCGAAGTCGTCGTTTCTCTTTTCCGGTGATATTCGATATCATTCCCGGTGAGATGACGGTTAGAAAAAAAAAACAGAATTTCTATCCGATTCTGTACGAAACAAAAGATCGATTTTGATATTTTATAGGACAATTAGCTTTAACAATGAACTTATGTGGTCAAACACCATTATTCTGTGCGGCGAAAGAAGGTCGAATAGATATAGTGAAATATTTATTAGATCGTGGAGCTAATCCTCGTGTACAAAATCATTATGGTGTCAGTGCATTATGGATTCCAGCACAGAAAGGCATGTTACAAGTTGTTGAATTATTATTGAATGCCGGTGCTGATACGCATGTTGCACCATTCGGTAATCTCGCTGATGAACTAAACATAACCGGTTGGACTCCACTTTATGCGGCGATGAAATCTCGAAAATTCGATGTAGTGAAACTACTTCTCAAACGTGGTGCCGATCCAAATGCAGTGACCAAACTGGGTTCAACACCGTTCTTACTAGCGTCAGAAATATGTGATTTAGATATAATTGAAGCATGTGTTGAAGCCAATGCAGATCTGGATTTTGCACCAAGTGGTTCAGATGCTGATAATTTGAACATAACGGGTCAAACAGCACTTTTCATGGCAACACTGAAAGATCGTGTTGACGTTGTGAAATTTCTCATAGAAAAACACGCACAAGTTAATGTACAAAATCGCTATGGTGTTTCTCCATTACTTCTTTGTGCCGAATCGGGAAATTTTGAACTTGTACAAGCACTTGTTGAAGCGGGCGCTGATGTGAATATCACACCACAAGGTGATCTAGCCGAAGAAAATTTTCTCGCCGGACAAGTATGTATTGTTGATGTATTTGAAATATGAACTCATTTGATCTATTTCGTTTGACAGACGCCACTTTTCGGTGCAGCGAAGAAAGGTCACGTGGAAATTTGCCAATATCTAATAAAAAACAACGCCGACGTCAATGCTGTAACGATGGTATATTTTGAATTTCAAACCAAAAAGATCAATTGAAGTTTTCACATTCTCATCGATTGTTTTAGACGGGCGCCACACCATTGTACACGGCAACCGAAGAAGGACATTTAGAAGTCGTCGAACTCTTGATTCGACATGGTGCCGATGTCAATCGATCACCACAAGGACAAGTGGCACGTGATCTTCATATTGAAAATCAAACACCTTTATTAATTGCATGCATGAGAAATCATGAACCGATCATTCGACACTTAATTGAATCTGGTGCGAATGTCAATGTAACATCGGAACGTGGTTCATCACCATTTCTCGCCATTTGTCAGCATAATAATGTTGAATTAGCACGATTACTCATTCAACACGGCGCACGACATGATGTCGAAGCTAAGAATTTATACGACGGAAAAATCAATGGATTGATTGTTGCTGCAGAATCGGGCTCATTCGATATCTTACGTTTGCTAGTCGAGGCCGGTTTAGATGTTAATTACAAAATTGAAGGAAAAGTAAGATCATAGAATGACAATGGAACGAATTGATTCTATTCGAGAAATCTTTTTTTTTATAATCTAGGGCGAAACAGCAGGTCGTACACCATTATTCTGCGCGTGTGCAAAAGGCTTTCAAGATATTGTAGAATATTTAATTGACCGAGGAGCTGATGTAAATGGAACAGAGAAGGTAAGTTAGAAAAACTAAAGTTGACAAATTTCTAGTGTATACGATGATGATGACTTTGTTTTAGAGTGGCCTTTCATGTTTGCACATTGCGGCAGCTATGGGCCATGCCGACACCGTGCGAATCTTATGCGAACGCGGTGCCAATGTTGATCAACAATTTCGTTTCGAAGAACAAGATGTCACAGCCTATGATTTAGCCGAATCTCAGCAGCATGATTATGTTTGTCAAGTTCTTAAGAATTTCGGCGCACGACAACCACCACATAGTACATTGCCCAGCCATGTAGAACCTAATAAATAAATCAACAAAAAAAATCTATTCCTTTTTTTCTTTTCTATATCTGTATATCTTCATACAACGTCATCCCGTTGTTCGTACTTTATTTATTCTTCTTATATCTTTTTTTTGTCTCCTTGATCGACGGTTGCTCTATATGTCTCAATCTTTTTTTCTCATTTCCTCGTTTTGTGCGCCCAATTGTGTGTAATTTTTTTTGTCTCTTTTCTTCTCCTCTATATTGTCTCTTATGTTCGCCTGTACACGAGCTCACATTTTCTTTCTCTCTTTTTCAATATCTGTGTTCTTTTCTTCTTTATTGAGAAATTCCTACGTGTGCGTGTGTGTAACTAGAGAAGGAGAGTTATTCTAGGAATAAAAAGTGAACAAAATAGTGTGTATCTATGTGTGTGTGCGTGTGAAAAAAAAAACAAACGATAGATTCATTTTAATTTTACTTTATTCAATATATACATATACATATATATTACACAAAAGGCAAATATAGTGAATCAACTTTTACTTCAGATTAAGTTGATCGGATTCAACAACGAGAATCGAATGCAACGTGAACATAACCGTACTCTAACAAATTCATTCGGATAGATGCATTCTGTTCCTTGCAACAGAAGACAATCCGAAGCAGATATTTTTAAGTGTTAGAACAAGCATATACTCATTGATCTGTGATAGAATGACCTTTTCACCTTCTTTACGTTTAGTGTTAACTTTTGTATCTATTATAAGGTTGTTTGATGAAAAGTTCGAGATAATTGTCCTTCTTTATGACATATTCTAATCAATGATGACATGTCATTATCATACGAGACTCAATGGAGCCCAAAAATATTGGCAAATGTGAAGGAAAGATATTGAAAAGTCATTTCAGATCATGCATCAACGATTGTTTTTCTTCGTATCTCGTATTCCTTCGAACAAGATAACTTCTCGTTCAATCCAAACGATGGCAGATGGTAAACACTATGAGATTTTCATCTTGAAGTCACGCATTTTCTCTGCCATTAGTTCGAAAAGGCTTACAAGCATTAGTTGGTGCTCAACTCGTTTTCGGCCATGGCAATCAAAGTGGAAGTCATGCTCAATTAACGGATCAAATAAGTGTCAGTTCAAATTTAACTCCGCGAACTATTGCTGAAAGTTATGATGAAGCTATCATTCCATTAGGTAGATGACAAACGATCATATTTCTCATTTGTTCTTATCGTTGTTAATTAGCATCCGATATCAAACTACGAGAAAGATATGTTAATTTCGAAAACAAAGTACGATTTGGACGAATACTCGAAGATCTCGATACAATTGCTGGTACGAGAAAAATGTCCAAAAGAAATTTCCTATTTTGTTTCTCTACAGTTCATATTGCTTATAAACACAATGCTCCGCAGTTAATTCAATCAATCAATGTCCATCCATTAGCAATTGTGACTGCAGCTGTTGATCGTATCGGTAAGAATAAATCCATACTTTTTACAAAGAACTTATGTCGTGAGTTTTCTCTTTTCCTTAGAAGTGGCAATACCACATATGAATATTACGCGAGATGTTCGTCTCAGTGGTTTTGCATCATACGTAGGCAAATCATCGATGGAAGTGACGTTGAAAGTTGATCAAGTATGTCTTTGCACTGAATTGATACGTGCATTTGAAGAACGAAACTTTAGGAGAATAACGGCCAGTGGGAACATGTGCTTCATGCGTTCTTTGTCCTTGCTGCTCGAGATCCGCGTACGAAAAAGTAAATCTGACTTTTTTCATGCACTTTATTAGAAGCAATGTCGACTGTCATTAAAAATAGATCGGCCAAGATGAACCCATTGGCAGCATCGAATGCAAAAGATACGGAAATTATCAAAACGGGAGAGCGTATGAGTTGAATGATCGCTCGATACAAACTAAATTGATCTTTTTAGTTAATCGTCAACGTCGTCTAAACGAACAAGATCGGTCATTGTTCAAGATAGCACCCGATGTGACTGAGAGTTCACTTGTTCATGATCTTTTTCTCAAGACAATCACACCGAAGTAAATCTTCGATTTGGTAGATCATTTCGATAAGAATGAAATGTATTTCTAGCGCATCTATATTTCGAACAAGACCCTTAGTTGAAAATTGCATGTGGATGGATGAAACTACTTTACGAACAATGCATATTGGCCATCCAGAAGTAAATTTCATTCTAACTCTCTCTCTCAATTTGGCTTTTGTTTACTTAGCAACGTAATCTCTACAATAAAATCTTCGGTGGCTACTTAATGCGTAAATCTTTTGAATTGGGTTGGACAACGGCAAGTTTATTTGCGTAAGTTTCAGTTTGTCAGCTTTCCTTGACACATCTTTCCTTTCCGGTTTAGGAAACAATCGTTAAGTACACTTGCCGTTGATGATATTATGTTTCAACGTCCTGTGGAAATCGGCTCACTCTTATTTCTATCGGCGATGGTTGTTTATGTCGAAGGAAACAAAATTCAAACACGTGTGCATGCTGAAGTTGTTGATTTGCATACCGCGAAGCGCGAAACCACTAATGTCTTCTACTTTATTTTCAAAACAAAAGATAATTCGCCGTTACAGACAAATGTAGTACCAAAAACATATGCTGGTAAGTTGATCATGATTAAAGAAAGCATTACCAACACTGAATTTCTCTCTTTTCTTCCAGAGGCAATGATGTATTTGGATGGCAAACGACATCTCAACTAAACTGACTCTGTTTTGTAAATCCATTCTGCGTTTTTTAGGCTGAATTTCGAAATAATAAAAGTCTAGTACACATATATATTTATATCAACAAACAACCTGCTTCGATGTCATTTAAGTCATGACCTTGATCTATTAGTTATCTGACCCATGAATGAATATCAATTGCTGAAAATTTTCTTTTTATATAACTAACGAAGAAGAAACTATTATCACACAGTGCGGATAGTTGATGAACGTTTATGTATACATACACACAGCATGACAAATGCATTCGAATCAAAATAGCTGATATCTATTAATGACAGGGTTAGAGACATTCGAAAAGAAAAATCTCGTGATTTAAGCTTCTGTTATAGGAGAGAAATAAGCAATATTGAGCTACAGGGTCATTGTCAATTATTCTTTCTTTCGCAATATCGCAATAAAACGGTGTCTCATTCATACAGCAATATTTAGGAAAAAACAATTGTTTAGTGCTATCATTCTTTTTTCTTCTCTCTCGCTCTCCTTCGTCTATATTGTAGGATAAGCCAAAGAAAGAACTATCCTTCGATGCTGATGCTTTCTTTCACTGTTCTCTCCATTCATTTGCATGGTGTTGTACATAGCCAAGGACAAGAAACCGTCGTTTAGTTCTTCCTTTTTTTGCCATTATTTATCTCTCTTCTATTTTTTTTCTGGCATTACCGATATTGGCGGGTATTGGTACTATCTACTACCCAGGCCAAACGAGCGAGTAACAAACAAACAAAAAAAAAGAAACGTCGTCGTCGTTGTCGTCCTCAGTCTGTATGTGGGAAGAAGATACAAGTATATCAGTCGACGTCTGACCTGAACTACAGAAAAATCCAATGAGTAAAGTTTTTATCAGTCGACCAGATGGAACTGTTTCATGGGGATTTCGACTTCAAGGTGGCTTAGAATATAATGAACCATTGACAGTCACTAATGTAAGTTGTCCTAATGAAAAAAACAACAATAACGACGACAACATCGATTGATTATTGCTTATAGGAACAGAAAATAGGATAATAACAATAAGATTTTCAGAAAAATAGAGTCTTATATTTCTACAGACAAAAAAAAACAAATGTTTATCAGTCTGGAAAAGATAAAAATATGATTTTAATTTGTTAGATCGTCCCGGAATCTCCTGCTGATGGTAAACTCGATCCCGGCGATATGATCACGGAAATAGCTGGTAATAATGTTACTAATATGACTCATCGAGACGCTCTTGATCTTATCCAACGTTGTGCAAACGCACTTTTTCTCACTGTTCATAAGTATGCATATTCATATATCAAAATATTCTCTCATCAGGTTGTTGCAGAGTTGGCTATGCTTATCCGCCTGGTGGATCACAACCTCGTCCAGCTCCTGTACAATCGATGTGGAAGCCAGGTGGACCTCCACAGTCACAGCCACAACCACAACAATACCAACAGCAGTATCCCCAGCACCAACCACAGTCACAACCGCCACCTTCATCAGCTTACTATCAGCAAGATTTCCAACAGCAACCACCCTATTACCAACAGAACTATCAACAGCAACCACCTTACTATCAACCAAGTTTTCAACAACAACAGCAACAACCTTCTTATTACCAACATGATGCTCACTATCAGCAACAGCCACCCTATTATCAACAACAATCTCAATACCAACAGGATTTCTACCATCAGCCCCCACAATATAACTATGGTCAACCACAGCAGCCAATGTTCAATGCTGCTCCTCCAACTGCAGCTCCATCAGTCCCTCCTGCTCCCCCCCCACCCCCCCCCCCCCCCCCCCCCCCCCCCCCCCCCCCCCCGCCCCCTGCAAACATCCCACCACCACCAATTTTCGATGCTGATCTTATCGCTAATGCAGCTGCTTCACTCAAAAGCCGACCACCAACTACCGAAACTCATTCATCATTCGAACAGACAACAGTAATTCGTTGTTCAGTTGAATATTTCTGATCGATAATTTCTAACTTTTCTCAAGGAAACGGCAACTATTCCTGCAGCACTTGCCAAAAGTCTCGGACGTCCTGGCGGGCCTAAACCATTCACCTACACACCAGGTGGTCTTGATCTCTCGAAAATACGTGAATCAGCACGTGTGAGACGGTAAGATTGCATCATCAAGACATTTTTCTTTCTAACACGATCACCGATGACAGATCGTGGTCGCACATATATGCGCTCGAGCTTTGAATATATTCCTACGCTTGTCATCATCTAATCAAGTGAGAATCAAAGAGATCAAGTCTATTGAATAGGTGTGAAATCTTTTATCTCAAAGAAAAGTATACAACAATGAACTTGACCATTTTGCAACCTTTTTTTTTATAAGATTACGAGCCTGATAACCTTGTTGAAAGTATCTACTTCACTCTCATCATTTTAGTCATCGTGAATATATCTCAAATAGCGAAGAACCTAACGATACACAAGACATAGAACCAACAATGAACCGTCGAATGGTGTCTCCAGCCGAACAATACACACCACAAAATTCTTCTCATGCATTCAATCAATCTCGTCAACAACCGACACAACAAAAGAAACATATTCAACATGATACCGATGTGTGAGTATCTTTACATGAAGAACAAAGTCTTTGTTGTTCATTCGAAAGCATGTCTCTCTCTCTCTTTAGAGTGACTCAATCACGTTCGTTTCAAATGCTTCAAGGTTGGATTTCTGATAGTGAAAAAACTGTTCCAACAGCAGTTCCACCACCATCGCAATCACACTCACAACCACAATCATCATCGCCGTCATCATCAGCAACGGCAACAACATCTGTAGCCGCCACGGCAGCAGCAACGGCAGCCGCAGCTAAATCAGCAGGTTTGTCTCTGACCTTTTTCTTTGATTATCATCGTTGAGAATTACCTTGAGCACATGTCTTCAACGAATGTCACAAAGCGCAACTTACAAATGATACATATTGTTACAGAATAATGAGATAATCTGCTACTGTTCACATTTCCGTGAACAAATTCATGCACTGAAATTCGACCATTTCATGTTCGTGTCTCTCATATGAAACTCCAGTAGTAATCAGTGATTGAATTCTTGGTCGACCTGCATCTCTTGACAAGCATAACATCTTTCAGTGGCCTTATTTCCATATTTTAATGTCAGACGAAGGACACATTAAACTCTGTTGACTATTCATCGTTCTAACCTTGACGTGACTTTCAACAATGTTGCTGTTCATTGTTTTTCTAGTTGCACGAGCTGTTCTTGAAGAACAACAGATGGGTAATCGCAGTCGACATGGCAGTAGTTCTGGTCCAACATCAAATCTTCCGTCTCGATCATTTCGTTACCTACAAGAACAATACAGTACGAACAATGGTGATAATAATGAAACGACGACGACGACAACCACAACCACCGTGGAAGAAACTGTCGTAGCAGGCGAAGGTGGTGTTGGCCTTCGACGTGGTAGCGATGGACATATGCCATCGCGAGCGTTCAAAATTCTGCAAGATCAATACGATGCACAACAAGGCGTTGTTAATCGAACTCAAGCAGTTAATAATCGAGAAGATCTTGCTGAAATTTATAATAAGCGTAAGAGAAAAGAACAAGCCTTGATTTCATTGTCAAGTCTATGCTGAGAAATTTTTAGCACCACCCAGTTTTCGGGAACGCGAACCTGAAGCACCACGTTATGCCGGATCAACCGTTCCATCTCGTTCATTTCGTTTTCTTCAAGCAATGACACAAGGCGACCAACAAGACAACTCAGCATCCATACCTGGCTACAACCGACCCCAACAACTAATGAACAAATACGATGAACAAAACTTTTCGAATGCAAACAAAATCAATACACATCCTTCACGTTCATTCAAATATTTACAAGAAATGACAACTGAACAGCCAGCCGTTATGGCAACAATGACAACTGTTACTCGAACAGGTTGGATTTTTTTTCTTTTTGACCGAAACTCTTCTTTCTAAACCATCTTATTTTCATAGAAAGAAGAATCAGTACGACGAACAACGGTCAACCATTACAAATGAACGTAGAAATTCAACAATCTCAACCAACGTTTCAAATCAGCACGACAAGTTCAAGTGCCTATCCAGATGAGAATGTCATCGATAATCTATCTGCTGAAATAGCTGCAACAGACTTTTAAATGATTTTTGCTCTAACCGGTTTCGTTTTTCTTCTTTTATCCCTTTTAAATAATTTTTAGAGTTTTGTTTTTCTTTACGTTTCATATTGCTAACATAACATACACTTTTTTATTCATTTCTATTTATCATTTCTCTATGTTCTTTTCATCAGGAAAGTATTTACTTGAATATGAATTAAAGAAAGCAGAAAACAAATCTTCAAATAAATATTTATGTCCGTCACTCTATCTCTTTGACATCCAATGAAAAAAATCATATTATCACACCATCGTAAAACACATTAATCTTGACAATAAAAGAAGACTTTGATGTATATCGATGTTTTCGACAGATAAAGAAAAAACATTCTTCTGACTTCATCTTACAATCATTCCTATAGCTTCTCTCTTTCAACCAGATTTATTTATCGTATATCCAGTCGAACTTGCTCTTTGCGGTTAACCGTGTGTATGTGTCAGTCCATGTAAACGCAGAATAATTCATAGATGTTCTCAGGGGACATATTTATCTATCCATATACCTATCCTTTAAGATTTATATCTCGATAGAACCGTCTCCTATGACTAATCATTATCCGATTACTGATCTACTTTTTTCTCTTATGTTTACAGTCGAGAAAAAACACGTTAACAATCGCTTGTTCACAATCTGCTTATGACCAATGTCGAATCTATTCGTTAAATTGAGCATCTTATCTTGAGTATCTCTTGTCTGGAATGGAAAATTTTTGAATACAAAAAGTTTATTGAATTTCATAGAGGAACTATCGAAACTATACATATGGCTATCATAATTAGTCGTTTTCTGCTTTGCTTCATTGAATTATCGGTACAGTTATGAATCGTACGACTACGTCATTGTGTATGGCTGAAGTGAGCAATGACGTCAATGGCGAACGTCATGTTCCTCTTCGGTTTTGTGATTACAAGGCTTTATTTTCTCTTCTTTGCACTAACCTTTTGCGAACAGTGATTGCCAACTCGAATAAGTTTTCTATGCCTAGTTTCGGTTAGAATCTTTTCATCAAATATTATGTCTAACTGTGCCCGTAATGTTAATCAAGCCACAAAATTGATCGGCTCCGAAATATTAGTTTACTTTGACTGTTGGTAATCATGTTTACACACTATTGATTCGAATTAGATGAGCATCTCGTTGACTAGCGACCTCAACCGAAAGAGGAAATATTTTCGCATGAAAGAAAATTATCTTGAATACTTTTTCTTCACTATAAATGTAGATATTACAAGTCAAACAAGTATTTTTCAACTCAAAGCACCATCTATAAATAAGTAACTGGTTTATGATCGCCATAAACAGATCGAGTTCATAAAGACTCGTTCTTTCGTTCCATTCATATAAAAATATCTCTACTTTTAGGCATAAATGAACATTTTCCAATGGTAGAAGTAAATCATTCTTCATAAGTTCGTATTTTATATTTGAGATCAGCAAGAAGCTTTAGATAAGTTGCCTCAATGAGTATAAGTCACCAAAAAAAAGAAATCTATTCGAGCGGAAATAGAACCAATGCTAGTCGTCGTTATAGTGTATTGCTTATTTCCTGTATGCATCGATCTGTTTTGTTTTCTTCAGATTGTGATTAGATTTCATCTTGAGTTTTTCTTCTTTCTCTCTTTCTCTCTCTCCTCATGTGTATTTAGTATCAATAATCATCTTCGATTGTATTCTGTCAATAAGCTCGTGTATTGGTCTTCTTAAATAGACATACAGCGATGATATGATAAGCGATTTTCATCTTGTCAGAAAAAAGGATTTTCTCAGATGTCGTCAACAAAGAGTTCGACATTCCGATCAACGGAGTCAAAGCAAACGCTCGTTCGCTAGAAGAAGGAGAAAAATGGAAAAAGAAGAAGACGAAGGGAAAATCGAGTTCCGTTTCCATTCCTCCGAACATATCGTCACCAGAGAAAAACTCAGTCGCAATGAGAACGCCATGGAAGAAGAAGAAGAGAAAAATGTATTGACGATTGAAAGAGCAAGACGACGTACCCACACAAAAAAAAAACGAGTGCGAAAGAAAAAAGAAAGAAAATGTCGACAACGGGAAAAACAACAACAACCACTATCATCACCATTAACCTAAAGAAATGAGAAATTACAGGAAGGATTAGTAGCCAAGTCACGATTCTGCTCTTGTCAAATAAGGAAATAAAAAGAATATTGTCTGACTGTACAAATGTTTACAAAAAAAATCCCCTGGGTAAGATGACAATGAGTATTTTTTCATTCAAATTATTATCTTTCTAATCATTGGAGAATAGATGAATGGGCGTCTCTTTTTCTTCTTCTTTCTTTCCTTCCCATTTTATTATATTTATTTAGGAAAAAAAAATAAGTAAATTTTATATGCAAATAGAAGAAAGTTGTTTTTTGTCAGAAATCTTCTGCACTGGTTCATTAAGCACGTACACAGATACAAGACTCATTTTCTAGTTGTTATGCTGATATTATCATCGCATTACTACTGCACTCTATCAGCAGTAAAAAAAACGCACGTATACATTAGTCATTGCCTCGCGAAAAATGTTTTCTTTTCTTTTTTTTTCATGGAAGTACATGTGTGTTGGTACGTTTGTCTATTTTCGTTGGATTATACGAATGCATTGTCGTAAATGCATTTTCGTTCTATTCGCTCTACGCCTTTGTTGTGATATGGCTAAGATTGAGAAAGAGAGGGAGAGAGAGATAGAGAATTAAATGAAACTAAGAGAAAGAAACTCAGTAGGTTCTTTTTTTATTTTCCTCGTCGGCTTCTGAATGTAAGAAAAAAGGAAGAAGTAAAAATGAGTGATAGTGAAAAATAATAACATGCCATTAATAGTTATTATCTGAATATTATTCATTTCTGTCGATGATAGTTGCTCGTTCTTGTTCAGAGACGAAGAAGAAAGCGAGCAGAAAAACACGCTAATTGTATATTTGGTGTTAACACCTGTGTCAGTATTGATCCTTTGCTTCTTGTTTCCTATTTTAACACTTGAAATGCAAACTTTTCTCTTGGATATACACGCTCCTTCTTTTTCTCTTCGAGCAGCAAACAAATCAGTGTGACTCTTGTTAACTTTGGTTATTTGATTACGTTCTTATTGTGATTTTTTCCCTATGTTGATGATTCGCCTATATTCATCATTATATTGACGAGTAATTCTGATTTCTCCCTTTTCTCCTTCAGTCTCTCCCTTTTCACTCTTGTCATCAGTGCATATAGTCTCCCTTACATATACGTTTTTTTTCTTCCTTCGCTCGACTAACCGCATAATGTAGTATGAAAAGCAAATGAGAAACTATGTTATTGAATAATCAAGCAAGAAATAAGTCTAACAGGTAACAAAGAAACATATTGATCAAATTCTAACAAGACATGTATCATATCATTAACTATATGGAGAAATTTCCAGAAGGCCAACTCGATTGTGTTTTCTCTTTCACTTGTTTTTAACTTTTAGATTTTTTTCTATCACTCTATGTTGAATCAAGGATGAAATTGATTTTGTTATTCCTTCAGCGACAGGATCAATTTTTAAAACTTAGTTTACATCATTAGATATTAATTTTTACTAAAGAAATTTTCTAAAGAAACCAAGCATGGCCAAGAAGAAAAAAGATAATCAAGAAAATAATGATACACTGTCGGAAGAGGCCGGTCGAGAATTTGGCATTAAACTGAAACAATTAGAAACATTAATGCAAACACGAGGTCATGATGGCATTAAGGAACTTAATGAAGCCTATGGTGGGCTCAGTGGTTTGGGACAACGATTGAAGAGTAATTTAATCACAGGTAGGATAAAAGACAGTGGAACTGATGTAAAACGAAATTGTCGATCGTTGGCTAGGTTTATCGGAAGATGAAAGTGATCTGTCATTGCGTGTTGCGGCATTTGGTCGCAATGAAATCCCACCCAAGCCACCAAAAACATTTTTTCGTTTAATGTTTGAAGCTCTTCAAGATACGACACTTGTTATACTTATTATTTGTGCTATTATTTCATTTTGTCTATCATTCTATCATCCAGGCGGAGAAACATTCGAAGCGGAAGTTAGGCCAAGTAAGAGAGACATTTCGAATGCATACTTGTGATCGACAGTAATGTTTGTTCAGAGGAAGCCAATGTTGAATGGATCGAAGGTGCAGCAATTATCGTTGCTGTCATTGTTGTTGTTCTTGTAACAGCATTTAATGATTGGACAAAAGAACGACAATTTCGTGGTCTTCAATCGAAAATTGAACTTGATCAAAAATTCAATGTTGTTAGAAATAGTGTAGTCAAACAAATTCCAATAAAAGAAATCGTCGTGGGAGATATTTGTCAAGTGAAGTATGGCGATCTATTGCCAGCTGATGGTGTTGTCGTACAATCAAATGATCTTAAAGTTGATGAATCGTCATTAACCGGAGAATCCGATTTAATCAAAAAACATGAATCAAAAGATCCTTTTCTTCTTTCGGGTATGTATTCATTTCTTGCAAATTTAATCATCACTCATCATCTTCTTCGGTTCAAGGTACACATATTATGGAAGGCAGTGGCAAGATGTTAGTATTAGCTGTCGGTGAACATAGTCAAACAGGAATGATATTTAAATTATTGGGTGCAACCAAAGACAAAGACGATGAAGAGAAGAAACCACGAGCTAATACAAAAGAAGGTAGGAAAGTCGTGTCAATGTTTGCTCTCATTGTCCTCCCTGGCATTTGTTGTGAATTGATGAAATAAAATTTTTTTTGCATGTTTGCTTATTCAGATGCAACTGGTCGTGATGATGTTGCTGTGAAAGATCGTCTAGTAAACCCGGGATCAGCTGCAGGTTTTTGTCGTTTTCCAAACAAGAATGGAACTCTATGTGTTTGTGTTGATGAAATTTTGTTTTCTCTTGAAAATTAGATCCAACGGGAAATAATCATGACGAAACCGAATTGCGTGAAGTTGCAGTTGATCCCGACAAGGATACAGCTGGCGAAGAAGAATCAGGAGGACTTAAAGTTAAAGAACGATCCATTCTACAAGCAAAACTTACAAAATTGGCGATCCAAATCGGATATGCAGGTAAAATTTTGACGTTTAATTATTCTTCAACGGCAAGATCTGCAAAGACCCATCGAAATTAGCCTTATCTCTCTCTCTCTCTTAAACTATGATGGATGTGATTAGATTAGTTCAGATAGCAAGGATGTTTTTTAATAATTAGTAAAAGAGACAAACAAGCAGCCATTTTCTCGTGTTGGCGTAATTTGTTCCGGTTGAATTCAATCCGATGTCATGTAATTAGAATATGGATCGGAATTATATTATCAAACACTTCATTCAATTGAATTATGTTCTATATTTGGATTCGACATCTCATTCGCGTGATGAACTTTTCCATTAGCATCATCTTTCATTTTATGCCTGTCAAATAAAATTATACAAAATGAGATCGATGAGAATAGCAACAGGGTATATTTGGTTTTGACTCTACTTGAAAAAGCAAATAACAACATGATCTTTTAATCATGAAATGATCATCTTTTCTTTCAGGCATGACTATCGCCATTTTGACCGTCCTCGTTTTACTTCTACGATTCGCAATCGAAGAATTCGCGCAAAAGTAACATTTTAGATTGTACTCAACTTTTTGTTCATACGAGTGCTTTAGACATGAACGATGGAGTAGCAAATATTGGGGTCGAATAGTTCGATATTTAATTACCGGCATTACGGTCTTAGTCGTAGCTGTGCCGGAAGGTTTACCATTGGCAGTAACAATTTCATTAGCCTACGCTGTTAAAGTAAGAAACGAAATTCTGTTCAAAGTTTGTCAGCAAAGTACAAATTTGACTTTTAGAAAATGATGTTAGATAACAATTTAGTACGACATTTGGATGCCTGTGAAACCATGGGCAATGCTACTGCAATTTGTTCAGATAAAACCGGAACATTAACTACCAATCGTATGACTGTCGTTCAAGTATACGTTGGAGATAAACATTGGAAAAACGTGGAAAATCCCACAAAAGCAAAGGAAATATCCATACCCGACAAAACCAAAGAAGTCATCATGGAAGGAATTTCTGTCAATAGTAGTTACGCTTCGAAATTACTTGTATGAAAGTTCATCATTCAGAAGAAAAAATGCTGTTCATTTGGTTTTGTTTTTAGCCACCACCTGAACGAGAAACGTTACCAAAACAAGTTGGTAACAAAACCGAATGTGGTCTGCTAGGTTTTGTCGTCGGACTTGGCGGTAATTATGGTGAAATACGTCAGCAATATCCCGAAGAAAAATTTGTTCATGTTTACACTTTCAATTCTGTTCGAAAGAATATGTCGACTGTTATCCAACGGCCTGATTCGACGATACGGATGTACACGAAAGGTGCGTCCGAAATCGTTCTAAAAAAATGCAAAACAATTCTCAATCGAAATGGAGAAATAATGCCATTTGCAACTGTCGATTACGATCGATTAGTACAAACTGTTATCGAACCGATGGCCTGCGATGGTTTACGTACGATCTGTATCGCATATCGAGATTTTCCAGCTAATAAACTACCCGACTGGGATGATGAAGCTAGTGTTGTCGATCAATTAACATGTATCTGCATTTGCGGCATTGAAGATCCTGTTCGACCGGAAGTACCCGATGCTATAGCCAAATGTCGCAGTGCTGGTATAACTGTAAGAATGGTTACAGGTGATAATGTAAATACTGCGCGATCGATTGCACTAAAATGCGGTATCATTTCACCTAATGATAGTTTCCTTGTACTCGAAGGAAAAGAATTTAATCGTCGCATACGAGAAAAAGGCGATGGAGAAGTAAGAAGAAACTATCGATCGTAGAAAAATGATTTATTCTCTGTTCTTTTTTATCACGTAGGTACAACAAAATCTATTTGATAAAGTCTGGCCACAATTGCGTGTCTTGGCCCGTTCATCGCCTCAGGATAAATATGTATTAGTGGAAGGTATTATTGCCTCGAAGAATAATCCAACACGCGAAGTTGTCGCTGTTACCGGTGATGGAACAAATGATGGACCGGCTTTGAAAAAGGCCGATGTCGGCTTTGCAATGGTTAGTCAGTCGATATGCGCATATTTCGTAAACACAGAGCATTCCTTTCTTCTAGGGCATTCAAGGTACCGATGTCGCTAAAGAGGCGTCGGATATTATTCTTGTTGACGATAATTTCAATTCGATTGTAAAAGCCGTCATGTGGGGACGTAATGTTTACGATTCAATAGCAAAATTTCTTCAATTTCAATTAACTGTTAATGTTGTTGCTGTATTCTGTGCTTTTATTGGCGCTTGTATTGTCAAAGAGTCTCCGCTACGTGCTGTACAAATGTTGTGGGTCAATTTAATCATGGACACTTTGGCATCGTTGGCACTGGCCACAGAAGTTCCCACAGAGGAACTATTAACTCGTAAGCCGTATGGTCGAACACGGGCGTTAATCTCTCGAACAATGATGAAAAATATTCTTGGTCATGCGATTTTTCAATTAGTGATCATGTTATTCATTTTATTTTTTGGTAAGAATGAACTTTATTGGTTTTTCTTCGCTTCTCATCAATCATATTGACTCGAATTTCTCTTCAAGGTCCTCAGTTCTTCAACATTGATGATGGTCGTCCAAAAGACAACGTTTTTAAGCCATCGGAACATTTTACTATGATTTTTAATAGTTTTGTCTTAATGACATTGTTTAATGAAATCAATTGCCGAAAAATTCATGGAGAGAAAAATGTCTTTCGCGGAATATTTACTAATCCAATATTTTGTGGAATATGGATTATAACATTTACTTTACAAATTGTCCTTGTTCAGTATGGTTCAGTCGCATTTTCATGTGTACCATTGACACTGGAACAATGGATGTGGTGTTTTTTCTTTGGTGTGACTGTTCTTCTGTGGAATCAAGTAAGAACAGGAGGCGTTTGTAGATGAGTGGAAAACATTTATTTTGTAGTTGGTTAATTTGATCCCGGTGACACGTCATATGCCAAAATGGGGCGCAGGTGAAGTTTATGATCAAGCATTATCCGTTGATTTGGGTCCAGAAGGACCAGCACGACAAGGAACAAGTTTAACGAAAGGCCAAATACTTTGGTTACGAGGCATCACACGTCTTCAAACACAGGTTTGTAGGAATGAACGAACGAGAATGGGGAGCTTCTTGCTGGTGTTGGGTTCGACTAGAAACTTGAATTGCGCTTTCTTACATATCTATACATATACTTTTATCAGAAACACAGTACAAAACATTTATAGTTTATGTGAAGAAGATTCTTGCTGCTCGTTTTTCTATTCTTCTTATTTGACTCTGCTCACTCTGACAGGTACAAGTTGTTAAAACTTTTCAAGAACATGTTGCCAAATCGCCGTCTTCCCAGTGGTAATAAAGTGCGCCTATCGGTGCTCTTGTTCAGTTTATCCTAAACTATCACACTACATCCAGCATGTTCATTCATATCTTTCTGAGGTTTGACCCGTCTGTTTGGTTTATTTTTTTTTCTATTGACTTCCCTTTCGATGTATTTTTTCCTCCGTTTTTCCTCCCCTTTGTCCTTTGTTTCGTCTAATGTTTTTCGATTTTATCGATGAGCAAAAACTGTCAACACTCACATCTACACTAGAATGGTTTTCATCGTTTCAAGATGAATAACCAACAATCATTGCTTTCGCTGTTGTCTGTCGCTACTCTGCTAATAGCCTTGGCTTGACTTGCTGCTATGTTTGTGTTACTCCTTGGATTTGTATTTATATCATTTAACATATGCTTCGAAATTTTTTTGTTTTTTTCTTTATTCGTCATTATAGCTTCGTGTGATAAAAGCATTTCAAGATTCGATCGATCGACAACCACCAGAATATGTAACATTAGATCGGCTTCGAGCCGCTACTGTACCCAAATTCTCGTCGTTTTACTACGATAATAATCGACCTATAACGCGTCCTCGTTCTCTTAATCCTATTATTACTACTAACACAAATGTCACTGATACTCAACAGCCATCACCACCAATCGAAGATACCCGACTTTAGACAACGTACTCGAATGATATGATCTTAGCAACGGACGAACAATTGAAATAGCCAAAACAAAAAACTCTCTCAACCGGCCCGTGCAATAATGTCACCTAATCTGTTTAAATTTATCTATGCTCGTTTTCATCTCTGTTGCTCTTGTATTCTCACATTTTTGCGCGCATTTAGAATATGTATTTCTTTCTCGTTTTCTGTTGCAAATGTGTGATAACGAATATCTTTATTTCTTTCCTTATCTTCATTTCTGTATCTTACAGATTCTAAATTTCCCTTTCTCGTTCTCTACACATTCAGTCAGTCACAGTCGAGCGGTGCTATCTCTGAAGTCAATAGCGATGATGAACCTACATGGATTAAACAAATGATAAAGATAAATTTCACTCGAAAACAAAAAAAAGAAGCAAACGCGAACTATTCCCAGTGATGAATATGACTGCTCGTTACATTCGAAAATACTCATCCCTCATTACCCTAGACTAGATAGATTTTTCGGTCATATCTTTTTCTCTTCTTATTCTTCTTCTTTTGGTCTTTGTATTTTTTTTTCTTTTTTGTGATGAAGATGATGATGATCATATCTGTAGTCGAATAATACGAAATATTAAAAAAATGAAAACAGATTAACTTTTGTTGTTTTTTCGTTAACTGTAAACATCCTAACATTAATCATCAATGGGGAATGCCAGATATGTCTAGGTGTATTGCTTTTCAATGGTAAACTTTAACTAATCTAATCCAGATGTTGTACTATTTGAAAGAACAAACAATGACGTTGCTATTTTCTTCTTCTTTTTTTTGTTCATAGATCGCCGTAGTCGACGCTTTCTATCAACCAATAGCATCTAAACAACCATTGTTGACTATCGTGCCAAAAGGTGCAACATGATCTATGCGAAATCCCAATGTTCCAAATAATTTTTTATTGTCGGTTGTCTTTGTCTTTTCTAACTAACAAAACCAAATTGATTTGTCTTTCTTTCTCATTCTCTCTTTGTCATTATTCTAACAATTTAATAAAGGCTAAATAGGAAATATATTGATTATCGTAATGAAAGTATGATTTACAACAGAATTGTATGCGTGTGTGTTTGTATCGATCGATCAAATCTGCATATATCTATTGTGATTAATATTTTTCAATCAGTGTCATCTGTAAATAGATCATTGATCATCTATCAATGTCATACTTTGCAATTTTATTGGATGTTTTTGTATATTGCGCACGCTCAATGAAGATTTGATATTACTGTACGAATACGAGACAGAAACATAATTAGAATGGGAAGCGGTTTTGATCAAAGTGAAATCGCGGCTTGTCGCGAGCGTCATCTACAGGTGATGTCTATATGAGGTTAGGTGGATATGAACCAATCTGTTGACAAGTATTCGTACTCATTTCATTCATTGTTAAAGTTAATTTGAGAGTAATTACGAAAATGTCGATGCGAAAGGCTCTTGGCCAGGAACCGACAGGTACTATGTATGAAGAACAGGAACGGCAGAAAATGCTACGGCTGCAACGTGAAAAACAAGAGCCGCAGGAACCTCGCCTTGAATGGATTTATAGTGGTGATCGAGCGAAATCAGACGACTATTTACTTGGAAAAAAGTTCGATGGTGATGCGCCAGCAAACGCAGTGTCAGAAGATATCACAACATCAACAATTGATTTAGCTAATAAGATTCGTGAAGATCCATTGTATTTGATTAAAAAGAAAGAAATCGAGCAGAAAAAGCGAATTCTAGAAAATCCAGTTCGACTCAAACAGCTCAAGGAACTTCTAGAACGGCAAGAATCTGCGTAAGTGCAATCTAACTGACAGCATCCATCAGCAGACCTTGATATCTTCGCTTCCCCATCTGTAGATCGTTTCGCACATAATCAGTTTTCTATTTGTTTGTTTATTTATAGTCAATCATCATCATCATCTTCTTCACAACGAAAGAAGCATCATTCCCGGTCTCGTTCTCGCTCACCTCAACGTCGTCATCACCATCATCATCATCGTCGCAGTCCTTCACCGCCACCACGGCACCATTATCGACGTCGTTCGCCGTCATCACCTAATCGGAGATCATCGCCACCATCTCGTTCTGCTCCATCGCGTCGTGAGCGAACACCGCCACGTGTGCCAAAACGACCAGAGAAACAATCGAAAGAAGATCGCGAACGTCGTCTACGAGAGATGCTTGCTGATGGTATTATACGAACTGAGCAACGTCAGCAGAATGTTCGTGCCTATAAAGCACGTGATGATGAAGAAGAGAAAGCCAATGAATTGATGAGACAACGAGCTAGGAAAAAGAATGATCTCTCATCATCCGATGACGAAGAACAGGATTTTCTTCGACCAATGATGAAACAAATTGTTGATGATCCAAGTTTGAAAAGACGCGATCTCAAACACCATCATCATAAACGCCCATAGAAAGTTTTATTTTTGTTTTGTATGTGTTTGTATAGAAACAACAATATATATATATACATAAAACTATCCACTCGTTTCATCAATATATTCAAAAATAAAAGTTGACATCGACATATGAACACTTAATAAGAGATACAATTGTTCGTTCACGCTCTCTGTTCTCTAATTAAGAAGATACGTACAAATCCTCATCATACATATCTATACACAAACGTTGTTTTGTTCTTTTTCTCGCAAGCGATCCTCTCATCTTGCCTACACTTCTACTAGGTAACTCATATTGTTCCTCCGTCGAATTGTCGTCAACATGACATCGGGTGAACGACAAGAAGAGACAAAGCTTCACCTTTCTTTCTATACGTAAAGCAAAGAGAAGGAAAAAATATATATACGACTATTATTTTCTTCACTTTTACTTTTTTTTATTACCCTCGACGAATCAATAACAAACGAATCTATATGCACGCGACACATTGATAATACGCTAATTTCGTCAATCATAAATAAATACCTAAACGATCACCGTGAGCGTATCATTTTCGCGTTTTGTTTGATAAACCCTTTTTTTTGTATCAAGTTGGCTGCTTAGATTAAGTACTTTGTTACTTCCGTACCGTTTTGATTCATTCAATGTAACTTTCCTTTTTCTTTCTGTTTCTATTTTTGTCAACACAAAGGATGACTCAGTGATGATATGCACAAATCTTCATTTTAGAAACTAAAACTGCATTCATGACACAAGCGTCAGGCGCTGATTATATCTTCAAAATTGTTCTTACTGGTGACTCAGGCGTTGGAAAATCATGTCTTTTATCCCGATTTACTCGTAATGAGTTTTCACTAGAGAGTCGATCGACTATTGGAGTCGAATTTTCTACCAAAGAAATTCAAATGGATGGAAAAATAGTTAAAGTTCAAATTTGGGATACAGGTAAGATGAATTAGAAAGTTCAGTTTCTTTTTCAAATGCAGTTTTAGCTGGTCAGGAACGCTTCATGGCGATTACAAAAGCATATTATCGTAATGCTCTAGGTGCGCTCGTTGTTTTTGATTTATTGAAACCATCAAGCTTTCAAAACCTCGATCAATGGTAGAGAAATTCGATAACAAACATTTTCCTGTTTGATGAACTCTATTTTCAATTAGGTACAATGAAGTTCGAGCTAATGCTGGTGCAGATTGCTCTGTTATTCTAATTGGAAACAAAGCTGATCAACGACATATTCGAGCTGTTCAGTATGAAGATGCGAAACGCTATGCTGACGAACGGAACATCCCGTAAGAATCTCTTCTTTTCTCTTCAATCGATTTCATTTATGTCTATGTCAGATTCATCGAAACCTCAGCACTGGATGCAACAAATGTTGAACAAGCATTTCGCACACTCATCACTGACATTTATCGACATTGGGCTGCTCGAATGGATGCTATGAGAGACGATTCGATCTCCACATCGCTGCCACCTCCGATGACAAAACCAAGTATAAAACTAGATGATCATTCAAACAATCCTTCGACGGCAACAACGACAAAACCGTGTTGTAGTAACTCTTAACTTTCTTTGTCTTTATTTTTCGTTGTTTCCGTGTAAACATAGCGTATTTCATTTCAATAAAAATCATTGCAAAAATGCACTCAATTTATACAACTAACGGAGATGATTGTGTGAAATGAGCGTAAAAATGATTCTTGTGCCGGACTGTCCGTAAACGAACTCTTGCGTTCGACTGACAACCAGTAAAAACAGCGCAATACCACGTCAAGCAGAACTAATTTATGAAGAAAATAGAAATCACATTACATTATAATACCCACTTCGATTGCGTTCATGCTTCATCAACAAATGATATTGGTTACAAAATCATACATACATTCGCACTGGAAAAACAATGTAATGAATGATTTTTATTTTCATAACGGTAATTACCGATAGAGACATTGACATATGACTCAGATATAATCAAGGAAAACGAGATTCCGAGTGATCGGGATGAATGATTTTGTCGTCCGCATGACATTCATACAGATCGGAACTATGATATCCGCGAGCTTGACAGCAAGGATGACTTGAAATAACTGCTTTTCTTTGTTGTTATTGTCGATGAATGCATGGTATTTTGACGCAATATTAGAAATTAAATTGCGAAATGTAACGCTTCGTTGCTCGATTAGTATTATATAAATTGCAACATTTTTGACATTTAACTTCATTTATTCATATTCGACAACAAGCACAAACATGCCTGGCGACTTTCCGACTGGTATGAGCAACGTAACTGCCCGACACTTTCAACGAGTATCGAGAGATATTCACGAATACAATCAAGCGAACTACCGCGCCGACGAACTTCAAACAGCCAGTAACATTCAGCAGTATTATCATGATGCGAATGTACCGGTTATGGGTTCAGCTTCGTTAACATCGCTTCTAGAACGTATATTAGTCGATATTGGAATTAACCTGCAGTTACTTTAAACCTATGTGTAAAAACGGTCCTCCACGCAGTGATTCGTTTGATTTTCGACTTCTTTTTCATATTTCATATATATATTTATATATGGCTGATATCATGTAAATTCAGTCTTTTTTCCTCAATAAAGGTCGGTAGACTACATTAAAAAGAAGATATTGTATTTATGTTAATCGGGATGAACTTATATCTGAATGTGAAGGTTTTTTTTTCTCGCTAAAATGAACGAGCAACATGTCGAGTGATAATGTACACCTATTTGTTTTGCTACAGAAACAAATTTTAGGAAAATAATATAGTGTTGACTAGAGTAGTCTTTCAAGCATGAAATGAGAGTAAGGTACATTAGGACATGATTCATCGTTTGATAACATTTGTAATATTTTCGATGAGATAAATCAAATAATAATTCTTCGAATGAGCGCGTCAGTTTCCTTTTATTTTACATTCTTATTTGTATTTTCATCTCTTTCTACGCATGACGGACTGATCAGTTTGATCTTATGTCACGAGCTGAAGGTGCGGTACCACCGCTGGTTACTCACCAACCATCTGGTAAATTAGTTCGTGGATCACGATTAGGAACATCGACGAATGAAGAACCACAAGTACCACTTTTACTCATCAATCGTTATCGAGTGTCATCAATGATTGGTTCAGGTTCATTTGGACACATTTTTGAAGCGGATGATATTCAAACACACGAACAAGTGGCTGTCAAATTTGAATCACATGCACTTCAATATCCACAGTTAGCCTACGAAGCACGAGTTTTAAGACTTATTTCAGGTGCTGGAATTCCAAAGATATTCTGGTTTGTAGAAGATCATCGCTTGATTCATTATTGTATCGAATAATGTAGGTATGGTGAAGTTGATGATTACAATGTTCTAGTGATGGAAAAATTAGGTCCGAGTATTGAAGATCTTTTATGTTACTGTCGTCGGTCATTTTCATTAAAAACAGTTCTTTTACTAGCCGAACAAATGCTGAAACGGTAAAAGTTTGTCTTTGGAGGTTTCCCACTCGCTCAAAATATCATTTATAGTTTGCAACATATACATTCACGTACTTTTCTTCATCGTGAGTAAGTAAATCTCTGCTCGCATGACGGTTTTCCACTAGATTCAACGATGAAATCTAGTTTAAAGCCTGACAATTTCCTCATGGGTGTTTTCTCCTGGTCACATCGTCTATATCTGATCGATTTCGGTCTTTCAAAGCGATATATCGACGCGAAAACACGTCGGCATATTACATATCGAGAAGGCAAAGGTTTGACGGGTACACCACGTTATGCATCCATCAATTCTCATCTTGGAAAAGAACAATCTCGACGTGATGATCTCGAAGCAATCGGATATGTTCTCGTTTATCTGTATGAAGGACGTTCGTATTGAAAGCAGACGTTCTTTCTCACTTGTAATCATTTTCCCTTTCGAAGGCTTACCGTGGCAAGGTTTAAAAGCAGCAGCTAAATCGGCTAAATACGAAAAAATCTGTGAACGAAAACTCCACACATCACTTGAATCACTTTGTTTGAATATGCCAAAAGAATTTGCAATCTATTTGCAATATTGCCGTCAATTGGAATTCACTGATGAACCTAATTATCTTTATTTATTAAAGTTATTTGATGAACTTTTTGTTCGACATGCTTTTGTACGTGATTACATTTACGATTGGAATCTTGTTCGATTTCGACGTGGCTTAACGGACGAAACAGCTGAACAATCGATTGTTCTAGCAAACAAACGATCGAAATCGCTGATACCAGTTGTTACTACAACTCGATACATAACTCAGCGTGAATAGTTCAACCAGAGTTTTGCGTCTTCTCTTTTAAATTAATGTTTCTGACTTTGATAATGTCTTGTATAGAATCATACAGCTGGACATGCTGTTTTCTTTTCGGCATAAAGTTCATTGTTTCCTATTTGTTAACCATTGTATGTATTCAGATAATACCATTCCAGTAACGAAAATACAACGAATGATGTAGGTCGTCACCAAACGAATTTATGTGTATAATTTTGTTGTTACTAACCGAAGTACGTCACGATGTTGATAGACTCATAAGCTCGGTGCTAATGAATCACACATGAACGATGATTAAGAATTAATGCAGTAATATGGGCAATTTGTGTGGTTGAAATACGTCTATGTCGGAGATCTTATTTGAAACTCAACAGGTATAATCAGCATCATTTATTCTATTAAAAGAACACGAGTGAAGTCTTTCTCTCGCTTACTTAACGGTGAAACGCATATAAAAGAAGACATCGAAGTTGATGGTACTCTGTTTTTCTTTCTCGATTTCTTTTCTTTCTTCTTTTCTCCTCTAAACTGTTTATATTGTCGCAAAGAAACCAACAAATCTCAATAGTTACCATCATTTTGTAGTTCTGTATTATTTGTTGAGTGTCAAAAAAGAACGAGACGACGGCTAAGAAGACACGATGAAATTGGACAACGTCGATTTTGACAAATTGAAATTTGCTGACATTCCAAAATTTGTCAAATGTCCTTGTGAACTCTGCGATGACGGATGTTATGAAAAATGTGGAAATGAACATTATCCGGGATGTAAACATCGACCTCAACAACGGACAAAACTGTCTCCATCTGCTCGGTGTCCTCAAACACACTATCAGCAAACATTTGTACCCATAAGAGATGATCATCGTCGACAATTATGCCCACCTGTACCGGACAATGAAATACCAACGTCATTCAAAAATGTATCTATGTCAACGACGAATACACAGAAGGAACATTATCCGCCACCACCGGTTGGTACAGCGAGACAAAAGCCAGCATCTCCTGCTAAACAGGTACTTCGAACCAAAGAATTTAGAATATTGAAAAATTTGTGGTCTTTTCTTCTATAGACTGATAAATATCTTGTCTCAGGTGGTTCAGCGCCAATGGAAACACAAACCCACTATCAAACTGAATATAGTGAAAAACCTGTCGGTTCGGTTGTGCATCGTACATCGAAAGATGTAACTCGAACGTCTCAGTAATTATTTGCTTTTCTCGTTGCCTATCGTTTGACGAAAATAGATTTATTCAGAGTTAATATCACCGATTCATCAGCGCCTTTGGCATCCAAAACAACTTCTCATACTCATTTCAAACAATGGCAACCCATTGTTGTACATCCTTATACGGAAATGCCAGCCATAGCTGGTAGATCTGTCACAAAACCATTCTTTGATTGTTAAAAACTAGAATTTGATTTTCAACTTAGGTCATATTCTATTTCCTGATGGCAACCGTAGTTTTGACACTACTACTGGACGTACATTTGTACCTTATCCGAATGTGTCTCGGACCAGGCCAGTTATTCGGCCCGAATATCAAGGCAATCTCACTGTGACTGGTAGAATGATGATACTTTTCTTTGCATTTGTCATTGAAAACTATGTTCTCGTCAATAAGGTGACATGGATTTGCATACAAATTATCGACGAGAATTTACGACTCCAAAATCAACATCATTAAGAAGTGCTCCGGTGAAACCACCCGATGCACTACGCGAAGAAAAAGTCTACACACGTCGTCCAATGAACGAAATTTCCCAAACTTCGTATGATTTTCGTCCGCGTTCATACCAACGACCACCTCAAACGTTCGACATGGAACCATTTCAATCACAAGTAAACATAGGAGATTCACAAGCACCATTGCCGAAGTTTGTTCTTTTCACTGATGTTTTTCTCTGCAAAGAATGATTTCATATGACTTGTATTCAGAGATACACAATATCGTCTTGACTATCCAGGTTATGATGCAAAGAAGCATCATCGACCACCAGCAATGGCACCGAAAGGTCAACAATACGTTGCTCCAGTAGAAAAAATGGATTCACTTACAGTCACACAGGTAATTCTCATGTCAATCAGTTATCACATCGGACCTAATTGCTGATTTTTATTATTTGTACAGCGAGACTTTCAACCAATTGATGTTAGCACATTACCACGTATTCACGCTGAACCACTGAAAGCCAATTTATCTGTTCGTGATAATACAGGTCCCATGGAAAGTGTGACCATGTCGCATTATCATTATCAACCATATAAACCCGTGACAGTTCGACGACAATACGGTGAAATAGTACCTAACATTTATGTTCCTCGAATGGAAAAGTTTCAAGGATCTACAACCACAGGTGATGCATTTCAAGGTCGACCGGGTGAGTATCACTTGAATTTATAGAGAACAAAAGCGACTCTCTGTATCACAAAACGGATGCTTTTAGGTAAACCAGCACAGCCTATCATTCCAGAAGTTCGAATGGTTAGTCAAAAGGGCAAGCACGATCATAATACAAACTATCGTATGGACTATCATCCACATGGACTTAGTGTATGTGCGGCAAAAGCGTTTACAATTGTTCAACGTAAAGAAGCAAATCCAATATCTATATCGACCCAATAAAGTTAAACTTGCATTTCGAACTCGCGTTGAATTAATCTATAAATTTCTTTTCTTTCCTATCACAAACAAAACAGCTAATCTTTGATATCATATTGCTCTAACATTTCTAAAACGTTAAATGAACATCAGGATTCATTAGTAGACTAAAAGAAGACAGTTTGAATCTGTTTTTATTCTAGATTGTGAAGAAAAGAGAAAGAGACAAGATATTCTCGATCGACAACAGACGACTTCTAATAAAGCTAGACATTCAAATGTTTTGTTCTATTGCAAATGTAGGCAATAAAAATTAAACTAATTATTGTTTGGTAATGTCAGATAGAGTTGAAGAGTTGTTAAACCAACGGTTGTTGTAAACAGAAACTTTGTTAATAGATAAACCCATGGGCCAAGACCAAGAGCATGCATAACCACTCTATAAAGAAACAAAAAGTGTAATTTGTTGAAGGTAAAAAGAAAAGGAAAATTTACTCTAAAATTAATGGTTGATAACAACATAGGAGAAGAAGAACATTGATCAAAGGAATGTAAGACTTATTGAAATCATTGCGAGTACGAAGCCAAATGAGCATTGCGACGGATAAATGATGAATCTGACAGGAGAAACATTGTGAATATATTGAAATGTGTTTTCTTCATAAAATCTTACCAAAGCAATATTGGAATCAAGACTCATTTGAATATATTTCCAATCGAATTCAATTCCACGCGCTCCAACCCATAATGGTAGAAACCTAAACAAATTCATTTCACTTTTCTGGCAGTCAATGTCGCATTGACAAACTTTGTAACAACAAGTTCAGCTGATGTCCAACCAAGTGCCGCAACGAGATATTTCAAATCGGTTTTACCCAGAAGTCGCGTCATAACAAAATGTAAACCAACCAAATCTAAGATATCCACTGTATTTTTCAAAAATTCCTAAAAAAAAGAGGTGCATTCGTTCATATCATATACGATTCTGAGAAGCAAACATTTTCTCCTTACCGTTTTCACTACGAATGCCGATGATTCATCAACCGGAGGAAAACATGTTGCTATCGTTAACATCTTAACAAATTGAACAAATAGATAAAAGGAGGCTGATTGTACACATTTCCAAAATGCGTTGTACTCAGCTCTAAAAGCAAACCATTGTAACTTTATTGATAAAAACTATTTTTCTTTTACTTACAATCCTGAATATTTATATGTCAATAAAACAGGACCACAAGCCAAAGCTAAACAATTGCCGAAATGAAAAAGAGGCATCTGAAGAAAAAGAAAAGAAAAGTAAATCAAATCAATAAATGCATTAAAAAAGTTTTTTTTTCTTTCTAGCAGTTTGGCCTTAGTCGCTCCTACTCATTCTTTATATTATCCAAATTCTGTGGCACGAAAACGACTCGCCCAGCGACTACAGCACAGACATTCTGTATATATCCATAGAAAACTGTCAGGGATCTTGCCTGTTCTTTTTCGTTGAATCTAAAATATTCGAAAAGAAACACAGAAGAGATAACGTGATTGTTTTATATTTATTCTACAAAAAGAAACCTGTAGGGATGATATGCAATTTTTAAAAAAGAGGGACAGGCGAAAAGAATAGAGACGGATCATAATGTTCTTCTTCTTTTGTCTAACGTAATGGTCTCCAGGATTGAAAGATTTCTTTATATTTTCGGCGTTTTTCAAACACTTCAGGAAAATCTTCGGGATGACGTCGAACATAATCCCAAATACTCAATTCTTTTTCTAACATTCGCTGTTCACGGAATTTTCTCCACCATGAGCCAAACAGAAAACCACCAACGATCGTTGCTGCATAAACAGGTCGAGCTGAAAACAATGGCCGACGTAAATACATATTACGCATAACGACTAACGCAGAAAATCCGACTGGAAATAAAATGCGTGTATCGTATGGAGCTATATAATACGGCATTCCCCAAACGCGGTAACGTGGATCACTATCATAGTCACGATCGAGATCGCCATCGCCTGGTTTAAGGCCCATATCGAAAAGAATAACCTGAATAGAGATTGAACAGTGAAAACGAGCGAAAAGATTGATGAGAACATACTTTTCTTGTTGTTGGTGAAAACAAAGCTAGATGATCTTCTCGAACTTGTGCTTTTCCATCTTTATCATCTTTTCGTTCGTCGAAGAATCGATTGTATTCAGGATTCAATGATTTGCCTGGTAATAGTTTATCGCGTTGTTCCTTAATCAGCGGATCCAGGTCCAATTCATCGCCAGTTTCTCCACCCAATACTGGATATGTACGCCATGGTTGTGGTCGAGCAAATGATCGATTGGTGAATTCGAATGCCGATGTTTTATCATACTCTTGATCGAATGAACGACGAGCTGGACCAACATGATGATCATCATGTTTATCTCCCCATTTACCAATACCCGTCGACATAATTCCTTAGCTGATCTAGGTTGTTTTCCTTATCTAGAATAATAAACACAACAGAGACTATTTTAAGAAAAGAAGTATCACATATAATCATCAAGAATTATCGAAGAAGGTGAAGATGATGAAGGTTGCTCATCGTCTTGTCCTGTCGAATCAGTGACAATGGTCATTTTATATTGAACTAGACGCGGTTCAAATGCCGGATACAATCTTTGACATTCATATATTAATTCATTAATTAGAGTTAATTTGGATTCATTCGACGAAAGAAAACTATCGAGTAATGTTAAAATTTCTAGAAAGAAATGCAAAGACTGAGCAATGTTTGTAGCAAATATGAATAACTCTGTCTCACCTTGATCTGCTTGTCGACGAAATAATAACTTCGCTTTCTTCTTTGTTTCGCGATATTTTTTCACTAGACGGCGATGATCATCATCGAACACAGAACGAACATCAAATGAAAAACGATTTAACGAATTGCTAGTGGTTACTGATTCCATATCTAACTCTGAAATAAGACATTTGCTAAGCATTAAAATACGAAGAAGTTCGTTTGCAAACCATCATCAGTACTTGTCGTCGATGTAGCAGGACTACAAGGACCACTACTGCCACCACTAAGTGATGAATTTCTCCGATAAACATAATTCCGAAGGGCTAACGCTGAACGACAAACAAATAATAAAATGAATGAATGACAGAAAGGTACATACGTGTGCGTTTCTTCTTCATTGCTCCACTGCCAGATGTTGAACTTAGTTCTGATTGCGAACGCTTCCGTGATGGTAGTTGCTGCTGTTGCTGTTGTTGCTGTTGTGGAACAGTAGCTGTTCCGACTAATTCATCGATTTCATCGATTGGCTAAATCAAGAATGGTGAGATTTGCAAAGTTAGCTATTTTCCACATACTTTGTTAACTTTAAATGGATTTCCAAAGACGTGTTGTCGAACTGGTTGAGCATCGATTTCTCTCAGTGGTGGTGCTTGTCCATTGGCTCGAGGATACTCGTCATAGTTCGACATTTCTTTAATCGGAACAGAATGTAGTGCATCATCATCTTGAATATTAGAATAGTTCGTAGGTTGTAATAAATGTCGGCGTAGTTTTATAACAGCATTAAGTAGCTGTGCTCGAGGAATATCGAATACATTTCTAGAACAAAAGGAATAAAAAGTTTTCACTGAACATCTTGGCAATTCTCATACAGGTATGATTGTAAGGATAATGATGATTTCGGGTTGCTTCTTGATTGGAAAGTAAAATTATTGTGAATAGATTCATCGCCTGGTTCGTGAAGATCTGCACTTGACGAAGATGTTTTGTCGAATAAAAGATCGGCCCGTCTAGAGACGAAATAAGAACAATTTTGAATTCATTGATAGCTAGTAGATACGAACAAGGGAAGAAGATGAACTGGTGGTGGTGGTTTTTCTAGCATTGGTGGCCATCGTTCCAGTTCATTCTTTGCTTGAAATCGAATCTTTTTCAAATAGCCCAGCATCTGTGGTGAAAGAAGGCCAGCCGATTGCGTCGGATTCTGTTTATCAAAAGATTCAAAGACGAACTGAAGTTTTTGTCGAGAAAGAACACGTCTCAATGGCTAAAGTAACATTCATTTTCTTTGGATTTCCAATACTCATACTAGACTTACTGTAATATAATAAGGAGGAATAGATCGAAGATAACTATCAAAACGATTTTGCCAAGCTTTGCTTACATTAGAACCATGCACTTTATTTAATTCATCTAAAACAGAATCTAAAATAATATGAAGCAACCCAAGAATGTTGTTTAGTTGTCATACTCAACAAGGTTGACAATTCTTGATAATTATATGGCATTATGTACAAGTTGACCGTGGTTAGATTTGAACTCGCTTTCAGATAACCAAATGGCGAGCCAAGCTCGTTCGGACCGGCCCGAGATGAACCTTGAACGAACACCTAAAATTTCAAAATCGAATCGTTTCCCTGTTGTTTGTGGCAAAGCAGTTTTTCAGACATACTGGCCAAGCCATGGTCGGTTGTCGTCGTTCAAGAATATATTGTGTTAGTGGTGATGGTTCCAGTTCATATTTATCAAATGGAAGCTTATCTCCTCCGGTTGGACAAGGAATCGTTTGGAATTTGATTGAAGCATGTGCAGATCGAGCTGGAAGAGTAGCCATGGCAGGCGATGGCCAAAAGTCTTCTGGTATTGGCCAATTATATTCAGTTTTTTCTGTCTTCGGTAGCGAACGTGGAATCGTAATCATTTTTCGACATGAATGCCACGCACATCGTTCTGTATCGCCTGATTAAATGTAACAAAAAAAAATACTGGATGAGATGCAGTTCTTTAAACATAAGTGTAATCAGTCGTACTTTCAGTTATCACTTTATCTAAGTTGACGACCACGCCGATCTGAATTTTTTGTACAAGCGATTCTAAACATTGGTATAAAGCACGTTGCGAAGTGATTAAATATGAACGACCTGCAATGTAAAGATATATCTATCTCATTTTACATTTGTTTACTTCACGTACCGCCGGTTACATCACACATAGCAGTAATTGGCTGATCAACGGCTGCTGGAATAAATTGATTCGACGGTACATCACCCAGACCAGTATTTGTCGTATTTCCAAGATTTCCCGTTTGAGCTAACGATGAATTATTAGCTGGCAAAGCCAGAACAATGGCAAACAAACGTTGATCCCATCGAAACGGTTCTTTTGTTAATTCGCTTCCAAGAGGTCCAGTGTTCATTGGTATATTAATCTTAAATAGCGTTCCACTTATGAGAAACCGTATGCCTCACACAACTTACTTCATTTTGAACGCCCGCTGGTGTTGTTAGTTTCTGTTTATCTGTAATGACAATAATCAATGACGGTTCAAGTAGATGTGGAAATCGACCGTAACCATAAGTATCATGGTCAGCAGCATGTCGATTGAGATTGAGCAGATCAAAAGCTTGTTTAATAGCAGCACCCATTTGTGTTAATCCAGTAGCTTCAAGACTTCTCAATTGATTGTTAAACACAGTCATCGGCTCTTTCCATCCAACTTTAACATTCGTCGGTGGTTCATCTAATGTTAATAGCATATATCGATCTGTTCGCGCCGCAGCAGCATCTCTTTGCCGTATCTGTGAATATGCAGAACTTCAATATTTTCAAGATTGAAGATCAAAAAACTAACTTTAAAGAACTGTTCGATTGCTCCTTTACTTATATCAAACAGACTTGTACCCATATGAGTCATTTGATTCATCGATGCCGAATTGTCGAGAAGAAATATCACTACCGGCATTTTATCTGAACTTCTTCAATTAACACCGAGATCCAACTAATAAATAAGACGAGGACGATCTGATAGATTATTGTTGTTTACCACCTATTCCAATAGTTAACAGACCATTCATATCTGTTTGTTGGATAGAGGTCGCGAGCTACCTATTCTATGCAAACCTTATATAATACTATACACACGACAGTTTACTTTCATACCTAAATTTTCATTTCAGTTAATGTATTTAATAATAAACATTGTTATATATATAATAAACAGAAACAAAGAAAACAAATACTTGAGCTGACTATGTGTGAAGCAATATAAAAAAAAAGGAACAATTCGAAGGAAAATACGGAAAATCACTGCATAGAGGAAAAATAAAATATATCTATTCACGAGATGATTGAGTAAAAAGATTTGGACAATGATCAAATCGTCGTTGTTCATATTCATGGGTATACACATATTCACCATTTTCATCTTTACGAAACCACAGTGGTTGAAATTCATCTTCGCGTTGTTTGGCGTCGGCACGTTGCTGTTCTTCCAGACGATGTTTTTCGGCCGATGATCCATCAATATCACCTTTTTCAAGATATTTCATATCTTGTCGGTATCGACTATCAGTGGGCGGCAAGACAGGAGTTGTCACTTGTTCATTAAGACAATAAGTAAATGGAGTGAAGTAATAGTACTGAGATCGGACTGCTAGTTCTTGATCAGTCATCGACGATAGCGATCGATACCAGATTAAACGAGACGACGGAGTAAGAACAAGATCACAAGGATAAGCCGTAGACACATTCTGGCCGATTTGGATGCAGTTGTGACCGGCAGCGCTGCATGGACTTGATGATTTGATTTGTACGTCTTTTAAATCATCGATGGCATAATAACAATGGCCATAATTACCATGGTATGCACTAATTTTTGTTTTATCTAAAGACAACAATGAAGTTTGCACGAATTAATTCGAGATTCTTTTACCATCGTAGATAAAACCAGAGTATTTGAACATATCGGCTGTTTTGGTTGATTGTGATGCAAACCATGAGTGTGATTTAATTGTTAGAACAGATCGTTGCTCTGATTGTTTGTGTATCAAATCAATTTGTCCTTGAAATTCACACCAAAGTCGACCGAATAAAATATTATGCACTAGTACGGATGGTGTCTTCCAAGTATACTCATCCATCTCGTCATCGGCATGATCACTGTTATTATTTTCGGTTTCTTCATCATTACAAGATTGAAAACTCGATTGAGAACCCGACCGAGATCGATTTTGTTTTTTCTTTATGCGAAGTATCCATCGACCTGAACAGAAGAAGATATACTTTTCCTTCAGATTTGTTTTCATCGAACTAACCTTCGGACAAAGCGACAACATTCGTACCGTGAAATTTAATTTTCGGTTCAATATTCGCTGATAGTGTCCAATTTTGTCCTCGAATGTAAACAGCCGACACCGGTGGATGATGAGAGACTTGTTCAGAAATGTAATGAAATGAAGTATCACCTTCCATTTTTAGTTCATAGGTTTCACCTAAAAGAGGATTGAATGGTTTCGACATCCGCTCTAGATGAGTTGATAGCGTGGACACGACAAAGGCAGTTAGTAAATGCCAACGATCAATCAAAGTTTCAGTTGATGCAGCACTATCGAGCAGAGATGAATATTCCAAACATTCAGCAACACGTTGAATAAAACTAAGAGGTTCTAAAAGTGAAACACATGACAGTCGAATGCAATTCAGGGATTAGATGAGTTACCATTCCAAACAACAGGTATGGAAAATCTTGTAAGATCTTTTCCAATGGCTTGTTTAATCACAGAAAATATCGAATAAGACGAACGATCGAGCATGGGTGCCGGCAACGTCCGCCGTGCTGTTTTCAAATCAACAGCCATGAATAATATCTAAAAATGATTGCTTACTTTATTTACATGACAATACAAAAACAATCAAGTGAGATTAATAGGAAAAATATACAAAAACACATCATGCTCTGAATCTTGGTAGGCACATTTTCCCTGCGACAATCGCCGAGACGACTGTTAACCATGTGGCACCAACGAATGCGATATAACTTGAGCCAATTCGATAATCAGTCGGTAATTGAAATGGTGAACCACCGATGATTTCCGAATCGAATCCCATTGGAAAAAGAACGGTTGAGAAACATAGAAATATCACTGAAAAGAAAGGAAAAAGAAATTTTCCTCTTTCTGCTCTCCAAAATATAAAGATCAAGTTTACTTGCAGCGAATCCAGTCAACCGACCGTATTCAATGATTGAATTTCGAAGAAAATGTGAGGCAAGAAATAAAAATATTGTCATTGTGAGTAAACAAAGCGCGCCGACCGCTAAACCAAATGATAATACCCATACAAAACGAATGTGCTGTGGTACAAAGCATTTCTGTTCATTCGATGAATATGTTATACACATTTCGATTAGACCAAGCGAAGTTTCGCCTAAGCAAAGCAGACAAACAAATCCCAATTAATCATAGTACAGGTGATATGAAAATTTTCATTATACTTATCAATTATTTCGTCTTATCTTAAAAGTATAAATAGTGCAAAGTCCAACTTGTATGATGGAGAATACTAATCTATTTTTCCCCTCTAATTCTCTCATATATTAGCATAATATTCTCGAGCAAAAAGGTTATTCAAACACATACGAGTATTATCCATACAAGGAGAAATCTTCTGTCGGTTTCTCGGTTAAAATCTCTTTTAATTATCATACAAGATATCTGATAATGATGAAAAACAAATTGCTATGTTGTTTTCTATTCAGCTGAATACTATTCTACGACGAAAACAAATATTTAGAGTCTCTACCTTGATTGATCGATAGAATCCATCGTGGTCGTGAAATACTGACGAGAACAAGTAAAGCAGCTACTGTAAATAAAGTTGTTGAAAGTACAACGAGTCGATCCAGTGTGACCATATGTTATCTAAACATTCTCCTTGAAGAACAGAATGTAATAAAATCTTTCTTTTCGACTCATCCGACTATATGGAATGATAAATGATAATAGAACTTTCATTTCATTGGTCCCCGGAATAATCCTATGAGAAAAGAAAGCTAAGACCTCTGTTGTATACGGTTCTAAAAGAAAGAAATTTAGAACTCGAACTCATGCGATCGTTCGATTTGATTAACTTCTTTTACCATTCCTAGATTTTATCGAACGATATTCTTTTTCAATTGCAAATAAGCCTTCCAATGAGTAAATCAATTGAAAATACTCGCATGTCTCTACTACTTTTGTTCGATTCCAGGTAGTAATAAACTTGAAATGTATGAAGTAAGATTATTACATGAACATCTTTATCTATGTGTAATAATTATTCATGCATTCTTGAAAAGGAAATTCGCCTATGGAAAAATTCACGCGAGCGCGAACGGTAAGAGTTTCGAAAGCTGTCGTCTTCTATCATTTATTCACTTGTATACAGATACGATAATATGGCGGATGCTTTCTCTCTCATCACAACCTTGCAAGCACTTGAAAAGGCTTATATCAAAGATCTTGTTGAACCTGTCGAGTAAATTGGATTGGTAATGATCAATTTCCCTACTAATCAATCATATTAGATATACGAAACATTGTGAAAAGCTAATCGCTAAATTTACAGCAGCATTTCGTCAGATTGATGGTGATTTTTCTCGTATAGAAGATTTTGCTCGGAAATATAAAGTAAAATGGCACTTTTCAACCTTTCATCTCGTATTTGATGCTGGTTTTCTCTCAGTTGGATTGTCCAGCAGCTGTATTACGTATCCATGAAGGCCGTCCAATAACCGTTCGTGACGATCGCGGTAATATAAACAAAGCAATTGCAGAAACTGTTTCGGTACAATGGAATCCCGAAAGGTTCTCTCTTTTTTTGTATATAAAACTTGTCTTGATTTAGTTGTTCATCAATCTAATGGACAAACTGAAATTGAATATTCGAGCGAATGATATGGTAAATAACGAATCGACAAAAATGTCATGATTCGCATTTGATCTTTTTCAGCTACAAACCGATGTTCGTGAATTATTAGATGTGATCAATCAAATGAGTTTGATACCATCGAATTATATCGGTCGGGAGAAAATCTCTAAATGGTACAGACGAAGTTATTTTCGTGTAGGAAAAATCATTACATTGAATTGTTTTTAGGTTAAATATTCTGATGACGATGAACGCAGCTCACGAGATCACTGATGAACAAGCACGGCAATTTCAGTTAGATTTAGAAACTTGTTACAGTGAATTCAATCGTTTACTTGCGTCTACCGGATAATGCATTTCATTGAACAATAATTGTATAGTTAAATATTCTCTCTTTTCTTTTCAAAGTAATACACGATTTTCTAAGTCCTATGTCGATTATTGGTTACACGATTGAATAAATATACACAAAGTGGCTTTTAAGCAAGAAATGATGAAGCCAAAAACATGATCGTTATCAAAACGTTAACACGAAAAGTCAAACATTGACTCGTTCTTGTCTCCAGGGCATACGAATAGAAATTTCTCTTACACGGCCTTGAAAGTTCGATTTAACGTCTTTCTATTCGAATGAAAAAACAATACCATTGCGTCCGTTTGTTTTGTACTCATTCATAAACGCAAAAAATAAAAAACTGAAAATAGTAGAAAACTGATCGAAGAAAAAACTGACGGTTGAACTGTTGTCGAGGAATTGTAATACCATTCTGGACGTCGCACGCCATGATTCCAGTTGTAATTATTATTCCAGGCATAATTCGGATTTGGATAGCGATTGTCGTAATTGTTTACCCAACCTTGTCCGCCTGGCCCGTAAAGACCATATTGATTATTATATTGCTGAACGTAATTGTATCCAGCATATTGCCGTCGTCGACGGTTGGCTTGTGCTCCTAGAAAAGAAAAGTTTAGCTTAGCTTAACACATTCAAATATTTGATCTTACCGATGATGAGTAGAGAGAAGAGAAATAGAAATAACAGTTTATTCATATTTTGTATGTTGATCGTGCACGAGCAATTCGAGAAATGTGTCTCGTTAGTGCAACAATTGTCAACAAGTATATTATGCAGACATACGTTCTCTCGTTGCGAATCGTTGTGTATATAGATGTATATGAAGAAAAAAGGTCATTTGGAGGGTATTTCTCTCTTTTTCTTTCTTTCTTTCAATGTTTGCATATGATGATTCAATCATTCGTATCGATCTCTCGTCTCTCTTCAACTTGTAAAGCTTGACAAACGAACTAACATTTTTGTGACAAACAGAACACAAAGAAATAGAATTTCTATTTGAATCAAACTGTTGACACGCGATTTTTTCTCTATTATCAACGTGCCTGTTTAGCTCAGTGGTAGAGCGTCGCTCTCGTAAAGCGAAGGTCACAGGTTCAATCCCTGTAGTAGGCATCAACCTTTTTTTTTCTTCTTTCTTCCCGTTCTGTTAGTCGACGCGTACGTATTTGCCATATAAATATCTGTGAGACGCAGTTAGTAAATGAAATCATTTAACGATAGATAATTACTTATTTATGTAACAACGTCTTATTTTTCCATGAAATTTCGAGAGTTTTACAATTGAAATTATTTGAAAGAGAGAAAGAGAGAGAGAGAAATAAAAGGAAATTCAAGATTTTTGTTGTTGTTGAAAATGTCTTAGTAGACTTTGTAATAGATCGTTTGTGAGATGAATGCGTTCAAATTTAACTGCAGATTTCTCGTCTTTGTTAACCTTGTTTTCACATATTATTTTCATCTGTTTCACCATTGTTTGAGATTTTTTGGCATCAACTGTGACCTGAATTCGTTGTGAGGTTGTATTACTCGATGGTATTGCTCTTTTGCGTGCAATTAATGGCTACATGAAAATGAATATTCATAGATCGATTAGGAAAAAACCTGTTTCGGTAAGGAGTACCTTCTTGATTGTCTTTTTCTTTGCTCGTTGCTGTTGAACAAGTTTAAAAATATGTTCAGTCGATTGATCTACTATTGGATGAAACATTCCATCGTCGGAACGATGTAGAACATCTGTTAATGATTCGAGAAATTCGGTTAATGTGGAATAGCCGAAAAGTTGATACGGTAGTGAACGTTGACTATTAAACAAGGCATAATCACGCGCTAATTCATCTTCATATAGACCTGTCGGAGATGAAACTAGTAACGAACGAATTTCAATTTTAAGATTACTTAACAACAACGATGTCATAGCGATGTCTCCGTAGACTGATAATCGATTTTCTTTCCGAATGATATACGACTGGAGAGATCAGAATACGAAAGAATACTAATTGTGAACAGACAGATGTCACTGTCCGAAAAATAAGTTCAAATGGAAAATCATGACATTGACAACTGAAAAACTGAAGAGAAATAGAATACTTCTGATTAACAGTACTTTTTTGCAAATATTTCAGTGTATAGAAAACGATTGCATTTGTCTTTCTATCATTTGGGTTTTTTCCTCGTTGAATCAATATTGATCATCGTCGGAGAATATTCTTTTTCTAAAACACTATGATTACTCAGTCAGGCAGCTGCCATGGACACCGATATCTTATGTATACTCCTTTCAAAGAATTTTCTCAACGGACGGATATTTATTGTATAAATAAAGGACAGAACTCTTAGTCATGACCAAAGCAGATGCCGAAGCAAGCGAATACATAGATAACAATATAAACGGCACACGATATCAACATGCCAACAGCACAGCCAAGTTGCGCTTGAATAAGTTTTAACTTATCGTATGGAACTGCCGGACATCGAAGATCCGCACTATTGTTATTAGCTATTGCTTGACCACATTGGTTTAATATCGCAGTATAATTTGTTCGAAATGATTCTACACTTCGAACAGCACAACATAATTGATCACCCAGATAACATTTACAGAGATCCTTGATGAAAATTTGATCGAAATAGATCATCACACAAGCTAACAATCCACTGAATACTAAACAGAATAAACGAGAAGTTCGCCATCGGAATTGAAATCAGAACTTACTTGTCCATATGAGTACATAAGTGGCACAACAACGACCGCGGCAACAGCAGGCTGATAGAATACAAAGAACCCAATAGAAATAAAAACAGAAAAGAATATCTTACTAATGAAAAGCATCATAAGAAATGTTTTGATGAAGACCAAACTAGCCCAAAAGCCAACCCAGATGGTTCCGTGAGCAAGATCGATATACACCGAACCAATCTCCAACCCAACGATTGCTGCAGTTAGCACAAGTTGAGCAATACCGACCACAGCCGATGTCCATCGGGGAAAACGTTCCGAGAAACCCATGAAATATTCTTACAGTTCACTTGTCGACAGTAGAGTGTGAAGGAGAAGAGTAGTTTCTTTTTAAAAAAATGGCACTAAATGTCCACGATTGCTTTTCTTTTATGGAAGTATGAGATTGTTTGAGAGAGAAAAAAATAGTTTAGTATTGTGTTCCTCTTTTTTCTCTCGCTGAAGAGAAGAACGGAAGAAGGTCGGTGTTATAAATTATAAGAGTGGAAGGTAGATGCCTGTGCCAAATAATGATGTGAGAGAGTGAAAGAAAGAAAGGACATTGATGTCAGAGACGGCATCAATCCATTATAAAATGATTTTTCTCTCGATGATTCTTCGCGCCTTTTCTGATTCAGAATATTTTAATGTCATCATCCAGCTGTTCTATTTTTCTCGGCACCGACAATTTTCTCAATGAGTCACAGTTAGAATTACTTATATACAAACTGCCTAAATTCTGATTTATTTAGTAAATAAGAGAAACTCGAGAAAACAAGCATAGAAAAGTCTTTTATTCTGTCTTTCGCGGCGGTCTCTTCCTGCCATTCAGCGTGTAAACACCATCTACTTTGTTTAGTTCAACTATTTCGCAATTATTAAATGTTTTTAATTCAGTTAATTCATCAACTGTCCAACGAAAATAGCGCATGAGAAACAGTCGCATGAGAAGTTCATGTGAAACAATGATGATATTCTGTGTTTCATTGTGATGTCCATTATGCAGTTCACGAAATAATGTGTCGAGAAATAATGTAACACGATCATAAACATCAGCACCACTTTCTCCACATGTAAAACGATAGAAAAAGTGGCCAAGACGATCACGCTCTTCAAATGCTTTTGGTTGAGTTTCTAAGTCAGCTAAATTGCCGAACTCTTGTTCACGTATACGTGGATCTTCTCGTTCAGTAATGATCTGCAAGGGTGAAAATGCTTTTCGAATGTTTGCCCATGTTTGTTTCGATCGTTTATACGGACTCATATAAACATAAACCGACTCTTTGCCGATCTTCGAACGAAGGATTCTACCAGCTTCTGTTGCTTGTTCATGGCCCTTTGTCGTTAATTCGATCTGATGATCAGCTAGACGAGAGTACAAAGCTATTCACAACAAAAAAAAACAATCTGGCAATCAATTCATTAGAAACAAAACTTGTCATGGTTACTTGTGTCCACATTTGCTTGAGATTCCCCGTGTCGAACGAGAAATATGCGTGATGGTCGTTGTAAACTTCGTAGTTTTCTATATCGACGATGAAAATATTCCATCATATAATTAATACAAACATCGTAGCAACCGAAGGTGACAAAACCAACGACACTCAAGGCAATACAAATTATCCCAATCAAAACAGTGACCATTGTTTCTGTTTTAGTCAAATATTGTCTTGTTTTTATACAGATAAAAAACAGAGTGTCATCCTAATAACAATAGATATGAAAAAAAAACTCGGTAACGCATGACTGCACTCAGAGTTGTGCGCATATGAATAGGCAAGGTTGGATAGTGTAAAAGAGAAAACAAATTTTGATATTCGCTTACGCGTAGTCTACGACACCAATATCATAATATGAATAAGAATTGATAAATGCATAAATATCAACTAATTATATTAGTCATAGATTTAAAAAGAATGAGTATTACAACTTTCTGTGTTCGTTTGCAAGAGAAACTTTGTCAACGACATTGTCGATAGATCATTTTGTTTGATCGTATTTATGCAGTGGGAAAAGGAACAGCGTGACAGGAAATAATTATTTTCATACAATGAAAAACTAATGGTACTGCAAATACTGGAGTATAACTTGATATATTTCTTCGGAGTGATACAATAAGAAAAGAAACGCCTTTTTGAAGCGTAAAAACTGATGATTTAGTTTTTGCTGAGAAAGGAAAAACAAAAGATTTCATGAAGATTTCTCCTAATAACGTCGAAAATTAAAAAATCGAGAACGGCAGTTTATGAAAAGAAAAATCCTTTACACACTCACGCACACCTGCACCTTTCATTCATCACTCTCCTTCTGTGCGTTCGGCTTTTTGATTTTCGACGTTATTAGCGTTGACCTTCATGAAGTTCATTGCTTTAACGATCGAGTCAAAAGAACGAATAAATCTTCTCTTTTTGAAGAAATCCCAAAACTTATCTCGAAATTGAATCGTTTGATTCTGTGTTCACAATCCATTTCGTACATGAATGCTACATTTCGGCGTACCAAACGACATGTGATAAATTCAAAATTTTCAACTATCCGTTCTCTCACCCTCAAGACGCAAGTGATTGTATGACGTCTCATATACATTACAAACAAGTGCGAAAGCGATAAGAAACTGATATTCATAATAGTCCATGATCGATGTATTGAAGTAATCTATGATTAGTTCAGTCGATCGACGACAATCATAGAAAAAAAACATTTTCTTTTCGTCAATACTATTAGAGCACATGTATAAATGAAGGTATTTCTTTTCAAAAGTCGCTGATCTATACTTCGTTTTCGTATCGACTAATATTATAACTATCGCTCTATCTTTCAATCATCATTTCAAGTCATCGAAGAAATACGCGACGATACAATCTAACTTGTTTTCACCTATTCATGGACAATACATATTCACAATTCGATGACCTTATTTCTGTCGAATACGAGCAGTTTTCAACATCGAATGATGAATATAGTAATGATACAACGCCAAGTACACACGATGTTGAGAGTAGAAATTCATCAAAAGTAGAAAAACAACGGAATGGTGAACGAACTTATGTGCAACATTATGGTCCGATAGTTATACGAAAGCGTCAGTCAACTGCACCAACGTTAGCAACAGGTCGACGTCCGAAAAATGTAAAATACGAAGGTGACGAAGCTATCAAGCGTGATATACGTCGAATGAAAAATCGTGAATCAGCGAAAAACTTAAAAAAACTTCGGGATGATATTGCACATAATTTAGAATCAACAATCGATGAATTGGAATTAGAAGAGCGAGAATTAAGCACAGCTGTTAACGTTCTTCGTTCTTATAAAACATACCTTGAACGTCGATGTGAAGAATCTTCAAGCAAGCAAAATCCTGCTTCTCCCACCATAATAGTACCGTCCTTGCAAACGAATACTATGCAGCTTGATGATGATCAACATTATCATGTTGAATTCAAAGAAGAACGAACATCGCCATCGCCACCCTACCAACTAGCATTTTGTATATGAGCATATCTTTCACTAGAAATTTGACTGAGTCTCATAGTTGTTTTTAAGATATATCTGTTATTTTTTTAATTATCAGTTACTTTCGTTAGACAATCATTGGATTTATTCACTTTTATAAAGCGGATTTGTCTGTTCGAGATGCTGACAAGAGAAGACGTATTGTTTTTATGTATTGCTGATGTCATATCGATAAAAAGTACGAGTACGTATTTATATAAAAGATCAATGTCAAAAAGGAAACAAAAACGATCTACATTTGACACTAAAGAAGCTTTCTTCCCGAGGATATATACGATTTTGATTCGAAGCTTTGTATTTCGGTTAGTTTCCAATTTCTTTACATATTGCTACGTATCATACAGTAAGTATTAATTTGATCAGATGCAGCATTTTCTTCCGGAACGAATAGGTATGAATGAATACTTATTCTCAGTGGTGGTGATGGTGGCGTTGGGACGACTCACCTATGTCGAAGAATTGATTGGCGAACGTCTTATCCAATCGAATCGCTATTCATTTTCGACCACACGATCATTCTGGTTCGGCTAGAACTTTACACTAGTAAATACCGGCAAACTATTCGAAATGTAAAATGTTGTTTCGATTGCAATCAACACTTTTTCTATCTCTTCGTCGGCTACCGACTCTTCAATCTCGAATCTATGCTTCGTCAACGGCACCTCGGTCTGATGAAGACTGGGAACAAGATCAGAATCGAAAAGACAAATTCGACGACAATCCACCCGAAAACGAAGAAGCATCAATCGCCTCGATGATTGGACCTTATATCTCATCAAAACAGATGGCATTTCATACAGATCAATTCGATTCGGCACATATTAGACAAAAGAATAAACAAGCTTTTCTAGTATGTTTTCGCACATTTACCTAAACAATTCGAATGTATTCTTCGTCATAGGATGTTATCGAAGCATATAAGGTTCAATTTCCTAATCGTCGCGGTCATGTAGAATTCATTCGAGCAGCACTCCGACGGATGCCAGACTTTGGCGTTGAACGCGACGCTGAATCATATAAAAAACTTCTATCTGTCTTTCCTTTTGGTCCCTATCGACACCAATCGATGTTACAAGTATCAGTTCGATTTTGGCCGAAACAAAATGAAACAGCTTCAGCAATTGTATCAGCGATGGAATCACAGGGTATTGCACCTGATCTAGAAGTTGTACATATGTTAAGAGAAATCTTTGGCCCATGGGCACATCCTGTTCGTCGTTTTGCACGTTTTCTCTATTGGGCACCGAAATTTATGAACAAGAATCCTTATCCAATTCCATGGGAACTACCGGACAGCGAACGAGCCCTAGCAAAACTGGCTCTTCAACGTATGACATCAACTGTCGACATGGAAACCAAGATTGTTGACATACATTCAGCCAGTGATAATTCACCCGACGTCGATCATCCGGTAGAAGAACATTCATGGCTATTGTACACTCATACACCTAAACAAACGAAATTAGTATCAACATTAGCAAAGGATAGGCCAATTTATATTGAAGGACCATTTGCAGTTTATCTCAGAAAAAAGCAAATGAAATATTTCGTTCTAAAAGCAGATCCCACCGAGGAATATCGAAAGAAAAAACAAGAGTTAGAAAAATTCAATACAGACGATGGTAAACGATCATGATCTTCTTCGCTTCCTACTGATTACTTTCTCGTATGCTTTAATCTAGTTTCAAATTTAAGATCACCATTTCAACCTGGTGCTACACTCTATATTCCTCCATCCGTACATGAGCTTGACGATGGATTCATCTTATCATTATGCATCATAGGCAAACCATATACTTCGTTGATTAATTGTTGGCTGTATCATCTCCGAAAACACCATATGCCAAATTTGAGCCAATTTGCTGTTGTGGATAAAACAAAACTAACCGACGCGAAACAAACAGATCGATTTTACACTTCACATCTTGTTGGCACGCCAGAGTTCACAATTCCTCATGATACAAAACGTATCGCAGAAGCACCGAAACCATGGTGGTTCAACGATGATCCTGACGATGATAAAACAAAGTGAATTTTTTTTTGAATATTTTTGTATGAAAACACGTTCTTCGTTTGTTATTTACTTTATCCGAAGAAAAAAAAAACAACAGTCTATCGGCGGGTACACTTCGGTCGGTTCATTTTATAAGTAACAGACAATATAAATAGGAAAAGGTGAATAAAAGAAAAGTAGACCTTTGTCTATCTAATAAAAAAATGTTATTTCAAGCTATGTCTCGCTGTTAACACGCCTGGAAATCTTTTACTATTAGTTAATTGGCTCAGAATGAAAAATAACGTTAGTAACTCTGCATAACTGATGACTAGACGTGCATTAAATCCACTGATACGACGAAGAATAATCTTTTATGGTTTATGACTTCTCTCTTTTTGGCACAGCGTAAAAATGGGAAGAGTAAATATACCTTTAGGTACGCATAATAACATGTCTTGTCATTGGCTGTTGACAGTATTTTTTCATATAATCTCATTTCCTCGTTAGTATTGCTAATTTTAAGGTTGAGTATATTATATTTTTCATTTCAATCTCTATAGTCACGTAGGTGTTTTAGACGTAATATAATCATGCTGTCTATTTTTAGAGTGTTTTCTTGTTCAGTGGACAAATAATCAATTTTCATGAAGTGCTTCATGCTTCTATTCTGTTTTAAATCCTTGACAGATTTTCTTCATCGGAAATAGAAACAATTCTGACATAGAAGATTATTTCTTTTCCAAAATTTTCCATCTGGAACAACAAACAAGACAGTAAAACGCAAGAAAGACATTGGTAATGTACTTTCTTTGAATGTCTCAAAAAACAATCGCTGCATGAAACATGACGATTACGAACATCTTCTAATCTTACCAAATATGAATTAAATTCAACTATTGAGCACCTTCTCATGGAAGACGAAAACACGACCGTGACGGAAGAAGTTCTTTCTGGAGATCCGATTAAATTTATTTTACTGTTAACAATAGAGATTCTATCGTTTCCCTGTACTTTATTGATACTTAGTTTTTTACTATTCAATTGGCGATCAATGATTATCAAAGGTCTACGTAATCATTTCATTCTCTCGCTTGTCCTAGTCACCTTCATCTATCTAACGATGGATCTTCCATTTACTATTCAATATTATGAACTTGGTTATGATATGCATCATAGCATACTATTTTGTCTTTGGTGGTATTGGCTTGATTACACTTTGGTAGTTATTTGTATATTTCTGACTGCAGCTGCGAGTATCCAACGACATGTATTGATTTTTCATGCTCATTGGTTACATCAGCATCGTCGACGATGGTTGTTACATTTTGTTCCGATATTAGCATGTGTCTTCTATCCAGGAGTGTTCTATCTTGTGGTGATGAGCATTCATCCGTGTGTTTATGACGAGAGTATTTATTGTTCAGCTCCGTGCTACACCGACAATATCATATTGTTTAACCTCGACTGGATTTTGAATACGGCATTTCCACTATTGACAATCATACTTGCAAATATCACTCTGATTGTTCGAGTAATTCGTTCGATGAAAAAAACGCGTCGCCGGCAAAGTTTAACTTGGAAGCGGCAAAGAAAATTAACTTTACAATTAATTGCCCTTTCGTCATTATTCGTACTCGGATGGGCACCATCGACTGTTGTATCGATAGTTCAATCATTTGCATTGCCAACGTTATTCTCAGATATTCCGCAACTCGCTTATTTGAATTACCTCACATATTTTGTTTGTCCTCTACAACCGTTTTTATGTCTTTTCGGTTTACCGGAACTGCTAAAAAGTTTGACAACTTCGTTTAAATTTCTACGTCGTCGATCGCGAGTAAATCCTGTTAACACGATGCAACCTGTTGTTATGACTTAATTTTACATAATTATCAACACATTTTTCAATCCTACTGTAGAAGTACTTCAGACTCAGTGAAGATCAGATAGAGAAAAAAAAATCTAGTCTGTTGTTATCACGCGACAATGAGGAAATATGAATACTTTTAAGTATACTTGGTAACTTGTTTCTTTTTGACAATATATTGCAAGTCAGTGAGTGCATTTCACATTGAATACATGGAGTAAATTCAAAATCAAAACACCGGAGAGACAAAAGCGAATTTGTAATCTCATGTGTTATTATTTTAACAGAAGGAAAAGTCAATAGTATCAGAATTGACGCATAATCAGGTGTGTTTCATCTGTTCTAACGGGTTCGTTCTTTATTTGTTCTGTTAAACATAATCCAAGGACATTCTTTGTTTCTTAAAATCATCAATTTCCGCAAGCCTCTCGACAATTGTTAAGTAAACTGTTCAATTTCATCAACTACTTGAACTGGTTTGTCATCTCATCATTGAAGTTGTCAATGCCATTCGGTTTATTTATATTCTTCAGTAGTAATATATATCACACTCTCCTAAACACGATTACTTTATATTCGTTAGAAAACAACAGAAGAAAATGAAGATAAAAGTGTGCAAAGAATACATCGATGTAGATATTTGTATGTCAAATATATATGTAAGAGACGGAGAGAGAAAGAAGACAATCACCGGTATTATCTGATATGTATGAAAAGATATTTTCGTTAGTTTCTGGTTGGTATTTCAATACGGATGAAGCTATCTTTGAGAAAAGTGACACGTAAACGAGTATAGTCATACTTGTAATCTTTTGGTAAACGACAGATGCGTGATGTTGAACGAAGAATAACTTTATTCTGTGATATTTGCTCTTCGAGACGATCTTTTTCTTGTTGTTCAATGAAGATTTTCAAAAGATTCAATTTTGGATCGGATTGAATACGTATTTCATCCATCAAAGTTTCGAATGATAAACGAAGATGATAGATCAAGATCGGTGGCGAATCATTGGTAAATGTGTATTGTCCATCCCAGATATCTTTCAGCGGATTTTTGTACAAGGTATTAAAGCGATTGATAATATCTGTGACTTTTCTCGAATCGGGTGCTTGTTGGAATGAGGTCGGTTCACCAACATGAATAATCGTGCGATTGTTATCAAGTTTTTCAATACGATGCGCAGTGCTACTACTTAATGGTTGGTTCGAGCTTGTGGTGTGCGACGATGTGAGCAATCCTTTTTGCTCCAAACCTAGACGAGATCGAAGGTTGAGATGAAAAAGAAATAAATAAAAATGAAACCCACACCATGCAGAGAGCGAGAGGGGAAAAAAGAAAATAGTTTCAAAACCCATGCTTGGGAGAAGAAGGAGAAGAAGATAAAGTTTACTAACCCAATCAACAATTGATTTGAATGGACTGAGCAATGCTGTAAAAACACTCATATGTGAATAAATAGAGTTGAAATAATAAACGGTAAGTAGAATGATTCGCTTATTCATGTTTCAAAGTCGGAAATGAGAGCAACAGTTTATCATGAAAAAAATGCTAACCCGGAATGGAAGAGATTGTCTTTCATGACCTAATATTAGTATGAAATGACTGCTTTTACTACGAACTAACCTCCCCCATCGTGTTTAGTCGATGTGACTTTTGTATTTACAGACGGTGTTGAATGACTCGATTCTTTTTGTTCGATGTGTCGTTTCTTTTGAATTTCTTTCCACGCCCATTGATGATATTTGCCTTCGACAATCAATTCTCCTTCTTCCGTTAAATAAGCCACAATTGTTTCATCATCAACGACATCCGGCACATATAACTCAGTTTTCAATTCATGTTTGCGGTAATTTCCACGTTTATCTGTTGGTTCAATCGTATGACAATGAATGAGAATTTTCGGTCCTTCTAATTGTACGCTGATATCGGATGTATCGTAGGTTTTACCGATGGGCACACGCATTTCATACAGATTGACTTCGCCTTCATCTGACGACAAATCATTACAGATTAGCTGTTGCCTTAATGAACTCGTGGGTTTCGAGAAATCTTCTACCATTGATGGTGTTAATACTGATTGATTAGAAGAAATATCTGTTTCAATGCGAGGTAGGTGTGGATGTGTACGCGGTTCATCTAGTGATTCGCATGACGAACTCAACGACGGTTCACGTCGTCGATGTACAACAGGTCGAACGACAATCCGCCGCGACGATTCACGTTTTATCGGATGTTGTCGACGAAGTTTACAAGTACCTCGATTATCAGAATAATCAACAGATGACGACGTAGGAAACTCATACACAAAACCATTTCCAGATAATGATGCATTATTTAAAGATGTAGACGGTTGCTGCAAAAAAATAACATCATTAATCAATTAACATCCTTCTACTGGATGGTAATAATAATAATAATATTGCTTACTTGTAAATAAGTTTTATATTTCGACTGGTAATGTGCCTGATGCCCGGTGTCGTTGAGAGTTGATCTCTGTGGATATGTGTGTTTGACAGTCGGAGGCGGAGGTGGAGGCGAGATGTATCTGAAATGATCGATGGAATGTGATCGAGGATAATTGAGAGCGGCAGATGATGATGGGGTCGGCGGTGGATACGGTCGATTGTTGTAGCCATGACCATGAATTTCAAGTGATGGAAGTATTGTTAAAGAATTTGCTGGCGGTGATGCAACAAGATCAAGAGAGCGACTAGCTAAACGATTCAAATTCGATGAAGATATACGCGTTTGGGCTTGTAATTGTGCTAGATGTTGCTGTTGTTGTTGTTCAACGCGACGATATTGACGATCCAATGCAAACAACTCTTCAACAGACAAGCCTAATGGTCGCTGCGTTGATGATTGAGAAGAGGTGACCAACATCTTATTCTCTCTAAAGTAAAATTTCTTCTTCGTATGTACGACTCATATAAAGAATAAAACGAAACGAAAAAAAAAGAGAGAAGAAAAGAATAATACTCCTATTCTCTCGTGCTCTCCTTTTCTCTGTCCTTTCACTAAACAAACCATCAAAATTCACCCAACGAAAAGGCCAAAGAACAAAAAACAGAACAATAGATGATGTGGTCGAAGCAAACCAAAGAAGAGAAGAAAAAGAAAGCGAAGCATCGTCATCTCTCCTCGGACCGATCGTATTCATGTAGGTCTCTTCTCTTTACTTTCTAATTACTACTGCACAAGAAGAACATGCCAACGACGACGACAAAGACCGCCAGACATGCTCCTGCAAGTCGATCCACTGGCACAAGCTTGCTTTTCCTTCGTGCGAAGAACAGCTGTGAATACATTCAACACGACGAACTCTCCCTCAGCGTATTTATAGTTATTGCATAAACACATCAATGACAGCAGCAATACGATATTGCAGGAAAGAGACGCCTACCCACACGTGCGTCCGACAAGCTACAGAGAAAAAACGAAGAAAGAAAACCATCATAAATGACATTATTATTCTAAACATAGAATAATAGATATTGTCAAAGGAAGCTCCATTTGATGCTTTCGCGAGTATCGTTTATATTAATAGCTATCGAACAACTCATTTGCTTCTTTTGTACTATTAGTTTTCTTTGAAACACATGTGACAAATACATAGCTGCTTGCTCTTCATTCAAAAGAAGCAATTAAACGAAGTGTCCTGTGTGACGTGAGCATAATGATTATCAACTGATATTAATGCGCAGTTGTTAAACGAAAGATAATGTTTTTTTTTGTAATGATATTACAATAACTAGTTAATATCTATTTATTTTTCATAAAGAAAGAAGAAAATCAGATTTATTTTGTGTATATATTGACATTACTGTAGAAGTTCTTTATTTTTTTTTAAAAGAAAGAAAATCAGATAACATTGATAGTTCCTAAATGACGCTTTCTTGTTCGCCTGCTTTGGTGCTCTCCTTGGAATCCTCATCACTCGTATCTGTACTGGGCGGTTGATATCCTTCCGTTATTCTAAACAAAAAAACATAAATCCAAGTCTTGGTAATACTTTCCCATTGATTTGATCATACTTTGATTTCTTCGAAATATCATTAGCCGTATTATCCGAAGTATCTGAATCAGTTGATGAATGAGATCGTTTACGAATGCGTATTGTTGAATTGTCTACTGATGATGATCCAGACGTATTTAGACTGCTTTTATTCTACAAAGTACAATATTTATAAACTCAACAATTCCAAGGGCATACAGGTGAAGTGTTATTTGACGATGTCGTCTGTTGTCGTTCGATGATTTGTATACGGGATTGCAATTCTTTACATAAATTAGTACAATCATTTGCCGATGCCTAGACAATATAAATCATACATTTAGACGTCTATGTAAGCAGAGAATAGAATTACCTTGATAACGAATATTCTTAGATGGGATTCGTCTTGCGCACCAAATCGAACGGAACGGTCTGTCGCTCGCTCGACAGTCATCTTAGGAAATATTGGTGAATTGAGAATAACACGAAATGCTTTATCCAATCTCATAACTAGAAGAAAATCAAATAGGTCAATGGACATCATATTTGCAGACATCTCGTACTTAAGCGTGCTTGCAATTTGTCCCAATCGGATGGATCACGACTTTCGTTTATTTTTAGTATACCATAACCTCGTTCAACAAATTGTTGCTGTTCAGGGTTGTACATATATAATTTTCCAGCAATCTTAAATAGAGAGCAAGTGATTTCGAAAATCTAGTCATGGGAACGTACCTGGAATTTAGTTATTTCATGTTCTTCACCGGTTGATGTGTCACCTTGTATAGTAGTTGATGGATGTGTCGTTGCTCTTCTTGCTTCATATTCCGCAGCTGTTTCAAATAGTGAACGTGCTGATTTATTGTTTTCTTCCTCATCTTCGTCGTCGTCTTCATCATCATCATCAGCAGCAGCATCGCCATTTTCATCTTCCTCTTTGGTCGCATCGTTCTCAGCCTTCGCTTCGTTTGTTGCACTAAATAATTGCTTACTAAACAAGTTCATTCAATCAATTAAGTATCAATAATTGATGCAGAGTCGAATCTTATACTTAGCACTAAGTGGAGCAAGCGAAGAAGCCAGTGACAGTGAAGGTGCTGAACCAAAACCTTGTGTATTCGTTGCTGAAAATTTTGCTAAAGTGCTTGTGAAATAACTCGTTGATGTTGATGAAGAATTCTCTCCGTTAGACGAAGATAATTGACCGAATGAACTGAAACCTGACCCATTATGTTTGAATTGTCCAAACAATCGAACCGGTGTCGATGTATTCACATTATTAGCTTCTTTTTCTGTCTTGTCTTCATTACCGGTAGCAGATTCTATTCAAATCAGAAAAGTATTCTCAGATGAATATTTCTAAATCCATGAGTAATTCACTCACCATTGTTTGACATTGTGATGTATGAGGAGTACGATCTAATACTGGTCAATGAAGAAATATATGAAAGAAAAACGAATCGAATATGATCAAATGAATATGATTAGTATGAACTTGTTTACCAATCAATGCAAATCTTCTGAAGATGTATCAAGTGACATCTATGCTACAAAATGAAGTCTATTCCTAAGTATTCTTCAGTCGAAAGAATAGAAGCATGGTGAAGATGTGAATGATTTTTTTCTTTCATAACAATTGCTGGTTAAGATTACTAATGGCATTTCATTCAAATGATGGATATAATTTATCATTGAAAGGCAATTCTCTTCAACCGCCGTCAGGAAACGTCTCATCACGTTCAGCTAGTGCAAGAAGTCATTCTCAAACGAGACAACCTGTCGCACCCTCTAGAATAGGTAATAGACGATGCATGATGAATGTTTGCTGAATTCTTCAATGTCATTTCCAGGCAGTGGTAGAGATCATCGAACAAATCCGAATATTAGTAACGCTCGACAAAGGTAAATCATCTTTTCATCCCCGTAGTTCTTCCATGTTAAGACTTATAATTCGATTCTAGACGACATAGTAATAGTGGTCAAAGACCTGCCTGGCTTACATCTCCTACACCAGATCCTAAACAAGTATAGCGTTACTCTTTGCAAGAAAATTCAATGTACGTCTATTTTTCAGAATACTTCAACATCGTCCAGTGTATATCGTGCATCCAGTCCACAGCAAGATGATGTTGACGCATTTTTTACCGATCGAGTACATCAAAATTATCATCAACAACAGAAATTCGACGAAGATCAATGGGATGATACGCATAATTGGGTTGATAAACTTCATTCTGTTAATGGATCGTTCACACCGCAGCAACATATTCAACCAGTCGGTCCGACAGGCATCTCACGAGATAGTCTAAACGGAGCAACGAATCTTCTTCAGTCAAGTCACAATCGGCGGGGACAACATATGCCAGCGTCGTATATAGCCGGTATTTCTCAAGCGACACCAACTGAAGTCGATCTACGAAAGAAAATGGCTTCAATTACGATTCAACGATGGTATCGAAAGATTCAAATGAGACGAAAAATGGCGGAAGCTGCATTGAAAAGGTAGTAGCATTGCTTTTTTTCCTATTATCCACGCTACTCGATTGTTTTAGAGTACTCGAACAGAAGAAAATCGAACATCAAGCATCAGTGGAACGAAACAAAGAACTAGAAAAACTTGCCTTATTGGAACAGAAGAAAAATCGAGAAGATAAACTACGTCAAACACGGTTAACAACTCTGAAGGTATCAAACTACGCAGACTTTTATAAATGTAAAATCAAATTAATTTATTCTTCCAGGAAGCTCAACAACCGCGAAGAAAACCATCGTATGAAAATCATATTAAAATCGATGAACGTCGTCCATCGACACCCAATCATCGACCAGTATCCTCGCGACATCGAACAAATCCCAATCCATTGCCACTTCCACCTTCTTCACACGTTGATGAAGTGTGTATTGCTTTTCTTCGGGTAAAACTGAGATATTTCTATGTGTCTTTCGAATAGAAGTTTACATCTGACAGTTCGACAACATCCAAGGTAACGCTGACTGATGTTTATGAAACATTAAGAAAACTAGAGGAAGTCGAACAATTTCCTGTTCAATCACCTCATGAGAATGAATCGGGTATGTTTGAATTCTTTATCAAATGATTCAATCCATTGATAACTACTGAGTTTAGCCTATCTTATCGATGCAGAAACACCTCCGGCCAGTGAAACCCCGCCGAGTCGGGTGGATTCGATCCTATCATATCTAGACGAAGCAAATCACAATGATGTAGCTACTATAGAAAGTGTTCGTTCACAAAAATCAACAGCACCTTCGACTGTTCGTTTCACTACGCCGCCCCAGTCCACTCGACAGCAACAACTTCCGACAAAAAAAGTCGCACAATCTGTTTCTGTCACACAGACACGTGCATCTCCCTCGATTGACCAACAGATCAAACACGGAAGTAAACAATCGCAGGCCACCACTACACATAAATCTTTGGCAGTAACTGCTCCTACACGAAAATCTCCAGAAGAAGAAATCGAAAGCGAAGCGAATATTGAGGATCATGAGGCGATTCGAACTGCTCAAGACATAACTGAGACTGTCATGCAATTACGCATGGAAAATGAAGAAAAACAACGTCAACTGATTATCTCTCAACAAAGATTGGTATAGAATTGTAATTGTAGAAGTAACAACAAACGTATTTCGTTGTGATTTGTTTTAGAATCAACAACGTGAATTGAATATTCGTCACGCGAAAGAGTCCGAACGAGAGTTAGAACATCGATTACAATTACAAAAGGATGATTACGAAGGAACCATTCAACGACACTTAACTTTCATCGATCAGGTTCGTTATTCATGTACTGATAAAAATTCTTCAACGTTTTCTCGTTTTAGTTGATCGATGACAAAAAGAAATTATCTGAGCGATGTGAACGATTGGTTTCTGAACTGAAAACCATCGATAAGAAATCTGGCGATCGTTTGAAGACAATGGAAGAATCTCATCGAATCGAATTACAAAAGTTGAAAGATGTTCACGAAGCAGCAGAAAAGCTGCGTCGTGAACGATGGATCGATGAAAAAACAAAGAAAATCAAAGAATTAACCGTTCGTGGTCTCGAACCAGAAATTCAAAAGTTAATTGGTAAACACAAAGCTGAATTAGCAAAAATGAAAACAGTTCATGAAGCCGAATTACTAGCAGCTGACGAACGTGCCGCACAACGATACGTTCGAATGACCGAAGATCTTCGCGATCAACTCGAACGAGAAAAAGAGTCAGCAATCGCGCGAGAACGTGATATAGCACGTGAAAAATATGAAAAAGGCATTCGAGATGAAGAAAAAGCGTTTGCCGAACAACGACGTCGATTGTATGCTGAAATCGAAGATGAAAAAAATCGACAAGCAGAATTAGTATCCAAACAACGTGCCGATCTCGATAAGTAGGTGAATTCTTTCCAAAGTGAAATTCTTTTCGAAGTGAAGATTTCTTCTAGACTTCGTCGTGACATTGAAGAAAACCATCGTACAGCTGTCGATGCTGCTAAACGTGAATACGAAGCGATACGCTTAGAACAAGAACGACGACATGCCAGTGAAATCAATGAATTGAAAGAAAAACTAGCGATCGAAAAGCAAAGTTGGGAAGAAAACTACATGAAGAAGCAAGAAACATTCCTTTCTGGAAAAGAACGGGAATTACGAGAACAGATGAGACGTGAACGAGATAAAGAGATTGAAAAGATCATTGCACAATTTGAATCCGATACAACACTGACAAAAGAAGAAACGGAACGCACAACAGAAAATCGAATCAAGTAAAACTGATGATCACAATATTAACAAAAGAAGACGCACACGTATTTCTCGTTTTAGACGTATGCGAGAAAAATACGAAGCTGAATATCGTGAACTTGACTATTCCGAAAAACAAACCAAAGCACGCTATAATCAAATAAAATCCCAAATGGCTGAAATCGAAGGTAAATCATTGGTTTTCTTCTAGAAGAATGCGAATTCTCCGAATATTTATAGGCGAAAATGAGCGATTACAAGTCATTCTCAGACAAAAAGACACAGAAGTCAACGACATTAAAAAGGTCAGTAAACTACATTTGATGTTCAAGATGAAAATAATTTGATTCTGTAGATCACGGACACCTTACAAAAAGAACGGGAGCGTTTATCCGATATCATTCGACAGGAATTCGCTGATCGACTCGTATTGACCGAAGAAGAAAATCGACGAATTAAAGGTGATATGGCCGAATTACGCGCTCGACAGCAAGTCGAACTTGATAAGAAAAAAGAAGAGATTGAAATTTTACAACGAGAAAAGGAAAAAGAATTGGAAACTGTGCATGAAAAGTAAACTATTTTCTTTCGTCTTTTCCATATCGAACTTCATATTCGTTGTAGAATCAAACAAGCAATTAGTAAAAAAGATGAACAGGTACAAGCGCTACGCATTCAATTTGAGGCAGCAGTTAAACGAGCTGATCACCTCGAGGGTTTATTAGCACAACAGAGAAAACTCATCGGCACAACACCTGCAAATAGCAATAACACGCCAAAGAAACCGGCACCATCTTAACACATTTCTATCGCAGATATCTTCAAAATTCCTTTTCTTTTTTGTATGTTGTTATTCATAAAAAAAAAACAGTTCAAATGTGTTGGGTTTGTAGAAAAATATATCATTAGCACTTCTCGGATATTCACCTCTGATTTATAGAAATTGTTGAGTGATACTCTTTCATATGGTAGGACACACGGTTTGTCTACGGGTTTTCATTATTAAATTCTTATTTGTCAATTCACCACATGCAACAGTACATGTTCGAATTCGTCAAAAAAAAGTAGATCGACAATTGCCGGAATCTATTTCCTCTTGTATTCCAATGCTCGATATCTCGCTGATTTACGACGTTTTTTTTTTAAATTTGATTAGCATCGAAAAACAAGCAGCACAATATATGTAGGATTTTTTTTTCTGGGGTACTTTTACACCTGAAGATAACGATTCATTTGATAAAAACCAATAGCAACAACTATTGCGTAGCTTGATACATTGTGATGTTGACTTATGTCTTCTGAGATAATTTACAGTTCGACGAAAATCATACAATACTGCACAAACGCTCATTAGAATGAATCATGGTTAACTTACAACGGCAAACTGTTATCTATAAATCATCGACGATCTAATCTGTAAACGAAATTTCAACATATTATCGTTTGTTTGATAAACTATCATAAAATCAAAGAAATTTTATTTCAACGATTTCACCATTACAAAGATAAAATTCTAATATAATCATTTTGACGGTTCAAAACCAGCAAGAATCTCCATGGTAACGGTGTTTTATCCGTATTAACCGAAAGGCAATGATGTTTGTTGGTGCGTTCTTGGAACAATTCGATTTGTTTTCGGTCACAATCCATCGTCAATTGTAGCACATCGTTCGAAAGGATTTCATCGCTTCGATATCCATGTGCTTTCGAATTATAATTAACAGTGCCGTGTTGATAGATTTCATTACATCCGAACCAACCGACTGTAAATGGCGAATAGTAATGAATTTTCGTGTCGTTTTCAGCAATATGGGATGCAATACAACCGAGAAAAATATTGTATGGCGTTTTTGCTTGTCCAATTCGGAAGCGAATGGTTTGTTTACCATGAAGATACATTTGTTCGCCGAGAACGAAAGCGTAATCGAGATTGGTACTTGTGCATTTGACTACAAGGTCATTATCAAGAATTTTACCAGGTCCGATGACTTTCGCGAACCGTTCTCGAGCAAATCGATTGATTGGTGATAAATCTCGTATTAATGATAGTCTTTCATAAGGAACGATCATTTGATTTTTCAAGTCCGATCTCTGAATTTTAATTGCATGAATAGCAGATTGTTCGTTATCGATAATTTGAATTGACGATCGAGTAGTTAACTCGTGTTTGAGTCTATCTAATTGTTGTATCCAACGGGTGAGATCAGTTTCACAGAAATCATCAGCATGACGTGAACAACGAAGATCACTAGCAATATCCGAACACGCTTTTGATAATTGTCTATTCGAATCTTCAATTAACCGTCGAAGTTCAATTCGATTGTTCTCAGCAATAATTTGAATCTTAGTCAGCGATGTCTTTTCCCATTGATTGATTTTTTCCAATAAAACTTGCTCATTTATCGTATGTTGAAGTTCCTCTAATAACAAATCATGATTTTGCATGATATCTTCCAATTGATTCGTTAGATATTGCCGATGTTCTAACACATGTTTACCGCAGAAAGCTTGTCGACACCCATTACATGTAAGAATGCCAAAATTTTTATGGCAAGTAGTACACTGCTTCGACTCGCTCATTTCGGTAAATGATATCGCGAAAACATATGAAGCGAGAGAGAGAGAAAGAAAAGGTCGACTAATTTGTAACTCGCTTGTTGCTAGCAGACGAAAGAAACAAGCCGCGTTAGATTAGATTCTTTCTGATAGGTAATGTTTTCTTTATCATTCACCTGTATTTTCACTCGAAAATATCCATTTGCGGCCGAGTATCTATGATACTATCTAACCAAGTAAATGATTATGAATTCTGCCTTGCAAATTAAAAAAAAAGCGTCACAATGAATACGGTTTCGATGTGTCACACTATTTCAGTGATATAAAACTTAGCGAAGAAAAACCGCTTGATATCTTCGACGACAGCAGTATCATGGAATGAAAAAATGTAATACAATTCGAACGTCCTACGAACTGATTCTTTCGTCGCGTCGTTATCCTTTCAAGAGCATAGTTGACGATGTCTGCCATCTGTCCTTTTTGTCATCATGATAGGATGAAAAAGTTTCAAAGGTGACTAAGCGTGAGTGGTTGTCACTCACTGGTAATTGACTCGTCTGAGCGACGTGCCAATTCTCAAAGAAAGAAAAACAACGTGTTTCGTACCTCGTTTTTCTGAAAATCTAGTTGGAGAACATGTCGGCCTCGGCGATATATTTTCTGGATATGAAAGGCAAAGTAAGTCGACTATTTGAACGAGTCGAATTGTTGAGCTACGTGTTAATGTACAGGTGATTATTTCTCGAAACTATCGGGGCGATATCGAGATGAATGTGATCGAGAAGTTCATACAGATATTGTTAGAAAAAGAAGACGAATCGCAGTTATCACCAATATTCCAGCATGGAGACGTGGCGTTTGTTTATATAAAATATAATAATCTTTATTGTAAGTTCAAGTTTCTCTTGTCACTTCAAAAACAAATAACGCGTATTGTTTTTTTTTCTTTCTCTTCTCTGCAGTGGTGTGTACGACGAAGATTAATGCGAATATAGCTATGGTTTTAGCATTTCTTTATAAATGTGTTCGAGTGTTTTGTGAATACTTTAAAGAACTTGAGGAAGAATCGATTCGTGATAACTTTGTTATTGTCTATGAATTACTTGATGAATTGATGGATTTTGGATTTCCTCAATCGACTGATTCGAAAATTCTTCAGGAATACATCACACAAGAAGGTCATAAGTTAGAAGAAGTTCGTCCACCACAAGCCTTGACTAATCAAGTTAGTTGGCGATCCGATGGTATCAAATATAGCAAAAACGAAGTGTTTCTCGATGTCGTCGAAGCTGTGAATCTTCTCGTAAGATGCAATTGTAGAAACTTCTTGAAATCAATCGAGCTGTTTTTAGGTTAGTTCAAATGGAAATGTTCTCCGTTCGGAAATCAATGGCGTTATTAAAATGCGCGTTTATCTAAGTGGCATGCCGGAATTGCGTCTCGGATTGAATGACAAGATTCTTTTCGAAACAACCGGACGTATGTTTGATGAAGTTCACATTCTACTATGCATATGATATTTTAGGTGCGAAGAACAAAGGTATTGAATTGGAGGATGTCAAGTTTCACCAATGTGTTCGTTTATCACGTTTTGAAAATGATCGTACAATTTCATTTGTTCCACCAGATGGTGAATTTGAATTAATGTCCTATCGACTCAATACTCAAGTACGACAAATTGTCTTCAAAAAGAAGAGATCAAGATTTGAAGTTTCTTTTTTTTTCTCCATAGATAAAACCATTGATTTGGATCGAATCCGTCATTGAAAAGCATGCTCATTCGCGCGTAGAATATATGATTAAAGCTAAATCACAATTCAAACGTCGGTCAACAGCAAATAATGTGGAAATTATCGTTTCTGTTCCAGCTGATGCACACAAAGGACAATTTAAAGCAACAGCAGGTTCGGTTAAATATGTTCCTGAGAAAACGGCCATGGTTTGGTCAATTAAATCTTTTCCAGTAAGAATTCTTCCTTCTCTCAAATTATCTATCAATATAAACTGGAAATTTAGGGTGGAAAAGAATACTTAATGCGTGCTCATTTCAAATTACCAAGTATTGTTGGCGAGGATATCGAGGCTAAACCACCGATAGAAGTGAAATTCGAAATTCCTTACTTTACTACATCAGGCATACAAGTAAGTTCTTCTCTGCAAGTCTTCATTTGTTGAATCAATTTCAATTTAGGTTCGTTACTTGAAAATTATCGAAAAAAGTGGTTATCAAGCGTTACCGTGGGTTCGTTATATAACACAAAATGGTGATTACCAAATCCGTACACAATGACATGTGTTTCGTTTTTCTGTAAATTTACACAAGAATGATCAGTTCTTTTTTCTTCATCGATGCCGATTATTTTTAATGTGTTTGAAATATTCAATAAAAAAATATTGACAGGAACAATAAGAAAATTCTGCTTCTGTATAGAACAAAGCTTTCTTTCGAGAGATTGTACCCATGCATATATTGTTCGCTGCTGTTGTTGATGATGTTTTTGCGCTTATCACACGCAAAAAGGAAGGAAAATGCAAGAGAATTCTATTTCCGTCATGGTTATCATTAGTTCCCTATCATCTCGTACAGTCGATGAGTCTGAATATAGAAGAAGCAAGCGAGAGAAAGAGAGAGAAGCAGAAGAAGAAGAAAAAACAACTTCTATCTGGCAGTCGACTAAGAGATTTACTATTGACATTAGGTTTTTTCTTCTCTTTCATCACGGACGTTGTCTTCTGTGGGTGGAGAATCGTGGATATACATACATATATAAATATACACGTATTTAATCGTGAGTAAACCAGATATAATTACATATATTTCAAATCGATTCATATTTGTTAAATTCCAAGAGATCAATGCCAGCTTCACGAGCTTTATGCGCTGCACCGCGTCATGTTTATGCCGGTATGGTTACGAACAAGACAAGTAAACCCGTTAAATGTACGATTCATTATGCAACTGGCGCAAACAATGCCGAAGAATCCATTTCTGTCACATTGGATGCCGGTGGTCGAGCTTGTATACCTGAACGTGATTATCAACCGTCACCTGACGCAACATTTACATGTCGTAAAGTTGTATCTCGTATCGAAGTTCAAGATGACAATAAAACTTANGATTATCAACCGTCACCTGACGCAACATTTACATGTCGTAAAGTTGCATCTCGTATCGAAGTTCAAGATGACAATAAAACTTATCAACTTGAACAACCATTTGATGGTGTGACATGTCCAGTCACGGAATGGAAATTCGATATAGACAATGATCACATTCTTTCAATTAATCCAAGTGCACCAACGAAAATAGACAGTATTATTGCTGCTCATTAACGTTTCACATAAAGGGCACACGAGAAACATTCAGTTGGTTATATTTTCTTTTTCTTCTTTTTGACTCAATAAGCTTTTCTTTGCGAAGAAATTTGAATTAAATCTAAGATACTTTCGATGATGACAAGTCTGTATATCATATTTGATGTTTATCTTTCCGTTATCAATGGTGACAAGTCAGAGTAATTCCTAGTTTTGACATCGAACTGCCAATGATATATGTACAGAATAACGTACTTGAATTGATAATAATAATAATAACACAAAAACAGCTTCGATAAAGCCATTTCCGTTCGAATTCGAATGAGAAAACACTCGCTATAGATAGTAATATTAGATCAGCATCTGTTAGCAATATGTTGAATATACTTGTACGAATACGATCAAAGAAAACGTCTATAAGCTGACAATTGATCGTGGCTAGAAAACATGCGCTTGTCTAAGAATAACAAATGTAATACAAGATTAGTTTCATTGTAACTCTACTTTCAGAGGTATGTCAGAAGATACGTTGCAGACATCATTGATACTTGATGTCTTCAAATCAAACAAACATCGAATGGCTATGACAACCTTGTTCAGAATGATCATTCATTCCTATTTTTAGTTATTATCGGAAATACCATTGATGATATGACATTTCCGATTACAGACATATTGACAAATCCATTATCCGATCGAGGTCAATTTACTGATCGGTTGCGTTCGAGAATAGTACCTGTTATCAACAGAATAACCTTGCTGAATCGTATTAAATTTAACTGACATGGAAAAAGACAAGTAGTTAATTTGCAATGGAAGTTTATTTGATGAAAAAGTTGGAATAAATCTGAAGATAGAGATTCTCAATTTGTAGAAGTTATAATCTAATTTATGATGTTTTTTGCTTCTTTAATGGACCTAAACAGGTTAAAGTTAAAGGACGAATTAGTCATATGAGTTGTCCTATCGAACAGATGTTACCTGTACTGACTTCATTTGATTTTTTCTGCTTTGGCGATGATTCTAAGTGGAAAAAAGATACTGATAGCGTTAAAGAAGTTTGAAAATTTTCTGCTCACGCCATTGAATAAAATTGGACAGACACATTGTGTTCCAGAGACAAATGGAACCTTGTCTTATGAAACAGAAAAGACGAGGTGCAGACGAATTATGGTTCGCGGGATGCAATTGTTTTGCCAATGGTTCATCCAATTCGTGTATTCGCCATTCTTCGGGGAGCTTATTCCAAAAAGAAACCATTCGCAACTTTAATCTACATAAAAAATATGCAAATAACGACAACAAACAAATATATTACTCGTAATTACGTAAAATCGCCCTCATTGCTTAATGTGATTCCCTGTAATTTCAATTCAACTGGATTCATGAGCGATGATTGACGCGTGAAATCTTCGGGCAGAAAGTGCCTGTCTGTATGTTTAAACCAGATTATTTTGCCATTCTCAAGCACTTCTCGCACAGCATAGATAACCAAGTAGGTGTCTTCAGTAGTTAGAAATTGGATAGGGATCTAATAGAAAAAAGAAATGTGAATAGATAGGATTGAAGTTCCATTATTTCTGAAGAATAAAGATTCAATACAAACGCGAATTTTTGGCCATACTGAACTTCTGGCTTCCGAATTGTTTTTCACGCCTTGCATGTAAGGAATGGAACCATTGCTTTTCGATGCATCTTTCTGATTAAATTTATCAGACAGATAAGTCTTCTTTTGTATAGGTTTAACGTCATGTGTAAAATACAGACGATCTGACGCCATGTTTGTCCTTTCTTGTAGTTGAACCGGTTGCTGAACGGAATGCGCAAATTGTGATCGACTTTGTATGACTTCGTTAGCTATAACAAAGCGTGAGATGATTCGATTTAATACGAAATTTCACCTGTAAAAGTTACCTGGAGTTAAATAAAGCGAATTGTTGTTCACGGGTGTGTCTATTATAGATAATGAGAGATTTATTGTGCATTTAGTATACCTTACTTGAGTTTAACGTTGAATTTGAAGATGGTAACTTCGGTGCATGAATCATCTGTGAGTTCGTTGTGGGAGAAAAGTTTTTATCTATTAATATAGGTAGAAATACTTTTCGTAGAGCAAACACAGATGAAATATTACCTCTAAATGAACTCAATGATCTTCTAGCGTTCAGATTGTCTTTTACACATGCACGACAAATGCTTGTCATCTCTGTAAGAAATAGTACCATCAAACGTCTCGGTTTGTTCTGAAACTAGAGTACCTGCACCACTTGCTCTGCTAACAAGTGCCGGAGATAAGTCTTTGCTATGATTGGCATTGTCTTTCGTTGTATGGCTGTCCACAGGTGAATCTATAAGATAAAAATGTCTTCGAGCATAGTTTATCAAAACAGCAAATGCTACCTATCTGACAATCGCTTTCTTTGGCTATTGCATTTATTTGACTGGATGATGTTTCTATAGAGTAGAACGATTTAGTAAACAATTTTACTAGTATTTTTCCTAAACTTATACTTACCAAGACATTCATATTGTGTAGTGGACATATCAACAACATATAACTTCACTGAGCTGACAATGTCGTTGGAACAATCAGTTTTGATTCGAAATGGATTGTCATTACTATGCATAATATTGTCATTCAGTGTGATAAATTTTCGCTGTTGACCACTGTAGAAATTTAAGTGATAATAATCTGGCAAGGAAGAACCAAAGAGACTTCGTACTGTCTCGTGAATTTGTTCAATGCTCGATCGAGCAGTGAGTTGAGTCGCTTGCAACTTTTGATTGCCACAAATAATAAATACATTCGGTAACGAACTATGATCAAACTCCATGTCAGACATGATTGTTTTCGTGTCGAAGTCGAATCGAAGAATAAAAGATTACACAGAAACTATATTCGCTCTGTGGATATTTATATGAGGACGTAGAGATTTTCCGAGGATAGGCAAAGATGAATGATGTCTATTGGATGTGACTAAAGACCAATAGAATGTAAAAGATGCGATGTGCTGAGAAACGTGCATGACTCATTTAGTTTTGTGTTTATTTAACAAATAAATAGAAAACATTTCAATTCAGACAATATCTTTATTTTATTGTTGCCGTTGAAAGTTTTGTTCGAAAATAATAAAATGTATACTAAAAGTCTTCTGAAGTACTTTCAAACGACATTCGTAATACAGATATTCTTATCTGACTTATACGAAAAGGTATAAATCTATCGTTGAAAATCTTAATCATTAGTTTTTGGACGTTTTGTTGAGGGTGATTTCAATTGATCTAAAGAAAGAATCAATTATTATTCATGAGAATTGACATTTGCTAATGACGAACCTGCAGCAAGTTTTGAGTAGGCTCGTTTTGCCGGCTTTCCTAATTGGAGATTAGAAGAAATGTTACAGAACACTGAAAACAGTTTCTAGATCATTCTTACGACATCTGATAAAATCGGATAGACAAAATGTGTTCCAAAGAGTTTTGTCATCCTGTCGCAGCACGCATAACAATCGCGGTGAATATGGATCGTTTGTAGCTGAATGCAAACGACTAGCTTCTTTGTTACTGAGTTCATGAACTTTTAAGAGCCCTTTTGAAACTTTATCCCACTTAGTGATCATCGGTAGATTTAATCTAAACAGTAAACAATACAACGAACATGTCGATTGCATTCAAAGTGAACTTACTCGAAATCTCCATCTGGTGAGAAATGACAATCATTCAAACTAAACTCAATCGGATTCACTCTTTCGGAATCTTCCGTATAATTTACCGGCAGAAAACCTTTATGAGCATGTTTATACCATACACAAACGTTATTTTCGAGTATTTCAGATACAACATAGACACTAAGTGTGACATCGGCATTTTGATATTTTAACGGAATCTAATAGATAAAAGATTTGCTTTATTCAAGTAGAAGTTAGAAAATATACTCACTCGAACTCGTGGTAACACTCGGAGCATTTTCTGATTTTCTTCCTTGATGCCTTGCACACGAGAAATTTGTCCGTGCGATCGATTTGGATCAACACGAAATTGATCAGTACGGTAGATGTTCTTTTGTATTGGCTTGACATCTAACGAAAAGAATAGTCTATCTGATGGACTACTTTCGACAGTTGATATGGACTCTATCATGAAACAGAAAGATAAATATTCTTATCTTAGTCAAAAAGGTGAATTACTCAGATTTGGTTTAGATGTACGTTTTCTAAGATTCAGTGCACCGCTGTCTTGGGTGACATGTTTAGTTTCAGACAGATCTGTATGAACATATGGTACCAATTTGTTCGAAAAGTTCATTCCACGATTTTTGTGTGATTCGATATAAATTTCACTATTTAGAGAATTGTCATCAATACCAAGTTCTAAAATAAAATCTAAGATTTCGATTTACAACCAAGCAAAATACTCATACTAAGTTGGCAAAGAATATCTGGATTGGTTATCGAATCTCTCGTGATGTACAGATGAATATTATGCAATACATTTGTTCTATCTTCGATATTCGCTGATGAGATGACTGGAAATGGACTCAATCCCTGTTGTAATTGATCCTCAAGATCCGCAAACATGGAAGTGTTTTGATCATAGTATACAATCCGGTAAGAATCAGGTAAGCTGGTAGAAAATAAACGATGCAAACATTCACGGATTTGTTTTATGTCCGTCAGACTGTTCAGCTCTCGTGTAAATATGGTAGTGCATCCATTGGTGATCAATGTTTCCGATGAGTTCTTGACTGTAGTCATTTCCTAACTGGATTTTTATAGTGCATAGTGATGTAGCAATTAGAAAATTCTTTATATAACACCGCATGATAATGAGCAATATGAAAAATCCAACCGCTGCGAAATTTCCAAGTATAAGTAAGGCGAAAACGTACACGTGTTTCTTTTTGTGTTCTGCTCTTCCTAAAATGATTTTTGAATAAATAAAAGGTAGGTGCGTAGGATGAGACCAAATGGTAGTTTGACCTTTTGCAAGCAAAAATTTTATCTCAATGAATGAACGATTCGTCGAACTCTCGTATAAATATGCATTACATTGAAGATCGATGAGAAATCCTAGAAAGAAGACGCCTATCTTCGAAATCAAATGATAATAATGGGCGTGAAAAAGTGGACGCATTTGCGATTGAATACGATGAAGGCTGAAATATATGTGGAAAAGGAACATATTGTTTTTGAATATCACTCATATATATATATGCATACTGTCAAATAGTCAAAAGATGGAACGATAATGAAAAAAATTGTCAAACGTTCAAACACAGACGAGATGATTTATTGAGAACTAATAAAAAAAAGAGCAGAAGAGAAAAATGGCATGAATGAGATTATGTGAAAAAAAATTAAAAACGCTGTGCAGGCCGTGAGGGAAAACCAGCTGGCCCGCCCATCATCTGATTGTCATCAACAAACATCATGAAGCCAAGATCTACGATAAGAGAATAAAGTAAACGATAAGATTTATGTGTGTGACTCTCAACTTTACCTGGTCCACGGTTTGGTGGCATCATATCTGGCGCGAAACCAGGTATGTCTCCCGCGGGACCCCCTCGTGCTAGATCACTCATCATTGCCATGAATAATGGAGGTGGTAGAAATGCTGCACCACCGAAATCAGGTACCTCAAATAAGACCAAGAAATAAAAGAAAACGCTTGCGCATTCATTTCTCATACTCGATGTCCATTAGTTTGTTTGTGTTGTTCTCCTCCGTCTTGATCTTGAGGCGTGCCATTTCGTTGAGCTGTTTTTTGCTGATGCTGATGAGAGTTAGAATGTTTAGAATCGTGTTCTGATGGTGGCGGACCACCGTTTGGTCCATTAAATAATGGCAGGCCAGTTGCTAGCATAAACGGAAATGGTATGAAAGCATCATCTTCGTCTTGATCAGTTTCGTCTTCATCAATACGACGTAATTCTTGGGCAACGCGTTTTTCGACGATAGGTGCTAGATGTTTGAGAACTGTAGCAACGATTTTTTCTTCGTCGTCTGATGTTCGATCCTTTCTCACTCGTTTTTCATCATGTCTTGAAGACGATACATCGCTGGTTACGGAACTGTCGTCAAGCAATTTTTTCTTAATTCGAACAGCGTGCGCTTCGTGACGTTTGCTTTTTCTTCGAATTTCATCGCTATGAGCGGAGTGATCGTTTGAATAAGTTGATCCAAGGACAGGTGATGATGAATAGACTGGCGTTTGCACTTGACGCAATGGCGTCATAGGGTCTTTCAATGTTTCAACACGTATCGGAGGCTGCCGTGGTTGTTTTTGATGTGGGTTAGAATCGAAATCATGTGGTAATTTTCCGTTTAAATGAGACTTTTTCATTGGATCAATTGCTCCGTTCTGGTGAGATGGCGGTGTGGGTATTTTCTCTGAAACAAACCGAATGCGATGGTGAATAATTATGCAAGTGACAAACCTGTGCGTAATTTCGTCAGTAAAGTTCGATCACTTTGAATATAGGATGGAACGGGACGTTCAGGATGGATTAATACTAAACGTTGAAGAGGGCCATCAGCTACTTCGAAAACATCACCGTCATCAATGTGATAATATCGTAGGAGAGAACGTATATTTTCATCTTCTTGCTGTTGTACGTCTATCTTCGGCTGTCTTGGTTGTGTCGGGGGTGGTGGAATTTGGCGCGAAGATGTTGTGGTATTTAAACTTGTAGATCGAATTGTACTATTTTGAAGAATACGATTTAATTGATTTGAAGACGGTGTATGAATTTCCTGTCTTTGAGGTGGCGAGCGAGATAGAGAAGGAGTTTGTTGTCGCTGTGGCTGTAACGGTGGCTGTGGCTGTTGAGGAAATCGCGGTGGTGACGTTGATGGTAAGGAAGTCGGTGCTGGAGGGGGTGAGCTGGTTTTTTGAAGAAAGTAAGGCGATGCAGTATGTCGTTCACTGGGATTTGGCTGTTCTTTGAGTGAAGGTGAGAGAGATGGTTTTGGTGGTGGCGATGAAGGTTGTTGTGGTGGTGGCGCTGACGAAGACGATGATTCACTTGATTCACTAACTGGTTGAGATTTTGGGAGAGGTGCCTGTGACAAGGATGTAGTCGTTGATGTTGATGTTGATGACGATGAGGATTTTTCACTAGTTTGAGAGAGATCTTCCTCTGGTCCTGGTGACTGTGGCTTCGTTTTGATATCTTTATCATGATTTCGACCACTAGCGATTGTTTTAAAGAATCCAGGTAGGAGAAAATGAGAATCATGTTCATCATCTGAAGATGTGATGACAGCTTTGACAATTGAATCGATTTTGTCCGCATCTAATGGTTTTGTACCATTCTATACGAATAGGAAAAATGGATTTTATAGTTAAAATCGTTACTTTTGACCTACTTCAGTTAAATACTTATATGCCATGATGGCATAAGGCCGGCCAATGTTCATTTTTTGAAAAAGTTGATCGAATGCTGCTGGCTGAATCGTGGCTGATTTACCATTACCATTGTCTGTCGCATAGAGTTCAAAGCCGAGTTTGACCAGATCTTGAACAATTGGTGGCAGTTGATTCGTTCGAACGACATAATCAATTAGACCGGCCCAAGTATCAAGAAATTGATCTAATGTTAATGTATCGCGTTTATTGTCGGGTAGAGGTACCTGATCATGAACATGATCCCAAAAAGCTTTAGCTGCTCGATTTAATCGTGCTTCTAAAACACCACCATCGGATCCTTCTTTGCCGGCTGCTGTTGCATGAAACTATTACATAATAAGACACGATTCGAACACAATTTTGCTCATTTCGAAAGAGTTATACTTACTAGCAAATAAAATTCAACATCTTCCCATGTAACATATTCTTTGTTCTCAATATCTAATGAGAAAAAGAGTACTCATCATCGAGTTTATGCAATCAAATGAATTACCGAGATTAACATTGAAGAAATATTTTGCTTTCTCAAGTTGAAAATCTGTCAGATGTTGAGCATCACCTTTCTCGATTGGAAAAGCTGCATCATTGACTGAATCAGCTGTTGATGGAGTCGATTCTTTGGTTTCGGGCTCGGAAGTTGTTGATATTGACGGACGTTTTTTCATGGTATTTGCCGTTGACGATGGTGTTAATGTTTCATCCTTTTGTTTGACTTCATTATGATTTGAACTAGAGGAAGATGCTTCCTCTGTTTTAACATTTTTATTAGTAATTGAAACGGAGGACATGGATGCAGACCTTGATTCCTCCTTTTGTTGCGCTGTTTTAATTGTTTTTTCTCCATTCTTTCTCTTTGTCTTGTTATCTGATGACTCGTTCATTGTTGGAGACATTCGATTGGACTTTTTGTTTACATTAATAGATTGGACTGCTGATAACGTATCTATTTTGCCAATTTCAATTGAATCATTAGCTTTTTCAGTGCACTCCGCACTTTGATAACCGTTCGTTGATGACAATGATAGCTTCTTCTTTGTTCCTTCATCGTCTTCTTTTCGCTGTTGTTGTTGTTGTTGTTGCTGTTGTTTCTTCTTCTTCTTGTGATCATCATGTCTCATCTTCGTACTAAACTGACTATCTGTACGAGCAGACTTTATATCAGAAATCGTAGCCATTAAGAGTAATTACTGTCGAGTACCTTGGTTTATACTGTGTTTTTTTTCGATATTAGTAACTACCGCAATCAGGTGTAATAGTATGTGATAAGTGAAGGTATATATTGGTAATAAAGCTAGGGTATTGGAACGATGAATTATCAATAGAGACACTTACCTTCAAGTCTCATATAGCGAAGCAAAAAAAAATTGAGCCGTTGTTACGTACGATTGTATAAAAGTCATGCATGAGCGAAATTGTTCTCCTTCTCCCTTCTTTCCCTTCGATTATATACGAACATACACATAGTTTTACTCAAGGCGACATGCCATCTTCAACTTTCTTGTTCTTGGCTTCGAATATTTATTCACAAAAAAAGAATGAAATCAAATGATAGATAACGTATAACAAAATGAAGCAACTTGTGTGCAATAAAACGTTTTATTATTATCGTCGCATATACACCAAACTGAAGAGAAGCGCACCGCCGATTGCTGTCGCTACGCCCATGTAGGCCATTGATTTCCAAGACTGTTCATTCGTTTGTAGATCAGATGATAGTCGAACATCAGATTCGTGTTCGAGAGAGATTTTTTCATTTGGAGGTGTTGTTGGCTGATATTCATCAAGCGATGATGAAGTCGGACTAGAAGATGACGAGAGCGGAGGAAGAGAAAGCAGTGTCTAAACGAAATATGCAAAAAATGTTTTCTTTTCATTATCTATTTCAATGTATTACATTCTTCTGCTTTTAAACAGAAGATTCTTTTCCTCGCAAGTGTTCAAATTCTGTATACTTACTGATTCGGTTTGTTGCGCGAGAAGAAATTGAACAATCGTCTCGTGTTTTAAATGTCGAGCGATATCGAGCGCCGTTAAACCATTATTTGTAGTTGACTTCGGATCAGCACCAGAACGTATTAAAGCTTCTACCGAACCTAAATGACCATGTTGAGTTGCCATGATTAGAGGACACCATCCTTTCGCATCACGTCGATCAATTTTTGCCCCGTACTCAACTAATAGATATATTAACGGTGGTGAACAACCAAAACGCGCAGCTAACATCAAAGGGGTCATGCTTTTTTCGTCTGTTAGTTCAGACGAGAGTTCAATTTGCGCACCGTGTTCAAGTAAAAATCGACATATGGCGAGTTGCTCTTCATTACCATTTGCCGTTGCGCTTTTCGAATGCGATGACATACAACAGGCCATTAATGGAGTCATTCGATCTAAACTTTGACTGTTCACATCTGCATGAAGCTCCAAGACAAACAACGTCACTAGAGATAAGTGACACGAGTACGCAGCGTGAATCAACGCTGTCCAACCGCCGGATTTGAAACAACGTTCAATGGATATCGGACATGCTGATTGACAATAGATTTGCCGCAGAGTATCGATATCACAGATATCGATTGCAGTCTTAATACGTTGTTCAATCGAATCTTCTTTATTCACTGCTGTCGATGATGATGATGATGCAGAACGATGTAATAAGGATTCAGATAATTTATTCGCTAAAATCCGTGAACGAGCACGTCGAGCATCACGTTCTTCTTCGTTATCATCTTCGTCATCATTGCTCGGTTTCGAATGATATGGTTGATGATGCAGGCCATTCATGTGATGAACATGAGTTGGTGGTCGACGAGCCATGCTGGTCAACATGATTTACTTATTTTCTGTTTTTAGCAAAAATAATGATGAAAGAAAATTAATTTTCACAATAAATGCGACTCGACCCGTTTTCTTCCCGACTCTGACGTTTCGTTGACTCATCACTAGTTTTGTTATTGGTTGCCCAAGAAAAAATACATTAAATAGATGTCCTCAGACGACTTTTGACGACCAAGTAATCTTAATTAGAAAAGTTGCAGATCAACGTTACTAAATCGACTTTTCTCTGAGAATGATTTTGTTTGTTTATCTTCAATGTTTGTTAGTTACGTCATGATGAAAGACGTATGAATCATGGGATTATAATTTCGTCAGAACATGTGTGTAGGCGATGCGATCAAAGACATGAATATCCTTCAAGTACGACTACAAACGTTTTGTTTCTGCATTCGTTCTCTACGAAGGCTCGATGGCCACATTTGAACTAGATAGATATTAAAACTACGTTTGTTTTTCAAATAACTATAACGATGATCTCTGGATGTGATTATATCTTCTATATACTGTTATCGAACTATGTTGATATCTCGAGATATATGTATGTACTAGGATCTAGGTCCTATTCTATTCTCTCGGAGAAAGCGAACGAGAGAAAGAGAAAACGATAGAGAGTTTAAGATATGTAAACACCGGTTCACTTTTCAAAAAATCTGCTAAAGATTAGACATAAGAATGATGTGTAGTAAACTATTTCTACTGTTCGCAGTAGTGTTCGTTTCCGTCATCTGTTTGGCCTCTGCTGGCGACAAAGTAACAGAAGGTAAGCTTAGAAAATGAAGTACTCTGATGATCAAATGAGAATTCGATGGTTGTTTTTTTTTCTTCGGTATAGCTGATGGTAAAAAGAGTACGAAGAAAACCACATTTGATGAGAAGAAAAAAGACGCTTATGAGAAAGTCAAATATGACCGTGAAGACTACGATGATGAAATAGATGATAGCTATTCGCCAAGATCATCTTTTGCTCATAATCGATTTGTATCGCATGATCAGCCCGAAGGTAATTATCGAACACGTTCACGCTGGTCGCCTTCGACAACATCAGGTTTATCACACTCATTACCAACATTACCATTTACTATCGGAGAGTTCCCCGAAGAGGATGAATGGTCTTCAGATGGCTATGAAAGGTAACTATTTTTATCGTTGGTTTGACAGCAATGCTATTTCAACATTTAGTGCTTTTCCATCCGCACCATCGGTATCACCAGCCTATTCATATAACATGCAACGAATGCCACAAAATAGTCCAACATGCAGTTCATTAATCGATCCACAATTTCCAATCTTTTCGGATACATGCGGTGCTGTTCCACAAGCTCGTTACAGCTTACCGAATGTATTTGGCCATCGTGACAAATGGCAAATTGCTCAACTTTTAAATGTTCTAGCAAGTACAACAACCGATCCAACTTGCAGTCGATCAACTCGTCTTCTCTTATGTCCAATTCTCTTTCCATCATGCCCAACACGTCATCAACCGACACCTGTTCTTCCATGTCAATCGTTCTGCCGAGGTTAATTCTAAGAAATTCTCTTTGTCTTTCGTAAATGCACAGTTGTTTTTTCCTTTTCATTTAGCAATCAAATCTCGTTGTGCTTCACCTCTACTTGAAAGTCTTCCATGTGAAATCCTTCCACACACATCTGAACTTTGCCCAAGTATGAGAATCGATCCAAGTGCTTTTAGTTACACTTCTTTTTCATTCACATTCAGGCACACAAGGATACAGTCAATTCCCATCTCAACGAGCATATTCTCATAATATGCCATCACCACGTAAGTCGCTTTGGAAATGCTGGTCTTTCATTTAACAATCAAATACACTTGTTTATTAGTACCAGTAGCTAGTGGACTCCCATCACCATTACAACTCTCAGCTTTACAATCATTTTTATCATCACCAGCTTTACAAACAGCCATGACCACACAAGGCTTTCCAAATGGCTTAAATCAACAAACTCTTCAAGCTGCATTAGCTGCTCAAGCTTTTCCAGGTCTCTTTCAAGCACAACCTGCCCAAGCAGTTCCAGTACAAGCACCAACAGTAGCCCCTGTTCCTATTACAACGCCACCCCCACCCCCACCAGCACCAGTAACACCACCTATGAGTGTCTATCACAATATGCAATTTCCAACTGACACCATTTCAGCAATGCTTGGTGAACTTCCACCACGAACATTAGGTAGTGACTATCGACCAGCACCACGATATGGATCAGGATCACGTTCTTCACACGACTTACGTATGCCATCCAGTGCACGTTCTTCATCCATGCTTAAAGCTTAGATCTTCTTTTATCATTTCTTAGTTTGATTGTTTTACTGGAAAGAACACATCGAGTATATGCTTTTTTTCTTGTTTTGTTTTGAATAAACACTTGATTTTATATGACCATATTTGATTGTTAACTACTTAGTAATGACAATACCATAGGCCATGTAGGTGACTGACCAATATGATTTTCACCTAATAATAAATGGGTTCTTTCTTTTACTAGCGATCTTTTAACTACAACTACGGAATCGATCGCTCTTAATGAAGTGTCGATCTATGGAAACAACGGTATATCCATGACTTATCCAGATTCATCTTCTGCTACAAAGACTATCACTCGTTTTAACTATATCGTCTCGAACGATAATATCTTATATTTTACTAAGTCGATTTCTGATGATAGTGGGTATCATATACGATGATTCATTTTCACTTTCAGACGTGTCTGCAGCGTCAGGTTCATTCGCAACTTTTTCAAAAGCTCATTTCTATGAAATTCAACTTCGTGTCATATTCTCTGCTTCACACATCGTTGTGAATAATATTCCTGAGTCTTTTCACGAACTTAGCAATATTCACATATACGACCGATCCACATCTCAAGTTCTTTAAATTCAAGTTCAATGAACAGAAAGTGCTGTTCATCCTTTACTCGTGTAAATTCCGACCTCGTTCATCAGTCTTCTCACTCATCATCAACTGAAAAAGATCAGTTGAATATATTTTTCAATTGACGTATACCCGACGTTTGCAAATGAAATTGCTCACAATATAACAAATATTATTCCGAATATTCAAAAGTTAGAATGTTATAGATTCTTGTGATAAACAGTCACGTTCGTTTAATGATAAAAGAATTTGATATGCAAGTACTTCTTTTTTCCTTTTACGCATTTATAAACAACAGGATTAAGCAGAAAAAACAGTCATGCGAGAAACTAAACTTTCAATGTATTTCTCTTGTTGAATCAATCGATTCGTATCTCGGCTGTGGCTTAATCTAATCAATTCTTCAAATTCTTCTTTAATTTCTCGATAATTTCCTATTGACTGAAGCTGATCCAACGCCAATTGACATTTATCGAAGTCGTCTTCACTGTCTTTACCATCAATAATCAGCTGAACAAAAGATTGTAATTGTTCTGTGAAATAATAACATTGATTTATTTGATTTTCTTCATCGTCAAACCAATGGACACGTTTCTGATTATTCGAACGTAATGTTAACGTATTCACTTCAGTTATTTTGCCCGAACCGAAATTATACACATGATTAACGTTAACAGGATTAACTGAAATGAAATAGAATCTTAAGATCAAATTTGAAGAAAAGAAACTCGAACTAACCTTGTTTCCGCTCGACAAATTTTCTTCGTCTCAATAATTTGTTTAATGCGCGTCGCCATTTACTAGTCGTTTGCGTTGTTTGCCTATCATTCGCAATGTTAAAGGTCGGATGTTCATTGTTATTGATTCGATAGCTTAAGCTTCCTTGTTCTGTAGGCACTGACCAAGTCATAATTGCATTGGATTGATGTTCATCATCGTTCTGATAGAACATCATTTGAGACTGAAATTGATTATCAGCGAATGGGGATGGAGGTGGAATAGAAAATGTCAGTATTCCTTGATGATTATAGCATTTTGTTAGGTCTATTCAGAGAAGGCAATATTCGTTCATCAAGATTCAATTGACTTGAAATGTTTTTTTGCTTTGAAGAAAAGTATTTCAATGGAAATAATAATTTAAACATACTTGAACAGAAAATGAAATGAAACGATACATACCAATTACGTCCGGTTCATCGTCACTGCTTCTAGCTGGCTTCATTCGTCCTTCGTATACCAGAAGAAATGAAACAGACTGAAAAAATACATTGAAACATATATTTACATAGATATTTGATCAAAAACTAACAAATGGTTACTGATATATGTAACATCGATCATGGCTCGCTAGAGAGAACGAACAAGTAGTTACGACGGTGTCAATGCGAGTGACGAAGGTAAAGAGACGTCAAATTTAAAACATCTATGTCTGTTTTATTGATATATCAAGGTATAATTGACATTCTTATATGAGAATTAAATAATTGTTTTCTACGAACGGTTCGTCTTGAAATGCAAAAGCGTTTTCAGAATAATCGAACACTGTTTATTGAAGTTTAAATTTCTTGATTTGTCATTATCGTAGTCAAGATTTAACACACGAGAAATCTACTCATATCAGAATGAATATAATGTTTAACTAGACTATTTTACAGATGTCGAAATTAAGTTTTTAAAAAGATTTCTAATCGCTGGTTTTATTTCATTATGTTTCTTTTCTTTGTATTATTTACAAATAAAAATCTCTATATCACATCGGATCCGGACTAGCCGCACTGTCACTAATAGTAGTAGTAGTTGTCGTTGCCATGTGTTGATCGATGAACGATTTGATGTATGAGCTGACGCGTTGACCTAATGATTCATTCTACAACAAAACGAAACAGATGAATTTTCGAAGTCAATCATTTGTTTACATACATTCAAAGTCCAAGCAATGTCAATGTCACCATTAGGTTCGATCGATATTCGTAGTTGTTTGTTGTCGATATGAAGGAGATTGTCGGATATTAATGTAATTCGATGTTTCAATTCATTGTTTCCGCTATTTAATTCACGTTCGAGCAACTGAACCAACGCAACGAGTTGAATTGGTCGAACGTTTGTCAATGATGGAAAACGTGAATGAAACTGAACGAGATGGTGAACAAGTCCTAATTCATTCATTGCTGTTGATGGTCGTACAAGTCGAAGGCGCTAGATAGAATATCGTCATTGTATTTTCCTCCAAAGATCATGAAAATGTGTGACTTACTCCATCTTTGATGATTAAAGTTCCTTGCATGGATTTTGCTCGTTTTGCAGGCCGATTTACATCGGCAGTCTCCTCTATGAATGTCCGATGGAATAGTCATCCTTTTATGAAAAATATTACCTTTTAGTTGTTGAACAAGTCCTGGTTCAATATCAACTGGTACACCATGTGGAGTTTCGATGACGATTGTTTCTCCATTTGCAGGTTTAAAACAAGGAGTTTCTATATCAATCAAATATAAAGTAACATACAAAAAATCAAATCATTACTCAATTCGTCAATGACTCGTCCACGGAGAAAGTCCATTACTAAATCTTCGCCATGTACTAAAACAACATTTCTTGGTTGACATTGACGAATAAGATTTGTAATGCCTTTGGCGTCAGCATGAGCAGAGAATGACATATAATGAACTTGCATCTTTGCTTCGATTTCTTTGCCATCGAAAACAAAGCGACGTTGACCAAGTAATAATTTCGAGCCAACGGTGTTGGCAACGCAATAACCCGGAATAATGATCTTCAAAAAAATAAGTTATATTCAAAGATGAAAGGATGTGAACAAACCATATTCTTCTCGTCGGGAGCCCATTTTTTGAAGAGATGAAGTGAATAACCGGCATGCAACATTCCAGGCGATGCAAAGACAATCATCGCACCAGGCTGTTCCGCATACGATCGATCCCATGGCTACATTTAAAGTGTAAACAGAGGAATTGATTCACCGAATAAAGATCTACTTTAATATGTTTGAAATCGAAGATATTCTTTTGATGAAATGTTGATTGAATCTTTTCATTGGTCCATGATACGAATAATGAATAATACGTGTTGACTTTTTCTGACAGGCCCGATGCAAAATAAATTGGTACATTCAAATTCATTCGTTCTAAATATGTTTCCAATAAAATACACAGTTCTTGTGCACGTCCAACGGCAAAAACAGGTACAAGAACTTTGCCACCATGTCGAACGCAATCAACCACCTTAGACATAAAATCACGTTCTCGTGCTCGACGAGAATCACGGACAGTCGAACCATAAGTAGATTCAGTAATTAAAACATCTGGTCGACATCGATCGATATGTGCCGAACCAAGGTGACGATCTGCCGTCGTATTGAAATCGCCAGTATAGACAAGTGTTTGCTGCCCGACACGAATGTGAAACATAGCCGCGCCCAAAACATGTCCAGCATAGTAGGCTTTGATTTCGAAGTCTGTATCAACCTACGTCAATCAAGTCAGAAGAGTTGATAGATAAACGAAAAACAATTTACTTTCACAGTTTGTCCTAAGCTAACAGGAATGACTTTTTTCATACAATTCTTTATATCTTCTGCTGTGTAGGGCCCTTGTTGTGTTGTCTTATCGGTAGTTACTTTACGAAAATCTTCCTAAAAGTACAAAAGAATCATTTTATGGTCAACGAGGAAATCAATACATACCAGAAGTAGAGGACAAACCGCCTTTGTTGGATAAGTCATGTATATAGGTCCATTGTAACCAGCAACTTCTGTCATATAAGGTAATGCTCCACAATGATCCAAATGAAAATGACTTGAAAGTAAAAAGACTAATGACATAATGTATTCAATTCATGCACACACGCTTACCTAACAATCACACAATGAATATACGGTGTAAGTGGACCATCTTTACAAATGACAGTAAAATCTGGAAATCGACGCTATATAAATTGAAGTGTAGTTTTAGGTTGATATTGATCAATGACTTACATCGTCTTGAAAGCCCATATGTAGACCACAATCAAGCATGATATTTTTACCGCCCATGGTAATAAGTATACAACTTCGACCAACATCTTGACCAGCTCCTAATGGTAAAATACGTATCTCAGACATCTGAAATGATAACATTCTTCTATAGCTTTAGTTCTCTAACAATGCCGTATCGAAATCTATTTCCTTGGTCTGTTCAACTTTTGCTGTATATCAATCAAAGTAACTTGATTTATGTGTTGTTCTTCGATTAATTTCAGGCAAATATATCGTCAATATATGTGACTATTGAACTTTTAATATGGGAATCATCATGGGAGAAGGCTAGAATCTATTTATTAGAGGGATTTTAAGGAAAAAAACCAAATAAACAAATATGAAAAGTGTTAGAATAAGTCTGTATTTCTGGTTCTACATATTCCAAAGGTTACGGAGTTTGACCAACGTGGGACGTTCATCGATTGCTTCAACACCCTGTAATCAACAAAAAAGAGATTTATCAAAAAATGTATACGATGTAGTAAAACAACATACACGAGGATAATATTCATTTCCTGTTATACGTCGATCTCTCAAGTACATATAGTAATCTCGATCATCCTTCATTATATTTTTTGGACCACGTGCCTAATGAAATGAAAACAAATCAAGTCAATCAATACATGATCAGTAGTAATGAATATACTTTGCCGTTGAGAAAAAAATAGTTGCTAATATACATAGCAGGAGCAGCAACGAGAAGAAGAGGTCCTGCAGTAAGGACGAGTGATGGTAAAATTTCAAACCAAACCATCTCTATATCTGAAAAACGAAAGCAAAAAGATAACTGAATGTTTATGGATGAATATTTGACAAAAGAGTAAAACAGAATGTTGTTTATTGACTATCTTTTCGAACACAGTAATAATCTCGTTAACATAAATATCTGACTATGAAACAATATTACGATGAAAGGAGAACTTAGTTCGTTCAGCAATGTAGAAATCATTTGATCCATCGAATAAATATCGATAAAATTAACAGATTGAAAAATAAACACGTTCGAGAAAGTTTTTGTCGAAGAAACTGAATTTAGTTATCTATAGAATAAGATAATCCCAATGTAACATTCTATATCTGACATAAGATGAATAGATTAAAACTAGAGGAGTAAGACACAAATGAAGACAGAGCAACAACAAGATTAGAATAGTTTTTGTCGTTTATCCTGATTGGTCGAACTGTGATTAGGTGATGGGAGACTTCGTTTGAGTGATGATGATGGGGACGAAAATAACTGTTTGATAACTCCACTTGCTTTTCGTGGTGTAATAGGTGGATGATGTTGGTTGGACTGTTCAGACACAGATATTTGTTTAGGTGAATCGACAAACAATCGTCGACGACCTTCTTAAAAAGAAAAAGGAAAAGCAATGAAAAAATGTTGAACTTCTAGCTCGTGTTTGATCAGTATACTTTCGTGTGATTGTATTGATGTGAATGGTCTTGATGGTATTGGTTGAGATGATGGTCGGATTTCATCTGGTTTAGGTGAATATTTTTGTGCTTCTCGCACGAAACGTCTTAAAACATAATTACAACGAGACACGCGATTGACTACTTGAGAAAGATGTAGAGTAGTTGGTTTACTCGATTGATTGTCAATAACGGGAACATTGTACACTGTGAAAGAAAAGAAAAAGTAATCAAAACTGTGATTCTTTCCTGGATGATAACTTTACAGGGAGTCGCTGACCGAAGTCGCACAGATAATCGTTGAATTTCACGTGCCATCATATCTGATGGCAGTATGTCATTTGGATTTTCATCTTCTTTCACTGGCGTTTCTTCTATGACTTCCCGTGTATTATTCGTGCGTTCTTGTACTGTGGAATTTGTATCTGAAGCATTGAAATCAAACGAAAGTTTTTTAATGGGAATGATTTTCACTGGTGTGTTTTCTACATTTGCTATTGATGGTGAACTAGAATACATTTGTAGTTAGATGAAATCAAAGCGATGAACTGGAAATTAGTTTACTTAGTTACTGGAAGAGGTTTAAAACTTATTGTACGATTAAAATTGGTGGTGGTGGTGGTTGTTGTTGATGTTTTCACGTTGATCATCTTGCGATTTTTAGTGAGTTCATGTTGTAATGTCGAGACATTCCGTTGCGAATACGATCGACGAGATTTGGACGAAGAAGATGATGTCCGATCCGAGACTAAGTCCATCTCGAATCGATCAGTCATGGTTGTTTTGAAATTTGTTGAGTGGAATCTACTTATTTACAGCTGTTCTTCAAGTCAGATGAAAGAAAAATACGTTAACAGTGATGGATATGCTAGTCTCAATTGGATAATTTTCTCTCGCAAATCATATAAAACTAACATCAGATGTCGCTACTGAACAACACCCGCTTCCATTTTATTGAAGATAATAAGAAAATAATTTAAAAAAAAGAGTCTTCTATTCGGATAATTGCGTGCGTAGACCAGCCGGAAGAGTGCCTTTCAGACTAGGTCTAATCATGAGTATATCAGCCAACCATGCTGGACCTCTTGATATGGGAAACATAATATAACTTGATTGCCATCCGGGTCGGTAACGAATTCGTGGAACACTATTCATCACTGCGTGTTTAAGTGCTTGTACAACTTTAGTCGGATCTTCTGCTTTTTTCATGAATATATTGTCTTGAACTTGGCCAATCTGTTTATTTAATTCTTCTTCTCCCCAACGGTCTTTAACATCATCGTTCAAACCATTCCATAAACTACGCAATGATTTATCATGTCCTTCGACAATATTCGTTCGCATAAAGCCCGGTTCAATGATACTAACACGTAAACCCCATACAGCCATTTCTCGACGAAGCGCATCGGAAAAAGCTTCCAGTGCATATTTTGATGCTGAATATGCTGCCATACCAGGTTTAGTTAAATATCCAGCAACAGAGCAGATATTTACGACACGAGAATCTCGTTTGGCAATTAACAATGGTATGAATTTTTTTGTCATTGCCACATGTCCAAAGAAATTGACATCCATCATTCGACGTATGAACTGCAATGAAATCCAATCTATATATCCACCTGCGCCAATGCCAGCATTGTTAACTAGCGCATGTAGTACTTTTGTTTTGTTGCTAACCAACTGATAAGCAGCTTCAATGTCTTCTTCTCGAGTAATATCCAGTTGAAAGATTGTTGCACGAGTCGAGAGACTTTTCGATAACGAATCTTTACTATTGGCGGTTAAGACGCCAGCGAAAACATTGAAACCTTGTTTATCTAATTCAATTGCTAGTCCATGACCAAAACCTGAATCGCATCCACTGATTAAAACGTATTTACCACTTGGATTGATATCTGGCGTTGGAAAGAAGTGTTGATACAATCGATACGATACATAGACAAATATGATTAGGCCTATCAAGAGACACATGGTTTATTATTTCTCAGCAAAACGAAGTCCGTCGACGTTGTTGTTAACAATAATGACGTGAGAGTATAAAATGTAATGGCAAAGAGCAAGAAAAAACACTGACGCAGCTATCTGTTATCTTTTGCTTTGTTCTATTCTGTCAAGTACTTTTCGTACGTATGCGAATGAAGCAATGAAATGTGTATCATAATTGCCCTAGATACTATCATCCTATTTTCAAGCACACTCAGCAGCACTCCTTAAAGTTTACATGCCGACATCAATCTACTAAATATTTATTTGTGATTGATAAAAACAAAGCTTTACATCAAATACGATCAGATTATTTTCGTATATCGAAAGTTCGGAGGAATATCGTTGTGACTAAACTTCAATGTTTTCATTTGGATGTTGAAATGTAAGAAAAATATGTTCCAACGATGTTAATTGTACTGTATAATTTGGTTCAATAACATTTTTTCTCACCAGATCCTCTAAAATCTTGAATAAATCCGATAAACTACTTCTTGGGTAGATATATTCGTTGCTATTATCGACACTTTTTTCTAATGGTACATTCGACAACGATTGTAATGGTGTTAATCGAATACGATAATCGGTGCCATATTTCTGCTTGAGGTGTCGAGCGGAACCTAGACATCTAGCATTACCATGAACAAGGATTGTTAAACGATCACATAGTTGTTCGCATTCAAGCATTGAATGAGAAGCGAACACTATCGATGTATTAATAGGTCGATGTTGCAAGATAAGACGAATATGATTGCGTAACAAGGGATCAACTTTCGCTGTGGGCTCATCAAGTAACAAAAGTGTAGGTGACCCGATTAAACATAAAGCTAAATGAAGACGACGACATGTGCCACCGCTCAAATGTGAAACTAAACGATGACGATATTTCTCCAGTTGAAACTGAGTTAAGACTAGATTGTTTATTGTTTCTGGATTGAGACCATGAAGACGACAGATGTAATTGATAGATTGAAGAACGGTCAACGCCGAAAAACTAATATCTTCTTGCGGACAATAACCGATCGATTCTTTATTGCTTTTGAAAACAGAACCACCAGTCGGTTGCAATTCTCCAACTAACATTCGAAATGTAGTCGTCTTGCCTACAAAGAAAACAAATGAAATCGTTCATCGAGAATCGAATATGAACATCATTGCAGTTTCAAACTTACCACTTCCATTAAAACCTAGAAGACCGAAACATTGTCGATGCGGCACTGCAAAAGTCAAGCGATTGACTGCCAAAGTCGATGAACGATAATAACGTTTGGAAAGATTGTCAACAACGAGTGCTTCGCCTTGTTTATCTTCTTCACTCATCGTTTCAATTCGTCGTCTTTCTTCTGCCACATCATTATCCTCTTCTTGCTGATTAGCTACACCTTTAATTCGCCGGCCAAAAACTGGTAGTCTCCATGTATCGATCACAATCAATAGAAGAAAATAAACAATAAATTGAGCAATTAGTATCAATGAATGAATCAGAACTTTGTGTGGATAACGTTCATGTGAAAATTCAGCATTATCTTTTAACAATGAATCATCGTAAGGGCAGGAGTACGGCCGAAGAACAGCCACAATTAGTGTAAAGACGTTAACATTGGGAAAAATAAGTAAAATCAACCATCGTAAAGAATGAATGATAGTGAGGACGAGGGGATAACCACGAAAGAGTTCGATTAATACAATAAAAGCGTACAAAACGTGAGCAATTTGAAGGAGAAATATGATAATGGTAGCACCCAATATAGGAGCAGAAAAGAGCTTCGAAAATAGGTAAATGAATGGTAGATTGACAATGAAAAATAGTGGCGTGAGAGCAAAAAAGCGGCCATTAAATGTTGCTGAATGAACAAAACGTGCAATGAGAATGAGAATTCCAAGCCAGAGTAGACATAGAATTAAATCACTAAGAAACGTAATACTCCAATGAATTGGCGAACGTAGGCCATGGATTAATGAATATGAGTGCACACCCGAGACATAATCTTGAATAACTAATGCTGCCGAGATCAGCAAGATCAGAGACAGTAGAATAATTGATAGATGCAATGAAGGTGGAAGAGTGTAGAAACAAAAATAAGTAGCGTCATGTTTCAATAATGATAGAGCTACCGTTTCAAACAATGGATTTCGTTCTTCATTACTGACGAAATGCATCGGCGTGTATGTCTGATTCGAAAATAGCGCATAAATTGGTACACATGATGTAATGATATTCGGTACGAGTGGTGCAGGCGCATAGCATTCGACATGGTTAGATGAGGGTATTCGAACGCCGACAATTTTCTTACGAGGACGATAATCGGATGGCCATGTATATGTTTCTATTAGAAAAGAAAGACAAGAAGAAAGTTATAAACTCATTCAGTCAATTTATAGTCGAAATACCTAAGAGATATCGATGGAAATCTGATGGTGAATACAACGAAGGTGTAAATTTCACATCGTACAAGTTCAATGGTATTTGATGTTTCAATTCCGATGGAATTGATATGATGTAACGGATGTGATCTTTGGACAGTTTCGATGATGGATTGAACGATGGCATATATGATGGTGCTAAAGCATATGCCAAATAGAGTAATAGTACGATGGGTAGTAAACGAGCTCGCCGAAGAAAAACTTGTCCACGTCGAATTAATACGCCCAATGTTTGATGCCACCAGAGTTCATTTCGTCGTGTATTAGTTCGTGCTTGAAATAATTCATTTATTTTGTTCTTGACACGAGTTTCCTCTGAAGAAAAAAATTGATGCATTTGTTTGAAAGAATCTTTTTCTCTCACCTTCTGATGTTGAATCGGCCGATGAAGTTAATTTAATAAAGATATCATCTAGGGTAATGTTCTCTAAGGAGTGTTTTATATTATCTCGTTCTAAACGTTCGAGTAGATGAATTAAATTTGTTCGATCAGGTATTTGAATCAGATTTGCATCTCTGTCTACAATCCAATCGTTTTGTATATATGAAGGTATCTTTTCGACATGAAGACGATCACCCGATGGACCAAACTGGCGCTTCAAGTCAAGAACTGTTCCTTGTGCTCGAATTTTACCCGAGTCAAGTATAATAACCGAATCGCAAAGTTCTTCGACTTCATCTAATAAATGTGATGATACCAATAGTGTGCGATTCATTTTATTTTCGCGAAGCCATGTCCAAAGTACACGACGAGCTACTGGATCAAGTGATGATGATGGTTCATCTAACGAAGATTTCAATTCGATTTTCTAATTATCCTCAATGACGTAACTTACCTAAGATAATTACATTTGCTTGTCCAACAAAAGCACATAGGATCGATAATTTCCGTTGCATTCCCCCAGACAATGTATGACATAACCGTTGACTGCAGTCACTTATTTCCATCATTCGAAGTAATTCTTGAATTTGATTATCATCAACACAATTCTGTTTGGATCGAACGCGTGCATAAAATTCCAATTGTTCTTGCACAGTTAAATGTGAAAACAGCATGTCTTGTTGAGGACAATAGCCAATGCATGTTTGCAATTCACTTAAATTTTCATACAAATCTTTATCATGAATTTCGATCGATCCGCAATCACATGAAAGCAAACCACAGATCATTTCCATCGTTGTCGTTTTTCCGGCGCCATTATGACCGATGAGTCCATGTATGAGTGATTTTTCTAATTTAAACGAAACATGATCGACTGCCAACTGTTGCTCGCCACCCACTCGACCATAAGTTTTCGTTAAATTATTGATTCGAACTGTTGTATTCGCATCGGGTAGTGTTTCTACCATTTGCATGGCAACACTTTCTCGTCTTTTCTTGTGCATGATTCGATTATGTCGTATATAGTCGATCGGCCATGACCATGGACGAGCTATACCATATTTGCCTGGTCGTATTTGTTCGAGGTAATAAGCTAAAATCCACATAAGACTTGTGCCAATCAACATACTCATCCAAATACAGATGATTTCACTAGCGAAATAGGTCGATTGACCAAGACTAGTGTTCAATCGAAAAAGAATCATTAACAAGCGTTTTATCGAATAGAATGGTAACCATGCTGAAGCGAATACATGAAGAATAAAAGGTAAACGTATGAATGATGAACATGCTAATATAAATGAAATGCCATAGATAACCCAAGACCAAAGAACTGCTTTTAAATTACTACTAAAAAAGTGAGCAACCAGTACAGATCTTGAGAAGACCTGGATTGTCCAGAGGAAAATCGTTGGGATAATCCATCCGAATGAAACATATTGTAAATAGATGCCACCGTCGAATGATGCTTTGAGAATGATGATTAGGAGGATATTGACAATCAATTGTATAGCAAACGCTCGAAGGAACCAAGCAAGACTATTGAGTATTGGACGTATTGATATTAAACGAAGAAGTTCTGTAATTCCTTGGTGTTTCTCTTCGATTAGTTCATGAAACAAGACATTAAAACCATATAAGATACATCCATCAACCAGAATAAGAATGATGATTAAGACAAATTTTGGTGCTAGATCAAAGAGACTATCAGAAAAGTATGGTAAACATGGCCATGTATAGATGGATAATCTTTGTTGTTTAGTTGGTAAATGTAAAAGTGATTGTAGAGTAAAATAAACTTTTAAGAAATCATTCGTTAAATCGAGATTTCGATGTGCGCATAAAGACGTCGATGGATGTATAATTTGTCGTGAGTCGTCTTCAGTTTCGATTTGACTCGTATTTCGACACCAATCGGGATTATTAAATGCGCATCGATATGAAATAATATCCCCTTGTGCTGTTGTGTTCAATATCAAATGACCGTTGTGTCGAACAGTTTCGGATGACAGAAAGAAATTTACTCGTGTGCAAAGATGTTTCAAACGTTTGTGTGTGTTCTCATCAGAGATTTCGATGAGTATATCCGGTGGTGGACATCGATAAATGGATGTGTAGTTGAAAACGGGTAATGAATCATATCGTGACGTGTTTCCTGATGGTTTTAATGTAATATGCGTAGGTTTACTGGTATCAGACGACGAGAGTTGATTATTGGTTGATGATGGTGTATGCATCCATCGAAGTAGAATTAAGAATAGAAGACATATTATCGGAATAATGAGTTCAAAGATTATTTTTGGACAACAGAAACATGCACGACGACGCCATGCATAGCGAAGGGACTTTTGAACTAACAGTCGAAGGTGATAGAAAAACATTGATAGATATCGTTGTAACTAGAACGAGAACCTATGTTGTTTTTTCTTTTCCTACTCTTCACTATTTCTTATTCTCATTTACTCATTAATGATGCAGAGGAAAGAGGAAGAGAAGAAGAAGAAATAATGTGTATATCTTTTTATGGTACGGACAGGAGCGAATGAATACTGACTTACCCATGGAGGGCAGCACATGTCGAAGAGTTATATGTACAAAAGTCTTTGTTCTGATCGAGACTACCATTCGTTTCGACATGTATTGATGACCATACGAAAATAAGAGAGCATCTATAGAATCTGTTCTTTTCACAGTACAGAAGAATTCATTTATTAATGACAAAAATAAAAGAGAAATACACTAATAATAATAAAAAAAGGAGAATTAGATTACATTGAACGTTCTTCTACTTAAAAACCGATGAAATTCTTTGATTAATGATACTGAACAAGGTTCATCAATAGGTGTAACAATACATGCATCATCAAACCATTTCAGTCCTTTTTCAACTAATTCTCTACCTTCGTCCATTGTTTTCGAATAAGTAATTAGACGACATGCACTATTGATTGAATTGGCATCGTATTTATCATATGTTGTCGGTTTTTCTACATTAGCTAATGGGATGTACGTTAAATTTGGTAGTGGACATTCTCGTGGTATGTACATAAGTTTGCCAGATTTACGTGGAATAACAAGATCCGTAATAACTTTATCATCCTGTTCGTGTTCTGTTGATGAAAGTGGAATCGGTAAGGAGACACTTGCCCGGAAATCCAATCGAGCAAACGAATCATATTCGTTATCTTGAAAAGATAGTAGATCAATAAGATGAGTAATGGAGCCACCAGGTGCACGAGCTGCTATTTCACATAAGACAAAATCATCATTTGGTGAACGCTTTTCATCCAGATTTTCGTATAATTCCAAATGAAATATTAAACAATCATTTGGTGTTGGTAAAATATCGAGAAGTCGTTGTGCCGCATTATATAAACGATTGAACAATGGATTCGATCGTGGCACAGATGAATTTCCATAGGCTGTTCCATGTTTAGCGAAATCCAAACATGTGTGAAGATATGCAAACGGCCATACGTGCGTAATTCGACCATTGACAGCTATACCATTTACATGATACATACGTCCACGCATGAATCCTTCGACCATTAATTCGCCTACTAAATCCATTCGTTGATTGATATCGATACATGAGAAAAGTTTCGATGAGAGAAATGATTGTAATTCCTCTTCATTTGAAATCAAATGTAGACCAGCTACAGCACAACCAAGAGTAGGTTTGACTATTACCGGATAACCATATTTTTCAATAAAACAAATCAAATCGATAGGTGCTAATAAGCGTGTGAATGGTGGAACAGGAAAACCGCCAACTGTAGCAAGTTCTTTCATATGCACCTTTTCGCGATAAGCTTGTACTTGATCAGCAGACAAACCAGTCTTGATATTCAATAATGTTCGTAAATGTGCCGCTCGTATGATTAAATCCTCGTTTTTAGTATAGATATGAGTAAATGTGTATTGTCGATGCATATGAAATGCCCATAATTCAAGTGCACCATCAGATGTTGGATGTGGTACTTCTTTGTAGGCTTTGACAAACGATGAACATTTATCTTTCTCAGATAAAGCGTCTGTACTCGTGAAAATATACAGTTCAACATTACCATCACTGTCATCGAGAAAATCTGTCCATGAGTGTTCAGCAATAATGGAAGTTATCTGACCATCGTCCAAGATTAGAATACGTCTTTCTGCCATACAATTCTAAGAGAATCAACAAGAAACGTTTGAGTTCTTTTTTTCGAGTTGCGATAAACAACGACTCTCTCGGATGAAGGTAGTACTTACATTGTGTCTAATAAGAATAAATAGTAATTTTACTTGCACGAACTGTCGAATGTACACGTACACGTGCGAAATGAGAAGAAGAAGAAGAATTTATACACAACTATTCGATAGTCATGCGAACGAATCAGCGGACTATGAATATCAACACAACACAACGACGACTAGATTTCGTTAACTATACTGAATATCACTGTGAATAGGAAAAATCGAGTATTCTTCTCTTTCTGTTTCTCTCACATTTCTATCTGTTCCCTGGATGGATATATATTTAAATACACCACACGAGGACAGTTTAAGTCATCAAATAGTAGAAGGAAATACTGCTCGCTCAATTCAACAGTTTACCTTCTCTAATCACTATCTTGAAATTCATCATAATAATCATTAACGAAAATTCTACACGTCGATCTTCTTCGGTTAAACTTTTAACCTTAAATTCACCATTCTTAATGTTGTCATTGGAAGATTTAATTATCTTTTGTATAAATTCTATTTTCCAGCAAATCACACAGTAAACGAAAAAAGAAAGAAAAGAAAACAAATGTCACTTGATCAGTTCACGTTCGTGTGATTGATGATGATGATGAACATTATGTTGACTCTCAAGTCCTAGACGAGCGAAAAGCTTTCGTTTTATCGCAAATAAATCATCTTGCATTAGTTTGAAACACATAGCAGTAAGAACAAGACCGAACAGAAGATAGAGAGCGCATAGAATCGATTTGCCATTTTTATTTTCGGTTAATGTCCCTTTACCGGGCACTAGATCACCGAGACCGATGGTGGTAAAGGTAATAAATGAAAAATAAGCGCCATCGACATATGACCAACCTTCCCAATGAGAAAAGAGTACGGCACCAGCTATAATATACAAGGCTAGTACACCTAGCGTAGCTGCGATCGGTACATGTTCTACATATTCTGTTTGATTCTAAACATAAAATAAATTGAATAAATGCATATTTTATATAACGAAATAGTTCATTGAACAGACTTGATGATACAATTTTGCTCGTCGACTTTTAAGCAATCGTTGTGTAAAATGTATAGTTAACGAGTAGTATTTAATAAAGAAAAAAGCTAACAAATCGCCTGTGTTGGTCAAACACATAATCATTATTGGAATTCCAAACATCGCATAAATACACGTCATTACTTTGCCTAGAATTGACTTAGGTGCTATGTGTCCGTAGCCAACCGTTGTTATGACGGTTGCTGAATAAAGCATTGCAGTTGAAAATGTCCATTTTTGATTATATGCTGCTTCTGTTCGTGAATCATGTTTGTCTGATAATTTCTCTTGTTCAGCTTGCATTCGTGCTAATTCGTCGTCGATTAATTTATCAAATCGTTCACTGTTAACATATACACGCCATCCTGTATTGTCGTAACCATCTTGGCGAGACATCATTCCACGCCAAAGTGCATAGCGTAATTCAAATGATGCATTCAACATCCAATTGAATTCATTTGTAGCGATGAAACGGATGTTACGGATACCACGTGAATATTCCAATTTGATTTGTTCGTTTTTACGTAGTTCATGTTTGGATTCGATGGCATAGAATATAAAACCGCCGAGTGCAACGTAGATAAAAACCAGCACTGATAGGCCAAGTTGAGAGAAAAAGAAATGAGAGAAAATATGGCAAAAGTCATTTCGAAATTTTTGCCAAGAACAGCAATGGCAACAGTAATTCACAATCAGATTTGAATGAGCAGTAGAAGGTGAGATGACAACATCCAATCGTTCTATGACAGGTATTGGAATGTCACCATCTTCATCAAATGCAACTAATGGTGCAAGACTTGATTGAGTTGGCAGAGATGGCAGATGATGTGTTTCATTGGATCTAGTTGGTTGCTAAAAACAAAGACAAAACATTGAGTGAGAAAGCAAAATAATGTATGTAACAATGTCACAGAAACTTTAGTTACATTTTTATAGTTGGAATAACTACGACGAGCTGCATAATTCATATTTTTTATTCGTTAATCACATACAATGTCTCAATTTATGATCTCATTCTCTTTTCTGCTTCTCTCTTAACATTAACAATTTTCCCTACGGTATGGATCGATCAATCTATCATAGATCTGATTGCATATCTCTACCTGTTTGTCATTGTTATGAATGCTATTATCAATAATACTGATGCCAATACGATTAATAGATGCTTTCCACATAATTGTTTGTTCACCAATTCAAGTGTGCTACACGTTTGAATGAATGTCAAGTAGTGTATTGACACGTTGATTTGTTGCCTCTCTCTCTCTTGAGTAGTGCTTTTCGACAATGAGTAGTAATAAATGACGACAAACGGCATGTTTGCGCTTCCGGCCATACTATTCCGTAATGTTTCTTATGTCAACTACGGATCGCATGTGTGCAATTTGTTGTTTTGCTGCGGATCGTTATCGTTTATGTTACACAGAATCAATATAGACAATAACACCTGTTCGGCTTTTAATAATTAACTAATTCTTTTTTTTTTCAAACGAAAAAAAAGCAACTCATATATTTATGGTTCTCCTATGTTTTTTTTCTATAAGCTTTTCAATTGTATTGATGATAAAACAATGATTAGAGAATAGGCCCCATTCTCATATTTCAGTATTTGATATTCATATCTTTTGCTACTTTCTCACCTCCGTAAAACTTTCGTTTATGTTTGATCGTAGTTAAATTCCATGTTTTCATTTCTCTCGCCCAGTCAACGAACAAGGACAAGAAAAGAGTCAATAATATAATATGCATCATGCTCTTCACGCCTTTTCTCTCATAGCATGTATGATGTTTTAAATATAACTAATTGGATTCTTTAAATAGAAGAAGATACGTCTCAAGTTTTTTCTACTATATTAAATTTACTATATAACTTTCTACTTTTCAATTGAGAAAAGAACAAATACTATTCATAAATAAACTTTGTTGTTTAAAGTTAGTTGAATTTGGCAGACACGCATGACTCTTTGTATATAAGATGCATTTTTAACCTTGAAATAGGACAAAATGACAGAACGAAAAAGCCGTATTTTAAAGTTTTGTTAAACAATCAGATGACTAACTTACTTATCATTACGATCGTGTTAATCCATCATTCATACATATTTCATTAGCATTCTTACCATTATTCAAATAAGAAAATATCATGAAAAGATATTATATAAATAAAGAAGAACTACTGATGAATAAAATTTCTCTTAAAGATTATACATCTACACATTTACAAACATTAATCCTTTCTTGTTACGAACTATACGTGGAGTATACTTTTCTTCCTGTACGTTTATCTAGACCTACACGTATTCATTCGCTTCATACTTAATTTCATCGTTTTCTTTTTCTCTCTTTTTTTCCTGTCATTTGAATCATTGTCAGTGAAGTGAAGCGTTACCAACTAAAATCGAAACAAATGACGGCGAATTTGATCATAGCAATTTGTGGTGCAATTACTTTCATTATTCCATTAATCCAACTTTCCATTGGATTCAATCATGTCGTCAAAGATGGAACTAGTGCTGATACTGTATGTCGTGTAGCACCTGATCTACCGTTGCTTTTGGCTATCGGTGGTATATTTGCATTATTCTTCTTAGGTACAGCATACGGTTTGTTAAAAATGATTTCATCAGTAAACAAGCAGCAAAGTGATATTGCTGGAAAAACACCTAAAATTCTTATTGGTATGTTTCATTGTGATTTTTATTTGTAAAAGGCAACTTGATTTGTTTGTTTAGGTATGATCAGTTTTATCTTTGGAGCTATTACATTAATCTTTTTTATTCTAATTCAAATGCGAGTCTACGGATCTTATTCCAGTGGTATTAACTTTGACAATACATCAGCAATGAATTATTGTCGATCACCTGTGATGCGTGGTGCTCTGGCGATGATTGTTCTTACATACATAAATGTGTTGATTTTTATCGTTATAGTCGTATTTGTTTTGGTTAAAACTCAAATTAAACGACAAGAGAAGAAGCAGATCGACATGGAAATGTCGGTAACTACAAGCAGAAATCATTGATTGGAAAAGATTTGATTAATAATTTTTGTTTTCCTTGTGAATTTTGAATAAACTAAAGTACAATCGATAGAAGTATATCATGTGTCCGTATGACTACTCGTTCTTTTCTAAGACAGTTTCTATTCATCTTGTATGCCGCTAAATTTGTATCCCTTTAAATGAGTGTTGATTTTATGTATATGTTTATTGAATTATCATGTTTTTCGAGCAAGATTAAATGAAATTGACTGAGTTGCTCGTTTCTTGTATCGAATCCACAGAATGACACCCGCAACAACGCCTACGATACATACTGCGGCTAAAACAGCAATAAGCACAATTGTACTGGTGCACAGTGTTTTATCTTTATCATCTGGCTTTATCGGACGTTTATTTGCTAGTCGATTCAATATTATACCAAGCCGACGACCACCTTGAGCTAACCGACGTTCGATTATTGAGATACTTCGATTGTAATAAGCTTCTCCCAATGTAAAATTAGTCGAAGCATTCATTGTATGATTATTTTCGTCGAGATAAATCTGTGTGCAAACGATGTTAACATTATCTTTCACCCAGGCGTCAATAGTGTTATCATCTTCTTGCGGGCTTTGTTCGAGCATCAATTTATGAATATATTCATAATAGAGCGTTGAGTTTGATCCAAAGTCTCGACGAAGACGAGTTGTTATCATACCACTATCCCATAATGAATGGAGATTTGTTAAATATGATCCATTCATGTAATGACCTACACAAAAAAAAATCTAGATGCTCTTATCATGCAACGAGTCAGTTTTTACTCAACCTTTGATACTATTTCCTCCTCGATCACTAACAAAACCTGTGTGTAATGGTTGATGTATGTCTCCAGTAAAATGAATTAAAAAGTATAATGCTTCTCTTTGTTGAATATCATCCCATTCTGTCTCTAATCGTTTCGTATAGTTTCTTATCGCACCGGCAACACAGATATCATTGATACAATCTCTTTCAGGCCTATATTCACAATTCCAGTCCGGTACGTTAATATAATGTAACGGACGAGACCATTGCCAATTTCCATAACCAGTCGGATTTGCGTCTGAATATAGAATATCATCTGCCCAGGAAGCCATCGCACTCAAATTACCATTCCAGTGCCATGGAATGAGAGGAGCAATTCGTTCTAAACCTTCTGGAGTCAACTGACTCTGCGCAAGACGAACGACGGTAGCATGACCGACTGGTCCCCAGCCATGTACACAAACGAGAATTTTGCCAAAGAAAAATAAAATCCAGCATGATCTTTCGAACATTTTGTCTTGCTCTGCTATGCTTTGTCACAATGACGAGAAGGAGGAGTGTATTTAAATGACAAAATAACACAACAGAACAACAAAATAGAAGATTGAGAAAAAGATGATATACAACGTCATCTTAACATTTCAAGTTGAGAAAGAAATATTTGAGTAACTTATCTATAAAACTCAGATTAACTACAATCAATAAAAATATCAGTACTTAAGCTTTGATGTGTACAACGAGTCTATGGTAATAAGACTATTCATTTCGAAACCGATCCTTTTGGGTGAACACACCCACTCGTCTTTGAAAATCTTCATAAGCATTTGTTTCATTTTTTATTTCAATTTTGTACGTATTACATTTACATTGCCATTACTCATTTAGACATGTATGGAACTTCATGCGTTTTACAATCTATTTGAGCTACTTGAGATAATTCGTGATGATAAAAGAAAGTCTCCGACAATATTTTTCAATATTGACCTAACGAAATGCACTTTTTTCTACTGATATTGAGAATGGTGATAATCGCGCCCGGTTGATGGCAGACTGCGTCATAAAAATAAAATTTGTGTCACAAGAAAAAAAGCAAAACAGCTATCATTGCAACATAGCGTTTAACACCCGCAATGAAAACAAGCACATTTTATCAAGAACATTTATTGCATCACCAGTATTCAATGCTTTCTTCTCGAGATTATCGCAAGTATGTACATGTATACACATATCGCAGACTTATTCATATAAAATACTTATATGAATATGCTTCTATTCATTTCACCGAAAGAAATATCAATGGACTTTTTTTTTTCTTTTCTGTTCTTTTCCCTTCTGTGGACAGAAATAAAAATACGCACGCGTATTTTCATTGCTTCAAATTTGTTGTCGATTTCTTATAAGTATAAGAAAAAAAAAGTAAGCGAATACCGACTGTAATGCAACCATTCTTCTTATTCTATTCGGTAGCAAAACACAAATGTTCGAAATACGTCTGTCTGGCGAGAATCTTTCGACATTGTCGGTTTTACCACCATCCGACACCAACAATGACATTCATGTTATATTAAGTTCGAATGGAACAGGGAAAATCGTTTCGTCTCTTTGGACATCGATATTCACCGATGGTCGTGTGCGTTGTCTTTCATTGATTAATCTTCAATTATATCAAAGCGATGCTCGTATTATAGCAGAATACTTACGTGAGCAAAATTCTTTGATCGAATTCACCGTAGATGCAGTTTTACAATCAGTATTCTCGTTTGATCACATTCTTAACGAAGGATTACAGAAGAATAAGAGCATACAAAAACTAGTCTTATCAAATTTAGATAATGTTGATGCAGCAACCATCGCCAGTCTTATACAACATAATACGATGATTAAATTTTTATCTTTAACGCATGATAATATATCGCCGGATGGTGGTGCGATTATTGCTGATGCACTTCGATCGAACTCAACGTTAATCTCACTTGACTTAAGTCATAATCGAATAGGTGAAAAAGGAAAAATTGAATTTACAAACATTCTTCAGAGTCGACATCCAAGTTTAACTCAGATTCATCTAGACAATAATGTACATGATGAAAATCAATCGATAACAGGTCAAAGTTCTAATCCAACATTGCCGTCTGAACGAGAACCAATGTTAATTGAGACAAAGTCCACGATTACCAATGAAAATTCGACGGAAATCAAAAGCAAATGGCAATTTCTCTCAACTATTCTGGTCACATTTCTCTTCTTTCTTTGGGGAATACCAAATCAATTGAACGATGTATTAATTCGACAATTTTCCAAAGCTTTTGTATTATCTCGTTTTGAAGCTGGTCTCGTTCAGTCAGCCTTCTACATTGGATATTTCACATGGGCATTGCCAGCTGCTTATGTTATTCGCCGTTGGGGTTATAAAACTGGTATTCTCCTTGGCTTAGGTCTTTTTGGTACAGGCGCGTGTCTATTCTGGCCAGCAGCTCTCATTGGACAGTATACACCTTTTCTTATTTCACTCTTTGTCATTGCAACTGGTTTGGGTTTCCTTGAAACAGCTGCCAATCCTTTCATTGCAAATGCTGCCGGACCGGCACATTCATCTGAAAAACGTTTAAATATTGCTCAAGCATTTAATCCTCTAGGTGCAATTACAGGTGCATTAATTGGAACATTGTTTATATTTTCAGGGATTGAATTAACCGATCAACAAGTGAAGCAATTACAAATGAATAAAACATATGATGCCTATTTGAAACAAGAAACTCTACGTGTGGTTAAGCCTTATGTTATTCTGGCGTGTGTAACATTCTTCTGGGCTATATTGATTGCATTAGTACCATTTCCAGCGAATACAAAAACGACGAAAGAAAGAGAAAACGAGAGTAGTACACTATGTCGACCGTTATTTTTAGTTTCGATCGTTGCACAATTCGCTTATGTCGGAGCTCAGGTTGGAACATGGTCGTACTTTATTCAATATGCACAAGATTATGTGAAAGTGGAAGAAAAATTAGCTGGTTATTTATTAACTGGAACATTGGTTATGTTTGCACTCGGTCGTCTCATATCAGCTTTACTAATGCATTTTGGTTTCTCACCAGCAATACTTTTAGCTTTATTTTCAATGATTAATGTGTTATTGATTGCGATTACTATTCTCGTGCCGAATACCATTGGTTTCGGTGCATTATTCTTCACATCGTTCTTCATGTCATTGATGTTTCCAACAATATTCGCATTAGGAATTAAAGGCATGAATGGGCAAACCGCGAAACTAGCTGGCTGCCTTCTTGTGATGTCAATCATTGGTGGAGCTGTTTTAACACCACTGATGGGGTTAATTGCAAGCAAGACTGGACGCTTATATTTAGCATACACAGTTCCAGGTGGAGCATATCTTTTCATAGGAATCTATGCATTATTGGCTTATGTCTTGACAACAGAAAGCGAACTTTCATCATAGACAAACAATGTATATTAAAATTCTAGAATCTTTTCGTGTTCTCAGCAGTAAAAACGAATAATTTAATAAAATAAATTTTGTTGTATGAATATAAGGTGAACTATAAATCGTGGTGGTTTTCTTGTATCAATATGCTGAGCATTTATTTTATGTATATAGTAGATTGGAGTGACATCTGCAAGCTCCGTATGTTCATACATTTGATTTTTCGATTGGTTCCTGCAATGAAAATATTCTGTGTATCTAATTGACTGCTATAAGATTGAAACGGCAGAGTAAGTGATTTTTCAATGTTTTCTAGGTTCTAAGAATTAGGGTTGAGAAGTAGGAGGACATGGCATCGAAACCTTCGTCAAATTCTATACCTAATTCAGCGAAATTTCTCATCGGTGGCCTAGCTGGGTAAGATCATAGGGTATACTGCACATCTTTGAGTTGAATTTCTTTGTTATGTGTAGAATGTCTGCAACTATGATCGTTAATCCATTTGATTTAGTGAAGAATCGTATGCAGATGAGTGGTATAGAAGGCGGTGTCCGAGAATATCGAACGAGTTTCCACGCCATTCGAGTTATCCTCCATAACGAAGGCGTTCGTGGTTTATATGCCAGGTAAATTTTTCGAGAGAATGAATTATCCAGTAGTGTTTGCAGTCTTTCAGCTGGTTTACTTCGACAAGCGACATACACGACAACTCGTTTGGGCATATATCAAAACTTATTGGAAAGGTTTCGTGAAACTAACGGTCATCCACCGCGATTTGTAATCAATCTACTTCTCGGTGTTTTCAGCGGTGGTATAGGTGCATTCGTTGGTACGCCTTCCGAAGTTGCTCTAGTTCGTTTATCGCTTGATGGAAGATTACCTGTCAATGAACGAAGAAATTATAAAAATGTTTTTGACGCTCTCGTACGTATTACGCGAGAAGAAGGTCCACTAGGACTATGGCGTGGTGCTTTTCCAACTGTGGCACGGGCAATGGTTGTGAATGCTGCTCAAATGCCCACGTATTCACAAACGAAACAAATGTTTATTTCTTCGGAGATAATGCAACAAGGTTTACCTCTGCATATCGTTGCATCATTAGTTGCTGCATTGGTAACAACGACTGTTTCTCTTCCGGTCGATATCATTAAAACACGTTATCAAAATATGAAAATTATCGAAGGAAAACCAGAATATAGTGGGGTAATGGTAAGTCATTAGTGTCTACATGGAAAGAGTTGTCATAGGGCGAGTGTACGAGTTGAGCTATTTCGAACGTCTTTAAGTGTAAATTAATCATTTTGTGTTCGCATCTGTCGTTCACTGATGTGTCAGTTGTGTGAAGGAATGAGTTAAGTAAAAGACAAAGCACAAATTGGAATAAAATGTCATCCATTTATCTGAATGTATCTTTTCATTCGTTTTATTTCAGGATGTCTACCAACGTATTCTTAACCAAGAAGGCATACATAGTTTTTGGAAAGGCTTTACTCCTTATTTTTCTCGTCTTGGTCCTCACACAATTCTCACCTTCATATTCGTAGAACAGTTCAATATTCAGTATCAAAAGTATATTCTGAAAAATCATTCCTATTCATCAACTTTATGAAAATAAATTACAATTGATTTTATTTTTTTTAACAGGAAATAAATTGTCTAGTTTTTTTAGATATGTCCTTCGAAGATTTCGCTGCCACATGCACACGTACATTCAGTCAAACACCTATACGTCTTGTTCGTATGTCGACATCATTGACTGCTTATGGTGGTTCACTTGATCAACCCTATCGTCATCTTGTTCTTTTATGTCAACCACATTTTACCTCGAAAACAATATCGATCGCATTTTATTTGAATGGCACGGCTTATTTTGAATATTTAAATGAAAAAACTATTCGACAACGTTTACGATTACTGAATAATGCACGTGAAACGTCTTTTCACCTCGATGATCTCGAGGCCATTATAACACGTTTGAAAACGATGTTAACCATGGATGGAGCGAAACAAGATCAGAACGAGTTGCACGCGAAACTTTTATCAGCAAGTCAATTATCTGTAGAAATCAATCAGAATAATCTCAAATTCAAATTTCGCTGTGATGAAAGACCTGAGTTATACGAACAACACTATGTTCGACAATTGTTAATTCAAGTTAAAGAATTATCAGAGCGACAAGCCTATCTATGCGATTTACTAGAACATAAAGATCAACTGCCACAATTCAATGCACATCTTTTTCTTAGTACACCAATGACACTTGTTGATGATCAAGAAGGTATGTAGTTAAAACTTGCAGCATATGTTCGTTTCGATATTGATTGTTTGTAGAGGACGATGAAGAAGAAGAAATCTTGTCTTCGTCAACAACAGGTCGATTATGGAAATCTGCTTTCGGTTTTCGTGGTGACGCTCAATTTCTCGATGTTTGTCTGTTAAAGAAAGCTTATATGAAAGCTTTAGAGGAAATGAGCGATGAAGAAGATGAGAATGAAACTGTTTCATCTGTCCTCGATACAATTGTTAATCGCATCGAAGAACAGACTAACGAAGACGAAGATGAGGACGATCTCGGCTTAGCACAACGACTTGGAAAACGAGCACTTACGACGTCTATAATGAGTTTACAAAGTGATTGTCCCAAAACGAAACGCTTACGAAGCAATGCAAATATTTCTGTTTAAATAGCGCATGCATACACATGTGCTTTTTCTGTCTTTATGTCAATTTTTGTAGATATTAATTGTAATGTCAGATTAAAACTTAGATTAATTCGAAACGAATGAATTACAAATAGACAATGTTATAAATATACTATCTTTTTATTTAATTTTATTATCTTCATATCTTCCTTAGATTTGAAGTGTTATTCTTATCAAAAAGAAAAAAAAAGTACACGATAGGTTACATATACATTTCACATATAGAAGAAGAGAACAGTGATGTCTTTTGAAATCGTTGACAGTCACCATCATTTTTGGTTGTTGTCTCCATCTAATCCAGTACAATACAATTGGCTCCGACCTACATCCGAAGGTGGAGCACCGTCGCATCCAGCTGGTGACATTGAACAACTGAAAAAGAGTTATGTACTCGATGATTATCTTCGTGATGTAAACAGCTCGACATTTCAGCTGGTAAAATCCGTTCATGTTCAAGCCGAAGCGCATGATGCCTTAGAAGAAGTGAAATATCTCGAACAGGTGGCAAACGGAAACTCTGGTGGATTTCCACATGGTATCGTTGCCCATGCTAACTTGGCATCACCCGATTTACCGAAATTAATCGAAACTTATGTACGTGATTATCCACGTGTGAAAGGTGTTCGTCAGCTATTGAATTGGTCAACAGAAAATGTGCTGTTATGTATGACAGATCGAGGAGATTATTTGACAGATAAAACATGGCTTGAAGGTTTTCAATTACTTACCTCCAATTCTTTATCTTTTGATATGCATGTTTATCCATCTCAGATGGTCGACGCAGCAAAAGTCGCTCGACAACATCCGAATGCGACCATTATTCTTGATCATTGCGGTTTACCGGTCTTCGGTCTTACAGATTTTAACGGATGGAAGGAAGCGATGGCACATATGGCTGAACAATCAAATGTTATTTGTAAATTAAGTGGTTTAGGCATGTTTAACCGTGAAGCATCCAAAGAATTATATTCACCATATATTGTCGAATGCCTTCGTTTATTCACACCGAAACGCTGCATCTTTGGATCGAATTTTCCTGTTGATAAACTAAATGTGTCTTATGATAAACTTGTGAATATTTATCGAGATGCTGCAGAAAATGACGCAGGTCTATCCAAAGATGAATTGAACTTGGTATTCAAAGAGAATGCAATCAAAACCTATCGATTATAAACATTTTATCTTTTTGTTTTTATACGATTTTATCTATTGTTAAACGTTTTCACAACGGTGATCAATAAAATTTTCTTCTAAAATATTAACAGAGAATTTCAGACAAAATCCATTTTGTTAAAGAACAACGCCGATGATCAGTGTGCTTTTATTGATTAGATTGATCAAATATCAAACACTAACGCGGTAAAAGATCATCGAGATCGGCAATGGAAAAAGCGTAAACTGCCCAGACGGCAGCTGCTAAATCAACATCAGTTGAATTCAATACGTTCATGGTGTCACCATTCGAATGGTGATATGCGAAATAATCCCAGTTATCATTTAGAAGTGATGCACCCGGAACGCCTCGTTGCATCCACGGACTGATATCTTCGCCGCCACCACCACTGACAACTTGTGTAGCATTAATCGACGCCAGTTGATTCGAAATTGTTTGTATGATCTAATGGTAGGAGTAGACATACTTTATTTACTGAGTGATATCTTACCTGTTGTGCTTGAGGTCTACCTTGAAATTGTAGACCTTGAGGATGAAAGACACCAAGATCGGATTCCATGACAATACTCATTGTTGGTATTTCGTTTGTATGAGCATTGAAATATTGATCAGCACCAACACCACCGAATTCTTCACATGACCAAAGAACGCAACGAACAGTACGTTTCGCTCGAACATTCAATGAATGAAGTAAAGACAGAACTGTCCAAGAAATCATTGCACCACCTCCGTCATCCATAGCGCCTTTACAAACAAAAAGGAATAATAAGAGCTACTTTCGACGACAAACAACATTCAATTTCTACCTTGACCCACATCCCAACTGTCAAGATGACCACTGACAAGAACAGTCTCGTTTGGTTTACTTGAACCTCTTACTTCTGCTACTAGATTATAGCCTACTACGTCAGGTAGGGTTTGTGCTTCCATGTAGAGAAGTATTTCTATCGATTGATTTCGTTGTTGAAATCGATCGAGCATGTCGGCATGTTCAACAGAAAGCGAGCCAGCTGGAATTTTTGGATAAGATAAGTCGTAAGCCATGACGCCTGTATGAGGCGAGTCAATTGAACGTGATGCCGCCGATCGACTAAGAGAAGCGACTGCACCACATTTTGCTGCACTCGATGCTCCACCAACACGATAGCCTACTACAGAGCCATAACAAGCGATAGGTTTTGTTTTCCAATCACATTGTGGATTGAAGACGACGATTTTATTACGTGCTTCGGCACATCTAGCGTTCAACTCATCGAACGATCGAACAACAAGGACAGGTGCACGGATACCTTGAGGACCAGTGCCAACAGAATTGCCAAGGCCAAGCATTGATAATTTTGTCTTCCGTGGTTGTAATAAGAGGGCACGTTCTTCCCCGCGTACCCAATGTGGTATGCGAACTTCTTCGACATGAACGTTATCTAAACCTTCGGAACTCATGACATCTTTTACCCAATTGACCGCATTTGTCAACGATTCATTTCCACATAGACGAGGACCAATCGTGTCAGCTAATGCGGCTAGACGATTGTATGTTACACCACGAAAAGAACCTTGAGTAACTAGTTCAATTAAACGATCTGATACTGCATTTGCTGAATGTATCTCAGGAATAATTGAACGGCTTGTTACACTGGCTATTGAGAGTATTAAAAGAAATAACCAACGCATAATTCTTACGATAAGAAAAATGCTTTAACAATGAAATGACAAAACGACTCTGAATTAGACTCACTTTTGATATAAAAAAAAGCATTATCATCCAAAATGAATATTTGTTTTTACTCTTTTTCTTTATCAACAGCAATAGAATGAAGAAAGTCATCATCTTACGAAACCGCTACTTGTTGATAAAATGTTTTTCGTTCTCAATTAATCCCTATTCAATTAGCAATGCGTGTTACATTGCTTAACAAAAGAATTTCTCCGCGCTAAAGCAATAAAGATAGTTTATTTCTTTTTTGTTCATGTTTTCGAATTCAATTCTCCAATTAGGTATTCTCATTATTCTCTGGTATTCGGTTAGTTCATTAGCGAATATCATTGGTAAACGACTACTCACTACTTTTCCACATCCAGTGACCGTTACACTTGCACAACTCTTCCACGGTTGGGCCTATTCTGTACCATTGCTTCGTTTATTGAAGATTCCTACACCAACTTACTTGCATTCAACACGTATCTACTATATAATCATTATTGTTCCGTTAGCAATCGGAAAATTACTTTCACAATTAACTTCACAGATCAGTTTACGATTAGTACCTGTTTCGTATACGCATACAGTTAAAGCTCTAATGCCTCTATTCACCGTGTTATTATCGCGAGTCGTACTCAAAGAAGCCCAATCATTCCAGGTAGGATATATCTTTGTCACATGAGACAAAATATAATTCAACGAACAACGCCTACAGGTTTACTTGTCATTGATTCCAATAATAATTGGAGTGATTATTGCATCCATGAGTGAATTATCTTTTGATACAACTGGTTTTGTTAGTGTGATGTTCAGTACATGTTTACTTGCAGTTCAAAACGTGTATTCGAAGAAAGCACTTAAACATGTTGACATACATCATATAGCACTTCTTTCCGTTCTTTCAAAGATAGCTTGGTGTCTGCTCGTGCCTTTCTGGATTTTAATAGACGGTCCACAAGTCAATATTCAGCAAGAAGTATTGCACTACTTTTGCCGGATTTCTTCAGCATTCTCCTCTTCATAGTTCACATTCGAAGTGATATTTTACATACTATCCGATGGTGTTTGTAATTTCATATACAATGTGATCGCATTTACAATGATCTCTCGTCTTTCCCCACTTAGTTATGTGATTGCCGGTAGTACAAAACGTCTCGTTGTTATCGCTGTTTCTATTCTCGTTCTTCACAATCCAGTGACGAAACTGAATCTTTTCGGGATTAGTCTAGCATTAGTCGGTGTTCTTCTCTATAATAAAATCAAATACAATGAGAGTAAACAACTTTCAATTCCGAAAATCTCAACAGCATCGTCACCATTTCCATGAAAGACTAATTGGAGGACTCCTTTCGGTGCAATCGATATTTTCATACACATGTCATACTTCGTCCTACAAGCGCGTATGAATTTCTTTTTCGTAAGAATAATTTACAATTGTCTACCACAAATGTCAACTTTGAAGTAATGTTTCGTCACGGTCTGTAATAGACACTCACAAGGTGTCTGTCACGGTCAACAGTAGAACATCATCAACATGTCTATCACGATCTCTAAAGGTAAAATAACCTTGTACTATTACGCCTATCAGAGTTCGTGTGCTCTCGAAAATAGAATGAATTACATTCGTACTGTGATAAAATTAGTACCTTGCTAAAGCCCTGGATATGTCATTTCTTAATTTATTGCTTATTGTTATACAAACAAATGTACTAATGATTGCCGTTCATTTTGATTTTCTTGCTAATATATAAGAATAAATCAAATAAGATAAAAGATCAGATGAAATCATACTAGTCGTGCTCGATTAATTGAAAGTTCTCGAAGTGTTGTTCACGTATGGTGACAAAAGTAGTAGAATGATTATAGATAATATACATTGAAGGCAAGGAAACAAGGTATTATTTTTTCTGGGTACTTAGCCTGAGTGGTTAATACACGCGATAATATTCACATTTCGTCTATATTAACATTCGAATATCTGTATTTCTCGTCGTTCTGCTTGGCTAGCTCGTCTTTTTCTTGTTTTTTTTATCTATCATATAAAAGGTAATGATTTTTTTTCCTCTATTTCACGTTCTCTTTCCTTCGATGTCTCTCTATCTGTCTCTTACAGTTGTACGCATGAACCAAAACGCCTAATTGATGTGTTTACTTGAGTAGCGAAGGAGGTCGTTTTTTAAAAGAAATTGTTATGGGTATTGGAAGTTCTAGAAAATGGTCCTTACACCACGGGGAGAAACCATCATTTGGAGCACAGCGCAGTCCAAGTGAAGAAAAACATCGAGGAAGTTTCTTTCGACGTCGACGTTCCATTCCAACTGCATCAACTACTTTACCAACAATGGTACAGCCAATTTCTCGTCGTGCTCTTTATGGTTCCTATAGTGGTATGAGACCCATAGCACCTGCTTACTCACCAATGCAACCCATGTCTCCTTCGTTCTTACCCATGCGTTATAATAACTATTCATCTCCTTCGTACGCACAACCGCAGCCGATGATGATGCAAGCACAGCGTGCGGCACCGGCCATGCCGGCCTCGTACATGGCACTTCCCTCTCCCTCGATGTCAACGCCATACATACAGCCAGCACAAGTACCTATCCAGCAAGCACCTGTCCAACCAGCATATAGCACTGTCCCAGTTCAACCGCAAATACCAGGAAGTATGTCTGGAGGAACCGGTTCCTATCCTCTATCTTATCCGTCACAACCCGGTCGACTTCTAACTGATTGGACTGGCGGCGGTAAAATTTCACCTGGCTTTCTTGGACCACCCATCTAAATGTGTTTTGAAATTCATTTTTTTACTTAGTTTCTTTTGTAGTATAATATGTTTTGCCTTTTACGTTTCTACTTCATTATCACTTCATTTTCTGACGCTTTCGTTTTTGTTTTTTGTCTCTTCTTTGATCGTAGCTATAGCGAAATGTTATTACGATCTTTTCTTCAACACACGTCTTACTTTCTCATCATTTACGCTACATTATAAAAACATAACTGAACGAATGTCATGGTCTTCGTTGATAATCGACGAATATTCATACTGGTAATTTAAAACAATAGATGAAATCTAATTCAAAACATTTATTTTCAACGAGAAGAACAGTAGACGGTCAACAATATCGCTGTTGAATTTGTCTACTCTTTTCTTTACTTTTCTTTTTCCCGACGATTATTATCAAATTGTGTTTGATAACTCTATTTATTTGACTTTGAGTAATTGAATAAATTCTGTCTACGATAATGAAATTCAACTAGGTCAAATTATCTATACAATGCATAAGTAAGACACAGAAGGAACGAGTATCCAGAGTCATTTGTCATTGACCTGCTGTTTTTTCTCCTCATGCATTTGTATAAATATATCGATCATTAACAAATTGACAATAGTTTTTTCGTTTATCGATAGATGCCAGCGAGTAGCAACCCATAAATATCCAATATGACCTTGCTCTTCATTTTTGCCTTCGATTTATTTTATATCGAACTCAATGAGCATCATTTTGCTTACGCTAATAATGACATATCACCGTCACGGGAATGCGATTGAATGTCTATGATACCATGTCAGAATATGCCTAGTAAATATTATTCGATGATGAGAAAGAAAAACGAATAATAGTGAGTCATGCCGGTTTATTTGAAGGTTAACCAGTGACGTACGAGACGATCGAATCGAAAGAAAAGGTGTAATATATTCATCCGCGCTACTTCATTCCGTTCGTCAGTGCGCAAATCAAAATACATCAAATAAAAATCCATGCCTCATCACCATGTCGATGACGACAATTCACTCAATACAGGAGATTTCAGTGACATCAGTATTCGCCGACATTGTTCTCATTCAAATTTGAATCCAACCAACATGATCGATCATCTCAAAACAAAAGTTAAACGAAAATATATATCCACTAAGACTCCATCGAATACAATTACCATTACTGTTGACGATAGTTCATTAGAGCGTAGAATTCATAGTGCTGCAACAAAAGCAAATGATCAACAGAATTTCCTACAATTACCTAATTTATTAACGACACGAGCTCACTCACAACCAAATATTTCTTCGGCAGTATTGACTGATGAAGATGGTAATAGCAGCGCTCATGACAACAAAAGCAACGATGAAAATGGTGTGTTTTGCATAACAATATTGACACTAAGCAAACTAGGTATTTGTAGGTTTGTTAAACGACAATATCCTGCCCGGTTCTGATCAATTTGACAACGCTAATGCGAACAGTCCAACATCACAACGACACGACATACAAAGGGCATCATCGGACATTGAAATAAGCAAAACGAAGTCCAAAACCAAAAACAAATCTAAGAAAGATTCGAAAATTTTGTCGGACACAGGTAATCAATCAGACGACACTAAACAACGAGATAAATCTCGACATCGAACACGTTCCACATCAAAAACACGAAAAGTCAAGAAAATCAAGAAGAGCACATTTGATCGAATGAAAACTCCTCCTTACTTAGAGGTATGTCATTTATTTTTCTCCTAGTCACACACATCATCATTAAAGATTGATATCAGTTTTTTTTTTCGATAACCAACAACTATCGTTCACATTACTAATTACTACATTGATTTCTTGTCACAGTGTATTTATTAATAACAAATGTGAGTTTTCAGGAAGAAAAAAAAAGACATGATATAAATCCTACTTCTACCATGCGAGACTAATATCTAGATTTGTTATCATCTTAGCATTCTCAAATACGCGGTGATGATTTCAAAATTATATTCGATGAGTTACCATCTGGTGAACAATTGATCGTTGGTATGTTTGATTTGTTTTCGAATGACTTTGATCTCAATCTTTATTTCAGCTTCTCCATGCATCTGGGGAAAAGATAAGTTTATCCACGGACGAATATTTCTCTCGATGAATTATATATCTTTTGATACATGTTTTACTCAATTCGAAGAGAATGTAAGTTTCCTGTGTTTATTAAAATGACCCGTCGATGGATGTTTATAGGTATGCATTGCTTTGAAAGATATCATCAGTGTCAAACGCGAGAAACCCTCGGAATTACTCTCGAATGCGATCAAACTGAAAACGAACAAAAGTAAAAAATATGTCTTTGCAAGTGTCGCACCAAGAGAACGCATATTCGATGCTTTATCTCGTCTGTGGAAAAATGCGTTGTCGGAAAGTGTAGGATACCATCGATGGTGATATTTGAGATGAAATTTGCTTTCGTTTTAGCCTATGGACTATCAGCAAATCCGTGCGTCTATTGTTACAGATCAATTAAGTGATGATGAATGGAATAGCGGCAATGAAGAATCGGACGAAATAATAAGCAATCCAAGAAATTCATTAGACGTAGGATAAAATATTGTTTCGTGTGTGTGTTTTTCAAATATTCCTTGATATTAGCCCATTCAATCTCGGTCAAATTCGCCTATACCCACGACTCAATCTTTGCCTGTATTTACAATTTCGGAGGAGCTGCCGCAGAGTAGCTATCATTCCACATGTCCATGTGAATCTCATTTGGCTCGATCAATTGTTGACAAAACATTTTCTTGTCATGTTGACAAACTATTCGAATTAATATTCGAAGACAATGCTTTTTCCCGTGCGCATCATGACGCTCAAAAGTTAATAGGTACAAAACGAAGATCTACATAGCAGTATTGATAAAAGTTCAGACTTCTCGTATTTATTCAGATTTTAGTTTTGGTGAATGGCGTTTGGACAGTGAAACTGGCAAACGAATACGTCAATTTAAGTATAAAACAGTCACTCAATCTATTTTGGGAACGAATACAATCACTTGTACAGAAAAAATGGTAAGGATTCTGCTCGAAAAACTACTTTCATTTGAATGTTCGTCTAGATAATCGAATCGGAAATTCCTCATTCGTTGTATGTTGTGAGCACCGGCGTATACAACGAAGGTGTTAAGTATACTGATTCGTTTTTTGTCGCTACACGTTACTGTATGTTCCAACGTGATGCTAAACACTGTCAACTGCGAATAACGGCCGAAGTGAAATATATCAAGAGTGTCAACGCTTTTATTCGATGTGAGGAATGATTGTTAATATTGATTTTCATTCTATATCAACAAAATATTTTAGCTTTCATCGAGAAGAACTGTAATTCATCGATCGATGAAGGATTAAACAGCTTGGGTATGAAGAAAGCCTTCAGCGACACTCGTAAATAAATGGTGTTCTTTTGTATTGTAGTTCGAAAGTTAGAAGGTGAAAGTTCAACAAACCGTCGACGTAAAATCAATGAGAGACCGCCATCGGCAGTACCGAAAGAATCTAGACAGAAAACGAAAGACGAAGATACGCCTTCGGTCGAACAGAAAACCGAGTTGTTATCATCTAGTAATCAGAGTGCTCATGCTCAACCGAATGTTCTCTCTAGACACGTCAGTTTGTTGAATATCAGTCTATTCATCGGCGTTCTTCTTATACTCCTGCATATTTATTTATGTTTCAAATTACACTCCATCGATGAAGCATTACAAAATCCTGCTGTTGCATGTATGAATCGATGCAGAAAAAGTATGTCAATGTTAAATTAAAGCACTTAATATACTGAATGATTTCTATTTTTAGAATGTCTAAAAAATCAAATTCTCTCGTAACTAAATTCATGTCCAATTTTGAAATAAATTATTTGCGTTGCGTGGTTACATTTTTCGTTCTCTTTGTTTGTTTCTTAGTTATGAAGGCGTGAGAGAAGGGTTAAAATAATGAATCGTCGTAACGCTAAACGATTGACATTTTCTATCTTCCAATGGCTGCTCGAGAGTATTGCCGTCATTTTTGGGATCGTTCCGCAATTACGGACGATTCGTCGAATTTCTACAACAAGAAAATGTAGGAATACAATAGGAGTGCATAGAACTCTCAAGAGACAAAAGTTCTTGCGAAATAAAGGAAAATCTCCATGTGCACAGACATCCATAGTAAGTCATGTGAACATTTCGGTAGAAAAAGCATTCTCTGGTTATGTAGAATATGGCAGATATTAATAATAATAATAACAATAATCTGAGTTGTGAAATTCGAGATAATCAATGTCGAATTCTATGTTTTCAAGTTGAAAATGACCAAATCTTAGACTATATTCGAAATTTGTTCATAGAAAATGCATCACTGTTAAAGACAACTCAAATAATTGATTTCGAAGAGTTGATGAGATCTATTCAATCGACGAAAACTAATAAAATTTATGAAGATGCATCAACCATGACAACTAGTAATCAGAATTGTTGTCAACACATCTTCTGTTCTACTTTCATGACGCAATCTGAAAATACACGTCGTCTGAAAGCATCGGGCTTCATTCGATTGTTTCTCGAAAAGAGCAAAGACGAATTTTATCATCATCTGATAAATGAAGAACGTCTCTGTCAACAAAAGACATCAGCTATTTATCAAATGATAAAAGAGTTTCTGAAAGTCATACACAAACCAGAACATGAACAAAACGAAATTCTCCATTGATCATTTCATACAGAATAAAACTTTTATCTTTTCCTCTCACATAGTGTGTTGTACAACTGTTTAAATAAAAAAAGGAGATGTCGATTTTCTTGTTTATCATGACAGGTATACAAATAGAATGAAGGAGGCGTATTGTGCTCCTCTCTATATGATCGGCAACGTTTGCAGTGGATGATATCTACAATTGGGATCATTTCACTGACGTTTGGCTTTCTAGTTAATGAAGTGATTTGTTGAGTTAATCCGCAACATCGTTCTCATCAACAATTTGTACGTAATAAATCCTATATTGGAGTATCTGATAGCGAGGGCGTGGCAAATCTCAAATTGGTACCAGTTTTGAGCAAATTTCTGATTGCTAATTTCTGATTTCTGATGCAGCACTCTATGGAAACAAGGGAACAAACAGAAGTCAGAAATCTACTTTCATGCCTATATTTTATATAATAGCAGAAATCAGAAATCAACTTCACTATCTTAATTCACGCCCTCACCCTCACCCACACTATCACCATCACCATCACCCTAAGTTATTGTCATGAAAATTTTCACAAATAGACAAGTAAATTTCTGATTTCTGCTTTTCTGATGGGATTTAAAATGATACCTAATGCTGATTGTGGTAATCCACATTTCTATGAATATTTCTAATTTACAGAAATTCTCAAAATTTTCAAAATTTTCAAGAGTTAAAATTTCCAATAATTTTGACATGCAGACTTTAAAATTTGTACCAGTTTGATATTTGCCAGCCCATGCTGATAGCAAGATTGAAACTCATGCTAGTTCGCTCAATCCACACGACAGTGATCGATATATTTTCAACAATTCTCGAATACATCAAGTTAGAGTGGCAACATGTCATAGAGGTTTTCTCCATGTTACAAGCGAAAATGGATTTGGTCATAGAGGTGTATTGCCTAAAGACTGAATTACAGTTAATTAACATATATATTTATAATATTGCTTCTCACAGGATAAATCACTTCTAACAATCAAATGATGTCTATTTAAGTGTTTCATTTTCCTCTTCTGACCTAGACAATAGTTTAGCTTTTGCTTCATCATACCAACAAGTATCATTCGCTCAACTACAAACAATAACAACAACACTCATTAGAATCATTGATATTAAAAAATAAACTTTCTTTCTATACAATGAAAAAATTTTTAATTGGTTGAAAATGACACTGAAAGAAAGAGAGCACACTCATTTGTCGGTATTGGATTTATCTCGATAGATCATTACGTCCCATGGCGGTCTTCCCGGATTCTGTGATTTTACTTCAATTCGTTCGCCTTCTAATAAACCCGCACGACCTTCTAAAACATCGACAGCCTTTCGCGCTGTATGTAGTGTGACCGCCACAGGATGTTTTTCTGGTGAGTTTGCCCATTCTTCCAGTGGCATCCATTTACAAACAGCGATTTCCAGCGGATCGTAATTAATCTGTTGATCTTCCTCATCTTCGTTGAGTGTCATTAAACAACAGAAATATACATCACCATGTCCAAAACGAAATTCTGCTTTATAAGTAAAGGAAAGTATGCCACGGAAATGTGCACGAATGCCAGTTTCTTCGAATACTTCGCGTTCAACACCATGTTCAATCGATTCACCTAAATATTTCAAACAAATCGAAAGTTAATTCACATAGACACCAAGAAGAAGTATATATGACCCATATCAAGACAGCCGCCAGGTAATTTGAAATAATCTTTCACATAAGCAAAACGCTCTTGTATCAAGAGGACTTCGCGTTTTTTATTAACAACCAGACCACCAACACCAATTGTGGACATGGCATAACTTGGTAATTGATTAGGATCTTTCTCATCTAACCAATGTGTTAACATGACATAATCATGTTTAGCATGATGTAGAACAAAGCCAAGTTTCTGTGCAATAGGAATAAGTTCTGTTCGATCATGTGGTATAGAAAGCCAAATACCGCGTCGTTTTGTTTGTCGCCATGTTTCAATGGACTTTTCTAGTTGACGTTCAAACAAAGCTGGAGTTTTAGCCAGAAGTGACTTATCAACAGTCACACCAAAATAGATATCATCAGTTCCAGTCAGTAATACAATCTCTTCGTTGTTTTCATTTCCTAGTGTCGCCATTATCAAAGGGACTTTCGCTTTTAAAAATAAAAGAAAATCTATGCTACGCGATGCTTGTACTTTCACATAGTCAAAGCAATAATGGCTAAACGTGATAACCAATAGAGACAGGAAGAAAACAGCGACAAATAGATGGAACGATCATGCGTTGAATATGTGTACGAAAGGTTTTTTCTTATTTTTTTGTATCGCCTTACTAGTTAGTTAGTTATTGTTTCTAATATTTATGTAACCAACACGAATTGTATAAAAAAAAAACAATTAAAACTTTATATTAACAATTGATCAAACTACTTTACATACTTGAGAGAGCATCTAATATCGCACACAACAAACAATCAAAAAAAGTTCTCTTTTTCATGCATTCTCAATCGCATCCATATGAATTATTATCTCCTATCCTCTGAACCATCGCGTCAGTAGTCATATGGACTATAAATCTTGCAACATAGCCATACGTTTCAGAGCTGTTCCCGATCGTGCCTTTTGAATCGTTGAATATTTATTATCGCCAATGGCCAAACTCTCTTCATATGCCTTGTCTAACGATGTTTGTCGTTCTTCGATCTTCTTTGATTGAATAACATTCTTCAGATCTTGTAATTGTAGAGCTAATTGTGCTTGTTTTGATTGTTTTTCCATCAATTGAACTCTACATAAATCACTCGATATGATCAGTGTACATAAACAACATGTTAACTTACCTTTCATTCGATTCTTGAACGCATCCAATGGGTTGATACTGATGAAGAAGAAAAAGAGATTATAGACGTGAATTTCGTAGATGAAAATCATTCATACCGGTGGTGGAGATAACGCTGTTGTTCTTACTTGCGCGTGGACGGCTGCATTGGTAAATGCTAATGATTGGTTCAGTTGTGTGATTGCTAAAAGTTTTTCTCGGGCTGCAGCTTCTGCAACACGCCATTTGGCTACTTCTAGTTTCAATTCATCAGCTTCTTTACGACTAGAAAAAGAACTAGTTGATTAGAAACTCTTCAATCGAAAGAATTAAAAGCTTTTATATGTCATTTTGTTAGTTCCCATAACCTGTGTTATGCGTTTCACTAACCGCTGTTCAATAGTAGATGAAAGGAGATTAAATTCATGATAATAGGATGGATGATGATGAGAACTATTCGTTATTTTGACGAATATTTAGCGAAAAAGATGATTTCAGAGCAAAGCTAGATCTTACTTTTTCGCAGAATCGTTGACTAACGTTGAAATAACTTGTTCACATTCATTGATTTGTCGAGCGTACAATCGTTTCTCTTCCTCATTCTTTAGCAAAATCAAACATCGAATAGACTCGATGGAATAAGAATCATTGAACTTACTCGATTCATTTCGTATCGACATCGTTCAAGTTGACTTTCAATTTCAAGCGCTTTAGCAGCTTGTAAACGAGCTTCTTCACCACTTAAATGTGCTTTCCGTGCCAGTAGTTCAGCTGCTTCTTGATATTTAGGCTAGAATAACATATGACACATGAAAGTAGGTCAATTGGGAGGATAGTGGACGAACCAGTGTGTCATGAATTTCTTTCATCTGTTGTTGATAATCAAGAAATTCACGTGCGATTTCATCACGACGTTTTTCCGCTTGAAAACGCAGTTCCCGTTCGCGAGCAATGATTCGCATTTTCTCCTATAAGTACAAACGCACGTATAGTCAACACATCTACCGTAGTTCTCATTCATCAATCGAACGATCGAAACCATAAAGCTCTAGAATACTTTTATGGTAGCGAAAAAGAATGCCAATTAGTTTTCTTGCTTAAAACCTCATCAATTTCAGCGTGAATTTGTTTCCTAGATAGAAATTAGTCTAGGTCGTCGCAGTCCACATTCTGTTCGTATAGTATAAACACCTTCGATATGAAAATAGTCGTGTTTCTTACTTTATGTTGTTGTTCTTCGAAGTATCGCATCTGCTGGATTTCGATCGATTGTTCCTGACGACGTCTCATGTACAATTCATGGTTCCCCATGGATAAATCAAGTATCTAAAGAACTCAATAGACTAGTGGTTCGTCCTCGTCAAGTATTTTCAACTGTACTTCTTTACTAATTGACGACTTGGCTGTATAAAATGCAAATGTTGCATTTTTATCAGTAGTGAGATTTAAAATAACCTATAGAAAGAGCATTTTCGTTGGTGAATACTTTAATCACCATTGACTTACTTTTTTATCATGAGCCGTTACAGATCGAATATCGCTCCATGAGAAGAACACTTCTGGCCTTAATTTGTTTTTCTTATAAAAACGAATTCCCAACGAGTCAATACCGAGCCAAAGTTCTGCTGCGAGTAACGGTTGATCTGACATCGTATGTTGTTGTTGTTGATGGGAAATGGTTTTATGTCCACCTTGGATCTTTGATATTTCAAAAAATACTAAACCGAACATATCGAGATCTTGTGCATATTTTAAATAGGACGTCTCGGCTTCTTCTCGCGTTAACGAAGCATGTGTACGCCATAGAGCAATGATCCGTTCGAACCAATCAGAACGAGATAGTTCGACTTTCTGGAAACATGACAATGGTAGAAGTGCCTCATTTTCAAAACTTCTCGAGTCGGAAGACAATATTGCTTGATCGTAATCACCAAACTAAAGAGAGAAAAACAACATGATTAAACAAATGACTCAGCTGTTCTCACTTTCGCTTGAAGTGATAGTGAAGCAAGGTGAGCTGCAGTTTCTGGTGGACAATAAATATCCATGTTAAGAATATCTTGTTTAACTTGAAGATAGAAAAGACGTCGAGTCACATCTTGAATAAGCTCATGTGTAATATCCTCGGGATAAAATTTCACGACAAGATACAATTCTATAGTGCCTTTGATCGATTGTAGAGCAGCACTTGATATCGATGATGGAAGACTCAATGTTGATGTCGAAGGCGATATGGGAGGTGAACGAAGAAGATGAGGCTTATAGAGATCTGTTGAATTCGGTGTATCAGGTGTTTTCAATAAGATTGAATTCGGTGAGATTTGAATTGGTTGAGAAAGAACCTAAAGAATGCGTTTATTATTCGGAGATAGCTAGTCAGCCGAGTCAACATACAGTGCGATTTAGATGAAGCCAGTTCCATTCATTCGAGACTTTGTCAATATATTTCAAACCGAAATACCAATGTTCACGAAGGCCAAGTGTTTGGCAAACCAGTGAAAAGATTGTATTACCTTTGGCTGTGGCCTAAAACAAATAGAAAGCTGTTCAACATGAAAAAACGAACTGATGACTTACTTCGATGGTAAACTGCAGTTCAGCATCCAATGTGAAGATTTTACAATAGTATTCATCCGATTTTTTCTTTCTACTACCAAAGACCGGCATAGGGAAAGAAATGAATTTTCTTATATTAATATCTAGAAAGATGTCAACAACATTCTTTTCACTGTCTTATCTTTATCTCGAATTGACTGCACGACGTGTTTCAGTGAATCGTTTATTTAGACATTGATATTACCTGCATAACAGTTAATCTTCGATTTTCTGCCTATATGTATGGAAGACACTTTTCGCGTATGTTTTTTTTCTTCTTCTGTACGTGTGTATATGTCTTTCATTGACGTTTTTTTTTCGGCGATCGCTGAGCGCGTGCATGACATTATCGACAAGAAACAGAACCAATCGTTCTCTCTTTTTTTTTCTTTTCATATTTCGTTTCTGCTACGCAAGACACCACATGCCAGACATACCTTTGCCTATTTTTTTGTCTTCTTCTTCTTCTTTTTCTTGATATTTCTCATAACCTATACGTTGACTTGTCGCACATTCATGTAGATTTGTTTTGCCACGAATGTAACTTCATCAGTTGTTTTATTATTATTATTATTATTATTATTACATCTCGTGTAGAAGTTGACGTAAGAATGACTCAAACAATACACGCGAATAGATTCATTCAGACTATGAAGGAGTATTGACATTAATTTACATAGTTTACTTCACAGAATTTATTCCAAACGATCAGCATGATAATACCAGTTGGCGAAGATTCAAAACAATCTATATGTTATTCTTTTCTCTTCTACCCACACTGAATACCAACATAGTTCGAAAACTTTTGACAACAGTCATTTTCATTTATAATAGTCACTAAACTATTCCATTGTTTGAAAGACACTAATCGAAAGATCAACGTATCTTCGTTTAATGCAGACTTTTTATTATCGTTTGAATTCATGACTAATTTCAACTTTACTGATATCCTATCTCGTAGTCATACTCATGTCGAAACGCGAGATTTCTGCTTAACATCATGATGTATTGAGATGTGTTTCTAGATCAAAAACTTCTATTCAACAGTCTTTCTTGTTGCATTGTACTTGTGCTTTCATAGACTTCGTATACTTGACGTATCCTCCTGTCAAGTAATTTACGCCGAAATCATTGATTATGAGGAAAAATTAAACTTTCTTATCAATTTCTATATCGTATCGATACTCGACTATGGACAAAAATAGCAGGCTATACTTTTATCATATATTTTCATCTACAGTATAATGTATTTTGGACTTTGTTTATTTATCAATCGAACGCCGTCTAAATTGGGAGCAAATTGCGTATTTTTATCGAAATCAAATTATATCCGTTAGCGAAAGGCCGTGATGATAAGATCTCAAATAGAAACTTTCATTCTCTTGTTCCAATACATGTACGAATCTCTACATTCGTAATAAAAACAACACGAAAAAATGTGACTTAGGCTTTTTTTTGCGTTTACAGCCATTGGTGTCGATCGATTTCAAATGTTAATTGTCAATATTGATCAGCAGTTACTATAACTATTTGATCACAATAAATAATACATGAATCATAGCATTGCGAATGTTTTTCTTCGAAATATTCCTTTTGAAACGAAAGATAAACAGCGTCGTCTAAATGTGTAGAGTTGTTTCAATGAATTGAAGTATCAATTTATTCGTTCGTATAACTTTGATAGGACAATATTTCGACTATAAACTTTATCTCGGAACATTATTCTCGATAATTAAACGTTGTTTTCGCAAATACATGCGATTTTCTCTTGAAGTTATCATGATACTGTCGGAGAAATTTGATACATTTACAACGTCGCTAGTCTTTGTTTACAAAGGACATCGTTCGAGTGCAAAAGTGTTTTTTATTCTGTACTTAACGAATAGTTCCGATAGAAAAATAATCCGATCGGAACTACTTCGACTTGTTACTGTTTCGACACGGTCAACTATTGATCTTTTCTCGCACATTCTCACGTTATCTGTTTCCTCGACAAAGCGAATCTTGTCGGCAATTATTGCAATAAAATCATAGCTTCTTTCAAAGAAGAGAAGACAGCGGAACCGGAACGAAACATCAATTCCAAGTCCAGTCAATATGTATATTGACACCCGGAGACAAGAGAGAAATGCTACTCATTCTTTGTTTTTTCTTCTTTCACCTGATTGTGAACAACAGAGAAAGGAAAAAATCACATTGAACTGGCAAATTTTGTTTAACTTTAACGCGTCAGAGATCACCATACCATATGTTCATACAAGTCGACAACTGATGATGCTGTGATTGAGATGCAAATATACGTTAGATGGATGCGCTTGTCTCCATATGTACTCACACTATGGGGACATTGAACATCAAGAAGTTACATTTCTATTCTAAAGTTACTGTAGGCCAATGTGTACGAGAAAGAAAGAAGAAAGGCAATACAGCTGATACGACCATCTGGTCTCCCATTTGATTAACTCGCTTGGTTGTAAATCCCTCTTTCGTACTGTCATAAGATCAGAAAAGAAAGTAAACCGCTCCTGTTGAATCCCTCCTTTCCTTTTCAACTAATGATCTATTGACTTTCATTCTCTTGTCACTTGTCCATCAAGATGACTGAGGTAAGAATACTCTATAAAAGAAAAAAAACGAAGTCGCTCATTTTGTGTTCTTTTTCTTTATGACAATATCACACAAAATATATATATATATATGTAGAGAGAAAAGAAGACAGAGAAGAAAAAAGCGAAACACTGTGTAAAGTGTGTAACAAGTGAAAAAAAAACTCGAAAAAAAAAGAAATGTTACAAATGTGTTGGATAATGATAATCATAATAGTCTCCCGTCGTTCCTGTTGGTGTTGACGATGGACTTGGACTTGTTCCATGATGATGATTAGTTGATGCTGACGCGGTTCCATTTCCTAATGGTGGTGTGACACGTTTCTCCTTTTGCCGTCGATTACAAAACCATACACGAACAACTTCTTTTTCCAATTGCAATTGATCAGCTAATTGGGCTATATCTTGAGCAGCTGGTTTGGGATTTCGTGCAAAGTTGATCTCTANTAGCTAGTTTTTCTTTCTGCTTAACTAGCCAAGATCAGAGACACGGGAAATTAGGTTAATCGAGTTGTTCTTTGTCATTATTCTTCATTTTCGATATAGTTACTAAGAATAACAAAGAGAGAGAGAGAGAGAGAGAGAGAAAGGAGAAGAGTCGATGGTCGATCGAGTATACATCACAAGGCTTCTCTTATCGAAAGAAAAGGAGCTAAAACTAATCCTCTCGCACCTTGACAAATATACACACGACCTTTCCACACTTATATTTCGTTTCTAATGATGGATTTGGACTTTTCGTTTTGCTTTTCTTCTCTTCTTTCAACCTACGTGTATATTCCTATTTTCACTGGTTTCTATTCTTGTTTGATTTTTCCTCCTCCCTAGACACCTTCGCCAAATGTCCGACTTCTTCTCCTCTCGACTCATCAACATTGCTTGGCACTTGTCGACCTTCGAACAAATAGAAAACAGAATCAGCTCGCAAAATATTCCGAACGTGTGCCAATCGATTGTTCAATAGTGAGCAAACAGAACGACTAGTCAGTTCCTTTTGTCTATATGCAAATATTTCATTCTTCCTGTTTGGTCCATTTCGTTCGTTTTTCGTCAGACTCAATTCTGCTACGTTGAATTATGAATCTCATCTTCAAAGCGCGCAACAAATCGAATTCAATTGTATATACACGCACACTTTTTGTTGACATTTCTAAAGAGAAAAGTTAGTGAAGCAAATGATAATCGAATCAGAGATATCCATTGCATGAATACATCAACATAAGAGAGAGAAAAAAAAACTCTACTTATGTCAACAATCAGTGTTTAATTATTTTCATTGGTTCGTCTTCACTCCTATTTGCTCATCGAGAAAAGAAAATATATATGCCAATAAGTACCGATCGGATTTCGGTTCGAAGATGACAGTAAGACGAAGAGTAAAGTCAAGCGTGTACACGTATACATATACTCATAAGAAGAAAGACGGTTGAATTGAATTGATCTATTCATAAGTATATGCACAGATGAACAAAGGAATAACAAGACAAGACTATCAATCATTCGATAGAGACGTTGAGCAGATGAGACCAATCGAGAGACCGGATGGGAATGGGTGGAGTCAGTAGATAAAGACGTGACATACATGTAGAAAAGAATTTTTATCTAGTCAACTCAGATGTTCTTTTTCGTTCATTGAATTCAAGAAATATTTACTTGTCGAATTAAGAAATGAAAGAAATGAGAATCATCAAAAATGAAATACAACGTTCATTTTAATTAAATTATTCGAATCTTTCCTTTTGCTTTTTGTTTCTTCCTGACTAATCTCATTAGAATAAATAATGACAACCAATTGGCAATATTTAACTTCACTACAGTTCTCCGTGTTATTTTTACTATGTTCTCTAAATGTTCCATCTGCTTTTATGCGATGTGTTGACTATTAAAGATAGATAGATCAATTTCAAGTGATGGCTTTATTCGTTATTGCTTCATGCACGCACGACTTGCTCCGCCATTTATATGTGTGCATGCTTACTTGAGTGTATATGTCAGTGAACACTAACTGCTAGAACAATGAGTGGCAAGTTGTTGTCAATACTAATGGAACGCGACCCATTTACTAGTTAGCCGTTTATGATTCGTGTCAAATTACTCACTTCGAACTGTCATCAGTATGATTGCTACCAATAGAGGACGCCAAACGACGTTCAACATGTGCGGTTGAATCAAATGGAATAATAGGGTGTACATATTGCAGACGTTCTTCTAAAATAAAGTTTAAAAATGAAAATGAATAGAGATTTGAATGATATATTATCAGTAAATAGATACTATTCAGTAAAGTGGAATTAAGTAATGTTTGTCACTACTTATAAATGTTTTACATTGAGCTGCTAAGTGAAAAAGATTTCCGTATGTGTAACAATACTCTACTTCCTTTGTGTTTTTATTCGAAGTTTTGTAGAAAATGATTTTTCACCCGTTGGAAAGTTCGATTTTCGAGCTATCGTGAATATTTTTTAGCGTACATACCAAGGAGTAGAATCAAAGGATGCTATTGTTCTTCATTTGAAATCTTTCGTCTTGTCTTGGTCGAGAAAACTCGACAAAGTGATGACGAAAAGAAAAGAAGAGGGAGAGAGAGAGAAAGGAATTATCATAAACTGAATGCAATAAAATGAATATACATACTATTTGCATACATAACGGAGTGTGCGGACAAAAGCTCCTGTTCGTCTCTCAACGAAGAAGAGATGCAAGCAAGTTATGTTCACAGCATGAGAAAGAGAAAAAGAGAATTTTTTTTAGACATGGCTTAATAAGATCAAACTCGAATTTGAATATAGATATATTCTCTTCTTACTTCATTACCTAGACTATTGTTCGACAATCTATGGTTAGTCAATTGCCATTGTCCGACACGAGAGAACAAGTCTTCTCATTCTATCCATTGGCATCGGATCGAAACGTTTGAACATAAGTTTCAAGTCTCTTGCAAAGACATAACCGGCCGCTTACCATATTTAATGAACGCATATATTGATAGTAGTGGCAAACCCGAGAAATAACGTCGCTCTTCGTCTCGTCTTGTTTCTTTTTCTTGCTTACTGATGAAGCATACATCATCTCTTCTTCTATCATCGTCATCGTCACATTATACGACTTCACACTGATTTTTTTATTCATGTAAATTTTTCTACTCACTCACATCGTATAAATATACATATATTCTAATCTGATTGCTAATATTACTACAGATCAAAATTCAACTGTGACTCATCTTTGCTGACAAACATCTTCGATTTATATTAGGTGAGCATTGAAATTAGCGAGATATTCGTCGAGAGTTCGACTTTCAGTAATTGAAGCTTTTATTTACAGAATGAACTTCAACACTGTGTAAAGATTTGACTTCGAGCCAAACCTGTCCGGTGTTTCAATCTTCCGTACAAGTTAAATTTCTTATTTACATTGAAAACGAACAACGATAGCTTTCATACCAATTTTATTTTCGTGACAAAAAGAAATGAAATATTAGATAATCAATCAAAATCATCGTCGTACAATGTATTTCGACAAAGGCAAACAGCTGATATCAATGCCGTTAACTGAAACAGAAGAGAACAGTAGGACATTCTGTCCGACATGTAATAAATCCATACCTCAATTAGTGCAATACTCAATCCAGCTGCAACAATCAATTTTGAATAGAAATGAATATGATCATTAACTGCTTGGTAACACCCTGTTCGATATGCATCGACTTCTAGGCAAATTCCATTTAGTAAACTCATACAACATGACGGAGGAAGATGTCGATCAAAAAGTTTGTAATCCGGATTATATTGAAAATCCAGCGGACCATCGATTCCACAGCATGCAAACTGAAATCGTATAAACATAATGAAGGTAGTTGTGTTTTCGTGAACGCATCTTTCAAGCGTATTAGATAGAACATCATCGCGTACCTGTCTTTGAACGCCATCTAAATCTCGTTCGAAGCGTTGAGGCGTTGAATAATTGTAAGTCAAAATTCGTTTTTGTAGTGTTTTTGGTAAGCGAGCATCCCATTCATCACTTAACAATACCGTATACATGGCAATAATAAGTTCACCACCCATGACCAATATGATAAAGAAAACATACTAAAACACTCGCAATGCAATTACCATGTCACATTTGTTGAACTTGACTTACTAGACCAAGTAGTGATCGAGATCCTCGAACTGACCCGCAACATCCTAATAAACCAACAATAAAGATCAGAGCGCCAACGCCAAGCAAAATATAACCAATATTATGAAAAGATGGTATAAGTCGAGAATCGTGGGATAGTAAGGAAAAAAGTTCATTCAAATCTCGTTTGAATAGAACAAGAATTCCACAACTTAGAAAAGCACCACCAGTCAACTAAAATCACGTACGATGCAGCCAAATTGTTTCGTATGAATCAAATCTTACCCATATGATCAGATTGAAGAAGATAAGAAGATGTTTCGCACAAGAACAGCAAGACATTGTCGTAGACCAATTCCAATGTTGAAATGTTGCTCGTTTTGTAAATAACTACTGGCGAGTAAGTGAGACAATGTTCTACGTTTGTTCTCTTGCAATATAATTAGAAATGAGAATATATACTGTTGCTATTGTTCGTTCACCTTGGACGACAAAACGGTGTAGAGATAAGAAAAAGGAAGAACAAAAGCGAGTAAAGAGATGAATTTCATTCTTTCAATTTTTCTGTTGTATTCTTTGACCATTACACTTCAATGTTAAGCCAATGTGCATATTGAATGAGATTCTTTAAGTGCTACTGCTACTGTCACCTTCAATTAATAGAACAACGAGATAGAGAGAGCAAAAAGAGAGAATAATACAGAGATTAACCGAAAGAGAATGAATGACCGGTCTACGTCTTTCGATGTCAATAGGTTGAAGTAAAGGAAAACGAGAGAAAAAAAATGATTTGTTTCCTTATACTTCTTTCTTTCTTTTTGACAAAGGAAACTCTTGTAATGTTCAGTATCATTATCACCCAAATGAGTAGAAACGGAAATGAAAAAGTCTACGTATCGAGCATTAATAAAAATCTTATTGAAATTTCAAACTACTTCATAGGAAAGTTGAATATCTCAGGAAAATCATTATCTTTTTCTGTCTTGCTCAATCGCGTTCGCATGATGCATAAGACAATAGTATTTACAATCTAGCATACAAACTACAATAAGATTAATTATAAACCGATGATGAATAAGTTGTCCGGATATGTACATTTTTCTTAATCTAGCATGAATAAATGCTATGAAATAAACATACACTTCCTTTCGGTGTTCATTTGTTCATGTGAACCGAGTTTAATTGACATCAAACATTGGTCGAAATGCTTTATTAAGTGAATGAATAGAAAATTTATTTGAAAATAGATGTCCTAGTCGAGAAAATGAAGCTAAAACGTAGATATTTCTATGAAATTGGAAAGTCGGTGGTTGCCATAGGTCATGTCGATGAATCTTCATTGTTCTAAATAAACAAATCAGATGTATTTAATCTTGTAGATAAGTATGATCGTTTATCAATCTGTCAAGCGGATGAAGTTTTCATTCACGTGGTTTCGAACGGAACTAAACTTAATACTGGATAAAATATTTACCTTTTCGTGTTGTCGATATTTTAGGGGACGACGATCGACGGGTAAATGTCATCCAAGTATAGATTAAACTTCCAAGTGCACTAGAAGAATAAGATCGTAGGATCAATTCAGAAGAATTCTACAATCATTCGATGATTTACCTAATGTTAAGTCCGATAAAATTTACTAGTGAAAAGACATAATCTCCACCGATAAACATTCCAAAATAGGTAACAAATAAGTTCTTGACAAACGAAACAAACAAACTCCATCAATGTTTACCAAGCTAACAAAAATACGTACTTTACAAGCACCAACAACCGTTGTCGTTAGAGCTGAATTGTAATTCGTACATAACATTGTCGAGTAATTGAGCAAAAAGCCCATTAGACATGAAAGAAGAAAGGTAAAGACGAAGCCAAGGTCTGTATATCCATCGTAGTTCCATACCTAGATGTCGAAAGTTGAATAGAAATCAAAGACGACACGTAACTCACTTTATGAAGATCTTCGGTTAACAAAACTACGACAATCAGTGGTACGAGAACGATAAATGAATTATAAAAGAGAAGACCATTTTGATTAAAATCCTGAACAAATCAAAACACTGTTCCCTTAACTTCATGGAAGAATCTCTGTTTACTTTATTGACGAGCTTTTGTTTCATCACGATACCTTGAGCCGTAGTACAAAGATTATTCACAGTAAGAAACGTATAACCAAACCAATTGAAGGTCAAATCATCTCCGGAAGCAATCAGAGCACCAATAACCATCAGATAAACACTTGCTTGAGCGATCAATGGTAATCTTTCTCTTTGAATATAATCAGTCAGTTCAAATCAATGATATTGAGAAAACAAAACATACTTCAAAATAAATTGCTCGCCTATCATTGTCATCCATATCGAAAAACGACGTAATGCGGTGAACATGGGTAAACTATCGATGACATATACGGATATCAGTAAACTTTGTACACAAAAATTTTACCTCACTGCTTGCGTACCACCAAGACCAAATAATAGATTGCCGAAAAAGAAGATAGGCAATGGCATGATCTAATTTGAAAATGAATAGAAGAAATCTGTATCCTAATAATGAGACAAATGTTTACCTTCTTGGTAGTATTCATGGAGAATGAAGGAAAGTTTATTACATTGAACAGACGAGCAACATAGAGCACGATAATAGATACAAGTAACTGAAGAACGCTCAAGGTTCCGATGAAATATTATCTCTGATCACTGATGACGCTTACCTGTCCGATCGCAAGAAGCTGGTATGAAGGAAATCTATGACAAACAGAATCATTGAAATCGAAATAATTGAACATATCGTGAGGTTGTCGAGTTATCTACCCATATGATGTGAGCACAAGTTTATTTACGACAGTAATGAGACCCGAGCAAATACCATAGAAAAGTGCTGAAGATAATCGTTGAAGAAAAGTAAAATTTGCAGAATTGGGAGGTGGTTTCGGCGACATTTTGAACTGCAATGGTGGGATACGCGAAGTATTTAATATTCGGTAGGCATTTTGATAAAAAAAAATTAGATTCAGTTGATACGAATCTCATTGAAATCTTTGCTCATTGGTCAAACTGTAAGTTTAGTCAGTCGATAATAAGATTGTGACATCTATGGGAGAATTCAAATGAGCATCTGTTACGGTCACTGAAATGTCAAACAGCAGATTTATGTTTCATCTTTCGTTTGTCTGATCACATTCATTGAAGAAAAGCATCCACAGAATAATCTCTCATCGCACACAGCAGAAGTTATGCTAAAGTTAGTTTGGCGTTATTCTAGAAGAGAAGAAACATTGGATATATCAATTTTGACAAATGACAAGTAAGATTTCCTTTCATTATTTGTCAGTGTCAATGAAAAACACTTTTCTCGCGCAATTCAGAAGAAATCTATTGAACTGGATTACCTCATCATTCAGCTGTTCATTTGGCTACATGCAGACGAAATGCGCCCTCTGTCAATGAATAGATACGAAAGATATGATATTTTCGATTGGACCAATATATCTGCTTGATTGATTGATTCAAATCCATCGTGAATAATGTTATGATTCATTTGTTCGCCTATCCTTTGTTTGCTTGAAGCTATTTCTGAAGAAGAATGTCTCATCGTTTCTCTGAAATATTATGTCAATATTAGTAAGAATAAATTCATTCAAATAACTATAAACTACCTCTCAACCGAAACTAAATACTGACAAAAGTTATATTCAACGAAATGCAAGCGTTAAAATGTGTTGTCGTCGGCGATGGGTAAAAGTTTGCTTTGTCAACGAGATCAAGACTTGATTTTCATCTTGATTTCAGTGCCGTAGGTAAAACATGTTTGTTAATATCATATACAACGAATACATTTCCGGGTGAATATATTCCAACAGTGTTCGATAACTACTCTGCGAATGTTATGGTGGATGGAAAACCGATCAATCTCGGTTTGTGGGATACGGTAAGAATATGAGTTCTTTGTTTTTGTCTCGTGTCTATTTTAATCAATTCATTATCATGTTTAGGCTGGCCAAGAAGGTAGGGTCTACTGTAAAATGATTGAAATTTTTATGTGAATGAATTTAGACTACGATCGACTCCGTCCATTATCTTATCCGCAAACGGTAATTTCTTTTTATGAAATAAAACTGTCTGATTTCTTTAATTTTTGTTTTGTTTATTTAAAGGATGTTTTTATCATTTGCTTTTCTCTTGTAAGCCCTGCTTCATTCGAAAACGTTCGAGCTAAAGTAATTCGTCCGTATACTTTCTTTTTCTCAATATTCGAATCCATGTAACGCTTCCTAGTGGTACCCAGAAGTGAATCACCATTGTCCACAAACACCCATCATTCTCGTTGGTACTAAACTCGACTTACGTGATGATAAAAATATGATCGACAAACTTCGAGTAAATAGTTTCTTTGCATCGTCTTTTGTCACATTTTTCTTCATCTGTAGGAGAAGAAACTATCACCCATATCAACGTTGCAAGGCGAATCCATGCGTAAAGAAATAGGTGCTGTAAAATATCTCGAATGTTCGGCATTAACACAAAAAGGTCTAAAGACAGTGTTCGACGAAGCAATACGTGCACATTTATGTCCGAAACCTAAAGCAAAAAAGAAAGGATGTACTCTTCTTTAAAGTTCTATGGCGAGTTCTGTTCTTCGTTGGACAAAAAAAAAATCATTGTTTTCGCTACTGTTTCTTGTCTGATAAATTTTCTTTCTGAATATCAATGAAATTGTTTGTGTGAACAAAAACTACAATGAATCTTTTTTCAGATTATGAAAGGATAAGATGACGAGCGGAAATGATTTGCATACAAACGTACGAACTTCGGACGTCAAACTACAAGAGGTGAGAAGACAATCTTCGATTTTAACCTTCGTTTCATTGCATTGAACATCCCCGACAGGAATAAATCAATCTTTCATTGAAATTATTTAGACAAGATTGTGTAGAATCCAACGGTTTGTGGAATATCGTTTGATATGATGTTACTAACTGTAAATCAACGAAAATGTGTTTGTAATAGCTTTAAAATAATTGTTTTTTTTTTTGAAAAAATAATCAATCAGATACCACGCTATACTTTGCTTTCTAATCACATTTTAAACTACTGATTGAGACATCGGTAGTCGATTTGAAATACTTTTTCGTTAACATTAATTTCGGTGTAATGTTCATTTAAGAAAGAGTAGTCGATGAATCAACTTCATATGTGTTCTTTTTAATAGGAAAAACGTCGTCTAGCACTATTAGAAGAATCTCTATGCCGTTCGAATGCATTAACCAGTGGTATGGTTGCCACTTTAGATAATTTCGAGCGCAAATTAAAATCGTTAGATGAACTTGTCACACCTGTCTATGAGGCCACTAATGAACTACGTTTATTGTTGAATAATGTCGATCAGAGTTTGTCATTGGTTGATTCGGTTCTACATTACTATGATATTTGTGGTGAATTAACGCAAACCGTTTCATCGGGTCCTGGTGGAGACTTAACGGATTATCTAGCGGAATTAGATCGTTTAGAAGATGCGGTGAAATATTTCAAACGTGTTACAGCAGTAGCGGAACGCGAACGTGTGACACAGTTGTACGATGTTGGCAGAAAACGGCTCGTCGACGAAACGGATAAACTCATTTTAAGATACGCAAATCCTTTATCATCGAAAGAAATCATGGAATTGTGTGAAGCAGCTTCGACAGGAACTCATATCGATATTCATTCCATGCAAGGTGGATTAATCATTGTTACCATAAGAAATTTATTTCAGAGTTCTCTTTCCAATGAATTTTAGAAGCAGACATGGCAACGTTGAGAGCAATCATTGAATGGTTTAGTTCACATGGCTTTCGACAAGGTCTGATTGATTCGTACGCAACGAAACGTGGTACCATGATACGGCGATCGATTCAACTGTAAATTGCAAAGAGAAATTCTCTTCAGATTGATCTTGATTTTGATTCTTTCATAGTTTGGAAGAACATTTGAGAAAAACTTCCATTCGACGTGGTTCAACTAATCTACTGTCTGCTAGTCCGAATATATCTCAACATGGTTATTCAGGCTCACATACACTACGCAAACAAGGAGGCAAATTAGGGTAATCAAAGTCATTGAGAGTGTCTTTTCTTTCATATACCATTACATATCTTTGCTAGACGGTTTTTTACACCGTAAGTAAAACAATAGACGTGGCTACTTCTCTTTTTCTTCACGCATACTTATAATTTTAATTCGAAACATTATCTGTGTGGCTTCTCGATTCGAAAATTAAGATAAATAGATACTTAATTCGTTTCTAAACCCAATCGCTCTGTTCACACTAATGATTATCCCCTGTGCATTTTGTTCATGTAGAGAAATGGGCCGCCGTTTAATTCGTTCTCCAGCTGCACCGACTTTACCGCGTGGCATAAACGCTTCTCTATCCAGTTCTATATCAGCTATCGATGATGGTATGACATTTGAATCAAGCGATGATCGTGACACAGCTAATTACAAATATTTACTCGATGCATTTATTGCGCTTCTACAACGTGATCGTGATCTTTTGAATTATGTATTTCCAAAGGAATTACAATCACTTGTGTTTACTAAACTAATTGAATTACCATTGGTTTACATGCGCGAAGAAGCACAGAGTTTATGTGAATCGATTGAACGATTACCACACAAGTTAGATACCGGAAAATTTGCTGTGTATGGTATTTTTTCCATTTTGAAATGGTTCTTAAAATCTCGACCAACGTTTTCGAAACTCTATCAAGTGCGTTTGATCTATCATAAGAAAAAAAAGACCGAGAACTATCAATATTTACTTTCTTTTCATCAATAGGAAAGTGACATTGCTCGACGACAACAGTTTACTACACTGTCAGCTACTTTCGAGCAATCGGTAAGAGCAGTCGTTGTTGAATCTAAAGTGAAAATAAAAACATTTACTCTAGGCTGTCGCTTGTTTACGAGGAATACTTGACGAGGTTCGACTGGACACTTCGCCGCCTAGTCAAGGCGGTAATGTTCATCCTTTGACATCGCATGTGTTGGCTTTTATGGAAGGTTTACTTGCTTACGAAGATACAGCAACTATCATTGCTTCGATCTATGTCGAACAAGAGCAAGGTACGTTAGAAATAAATCTATTGCACTTTTCATTTTGATCCTTGTAGGAACTAGTAATATCGCTCCATCTGGCACCGAAAAAGGTCTTTATGATTTGGGAACGTATTTCAGTAAGTACACACTTAATAAGCTACCTAGAGAGAAATAATTGTGTTATTTGTCTAGCTCAATTAGTTCGTTGGTTGCACACAAGTCTTGCTAAGAAAACTGATGGTTACCCTTCACGTCATGACACAACTATTCGTGCAATTTTTCTCTTGAACAATGTAAATTATCTTCTTAAACGTCTGGAAAAGTATGTTTCATGCTGTCTTGGTTTGATCACGAAATTTACTTTTGACTTAATGTAGCTCACCTATACTTGTAATCATTCAGCGTTGTCAATCCGATTTAAAATGCAAATATGAAGATGATTTTCAAATGAGTCTGAAAGATTACACCAAATGGTATGTTGTTCTTCTCTTAAGATACTTTCCTTCACGTTTATTCGTATGTTTATGTTCTAGTTATACTCCGCTGATAATTGCTATTCAACAAATGCTTGAATATGATAATGTCAATCGTTTATCCGATGGAAAAGTACGTCGAAGAGGAAACTTTTACTTTCTGTTTTCAAACTGTTTGACATTTAGTTACGTGATCGTGATCGCGAACAGCTGAAAGAAAGTTTTGCGTCGATCAACTCAGCGATTGATAATTTACGTCAACAATGTCAAGAATATATTGTTAGTGATGTTGGTTTACGTGATCGCTTGCGCAATGAAGGAAAAAAGTTAATCTTAGAAATGTATAAAACTTATTACACTAAATTCGCCAATAAAGACTTTACTAGACATCGCGAGAAATATATTCGTTATGATCCAACAGTACTCGAATTAACTATTGATAATTTTTTTGAACATCGTTTGTAATTTCATATTTAAAATAAATTTCTTTTATTTCAATGAGGAATTCATATTTCGTGTTAGTAGAGTAAAATCTAACAGCACACAATTAATCTAGGATAATTTTATGATGCGAGACGGTTTCTTCGAAGTCTAATCACTCTTTTCATTCGTTGCTGATATCGTATTTTTTGCGTTCAGACACAATGAATCGAACATGATTGAAGACTTTACAAAAGCTGTATACATGACAGAAAGCTTACGAAGCCCATTGTAGACAATTCTATCATTGTTGATTCAGTTGTTGAAACAATCGCTGTTAGAGCAGCTGCTGAAGAGAAACTATAGATAAAGAATTTTTAGTACAGACACGTGCAAATATATGATTTGTTTGTTTTTAAACTTGGAGGCTTACTGATGATGCTGGCGATGGTTGCCGAAGTAGTCGATGCTGGTATCATCATTGTCGGTGGAAGTGATGTTGTTAACTGAAGTCGAATTTAGTGTGTGATATTGACTTGCGAGAAAGTACACTTGTTAAAGTATTGATAATGGTATTGGATGCTTGTCTGGTAGTGCTTGTAGCAGTTGTGAACGAAGTTTTGGTAATCTTTGTTGTTGATGATACAGCCGGATTTCAAATATTGAATATCCAGAAGGTTCTAGCAATGATCGGAGCTGATTTAGAACATAGAATATCGTTTTTTGCTCATGTTTCATCAATACTATGTACAAATAAAGATCTAACACAGAAGTCTGTTCCACTTGCCGCACCCTCAAGTGAAAATGCATAACAAACCATGATGCTGTAGGAAATCGAATGACATTAGTGTAGCACTTCAAGAGTAAACAAATGTTTCGTTACGAATTGGACGGTTGACGAACATTGAAGCTACAAAGTTCAACAAAAAGACAGTAGATCCTCAATCGTTCGTAAAAATTACTTTGAGTAGAAAACTTCGTCTGATTTTGAAAAATAGTATTCATTGGTTTGATTGAATGTCCGTGTTATTCATAGAACTAGCGCAGAATGTTTGTGGACCATATTGGCCAACTGTAGGAACCCAACTGGGAATCAAATGATATATATCTGTGATACGAAAAAGAAATAGTCGAAGTCAATTATAAAATTGAGGACTACCTAGGACTTGGATTGAGAATAGTTCGCTTTATCATATCAATTAGTGTGTTTGTCAAAAAATCTGTTATATCCCTTCTATCAGTACTTCAATATGTCACGTGCATCGAAATTAGACATTACTCACTTTGTAAATAGTGGGAAGACTGACAGCAACACAACTGGAAATTAAGCGACCATCCGGTTTTAGAAAAGTGTTAATTCAGTTGACAACATTGCATCAACGACCAGTCTCAACTGTGAGATTTATGAACCAGTAGCATGATGCAGACAATATGCTGGGCGCAATATTTAATGAGAATATCCGTGTTACATACTTTTCTCTACAACTAATATCAATTCCGATATTGAAATCAGTGTAGTGTGTCGATGTATTTCATAGCATTAGATCAAACACTGAGAACACCAGATACACGATAAACAGTGACTGCAATACCCACCAGATGCTTTGCAGCTATGTCTACATTTGTGCATCCACAGCCAGGATAAGAACAATGTTAAGAATATCGTTCGCGTATCAATAGAGTCACAGTACTATCTAATGGAGTGTCATTCAAAGGTCGCCTAGAAATAATCAACGCTAGAAGTTCATATTGACAAATCGTATTATTGTATCATCATGGAAACGCGTAGCTTAATTCACTGACAACGAAACAATCCCGAAAACAAAAATAAGTGGTATCATTGCCATTTTTGTCTTCATGAATACTGACTGCGGTCGAAAGTGTTCGCGAAAAGTAAATAAGTCAAAAAGAAAATGTAGTTCAGGTACTATACCTTAAAAACTACTGATTGCAAGACAAACAAACTGTTGATTAGCTTCAGCTTCAGCAATTTACGAACGTGCTCCGAATAAACTATTTTGTTGTTCCAGCTTTATCTAAATGAGCAGTTGGCTGGATTCATACAAATTCTCTTAATACGGTCATTTTAGAATAATTACTCATATAATCTCGTAAATGTTAACAAAAGGTGTCTACTAGTGCAGTTTGAACAATAATTCACATTCTGAGAGACGAAAAGCAGACTTGTTTGTCTGGATTTATCGACGACCAAACAAGCGGACACTCTTTATGTTGTACTCAAATTAGGAAGTTTTTATAGGCAAAAATTACCATCATCGATAACGGACATGATTATCTGATGGAATGAATTTAATGTCTTGCATTCATGTTTATTGAAAATATTGAGACAACAAAAAAGACAAAAGCAGGTTAGTATATGAGATACATGTATAGGTAAAAGCACATTAAAACTGTGTTGTCTGAAGAGTTTGCTTGTTTACGAAACGTATTGAAATCGAACTGCAACTTTCGGTGCTCCAGGTTTCCGTTTAGGCGCTTTTTGCTTTGCTTTAGCACGTTTCATACGTGCTTCCTTAGCTGGATCAATATGGAAAAAATATTTCAGAACATCCATTATTATTACAAATGAGCATGTTAAAACAAGAGCAGTTATGGCAACACTTGCAAAGGATTTTGTTAAAGCTTTTTTTACTTCTAATGCATTGCTTTGATGTTCACAAAAATTACCATAATAAAGTGTGGGATCTAAACATATGCACTTCCAAGCCACATCAATCGTTTTACATATTCCGTTGTTTTTACAACTTATATTTGCGCATAAATCAAGTTTCAGTTCACAATGAGTGCCCATAAACGCTTTCTCGCATTCACAGAAGAAAGTTGTTGCATTATCTCCAGCTATGGTCGAATTAATTTCGATACAAGTTCCGTCGTTCCTATAGAAAAAACAATGCAGATGAAATTTCAATCTGATAATCAAAAGAAAATCTTACCAGCATGTGTTCTCTTTGCATATTCTTTCATCATTTTCACACGTAGAACCTGTATAGCCTGCTTGGCAAGCGCATGAGTACCCTATAGGTATGGTAGAATCTGGAAAACATGTTGCAGCATTAAGACATGGTTGTGCCATACTACAAGCATCAGCAGTGACGTTACAGTATGCCCCTATACTGTTTCCTGGGCAATAAAATGGACTTGATCCAGTAGGTCTTGTTATATTCGAAGTGCTTGATGGTGCACTGGTACTGCTGCTATTACTGCTTGATGGCGCGTTGGTACTTCTGCTGCTTGCTGGTGCATTGGTGCTGCTGCTGTTGCTGCTTGTTGGTGCATTAGTACTACTGCTGCTTGCTGGTGCGTTGGTGCTATTGCTGCCTACTGGTGCATTAGTACTATTGCTGCTTACCGGTGCATTAGTACTATTGCTGCCTACTGGTGCATTGGTGCTATTGCTGCCTACTGGTGCATTAGTACTATTGCTGCTTACCGGTGCATTAGTACTATTGCTGCCTACTGGTACATTGGTGCTGCTGCTGCCTACTGGTGCATTGGTGCTGCTGCTATTACTGCTTGATGGTGCATGAGTACTATTGCTGCCTACTGGTGCATTAGTACTATTGCTGCTTACCGGTGCATTAGTACTATTGCTGCTTACCGGTGCATTAGTACTATTGCTGCTTGTTGGTGCATTAGTACTATTGCTGCCTACTGGTACATTGGTGCTGCTGCTGCCTACTGGTGCATTGGTGCTGCTGCTATTGCTGCTTGATGGTGCATGAGTACTATTGCTGCCTACTGGTGCATTAGTACTATTGCTGCTTACCGGTGCATTGGTGCTGCTGCTATTACTGCTTGATGGTGCATTGGTGCTACTGCTGTTGCTGCTTGTTGGTGCATGAGTACTATTGCTGCCTACTGGTGCATTGGTGCTATTGCTGCCTACTGGTGCGTTAGTACTATTGCTGCCTACCGGTGCATTAGTGCTATTGCTGCCTACCGGTGCATTGGTGCTACTGCTGTTGCTGCTTGTTGGTGCATTAGTACTATTGCTGCCGACCGGTGCATTGGTACTATTGCTGCCTACGGGTGCATTGGTACTATTGCTGCCGACCGGTGCATTGGTACTATTGCTGCCTACGGGTGCATTGGTACTATTGCTGCCGACGGGTGCATTGGTACTATTGCTGCCGACCGGTGCATTGGTACTATTGCTGCCTACGGGTGCATTGGTACTATTGCTGCCTACGGGTGCATTGGTACTATTGCTGCCGACCGGTGCATTGGTACTATTGCTGCCTACGGGTGCATTGGTACTATTGCTGCCTACGGGTGCATTGGTACTATTGCTGCCGACCGGTGCATTGGTACTATTGCTGCCTACGGGTGCATTGGTACTATTGCTGCCTACGGGTGCATTGGTACTATTGCTGCCGACCGGTGCATTGGTACTATTGCTGCCTACGGGTGCATTGGTACTATTGCTGCCGACCGGTGCATTGGTACTATTGCTGCCGACCGGTGCATTGGTACTGCTGCTATTGCTTTTGGTAATAGTGATAGTACCGTTCGTAGTTGCTGACGATGAAGACGCGCTTGTTGAACTCTAAAAACGATTATGATTAGTTTTTTGTGTACAGTGATTATGATATCAGACACGGAATATATATTATTGCCAGGCTTCTCGGTAAGCACAGAGGTAAAACAACTGGCTTTTTGTATTCTACGCTAAAGTGGATCGGTGTGAGATGGTGTTGTTATACTGGTACAGTGAGATATTGTATCATGTTATGTGTGTCAATTGTTTTCTCGCAACACCTGTTTGGTTTTCATCAAATGAATGTCTGTAACAAAATATTTTTTCTTCTGTTAAATAGCTCGAGTCAAAGAAGTCATATACAAGTTTTCTATTAGTATAAAAGAATGCAGTAATTTTAATTCAACCAGGCTTTCCGGATATGTTACTCTGCATAGGCGTTACTTTGATATAATTGACTATAGCAATACTGTGAGGTTAAAAACGCTTGTTCTTACTAATGTTGTCGTAGTAGATTGACAAGTATACCCGTCGAAATCGACTGTTGTCGCTTGCAAACACGTCATATCGTCCATTTGTTGGTAAGAAGGCGAAACACATGAAAAAAGTGGTACTTGTATGGTAGAAGGGGCCATACATGTAAATAAACTGAAATTTTCCCATTGTATTGTAAATGATTGAGTTTGCATACGAGCAAAGCCAATCAAATTCACTAAAAATCCGATCGATGTCACTTTGTCCTACTAGATTCATCAACTCACCATAGGTAACAATAAACACAGGCAAGAACGATCCAAGAAAATGCATCTTTCTTTGAAAGTAGCTTTTTAGCAAATGACAGCAGTTGTTTTATTTTCATTTCAAAAAACGTCTTTTCCTCGCTTTCTCTCTGTCTCATATCATCTAGAACTAACTTCAAAGAGAAAAAAACAACACTCTCATTAGTTGCTGCAAAGCAACATCTCAAATATGCAAGAAAGAGAATATAGAAATAATCTTTTAAAGTTCTTTTTTGTCTATACATAGTTTTCATTCGAAGAAAACACATTGCAACGTCTAGTGTTCAAACAAATATTAGTCTTCTATTGAGTTTGCTCACAGATAACACTTCTGCTTATTTACTGAAAACAATTAATCCAAAGAAGGCCTAGACGACCTATGACGATATTGTTTAAACGTGATCATAGAATGTTCCCATGCCATCCATCACTGTTTTTCTCGGCATTCAATACATTTCTTATCTATTTTATTTCAATTCGACAAGATAATAAGGTCTCACGTATTGAATTACGTGCTGCTATTTGTCTTCATACGAACAAAAACTGCTAACCTTTCATCAGCTATTCATTAAAGTGACCGAGAATGGCAAAACAAGTCTGCACGAGTGTTTATTATCTACTATGGAGACAATTGAATTATCGTGATATTTGAGAATTCTCTCGAAATATCATGAACATCTATTAATGTATCCTTTTTTCGGTAATAATGTTGCATGTCAAAACGTGACACAGATTCAAAGACTCTATGGAATACTAATAATATTTTCTTTCATTGATCATTGTCAATCCTCACGACGTGACGTGTGGGTTTCCAATATGACTCGCTTTTCGTATCATTCTTCGGCAAACTTCTGTTTTACATATTATTTCCTTTTATAATCAAATCGATCTGTATTCCCAACACTCACGCATCTTGTTCGAAGAAAACATTCAATTCGATGGTATTGTCATGTATCTCAATTAAGGAAACGAAGTCTGTTCTTCAGAAAAGATGTTTTTTCGTTGATGAATGAAAGTTCTTCACATTTTAGTATGATAACATGTTAATAAGTTTGATGTTGTCGGAATCCTAAGTAAGAATTTTTCTTTTTTCTTCATCCATCGACGTTGTCAGCGCCATCTATGATGATTATGAAGAATTCATTTTACTTTCTTCGACGAAATAATCAAATAAAATCCTTTAATTCCCTTTTCAATCGATTCAATGTCTAAAAATACTGACAAACTCATCATCTGGAGCCAATCGCATGGCCCTGAAACAAAGAAAGAAAGAAAGAAGAAGATAAGAAGATTCGTTATTGAAAATTAGACGAACAGAACAAAACTAACAATGAAAATTCTAACTCATCGGTGCCAGTTCAAGTATTTATCGGTATAATTATTGCCCCTATCATTATTTCAGGTCAGAAATAAATCTATTAAACAATCTTACTTATCTATGACTGCAAAATGTCATTTTTTATCACTTTTTGCTACATTCGATAAGCATTTTATAGTCAAAAGGATGCGTTTCATTGCAAAAAGAAAAAAATACATAAATATTTCTTCTATTTCCATCGTTGTTTCATGTTCTTCATCATCAAACATGTTTTAAAAAGAAGTATCAGTGTTCCTCGGAGACGTTGTGTAAATAGATCAACTCCTCGTACTTGATCCATTCGAAGTTCTCGTATCGACCATCCATTCTGACTCGCAAACACACCGAATCGTTATTGACTTTTCTCCATTGATTATCATGACGTTTTAATCTTCACCAACGATATTTAATCAAGGAAAAATTACGATATTTGACAACTGCATCTTTGTACACTACACAACAGTAGATGTTTATGTACCACACAAGACTTTCTCTCATTTCTGTCAATAGTTTTAGGTCAAAGTAAACAATTCTATCTCCACGTGGTCAGAGAACAACATTCTTTTTCTTGCGAGTACCATAGGTATCATGAGACTTTTGACATAGCTATGATTTTAACAGAACTTGATGAAAATTTGTTCCCTACGAGAAAAACAGAAGCAAGGCCATAGAAGTTCATGATGATGATCGTCATCTCTTGAGTAATACATCAACATGAGTATGTTTTTTCTCTCTAATAACGTTCTTTCTATGATTTATGAGATAATACGCAGTATTTCTTCTGTCTACAGATTTGTTAGCACTATAATAACAGTAAAGAATTGTTACATTTCCTGATAACAAGGTAAATATCATTTTTCTTCTTATTTACATTCACATGACTGACGATGAAAAACAACAAACTAGCATTACAATCCTTTATGACTCCAATAATAGTAATTTGATAATGATTGCGAAATGAAAATAACGTTGCTGTTCATGTGAGATCAATTAGGACATCTAATATGACAGTTTTGGAATAGAAATCAGACGAATATATACTTGAGTCGGTTAAGTTGACATTGAATTTGTCCCTATGGAAGTTTGTATATTCTAATCGAATTTACATGAATCCTTACGTTGCATCAGTTGTCGCAATAAAAGACAAATAAAAAAAAAGAAACTCTTTGTCTATTCACTTGTGTAGAAAAAAAAAGTGAAATTTTCTAATTATTTTTTCTCTTATAATTTCTTCTCAGAGGATGAATAAACAGGAGGTATATAGTGTGTTAAAAAAATTAGATTCAGGTATGTTTTTTGGTGGTCCGATCGAGATTTATCTGACATGTTTATAGTTGTTGCTTTGTCTTTTTCTCATACGACTATCTCATCAATTTTGCATGTGTTCGAGTTAATATGACAGGTGATATGAATTAGAAAAAAAAAAAATTTCAATCTAGCGCATGATAAATGTACTGTAAACACAATCATATCGTTCAAGTAATAAAAAAGTTCTTCGATTAGGAACTGAGAATTTAGAGTTTTATTAGGGCATAACTAAGGTTGCGTTGATCTAGATAAATAGAACGTCTTTTTTTCTTTCTATCTGTAGTTGTCGATAGCATACTAATGTTTGTTCTCGTTTTCATAACTGGAAAGACTAACGAAAGAAATAGAACACAAGAACGTTTCTGTTAGTCGAATATTGTCACTGAGTTGCTTGATTATATATGCGATTAGATTGTCGTCTGAGTAATAACGTAACAAAAGAGATTCTAGTGCGACATTAGCAACGTAAAATAAAAAGAATTCGGTTGAATGCAAAGAAAACAAAAAGTCTTGGAATCAAGTTTACTTTTAATGCACTTTGCACAACATTGTAAAAATAGATTGTTAATTAGCCAGTCAGTTAGAATACCATTTTCAGCATCATCTGTAGAAAAAATAACGTTTCATCCATCATGTGTGAGTCAAAATCTGTTAGCTTGGAAAAAGGTACATGTAGTGCTGTTTCCTTCTATAGGGCATTTTACTGTTAGACAACCAACTGAGAGTATAATTAGTCATGAAGGATGAGTTTCCTACACGTCTTCCCTGGATGACCTTATCTGAGCGTTTGTAAAAAGCTTTTGGTGAACCTTTAATAGGGAATAGTAATTATATTCCTGATTTATTAAATATAGAATCCGCGACAAGTTGCCGTTCATAAATATGATCAACTATCGAAAAAAATACCTCCGAGTAGTTGTCTTCATGTGTCAGAACATATGCTCATCTCTATTTTAACACACCTACGAACCAAAATTATCGTCGCGCTTAGCTGCATGCAATATTTCATCTCGTTTTGATATTTAATCATGACCAGAGTGCTGTCAGAGAAGATTAGTACTTTTTTTTTAAGTAACATCTCATTCGCGAAATCCGCATATCCGACATGTGATGTTCTTGAGTACAATTAAAGCTTCAGCCTATTTCTTGACGACATTTTGAAGTACAAAATGACTATCATTTCGAATAAAACGCGTTCTAAAGTGACTAATATCCGTGCTGATGAAAATGTTTCAATACATCACAAACCATACCATCCACTTACTTTTCTTCTGGAAGAGTAAATATATTAACATTATTACTGTTGAAATTTCAGCTTAGTTAGAAAATGAAAAACTAGTCATTTGTCTCGTGAATGTCATGACAGTGCTCAGTCTTTGTCCGAAGATTTTACTTTTCTGTTAGATTTCTCAAGCATATTAATCATTTTATAGGTGTCAAGATTCTATATCCTATCATTTGTATTACCTTGCATTATTGTAGTACATAGCTATGCGCGCATATAAATATATTTCGTAGAAAGAGAAAAAAAATAATCTTTTAAAAAGACGTTTTTCTTTCTCGCCGTCTCCTCCCCAGAAGATAATTACTTTTTCTTTTTATACGGATCGCTGCTCAAGCGTTGTGCAGTGATATGAAATAGGAAAGAAACTATGGCATCTTATTTGTATTTTTCAGATCATGACAAACAAGTGTATCACTACATGGATCATCATCTATGTATACCTATCATGCATCAACGCACAAAATAATCAAACAGCAGATCTAGTCGATGCTTCAGCTAAGCCACGTCCAAAGGGTACGTACGTCAGATGTCGAATGCAGAAGTTGTTCTAGGGAAGCCCGAGTCGAGTCGGATATTCAATGTTATAAATATAGGAATGAAAGACAGTTTTCGAAAAAACTAAATTCGATTGAAAGATGATGACTGAAATTGTAAATTGAGTTACGGAGAAAATCCAATCATCAGTATACGAAGGTCATATGTTTATTAGTTATCAATAATAAGTCATCGTTAACGAATAAATTTTTAATGAGATGAAGAAAGAAAAAACCATAATCGAAACACTACAGGTATACAGATGAGTCAATTAATATATTCGAACGAAAGATAGACATCAGGAAAGAATCGAAATAACTTTCTCATGGAGACAATAGATAATTAAAAAAATATTACTGATGACCTTCTTCATGTGATCACTGAACAGAACGAATCATGAAATCTGATAAGACAATTATATAGATAATCGAACCGTGGTTCGACATTTCGTCTTATGTTTTCTAGTGTGCAATGACGTTCGTATAACTATATTTGAAGTACGACGCGGTCTAGATTTACAAGCATTAGCCTCGTGTGAAATTGTTCTTGGTTCGATAATTTTTGCTCCTATGCCATTAACGACAAATACGAGTACAACACCAATAGTTGGAACAGTTCAAACAACAACAGCTACTGTTTCGACACCAACATCAGCGCCGATTCGTTTTCCATATCTTCGCGAAGTGTATGGTTATATACTTTTAGGTTATTCATCGATTCGTTCATTCTCGTCCATGTTTCCGCGTTTATCTGTTATCCACGGTCGAGAACTCTATCATGGCTACGCATTGATTGTTATGGAAAATTTACAATTGGATGATTTAGGTTTAACATCACTGATAAATATTCGTCGAGGAAACATAATTATTGCTCGAAATGCTCAGTTATGTTACGCGAAATCGATTCGATGGAATGATATTATTGAAAATAAGAAAACTCAAGTTATTCTACGACAAAATCGTGACGATTGCGCTATCTGTCCTACATGTCCATCGGCATGTTGGTCGGCAACTCTATGTCAACAGCAATGTTCAACATATTGTAAAGGCAATTGTTTATCTGAACAAATTTGTTGTCCTGATGAGTGTGTTGGCGGATGTTATTATCAAAATGTCACTGCATCAACAAATCTCGTCTGTAATGCTTGTCGAAATCTAAGAATTTATGCTACAGGAAAATGTGTACAGCAATGCCCATCACATATGTTGAAGGTAAATACAAAAATCACTAACTGAATATGAACATTTCTATTGTAGGTAGTCGATTCGATGTGTGTCACACGAAAAGAATGTACATCGTTTTTCATGGGTGTGGGTTATATCTTAGATGAAACCAATCAGTGTGTTTCAGCGTGTCCGACTGGATTCGATCTTATCTCAGGCACACGCTGCGTTCGTTGTATATCGACTCCGGAAAATAATTACTGTCATGGAGCATGTCGAGAACAACATATACGTTCGATCAGTGATTTTAATCTATTAAAGTATTGTTCACGTGTTCATACACTGAATATTTATAATATAGCAGCGGTGGAATCAACAGAAAATAATCTCGTTGAAGTTTTTGGTGGTTTTGCATCTCTCGAACAAATCGATCATGAATTTACAGTACATAACGTCAATGTTTTTTCTACATTGGGTATTTTTGTCAAATTAAAACGAATTGGAATCTCATCAAATGCGACAATCACCATAGAAGAAAACGATTTTCTGAGCGAATTATGGCCACTATCACATCCACCGCCTGTGCTTCAAGGAAGTTTAAATATTGTTCGAAATGCTCGACTTTGTTTGAGACGCATCGAAGCATTCGTGAATTATACAACTTCATTAGAGAAAGGTAAATTGATCTGAATAAAAGATGCAAAATCAGACTCAAGTCATTCGCGATTCGTTTAGATTTACAAATTATAAATAATACATTCAATGAGTACGCAAATGGCTATTTGGCATCATGTGAATCGAATTTGCTAACATTATCTGTGGAAAAAATTCGTTCTTTAACAGCTCTGATTGTTGTAGCTGTACCGAAACAGTTATTCTTTCGTTCAGGTGGAAAAGCTGACTATTTACGTCGACCATTTCTTTCGGTTTACTATAAAGCTACTCAGACACGAAATGAAACACATTTTGATGCAACACAATCACACAAATGGCTACGAATCGTCGAGAAAGTCAATTACAATCCATCACCACACGGTAAGCATATTCTTCGCCTTCAAAAGCATGTCTTAATCATTCAGGTATAACGAGAAATAATTTGTTGCTTACACGTACTGATAACAAAAGAAATCATTAATCAAACTGTCACTCATTTCGTATACCATTTGACATAAAGAGCAAATTCGTGATTATAACATTACCCTTGCTATTGAAAGGCTCGCGCTAACTAATCAATGAAAATTTCTCATGTTTTTTCATAGAATATGAGTGACGTATTTTTACCAGGAAAATAACGCTTTTCAAGGGCATGTGTTAATATCTGTCGTTATGTATATGAAAAGATGATCTCATTAAAATACTCTTTTAGGCGGTTCATTTACCATGAGGGTGGAATTATCTTCTCTTCTCGGTGCAACTTGGTATGCTGTTTATGCATCGATTACTTCCAATGTCAATACAGTTGGTTTATATTCAACAATCGGCTATTTTCGAACATTGCCTCGTCAGCCTGAACCAGTGCTTAATCTGCGCGGAGATAGTTTATCAAGCACGTCAATCGAATTAATGTGGCAACCGCCGTCCAAGCCGAATGGTGTAATCAAAACTTATATTATCTACTATGCGCCTATAGAGGATCGATTACCGGTAGATAATTCGAAAATACTCTGTTTACTGAAAGGTACTATTTGTGAATCAGATACGATCTAGTTACAGTTTGACTTGTGTTTAGATCGTTGGCATGCAGAAGTGCCTGTTCCAAGTAATCCGTCGAATGTTACAACATCAACTCGATGTCCTCGATTAAAACTAGGATCAAACAACATAATGGACAACAATGACGATGATATGATGGAAGAACACGAAGAAAATACTGGTATCGATCAAGTTGTTACTGATCTAGCTATACTTGAACATCAATTGATCAATTCAGTTACTCAACGCAAAGATCCGTTGTTTATTCGACCCGACTTGAAAGACACAATTATTAACGATTTAGATCATTATTTCGAGGATAAAAGTAGTTCGCTCAACGAACAGTACAAAGCCGATATATCAGTCGAACAAAAGCCTGTTGAACATACTCCGTATATCAATACATTCAATCGAACAACGTCAGCAACACGTGTGATTATCGATGACTTGAAATATGCTCAAATGTACATGTTTCAAGTTTTTGCATGTCATAATATTGTCGAACAAAGCAAATCCGATGCATGTAGTCTGAACGGGATTATCATTTCCGTTCGAACAAAACCTGGTGATCGTACGTAGTTGCAATTGATGCTTTCTTCAATCTCTTCACTTTGTTTTTTTTCGTCTTTCAGCTTCATTGGATTTAGTACGAGATGTACAATTAGTTGCATCGATTGATAATTCGATGCGATTGTCGACAGATATGAAAACTGTTGGCTACCAAATCTCATGGCTTGAACCATTGACACCTAATGGACTTGTCTATTTCTATACTGTCCATGTCGATCAATACAGTCTCAATGGACCGAAAGAAGAACGTTGCGTTGGCCATAACTTTCATTCAATTAATGTCTCTTTATTACCCAAAACACATTATCGTTTGCGAATTGTCACATATACAATAGCGAGACTCAATCATGAATATGGAGATCATAAACAATTAACCGATGATTCGCACATATTAAATTCAACAAATCTATACTTTCAACTATTATTCACAACTGTCGATTTGCCGAGTGAGTATCGTCTACGACATGAAGAAAAAGAAGATGATTGATGGAAATTCTCCATTCTAGATCGTGAAGCAATTCGACAAAATCGACTTGCATTGTTTATGGTCATTATTGGCTCGATTGTTCTTTTGTTAAGTGTTATACTTGGTGCACCACTTTACTACTACAAGTACAGTCGAAACGATAATAAAGCGTCCATCTCGAAAAATCCAAATTATGGTTTGCTGTTTGCTTACAGTTCGTATTTTATCTTAATTACATACGTTTGTTTAGAATTGTATACGCCGGATCAATGGGAAATCGATAAGGACTCAGTGACTTTGGATAAACTAATCGGTCAAGGACATTTCGGACAAGTTTATCAAGGTGTTTTGAAACTATCGGATGGAACATTAAAATCATGTGCAGTCAAAGTATAAAAAAACGAGATTCTCTTATCATCAAATGTTTCGATTGGTTATGATTTATTTAGATTCGAACTACGCATCCAACAGATTTATTACAAGAAGCATCTATCATGAAGTATGTTATTTTATTTATTTATTTATTTATTTCTCATCTAACGACTTACTTCACCTGTTCTACTTTAGACAATTTCAATGCTACCATGTCATTCAACTGTATGGTATCTGTTCACGTATTCGACCGCCGTATGTAGTAATGGAACTGATGGAAAATGGAGATTTGAAAAACTATCTCTACCGATATCGACAAAGTGAATTGAATGTAAAATGAACTACTGACTTTTTCGAAGCAGAACTAAAATTGTCTTGTTTTCAGCCGAATGGTCCAATGCTGACCGAATCAGCCATGATTCAATTAGCATTGGATATTGCTGATGGCATGTACTATTTATCGGATCAAAAATTTGTACACCGAGATTTGGCCGCCAGAAATTGTCTTGTAAATGGAAATCATACTTGTAAAGTTGGAGGTGAGGACGAATGACTAGAGCTCGAAACCTTGAATGAACCCATTGATTTGATTTCTTTTTCTAGATTTTGGCTTAACACGTGATATTTATGAAACAGATTATTATCGTCGTGGTGGTCGAAGTTTTCTTCCCATTCGTTGGATGGCACCAGAAAGCTTACGAGACGGTCGCTTTGATACAGTGTCTGATGTTTGGTATGTTCGACATTCGTTTTCTTTGACATGCTTACTTCGCATTTTTGATTAAGGTCGTTTGGCGTTCTCCTTTGGGAAATTGCGACGTTAGCTGAACAACCTTATCAAGGCTATGGTAACGAAGAAGTCGTACATTATGTTCGATATGGCAATATCACGTTAGAACGTCCATTGAACTGTCCAGAGATTTTGTGAGTTAGATTTCTTCTCTATTCTCACCTAGGAACGGTCGAAACGATATTTTTCTAGACACAAGTTGATGCGTGCCTGTTGGACGTTTTCTCCCGGTGATCGTATTTCATTTCGATCGATTGTTGATGAACTCATTCCATATGAAAACGAAGATTTTCACTTGCACGCCTATTATCACACTCAACCTAATCAAACGCGACAAACAAGTTTACTTGATAGTAGTAATAATGATGAAGAAGAACTTTTATTAGCGGATGAAATCGATGATGACAATGATAATTCTCATAATTTATGATGACGTTATTTTCTTCTCGTGTTCTCATATGTTTCTCGTTGTGAATGATCAATTCCATTCTTTTCTTGTTTGTTTGTTTCCTAACTGTTATTTTATACCCATCCTATAAACTGTACAAATCAAAATAAAGAGTAATGCAATTTTTTTATAGATAGCTGTGAACCGGAAGAAGACACGTATGAATTCTAGACAAGACTCGGAGAAAATCTTGAATTCCTATGGATTTTTTGTTTCACCGGATGAATTGAAGTAAGATGAAAAGAATGATTTCTTTTCCATCGATATCCTTCTTGTTTCAGTCCGGAAGAGACGCTTGATGCACGTATTGTTCGCCGGCGAGAACAAAAATGGCTAGACATGTTTGCGCGTTGGACATATTTCATTCCATCTCGATTTGACAAAGTCAAATCACGTTGCCGAAAAGGCATACCAGCATCTGTTCGTGGACAAGCATGGTACCATCTGTCCATGGCCAAATATCGACAAGAGAACGCCGATCGGCATTGCCTATCCGGACGACTGTTTTCATATTATTTGACAAAGAAGCCCGATGCACGTATTATTGACGATATCAATAAAGATCTACCACGAGCATTTCCTGAACATGAAATGTTTCAAAGTGATAGTTGTGGGTAAAGTCATCCGATGATTTGCCATCAGAGACGAATATCGAAGAGTTGATTTTCTCCTAGACAACAAAGCTTATCTGATGTTCTCACGTCCTATGCTGTTCATGATCCTGAGGTTGGATACTGTCAAGCGCATGCACCAATCGCAAGTATTCTATTGATGCATCTACCGCCCGAACAGGCATTTTGGGTGTTTGTACAAATCAACGAAGAATATGTGAAAGGATATTTCAGTGATCAATTAATGGCAGTGAAAGTCGATGCATTAGCAACCGGTATACTTGTCGAGCAAATCTCGCCGAAAGGTTATCGGTTACTTGTATGTATTACACGTTCCTTTCGTTTGAGTTCTGAGGATTCTGCTGTCTACTAGAGTAAACTCAACGTTGACCCGTTATTATACACAATTGATTGGTATATGACACTATTTTCTCGTACTTATGCTGCCCCAAAGTTGTATCGTATATGGGATATGTTCTTTTGTGAAGGTGTCAAAGTCTTATTTCGTATAGCTCTTGTTATCGTACGCGAAACATTAGAAGTTGGCCCATCGAGTATCGTTCAACGCGCTCATCGTTGCGATAACGACATGGACCTAGCTGCACTTATCAAACAAACCGCAAAGCAAATTCCACTTGATGATTTGATTGAGAAAATGGCTAAACTTCCAGTGACCGATCTCGATCTTGCTAAAGCATGTAAAAAAGCACGACAACAGCTTGCTGAAGATTTGCAAGCAAGAGCAAATCGAAGAAAATAGCGATTAGCTTCCAAGTGCAATATCTTTTGTGATATAAAAGTTTTTCGGTGACATCAAAATTGTTGTAATTCGTACTTTTCAGTATGATTGTTAAATAATTAATAAAAATAACATATATTTATTTGCGTAAAACATTATCCGTACACATTTCATTCATTCATTCATCAACAATGTTTCTAGTAATTCCGGAAATTTCCTTTGTCGTGAAGATCCAAACGACGTTCTTCGCATAGACGTAAGTTTAATCGTTGGCGTTTGTTTGGGTCGTTGATTAAATATCATATATATAAACGGATTCAATCCGCTTTGGACTAAGCATATCGTTTGTAAAACACCGTCAAGCCACGATGGAATACGAATGCGCCCATTCGAGTAAACTTCAATCAAAGTTATAACTATATACGGTGTCCAGCAGATAACGAATACGATAATTATAGTCATAGCTAACTTCACTGTTTTGATTTTTGCAGGCGATGTGGTAGACGAGGAGATATATGTGGTCGTTTGACCACGAGTCTGCTGCATCCAAACTTTAGTCGACGATCCGACAGTGTGAATTATTTTTATATAACATATTGTAATGCAAAAAGCAGGAATAATTAAAACATAGCTAGCAAATACTGTAAAGTACACTCGTCGTTGCCATTCAGCTGTGTAACCTGTACTGGCACATTGATATTTTGTTGGATTTTTCGTCATTGGACTTTGTTTAAAGATGAATAATTGTGGAATGGCCATAATTAATGAACTTAACCAACAAATTATGATGATGCGACGAACACGTCGAAGTGCTATGCACGAACGAAATGGACAGCAGATAGCTTCATATCTAAACATCGTTTCACAGGAGATTTTCTTCTTGAAAGAAAAAATTTATATTTCATGAACTATCGTCGTCAATGACATGTGTTTTCGACTTCGGAAAAGCATTGATTATCACAATATTCACTTCTATGTTTACCGAAAACGTTTTTTTCTTCTTCTCGCTTACCGATCATAAGTCATGGCGACATTGATAAATGTTGTGGATGCTAATGTTACAACTTGACTATACAATGTTAGTTTACATGCAAGATTGCCTAAAATCCATTCTTGATCAAATACTAATAGGAACAATTCTGACGTCATCGTACAGAAACATATTGCTAAATCGCCAAAAGCTAAATTAAGAATGAATAGATGCAATCTTGTCCGATGTCGCCGTCGACGACATAGTAGCTCAAATATGATATAACTATTTCCAATTAATGTTACGCATATGATTGCGGATAGAATAAATATTCGAATGATTTTATTTGTGGACCATTGACGATATGAGAAAACCGAATTCGATGATAAATCCATCATGATGAACTAAAAAGAAAGGATCAATTCAGCTTGTCATTCTTTCTAAAGCATTTCTATGTTCATTTACACTTCAAACCTATTGTCATCTATGATAACAATCCTCGTCGCAGCTGTAAACACGTATATGACAAGAAGAAAAAGAAGAAACGAAGTATTTATGAAAAAGAAACATCCCACTGTCAAATTCATCTTGATAATTAACATATATTTTCTCTCTTTCACTGCAAAGACTACTGTTCTTCTCAGCAACAGATGTGATAGAAAAATAGAGTTTTTTTTTTCAGAACGATACAAAAATGATTCATTATCGAAAAAGTTGCCTAGTTAATGGTTAGATATTGAGCGAAGAGGCGTTCTACGTTGACGTTTCATTTCCTAATTAATCGTTTCCTTTCGCATATTCTGAGCAACTAATAATGGAATAGAGAGCGAAAACAATGAAAGTTTTCAGGTAACATCATGCTTCAAACACACATTTTATTAATCAATTCCGTTGTGAAGCTTAAAATAAGTATCGATCGGGAAGTATTTAAAGTCATAGAATAGATTGACGTCTCGCGGTTGAAACAGTCTGCGAACATGGCCGAAGTTTCATGGTCTCAACAAAGAAAACTATCGATGTCATTGATAAAACACGGTATCGACTATAAGTCGATCATTCATTCTGACCAGAAGAAAAGTGTCAGTGGAAATTTTATCATGAAATATTTTCACGTTTTTTGCGTATGATATGGTATGCTTCGTTTTTGATTTTCTCTCTGCGTAGAAACATCATAGTTTAGTACATTTCTTCGTTTTATAAATGAAGAAATAAAAAGATACTTTTTTGTTCTGTGTAGAACGTGCGGGTCTCTGTAGACGTGACCTTCCGGTGAATGGGAAACAACCATTGCATATAATTGGTAGTCTATCTATCTTTTTGAGAAATTCGAAATGATTACATTTAATTTATACCGAAAAATCGATGTGTTTTTTGTAATCTTATAGAAGAATTTCAAGAATTGTTGCGATTATAGTGTGACAATTAAGAACAACTTATTGCAGACATGTTGCGTAGAAAGTTGCATGCAATCGAAAGCTTATTAATAATGTTTTTACATTGAATACAACTCGTGATATGAGTCATTGAGCACACATACTGATAAATAAATGATATAAAAACTGGTTGCATCTTCTTTTCCATGTTTAAATCTTAATGTGAAGATAAAGTGTCACTCGGTCTCAACACATGGGAAAGTTTATATATCATGGTTTGGATTGTCTTAGTTCAAGTACTTCTCACCGAATAGAATTCGCTCATTCTTAAAACTTCTCTTCTCCTGAACTTATCCTCATCAGTTCAGTAATGTCTCAACTAGCGACATCTAGCTGTGGAGAAGGATGGAAAAAAATGTTTGATTTGTCGGCAGCTCGGTGCAATCAATAATGGGACGTTACTTTTGCACTATTGACAAGTATGACTTAGCAAAATTTTGTACCGATGACAAATGTAAATGTCTCCTTTTCGTTCTTTTTGATTTAACAGGAAAACAAGAATCAATAACGCTTCATCATGCTTAATGGGCATTCACAAGATGGAGTTACCCAGTCAGACGACTTGGATCACATGTTTTCACTGAGTGACCTAAACGAATTCGACATGGGAAAATACGTTATGAAGATCTTACCTGGATCGGACCGTTTTTATCAATATAAAACCGATCGAGCCTCTCGAATGTTAAGTATTATGAATAGTCATCGACAAGAGGGACGATTTTGTGATGTAGTCCTATGTGTCAAAGGTGAACGTTATCCAGTGCACAAACTTGTTTTAGCATCTGCATCGGCATACTTTGCGTCATTATTTAGTCATCAAAATATGTCTCAAGCGAATGCTTTAGAAGAGGTGGATTTAACGAAAACGGTTCCTTGTCCGATAGCATTAAAGATCATATTAGACTTTATATATACATCAGAAGTACAACTTAATGATAAAATTGTAAGAATGGATGTTTTATTTTCTGATTGAAATAATTTATTGTACTGTTTCGAATAGGTTATGCCTGTTTTAACCATTTCAATTCCAATTTTACTTGATGATCTGATCGAACTATGCGTAGCTTATCTTCGCGATCAATTGCATCCATCGAATTGTATCGGATTATTTCTCTATGGTAAACAATACCAATGCGATTCGTTACGTCAAGCGGCTGAAGATTACATCCATAGTCACTTCGAAGAAGTCGTACGACATGAAGAATTTCTTTCTTTGAATATCCATGACTTGTGTTCAATATTCAAAAATGATAAAGTGAAAGTTCCTTGTGAATCAATTGTTTACACTGTAAATATCCATTTGTTTCCATCAGATTAAGTTTAGTTTGACTTTTCACAGGCTGCAATGCAATGGTATCGACACGATCCAGTCAACCGACGTGCACAATTGAAGCAAGTTTTTCCGTGCATTCGGTTTCAGCTTCTAGATCCATGCGTTATTCGTCGGTTGATGAGTTGCGATGATTTCGCACCGCCAGACATGCAAGGATGTCGAGATTATCTATCAAATATACATGAGAAATTAACATCACATCGCTATTGTCGTTTACCACCACATCGAGAACCGATCAAACCACTTGTTATTTGTAATATTTTCCAAGAAGTATCGATTCTAAATTGCTGTTTGTTTGTCTGTCTGTCTAGATTGTGGTGGAGGTTATTATAATAAATCAATCAATACGATGGAATGTTACTTCTTAGAAACTAAACAATGGAAACGATGCGCCGATATGCAAATGCCACGAAGTGGAGTGGGCGTTGTTTCTCTTTGTATGAGAGTATATGTCATCGGTGGACGACACAATACCAAGTAATCAAATGTGACTGTAGCTTTCGGCATGTATTTCTATTTGATTGTTTAGAAACGAAAACAAAGATTGTCAGGATGTGGAACGATATGATCCTTTTATGAACGAATGGTCTTCAATGGCGCCCATGCTTTATGCTCGAAATCGTCTTGGTGTTGGTGCAATCGATAAAAGTATATATGCTGTTGGTGGCTCCAGTGGACAGCACATACATCGTTCTGTCGAGCGTTTCACTGTTGGATCCGACAATGAAACATGGGTTGAAGTTGCTTCACTGAATGTCGGACGTATTGGTTTAGCTGTATGTACACTTAATCGACTTTTATATGCAATTGGCGGTTTCGATGGCCATCGACGTTTAGCAGATGTCGAATCTTACAACCCCGATGAGGACGTGTGGAAACGTGAACAACCACTTCTATGTGGTCGATCAGGTGCAGCTGCTGCCGCACTTGCGGAGTGTATATATGTTGTTGGAGGTTATGCATCTGATGTAGCAGATGGAACAATGCAGCTTGACGCTGTCGAGAGATACGATACCGTCACTCAGCAATGGTCATATGTTCGACCGTTGAATTGTCGTCGGTCGGCACTTAGCTGTGTCATGTTAAACAAACGTCTTTTCGCTCTAGGCGGATATGACGGTAAAAATTTCTCTTCGGTTGTGGAAGTTTACGATCCTGAAAAAGACGAATGGACTTTTGGAACGCCATTAACGCGTGAACGAAGTGGCCATGGTAGTGCACTTACAGTCGAACCAACATTAAATAATGATGAATAATATTTCAGCGAACAAAAGCGTAGTTCATATTTTTTTATTACAGTTTGTAAATGAATAAAAAAGACGAACAAACGTATCGAATTTCTAGTTGACATATATCAATGAGCTAATCATGTATTTCATTATGTTAAACGATGATTCATGACGTTTCTTGTAACCATGTAATCTAAGTTATATGATCGACTGACTCGAATGTCGTCAACATGCAATCGTGTAATTATCACTTTTTGATTCATTTCAATTCTTCATTTTGCTGTTCTATAGCACCGGTCCGTTTGCCACGTTCAGATTCGTTCTCAGCAACTACACATTCGGATGAAGTTGCTTCACACGTATTCAAATCTGATACTTTTCTACGTGTGGCAATGACTCTTCTGCCCATCACTGCTGCCATTGTCTATCAAATGGACGCCCTATGGCAATTGCAAGTACGAAATTTGTACGCCGGTTTAGCGAGTACAATCTTTCATATCTTCTATTTTCTTCAATTCTACATTCATCTTGAATGTCACTCGAAAACAGTCACTCACATGTATACTTACATCTATCATCTGATAATCTGGCTGTTTAAAGTAACACTTTTTATCATATATTGCTCATCTATATTTTCCTTTAGACTGGAGGTAATGTTATCTATTTTATTTACCATCATCGTGAACAGAATACTTTTTATCAATGTGTATTTGCTTTTCGAGCATTACAGGATACTTTATTCATATCGTCTATATGTATTTATAAAATTCGTTCGTACGAACCAATGATTTGTGTTCAACATAAAGCTTTATTCAGCGTAATATCTCGTCTCGAGGTTATTCTAGCAATTCTTGTTCCGATATTTGCACAAGAAGATCTTGTCAAGAGAACCGTGGCAAATATTAGTTTATTCATTCTATACGATTTCTTTTCGGTTTATTATCATTTATTTACACTTCGTTTAAAATGGGCACTCTGGCTATTTGTCGTCTTTATTACGATCAGTGTGGTGAACGAATGGCTATATTTTGTTAATCATCAATGGCGCATTTGTGATCAAATTAGTATGGGATTAGAATTTCTTGCTGAATGTTCCTGTTGTCTAGTTATCGTCTGGCAATTTAAGTCAAAACTGAATCCAACGACAACAGAAGCGTAACAATAAATATATTGTCGGATGCTCGGGCTGATTTTATTAATTTCTTTCAATAATTCGATGACATTCTAGAATTAGTTGCTCACACAAAATGTCAATTGATTGTCGGGAGTTTTCGTATAGTTTCGACATCCACCCTCATGCAATGCAGGTGCCATCAAAAACGGTCCTGGTTTATTACATTGATGTAAACCAAAACCATAATTTGCAACTTTCTCGGACGTTAAGATACAACAGACGCTAGAAATTCTTCTCTTATAGCTGAGACCAATAAACAATTCGGCGACACGTGATAGAAGTGTTTCTGAGCCAAGACTATAACCATGGTTACATGTACCATTGGTACCATCCAAATAATGACAACGATTTTCATAGAAAAGCTCATTCGATGAACATTGATTGACACTTGTAGGCACTGATGTAGTGGTGGTTGTGGTTGTTGTTGATAAAGTCGTGTTTGTATTTATATCACTGAATAATAAAATCATTCACAGAGATAGATTCTCTTGTTCTCAAAATAATACTTACACACATAAGTTATTCATCACAAAAACAGATGCTTCTTTACTCTCAGTTCGATATGCATAAAGTGTAATTGCATTTATATTGAACCAATTTAGTTCAACTTTAGTAGAAGCAAATCTTCCTATTTTAAACGACGCTTCTTTGTAATAAGCAGAATCACGTTGTGAAACCATTGATAACGTGACATCATCATCCCATACAGTCGCGACAGTGAATGATTCGATATTAAATAAGTTTGATGAAGCCGATCGAATAGTCATTGAACTGCCATTCATATTAGATAGTGCCCATGTGTTCGAGGTACCATTGAAAATGGACGTAGTATGAGCAGAATGTAAACTGTTTGGTGTGGTGACTGTGAAAGCATTCATCCAATTCAATCCGTAGTACCCATCGGGAACTTGACTATAGCTAGATCTATTTTCAAATGTAAGCAAATTTGAATTCATACAAACTAAACATAAGGAAAGGACTGCATATATTTGTGTGGGTTAACATAAAACTTACTTGGTTGTGGAACTGTCGTCGTCATCATCGCTGTTGTTGTTGTTGTAGTCGTAGTGGTTGAAATGATAGTCGCTGTATTGTTTACTATCGATGATAATAAGGTATATAAATAATGAATTATTAAAGTATTCGTCGGAGTTATATGAGCGAAGATGTTTTTCTTTTGAAAAATTAATTTCAAATATCCGAATTCGCTTACTTGTTAATGATGGACAGATACGTTGATCAATCATAGAGACTGGATAGCAAAGCGGGAGACTTTGACAACGTGGATGTTGGACACAAACAGTATCAGGTTGATGGCATGCATTATCGAGAGAACTGCATGCTGTTAGTTGCGCGCAGTTCGTCCAGAGAAATCCGCAAATGCCTGTATCAATAACATTTACCATATGAAAACAGCCACAGGCACTGTTTGCAGAACATCGACCGTATTGAGCAACATCTTGACATATTTGTGAATTGACTTGAACTGTGAACAGATAAATACCTGTAGAGAATGGAGCGAAAGTGTAATAAATATACAACCTGTGTAACTAAAATAGAAATTGAATGACGATGAATTTAGAACTAGTTATTAGAATCTACCTGAGAAGGAGGAGAATAAAGTAGGCAGCGATATTTCGAAGCATGTTTAGGTTTCAACTGTAATGGCAATTATAAAAGTATGATTGCTTATATGACCCAGATAGATTGAATTTGAAACTAGATCTTTCTCGAAGGCAAAAATTGGCGATGTCATACTATGTTAAATGGAAATTTGATATTCATCTTATTGTTTTCAAAAATATCCTTACATTCGTATGTTGAAAACTAATCTGGGTAAAATCAGAAGAGATCGATTGCTTGTTGTTTTGATTAGAGAAACGAAGTTCATTGTCATTGTAAATTTCAACTTTTCCGATATTGATGATGTAAACACATAAATGAGAGATTTTGTATGGAAAACGTGAATTTGCGACACCTGCCGGATTTGACAAGCAAAGAATAGTAATGATAACCAATGCAATTCGGATCGAGAGAAAGAAAAAATCAGATCAGTTATAATTCAAATCTTTATTTGAAAATGTCGCGTCTTTGTCTTTTAAATCACGACAAACAAATCGACATAAACATTGATGAGAATATCAGTCTTACCGACGTATTCATCGCCGCAACGTATCGCCAATTGGTATTGGCCACAAAATGTTTCATAACTATCTACGATCTTTCATCAGTTCTTCACGGCGAGCAACTAACTACTTCTTACGAAAAAATCAACATTCCGAGCCCTATTCTTGCACTAACCTCGACAATCGATCGAATTATTTATGTTTACCGTTCTGTAGATAATTCTAATGAATTGAAAATCTGTTCTATACATTCACAGTTTCAAGAGCAATCTCTCACAATCGGATCTTTCGATTCAAACGATAACATCCATCTATGTTCACTGGATGACGGAACAATCTATCTCGCTTACGATTCCAAGATCGTTTCGCTATCAACAAATGATCAATGGCTATTTGACTCAAAAATCGTTAAACTATGCAGTGGAAAAGAGCATGCATTGATTTTGTTGTCCGATGGGCGAGTATTTAGTTGGGGCAACGGTCTTCATGGCGCACTTGGCCATGGCGATCTAGAACCATGTTCTCAGCCAGCACACATCGAAGCACTATCTGATCATACTGTCACTGACATAGCTGCGGGTGGATGGCATTCATTAGGTAGATTTGTGTGAAATTCGATGACAAAAATCAGTTTTGACTCTTTATCTAGCTCTCTGTTCAGATGGATCAGTTATGTCGTGGGGTTGGAACAACGATGGCGCACTTGGTTTGCAATCCGTAGATGATGGTGATACAGCGGGGGTTTTTTGTGATCCAGTTCTAGTAACATGTATACCATTGGATGTAGACTGTGCGAAAATATCGGCCGGTGCAAGGCATAGCGCATTTCTAGGATCGAATAATCATCTATGGTTGTATGGTTCGAATAAACATGGTCAACTAGGAGATAAATCGTTAACTTTAGTTGAAAAGAATACTTCTATCCATTGCTTATCTTGGTTTACCTTTTTGATTTTTTCATAAGATCTCTTTCTAGATGGATGATGATCTTCGACCCGCACAAATTCGTCCTTTAGCTGGAACAACACGTCATCGTTTATGTGCCGGTCAAGTTTGTGTTAGTGTGGCTTCTTGTGTAAAAGAAATTATCGAAAATAGCTTGGATGCACATAGTACACGTTTACAATTGACATTCATTGCACATGGAGCAGATCTAATTGAATTAGTTGACAATGGTGATGGCATACCGGAGCATGATTTTGATAAATTGGGTGAATAATGAAAGCGAAAGAAAGAATTATTTGAAGATAGAAATGGTTTTTGATTGTTAGGACTTCGGTATCATACATCGAAACTAAGCCAATTTGAAGATTTAGAACATGTGAATACATATGGATTTCGCGGTGAAGCGCTATCATCTATTTGTATCTACGCGTAGGTAGTGTTTTGTAGAAGTTTACAAATATCATCATTGAACAATTTAGAGATGTTACCATTGTTACGCGTCATACATCTGCGTCGATTGGAACAAAATTAACTTTCGATAGTGAAGGACAAGTAGTTTCTCGTGTACCATGTCCTCGAGAGGTGAAACTTTCTATCATTAATCCGTCCGTAGCTTGTTGACTTTTCTACATCATAGACCGGTACAACCATATCGATTCGATCATTATTCGGACGTTTTCCTGTTCGACGCACTGAGCTACAAGCACATTCCAAACGAGAATTTTCTCAAGCATTAAACACTATTCAATCATTTGCGATTATCTCTCGACAAATACAATTCTTTCAAATATCTTCGTCAGCCGATAACCATCCACCTTCACATCCATTGCTAACGTTAACTCCCTCAACTTCATTGAAAGACACATTAGCACAGATTTTCGGATCTAAAATACTTGAAAGTATTATTCGCGTTGATGATGATGATGATGATACTAATCAAGACTTCAAGGTCAATACTACAATTTTCATTTCAGTCAAATATTTCGTTTTCCTTCTAGTTCGATGGTTACATCTCTCGACCTCAACACGGTTCTGGTCGTTCGTCAGCTGATCGACAATACCTCTACGTGAACAATCGTCCCATCGATTGTGCACCTTTATTACGAGCAGTCAACGACATTTACCGACATTTCAATCCCAATCAATATCCTCTTGTTGTATTAAGTATTGAAGTACTCAATCGAAGTACCCTTGACATCAATTGTACACCAGACAAACGAACAGTTTTCGTTGAACATTTATCCGATATGTGTGATCGAATACGAGCGATTTTTACAAAATTATTCGAAACTAGTAGTAATGTCTATATTGGCTCAACTAAACGAACACAAGATACATCAGAAAGTAGTGATTTACCGACGCCACCAGCAAAACAAATGAAAATCGAACGTTTCACGAAAAAACCTGTAAGTGAACACAGATTATCGCTCTATGTTCAAACAAATCGTTTTCATTTCAGTCACAATCGTCCGATATTCCAATTCTGACAACAAAGAACCCACTATCGAAATTTTCTGCTCCTTTCAATACGGTATTGAATTCAACAAACAAATCTCACTTTCTTGATCTTCTTTCTCGTTTGTTAGATTCGTTCGACTGAAACATCGAGTCCGACTGCGTCAAAATTATCAACACAAGAACGTGCTCTCTTCACTTTTGAGTCACATAGTATCGCAAAAAGTACAACTGAGCTGTCACTTTCCGAGAACGAAGACGAAGATCCCCATGAGACAACGCTTCTCCATGGAAGTCCATCGAAAAAAGATTTTCTCGATAAAATCAAACAACTCCGACAAAAAGACGAAGAGACTGAAGTATCTACGTCGCTCGATCACGATCTGCTAATGTACACGTCAACACCGGCAGTAAAAGAGAAGGCCAAACCAGCAGAAGTACCCAAAAGTATAGTAAGTTAAAATTTCGTAATGAGGCATTCGAGAACGACATTCTTTTCTAGCAAGTGACATCATACAATTCATGCGAGATCAAAGTCAAATTCGATATGGCGAAATTGAAAAAAAAGTATGAAGTTATGTCGCAAAACGAAGATGTTTCATCGGTGATTTCGGATCATCGTTTCAATATACACCTCGAAGAAGATCAGAACGAAGAGGCTGAAGATGAACTTCGTCGACAAATTGATAAAACCGATTTTGAAAGGTAAAACCGCGTATTCTCTGTAGTAGAGAAAAAGCTCGTTTGAAAATCTAGAATGTCCATTATCGGTCAATTCAATCGTGGGTTTATCTTAGTCACACTTGTTGACAATTCATCTCAATTATTCATCGTTGATCAGCACGCTGCAGATGAAATCTACAATTTTCATCGTCTCTACGAACAAACAACTGTTAGTCGACAACCACTTCTTCTTCCAAAACCAATACCACTCGATCCATCTCGACAAGTTCTTCTACAGCAACACTTAGATCTCTTCAACCGTCTCGGGTACGTGCGCAGAGAAGTTTTCTTGAAAAGGAACATCACGAAGTGTTTGTTCCAGATTTGAAATTGAAATTGATGAAAACGAACCTCGTATCGACCGTCGTTGTCGTGTACTTTCCTATCCAACTGTATCCGGTGCTCATTCATGTGTATTCGGTGTTGATGAAATCGATGAGATTCTTTCGCATTTATCTGACACAAGTCAACAAGCTCGACAAGAAGAACATTACGAATCATCTCGTCTACGCAAAGTCTTTGCATCCAAAGCATGTCGAATGTCAATTATGATCGGAACAGATTTGACGCAAAAACAAATGATATCAGTCGTTCGACATCTCGCACAATTAGCGAAACCATGGGTAAAGATTCTCTTCAATGCCAATTCTTTCAAGAACTGATTTATTCTTTAGAACTGTCCTCATGGAAGACCAACCATTCGGCACGTGTCTAATCTTAGCGAAGCGACAAAAGGCTTTCTTACTGATGACTATCATTCAATATAATCCAGAGTTTTATAGTTTTAATTCATGAATGAACTTATTTTTTGACAAAACCAAAAATTGAATAAATATCTTTGACATAGAGAACACTTGTTAAGATATAGTGCCATTCAGCGCCCTCTACACGATTCCTGTGATACGAGCAGAGAAGTACCAATACCATAAGAATGGGGATAAGTACCGTATGTCCGTCTTGATCCTGAATCACCATCATTACCGACACGTCTACTTGCCAGAAGTACAGTTCTCATCTGCAAATCCCATCAGTCTTAATTTCATTTCTAAAATGATGTCTTCATCAGCTGGCCCATTATCCTTACGAGATCGTCATATCGGTTAGTACTCCGAAAAAAATAACGACAAACAAATAAATAAAAACATGACTATGATTTAGCTACGTTAAAGCAAATGCTCAACTTGAATGCTTCTTCATTGAGTGCATTGAAAACAACTGGAGAAGACTTAGCTTGGAAAGTGGTGATATACGATGAACTCGGTCAAGATATCATTGCACCGTTACTAACGGTTAAAGAATTACGTGATCTAGGTGTAACACTACACGTGTATGTATTCTTTGAAAAGTCGAAACGATGAAAATCTGAGTGGAATTATTTCCTTTCAGGTCATTAAAATCAGAACGCGATCCGGTTGATGAAATTGCTGCTGTATATTTTATAATGCCAACAAAAGATAATATCAATCGTATAGCCAAAGTAAAACAGAGTGAAATTAGTTTTGTCTTCTTTTCAATGGGAATATTTAGGACTTAGCTGATGGTTTGTATGAATCATACTACTTGAATTTTATTGCACCGATCCCGCGTGATCTTCTGGAGGAATTAGCTACGGCTGCATTAGAAACAAATTCGCAACAGAGCATAACAAAAGTAAACATCATCTATTTCGATGAATGTCACCTTTTGCTTTCGGTTTCCGATAGATTTACGATCAATATCTGGATTTTATCACACTAGAAGATGATTTGTTCTGTTTAAGACAAACAGGACGAAATAGTATTTCTTATTATGGTAAATAGAATTGTTCCATTTAAATGGAAATCACAATTATCTTCTAGCATTGAATCGTCCACAAATGCGCGATGATGAAATGGATGCAATTATCACAACGATTGTCGATAGTCTATTTTCCGTGTGTGTAACCTTAGGTAGGCGAAACAGGGTTTGATGGGAAATAAACTTTCATTGGAATTGTATTTAGGTTCAGTACCAATTATTCGCTGTCCGAAAGGTGAAGCAGCTGAAATTATAGGCGACGTAAGTCTTCGCCGATTTTCTTTAACATTTCTCTTCATTCTTCCTTGGAAATATTTAGAAACTGGATAAAAAACTGAGAGACAACTTACGTGATCCTCGAAATAGTTTGTTCTCTTCGGATTCCATGGCAACGGGAGCTTTAAGGTTAGTAGTATAACCCTTCTGACTAATAATAATGTTTCATTCGATTGTTCTTGCTGTAGCTTCCAACGTCCACTTCTTGTGATATTGGATCGAAGCACAGATTTAGCTTCTCTTCTTCATCATACCTGGACGTATCAAGCCCTTGCTCATGATATTTTCGTAAGTTTTCGTTTCCATACGGTTTGATTTGGCAATGATTAATACGTCTAGGATTTTAAATTGAACCGAGTGGAATTCGAAGAAGTTGATGAATCGGTTGTGTTAAATGATGGACAGCATCCAAAGAAAAAACGTTCGTATGATTTAATACCAACAGATCTATTTTGGAAACAACAAAAGGGAAAGTAAAAGGAATTGAATTGTGAATGATTAGAATAATTCACGTCCATGTTTTTAGTCCTTTTCCAAAAGTTGCGGAAGCTATACAGGAAGATATCGAACGATATCGTCAATCGGAAGACGAAATTAAACGACTTAAATCCCAATTAGTGTGTTTTCTAACTTCGATATGTTTTTTTCATCAAAATTCGATTTCGGTTTTCATAGGGTATTCAAGGCGATGCTCAAGATCTAGCAATTAGTTTACTGAATGATACTACAAATCGATTAACAAGTGCAGTGAGTTCGTTGCCAGAACTATTGGAAAAAAAACGTTTGCTCGATGCGCATACAAACATTGCGACTGCTGTTCTGGATGAAATTAAAGTAATCCATCACATGGTTCGCTGTTATTGACATCTCTTTCTTTCGATAAATACTTTTAGCGACGAAAGTTGGACGTTTTCTATGAAACTGAAGAAAAACTAATGAGTAAACAAGTACAAGTAAGTATTCATTAGAAAAAAAATGAATCGATTCATATTTTAAAACTTCAATAGGAAAAATCGCTTATGGAAGTTCTTTCGGATCCTGCTGGTAAATGACATGAATTTCGTTCCGTCTCGATGTCAATCATCTCTTTCTTTTTAGCTGGGACACCGGAAGATAAGCTTCGTCTATTTCTAATTCACTACATTTGCACACCAACAATGACACAAGTATGAGAGACTTACTGTCCTTCATTCTCTAAGAATCTCATTCTTGCATTTCTAGACTGAACTTGATCAATATACAGCAGTATTGCGAGGATCAAACTGTACCTGTTTAGATGCAATTTCATACATCAAACGTTGGAAAAGCATTAGTAAAATAAGTATTGTTTCACAAGCACGAGAAGCTGGAACGACGACAACTATGGGGTAAGAAATTGAATTTGTATATTGTACTTGACAGATGTTAGATTCACGGTCCTGAGAGAAGTACGATGCAATAAGGTCTGAATTCTAGACATTATAGATTCTTTTTTTGTTTAAATAATACTTCTCAGACTCATAGAATGTTTACATTAAGGTTATATTTTATTTAGAATGTTTTCAAATTTGGTCAATAAGGCATCGAAATTTGCAATGGAAGGTGTAAAGAATCTTGTTATTAAGCAATACGTAAATCGACATTTCTCTTTAATTATAAATCGATCGAAGCGACTGTACTGTCTTTCAGAAACTTCCCGTAACGAAGATCGTTGACAATCTTATGGAATGTCGTTCATCGCCTGAAACTGACGACTACCGTTATTTCGATCCTAAATTACTCCGATCAACTGACGCGTAAGTGGAAACAATCTCTTTGATTTTCATCTTAGAGTCATACCGATCAAAATTGGATCTATTCTTATCTTTTTCTTTCAATAGCTATTCTTTGCATGAGGAACAGTAAGCTATACAATCCGAGCTAGTTAATAGACTAATATTGACAAAATCAAATCAATTTTTCAACAAATATACTCGCCTTTTTTTCTCGACTGTTTCAGTGCAAATATCGCTCGTAATCGTCAAAGTTTCAATGATGCCATTGTCTTCATGGTTGGTGGTGGTAACTATATTGAATATCAAAATTTACAAGATTATGTTAAACCACGTCCACCCGCACCACCCAGGCGCATTGTCTACGGCTGCACAGAACTGGTCAATGCATCGCAATTTCTTGAACAAGTAAAGATGTTGCTGTTTTAAATGAGAAATCTAACGATTGTTTTGTTTTCTTGAATGTTTCAGCTAGCCAAACTGGGTGAATCATAATCGTTATATTTATTCTTATTCTTAGGAGTCTCTTACACTTTTCCTTTTCCTTTGGGTTGTTGTTGTGAATAAATTATTATGATTCTTGTTTTAAATGCTATTTTTCTCTCTCTTCATTTTATCCATTTTTAGATCATTCACCCTCGTTTTCTGTCATCTGTTTGGAATCAAAATGGTACGTAAATGAAAGCACGGCAATACATACTCATTTCGTCTTTGTTTTTTCTAGTCAAAAAATTTCAAAGAAGAAGAAATCGATAGTAGGTCATCTGTTATGATCGTTGACAATCAATTATTCTCGAATGTATATAGATTTTCGTCAATGTTTTCAATTATTTGCTCCTCAGGGTCATGTTGACACACCGGATAAATTATGTTTTATAATGCGATCGTTGAGCATGGCACCAACGATTGTCGAACTGAAACGTTATTTTGCGAAATATCGAAAAGGTACTGAGAAAAAAAAGTGAAAAAAGAAGAATCTGAGGTGATTGGTTCTTGTAGATAGTGGTGTTGTCGAATTCGACGATTTCCTGAAAATCGTTTTGGAGCATCGTTCAACTGAAAATACCGCGAACGAAATCTTAGCTGCATTTCAACAATATGATACACAACGACTTGGTTACATCGATTCTAAACAATTGAAATACATATTAACACATACAGGCGAGAAATTAACTGATCGAGATGGTAAATTACACAATACAGTTGAATGCTTGAATGTTTTTTTCTTCTTCTTGTCTTAATAGTTGAACTCATGCTTCGTGAATTAAATGTTGGTTCGGACGGTCGTGTTTTCTATGACACTCTTGTTCATATGATGACACAACCATTAGCTGCACGTCGTTAGCCGAATGGTATCTCTTCATAGCAAAATTTAAGTATTGACAGAAAGCATTCCATTTGAATCTAATATAAACAGCTTACTAATACTCATTGCAATCTACTCGGGATTTTAGTGACAAAAGAAAATAAATTGTTCCAATTTTTTTGCCTCTTTTTTTTCGGTTGTACTTTTTATCTTAATTTCTTTTTAATAAATCGACTTTTTATTACGAATATTCGTAGAGAAAAAGATTTGTTCGTTATTATCCAAAGATTAACGTGTCAACGGAAGATTTTCGCCATTAGACAGGAGGAATCTTTCATTGATCACTTCTGACGATCCATTTCACTTTATATAAATCAAAACTTTTCTTTAAATTGGTTTCCGTAGTTATTTTGATGAATCGTGTGTTGAGTAGACGAGTTTTTTCCCAAAGAAAAATGTCGTGTCAATAGAAACAGGAAAAATATTGTATGTGCCTACAAGTGTCGCGGTGAATACTATTTCTTGAATCGTCTGACAGTTTTTCTCCACAATTACTAATAGGAACTCCTTCCTTTTCTTTATCAATTGAAGAAAATGAAACATTCGTTTAGCTAAAATGGCAGACAACGCAGAACTCAACACTGGTCTTGCATATGCTCGAGATAAACAATATGAGAATGCTGCAAAAAAGTTCACTTCGATAATTGATGAAGATTCAACGTATGCGGATGCTTTCTTCTATCGTGGATGTGTATATATTCATCTTGGTGAATACGAAAAAGCCGTAAAGGACTTCAATGAAGCTCTTTCTTCAATCAAACTCTCACAGACACACGAACTACCGGCATTGTATAAACGTGGTTATGCAAATCTTAAACTAAACCAATTGGATTTCGCTTTAGACGATTATCGGCAGTACATAAATCAATGTCAAAGTCGCACGGAAACAAAGAATTTTGTTCACAAAGGACTTTTTCAGATGGGAATTATCTATGAAGCATTGAATGAACATAGTTTAGCTGTAGTTCATTTCACTGAAGCTATTGCAGCCAGTAAAGATACTGAAGAAGATAAGCAAAGATTATATTATTTATACCGTGGACGTGCGTATGCATGCTGTGCAAAATATAATGAAGCACAAAAAGATCTTGGTTTGGTTATTGAAGAGAGTAAAGATTCGTTTATTAGAGGTTGTGCATACAATGAATTAGGTAGACATGTCAATGCACGCGACGAATATGATAAATTATTACGACCAAACAAGAATGAATCGAAATTATTTCAAACATCTCATGATCAAATTCTATTCCGACGTGGTCTCACCAACGATCGTCTTAAATTACATGAACAGGCATTATCTGATTTTCAATCTGCGTTAAATTACTCATCACAAGAACCAAATTCATCGAAGATTACTGATCGAATATTTTTTCGGCAAGGTATGTCTAGTATGGCATTAAACAATCCGCACGAAGCATTAATTCATTTCAATAAATCAATTGAACTTAATAAAAGTCAATCCGACGTGTTTTATGCACGTAGTATGCTTCTTTATACACTTGGTCGATATGATGCAGCAATTTATGATCAACACCAAGCAATGGAACTTCATAGAAAATCTTCACCATTGGCACCGACATATAAAACAGTATTCTATACGAGTAGATATGGTGTTAGTCCTACGAACTATGCTTATTATAATAGTCGAATACACGAAACTGAAAATCTGCTGAAGCGCGATCAAGATATTGGAAGGAAAGCGATGTTTCATCGAATAATTGCTGAGTATTTACAGAAGCAAGCGTCATACACAAATGATTCATTATCGTTATGTAAATCAGCACGTGGGCATATCAAAAATGCATGTAAACTATTACATGATTTGCAAATCGAAGATTCTATTGCTCTTTCTGTTAACAATTTATGCCAAGCTCAATATCTTACTGAGAAATATCGCAATCAAAAGGTTCCCGTGTCCATTATGGAAGATTATATTAAATATCAAATCGAAATTGTTAAAGGAATGAGCAATTTGTTTGATGAACGTATTGTTAAAAAAGATTGGAGCAATTTGATTAAAGCATTAAACGATGAACGTGATAAATCAAATATGCAACAAATATGTCATTTGGATCAAATTCGATATGTATTTATTCAAGAGCAATTAGACAAGGTTGATATAATACAGGAAACAATGAAGAAATTTGCTGAGTCACCTGCGCAACAAGAATTCTATACATTTTTAGTTATTCGTTTAGTAAATCTATTCGATGCTGTTCGTGTAGCTAGTACAAGTATTTTTTCACATTCATTACAGGGCAAGTTCACTCAAGTGTCGTGGATATTCAAGCTTTTCAAGGAAATAGTTGAATTTGCACCGATCGGATCAGGAAGTGTCTCAAAGATATTTGGCAAAAGTGAAAGTGGTTTTAAAAAATTAGATGAAAAACGAATTACACATACACTGGAGCGTATGGGAAGCTTAGGTATTCAAAAACAATTCAATGAAACGGCTAATGCGATTGCTGTAGAATTAACTATTATGTACGAAGATCAAATTAAAAGATTTCCGACAAAAGCAGACGAGAATACCCCTCCTGTCGGTGCTACTAACGACGATCAACAACAACAAAGCAAGTGTTGTTTTAAATGTGAAAATTGTTTTAAGAGACAATATCATTGTTTATGTCGACAAAAAGAAAGTCTGTTTAACGAAGCTAAACAAACAATGATACAAACGATTGTTGAATATGGAGTTAGATCAACTTTAAATTGTCTTGTAGATCTTTCAGTGACAAGCATTAAAGATCTCAAAGATGTACAAAATGTGTTCGTTAGTGGGGTATGTCGACCACCGGAACTGAATCTCGTTGATTCATTTATGCTTAAGAATGTATTAAAGCCTAAAGACGCTGTGGACGTTAATGAATGTTGGAATGTATATGAGTTCTTTCGACGACCAGCAATTCGTTTTAAAAATGGGACAGTGAAAGCCCTAAGAGAGACAGATCCAGCAAAATATGGCTGCCGAAAACCAACATCCGAAGAGGAAGAATTACTACGAACTGAACCTAAGGAACTAGATAAATATGGTTTTAAAATAATTATTAAACCTGAATCATCATAAATTTATTTTTCTAAGTAGACTTTAGTTCCATTCATTTTCATCACAAATATAGAACATTGGCAAAGCTTCGATAAATGGCATAATTACTTGGAGTTCTTTTGTATTCAGATCATCACAAAGTAGATCTTTTTTAGAATAGAAATTTTCTTCTGATGACAGGAGTGATGTTGTTGTTGGTTGCTGATTTGACTTGCGATTAAAATTATTTAAGGGATTTTCCTTGACAGATTGTTGTAACTCAAGAATCTTTTGATCTTTGTATGTTTCACTTTCCTGAATGGGTCGACCGACTAGTTGATGGTCTGATTTGTTTTCCAGCAAACTCTTAATTTGATCAGAAAAGGTTTGGTATTGCTGTTGCAATCGTTCTTCGATATCAGCAAATATTTGCGAAATTCTCTGCTCGCTTAGGTTTCGTTCGTTTAGTTCAAGCATTGGCTCTAACTTTTCCGTGGCTTGACTCTGTTGTGGTGCCGTTTGATGATGATTAATATGACGAGGGCGATTTTCAAGTCGTGCAAGACGTTCTTCAATTAGAACGAGATTAGATGGCGAAGGGAAAATTTTTAGTTGATGTTCAAGATCGTTGAGACGTTGTTCAAAATGGTTGTTCATTTGTGATACCGATCCTTGGCTAGATTTTGCAGGGCGAATGAGTTCTTTTCCCGTTGATTGGGTTAGTACGCTCAATTGATCGTGGAATGAATTATTCGTATTGATTGTTTCATTAGCTGATTGATGATCATCAGTATGAACAAGAGAATTCGGAAGCTTTTCTAATCTTGTTAATGAATGATTCGATTGTATTTTTACTTTCTCATTAGTATCACGAATCGGTTCTCGGGCAATATCCTTATCAACTGCACCTTGAAATAATCCACCTGGTAAGCTACGTAAAGACATTTCAAGGTTTAAAACGCGATCATGTAATTCTTTGACATTGATCGATTTCTGGTTCGAGTGTTGTACTTGTTGATTATGTTTTTCAGAAGATTTTCTTTGATCATGAAATTTTTCAAATTGACGATGAAGTTTGTCGACACGTTGTCTTTCTTCTTCATATTTTCTGTTTAATATTGTTTGTTGTTCTTCTAAATGAGCCATTCTTTCAAGATCGCCATCGGTTTCCTCTATATTGAATTTTCGTTTCAAACTGATCAGTTCGTTTATCAGTCCATCGAGTTGTTGTCGCATGTCATTGACTTCAGTTGATGATCGAACATTAGATTCATCAGAACTTTGCTGTTGATGGGAATCACGATCAGCGTTAATTCGAGGCAATGACGCTCTAGAAATCAAAAGGAATTTTCCTTCATTGAATGTAATGCACATACGACTTCGATGGTCTAGTCGAACTTTTTGTCGCACTGAAATGATTGACAGAAACTGGTTTAGTTGGATCCTACAACAAAAAGAAATCAATGTAATGATTGAAACTTGCGGTATTCGTAGTGACACTGACTATTTGAGTTCGACCGTCATGCAGGTATCCGTCAAGAATGTCCTTTAGAAAATGTCCTTTAGAAAACGTCCTCAAGTTTTGGTCCTTTTAGGAAATGTCTTGTGTTGTAAATGGCCTTTTAAAAAATGTCCTTTAGAAATAGGCCTTTGTCATTTGGTCCTATGAAAAAATGTCCTCCATTATTGGAATGTCCTTTCGGTATAAAACAAAGAAACAGTCGATGNCGAATATGGGAAGCTTTTACTCGAATATGGTGCCAGCATTTTATTAAAAAAATGAAGTATTTTGTAATTTTTTTAACTATCGTTTCAACTACGGAAAATATAAACACACCATTAGATAGAGCTCGCCGAGTTCTACTTGGAACGCTGATTGGAACGGTTGGAACGCATTCCTAAACGAATATGGAAAGCTTTTACTCGAATATGGTGCTAACTTCACCGACGTCATAGATAAAGTGACTAAATCATCTCGAGACGAATGAAGGCAAGAAGTATACAACTCTCCTTCGATCTCTTTATATTTTTTAATTAACCCATCGCTATACCCATTCGAAAAAGTACATCGTCATCCATGTCATAAAGAAATATAGTCACGTGAACCTATTGTGAAATACATCCTAATTATCGAAAATAAATAAGACGAATGATCATTTAAAACAAATGAGAATTAGTTGTCTTCAACCATCGATATATGTATGGTCTCTTATGATTTTATTGTAAAAATATTCAACAACGAGAAAATAATTAAATAGCATCACAGGAAAGAGCAAGGCAAAGTAAATAAGCTAGAAAATAACAAAAAACTTCATATTTTTTCGTTTAAGACTCGAGAATCAATTCTTATGGGCTCCATGCGAATCAAAATGAGCTAAGATGTGTCTACTAGGTAGACAAGCGACACCCGGATCGGCTCGAGGCATCTTTTTATGTTCTGCAATTTCCTTCCAAGGTGTCTGACGGACAAAACGAATTAATTTACAAATCTTATTTTCACTTCTTTCTTTTCCAGCAATTCCTTCTGTCATCATCGTTATATTTGCACCCACCACATCAGCAAATTGCTTTAATTTGTCGTCCAATGACATTTTCTTCAATTCAGCAATGTTCTTATTGTGTTTTTTATACCATAAATAAGATTCATACAATTTCTTATCGTTTCCAATACGTTTGATTTCCTCCGCAAGCTCTTTAATTGACGAATAATTAAAAATATTTATGTACGAATGATCAGGCATGTATCGGTGATAATCTGGTCGACCGTTATAACCAGCAACAATCGGTATCGAGCCAGATTCGACTGCTTTAACTAGTTTCTCTGTGACGTAATCAGCACAATTCGAATTTTCAATTGCAATAACAAACTTATATTTCTTATAAGCATTTGCATTATCAACCATTCGAGCACCATAACCTTGTCGGTTATTTAAACATCCACCATATGAATGAATTTTGATTTCTTTCATTAATGCTTGAACAAAATCTTGTCGACCATTATGAGCCTAAATGAAAACGTGAATTCTATCTCAATAGACTCTTTTATCTGTGCAATATCAACTTACATTACAATTTGAAATAATCCAAACAGCGTACGCGTCTTTATCTTTATCTTCGAAAGGCACACTTACTGGCGACAAGAGATCGACTAGATGTATATTCATATCAAAATAAGTTGCAGGTTCAGGATAACTATCATTTAGATTATAAGTCATGATAAAGTTGTATTTAGCCCAAGCAGAACCTGTGGAAGAATGTACTTCACTCTCCATAACGTACGCCATGGTGTATTGTTGCCGTTCGTTATTTATTTGTAAACGATCAAATGGTATACCCATGCCGGCTTGACCATCATGAGAGATAATGAAATCAATATCGTCAACACGATTTTGTTGCCGAGTCCAAGTGAATGTTGTGCCTGATGATGGACATTCGACTTTTTCACCTTCGTTTGCACCTGAGCCGAAAAATCCGTTCCAATCAAGAACTAAAAAGTGTGTTTTCAATGAACGACCTTGTTCGTCTATCGGCCATCTGCCTTGTCTAGAAGAAAAAGAATATAAGACTGATTATGAAGGGAATAAAAGAAAGATGATTTTACCACATCATTACTTTTTTTCTCAAACAAATTTTCTCGTACTACTGCCTTTACTAATTACACTACTCATTTCACAAGTCAATCATTGATGCATAAGTTAACACATCAGATTTCAACGTACTTGTTTCCAGGAAGAATCTTTTGAATTAACATTGGTATCGTTACTGCTGGTTCCGTCTTCGCTTTTGTTTTTCTCACATCGAGATATCCCGGATCTTTAATTGGCTTCTGCTGTCGATGATTATTGACATTGAACAAAATGAAAGCTAAACTAAATAACGCACCAATTGTAAGTAAAAATGGTAATCGTCGTCGCGATCGACATAATGTGGACAAAGGACGAATAACTAGACGCATTCTACATATCGATATGTCACAACTTGTCAAATGTGGATTTTAAATAAGGCACTGCATTGCTAGGTGTCTAAATGAAAAGAAAAACTACCTTCGCTTTATGTTTAGGCAAGCAAGTCGACAACCACTATACACGTTTTTTCTCTACTATTCTTTCACCTAGCTCGTGTGCGTTATTAAAAAAAAATCTCCTTTTTCTCCCTTTTCTTTTCTCTTTCATTTGATAGAATAATTACGAAGTTTGCGAGAGTGTCGAGAATGAAATGTTCTGTTCTTTTTCTTTTGGCGACGCGCAATATTTAACGTACGATTGAAAATGAACCGATACAAATTCATCATGAGTAATCTGTTCGAAAGAATGATTTTTTTTCATACTGTACACGATGGGGTATCTTTTCGTTGATAAATTCAAGTTGAACACTCGATAAGAAAGATGAAACCGTTGTGATGCAATGCGCCATCTTTTGAAGGGAAGATGAACATAAGAAGAGGATACACCACAACAGTATATTTAATGATGGCTGCAGAAAAATAAGACTTCGCCATTTAAGTCCTTCAAAAGTTTAACTTGCTTCGGAACCATGTCTTTGAAAAGTTTTCCAATTATTTTCATCAATATGGGAGGCGAAATGGTATATATATTAGAGCAACGTTTATCCGCACAAGAGATTGTCGATCAAAAGGCAACTAAAGGTAGCTAGAATGAATAATTAATGATACACAACAGAGAATTTCGATTGATATTTAGTCATTAATGATATTGTCAGTGCAATGTTCAATGGGAAATTTATCGAAGAATTGTTTCGACCGCAAGAACTCTATCCGAAAAAAGCAGTGAAGCATATTTTTGAAAAAGTTGCTCATTCAAGCATCATGCGTTTGAATGAAGCAAGTATGGACAAAGTACGTGTAGAGATCAGATTTCTTATCATTGGCGTATGCGTTTATATGTTTAGTTATATGATTTGATGACGATGTCTGTGAAATTTCAAATTATGCTCTGTCCATGTGCGTCGGACATTATGAAAGTAACGTACAATCATGTGAATTCTATGAGAAAACTGGTTCGTAGTTCGGCTGTACTTGACCAATTGGACAAAGCATTCATTGCATTTAATAAGGTTTGTATTTGATTGATAATTAAGACAGACGATGTTGAAATTTGAATTGTTTAGCAATATGAACGACTGAATGATGTGGAATGGTTACTAATTCGCGATACAATTCTATTCTTTTTCCAAGATATTCATATCCGAGTAAGTGATTGTACATTTGAGAGGTTAAGAAGAGATAAGTGCGCGTTTAAGGTATCGATTTTCTTACGAGAAAATTTACAAACTCAACATGGTCAATTCATTATGAATACAGATGGAATTGTTCCTACTGGTTTTCAACCTCCCGGTGAAATTCGGTAGGAATGCGCAAAAAAAGATTCTTCTAAATTGTCATCAGTTGTTGTCTAGAACATACAAACGTGGCCGTTTAAATCATACGCAAACATTCGATGCTGGTGAACGTCATGAACCACCCGATGAGACACGTACTTTTCGTTTAGGTTTAAATATGTAAGAGATCCATCTTTGCAGACACTCATTCTCAAATATTTTTTTTTGCCAGTTACTCAAAGAGTAAAAACGCAGATGCTAATCTGTTAAGTGACACAGTTGTCCGTCATCCACCGGTACAAGTTAGTGCTTCATCAGATATCGTACGTAAAGATTTTCGATGTAATTCTCCCAACAAAAACTCGCTTTCCTTTGTTAGGAAATGATTAATCCTGATCCGAAGATGATTGCTCAATTAAATTTACTTTCCGATCTCATTGGAAGTAGCTCAAGTGGCGATTCATCACGATCTGGTATTGTTAAGTTATCATTGTTCGACGATGATGAAGACGATGAAGAAGATATTCGTCGATCGTGAGCACTTGTCTCTTTTTTTTCTCTCATGCTTCCGACTGATATCTGCTCTAGGCACACAACTCATGTACAAACTTCATCAAGAGACCATCGACCGAAAAATGAGGATATCACAATCGATGTATCGAATGTAAGTTTAAGAGAAGTAGAAAAGATTATTCACACAGTCGATCTATGTTATTTAGCGAAATCGAAATGCACGATTGACTAATGTACTACATGATTTGGATTTTGACAATCCGCCAGCGCGGCATGGACGGAAGAATTATGACGATGACGATGATTTATGTTCAATGATGGATCGCTTACCAAACAGTGGCAATAAGCGACGTTAAACTCGCTCTCTTTGTTGTGCGATTTTGATTTGTAGTAACTTTGATGTGTAATATGATCAATGTCAGCAGCATATTTTTGAACAAGTAAACAAACGCAATTGTTATGGAATTTTCAAATGGATGTTGTCTTTGTACGTCTTTAGTATCTATCTTTATGAAATAAAATCAGAAAATAATCTATTGCATCAGCACAAATAGATTTTTATTGACAATTCGCATGAGAAAAGCTCTTCAAGACATTAATTCATTCGTTAACAAAATTGCATTACAGTAAAGACAATAAAAACGGATTTTAGTATCAGTCAACTAACTAACATACGACACATCAAGACATGTGAAGAAAAAAGAGAAACGAACAATGTTAAAATTCTTATAAATCTTCCAAAAAGTCAATATGAGCCGATGGTGATGGTGAAGCTTTATCGACGGTGACATCATCAATACTACTGATTTGACTCATACTTTCATCATCGTATTCAATTGGAATATCTTTATTTCCATTCGTTGATGTTTTTTGTATTGTTGTTCTTGTTCGTGGTGTTTCATCGTCGCCTCCGCCACCGCCAATGATATCTTCGATGTTTTTCAAACGATTCAATACAGCAGGTGTTGCATTACGACGAGAGAAGAGCGATGAGGTCGTGTCGTCATCGTCGTCATTCGCACTATTGTTATTGAAATTCAATAATGGTGGTGGTAAGATATCGCTGCTCTTCTTCGCACCATTCTTATTCAAATCTTGTGTGGTCGGCAATTGAAAATCGTAGACATGTTTGCGCGGATTCTCGGAAGATGAAGTTGATATCGATGATGAATTTGATTCGGATGGTGGAGATGTTGAACGACGAGCACGAGTAGTTATTTGACCGTTATTCGTACCATTTCGCGCAGACAATGGTTGTATTTGCGTACTATATAGCGTAGAAATGAACGAACGAAGATTCTTGAGGCTGAAAACCGGACTTACACAGGTGAATTTGGTTTCATCGGACTTGTCTGTGATGTTAACGCTTGATTACAGGCTTGCAACCATTTCAAACAAATCTGTTCGTAATCCATTTTTGCCATAGATGTTGATGAATGTGAAAGAGTTTTATTAAGAAAAGCTTCGAGCACCGTTGTATCGAATGCTGGTGAAAACAACGAACGAAAATGCTCTCGTACACGATTGATATCATTGATTTTTTCACCTGAAAATTTCATATCTATTGATTGTTTAATGTGATCGGGGAGAGAAGTGACTCTTTCTACCTACGAAGACAAGCACTTCATTCGTAATCATTTTCGATCTATTTCAATCTTACTCGATTATTGCTTTGATTAAGTAATACATGCAAGATGGGTTGTGATCGATTTTGCACTGTATCGAGATGTAATTCTTCTACTAATTCACTATGCGTCAAAGGCGATGGATGATTTGGACCGGATGTTTCCACTTTGAATACATCGTGCGTATAAAGTAATCGTGATTGTTCTAACCAGTCGAGAACAAGTGCACGACATATACGACCTGTAGTCCCTTCGTAACCAGGTGTATGTGTTCCATTAGACGGATTGGATGCTTTTTCAATTGTTTTAAAAACAGCAGCACGCAGTTGAGCTTTTAAACGTGTGATCAAGCCGTCACGTTCAAGTGATTGATAGACTAATTCGCGTAGTTCAGTGTCATTCTCATTTCGTTGATCGAGAAGATCATCGCCGATTGCCGTACTATCTGCAGACATAGTCAGTTTAATTAATCAACTGCGAATGAGTGAAACGTGAACAATACCATGACAACAATGGTCGAACTTTCCATTGGTCAAGAAATTTTTGCCAATTTGACTTAGAATTTTTTTTCGCACGATTTCTCTGATATAGTATTGTAGAACTATGGTTTTTCTTCGAACTTTTCAAGACAAATCAACTGATGATAGATGTCGCCAGAGCAACTACTACTCATTTACTCAAATGACAAGGTTATTGATCAGATTTGCTGGTATTCAAATCTGATTAATGTCCCTGTTTGTCGTTTGTACAACGGTTGCAACCGTTTATGCTCTCTCATCTTTCATTTTCTTACGTAAACCACATTTCATCCATCGAAGACGACGACCTACATTCATCGTTCGAAACATCGCACATCGTGGAGGTGATTATCAAACCTTTTAAATGAATTTTTCTCTACTATTCATGTTTTACATAGGAGCGGCCGAATTTCATGAAAATTCCCTACTTGCATTCGACAAGTATAATGAAATTATTTGGAAAAACGTAATCTATCTCGTTTTATTCCAGAGGATTAGCCAATGGAGTGGAGATGCTGGAATTAGATTGTCATTTGACAAAAGATCATCAAGTCGTTGTACACCATGATCCGTCATTACACAGAACTACAGGTCATCTAGGATATATTAAAGATATTGAATATGCTGTGAGTGAGAACGACTAGATTATTGCATTAAATGATATTTTATTGTAGAAATTGCCTGCGATCAATAATAAAATACAACTTTATTGTGATTCAGGTGAGAAATTTGTCGAATGAGCTTCTATTTAGACTTAAAATTTATTTTTTTTTCTGGTAGATCTTACTATCTCTTGTGATAACAGTCCTTCAAATTCTGATCTATTACGTATACCATTGTTAAAAGATGTTTTTGCACGTTATCCAACAACTCCGATCAACATCGACATTAAAGTCAACGATGATGAATTGATCAAACAAGTAGCACAACCAGGGAATGAAATTTCTACTCACTCCTTTACATTTAGGTTTCAGATCTCATACAAAAATACCGACGAGAACATATTACCATATGGGGAAGTTTCAGTCATACGGTATGTCGAAAATTAACTCTGCAAGTACGAATGAAATATTTATTTGACAACTTCTCAAAACTCTACATCCTATGTTCATCTTCAGAATCCTCGTATCATTCGGTTCTGTTCATTCAAAGAAGCAGCATATGTTGTTTTTGCTTATTGGACTGGCCTATTACCATTTCTTCCATTGACACCTGGTATGGAATATCAATGAAACATTTCTTAAAATAATTCCCATCTGTTATTCATACAGGCGCATTCGAAGTACCTATTCCTGGCGAAGTCTTTCAGTATGCATAGCAGCACTTCGTTAAATTGCTTCATATTGTATCGAATTATTTAGAAAGTTTACCGAGAATATAAATTGGAAGTACAAAATCATTCTTTACTTAGCCGAACGGTAGATATTCGAATTTGATTTTCACGATGAATTATCTCAAGAATTGATTTAGGATATTAAACAATAAATCCATGTTTGCGCATTTACAACGACGTGGAATACCAGTATGTTGTTCCTTCGCTGTCATATTCATCATCTGTCCTCCTTTATTCAGGTTTACGTTTGGATATTGAACAATGATCGAGAGTTTCAGTATGCCTTCACAGAAATGGGTGTCACTGGTGTGATGACTGATTATCCGACAAGATTGCAAAAATACCTAGCCACGAATCAACATGACTATCTTCTCTAACATTCTGTTTGCCTTTTTCTTTCTCTCCGTCTACTCTTATACATTCTAGTCATAAGATAAAGCGGACAAATTCAGTTCTTCTATTTATTTATTTTTTTTCTTAATAAAACATCAATCGAGAGCATATCTTCTTTGCATATGATATATAACTGATAAACTTGAATTGTATTTACTTAACATCAACCGCGAAAATTTCTTGTTGTCAAGAGAATGTGGGGCGTAGCGGGTTTCGAGAGCATGACTTCATTGTCCGATGGGTTGTTTTCTTTCGAAGATATCGAACTTTGTATTCAGCTATTTGATAAGAGATTTATTTACTTATTCTTCTCATTAGTCTATATAAACACAAGATTAGAATGCATTCGTACCGCACTCACTTTCATCGACTTTTCGCGTATCTAAACAGGTAACATCGCAGTCTTCCTACGGTGTCATATAATGTATTGCTTGAGTCGTTTAGAAAGCACACATGGCCAACGCCCGAACTGATGCTATCATCGATGCTTGGAAAAGCAAAGCTGGCTTAACTTTATCAGCTGAAGAAGAGCAAAAGGTAGGAATATTCGATCGTACATGTCTCGTATTGATTTGTTTTGATTAGCTTAAAGCCTGGTTCGCTGGTGCTGCTGAACGCATCCAAACTCGTCGTGAAGGTGGCAAAAAACTTTTCGTCGAATTGACTGCCGCCGTTGAAAGCAACGACAGTGCTAAAGCTGATGAATTGTTGAAAAAATTACGTGAAGGTTTCCGTCAACTCTCTGAAGGTCGCGAAAAAGCTCTTGACGAATTCGACAACATCCTTTCAGCAGATCAACGTGCACGCATTGTTGTTGCTGCTGTCAAACAAGCCAAAGAATCTGGCCGCCCAGTTGAACATATCATCGATCAACTCTTTTCAGAATCAAACGAATCACAATAAAAGATCAACACCAAATAATGGCAAAAATTTCCTTCTAGTACTTTTATAGTTCATCATTTTCTATTTTTGCCTCTATGAGCAAATAAAAGAATATTCGTAACAACCTTAAAGGACAATATCACTTTCATCTTTCTGACTGAGCATGACAGATGTCGCTCGTTGATGCTAATGACATCTTAACTCTATTTCTGGTTTTCTCCTTGCAAACTGTTATCTAATCGTACAAGTTCGAGTTCTATGATGAAAATTTCGAATTTTTCTAGATAAAGTTCGCATTGATATTATCATTGGTAGTATTTTTGTCGCATGGTAAATTGCAGAAGTAAAAAGACCTTTGCACTGCTCTGTTTCACTGAATGATAACGCTTTGTGGTCGAATTCAATTATAGTATAGATCATTTAAAAATGGCTTCAGCTATATTCACAACATTTCTTTGTCGTCAACAACGATTCTTAACTCTCACCCGTTCACCAGGTAAAACTAACTTTTGCCATCGAATTTGAAGCAAATCTTCTTCTTCTTTCTTCTCTCCTAGTGGCAACACAATTATGGACTCGACTTGCTTCGACATCCGTTCAACAACAGCAACAACAAACTGCAAATAAGCCTGGTACTTTTCTTCCAGTAAATTAGATGGAATTTCCATTACTACTTTGTTTTTTTAGTGAATTTACAACAACTGAAGAATTTAAAAGTTGATTATCAAGATGATATTGCTGTTGTTCAATTCAATCAAGAAAATTCCAAAGTACTAAACCATTATATCACTTGTTCTTTATCTTGTTATGCTTAACTTTCAGGTGAATACATTATCCAAGGGTATGATGGATGAATTTGTTCCATTGTTTGAACAATTACAAAATGATGATAAGGTGAAAGGTATTGTCGTTATGTCTGCTAAACCCGGCTCGTTTATCGCTGGAGCTGATATTAAGTAAGACAAACTGAAGAATTGTTCTACATGTTGTGTATCGTTTGTTTCCTGTCTAGTATGCTTGAATCAGCTAAGAATCGTGATGAATTATTCAAAATCTCTCGCAACGGTCAAGATGTTATGCATAAAATCGAGCAATCACGAAAACCGATCGTCGCTGCCATTGCTGGCTCATGTCTTGGCGGTGGATTTGAAGTATTTCAGTTTTCATTGCACTTCTTTTTTAAAAATCAGTCAAAATTGATTGCAGGTTGCATTAGCATGCCATTACCGCATTGCTATGAACGATAAACGAACAGGATTTGGTGTGCCCGAAATTAAACTCGGTTTATTACCTGGTGCTGGTGGTACACAACGATTAATACAAAAGCTTTCGTTACCTGACGCGCTTGATTTGGTCTTAACTGGCAAAGAAGTTAAAACAAAGAAAGCAAAATCATTAGGACTAGTCGATGCAGTTGTTGAACCCATTGGACCAGGTTTACAAACAGCGGAAGAGAAAAACATCGATTATCTTCGCTCAGTTGCTGTACAGAAAGCGAAGTATGTTTTTGGAATAGCTATAGTTTACATCTACCGTCATTTCTAGGGAACTCACTTTTAAAAAACACGTCAAACCACAACCCGGTTTACTGGAAAGTAAGTGATGTGAGATTGTTTCGTTTTTTCTATTAGATTTTTTGCTCTCCTAGATATCAAATCTAAAATCATGTCGACTTCATATGTACAAAATTATATTTTCGAACAAGCCAAGAAGAAAGTTATGTCACAAACACAAGGTCTTTATCCTGCACCTTTGAAAATTCTCGATGTATGTATCTATTGCATCGCACAGTACAACAAATGACAAACTTTCTCCGTTAGGTTATCAAACAAACAGTTGAAAGTGGTTCGAAAGTTGGATACAATGCTGAAGCAGAAGTATGTATCTCGTTCGTACGGATGCAAATAGATTCGGGTGTTTCCCATTTAGGGTTTTGCTGATCTTGGTACCACAAGTGAATCCAAAGCATTGATTAGTTTATTCCATGGACGTACTGAATGTAAGAAAAATAAATATGGTAAACCAGAACGAGAAGTCAAGTAAGTTTAGAAAACTCATTCTGATGATTTTGTATCGAGTTATTGATAGAAATATTGCTGTTATTGGTGCTGGTTTAATGGGCGCTGGTATTGCACATGTGTCGATCGATAAAGGTTTTAATGTTATTCTACGTGATCAAACAACCAAAGCACTATCACGTGGTTATTCACAAATTACCAAAGGTTATCAAGGTTATGTCAAACGTAAAAGACTGACAAAGTAAAACTCAATTTAAATCGAAAGAGATTGATTTCAGTCATTGATGCTTTTTAGTACTGAATACGATCGAATCTTAGCAAACTTGGAATGTCAAACAACATTTGATAATCTCGAAAAATGTGATATGGTTATTGAAGCTGTCTTTGAGGATCTTGGTTTAAAACAAAAAGTACTTGCTGAGATTGAACAACGTATTCCTGAACATTGTGTCTTTGCTTCAAATACATCCGCATTACCCATTCATGAAATCGCTGCGAATAGTAAACGTCCAGAAAAGGTAATCGATTGTCCAACTTAGAAAAGATATTCATATTGCTTTGTAGGTGATTGGTATGCATTATTTTTCACCGGTGGACAAAATGGAATTGTTGGAAATCGTTCGAGCTAAACAAACATCTGACGATACCGTTCGTTCAGCTGTGAGTGTTGGTCTCAAACAAGGCAAAGTTGTGATTGTTGTCGGTGATGGTCCTGGTTTTTATACTACACGTTTGTTAATGTTTGCCGGTGCCGAAGTGTTTCGCCTTCTTCAAGAAGGTGCTTCACCAAAAGATATCGATAAAGCAACAAAGAAATTTGGCTTTCCAGTCGGTTCAGCGACACTCTTTGACGAAGTCGGTATCGATGTAGCTGCTCACATTGCACGTGATATGCAATCCGTTTTCGGTGAACGCCTTGCAGATAAATCCATGCCAGCGTTATTTCAAGACCTTGTTAGCAATAATTTACATGGAAGAAAAACTGGTCAAGGTTTATATATCTATCAAGCTGGTGTCAAAGGTGGTGACCGAGAAGTGAATCCCAAATTCACGGAATTGATCAAAAATTATGCAGCTGAAGCAAAAGAACAGTGCGTATTATTTGACGTTTAGAATCGCGTCGATCTATCTTACATGACATATTTAGAGTAACAACAGAATCAATTCAATGGCGTACTGGTCTTCGATTTTTGAACGAAGCCGCACGTTGTCTTGAAGAAAAAATTATTACATCTCCAACTGACGGTGATATTGGTGCAGTTTTCGGACTTGGCTTTCCTCCAATGAAAGGCGGTAATGATTGACAGCATGCAATTTGTCTCTGTTATCAATATTCGTTCATCTTTTAGGTCCATTCCGTTTCATGGACACCTATGGTGTTTCAAAAATAGTCGATTTGATGAATAGTTATCGTAGTAAATATGGTGAACGTTTCGCACCAACACAATTATTAGTTGATATGGCTAAGGAAGACAAGAAATTCTATTCTTAACTATTTTAAATAACGATGAACATTTTCCTTTCTTCTTCGCCTTTCCATTTCATTATTAACATTTTATTAAAAACAAAACAAGAAATTCAACAAATTGAATTAAACTAGTACGTGACATTGAGCAAACCATTAACGAATGGTCTACCGAGCGCGTCTGGTTTTAAAATATCGGATATAATATTTCTTGTATTTCAAAAAAGCGTGACAGATGATCAAGGAGGATGTTTGACATAAAGGGATGGACCATTAGAAAAAAACTTTCGCTTTGTTCGAGAGTTTTTCTTCTGATTTATATCGCATTTCATAAATAAATCCAGGAAAACACACACATACACACCTTCCAGATACTCCCTAGTAACCTCATTTTATCGTTGTAAAGATGGCATATACCAGTCGGACTGTTGTTCAAGTGTCACCATAATCGAATGAATAAAGAAGCAGTGAACTGAAACTGCATTATTTGTCTACGATGTTGAAGGAAAAGTTTATTTAAAACAATAACTATTACTGTTTGAATACATACGTCTATACGAGACCTTGAGTGGTTGCTTCGTCTGGTATTAATTAAACTTTTTCTTTACTTTTAGAAAAAAATAGACGCAAACATTTGTTTGTTAGTGATGAATGGTGACAGAAATTAGAATCAATTGCAGTTCTCTCCTGTTCTCGCTTTTCGATAGATGTTTGTTCGAAATAGAAGTGGATTCAATTCAACCATTTTTTTTTATTAAAATAAGTAGAAAAGAACTGATGAGTGCTCGTGGAAAATTTGTCAGCAGTGATGTGTGTGAGTGACATGGAAATAACAACGAATGAAGAAGATGTATTGCACACATCGAAACATTTACAAGGGATCATTTGGATTTTGATTGAACGATCGAGGTCGACTGAAAGTTCGATTACCAATAGAAAATCGGGTGGATTTCGATGCTTGAAGTGGTTTATTTATACTTGATATCGATTGAGGAGCAGATTTCTATGTTTTGAAAACGAAAATAATAATACAAACGGGAAATAAACGTTTTTCTTACAGGAATAGCCTGATGTTCAACAAAGGCTTGTGAAGATGATTCAGTTGGATTCGCCATTTGACGTAAAGTAGCGAATTTAGCCGATTGTGATAACAATGATCGTCGAAGGCGTTTATTTTCTTCGACCTGCCGTGCTAATTCAATTGCTAATTCTTGACGTTCACGTTCTGCAATGATCTATAACACAAAAATCACTCGTCACTATCTTAAAAAAACACTTCTTTTCATACGCGTTCATTGCCTAAGCTTGGTTCTAGTCCAGTCGTCGTCGGTCGCATTGATCGAACTAATAGAATACTTTCTGTTCTTAGGCGATTCAATTCTAAGCGAAGACGTTCATTTTCGACTAATAATTGCTAAGAAAGAGCAAAATAAATGTCAGATTACATCGAACTCGATCAAATACTTCGTTGGATTTGAAGACATCTTCGATGGAAACATAATTAGGCACTTTAACTTCAGAAAAAGCTGGTCCTTCCTTGCGTAGAACTTGTTCTAAATGTGCTTTGTATGCTCGAAGAAGGTTGGCTTCGTCGGAGATGTTTGTTAACGGTGCGGACGCTGGATGTGATGAATGATCATTAAAACTTTTGCTTCGACCAACCGGTGCTAATGGTAAAGGACGTGAAAAAGGCCCATCATTACCAGAAACTATAGATTGTTCGTCAGAGGACAATTTACGGGTGCTCGTCGTCAATAGAGTACGTGGAGCGCTCATACTTCGCACGGGAGACGGATGTGAACTAGTTGGTTTTTTAATTGAATTTGTACGAGTGACTTCATGTTCACTGGATGTTGCCGCAAAATTCTGCTTCGTAGTTCCTTTCAGCAGAGCCATATCACGTTCCAAAGCTTCCAATCTTTCATTTTCTGAATGAATATGGTAAAAGATCGTCAGATTTCGATCTGTAATCATCATCATACATACCATGTCGTTGTAAACTGGCGTAATCATTGAACAGTGATGAAAGATCTGTCCGTACTGCAAGTAACGGACCAGTGTTGGTTCCTCCGCGAACGGGCGTCTCATTCGATAGTTCTCGATTTAAACGTGCGTGTTGCATGTATAAAATTTCAATGATATCAACTCATTCGTTTTCTTCTTCTCATTCTTATTTACTTTTGCCATGGCAATACCTCTACAAGCAAAAAAAAGTCTACATCACAACGACAGCAACATACAAATAGAGTTGACATTGAACCGATCACTAGCCGAATGCTGATTTATTCAAATAATCTATTTATTATTGATCTCTCGACAAAAACTTCTTTATAAAAACGTCTTTTTCGATTCTACAGTTCCGAATAGTACCGTACATGCAGTCGGCCGCTAATAAATGCAACCAAACCCGTAGATAAGATTGTTAGTAAGTGGCCAGTTTGCGTCAAATTCGCACTGTAAGCGTTATACGTTGTCACACGTGAGCCTTCAGCAAAAGCGGCAACCATGAAAAGTGCAGCAAGAAACAAAAGTATCGGCGCAACGAATCCAATAATACCGCTGAAACGAATGAAATTCATGATTAAAGTAATAATCATTCCTAAACCTAGTAAACATAATGCAGTAATCAAAAGTCCAGCGGCATGCTGTGTGCCAAGACCCAAGGCTGTACTACGTTGCATATCGATACAATTCGATGTTCCGTTCAATAAATTACCAACGCATTGAGTAAAAAAATTGTAATGCAGCGTGCTACCATCCGCACTTTGATCGTAGAACCAAAATTGTGTCGCTGTTCCAGCGATGGAGAGAGTCAGAGCAGCGACCACAAAAAAGCTCGCAAAAATGATTAAGACACGACTTAATGGATCGATCGGTTGCGAAGATGTTCGTTCCGTTACGATCGCCATTTGCTAAATAATGTCGAATGTACTAATTTAAGTACTAAGACTCTCGATTTTTCTTCTTCTTCTTCTGAAGTATTCTTATCGTTGTGATTGAATGTTGCTTAACAGAATGTCAATTATAGCCGTTTAGTTATTAACGTTTATATTCCTAATGTACAATTGTGATTGTAATATGTGACTGAAGAAAGAAGTTTATTTATAGTTACAGATGGAAAAAAGAACTTGACTGGTTAACAGAGAGAGAACGAAAGAAGAAAAGAATCTTAAGTTTGTACAAACAAGAAGAAAGATGGTCGATTGACAAAGTGAACATGGAATTTTGAATTTTTTTTTCTCATTCTTTTTTCCTTTTGTTTCGATTATCAATCACTGTTTCTTTCTTTCTTTCTTTTTATCAAAAGCCATTTACAGCTACTCTACTCTCGAACAAAATTAAATCTATGTTTGTTTTTACGAAAACACGTGTACCTAGAAATGATGTATAGCCGTATAAAAAAAAACAAGGTACGAATAGAAACGTTTGAAATTGAATGTGATGTGATAGAGAAAGGGTATATCCCAGGTGCAGTTTTGGATGTTGATATTTCGTATGTCGTCTCTATTTTGACTGTATTTATTATAAGAAATATTAATAAACAGACATGGTTTCCTTCACTTGAGATTTATTAAAATACGTTTCATGTCAATACATAGATTTCAAATCTATTTACGAATCAATTTCGTTTTCATTAGATTTTCTTCCTCTTGTTTACGGAAAAAGTGAATACGACCAGTAACGAAAGCGCTGATGAATAAACTGAAAATACTCAGTAAATAACCGGTTTGATACAAATTTGCTGAATAATCATTGAACAGCAAGCAACGCGAACCTTCCGCCAAGCCAGCAGTCATCAATAAACAAGTAATAAAGAACAAGAGTGGCGAAGCGAGGTTAGTCCATGCAAACAACGAATGAACCAGGATCACCAATGTCACCACTAACGACAATGCAAGTATCAGGATTGCCACGGTACATAAGCCAGCTGCGCTTTGTAAATGTGAGTTATAATCACGTGCCCATGGAAATGAGATTGAATATCTCGGATAACCTTTGAGATACTCTGTTCGACTTGTGCAATTATTGAATACACCTTTAGTGAAACTACAAGTATAGAAGAAATTCGCGGTGTTTGATAGTGCGTATGATCCATCACTTGTATTAACGTAAGATGATTCCCATTTCGGTGTGCCAATACCAACACAGACGAATAGCAATGCTAAGGTTCCAGATATGAGTGTTAGGATAAGAAGTTTTTTACTTGAGCGATCGATTTCTTCTAGTGCTACAGTTGGCATACTGTATAACGACGAGAGAGAGAAGGGATCGAACAAGAATTACTCGGCAATGTACGTGTTAGGATGTCAATTTGTGTACTGACGTCGATGACGAGAACGGCAGAACACGAAATCAAATATTATTGAAGATTTTTCGTCATTGGCAGATAAGTAAATAAATATTTATTAAAATAGTAAAAAAATATGACTTCTTAGATTCGTATATGTCATTTTCATCTTTGTTGAACTTTATTTTCATTAAGATCGCGAGCAAAATATATTTGTTATTAATGCAAAGAAGCAAATTTCACAAAAGATACGACGAAAAAAGAAAAAGCGAATTTAGAAAATACAATATTAATTAAATGGACGGTCAATGGTGAATTTGTCTTCCGAATATTCGCCTACAGTTTGAATATTCATCATGAAACGGAATTTCATTTTATGCAAAAACGACATGGATAAATAAAACGAATAAGAAGAAAATTGGACTGTATCGCATTTGATCGACACCTACAAAGAATCAAGCAAGTCTTTTGTACAGAAACTTAACAGATATCTGTGCCCTACCGTTGATACAACGTGTTATCGTTCGTCCGAGAAGATCTGAAACCTGCTGTTCACGGCGACCTGCTTTACATCGACATAGGCTACTGAGACATTCACCAAAATCACCGCATTCTGCATGAGTATAGCATCGACTGTTTACGGCTCGAGCTAAGAAAATGACGAACACAAGTTTAGTTGCCTTTCATTTTCAAAGAACATACCACATATGACATTTCCATCGCTGCGATAATAACCAGGTTGACAAGCACATCTGTTTTCATCCGGAGAACATACAGTGTTTGAACCGAACTGCCCACAGAAGTTTGCTGCATGACCACAAGCATCATCGAAAGTGTTCTTCACTGAAATACACAAATACTTCCTTTTCATCCCTTTCTCTAACGACGAAATTATTTACCGCATTGCGATCCCTCATCACGATAACCGCCTCGACATCGAGCTCGAGTACAGTCGGACGCACAAACAAGGTCTCCATCGACTGGATCAACTGCCCATACAGTGGTATTGCATTTGTCATAGAGAACAAGCGGTGGTTCTTGTTTTACTACGACAGAATACATATCTTATGTGTGCGAACTCAATAGTTTATACATACGGCATTGTCCCGATGCAGTAGTAAAATATCCAGGGTTACAAACACATGTGTAACCTACACATTGGGCATTTTCTTGACATTCCGCTGAGCATCGATTAATAACTTAAAAGTTTAAATGTAACAGCTTATATGAGATAAAATCATTTTCATACCACAAGTAGAGTCAATCGGGTTTAAGAAATAGCCAGATTTACATTGGCATACTTTGTAACGTGTTTCCTGGTTGTTGATGAAATCACAATCGATGTTTTTTTCATCTGCATCCTCGCCGCAATCTTCTTTGTTGTTGCAAGTATGGGAAGAACGCTCGTGAACACCAGGAAAAACGTATTTCGAGAAAAGTTCTATAGGACGTATCAAGAATTTTCATAAAGGACACAAATACTCTGTCGATGCTTACCACATTTTTGGCCGACCACAAAACTTTGACGATAATCGCAGTAGCACGTATTGTTACGGCAAACAGCACCTGCTCCATGCAGAGCTACACAATCGGCATCCACATTCGGTGCATCGCATGCTGAATAAGCTGTAGTATCAATTGCTTGAAGATTTTGAGAGAAAATTGATTTTCGATCTATGTGAAACGATTCAATAGGAACATATATGCGATGTATGTGAAAAAAAAGAATACGAACTGCATCCACGAAAATCTGCAGTTGCATTGTATCCAGGAGAACATTTACAAGTGTAAGCCTCAGGCTGAAAACAGTCGAACAATAGACTTCTTTCAGAAAGTTTTCCAGGACATACCATAGAATTAGATGGGCACGTGCTGTCAGCTGTTGGTGCTGATTGAGTTTTTTCAACAAGGAAATCTAAAAGATTAGGAAGTTGCTTTCGGATATAATCCGATATTTGGGCTTGTGTTACATACAGCATTTGTTATTGTCCCAAAATGCCAGATCTGTTCGTAAACATTCACAGTGACCAGCAGGTTGTGATGCTTGAGCAGCATTTCCAAACAATGCTCGACAGCCAGCATCATTTAGTCCTGTGACATTTTCAGTATCTGTTTTATTGAATTCATAAACATTATTTGTTAGTCGAACTAGAAGTGAAAATATATATATATATATATTGTCGTTTTGCCTGGGTACATCAGTGCAAGAGATGAGTTATATTGTATATCGAAAAATTCCTGTTCAAGGCTCAACATCCACTTACCACAGGTACGATTCGTTCCACCGTTCTTAAATCCATCTCGACATTTACACACAGGACTGGCAGCGTCTATGACAGCATCGACCGGACATTTATGTTTAGTACTATCAGCCGCTGTGATTGTATGCTCAAGAAAGAAAACTAAAAATGAATACGAGTGCGTATATTAAAGTGACAAATAGTAAACAATGCAGTATCACATACCGCACGAGGAATTATACAAAAAGGTTCCATCGATGCAAACACAGGCATTGTTATGAGCAATGACATGCGTGCCAGGAAACAAAACTTCACAATCGGCCGTTGTAATCTCACCGGGACCACCCTGGGCTTGAGCATCGGTTGAATCATAAAGGTGGTCAGTTTTTCGTTCTATGCATGTACAGATTTACTTTCTTGTGTTTTCCTGCAAAATCAGAAGGTGTTATCTTACGGCAAGCTCGATTCGAATTGTCACTGGGTCGATATCCAGTGTTACATTTGCATACACCACCATCACTCGCAGCATTTAATGGACAGTTGTTAGAATTGGTCGTAGTGACAGTTAGCAGTGTTACTGGAATATTTCAAGGAATTGTACATCAAAAATGAAACATTTCAAACATACCACAGCTTATTTTTCCATTATTGTTCATGTAAAATGATTTGTCAGACGCGCATTGACATACACCTTTACTACAAAAACTTGAATATTCACCATATAAATTTTTACAGGTGTCGTTGAACGCTGTTAAACCGGCTTGACAAGAACTAGGTGACTCGCTCAATAGGAGTTCTAGAAAATAGTTGAAGAAATGAAGCAGCTGTTACAGCGAGAAATCATATACCGCATCGTCTCTTGTCATCAGATGTTTTGTAAAGATCAGACGGTGAACAAACACATTGTGAACCATTCATATTGGAATTTTCTGGACAACGAGTAGAATCTGGACTTATTAAGTTTCTTTCCAGGAAATGAACTGAAGAGAAAAACTATATTGTAATTCCCTGTTCTTCTTTCTAAAGTATAGGTACTTACAACAACTAGTTCCGTTTTCAGATAAGTATTGATCACGACCGCATGAACACACATATTTATCGCGTCGTTGTTGACACGATAGAGGACCAAAGCATAGACCACTTTCTTGCTGGGGATTACCATGCGAGTCTATACGTGTACAAACACCATACTCAAAGTTATCATCGTCCCATTGCGGTGCAATACGTTCTAGAATAGAATGATGTATCATATCGTTTACTCCGCCTAATTTATCTTACGACAGGGTTTGTCTTTTTCCACGTATTGATAGCCAGGTGCACATACGTACAGTCCGCTGTTGGACACAACAGTAGCAGAACCACCAGATATCGAACTGCTCGTTCCAATATAATCATGTGTACTTATATCAATAGAATTAGGAAACAGAACGTAGCGAAACGATTGTTCTTTGAGAAAACAAAATAGCAAAATATAATTTTTGTTTGAGATTTTTATCATAATTCAACATACCACATTTATTATCACTAGTTTTAGCAAAACCTGCTCGGCACCAACACGTTGTCTGGTTAACACTTATGCACAATGCATTTGGATCTTGACATCTGCCGCATTGATCATAGGGTAGTTCGGCTTTTGATGGCGATAGTGCTCCAGTATATTCACTCAATTCTAAAAAACGTATCATGAGACATGAACACGGTTTCCCCGCTTTCACTCACCGCATTCTTGTGTGTTGTAGTTGGCAACAAACGGTGGTTGACATTGACAGAAACTTTCTTGATTCGGTGCATTAGACATACAAACTGCTTGTATAGCTTGACAAGCAGCAAAGCCTAGACCCGAATAGCAAAAGTCTCCAGTTTCGTTAGCAGCAGTCCAGTTTACATAAAGTTTAGCCAGTGTAATGCCTGTTAAACAAGAGCAAAACTATTTCTTATCAGCCTAACAATCGCAAATGCTTGGTTGACATACTGCAGCGACTATTATCGCCTTTCGGTTGGAAACGACTAGGACATTGACACACATTGTTACGACATTCGTTCGACCAACATTCACTTGCAGACGAACATGACACATTCAAACTTTTATCTGAATAAATTCGTATCGATTGATAACTTCCTTCTAGAATTCTCATTTAATTCTACTTACAACAAAGTCCATTGATAGCTGTAAAGTCTTGTTTACACTTGCATTGTTGATTGTCACAAACAGCATTGTTCAAACAATTTGCATCAACTCGACATGCTTTCCCTTCATAGACGAACGATGGATTGAGTCCTAAAATATTCCATTGATTAAAAACGGTAAAACTTTCTCCTGAGGACAACAGCATCCAAATACTTACTACATTCAGTTGTTCCACAAGGTGAATACCACGGTGTATCACATCGACATATTCCTCCTTCACATCGAGTACCAGTGCCACCACATTGCGTCGTGTTGGTACACGAAATATCCAAATTAACTAAAGATTTTTAGTTGATAAAAGATCAATCGAGCAATCGTAGACGCTTACCAGCACTAGCAAATGAGATTAGTACGAACAGAAAGCATCCGAAAACTAGAAACGAGCGAACCGACATAACTTCGGATTGATAAGAGAGACAAAATATATGTCTGTAATGAGATCGCTTTCGAACTGAATTTATTCAGTGGATTGTAAATGGCAGAAATCCTTTGGTAAAGGCCTTTTTATATTTCTAGATTCCAATATTTTTCTCTCTTTCTGAAATTAGTTTGCTAGGAATAGAGAACGAGAGAGCGAGAGAGAACGAGATTTTTTCTCTCTTTATCATCGAATATCATATTATTGTTGTTAGTTACCATACATAATTTCGAAAGAGCAAGCATATGGTCACTAGCAACAACACAAGTGTAATATAAAATATGTAAATGACAGCTTGTCATTCTCTCATCTTGAGGAATGTATACACAGAACCATATCAAATGTTATATATGTGGACATAAATTAGTCATCATCTCGAAATGAGTAGAAATTTCGACGTCAGCAAAGTCAAGGAGAGAGAGAAAATTTCTTCATCTAAATTGAGTTTTATCGGCTGTGCGTAGGTTGAAATTTCATCAGCGACGTAATAGCATGCTGTACTCAATTTTCGTCTGTCATTCTCATTTGATTTCAGGCACACCTTCAAACGTGTATTGAACATCACAATATGGTGAAATTCGATCATTTTGTTGTTGTTTTCATGTCTATACACAAAGAATAAATTACTTTTGCCAGAGAACAGAAGAGAGAAAGGCAAGAGAAAAAAATTACTGTTCTTTAAATATTAGTTCAATATTACATTTCGCAAATTTAGTCAAGGAGAACTGACTACTTTAAATCGTATCCTTAATGTCGATTTGAAGGACAAGTCGAATGGAAGATATTTTGATCTCATCAAACGTTTCTCGCTGACAAAAGTCAGGATTTATTTCAAAGAGAATAAAATATCGATGCAAACATTATCATCTGCTCCCTGATTTAGTTTCTCATCGAACAATTCTCATAAAAATGTATTTAGTAAATAGATCCTTTTTATATCAGACAGATTTACGACATTGATCAACAACCATGTCGTCTAATGAATCAGTTTTTCGATTGAATACCTTCGGCTATTTACGACGAATGAATTTATTGGTTTGTCAACGCAAAAACGTCTTTCTTGACTTCCGTGACAGTGATTCATCCGGTTAAAGTTTAATAATCAGATCATATTCAGATGTCCGTAGAATTCAATCGGACTCGTTGTGCCGTTTTTGTTGTTGTTGTTGTTGAAAATCAATTATCTTCTGTGAACATTGATTTCTCTTGTTATCAATGTCTCCAATTTCCTAGTTCCTAGTTCCTCTTTTAACATAACGTGATGTTATTCTCTCTCGCACGTAATTGCGTTTCCATACGATTCGATCGAACACCGCTGATGTAATAGGTGATATATCAATAAATCAAGTGTTTTTCCGATGAAAAAGGCAGTGATTTGAATACTTCGAAACAATGGGAACAAAATGGTGATTGCAATTTGTATGTTGATATAAAATCTGCTTCTGAATGTCTGCCACTTCAAACGGCACAATACTCAATAAGTGGTACTCAGCGTAACCATAGAGCAGAGAAAGAAAAGCTTAGATTAAATTAAATGATACAAACAATATAAATCGCAAAATCTAATCCGAGAAAAGTCATTCTACGTATTATAAAACACGCGAACTCATGATATCCGTGTTCGATTGCTATTATCGACACCAAAGAAACGGAAAAAACTAGATATTTATGCGCTCTCTATTGATTAGATTTCCTATTGGCTCAAAGCTGTTCACCAATTGAGTTCTGTTAACTTCAAGAAGACATGTCAATGACAATGAATGCTATGCATATACGCTCTACTTCGTAAGATGTCTTACAAGGTCTCTTTCTTTCCGGTGATTAAAGGTGTTGTGAACGAACGTTTCTTTTAATACACCGACATTGCCACACAAACAAAACATATGAGTATACCAGTAAGCAAGTCGACTTTCTTTTTTTCTGAGATCTCGCCGAGCTATAATGATGATAGTAAACATCAAAACAGAAGGACAAAAATAGTGTCAGGCATTCTCGGATGATTTGCTGTATCTCGAAGAACATGTATAGAGACATAAATATCGATGTGGAACACTCATTTTGTAATAGTCAGAGTTCTTTTTCTTTTCCTGTGAATGTCAGTAGGGAATAGAACAGTATATGAATATCAATCATATTCTAGTAGAGAACGCCTTCCTTTTTTTTTGTAATATAGGTGGCAAGCGAGCGTAAATCATTTCTACCATTGCGATTAAAACCAAGCACTGGTATAGTTGCATCACGTCCAACAATACCGATGCCAACCGTAACGGAAACGAATGAGTAAGTAATGTTTGAAATTGATTCGTCGGTGGCTTTATGAATTATTCATTTGCTTAGTAAACCATCATTAACAGTTGGCAGTCGTGTCTTAGTTAACGGACTAAAGGGTGGAATCTTACGATACATAGGTACAGTACAGTTTGCACAGGGAATATTTTGTGGTGTTGAACTCGATCAGCCAGATGGAAAACATGACGGAGAAGTGAAAGACATTCGGTAAAACGAACTTTTAGAATGCTCTTGTTTCGCTTAGTCTTATGTCTTCGTTCAGATACTTCCAATGTGCTCTGAATCATGGAGTATTTGTACCCCAAGATAAAGTCGTTTTAGCACCTCGCGCACGAGCATCAGTAAGCCTGGATTGGAAATTGATTTTCTATTCGTGCGTTCATTTAGTCATCACAGAGGCCAGCTAGCCGTTTGAAACCTCCAACATTGACACGTTCGATTACACTTACATCATCAATTAATAAACTTGAACTATCCAAATCAGTTCAATTGCCAGATATTGTACCTAGCCCAAGCAGTCAGCCGGTGACGTTCGATGAGTCAATATTCAATGATAATCACGTGTGTTCGACATTCTCCCTTGAATTTTTTTAACATATTATCTGCATATATTCAGGAAATTAACACGCCAACGATACAGCCCAAAGAAGAGATTGTAATTAAATTTGAACCTCAACCAGTCCCATTTGATGAACGTATGTGTAATGTTGACTCTTTTACTCAATTCTCACTATTGTGCATAATTTAGCTCCGGAAGTTGACTTCACTGATAGTGTGTCACTCATTCTTCACCAACTACAACAGGAACAAAGACCGATCGATACACATGCTTCTTCGATAACGATTAGCGACGATGAAACTGATGACGAAACAGATGAATTAGATAATGAAAGTGTGGTCGAATCAACTACCAATGAAGCAGTCAATCGAACACGTCAATCCTCTATCTCTTCCATTATTACACCAATAGACTTGCCAAAATTTGTTCAAACAGATTTATCATTTCCTTCACAAGATAAGATTACATTTACCAAGGATGAAACTACGCATAATCAAACGAAACTGAGCAAAAAAGATGAAGCAATAAATGTCAATAACAAAAAACCAACTACTATTCCATCTGTTAAAAAACGTAAGTCAACAACACGAATGCCAGTTTTGTTTTTTCAAAATCGCCTCTTTTTCAGCTATCGAGCGACGACCAGTACCCACAACGACAAACACCGCCAAACGACCTGTAACTAACATTGTCCCACGAAAAACTTCAACCATTCCATCAAAGAAAGGACCTACAATAGCAAAAGCACAGCTGAAAGCCGCATCATCAGTGGCATCATTAGGATCACAACCAAGTACACCAATCATTTTCATACTCTATGAAATTTCGTTCAACATCTATTTTAGAATTGAGTTTATCACTTTCGCCATCGAATTCTTTGAACAGTAGTCAATCCGATGTTGCATCGATTACACCAAGTTCCAATTTGGAGCAAACACCAGATAACGTATCTCAAGCTGCAATCAATCTCCTCGGTAGATCTCAAATTATCATAAGTAAAGAAAAGCAAATGTTTGCTTCTTCATCTAGAGAAACAACTGGAAGAATCTCACAATAAGTTCGTCAAGCTTGAACAGGAAATCACTACGTAATTGAAACAATTGAATTATCACCTTTCGGAAATGTTTCCTTGCTTTGTTTCGATAGGCAAAAAAGTCTCAATCATTCTCTCAAGATGAATAATGAACAGTTAAAGAAATACTATCAATATTTACTGCAGAAATTCGATCTGATGCATGTTTTAAGTCAATATTTTCTCACTGAAGTAAGATTAGACTTTGTCACCGTGAATTTCGTTTGTCATCGACTTGTTTTCTTCGTCTTAGAATGAATCTCTTCATCGACAACATCAACGACAATTATCTCAAGGTAGATCGACATTTTCACACTGACAAAATTCAAACAAATCTTATTTGTTGTTTCTAGCGCGATTAACAAATGATCAATTAAAAGTAAATTTTGCATTTCTCTCTTGCGTATGAACTAAAATTTGTGTTTTTCTTTCGAAAATTTCATAGAAATCCATTGAGCTATTACAAACCACGCACAGAAACGATCTGATTACATTAGAAAAACAACAACAGAATCGTATTGACATTCTGAATAAAACTCACGAACAACAAATAAATGAATACCAACAAAAGAACAAACAATTATTGGTAAATACGATCGATTAACTTGAACATTTTCTTTTACGATCGAGCATTTTTTAGCAAGAAAAAACTGAAGTGGAAACTCACTGTGCGATTCTCCAAGAGAAAGTCGATGGTTTCTTGACTGAAATGGCTAATAGTGAACATGCCGATGTTCTTCTATGCCATATGGAAACATTAGAAAAAGATCGAACGAGCTTGCAAAGTGTACTCGAGTTAAAAAACAAAGAAATTACACAATTACGAACAAAACTTCATGAACAAGAATCCCAAGTAAGGGACTAAATTTGCTTTTCATATCAATAAATCTTCTGCTCGTAGTTAACTGATATAAAAGCATTACGAAAGCGTGTGGATATGGCTGAGAATCGAAATCAAGATCTGGAATACCTACTCCGACAAAAACAATTGAGCGAAAAGTATAGCATCCAAGAAGATTCTAATGAGAGTCACATTGACTTGTATTTGTAGGGCTGCTGTTATTGAACGCGATGAATTACGCGAGCAAGTCACACAACTTGAACGCGATAATGGTCAATTAAAATTTGAGAATGAAACATTACGATATCGGCTACGTGAACGATCATTCTCAGTGTCAATGATCGTAGATAAACCAACAATCTTACCCAATCAAATTCCTCCTGTGTCTTCAAATACAGAACCAGTTCGCAACCGTGCTTTTAGCATATCATCAACGATGCTTCTTACGCATGACCACGAACGTATAACACGTTCGTTATCATCTTTAAATTGTATTCTTAATCGGTGATATATTCGTTTTTCTATTTTATATATTTTCCTTCTCTCATGGCTTTTGTATGTTTCAAGAATGTGCTGCACCTGGTTTTTGTCTAGTTGTTTGCTTGCTCGTATTTCTATTTTAGACCATTTCATGACACATACACATATATCTATCTATATTTGCGTGATATGATTGCTATACACAAATTATTCATTGCTTTTTTTGTATTTTCAACATATTTATTTGTTGTAGTATGTGTTTAGAAGGAAAGAATTATTTTAATAAATATTTCAATTCAGGCATGATGAATAGATGAATGAATAATAATACAGATGTATTCGCATTGGCCATGTTTAACTTTGTTTTTGTTTTTTTGATATTTTGGATCGAAAAAGTCTGATGCTCTCATCGCTCGTCAACCCTTTTCTCTTGTTCACTATGCTTAGTGCACTCTATGGAATAGTAATATAAAGTGACGGCTACATAAATCAGAAAGTTCTATTGTCTAGGTTTGCATTCCATACGTTCATGTTTATTTTGACAAAATTATTGGAAAAATATAGAATCGATCGATAACAACGCATTGTTCATTCAATGTCGTACAGGAAAAAGAAACATCTGGAACCGTTGGCTCTGTTCTAGAGCATTCATTAGTTTATTTTGTAAAAACGACTGAATGTTGTCGGATGAAACTCAAGTGAAATCTTCATTAATGCATATCTCATAATGGAACATGTGTAGTAGATTCATAGTCAAAGCATGTTTACTTTTAACGGAAAGAGAATCAAAGATTATATCCGGCAGGAAATGGTTATTGATCTGTTTTTTCTGCACAAACTCGAAACTAAATAGTTTAAAGCACGATTTGTTCGTGTGAAAATACAAATTTCCAAATAGTTGGTGATGTGGTTACAACTACTCCTATTAAAGAGGAAGTTCAGTTGAATCAGAGCTAAACTGTTACTTCTGCATTCTTCGTAGTGTTCATGTCTACACATACTGGATTGATGAAGTTTGACTTTTTCTCATGCATTTAAAGTTCAAATTTTGATGAAAATTCTTTGTCATAGAACTAATTTCATTAACATAACCATTCGATAAGTCATATTCGTATGTCATTTGTTATTCAATTGCTACTAGCTCATCTTCTACTGTTTTCGTATTCAGTCGACAGCACCATATGTCGATGGTGAAATGTTCTTAGCTATGTTCAAATGCAATATCTTCATATTATTGTAGGTCGTCCATTCAGTGCGGCTGCTCATTTTATCAACCGATTATCCGTGTTCGTATTGTCGATGGTAATTCTTCGTCAAATGTACCTTTTTGCGGTAAAAACTGCTGACTTCATCTTCGATTTAGCTTTAAGTTAATTTAGGTGGTTCACTCGTCACCGATTGATATGTCCTAACGGCAGCTCATGTATGTCTTTTCTTTCATGAACAGAACTAAAAATAAAGAACTAGTCTTCTTCTATATCTAGTGTTTCTATGATGATTTCAAAAGGCTAGGTAGTTCTATAGTCACCGTACTGAAATTTCGATATATTTTTGTCATTGGTGCTCGCTATTCGACAGAAATAAATACGTATCTCAATAGTCATTTACGGTTATCGGCAAAAAGGATCCTCAGTATCATGCGAGAACGAAAGTGAATGATATTGCTCTTGCCGATAAAACAACATTACGCTATCCGAAACTATTTCCACGAGATCGAGCAGACGCAGTAATAATTCCGCTCATCATTACCAACTCCCTTTCGCAAAGCTATCTTCTCGCACATTGCTATCAGGTGGGGCGCGCCAGTGAAGGATCACAGGACCGTGGTAGTACAGTTTTGTCACAAGTTGATTAACCTGTTCAATCGCCGTATATACAATCATCGGATTGTGCCGATTAAATCTATGATCCCGAAAAACAATTTTGTGCTGGAGTGACCGAAGGCGGAAAAGATACATGTCAGAACGATAGGTTTGTCTATCTCTCAGAAATAAATGATTCATTGCTACGATTGTTTCCTTCCTAGTGGTGGACCATTGATGTTAACATATAATCAAACATGGCAAATCGTTGGAATCACAAGTTATGGTGAAGAATGCGCTCGTCCACATAAACCAGGCTGATGTCTACTAAATCGTTAAGAAAACATATGAAGTGTTTCTTTCTAACTTATTTCCTAGGAGTCTACTCTCGCGTTAGTGTCTATCGTGATTTGATCAACCAAACAATCAATCGAAATATTGATGTTGATGAAGATGAAACACTATTATTTAATATGGAAAATAATACCGATATGAGTAATAATTTAGAAATCTGGTGGGATGGAGATGCTTATAATCACTCAAAATTATATTTAATACCAACATTTGACTTAATCTGTCTTTATTTGTTGCATAGGTTGAATTCCTATACTTGATAAGAACTGGACAAGTGCCATGTTGATTGGTAATGACAATTGGAAACATGACATGACATATGTATAAGCAAGCAAATGTTTATTGTTTGATAAAGAAAAAGGAAATCGTAGTGTATTTTATTTCAATTTAATATAAGATGGTAACACAAATTTCACTTTTCCACTCGGTAAATTACGCGTCACTTCTTGATCTTTCACTGTTTTAATAAGATCCTTTTCTAACTGGCTTGCTGTGCGATCCATTGCGAAAAATTTCAAAGCCGCTTGAACATCTAAATGGAACTTCGTTTCTTACAGACAAACAAAGAGATTTCAGTTCTTACTTTTGCCTTTTTTAGCAGCACCTCCTGGTAGGATTTTCACTTTATATTTGTAATTATTTAATGCGACCCACGGTGCGCAAACACCAATGACATTTGTCAATGGATCGTCAGATGTCGGTTGACCGGTTAATGTAAAAAGTAAACGAGCATCTTCAGACAATCGTTTAGCCTTTTCTTCTTCGTCTTCTTGATGCTGTTCAGTTTCATCATCATCAATAGCTGCTGCCGCTGCTGCTGCTGCTGGAGTGGCAGCTGATTGTGGTCGACTTTTAGTTGAGTCAGGCCTTTTCTTATTGTCTTTGTTATTTGCTTTTTGTTGTTGCTTTTGCTGCTGTTGCTCTTGTTGTTTCTTTTTGGCTTCATTACCGGCTGAACCCAATAGTTGCATTCGAACTTGTCGATCTTCTTCGTCTTGATCCTTATATTTCTCTTTGATCTTCTTCAAACGTGCTCGTTGACCACGTTTCAACGGTTGATTTTCATTCGATTGTTTTTTCGGTTGCTGTTGCTGTTTCTGTTGTGGCTGGTGACGTCCAACTTGTTTCTGTTCATTAGTATTGGATTGAATTGGTTTTTCTTCGTTGTATGTGACTTGAGTATCAGGATATGCGGAGGCCTCTTGTTCTTCATCCTCATCAGACGAAGACGAAGAGGAAGGTGGATCTTCAGCTGCAGGTGTAGGAACATTCGCAACGGGTTCTTCCGTTTCTTCAACAATCGTTTCTTGCTGTTGCTGCGATTCTTGTTGTTCGTCAGGTTTAGTCTCTTCGTTTTCATCATCATCATCAGATACTTCTAACGGAGTTTCCTCGGCCGATTCTTGCTTTTCAATAATTGCTGCTTGTTTCAAGTCCTAATGAGAAAAGGATCAATTATTCCGAAACTTCATATTTCTAAGTGACATGTTTGCCTATACCTGTTCATCTAGAACACTCTTTGGCTTTCGTTCATCGCTATGTCGATCAATCGCCGCTTGGTCACTTTCATCAAACTAGAACAACAAATTTCATTGATGACATTGCATCGCATGACGAAAGCTCACTTTGAATAGAAGAGCAAATCCAAAATTCAACGGCGTGCTCGGAAGATAATTTCGTTTTCCTACAATGAACAAATATATATTTGATAATAAAACAGCAAAGAATCGAATTCAAACCTCGAATCATAAAAGCACCCGTTGTAATATATTCTCCAGTTGGTGCACTTTTCGAAACTTGATCATGTTTTACCCAGTAAGCCGGAGCTGGCACTTTCGCCTCCCATGCTGCACTGTGGCAACACGCTAAAATACCAGCTTCCTGTAATGTTCGTGGCGGTACGTCATTCCCTGTTGGATTTTTAATCACAACGCTTGTCGCACCATGTAAATCGGCGTGAACGTATAGATCACCTGGACGTAAATGACGTTTCACTAATAGTTCATTTTGCTGTTGATCGCGACCGCCCAAGACAATGTAGTTATCGGAACTAATGAACCAGTAGAATTTTTCAAACCTAAATCAACATAGTTGTGTCGTGCAGTGATTCGTTGATTAGAAAAATCAAGAAACTACCAGTAAACTTTTCGTGCTTTTGTTACAGTAGCGACGCGTTCGACTTCTTTAAGTAATTCATTTGTACGTTTCGATGCGGATTTAATAGCCTAACGATTAGTTATCAGTCATTTCAAGAATTAGACGAAAAAATTCATACTTTCTCTCCTGCTTCGATGGTTCGTTGATGTTTCTGTGACGATTGTTTTTTATGTTCAAAATATCTATTGAAATCATAAAAACCAACGTATAATCAAAATCGCAGTTCACTATGTTCATACCGTTTAGCATTCGCAAAAGCAGTCAACGAAAGATCAACGTCAACTCTAACCGGTGCAAGAGAAGACTTGTCGTTTTCATCGGCAAATGGGTCTCTACAGTGGGAAAAAAGCGATTGAAACAACTAGTCAAAGTTACAATCCAACCGAAGAAGTAATGTTATGTGATTGATATCGAATTTAATCGTTAGAATAGCACGTGCAGTTGGATCACCAGACTGCTTGGCTTCGTCGACTAGTTCTTCAATTTCTGGCCAACTCATTTGGTTGGCTACTGCAGTATTGATTGCTGTCATTGCCCGAGTAACCTGTGAATAGTTAGCGAGATTTGGCGAGAGAAAACTTAGTCACTTACGAGATCAGCGTTCATTTCTATGAGATATGCTCGTCGAACATCTTCATCCTGGAGAGAAAACTCATGTAGTTCGATCTTGACACGTGCCAGAAACAAACCTGAACAGCTTTTAATTCATCCAGACGTTTCTGATGATCCTTTTTGACATTATCAAGCTTTTTTAATGCCTCTTTTTCTTTTTGTACGATCTGTCCATCCAACCGTTGTGCTTCAAGTTTAGAAAAGAACTCATCAACAGCCTAAAAGTGAGAACTTTCGTTTCTTTTGTAAGAAAACATTTCTGTTTTACTCGATCGAATGTTGGTAACTCTAAATATTGCTTCGATTCGAATTGTTTAAATAAGAATGGATGAAATTCTTCATAGCTATAAAACAGATCTACCACTTCAGCTTACTCAAGTTTCTCATATCTTACCTGACACGCGCCGATGAACCTTCTTCTCGATAAGTGATATAACCCTAGTATAATATACACAAACTTTCATATGAAACTTTCCAAATTATTCGTCTTACTTTACATTCACCAGTATCTGCTCGTGTTAAGTAATTCAATGCTTCTACCAACTGCGCATGTAACTTCGGAACATCTGCATAGTACAAGACAGAAAATGAATGAAGGTAAACGTTAATTGACTAGAAATATACCCTGTTCAATGCTTAATGTCTTGCCTGTCGTACTATTATCAGCATTTAGTCCTGCTTTTAGTAAACATTCATCAAGTACAGCGGATCCGAACGCTAGAAGAGAAAATCTAGTCAAGGAAAATCTATCTCTTGGAAGAAAATCGACCATACGTAAGATTGGATTGAGTAGTTTCTTGATCGATTCATTTGCTGGTGCGTTACTTAGAAGTTCAATCAATCTAGACAGGGACTACGAAGTAGATTTCATTCTACTTTGACTTTTACAAACTTTTCCAATGAAATTAAATCTTCCGGTTGCTTGACAGTTTCAATCGGATATTTCTCATTAACGGCAAACTTTTCTTCTGTTGTTGCATCTGTTCGTCTCCGGATCAACGATAAAATCATGTAGTTGTAATCGGTTAAAATGATATTTCCCTGGAGAGAAAAAAAACGGCAAATACGAAAAACGAAGGTTGTGTCTCTAGTCATACTTTATCGTAAAGTTCGACAATAAGATGATACGCTGCTTCGCCACTACCGAATTGTAAATCAACAATACGATCGATACCCAATTGTTCAATCGATTCTAACCGACGAGATTTGAGATGTTTCCGAAGCTAAACTCGACGAAAAATTCCAAAAATTTCCTCGCAATTCTTCTCTTACTTTCATCGCGAAACCTGACGGAATCAATCCTTTAGGCCAGTCGAATTCCGTTGTATGAATTCGAATAGCTGATTCAATCAGTAGCACACCTTTATCATCCGGTCTATTGAAAAGGAAAACTTCTCTCTCAAACGAAAGTTCATCTGGTATATTTACTTCGAAAATTTGATCAGATACGTCTTATTATCAACATCATAAATATTCACAACTCGAACGCCAAGAAAACTAGATGAAAAGAAACTCAAGTCGATGTGTATTCATCAAAAGCAAATGATATACCGTTTTCGAACAGCGGCAATGCATGCCTTTAGATCAAGAGTCGTAAATCGAGTCTTTTTAGCAGGCATAGTCTTCAGATGATTCTAGTAATTTTGCAATTGACAAAAAAACGATTTCAACATCATCCTGTTATATCAGTCAGAACGAACAAAATTCGTTCGCTAAACACATCCACCAATCGGATTTTAGTCATTTGGCGACATCGTAATAAAAAGTTTAGCCTGATCACTCCTTCGACTCATTTCTAGCGTTACTCCGTCTGTCTTAGGGATTATATTGTGACTTCTGTTTATCAATGGTGAGATATAAACACCTAGCGATCTGATTTCGCACACCTGTTCGCTGTATGTATGAGAGCAAGAATGAAAACAACTTCCTAAATAGTACATTGATTCCAATTTATCATGAGTACAAATATTCGACCTGTTAGCAACTCAAGATTACCAGGCTTTCCATGCCTATCCAATGCTATTTATCGCCCAGGTGCGCATATTCTATTTAATTCAGGATCAAACTAAAGGGACACTTGAGAGAAAAACAGCTTTTTTTTCGAAAGAATGTGTAAAAGGCGTCAGCAGTTGCCTATCTCGCGCAGAATATCTCCATATACCAAACATGATCCAATATAATAGCAAGGTTGGGTATTAGTGTGAATACACTTTTTATCAATCGTACTTTCATTCATCTGTTCTCATTGTGTAGATTTAATATTGTATTTTGCCCTTACATCGATCTTTTTTCTTCTTTAGATTATCAGTACGATTTCGACCGACGTTTCAATAAAACACGATCATGTCGAATGTTCCAACGAAAAAACAACCGTTCAAAGTAGCTGATTTAAACTTAGCTGAATGGGGACGAAAGGAAATAACCTTAGCTGAATATGAAATGCCAGGTTTAATGCAACTACGACGCAATTACGGTCCAATACAACCATTGAAAGGGGCACGTATTGCTGGCTGTCTTCATATGACTGTTCAAACGGCGGTGTTAATTGAAACGTTAGTTGCACTTGGTGCTGAAGTACGACGAATCTTATTCGGAAAAGCTTGTTTTCACAAAATTCTATTCGAATCTAGGTACAATGGAGTAGTTGTAATATCTTTTCGACACAAGATCATGCTGCTGCTGCTATCGCTAAAGCAGGCATTCCTGTCTATGCTTGGAAAGGTGAAACAGACGAAGAGTATATTTGGTGTATTGAACAAGTGAGAAGATTTGTTTTCTTCTCTCCGAAGAACTAGAAACGAAACGTTTTCTTTTTTCTCAGACAATCCATTTTGGTGATGATAATCAACCATTAAACATGATCTTAGATGATGGTGGTGACTTAACTGGTATTGTTCACGACAAATATCCTGAATTAACTGCGAATATTTTGGGTATCAGTGAAGAAACAACTACCGGCGTACACGCTCTTTATAAAATGCTTAAACAAGGTAAACTTAAAGTTCCAGCTATCAACGTGAACGATTCAGTAACGAAATCGAAATTCGACAATTTATATGGTTGTCGCGAATCATTGATTGATGGCATTAAACGTGCCACTGACATTATGATTGCTGGCAAAGTTGCCGTTGTTGCTGGTTATGGTGATGTTGGTAAAGGCAGTGCACGAGCCTTACGAAATTTTGGCGCACGTGTTATCGTTACTGAAATCGATCCTATCAATGCTCTACAAGCAGCGATGGAAGGTAAATTTCAATATTGAGCATTTCCTTCTTTTTAAGTATCATGCATCTCAATTTTGATAGGCTATGAAGTAGTTACCATGGAAGAAGCAAGTAAAGTCGGTCGTATCTTTGTCACAGCTACTGGTTGTCGGGATATCATTTTATCTGAACATATACTTCAAATGCCGGATAATGCAATTATCTGTAATATTGGTCATTTTGACATCGAAATTGATGTTGCTTGGTTAACCAAAAACGCTGTTTCAAAAGAAGTTATCAAACCACAAGTAAATTGTTAAATATTGAAGATATAAAATTCAGACGATGAAATGTCTAGGTTGATCGTTATCAATTATCTAACGGACGTTCAGTTATCTTGCTTGCTGAAGGCCGACTTGTTAATCTTGGTAAGTTCAATGTCCAATTTCGTGCCATAGTTACTGATTTATCACATAGGTTGTGCTCACGGTCATCCAAGTTTTGTCATGAGCAATTCATTTACTAATCAAGTCTTGGCACAAATTGAATTATTTACTAAAAAAGGTCAATATCCTGTCGGTGTCTATATTCTACCGAAGAAAGTAAGATAATAGTTTGAAAGTTATGGTTTCGGCATGAATGAATTCTTTTTAGCTCGACGAAGAAGTAGCAGCTGCGCATCTTGATCATTTAGGGGTTCGATTGAGTAAAATGTCAAGTGAACAAGCCAAATATCTTGATTTGGATGTTTCTGGTCCATTCAAACCCGATCATTACCGATATTAAATAATCTAGGAAAATCGACATTTTTTCAAGCGAACTCTTTCGTTGTTCACTGTTTTGTGCTAATGTTTGTGTCGAACTTTCGAAAAAGAAAAAGAATCAAAAACAGACATTGACCTAACAAAACATATTCTCATGCATGTTATTTATTTCAACAGAATATTTCGGAAGAAATCTACGTGGTGTAAGTTGTCGAGCGCAAAGTAAATCGTCATGATAGAAGGTCGATATCATTACATGTGTGACCTTGACTATAGAGCAAAACTGGATGATGAATAAACATATTTATTGTCCTCGGATGAAATGATGATAATTATTCAATAAAGTAAAATACATATTGCAATTGTTTATTAACCTCGATTTGTTTAATTAGAAGACAAGAGATATACAATGGTGAATTTCTCGATGATTTGTTGAAAACAACATTCTTAATGATATGTTATGCTTTATTTCCGTTTCGATTAGTTGAATTAGAAGATTTCAAGGATCTTTTATGATGGTTCTCTTTCGATTCATATTGTTCTTTAATTCGTTTCGGTGAATGACACATCATGTTGTATATGAGAGAATGAATTTGAAGAGTAGAAGAATGTCGGAGGGTGATGGACAAGTGCTCAAGTGAGCGTAATCGAGCGGCAGATTCGTTTGTTGATCTTGAGGGGTGTGCATGTCGGTTAGCTAGAGGGCTCGCTAAGCAAATGACCAAGTGTGTCACAGTACTTTCTAATTGAATTCGATTTGTCTCCCTTTCTTTCTATTAAACTTATGTACAACAATTTCATTTTTATAGGCTTTTTTTTGGTCATTCATTTACATCCGTATACTTTTTACTTTTATATTCATAAATGAGACCAATTAGTGCAAAAGAAAAGATTCATTGTAGTTCGATGTTAAGAGACACGCTCGGTGAGCACAATCGCTATTATTTGTCTATTGAGAGATGAAGAGCTAGACATTGAAGAAAAATTTTCTTTTAATGTATGTAGACGAGTGTGTTTGTCTCCTATTTGTCTTTCCTAAGTAGAATAAATGTATCTAATNTATACTTTTTACTTTTATATTCATAAATGAGACCAATTAGTGCAAAAGAAAAGATTCATTGTAGTTCGATGTTAAGAGACACGCTCGGTGAGCACAATCGCTATTATTTGTCTATTGAGAGATGAAGAGCTAGACATTGAAGAAAAATTTTCTTTTAATGTATGTAGACGAGTGTGTTTGTCTCCTATTTGTCTTTCCTAAGTAGAATAAATGTATCTAATCACATGCTGTCACAGTATTCCGGATTCCGCTTGCTTAATTCTACTAGGTGTTCAAATGAATAAATGATGATTCTACTTGTCTGCTTTACTTCCATTAAAAGCTAACGTCATCAGATGGTCATGACTCGAGAGTAACAAATATTTCTCACCTCTTCTGCAATTGAGTATCTTGCCGATAGGCTCGAACATGTCGGCATGGACATTAAACGTTCTCTCTCTCTCTCACTCTATCTCAATTTGTTTTTTTTAATCTCTAACGAGACAATCTGTTTTGATTCCGATCGGAAATGATATAGATATCGAGTTTATTCTTTTCTTTTACTACTTGACAAAAGCAAGAGTCTAGTGTGTAAAAATCATCGCTTCTAATCTATCACAATCATCGAACTATTGACACACATCATGTGTCTAAATTGCTGAGAAAACGAGTCATCTGGAGTGAGAGAAGAAAAGAGAATCAACGACGACAACGACGAAGAAGAAGAAGGGAAATGAACTTTGTGTGTCCAATTAAATCTAGACGAGTATGTTAAAATTACCAGCATCTCACTCTCCTGCTGTGTCGGAAAATGATCAACCGTTATTACACTGATGTAATAATTAATACAGCTGCTTCGAAGTTTAGCTTCTATTCTTTAAGACGATTGAGACGGCAAAAGATAAAACATATCTCACTTGAAAAAAAACCACAGGACTACTAGTTTCTTTGTCTTCTTCGTTTTTTCCATCTCCCTCTCTCTCTTTCTCTCTGCTTCATTTTGCCTAGCAGCCAAATGCTGATTGATGTTGCGCCTTGTTGAACGCGAAATGAAGCGAGACAGTTGGAGTTTGTTTCTTTTCTTTGTTGCAATGACAAAACACAACGAAAAAAAAAGAGAGAATAAGAAGAAAAAGTGATCGATTTGTCTGCATCGATAACGCTTCAATGTGCACACAATCTTCTGATCAGGTTTCTTCTTTTCGAAATTCGAGTAGTTAAGTTGTTCTTAGATTTGTATAAACAAACGAGAAAAGGGAGAAAACGACGACGAAGAAAATATATTCACCAATCCCGACAATTTTCTTTATATTTGTTTTAGAAAAAAAGAAGAAGAAGAAGAAAAAGATACATGAATGTTTAAAGTTCAAAAAATTATTGTATTTTACCAGGTAAAAGTGCTTGTGGTCGATGAATTTTCTCGGTTGACATACCGAAGTGATAAGGATTTGCAGAATTATTTGATGAGGCTGTTGATGATGAAGGAGATGAAACACTCGGTGGTGACGATGAAGATGTTGCGGCAGCAGCCGCAGCTAAACTGGCCGATAGCATGCTACTATATGGATAATGGGTGGAAAACGCGGCGGCATAGGCAAGTGGATTATAAGCAAGTGCTGCAGTCGAAAAATCATTTAATTTTCCTGTTGAATATGGATAAAGAGAAGTAGGAGGAGGTGGAGGCAATAACGATCGACATTTCTCCAGATTTAAAGCGAACGAATCATTTAGCTGTTGTTGGACAGACAGTGCATCAGTTGCTGAGCTGACGGATAGGTCCATCGAATCTTTACTTGATAATGTATGATGGTGCGCATGAAGATGGTGTGGCGGAGGAGGAAATGTCGGAAATGGAAATGGAAAACGATCTTTTTTTATCAAAGATTTCGGTTTACGACGAGGACGGTATTTATAGTCCGGATGATCTTTCATATGCAGCGCACGTAAGCGTTTCGCTTCGTCGATGAAGGGTCGTTTTTGTTCGTCGTTCAATAATTTCCAGTCCACACCTAGACGTCGACTGATTTCACTATTGTGCATTTTCGGATTTTCTTGAGCCATTTTTCGACGTTGTCCACGGGACCACACCATAAATGCATTCATTGGTCGTTTGATATGTTCAGACATTGGAGTATTGGATGTAGATGATGAAGATGAAGACGATTTATTGATTATATGTGGATGTTGAACATTGAATAGATGAGCTGTAGACAGAGAGAGAGAGAAAGAATAGAATAGAATGTGTAGTACAAAGGAATTTGCGTCGTTTTCTTCATCTTTTTTTCCTAAAAGAATACTTACACATCATGGTTGAATAATGATGATAATAAATGAGTCAATCGGAATTTTTCTTTAAAGAAATAAAAATAAAAGCATAGTAAAAGAAACACACAAGATTCTTTTTTCTTGTCATATATAATAAAAGAAACAGGTTCTCTCTTTCTCTATTCGATGAAAGCCTATTATATTATTCGACGAGAGAGAAAAAAAAGAGCAATGAAAATAGTTTTCTCTTCTCTTCTTCTTCTCTCTATGCGTACACAAAGCGAAACATAATGACTTGAACTATGCGCTGTGCACACTAATAAAAGAAGGAAAAGGAGAAGAAGAAAAGGAGGAGGCTTTTATTTGTCGTTCTCGTCGCCGCTCAAAAAGTGTTATTCAAATAGAGACAGCCAAGTGGAAGAGCGAACGAACGAGCAATAATAATAATAGTACTAATAATAATAACAACAACAACAGTAGCTACCATCTATTTCTTCCCTCCAATGGAAATTAAAGAATAGAAAGGAACAAGAGAGAAAGCGCAAGAAAATTAAAAATCGTCATTGGCTATTCATTGCGCTTTTTTCTTTTCTTTTCTTTTCTTTTATTCTATTCTATTCTATTCTGTTGCTTGCTCGGAAGCGAAAAAGAGTGGCGGTGCCCAACAACAAAACGATTACAAGATGTGTCTATTGGTCTTTGAATAAAGCAAAAGAAAAGAGGAGAAGAGAAAAAGAACAATTCAAGCTGTGTATACGTGTAATAATGAAGGTTTGCATCAATCGCATACTCTCAAATAGTACATAAGAAGGAGAAAAATAAGAGACGAAAGTAAAGAGAAATATTATTAATCGAATGCATACATACATATGTATATGTACATCGATCGTTGGCTTGTTTCGATTACCTGAGTAAAATGTGTAAAATGGGACAATGAAAGGAGGAAAAAAAGAAAAGAAAGGACGGTGAATAAGAAGAATCCCAATAAATTAAATTCTCGATTTATTCGTCTCATCAACGGCGGCTTCTTTCCAATCAATGCACATTCCTTTCCCTTGTTTAAGAACTTCAAGTCTAGTTCATCAATATAGTTCTCATCCTATTAATCCTCTCTCATCCATCAATTACAAGTGCGGTTCTCTTCGTTTGATGCACCTTGTACAAGTCGTTGTTATTGTCATTAGCCTTATTCTGTGCATATGTGTTAACATTTTCAACGAAAATTATCTCCTGATTGAAGCATTTTTCTCATATGCTTGCGTAATGCCTCGCTTGCTCGCTTGATTGATTGATTGATTGATATATTCATTTCAATTGAAGTGATGATTGAACTTGCACAGATCTGTAGACATTTTTTATCTGAGAAAAACTTTCGGCTGGAAAGTACAATTCGTTGTCGAGAGGAAAGAAAAATGAAGACGACGAGTTGAACGGAAGTAAGCTTCGAAAGACGTTTAGCAGCGGAAGCGACTTATTTAGCGTCGACAAAGAAATTACAGTTCTCTCTTTTTCTTGCTGCTTCTTTTTCAGTGACGAGCAAGAATAATAGAATAATCATAAAGCCCGGACGCACACACACACACACACGCGTATTGATGTTGTTTGCCTGGCCACACACTAGTGAGCTAGCGCGTCTCACCAATTACGGGTCTATTCAACGGTCGATGATCTTGCAAGAAATGAGGAGAAGAAGAGGAAGATGATGCGAGACAGAGAACGTGACGATATGTATGTATTTATGTATGTATGGCTGTAATCAAATTGCGTTTGGACACACAGCTTCAGGCTGTTGTAATTGGTTTGAAGAGTGCGGATAGAGAATGATGACTGCTAGTAATCATGAATGAAGTTGATTGATTATTATTATTTCTTTCCTCAAGCCTCAAGGGGTACCACATTGATACTTCTCGTTTTCTCTTCTT